TTACAATTTTTTTAAGACGAAGGCCTTTCTGGACCTAGTCATGTTTTGTAGTAGATTGTGTCCTACTGCTGTTGCCGGCTTGTCTCTCCCCCTCCTCCTGGACCCAGCAAAGGTCCTTTCGGTGGTCTTGATCCCTCTACTCCTCCTCCTCCTTCATCTGAAAATTTCCTTTTTGTGGGTCTGCTACTACCACCACCACTGCCACCACTGCCACCACTACCTCCACCGCCGCCACTACCGCTAGAAGCTTGGCCTTGAGTTCCTCCGTCCGGCGGCATATATTTTGCAGGTCGTTTTTGCTCTCTTATCTGCGACTCACAGACCCTTGCGATGTTCTCAGCATCAACAGCATCTTAATCAAAGTATGCTTTACAATTTCGACAGTACTTGGATCGAAAAGGAACATTCTCCAATATACTGTCACAGTGAGGCCGTGGACACTTGGCAGATGTGTAGTATTCATGACAACCTACAATGGGGTAGTCTAGAGATTTTGCCTGTTCGAGCCAGATTTAATACTCGTTAAAAAAAAGACTCAAAAATTAAATGTCATTAATCAAGGGAATTTTTTTTTTTTTTTTTTTTACCTTTTCAACAAGCTTCTTCATCAATATCCCATGCTTCGATACTTGTCCTCGGTTTGTCTTGAATGATCCTCGTCCAATACAGATCACTGCATTCGTATTGGCATCTCTTCTTCTTCCATTGCTTCCGCCCGCAAGCTTCAGAATTGCCTTGATCACATAATCAACGTATCCGTTCTGTGCTTTTCTATTATCCCAGCTATTCCGAACAAACCACCTGTCATTATAGAAATCGACAAGCGCCCTATATGTAGTCTCCCTATTGTCGTCACTGGTCTCAGATCCACTGCTACTACTGGCCTCAACTCCACTGCTACTACCGGTCCCTGCTCCACTGCTACTACTGGCCCAACCCCACTACCAGAGAAACTACCTCCAGTACTTGATGGAGCTTGATTTGGCAGCAAGCTCATATAGCGAAATACTGTGTTAAAGTAGGCCTGAGAATGACGGAATATTGCTTTCAATCTCTGTAATTCCTCTTCTAAGCTTTCGCCTCTCTAGCTCGACCCTGAAACTTCTTGGATGGTTTGTAAAGGTACGCTCTAGAAATCCGGAGGATCTCACGTTCGTTAGGTTTCCTTGTATCCAACTTTGCAATTGTCATCGAGTACCTCTCGCCTGGATCGATCCCAATGATAATGGTACTTTCGGGGGGAGGGCATGCTGCCTGGGTGTCATATTTAACTTCTACATTCTCGAGGAGACGGGATCTCTGCTTCCAGTTGATCTCACGCCGGGAACTGGGACTCACCGGGGACAGTGGATTTGTGCTCGATGTACCTTCTTCAGCTGCTTCTTCTCCCTCGTCGCCATCTAAGAATGGTTCATCAACTTCCAGCAAGTCAATATCGCTGATACCCAGCAAGATATCGTCATCTTCATTTCCGTCGTCGTCTCCATCATCACCACCATGGCCTGCACCATGGCCTGAAGACGAGGATCCCTGCTGAGCACTTGAAGAAGCCTGGACTGCTTGAGATCTTTGAGTATCCGAAGGTTGGGCAGCTTACGAACCTCTACCTCTTTTTTGCTTCGATCTGTCATAGGCAAGAAGTGTTAGGGTAAGGCCGTTTGTAAAGAACGATGTCCGTAGTTTCCTTCTAGGGCTATCATCAGATTGCAGTCCAACGTCCTTGTATCCTTTCAAGGAAAACAGCTCCTGCAACAATATCCCCTTGTGGTTAAGGATCTTGTCCTCTGCAGCCCCCTTGGTACTCATGTTTAGTTCCAACAATTGGACTATTTCCTCTCGAACTGTTGGGTTAGACCATAATATATCCAGGAGACAGGCTTCCGTTAGGCAGAGAGACCGAGGCGAGAAAGCAGACGTAGGGAAATCCAGATATTTTTTGGCAGTTGCATTTTGCTCAAAAAAGAATTGGATGGAACTTCTTCCATTGCCTGGAATATCTATGTCAAACTAGACATTATATTGAAGAAATGATTAGGAACATTTCTTTAAACATATTATATATTTACCTGCGCATTCCGATAGTGAGACCTTAGCGCTGCTTGAACAGGGACCATGACCATCCGAGACGACTTGCTGATCACCAAATCGGGATAGATCTGGTTTAAAGGACCAAGCCCTGTCTTTGCATAGAAGTTTCGTATGCTTTGAGCTGGGACGGCTTGGCTACGTTCCCTTCGCCTTTTTTCTTCACTTCTCTGCTATACCTAGATAATGGACTCATCACTCCGTGATACAACAACGCAGCAAGGCCGTAAATAAAGTCCCTGCTATCAAGAACTTCATCTAGGAGTTGTGGGAGATCAGCTGGATTGGATGGCCCAGTGGTAAGCAGGTTATCGACCACAAGGCGCAGGCCCAGAAAGCTCAATCCGTGCCTCATTCAACATTTTAATAAATGATTGAATGAGCCCTTGAATTGTTGCAGCAAGTTGCTCGGGATTGAGATTGGGATCGGAAGTAGAGTCCAGCTTGGCAACTACACACGTCTTTAACGTGCCCAGAGTTAATGCAGCAGTGGGTGGGCCCTCTTCAACCGTCGGTCCTCTGCAGTAGCCTCCTTCACTTTCCTGGTCTTATCAGTCTTTCTGATATACTTGGCCTTCCCTTTGTTCTTCTTTTTTTTCTTCTTTTCCTCCTTAACCTCCTCTTCTTTCTCATCCTCTTTTTTTTCTTTTTCCTTTTTTTTGGGGGACTTTCTTTGACGGCTGGAGCTGACGGGACGGTCGTGTTGTTTGCAGTTGGTCAGGTCATATTTCTTAGGGGAAAGTTCCTTTTTCTGGGTAGGGAAAACAGGCCGATAGCGATTCGGCTTTGCGCGTTTAGGGATATAGAATCTAATTAGGAACAACAATGTCAAGGGTTAGATGACTTTTTTTTTTTTTTTTTTTTTTTTTTTTTTGTATATGCTTTGGAAAATGTTCATTTGAAGGAGCTTACCTGGATTGAGGTTGATTATTTTTATTCTGGTACCTAGCAGATATCGCAGTCCTCATTCTATCATGGTAATGAAGGAATCTTTCAGCGGTTGCTTGCTGCGAAGCCTGGGTTTGGATCCAGTTGCATATTTCACAGTACACGTGTTATATGAAAATTTATAATACAGACATACTAACAGCTCTATGCCCCATGGTGCCCGAGACAAACTTGCAGTTTTATTTTGATACAAATTTGGATAAATGTCCCATGGATGTGATGTGTGAACCCACATCCTATTCTCACTTCTGCTCCCTGGTTACTATTTGTCTGTCTAAAATTTTTCATGAGCTACTACAAACATGACTAGGTCGGGAAAGGCCTTCGTCTTGAAAAAGTTGTAAGTATTAGCTTGACAGTGCTTTCTTGACTAATCTCTTTATTTCTATGCTTGGTCTAGATGGTGTTTTTTTATGGGGAGGACTATTTAGACAGCATATAGACCCCACATATCTTAATCATAATAAATTGGTTTGGTGGCATTGTTGTAAAAAATATCTTTGCTTAAGGGACAGAAAGATAGACACAATCAGGAAAAGGCAGGACAAAGAGTGTCAACAAGATTGACAAGAGAAAATAGAGTCAAATAACCTTGACTACAAACAGCGCCATAGAATGTCAAAAGAAAAGATAGGAGCTTTATAGGTGAGCTCACAAACTGAGTTACCGGAAGACAAATGCTTGTTGTGAAAAGGGGAAAAAGATAAATGGCAAGACGAACTGCGGGTGAAGAATAAGACATGTGGGGAAAACTGAAGACTTTATTAAGAAGGAAGTTTCTTTGGCTTTTATACTCGGTAGTTTCTAGGTGAGGCGGACCCGCCTATGACTACAAAGGCTTTGCGCAAAGATTAAGCTGGTTCGACAGATTAGTGGATACAAAATAAACCGAAGTTAATTTTAATGACCAGTCACACCACTTGCAATAACAAGCGAGTCAATTGGCTGCCAATACATTTAAGAGTATTCAAAAAATATAAGGGATCGCATTTAATAAAACTCGAATGTCCTTTTTTCTTTGCTGTTGCATTCATTCCAAAAAAGACAAACTATGGAAGCACCCATCGACTTGGACTTGTCTACTCTTAACGCCCTCTCCCCTGAGGTCATTTCGAAGCAAGCAACTATTAACATTGGTATGAAAATATTCTTATCTTTCTCTTTCCTACTAATTAAGACACTCATACCAGCACTCTTTTTAACTTGTCTTTCTACGCAATTTAGGTACCATTGGCCATGTTGCTCACGGTAAATCTACTGTCGTCAAAGCTATCTCTGGTGTTCAGGTATACAACAAACAGCATTGACTGAACCAAGAAGTCAAGAAGGCGTGTCAAATTTTATCTGAGTGATCCGTCAACCGTCAAAAGGAGATTATTAACGTTACTGGTGCTTTTTCGGTTTTTTTTTTTTTTTTTTTTTTTTTTTTTTGAATTCTAGACTGTTAGATTTAAAAACGAGTTGGAACGCAACATTACCATCAAGCTTGGCTATGCAAATGCAAAGGTATTTTGCTCTTTTTTCTTCTTATTTTTATTAAAAAATAAACTTTAAATTTGCTTACTGCTAATCTTTAGATTTACAAATGCCAAAATGAAGCCTGCCCAAGACCAGGGTGTTATAAATCATACCGCAGCAATATGGAGGACCATCCAAAGTGTGAGCGTCCCTTCTGTGGCGGGATCATGAAATTGGAAAGGTATTATTAGAAACCTTTTTCGTTCAAAAAAAAAAGAATTAATTTGTGCACTAGTATTTGAGTCATAGTTCGTCACTCATGTATACATTGGCTTAGTCATTTTGAGTAAAGCAGCATGGATATTGACTTGACTCTTCTTCTTTGCTTCCTTCCTACAGACATGTTTCATTCGTCGATTGTCCGGGTATGAAGATCAGATCTACTAAAATTTGTAGTCCATGAGCTGAGCTTAAAATATGGTGGCGTTTTATTGTTTAAAGTTTGATCTGACAATTTTTTTTTTTTTTTTTTTTCTACAAATAGGACATGATATTCTCATGGCCACCATGTTGAACGGCGCTGCTGTCATGGACGCCGCTCTCTTGTTGGTTGCAGCCAATGAGTCTTGTCCTCAGCCTCAAACTAGTGAGCATTTGGCAGCTATTGAGATCATGAAGTTAGAGCACATCATTATTCTGCAGAACAAAGTAGATCTAATCAAGGAATCGGCAGCAGAAGAGCACCACCAAAGTATTCAACAATTTATAAAGGGAACTATTGCCGATTCAGCGCCCATTATCCCTATCTCAGCTCAGCTCAAGTACAATATTGATGCCGTCAACGAATATATTGTCAAACGTATTCCTGTCCCTGTTCGTGACTTCACCGCAGATCCTCGTCTGATTGTCATTCGCTCGTTTGATGTTAATAAGCCAGGTGCAGAGGTTGAGGGCTTGACAGGAGGCATTGCTGGAGGCTCTATCCTTAGTGGAGTATTGAAGGTAAGCCATGACAGTTTACAATACTTATGAATGGAGAGAGGAGAGACTTCAGTTCTAAAACTACTAAGCAATTTTTCGACTGGTTTCTTTCGGAAATAGCTTGGAGACGAAGTTGAGATCCGTCCTGGTATTGTTACCAGGGATAATGAAGGGAAGATTGGATGCAGGCCTATCTTCTCCCGTATTGTCTCATTACTAGCCGAGAGCAATAATCTAAAGTTTGCTGTCCCCGGTGGACTGATTGGTGTTGGTACAAAAATCGACCCTACGCTCTGCCGTGCAGATCGTTTGGTTGGTCAGGTTCTTGGATCTGTTGGCAAGTTGCCAGAAGTCTACTCCGAGCTGGAGATCCAATACTTTTTGCTCCGTCGTCTCTTGGGTGTTAAGACCGATGATAAGAAGCAGGCTAAAGTCACCAAGCTTACCAAGAACGAGGTCCTTATGGTCAATATTGGCTCTACTTCTACAGGTGGACGTGTTATTCAAGTCAAGAACGATATCGCAAAGATTGCCCTTACAGGCCTTGCATGCTCAGAGTATGTATCATATTAGTAATTCATTGATACAGTCTTTAGAGGAATTGTTTTTTTTATTTCTAGCCCTTGTATTGGTTGCTAATGTTTCTTTCTTTCCTTTATATATATATATAAAATAGAGCTGGCGCAAATGTCGCACTTTCACGTCGTATTGCAAACCACTGGCGTTTAATTGGATGGGGCTCCATCACTCGAGGTTCCTCTGTACCTATCTAGGCAAAAATAATTGACCTTAGAGAAATAGAAATATCACTATCAAATAATAGACCGAAGTCAGAAAAGGCATCACAAAATAGAAAGACAAAAAAAATTTGATATTACTTCTGAATGAAAGGTAATGTTTTTACAATTTTTTATTGTTTTGCTAAGGTGCCAGACAACCTAGCAGCACGGAACAGAGATAGTTTCTTTGGCGGCAAATTCCTATCGTCTATGGCAATTGGTTTCTGTTCGCTTTTCCCCCCCTCATTAGTCTCTTCATTATCCTCATCTATATCTTGGGATTTATTTTTAGCTCGCTCTATTTGTTGTGGTTCCGGGATGATCATGCCCGGAGGAATCACAACTTGCTGCTCCCACATGCGTTCAATATCCTCACGATTGAAAGCACCGTGTTTGGCAATCATAGCTTGTCTGCGCTCTTGATATTCAGTGACTACCTAGAACATTACAAAAGACAACGGAAGGAGTTAGTCAAAAAAGGCGTTTTTTTTTTTTGTGCCTCCTTTTCTTCACAAAGTACCTGACGCATTAGCATATCATCCTCGAGCTCATCTTCATCCACTGGCTCAAACTCCTCATGTTCCACTACAGCGCCTTTCATTAAAGAAGTATCTCTTAGTTTCGAGCTGGCAGCGACAGGGATGATACGTTTTGCTGGATCAGCAGGTATAATCGGGCCCACATCATTTTCAGATTTTGGCTCTGAAGGGCTTGTAACAGGCTCTTTAGAGGCAGATGATGAAATCGATCGGGCTGACACTACAGTGGGGATAGCCTTAACAGATCGATATTCCTTGATATCATTATCGTCGTCAGGGTCCACGAAGCTAGCCTCTGGCACTGCTGGCTCTGGTTCCAAGTGGTTTATTGCTTGATTCTGCTGTTGTCGACGAAATAAGGAAGGCTTTCTGCGACTTGGTAGCGGCTCTTCAAATCCTTGGGTAGTGAGGTTAGAGATGGATGATTTGCCAGGTGTAGCTTCCTTAACTTCACTAACCATTGCTTTCGAGAGAAGGCGAGACTCGGAGATAGAAGGTATTGCTGGTGATACATTCCGCTCGACAACCTCAGAGGCTTCAGGGATGTTCATTTTGTTCTTAGCTTGTGCTAATGGCGACACTGGCAGCTCGACAACATTTTTCTCGGATACATTCTCCGATGCTCCCATTACTGCCGGCTTGGCCAATGTAGTATTAGCCGAAGTTGATTTCCCTGCAGCTGCACGATCTCTGGCAAATTTTGATAGTTTCTTAGGCGGGATATCCTGAGCAACATCGATAGACTCTACAAGGACGGGGGTGTTTTTTGTCTTTTCTTCTGCTTCAGCTCGCATCTGCTTGAACAATGATGTCTTTTTTGGTGGTGGTTTCAATGCGGATTTGAGGGGTGCTGGTTCAGGCTTATTTTTCTCCTCAAAAACTGGTGCTTTGACACTGGGTGGGACGGTTGTCAAGTTGGCAAATGTAGACTCCAAATTAGCCATGTTTACAATTTGCTCCGATGTGGCAGCTGACCTAACAGCTTGCTGCTTTGCTTTCATCTGATTGATTAGATCTGAAGGCGATTTGGCCTTCGTTGCTGAAGGGCTTGTTGTGGTAGGAGCTGATACTGATGGTGGTGCTACGAGAGTTGACTTTGAGTTTGATTTTGACTTTATAGCCTTAGCGACTTGATCTGCAAAACGAACAGCTTTTTCTCCAGGCTTTCTAGATGTACCCTCATAAGCATCTTCCTCATCCTCATCATCAGAATGCTCCCAAACCTCTTCCTCGTATTCTTCATCAGAATCGAGCCCTTTTGGTCTAAATTCATCTGCGCTATCTTCATCGTCGTATTCTATTGGAAGGCCATTATCATCTGAATCTGTCTCCTCTTCTGATGTCACAATCTCCCCAGCCTCTCTGCGACGTTCTCTCTCTTCATCCTCACGTTCAAGTTCTGCAATTCTATCCAAAATTGCTCGATCTTCAGCTTGTTCCTCAGGTGTTTTTTGAGAGAAGGGCAAGAGAGCTGGCTGTTTTGATTTTTCATCTTTGTTTTCTTCATCATCTGAGAAATAAGGTTCCGTGATCTCGACAATGGGAAGACCTTCTTCGTTATACTAATGTGATAATCGTTAACCAAATTAAATATAAATGCTTTTTTTTTTTTTTTTTTTTTTTTTTTTTTTTTTTTAAAAAAAAAAAATAAATAAATAAATTCTTTACACATGAATGCTTACTTCTTGACCACCTAACAGTCCCGGGGCTATTCCACTCTTTGATCGAATTTGCTCCTCCTGTGCCTGTAGCTTTGCAAGATTTTCATGGACAACTGATCGGATATTGATTAGATCACTGTATCAGAAAATTCCATCTCTGTCAAAAAAAAAAAAAAAAAAAAAAAAAAAAAAAAGACTTACATTCTATTCGCCTGTCCACAATTTCGGCAGCCTGAACGGCAGACCGATCTACAAACCAATTATCTCCAAGCATGACAAGAATTTCGTTTGTATGCACTAGTTTTCCTGGCATAAAGGCTAAATTACCGATAGGAACCTGATTATTACAAAAAAAAAAAGAAAAAAAAATCAAACTTCATCCTATAATAATAATAATAATGATAACGAACTCTACAGAGGGAGTCAGAGGATTATGTACTAATTAGAAATATAAATACCATAACTGAATGCGTAGTTTCCTTTGGCAAGTCTAGTAGTGTAGATTTAAGAGCCCTATAATCCTCTTCATAGCCCTTCCATCGAGTCAATTCCTCCTCAATCTGTGTCAACGCTGCCGAGAACTTTGCAAAATACGTAGCCAACTCCGTGGCCTCCTCTTCGCGTGCCTTCCCTTTTCCTTTTGCATGCAACTGATCCATTCTCGAACCAAGTAAAGTAATGGTTGGTCATGAAATGAATTAGAAAATGTAAAATGTATTCATGATAAACATTCGCCAGGCAGTCACTTTTTTTTTTTTTTTTTTTTTTTTTTTGACATTTATTTATTTTTCAGTCTTTAAACCGCAACAAAGAGCTTCAACAGACCCTGTGCATAGCTGACAATTTCCATAGCACCCATCTTGCTATCTCCAAAGACACGGTCTACAAATGTGATGGGGACTTCACCAATTGTATAGTTGAATTGTCTTGCACGAACCATCATTTCCATCTGGAAGACATATCCTTTGGAGATGCATGCCGAGATCAACTTTGACAACACTTCTTTCTTATACAAACGGAAGCTGCCTGTTAAATCTGATACGCCAGGGCGCAGCAAAACTGTTGCCAGGAAGTTTGCTCCACGACTAGGAGAGAAAAAAAAGAAAAAGAAAAAGAAAAAGAAAAAGGGTTAGGTAGAGTAAGATCGGTAGAAGTGTTAGTTAAAAAGGAGCCATTTCGACTTGGCTATAAATGTATAGTTTTAACTTGCCTAATAACCTTGCGTTTCAAGTCCCATCCGTAAACACCACCATTGCCTGCATAACGTGTTCCAGTAACAATGTCCAAGTTCTTGGATTGTTGAAGACTAAATCGATATATTGAACAAGCAAGCAAACAAACAAAAAGAATGAGAATCTACTTCTCAATATTAAAAGCACTGGATCAAAAAAGGGGCCAATTCAAATTGGACTTACCGGATCATCTCGGGCATAAACTTGGGCTGTAAATTCATGTATAAAAAAAAAAAAAAAAAAAAAAGAGCCGATCCGTTAAGATTGGTAGATTGGTTAATATCTAGGCTTGATGGAAAGGCTGAAAAAAAAAAGACATGTCATTTTTTTTCCTCCTCTTACATGATGGGACATATCAGCGTCCAGAATAAAGATAAAGTCGCCAGTGGCGTGCTGAATTCCATGAACATATGCAGTGCCTAAATTTGCCATATCCATATAGCAGTTTAGAGACCATAATCATGATCTGTGTTTTAACACTCTTTTATGAGTCCCATACCTAGTCCAAGCTTGCCAGCGCGAGGTCTCAAGAGCTGAAAAGAAAAAGAAAAAAAAAATGACACGTTCAGGCATTTTGATATTTTTTTCCCTTCATTATTTTCTGTAATCGACGGTAATCAATTGTGCTGCAGTTTCCTTTAGCTATCTTCCTTACAATCCTATCTTCGCCATAAATCTTCTGGAGTTGCTTTGCAATCTCTAATGTACCATCTGGACTGTTGTCATCAATGACGATAATCTCATAGTCAATGTTGCTACATGGACAAAGTACAGACAGATTCGACCGTCAGTTTACTGGATTTTTTTTTTACTATTCGTTTGTTTACGTTAAAAAAAAAAAAAAAAAAAAAAAAAGACACGGCTTACTTTTCCTGAAAGGTCTTCGTGAGTAACCAGACAATGACAGGGAGATTGTCGCGTTCATTGTAAGTTGGTAAAAGAACAGAGTACTTGTGATGGTTAGACATGTTGCTGAAGTGTTGGTGATGAGAGAATTGATGATGTGATGGTTGCAGGGTTGTGCTTGTCGTAATGTCGTCCTGAATATTGATGCTGATTGAATCTGAGTCTGATCGAGTGAACGAAGGGGCAGGTGCGAGCGAAGAAGGAGGCATGCAAGGCACCTTTTTCAAAGAAGCGATGGACGACAGAGTAAAATTGTAAATTATATGCAATTGAATAAAAATAAAGGGTTTTCAATCTCAGTTTTTAACCTCAATGGGCTGAATGCTGGATCCTAGTGATATGGAGAAGTTTCCAAAATGGTGTGATCGCCATATTGTTGTGCGATATTCCAGCCTACGCTTATCTCGAGCTCGATGTGGGCGATTAGCTCTGCTTTCACTAGCCCTACATCGGTATCTTTCGCACTAACTGCAAACCTATAGTTATACCTTGCATTCTCGTATGACACTCTTTTTTGCACTGGGATTAGGCTTCCTGTCTGGGTTGTGAAAACGGTATTTGGTGCCGCCCATGTGGATGAAGCATTTTCCCAATCCCATTTCAACCAAGTTGTTGCAAAGCTTTTCAAACAAAGCTTCAAACACTGTTTGGTTGAAATAACCATGATAATCATGATTAGCGGTTATTACTTCCCTACGATCATCCGTACTCTCTCCATTGTGCACTGCTTATGGTTCATAGTCTGACGCGTTGTTTCCCCGCTCCTGTCCCAAATGTGGATACTGTCGTTGACGAACTTTCCAACGGCTCTCTTTTCATCTTTGTCATAATACACCGTAAAATGTAATATGACAAGGAGTGATTGCTGAGGAGGTCTACATATAGTGCCATCACTCTTTACTCGTCGATTTGATGAGGAATGGTCCAGGCGACAATATGACTCGTCGAGAAATACCTCAGCCCCTATAGAGAAATACTCACTATATTCCGTTCTAAGATTGGAAAACATTCTTCAACGCCCTTGTGTCGGAACCTTACATTCTATGGGGTGTCATGCAACATTGACCTGGGATACATTCGTCCCACTAGAAGTTACTGGCTCATAGGTAGCGATGCACGGTGGACTTTGACAGTTTGATGTGGTGGATGCCCCTGAGTTCATTTCTCTCAATCCGCACACTGCTGGAAGTTCGAGTTTTTTTTGTTGGCCTTTGTCACAATTTCCTCGAGATGGCTCTCAACGGCCGAGTCTGGCTCCTCCTTTTTATCACTACGATCAACACCCATAGTGCCCTGCGTTTTGTCTCAAAGTGCATCGAAGTGATCTTCCCTACATATGACCTGTTGGTGAATTGCTCAGGCTTGGTATTCTAGCACTTCGTAGAACAAAAACCAAAAACCAAAAAAAAAAAAAAAAAAAAAAAAAAGCGGCTTGGCTGACCTGTGGGATTCAGATGAATGGGTCATTTGTGAGATAATTACAGTACTTTATTAGCGCAGATCTAATTGCCTCCCTGGTTCGCTTTCTGCTCCGCCAAACTCGGGCGCTGCAAAGCCGGGGGTAAAGTAGCAAACATGAGGTACGATGTGTGGCCACGCTGTTCCATAGGAAGCTTGGTAACAGTTATGTTTTGAGGATCAATTCTCTCCCTTGGCTCTGGTACTACATCAGCTTCTGTTGTTGATAATGACATAGTCGCTGATGTACTCTCTTCAGAATCTAATCCAGCTGTTGAAGTGGGGGTTGCAACAGTCGATGAAGTGTTACTGTCGTCAACAGATACCTCGGTCCTTGCGCTCTTGATCTTGGAGCTGACTTCCTCTTCTATATTTTCATCCTGTTCTTGGTCCTCCCCTTCATCTTGCTCCTGCTCCTGTTTTGCCTGCTCCCCTTCACGTTGTTCCCTCTTTTCCAGTTCCTTTTTGACATTCTCACGCAAGACTCGTGGTACGGCACGCTTCCTCTTCTTTTCAATGGCTCTCTGTTTCTCCATTGCTTCATCAATAGTCCACATTGGAATGACACGGATCTCATTGAACCGGATCAAGCACTCGTACATCTGAATATCAACAAATCCATTCTCACTGAGTGAGGTAACTGTCCTGGAAATTTGTTCAATGCAGGGCGAAAATGTACAAATCTTGCCAATTTTATCCTGCTTGAATGCCTTTTTAGCAGATGCAACAGCCTCCCAAGGTGCTGGAAGGTCCAAAAAAACTATTTCAACAAAATATTTAGCAGCCGGCAGAGAAAAGCTTTTTCTTTTTAGATCTGTGGCTCTGTAATAAACATTGGATTTTTTTTATTTCTATTTTTTTGTTTTTTGTTTTTTTACCTGCATCAACCATGTTCTCCAGTCCAAATCCGTCTTTACAAACATCTCTGCATTCCACGGTGATCAAGTCCGATAATTCATGCTGTGCAAATTCCTTTGTGGCCGCATTGGCGCGTTCTTGATGGTACTCGAACGTGTACAAATGCCCTGTTGGCGCTAGAGTACGAGCAATGGAATGCGAGAACGATCCTGATCCTGTGCCTGACTCAATCATAGACATGCCCGGTCTCAAATTCAAAAAATTCATCACAAACGAGATATCTGCAATGTAAAGGATCTGTGTACGATGAGGCAAGACCAAGGTCCAGAGTTCGGGTGTGGGGTATAAAAGGTAGAGGAATCCACGACCTGTACTGGAACCGAGCTTTGTCCCGTACTCTAGGCCAATCATATCTGCGTGCTTGTATGTTCCAAATTTACAATTGAAATATTCTCCGTCTTGGACTCGAATGATGACCATATTTTCTTTGCTCTAGATGACCAACAAGTATCCAATAAAAAACATATATAAATAAACAGCCCAATAATCTCATGAACTCACTAGTTAGTCTTTACGATCTTGGTATAGCAATCAAAAGGTCAAATTTTTCTTACCAGATATACGACAACAAGGTCCCCCTCCTCAATGATATTATGAGCCTTATATCTGGCAAAGCTCTGTTTGACCACTGGTACATTCTTTTCTATACTGGATTCACTCATATTGTTGGTAATGATGAATGGAGTTGCTGATGGTATACAGTTATGAAGAATTGTTTTAGCCAAAGAGAAAGCAGTCTATTTGTTTTTTTTTTTATTTTTTTTTTTTTTTTTTTTAACAAATCTGCTACTTTGGACAAGTGGCTGAGTGCTTGAAAAAAAAAAAAAAAAAAAAAAAAAAAACTTTAACCACTCTCAACTTTTCACTTTACATTGTGGTTGACAACATAAAAAACATGGCCGATGCATATGCACGTCTCGACTTTCTCTGGAAAGCATCATATACACTACTCAGCACATGTCCAGGCGCATCTTCTCATTATATGGCTCAGTTCCTCGACCTTGCCAACGCCCGTGATTTGAAGCTACATGAAGATATCCAAACCAAATCGTGTGCTGCCTGCGGATCTATCTTTGTGCCTGGAATCAATACTAAAGTCAGAGTTGTTCCTGTCCATGAGACACGCATCGAACGCGAACGACGGAAAAAGCAGGCTCGGAAAAGGGCAAAAAAGCAAAATATGTTGTTGAAAAGCAAGGATAATGATGAATCCTTTTTGGGTGCTGACAAACTGGCGACGACGAGGACGACGGTATCGACAGCAAAAGAGGAAACTATGAATTACCATCAAACCACAGCAACAATGGAGTATGATGAGGGAAAGGAAACGAAAAAATCTATCAACGTCAACCTTGCTACAATAACAGCAACAACAAAAGTACTTCCTACATCCAATCCACAAAAGCAATCAAGCACACAACCTCAACAGTTGTTACGCCCTCGAAAGATCATTCGCATCACCCCTCATACTGAAATCATTCAGCAACAACAACAAATGCAACAACAGTTGCGGCGCCAACTGATGGCAGATGGGAAGCCATCCAGAAAAATCGATAAGCGTGCAAATCAGGTTCTCAACCATATCATCTATTCTTGTCAAAGATGTAATAGAGATACAGAGCTTCGAGGAACAAAAGAAGGCTATTTGACTTCGCATATCAAAGCCAAGAAACTTGGGTCACAAAGACGCAAATTAAAGAATATGAAGCAGGATCTTGCTTCCACATCAGCTGAAGCAGCAATCGATTCAAAATCACAACCAATACAACCTGTGCCATCGACGCTCAAGTCAGGGCCTAATCTAGTAACGCATGCCACTGCAGTTGGCAAACGATCAGCATCACCACTCCCTACCCACATACAACCCAATACCAAGCAATTTAAAAACGCTACATCATTGCCTCCCTCTCCTATTCGTGGACTATCAAAGGCTTCTTCTGCTGCGTCTTCAGCAGCGAGCTCGCCAGTATCATCCCCTCGTTTAGATAATGCCAAGTCAGGAGGCAGTAGTGGCAGCAGTAGCAAAAAGAAAAAGAAAGGAGGGCTGGCAAGTATTTTGGCTAGTCAGAAAGCAAAGGATCCTCCTCCTGACCCTAATGATGGCGCAGGATCTAGTGGAGATAGCTCACTAGCCAATTTCCTCATGGGATTATAGGCTATGTCATCATGTAAAACACTTAATAAAAAATTGCTATTTTTTTACTTTATTTTTTTTATTGATTATTACTTCTGGCATAAGAGTAAAAATGATGGTGTTATTTGTTTATGGGAATGCACGGCCAGTGAATCTAAAAAAAAAAAAAAAAAAAAAAAAAAAAAAAAAGATGAAAAATGAACGATACCATATTATTAGAAGGGTATCTGACAATAACGTGGAGATCCATTGATCTTATTTTTTTCCTCCCTTCTTACCTTGGGTACAAGCAGGTGTCGCGAACGGTATAGAGGTTGAGCATCCAGGCAATATAGCGTTCGATTCCCAAACCAAATCCACCGTGCTCACTAGTACCAAACTTGCGTTGATCAGTGAACCAGTAGTAAGGGGAGGGATCAAGACCCTCGCGCTTATATGCAGCCATGAGCTCCTCCAAATCAGAGATACGCATCGATCCTCCGACAATCTCTCCAACACCGGGCATCAAGACGTCAACACTCTCGGTCAATGCACGGTTCTCAGGGCAACGCTTCATGTAGAACGCCTTGATCTCTGCAGGGAAGCGGCACAACAAGATAGGGCGATTGATCTTGTCTGTCATAGCACGCTCAGGAGCCTCAGGGATATCTTCGCCAACTTCATAGAAAGTGCCATCTTCCTTCTTGATGTCGTTATCCTTCAAATACTTTATAGCGTCAGAGTAGTCCATGCGCATAAATGGACGTTCGGGTCTCTTAAAATCTGGGTTAAGCTTGTAGACAATATCAGCAGTCGGTTTGTGGGCTAATGTGCGGTCAATGACATCACAAATCATATCCTCGATCTGATCCAATAGATCATCGAAGGAAATGAAAGCCATCTCAGCTTCACAGTGAGTGTATTCCGACAAATGGCGACGGGTGTGAGACTTCTCTGCACGGAAAGATTCAGCTAAGCAGTAGACATCTCCCAATGAAGGCAAGCAGGTTTCCAAGTAAAGCTGGGAAGACTGAGTCAAGTAAGCCTTTTTTTATGGTGTAAGAAAAGAAAGAAAAAAAGGTTAGATTACAATCTCACTGACCCGAGACTTTCCAAACTATTTTTCTTGTATATTGTAAAATAACATACCTTCTCATTATAGTAGTTAAGCTCAAATAGAGTTGAACCACCCTCGACTGAGGTCTGGACCATGCAAGGAGGAGTGACTTCATAGAATCCACGGCTATCAAAATGGTCACGGAAAGCCTTCAGGACTTGAGAACGAACCTTCAAAATGCCCGACGCTCTCTCCTCACGCAAAACTAAGTGACGAAGATCATACTTGACGGAAGGATCAGAGTTCTCGTTGACCTTGTTGCTGATAGCATCGTCACCACCGGGCGCCTTTCCAATGCATTCCCAGTAGTCAACAGTCAACTCATGGTTATCAGGTGCCTAATCAATAATTAAAATATTAAATGAAAAGAGTTGTTAGCAATTTAGTGTATCTCTCTTCCTCACCGACGGAAAATGAAATAATATAAAATAAAATAAAACTTACAGTCTTTCCAGCAGGGAGCTCGTTAATGACACCATACACGATGATAGTAGACTCGAGGGTGAGAGTAAGTGCATCGTATGTTTGGCACTTATGTTGGATTCAATCAAAATTAATAATTGTCAGCTATACATTATTTTCAATCGACATAGGAAAATACAAAAAAAGTTTTTCTTTTCCTTCACTTACGAGGTTATCGGTGAGAACGCATTGAAGGTAACCAGTACCATCTCTCAAAATTACAAACATCATGTTCTTTCCTTGAACGCGAAGGCGATGAACCCATCCTGAAACCTTAACACGCTTTCCTCTGTTATCAACACCGTTTCTAATCTTAATCTTGGTTGCAATCGGCAGGGAAGGATCCTCCTTAAGGACAACCTTCTTGGCGGCTTCCAAAACACGCTCACGTTCCTCAGCAGCAGCCTGATCTTTGGCAGCTTGTTCTGCAGCCTGTTCAGCCAACTTCTTGTTTTTCTTTTCCAGCTCGGCTACTTTCTTAATGGCCTTCTTCTGTGCAGCTCCAGAGATAGGGACAAAGCCAGAGGTCTCGCCTTCAGCAGTAGCAGCCTTCCAGACTTGAATCTTGACAGATTCGCCGTGGGCCTGAATGGCCTTGACAGCGGATTGATAAGGAGCTTCAATGGAACCATTGCCGGCTTCATCAGAGCCCTTGGTCTCGTCGACATGAGCGACGACTAAGCCCACAACCAAAGAGCAGAAAGCAAAACAAGAGCAGAACAGCGAAATATGGATTAACAATTGATCATTTCGGAAAGGTTTAAAATAACACCATACCACACCCAACCAAGGTCTAGTGACTTCAATTGATCCAAATTAAATTGATACCAGTGAGCCCTAAATTCCTCTTCAATATGTTGTCCCCCTTTTTTCTAAGGGCAAAAGCCTTCCTGCCCTGAGTGGCAATAGTCAATAGCTCTTTTGACAAAAAACTACAAAAATAAAATGTTTTAAAATAATATGTTCTGTGCTTCCTTTTTTCTCTTTTTTTTTTCTCATGGCTCCATGAAGTATAAATGAATGAATTACCAGCAGCAATAGAGAGTGAATCGACAGGTAATGTGTCAGCCATGGTGAGAGGTGAGGAAAAAAAGCGGAAGAAGTGAAGAAAAGTAAAATGGAGGTTTTTTTTTATTTATTTCCATTACTTTGTGATCAGCCACGTGACTACCCACTGAGTCACTCGTAAAAAAAAAATAAAAAATGCCCTTTTGGATCAAGGAGGAATACCAAATGTGTTGGCTGTGCGTCATGTTGGATACAAACAAGACATATTCAAGTGCACAGCAAAAACGTATTTCTCTCATTCTATGAACCCGATGAGCAAAATCTGCGGTCTTAGAATTAATTAACTTTTCATACATTTCTATTGACTAAGCAAAACAGAGCAGTATAAGACGGAACAAAATAGAGTAGGGCCACCATGGACAATTTAAACCATGACGCCCTCCCAGAAGAGCGCATGGAGGAATCCGTCTCTGCGATACCAACAACGACACGAGAATTTCAACAACCATGGTCTTCACATAACTATTCTAGTCTTCAAGATATATCTAGCTCACAAACTCACGAGAGATATCCAGGGGGAGTACAGACTCGTCAAGGCCGACCCAATGTTGAAGAGCTGGAGGCACAGACAGAAGCGGAACGAGAAGTATATGATGGCCAGGACGGTTGGAATTATGAAGCACCATTTTCCCAACAGACATTTTTCCAGCACGCACAACGCGAACAACAGGTTTATGTTAGGGAGGTTTTGCAAGGCCGCCCCGCCCTCCTTGAAAGCCGCGCTTTCCCTCAGGAATACTACACACCCGAAGAAATGTGCCACATCTATGGCATTGGCGATGAGGATGATTTCGTGGATAGTGAGGAATCCACGTGGACCGAATATGGCCATTCAGGACCTATTAACCCTTTTTCTGACCCAAGGATCTATGAACAACTACGATGGACTAACGAATCTGGAGACCAAGGCATGACAGCGAGTGCGAGTGCGAGTGCGACCGAAAAGAGCAATATGAGTAAGGAAAATGACGGAACAACAACAGCAACATCAGCAAGGCATAGTTATGGTATGGCTCCAGATCCACCAGATGTTAGAAACAAGCGTGACTTCATTACCGCCATAGAGTTGGGTATGCGTATTCAGAGACAGCAACAATTGCGAGCCATGCTCCGATCTAGAGATGCTCATGTCTTTCGCGATCAGGACAGCGCTATTGAAAGGGAGAACAAACAGCGTGCAGCTAATGCGTTATTCGATCACTCGACTCTGCTTCTTCATGCTCTGTCTATGAATGAGGTATGGATAGCGTTTTTTTTTTTTTTTTTTTTTTTTTTTTGATCCCAGTAGCATCATACTCCATGTATATCGCGTAAAAAAGGCCAGATGACTTAAGCAAAAGTAATATAAATGCCTGCTGTTGCTTTTTTCACTTCATAGACGCCTGCTAAAGCGCGGATGCGAATGTTTCGGTATGAGTTGCTTTTTTGCTTGCTGAGGAAGATCAATTACAACGACAAAAAAAAGTAGCTTCTTACTTCCAATCTTCTCTTTGACACCAATAAACCTTTGGCCCTAATGTCTACATCAAACATTCGTTTATCATAGCCATTTAACAGGCATGCCACAGCCTCAACATAGCTATACGCCTTCGAAGCAAAAGTGCAAGGAAAAGGAAAATGAAAATGCTTCCTCATCTACATCTCGCACCCCAGGATCTTCTCGGGGAACATTACCTCAAGAAGCGACAGCTCATCGTCCGCGCCGTGATAACGTTCCTCTGGATGATGAGTTCGCTCACACATACTTTCAAGGTCCTCGGTCATATTAGTGCTTTATCAATCATCTCATTTGTAATCTTTTTTTTTTTTTTTTTTACATTTTTCACTTTGTACACTATTAAATCAATAAAGCTTTCAAGCTTGTGGAAACAATTAGTGGGATGAGCCATCATGAATGACAAGTGGGATAGCTAACGCCAATCAGCTCTGTGTAATGAAGCTCACCCCCTATTTCAGCCGCAACTTGCTTCATAGTTAATCAAAGCCGTGTCATTCCCATAGAGGAGGATAGTATAGAGCTATCTTGTCAACTTTTGCTGTTGTTTTTTGTTCATGTATTCTGCTACCTTGCCCTCGATTTTGACCATAAGGTTGTCTGCGCGCCTTATCAGCTCCTTTGAACGGTATTTGTTGTTACCCTTGATAAACGCCTTCTTGATATCCTCAGGGTCTACAATCTTCGCTAAGCTACTTTCAATCCTCACCAAAGCTCTGTCAGCCGATTGGAGGATGATGGCCTTGTTAAGCGGCCTGGGTCTGTGTTTTTGGGGCTGAGTGGGGCTCGGGGCGTTGGTGTACCTTGATAGAGATTGGGAGAGCTGCTCCAATGCCATAGGGAGACCAGTGTGCTGTGAAGGAAGCCTTTGATGATTGAGTGAGCGTGAATGACAAGGAGCCAAAGATATAGACTTGGGCTTATGCGATCGTTGTTGTGGTTTTACGATTTGTGGTTTTCTCTCCTTGACGAAATCATCAGCACTTCTGTAGACAAGAGCGGGAACAGCTCCAGAAGCATGCGTCGCGACTGCATTATTATGATGTTGACGCATTGCTACCTTTTTCTCAAAACGACCATCAGCTAAGTTAAAAAGGGAACCCAAAGCAGTGTCGCCAATCTTCATCATATATGTAAATGCGGTCTGCAAATGTGTAAGTATTGTTTGAATGTAACAGTAAAATCCTGGTTGAAGCCCCGTAGGTCCTTGTTCTTTTTGATATTGATTTGTTGGTTGCTTATGCCGCTGACCGAGGATTATGCGCTTCGAGTCAATAGGTTTCATCAAATTGTGATCCTTTGTCTCGTACGTTGCCTTTGGCCACACGAGCTCCTGTGGTGTACCTCGAATTCGCGTTCCGTCCAAGAACCACAGATGTAAATAGTACTTCGGCTTTTTCAAACGTTCCCACGGCCATAATAATCTTTGGTACTCTTGTTGGCGTAGCTGTGTCACTATGATCTTGTAGGTTCCATTCTGCAAATCCTGTACAGCGACATCACGAATAGGTAGAAGGACAATGGAATGAAGCGGTCTCTGCGCATCCAGATCCATCTGGTTCTTGTCGTTGATCAAGATTTGGAGGTAGAACATAGTATTAGGAAAGCCATATCCCTGCTTGTTGGTACAAAGGGGTTTACCATTGGATGTATAGAAATCCAAATGGACAATCTCTACATATGCATCGGCTGAATATCGAATTGGTTGAAGGACGGCATGAGGCAGTCTAGGGGATGAAAGACTGTATCCAAGAATCATGCTAAGGAGCAAGGCTCCTGTTGTGACAATGATTGCAATAAGGAAAGTCGTGATAATACTGTTGTCAAAAGGGGACTGAAGCCTATTGTTCCAGAGCTGGCTAGGAGACATAAGCTTAGGCAATGAGTTATTGACCGAGATGGCGGTGGCTATGACATGCCTGTCAATGGTATCGCATATATTGATGGAAGAAAGATCCTGGAGCGAAACACAGGATCGCAGGATGGTTTTGACGAGCTGTGTATAATCTACAGCATCAATACCATCGCTGTATCTGGACTGGATTAATTGGAACTGTGCATTAAGGCTATTGCGGATGTCAATCACGGAAAGTGGGTTGACAAAATCATCGCCACAAACCACGACGAGGACTGGCAGAGACGCGGATACTTGCATAAGGGCAACAGCGTCCTCCTCCTTCACACCGTACACAGTTGAGAGTACGTATACACACAGATCCGCTTCCCCAATCAGCTGCTCGGTAATCGGGCTGTGAGCCCGTGCGAACCGTGGTTGCGTGACATTGTCCATACCACAAAGACTTAAGGAGCATCTGCGATGAAGATTTGATGTGATCTTTTCACAGACCTTGGTATACTTTCCGTCTCCGAGAGTCCATCCAACAGCCATGATACATACTTCGCATTTCTGGTCAGAATGGGTAACTACGGGCTCTGATGGCGCTAGAGGAGACGTGAAAGAAGAGGAAAGGGTCGAAGCTCGGATGTTGAACCGGACATCACTTGTCAACCTGGTTTGCATGCAAGCACTAGTTTTCGTGAGGACATTTGCAACGGTTGCTTAATATAAGGCTTAGGACTAGTCTCATATTCCATTGCATTCTCAATATTATACACATCAAAGTACCTCTCGTCTCGTTCGAGGTCACTGACTTCCTCCCCATCATCTTGTTTATGATTTGGCTGCCCAGATAAGCCAAGTGATGACTGTGTTTGATCCAGTTTGAGAGAGCTCAACTTTGATTCAGATAGGTAGAAGAACTCATCAGTTTCATATCCGTCTAAATCATCGTCGCCCGATCCCTCGCCGGCTGAGGACCACGAGTCAGGGAACCCGTGCATAAAATACACTTTGGGCGAAATGTGAGGTTTTTTGTAAAAGAAGGCGCAGTGTGATAGGCGCGGTGATCAAAAATTATATGAAGGGAAGGAAGGTGAAAGGATAGAATGAAAAGTGAAGACGAAATGATAAAAAAAAAAGAGAGAGAGAGAAAGAGAAAGGAAGAGAGAGAAAGCGTGAATATCGCGTCTTAGTGAATTCGTGTCTACGTGGCCATTTCTCACCATATGAATATGATGTGCACAGGCATAAAATATTTTATTTGCACACATTGTATAAACATCAAATTGGCACGAATAATGAAACGTCCACATCCAATAATATGATAAATATTAGCGTTCTCTCTTTATTAGCCTGGTTCATTCTGGAAGTAAGCGGAGCGTTGGCTTCAATAATGCCCTGTTGAAATGCATGCGAGGACCCTGTGTTGTAGGAATAGTAGTCTTAATCCACTGACGTACAAAGTACAGACGCGCCAACAGTTGTGTAATAGAGTCTTCGTTCCCAATAGTAGAGGAAAGGGTAATGCCGGTGTAGACTTTGTATAAATATTCATGATTGACCATCCTCATGAGGGAAATCTCTACTTCTCTACCAACAACAAAGAATCCGATGACGGCGAATTCATCCTCACTCTGTGCTTGAATGATACGCTCATGAAGGGCTCGTTTCATGAACTCTGCTATCCTAGCACGATCATCATCGATGGAGGCTCTTGACGCTGAAAACGGCTTAATCTCACCGCAACCAACTGGGACGCCTTTATGGGTTAAAACGATGTCAGGTCTCTCTAAGCTACTTCCATTGAGCCTCGTATCCCTTATACATTCATGAGAAATGGCTTATTGATCAGGAAAATGGATTGAACTCAATAAGCAAACTGCAAGATGCACACCTGTAGTCATTGCATTTCATACCACTTGATAGAGAAACCTTCGTGGGTATTAAAGATCGTGTCCCAAATGGTACAGACATGGTGGATAATAAAGTTCATTTCTTGATTCTTTGATCTACAGCAGGCTTCTGAAGTGCTAGGGCCATGCGACTGAGAAAGGCAAGACAAAATAGTGTATATTTCGAGCTCCATATCATTAGTCGCGCGAGGAAAATAATATCGTTTCCCTTCGTCTTGAGCCACTAAAAAAGTGTCAATAGCATCCCTGCATGAATTCGGAAGCTGATAACGGATAGATCTAGGAAATGCCTCATGCTGGTCTACAACTTGAATTGATGACAGCAACCTACATAGAGACCCATCCAATAATTAGTGTCAAAACAAAAATTTGCCATTTGCCATTTTTAGGCGAACGCAACAGTCAAAGTCATGACATTTTTGTTTTGATATTTGAAGGGCACATTGATACACTAAATTAAACTAGAGGTCTTTTTTCTTTTTCTTTTTCTTTTTCTTTTTCTTTTTTTTTTTTTTTTAACTTGTAATCTATCGGTTGGCCAATTCTTACCATCGCTCTTCTAAACTGGCAAAGTTGTCAAGAATGTGTACTCTTCTCTCCACGCCTGTATGAGATACACCCGTTAATTCATTCATATCCAATACAAACCGCTCACGCTCGATCAAATATTCTTCTGGAGGGTCGGGCGATAAAGTCGGAGGTTCATAAAAGGATTGAGAGGATAGCGGTTCATCGTCATCAGAATGTAAAGAAGATGTCGCGCCGGCATATGAAGGGGGAGCGTCTTCTGAAACACCTGGACCTGGGAAGCCAACAACAGAGGACGGCATTCGTAAAGTGTTGTCGATTTCATTATTGCTACTGCTTGCTTGCTCCCGAATTAGCTTTTTTGCGATATGTTCACCTCCTAAAGCCAATTCTTTTGCTGTTCTCTTTGTAGAGATTGATACCTGTGCTGAAACTGCCACAGAAGCCCAATACTCATCTCCATTGTTGCGTTGCCAAACGTCATAGTCTGATTGCAAACGCGTTCGTATTCGCTTAGAAATGTCTGTTACAGAAATTAGGGCGGAAAATGCGGCATGTGCATCTTTTTCAATAGTAAAGTTAAACGCTTCGTTGAAACTAGGCATTGTGATCGATTCTTGGTTCTTGAGCCTCTCTAAGAGCCACTGGAGAGGCGTAGTTGTACTCCCCATTGTCAAGTAGGCTCTATTTTGAAGGCACCACATGAGGAAAGAACCTCAAGCATGTTCAGTATTATGTCTTCGGGCCAAGTTTCAAATAAACAAAAAAAAAAAAAAAAAAAAAAAAACCAGCTCTTTAACATATAGAAAGGACAGAGTTTTTATTGCCAATTTAAAAAAAAAAAAAAAAAAAAAAAAAGTCTACACTCTTCTCTCCGCCTCTCTGCTGCTGCATAGCACCTAGACAGAGAACCTAAGAAAGAACCAGTGTATATTGTCAGTATGCTTTAAGCTCGACTTGACAAGTTATTCAGTGATCATCTAGTTTATATCCTGCTGCATTCTTCTTTCCGCCCTCCTGCCGCTGCACAGAGCACCTGAGCAGGAGACCTAAGAAAGAACCAATACATGATAGCAGAGTTTGACTAAATGCCAAGAATCGAGTCAAAGGTGTCAGATACTATATGTATCTCTATTTTTCTTTTCATTTGACCAGCATCTAAGGTGGAGTGAAATTACAATGAATGAAAGATAAAAAGATTGAAAAGTTTCTTATTTTCGTATGTGTGTTAGAAAGCTATAAAGACGTAGAATGATAAAGTGATGGTGATGGTCTTTGACCACTAAAAATAAAAATGAAAAACCAGGTCTACGTAATTTGAGCAAAATAAGAATAATTAAAAAATTCACAACCTCTTCAAAGTAAAATGTGCAAAAAAATTTTACAAGATAAAAAGTGCTTACAAAAAAATATCCGCGGTTTGTATATAAAAATATATTAGAGCATGCATGCACATGCATTTCACTTTCTTTCTCTCTCTTATTTTTTTTTTTTTTTTTTTTTTTTTTTTTTTTCATTTAACAAGTACTGTATATACAGTGAAGAGAATGATTGGACTTTATAGGGATATATGAGCCTTTTCTTCATTTCCTTTAATTCCTTTCTTTATTCCTCTGGCATCAGTTTAGCTATTGCTCCCTTTGTTATTGAAACAAGACATGTTCAACAATCTTTATTGCAATTGACCTGCAAGGGTTGATTTTTTTATCTTTTAGCTTAGCGCATCATATCTTCATTAGTTTTCCCATTTAATACAAAACAATGCTCCATGAAGCATTGGGTGTGGATGTTAATTTACTGTTTTAAAAAGAAATAGGCACAGGTTTATTAAACAAAACTTTTTTTTTTTAACTGTCTGTTTTTGTCTTGTCTGTTTTTTCTTCTTCAGCCATGGCTCATTCCTTTCGCTCACTTTTCCCATCCATTCTTCAATTCTTTCATTCCTTCATTCCTTCCATTTCTCTTTCACATCCTCTTTGTGCATGACTCTCAATTGTCTCCTCACTATCCTTTCCTCTCCTCTCCTTACCTTTCAAACGCATACAGCAAGCAACGAAACGAACATCTCTTCTTCACACATAATACTCTAACTGAAACTGTGCTCTACTTCTTCTTGCTTGCTACTTAAACCTCCTCTTCCCATCTTCCTTCTTCTCCTTCTCTTGTGCTTTGCACAACATCTTGAAAGGTATCAATCATGTCTTCGGCACCGACCACTGAGTCGGGTCCATCGCCTCCTGTCCCCACTTGCAACGCTAGTGATAAGCTATGCCCAGTATGTAAGGAGGGCGAGATATGCAGACTGTCAGTGATCGAGGCTTCATATCAATGTCCAAAGGCCGAATGTATCAAACTTTCATTTGACACTGGTGCAGACAATGACGAGGACGGCAACACACCAGATTCATCCTCGGGTGGTAGCTCGGCTCTTGCTCCAATCCTCGGTGTAATAGCTGGTCTGGGCTTTATAGCATTGATTGCGTTTTTTGTAATACGGCGTAGACAACGGCGCAAGAGGGCCATGATGTTGGGACAAGATGACTCTCTGGACTCTTTTTCTTCAAAAAGATGGGACTCGGTAAGCCAAGTCAAAGCTCCCCTCCCCCTTTTTTCTTTATTGTTGTTGTTTTTCAGAGTGAGAAAGGAGGATCGAGTGGTCTCCTTTCAATTGATGACTAAGACGACAAAAAAAAGAGAAAACCTGAACACCTGCGCCAACAAAGCAAAAAAAAAATAAAAAAACGAGAAAAAGGGCGACTGTCGTACAGAAGGCAGTTCTCATCTCTGCATGGTCTCTGACAACAACGAAATTTTGGCGCTAAAAATATACGTTCCTGACCAACCAAAGACGACAGATCCAAAGAGCAAGGTCACACAGCCTTTGATTTGCATGGACATGAAAGAGAAGTAAAAGGAAAAGAACGAGAGAGAGAGAGAGAGAAAGGGAGACACCAATAGCCAAAATGGATGACAGAAGCAATAATAATAATAACAATAGTCGAGGGGACATATATTCGGAGACATATTTTATTCGGGCGTTGAGACTAAAGCAAAAGTCAGGAACAAGAGCGTTTTATTTTTGTTTTTTGTTTCTTAAAAAAGAAAGCATTGTCCCTGGATCATTTCTCTCAGAGGTCTCACTCAGTATCAAACACTAACTTTTAATTATCTTACAAAAGATTTGTCTTCTCACTCACATACTTTTTTATTTTATTTTTATTTTTTATTTTTTATTTATCTCATTGATGGGGATATTCAATAGACTGGATCTGCAGGACATAAGGATGTTATTAGGATTGCATACATTCCTAGTATGATTAGTGATAGCAGCATTGCAACCCCAGAGCCATCTGTTCAGACAGGTGGAGGTAAGTACCTTTTTTTTTTTTGTTTTATGTATTATTTTAATCATTGTTACTTTACATTCTAACTTTATTTTTATTCTTTCCCTCATTTTTTTTATATCTTTTCTCTCCCCTCTTTCTTGATAAACCTCAGTACTCAAACCCGATTTCACGTCGCTCAGAGAGGATCAGGACCGCAACAAACATGATTCGTTGGCATCGCTGGACGAAGCTGTTGTCATGGCTGTTACGGCGAAGGCAACACCACAGGTCATGAAGCTCAACACAATCAAATCATCTCAAACTGACCTCATTCAACGATCCAACGTACTTCATACCACAAATTCGATTAAACGTTCGCAATCACAACGCCGGTTAGCAGATGTTAAAGCAAATGGTAGCACTAAGGCAACGTCATCTCCATTACGGGATGAACAGTATGATGACGAGGATGACTCGGATCAGGAGACTGTTGAAGATCATAAGGTGGCAACGAAAAAACCATCAGTAGGACCCATGTCGGAGAGAAATAATCAGGATAATCCATTCATGACCGAGGCTGAACTAGCGGTGGCGTCCACAAAAGCGTCGTGCACGGACAATACCCGGAGCAACGATAACAATGACAATGACAATAGATCCACTACACGGTCGTCCAACCCCTTCCTTTCAATAGCAGAGTCAACCGTAGTTGGCTCTTCTACAGGGCCCAACACACCTATGTCACCTTCGTTCACCAATTACTCTTCACGACCAGAGACGCCTATGTCACCCATGTCTGAAACAACTACGACGGCATTCACTTCCGGACCCATTAACCATTCTGGCCGATTGATGAACGAGGGTGCCGGCAGTTATGATGATCCATTAGCTGGACTTCCAACGCCCAACTTGAGACCGTGGGCATCTTCGTCTGGAACGGGTCCTATGCGTGACTCGACTTTCTCGACTATGTCTGATTCACGATCCTCAACAAGAGGTGATGGCGAAGAGATTATGATTTTCTGGGATGGACAACGAGACTCCAAAGCCATGTAGAATAAACAATAACTCGATTAAAGCCTTTTATATATATTATTACTATCACTACTTTTTTTTGCCCTATCCATTTGTTTGATCTATGTATCAAACATTTATATCGATATGCGCAGTATATGTATATCTTTTGTCTTGTTCAGGTCAAGGGCAAAGGATGAACTTTAAAGTATTAGGAAAGTAAAGGTATTTTATTGTGTTTGTGCGCATGAAAAATGAAGTATGAGATATGAGATATGAAATGAGGATGCAAAATGATATTAGGGATGAAAAGAGTTAATCAAAAGAAAGTCTATTTACAAGGTTGGAATATTATGAAAATGCTATTCGAATGAAAGGTAAGAACGATTAAAAGGAAAAGGGGGATTGAGTTAAGCTTATTAGGCTTAGTTTGTTATATAGTTAATTAAAGGAAACTCCATGTAAGCTGGAGGACACCAACGTTGAGATCTGCAAATTTCTTAAAGGCAGCTTGAGAGAGATCAAGGGCTCCAAAGTCGCAGTGCTCGCTAGGGCACATATCAACAACCTTGACCACCACCTGAACATCAGATCCCTTGGCAGTCACCAGAAGCTTTTTACCACACAAGTCCTTTCCACGTCCCATTTGGGCTATTTTTTTTTTTTTTTTTTTTTTGCAAAAAAAAAATAAATCGACGTTAAAATTCAGAACGAATGCATCTTTACATTCATTTATTAATAAGATACTTTTCTTTTTTTTTTTTCCCATCTTTCTTACCTTCATTAACAGCAACAATCAGATCAGATTGAGAGTAAGATTCCTCGCATTGTCCGAAAGTGTCCGAGTACCAGGTAGCTCTGCCAGTGAACTGCTTTCCGCTAGGCTTAGGAGCAGGGGGATCAGGTTTCTTGGATGGAGCTGGAGATGGAGCTGGCTTTGTAGGCTTGGGTTCTTCGGCCTTTTTAGTACTAGTAGTCGTAGTTGAAGTTGAGGTGGCTGTTGGGGTTGGAGCAGAGGAGATGGCCGCAGGAACCTTGGGGGCCGGAGCATCCGTCAACTTCCATGAAATTTTAGCCAGGTTCTTGGGCGAGATCACAGTTGTGGCCGCGGGCAAGGGCTGCATAGGATCAGTCAGGTTAGCAATCGTCAACTCGGCTGTGGGATCAAACTTGATCTGATCCCATGGCAGCTTGGAGATCACTAATTCTTCCAAGGCTCCCAAGCTCAACGAGACTGATCCATATTCACAATCGTCGCAGACACCGGCAATCTGAGCAAGAGTCGATTGCTCATTGTTCTCACGGTTCTGGATCTGGATCCATTCACCGCAAGTCGTATTCTGAGAGGAAATATCACCAAACTGGAGAGGATTCATGAGCGCAACATTGTCGGAGGAAATGAAAGTTCGGTTGTTACAGCCGATGAACGTATCCGGCTTGTCACCAAAGAACACGAGTGAAGGGCTTGTTGGGGAACTAGGGCCGCTAGTAGGCGTGGTGGGCGAAGGCAAAGAGGATGATGAGGTTGTCGAAGTGGGTGAAGAAACAGGTGTACTCTCAAGAGTGAGGTTTAAGAACGAGGCAGAACCTCTGTACTCTGTTCCCCATACAGTGGCGTTGGTGCCGTCCGATGGAGGAGTACTATTGGGGCTGGAAAAAGCCCCAATGAGGGCGCCTGTGATGATGGATAAGGGGCCAGCGGCGAGACGTGGAATGGGTGCCATATTTGAATTGTTGTGAGATCGATCTCTGCGTTGATCGCGATTGTAAGTTGTTTATAAAGCGAGTGTAAGATCTGGAAATGCCTATGGAAGGGTATCAGTTGTAAGCAAAAGAGAGAAAGGAAAGACTTGAGTGAATTTGAGGCGGAATGGTGGGAGGAAGGTGGAGAAATGCAGCCAAGAAGGAAGGAGACGAACAAATGCGTTAAGGAAAAAAAGAAAGGGAAAGAGAGAGGAGGTAAGGGAAATATTTATATAAAATGATAATGCGCAGGTTTGAGGAAGATCATAATTCAGGACGCATCTGTTCCTGTTTCTGGTCCTTACAATTGAAGAGATGCCGAGGGCGTTGTGTGGTTTGATTGTCACTGAAATGAATTGGATTAAATAAAATATATTGCCTGTCTTACTTTTATGAAATGCATTTAATACAATTTATCTTCGCTCGCATGGGCATGGGCATGGACAAGGGCAAGGGTGCAAATGAATTAGTTTTGAGTTGATTGCGTTATGAGGCAGGAGTTAAAAAGTAAAGTTTATGTGTGAATGTGGTATGCGGTCAGTTCCAAATCGGGGTTGTTGTTTGTAGTTCAATTCATTCGGACGTTAATTAAATACTCTCTCTAATATATTCGCGTTTATCACTCGTTTCACGATGAATCGAAAGAATAAACAATAAACAATTTTCTGTACTGAATGGTGTGAGAGTCTTTTTTAGCCTCGCACGGATTAGCGTTCCTGTTGATAACGATTGGAGCAACGAATGAGAGTGAGAGAATGGTCTGGAAATGAAAATTTTCCATCAGGTCTCTTTTTAATATACCGCGCTCTTCTCCTTTAGCGGATCAGATCAAATGCAAGGACGGACAGGCCGTCGGGGTACATGAACACACAAAATGAAAGTTCATGCGATAGATCAAAGCCAAAGCGGAGCATTCCAGGGGGGGTTTTTTTTTTTTTTTTAATATTATTATATACTCTCATTCTATACATCTTGATTGTATTCTATTTATCTCCTTCCCTCTGTTGACGACATGAAATAGATAATAAATGAACCTCTCTCTTCCTCAATAAACCACAAGAAACTGAATATATTCTATTAAGCAAAACATTCATTAAGAACTAGGCGAAGAATAGCAACACCTTGCAAGATGCGTGGATCCATCAGTTGAATTTACATCAACCATCAGTTGAATTTACATCAACCATCAGTTGAATTTACATCAACCATCAGTTTCTGGCATTATGTATAGTATTTGGTTAGATCATGGCTAACGCATCTTTTCGGAACAAATATGAAAAAGAACAATTTCGTAGATTTGCGTGTGGTAGTGTGCAGGGTGCGCGTCCCCCAACCAAAGTCCAAGACAGACCCAGCCTCAAATCCATAATAACTGTGATGTAAACAAAAAAAAAAGGCTCTCATATTCATTTTTCTTGTAAATGGAAATGATGCGCATGCTATGACAACAAGAATCTGTTTCATTAACCTTATTTCTGTCTTTCAGATGGTTTTTGTGTTATGCCTTGTTTTTTTTTTTTCCGTTGGGAAGGAACGAGTAGAGAATGGGACAATTGGCAGTGCTTGGCGTCACGAGGAAGGGATCGAACAGAGATATGGTTAGAAAAATCTGTACTCACAATATGATATATACATATACAACGCGTATACAAGGAGAAATGGGAGGCGTATGAAAACGGTAAATGGCGGAAGAAGATCAAGAAGATCTTGACTGAAAATAAAAGAATGGGAGTATTGTGCAGTATATACATATACACTAGGTATGTCAAATACAAACACCAGGACAGATTCTTATTGAACCCAACTCTGTGTTGTGCGAAGTAGGAACAGAAAACGTGATTTTCTTTCCTTGTTGTTGTCTTGATTGTCCTTTATTTTTAAGACTTTGACGCCACTGATAGTGTGAGAAAAAGAAAAGGGTCTTGCGAAATGGACCAACTGTCAGTCTATTTCAGCCAACCTCAAGCTTTCATTGGCTTCTCATCGCAATAAGGATGGCTGATGATCTACTTGTAGTCTAAATCGAGTTATGCCACGAGTTGCTAGTTGAAGGCAACAACTATATTGCTCCGCGATCGTTATTGTATGCCGGGTCCAAAGGTTCACACGCTAGTAATGCATCTGGATGGATAAAAAAAACGCGTCCCCTGATTAACCAGATGTTTCTTAATCTGGGGGAAGAGGGGATAGTAAGGGTTACTGTTGTTTTTTCTTTTTCGTTCTCGCCGCATTATTAATTTTTTCTAGACTCCGCTCGGTGACTTTTTTACTTGCAAGAAATTTCATGGCCGACAGAAGTTGATGTTGATGTTGGTGTTAGTATCAAATCCATGGTGACACTTCACACGTCGAAATGACATCGTTTGCCCTTGCGTACTTAACGGTCAGGGTCCGCGTCGTGAAGGGTTCCCAGCAACCGAATCTCTCAACATAAACAAACCCACCTTTAAACAAAATTCTATCTTCTATTTTCTTTGTTGTCTTCGTAACGTTGAATTACCAGAGAGCATATGTTATTCATAAGAGTGTGAATAGTATACATAATATAATAACTCATTCCTTCTTCGTTCATATGCATTTTTACACATTGCTTCCTTATCATAAAAAAAAGGGGGGATCAGACCTCCTTTCCCTGTTTCTTGTGAATTTTCTAACGATCTTTTTTTTTTTCATCGTTGTTGTAACACAAGGCAAACCACAACTTTTGCCTTTTATTTTGAGGCTGGGCAAGGAAAGGGCATGCAATTATATATGTATCAATCGTTCTTATTAACATTCATGAATGTGTGCGTTGCATTCAGTTAAAAAAAAAAAAAAAAAAAAAAAAAAAAGAGCCGCGCCCGGTCCCAACAAAAAAAATTTTTTTGGCGGTGCGTGATGGCCAAGGCACAAAAGATCTCTTCGACCCCAGATCACATCATAGGCAGCAATAACAATAAATATATATATATACATACATACGCATACGCGTAACAACACACCGTCTCTTTTTATTTTATCAATGTTCAGTCTCCGCCCTTCACTTATCGCTTGATGTTTAATGATGGCGTTGAACGCCTACATCGACAAGTTTAACCATTTAACCAAAAAGAAAAAGAGTTAATGTGTTAGGGTGAATGTGGTTTAATTTCTAGATTCATAAGTGGCGCAATAGGTGGAATAAAAGCAAATGTGTAAAACATGAATGGACATGTGAAGAAGAATAGAGGTAGAGTTCAAGCCACATGTGCACGAGCCTTATCTCAGTTCTGGAAATACGCCCCATTTCAAACAACACTCGAACAAAAGAATAGGCCCCCATCCACATGGCCATAGTGGTCTGGAGCCCTCTATTTCCTTACTTTATATCCATCTATCCAAAAAACAAATAAATAAAATAAAATAAAGCCCAAACAGAAGCCGAAATGCATGAAGACAAGATAAAGAGTCCCAGAAACCACATGCACTTGGACTAGGCTTGATGCCACTTGTCTAATAACAAAGGGCATCTATGCTATTTTTAATTTAACGTGTCTTCAAGCTATCCGAATCAGGAGGATGACATCCATTCCTGGGAACCATTCTGTTGCCAGGTTTAGTGAATTCTATGATCTCCTAGTGCTTTTTTTTTTTTTTTTTTTTTACCTCAGAACAGAAAGGGAGAAAAGATAAGATCAAAGCGCAATAAAAAAAAAAAAAAAAAAAAGTGCCTAAGAGCGATATGCCACTAAAGGCCGATCTTGTCTCAAGTTAATTTCTGGCTCCGCACGTTCTCTCCAAGGACTGGGGTTTCTAGTGACGCACATCTAATGTCATCATTTTTAAAGGTGTAAAAGAAAAATGTATTAAAGTATAAAAAAAAAACTAGCCTTCCATTCTTCGGCTATATTACACTATGTCTATGTTGCTACTACCAAGGGAAAAAAAAAAAAGAAAAAAGAAAAAAAGCGAATAAAAGATAAAACAACAAGAAAAAAAAAGAACCCCTCATGGTTTTCTACCCATTCGATTCTTTCGCGGCTCTATTCTGCAGCTATCGCCTCTGTCGACATCGTAATCATCCTCCCCTTCCATCTTTTATAGGCTTTCTCATCTTGGTAGTCAATCAACAATAAGATTTGTTCATCACTTTTAAGCCTGAAAGCTGTCCCAACCACGTCCGACTGTGCGGCACAAGTCCTCTTCACGTGGGATCGCGCCTGTAGTGAAGTAACCCGCAGCAATCTTGGCATCCATCTCCACCTTGGAATCTGGAGGGATCATCTCGTCGGGGATTGGGACACGCTCCAAAATCTGGATAGGATGATATTGGGAATTTTTAAAAAGTTGGTGGATTATTATACGTATTTGTCATCTATTGCGACCAACAACAAAAAAGGATATTCAGATATCAAGTTTCATAACGATGTGATGACAGTTTACCTTAATGCCAGCATCAACTAGAGCATCATGCTTCATGTTAGACATAGACATGAAGCGATCAATCTTAGTGACACCAAGCCAATGGAAAACGTCTGGCATAAGCGCCTGGAATCGCATATCCTTAACTCCGGCAACATTCTGCGTGCGTTGGAAGTACTTGGAGGCAGAGTCGCCACCTCGTTTACGAGCATTATACACAAGGTACTTTGTTACCTCACCCAGCGCGCGTCCTTCCTTACGGACTATGTCATAAAGTATAGGTCGTAGATAAAGAATAAAAAAAGAGATAATACAATCAACATATGTTCCTCCCTGTCATTCTGTTCACTTTCTATTCATGAGTGCCCTGTAACTTACAGTAGACGATCAGGCCAACGCCGCCGTTCTGGGCCTCCCTGATACACTCAGTCATACCATAGATAAGGTATGGACGACAAGTACAGATGTCAGATCCAAAAACATCAGAACCGTTGCACTCGTCATGGACACGAACTGTCAGACGAGTATTTGGGTCTGAAAGCAGTTCATGATTGCCAAATATATAGACAGTAAGACCACCGATAGGTGGTAAGAAAACTTTGAGGTCTGGTCTTGAGATAAGTTCTGGGTACATTCCACCAGTATTCTCACTGAAAAACGAAGAGAAGGAGAGGAAAGGATTAATAAGCTTTTTTTTTTTTTTTTTTCTTTTTTTTTACGCATATGATTTGATGTTCCATATAAAAAAGGCTTACAAAAGAGATCGACGCAAATGATCCTCATCGACCTTGAGGCGCTCAGCGACTCCGGGCAAGTACCAAACAGGGTCTACAGCAGCTTTATGAACGTTGAGCTCTCCGGTCTCATTCACAATTACTTTGCCGTCTACCTTCAATCCTCCACGTGCGAGCTCGGCCTGGATCTCGGGAACGATCATGTGAGCACGGGTGATGGAGATAGTAGGGCGGATGTCTAGTCCCTGCTCTATCTCTTCTTTGTAGTAATGGCTCGTCAGATGGCCAAAGGGGTCCATGGAAACAATCTTGGTGGTGTCTGCCCATTGAGGAAGCTGCTTGATCTTGATTGGTGGCTCCGTATGCTCGAAATTGGGTTTGTGCTGTAGCGCAGATATGCAAGTCCAAAATAAGGTTAAGGGCACAGGTCACACGCCTTAAGATTTATTGGTGCACAAATATGTATTTGTATATTTAAGACTTACATCTGCAGGCAGGTCACCCATGGCAACTGCAAGAGAGCGATAAACAGAGTATGGACCTCCATACGCACCGATAGCATTACTATTTGTTCAATTGTGAAAAATGTTTTTTTTTTTTTTTTTTTTTAGCTTACTCCTATTCTTTCCCAGAACTGATATTGTTTAAACCCGCCAATCAAGACATTTGTATTTACCGAAGGTTAATCTGGTTAGCTAGATGGGAGACGACAATGGGGCCGCGGGTCTTGGGATCAGACTCGCCCCAGTTCATTCTAGTAGGGTGAATACCCTTTTGTCCAGTATGAGCTGGTTGTTACAGTATAATTATTTGTATACAAACACAGAGTATTAACGACAACAATATTAACAGTATTTTTTTTTTTCCCCTTAAATGATATTCAATATATTCAATTTCTTACTGGTTAGAACAGGTTTCTCAGTATAAATGTCGGCATACGGAGCTGGCGCAGCTTCAAGCGTAGGTGAAGCAACGGTGTCTCCATCAGAGTCAGATTGACCTATGATAAGCGATATCAAAAAGCGCAGATGAGCGCGTGAGCAATAAAAAAAGAATCCCACCAATAAACGGGTTAGCATCAGTAGTTGGATGGAGAGAGGTGGCTGTCGAATTTGGGCAAAGCACAACGTTGGTGGTGTTGTGTGGGTTTAAATGACACGAATGTGGTACAAGCTGTGCACGAAGCAGTTATGCAGGACAGTATATAAACATTTCACGAGCGTCTTACTTCTTTGTATCATCTCATCTCATCCCATCCTATCCCATCCCATCAAGTCAGTAGTTTGCTCTAATTTTTTTTTTTTTTTTTTTTTTTTAGAAGTTCGCTCTTATTTGCTACTGCGATATTATACTGACATGGGTGCATATCACACGTCTTTAACAGTTATATTTTTGGTTGGCCTTTCTTTGTTAAAATGCTAGGGGTAGAGGAGTACATAGAAGGGGTTGGGAGTGAAGTGAAGTACTGTGGGGCAAACATAGAAAAAAAAAGAACATTTTGTTTCTCCCGGGCGTCTTTGTTGAACAGTAAATACGGAAAAGCAATGGGCGGCATGATGATTAATTATCCTAAACACCTGTTCCTAAATTACGTTGGGCGTGTGTCCACAATGTCGTCACTTTTGTTCTCTCCCCTTTCCTACCCCTTCTAACCCCTCTCTTTCATATCTCAGCTCTTTCACTCTCTTTCTCTTCTCTTCCACACTCTTCTCTATTTTATACAGTATACAAAGTGGGAATTGTATTCTTACCAGGACAGTTGTGATAATGGGCGACCTTCTGCAACAGCTGGTCATTCTTGGACAGAGCGGCATCAACTTGCATCTTGTCAACCTAGAAAAGATAAAGTGTGTGTTCGAGTTTTTTTTTTTTGTTTTTAGTTTACAACATTACGCGTATTGAATAATAGCTCCAGGTAACCATTTCAGCCAAAAATAGCAAAAGTGTGGGGAAGAGAGAAATGGACAGAGAAGCAGTACGCTGAAATGAAATCAATCAAAGAGACTCGTCCTTCACAATACCTTATCAGCAAGAAGTTGCTGGCTTGTCTTGAGGTCAGCAATAGCGACTAGGATCTGGGATAGTATATCGGACATTGCTTGTTATTATGCTTCTGGAAAAGAGAGGAAAATGTCTTGTAGAAAAAAAAACGCGCTTTGGTTCGGAGTCTACGGGCTTGAAGGTTTAAACTTGCTCGAGTATCTTTGATGTGGTAGAACTAAATGGAAATGTTGGGGGAGAGAGGGCCTGTGAATATATGAAAAAGTTGTAGGTGGCAATGGAAATGGGCGAGGTCGCAAAGGAAAGAAGGGGAAAGGGAAAAAAGGAAAAAGGAAAAAGGAAAAAGGAAAAAGGAAAAAAAGAAAAAAGAAGAAAGAAGGAGAAGAGGAGAAAGCTTTTTTCAGACTGGAATTGGTGGTTTATATAGTCCTCAGAAATGTATGAATGGAAGGAAACATGACCTCTCTCATGCACGGAGTGCGCTTCGCAAAAGACAGACCAGGACCAATGCAGAAATGCAGTGCATACGCTATAAGCCTTTTATATTTATATATATTCCTCACTTTAGAGGCGCAAAAGTGATAGGATGATGATGATAAGAGTGATGATGATAATGATAGTCCGGGTCTCTCCTTTACTTTTCCTTGCCTTTGTTCATCATCGCTTTCTCTCTTTATGCATGCTGCTACTAGCGTTAGCTCATCCTAGTAACTAAACTGGTTGCTCTCTGTGTCATCTCAGGGGCCTAGGATTAGACACCTGCTTATGTTGTGTTCATTTCTGTATTAGGAAGAATGTCTTGGAAATAAAGATACTCACTTCCATTAAATAGCAATAACAATAATAAAAGGGCGATGAGTCCTCTCCGTATCCTTCCTTTTCTTTTTCTATGCCTTCATGCTATAGTATATACTAAATTTTGTATTTTGCTCTATTTCCTTGCTCTATTTCTTTGCTCTATTTCCTTGTTCTTGGGATGCTAGTTGTGGGGAAAGCCTTTTTACTTTTTAGTTTTTTTTATTTGTCAAATCCTCAACAAAGTTTGCTTTGCGTTATGGACTCTTTTCTTATAATTTTGACCTGACCCAACTTTTTTTCTGTTCAATAATGCAAAAAAAAAAAAAAAAAGTTTATCCACACTACTAAATCATGCATGACCGAAGTATATATCCGGGGACCCTGCCTGTGTTCGCAATGTGTCTCAATTCAGCCGCTGTAAGAAGTGCTTACGGTGAATTCGTTGAGAGGCGATTGTATTCATGCGTTAATTTTTTTTTTTTTTTTTTTTTTCCGTTAATTGAAATGTGCCAACTATTGCTTGAAATTATGATAAAAGCCCGTAATATCCAGATGGCATCTTGTCCCAGTGCGAACATGGCTATGAATGCGAGCATAAAATCATGAGTGGGTGTTGAGGACGATGGCTTCGCCACAATATAGTTTATTACAGCTGGATGGTATAGGACCTTTTACCAAACACATTATGGGATGGCTTGTTTTGTCCCATTGCTTACTACTTTTCAACGGGCGGGAGAAAATCTCACTAACCTTCCCATTTACAAGTTGATACATACACATCCCCGCACCCTCTCTTTCTCTCTTTCACTCTTACTCTCTTTTCACAGTCTCCATACACATCTATCATTACATTCATTCATTCTATCATATATCAAATCTTATTGCTATGCCTCTTGTATGTGTGCCCTGAATTATCTGTTCTAAAAGTCACCTGGATGAATAGAATGAACAGAAGGAGGAATGGTCAACCAGCAGTGGGAACATGACTGATCCTCTCTTTTTCCTCATTAACTCATTCACTCATTCCTAATTCATTCTTCAATCGATTTAAAAAATAATAATAATATAATATTAATAAAAAAAAAAAGGAATTCGCCCATCAACACAAGTAATGTTTTTCTATGACCATTTGTCCCTGACCAAACGACATGTTGAATAGCATTAAGAGGGCAGGAGTGGTAAAAAACCGAAACCAACACTTTTCTCTCTCTCTCTCTCTCTCTTTTTTTTTTATTCTTTGGCTGGAATTGAATAACAGTGGTCAATTTCCAGACGTAGGGCCATGGAGACATCCTGAGGCCAGGCCACTACAGCTATCGGCGCCTCTCGGACTCGAGACTCTTCCTGGACAGCGCTTTACTAAAGTCAAGCGTAAAGCCTTTGATCTGAACTTGATGGTAGTAGGTAAATGAATAAATATTATATTATCGCATGTTCATCTCTTTTCAAAATAATACCGCATATATTATAAAAAGCTTGCTAACATTTACACTCTTCTATAAACAATTCATAGGCGAGAGTGGACTAGGAAAGACCACATTTATGAACACACTCTTCAATTCGAATCTCAAGGAAGAGATCCCTGTAAAAAAAATTCATTCATCTCAGACTGTCGAGATTACGCCCTCGTACTATGGTATGTTCTTAATCCGCATTTTTTTAAAAAAAAGAGCTGGCAAGGAGGCTTTAATTCAATTTAGCACTGACAGGAGCCGTCGAATAGAAGAATGGTGGGAAATACGCAATCGTTCTAAACTTTTTTTTTTTTTTTTTTTTTTTTTTAAGAATTGGTTGAGGATGGTGTTCTGTTGAATCTTTGCGTTGTAGACACACCTGGTTTTGGTGACGAACTGAATAGGGAGCGCAAGTAAGTGACACTTTAATTGCAATCACAATCAAAATTTTGCCTTCATAAATTTTAATTTCTTTACCTTTGGACAAGAAATAATGAAATGGGCTGGGGTTTTGATGAGAGCAATAGTTAATCTCTTTTAGGCCATGTCGTTTTCTTGGACAAAAGTTTGATTATTATCTTTTTCTTTTTTCCCTCTACTGTAGTTTAGCGCCTATTATCGAATACATTGATCGGCAATATGAAGAATACATGGCAGCAGAACGCCACCCGGGATTCCGAAAGACAATTCCGGATACCAGGATTCATGCAGTTCTCTACTTTCTCGCGCCTACTGGGCACGGGTATGTTATTATTATTATTATTATTGTTGTTTATTTTATTTGTTTAATATGCTTTGAGGGCGTCTACTAGAGCTTTGATCAGCGGAACGCAAAAAAAAAAAAGTCTATGGAGATGGGGGCTCATTCTAATAATTTATTAATGTTTTATCGCTTACCATTTTAGACTAAAGGAACTGGATGTTAGAGCACTGAAGAACTTGTCTGAAAAAGCGAACGTTATTCCACTCATTGCTAAGGGGGACACCATGACAGCTGAAGAAAAAGTTGCCTTTAAAAGCCTTTTGCTACGTGACTTGGAAGAATACCAAATTAGGACCTTTCCATCATCGTATCCGGATGAGGTTGATGATGCTGAGGAGTTGCTGGTATGTTATAGGTTTTAATAATAGCAGCAGCAACCAAAAAAAAAAAAAAAAAAAAAGCAAACGAGCTCATCACCCTCTTCATCCGTCTTTCTATGCCTCCATCGCTACAGAAACACATTCCATTCTCTGTCATTGGAAGTGATAGCTTTGCGCTTGTTGGAAACATGAAAGTCCGTGCTCGTTCTTATCGATGGGGAATTGTTGAAGGTAATAGGCACAAGAAGTTGTTACCGAACAATACCTTTTTTTTTTTTTTTTTTTTTTTTTTTTAAAAAAAAAAAATTGAATTGAATGGAATGGAGTGAGATGGAATGAAACGGGATAAATAATACGGATGTTCACAACTGTTTGATATTTCGTATAGTCGAGAACCCTGAACACTCGGATTTTGTTCACCTGAGAGAGCTTCTCCTAGCAACCTGTCTTCATGATCTTGTCGAGTGTACCCATGGTACTCATTACCACGCTTTCCGTGCTAAAGCTCTTCGTTCCAGAGGAAGACCCACGTCAATTTTGAAGTGTGATGATTCGTATGAATCCCAAATTATGGATGCTCGCCAGAGAAATCGACAGGAGATGGAACGTAAAGAGGAGGAAATCCGTCAAAAGTTTATTGAGAAGGTGCAGGAGAAAGAGACTGCACTGCGTGAGCGTGAGGAACAATTGAATGCCAAGAAGGCTGAAATGGTGGCTGAATTAGAGCAGTACAAGGTATTGTTGGAGAAGGAACAGCGAGAGCTGGATGAGTTGATTGCAAACTCGCGATCCAATACCCTGTCAAAGAGCACAAGCAAGCTAAACAAGGCCAAATGAGCATACTTTACACCTTTTTAATTCCCTTTCTGGATGTAATCACAACCATGCATGTTCAAGCTGAATTTCCATGACTCTATCTCATATCTCCAATATTATTCTACCCAATATAATATCTGTAAGGACAAGAGTGATTTGCTCGTGAAGCAACACTTCTTTTTTAATTATTTACTTTTATTTTTGCTATAGCAATATGATCTGATGTTTGTCCATAGAAAGACCAATCTCCAGACAGGTAGTTCAAATGTTGGAGATATAAACTTTTTTTATGACTTGATGATGAATTCCATTTTAATAAATATTGTATCCAAGAAGTTGTGTAAGAGAGACGCGACATTTTTGGAAAAAAAATAATTTAAGTGAGCGCGTGGACGGGCCATGCATGACGCCTATCATCATCCCCTTTTTCTTTATCCATGCTGCACAAAGAATTTTTTTTTTCTCTTGCCTTCTTCTTTCTTCCCTAGTTCGCTTTGCTGTTTTTTGACATTCTTTCACTCTCAACTTTCGTCGTCTACTCGCTTCCTTTCGCTCTCTCCAACACTTCAACCCGCTCTATTGTGGACAGGACAGAATTTCACCTGACGTACTCGACCAACGACAACTACAACAAAAAAAAAAAAAAAGTTGGAGCCAATTTCTTCTCCCTACATTTACTTTACTCCTTTCTGTCATGGCATCCATCATTCAAGCTGTGCTCGATTGGTTGAGAGGCCTTTTTTTCAAGGTACCAGGCAACATGCACATAAATATACATATAAAAAAAAACCCCTTCCTAGCAGTTAATAATACATTGAATGTAATGTCCATGTAATCGGTCTTGACTAACGAAATTGACCTTTCTCATATTCATTTTCAATCATTGTAAACCACCAGACTGAGATGGAATTAACCTTAGTTGGACTACAGAACAGTGGAAAGACTACTCTCGTGAATGTTATTGCGGTACGTTATTTAATAACATCAAGGATGTTGAAATAAGCTTTTTTTATTATTTCCTCAGCAGCTCGCAGGAAGGAAGTAATGCACGCAAGCCACCTGGCAATGCTTGGTAACTTGGGCGCTTAAAGGTTCTTGTGTAGACGATATGGTCCTAGTCGAGAATAGTGACCTAAAGATAACTTTTATCATGGATAGATGAAAGAGGAAAGGGGAGGCGAAAAACACAATCTCCGTTACTGATTCCGAAGCGAAGGAACCCATGAAGAATAGAAAAAAAAAAAAAAAAGAAAAGGCTGGAAAGAAAGTTGCAGGGAGTGCAAAGTGGTCTTAGACCCGTGATCTTTGTGGATCTCTTGTCAACCTCATATCTTAATTTTTTTTTATTTGCAAAAATCCTTCCCCTATTTTTTTTTTATGCGGACGTTACCATTTTTCAAGAAAGTAAAAAGCCCTTTTGCTCGAGGATTTCAGCATGTTTGCTAACTTTTATTTTATTTTATTTATCTCATGTGATCGTAGTCTGGTCAATTTTCAGAGGATATGATCCCTACAGTTGGTTTCAACATGCGCAAGGTCACCAAAGGCAATGTTACCATGAAGCTTTGGGACATTGGTGGTCAACCACGGTTTAGGAGTATGTGGGAGCGATATTGTCGAGGAGTGAATGCAATAGTGTAAGTTTTTTTCTTATGTTTATTTGCTAGTATGGTTTAGAATGATAGATGAGAAAATAAACACATTGATTGTTATGTCCTTACTCATTCTTCTCCCCTTAACATCTTTAAATAAACCATTTGTTACTGTTATCATTCTTATGCTTGGATAGATTTGTGCTCGACTCAGCAGATCATGATAAGCTAGATGCAGCAAGAACAGAACTTCGGAACTTGCTGGATAAACCACAGTTAGCAACCATTCCTGTGCTTGTACTCGGCAACAAAAACGATCTACCGGGGGCATTATCTGTTGAGCAGATTATTGAAGCCATGTATGTCATTCTTTTGTTTGTTGCTGTTGTTGCTGCTGTTGTTGTTGTCACTGTTATTGTAGAAGATATCAATATTTGGAAGCAATCTTTTAAAAAAAATTCAATCAATCTGCCAATCTGCCTCCTGCAAAACAATAACATTGAGATCTCCCTTTTAATATTTCAAATGATGTTCACAGGAATCTGAAGCATATTGCCAGTCGTGAAGTTTCATGCTATTCAATTTCAGCTAAGAATCAGGTTAATATTGATGTTACGCTTCAATGGCTGATCAAGAAGGGCAAGGGCAAATAAAGTAAATCCTTGAAAAGTAGATTTGCGATGTCGTTGTAATCTTTCAAAAACGAAAATGGCTAAATAATAAAATTAACAAGTAAGGTGACTGTTCGATGCTTGTTGGTTTTCCAAATCTGCTCTGATTTCACCGTAACTTTGCGGAATTGATTAGCATCCCCTGAATAGCTGCCATCCAGAGGGACTACTTCGAATGGACAGGATTTACTGTGTCGTTCAAAACAATAAAACTTGACTGAAAGTCTGCTAATCCCCAAACCATGAGACAAATAATGCCTCTGAACGCTTCAGTAGGATTATGGCGTGCTTTTGGGGTGCAGAAAAGACAACATTGTCTCTTTTGAGCAATGAAGGATATAGGGTTTGTTCCTTAGGGCAAACTTTTTGAAGCCACGCTTGTTGCTAGCAAAAACACAAATGGCTCCCGTTTTCCGCATACTTTCAGCGCTTCCACAATCCAAGGACTGTGATGTAGCCATTAAATATTACATGTTTGTCGAAGCATTGACACATCCCTTGCAAAAGTTCAGATGTACGCTAAGAATATTGTTTAAGGGACGTGGAGTAGTCAATGACATGTGGCAGTGTTCAAGTGTTTATACAGTATTAAATGGAGTCCGAACAGTCGCCTAAAAGAATATACGAGGAAAAAGATGTAAGACGCCATCTCACGCGATGATGAGATTGCCACAACCGAAAAGATTTGTTTAAATGTTTATGATAGCTAAAATCGTGGAGAGGACCCGACTGATCATCTTTCCAGTGACGTTCATACACTTCCTTTTATACCAAACATATTTGTATATTAAAGATGGCTGCGCCCAGCGGTGAAACCCACCTTGACAAGTCAATAGTATTTTTCAAAATCCTGTAATCAAAATTCTGCTTGCAATAGGAGTATCGCTACGCCTGCATTTCCTTTATTATTTTTTATATTTACGGGTTTTTACAGATCATTCATGCCTTTTTCTTCAATCTCTTTATCTCAACTTCTGGAATCCATATCAGCCTTTCTCTCTCTCTCTCTTTTTTTTTTTTTTTATTCACTATAAATCCTCTTGTTGAATTTTGCTTTGGTCCTCTCTCTTTTGAAGGTAACCAAGAGTACGAAGCATACATTTAAGCTGTCTTTTTATTATTGTTATTATCTCCCCTTGCTTTCCTTTGTTTATTTATTCATTATTTTTTCAATCTCGTTCGTATTGATTGTTTGCTCCTGTATGAAGCCGATGTCAATTAAGGATCTAGTATTAGTGATAACTACAAAATGTGAAAAAAAAAAAAAAAAGAGAAGAAATAAAAAATAAAAAATAAAAAAGGAAAACACTCCTACTACTCGGACTTTTTATCATCTCCTCAAGACCAATCATCATAACGACGCGAATGCCATTGGGAGGTGTACTCTGCGCCGTGCAACATTACAGATGGTTCAGGCTCTGGTTCAGGTTTCTTCTTCGGTTCCTCCTTCTTAGGAGATGGCTGTTGTCTTTGCACCCTGTTACCATTATTACCACCATTGTTTTTGCTCTTATTCTGGTGAACACTATTGCTACTGAGGTTGGTCCGTGATACATTTACAGACAACGTATTAGAATTCTGCTGTCGATACTGTGATGGCATCGCCGGCATTGGGGGCTGTTCTTCATCTTCTAACGATCCAGAGCCCCATCCAGCACCAAAGAACGATGATAGTCGGCTCGATAGCGACGTGTTTGAGCCGCGTCGACTCAATTGCCTATGTGGGATTTGCTGTTGCTGAAGCCGTTGACGCTGTTGACGCTGTTGATGATGCTTTCGGTAGCTTGAGGGCGTAAAGTTTGTAAAATCATCGTCGTCGTCGTCATTATCCCCATCCAGTCCAAATGCAGATGTTGAGCGGAATTGAGAGGCAATTGGGGTTACGAAAGCAGGTTTTGGCTGCTGGATCATCTCCTGCTGTGATGCCAGATTTTCAGGATGAACTGTCTGTCGACGTACAATTTTCTTACTTCCGCCAAGCCCAATCTTCATATCGAATTCTTCCTCAGACATCATGTTGGATCCTCCGACAATGGCCTCTCCTTGCGCCCAACCGTCGTCCTCACCCCACCACCATAAACCACGATCGATAGTTCCACATACAATGACAAGAGAAATAGGGATCCAGAGTAAAAAGACAACGACATCAAACACAATAGCTACATTGACGCCTCGGCATTGAGCAACATAGCCGTCCTTATCTGAGAGTCGACCCGTCCAGCAATCAGTTTTTGCACCATAGTTCTTATCAGAAGCTAAAGCCATCCAGCTAAAGAAATTAAAGATAGTCAAAAGAACTGAAATGATGATGGTGGCAGTCTGGGTGGCGGGGTGGTTGATAACACGTGGTAGAAGTGCACGTTGACTTTGACGGACCAAGAACGGACAGAGCGACTGCCAGATGGCTGAAAGTGAAGTGAATATAGTTGCAATCAGGACTAGATTTTGCACAAAGAAAAGTAACAGCAGTAAGGTTGGAATTGATTAGCAACGCATTCAAATGTATCGCAATCACAAGTGAATTGATAACAACATTAGCAACAGTGAAAAAAAAAAAAAAAAAAAAAAAAAATGAGAGCAATTCATCTTCATTGTTGCACACAAATATATCAAAGAAAATACATGCGAACTAGTTATGAAAAAGGAGGCTGAGAGTGGAACATGAATGATGGAATTATGGTTGTCTGGCTTAGTTTGCTTACAGAATGTATACGAAGGGGCCTTAAAGTTGACAGCATCGAACTTGTTCCTATTTTTGAAAATATCAAGGGTGTGTGTCAAATATATTTGAGCACGCGTCAGTTTTTGGTTCTGGACGTTGTTGATGAAAGGGGAATCTTATGTCATACCAAGGATTCAAGGAACTGTGTACATCATTGAGCACGCATCACAAGCAGATAGACATGGGATATAGAGAGCAATGGCTCTAGATATGAAGCCAAAGATATCCAAGGTCATTCTATTTCCTCCCTCTGCAGGTTTTATAAACATCGCACCATTTATAATTTTGCTCAATTATGGACAAGTACACAAAATAGTTCATCCTGAAGGGAGAAAGGTGTTGTTTATGGTTTTGGATTGGCAACAAACAAGTGGCAAGTCGCGCGATGCATTGTACCCGATTTGCTTCATCTTGTTGCCAAAGAAAAAAGAAGGAAAAAAAAAAAAAAAAAAAAAAAAAAAAAAAGACCTTTACCTGAAAGCATAGGCAGGCATCATAGCGAGCCAGGACATGGTTCCAAAGAGAGCCAATAATGCCCACAATAACTGGAGTCGCTCGACTGTAGCCATCTTCATGACGTTGAGTCGCATTCGCTTCCATCTCGTAGGGGCCGAGGAAGACATATTAGGTGAAGGAGCACGTGAAGGGAGGCGTGCACTGTCCGTGCTTGAAACACTTGTGTTTCCAGTAGGGGCGAAGTTTACTTTTGTCTGAGATGGAGTGACAGAGGTTGTGTTTTGGGTATAATCAATGGTATAGGTGGGTGGGGCCGAGTGAATTGTCGATGAAGACGAAGACAAAGAGAGGGATATGGAGAGAGGCGAAGATGGTTGAGGATGTTCTGGATGGACGGTCGGCGAACCAGCACGCGAGGTGCTGTTATTGTAAGTATTATCGTTGCTGATGGCTTCTGAGCCAAGGGAAGGGTTATTATTATTGCTGTTGAGATTATGATTAGAGCTATTATGACTTTGGGCCGCTGCGTTTGCTTTGCGGTGCGAATGGTATGCGGAGTAGGAGGACATGAATGCCTTGAATATTGGATCGTATTAAAAATGTGTGCTGCAGGGGGTGCAGAGTGAGGAATGGGTCGTAAGAGAAAGTAGTGATATTATAGTAGAGTAATACTTAATCGCACGCGAAAGGCGGAGTGAGGATAGAGAGTGAGGATAGAGAGGGTTGTGAAGGAGAAAGAAAGAAAGAGAAAAAAGAGAGAGATAGAAAGAGAGGGAGAGCAGAGAAGGATGTGGAGGAGAGGAATGGGAAATGAGGAATGGAAAGAGAAGAAGAGAAAGTAAATCGAGTAGTGAAGGAACGAAAAGGAAATGTGAAGGAGAGCAGAGATGGACAAATATATTGGTCTATGCATTAGAAAAATATTTATGAACCCATGCTAACTGACAACCCAATCCATGCACGCCCATGCATGTCCATGGCCCCCGTTGGGTTCCTTCGCTCCCCTTCTTCCTTTTTCCTCTTACTGTAAACATACCTAATTGCACACAATCATGGATACATCGATTGTATAACGATTGTATATAACGATTGTAACGATTGTAACGATTGTAACTTTTTTTTTTTTTTTTTTTTTTTTTGCACGCGCTGTTTCTTTTTGTTTATGTCCGTCCATGCCTTTGTCTTAGTCTCATCAAACTTAGTCTAGTAAATCAAGCTCGTCTGAGTCTGAGGCAACTAGTCTACATGTATGCTTTATTTATTTTTTATTTTTTTTATTGCTTGTATTCGCTACTTTCCTTCTCGGTTTATTTCCAATGCAACTTGTGGTTCCGAGTCTTCAAGAGTGAACAAAAGGAACTAAAAAGTAAAAAAGAAAAAAAAAAAGTAAAAAAAACAAAGGAGATATGCGTATATATATATATATATATATATATATATATATATATATATATATATATATTTGTTTACATGTTTATATTTTTGGCCTTGTGAACTATATCTCTGCTCTTCTCTCCGTTCCTCACTTCACCTCACCTTGGGCTCTCGGACATAAATCAATAAAGCACCGTCGCTCATTTTTTTTTAAATTTATTCCCTTTTTGTGGATAGATGGCAGGAAAACAGCAAATAGCGTGCTCTCAAAAAAAAAAAAAAAAAAAAAAAAAAAGGTGAAGAGAGTTTGTTTTTAAAAAGAAAAGAATGTATGCCATTGTGATAGTCGTACAGATAGAAGGTAGAACACATTTCCTCTATGTCTTTTCACTATTGCTGGACAAATCGCTTCGAGTATTCCTTTAGATCGTGGGAAGGAAAGACGTCAAGATCATGAACATTCCGACCCCTTGTTCTTTCTTCCGACATTGATCTCAAACTTTTTCCTCTGCTTGCGCACGGATCCATTCTCACTTGTATCATTAATGGCTCGAGTGATTTTTTTTTGTCTTTATCTTTAATATATGGAAGCGCTATACAAGCAATATATTTTCTTTTTGTTTTTCTTCATAAATAGTCGCATTAACAAGTTCCTGCTGCCTTTGTGTTCAGAATCAACCCCACAATCATTCCGTACAGTCCCAAAACTTCTGCGAAAATCAGTACCAACACCATTGCTACAAATAGCCTTGGCTGATAAGCATATCCTCGGACACACTAACGAAATCAAATATAAGGATTGAAGAACAAAGGTTATGCTACCGTTAATCTTCAAGACATAAAAAAGCGTCAACTTCTCGTGAGCTGCTTTTTTTTTTTTTTTTTTTTTTTTTTTTTTGCTCAGAGCTCAAGGACTGCACGTTCCATGAAGCTAAATACACGCCATTAAAACAATGATTTATAAAATAATAGTAATAATAATAATAAAGCATGCTTGCTACGCTCTAGACTTTTTTTGCGCGCGTACTTACCACGTCGCCTACAATACCAATCGCGTATCCTGCCGCCAATCCTGTCAATCCGACACAGAGACCAGCACCAAGATGTACAAAACCACTAAAATTTCATGATGATAATGTAATATACAAAAGCGTTATTGTCAGTACAACTCCATCATTGGTACAAAGTTCGTAAATCTGATAGTTCTTTGTTGCCACTTACGAATATAAAGAATATCCCGTTGCAGATACTACATTATTAAATAAAAATAGGCAGATAAGTCATAAAAATAAAAAAAGTTAGATAGAGAATGCATGTGCATGGTATCTCAGTAAGATCAGCAATGAGAACCGTCGCTCCAATTGAAGAGTCCATGGCTACGATTCCTGTTCAATAAGTGTCTCCATTTGTCTCTAGCCATAAAAAATACAACAAAATGCAAACGATATTACGTACATGATCCTGCAATCAGAACAGAAATAACTAGTCCATAGACTGAAATAATACCAGCCATGACGACGGGGATAAGTGCCTATGATTAGAAGACCAAAAAAAAAAAAAAAAAAAAAAAAAACACCCAAGGATATAACAATTAATTGGAATACATAACTGATTGGCGCAATGGAGGCAATAGTATTAGAAATAAAAAATAAAAAATAGTAAGATGCTGACCTTCATCATGAGTTCTGGACGGAAGGTTCCCATGCCCGAGATACCGATTCCAGATTTGAAAGTACCATATCCTGCTCCCATGCCTTGGATTTGCAAGTCAACCAGTCGAAGTTAACACATAAAGTACATAGTGAAAAAAAATAAAATAAAAATGTTACGCATATGAGATCATGCGCTTTAAAGTCAGTCAGTCTGTTAACCAGCTGAGTCCATGGAAATCAGGGGTACATAATTGAATATCCAGCATCCTTTTTGTCCAACTGTGACCCAAGAGAAAAGGAAAAAAAAAAAAAAAAAAAGACATGCAACAAGAGAAGAAAACCGAAGTGAGGGAGATTCTATGATGAGGAACATACTGCTGAAAACCATCTATTGAAACCAAGTGGGGAGAAGTGATTAGTCTCAGTTTCTTGATATAAATGGAAAGTATGCATGACATGCTTCACATGCTCCAATCAAACAAAGCGAAAGGACATTACAGCGCTGGCAACACCCATGAGTCCAAAGAATGGCGCGAAGGGAGGACAAAAGTCGGACGCAATCGGTGGTAGAGTGGCCATTATGTCGAAAGCAGTGGTGGAAAAAGAATAGCCAAAGATGTGAACGATTAAGGAAGAGAGTGAATGAATACAGTGAAAAAAAGGAGCAAGGGAAATGAAAAAGTAGTCAGCTCCCATGCTGTGTCGCGGACGTCACGGTCTAGGATATGAAATAGTACATCGGTGGCCTAAAATTTTTATTGGCTATGAATTGAGCATTGATCCGCTGTGCAGTCCTCCATCATTTCACGCAAACTAGTCGATCCTGGCCACTTGTTAGATATCACTGATGCCTGCTTGCAGCCTTACCTCGCTCCCGCTCATAACAATCTGGTTGCTATTATGTAATATCCTGCTTTTACACTAGCCTATGAAAGAGACTCAGACAAGGCAATTCATACCTCGTATTGAAAAAGGGTTCTTGACTATGGATTTCCCAAACCCGTATTCTGTATTAATGGAGATGAACTCTTACAAGAATGGGTTTACGCCCCTAAGGTGAAGCCTATTGCGCGGCACGGGAGTACAAAGAGCAAGTGAGCATTTTATAAAAACACCCGTTGGATGTGTCTAAGTGTTATTTCCAATGTACCAGCAGACAGGTCAATGTTGGAGGACTGCGGCTAAAAACTCACAAATTTGAGATAGACTCTGAGAACGAGAGAAGTAAATCCAGGCAACGAGATTATTTCCAGAACCTTGAATATATTTAACAATAAGAAGATACAGCCAACTTTGCAATCAATATCGTAGGATTGATTTCTTATGTATGAAGTAACAAGGGTCCCCCTAATCCTGCGCCTCTCGTGTCCTTAGTTGAAAGTTCCTTGTATCATATCGACAATGACAATAGAGAAACGAATTGGTTGTCATTGTTTTTTAACCTTCAAACCCTCTATTCAATTCTATCTTTAATCTAACAACATTATTAAGACTATTAACGCCAACATTAACTTCAATAATAAAGACAACAATATCCCGAGTAAGCCTTTGTCATCCGCCACATTCCGAGCCTACCAGCAGCAGAGACTGATTTTTTTTTTTTTCTTTAAGCTTATCCAGTAAAGATCAATACGCACTCCTATACTTTCTTAGCCTTTTTTCTGGTCTCCTCCACTTCCTTCTCAGCCTCCACAGCCGTTGGTGGGGATGATGTTGATATCGCCTCTCTGCCTCTCTTTGTTATAAGCACGGAGTTGTTGCCGCTGTCACTATTATTACTGCTATCACTCTTGTTTTTGTAATGTAAATGAGCTAGCTCCTTCAAGATATTTCCATGACAAGCTTCAGGAGCACACCAGCAGCCCAGTCGTTTACCCCAGAGCTCCTGTAACTGATCTGCAGTAATCTCCCCTTCCTGAATACGACGCTCAATATACTTTCTGTATAGAGCCATCACCTGATCACGACTACCATGCTTCTTTATTGTGTATGGGTTGGCCCATTTGGAGTCACTTGCAGGAAAACGGATTCCGTCCACAAAGACAACGCTCCGTCGTCCGATATAAATATTTTGAGGGTCTTGTATCCATTCTTTGAGGTTCTTGTACCCTAATGGACGAATCCAGCTCACTTTTACATTGACAACCTCCATGTACTAATATGTAGACAGTATTGCTATACAACAAATGCAGACCCGAATGATGTTTCTGATGGTGGTCAATAAAAAAACATTTCTTTATTCTATTGTGCATGAATATCGCAAGGCGCAGTAGTTAGAGTAGACGCTTTTGCAAGCCACCATGGATGACACGCGTTTGAACATAAAAAAAATATTAAGCGATTGCTATGGATTGAATTTGTAGATGTTCTTCATGTAAAAGTCTCCTTTGAAGACTTTAGCCTGACCTACAATCATCGTCATGCGCTCAATCAATGGTTCTGGTACTTGCTTGCTATTTTTAAGTAGTCCAGTAGCTCGATCATGTCTCTTGCGGCGCGAGAACAGATCCCTGCTCGTATCTTTTCTCAGTCGTGTCTTTTCAGTCGATTCATCATGCTCATAGCCATCATAATGGTTATGGCTTTGGTGTTGCTGCAGCTGAATAGGTACACCATTACAACATTCCCTATCACTTTCATCTTCATTGGACACAAATGTATCATCATCTGAAACGACAGGCGAGACACTTGCTTCTACCCATGGCTGCTCTAGAGGATCGCCCTCCACGACAACACCTTGCTTTTGTTGAGCCATCCGCTTCTGCCTCATTATCTCAGCCTGTACAGCAAGTGCTACTGCTCGTGCTTCCACTTGCTCCGAGACAGTAATTTTTAATGTGCCCATGTGTCCAGAGACCCTCAAGAATCTGTATCCTAAACGCTCCACAGAGACATGACTCTTGTACCCTTGCGGAAAAGAAGATAGCGCAGACAATGAAGACGAAGGCGAGTTCGATGTAGCGTCTGATATGGTGCTGTCTGCTGAGACATATGACGATCGCAAACTGATCGTAGACGAAAATTGTGGTAACATCGAGATCTTATTGTGTCCTGTCGCTGTCGCAGTCTTTGTCCCTGACGAAATAAGCTCATCTCCTTCAAGCCGACTTATCATCTTAATGCCAATTTTGTCACGCCACCAGCGAAGCTCTGCGGGATCCTCAATCACTGTCCACTGTACTAGCGACGATCCATAAAAAGAAGCTCCAGTATCGAGCTCTAGCTTTTGAAGTCGCTGATGAACTGTCACAAAGAGGTGTTGAAATTTAAGACCTGCTTGGTTGCCTGCACGCCTAATAGAGCCATACGGATTAGACGATGATGTGGATGGGGTAGAGGGTGGCGAAAATGTTGGTGTTGCTTGCGGTGAAGCCATTCCCATTCCCATTGGAGTGGAAGGCGAGCTAGGAGGATGTTCTAAAACAGATGATCCACGACGAACTGGCGCCTGAGGAATATCGACTGCAGTGCTTTTCTGTGCCGAGGGGGAATATAAGGGCATACTAAGGCCAGTTGAACAAGAGTCTTCGGCGGCAGCAGTATTGGCGATAGTAGTCGACACTGTAAGTGATTTGTTCTTGTAATCATTAGGATTATAAGGCGTGACGATAGCTCGAGACGTCCTTGACGGAACAGCTGGCGCCGAGGACGACGAGGGCGATTTAATTGCAGCGACTGCCTTAGATGCAAAACCTGAGATCACTCGTGGCTTCTTCTTCAAACTGAAGTAATCTGAGCCATCCGTATTACCACTATTTCCAGGTGTTGGTGTAGGGTTCGTTGATGATCCAAAGATGCTCTTAGTCGGACTAACTGGTGTAGTCGTATCATATGAGTTAGCTTGGCCAGAAGATGAAGGTTCTTTGCTATGCCCATTGCTTCCTGAAGACCCATAGAAACTCGGTGTGGCCACGGCAATTGATCGTTGAAGGAGTAGCTTGGCCCCAAGTGTAAAACTACTGGCAGATTTAGCAAGGGCCTTATATTCGGTGTAGGTCAGCAGGGTGTGGCGGCCCAGGCGAGTTACAAACACTCTTCGGCCCCCTGTGGATCTTGTTGAACTGAGAGTACTCTTGCTGCGTGAGCTGTCGCTACGGCGAGGCGGTCGGTTGGTATCTACAAGCGTAGCCACAGTTCCAGAGCTGGTGCGACGACCGATGGGTGGCTGCGGGAGCGTTGAAGGACGCAGAGGCGATATAATATCTGTACCATGAACATCGAGGTCGGGTTGACGTTCGGCTGCTAAGGGGTCCATGAATGTATATTTTTTAGAAGCCTCAACAAAGTGAAGTTCGTTATCTTCCATTACATCAAACTTGAACTTGAGCCCATTCCGACTATAGATATGTAGCTGGCTGACTGCCTGCTTTTTGAACTGCGGTGATGGCCCGTCTGTGGCTTCAGAGCCATGTTTATCGTACCCTGGCCCGTCTGTCGCCCCATTATGAGCTCCGTTAGTGCTGTTCCCAGAAGCAGAAGGGATACTTCCCTTTCGCGACGGCGTGCTCATGGAGGAACGTCGTTGGGCAGCCTTGTACTTCTTCTTTGAAATGAGATTCATGCCGTCGTAGCGCCCAGTCGCATATACTCCTCTTCTTTTCTCCAATGTCTCTACGTCCATAGCATCCTTGTCTTTCGAAGTATATTCATTCTCACTATCAGGATAAGAGAACATTGAAGAAGGGGCTGGCTCTGAAAACTTGTGGGGTTGGTTATTCAACAAGCTCGCCCATTCTTCACGGTCCCCCTTTAAACAGTCGACCGCATCAATGACTTCCAAAAGAGATGAATTGAGGTTTTGTAGGCTAGTGTTGTTGTTTGACATGGTCAACAGTGCTTCAAAGTTTTCATCTTCCTCGCTATCTAAAGAGGATGGCACTTTTCGCTGTTTCTTGCGCTTTTGCAACAGCAGCTGTCGCTTTAGTTTCTGCGAGACCGAAACAGCCTCCAAGGACTCGAGAATAGATGTAGGAGTAGCATTGGTGGGTGATAATGAAGCTGGAGAGGCACTCAGCTCGGTGTCCAGCAGTGTAGATGAAATCGCTATCATAGAAGGGTCTTGCTTCTTGTATCTCCTGACGAGCTTGAACAAGAAGAACCCGTTGGGGCCATCCTGCTCCAGATCTAGATGAAATTGTTCAAAAACTTGCTCCTTTGTCAAGATCTGATGCGACTCGAGACGTTGATGATGGATGCCATCCTGATGCCAGAGCCAAGGCGCATTCCTGGTTGTTTGCTGCTTAAGGGATTTCGACGTAGTGTGAGATAATGATGTAGACGTGGGGAGTGCGGGCGAGCCTAAAGCTGCGTTCACGGACATTACTGTTTGGTCTGATGGCTTAGTATGTTTGACAGCTTCAATTTTTGGCCCCTCATTGGAAACCTCTGGAAGCACAACTGGTGGATCGATTGGAGATTCCGGTGAATCAACTCCTGGCTTAATTAGGGGTACTCCAATTGTTGGTTTAGTAGGCGTATTCACCAGCGCCTCGCCATGCGGCCTATCAGGGAGCGGCTTTGACGGCTGTTGTACGAGAAGCTCAACAGGCAAGGGTCCCGAAAGAGCGCTTACCGTATGAACTGGAAAAGTACCAGGGAAGGCCCCGGGGAAGGCCCCAGGGAGAGCGCCTGGGGATGATGACACAGCCATAGACTCGTCACGGATAGATTGTGCAACTTTGTTAACAGGGACAAATGATTTTGGACTCGCGCCTGGGAATGAACCTGGCAATGAAGCGGCAATAATGGCTTTCTGTGTTGATTGAGGTCCCTCTGAATCCTGATAACTCCCTAGGTCGGCAACTGTCTCTTCGAAGCCTTCCACCACAATATCTTGCCGAGTCCTAGCAGCGGGCTTGACCGAGGATTGTGTTGATATGACATCTGCCTCGGGCGCTCCAATTTGATCAGCATTAGAGGTCTGCGTTAAGTTGACATCGAGCTCAATATTAAGCCTAGACGTATTAGAGGAGAGCATTGGTGGCGACTCGAAACCACTCGCTGCGTTCTTGTTCTGAATTTGTTCCGCAGGTCTAGATTGTTGGGCCTCATCTGAATTAGCAGTGGCGGAATGGGGCCTATCAGGTTTGTTTGCAGCTTTCGAATCTTTGCTGCTTCTATCTCCATCTTTGTCTGTAAAGATATCCTCCATGCTTTTTCGTGTAACTTTAATTGGTGATGATGGAGATTGTGAAAGGGACTCTTGATGACTATTCTCCAACAGCAAAGTATTGGATGCTGTGGGCAATACGTTCACAGTAAGGTTATTGCTGTCCTGCAAGGTTGGACGGCTTGGTGAAGGAGGTAGAAGAGACGTCGATGAAAAAGATCGTCCTTTGACTTCAATATTCCCTGCATCCTTGGTCGCCAATCCAGTATGTATTTGTCCATCAGTCAAATCTGTCACAGCTGACGTTGCCTTTTCTTTTCCCTTTATAGACCTCCTTGCCTTCGAGGTCGATGAAGTCGAGGATGATGCTATTGAAGCGGATCGCTGCTTTGAATGGGATATAGTGGACTGAGTAGAGCTGATCACTGAAGGATGCCCCAAATGCGGCTCCTGCGTCACACGTGGTTTAAATGATGCTGAAGAGGCTGCAGATGACGATGTAACAGACAAAGTGGATGAAGCAGAGGTAATTGATATGGATTCTAATGGGCCTATTGTTGCTGTATCTGTTAATGCTGTCGCGACGAAAGGCTCTCCCGAACTAAGCAATGGCGAGTGTAGCGTTGGGATCAAGCGATCTGGCGACATAGGTGTCTGCGCAACAACCATGGGGGCATGGTCCGCACTTGTGGGCGGCATGGCCATGTAGATGATAGAGTTGGTAGCCTTCTTCAATGTCTTCGTCCAACCCTTCTTCTTACGGTCACTTGTTGTCTCTTTTGAAAGCTGACTCGCTGTATCAGATGATGGTGTTTCCAATAGTGGATCTGCTGTTGAACCTGTAGTAATCTCATCTATAACCTTTACAGACTGTTGTTGTTGATGCTGCTGGGTAGATTTGTCAGTATCACGTTTCGCCATTATGATTTATTTTTAAATAGATACAGCTGTCTGGCACTGATACTTGTAATGGACGGTTCTTCTGTTTTTCCGTTTAACCACACTCGTGTTTCTTTCTTTGATCGTATACTGTATAATTTTGTCCGAGAGCTCTCATACTATCGAATGTATTGAACAGGATAAGCATAAAGGCATCAGAAATGAATAATGGAAGAAAGATAAAGTGGGCAAATGGTTCAATATCACAAAAGCAATATGAGCACTTTTCTTCCTCTTCTCTCTTGCCCCCAAGTTGAAGGTGTAACATTATAGGTACAAGAAAATGCTCATTGTTGCACTGTTTGCATTGCCTCAAAATGTGCTCATGTGTCAACATGCTTACCACTAGTATATTGAATCGCCGTCTCTTCCTTTCTGGTACACACTTGCTATCGTTATAGCTGCTTTGGTGATTAACAATTTGTCGTTTTGACGCTTTGTTGTGCTGTTATGCTTCGCCTCAGAGGTCTCACTTTGTGTGGTTTAAATTTTCCCCTGCGCCTTTTTTTTCTTGCGTTCGAAGGCTCGAGCTGGAAATGACAGTGCAAATTAGAAGGAGAGCAGCAGATCTCAGTCAGCAATGCTTATTCTCATTCATTCTCCATCTAAAGTCAATGTCTTCAGCATGGAATGCTTCCAATGGCTCAAACTGAGCAGCAATGAAGCAACAAACGTCGTGCATATATGAGCTCGGAAATGTTTTATAAGACATGTAGTATCTTTACCCAGATCCTTGGTTTGGATTCAATTTTTTTTTTTGTTTCAATGTACACACGTTGAGCTCGGGGCAGAATAAGGATAAAACGAGGGAAAGAAGACGAGACTTTTGTATAAGTCGTTGGTGTGAATTTGTGGGTCAGGCTGTGAGGTGCTGTGGAGATGCAGAGAAGGAAGAACAATAAAACTGTTGTTGTCGTGTGCGTGCTATGCACTACAAAAAAAAAAAAAAAAAAAAGGGATTGGTGCGGGAAAGTAGAAGAAGTGGAGAAAGAAAGAAAAGGAGATATTCATTTCTTTCCCTCCACTTCTTCTTCTGGGATTGCATCTTCCTCTCCACAACCAGTCGATGCATGACAAGTCTGAGAGCTTTCTCTTTAGTGAAACTGTAGTTTGTTGGTTTGTCAGAAAACAGCCAAAAATGTATTTGTGTATATACTTTGGGCGACAATCTCTGTATCAATCTCTGAACTTTGCGCACTGTCTTTTTCATGATCAGTAAATTATGGAGTATAGAGCCTTCTTCTCGTCTTTGTCTCATGATTCTATCGCCCAATTGACACAAGCATGTCTGCTCTCTTTCTTCATTCTATTACTTCTTCCGCACTATTCTAGCTCGCAGAATGCTCTCTTACCGACATCCTCCGCTAATCATCTCATGGATGGTTGACTTTAGGAATTGAACTGTAGCTGTATATACTGTCCATGAGTTTTTTTCTCAACGGTAGCCATCATTTACACATTGGGCGCACATTTAGACATAGAGGCTGCATTGGGACTCCTCATAAATAGGGAGTCTTTGCGAGCTTTTTCTGGGTATGATGACTGACCCAAATAGAAACAAACCAATAAAGTAAATAGAAACAACGGAAACTTTCTCTCCACAACAACAATCCGTTGCCCCAAGCGCGCGTCTAAACAACAAGGCCTTTGGGCAGAAAGAGAGTCTCATTACGTTTATTCACCAAGGGGAAGAGTAGCATGAAAAGAACTTGGACACAAATGCACATGCAATAGCCTCTCCTTCGTCACAGACAACAGAGGGAGACGTTAAATGAGCAGAAGCAAAAAAAAAAAAAAAAAAAAAAAAGTTACTCACTCTAAAGAGAACATGATAAAAAAAGAAATAATTGCCTCCGCAGTCAGGGTCCTTTTTTAAATGTAGAATTAATGAATATAAATTTCCAAGGCATGTGGAGAAGTCGAAATAACAACACACCCACTGAAAATTTAAATGAAAGCATGAAGGCATTCATGCTATTTCTGCACACAAAGATCAGTAATGTGCCTCGATGACATCCTGCAATAAGGCTGCTCTTGTACGCAGTAATTGTGTGGCAAAGGCTTTGGCCCCATAAGCTGCTCGCTCCCCACAGATCACTATAAATACATAATAGACAATATACTTTCAATGGTCAGGCACAATTTAGGCACAATTTCAGGCATAAAAAAGAAGCCTATTACATTTCAATAGGAGAAGGTCGCGCGAAGCATAGTCTCGTTGAAGAACTGCTGGGAAATCGAGGGGTGAAAAGTCTTGAATGTCGTCTTTGACCGCAATGGATACGCGATATGATTGAGCTTCGGACGAATTATTATTTGGTATAGGTTGAACAATACAAATGATGTCTAATGTCGAAGAGGTAGTTTTGTATTACACAATATGTATATGCATGAATACTTTAGTCTAATATTGACCAATGGATCAGAGTCATAAAACTATGCAACATTAGGCAATCAGAAGAGAAAAAAAAACACAAGTGTATTCATACGGTTTTGACGCGAGCTCACGCTACTGAGATCGAACTGCTCTTCATCATCACTCGCCTTGAACACAATAACAACCTGTTGTAGGGATGGTGCGAAGAGATTAATTTTCTCTGAAACGAAAACAGAATGGTATTTTTTAGCTCTACACACACAAAAATCTGTTTACAATATCATTCCCGATAAAGCGGCGGCGTTCTACTTGCTGCTGGTCGTTAGGGTTAAAAGGCATGAAGGGTGCACAGTGAAACATTATCTGATATCCGTTCCAATTTGTAAAAATGGATGACTCTCCTGTCGTGTTACCTAGTCATGCACCTTGATACAAATCAGCCCAATTTTTTTTTACCCTTGTGATCAATGCATACAACAGTAGAAGAAAACAACGAAGGTCACTAATACAAAATGGCTGGTTAAGCCTGCTTCTTTTACCTATGACATCTAGACCAGCTCTGTATCCCTTCCAGCCCTGAAGTCGAATTGGCTCACCAAGCCAGTGGAGAAAGTCCATGAAAGCAGGAGTACAAGAATCTACTCGGTATTTATTCAAGGTAAAGAGTTGGAGATGTGAATAATGTTAAGTTGTCTGCACTAAGGGACACATTGATGAGGAGAGCTCAGTCCTGAACACTATTTGCGTTAAACACGCTGTCCTCTTTTTCCTGAATGCAGCTATTTGTTCATGAAATTTTGTAGGTCTGATTGTGATTCTCTCGATTCAACCCATACGTGGAGTTTTGTAGATGGAAAGAAAACAATGATAAAACACACTCGCTCTCGATTCATTCGCTTTTCCATGTAGTCAACCTAGGACTCTAGCTTTCAAATAAGAAAATAAAAAAAAATAAAAATAAAAATAAAAAAAAGAACCTCATCCATTACCACATGGGTTGGACAATCCTTGGTGCTCTAATGTTTGTCCTGGCAACAGGTGAAATATTCCAAACTTGTAACATTTGATGATCTGTCGTTCTTCCATGCGTATCAATTCACGAGGCAGATTTGGATGTTGACAAAGCTTCAACGTGTTAATAGGCATTGTCGGGCAGACTTGAGTTAGAATGAAAAGACCGGATATTCCAAAGAGTCTCCTAAACCAGGGAAGATCCAAATCCGAAATTGAGTGTTCTATTCTTTCGCTGCCCTAAGAACAAAAAAAAGTTTATTAGTGGTTTCTGAAATTAAGAGTAGGGACAATGACAATCATTAAAGTTGCTGTCCATTACCTGTGTAGTTCTAGAAAGAATCCTAATACAACCTTCATGGTCAACAATTACGGAGACTATAATCGGTCCTTGTTCGGATGTCGTTGCCATGTAGTTATAATGGGCTTGACAGCAACAACAATGCCATCGTCATCGCCATCACCACCGCCATCATAACCATCATAACCACCATCAAAAGAAAAGAATAAAATAAAAGAATGGGACGGAGGAGAAGAGAGGAAAGAAAATGAGAGACTTGTAAGCTTTTTATACTTGCGCATTGATATAAACTGTATGCCATCTTCAAGCAAATCATATCAAATATCGTCTTTACGTTTATCATAAAAATATGTCTGATAAAACTCCAAGTCGTTTTCTCGGTCTTGTAAAAGTATGGCTCGGTCGACAACAGCCTTGTTGGACGATATGGATGACGAAAGACATGTCGATTGTTGGAGAGTGCTGGTAGAAACCGATTGTTTTACAAAGTAGTTGGTGAGGTATCGGAAATTGGATGTTGAGGATGTAGTGGAGATTGAAGAAGACAAAACAGTAGCAGCAGCAACGGTCATTCCGATGGATGGATCTCTATGACCTAGAAAAGATACATCACCCCGAAAAGAAAAAAATTGAAAAAGAAACCCCCCTCACTTATGAAGCCACTCTTTTTTATAGATTATTGTTGGTTTTGAAGCGTAACTTGGAGTGAGGACTGGAAGTGTTATCAGAAGGAAAAGGATGAGCGAAAAAAAAAAAAAAAAAAAAAAAAAAAAAAGGCGCAAACGAGAGAAAGAGCAGGAAAGTTGTTTCGACAGCAACGACTGAATGAGAACTGAATAAACGGAAAAAACGGGCACAATGCATTCCAATAAGGATGAAAATCAGGGGTGAAATATCATGCATCGATCCCTCACCCTGCTTTTGGACATCAAGAACTTGGTCTCAATACTCTCCGAGCAATGCATCTCCAGCTTTTCATCAGACAGTAGATGTTGCTCATATGCTGGTAAAAGCTCATGCGAGAATGACAGCAAAACTTTTATAGGAGTGGGTGGAAAAGTTAAGCAATACATGACTAATAAAGGCTTTTGAAGCAAACACAGCCTTTTTTTTTTTTTTTTTTTCTTAACACATTCATTAACTTTTGAGTATTGAGTTTTTCTTTTATAATATTTATGCATATTATTATATCCGTAACGATGACGATAAGTTAAATACAATTCAATGACGTGGTAAAGGAGCTTTTATGCTTGCTTCTATCTCCCAGGTAAAATGAAAAAGTGTATGACCAAGAAATGGCAACACATCCTTGTGGCATATCGTTCGCTCCTTTTTAGGAACAATATAAATTTTACACCCTTCATTTGTATCGTCTGTATCATTTGTAAACAATACAACAAATAAAGAACCCTCTATCCACCGCGCGAGTGGACGCGTTGTGGTTGAAAGCAAATCCTTACACAACGTTTCTTAGTTTCACACAAGATATTAATTACATAAACTCGCCCACCAATGAAGAAATAGGAAGTCGAAAAGGGCGTTGCTGGACACACGTGTGGAGTGGCAAGCCACAAACAGAGATGACAAGATAAAGTTTGTACGCAAATTAATTAATGAGAAATATAAAATATTCAGCGAAGTGTGTGAGAAAGAGTCCAATCATTTACCCATTCACTGTTCTGTACCTGAACCTGATAAAGATAGAATTATACTCCGGCTACAATAAAACCCATTATCAAATATCAAATCAGAAATATAATAAATAAATATGATCCTATAGCCCTAATTTATTGTTGTGAACTTTTTCCTTGCCCCCATTCGCTCAACAATGTCGAGGCTTCAGTTACACGGCGGAGACTTTGTTCCACTGCGTAGAAACATATTTATCAGCAGTGAAAGGGATCATCATGTTTGGAATACACTCTGTACTTCGTACTCCTCATGTGTATTCAAATAATATTTAACAGTTCATTATACATCTGGTTTCTTTAACGTTCTGTTTGTTTTGTGAAGCACTAGGTGGTTCATTACTGCTGTTTAAGCTAGTCTTCAAAAAACCCCCGTTCAGGGCTCTATTACTTTAGTATAAAAAAAAAGACGTTTGCCATAAACATTCTAATTTGAGCTACAACATGTACATGTACAATAAAATCTTCAATCCGTTGATTCACACTTCTAGTGTTGTCCTAGGCATGTCATGGAGATCTTTTTTTTTTTTTTTTTTTTTTTTTTTTTTTTTTGGAATACTGTACATGTATAATACATGATGCATTTCTAAAATATCTTTGCTCGCGTTTTTGAGAGCTTCACCAGAAATGTACCCTATGCTTAAAAAAATGTTTGTCATGGCAAAGCGAGAACGCTCATAATGATGATGGCTATCATAGAATTTTTATTCTATTCTATTTATCAATATAATAAATACACGTTCAACATTAATGAAGTTCCATTACATCGTGAGGTAAGGCTTCATCCGGACTCTCGGGTAAAAAGAAAAAAGTCGGACCAAGCTATTTGGTGTACGAACGCTTGAGGTTATAGTGAGCGTGCACCGTGAAATATCAGTATTGCTTGGCATTTGTCTCGACAAGTCAATAGTGAAATAGAGCCATTCTCAGATTGTACTACAGCCCATTAGTCGATTAATGAAATGAACTGTTCCACAGTTTGACATTCCTTGAAGGTTGGAACCATGCAATTTTTCAAACAGTATGTACATGTACTACATGCAAACAAATATATACACATTTGATACTTCCATATACTTTATATTAATACAATTGGCATAATATACATAAAAAAATAAGCATTTCAGGCAAGAAAAGGAGAGACAAGTGAGAATGCGAAGGCGAATGAAGAGTAGCTTTAGACTCATGGTATGGAATGGATTTCGTCTTTTTTTTTTTTTAAGGTTGCCTCTTTTTTATTTTTGTCCCTTTCCTCTCTTCTTTCATTTCCTTCTCTCCTTCTCTTTCCTCCTTCGCTCTCTCTTTTGCACAACCCTCTTCTTTTTTCTTTTATTCCTTCCTCTCTTTTCAGGAAACACTCTCTCGGGCGCTTGATCTTCTACCCAGTCAACCCTCTCTCGTCCACTCCTAATTCTCACTATTATCGCTTAACGCCTCTTCCGTCTTATATCCAGGCCCCTATTTTTTGTCGACATAGTCCTCTTTATCTCTCTCTCAACCACTTTCGACACCTTCAATATCCAGACCAACAATTTCTTGTTTTGGCCCGATAGCCGTTGTCCATCCTAGAACAACCCTTCCTCCTTTCCTTCATCCTACGTACTTTACAGGATATCAGGTTAATCTTTTCTCTGTTCGTCAGCCAGAAAAGCAGGTGCGTGAAATGATTTGCAAACCCGACCCAGTCTAATTTGGATTTAATTTAGTGGTCAACCCACAGACAACAATACAGGAACAAAGTTACGCCTGGTACAACACGACACAAATATAAAACAGGGGCAAAAGGAGTGAGAAGCGAAACAGATTGATCATTAATCCAAATAATACTCCAATGCATATGCACTTGAGGAAAAAAAAGAGTAAAGAGACCAAAAGAATACTGGGTTGCATATCTATTAAGGGATATACAATGGTTTGAGATGCACCTTTCTCTGCACTTGGACCACTCTTTTTGATACATTTTTAAACTGCGGAGGAGGTGGTGAGAATCAATACCTGAATTCCTTCGTTTGATATCCATAATCATAGGAGGATGTCATCCAATGCAACCATGTATCACCGACTCTTCAACACATGGGCACTCTCTATTTCCAATAGTCTCTTGCTCTTTTTTCTGCACCTAATAGTGCTATTTCAGTTGGGATCAAAATCTGAGAGCGTTACCAGAGACAGGGCGAAAAAGATACAGTTTTATTATAGTTATTATTATATTTTTATTATTATCAGTGTGGGAGAGCTCACATCTTATTTCCGATTTCCCGCTTTGTTGCAGTCCCCAATTAAGATTAAACATAGGCCTTCCCATCCATTCACTGTCGTAAAATTCGTTCCGTGCGATGAATACTTATTCTTCGAAACCCATGGCCACATCACTGGCTATTGTCGCGCTCACGTCCTTGGCGTGGATCAAGGGCGTCTCTGCCGACATTGCTTTTGCAAAGTTCGCACCCGGGACAACAGTCGCCCCTGGCCAAAGCATTGTTCTCAACTGGACTATAAACAACGCCAATGTTGCCGTTCCCAGCACTGAGCCCTTCGACCTTACACTCCGCGCCCTTAGTGGGCAGAGATACAACATCCAGCGTAATGTTTCCCAGACTCTACTTCGATTTGATGTTGTCATCCCCAAAGAAGCTACTGGAGGTTTTGTATGTAATTCTTTGAAAGGAATCATCAAACTGCTGTACTAAAAGTGTTTTGACCAACCATATCCGTAACTAATATATTGAACTGTTATCTCTCACTCAACAGCATAGTTTCTATGCTGGTTACACTGATGGAAGAAGGGACAGCTCGAATCAATTTAACGTCACTGGCCCTATTGTCACAACTCCGTCTAGGCCTGATCCTACTGATACTGTAGCTCCTGGCGATCATTCAACTGTGGCTCCTGAAGGATCTGGTGGACTTTCTGGTGCTGCCCTTGGAGGTATCATTGGTGGTGTGACCGCTTTATTTTTGATTGTTGCTCTTGTCTTTTTCATCAGAAATCGTCGACATGCCCGGGAGCGTAGCCAGCACACCCGACTTGAAGACACAAAGGAGAGTTATAGCGAGACGTCGACAGCCCGCTCTGGTCCTCCCCCAACTGACCCTCTTGGAGGTGGAAAGAGTGATGGTATGGTGGCAATTCCTTTATCTGTTGCTACACACTCCGAGGATCGTCCTCGCGGTGATGAACACGGCAGTCCTCGATCGCAACAACAGCCTTATCAACTGCAGCATGTGAATGGCACTAGGAACCCCTTTGAAGGGCCTGAAGAGATAGCTGCGGCTCCTGTTATGGATGGTGCAACCTCTCTTTCGCCTAGACAGCAGCATCAGCCCTATCAACCTCCTCCTCGCCCTACCCAACAACAGCCATATGGTGGCATTCAGCAAAATAGCCGTGGATCAGTGGATTCGGAGCCAGAGTCCGCTTATGATCCGAATCGCTCTCGTGTGATGCCCTCCAACGGTGGAAATGCCCCTATTCAACGCAACAACTCAAACCCCGTGATGCGCGGAGGCCCACCTGGCTCACAGCAACTTCATCATTCGGCTTCTTCAAGATCAATCGGAAGTGATGCTCGCCAGAACATGTCCCCTCGTATTCCAAATCAAAACCCTTTCCAAGATCGTGAGCTTATGTCTGCTGCCGCCATTCCTGCGGGGTCGCCTGCACTTGCACATAGTCAGTTGTCGAGTCCCGTAATGAGTCGTGCTGCTGCCTCGCCACGTATGAGAGAAATTGAAATGCAGCCCTTAGATGTTCAGCAGCACCAGTATGAACAGCAAATGCGCGCTTTGCAACGTCAACAACAGCAGCAGCAGCAGCAACAGGATCAACAACAGGCAACGGCAGCTCCTCAGCCCACTTCCCAACTTGCTTCCCAACCTGTCCCTCAACTTCCTCAACCTCCTCAACCTTCTCAACCTTCTCAACCTGTTCCTCAGTCCGCTCAGAATTCGTCCGCCGCTCCATCCTTGGCACCCATCTTGCCTTCTCACCCGTTCAACCCAACTCTTTATGATGACAAGACTGAGGTAGATGAGGATGGTGCACCTGTGTATAACGGCTACCGTGACACCATCTTTGGTGCTTATGCTCAGCCTGTAGGTGATGATGATGATGAGGAGACGCCTGTCCCAGCCGTTCCTGCTTCAGTCCTGAATGCTGCCAAGGACGGTGACCAAAATCAACAACAAGATCAGCAGACATCTAGTACCGAAGGTAAAGAAAATGTCCCTGGAATAACGCGCAAAAAATCTGTCAAGTTTGTGGGAGTACCAGCTTCTGGCCCTATTGAGGTCCCTGCTGCTGCACAAGACCAGGCACAAATGTATCACAGTGAGGGTGAGGAGGACGAAGATTATGAAGATGAAGACGACATTAAGAAGCGTCTTATGGAAACTGAGGCCCGTAACTCAGCTCCTGCTCAAGCTCTTGCCATCAACACTGCTAATCAGCAACAGCAGGAGACGACATCGAACGGAGGATTTATCCCACCACCACCAACATCAGGCGCTAGTCCTCTTGGCAGCTCTTCCTCTTCATTGGGTGATGGTTTTTACGAAGATGTTCTGGCTGCAGTCGACAAGAATTCAATTTCAGCCTCTTCAACTACACCTGTGGTCCCACCTCCTGTTCCTCAGCAGCAGCCAATTCAGCAACAACAACAATTTGTGCAACAACAGCACATCCCAGCGCCTCAACCTCAACATCTCCAGCCTGTTTTGATAGAGAATCAGGTCTTTGGTGCCCCTTCACCTAGGATGAAGCCTGCGGGAGCGACATCCCCAACGAGCCCATCATCGAATGCGCCTGCATTGTCGCCTCGGTCGATTGTTCCTCCTGCTGTCAAGCCACAGCATGCAGATGATGAAGAAGCTCAGTTCTATGAGTCGTCGCTCTTGTAAAACCCTTACTAAGGATGTAGCAGAAAAAAAGTTTTCTTTATAGTATTTATTCAAACAGCCACCATCACCATCATTTACTTATTTACTTAGACAGCATTAAGCTACTTTTGTTTGTTTTTTTTGTTCTTTTTTACTTTTTTATGTCATAATTAAAAAGAGTCTCTCTATTCGAGCAACAATAAATTTTCTCCGTCTTTCCATATTGAAAAATATAATTCTTACCAATGTAGTGTTTTTTTATTTTTTATTTTTATTTTTTTTTATTCTAAATCTAATATTTACAACTACAACAATGATTATTTCCTTTTAAAAAATGGGGAATCATCTGGTTGCACGTGTACTCTTCCGAAACAAGTTGAACCGACTCTCTTTCCGTTTCTTGAGTTCTTGTTCCCTGTATTGGCCTTCTGCCTGGTCCTCAAAGAAGCTTGGCTCAAACAATGCCAAATGACCTTTGATCCTCGCCACGTACCCCTCGACTGCGATCCCGTTTCCAAAGCTTTCCAAGAACGGTTTGTGGCAGTATGGTTCTGTATTTGCATCCAACTCCATCAATCGTTCCCAAAAGTCTTGTGCACCTCCTAAAGGATATGGAAATCGAATGTAATCCATTGCAAAGACCACCATGGGTGGCGTAGCCAATTTGAAGTTATCCTGGATCTCCCGAGCCCAAGCCATGAGAGGCACACGCGATTGAGCCACTGGCAAGAGTTCTGGCGTTGCATGTGTGAAGACAATTATGAGCTTTGACCAGAACGCAGGCGTCAATAAGCTTTGGTATGTTTGAAGTGTCTGATGGAATGTATTATCATATCTGATATTGTTGTTGAAGTTGAAACAAGAAATAGTAAAATTTGAGTTGTGTTTCTCCAAAATGTTACAGCCACCTCCTTTTTTTGTATGCAAAAAGCTTTTCTAGACCCATTTCCAACAGTTTCGGAATAAATGAGACATGTGTAACATGGTTATTGTAGTCTTTAAAAATAAAGCTCACCTGTATCGTGTGCATTTGACTACAAATAAGAATGCATCGACTCCTGCTGCAACCTTGGTCAAGAGGACTCCAAGTTCCTTAACTCGATGAGGATCATGGAGTTTGCCATTGAACGAAGGAGTGTCGATGCAATGCATTACTGGATTTGTAGGGATGTTTAGAAAATGGTTCGTAGCTTTATCTACATGCTGTGTTACTTCCTATTCAATATATAAAAAGTTTGATTGAATGTTACCAGTCAGGAACAGGAAACATTTGTAAAAAAAGAAAAAAAGGAACAGTGCTAAGGGTCCGAGCCAGGATAAGGAAGCGATTCGGTGCAAAGAGGGATCGCTTAATCATGCATATTAATAAATTGGGGGGTTTTTTTATCGATGAATTGTTGTCCTGTCATCATTTGATGGAGGACAGGTCAGCAGTAGGCAAATTCTAGAAGGGAACAAAAAAACCTTTCTTATACTTACACTGACAGAAGCTTTTGCCATGAACATCTGTCTGCCAAGAATTGAATTCAACAATGTGCTTTTTCCTGAAATGAAAATACAAGAAAACCATCACGATGTGAGATGGTCATTCTCTTAAGCTAATTTAAACACTTTTTTTTTTTTTTTTTTTTTTTCAAATACCTTCTCCACTTTTACCCAGCGCCACTATTGTGAACTCGCGGGCAGGCGGCATTGATTCCTCATCCTGCTGTTGATGTTGTTGTTGTTGTTGGAATTGTTGCTGATGATAATGATAATGTTGTTGTTGTTGTAAGGGCAGATGTTGTTGTGATTGATATTGTCGTGGCTGTTGTGAATGTGCAAACTGGCCAGGGAAAGATAGTCCCAACTGCCTTGCCGATGATGATGCCTGACGTCCAGAATACATGAAATGTTAATCCAAGTGTATGATAATATGCTTGCGTCCTGAGTTGCTTTTTAGCCCCACGTTAAATAAAATCTGATGAGTAAGTTTGTCGAGACAAAGAAGAGAGAAGAAAAGAATAGAAAAAGATGAGAGAGGAATGGATATGTTTAATAAATATTATTACAAATGATACTGTACAGAGAAGAGGAAGGAAGAGGAGACCCTTTTACACTCAATGTCTATATTTATCAATGAAAAAGGGCTGCATGTGCCACACATACGGACAGGCGATGCCATGTCGGTAAATGAGCTTTTATTGGCACGACAAGATCTGCTTCTGTTGGCACAATGCCCCACTATTTCAATTTGTAACTATGCAAGTACATGTAAGTAAAAGTAAGCTCGTAAGTAAGCAAGCCAGCAAGTGAGAAAGATCTCAAGTTTATAGGTTATAAAATGCACTGTGGTATTTGTTTAACGAACAATGGCTAATTTATGATCCGTCTCACCCACGGAGAACGGAAAAAAAAAAAAAAAACAAAGGAGTCTTGCTCCATTCCATCCATTTCCCTTTTCTTTTCTTTCATCCTTTCTCTCTCTCTCTCTCTCTCTCTCTCTTTGGCTGAATATTTCAAACACAACCTCATCAGAAAGTTGTAACGAGTTCCGGCACTGTAGACAATACGGCAAATGACTGGACATCAGGAACAAGAACAGCATCCTCTGCTCCATGTCAACAACAACAACAACAACAACAACGATGTAGGACAGCAGGACCTTACTGACAAGCCAAGTACTTCTGGTACACAGTCAACTTATAAGAAACGCGCTCAGGATAGAAGTACAAACCCACCATTATGGTACAAAAAGGAGTTCTACATCTATTACTTTGCCTTTGTCACCATTGTTCCATACATGTTCAAGACAGCACATGATGCAAGCTCCGGTCAGTTACAATTTCTTTTTTTTTTTTTTTTATATTTAATTTGAACACATGCGAATAAATGGAAATGGAAAAGGAAATGGATGGGTCGGTTGACTGACGGTATTAACATACTTTTTATAATTCCACTGAACTTCTTCCCTTTACTTTTACAGAGTCAAATCCAAACTATGAGAAATACAAGGACTTGCTCTCGGATGGCTTTTTCGGATACAAAGTGGTAAGCTTTATTACATTCAATCCCAAACTGGAACAATGAATATAATATATCTTGCTTCTTCGGCTTCTGATCTATGATTAGTATATTGGATGAACATGCTAATGATCAATCGAAATTTCGGCTGAATCAACAACACACTCAATAGGATAATAGCGACGAACAATACGCCAATTTCCGCAACAATCTACCAACCCTTACACTCGTCTGCTGCTTTTATCTTCCTTTCAGCCATTTATTCCGCCGCATCTTTGTGCCAGTGACACCAGTAAAGTCACCTCTCCAACCACTGTACCGTACCTACTTTTTCCTAGCGTTTTCGATACTTTATCTATACTTCATGTATGGGAACAGTATCCTCAAAATTGGAACCATTGTCAGCATTAACTATGCCATTGCAAAACTGGGTGGATCGTCTCGATTGATGCCAGCATTAACATGGATTTTCAACATATCCATTCTCTTTTTGAATGAGAGCCATCAAGGATACAAATTCTCCAGTCTGCATGGATCTTTAGCATGGCTAGTAATACATCATATCGCATGCATCTCATTTAATTTTATATGGCACCTCTTTTGCATGTATGATACATATAACTCTGTGCCTTCTGACATTCAGCCTCATTGATTTTATTAGGATAATCATAGCGATATGTACGGTCGCTGGGACGTCAACTTCAACTTTACTATGCTTCGCCTTGTATCATTCAACCTGGATTATTATTGGTCTCTTAAACAGAAAAGGGAGAACATTCCGGTGAGTTGAGTTGGCTAGTAATAGAGTTGGGCACATTTTCGCTAGGAGATATTTATGGTTAACAAATGGTCCCTCTTTCCCCATTATGTTAATAGAAAGAAGAGCGCGAAAAAGGAGTCATGACCGACAAAGAACGTGTCAATACACCTACATTTGCAGAGGATTACAACTTTATTTACTATCTTGCCTTTGCGCTTTATGCACCTCTTTATGTTGCTGGTCCCATCATGACCTTTAACGATTTTATTTCCCAGGTAAGGAATGAAGCTCATTATCACAATATATATTTACAAAATTATACGAAAAACATTACCAACAAATCGATCTCTTTATCATTTCATTCTATGATCATATTATACAGCTTCGCTATCCAAAGCATATAACATCAAAGGCACTATCCATGTGGGTCATACGTCTCATCATTTGTCTATCAACTATGGAGTTTACAATGCACTACATGCACATGGTGGCAATCAGCAAACGTCAGGCATGGGAAAACGATCCTATTCTTCAGATTTGTATGATTGGGCTTTTCAATTTGATCCTTATTTGGCTTAAGCTGATGATTATCTGGCGTTTCTTCCGGCTATGGGCGCTGCTGGATGGCATCGAAGCTCCAGAGAATATGATCCGATGTGTTGTCAATAACTATTCCGCATTGGGATTCTGGCGTAGCTGGCACAAGAGCTATAATCTTTGGATTTTGCGGTACATTTACATCCCACTTGGTGGCACACAGTACGCTATTTACAATATCTGGATTGTCTTCACATTTGTTGCAGTTTGGCACGATATCAACCTGAAGCTATTGGCCTGGGGATGGCTAATTTCTTTATTCATTCTTCCCGAGATCATTGCAAGCAAAGTATTTTCCAAGAAGAAGGTAAGATTATTGATTATTTCGCATTGAAAAACAAGAAAAATTAATTTAAGACACCACCAATGGATTTCCATCTTGCGATGTTAACATGATCACACTTTTTTTTTTTTTTTTTTTTTTTTTTTTTTAAGTGGGGCAAGTGGCCATACTACCGCCATTTATGTGCAGTAGGAGCAGTGAGTAATATCATGTTGATGATGATAGCAAATTTGGTGGGCTTCTGTATTGGCGTAGATGGAATGAAGATTATGTTACACGATCTCTTCTCAACTCTGCATGGTTGGTTGACCATGTTTTGCTGCTTTGGTGCGATTTTTATCTGTGCCCAGTTGCAATTTGAGGTTCGTGAAGAAGAGAAGCGGCGTGGCGTCTTTTTGAACTGCTAATATAAGCAAAGTAGAGACAATATGGATCGAATAAATGCGAGTATTTAAAAGAAGAAATAGTTTTAGTTGCTTGTGTGCAGCCTCACTGAATTCCAGTCGATGATGGTCCTTATTTTACAATCATTTACTTTCAAAGTGAGATGTATCAGGGCATGTACTCACACTGATCCAATATTGCTCTTTGACAAGAGATGAATGAGGTCTTTGAGCTGTAAACACATGTTCGTTTGAGACCAAAGTACATCTGGTTAGTACAAGAGAAAAAGATGGTTGACCCAGTGACACTATCGTAGTCAAAGCATTAACTTTAAAGATCACTAATAATGATCACAACCACTTTGTTATTGTTTATTCGGAGTATTGTCATCTCTTTGAAGGGGTATCCGCCAATGTTGCACATATGCCAAAGGAATAGAACCGTGTTAAATGACACAATTAGAGAGAGTTGTATGGCAAAACTATCAATAGTCCCTTTTTTTATTTTGTTTCTGTTGAAGGAGTGACATCAGATCGTGTGCTCGTTCCTCATCCTTTTTGATACATGTCCCTGTTTGACACATGCACAAGCATCATTGACATCGATAACAATTGGTTTTTAAGGAAATGCGGCTGGCGCGTGTCTCTCCCTCTCACTCTTTTTTTCTTTTTTTTTTTGCTGATAAAAATTGGCGACGATGTGCTTTTTATTTGTGAATTTGCAAGTATAGAAGTGTCATGCCAACTTTTATACAATATATCAATTCTGTCTTGCTGAACAGCCACAACTAATGTCGGTTAGCTCGTCTTTTCACAAAAAAGGAGGGAAATGTGATCAAAAAAAAAAAAAAAAAAAAAAAAGAGTCAACCCCTTTTTTTATTTATTTTTTATTTTATTATTATATATATATATATATATATATATATTATCATTTTCTCTACTTTCTGTCAACAACGACCCCATGAGCAACACAACGATCACGCTCTTACGCATGGTCATTCATTCTCTTTCTCTTCACGCTTATCTTTTCATGGTACTGTAGTATATCTTTTTTTTTCTCTCGATCTTTGGCTGACCAATCTTGTAATGATCTCGCCTGTGCTCAGAACTGTCGCTGTCTTTCTGATCCTGTAATATTTTCATAAGCTGACATGTAACCATGCATTGACCTGCATGCCGGCCCTGTCGGGCAACTGTTGTTTAACATTAAGCACGCATACATGCAAAAAAAGAAAATAAAGGAAGTGCAAAGCGTTGGTGGGACAGAGCATGGGCGCACTTTATTTTTTTTTTTCTTAATTACATTTTTTCCCCTTCCCTTCTTTTCATTCCACTACCCTCTACTTCTTCCATCCTTCTGTTCTTTCTACCTTTAAACTCCTACTTTCCTACTTCTTTTGCTTTCCTCACATTCATGTTAACAAAGGAAACTTCTTTTTTATTTTTTATTTTTATATTTATTTTTTTTTTTTTGTATGCCTGTGTTTTTTGAACTTTACATTCCACATAAACTTTCGAGACATCTTTCATCCCTTTTTCCATATTTCTTCACTCCCTCGCCCCTCTTACATTCTTTCCCAAGTTCTGATCCTTAACCATTAATTGTCTGTTCTTTCTCCGTCCTTCATCTTCAATTGATAACGTTTTTTTTTTTTTTTTTTTTTTTTTCCCTAAACAAAAAAATTATATTGCCCAACAATCCAAAAGAGCAAGATTCTACTTCTTGGTCGACCTTCGCCATACCAACTGGATTCACTCTATTTTCCATTCACTATACGATTGTATTCTTATCGAGCCTTCCTTAAATACCAACAGAAGTTACCACTAATATGCCAGAACTACTTCGCCACAAGAAATCGATCACAATGATGAAGATAACAACGACACCAACTGCAGTTACAGTAGGAACGCCTTCTTCTCCTTCCGCTTCTCTCTTAACAATAACACCAACACCAACAACACCTCCATCCAAGCCTTTACCCATTGCAACCGCTGCAGCCATCATGGTGTCAACAACAACAACAACTGGCAAAGCCGCGACAGTAGCGGCAGTGCTTGGAAGAGACGATCAATCTTCATCGTCTTCTGCATCGACTTCTCCCATCTCTTTGACAGCCTCTTCTCCAACCACAACAATATCACCAGCTTCGACACAGCCTCTATCACCCATTTTGGTCAACGGCCTCGAAACATCATTTTTTGACCAGGCTACAGAAGCTCTGTCGCCGCAAAGGCCAAGATTATCACCATCATCCTCGTCATCATCACTATCACTATCACTATCATTCTCATCCTCACCATCATCATCATTCACTAATCCTGATGAACAGTCTGCCATCCTCACTGCGGTTCTCCATAAAAAAGATTCGGGTACCTCAATGGCTTCAACCGCAACAGCGGTAGAAACAGGAGCGGAAGCAGAATCAACAGAGACAGATGTTTATCCTCCTGAAGTCTTTGAAGCAGGTACCAGCAAGGGAAACGACATCACTGGCACTGCTCATATCAACTGCAACAGCAGGAATTTGGCCAGAAAAGCCTCCGCAAGGCGGGTTCCTCAACCAGATACCGCTGGTCAATATTCCGCCACGATTGCCGCACCCACAGGTCGTGTCCTGACTCGTCCTCTTTCAACCTCCAAGCTCTCCTCCGATCCAACTGCGGCGCCTCATATCCTTCCAATTCAACGTAACAACCTTGCAGGATTTAATCTCGCCACGTTGGGGCAGCTGTCCCCCTCTGCTTCCACTGCCGCTGCAGGAGGAATGATGACGATGTCACGGTCCGAGACACTAGCATTCTTAAACGCGAACTCAAATAACTCATACTTCACTGTCCATCCAGGATCCTCATCCCGCGTGAGTAGTCAATATGGGGATTTACACGGACCAATGCAAGGAGGGACGGGGACTTCTGGAACTGCAACACAAAACTTAGATGGCATTGTGTTGCCAACGACGCAACCCGGCAGTAACAGCCGAACGACCATGTGTGGATCTGATGCAATCTCATTGTTGGACTTGGAAGACTCCCATAATGATCTGGTCATGATCGACAGTAATGGCAATAGTTCCGGAAGCGGTGTAGTCGGCCCTGCTATCGTGGGCGAGACCATTGCCTCTGCTTCAGCATTTGTTACAAGCAGTAGTGCCGGTAGTAATGGTAGTGCTAACCATCGTCATTTATCAGGTCCACAGCACCATAACGGAACGCTCTCTACATCCTCTGCAGCGCGTTTAAGCGGCATCGTAGGGTCCGGCAGCGGAAGTGGCAACGGAGGTGGATTGCATTTGAGTTCATCATCGAGTCATTTAGCTGGAGGGCCATTACCTTGCCCTCCTTCTTCTTCCAATAATCATAACAATAATAATGGGCCGCGAGCATCGCTTCCATCACTGACGTCACAAGCAAAACGAGACGCGATGCAACGTGCAGCCATGATTGCAGCAATGCAGCAGAATGGTGGAACCAAAATTCTAGCGGCTCAGCGTGTAGGAAGGCGACAGGATCGTCCAAGCAGGAACATTCGCTTTGGGGAATTCCATCGAATCTGCGAGATTGAACATGAGTTCGATCAAGGAAAGGTAAAAAAAAAAAAAAAGGAAAGAAAAGAAAAGAAAAGAAAAGACATTATATATTTTAAGTTAATGCATTAAACTTATTAATTTTTGTTGCCGCCAAAAACTTCAGCCTCTGATTGCCAATGGAAGGATATTGATACACACAGCGCGTGCTTTTCGGATTGAAGAAAACTGTGAAAAACGCGAAGAACTGGTAATACAATGCCTTCACAATTTTTTTGATGCTTTCAAGTATTGAATTACCTTTTATTGTTTATATTATTATTTTTATAGACATGTATAAAAGAAACAAGAGTTGAAGAGCTTAATATCACATCCTCTATGTCCACATTCCAAATAGTTGTATCTGTTCTCAGATGTCCTGGTAACGGGAACCAAACTACCAACGCTTCCATCAGGCAAAAGCACAAACAAAATTGACAACGATGGCCACAAGCAGGGCCTTGAGCAGCATATATCATCCACATCCTCAACAGCACAAAATCACAGTGACGTATCTAACTCTACAGAGATAGTCAACTCTGACAACAGCGTTTCTTACAACAAAAAGGATATCTCAGATGCAGTACAACAGGAGCTACTTATGAAAACATTTATAGACAAAACTGAACGAAATGCCCCAGGCTCTACAACGTCCAATAACGAAATGCGCTCGGAGAACCCATATGCTGGACATTTGAAAAATCAACATATCTCGAGATTGACTCAAGTACAAGCGGATGCGGTCGAAGATGATGGTATAGAGGATTATAGAAGATAAAAAAGAAGTCAATGTAGTAATGTATCTTGTCGTTGTTGCTAAGGTCTTGAACTTATGTACTTTTTTTTTTTTTTTTTTTTTTTTGCTCCTTCAAACATACATAACTTGTATAACAAGAACGACCACTGCTCAAGATCTCGGCTCCACAACTTTCGTTACTCCTACTATTCGAATCGACTCCAATTCGAGATAGCTTTTTGGCGCTGATCAATGAGACGATTGTAGCCCACAAACATCATCTTCTCTTCCAATCCAAGTACTTGGCAGATCTCAAAAAGTTCAAGCGACATTCCGCCTTCTCATTCGACACTTCATTCCTTAAGACCTGGGGCATTCCTGGAGGCCTCAATCTTGGATCTATCAAAATCAACAATAATTTTAATAATGGCAGCGGTAATGGCGCCGTTGGGCCGAATGGTACTTCTTTCACAGCTTCGCCTGTGACCTCTCCAGGCGGTAGCGCATTTGATCCATTCCATTATCAACAGTTCTTGAACTTGAACCGGCCGCAGTCTATGGCAGGAAGCCTCTTTAATTTCGCACTCAATGGTGGAGCCTTCTCTCCGTTTACTTCTGGCGATCATAGCAAGGAAAGCTCCTATGCGACACTAAGAGGAACAAGTGCAGCGAACGCGCTACAATATCATCACCAGCAGCAGCAACAGATCCTTCAACAGCAACTTAAGAACCGACCCCCCTCATGGATGACTGGCGCTTCAACAGGACGTCCTGGCATTGATAGGACCCTTTCTGGTTCAGCTTTTGATGCTTTATGGTTCATGAAGGGTAACAATGGTGGTTACGGAGGAGGCGACCAGAACAAGCCACGCAGATCCGCTATTGAAGTTGTCTCTGCTCCATTCTCTTCAGCACACGGAGATGGTGAAGGCAAGAGGAAGAATGCAGAGGACGACAGTGAAAGCTCAGGATCTGCAGCTTCATCGCTTTACTCATCTTCCTCAAGTACTAACCTCAGTAACCTTGTTGCTACCACTGCCACTGGCTCTGAAAGCAACGGTGGCGATAATAAGAATAGTCAAAATCAGGATAACAATAACAGTGGTAACAGTTATAACAGCAAGCAGACCTTGAGCCGTGCCTCCGGATACATCCTGCCTTCCAGCAATAATTCGACAATGATGATGACGGGAACCCTACGAAATGGATCAGACTGGGTGCGAGATGAGGATGCAGCTGTCTGTATGGTATGCTCAGTTACCAAGTTTGGAGTTTTGGTCCGCAAGCATCACTGCCGATTGTGTGGCCGAGTTATCTGCTGGAAGTGTTGTCAAATGAAAGGCGTAGCCCTGGTTGGTGATGTCTCTGCAGGAAACATGATTCCGTCTGAACTTCGTAAACCCATTCGTGTATGCCTTGATTGTATTGAGCAAGATGCACTCCAAGATCAACACCAACAAAAGCAGCAGCCGCAACCACAGCAGCCACAACAACCAGAGCAATCACAACAGCAGCATTCTCCGGTCTCGACCTCTTTCCCATTTCAAGGAGTTTTTGGTCGTTTGATGAGCTCTACAAGCACAAGCCCACAACTTGTCACTTCGATCTCTAATACATCGGCTAACAGTACAGTCGCGATGTCTCAAGCTCATTCACAGATGCCATTTTATCCACGTGGAGGCCATGGCCGAACTGGACGCTCATATCCGCATCATCATCGCGCCTCATTCTACAGAATTGACGTGGAACGTGTTGGCGAAGAGGACGAGGAAGAACAGGAGGAGCAGGAAGGAAAGGAGAGCGAAGAAGATCGAGGGCAAAGCCAAGGCGAAAGTAAAGGCAACGAGCGAGCCAATGTAGGGGATCAAGGAATAACAACAGGTGCAATCGAAGGGGCTGAAGGATCTTCCGCTGCTTTTGGTTTAGAGGCTATGGAGAGCACTGATGGATTACGACCTAATCGGAACTCTGTCATAAAATCAAATCATAGCACTCTTCGACTTAAGGATTTAGATCCTGCTGACATTAATGAGGATGAAGTCAACAACCAGATTTTGACACTAGAGTCTGAAGTTCAAGATCTCCTGATTCAAAACGCACCACTGATGTTTGGTGCTGCAACCAGTAGTCAGAATGCTCGAGGTGGAAGGAGCAGTGGGGCCGCAGCATCAGCAAGCAAGACACGCGTCATACGCGGTATACCAAAGGAGCTGCTCCAGGGAGCGGCAGAAACAGCAGTGGCTTTAGAGGATAGCAAGGTCGACGTGATAGTAGACGAGGATGGATGTGTAGAAGAGGAAGAAAAGACAATAGAGGAGTTACTGGCGGAACAGGACGAGCAACTCAAGCATTTTCTAACGCGATAGGAGATAAAAATTTATTACCGATTTATTAATTGTTATTCATTGATCTAATACATGCACATTAAAGTAATATAATTCATCCTTGTAGATGTTCATAAATACATATTGATACACTTTATTGCCCTAATCCTCTACTCAGCATTTCTATAACGATATATTCACTTCTGCTGATGTCTACTGTGTCCGTGAGTTTCCATTATTAACGTTGTTACTATCCGATTGATTGTTCGCACCATCACTGTTGTCTTTGGATGATGCATTGGGTTTTTTGGTATGTGTCAGTACTGCACGCCGTTTCTTATCTTCAAGGACCTGTGCCTGCCGGCGCTCTAATTCTGCAGCCTCTGCGATTGTCCTTTTGAGTAAATCCTTAAGCTGTATAGTCACGTTCCGAACCAGCAAGAATGCATCACCTCGCAAAAGACTTGTTTTGAATCTCTCTAGTCCACGCTTTTGTGTTCCATTAGTCCATGATTCAAGATAAAGATTTCCGACTCGATATGTAGGCGAAAAGGTTCGGTGTAAGAACGCAGTAGTTTGGGACCAGATCTGACTAAATTCCTGGCTAGTTGAAAATAAAAGTGCAGAGGTTGATATTCCTGCACCAACGTATGCTGTATTCTGAGGTTTTAGATTGTTTTTCGAATCAGACCCTCCAGAAGATGATGAAGTTGATGAAGACGATGAATTAGAGGAAGAAGAAGAGGAAGCTGATGATGATGACTCCTCGGATTCGCCCTTCGTCCTAGTTGATACGGTTATAGAGGACAATGAAATATTGGAGCGCATAAACGACGTAGGCATAGTAGGTTTTGATTTAGAGGTCGGTGCACGCAAATGAGAAGGGATTGATGAGCAAAGATTTTCACGACTGATGCTATTGCTATTGTTGTGGGTATCCATGTTTGTACTTGTCTCATTGCCTAAATTAGATGAGTCTCTATGAGCCGAGTGGTTTCGAGAATGATATCTGTGGGCAGAAGCATGTGACGAAGACGAGTCAGAGTTTGCTGATTGTGGAGGTTGGCTGGTCTCTTCTATCCCCTGTTTGAAACATCGAATGATTGGGACTGAAGGACATTGTGCGCCAGCTAATATTTTATCCATATCCAATCGAAAAAACACGAGGGAATGAGAAAAAAGGACAATAAAGGGTTAGTAGCTTCATAGGATTAATGCATCATGGGGTAGAATAGCAACTGAAGGAATAAAAATGTTTTTAAACGAAATTGTGTATCATTCAAGATAGAGTCAACAGGTATCGACTTCAAGTCATAGCTCCATTTTTAATTTTTTAATTTTTAATTATATTTTAAACACGTACCTTGTCTATAAGTGATGGGATCTGAACTGTCCAAAGAAAGGCTTAGAAGCATTGGTTCTTGGACAAAGCGACTACTCATACCAAGTCGAGTAGAAATGCAGCTGGAAGGAGCTATTGCAGCTGTCTGAAGAAGCCGATGTAGCCGGTCGAAAGTATGGTTGCGTGTTGCGATAAGAGTTGATTGATATCGGTCATTGAAATGATGTAAGTAGCGTTGATTGGCTTCAGACATTAGAGAATTAAGCTTGGTCTTGGCTCCAGGCTCTGAAGTTGAAATGGCGAGTTGACAGGCATAGTTAATCCAGTCATTTGATCCGAAAGACCTGGAATTGTCTTGACTTGACTGAGCATGAGAATGAATGCTAGCATTAGTACTATTCGTCCTGTTAGTGCCCATCGTGAGTAAAAAGTTAAAATTGAAAGACAAGAAAGGAAGTAATGGAAATTTGGAAAGCAAAAAAGAAATGAAGGATGGGAAATGGGAACTAAGAGTAAAAAGAGTGACAGCCCTGAGAAAAAAGAAAAGCTCTCATTTGATTGGATAAAAAAGGAAAAATGGAGAGAGGTCATAAGACAGCTCCACTTGCACTTCGCGTATCCCAAGCTGGAAATACATTGTTGCATTTCACATGGCGACTAAACGATAAGACAGAGTAGTTGGTACATTGGAGAAGGCCAGCTTCGGTCCAATCATACTCTACACCCGCACGCCAAAACAGCACTTCGAAGTAGGCGAAACACATAGTGTCAATTCTAAATACCTTGAGGAAATTAGGCTACCTATTTCTGAGCCGCTCCAGCTTCTTCTGAACTTCTGATAATGCTTGGAAGCGAATAAAACTGACTGTGGAGTTGATACTACTTTACCGAGACAGGACACGCCCGTGCTATTTCTGCAAAGTCCATGGCATCGCTACGGGTTACAGAAGATGGCTTCTTTAATGGGAAAACTGAGAATAGTACAGGGGGCACCTGGCAAAAAAAAAATTAGTGTTGCAAAGCTGCTGTTGTTGTCGAAACAACCTTGTCAGGATCAATGCCTACTACCGAGGCGACCGCGCGATTCCTAGATAATACAGCTCAAGGAGAAGTCAATAAAAAAGAAGCCATATTGAGTGATAAAAAAAAAAAAAAAAAAAAAGCGTAGCGAAGCAGTCCTCATGAAAGTGTAATTACATAAACCAATGTTTGCAGTACATTGCACATTTAGAGAAAACAAGCACAGTAACTCATGGATCCAGAGGAGGAATTATTCCCGTTTGAAACAGAGGAAGAAGAATTAGTCGTCTCTGAAAGTGCCATCCGACCACCCTCAGGAACAGACAAGGCTTTGCTAAAATCATATACCTATACGACTCCATTGCCTACATTACTTGAACCGGATCAGGAATGCATCCTTGGCGTAGACGAGGCTGGGAGAGGACCCGTTTTGGGACCCATGGTGTATGGTATCTGCTACTGTCCACTGTCCAAAGCAGATGAGTTAGCAGGCCTTGGCTTTGCAGGTATGGGCTACTACCCCACCTCTTCCACGGCTGCAGATCGCTTAATCCCATAGTCTTGAACAAGCTCGCCTTTTAACTATTCAATATATCACCTACTTGCACCCTCCAAATATACCCTAGATTCTAAAACTCTCAAAGAGCACGAGAGAGACAATTTGCTAGAAGTTATTACATCACGGCCAGATTTGATCGGATGGAGCGTTCGGATCCTTTCACCCATGGATATCTCAAATAGTATGCTCCGAAAGTAAGAATCCTTTTATTTAAGCACAAAAAGTTCTCTAGATCATCTTCTGGATCGGATGATCACTAAGCACCACTACATTACTAGGGAGAAATACAATTTGAACGCACTAGCTCATGATACGACAATCCAGCTCATCCGTGAAACTCTAGCCTCTGGAGTGAATGTGAAAGAAGTACGAGCCGGCAATTTCTTCGAATTGACTAATCATCACAATATTTATTGCTTGCAAATACCATCAGAGGTATGGAGCAGCTAACGTCACTCTGAACATCATCATCAAAATGACTTTTGAATTAGGTCTACGTCGACACAGTGGGACCACCAGAAACATATCAGAAAAAACTGGAGGGACTGTTTCCATCTATATCCAAGATTGTTGTTGCTAAGAAAGCTGATTCCAAATTCCCTATTGTCTCTGCTGCCAGTATTTGTGCCAAAGTCACACGCGATGATGTTCTAAAACATTGGATCTTTGCAGAAACAGGAATGGATGATACAATATCTCGTCAATTCGGATCTGGATATCCATCTGGTAAACATCCTTACCACAACAACAAAAAAGAAAGATGAAATTAGGGAAATACATCTGTCTGCTAGTTTTTGATGTGACATCGTGATGTATTGATATGGCTCCTTCATAGATCCCAAGACTGTTTCGTGGCTCAAAGCAAACATGGATCCAATATTTGGGTATCCAAACATTGTGCGCTTCAGCTGGCAGACCTGCAAAACGTTGTTGGAGACATCAGGAAAGACTGTTCGCTGGTAAGTATTTATATTTATGCGCAAATGCTTAATATTGGAGTGCACCAACAATAGCTGATCTTATTTTTGATATCACGTTGGTGAGTAGGCCTGATGATGATGAGAGTCGTTCGCAGCCCAGGATTACCGCGCTATTTGGCCAGGCTGGGGGGGACACAGTAGAGTTGACAAAGCAGAAGCGAAAGTACTCTACGTTTGCTTCAAAAACAAATCCTCGACCCCGTCCACAGCTCATGCAAGACATGGCCTTGAAGAACGTGATTGATTTTTAAACAGCCAAATAAAGTTAATAGGCATCTAATAGCCACCTTTTTTTATTATTCATTCTTGTTCATGGAGTGCCACTAATGCCACCAGAACAGTCGAATCCACGAGGGGCATATGCTCGCCAAGGAGGAGGAGGAAGAGGAGGGTGGGGCTACTTCCGGGGACGTGGTCGGGGGAAGCGACATGGTGGTGATGGTAGTTGGTTCAATGAGAATGGTAGCGGCAGGAATAATTTGTACCCTGGCCGTTCACAGAATCCCGATGCAAACGAACAAAACGGAAATAAACGCTGGCAGAGGCCCAGAACTTCAGCTCCTAAAAACCAGAATCAGGATCAGGATGAAGATGGTATTGTCCCTGATGTCAACACTATAATGGTGCAGGCGAATGAAATACCTGCAGCGGCGTTGCAGATACAACGTACGGCGCCACCAATGTCAAAACATGTTGTTAGTTGCCCATGGAAGGACTGGGACGTATATTTTCCACAGGAAGGTAAATTAAACCGAACCGTGGAAGCCTATCGTTCTATTCTTTTTTTCCCTTAGCGGGCATGGAGCATTAGCTGTCATAACATGTTGACCCTTTGTAATCTTTGTTGTAGTCTACCATTCCCAACATGAATTTCTTCCATGGATTGCTGAGTTCAAGAGATATATTCAAGACTATCATCTTTATAGACTCAATAAGGTGCATATACTTGCTTTTATTTATAAGAAAGGCTAAAACTTCGGTAGATAATGCTTCAACAGCTCACATGGCTTTTATGGAGCACGTTGCATATTTTAGGAGCATCAATGTGCTATCGCACAACGAAGGGTCTTGGTTGTGAACCTCAAGAATTTGGTTCAAGCATGTAAAATTGAGGATCTGATGAAGCTTATAGTTGAACGGCCTACAGATATTATTGGCTGTATTACCTTGGCTGCCATTCAGGTAAAGCACACTAAATAAAGGTTACGGCATCGCGGTTCATATTATCAGGACGACTAGCATTAACTTCGCAACACTACACATAAACAGGCTATTTTTGGTGAAGAAGCAACGAAGACGACCCAACAAAAGCGATTTACAGTGCGGTTCGCCTGTTTCGACAAGATTACACGTGGCAAGGATCTGAAAGCGGACCTTATTGGTATGATATGAATCAAAGGAAGGGCATGCTGATTAGTATTCATCGTAGAGTATATGGATATGGTTGAGAGGCACGACGTGATACTGACTTCTGTCACCGTGTCACATATTTTGTGTTGCTACTTTTCTCAGGGAAAATGGTTTGTGTACGGGGGACCGTTGTTCGAACTTCTGGGGTGAAGCCTCTTGCTATAAAAATGGCGTTTACTTGCAATACCTGCCAAGCAGTTCAGACAGTGGAATTTAAAGACGCAAGATATGAAGAACCAACAAGATGCCTCCAAGTTGGTTGCAGGAGCGGGAAATTTACGCCGCAGCGTGGAATTGACTATGAGACAGAGACTGTCGACTGGCAAGTCATTCGGTGAGAAAACTGATACTGTATGAGGCATGTGTTTGAAGAGCTTTGGATTTTAGCGACAAACCCCCCCTATTAATTATGCCTGCATTCATTGCTATTAGATTACAAGAGAAACTCCCAGATGACAGATTGGACTCTGGCAGGGTCCCAAGGTCGATTGAATGTGAAGTTATAAACGATCTTGTGGACCGTGTCATTCCAGGAGATGTCGTAGAGATCACTGGGATTGTCAAGGTTGCTCAAACCGAAAAAGGTTCGAATTTTAGCTTGTTCTGCAATAATGAAGACTGAAATCGACATAGTAGATCTATGGCATGGCTGACAAATAGAGTTTTCGTTTGGTGCATAGCATATCATTCCCGAACAAGAACTGGAAACACTATGTATTTGCTTTATATTGACGTCAACTACCTACAAAAGTCCAGTATGACCACTGTGGATGAGGAAGAAAACGATCAAGATTATGACCCGAAAGGATCTTCCAAAGACAGTAAGGACAGCATCCAGATCAATACTAGGGATCTCTACGCAATCGAAGACATTACTCGGGAGCCTCAGCTATTTAAGCTTATCGTCAATTCATTCTGTCCTCTAATTTTTGGTCATGAAATGGTCAAGGCCGGAATCCTATTTGCGCTCTTTGGTGGTAGAAGACGTGGCAACAGTGCGATAGACCGAACTGTCACTCGTGCAGATCCCCATGTTTTGGTCGTTGGAGATCCCGGTCTAGGAAAGTCTCAAATGCTATCTGCAGCTGTGAAGGTAGCTCCTCGTGGTGTTTACGTCTGCGGGAGTAGTGGAGTATCTACTGGCGGATTAACTGTAACACTAGTCAGAGGTTCGGGGTCTGATTTTGCGCTTGAGGCAGGAGCTTTGGTTCTAGGTGATCAAGGATGTTGCTGCATTGATGAGTTTGACAAGATGACAACAGATCATAATGCCTTGTTAGAGGCAATGGAACAACAGTCGATCAGCATTGCCAAGGCAGGAGTCCTTTGTACATTGCCTGCTAGAACCAGTGTAATTGCTGCTGCAAACCCAAAGGGTGGTCATTATAACACTGCCAAGTCAGTGGCAGAGAACCTGAAGATGAATGGTGCACTATTGTCTCGTTTCGACCTGATTTTTATCCTGATGGACAAACCTGATAGCGAAATGGATAAATATCTCTCTAGGCATGTGATGGCTTTACATGCAGGACATGCAGCAGACAAGCGAGCTCTTAGGCCTACCTCCTCTCAAGATAGTGAAATGGATCGGTCGCACCCCTCGGAATCGAGCGACACTAAAGCAAGAATGAGTGACCCTTTATCGGAACGTCTAAAGATGACAAAGGAAGATGATTTGCAGCTCATTGCTCAACCGCTCTTGAGAAAATACATTGCTTATGCTCGTCAATATGTGCATCCAAGGCTCTCGCCGGAGGCGGCTGCAATCCTACAGGACTACTATCTTGCTCTTCGTGAGCGACATCGATCACCAGATGGCACACCAGTGACGACGCGGCAATTAGAATCTCTAATCCGAATGGCTGAGGCAAAAGCAAGGATAGAGTTACGCGAGCTTGTAACAAAGAGAGACGCAATGGATGTTGTGGAGATCATGTAAGTGATTTTAGAGCCGCCAGGGCGTTGTTGTTACTTATTATTTCTCTACGAGTTCTTCACTCATGTACTTCTGAAATATATGTTTATAATCTCGTTTTCTGCATTATTCAGGACGTTCAGCTTGCGTGATGCATTCGGGTCAGGGCAGGGTCTTGGCCCCAGTCAAGGTCAAGGATCATCTGGTCGCGGAAAAGGAGCTGCTATAAAAAGGTAATGCTTTTTTTTTTTCTTTTTTTTCCTCACCATCAATAAAAATCTGACGTTTTTTTTTTCTTTTTCCGACATTATCGTGAAAAATGATAGATATGTCGCTCAGTTGCAGAAGATCGCAAATGAAACATCAAGCAGCATGTTTTCTTACGAGCAATTGTATCGTACATTCCAGGACATGCAGTTTTCGGACATTACTGGCGGGTTTCAGGGGTTTATCGAAACTCTTAACAACCAAAACTTTCTGCTCAAAAAAGGATCGCGAACATATCAGCTTACCATGGTCATGTAAATACACCTAGACATCCAGAGCAATAAAAAATAAAAACACTAGGGCCTATCAATCTTGAAAGAGGAAATATCGTCTGCTTCGTTTACTCAGTACAGTAATGCATTTCATCACATGGGTTTACTCAGTACAGTAATGCATTTCATCGCATGTGTGAAGAAAGTATATAAATAAATAGCCTCAATGTACAGTCACCTAGAAATAAAGTTTGGACAAAATGGATTTTCTTGATTTTTTTTTGAACAACCTGGACAAACAGCTCATATGCAACATACATAAAGACTTCATCAATACACATGAAATTTTACATGCTCACTAAAGAGGTCAATACTGTTATTTATTGGGGTTTTGAAGACGGCATTGTTAGAGTAGCAAAAGTGCCATGTAGGTTCAATAGTGAGTGTTCCTACCATCGACCCCATTCACTTCTTCCAGCCTTTCGGGCATGGTAGCGACAAGGCTGGCCAGCCTCTCTTGCGGTAAATTATTCCACTCTTCGATAAGAGCCCGTGTGAGAGTGGGAAGATCTCTTGGCCCTTTAGCGCGCCTATCGAGTGCATCCGCAAGAAGTGACCATACATGTTCAATAGAGTTCAAATCTGGGGAGCATGAAGGCCAGTCTGGAATCCTCGGGATGCTGTTTTTTTCGCGCCATTCTTTTGCAATCTTACAAGTATGAACTGGAGCATTATCCTCCATAAGTATGCCATCCCCTACCTCAGCCATAAATCTGGCTAGCTCGCCTTGATATACATCTTCCACGAAACACCGTCCATCTTTACGACCTCTTTCAAATACAACCAACCGAGACTTTCTGGTTGCTGTGAACGCCCCCCAGACCATCAGAGTTGTTCTACCACTTTTGAAAGTGGGTGGGAGGCAATCATGATCGTACTTTTCCTCTACTTTACGCCAAACTCTTATTTGACGAAAATGCTCACCAACTTCAAATGATGATTCGTCAGTCCAAACTACCCGATTCCAGTCTTCCATGGACCAACTCATATATTTTTTGACAAACTGCAGCCTCCTTTTTATATGTCCTTCTTTTAAGAATGGTTTTTTTACTGCAATCCGGCTGAAAATACCCAGTGAATGCAATGCCTTCGCAACTGTCCTCTCGCAAACTTTGTTCGGCAATTGGTTAGTGATATCATTAAGAGTACACCTTCTATTCTGCTTAGTATGGCGAACGATGCTCCTGAGGTCCCGTTCACTTAGTACTTTGGGCCGTCCTGGGATCGGAGTGCAAGCAGTGGTGCCTCTTTCTTGGTACACCCTGATAATATTAATAACAGAGGTTCGGGGTACACCGCGTTGCAATGCGATTTCCGCAGCCTTCATGCCCGCGAGGTGCATTCCAACGATGATACCTTTATTCTCAATGTCTAAGTGTCTCGCCATGGTGGTTTACTCAAGCTGTTTGTATGTGAAAAACAGGAAGGAAAGAGATTGAAGGAAACGCTTCCCTACGTAACTATTTCAATATTTTATTTTTTTGTCCAATCTTTGTTTCAGGTGACTGTACATGTACAGTATACAAATCATCATTGGCCAAATGAGCGATTGTTGGGTGAGAAGTATTAAACAAAATTTATCCGATCAGTGCTCACAGAACATCAAACGAACCGAGCATGCACTCAATAAGAACAGGGATGTGATGCTTTTCTTTCTCTCTCTTTCTCTCTATCTTAAAAACCAACGAAAATCTCGCCATGACTCAGCCAAAGAAAGTTGTTCTCGTCACCGGTTGCACCACTGGAGGCATCGGTTATGAAGTTGCCAAGTCATTCGAAAGAGTAAATGATTCTGTTACATTTCACATTGAGTTCAACATGTATTATTGAAGATTCTAATAGTCAAAAAAAAAAATTCTTCCTTCTTTTTTACTTTACACTTGTAAATATACAACTAGAACGGATGCAGGGTTTATGCTGGGGCTAGACGCGTGGAAGCCATTACAAACATTGAAGGTATTAAGAAATAGCTTAATGGTATTAATTTCTGCTCAGGGGCTGCAACTAATGTATATTTTTTCGGCAACAGGACTTGATATTGAGAAAATCTATATTGATGTTGTGAATGAGCAATCCATCAAAGAGGCTGTAGAGGTAATATACAATAACTATTCGAAATAGTCTTGTAGAGCTACTATTACTTTTGACTCTTTATTGTTCTTTTACTAAAGTGTTTTATGTTGACCCAATTCCGATATTCTAATATAGCACATCATCACTAAGGAAGGCCGAATTGGTATGTGTTAAGGCAGAATAAAATGACAAAGTAAACTCTCAATATGTTAAAATTAAGCATTCAACCATATTCATATAACCATGTTTGTGTGCACTAGACATTTTATTCAACAATGCAGGAATAGGCCTTGCCTGCCCTATCATTGACATGTCTGTAAGCTTACTTGGGGTCATAGAGCAGTAAAAACCTACTGAGAAAATACTCAGCATATTCAACTTGTTAGAAAGAAAGGAATAAGTAATGGATTTGTAATACTGACTCCCTCTTTTTTTTTTTTTTTTTTTTTTTTTGCTGGTGTTACTGTTATTATCGTTATTTATCTGTAGGTCGAGCAAACTCGCCAATTGATTGATACCAATATCACTTCGGTAATCTTGACGTCTAAAGCAGTAGCGCCTCACATGATTCGTCAAGGATCTGGTTTGATTGCGAATGTTGGTTCTGCCACTGCATATTTATCTACACCTTGGGGTGGCCTTTATTCTGCTAGTAAAGCAGCTGTTCATTCTCTATCGGATGCCATGCGCCTGGAATTGGCACCATTTGGTGTTCATGTCTGTACTATAGTTCCAGGTGCTATCAAGTCCAATATTGGTGACAATAACTTGAAGAAATTTAGCCTTCCTGCAGGTTAGTACCTTTTACTAGGAATATCTGGATATACTTTGCAGTTCAAAAAAAAAAAAAAAAAAAAAAAAAAAAAAAAAAAAACTAGTATATTCCTTTATTAAACGCGTGTATAAAACGACAGGTTCATTTTACCAATCCGTGTTCAAGTATGTCATGGCTAGAGCGAACATGTCTCAAGGTAATTGCCAGAATATAGGGAATATTGCAAATATGAAGTGAATGTCATAGACCAAAAGGCACTTTTTTTTTTTTTTTTTTTTTCCAAAAGTTAACCAAGGTACCCAAACTTCTTTTGTTTACGTAGCTCCGAATTCGACTCCAACTGCAAATTTCGCCTCCTATGTCGTGAGCAAGTGCCTCAAATCATCACCTCCACGCTACATCGATTATGGCTCACTCTCCAATTTGATTAGAATTATTCGATACATGCCCCGGTCTATTTCCGAATTCATATTTGCAAAAGAAATTTGGTCTGCAGGTTCTAAAGCAAAACGTGAATGAGGGCAAAGTCTTGAAAGATGGCAAGACCATCTAGTCCATCAGTCAATCCCATCCATCTTTAAAAAAAAAGTGTGATAACTATTAACAATAAACTATAACGACTAAAACAGCTGTTTGGTGTAGCTGGTTTATCACGATAATTTGTTTCCTATTATTTGCGCAGAATGTTTCAAAAGCCGGCAAATGTATCACTGATTCAAGCAATTTGAGCATTGGACCTTCATATCACAATACCATGATCGCACAACCAAGTCTAGGTGCAGAAGCTTCAGATAGTTTGAAGTGATTAATCGTCGGATCTACCAAAGTGCCAGCATCCTTCGGTTGTGGCCCATCTTTGTAGTATATGTATCGGATCCGTAAAGTATCAAGTTATCACATTAGGTACCTAACCACAGAACCAAGGTATTGATTGATCTCTATACTCGGGCTAGTCTTGGGGTCACAGCTTGTACATCGAGTGCATTCGAGGCTTGTCTTCAAGCGATGGCTGATCCTAAAGTTGTAACTAATGAACTCAGCGACGAGACCCTTTTCGTGGACGAGGAAGAGAAAGACCAATATGAAAAGAAGGTTCCAGCAACAAGAATAGCGTTTGGAGCATATCATTTATCATACTGGAGAATATCCCGTCAATTTTATGTTGAACTTGAACAAGTGAGAAGACATGAGTGCCTAAAGCTTTACCCTTTCCTTAAAACTAAGATAAAGAAAGGGACTGATGTATTAGCCCTTCGTCAGCTCCTGGTTTGATATCCCAACGTGCATCCTACTTTTTCCTGTAATTTTTGACATTCTGCTCCAATACGAGAGGACCTCATAGTTGACCCTCTTCCTCCCAGTATACCATATTGATATACAGTATATACCTTGACAATAGAGTGGAGAGTCCTATTGTGAAGGGAGGACTGTACCAAATACGAGATAATAAATGTTCGTGATGTACCAAAGTAAAAGTAAGCAAGTTATTTACTTTTGCAAAAAAAAAAAAAAAAAAAAAAAAAAGTTATTTTCATTAAGGATCTCTTGTGGGTGTATTGGTAACTATCTGATTTCTTACTTTGTAGAAGTAGGTGCTTACCGATATTTACCGATTTCTTACCTTCGTAAAATGTAAGAAGTAGGAGCTGTCCGAAATTCTTAGTATTTTTTTTACGGTGACACAGTCCGCCTTCATCAGTACAATGTTGAAAGCCTTCCACGATACAGTTTATTTGATTTATGGGCCAAATGAGGTCAGAATCTTCTTTTTAGACAAATGTGCCGATTGAGAATGCCCTTGCCAAAAGATACTCATTGCGTTTGTATGCCGATGTTGAGGGACAGTTATTGGATAGAAAGTATAAAAAATTTAATTGAAATGCTCCCAACAATCATAACCTTAGAATTACATATTTTTTTCTTCCTCAAGGATCGAAACTTGGTGCTAAGCCCAAATCCACTTCTATTGAAGTCTCAACAAAGGCCATTACTAAATGGTTAATCTGTTTCCTACTACCTCAGATCCGCCTATACTTATGTGTCATGGACGGGGTGGACTTCTTTCAAAGCTGTTAGGTTTATCTACAAGAAGAAGAAAGATAAAGTGAAAGACCCGCGTCTCGAGTATATGTCAAAATCTGACGCGCTCCTTACATGCGCCACCAAATTTGCAAATAACAAACATCTCCTTTTGACATTATTGTTGTATTGTAATACAAGCATCGATGCTACTCTAAGCTTACCTTTATTTCCCGAGCTTACTGAAAACAGCTCCGAACATTTCCTACACTTTCCTTCTTATGTTTTCAGGAACATAGACTCGAAGACTCGAGTAGCTTCAGCTTTCTTCCGATTCTCTCCTATGAGGCAAGAATTTGCTATTATGTATATATATTATGAGTTGTGTGACGCCATTTCTTGTCAAAACAAGAAAAAAAAAAAGGAAAATAATGGGGAAATTAAAGTTTCCGGGGTTTTCCTATTACCCCTCCTTCTTGTCGACGTTGAAACTCAGCCCCGCATTCAATATGGAAGTTGACAATTGCTCTATGAGTGCCTATACTCGTTTGGATAATAGGGAAGAAACGTGGAGCGAGGAGAGACGCTACATGACCTGATTTCTTGCGACAAAGGTGCGTACCCTATTGCGCATAATAGTAGACGCTTATCTCATCGAGCTTCGATCACCAATCCCCCGCTTTGTTACCTTTTTTTAGTTTAGAGGCTAGTTTATATACCGAAATATGCATAGTCTGAGTGGTTCAAGGACATATTGGGTTCTTCGATCTGCCAATGAATTGTAGACCTTCTACTAAGGAAAGATTTATCCAATGAGTGTATTAACATATATAATATAAAACTTGTACAATTTTTTAATTACAGCGATAGTGAACTGGAGTTGATTAGACATGGGTACTGGTTCACTTTACATGTAATCTTCAAGCTCATTAAGCAAATAGGTATATATATACATATTCAGTGGTGAAATTACCAAAAGTGATCATTTTTGACTTTGATACAATAAAAATATTGGAATACAGATTTACTTCGGAGTAGCAACATGATATACATATATATATAATATAATATATATCAGTAAAACTAGATAAACGTTGGAAACGAGTGGGCAACACACAAACACACACAAGCACGCACAAGTGAAGGGAAAGTCGTTAGATTGTAAAGCAAAAAAAAAAAAAAAAAAAAAAAAACATGACGACAAATGCATCATGCCATATACTCTCCCTTTCGCAATCAACATCAAATGTGAACAATATCGAGCGGCCAAGTCCAAAATAGTCTAAACACCGTGTTATTTATACATAGATGTACGTTTATGCTCATACAGACAAATAAATAAATAAAAAATGCGGGGGAGAACGTTAAAATAAGAAAAAAAAAAAAGGGCACATTGCAGTTCTAGGATATCGGAACAGAGTGGGGAGTATCGGAAGAAGGACCAGTGCTGATTTGCTAGAGGAGATTTAACTATATTCGAGCGGTCTATAGAAATTAACTTGATCTTGTAATGCAAGGTGATCAGAGCATATAATTTTGATCTCAGCCAACACGCGAAATTATGAATGCCGAAAAGGAATAAAATACAATATGAATCCAAGGACAGCAAGAAAAGGAAGGTAAAAAAAAAAAAAAAAAAAAAAAGCTTAAAGATAAGTGGAAAGCTATGATTTATTATTTGGGAGGAGAAACATAGAGAGTAAGATGAGAGATCAATCAGTACATTGAATAGCGATGGTGATGACTATTGTAGAGATTGTAGTGAAAGCTCTCTAATAAGTTGTCGATATGATCAGTTTATTTAGCATGTAGTATACAAGGTTGGTATATACACATCATGTATCCAATACTGCTTTAAAATGGAATATTCAGGAAGTTGACCGACAATGTCAAATCCGTAGATGGTGATAGTAGAGCTTGCCTTTATAAGCATAGTGTTTTTTTATTTTATTTTTTTGTTTGTGAATAAACAATTATTTATGGCATCTAAACATAAACAAATATCATATGTGACATTTCGGGATAAATAAAAGAAGCGCGTCGTCTGATATGATTAACTTCAAGCACACTTGATGAAAACTGTCTTTGGTGAACGTGTTCAAATGGTTCTGTTAGTTCACAAATCAATGAAGTCTAACGACGACAGGAGCTGATCATAGTTTCAATATCCCAAGGAACTATGGAATAAGTTCTGGGAACATCCTGAGGGAAAAAAAGGGGAGGAAGTGTGATATACTTTTGTATATATTCAATTCAACTATTTTTTTTATGCAAACAACTTCTTCAGGACCCTCTTCTAGACTAACGGTAAATCATCATAAGCTTAAGCGTAACTAGGCGATGGTATAATATACAGGTTCTCGTGTTCACTTTAAATCCCTTAATGGTAAATAGACGCGAATAAAAAACGAAAAGAAAAGAAATCACGGAGGAGCAAGAAACAAGATGAAAGGCAGAGCACTGGAAGATCAGGAAGATATAGGAATCCAAAATATAAATGTCCGCCTGTCTCGCTCTTTCTTTATAATACATACTTTTGCAATAACACGGGCGATTTTTTTTATTTTTTCGTAGACATGATGGCACAATTTTGTCCACACTAGTTTATCAGCTGTGGTTTGCAGGGTCGCGATGCTTATGCATTAGCACGTTTTTTTTTTTGTTTAAGATGTTATGAGGAAAAGGGAGAGTGAGGAACAGGGGTTAAAGAGGAATCATTGAAGATTACAAACCTGTGCAAGTGCTTATCACCCAATGGTGAAGATGAAAGTTCAGCGTATTACAAAGCAAGATGGCCTTACATATACTCTAACAAGAAGTATAATATATACGTATACAGCTATGAAGCAAACATTTTGAAAAGAGTGATGGTTCATAAACACAGGCATGTTTATTTCAAAAGGAAGATAGGGAAGGAGCAGTGACAGGTGTGTGTTCAAGGAATGAGAGGCCACAAGGAGAAGAGAAGGGCCAAAAACGGCTTTTTTCTCAGGAAGGAATAAAATAAAATATGTATGTAGATAAATAAATAAATAAACAAAAGCGTGCAAATCATGAGGGAGGGCAGACATATATATGATGTATGGCTTGGGCGAATGAATTGCTCCTCCACTGTCTGTGTTTTCCGATACAGTAAAAAGTATATACATATAAAGTAGGATAAATGTATATAAAAATGCTATTCAGTCAAAATCTTGTCTGTTATCTCGATGGAGAGAATGCAAATGAGCAAGTGGGTTGAATCGGTGTGTTTATTACTCGTGAATCCAAAGGATTGCAAGTGCACAAAGCAAGCGGGGGAAAGAGTCTGGTAATAAATATATTTAAATGTTATTTGAAATATTTAAAATAGCTGAGCAGTTTGGAATTGATTGAAAGATAAGAACCTGCCCCTGCGGTTGTTAACCTTGTTTGTTTGTCTCCACTTTTTTTTTTGTCCCATGCCCATGCCATAACCATGCTAGTGTAGCTGATCGCTTATATAAAGGAACTCCCGTTTTCTTCCTCACTTCCTCTTTTTTTTTCTTTTTTTCTCTTTTTCTGCTTCTAATGTTTTCTACTTGATACTTTATAGCTCTCTCTCTCTCTCTTATATACTCACTATCATCACCATCTTCTCTTAACAAACTTGACCAAATTTATCACTCACATTCATACTTCTACACTTCATTATCCACTAACATGAACATGACCATGATGATGACCATCAAACCGACCCAAACCGCAAAAATCCTCAGCTTCAACCGCAGTACCTAGAAGCGGTCAGGACGCTCCTCGTCCCTATAAATGCCACATCTGCCCTAAATCCTTCCACCGCCTTGAACATCAGACTCGCCACATCAGGACACATACAGGGAACGTCCTCATCAATGCACTTTTGCAACCTGCCAAAAACGTTTCTCGCGCTCGGACGAATTAACCAGACATATGCGCATTCACTCAACCACCAAGGCGAAGAAGGAGCGCTCCACAGCTCCACTCTGTCACATCTCGATCAAGCCTTTTATGAAGGTAGTCATGGTTCCTTTGGCGAGAACAACCAGCAGCGTGCATCCACAGCAACTCCTCTTTCCCCTCTCCTTCGCCTTCTCCTCGTATGACATCTTCTCCAACTCTCAAGCAGGTGCGCCAGCAGAGTAGGGTTTCTCCCTATCTTCTGTGCAAGCCCACATCAAAAAAGAGTCATTTCCAAATATGCAGCAGCCTTCACCTCCTCTAACCGCCATTCTTCACCAGTTTCTCAGCTCATCTCCGACACCGAGTCCGATGCTACGGCCTCGCCTCTTTTCACACCCGAATCTTCGCCTGTCCCTAATGCCTTGAATCATTACACTCAGTCTTGTGATCACGTTCAACAACAGCAACGACAGCAACAAATCTCTACACAAATTCAATTCCAGAATAGTAGCAATAATTCCTATCATCATCATCAGCAGCAACAGCAGCAGAATGATCAGATCCAACATTTCCAGGGCTTCACAACCCTACCACCCTTGAGTCCCATGCAAAGCCCCAAGAAGAATGCACCAATGTTGTTGCCTCCCCCTGTGTTGGCGCCCTTCCGCGCCTCACAACCGGTGACCTTGCCTCCATTCTCAGATATCATGAAGTCGCTGTGTATTTAAACGACCGCATGTCCTCCTTTCCATTCTCACAAGAAGAAAGCAAGGAACAACAGATATCCTTTTATTATTGTGTTTTTCAATGACCTTTCCTTTTTATTACTATTGTTACTATTATTATTATTCGATTACTTGTATACATAGAACTTCTTGCTTGCTACAATACCTGCTACAACTATTTACGACTACTCTTACTGCTAACAATAGCATTGTAAAATACACTTGAATATTAATTGCATTCTTTAAATGACCTTTTTTATTTTAAATAAATATGAATTTGTGTACACAGAAAAAAAAAAAATGATGCGATTGAAAAGAAGAGTGAGAAATTTATCTTTGCACATGTGCACACGGAGATAACCATTTCTGTATACGTATATACTATGCCAATCCATCCTCTCATTGTTTTAATTCTTCAGAATCTGAAGATGGGTTACATAGATGATTGTACTCATACTTCCTCTGTATTTCTCTTTTTTTTTTTTTTTTTTTTTTTTTTTTTTTTTATTTTCCTTCTGTCTTTGATTGTTTGTATCCTTGCAGGGTTGTCTATCGGACATCCCATAACAGGGTCATCGAAATGAACAAACTGAAACTGATAAAAATAATAAAAAACTAACCAAGTAAAGCAAGGCGATAAAAAAAATAAAAAAAAACCCTTTTTTTTATACATGTCGACTGAATGGTTTTGTGCTTGGTAGATCAAGCATGAGCCATCTTCCCTTCATACACAGACACAACTTTCTCTCTTTCAATCTTCCCCGCATTTCCATTTTTGAAATTGGATCCAAACAAATGTGGGGAAGTTCCTTTTCCCTCTTTCCCTCTCTCTCTCTCACGCTCTATTGAGCCCAATTGAAATTCGGGAAGCAAAAAAGCCTCCCTCTCATTCTTTTCCATCCTAATCTGTCTTTTCCCTCGGGCACATGAATTCTCCACACCATTTATCTTTCTCTCTTCCCCCTGGGGCTAATTTACCCCGCATCCCAGTGATATGCGGAGGTTAAACCCCATTCTCCCTTACTCTTCGGCCCCACTTTTTTTATCCCTTATTCTTCGATCCCACTTTTTTCTATTCACGCTTTCCCTTCTCTTGTTCTTCGTTTATTACGGCCATTTCCGTTCTCCATACTTGAATCCATCATAATGTAGATAGACTGGATCAACGCTGCCATATACTTGATTCGTGGATACAGTACATGGGCAGAGCATGGATGCATGCTATCCTCTTTTCAAACCCTTTCCCATTTCGTAACTTTGAAACTTTCAGAGGCGGAACATAAGAACCTTGTTGGGAAATTATAAGAGATCAAACTAAAGTGACAGCAATGGATTCAAAGGCCTTGAGGCAATTCGTCAGGATCAGAAACGAGCTCTAAAACGAATGTCATAGGATCGATCTGGTTTCAAAAATTAAAAAAGCTTTGTAGTCTCATTCTTCACTTTCAGCCCATTCTTAGAGCATATGGTGCACGTTATTGTACAAGACAAAAAAAGACGATTGTTTTAATTGAACATACATTTGCATATCACTATTTACTGTCAACTCTTGAAACTGGATTTTGTCCCTTCTAGTTTTGACATTTTTGGGGTTTGAAGACTTCTTTTTCTTTTTCAAAAAAGTCCTTGATGGTCTTGCCTTCATGACCCGTAATTTTCTCCAGATCTCCAGAGACAAATCCTGCTTCCCCCTGACGGATGAGGTCCAATTCATCTAGAAGCAAGTCAATAGCAGCATCGTTTGGCACAAGATGACGGCGATGGTCACCATCTTTGTGATGACCTTTATCAGCATCTCGATGGTCATGATCACCACTTCCTTTGGCCTCAACAGCCCCGAAAGTATGAGAGGAAGAGAAAGATCTCAATAATGATAGAAAGTGATCAACATTGAACTCTTCTCTGCAATCCTTATCTCCTTCGAGTGATTTGAAGTAATCACGAAGTTCATCGCGTTCAACTTCCTTCACTTTGATCTCTTCGCCAATGGTCTCGCTTAGTTTCCCCACAATATCCTTCACTGTAAGCTTTTGAGGCCCAGTGAGGGTGTAGATCTTGTTCTTGTGGTCCCCAAAGGTACTGGCGCTGGATCGGGAATCGACGCTTTGCGGATCTTTAAGGTACTGCTGTTGCTGTTTCTGTTCCTGTGCAAGTGAAGGTTCAGAGTGACAAGAGTCTCCGTTTTGGCAATAGTCAATTAACAGACATGAAATGGCGCAGATGAGGTCGCACATGTCTAGCGGAGCCATCTCACAATCCTCAGTCGTGCTTGTTGGGAACTCTTTTTTTTCTCGGATGACAGATACCCAGAGAAGGAGGCATTGGTTCATGAACCCCTCGCGCAGGATGATGTAGCAGTCTACTTGAGCCTTTACCGCTTCCTCAATTTCGTGATAGGATTTGATATGCTTTAAATCCGATCTAGATTCCCCGGCACCCTCGACAGAGACCATAATGCAGCCCTTGATTTGCAGAGATGCCATCGCATCCAACACATTCTTGGCGAGCTCCTCGCGACGTTCGTCAAACTCGGGGATGAGGATAGTGCAACAGACCCCCTGCAGGCTTGACTCTAGCTTAGAGCGGTCTTCATAATCCACTTGATAAATTTTGACGTTCTTGAGTTTTTTAAGTTTGTCGAGACCATCAGTCTTGCGGGCGAGGCAAACGAGCTCAGCACCTTCACAGTGTTTATTGAGCTGTTCAGCTACATAGTATGCGGTGCAGCAGCCGAGCCAAGAATCGACACTGGTTATAGCAAGTCTCATCTCCTTGTAAGCATTCCTAGGAAGGGTGGAGGACCGCATAACTATCGTGATCTGTATGGAAAAGCGAGATAAAGAATAAATTGAAGCACTAAAAATGGTTTATTCCTTATTAATTTAGATAAGGAGCGCGAAAAAAAAAAAAAAAAAAAAGGTTAAGAAAAGAGTAGCGAGTTCAAAGGAAAAGGGAAGTCTGCTATCTTATAGAGAGGAGATCAGAAAGGGAATAGGGAACTTTTTTCTAATAATTACAATAAACAATAAAAAGCATGATATATTAGACTCATCAAAAGCAGGTTAATGATAATGATAGATGATAGATCGCTAAACTTACTAGTTGCGATAGTGTTGGATTATCAATATTGATGGGTAATTCTTCGCCTGTTTTATCTCTTTTATGTGATATTTACATTGGTTGTAAAAATGAGATTCACGTGTGAGGGCATATTTTGCGCTACAGCGTGTATTGAACGCGTCGGGGGCTGAGTTAAAGGCCCAAAAAAAAAAAAAAAAAAGACGGATCCAAAGCCACACCCGAGAGAGACAAAGCCCAGCTTTCGACATTGAACTCATTCAAAAGTAATAAAGCACATCACATCATTCAACATGCATATTCTTACAAGAGCAGAGGAGGAATACTTATTCAAGACCTTAAAAGCGAATGCACTCAAGGAATGTGATCCTATTGTTAAAGGTGCGCTAGCTTAACTTGGAGTGATATACAAAAAAAAAAGTTGCAAGGAAAATGTGCACGATAATAACTAAATAATTTTTTATATGTAATATTGTAGAATTTGTCGAATGTACGCATGGAAAATTGGTTACTGTCCTCTGGGGCTGTAGGGCACAGCATAAAGCTATGAACAAATGTCTAATGGCGTTGTAAGATTATTGTATCCCGGTGAATTTCCATGGGAATCGTGTTCATTTATAGACATTTTTTTATATTTGGGATTAACCTCCAAAAAAAATGCCTCTTCTTTTTGTTTCATAATCGGGGACCTATCCTTTTAAATCGACATTGTGCAGGACAACGCAAGCAGACATGGACAAACTCAAGATTCAATATCTCAACGACCTTGCTGAAGGGAAAGTCGACCATGCTAAGCTACAACGGGAGCAGAAGCAAAAGGAAGAAGAGCTCAAAAAGAAGGCCAAGAGCCATGGCCCTGGCGTCCACTAAGCACAGGGTCGTTTCTCGAAAGGAATAAAGTAAATAATAACAATAACAATAAAAAAAAGATGCAGTTGGATCAAATATAATAACAGCGGTTATAGTGCTGCTACTGTTGTTAATGCTGTAATCATGGATATTGTATTCTGGTGCGATATGGACCGTCGTACAACGGACGTGCAACATGTTATGTCGAGAAGGGTGTTTCCTTGCAAATGCTCATCCTAGAAAGACAGCTGTTGGGAATCCTTTTTTTTTTTTTTTAGAAATGATCGATCTGCTGTACAAAGGTGCCAACATATTGCTTCACGACATCCGCATGTCGTAAAGCCATTTCCTGATCAAATGCCTCTTTTGCTTCATCGATATCCTTTTGAAATGCTTCTTTTGCCCGTTGTGTCGCGCTAATACTCCTATCTTTTTTCTAAAAAAAAAGACATAGTGAATTAGCTATAGGCCTTGTCAATAAGTCAAGCAAGAAAATAATTGTTACCTGTGCGCCCTCTTTTATGGACTGGCTTAGAGCCTGAAGCCTTTCAAGGGTCGTCCTTGCTATATTAAGTATGAAGAATGTATCTCAGTCTGTCAATTGATGATCCGTTGAGCTTAAAGAAAAAATCTTTTTTTACCTTTCTGCTTCGTACAATTAAGGTCTGTATCGAATAATTCCTTTGCCTGCGCGATATTTCCTGATGATTGTTTGAGCATAGAGGCTATCCTTTGATGATTCTCTGTGAGTGATGTCCGCTTTTTTGTCTACGGTGTTTTGATCAATATTTTGAGAAGGCTGTGAGTGCAAATTGTGAAGGTCTGTGTGTATCATAGATGTAATGGTATAAAGATGAAAGAAGAGTCCCTTACTTCAAATTCCTTCAAAAACGTATTGATAGCCTTGTCGACATTCACTTGAGGATCACCTAGGATGTGCGAGTACAAACCATGTATGTCTATTGACGTCAAAAAAAAAAAAAAAAAAAAAAAAAAGAGAGAGAGGTTTGGCTGATTGCATGAGCCATTCTCTTTCCGTGTCCAGTTCATTTGCATAGGTGTGTAGTATAGAATGCCGTGAGAGCTCCATTTGTACCTCCAATCATACGCTGATTGTCTGGCATCCTTTTGATAGTATTCTGTTGAGTCTGCATTGTTCTTGTATCTGCTTGTGAGTTCAAAAAAAAGTCTTTTGAGCATTCAGAACGTCTACGTCACCGCAATTTTTTTTTTTTTTTTTTTGGTGTCATGCACTTCTCAGTTGATCGCTCGTTCATCTCTTCTGTCTCCCTCCCTTCCTCCATCTTTCAGCGCGCCTGACTATCGTCGCTCATTTTTTAGCCGCATCCATTACCTTGTAAGCAACTTGTCCACATAATATTAATTTTCTAACAGGGCATACTAACATGCATCCTACACAATACAACACACATTTATGTTGTGTCATCCTGGAGGGTTGAATAAATAATGCATGCAACTTTTTGCATGCTCTTATTTTCCTTACTTTCTTACTGGTACACTCAATGGCAGTACAATCTCCATGTGGGGTTATTCTTTCATTTTAAATACAACTTTACTGATACACATGAATATCAAAAGAGAGTGCTCGATGTTTTTTATCCATCTAGTGGCATGGGATCCATCTTGATACTTTTTGTTTATTGCATCAGAGTTAATTGTCTGGCGCATTTGATGTTTGAGAGATATGCTGATTCATTAGTGACTTAGGTGGTATTAGTCTGGAATGGAATGAGATTCTTAGATGGATGAGAGAAAAGTAGTTAGATGGATGGACATGACTTTTTTTTATGATGTTGACGTCTGTTTGCCTCGTTCTTTTTCATGTGTTTCTAGCAGTAAGACTACATTCGTTATCACTCTTTTTTATTCAACTGAAAATAAAATTTCAAGGATAGAAAGACAAGGAACTCTCATCAAAAGGCCCCTCGTCTTCTCTCCTCTACATTAAATCCATTCCGACTTCTCGCCCATCTTGCTTTCATTCCTTTCCCTTGCCACATCGACGTGCATTCGAGATAGTACTCCAGGAACGGATACCGCATGGTCAACAGTCGGATCCTACTCCACCCATTCATCGCAAAATCACGAAAAAGAGCAAAAAAAAGTGTCTTCTCTCCCTAACTAAGAATCCCTTGTCTCCCCTCTTTTAACTTTTGAGTAATGACGGACCAACACTATAATCCTCTCCTTTACCAGTCCCTATCCAACGGTCCTAACTCCGTGTATTCGCCCGCGCAGTCCTCGCCGGCGTCGCTGGTGGGTACACCCACCACCGCTGGATACCATCTTGGGCATATGGGCATGTATAATGGCGGCGTGCCACGTTATCCTGTCCAAATGAACTTGGCACAAAAATTTCAGCAACAACAGCAACAACAGCAACAACAACAGCAACAACAACAACAGCAGCAGCAGCAACATCAGGCATTGACTCATCAACACTTGCAGCAGCATAACCATCATCAGAACCAAATCCGTCAACAGACCGGTCTTTCGTCTCCAGCCACGATTCCTGCTGCACTGACGCCTCAACTTGGTGCTGCAGGTTCACATTATCAGACTCAATTGCAATACGCCACAGTTTCTCGTCAATCGTCAACTCCACACTTTAGAGCAAGAGCTGCAGCTGCTGTTGCCAGAAGTTCAGGACTGAGCTCTGCGGTGGTCATCACGGATCCAAACAATCCAAACAAGAATGCTCTTATGAACGGAGGAGAAGGTGCTGACAAAACTGGTGGGACTACTGCACCCAATCAACAGCAATGGACGACTTTAGATCTTGGAGGGATGGGGCTTAAGAACATTAGCCGGGAACTTTTCCGTTACAACTTCTTGACCGCACTTTACATCAACCATAACAATTTACATCATCTTTCACCTGAGATCAGCCGCCTAACAGGTCTCACAATCTTGGATGCCTCGGGAAACAAGCTAACTTCAGTGCCTCCAGAACTCGGAATGTTGACAAATCTCAAGGAGCTTTTGTTGGTGGACAATGGTCTTATCACTTTGCCTGCAGAGCTGGGTACACTTTACCAGTTGGAGATCCTTGCCCTGGAAGGAAATCCTTTGAACGAGAGTCTTAAAAATTTATTACAGCAGGAAGGAACAAACGCTGTGATTACATATCTCCGCGAGAATTGCCCAGGTGGGGGATTGGTTGAATGTTTTTTTTGGCCTATGATGTTTAATTTTTATTCCTCAGAATTTACAGGCGTTCACTTGAATTGAGTAACTCAATGATATTCATTCATTTTGCAATATTCTACAAAAAAAAAAAAAAAAAAAAAAAAATGTGTATAGTTCCGTTGCCTCCACCAGAGAGAGAATGGATCACTCTTGAAGACGATTCTGGAACTTCATCTGGCCAGGATACCTTTACCATATTCTGTTACAACATTCTGGCTGAAAACTATGCCACCCCTCAAATGTATGGCTATACTCCCTCGTGGGCACTCACCTGGGAATATCGAAAGGAGCTTATCCTTCAGGAAATCCTTGCGTACAGTGCGGATATTGTTTGTCTCCAGGTACTGCTTAATTGACGTTGGTTTGCTGTAATTGATCGCTTTTCAGTTGTAAAATTCCAGGGATTTAACAAAGGATCATAATGAACCTTACTCTATGCTGGTTATATATATAATCTGTATATTATTAGGAAGTTGAGCTCGGCCAATTTGAGGACTACTTTAAAGATCAGATGAAGCAACAGGCTGATTACGATGGCGTCTTTTGGCCAAAGTCACGCGCAAAGACTATGCCAGAGAAGGATCGAAGAGTTGTTGATGGGTGTGCCACGTTCTTCAAGGCATCCAAGTATGACTTTCGGATCATCATGACGAATAATACGGTTGTTAATGCTCAATGATGGGGGCTTGATTGACGATAATATACTAATTCGGATTGCTTTTTTTTTTTTTTTTTTTTTTTTTTTTCTTCAGGTTCACTATGATTGACAAACACCTTGTTGAATTTAACCATATTGCGCTTCAGCGACCTGATTTCAGAAAGACAGAGGATATCTTCAACCGTGTCATGACCAAAGATAACATCGCAGTGATCACACTCTTGGAACACAAGGATACGAAGAGCCGGGTTATTGTTGCAAATACTCATATCCATTGGGATCCGATTTTCAAAGATGTCAAGCTTGTCCAGGTGGCGATGTTGATGGATGAACTGGACAAACTCTCGAATCAATGGGCTCATCTTCCTGTCAGCGGATCGAACGCGCCGCCTTCAAACCCCACTGGAAAGCTACCAACACTGATCTGCGGAGATTTCAATTCTGAACGGTTCTCAGGCGTATATGAGTTTTTGGTCAAGGGGTCAGTCCCTCAGGGTCACGATGACTTTGGAGATCATGCGTATGGAACATATACTTCAGAGGGATTATCGCACAATATGACTCTTCGTTCAGCCTACAGTGAAGGAGTTGATGTGCCATTCACGAACTATACACCACCGTTTTCAGCAGTGATTGACTATATTTTCTATTCGTCCAACTTCCTCTCCGTACTTGGATTGTTGGGGGGTGTTGAAAAAGAGTACATGAGTCGTGTGGTTGGATTCCCTAATGCTCACTTTCCATCAGATCATGTCCCTATCTTGGCAGAATTCAAGTTCCGATCACAGGTGGCACCTAAAGGCGCCACACCCAACTTTGGCACAACATCCAACGGCGGTAATAACAGGAACAGCAGCAGTAACCAAAAACAGTAGATTACAAAGGAAAAAAGCCGGGAAATGTGAAAAAAAAAAAAAAAAAAAAAAAAAAGGAAATGATATCTGAGGAACGACCATCTTTATTGTAGAAATGTTCCTCATTTTTGAATTCGTTGAAAGCTTTTTTTTTTTTTTTATCTGTCTCAATTTTCTGAAGCCTATGCTGGATGGAGAAGAGGGGGAAGGGGAAGTATAGGCTTTTATTTCTTTTCTTTATTTCTTTTTCTTTTTTAGTTGGTGGAGGTTTTTTTTCTTTTCAAGTTACCCTTTTTTTTCACGGTCTGTTCATATACTTTTCTTGCATGTGATGCTTTATTATTATTCTTATTATTATCATTATTATTATCATCTTATTTCTTTTTCGTATTCTTTCTTGTATGTAGTTTAGGTAAAAACTTTATTAAAAAAAAAAAAAAAAAAAAAGGATTTGTTTACAGCGGGGTTGTTCTTAACATTTGACACTCGTGTATTTTTGATTCACAAGAGACGGTTCGCTCGAAAAGGACACATGGAATAGGATTGAACGCATGAGGATCTTTTTTTTTATTACTTGTATTTTTCCCAAACTATCTGTTTGGTAAAATAGGTAAATCGGATATATTGAAAATTGACATGTCTATGAATGCTAGCCTTAATATTCTTAGTAATCCATGAATCGATCTGGGAAAACGACAGGGGCCAAAAGTGAGAACCCGTAGAGACCATAACAGATCCAAGATGATAAGATCTTGACCCAGACAGCGGGCCAGCTCTGTCCGATCAAGATCAAATGCTCCTCACCCTCTGGCCTTTTAAATGTATTCCAGTTAGTCAAAACCATAGAGATATACATAGCAGCGATAGCAAAGACGATGTGGAAGAATGAATAGTTGTATTGGCAGCCGTTCTTCTCATCATCCCTGACATCGTAGCTCTCATCATCATCATCATCATCATCATCATCCAGTGCAGACACCGGTAGCGCTCTAGTATAATTGTTGAAAGAGATTGTAACAGAAAGATTGAAGTTAATATTAATTTTTTTTTTTTTTTTCTTCCCTCCTTGGTACGTAAAACCTTACCCGCTCTCGACAGCTGCAAGCAAAGCATCTGACCGGCGCATCGAAGACCCATTGGGGGGGCTGGTAACCATGGGCACAGCGCTATCGGAGTTGAGAGGAGCATAGTCACCATTGCTGATCATGGCTTTACCACCTTGAGTAGCGGCTCTAGATGTTGAGTATGCGACTGCCAAGAACGTGAACAAAGCCCCCATCAAAACTGTCGTTGCCCTAGTGCCTCTTGCTTTACTCAATGGATTACAGTCCAGGTTGTCATCATCCACAGGTTCATTTGCTACGGCACTGAGGACTAAATAAGTACAATAAATTACCACCATGGATGACTGCGCCAGACCAGATCTAGGATTCGCTTCCTGAACGGCAGGTAAGATACCAATGACAGTCACAGCAATGGAAAGAATAAGATTGAAAGTGATCCAAAAGATATTCTTGCTACAACCACTGCCGGCAAAATGTCGATACATGCCCCCTGTGAGGATGATGGCGCCCAAATACATTATTAAAGTGGATCCCACAAGGATAAACTTCCATTTGTTGGTGTCAGAATCCTCCCATTTGGTGATACAGGTCTCAGACCAGGTGTGTGCAAAGTCGACAAGCAGGATCAATCCAAAGAGAATAAAGACTGTTGCGCCGATTAATGCCACGTAGTTGCCATAAAACATGATGAATCCTGTAGGAATGAAGAATGATGCAATCACAAGTGCAATCCATGCCAATACTTTTGGACCCCACCATCTAATTATTACAACAGCAGCATTTTTTTTAAAAAAAAAAAAAAAAAAAAAAGTTAGTTCGGCTCTATCGTGTTGACCACTGCAACTCTTTATACAAATATTATAAATACATAAGGATGTCTGCTATCATGTATAATAGAAGTACATACCCGTTCTGGATAGCAGCTCTCTTCGAGCGCGAATCGTGGACTCCAACCAATAATCCCGCCAAGATAAAGTGAAATAACGCTAACGCGAACCCGACCCGCTGAACCTAAAGTTGATATTAATGTTGTCGATGCGAATAAGATTATGAGGAGGCATTAGTGTGTGCACATCCTGCGAATGTAAATCGTCATATGTCCCTCTTTCCCCTGTGTGTCGTGTGATTCCAATTGTTTCTATGATAATAATATAATTACTTACACCCAAAGTACCATAGCATGATGCATCCTCACATTTAAGTCTAAGATACCCATGAGTAACACTCTCTAACTGCTTTGATGCCCAATCTGAGAGTAAGATCCAAGCCAGCTATTTTTTTTTTTTTTTTTTTTTTTTTTTAAAGAAAATGAAAAACATCAGTAAGTAAACTAAAAAAAAAAAAAAAAAAAAAGTCTTGGCGTATAGAAATGAAGAATCAAGACAATGCGATTATTTACCAGAGAGTTTACAAGCATAATGAGCTAATTAAACATAAAAAAAAGGGCAAGGCCCTTGGTGTCAGTCATTACGAGTTCAATCTCTAAAAAAAGCTGTCTTTTTTTTTTTTTTTTTTTTTTTTGTCTTACAGCGTAGCCTACTCGTGTGGCGATCGAATTGTTGCAATTGCATGACCGACATGCGAGAGAACATGCAGCAGCGGAGAAGCATGAGACCAGAATAGATCCAACGCTTCCAAGCGCAGGCAATGCGAGGCAACTTATTGCTGCACCCATGTTGTTGCTTTATCGGTGATGACGATGTGGCCAAATAAACGTCCTGAATTGCAAGGAAAAAAGAAAAAAAAAAAAAAAAAAAAGGGATGTCGAAGTTGATGGAAAGAGAGAGGGAGAAAGTGAGGGGAAGTGTGAGTGTGAGGGAGAGTGTGAGAGTGAGAGTGAGAGAGAGAAAGAGAGAGAGAAAGAGAGAGTGGGTGAATGTGTATTGAAGAAACAATGAAACATTGTGGACAATGAATCAAGTGGCGGGAACAAGGTCGAATCGAGTCACTCACGTGCACACCTCAAAAGTAGATTATTCAAGTTACACGCACAGACTTAGACTTAAAAAGTGAGCTTTTTTTATCCTAACTCTAAAGATCCAAAGAGCTTGAATGGCATTAACAAATTAACGACATTGAAAGTTCAATATCAGAGAGAATCGAGAATGACACTTGTCGGTGGTGAATCACATATAATGTGGCACAATGTTCTAAAGCAAAAGTAGAAGTTAGACCTGAATCGCCGTTTAGTTCGTCTGTCTGCTTGCCTGCTTGCCTGCTTGCCTGCTTGCCTGCTTGCCTGCTTGCCTGCTTGCCTGTATTCTCGATTGAATGATGGTGAGGGGCAGAATAAATAATACAGTACATTGAGAATCAAAGATGTGATTGGAAGTAGAAACATATTAAAGATAAAATCTGGGCGCAGCCAGTTTGGATTCTGCTTGGCGACATTCTTCAAACAGTACATTTGCATGTGTTATTGAATGTGCAATTGGTCATCATGATATTTGTACACATCATGATAAAATAGTAAGACCCGCTTAGGCTTGTAAAAAAAAATGGGTCAGATTGTGCTCTTCGGGTAACGAAATTCATCTCACATTTTATCTGATTACACAATGTCACTCTTTTTTATCGCTTTATTGCAGTGACAGAGAAAAGTCACTCTCAAACGAGACAATGAGTTGCGCCTTGTTCAATTGAATTTCTTCTTTTCTTTTCATTTCATTTCACTTCATTCCATCATTCTTCATTGCATATTTGGATATACTTCAACCTTAATTTTTGCACCTCTTTAAACAAGCACATAGAACAATTGCTATTGTTGTTATATCGATGCAATGCCAGGCATTCATTCATTCTCTCCCTACAGAGATCTTAGCAGCCATCTTCGGATATGAAGGCCTTGCCGATATCACACGCCAGGTATGCAAACGTTGGCGCGCGATTGCTTTGCCTATCTGGCTAAAACGACTGGTTCTCCTTCCAAGTGACCCTTTCAAGGATTTAGGGATTTTTCAATACCTGCAACATCTAAGTCTGGATCTTCGTCTTTCAGTCCGTGCCCTCGAAATCACCTCACGACGAGATTTTGATCTGGCAAACAACAGTGTCTTCTATACCGAAGTTGCAGATCAGGCATGTGTTCAAAACGCGATCAAGACTCAATCGCTCCTAGGACCCAGGATCATGGATCTCACTTTGACAGACACAGGATGGGCCCCTGAAAGCCTCAGGGACATTCTACGCATGAACCTCATGACGACTGATCATCTCCATCATTTCCAAATCTCACTTTTTAAAACCGAGTCTCATGATATGCCGGACCTAATGGATTCAATAGTTGACCTCTACCGACGTGACGCATGCCATATCAAGTCACTTGTCTTGGATCTTGCCCAGCCTTTGACTATGGACCATTGGGAAGCTATCGCAGAATGTATAGAGTTACAGTCCTTCCACCTTGGGCTCCATCGGATATCTGAACCAATCTTAACTGATGTTCTAGAGAGGATCTTCCCTAAATGGACGAATCTTTGTGCCTTGTACATATGTCAGCCACGGTTTCTCTCTGCAGAAACACTTCGTTGTTTATACAAGTATTTACCGCATCCTGACCAACTACATGAGCTTCATTTAATTTTTGAGGCATGCCAGGCATCCTTATATGAACAGGAATTCATCGAGATGATCCATACAATGCCTAATCTCCAGATCTTGGAAGCCCATCTGGATTGGTCAAACCTGATGATGAAACATGTGGCTGTGACACTATCAGATCTTCGGGAGCTGTCCATAACTTGCTCGAATCTACACTTTACCTGTGCAGGGATTTCATCGACTGTTTGGGGCCCTGGACTCGAAAAACTGAATATGAGGACGTCAGGAAAGATTTGTGGGGGATTTTTAGAAGCCGTGCGGAAAAGGTCGAGACGCGTCAAGATTCTAGTTTATGGATCAATGAAATGGGGAGGCTCGGTGGATGAATGGGAGTGAAAGTTGAATAGTAATGATAAATTTTATAAATAGCTATATTAGATGAATGCAATACTCGGTTGATTCAGTGCCCATGACTCCATCAATTATGTAGATTGGATAGACTAGCAGTAACATTGGCTCAAATTGTTATGGCAGCCTTGATCTGCAAACTACTACACACGCAAACCCCGTTACGACTCATGTTACACAATGCAGGAAGAGAGACAATTGTACAAGCCCTGAGTTAACAATCTTACAAATCCATGGGCTTAATGAACCTTGTTTAAGAGATCAACACTTCTTTGCAACGCTCGCAAGCTTAAAGCTATGGGCCCATGATGTACGGTTTACTTTCGAAGCAATGTTTCACGGGACCAGCTACGATACTTTTACTGGAGGCATACATGTCCAGAAGGAGGGCATGGTCGGCACCTTGGCCAGGCGTCTGGACCACAATGGGGACGTTTGGAGTAGAATTTCGAGTAATTTGTGCCTGAGCTATGACTTATCTCCAACAAAAGCAACAGTAACAATAGCTCGAGCCATCTAAAAAGAAAGTCTGAGGGTCTATTCAAGTTTACGTTAATCAATGCATAACCAAGTTTATGTCTAGACCAGGCATTTGTAATCCTTGAAGCTGTGCTCACAACATTATTGCCGATTCAACAATATCACTTCAACCCATGCCCACACAGTCCTCTGCTACATTTCGACATTCGGTGGTAAACAGCAGTTTCTTGATGAGTAGTCACGACATGTAGTCCAAATTGTTTAATAAAAAAAAAAAAGACGCGTGCAGGGCACGCACCTTGTGTAACAAATGAAATTTAGCGGAGATGACACAAAGAACCCTTCATGGACATTTTTATTAAGGTGTGTGCAAAAAGAAGGGAAAAAAAACGCAAAGAATAAAGGAAAAGAACTGTTACCGACCAATGTCGTGCAAGTTTAAAGGCTTGTCAAAAAAAGAAAAAAAAGAAATACATTTCTGGATTGCAAACGCGAAGATGTTCTTTTTTTTTTTTTTTTTTTTTTTTTTTTTCCTGTTCTCCTCTCATTCAGATACTCCAGCAGCTTCTTCTGCAGACCGGGCTGCATGCTCAGTGCCGCGTCCGACAGTACGCTGGAGTTCACGCTTCTGGCCTGGACCCATGATGGCACCGACCACATAAGATGTCAACGAATAACCTGCATACACAACCGCTCCAAACAGACCTAAAGCGCCCGTAATCAGAAGGACGAGTCCCAATGCTGGCAAAAGGAAGGCAGATGCGAACATGGCAAAGCCGCCCTAATTATATTATTATTTATAATAGTAGTATTAAGAAAAAAAAATTAAAGTTGTAAAGCCATAAGGTAAAAGATAAAAGGTGTTTTCGTATGAATATTCTGATCAGTTCAAATCAGCTATCTGCTAACATTGCATCACTTTTTTTTTTTTTTTTTTTTTTTTTTTTTAAAAAAAAAAAAAAAAACCTGCCTCGACAATTGTGAACGCGATGCCCCCGACAATCAAACATCCCAGTGTGACAACACCCATGAACCCGGCGAAACAGGCCAAGGGAACTGCACTGAGGATGAAGAAGGACATCAAGGTGATTCGAATCAACATGGGCGCGCTCGAATACTTTTGACGAACCCAGTTGACAGTTGGCATGATATAGTTTTGCACAATCCCAGACCGTCTCACAGTATCAAGTGTGCTACGAGCTTTCTCTTGGAGTTCCTCCGACTCATCCATCATTTCACGAGCAGATGATGAGCTGGCCATCTTGATAGGTAATAGTAGTAGACGTAGTAGTCGTAGTTCTGACTCTTACCCAAAACTTACGCACGTGTTCTAGCTCGTATGCAGATTCAGGAAAGAGGCGCAGAACGGGGAGTTTGGTACTCTTGGATTTGGGCTGGAGAGTAAGCGATAGGGAGAGATAGAAGTGATACTTTGGATAGTGACAGGACGCCAAGGATAGAAGAAAAAGAAAAAAAGAAAGAGGAGAGAAAGTGAAAAGAGCCTTTCGTGAAGGCTTCTCAGCTATGACTGATATCAGTGTCTTTCAAAGAAATCACAAAATGATATTTCCATTTTGATTAATGCAACTTGCTCCTGTATGACAGATCTCGGTAAGAAAAAGAAAAAAAACTTTCATCAGTCGCGTGAAAATGGTAAGGTGTATCAAAAAAAAAGTGTGGTCATATATATTTCCTATATTTCTCTTCTTTTAAAAATAAATATGAATACATGTCATCAGCGTGCTTGTTGGGTAGCTGGCGCAAGCCTCTTATCCAAACCAATAAAAGCTCCCCTATTACCACGTCGTGTAAACTGCTTGTAATTAGACTTCAACCGATTTGAGATTTGCTCCATCAATTTCTGTTGATTGTCGCCAGATTGTATTGAAGTCAAAACTGAGGTCATTTGAAGCATTCTAGAAGCAGTGTCTGTCACTGGAATAGATGCATCAAAATCCGTGAAAAGCTTTGCAAACACAGCTATAGATTAAGACAAAGATAGCGTTAGAGCAAAGCACAAAGAGCAAACTCAATGGTGTCATCATCAAGTATAGCAATAAATCTCGATTTTATGCAGCTTACCTTCAAGTCGAGTTCCCATGGGGAGAATAACCAAGTCTCTAAAGCCAGTCAAGGCCATGGTTCGCACATTCTCTGGTTCCAAATCATCATGATTCCGTTCAGATTCGGTCACAACTGACTTTGGACTAGCACCAACCATTGCACTATTACCACCTGTGCCTGTGCCATTGGTGCTTAGCGTACTCAATCCACCATTGCTACCATTGTTACTTGCGCTCTGAGTCAAATTTCCAAAGCCTCCGCCTCCATTTGTGCTACTGCCCGTCGCTTTCCGTGTCATCTTTTTAGAATGGCACGTTTTGAGTTCAATCTGGAGTGGAAGAAAAACACCTTCAAAATACGGAAGAACCGTGCCGAAAAAGAAGGACCACACCTCTACTAAACGTGACACCAACTTTTCATCAGGGACATCTCCTAACTTGGCATTCAGGGTCAGCATTCCATTCTTGAGTAACTCATTAATTTCATTGCATAAAGCAAACGCAGTCCTTTTCTGTAGACATCCCCTACATGGTGAAAGAATATGGATTGAACATGCTGAGTCACATTTGTTTTTCAGAAACATTCAAACATTGATATTTGTCAGAGCGGCAAATATTGTAAAAAGCAGGGAGGCATGGGATTTGCAATAATGTCTAGAAATGGTCTTACTTAACAAGATCATTTAGATCCTCAATAGCTCCTGTTAAGCCCTGTCCGTTGAAAAGAGTCAAAACCTTGATACAGAGTGCTTGCCAGACATCCTCGGTAGCATGGCCTTGAGCCATTTCCCGCGCCATGACCTTTGCGTCCAAACTTGAGTGGTTATTTCTACTCATTGTTGGTGATGTCATGTAATGATGAGAGCTTCCCCCTACAGGGCTTGTAATACTACCTGTGGATGAATATGCTCTATCAATGGCCACAGAGGAATGTGCACCGGTTGGGGGCTGCTGCTTCCGGGTATTGATTGATGAAAGAGGCCCTCCGCCACCACCATTGCTACTACTTCCAGATTTCTTACCAGCCTTCTGCTGGCTGCTGGATGAAGAGGATGAAATGTCACCATGCGACTTGGCGCCCTTCTTGGATCCCGGGTATAGTTTCTTCCCTGTTGTAGGAAGGGTTTCTGTTAAGAAGCTACTAGCAGACATACCACCAAAAGTGTGCTTTTCCTTCTTGGGTTTCTGAGTGGGCGGCTGCTGTTGAATGTCAGTTTGACTTTGGTATGACGGCGGAAGAGGATATGATTGATGCTGTGCAGTTGGTGAAGGTTGATTAAGATGGACAGGAGACGACAGGCTTGCAGGAGAGGTAAACCCCCCGCCACTGCTACTGACACTGGTGGATACCATTGGGTGAGCATGCGGTCGCATTGGTGGCGAAGCCCAGTTTGGGAGTATGGTTCCAACCGGTGAATCAGCGCCACCCTGGCCATCAGTTGTGTCATTAGGACTTGAGAGGTATGTTGATCCTTGACTTTGAGGTAGAAGCGTTGTATTGGTGCGAATGGTAGGGTGATTCGTACTAGTCAGAGTAGACATTGATGATGCCAAAGCATTATCACTACTGTTGGCTCTACCTACGTTGCCACCCATGCTCCCAAAGGGCGGTGGCGGAGTGTATGGGAATTGACCGCTACTTTCGCTCAGAGTTCGACCCGACATAGCATAGCCATGATGGCTGTTAGAGCTTTGAGTCCTACTATGGTTCCTAGCCTTGCTCGGACCCTGGTTCTGATTCAGGCCCCTGCTCCCAACCCCCGCAATAAAACTGGCACTTCCATCAAGATTGTTCTGACTCCGGTGAACAAGACTGCTAAGAATAGATTCGCTACCAAGATGCTGATGAATAGGTAATGACCCTGAAGATGAGAACGATGATGTGGTGGTAGAGTTGAGGCTATGCGGTGACCCTTGTGCAAGTAGGTCATGGTGAGCAACAGTGGATAGTGATACTTCATGATTCCCGGGAGCGGAGGCAAGTGAATCGACTGAAGCAGACACCGAGCCTGGGCTCGGGAATGATTTCGAACTAGGATGCATGCAGAATAAATGTTACTTGTGAAAGTTAATGGTTGCTGTCAATGAGTGATAAGGAGTATAGCGTCCTGGTGGAATGCGCTCATATCACGTGGAAGATATCCAACCAGGCACAATTTAGACTAGCAGTAGCCCGTGCGATGCACAGGTGTGAATTTTTGAACAAAATAATTTATTATTTTTATTTTTATACTAATTGGAGAACGCTCTTGTATACAATGTTCCTTGTATAAACACCTTCAAACCCAGGAAATATGCCATTGTCTATTAAAACCCTCAGATCTCTTGGATTGGAGCAGCGTGATAGTGCAACATACAGTTGACCATGAGTAAACACGGGAGCAGGGAGATAAATACCCACCTTCTCAAGAGTTTGCCCCTGCGACTTGTTAATTGTCATAGCGAATGCTGGCTTGATGGGGAATTGATACCGTGTAAACTTCACAGGTGATGTTTGGTCATCATCAGCAGTTGTCAGGGGGATGCGCGGAATAAACACTCTTTTTCCTTTTAAAGCGCCTGTGATAACTTCTGCTTCCATGCATCTTGAGGTAAGACCACGCACAATAAGTCGGGTACCATTACACAATCCACGCTTGGCGTTCATATTCCTTAACAACATGATAGGCTGGCCGATCTTTAGTAGCAGCTTAAATGGTAACTTAAAACCTCTAGGATGAATGGAAGTGGCTCAATAATGGGCAATACAACTCGACCTCTCTGACAGCAGATGGAGTATTTAAAGTCCTGATTTTGCTTCTTATTACTTCGTTCCTCTTTCCACACTTTCGCCTGACAATCTGGACATTTTATCATCCGATCAAGGTGATGTCTGTGATTTTTAATACTGTTGCCTCTGATTAGATTTTCATTAAAAGGTCGCCTAGCAATGAAAGGTCGCCTAGCAATAGGAACTTGTACTGGAAGTGGAGGTCGTGGTGGGGGATGATAAGGCTCAAATTCATATTCTTCCTCGCGGTTACTTCTGTTCAGGTTAATGTTCTCATTACGTGAATTTTGCACCTCCATGTCACGCTCACTTTGATTTTGAAAAATTGAAAAAAAATATTTATTTAATTATTAGTTCAGCTTTTCCTACACTTGTATCCTACATCCTACATATACTTATCCATTCCTCTGTTGCTCTGTCGTGTTGTCTTGTCATATTGTCATATATGTTCTGCATTTTCCAATTATCACTTATACTCACTTATCAATGACGGGGATAATATTCTCAGGACAATTTTCCATATGTCCATGTATTCTTGGACGATTACATGTCTTACATCTGTTGAAAAGACACTCATTACTATTTGATCGTTCATGCGTAACTTCAACTAATTCTCCACGACGCGCATATTCTTTAACGCATTGGTTGCAAACCATTGTTGAAGTAAGGGAATAAGGGAAAGGGTAATGAATGAGGGAATGAAAGGGGAGGAGGAGGAAATAAAATCCGATCTTAATCCCAAATTGTCTGAAAAAAAATTTCTAAACGTGATATATCAAAAAAGGTAGCGGCTATAGTATATTAGAGATATGACTTGGTGCCAATTTCTTGGGCTCTTCGAATACAATACTTCTTCCTTAGCCACTTAGTATTGCTAAGACCTACTTTATCCTCCAGGTGACCTGGAAAAAGCTATAGTCTGACTATTAACAGAAGGCCTTTTATACCGTTTATGGGCAAAGTAGAAAAGGACCAAGAGTTTACAGTTCGAGGTCGGTACTGTCCTTTTGTAAATCCTCTTCATGATTTAAGCAAAAGTTGCGCCAATATTCTATCTTAGTTCATAATGAACCCATTTTCGAGCCAAAATCGATAAATGGCATTGGGCTTGTGATAAATTCCAGGGAAACCTCCCATCACTGATTTGGACATTGACATTTTTTTATTTTATGTAGCTCCTGTCTCAACTTCTGTTGGACTGTTAGTGCATAACTAGTATAGTCTATAATATTACCGAGCTTTACGGCACTACAAACCCTTGAACGCTGGTTCTCTGAGCTATGATAGCGCTCTGGATCCAACATTGCTGTCATGCTTCTCGGAAGCGAATCTGATCTGCGGCGTCCCTGGGTAATTGAAGCTATGGAGGAAGTAGTAACTACAATCAGCGATTAGAAATAGTTTCAGTATCTTTTGTTTTTTTTACCAAGATCGAAGCTTTTTGTCTTTCTTTTTGCCTTTATGTGTGTCTAAACTATGGGTTTCTCTTGTCGTTGGAAGAAATATATGGAAAAGTGTAGTTTGCCGTTCTTGGAGTCTTGAGCCCAACGACGTTGTGGCAATAATCTCAAGCCATTTGCGCACTAACATTAGCAGGCAGCGAACTGGAAGTCAGATCAAGGCTAGAATCTGGTCCCAATGCTAGAAGACATAGTTGGCAATCATGAAGGGCGTTGATAGCCTACTTTATAGGCACAGCCACCATTTTCTGTACAGCCACAACCCTTATCAAGACGCATCCATACCCAAAACTTTGTTATCTCTACGGGTGGATAGTATCGAAACTAGAGAAGAGAGTCGCAGGCATCACTAGTGAAGAATCGCAGCCGATATGTGGCTCGGCCACTTACAGGACCTGAATCAATGAAGAAATAAACCTAGGAATATCGCGTGTTTGATTGCAATTGATCCACTCCATCCTTTCTATTTAAAGTATATGTTAGATGGGTTTGTAATAAAAGCTCCAGGTCATTCGGGGCACTCTTTCTCTTCCTGCCTAACAGATAGGCTGATTTTATCTAGACCAGATTAATTGCTAGTCTATCCTATTGATGATGTTTTTGAATCTCATGAACATCGTCATCGTTTAATGCTATGCTGGCATGCAGACTGTCTTGGTTTTATGTTAAAAAAGGTACTTGTCAACGCTGGAACAAAAATATGTGAAAATAATTATTCATCGGTCATGAATGACATAAAAAGCCATGTTCCCGCCTTTTTTTTCTTTTTTTTTTTTACAATTTTAATCTCTTATGTGGCACCATACCTCCCCAACCTTGCTGCACATTCCTTTTCTTTAAATCCCATATTTACCCATCTGTAACTACGTCCTTTAATATTCTCTCTTCTGTATTTACCTCATTTACACTTTGTGAACTTGATTACCTGTTTAGACTTGTTCTATCCCTTAATCAAATCAAAACATATCAATTCACACATCATAAAAAGCTATTATGCCTAAACTTCGTGTTTCCGTTGGTGGATCATACACAGACCTTTCTGTTATCAATTGTAACGATGAACTTCATCCCATCGAGTTTGACGCCCCAGAGTTCAAAGGACGAGCCATGATCCGTATCAAAGACTTTGGTGAGTGAAGAAAAAAGAGAGCGGAGGGAAAAAAAGAAGCACAGCTATACAATACACAAACCTGCTGTGCAATAATGGCATTCTCAAATACGATTTTTGCATTGTCATTTATCAATATCTTTTTGTTCTCTGTTCGTGGTTGGCGGCAGTCGGGATCACCAACGATGGCTCAGAGCCTATTTTGAATTCTGACTACTTCAAAGGACGTAATCGCAAGTTCTCCATTCAGGTAACTAGCTGAGACAATTGCACAGCACAAGCCTAAGGAAAAAAAAAAAAAAAAAAAAAATGCTTTGTCTTTGGGGTCCTATTCAGTCTCTTCGACTAATACCACATTTCCTCTTTCCTTCCCTCAATGTTGATATTCTGGTCTGACAAAAAAAATCTTAGGTTGAAGGGCGATTTAAGCGTGAATGGGATGGTGAGCAGGTTTATTTCGGAACAGATTTTGATCGATCAGTTGAACTCCCTAGCAGCTTCGAAGCCATGTTCAAGATTGCACATTACATTGATCCCGTTGTTCGGACGTCGCTTTCAGGAGAAGGCAAACCATGGATTCTCAGCCCGCTTGTCTCTTCCATCAATGTCATGACTGCATGGAGGCCGCAGGATGTTTATCTATCCTCATTTTCTTTGATCTCACGTCACCATCAACAAGAAATGGCGGAAGGATCACATTTGAGTGAACGGAACTCTATGTGGGGTTTTCTGGGCAAATTGAAGAAGAGTAATCACAGCTCTGTGGCTGCTAGTGTTAATAGCCATACTTCCAACGATGTCTACGGTAGTCAAGCCAGCTCTGCCAGTAGTTCGACAGAGCACCTTGATATTCTGAACAATGCTGACAGCCACCATAACAACCATCATCACCTTTATACAGAAGTCCTGGGTTCACCACCTCCCGTCTCATCTTTACCAGCTCCTACCAATAACTCTGGATTGTCCATTCCTCTATCCAGGCCCGCCAATGAGGAGTTTGATGAAACAGACATGCCCCTTGGCCAATGGCGACCGTATCTGGAGGAAAACACATCGTTTTTCATGCCTAACAAGCCCAGCATGAGTACAGCTCAGCGTCGCAAGTATTTTCGGTCGGAAGAAGCACGGAAACGCTTTGTATTTAAACCAGAGCTTGTTCATGGATTTGAGTTCTATAGTCCGCACATGAATTTCAATAAGTTTGAGATCAATATGGGCTTGCGAATGAATATCCAAAGATATTTGCTTGGTCAGCCCGTTCGATATACATGTAGGACTTTGGATGGCAACACTGTTTTCTGGGCTGTTCAGTTTGAACTTGTGGATGAGTAAGTTTAAGTATTCTTCTTTACTGCCATCTCTACAAAGAATTATGGGGTCACAATAAACGTAAAGAAAGAAAGAAAGAAAAAAAGGCTCTCCTCTCTTGTGTGTTCCGAGGATTCATGAGAAATATATATATAATATATATATGTATACTCCAGTTTCCATTCCTTTGGGAGCAGTTTGTGTCCATGTCGGTTTAAACACCCATCGGGTCGGCAATGTCGATGTTAATTGACTAGAGCTACTGCCACTATAAGTGGATGCCTAATAAAGAAAAAGAAGGGAAAGAAGTACTGTAAAATAAGTCGTTCTATCCCTTTGATGGCTTACTGGCTGGTAAAAGCTGTTGAAACGCCCACCGAAAACAAAAAAGGGTTGGGTTTGTTTGTGGACCCCCTTGCCCACAGACACAATCGCAGCGAAAACAAATGCGGTTGTTGTTCATCAGCAGGCAGTGTCAACAGACCTTTGGATCATATGCGCGTTCACTTCACAAAAAAATGTCTGTACCCTCTTTTTGTGTGCCCTCTGTGCAGGAAAGCATGACCAAAATTGTATTGATTCTCACTCTTCTGTAATAATCTTTTTTTCTCTATTGTTTGTATTGTTTGGCACTCTCGCATTTTCCCCTCTCTCTCAACCCTCACTCACGCAGCTCTCGTATAAAAAGCTTTCATTAGAAATTGAATCTCATTGCCATGGACATTCTCTCACGCGTACCCTTTGAAATTGCATATCAGATTCTCAGCAAACTCGACATTCAGGACGTCGCCACATGCCAACGAGTAAAGTTCACTTTGACCGTTTGGAAGTTTTTTTTTTTTTTTTTTTTTTTTTTCTCTCTCTCTAACGCTGAGGTTGTCTTTATCTTGTTTATTTCTCAATACTTTTTCATTTTTCATTATCGCTTCTACTTTCTCTATCATATATCTTTAATTTAGGTTTCTCGGGAATGGTATTGGATTGCTACAGATCAATCTATCTGGAGAAATGTGTTTTTGGAGCATGAACGTGAATTTGCCATCCCCACGAAGCCAGTTTCCACATCTTCATTTTCAATACCAACATTGGATACAATAAACTATACCGAGTCATCGGTATCATCATTAACAACAACAGTAGAAGTATCAGAGTCAAAATATCAGGGACAGAATCATAAATCAATGCCAGCGATGAAGGACTGGAAACAAGAGTGTCGTAACCGAATTATATCAGATCGGAATTGGAATAACGGCCATATTCAATCTCTTTTCACGCTCAAAGTTCATCGAGGGGGTATTGTTCGTCTACGCATTAAAGGCGGGAAGCTCTTGTCAGGCGACATGTTTGGACAGGTTGCCGTCTGGAATACAACTACATACGATTGTGAAGATCTCATAGACGCTGCAGTAGGCCCTATTCAACTCTTGGACTTTAGTCCAGCACGCATGATCATGACGGTTGTTTCCAAGTCTGGGTAGGCATAAAATTTATGAGTTTGTGTCTGAAAAAGGAGCAGAATGTTGGGCGAATTACCAAATGTGCATGACTGCTGTTTACTTGACCCATTATGTCATAAAAAGGGACAGTATATCCCACAGAAAAATTATTTAAACTTACCTGTCATCTCTAACTTTCTTTCGGCATGAAATAGTATATGTCGGATCTGGGATCTGAAAACGAAGGCGTTGATCCACAGCTCATCTGCAATCGACGTGACGTGTATGACTATGAATGACGAGTATTTGGTTCTGGGGAACAGATTTTCTGAGGTCCAAATTGTCGACTTCACAACAGGGCATATTTTGAAAACTATAGAGCCACTTGCAGGAGAAACTGTAAGAGTTGGAGATGCAGATCAGTATGGTGATTGTAAAGATGTTTAAATAACGTATATCATCCTAATTCTGTTGTTACTTTTTATTTTTATATATATCATTTTCACTTTAGCTTCAAGACATTTACATTCAAAATGACACCCTAATCGTGGTGACAGGGCATCTCATTCGTATACTCTCCATTAATACTCTCGAGGTGCTACTATCAAGCCCGCTTCCGATCTCAAAAAATATTCGCACTTTCTGTAGCGTATTTCATATCCGGTCGCTCATCATCCTGGCGGACAAACATCTTTTGCATTTGGAATGGGAGCCATTATATAGGTCACCCAACAGCAAGTTTCAAATCGATACCCAATGCGAACTACCACCAGATCTATCTAAAACACCTAAAATTCATAAAACACGCATACCACCAATCTCAACTATTACCTCGATTGCCATTGGCGGTAAACACCCTCATGTCCTAACTACTAATGCTGACCGAACATCCTTAAATGGTACTATCCGTGTGTGCCCGACGTCATGGCGATCTAGGGCTATACAGCAGCAACAAGAACAACAGCGACAAATTGATCTCGAGGCAAGCAATCATGTGGATGTAACATCAGTTGACCCACCAGAGATTATTGGTGAAGGCTCAGAAGTGATGACGACAGAAGATTCTGGAATAGTATTAACAAGTCAAATAGATGAAATCACTCAGTATCTTGAAACCTGTGGACTCAAGCCATCCTTTATGGATGTGGACGAGGATGTGATTGTAATAGGCACGAGTAAAGGTGACATAGTCGTTCTGAGTATGGCGCCAGCAGAGTAATCCGATAAACATATCAATACAGCAGCTCTTGAATACTCTCTAAAGGCGAGACGTGTTGATTTAAGTGTTATTTATTTTATAAGCTTCTAAGCTCGACTTCGAGTAAATCTTGTAGAAGTTTTGGAAGACGTCGAATCAATTGTCTTGATTTTTTTTGCAGACGAGTCTGCGGCAGCATCTTCTTTTGTTTGTTTAACAGTAGATGGTGTTTCTTCCCCCGTCCCTGCCTTCCGCTTATTACCAGCGCTCTTGCTCTCGCTTTTAACAGTGGGAGTTTTGTTCTTCTTGTCTTCTTTTGTTATTCGAGAATCAGATTCAAGTTGAGATCTAGATATAAATGGTTTAACCTTTCGTTCAATACTATACTTATCCAGCATATAGTCAGTCCAAAGTGCTTTTTCAACCAAGTGTGGTGAATGAACTGTGGTGGATCCCATATGTCTCAACTGCGTTGCCTTTTCAATCACTTTGTTGGCAAATTTGATATAATAAGGGATGGTATAGACTATTGTCCCAAGACCTGGTACAGAGTCCATGGTTTCATCCGTCATGAAAGGCACCTTCTCTGGTGCCCCTGCACATAAAATGGCTAAATACATTTTTTCAAGAGAAAAAAAAAAAAAAAAAAAAAAAAAGGTCCAGGTCAACGGGTATGAATATGAAGTTTATTTTCATGCCTTCAATTATAAAATAAAGACACGTGTCTACTGATATGTATACGTTACCTGATGCTGTGGCAGGGCCGACGCCCTTGAGCTCGGCCATCTTTGTGATAGCAGCCTTCAAGTCTGAATTGACAAGTGCAAAAGCTTCTAGACTGATTCGTTTTACATCTGTATCAACGTTTGAAGCAGCAAGCTTCGCAAGACTTGGACGAAATTTTCCCCTCTGAAAAACAATACAAGTGGATGCGATAAATACACGTAAAGCTCAGATCACGTATTTTTTTTAGAGCCAAATCATGTCGAAATGATTCAAACCTTGAGTTTCCATGACATGAGCTGACAAAGTTCCTTTGAAGTGATGAATGGTTTAGGACTTCGTTTGTTGAGGAGTGTGGGTAAGGTGGTTTGATACCATTGATCGAGTTCAAGTAACGAATCGTCCTTTTTATTAGCAACGTGGTGCTCAAGTGCCTCTGGGTATTGACCAAGTACTGCCTCCCAGACGGCGATGTCAGTTGACTCAAATAGCATAAAGGGAAATGGAGGAGAATGATGCAAGATGAGAGAACGAAATCGCGGGAAAGAAAAAAAAAAAAGACAAATTTAAAAACGCATACAAATAAGCCCTTTGGGCTCACCTGAACAGAGTTTTTAGAAACGCTCACCAATGTTGGAGCCAAGAGCCACGTGGCATATTGTTCGGGCTGAGTCTCTGACACAATGAGAGTCTCATTGTGATGTTGGATTGCCTGGTGGAGAGCACAGGGACGAGTTACAAGCTGGGAGATCATAACGCGCCAGGTTTAATAAACGATATGATCAATTTGGTGGAGTCTCCAAAAGGAAAAAAAAAAAAAGGCCTGACATAATGTTTCAAAAGATCAAAGACATGGTTAATGAAAACAAGCAGTTTCCCTTTGTGCCAAGTTTCCCTACTTATTCCTTTCTTGGTGTCCAAGCACGCTTTCATTGACAGGATTGCCATGTGGCTATGAATGGATCCGACACTTTCTTAAAGGTGCTCAGGAGCAAGACGATCTTTGTCGTTTCTTAACAGTAAAAGGAGCATCACACACAAAAGATAAACAAAGTAAAAAATTGTGTTATTGAGTTGATATCAATTACATATATATCACACACCTTGTGCGTATGCCCCCGTTCTATGATCGGGACACCGTGCGGATGGGTTCCCCTCTCTTTTTTTTTTAACCTTCGGCGCTGCTTTATACATGTACATTTATATGTATATTTATTATACTTTATATTTTATATTTTTATTGTTCCCTGCCCATCCTATCGGGCTCCTCCATCTTTTGTCTTTTGCCAAATAACAAACAACAATAATTTACAGAAAAAAAATGGTAGAAGGGTCTACGCAGATGGACTGAAGAATTGAGCAATTCATGTATACTGTACATCCTGCATTTACAAACGCGAGCGGAGCATGTGTCTACGGACTATAATAAAGAAAAGTCAGATGGTGAATACCCAAAAATCCAATTCGGAGACAAATATGACATGAATTGAGGTATATTTTTACACATTTGTCTTTTCATAAACCTTTACTCTGGGAGGACAATCAGACAGGTCTACCGGTTAGACCCCATCCCAGTCCCTCATTTCATTCAAACATTCAAAATTCATTATTTTACATCTCATCAATCGCATATTCACTTCTGCATGCACATACACTCTTCCTCTCTTTCTCCCTCTCTCTCTCGCATTCATATTATTATCCATTTCACACACACAATTATATCGTTTTCACATTTCACACACACACTCTTTCTCTTCTATCTCTCTCTTTTAATAATAAGTAACATTGTACTCTCAAATTAGCCAAAAAAAAAAAAAAAAAAAAAAAAAATCAAACTCAACACTGCCACCTGTCCACGTTTTTCCTTCTTTTCCTTCCCCTTTGACACTGTAACCTCTTTATTCTCTTATTGTATAATTCGCCTGTATCAAGAGCTACAAGTCCGAAAGTAAGTGAGTAAACAATAGATTTGAACCATTTTCTTTCTCTCTCTCCTTTTCTTCTTTCCTCTCTTCGATGTCGGAATTGAGATGTACTATTCTGTGGCGAGATAATAATGAAAAACGGGAGAGGAGAGACGAGGATGGGTGAATATGAGAACATGACTGAACAGCAGGGTAACACTTGGCAACATCATCGTCAGTAGTAGCATCAGTGATTGCAATAGCAATAGCAAGAGCAAGAGCAATAGCACCAGCATCAGCATCAACATCGGCACCAACAATATCTATAAAATGCTTGTTTTAATTGCATTTTCACCATCTTGCAACATTTGAGCACGCTTTTATCTGTCTGAGAATACAAAGAGTCTAATTTCATACTACAGGTCCATCTCATATTATTAAAACGCCCTTTAAATGAAAAAAATACAAACCCAAAAAAAGCTCTGGAAATTAAAGAACATCAGCAATAAACAACAATAACAACAAAAAAGGACCACACCACATAGTCTACTGGACAAATGTATACAATTCATTTGCAATACATTCATAGACTGTCCCGCAACACCCAATTGCATCAACATGCTCTTTTTCAATTTTGTGCGTTGCGTGTGTGTTTGTGTGTTTGTGAGTGAATGAATGAATGTACATGTACATGTGTGTTTTGGTGAGTGTGCATGGCCTCGTTCTCCTTTTCCCCTTCCCCTGTGGTTAAATGTCCAGAATAAACTCAAGACTCCTTCCCTCCACCCCCTACAATTGTAGGAAAAAAAAAGAGAGTAGAATAACTCTTTGTTCACACAACGGCTTCTCTCTTTCCGCAGAGAAACTGATTTCTTCCTTTCCTTTTTTTTTTTTATCACAGGGTGTGTATCCATGTATGTGTTAGATTGTGAAAGAGTGAGATCAGATCATTTCATTTCAATGTCGTTGAGCAATTCAGAATTGACATTACTGCTCCATCCTTCTTTCTCTTTTTCTACTACAATCATTGTTCTTGCCTCACACTTTTTTTTTTTTTTTTTTTTTTTTTTTTTTTTTCAATATTTCGTTGCTATTGTCCTTCACATTGCTTGTGTATCTCCTTTTTTTTTTTTTTTTTTTTTTTTTCTAGTTTAACTTACTCTTTCTTTCTATCAACCTCTTTCTCTCATCTCACAAAAACCACTTTTTCTTTTTTTGTCATCATTGCTCTTGACTCTTAGCACTCAATTCTCATCGATCGCATCGCTGAAGTCCTTTCAGGACAATCAGTCCAATCCTTGCCGAAGAGGAAAAAAAAAAGTTTAACAATCAAACCAACAACCCAAACGCCCTCCTATCTATTTTGAGTACAAAAGTAGCCTGGCTTCACAACTGAACACATCATGGAGCTGGAATATCAGGTCTTGCTCATCGATCCTTCTGCTCTCGATACCCCTCATCACCCATCCAGCCCATCATCAAGAACCTCGATCACTAGCCGTACCGAGACTCTGAGCAATGCATCTTCTAATTCTTTTTCATCCTCAACATCCTCTTCAACAATTTCAACCATCGCTTCAAGCGCCTCTACAACTTCTTCATTGCTCTTCTCTACAGCTCGAAAGAATCAAAGGTTGCCACGTTCAAAATCGAAATCAGCACCAACAACACCTCGCTCTCGGTCAGAATCCAGGTTCAATGATGGTACCTCGCAGCTATCGTCGATACTGCGTCTTACAGGATTAAAAGGTAATACCGGAGACCAATTGACCTTGAATGGTTCATTTTTGTAGGGAGAACAGAGAGCAAAATAGTAAAAGATGGATAGCACTGGCTGTAGTATGAAAAAAACGTGCAGGTGCCTATTTTCATTCATATTATTCTTGCAACCTGAATTTCTTTCCTTTACTCCCATCCCTTCAAACCTTTACTCCTCTTTTCATGTTTGTTTGGTACATGTGTTCCCCTTTCCTTTTGTAGATTTTTTTTTTGGTCAGTACATCTGTGACATTGACAGACCACAGCAGCGCTGAGATGAAACGTCTATTAGGACTGTAGCTCCAAGGCTTGCACAGACATGAAAACATTGCTCTTTCGGCTGCTATACCCTTCAAGGATAATGAATCAAAGACGGGGATGATTGATTACAGAGGATAGGAGGATATGAAGCATCTTGCAAATCAGTATTTTTATTGATTGCTTGCTCGAATCAACCCTTTCTTTGTTCCTATTTACCTCCACCCGAGTTCATATCCTGAGACTTTTTTACACCTCCTTTTTTGTTCCTTCTCCCTGGGCTTCCTGGAGTTATTGAAAGGATGGTTTCCTGAGCCCATGTTAAGAAGCTATTTTTCTGTTAATCTGTTTGGTTCATAATGTGCTACATATCAGGAAGTGGATTGGCGCTTATTTGGTTGCATTTGACCCAAACAGAAGACGGCCGTTAGTAATAACGGAGAAAAAGCAAAAAAAAAAAAAAAAAGCGGATTTTCTTTGAGAGCAGAGGGTGTCCATCTTACTGCGCGTGCAGTTGACGTCTTGTTGAAGTGAAACTAGCGTAGTGGAGCTGTGTAGCGATGTGGCATCATATCACCGCATGGGAGAAACTGGAAGAAAGGACTGTCCCTCACTCTATTATTTTCATTCTACATTGCACCAGATGCTAAAACACATGGTGCTTTCACTTCATATGCTATTGTTACTATTAAATCTCCTCCATATTTTGTCCATGTGCTCTTATTATCACATATAGCATTGTTAAAGCAAACTTGCGTATCCAGCTTAGCTAATTACATTTTTTATTTTTAATATAGTCCTGACAGCTTCTTCGTATGAAGCGGCACTGGCGCTGCTTGAGCATCGTCCTCCAACAGAGGCTCGGCCCTTACTGTTACTTGTCGATGTCGATACTGAACTAGAATTGACTCTCTCTCATCCACCTGGATCATACTCTACGCGCCACCATCGTCCACAGCAAAAAAGCTCAAATACACGCAATAGTGGTGTTATTGAGCCATCAACAAAATCCCAAGGAAGTGGTCAGCGACACTTGCGAGCGACAAATGATAATTCTACTGCAAAAGGATCACAAGTCCATGCCCGACGCCCTCAGAGTAAACAACCATTACAATATAACCATGATGGAACATTATGTGGACTTGACTTCCTGGAGACAATTTTACAAGGACTTGCCAAGGGCACGCTTAACCATGTTGTCCCAATAGGTACGCATTTATGGTAGTAACAACACAGTCGAGACTTTTCTGACTCTTTGGCAATGAGATTTGGCAATGTCACTCAGTCGTATATCGCATATCGCATATCTGACCTTTTTTTTTTTTTTCTTCCTTCAGCCGTCAGCTCGACAAAGTCCCAGGAAAGAATTATGGAACTCTTCAATTTGGGTGTTGCAGATGTCTTGCTTAAGCCGATCGAAGAACAAGCGGCAAGGACTTTATTTCTGGTGAGCAAGCAGGATATGGAGCAATAAATTCTCAGACACCATTTTGAAAATCCTTGAGAAACTCACCAGTCCTGCTATCTTTTAAAATGAATAGAATGTACACCGCTACAGCAAGTATAAGACAGCTATAACGATTCCTAGATACACGACGCAAAAGAATACGCTTGCTCTTCCGAGTCACACTCGACTCCGTAATGTGTTCTTGAAGGATCAATGGTGCGTTTGATCTCTGATTGTGACCGAATTACTATAATTTCCATCATAACTTCAACACTCTTAGCTTACTACTCTGCATCATTCTTTGAATGTATTAACTAGGCTTTCTGATATTTTGATCAGTCATTACTGTCCAACACCATCCAAGATGTCACTGCGAGATTTTCCCTCAATGTCTTCAGACGCAGCACTAGAGCGTGTAGAGGAGCTCAAAAGCCGTTTACTATCTTGGGACTTTCATCCACATGATCTTTGTGAGGATGACCTCATGCGCTGCGTTGTGATTGTCATTCAGGAAGTAATGAAGCTGGATGGACTTGGGGATCTGAATATTCCTGAACGTAAGTGCTAAAGCAAAATATATTTGACCTCAATGAGTATACGTACACGCGAGACATACTAAGAACTCAATCATCGGTTTACACTGTTTCATCTGTTGGTTATCTCAATTAGACTTACTGCATCGCTTTGTGATCGGTCTGCGTGATTCATACCATCGATCCAACCCATATCATAACTTTGCACACGCTGTCGATGTACTCCAAGCAACATTTTACTTCCTTTGCAGGATGGGTAAACTCCCAGAGACAGGTTTTGGCTTCCCTCCTTTCCCTCTTACCAATGGCGGCGATCACGGATCCGAGCCCGAATCACCTGAGTCATCGGTGACTATACCCACTAACGCTCCCTATGCTGACCAGGGAGACGGCCTACCGCCTTTTTCGATTCAGGATTATCTACGACCCGAGGATATTTTTGCACTAGTCGTGGCAAGTATTGGTCATGATGTGGGCCATCCGGGAGTCAACAACATGTTTTTGGTAAGAGATAGTTTATTGCAACTGCAAATCATATAGAGTCATGATAATTGTGTTGAGTCAAATGAAGTGAAGGCATGTCAAATTACCCTTGTTCGTTATTAATATAATAATTATTATTTTACCCCGCATAAAAAGGTCAACGCGCACACACCCTTGGCACAAGTGTACAATGACCGGTCTGTCCTTGAGAGTTTTCATTCAATGGCCTTGTTTCATGTCATGAAAAAACATGGCTTTGAGTGTTTTGATGTCGACTCTCAGAACCGCAAGTTTATGGGTAAGTTTAGTTTTATTTATTTATTTATTTATCATTATTACTGTTATTCTTGTTATTATTTTTGAGAAAGTGCCTTTGTGTGTTATTTTGACTCAGTTCGCTGCTTTCTGATATGGCTTTGTTTATTTATATATTCATTTCACTTGGTAATATACAGAGTTCAGAAAGATGGTTGTGAGTACGATCCTGGCCACAGATATGGGTCTCCATTTCGATTACGTTGGCAAGATCAAGGAACAGACGGAACGCTTGCGTCTTCGTAGGCAATCTGGCAGTGATACTCTCAAGCCCAATCAGGCTAGCATTGAAGAGCAAGAACGCTTGGTTCTCTGTGGAACATTAATTAAGTGCGCCGATATTAGTAATGCTGTAAGATATCTTTTTCCGATACTATTGCAGTTTTGTTGCTTCAAAAAAAAAAAAAAAAAAAAAAAACCACAAAACTGATAAATGAATTTACGCACTGTTATAGTCAAGGCCGTTCCATGTGGCAGAGAGATGGTCGACTGTCTTACTGCAGGAAATGTGCAATCAAGCTGATATTGAGAAGGAGATGGCAGTCTGCTCAGGATCACAATCAGTTCCTGCTGGCTCTACCAAGAGCCTAGCTAATGACAAAGGGATGCAAATTGACTCCCAACTTGGGTTCATCCACGGATTTGCTATGCCTCTATTTAGCAGTGTAAAAGAAATTATTCCAGGTAAAGTGCTGCCTACATGATTCCAGTTGGTTAGTTTTTTGAGACTATTGGTTTTTGTACTAATGTCTCATAGTTTTTGTATTAAATAGAGATGGGATACTGTGTTGAGTACCTTCAAATCAACCATGCTATCTGGCAAGAGCGGAAGACTGAGTACCTCAAACACGGAAAAACATCGGTATTTGCTGGTCTAGATATCAATAATAACGGCAATAGCAACGGTATTCATACTGCTGGCGACTCAGGACACAGTGAGGATGAGTACCAGGCTCCGATAACCAAGAAGGCGACTCCAGTAAATCATAATGGCAAGCATAGGAATATGACTGGAAAACAACCTTTAGAGATTTCTGTATTGAAGAGTGGAGTTAATACCAGGTCCACAGTATCTAGGAAGCCTCAGCAGCCAAAGTTATCGGGATCAGAGGAACAGAAATCTAGCCCAGATGGTGCTGTCCTGACGCCCGTCAAATTACAAGCGAGTAGTTCGAGACGAACGCCTTCCAGTAACTCTATTAATAGCAATGGCGGCACAGCATCGGATTCATCTAGTTCTATCCCGCGGCTAAGGACAAAATCCAAGGCTATGACGCCGGAGAATGGTTGTGTTGCGGAGCCACGGAGACAGGATAGTTACCGTGCAAGTAGTGTTCATCAACAGCAGTACCAGAATAATGGTCGTCCCCGACCACCAAGTTCGCGGGTACGAACCTCAACGCCAGCAATCTCTATATCTGTTCCTATGTCATCTACTTCTCCAGAGTCAAAATCAAACACTGCTTATACTTCACCTAAAATTCAGCAGCAGCATCAAGTCAATGGCGATCGTAGACTGAATTCGCCAGGACGTCAATCATCGGCACCTGGACATTCAAAGCATGACAAGGTCAAAGACAAGCCATTTCCCTTGGAAATGATGAAAAGTGTTGACAACATACAGCTAGATGAATCTCCTGACCCTTTAGTTTCAGAAACACCTTCGCCGACAGAGCAGGCTGTGGCTGTTGCCGATGAACTGACAGACGTACAAACCCCAGTTACGATTATTTCCACCACTTCAATCACTGCAGTCTCTGCATGTGACTCACCTTGAATGACAACACTTCCCGGATAGGATACCAGGAGTGCGTTAAATGACAACCCCTTCATTTTTTTTTTTACTATTATTATCATCATTTCTAAAAATGTCTTTCTTTTTTTTTTACGCTCGTATCTTGTACTTTTTCATACCATTGTTTTCTTACTTTAGATGATGTCTTTTTATGCTTATGCTTATGCTTTTTCTTCGTTTATGTCACGTCCTCCATTCTTCAGTCGCAACGCCTCATCTTTTTTTTTTTGTCTTATCGTATCATGTTTCACTACTATCATGGTTCTTTCTTTTTTGTGCGTGTAAAATCTTTTTTCATCAAACAAACAAACAGAACAACTATTAAATTTATGTTTTTTAACTTGCAAAAAACAAGAATGGTATTTTTAAGCTTTCTTTTATCTAATGAAGATTATGCTGATTGTCCGGTTGTAACATCGGTCATTTCTTGATCGTCGTCGTCGTCGTCTTCTTCCTCTTCATCATACTCCTCTTCATCATACTCCTCTTCTTCGTCGGATTTATCTTCGTCGCAGTCTTCGCCATTTTCACCACTACTCTGGTCTTTGCTTTTTATCGAGCCGGATCGGATACGATGGACCTCACCAGACTTTAGTCCAGTAACATTACATGTTGATGTTGTAGCTGCCATGGTCATTCCCTCCTCCACTTCTGGCCCTTCTCCAGCGGGCGACATATGGACATCCTTATTATTTTTGTCATTATTGTCACTATTATAACATACACCATTCGTGGAATGCCTATGCTGCTGGCTTATAGATGGCTCAGAAGCAGTGAAGGACGTGTTCTCGGCAGTAGTAGCCACAGTTATAGTGGGTGACGTGGTAGGGTCGGCACCATCATCTTCACTACTGCCGGTCCGCGCAGCACTACTTTGAACGCCATCGCCATTACCGGTATTGATACCTCTATTACTGTCGCCATTGAGAGTGCTGTTGCTACCATTACTTTTACTGTTACTGTTATTATTATTGTTGTTGATATACGCGTTGGTATTGTTATTGGTGCTTTTGCTATCCTTATCCTTGCTCCCACCTTGCTGATTTCCAGCTCTTGCAGCCTCGACGGCTTCAGCACTGTGCTCTGCCATTTCTGTTGCCATTTTGACTGCTTCGATCTGTTTGACTGTCTTGGTATCCAATTCTTCCTCTGATAGTTTCCAGCTATCGAAATCTGGCTTCGGCAACATAGATGGAGGTCTACCACTGCTATTTTCATCTTCAGTGTTCACTAGAGAAAGAGTTGAAGAGATCCATTCCTCCATAGACTTTTTGAAGTGATCTTGTTGAGCTTCCTGACGAGCTAAAAGTAAGTCTCGTTGAGCGATCTCTAATTTGAGTGAACAGATGTAATCAAACGACTTCTTGAGCAAGAAGACTTTGGAGGGAGCCTTGTCGACGATATTGGGGATCATCTGACGTAGGTCATCGAAACAGTGTTTGAGTGAATCCCGACGCTTCTGTTCTGCAGCCTTATGAGACGTTCGTCGCATCTCGATGCCTGAGTGTAAATCTGTATTGTAAGAAAGACCTAGAGCACTTGAATCATGGAAAATATAAAATAAGGATGTGTTTTCAACTAGAAGTAGAGGAAGTCACTCAAGATAAGAGAACTTACGTGTGATCACCATCTAGTATATTTTGGTAATTCGATTTGGATGCTAATCGAGCCATAGCTTCCGACGCGGAGACTAAAAGAAAAGGAAAAAAAAAAAAAAAAAAAAAAAAAAAAAGAAAAAAAAAAAAAAGATGAATCTTCTATTCTATTACTTTTTTTTTTTTTTTTTTTTTTTAGTGTTCGAATTACCTCCAGGAAGCCATGGCTTCAAGCCAGGCGATACTAGCATGGGTTGGGCTCTAGGTGATACAAGGATTGGTTGTGCACTAATACTTCCTCGATGTTGATGTGGCGGCTGAGGCATCAAAGTCGGTTTGAGCGCTGGAGAAATTAAAGCAGCAAATCCTCCAGGAGGAGGAGCCATGGGAGAGATGATGGCGGTGGTTCCGGGAGTTCGTGGAGCCAGTGTACCAGCATTGGTTATCACCCCTCCGGGCTGGCGCTTGCCACTATGTCTCCTGGATGATCCATTAGCAGATTTTTTCTCTCCTCCATTACTATTACTAGGTTTAGCTAGAAGAGAGCGCGCCTTGATATTGGGTGTAGATTTGGGTGAGGTAGTTGGTGTAGATTCAGATCCGGAGAGGTTCATGAGAGATGCGGGCGTTACGGGCGCAAGGGCTGATTTAGACATGTTTGAGTCTAAAGATGTTGCAACAACTGTGGTCGTTGACGTGGCGACTGTTGCTGCTACTGTCGCTGCCATTCTCGCTGTCGTTACCGCTGCCGTTGCGACTGTTGCAGGTGCAATCGCAATCGCAGCTGTGGCTCCATGCTTGACTGTAGTCGTTGACGGGTTTTCTTGAGTAGCGCTTGCGCTGATGCTGGTGCTCATTACGGAGCTACTCTGTGCAGGAGCGATTGGGACAGATGCTGGTTTTAGGATCGCCGCAGTTGAAGCAGCCTGACTAGGTTGGATCGGTTGATGGATCTGCAGCTGGTGCTGTAATACTTTGCTTTGCTGCTGCTGCTGCCTTAAGGCTTGGCCGGGCTGCTGTGATATACTCAGCTGCCTAGGCGTTTGCACCAAGATACCTTGCTGTTGTGATGGTAAGATCATGGGTGAGCGTGGCGGTGGCATCATGGATGACGCTGGTAATTGGAATATCGCAGGCGAAGTAGGCATCATTGACAAGTGATTCATATTTGTTACCAAATGTGGCGAGGGCGATGCCTGTGCCTGCGATACTGTTCCGTTTAAAGTGGAAGTCAATATGGGGGACGGCGTCGGGCGGTTGGTGATTGGAGTTTGCATTGTCGCCAGGGGCGAAGATGGAGCGATCATGGACACAGATGAGCGAACTCGGCTCGTATTATTGTTGGTGTTGTTGGCAATTGCCGTTTTCCTTCCTGGCTGAAGCTGTGGTTGATTAGCGGTTGGTCGCAATGCTGGAGAGCTTTTGGGCAAGGCCACGCGAGTATTATTAGTTGTTGAACCAACCGTGGGGCTCAACACAATTGGTGTAAGACCGGACCCGCGATCGATTGTTGTTCTTCGTTTCAGAGGTGGCCGATTGTTCAGAGCCTGGTTATTAGTGTCTAGTAATGGATGCTTTGTGCCAATCATTCCTTGACTTGCTTGCTGATTATCATTTGCTTGCTGTTGATGTTGCTGCGATTGGATTTGATGAAGCTGGTTCTGGGAGGACTGCACAGGATCTTTCTGAAGCTGCTGTAGTTGCTGCTGAAGATGCTGTTGTTGTTGATGTTGGGCCTGTTGTTGAGCTTGATGAAACTGCATAGGTAAGGCATTGAATCCTTGGCCAGTGTAGGTCATGAAGTCTATTTGTGCGGATCGATGTGGTTGCAGTACTGGTGAGGTGAGCGGAGAGAACGTTTTATTTGTCGTGGACATCGCTGGAGGAAGGCTTGTAAACGGGTGAGATGGAGTTATAGCTGGTGAGATTAGTGGCGTGAAATAAGCCTATAGTGAAAATGAACAAAATGCCATTAGAAAGGTTTCCTTTTCTGATCTCAATCAACGCTTTATTGTATCACTTAGAAAATAGTCGAAATTATACCTCATCATCTTCAAACTGGTCGTTCAACACCATGGCCGTATCAGCAGCGGTAGCGTGGCCGCTATCGTTGTTGTTATTGTTGTCCTCCGATAGGATGCCCATTGGAGACATATATTGTGAATAGTCTGTTGAGTAGTACTCGCGTCCAGCTGGTGTTAGAAGCTGCTGCCTCGCACCATCCTTCTGTGGTTGGACTTGAGGTTGAGGCAGCTGTTGGAGTTGCTGGTGAAGCTGCTGTTGCTGCTGCTGCTGCTGTTGCCGCTGCTGCAACAGGTACTGTTGTTGTTGTAGCTGCTGTTGCAGAAGTGATTGAGTGCTGACCTTGTGACCGTTATTACTGGGATGCTCAGGATGAGTCTGAAAAATTGGGGTAGTCGTTGCTGATATTGGCATGGCAGCAGAAGTCGCCGAAGCTGCGCTCATGATAATATCATTAGCATTGCTATTGACCTCGGTCATGGTATGTTGTGGTTGGGGCTGGTAGTGCTGGTATTGCTGTGGTTGGGTTGTAGAATGATTTTGTGAGTGATTATCTCGAAGCAGCATACCCTGCAGTTGCTGTTGTTCCTGTTGTTGTTTTTGTTGCTGCATTTGTTGATGCTGCTGAAGGCGTTGCTGAACCTGGCTGGCTTGAGCAGGATCGAAAGCAAAGTCACTTAGCGAAAGTTCCAGCCCTGCCTGATCCAGGTTGAAAGTTGTACTATCAAAATTGTAAGCCATCTTTCTTCTTCCTAATGTTTTTGTATGAGGTCTCTAATATGGTTGCTCGAAGGGCTATTGATGGGTCCAAGAGCCCAGGATCGTTCCGAGAAAGGTCGTTTGCTTCAGTAAAGAACTGATATTAAAGTTGTTCAAATATCTTGTGCTGTATTATTGAAATAGTGCGAAAAATGTTATTTTCATAGGCCCTTTTCGAAGAAGGTTTGGCTATTCATACAGTTTAAGTAGGGTAGAGGAATCGAATGAGTATAGAGGAGAATGATGAGACAATGAGACAATGTAATCAGATGTAGACATTGAAACCTCATTTCAAAAAGTGGTAAAGTCAACTATAATGGGGATGTCTTTGATAATACTGAGTACTATACCTTGAACAAGAAGGATTTGAAGCAGGGGGAGAGGACATAAACATGAAGGCGGAGAAATGCCTATGTGTGACTCCTCAAGCTTGGAATGTTGTCAATGTAAAGCCTCGGTAGTTGAGGTGATATGTTGAAATGTTAATTGAACCAGTTGACAGTTGTGGAAGTAGCTCGCTAAAAAGCTCAGAAGGGATAGGAGATATTCTTTTGATTTGGACAAAATTAGATGAACACTAAAAGGAAACTGGCTATAAAATGAGAATGAGAGTGAAAGTGGATGTGGAAGAGACAGATACTATCAAAGACTCAAAGGGAAATGGAGATAACGAACGAAGGGAAAAAGGAGAATAGAAAGATGAAAGGAAAAAAAGAAGAGGAATCAATCGATATTGAGCCACCCGGACGCCTACTTGCATCAAGGTCCAAGGGACGGGAAAGAGGACCTGAACGGCCAACTATTCCAATCCCAATAATCCCATTCCAATAATTCCACCCCAATAATCCAAACAACCAAGGTATCATGAGCACTAAAGAGTCTTCTGCTGATTCTTTTCAGTATGATCCATAGTAGTTGAAGTTATCACTTGGACTTTTCTTTTTCGTCCTGCCTCCTCACCGGCTCCACGTTTTTTTCATGATCTGTCATCATCTGCAACCTAACGCAAAAAAAAAAACTATACTTCATCAGCTACTTTTTTTTCTGTTTCTTCCCCTTTATTTTGTATTTTGGCTCTGTTACACCTTGTGCTGATTTTCTTTTTTTCCCATTTTGTTTGGTCAATGCTTTGCAGCCCTAGGACTGAGTCGCGTTTCCTCACGTTGTACATCTGCTCGCTGTGATTGGCTGAATCGCCGTAGAATACAGTCACACAGATGGTTTTAATTTGGTGGCGGCCGCGAATAAAAAGACCGCGTTTGAAAGAAGAATATTTATGTGATGTATACCAAAGAAACTTTAGACTTTAGAGCAATAGCCGTGCATCAGTGACAGATACAGAGGAACATGGGTTGTACGCATGTTTATATATTTTTCTTTTTCTTTTTTTTGCTCTCTTGAAACCGTAGCCAACCATCTTTCTGGGTGAATTATTGATGACACTAAAATACTAAGAGGGTCCAACAACCTCACAATAGGTACATGTACATACTTATATGGGCGAAATATGCACTACATGTATTCTGGGCATCGAAGAACAATCTATAATGGAATGTTTTTTATATACTGAAACTGTAGTATTCATAGATGGGAAGTGATGAGTTGCATGATATATACTTCCCTGGTGACCTTGCGCAGTAGCCTACAGGGTACTAAACAGAAGTCTTTATATATTTAAGGCAGTCTCGGGAAAAGAAACCCTTTCAGATCTGCTCCGAAGGATTAGATTGAATCCGATGTACACAAGACACTCTTCTCTTGTCATACATTGACTTTCACATTTCTGACAAAAGAACCTTGGATCCTTCGATAACAACAATGTGCTTCGATCTTCACATGGGCTATTATGGGAGACAGCTTTAAAAAAAAAGTTGATCACAAGCTCGAAAAGCAAACTGATGAAGCAAGCATCAAGAGGTAGTGTACATCTGTACTGTGTACCTAGTAACAAATTCTCCACAACTTGACGGGTCTCCAAACACAATGTTTAGCTTTTAAAATTATTACTTGATTATGGGGTATCCCCATCTAGTTGCAGCACCGTGTATAACTCTCGTAGCGATTTCGACAATTTCGTCGCTCCGGCGCTTTTTTAATGTTTAGGCTGTGAAGATGAATTAATTAGGAATCAAAAAATAGATGAAACTTTATCAGAAATAAAAATTTATTTACCTTCCTTAACGTCGCGCGGCTTTTGAGAAGTCAAGGCCAACTTATTCGCCTCAATACTTTCGCGATGGGTTCGTCGATTACAACCCTCTTGACGGGAGACAGAAGCCCTGCCCTTTAGCGTGGGAAGTTGGTGCCCCTTACCCCTCGTTCCTAACTACTACACTCGAGAGGGATTTGAGGCTTGTTAGGGGCGTCACAATCAGCTACACAATGGCTGAGCCCTGTAATAGAGACACGTTAATGATACTTAGTGTCGCATTGCTTCTTATTCTACCTTACGGCAAAAGTGAATCCTGAACGAATCGTGTAAGGACACGAGGTAGTCATGCATTTTGGAAGATCGATTTCCATGCACGAAAAGTGAAGGGCGATGACTTCAATCATTTTGAGCGCTTTGCTTGTTGCGAGGTTCTTCTCTTTCATTTTCCTCAGTACTGCCTCCTACTGCCCAGTGTCGATGAAGTTGATTGAGTAATCTGATCACACTAAATATCGCTTCCAATTCGGTTTCATGTTCTTTCAACAATTCATTCATTAAGTTGGTCCTCTTTCTATAGATCGCTTCATCTGATGCATTTTTATTTGGTGTATTAAAGCAGGCGGATATAGCACTGGCCAACTCAATTGAGGCTTCCATATCTGATTTAATTGTGTAGTTCAATGCCAAATCATGCCGTTACCACTTCATAGAAAAGAGCTCTGGCGATTACTACGTTCGTTTGCGCCCTTTAGGAGCTCGTGGGTCAGAGGTCTATCCGGAATGCCTTGTGTAGTCTCTCCTAGCATCCTTCGATATGCTTTGGTCTTATTAGATTGTAAGAGTGTATTTACTCAATTCCAGTACAGTCGTAAAAACCACTTTCAGCTGTATTGTTCAAAATTGCCGATCTGTCTAAATTGATTTTAAGGGGTATTTTTACCCCCACACTCATAGGATTGTTTCTCCCACAATTACCCTGAATCTTCCCACGGGTATTCGTTCGAATGTCCATCTACATTCTTCTCTACTCCACCCAACCCCATTCTCTTAATCTCCATTCATTCCATTCTCTCTCTTTCTGAATTTACATCTGTACAGACCATGCCTTCATTCCTTCGAACCGTTGCTCGTTGTGCGTCCGTTAAGCCTCGCCGCACTATTTCTGTTGCCACAAGCCAGATCCGCCATCTTTCCTCAACCTCACCTCTAGACCGTAAGTGTAAACGCAATTGGCGTGTCTGTGCACCTTCACTTTTACATTTGCTTATAATAGTGCTATAGCTAATTCTTTTTCTCTCTCTCTCTTTTTTTTTTTTTTTTTTTTTTTTTTTTTTTTCCTTACATGAATGTGCGTATCTCAACAGCATCTGTTGGACTTACTGGTTAGTGTACATCCAATCTGCATAATATGTCATCGTTTGTATTTGATTACCTTATTGATTTTGGCTTCGTCCTACCATATACTGTACAATTAGATGACCAGAAGGAGCTCCAGAGCCTTGCACGCACCTTTGCGGATAATGAATTCGCCCCAAAGATGCAGGAGGTATGGTGCAAATGCATATTTATACTTTGTTTTTGAAATAGTTTGGACAACCCTGTTGTTGATTTTTTATTTTTCTTTGTCTTTGTTGTTCTGGTTATTTATTTTAGTGGGACGAGAACCAACACTTCCCTGTTGATGTCCTTCGCAAGGGCGCTGAACTTGGTTTTGGAGGCCTGTATACCCGTGAGGATGTTGGAGGAGCTGGTCTTGGACGCTTGGATACCTCCATTGTTTTCGAGGCACTTTCCACGGGTGATGTATCGACTACAGCGTACATCAGTATCCATAAGTATGTAGTAATTTTTTTCATTGCGAAGTCTCAGATTGATTTGACATAAATGTTTTCCCTGTTACTGATCATCATGATCGTTCTCTTTCCTCATAGTATGTGTGCATGGATGATCGGTAAGTTTCCAATTGCTCATGTCGTATAGCTTTTTGGATCGATATTTATTTATTTATTTATTTCTATATTTGATGGATGTAATATTTGAACGGTATAGACACTTTTGGTAATGAGAATCAACGTCAAAAATACTTGCCCAAGCTCACCAGTATGGAGCACTTTGCGTCCTACTGTCTGACGGAGCCAGGTGCAGGATCAGATGCTGCAAGTCTTGCCACCACGGCTGTCAAGAAGGGATCTCATTATGTTCTGAATGGGAGTAAGGCATTTATTTCAGGCGGAGGATCGTCTGATGTATACGTGATCATGGCTCGGACTGGAGGACCTGGCCCCAAGGGTATTTCATGCTTCATTGTAGAGAAGGATTTCAAAGGGCTGAGCTTTGGAAAGAAGGAGAATAAATTAGGCTGGAATTCACAGCCTACCAGAGCAGTCATCATGGAGGACTGTGAGGTCCCAGTTGAGAATTTGGTTGGAGTTGAGGGCCAAGGGTTCTCCATTGCCATGAAGGGTCTCAATGGAGGTCGTATCAACATTGGTAAGGAATATTTATATGGTTGTAATGAATCAACAAGAAAGAGCAGCTTATTCATTCATTTTACTTTATTGTGCTACATTACGTTAGGATCATGCAGTTTAGGCGCTGCACAGGCGTCGATTGAAGCAGCATTGGAGCATGTCAAGGTTCGCAAGCAATTCAACGAGCCATTGTCTAACTTCCAAAACACTCAATTCAAGCTTGCAGATATGGCTACCAGCTTGCTTTCTTCACGGTTGATGATCCGTCAAGCGGCGATGATGTTGGATCAGAACCATCCCAATGTGGCGAGTTATTGTGCGATGGCGAAGCTTCATGCTACCGATGCATGTTTCCAGATCTGCGATGACAGCCTGCAGCTGCATGGTGGATATGGATACTTGAAGGACTATAAGGTTAATGTTTATCTGCGAGACGCGCGTGTGCACCGCATTCTTGAGGGTACAAACGAGATCATGCGCATCGTTGCTTCTCGTGCTCTTTTGGCTGATTAAGGAAGTGAGCCATAAGCAATCCATTAATCTTAAATAAAATAAAAATAAAATAACATTATGTTATATGTTATATATATCATCGTAGATGATCATGATATCCCATGTTATCTGGTCAGTCAATGCTCCAAGGACCCAAGAATATTTTGGTCTGTAACCGTATTTCCTCCCTGACACGTTTCCAATCAAAGAAAAAATCTAAGTGTGTAAGCTTGCTTTGCCAATATCCAATAAAAAGTTTTTTATGAGTTCAGACAATCTCGAGACAATTCTTCCCCTTTGTTTGCCATTGACAGGTTCACACACATCTTGCTATTTGCTTTCCAAGCAAGGATATAAAGACCTCAGGAGGCGCACCATATTAAATTGAGTTAATATCATTATCGTCTGTTTCTGCTCTTCTTCCTTCCCCACAAAATCTGCTAATCCACCTCTCACTCTCTACACTTTCTTTCTCCTCCGACCTCTCAATGCAGGCTTCGACTGAATCGCCTTCTTCGCATCATAGCCATAACCATAACGATAGCCATTGCCATAACGACTACGACCACGACTACCGTCGTCAGCGCAGCACAACTAGTTCTTCTTCTTCATCTCTGACTATCATTGCATCTCCAGCTCCTTCCTACACATCCTCATACTTGCCTTCAAAACTCAAATCATTCTTCAGCTTCGGAAGCGGCCCAGATACTGTTGTTCAGACCGGTGATAGTCTGCGGAAACAGACCTTGGTCCGTGACAGAGACCTCAACGGATATCCAGCACCCAAAACTTCCTCCGCACCGACTTCGCCACAGTCTCCTACTACAACTAACGACGATCAAGCGGTGAGTAAATGTCTTTGTTTGTTCAAGAAACAAACCCATAGTTCTTCTTGATGTCTCTTTTTTTTCTCTTATCATTGTTCCTATTTCCGTCTCCCCGACATCATTAAATCATTATCCTTCCCTTCTATCGCCCTCATTATCCCGCCTTGGCTGTAGTCTTTCCTTTTTCCTGACAAAATACATTCAGCATTCACAGTTATGCTTGACAGAATATGGGAAGGGCCTACTATTCTATTTCTGCATTCCTCCTTTCTCCAGTTTCCAGTCATCATATCAATATGTTTTGCACCAGTGACTGCGCGCTGTGCATTTTTCTTTTTTGAAGCAAAAGTCATCATCAGTCTCATTTGAATTGTTTGAATTGTGATTTGTTCTTTCGTCATCAATTATTATTATTATTATTATTATTATTTTTTTTTTTTTTTTTGCTCCACTTTTTGTGTTCGCCCTTCATTACCCCTGTCCTGTCTACGCCTACTTTGCCAAACCCATACCCACGCTCAATTCTCATTACTCACGTCAACACTCAGACTTGTCTTCTTTAACCGTTTCTTTTTTTTTTTTTTTTTTTTTTTTTTTCTCTCTCTCTCTCTCTTTCTCTCTCTCTTTGACGGGGCATTCCTTCTTGTCCGGAGCAAAAAAGACATCCCCCGTCCGTTTTTTGATTGTCTTGTCCCTCCTTTTTTCTCTCGTTCACTCCTCATAATTTTGTGAACACCAAATCTCTCTTGATTTGGACCGACGTTTCTCGCCCCCATTTTCACATTCCCGTGTACACAACACAGCCTTTGTCTATTACTCTTACGACTTTATTATTACTAAGAGCTTTTCTCTTTGCCTCAACAATCGAATGTCATTTGTAATGCTACTTTCCGTGTGTTTTGTGTATTCAAATATTCAAATATAATGTTATGAGACAGGCCTCATGCTGATCACAGCAACATCGTTTTTGTCTTCAACAGTTTCTCAGGCGAGTTGCCTCAACGCCTAATACCAAGGCCGCAATTGAAGACGCTATCAACAAAACCAAGAAGACTGACAACAAGGGCAACAGGAATACAGGGCTATCGGCCAGTACCAAATCTAGTGGTTCAATTCGTTCTGTAATGACTACATCCTCAATGACAACTACCGCAACAGATACAACCATCAATGGCAGTGGCAGCGGCACCAGTAGTAGTAACAGCAGCAGCCATGGTTCACCGACGTTTATCGGAGGGAGCCATCTTTCCATCCCAAAAAGTTTTAATGGATCAGCACTTGACTTGAGGAGAGGTGCTTTTCGTCGAACATACTCTTCAAACTCCATTAAGAAAAAGTCTGTTGAGGTATCGCCAAGCAGTTTTGTCAAGATCCGTTTATTAGGTAAAGGAGACGTCGGGAAGGTCTATCTAGTACGCCAAAAGGACACTGATCGTCTCTATGCTATGAAAGGTAAGTAATAATAATAAAAAAGTCTAAACGCTTTGAATCAGACCCCTTTCACTTTTGATCTATGTCCATTTTTTTTTTAATTTTTTTTATTAACATGTTCTTCTTAACTTTACTGACTTAAACTTCGACCAGTGCTCTCAAAGAAGGAAATGATTAAGCGTAACAAGATTAAGCGGGCATTCGCAGAGCAAGAAATCCTGGCAACATCCAACCATCCATTCATTGTCACATTATACCATTCCTTTCAATCGGAAGACTATCTATATCTTTGTATGGAATACTGCATGGGAGGAGAATTTTTTCGTGGTAAGTTTTCCTTTATAAGTAATATTTTTATGGCTATGATGTTTTTAAAGGGTTTTTCTCATGCCAAGTCATGTTAGAAGATTCACTAATAAAAACGAATTGTTGTAGCATTGCAAACAAGGCCTGGAAAATATCTTTTGGAGGAAGATGCAAAGTTTTATGCCGCAGAAGTCATTGCTGCATTGGAGTATCTCCATCTAATGGGCTTTATTTACCGTGATTTAAAGCCGGAGAGTATGTAACAATTAATTTGTACATTGCAGTTTTTTTTTTTTTTTTTTTTTTTTTATTTTTTTATTAACAACCAAGTTATCAATAATGCAGGAGCAATCATTGACCCTATTTCCTTTAACGTGTCCTTTAAATAGATATTTTATTGCATCAGACAGGACATATCATGTTGACAGACTTTGATTTGTCAAAGCAGTCGTCACCAGCAGGAGAACCAACTGTGGTGAAAACTGGATCACCTTCTACACCACCAGCAATTGATACAAAATCCTGTATTGCTAACCTTAGAACAAACAGTTTTGTCGGGACCGAAGGTATGCTTTTTTTTTTTTTTTTTTTTAAAAAAAAAAAAAAAAAAAAAAAAAAAAAAAACTTTCAGTCTTATCATTTTAATATATACGCTGTAGGGAAAACTATAAAGCTAAATTCTGGTTTTATATTTTTGATTATGATATTGCTTGAACACTGATAGAATATATTGCACCAGAGGTTATTAAAGGATGTGGGCACACTTCCGCTGTGGACTGGTGGACTTTGGGGATTTTGATGTATGAAATGCTTTTTGGAGTGACTCCGTTCAAGGGCAAGGATAGGAACGCAACCTTTCAATCGATCTTGCATACAGACGTTCAATTCCCGGATCATCCAGGAGCGCAGCCTATCTCCTCATTATGCAAATCCGTGATTCGAAAGTTGCTAATCAAAGATGATCAGCTCCGGTTAGGATCTAAGGCGGGAGCAAGCGATGTGAAGTCACATCCGTTTTTCAAGACAACCAACTGGGCCTTGCTTAGACACTTGCCACCACCCATCATACCACAACCTTCATTCGGTGAGGATGCAGTCAATTTTAGGGAGATGCAAGAGTCTGTTAGTCTAGATATTGAAGGCGAGGAGCTGGTGCTTCAACAATCTGGAGCCAAGAATTTGTTTGCCAACTTTAGTTCAGGTATGAGATGGAGATGGTGGCACTAGTGATGAAAGTGTTTTGTGATTCCATTGAATAATGAAAGGACAAATGGGAACTGAACGCTAACGTATTGACCATCCTTTCTTTCTTTTCTTTTCTTTTTTTTTTTTTTTTAGTTACTCTGCACCACGATGGCGACGATGATTTGTAATCACAAGCCTGTACTATTTTGGAGGACAATTTCCAAAAAAAAAAAATAATAAAAAAAGCGAAAAATAAAAATAAAAAAATATCTTAAAATTGAAAACTCCATGCATTTGTTCGCTTTAGACATGTATTCATTGGCATGGATATTGCTTCATGTTTTGGGCAAGTGAGTTGTTGAAGGATGGTTGCCAAGAGCAGAAAAGGTCGATATCGTTGAACCTGCAGTTGAGTCTTTAACTTTTCTGAAACCAGTCCCTGTAATGTTCCCCTGAGTAGTGGCTCGTGCTCTCCTTGCTTTAGCAATAGGGTCCAGATCCTCCTCGCTATCTTCGCTATCCTCACTATCCTCACTATCCTCACTATTCTCTTCGTATTCACTTTCACCGTCATCATTAACACTATCATTATTATCCCCGTCCTCTTCGCTGTCATCATCTTCGCTCTCATTCTCGTTGTTGTCGTCTTTCGAGTCGCTCTCCGTAGATGGGCCAAGAAATCTATCCAGATCTTCCTTTTCACGCCACTCCTCCTCGTGCTGCGTCAAGAATAGGTCAATGCTAGTACCCATACTTGAGTTATGAGTGTTATTGTTGCTGACATGAATTTGTTTATTGTCAGTGCTTGGTTTGCTGGGTATCCTTGCTCGACCTTCTGCTTCTGCTTCTGCAATCATCCACAGCTCCTGCTCACGTTCCTCCTGTGTTTTTCGGAACTGGGCCATATCTGTCTCGAATTGGTTCTGATACAGTCGCAATTTCCGCGCAGCTTCCTCTTTTTGGAACTGCTGACTCCTGATAGACAATAACTCGGCTTTGTCCCATAGTTGCTTTCTGATAATGCAACGTGCGATTTATGGAGACAAATGAAAAATGTAATAGGGAAAGGAGAGTCAAACCAAGTTCCACTTGGAAAACAACAAAACAACAACAACAACAAAAAAAAAAAAAAAAAAAAACAGGATCAATATCAGAATCATTAACATCTCATATACCTTTTGGACTCCATATACGTGTCTAGCTCCAACGCTTTAGACTTCTTCCAGTCTGCCAAAGACAAGATCTCATTTTCATCCTCTAATTCTTCAATCATCTTCTCTAATCCCACAAGTTTTCTCTGTATATTATCTAATTTTTTTTTTTTTTTTTTTTTATATTATTAAAAAAAAAATCCAAACAAAAATTAAAGACGAAATTCAACATTGATGTTTTATTGAGTAAGTTTTTAAGGTTACATTCCTATCCACCATCTTCCTTCCTTACCTGACACAGTTAACATTTCTTCCAAATTCTTGTCCAAGACTTTCAGATCTCTGACTTCCTTTGCTAGTTGATCTGATGCCCTGACGTGTTGCATACAAAATTCTATAACCTTTTTTAAAATTTCTTCCGCAGCCTGTAAAAGGCAGTAATACGTTTTAGACATACAAGATCAACAAACTTCGCTCAAGAAAAAAAAAGAAAAAGAAAAAAAAAAAAGAAAAGAAAATAAATCCTTACATCAGCCTTTTCTGAATTGCGGGCAGAATGACTGTGAATTTCTATCCATGAATCCTGGTATCTATCATATTCCGCCCCCAATGAGTGTATAAGTAAATTATAGAAATAATAATAGCAACAACAATAATATATATAATCAGATTTCTCTGCATTGCGAGCGAGACAACAGTCTTTTATGCCCTAATTCCGTTTTTCGTTACCTTCGCGCCATTTTTGCAACCTCAGGCATGCGCTTCGCCCGCTCCACAGCTAGATCCTCATCTTGTTGCTGTCTAATTTTCCCCACTAGCGCTGCAGTCTCCTTAGCTGCTACTTCAGTTTTTGTTCCAGTTTTCAACACATTTCTTGGATGGTAATGGCTGCTGCCTTCACTACTCCTGTGACTATCTATCCCTCTTATTTTCATATATTCAGCAGAACCTATATCGTCTCCAATGACCATGTCTGCTTCACGTGGATTTTCGTAACCATCCTGCCCATGCTCGTTTCCATTCCATGTCCAGCCTCGACTTTTCCTCAACTGCTTACCGTCGCCCCCAGCATGACTTATATATGGCCCTTGATTTTTATGATATGAGGCGTGATCTATTGAATCTCTTCCCCCTCCCTCTCCTGGTATAGTTCCTCTCCTTGTGAATACTCCTGATCCAGGTAATGGTCCTTGTCCAGTTGAACCATGATTGAATCCAAGACCCTCAGCCAACTGGCCTAATTTCAATCCACTGCTAATGCTTTTGATCGACTCTGTGACAGAATCGGTGATAGATTCGGTCACATCTTTGATAGACCCTGATCCTGATCCAGATGAGCTGATGCTGCTACGTTGAAGATGCCTTCCCATATTTCCAGAGAGTGATGGTGGTAAAAATGACCAAGACCCTGAACTATCTCGCTCTAATGATGATCTTTGTTGTTGATTTGCACTTCCTGCAGACGATGGTCTTAGTGTTTCATGCTGTTGTTGTCGTTGTTGTCCATGCCTGCTATTAGAATCCAATGGGTTATTGGCGAGCACTGTCCGTAAACTCTCAACGCCAGACTTGACTGCCTGTAATCTATTTTCCAACAAATAGATTCATATTCAGCTGAGTAAAATTCAAAGGCTGATTTTTTTTCGTCTCCATTTCTTTCACATACCCTTGTTGACTCTTTGCACGTAGCTCATCCTGTCCTAAGCTAATAAAGGCATATGATCATATAGTGGCAAGTCATTGATATACATTGTAGATAGTAAGGAGTAAGTCAGCTATATCCTTTTGTGCTCTTTTATAGATCAGATAAACGTATAAGTGCTGAGTTTCTGTATATAAGATGTACATACATGGCATTACGAAGCGAATCCGGAGAATTGAAAATGTTTTTGAACATTTACAAAATAAATGTATTTTTTTAAATAAAAAAAAAAAAAAAAAAAAAAAAGGTGTAGAGATATTCAAAGCGTTTAGAACTGATAACAGTGGTGCTGACAACGAATGAGTTTGACGATAGAACATAAGAATAGTGCATTCACATGCAGACTTGAACATGTTCAGGCAAAAGGCAAAAGGTAAAATGGAAGAAACGTGACAAGGATCTCACGTGGCTTACGTAACTACAGCTCAAAGGACTTTTTTTTTATTTCATGAATGTAGTGTATACAAAAAATAAATATGAACAATAAAAACAAATGATGCTCAGTATAAGATTTATACAGGAGTATATTGTGTCCCTGTTGCCTCTGCTGCTGCTTTTGCTGCGGCAATCCTGGCATTGTCTTCTTCAATGATCCGTCTTTCTTCCTCTGACAATTCAAACGGCACTTCTTCTGTCCTGTGCAGATCCGTCGTTGGATAGAGCACTGGTGAATCTGATGCTACAAGGGTTTCATCTGCGGTAGGAGTGACAGTAGATATTTCTGAACCGCTATCTCCTGCCAAACTAGACCGCAACTGGCTGTAATCTGGATCTGTCGGTCGATGCTCCTGCTGTAAAGATGAGGGCTGATAAGGTGATCGACGGTTGAGATAAGATGATACGGTCCGAATTTGTCCTTGATTCTGGGCATATACACCTGAAGATCTGGGGTAGACAGAACCTGCAGTGGTATGTCGGGGGACAGCACCTCCGGCCTGAGCATGCCTTGCCTGTGTTGAACTGTATTCAGCTAAAATTCGGTTCATTTCATGAACACTCTTAAGCAGAGTAAACAAAACGTCTGCATGTTGCTTGCGCTCTGGATTTTGTGCGCACATTTCACGAGCCTTAGCTGCCTTCTTCATCCTCTCTTCATCACTATCCGCCACAGACTTGGCTGTTGCAAGCTTGCTAGATGATTTATCCAAATGGATCTCGGCCAGCTGACGTGTCATAGCCTCTAGTGGGTCCAATGGCTCTGTTGACACACTAGTAACTGCGGCAGCTGCAGCTGCGGCTGCCGCAGCCTGTTTCGCGCGCGCCCTTTGGACGTAGCTGCCGAATCTAGTGGATGGAGCTTGCTGTACAGTCGAATTGACTTCGCTCTGTTCCTGGGCACTCTCCTCGTCCGCAGTTTGCTCTCGATCCTCTTCAAGCCCCTCGGCCGAGGCCTCCTCAACATCAAGCGTTGGCATTGGTGAAGTTGGAACTGCCGGTGCAGACATCATGAGAAGTTCAGGATCCATATCTTTGTATGCCGGCTTTGACTTCTTTTTCTCAGTTGCTGGACGCTGCATCATCATCATACCGCCCTCAGACGCGTATTTTTCCTGCTTCGCCTTAGTTTGAGTACTCATATCTGCGTAAGTTCTTTCAACCTTGGCGCCTATTTTAGGTTCAATGAACTCCTCTTTGATCTCTTTCTTGATCTCTGGGCTTGGGCGACTGTTCATGAGATTGTTCATCGATACATACTGATGATTGAAAGGATTGATTTGTTGCTGAACCACATTCTTGACAGGTAGTGAAGTAACTACTCCTGGTAATCGGACGGGAGTATCTGTCACCTCCCAAGGCAACTTGTCTGTTCCAAATGTCATCGAAGGTGCAGTAAGGGTGGTGGAGACGAATGGATCTTCCGGAAGTATTTCCTTATATATAGAATCATTCTGCGAACTAGTCGAGGTTACGAATCCAGGATTAACAGGTGCGGTACCATAGACCTGGAACCCATTAACGCCAGTATAATCTGTATTTAATGTAGCAGGGTTCTGCTTTTGATCAAGGTCTGGGAATAAGGTGTCAAATGGTTGGGATTCAAAGATCTCTCCGCTAACATCCTCATATAAAGCGGAGCAGTACTGGCTAAATTGGTTTAACTGATTCCAGTCGCGCAGGTCAGGCAAGGCTGTCAAAAGGCGATCGGTTGTCAATGGACTGACGTCTGTGATGACTGCAAGCGCGTTCAAATGGCCCACCACATCTAAGAGTACGAGATTCACATAAGAGATTTGTCAGCCATGTCATACACAAGGATGTTACAATCTATAGCTCATTAGGAGTCACGTTTGATAAGATCCAGGGGTAATGCGATAGTGAAAGTATAAGCATCCTTTATATATATATCAAGAGATCATCTTACCTTCAGTATAAGATTGATCCATGCGCTTCTTCTTTGCTTCCATTGCAAATAAACCCAGTGTATCAGAAAAGATGTCGTCCAAACCGTCACGAGGGCGTTTGGCACTCATGGGCGAAACCATATCATCGTATCCAGAGGCAGCAGATGGGAAAGCCCCATAGTAAGTGCCAGACACATCAATGTTAGGTCTGCTGAAACCCTGGTTTCCGAGATCCATATCCGTTGATCTTGGTGAGCTGTAGAGATCGGAATTGGTTGAGTACGAAGGCGAGGCTATGAATAACCAGCGGCAAAGTACAATTGGTTAGAATTAACTTTCTTTCTTTGCTTTTCATGCAGGAAAAGGAAAAAAAAAAAAAAAAAAAAATACAAGGTTGCGGCGCTTTTTTTAAACAAAAAAAAAAAAAAAAAAAAAAAAAAGAAAAGGGTTCTTACAAAGACCTGGATTATTCCAGGACTCGGCTGGATCCACTAGGCTTGCAGGTGACATAGGTATACTATAGGGTGAATGAATAGAGGAGATTGTGGATGCGGGTATCGAAGGCGAGCGATCTGTATAGGATGGAGGAGTAAGGGGATGATATTGATCATGACCATGGGCAACTGGCTGGAGACGTGAAGAGCGAGCGGGGTTTGCTTTGTTACTTGCATTGCTGGATGATGATGCTCCGTTGGCTGGGTTGTCCTGATGAATTTTTTCGTGTTTTTTGAGATCCTGAGGTCGCTTGAAACCCTTGTTGCAAATCTAAACCGAAAAAAATAAATGCCAAGACAATTTTTTTTAAAAAAAAATCAGTCCATGACCTAGACCCGATAGGGCAGAACACAGGCAGTGGCCAAGCAAAAACGAGAGCAGCGTCTAATTGCTTGGGTAAAAATGAAGACGTACTGGACGACAGCAATACAAAAAAGAATGAATAATAATACTAAACGACTCATTACCTCACAGCGGTAGGGTTTTGAGGCCACATGGACCCGAAGATGGGATGTGATATGATCTCGCTTTGCAAAAGCTGGTACGTTGCACTTGTCCCAACGACAAGTTAGACACAAATTATGGTGAGCCTTTCTACCAACGTGGTCATCGCGAAGGTGCTCATACAGCAACTCTGCATCGTCAAAGTTCTTGAGACATGAGTCCCATTGACAGATGTAGTCGTCCGAGAAGATGAAGGACTCTGGGGAAGGAATGTTTTCCATTCTAAATTGAATTGGTCAATGAAAAGAGAAGCTACACTATTGTTTTCGTTACAATAATGATAATAATGAAAGTAACGAGAAAGTAGGAATAAATAGAGACGAGGGGGTTGATATGATCGATAAATGTCCAAACAGCTGAACTGCGACAAGAGTTGATGTCAATGAGAATAAAAGAAAGGGAAAAAATGATTGCGTTTGGGGTTGAAAAGGTCAGAGCCAGAGCAGACCATTTTATGGCTGGGTGAAATCTTTCCACTAGAATCAGTCTTGGCTTGTGATACAATTATATTATTGCATGTTTATTCATTATACGCATGAACTCAAATACTCAGAAAAAAAAAATGCCAAGCAATTTTTTTTTTTTATTATCAATGTGTATATGGATGGTGCTCTCTAATAAAGCTACAGGTTGACCCCATGCAGTCTTAATCATTATTATGCCAAGGGATGTCCTGTCTTCAGGCGTCTGGGTGATTAAAAATGACAATGGCTCTTTTTCGGCTAATTCCCTTTTCTCTTACATTTGAACAGTGTGTCCAAAACCACAATTACCCACGTTCTGTGGCGGTTGAAACCTAATGTTGTCCACAAAAAATAGCTGTGAGATTCCCCCGTCCATTTCTGACTGATAACTGCCCAGCCAACGGAAAGAAAGACCAATTGGTAATTCACGCTTAAGAATATTGTTCTAGTAGGCTAGAAAGTTCCTTGTAAGCATGTACGCAATAGCCCATCTGATTGCAAACAAAAAAAAAAATGATATATATAAATATATGCTTCGTTCGCGTGTACAAGTTGATTACAAGCAATACTTTAAAAAAAGAAATAAACGCGTACAAGGTGATTATGGGTAACGCTTTTTTAAACAGAAATAAACACTAAAACAAGGACACCACAGCCTTGCACGAATGCTCGCAAGTTGGGCTGTGGCGGTGTGGTCATAATTGCCGTTGCGTTTCTTCTTGGAAAAGGAGCAAGACATGAAAATTTAAAAATATCTGTGGCGTCAACATTCCTGCATCTGCAAAACAGCAAAAGTGGCTTGAGTGATAGTCAACTGATACTTGGTCAGCAAAAAAAAAAAAAAAAAAAAAAAAAAAAAGCTCCTTGGTTCGTTAGTGCACGTTGCAACGATGTATTCTATAAATTCTACTTCAACATTGTTGTGATGAGAATAACATGCGGATGGATACTCAACAGTGTACAAAGTGTTAATTGATCTCCCTATGATTAGACTGAGTCAAAAACAACTCTTCTACATTTTGATCATGGTCATATCCTGTATCAGGTAATAAGAATGATCATCAAATCTATTCTCAGCACCAATCTCAATAGCGATGAGCTGAGCCAAAGCTCGAGGGGTCTACGAGGGGGTGTGAACGATTGAGATGACCTTGTTCTTCTTTGATGTAGCGTTGCTACTGGAGAGCATGAAGAAAGTCATGCTCAAAGGCGTTTTTCATAGGCTACTGTAGTTGCGGATTCGTTGTATTGATCAGGTTTACAGAGATGAAAGCGTAATGCCCTGAAAAAGGCAACTTTTTGTGCTCATGAAGACTAATATGATACTTTAAGCATGTGGCTGAATCTTTTGTTTTGGCCTTGTAGACTTCAAGCTTCAGACTGTAAAAAATGAAACTCTCTGAAGCTGCCTCTAACTTGCTAGGTTACTTGATGTCAGCATAATCATGCAAAGATTTTTCATTCTCTATTTCCCTCTGAATATGTCAAGCCATATTTGTGGATAGCATATTTGTGGATGAGACAAGGAAATAAAAGAAACTCTTTTCAGGGGCGGAGATTCTCTTGCCTGTCTTGTCTTAGATTGTACATGTACACGGCCTTGGAGAAATAAAGCGGAAAACCACCAGTGTATTCTCTCGACTATGATATCAGGAATATCACATTCATGAATCTGTGTCCTTGTCGCAAATAGGAATGCTTGTGAAGTAAAAGAGACCTCGTTGAAATCGCACAGACCAGTCGAGCCATCCACACAAATGACGTGGTCCACACATCCACTCCTCACTTTTTGTGGTGATCGTTTGGAAAGATAGAAGAAATGAACGATAGCTCTAACGCTTTCTCTTTTTACTTCAATCAAATGAAGTGTGGCATGGAGATACTTTGTGTTTGCGATAAAAGGACGATCCATCATTGCTGAGCAAACCTGCTCCTTCCCGTGTAACGCCACCAATACCAATCTCATATCTCAACTCAGCTCTTTTTCTGCTCACACGGGAAAAAATTGTCGAACTCCTCCCCCAAATATGAACAGCAATCTTATGGCATAGTGCGTTGGTTCCTTTTATTTTTCACATCCCATTCCTATTTACTTACTCTATCCTTTTCCTTTTTCTTTTTGGCAACTACAACCTCCTCTTTTCTCATCACTCATTCTCTCTCGTTGAAATGCATGGCGAGAAATCGTCGCGCGCATTAATTCCAAATCCCAATGTGGGTAGGTATCATCTATCCCGCAGTCTCTGACCCTGTCTCATAAAGCAAAACATAATTAACAACAGACACTTCTCTATTTTCACTGAATCTATAGATGAGTTCCTTCGTCAAGAAGGGATGACAGAGGATGAATACAAACGAATTTATGACCTTCGATACTGCACTATTCTAGTACCTTTCGACGAAAGTGATGAAGAAAACTTGGGACAGGATCGCAAAAGTGTTACTTCCAAGGATAATTCTCACGAAACACCCAATAACGATTCAGTACCATGGACGCCCCCCAGGCGTCGTGGAGACAAGCAGCCAGGGACGCCAACGTCTGCTCAATCACAGAAACCAGAAGTCTTCCCAGTGCTTACAACAAGGTACAGTAACTATTTGGGGAACCTTACATCACGTTTTTTGTTGCCACTTTATGCCGGGCTCAATACTGACCATGATTTACGGCGCAATTTCATGAATCCACTTATCCAAACGGTTGAATAGTCATGGTGGCAATCATACGCCAATTCGTCCAATTGGTCTTTTGACTCCAACGGAGAACCGTCAAAAATCACCCTTACAAAATATTTCTGACACATCACAGGTTTTAAATAATGACGAAGATCAGGAAGAGGATTTTAATGAATCAAATAAGGGTGTTCTCACAACCAGTGATCCCCTATCAAGTTACCTCACCACAGCACGGCATAATGGACTTCATTTGACTGACATTGCGTGCGGAAGATCTGCTGCGCTGACCACCGCTTCTATAGAGGATGGGGGCGAGGGGATTGCTGACTCTGAGATGTTCCATGATGCCCTTGAACTGTATGATGAGAACGAAGAAGTATCTTTTTCGGAACATCAGGACAGACATGGTGGTCCATCAAAAGCAGGAATCAAGAGGAGGCGCTGGGAACTAGAATCATCACCGAAACTTCTGCAGCAGAGACAGCCTAGTACAACGAAGCGCGTAGCACTTGCCATTTCGTCTTCAATTGACACTACATCAACCACATTCACTCCAACCACGCTTTTAAAACCAAGGTCGTTTACACCAACTTTAATTCCTCCTTTGCTGCAAAGACGTGGTTCAAACGCCTCAGATGCTTCTTCTGCATCTGGCGTAGGTCATACTCAAGGATCCCTTTGGACGACCCAAGACTGGAAAGCTCTTGAGGAAGTTTATAACGATATGAATGCCAGCTCTATGGTAGAAGCAGATCTCGGTCAAGTTGCTGACCGATTTTTGGCCGAACAAGAATCTAAAACGGGCGAAACTCCATCTTGGTCAAGGTAAATCCTTTAGGTCTGCATAATGTCGCCTTTTTTTTTTTTTTTTTTTTTTAATAAAAAAAAAAAAAAAAAAAAAATTCAAGGATTTATTACTGAGTCTTATAATCCGCCTATCCATTCTTTTAGAGAGAAAGTACTTTTTCGCTGTGTCGCCCTTCACAGAGTGCGCAACAATACTCATAAGAAGCCAAATCATAATGTAGGTGTAATATTCCTTTCTCTCTCTCTTTTTCATCTTGTTAATGTCCGTGTCTAAATAAGACTTTGTTCAAAAATCTAGCTATTTGATTGGGAACCGACGCCTTTTTCTCACACACGTGGCGCTAATCGTCGGTTAGTACAGCCATATCCTTTGCGGCGGACACAAAGATCTGAAACACCGCAGCGTGGAGCAGACGGTGCCTCATCAAGTGCCATTTCCGATTTTCTGAGCCATCAACGCGCTGATCGAAGCAATAGACATAGAGCGGAAGAGCAGGGGTACCAGCTCAAGTCTGTATTCAAGCATCGATTGGCCTCGGGGTTGCGGACTGTCGGTCAGCTTATTCCTTTTTGGAAAGATGTAGAGCAAGGTAACGTTGACATCAAGGAAAAGGTCAAGGTACCACTGGTCCCTGTAGGCAAGGCTCTGGCGGTTATTGAGACATTTGAGAGCAAGAAGCAGACATCTGAAGCGACACAACCATACTCGCGACCTGGATCGGCCATGTCTCACCGCTCCGACTCCACATGTGAGAGTGTCGCAGGGATGTTAGCGAGAGGTCATTCTGAACGTTCTCACTCAGCTTCGAAGTAGTCGTGACATTCAGGATAGCAAGGCAATTTTGTTATGAATTTTGGACCCCATTGGTCAACCTTTTTTGTCAATTAATGTTTACATTTGTATCAGTAGATTTTTTTTTTTTTTTTTTTTTTATTTGCAGTTCTGTCACCATCCCCCGTCCATAGGAAGCAATAAAATATCCATGACTATTACTGGATCCCCAAAACAGAGGTTCCTGGAGTGACTTGTATTTTACAATTTTTTTTTTTTTTTTTTTTTTCTCTCTCTCGTAAACTCATTGTCCATCATGGAGCACATCAACAAGATCTTCCAAGAAGAAGGGTACCCCATTGTCGTCGAATATAGCTCAACCTTTGGGAATCACGCCAAGGCATCACGAAACATTCCTCAGGGTGAGGGCCTCTTGCGAGTAATTTTTTATTTTTAAAGTTACCAACAGTTAACAACAGCAATGATAACAATAGTGACCTTTAATAACCAAAAAAAAAAAAAAAAAAAAAAAAAAAAAATGCCACTAGGCAATACCATATGCAGCAGAAGTTTTTGACAACTATAGGAAACGGATGTGTCACGTCTGTCTCCTATATCATAATCGAAAATCATTCACGTTCCGATGTCAGGAATGTGATCAAGTATACTATTGTTCTGAAGCCTGTAAAGCCGTCGCGATGGATTCTCGAGGAGGAGCGCATGGCAAGGTCTGCAAGACCCTTCGAAAATTAGCCACATGGAACTCTGATCGGCATACAAAGAGTATCATTAAGCTATTACTCCAAGTACTCATGAATCATTGGAGAGAGCGACAAGGCATTCCAACAGCATACCAGAGTCGAATGACGTATCAAGTGATCAAAGACAAACGTAGAAAGGACGAAAATAAGGCCCAAGTTAATATTAATGATTGTAGTAGTCAAACTGAGGTCAGTAAGGCGATAGATCGCGAAGCTGCGGGAGATAATCTGACAGAAAGGCTAGAGATTTCATTACATGTTAAGGAATCCGATGACCCTGCAAATGGAGAAACCCAGAGCCCGTCATCATCATCAGTACCACCATCGCCTCTACAAGTATTGCAGGGAAAACTCTCGGGAGCAGAGGCTGATCTCACAGACACTGCAGTTCATCAGACTGAAGCTGCGATAGATATTAAACTAAAGCCTAAGCATGAGTTTGAAGAACCTGAGATTATTGACGATCGTCAACGAATTCAAGAACCTATCGAGAACGACTTTTTTGATTTCTTGCGATTGCAATCACACTTTGAAGACTGGGATGAAGAAGACACTAAAGATTGGAACAAACAGTCGCAGACTGTGCTCTCGTTGTTGGAGATGGCGGGTCTGACAGAGATAGCGACCGAGCGTGGAAACAATACCGAGCTGAGGACCTTGACATCTCAAGACATCAAGCGGTTGATCAGCGCGTTGGAGAGTAATGCATTCGGAATGTTTGATCGATCCAAAAAGAAACCTATTTGCTTTGGTCGAGGTAAAACTTTACATGTATATATCTTTTTCTAGAAAAAAAAAAAAAAAAAAAAAAAAAAGAAAAAAAAAAGAGAAAATTACTTTATATGAATACGATGCTAATATAATGAATGACCTTTCCTTTCCAAATGACATGATTGAAACTATTTTAGCAATTTATCCTGTTGCGTCGTTTTTCAATCATTCCTGTGAGTGTAATTCAACTGCTGTCCAAGCTGACGGAACCCTAGACGAGTTGGACGGACATGACGTTATAGATTACTTAGAGTTCGAAAAGAACGACAATAGTGACAATGACAACATAGGCGAAGTTAGAGACCAGGAAACAAACGATACCACATCCACATCCACATCCACATCCATACCCACCTCTAGATCAATAACGTCGACAGTAGAAGAGCAAGAAAGGGGCGTTCAAGTACAGGAACAGGAGCAAGAACAGGAGCAAGAACAGGAGCAAGAACTTGACCAAGATAACAGTGGTTCTGAGCCAGATCTAGAAACAGTAATGCAGCAGCCCGAGACCGACTCATATGACTCCAGAGTTGGTGAGTTTAGAATGATGACTTTTTTTGCCATCAAGGACATTCTCAAAGGTAAAAAAAAAAAAAAAAAAAAAAAAAAAACTCAACCAACTTCTGTACAGAAACATCAATAATGCATTATTCTTTTTTCTAACATTTCTATATGATCTAAAAGATCAAGATATCACAATCTCATACATTGACACAGAGATGCCTCTACATGCCCGTCGCCTTGCTCTCTTGACTGACTATCACTTCCATTGCTGCTGCAAGCGTTGTCTAAGAGAGGAGATGATAGGGTCGTCATCAAAACAGAGTCACAAAACCAAAGGTGGAACCAAGAAAGGAGCAGGAGGCAGAAAAGGAGAAAAGGCAAGAAAAAAGAAGTCAAAATAGACTTAAATCATTGATCATCATTAAAACACATCTTTAAGCAAAAAAAAAAAAAAAAAAAAAAAAAAAAAAAAAATCGCCAATATTATTTATTTGCGTTACTAGGTATTGCTTCTTTGTAACTGACACTGATAAAAAAAAATAAAGTAAAAAATACCGATAAACTGAAGAATAAAAAATCAGAAACAACATAACGCACATTGATGGTTCTGGCTTTTCAGACCAAGTTGAACAAGGCAAAGAAGGACATGTCATTGGGGACAAAAAATGTTCTGCAGCACATTGTAATGGTGTAAAGTGCTGATAAAGCCAGGTCAATAAGAAAAAGCCAGTCCTTACTCATCCTCCTCCTCGCTGTCTTCCTCGCTCTCTGCTTCGGCCAACCAGCGAAGGAAAGGCTCGACGCGAGTACGGACATCCTTGGCCTCTTCGCGAGAGACATATTTCTTAGTAGGCTTCTCACCCCACTTAAGAATGACATCCTCTTCCAAGATGTCATTATCATAGAACGCCTTCAAGATCAAAGGAGCCTTTAGCATCAATGTCTTGGAAGTGACCAACACACGCTCCATGCCTCCAAGAAGTGCCTTTTGGTTCTTTTCGTTCACAACAAACTAGAATTCAGGTAAATATGGGCACAAGATGTCAATTACATTGCAGATATATATGAAAGGAAAAATAATATTCATATGCATTGCATCTTAAAATACCTTGCGCAAAAGTGAGCTGCGGGTCTTGATCTCACGAGCCATGTCATCCGTGAAGATGCATTGAACCAAAACAGTAACTGCGCGTGACTTGGCAACAATATTGAGTTCATTAGCCTTCTCCATGATTTCAGCATCAGTTGCTTTGGGATTCTCCTCTAAATAGATTCCAAAGAGTTCGTAGGGGTTTTCACCATCCTCCTCTTCATCATCATCGTCCAATGTCAACTGAGTCTTAACATTGCCTTCCAACTCTTTCATGCGGGCAGCGGTACCTTCAGCAGAGGTGTCAACAGACCAATCGTCACCCAAAGCTGACTTGTAGTGGTCAGCATCAGGAATGGCAGCTGCCTCCTCCTTGATCTTCTTTGTGAAATCATCATCTTGATCCTCTTCCTCTTCCTCAGGAGGGGTCGAAGTGCCGTTCTTCTTGCTCTTCTTATCGGCCTTTTCACCCTTGCCCTTCTTTCCATATGCACTGTTGACAGGTGGATTCTTAACGATGTACGTTGCAAGCTTATGAACGTTCTCGCCCTTGTTGCGACGTCCACAGGCGTTGCAATACATCATAATGGTGCTAGTCTTGTCCACAATAATATCAGTTTCAGGGTTGCCGCACGAGGGGCAAAGAACGAACTTTTGAATGAAACCATTCAACAGCTGTTGCAACTTGGCGGCGTCGTGAGCGCCGTTAACAATGTAACGATCGGTCTTCTCATCACACTTCACCTGCGCACCAAGCTCGCAACCAAAATACTTTGTAGGATCTATTGCAGAATATGCCGCCGCCATAAAAGGAATAAATATGTTAACATACTGTCGTACGTAATATTACTGCGCGAAGTAAGATAACAAAAAAAAAAAAAAAAAAAAAAAAAGTACATGTGCTTGGGCGGCTCAAGGCACGGGCAATGTCAGACATGTTGGGAATCACAGTCTTGATTCCATTTCCTTTGCCCTCGATCTGTGTAAATGCATTTAAAAAAAAGAGTTAGCAGAGCAGTTATTAGTAAATGCCCTTTTTGTAAAAAACTTGGTACTACAAGAAAAGCATGATCTAATGCGTTAACTTTTTTTTTTTTTTTTTTTTTCTTTCTTTCTTTTCTTTCTTTCTTTCATCCTTTCTTTTACCTTTGAGATAAGCTTGGGCATCTTGTAGCGGTAGAAAGCATCATCGCTCTGACCTCCGATATTCAGATTAGCCATGTTGAATAGTGTAGTAATTCAAGAAAAGACAAGTAGATGAGAAGTAGGTGTTTGAAATATGTGCGGAGGATCCAACGTTTTTGAAAAACAAGGCATAAGAATGCTTGGGAGCGGGTACAAGAGAGCGAGAGAGTAATAGAGTCTATAAAGACAAGTGTTCGCTTGGACGGGTTGATGAGGATTGTGTGTGCGAGTGAATGTGAATGCAAAACGAAGAAAGAAAAAAAAAAAAAAAAAAATCGTCAACAGTCAATACAGCTGTAAAACGAAAACATCACGTTCATTTTTTTACTGTGGCTTGATCCACATGACTAGGAGTGTTTCTCTTGGCAACTCATTTAGTCACCATTTGGAGTGAAAAGGATAGTTTGCCACACAATCTTGGAGGAAATAACTTGACCGCCAGAACGACACATCAATCTTAAGTAGGGCCTATTAGATCATAGTTGGTTGAGCAAGAAATATACACATGCATGTTTATGCAATTTCAAAATAATTAATACGCTGTAAAATCTCTCCTTGGTTTTAAGGTCCAAGTGCGATCAGTTGCCGAGAAGTCGGACTCCATACTCCATCGCATCTTGACAAAAGAATACATGTCAGACATTAAAAAAAATAGAGAGAAGAGAAAAGCATCGACACCGTAAAACACTCGAATGGCACACGAGATCGAAATCGTAACAATAGTTGACATTTGCTCTTTGTATCCGATATTTCTGAACATTTAGCCTATTCCGCTTTCTGAAGCTGATTTAGACAACCGTAGTCGACTCTGTCCCTGCAAGGTTTTGATGACAGTGATTATCCTCCTATGTTGAAGACTATTAGGCTCTGTCTAGATATCATTGGCTCAGCATTCTCAAGGAGTATCTGTTCAACTTTGCTGACGATCTCCTCCCCCTTTACAACTTACAAAAGTATAACATGGCTCCAGCAAGCCTGGTTCTTTTGAGCCATTCATCCACATCAATTCATCATTTGAGGCAAATAAAAGTATACATGTGCACTCTTTACCATTTAAGCAATCAAGGTGTGGCAGTGTAATTAAACTCACGCCGCACATTCGGTTTTTGCTCACCGTGCCTTTGGACGTGCACGTTAAAAAGTAGAGCTATTTTGACCACCTCCCCTTGTTTTATTTTTTGTTTTTTGATCCTAATGGGGACGTGGATTTGTGCATTGCTGTAAGCAAAGCCAACAACCGAAAACTGAAGACACCAAACAACAGAAGAGATGATATTCTATGTGGATCACTCTAATCCATCAGTACCAACCCTCAAAGAGAAGGAGCCCACAAACAAATGTGCCAGAGTGTCTACTGTCGATGCTCGACTTATGATGATGAGTATTTATGAGCCGTCCGTGTGTGAACAGGGCTCTCCTCCCTTGTTGAACACACGAACTATTCTTTAAAATATCGGCGAAAACTTTTTTTTGATTCCTTTCATCTTTCCCCCTCTCTCGTCTTCTTTTCTCCCCTTTCAGATTTATTCCACCTGTCAAAAGATAATTCTTCTAACGGATAGATTGACAATACTAGCACCTTGATCTTCACACAGACACACTTATCCATTCAACTCACCTTTGTCTCTATCCTCACCTGAACTCGGAGAAAACAATAACTTCGACATGCGCTCCTTTATCATAACTGTATCACTAGTGGCTATGGCCACCCTCACTCTATTAGCCCCCACCACCAATGCACAAGAGGACTACGTCCCCGCACAATCAAAATCCGGGGCTCCTGGAGGATTCGTTGATGCACTTGATTCTCTCAGAACGCTTGCTGTGGGCCCATATCCCTCCCTCGCCACTTTAAACATCTCGCCTAATATCAGCTCCAATGGTTTAGACAAGCGTGGATATTACTGTGATCCCGGTTATGGCCTGTGCAGGTATTTTTTTTTATCAATTACCTGACATCCATTATAATTTTTATTTTACTGTTATCACAAAGAAACTTATAACATATTTGTTCTACTACTTTAAAAAGTAATGAAAAATCCTGTTGTAAAGATAATGTTGAACTTTGCGCTCCTTCTGGTGGATGCTGCCCCAAGAACCTCAAGTGGGAGTGCGGCGGAAAATACTGTTGCCCTGTAAGTAGTTTTTCTGAAAGAAAGATCAATGCTTCAAAATTGTATTGGATTTACTTATTTATTTTTATTCATTTTATTAGTTCGACTCTTGCTTAGCGAATGGTCACTGCGGTTGCAATGATAATTTGTATAGATGCATAAATAGTTGCTGCAAATATGGATGCAAAGATGGTGGGGAGTGCATGTGCAACCCCAACTTCCCTGTTGATTGTGGCGGTAGGAAAACTCAACTTTTTTTAACGGAGGATAATACTCCATTTTTTTTTTTTTTTTTTTTTTTTTTTTTTATTTATTTATTTCAAAACTAATCATTTAAATATTTTGCTTTTATAGGCGGCTCATGTTGTCCTGCTGGTTATGCCTGCATTGGTGGCGGTATGTGCATGAGAGAAAGTCGCACGGCTTCTGGATCAGTATCAAGCGCTGCCCCCACGTCGACTGGTAACAGCGGAGGTGGGCCAGCTCCAGGCAGTACAAAGACTCCTAATAGTGATGGACAGAATTCTGCAGGAACTGCTTTATCTATGCACGTCTCTGCAATTATTTTCGCAGCCTGTGCAATTGCTGCTGTATCCTTTGCATTTTAATTGACGCGCTACTCTCTCTTCCGCAAAGTACTTCGTAATAATAATAATAATAATAATAAAATCAAAGATGTAATCCATTTATTTCACTTGATATAAGAAAAAGCTATTGCTATTGTAACTACCCCGCAAGGATGTTTAAAGTTCATGGCAAGGGAGGCATATAAGAGAGTCTATGATACTCCCTATATAAGGACATTGTCTGTAAGAGCATACTATAAAAGAAAAGCACCTCTGAACCTTGAAACTTATCCTGCTTCAACATCTTTAACAATGCATTCCGTAAAATGGACTTGGTAGCGCGCCTTAAATAACCTAATGATATCAGCATTCACTAGTTGGGTTTTGGAGTCATGTTTAGTGGCAAGAAAAGAGCATGTTTATGAAAATATTATCGCTTTCCCATGTGCAATGCAGTTGTCAATGATGATAAGCACTCTCCTAATTAGCCATCGGTTTCACCCAGCCTTTGGTGTTCATACGGCTAGGGGTGCCACCATTGAAGAGTTTGACATCTTTGAGGCATCGCGGGTTCTCATAGCTACTGATGATCCAAAGTGGCGACTTTTCGGACACAGCTCCGTTTGCGAGTGGATTGCCCCCTGTTCCCTTTTCTCTTGTCGTAATCGGGTCTTCTCCTGCCATAATTGGGCATCAAATCGCTATTGCAATGTTGCAGAACCTAATTCCTCTATAAGAACAATGCTTTTTAGTCCCAAGGCTGCTTTTTTTTTTTTTTTTTTTTTAAATGCTCGCCCAGCGAGTTTTCTTTTATTTAGTTATTGAGATGAACTACATATTGGAAATAGCCATTTGCAAAGATGATTGATTTTAAAACTAAAAAATGAAGGACGCTCACAGCCATAGAGGAATTAGTTATTAAAGTTGAACAGGTTTTGTCAAAAAACTCTGCCGAATACTTTGATATACAAGGAGATGCTTAGCAAGCACCGCCATCCTTCCAGGCGCCATAAGCAGAGGCACCGGGAGTCTCACCCTGAGTCCACCAGGAGTTGGTGTAGAGACGGCCATTGTAGGTAACCTTGGTACCAGTTGTGGCGTAGGCAGTGGCGCTGTTCCAGGGAGCAACACCATTGCAGATGCTAGTAGGAGGGGTGGAAATTGGGGGTTTGGTAGTGACTGGGGCAGTGGTGGTGGTGACTACAGCAGTGGTAGTTGAAGGAACGGGGACGGTAGGGCAGTTGGAAGTGCAGTGGATGTTCTGAAGAACGTTGACCAACTCGTTGTTGTAATCGTAGGTCATATCCCAGAACATGACACCCTTAACACCCTTAGATTTGGCATAGTTAACTTTGATAGTCAAGGATTGGATATCATCGTAGGAGATGAAAGTCTTGTCAGCAGCACGGAACAACCAGGGGGTCTGGGTGGTCTCATCCCAGTATCTGGTCCAGCCAGCAGCAGGGGTAGTAGGAGTGGTCAAGACGGTGCCACGGAGCTCCTTCCACTTCCACAAACCTGAGTAGACAGAGCCCTCGTTACAGAAGAAGTTGATTTCGTTGCTATCAGATGGGCCTCCCTTGGGAACAACGCTGGTCTTGTTGACATACATGCTGACAGGGTTCTGGGCGTTCATGTCAACGGTGGTGATAACTGAACGGCCGTAGAAGGCAGTACCCATGACCAACTTGTTGGCAGGGAACTTGGCGCTGGTCCAGGCGTCAATGGACTGGACGAAAGAGTACTGATCGGCGAGACCGGCAGGGCCGTTTCTGAAGGGAGCATTGGGTCCGGTGTTGGCGCTCCAGCCTCCCATAATGTCGTAGGCCATAATGGCGATCCAGTCAAAGTACTGAGCGAAGGCAGAGACATCACCCAAAGGCTTGCCATCAGCACCATCGAAAGGCTGGACACGAACAGCAGCAGTCAAGAGCTTGCGGTCGTTAGGGAACTCCAAATCCAACTGGGCACGAAGTTCCTTGAGGAGAATGAGGTAGTTGGCAGAGTCCTGAGGAGAGACAGTGTTACAGGCGGCACCAGAGCGGCCAGGGTACTCCCAATCGATATCGAGACCGTGCATGTTCCAGCCATCGGGGGTGGTGGCGTAGTCAGGGAGAGTGTTGTTGCGAACAAAGACCATAGCGTTGTTGATGAAGGTCTTGCGGAGATCAGCGCTGGCGGCGACTGTGGAGAGAGTCTGGGATCCGGTCCAGCCACCGATCGACATCAAAATTGGGACACCATGCTGGTTACCACGAGCAACCAAAGCCCTCATGTTGTTTCCATCATAGTAACGGTCGAAGAAAATATCGGTAGGTTGAGCATTCCTCTTGGCAGTGACACCGAAACCGCTGTTAAGGGATATAAAGAAAAAGGGCAAAAGCGGGTCAGGGACTTTTTTTTTTTTTTTGATTCATCGTTTGTGCAGTATACTATTAATGCCCAAAGGTGACTTACTAGTTGATGTGGGTGTACTTGGTCATATCGAGTGAAGCGACTGGAACACCGCCCCATGGGACCCAGTATCCAACAACAACGTTGTTACTGGCAGCGCGCTTCTCAACGGGAGCAGCAGAGGCGTAGGCAATGGCAGTGGCTGCCAGGGCAAGGAATGAGATCTTCATTGTAAGTAACTGTTGTTTTTGATAGGGAAGAAGAGTAAAGAGGCAGTAGATGAGGATGAGGATGAGGATGAGGATGAAAACAAAAACGAGGCGAAGGTGGAGGTATTTATAATGTTCAGAATGTGCTTGATCAAGGTTTAAGGATCGAGGAAGAGAAATAAGCAGTGTATATGCTGGCTCAATAGTAGATTTTAGGGATTGTTTGCAGTGCTTCCCAAAGAGGGAACGAATTCTACATGTACAACGTAATGGCCTGGAATGGAATAGAGAATTCAATTTAGTTGACCTTACAAAGAAGGAGGATTGAAAATGCGATAATTCGTTTAGCGTACAATTTTGTGGAGCAAGAAAACCTTCTTGATGTTATCAGATATCTCTTCCAAACATTCTTTTCTTCCATTTCATATCTCTGTAATTTCAATTCATTGAGTAATAAAGAACTGCGAACCCTCAAACATTCAATAAAGTATATATATTATATATGTGTATATATAAAATTTAAAATACAGTGTATAATGACAACATCATGTGTTATTTCGATGTGTCCATGGGGTCATGGGAGCAGGTAAGGGTCTTGATGGCGATGATGATGGCTGATTATGCAGGGAGCGCTTATTTTATGTTTGTTTGCGGTTCTACGAAGATTTGTTTATTTGGCGGTTGTCCTGGGGTTTAATTCCTTTTTTCAATTCCGTTATATTCAATAAAAGAAGAAAACAGAAAGTCTCCAATCCTACGAGACGGAAATAGATTATATAAAATCCCAACGACATCTATTCGCATTCCCATAAACCATGGATAGTAATCTCAATGGCGAGTAAGGGAATAAGCGAAACTAAAGGCATGGGTCATCTGTGAGTCCCGTTACTGCTGTGATTGTATGATTCTGATGAGAGTAATATATCTAATAACGAAAAGGAAATGTTCCTGAATCCCTTAAAAAATTACAAAACCAATAACAAATGGTTAAATGAGACGCGTTTTTGTTTATGTTTTGTGCAACCGCTCCACACGATCTCTGTGCGCAATCGGTAAAGCTTGATGCAACTGAGACGTGTGATTGGGCGACAAACAGATGCCCTCATGCAATCTCATTTTATAGTTTTTTTGCTTTACATGTTGACCTCAGCCTTTCATCTTCTTATTTTTTATATTATATTTCTCTCGTTTTCTTTCATTTCCGTACTGGAAAAGCAGGCCAAGAGTAAGAGATGATTTATTAATATTATTATAGAAGCGGATATTGTACAATTATACGCTTGTTTCTCTGGACTATCTCTCCCTCATCATCTGCCTTTCTCTTTGTGAGCATGGAGAACACGATGAATTAAAAAAAAAAAAAAAAAAAAAAAAAAAAAAGGAATAAAATATATTCATAAATTGGATACAGATTGTAGAGATCAAATATATTGTCGTGTGTCCTTGGCTGACATGATGGGATGGGATGGATTAAATAGAAATCAGAGTTCAAACTCCTATCACCCCAACCCTGGCGTCCAGACCAAAGTCAAGCAGAAAAACCATAGGACCCTGCCATAATGTATGCACTTGCACGCACGAATATGTCATGCGATCATTGTGCGTAGAGAGCAATTTGCCATTTCTCCCAACTGGCACCATTTGCCATCATCTTGTTGGGTATTCTACACCCTCTGCTTTCTAATCACCATCTTTTGGCCCATATCTGTAATATATAAGTATTTTGATTTCCAATAAACGGTCAACGCAGCTCAGCAATGTACTCAAAGATCTGCAAACCTCTAGGAAGCAAATAAAATAAAATAAAAACAAATACAGATACAGCAGTTTTATGCTTCTTGCTTGGTAAAAAGACACAAAGAAGCAACTGTTGTAATTGTTGATTGTAAATATTTTTTTTTTTATCTTTTATCTAAAGGTTACATTGCATGTAATATTCGCTTAGTGAAAATCGGACGCAGAGAGAAGAGGATGGACAGAGGGGCCCAAGGAAGTTGTGTGCGGAGTACAATCTCCCCTGTATGCACACGGAGCAAGGGAGACGGAAACAGGGGGATGAGAGGCCGGCAGAGGAAGAGAAGGGTAAGAAGGGGAGTACGAAGTGTAAACAATCGTTTAGACATTTGTTTATTTGCAACCGGTTTGTTTTTCTTTTATTATTTGATTGATTTGATGACAGGTAAGATAAATATTTGATCAAGAAGGCTCACGGGCGAAATACAAACGATTGGGTCGGCAGGCAGTCTCAAATTGTAACAGGCAAGGGTTCAGGTTCCTTTGCTGCATCCGTGTAAGCAACTATGTGCTCATCTATAGCATATATAATACACATATATTACAAATGATCCTATTGAATGGTAAATAAACAGAAAGAAAAAAAAAAAAAAAAGCAGTTACTTTATTTAATGTATCCTTGCTAGTTATTAATGTTCCACTGGTCTTCTCAACAGATTCAATTTATGATTATGCATGAGGATAATCCATTTAGTCTATTTCTCTTCATAGAGAAGGAACAAAAACAAAAGGATCGATTTCTACTGGAAGCCTTCCATCCATGACATGAATATTGCCTTTACCATCCGGAAATATTATCGGGGTTAGGTTCCTAGATGGCCATCCATATTATATCTCACGAACAAAGGGATGAAAAAGTCTACAATGAGAACCAATAACCATTAGCATTTTTTTTATGTGAATGAACTGCACTAACGATCGTATATGCCAAGGAGTGTTTATTCCGATCATATGAACAGAGCCAGAGGAATGCACCAATACAGTGAAACTTTGTGCCTGAACTAACCTTTTTCTTAAAATCATACGCGAAAATATGTAAAATGGGCGAAACTCTAAAATGGTAACATGAGAAAAGGGAAAAGAGCTTTCTCCCATACACGCGTTTCTTTTTTTTTTTTTTTTTATTTTTTTATTTTTTATTTTATTTGGGTCGCTATAAGGCTGACCTTTGCTTGATTATCCTACATTTTCATACCCACCCCTTCAAAATGTGCCGCCTGGCGCCATTTCCTTTCTTCCCCAATAAAACTGCAATCCACCATCAAAACTCTGAAGGAAGATTAAGAAACTATCCCGTCAATCGCTTCAAATGCAAAGCGAATTGAACCTGCTTTATTTTCTATTTTTTCTGAAAATAAAATAAAATAAAATAAAAAATAAACAAGGCACATGTAAATCTCCGTCTAATTCGTTCTGTTTATCCGTAACCGTTAAAGTGGCCAAAGTATATACATACATGTTGATCACAACTATGTGTAAGTAAACATCAACACTCTTTTGTTTTTTGTTATTTTTTGTTTTTTTCCACAAGTGTATTTCTTTTTATCGCACATGTAGATAAAACTTTTATTTCCGAATCTACGCCGTGCTTCTAATGGGACCATCCTGTTAGTCCTATAAAAGATTACAACGAGTGCGGTGCTTCCGAGCTTCAAGGTTGAAGAATGTAGGACAATCATAGCTGATAACAATCGAATAGTTTTTCTTTTTCTTATCCTGGGTGTACAGTTCTTTCGCGGGTCTTTTTATTCGGTCATTTTTACTAGCTGTATGAGAAACGACTGTACATTTATATTATAACATAATACAACATGTATACAATAAGTATATATCATCAGTAAAACAACCATTAATTAACCACATTCTATTTCGATATTGTTAGTATATAATATATATATATATACTTGAGTAATGATATGACTAATACATTCTGATAATACAAATGTAACATCTATTTATCTATTTAATGATGTTGGGATCAATCTTATCAATGATGGCACAAACAAAAAATGCCGGGAATCGCGCATAGTCTAAGGCATAACAAGAACAGATCAATCCGGAAGATGCCAAGGGCTAAACGCGTGAAAGAGTTTGCACTAATGTCCATACCATGGCGGTGTTTGGTATGAACAAAATGGAGCGACATGAAATTTGTTCTACTTGAAAGATAATTGCCTAGACTGCCTTTTCCCTTAAAACTATCAGTAATTTGGTGCAATTGAGGACGCATGGACTGCAGGTTCGTTCAACTCGTTGGAATACTCTCATCATCAGGGGGCCGATAATCGATTGTTGAAATAGATGTTCCATCCAATTTTATTAAAATGAACACAGAATCGAAGAGACGCAGGTAAAGAAAAGATGTGTACCCATTGTGCCATACATTCTTAAGAAAGGAGTGATACATGTGAATCTATGGAAATGTGAGACCTGATATCCTTCAATGCCAGAGTGCTTCCATTGTTCAGTTATAAACATCATGGCTTGCAATAAGGCTTGCCAAGCGACCTTTCTTTGAATACGAATCATAGTTGCGAATAGCTTCTATGGAATAGGTGGAGCTTGATACCATGCGCATATTTAGTCCTCGCCAAAAGCTCAAGAGTAAGCAAGGAAGAAGACGGACAGAAAAGTTCATGGAAGCCAAGAAACTAAAATGCAGAGAATAGCAAAAAGAGCAGCAGACAACATCGAGAGACTCAGATGTAGAAGGTAGAAGACAAGGATCTACATCGAGAGGCTGCTACGAGTAAGGGGCTTGGGACTACTTGTGCGTATATGGAGAACCCAGCCACAGAGCCCACCGAAATATCGTAAGAAAGGTAAAAATCGGTAAGAACAAAAGTAAATTTAACCTAAAAATGCTCATGTTCGTATCAAAAGTATATCAGTATGCTACACTGGCTCCGAGAGACAGCATCAAGGATCAACGCCCAATTCCAGGGTGGTTGAAAGAGGATCAGGGGAACTGGCATGAATAGAGTCCTCGACGTCGCTAGAAAATCCTCAGCAAAATATAAACGATGATTGAATTGCTTGCTTACCAACGACTTTCTGGCAAGGACTCTAATAATGAATTTGGATTACTTTTGTTGGATCCACAAGGGATTAAATACGTGGGCCTAGGGATTGACCTGCGAGCCTTTAATGTTGCCGCTTAAAAGTCAGAAATGTTTTCTCAAGAGACCTTGCTCATAGCGGTTGCTTCAACACTGCCAGCGAGGCCATCCTAGAGTATTTAATTAAGTCGGTATCCGTCAGGATCCATGCGATCATTGACAAAGTTAAGGACTCGCTAGGGATATTTGACATTTCTTAATCTAATTGATCTTGAATATCTTTTTAGGGCAGTATTCCTTCACCATTTGACAGGAAATATAAGGAACCCCGACGGCGGCATGCTCGACCAAGCCAGACTGAAAGTGTCTCACTCTCTGCATCGAATAACAAATTTTCAAGTCAGATCATCTTTGAGGACACCAATATTGAGAGAGACCTTGGCAAGGCAGTGAAAGCAACTGATGCCCTTACACAGTTCGTAATAGGAGCAGATTTGGCCTGTTGGTGCAGGCATAATCCGATATACCACTCATTGTTGCTATCAGACTCGAGAAAAAAGGTTATGCGTTAAGAGAATGCGGTAGTGCTTATCCAAAGGACAGCACAGAATTACTACTTCAAGAAAAAGGTTGTGAGCATAGGTCATAATGGAAACAGTAGATCATGTCATGTCGCTCTGTTATATTTTTATTGAGGAATTTTTTATTACCATACGTGCCTTAGAGAGTTGAGTAATATGGTAAGCTATTTGTTAACAGTGAAGTCTCTGGAGAGGAGCAGATCATGAGGATCAAGCGCTATCTTGCCAAGTATCAATGTCAAGTAGAGTCAGAACAAACGCTGTTGCTTGGTTTGAGCATATTATACATAAGAGATGTGAATAAGGAGCATACCAGGTTTGTTATCTTGATTCAAGTTAGTACGTTGAGCACCTCAACACCGTCTTCTATTTCATAAATCACCGTTAGTTGCCTGTTACTGCTTCAACTTTCGAAAATAATAATAATAATAATAATAATAATAATAATTAAGAAATAGACCTTTATCTAGAGAAAAGTTCTTATGATGCTCATCCTTGATACAAAACCATCCTACATATGGGGTGATAATATATAAGAGACACCCTTCAACATCCAGCGGTGCCTGCCACAACACGTGCTAGTGACTGTTCCCGGAAAGTGCTTGGTTACAAAAAAAAAAAAAAAAAAAAAAAACAGAGCAGACTTAAGATCAAGACAAATACAACAGATAATATGCAATGGCGCCACCCAAGAAGGAGAAATTACCAACGATGAGAGAACTACAGGATCTACTCGCTGCATTGGATGCTGGAGGGGACTTATCCATTGGCGGCACTGATAGAGGTAATACTAAAAAGTACTATTCTTTTTACTATCATAGGCAAAGAAAGAGAAGGGACGAAGTCAAGCCCAAGTTTCTGATACTTGCATCTGCTTTTTTAGAGTCTGGAAACTTGGATGATCTCTATAAAGACTCTTATTTTCATGCGATCCTTCACAGAACCATCAAGCTGGAGTCGATCCTAGTCTCAACCTCGCCTCCAATCTCATCGCTATCCTTGGAAACCGAGGTGCCTCAAAGCAGCATCAACTGCAATAGTACAACTGAGTCATTACCGTTATCATCATCGTCAACAGTACCGGCGCCAGCAACGCAGGGCTTTCCAAAGGGTACATCTCATCAATTTGATGTTTTGACCCTTCCAGAGGAATGCTCTTGGGGCGACGACCATGAATCTCTTGCTCAAAGATTGCTTATCCGCCCTGGCTATGCCACTGTCCTTACTGCGCTTTTGTCGGCACCATCGACACCATTGCCAGGAGCAGAAAAGACACTCGATACACAATCCATCTTTTTGGCTACAGGTTCTCCTGGGATTGGAAAATCATGCCTAGCTTATTATCTATTCTATAAGCTATTTGAAGCTGGTCATGATGTTGTGATCAGCGACTCCCTTTTCACAAACGCCTTTGTGGATAGGACGTATTATTCATGCTATTCACCGCATCTGGAAAGACATCCCGCTATCTTACAGGCCATCACCGCATCATCAATAACAGCAGCAGCAACAACAGCAAAAGCACCCAAAGAGAAGCGTACATGGTGGATATGTGACGACGGATTCTTACCAGTGAAAGGAACGAAATGTAATGTCCTCGTTACATGTACTACGGCGCAAACAGGTCAATATATCAATACCATTCGCAGGAAGAATAAGCTGCCGATGCCGGTTCAGTTTCAGATCTCAAAGTGGACAATAGATGAGATTAAAGCTGGTTTAATCGTATCATTGGCAAGTACTCTCCCACATTCTAGTGCTGAGCCAACAATCCCAAAGGAACAAGAGGCAGTATTAGAAACCCTCTGCAAAGAATATAAAGGTTGTCCAAGGTCGATCTTTGCCTGGGTCATGGAAAATTGGACGGATGGAGTGACACCACAGTCAGAGAATACAACAGAAAGGACAAAGACAAAAAGAAAGACTAAAAAGCGAGCATGAAAGAGAGGATGAGAAAGTGCTGTTACAATTAATTATTATTCACCAATTTATTATAATTTGAGGTTACCAAAATAAAAAAAATATGCTGTTGTTTGATTTTTTTTTTTTTTTTTTTTTTTTTTTTTTGCAATTTATAACAGAGACATTTCTGCAAGTATAGGATTATGGGACGTTTACTATGCTAATTAATGGTCAGAGCCAAAGCTTTTTTTTTTTTTTTTTTTTTTTTTTTGCTTCAAGAATGAGTGCTAGCGTTATTTGATCGGCGGCCGAATCCTCTTGATGTGGATGGACCAGCAGTAGACGAAGTAGATGAATTACCGTCTTCGATACGAAGATTGGGCGATACCAATCGAATTTGCGCTCCCTCGCGCTCCATCATTTCGTCGTCCGCTGTGGTTGCTAAAAGCATGCATGGCAAGCAACATCCAGAGCAGCAAAGAAGGATCGATAACACAATAAATACAGGGATCAAGACACGTGCCACAGGATAACTATGTCCATCCAATTTTGCCACCAAGAGTCCAATGAGTGAGTATGAAAGCGAGCCCACAATCAAGAAGACGACTCCAAGTACGATCATAAGTGACTGTCCTTGCTGCTTCATCTCCTGGTTCTGCATCTGTGAAAAAGAGCGATATCCAATGATGAGCTGCGCCAAGTATTTTATACCAACAAAGTAGAGTGGAATGAAGATGATGGCCCAAGAACAGCTGATCTTGTTGTCGATGCGAAGCATGATCAAAATAGCAAAAATCAGGCGAAGAAATTTCCACCATAGCGCCTCAAACAAGACAACAAGCTTGCTCTTTAGCGTAAGTTCCGAATATACTCCTGTCCTGAATCCAATGGCGAGCTGAATGATGGCAATGAGGAAAAAGATGGCTTCCATTATAAAGTAAGGCGTGAAGACGGTGGGCGCTGAGATGCTGCTGCTGTCGTTCGCCTTTCTGACAATCAGCACTTGAAAGATAATAGCCAGGACTACAAGTGTTAGTGCAAACCCACTTGCTATAATCCTTGCACGCTTCTTTTCCTTGAGTTTTTGAGCCTTGCGTTCTTCCTGCGCCATAGGTGTCGTATCTCCATCGTTTTCCTCGTGGTGCTCCTCTTCCTCATCATTAATAGGTCGTGCGGCTTGGCTAATAATCAGAGCCATCAAAATCATATCCAAAATCCAGAGTGGGATGAATACAACATAGTAGTTCCAGTTGACCTTGCCATCCACGCGGACTGATAAGAAACTGAAGAAGATAATGGCGAGAATGAGGAGGACAGAGAGAGAGAAGAAAAGAGTACAGAGGAGAGACTCAATCTCCATCAGTTGTGCTCCAATCTCCGTGCCTGCCATCTGTACACCCATCATTCCATATTTGTCGTATACTTGTCTCTTCTTTGGGTCGCCTATTGAAAACGTGAGTATAACATCATGTACACATGGAGGTTTTTGGTGTATGAGAGTTAATTACCATTTTATGTAATTTATCTTGTCTAGAAAAATAAACAAACATGCTCACCAGAACAAACAGTAACAGCGAGAATACATACTCAAAACTTCATAGGCCGCAGCAATTTCTCGAAACTAAAGAACCGGAACAAAGATGAAGAGCGTGTAGGTGTGTAGGTGTGTAGTTAATAGGGATGTTTGAAGAACATGATGCATGTTAATGTCAGTTAATATTGATCAATTCATAAAAGACAGGGGTGAGTGTGTGGAGTAAGTATCTATTGCAGGTTCCTTGGTTTTTTACCTTCGTTTCATGGTCGGGATGCTCAGCAACGTTGACTTTGTCAGGATGGTAGCGCAGTGCCAATCGTCTGGTATTTAGAAAAATGAGATGGTAAAAACCAAATTAAAAAAAAATACATTATATTGTTTTCCTCTAAGCAACGTATCCAAGCAAGGATAAAATGGAGCCGCATCAATGCAAACAATCTGTTAATTAAAAAGGGGTATTTGATGGGGAAACAGCGCTGAGGTGTATGAATTCCAATTTGAATCCCAAGTGTTCTTAAAAAAAAGGGAGAGATGTGTTTCTGCTACAGTAAAGTATAGTTCAGTGTAGTGTCATTTGTACCTGTAAGCTTTTTTGATTTCATCCTGGGTAGCAGTTTTTGGCACCCCCAAGGCTTCATACAAGTGGACCGTATTGCGATCCATCTTGTGAATGTATTGTAATGTTGTTGGTCAACAGAAAGGAAGAGGAAATGGGGATGAGAGAATGAAAGACAGAGATAGATAGAGAAAGTGTATGAGTGAGAGACAGATGCAGATGCAAGTGATTATTGATGAAGCAAGAAAGGATTGACGAACTGAATCCAAAAGATTGAGAAGAGTGATGGAATAAAAGAGAGAGAGAGAGAGAAAAAAAAAAAAAAAAAAAAAAAAGAATGTTGTGATTGTAAGTGTACGTTGGAATACAATCAGGAACAAGGCAGTTGGAGGTCCAACAAAGAGGTGACATTAGACATTAGCGGACAACCTTTCAGTCCAAAGCAAAAAGAGAGCATCCATCTCCATATTTCATTTACAGTTCTAAACTGTATTTATATTTATTTATGAACAACTCGTGTGCAGATAAAAATAATTTTTTAAAAGGTCAAGCATGTCAAGTGTACATGAATAATATGTCAATGACATGATGCTTTTTCCGTTCAACATCATCGGCACCTGTTGGTTTTTTTTTTTTTTTTTTTTTTTTTCTTCATCTCTTGACTACGCCATAGACTGTGTATTACGAATCAACCCATCAATCGCAGTCATTTGCGATAGAGTGTGGGACAAGGCTTTTTTTTTTTTTGCAAATCCGCTGAAACAGCTTTGGGTATGTGTGACAAATGTGTAATAAAAAAATGAACAGTCCAATTGCATGCTGTCTCCTGCTCCAACCATGGGATCATTTGTCCTAGAGAGTTACATTAAACATCCATCTCTTTCGATACGTATGGGATTCATTGATCCCCAGTCTCTAACTATTGTCATCAAAACTTTTTCAAAGACAGTAAGTGCTCGTCATTGCAAATCTATGAGCTAATTTTTTTTTTTTTTTTCCCGTCCCGGAAAACACGAAAGCATTCGTTTGAAAAGTAATTGTGCCCTTGTCATGGAGATGATGGCACAGACACGTAACTACACGGCATGAGGTCAATGCTGATCTGATCAAAATATCGACGACGCGCAAAAAGTAAATATCTATGCACAAATATATATATTTTAGCTTGCATGGTTCCTACATACCAGACTCTCAGCCTGCTGGATTCTTCCCGAGTAGAGATACCACTGCATTGTATATTTTCAAATGCTCCTAATCACCATCCAGGCCTCGGCTTCAAGGAGTTTTGAGCAAAGCAATGATTTTCATAATTATGCGGACCTGCTACACGTTACCAAATCCTGAATAGTAAATGTTGTTCTTGTTTATAGATTTACTTATTTATTCATTCATCGCTATGTCATTATTGAAGTAGATTATAATCGAATAGATATAATTATTAAAGATGTTTTATGCGACCGCCAACTCGATTATGATGATGGTGCTGGTGCTGGCGGTGGTGGGAGAGTAGTGCCAGACAGATTAGGGTGGGTAGTGGTATGTACAGGCGCGTCCGTTGTAGTAGAAGTTGTGGCTTGAGGCGTGGCTGCGCGCATGCTACTCTGGGTACCACGACGCGATACGGTGCTAGAGCGAGGGCTCGAGTTGCTCACATCAAGTTGGCTAGTGGAGTTACCAGGGGTGCCTCGGCGCTGCTTGGGGGCCCAGCCTGCACCGACTGATGTAGCAACTAGTGAGGGAACCATGGCTCCAGCATGTAACACATGACGATCGCTTCTATCAGAGTCAGTCGAGAGACGACCACCGCGCAGTGACTTGAAGACCGAGAGATCGGAGCGGACTTTGGTAATAGCAGGGTTCCAAACAAGACCATCACGACCACTGCTAGCCATCGAGTTGGTACGCTGAGAGTTGATTGAGGCAGGGATAGAGTTCATGCGACCAATATCATTGTTCATTGGGTAGCTCTCAAAGTTAGGGAGACCACCATGAGTAGGCTCAGTATGATCAACCCACCTCTTGAGACCACCAAAGATCTCATCAGGAATTAAGCGGACAATGACACCAACAGGGAGTGAAAGGAGACCCAAAACAATACAGACGACCCATTGAACGCCGTCAAGTCTCTCAGTCTTGAAGGCAGCGCCACCAAACTCGATAATGAGGACTTGGAAAACAACCATGATGACAAAAATGACCATAAAGTAGCGGTTCTTGAGTATGCCAGAGAAGACGTTAAGATGGCTGTCCAAACGACGCGAGTTGATTTCGTTGAAGATCTGAAGGAACACGAACGTATTGAAGACCATGGTGCTGATTTCCTGCTCCTTGAACTGAAAGTAAGACTTGGTAATATCATTGATATCGGGTCTTGCCTGGAGAGAGGCAGGGATCTTATAGTAATTGAAGATATGCATACCAGCGTACTTCAATACAAAAGTAATCACCAACTGCAAAATGGACTGGCCAATAATCATCTTCCACATAGTGAAGTTAATCAAAGGGGCGGTACGAGGCTCGGGCTGGCGATCCAAGAGTTCAGGAGTTGGAGGATCAGTAGCAAGAGCCAATGCAGCCAAGGTATCCATGATCAAATTGATCCACAAAAGCTGAACAGCAGACATAACGGGCTCCTGTTTATCAGAAATGACAGCGGTGACCAAGGTCAATACAACAGCGGTGACGTTAACAGTTAACTGGAACTGAAGAAATTTCTTGACAGCATCATTGACGGAGCGACCCCAGAGAATAGCTTTGACAATGCTGGAGAAATTGTCATCCATCAAAATGATGGATGAAGCCTCCTTAGCAACCTCAGTACCGGCAATACCCATTGAGAAACCAACATCTGACATCTTGAGAGCAGGTCCATCATTGGTACCATCACCAGTCACAGCAACAATCTCACCCATGGCCTTGAGACGACCAACAAGGATCTTCTTATCCTCAGGACTGGATCTGGCAAGTACTTGAAGGCGAGGAATTACAGCATCCATCTCCTCACCGCTCAAAGCACGGAACTTGGGTCCTTCCATAATGATACCGCCTTGAGTATAGATACCGCACTGAGTAGCGATGGATTTAGCAGTTAAAATGTTATCACCAGTGACCATGCGGACAAAGACACCAGCACGCTGGCAAGCAAGGACAGCCTCAGGAACACCATCACGGAGTGGATCCTCAATACCAACAATACCAACCAATGTCAATCCAGACTCGGCAACAGCAGAAAAGGGGACATTACCATCTTCATCCAACTCAACGCCAGCTGGTGGCCAAGACTCAAAATCGCGGTAGGCAATACCAATGGTACGAAGAGATTGGGTGGCATAGGAAATGATAGTCTTTTGGATTTGGGTATTGAGATCAGGGTTGAGCTCCAACTCAGTGACCTCAGCATTGCGGTCCTTCTCAGACAATGGAGTAGCCTGTTCGGAGGAGGAAGAAATCTGAAGAACCTTTTCACAGCGACCCGTAATGATTTCGGAAGCGCCCTTGGCATGAAGACGGAACTTATTGGGACCCATCTGGACAATAGTGGCCATGGACTTGCGCTCAGATGAGAAGGGGTACAAGTGGGCAACAGGGAAAGATTCGCGAAGCGTACGATAATCAGGGCCACCAATTTTCTTTGAGAACTCAAGCATGGCGACTTCGGTCTTGGAACCGATAAAGGACACCTTACCCTCGTTATCTTCGCTCTCAAATGCAGAAGAGTTGATAGCAATGGCTTCATGCATCAATTGAGTGACAGCAGGTGGTAAGGTACCGGTAAGCTGGCTTATGAGGACAGCGTGCTTATTGATGGGGAGGTTGGCACGCTGATTAGTGTCTCCTTCAGCGACATCAGCAATAAAGCGAGTATTGATTCCAAGGGTTCCAGAAACAATTGTCATACTAGAGAACAGAAAGAACAAAGCAAAGCATGACATGATTAAACGATGGTACAAATGGATGAAGTACTCGTTTTGTGATAGATATCAAATAGCACAACATCAAAAAAAAAAAAAAAAAAGAAAAAAAAAAGGCGCATACCGATTTTGAGTCAAAGTTCCAGTCTTGTCAGAGCAGACAGTGGTTGCATTGCCCATGGTTTCACAAGCAGCCAGCACACGGACCAAGTTATTATCCTTCAACATACGAGTCGTGGCAAAAGCCAGAGCAAGAGTGACAGCCAAGGGAAGACCCTCAGGAACAGCAACGACAATGACAGTTACGGCAGAGATGATGATTTGGACGATGCTTTCAACAATTTCGTTAGTCTTTGGGACCCCGTCCTTGAAAGTGATAAAGTATCGGATGAAAAGGACAATCAACATGAGCAAGGCAGCCGTCGAACCGAGCTTGGCAATCTGTTCTGCCAAGTGGTTGAGCTTGACCTGCAGAGGGGTATCCTCGGGTTCAGTGCGAAGAGACATCATCGTCCTTCCGTGGAAACTGTTCTGACCAACACCGGTAACAACATAGATACCAACACCTTCAAGGATCCTGGAGCCAGAGATAATGAATGGATCGACACCGTGAAGAGTGTGAGAGGCTTCAGCAATAACATCAATGCCCTCATGGTTGGTCTTGATCTGAGATCCTTTGTGCGATGCAGCCTCGGCTTCAGCAAGTCTCTTGTATTCTTCAAATGTAACCTTTTTAATCGCATCGGCCTCACCGTTCAAAGCGGACTCATCACATTTGAGATTATGTCCACCCAGGAAGATACCATCGGCTGGGACAACATCACCAGGCTCGAGATGAAGGATATCACCAACAACCACATCATAAACAGAAAGCAAGACAGTTTCACCGTTACGGAGGGCCTTGACCTCACGATCTTCTTTTTTAGAGTTGAGTTTGCGGAACTGGGCCTCTTTCTGGTAATCGTTGACAGATCCAACCATAACAACAATGAAAACAGCAACCAAGATAGCAACACCTTCAACCCAGGAGATTTTGGCTTCCGGGGAGGTGTCAAGCTGAAAGTCCCTTGTGTAGCGTTGCTTAGGTGGATGATCCATACCATAGTCCTCATACAGACCAAGGCCAACAGAGACAACGGCAGCAATCAACAGCAGAATCTACTCAATCAATGATGCATTCATCATACTGTTAGAATTAATAGTTACAAGGCAGCTAACAGGGAGATATTACGAGTATTTCATCTAATAAAGCATGTCGAAGTCATAGTGCTTTTGTAGACAGCGGGAATAGAAAGTGTAAAAAGTGAAAGGAAGGGGAGAGGAAGACAATAGGGTCGTGCCAGTTGATGGAAATAATAAGAAAAGACAGGGAGGCGAGGTCAAAGAACGGGAGAGAAGTAGGTGATGTGACAATGGGCTTGAAGATGTGATTATTATGAACTGAAACATAATCCTTACCAAAATCTTTTCTTGCAGAGCCATCCACATTAGCTGGAAGATAGTCTTGGGTTTGCGCTTTGGGAGCACATTGTGGCCAAAGAACTCCGCACGTTGCTCAAAAGTGACAGAATCAGAACTCTGTGGTGCAGTGTCAACATCCTTCTCTGCATCAGATGAGACGACAGAGGTGAGAGGTTTGTTGTGAGTAGAAAGACCCTTCACAGGGTCAGCATGAATACCAGCGAGCACGCCAGCAATACCACCATACTCCTCGAGCTTTTCAGGAGACTTTGGGTCGATCAAGTCCATGAACTCATCTGGGGTGAATGAGAAGGGTCCATTTTTAGCAGAACGAGGCTGGACAGTGGCAAGTGCTGTGGCGTATTGTTGAGTAGGGGTGGAAGAAGAAGCTTCAGACTGGGCAGTGGGATGAGTGTTGTTAGTTTGGGCCTGTGCCGAGGCCGGGTCCAATTCGGCCTTGTCCATATAGAAGTATTAGTGCGGAATATGGGATGTTGCTTTGGGTATATTAAGAAAGAAATGAAAGATGCAGAGAGGGAGGAGGAAGAGAAAAAGAGAGCTGATTGCAAAAGGATGGTGAAGAGTAATGAAGTTACCAGAAATTGGAAAAGTGTTGCAGTATATAAAAGTTTTTATAGTGAAATAGTGAAATAGCGAAATCATGAGCGAATGAGAATAGTGAGTAGGTAGCACAAAATTTTTCTTCGAATTCCAAAAGACATCTTTCTTTTTTTTCTTTTCCAAACTCATGCTCTCGAGCTAAATCAATTCATTCAGTCCACTCAAAAAGTATTTTTATCTCAATCAATTTGAAGTATTTTCAATATTTCTTATTCGCTGAATGATTGAGTTCTTTTTTCTTTTTCGTAGCCAAACCGGTGCACCAACAATATCGGTGGATAGAATTATTGAACTGTGGTCTCTTTGAGCTGCAGACAATTTTGATTCTTGTCTAGAGATTGCATAACCAGACAAGGAACTCAACCTTCATTGGTACCATTCAAGAGGTACATTTGTATCTTATCCAATATTTCCATATTCAACTGAACACAAGGCCATGAGCTTATTATTGACGGTGGGAATTCTGTTGGCTTGATGATTGGCACCCGAGATGGTAAGCAACCAGCCTTGCATGGGTTCTACGTCCATTGCTCACGGCATACATGTGCTGACGATTTTTTAGCCACAAACAAAGGTCCTAAATATACATATATATATACTATATTATTATATCTATGTTGTTCAGGCAATTTTTTTCAGGGGACATGAAATAGGAATGGTGGTGATGAGACCCTGTCTATTCAATTTATCGCAAAATATCCGCGAATGCAGGCTTATTCTCCTCAATACAATACATTGGACAATACTACAATAATGCAATTATGACACTCATGATTAGCGTGATGTGCCATAATTCAGGGTTCAAAATTATTTACTCTTGATAAGAAAAGATAATCACCTTGAAGACAAGTGGTCGCATGCACTTCACCGCACCCTGGTCCCACGTCACAGTTATCATATACACCACAATGTATTTCCTTTTTGCTTTAGTCTCACCACTTTTGAGCTTAAGAGATGAACGACTGGATAGTCGGTGCACGTGTGGACAATGTGATGGGTAGCTATTATCCTGTCATGGATCCTCGTGCTCAAAGTTATGGACCAAAGACCATTTAAACCAAAAAGGTTCCAGAAACATATAAAGCTCACCTTTTTTTTTTTTTTTTTTTTTTTTTTTTTTTGAATCTGATTGGCAAAGGCAGGTTAACCTTACTTAAGCTCAGAATCAACTCCATCTGAGACCAGGGTCTAGCCCGAAAGTCCAAAATGGAAATGTATATATATATATAATATATCATGTTTAATAATAAGGAGATGTAGCTCTGCTTTAATTTCCTTGAAACGCAAGGAACGCTTACTTGGTGATAAGAGCCATCCCCATTATCGCTTTTTTCCATCATTAACATAGGTCTCAGACGGAGTCTTCAAGATTGCTAATAGAGCTATGATAAAAGAATTCACAGGATTAATCAGACAAAAGCAGAGAGACCCTTCATGCCTTGGACGCATGGCCTAAACTTCGAAACGGGCTAATTGCCTTGGGGATAAAGAAGCCTAAAGAGCAAGATCCTATAAACATGGCAGATAGTCAATAATCAAAGACGGCTCGTTTTTTTTTTTTTTTTTTTTTTTTTTTTGTTCCTCATTATGATCATCGATATAGAGAACAGTCAAGTAGATGAACGGATTTGTTACAAATAGTTTATACCTCATACTATATGGTAGTCAATTCATCTGATTGTTCCGAATGGAGAGCCACGTGGTAATGACCTTGCAGGGATATGTTCCACCGGAGTACACCCATCTCTACAGTCGAGAACGAGTCGTAAGAGATAGTAACACCCATACTGGATCCTAGATCTAAAAAAAAAGGAAAACAGTGATAGGAAGATATATATGAATGCTTTAAACGAATATGTTCATCTGCTTGGATGAACGATTCTTGTTCTTCAAGAACTTCCATCTCTCAAAAAATAATGTATCCATCTCTGAAATGCCTACTTCTGACGAATCATGCTTGCTTTAAGATTGAGCTGATGATTACCAAGCAACAAATCGACGCGCACGTGGAGCTCTTCCTCGCCAATGATTCATCAACCCTTTATTTTGTTTATTCTTTGGCTAGAAGGGTTGCACCAAAAATATTACACAATAATGCAACAATTAAAAAGTGAAAGAAATCTCGCTTCGTCGGATCAAATGATGAGGCGGAACGTCAAACCGCACTTGGACCAAAATCGCAGAAATTCTTGATTGCCATCAGCCATTCGGTCTCCCTAGAACAAAAGCCGTTTCCATGAAACAGTAAAGAAAATGCTGATTTTCTATTTTCATTTCCCACGACTAACTTCCAACAATACACAAATCTGTTTTGAGCCCAATAAAACTCTCACACGGAGCTTGCTTCTTTCTGATGTTTCCATGTGTTATATAGTGTTCTATTTGGAATTCTATGATCACAAACAATACATGTCTTTTCTGACTTTTCTCATTTTCCATCGCCGCCTTCTATTTTTCCTTCCTCCCTGAACAACGTATAATATCATGATTCCAGATTTTTGGGACTGATGCATCTCAATGTTAATAACTTGTCTTAAACTTATTTGTCTCTCTCACCACGAAATGTGATGGATTTCTTCTCGAATGTCTACTAATTTTTTTTTTATTCGACCTTCCTTTCCTTTCTTCTAGATGCCATGTAAAGTCTAGAGAAATTTAGGGGATAAATAAAAGCGCAGATGCGTCAAATGACTTTCGGTAAAAAAGAAGATTGCAAGATTGATAGTTTTATTATCGACAACGCCCTGTACTATGGAGATACACATTTCGACTTCTTTTCAAGGCGTTACATTCTGGATTGATCATGCACTTCAATAGTTTTTTCACATAGCAGATTGTGCTCAGACAAAGTCGAGTTCTTTCACATCAGCAAGTCTATTGTAGTTACGACAGAAAAGGGAAAAAAAAAAAAAAAAAGCTATCCATTGTATGTATTCTTATAATTGCAAGGACTTTTACCTGCAAATGCAAGGACTCAAAACTTGTGAGGTAAGGAAAAACCAATGCAACATCATCAACGGAGAGCTCTTAACATTTCCGAAGAGAACGGAAGATACTCTACCAAAGGCAGTAACGGGGGTTTATTTTTCCAAGTATAGCGGTAGACCCTACCTTCAACTACAAATACATTACGCTTTATTTTTATTTTTTATTTTATGGAGTTGAACTCAGGGGACATGTTTACTACCACTGCCATAATGATAAGTAGTAATCGCTGAAAGTATGCGCTATAAATCTTGAGCAAAGAATACTTTTCAGTCTTCCAATACGAAGAGGAAAGACGTGCTGGTGTGTGGTCTATCTAGTAATACTTGATTGTACCAGATCAACGAGTAATATAGTAAAGCAATGGCAGCAGCTCTGCATAATGACTGGATAGAGTCATGCAACAGCTTTAAAGAATAAAAGCATACAGCTCTTTTAAGTATTTTAGATCGTTACTTTCCATGAAGGGCACAGAGAACTGGTAGAGAAATTGGCAGTCTTTCAGTCAGTCTTGTTGGACGTTGTTAAAATCAACTATTACTTTTTTTTTTTGTAAAGCTATTGTGAACAGACAGAGCACTTCGATATTAGCGCAGGTGAAAACAAGGTAAACGCAAAAGATTCTACTGGGAACGAGAATGCTGAGTCAGTATCAAGCCGCAGACAGTCCGAGACTGGCCTTGGGCGAACAATATTCATCGCTAAAAAGGAGCCAAGGGTTCTTCGGATAAGGTTATAGTTCCAGTCATTATCCGTACCAACTACAAGAGGCAATTTCACTGAGACAGCTAACCCTCAGCAAAGCCGACGTTCACACTATCTGGCCTATCAGTTTTTTACCAGCTTCTTTATTCAAAAATATTGCTCACTGGGCATTGCAACATGATGAATGATGAATAATGAAGGTGTATATATCAAAGGCCTTTATTTTTTTCTTCTATACGATATCTGGCATACCTTTGTACGGTGCCTTCAAAGTCAAGCTGACTCCAAACCTATGAGAGGGACAGTATACTCTCGTTGTAATTAATGGGCTTTATAAATCATTGAGGTGTCCACAAAGCATGTGCAAACCCAAACGCCCGAGTTTGTTGGGCAGGAATACATGGGACGGAGTCACTATCTAAAATATTAGGTAGAATCCCATAAGGACATGTTAGGGAGCTTAAACATGGCCTGGGTCGCACACTCGCCCCTCTCTTGATTAAATTGGCCATCCTATTTTCAATCGCAAGACGCGTCTGGCCCAAGCAAAACCCTTAGAATGAGGACTGGCATTTTTTTTTTTGTAAAATTTGAAGCAAGTTTATCAGGGCTTCCCTTTAGTGCACGCTCCAGAGAAACATGGGTGACAAAAAAGCAGCACACTTCATGGCGTCCTCTTTCTCATTAATACACTTTCATAAACATATACAAGTTCTCCTTTAAAAACGAAGTGATGCTTAAGCCAAAACTTATTTCACAGGTCCTTCAACAGGCAACTACGGGAGGCGTTAAAGCAACAATGTAAAAAAAAAAAAAAAAAAAGCATGTATTCTTTCAAATTAAAAAAACAAGGCATTGAATTTCAATTAATTTCTTTATGGTTGTCATGCATTAAATCATCAGATTGCTCAACCCAGAAGGATCGCTATTGGCATTTTCAGCTCAATCGGATCGAGACGCACGCATCTATGGAGCGATTGCTTCCAACATCTGGACTATTTACTCAAAACACTGCAAGGAAGAAGTTGGCTCGTTATCGTTTCTGATACTTGAATGCGAGGTAATATTAAAAAAACAGGCTGCTGCAATCCTAAGTGTGCTGGGTTCAGAGATGGGTTATTATTGGACCGAAAACTAGATAAAGTCGTGGCAATTGGAAGTTTGGTGTCGCCAAACTTGAGGATTGTGACATTCAAGTTTTTTGTAAAAAAAAAAAAAAAAAAAAAACTAACAATAATGGCAATTGACAAATGAACCTAGGAAGGGAAGGTCGCCATTAACATCGTAAGCACGATGATTTTGTGTTTAGTGGCGCGGGACGATGTTGAACTTGGGATTCTCAAAGCCAAATCAGAAGCTCTGACGCGGCACCTGGAGGAACCTCTTAGTAAAGTTGCAGGATACTAAAACGACAAAAAAAAAAAAAAAACCTACGACCAATCCTACATGTTTCCACTATCAGTAAGCTACTTTTACTTGCATTGGACTGAAAACAACAATAAAACTATATGTATGATATGTATGTCTGATATATCACCGTGCAAATAGTAGTGGCGAAGTTCTCTTGTTTGCACACCAGTCATGTCAGTAGACATTTTAAAAAAAAATTGACAGTCTTTCTGGGTTGTTTGGTCGTACAGGGGCCCTACGCTTTCCATGTTCCCCCGTCAAAAATAAAGGGCATTTGGTATGTTACAAGATAGTAAATGAATTTCTTATAAAAGGTATACAGATGTTAATTAAGGGATATAGTTTGAAGTGTGGTCGATATGGCACTATCATTGATCGCCTTTTCCATTCAGAAATTAAAATCGTTGATACTGTCGTCGTCATCGTCGTCAGTTACTGCCGCGGTCCTTGCTTTGAAACCAATATAATTGAAAGGGGATAGCCTGTGACCAGTATACTTCCTCTCTTCCTCGTCTTCATATCCATCTTGGTGCTGATCGGTCCCAGCCCCTACGCCACTAAAATATCCCATAATACTGGATCCAGTGTTAAAGATGGATGAAAGAGCACCACCGAAATACGTTCCAGTGGTAATAGCGGTAATAGCAGGGACGTGTGCCTTCTCGGGTTGGCGCTCTTGTTCATCGGTCTTAATATTAATATGATCATGTTCAATATTTTCGTTATTTTGATCCCATGGTATTGACGTCTTCCTCCTATCCTCTTCAGCTTCATTCGAGGTGGCCTTGATGTTATTAAAAGGATCCTCTGGACATGACTGCCTCTCCGAGCCCGAATAAGCTGTTACCGCTATAGTTGTTATTGGTGCTGGCTGAGCCTCTGCTGCACAGGTGTTGTATTCCCTAAGCCTGGTGCATTCTATATTGTTACTGTTACAGCTATTGACGTCTTGCTCAATCTCTCCGCTTGATTCTCCATTTATTGGCAGTTTGGCTATTGGCTCTTGCAGTCCATTAAGTCGGTTTACATGGCCCTTACTGATACTGCTGATGCCTGAGCTGCGATGCTCTTGCTTATTATCGAGCTCCTTATGGAAAGATGATTCATCAGATGATTCATCACCACTGTCTCCTGCAATAACACCATCAACCTTCTTGAGAAAAGTAGTAATGTTGCTGAGAACACCTCTGGTGTTGATTCCCGATTGACCAGGAAGAGTGATAGGGGTGCCGCTAGTGGACGTTGATGTGGATGTAGATATAGAAACAGTTTTTGGCGTTGTAGATGGGGGTAATGGTTGCAATGTGTCTGCAGCACTAACCCAAGTAGCTGTTGAAGTCGAAGTCGACGTTCGAGTGGGCGCGGGTCTTGTAGATCTAGATACCGATGACGATGATGAAGCCATTTTAATTTTATTCTGACTTCCAGTTTGATAAGTATTCAGGTTCGCCATCTTAAGCTCTAGGTTAAATGCATCGATGCCTCCCACAAAGGAAGAAGCTGTTGAGGGTGTTGTTTTCTCGATTGTGTGCCGTAAGGAAATCTGCAGATCATCGCCTTGCACCTGCTTATCAGAACTAGGAATAACAAGTTTGTCCCCCTCAAAGCGTAGCAATCCTCGTTTCTCAGCAGCACGGATCGCCGCCATTCTCTTGGCCACAATAGCGGCCTCCTCCTCTTGGCGCAAGGCTTCTTCTTGAGCTGCGAGCTCACGGGTTATCCTTTCCTAATTATGAAACGAGAGAGAAATGGGGTTAAAAATATGTGTGCGAATTTGTTTGGTTTTTTAGACGTAATGTGGATATGTCATAAAAAAGTCGATGTAGTACAGGTTGTCGAGGACGATGCCCTCTTCTCTGCAAAACATGCCAATGCCGGTGTGAAAAAAGGGGTGGGTGCGGTTGAGTAGGTAAAAAAAAGAAAAGGGTTGGGGGCTGGAGCGGAGGAATGTTTGATATAGTAGGCGTGCTATTAGCTTTTACCTGTTCTGCAATAAGCGCATCGACATCAAGGACTTCTTCTGCATCATCCTCAGTATCATCCCAGGCCACCTTGTCATGAAGATTGCGCGGTGCGCGAAGTTTTCTAGGGGAAGGAACCATTTCTGCATGAATGTTGTAAGGCGTATAGTTCGCTTTGGGATAAACTTTAGTTGAGCTATTGCGAGTATTCCTGCTGCCAATTGAAATGCCATTGTCGTCATGATTGGTACTATCGTTCTCGTCGTCTCGATAAGGTACAAACATTGCTATTCCGCTCTCACGTTCGATGGGGTCCTTTCCTGAATTAGCTCCTCTATTACTCTCTGATCCATTTTTGGGGTAGTTTTGTTGTTGTTGATTTTGTTGTTGTTGATGGGAGTCGTCATCATCATCTGTATCATCCCTGTAAGGTATCTCGAATGGGCTATGGTTTCTTGAATGGCTCTTCGCAAAGCCGGCTTGGTTGGCATTCCTGGAGAAGCGACTATTAGAGAATTTGGTGGGCCAAGGATTGATGCTATCGTCAATACTATCGTGATAATAATTGTCACTGTCTAATGCTTCTAGACGTGAGCGAGAGCGAGAGTGATGGTATGGATGGACATGAGCGGGCGTATAGGCGTCGTCATCATCACTATAGCCTGAAGAGTCTTGGTCCAAGTAAAGTGACCGAGACGAGAGGTTGTCGCGCTGTTTACGAGGCAGACAGGGACAGAATATATTCAGACGCCTTCCCATGGGATACACAAATAAAAATGAAGAGACAAGAAAATATAAAAATGAACCGTGAGCTAATTGAATGTGAAGTAAATGGAAGAATTTGGATTTTCGAATGAACAGTGGAGTAGGGATGTAAATGGATCTGAGCGAGTAAGAGAGACAAGGTTGGGGGAAAAGAGCGAAGGAGAGAAGGGATTGTGGCCAGGCTATAGAGTATCAGGAACATAACATGACATGATATGGCATGACATGTCGTTAGCAGGAATTGCTTGTACTCAAACTATCTCTCCCATAAACACTTTATCTTTCATTCGTTTCATTTTCTTTCTCTATTATGTTGATCCAATACTTCGGTTCTTGCTGATTGATATTCTATTGATTAAGGAGCGTTATGATTCTATTAAAGCTGTCATTAGCATCATTGTCATCTCGTCGCTTTGAAGTGGCCAGCGGACCCATGTCACATTCGTATCACGACTAGAGTGGTGAAAAAAAAGCAAGCGATCACAGTGTTATATCCAAATATACAGATGAGAACTGGTAGGGTTTCACAGGTCTTCACGCATAATTGTGGAGATTTTTTCCATTTCACTGCACAGGACAATGTGGCCCCCCCACAGCAGGATTGCCCACAGACCAGGCACGGGACATCGTTAACATACTAGGGTGTGTATCACGTGCATCAGTTATATCTCCAGTTTGTTCATTCCATTCCATTATTACACATCTTCAACGCACAGGATCACCCAAGGCTATTTCGAGACCTTCCGGGAAAGCTCAGACATATTCTCTCTTCCTAACCAGACCAGGAAATCACAGCGCTATAAAAGAAGAATACTTTTCAAATAAAGTGACGATGCCCACAGAGCGACATGTGTCCTTGGTGCAAAAGCTAAGATGGCATGTCAGTGGTAACTTCTCACCTACTGCGTTTGCAATTGGCGATGTGGACGGACTTGGGGTACTTGAATAGCAGAAACAAAAAAAAAGAAAAAAGAAAAAAGAAAAAAAAATCATTATGTTGCTACGATATGTCGTCAAAGAGTTTATGGACATGCGTAAAACACTGATTAGAAAAAGTGTTACTTTTGTTCTTTATCTTCATGCTTCTATCTGTCTCTCAGGATAACGCATTTGTGATTGGAAATTTAGTCGGGGAGCTATTCATCTTCAAAGGAAATAATCCTGATGGTCTTCCATGGATGACATGCAAGGGTCTTGGCACGGTAATATACAATGGAAATGTTGCCTAACATATAGTTTCTACAGACATGACTGACAGTCTATAGAAAACCATGATTAGATCACAGCCGTTGCCATTGGTGATATCAGGAACTGTGGCAAAAATTCAATTGTAGTAATGAGTGCAGAGGGGCTTTGTCATATCTTTGATATCGCTGAATTGGATAACAGCCGGCATGGTGGACACGTCCTTCCATCGTCATCATCAACTGGGGCCAACATATCTTCTAGCCACAATGCATCAGGATCATTTGTAGGAGGAGGGCCTGGCGGCCGATCAGGCCAGGCTGGCAGCATATATTCATCTACTCCATTGCAGAATTCATATCATGCAGGGCAGAGCGGGAATAGTCATCCTTTTCACCCTACAATCCCTGCTACACCCAGCATCCGACCTGTTCCAGATACCCATCATCAGCACCATAATAGTCATTATCAAGGAGTTCCATCGAGCCATCCATACCATGGTACCCCGCCTCTACCGCCACCACAGAATACACCACATGGATCTGCTTCTTCTTCTATTTCAGGATCTACGCACCATCATGGTCATCAACAGAATAGTCAAACCCACACTTCCAACAGTACACCAATTCATTCGCATGCCGGGAGCATTCATGGCGGCATCAGTGGCAGTAACTCTGGTAGTGCGAGACGTGCATCTGAGGCGCCTTTAGCATCATCTGGGCCAGGCTTGACGTCGGCATCAGCATCCACAGTAAGGACAACGGCAGCGCTAACTAATTCAATCAGTGCTTCGCCAATACCTACTCCTACATCGCACTCCCATGGAGGACAAGCAGTAGGAGTGACTCGGTCATTAGGTGGAAACAGCGTAACCGATTCACCGACAGGAACACCATTAATCAAACCACAGCAAGGGCCATCATCTGCTGCGTCCACACGAAAGCAACAGAGGGGCGGGGCAAATAGACATGGCAATGCAGGGCCTGGCAAGTCTCAAGTATGTCATGTAGGGGGGCAAAGGATCTTGGACAGGCCCAACTTGACTCTTCCGGTACCTGTCAATATCAACCGAGCGTATATCGCAGACATTGGTATACTTTCTTTTATTTGTATCAATATAGTTTTGATTTAATTTGTTTGAAATACTCATAACTTTCCATTTCATAATGAACCTGGTTATTTATGGCCGAGTGTTTAGATGGGGATGGTCTCAATGAAATTGTGCTTGCGAGAACTGATAGGATCATGCATTCATACTCTCTTCAAATCACCAAGCCAGTGTCGCTTACAGCCACATCCTCCATTCAGCCAAGCAACCAACAGCTAAACTTGATCAAACTAGTTAGCAGGACCAGTAGTATTTCAACCTTAGATAGTAGTGGACTCTTATCGCCTTCTGATGACCGCAGGGAGACTATCATTCACTATCCTTCGCTCTCATCCATGGGGAGATTGCACTATGCAGGCTCGACATCCACTGTAGCGGGCATGGGTCAATTAGACAGCCAGCAGCAGCAGGATAAGCAAGATAATAGTGGTGTCATCAATGTTAATGATCCCTCGATGAGTCGATTGGTATTGGTGGAAAAAAAACGCTGGGCATTGGATGGTCAGGTAAAAACATATTGATTACTGGTATTATTCTTTATTCTACACTTTATTAGCATCAATGTTTAACTTATACATGGACTTGTTTTTTTATACATTTAATTATTGATAGATCCACTGTCTCGCATTGACAAAGGATACGAACACAGGATTACCTATCCTTTTGGTTGCTCAGCCAGGTCTCAAATTTGTGATGATTGACCATACTGGTAATATGTCAGAGCCTATCACGCAAATTCAACGCAATCCCAATGCAGCAGTGAATGTTGTCGCGCCCGATACGCCGACGCGGGCTGTAGGAAGCGGTGATGTTGCCACTGAAATCATTTGCGGCTCACGTTTTGTCAATGGCACAAGAAAAGACATTATTGGGTTGATGTCCATGGATGGTAAGGGGTAAACAAGCTGCACTCAACTTTTATACCGTATGGTTTTCTTTTTTGCCTCATATACTATAACCCTATCTTGGGTTGCTGATCTATTATCGGATGGCTTCGGTAGGCGCGATTGCATTGCATGATCTCGAGGAGAATACTGTTAAAACTCATGACCTGGATTCGACTCACAAAATTTTCGGATTCTCAAAGCTTAATTTCGGGACACAATACGTGGAGCAACGACAACGTGTACGAAGTTCCAGGAAATCTAGGAGGCCGAGTTATGCTATAAGCTCGAATAGCCGTTTTGCAGACGAAGATAACTACGATGGGGGCGAAGAAGATGATGATGATCAGGACGAAGACGGCTTAGACACTGAAGATGACGGTGATACGGCTGCAGAGACTCAGATATTAAGAGACCACTATGCGAATGGCGGTGGTGGCGGCGATTTTAGTGATATTGGCGATGATGCTTCTCGCCGCTCTGTCCACTCTACACATACCAAACCATGGCGCTCAGGGGGCGGAAACAAAGCATCTACGTCATCCATGCTAATTTCAGATTCATTTGGGTCGCGGATCCAGAAGAACGACATATTTGTGGGATGCTCTTGGAGCGGAATTACATTCTTCATAGATCAAGACTTCAATACTGCCCAATATGACTTTGATGCTCGTGTATGCGCTTTTGGGGCTGGTATGTCACTCTTTATATTTTATTGTGTAGCAGCACAACTGCTAAAATCCATAAGTGGCTAATGACACTTTTCTTTATCTCCCAGGTCAATATGCTGTTACTCCAGGCAGAAACGAGCCTTGTCTTTTTTATGTGGACTTTGAGGACAACATCTATGTATATTATAATCTTTACATTCAAACTGAGCCCTTTCTCCGGTTCCATGATGTTGTGAAGGCGGATACTGAGCTGGTAATTATGTATTCTGCTAACGTCGATGATTGTCATATTTAGTGTGTAATTTATAACGTATCTTTTTTTTCTTTTTGTCGAATTTTCCATATCCTTTCAGATTCTAGCAAGTCAAAAGTTTATGTTAAAAGTGCCGGGCCGCAGAGATGCTAGGACAGAGAAAGATGAAATATCTGTTAGATCTACTGAGGGCAATTCTCTGCAAAACGACCAAGAAAATGACTGCAAACCAGATATCAAAGATATCAAAAGTGATAGCCACGACAATGATAGAAGCAGTTCTGCAGGGCCTAAGTGGGATGAACGCGATATGAATGAATTTATCCATGACTCTCTATACAATGTCAACCGCTATGAGGATGAGTTTCAGCGATTGAAACGACTAACTAATCTCGAACTTGCAAAGCGAACAATGCTTTTAGAGGAAGGGATGAACAAAGAACGTGAACGGGACGAGACAGAAAGGAAGGCGAAGGCAGCAGAATTTGAAGCTGCGCTTGCTGCAGCAACGGCAGAATACGAAGCTACACTTGCTGCAGCAACGGCAGAAGCAGTAAGAGCAGAGACTGGAGATGAATCTGCTTTCATCGATTCTAGATCGCGGCCTTCTCTTCATGTTTTTACCTCAGAACAAACTGGCTTGGGTCGACCGCATGGACAGTTTCCAGGACATGGCATTTCAACCAGTCGTGCCGGCGTTGGGTCTGTCCCATATACCCAAACAAAATCAAAATATCAGCGGCAGCAGCCGTCACGACAGGATGGTGACGACGGTGATGATAATGACCGTCTTTCATCACCTCTGTCGCCTGTTTCTTCTGTATCAGCACCTTCTACATTACCATCTACACAACCTACGCAGAGCTACATAGAGAAGCGCCGATCGTCTTTACTAATCAAAGATGTTCTCGCTCATTACGAGGGAAAGACTACACCTCCACTCAAGTCCCCTACATCGTCTTCAACATTTGCCCATCAATCAGCGAAGGACCACAGGAGTGGGGCTTCTTCGTCGTCATCTTTAGCATCGGCAGGCTCGTCCGCAACGCTGACAAATATCTTCAAACGGCTCAGTCTCAAAGACAAGGGAGGCAATGTCTGTCTTTCTCGATCATCCAGCAGCGGTAGCGCCAGTGGTGCCAGTAATGGTAGCCAAAGTACTATCATTCAGAGCCATTCCTTATTGGGGACACCTACGTTATCAAAGGGGAAAGCTTCCGCTGTAGATTCTCGAATTGGAAAACCACCCATAAGGGTCAATCGTCCTTCAGGAATTTCTCCAAGGCCCAAAGGCATTGGGACGGCCATGACTGGCCGCAAGCCAGGAGCTAAGTCAAAGCTATTTCTACAGCAAGATCGAGAGGAATCAACCGATGATGGGGACGTTGAAGATGGTGTGGATGAGCAGGGCGCGCCATCTGAGGATGACACTGTGGAAACAGATGGCGACCAATTAATTGAGTTTGACCGTTCTTCGCGTAAGGACACTGGAGGAGATGAATTCCATATAGGATCTCAAAAGTTTGACGATGGATCGGCAGCAGTTGAGCTTTATGGAAATGAAGGCAATAATGATGAGACAAGCGAAAATATTGTAGGGGCACTTGGAAGAGAGGAGGGAAGGGTAGCGGGAGAAGTGACATTAGCAGGAATTGGGGTGGAAGAGGATATTACTACTGGAGTATATACTCCTTCTACGATTTCTCCTATCCCTTCGCCTAGACGGCTCTACAGCAATAATCAACAACACGGAAGTTCAGCAGAGCCTAGCGCTAGCCTTGACAGCACAGCATTTATGCTTGCTAAAAGCCTGCTCTCACCATCTACACAGAGCGTTAGCAGTGGTAGTACTGGGACTACTACAATCGGAGCAACTACCGTAACATTGGGAAATCAAGGGAAGAACGACCATAATAGCAATAAGAGCATCAACCATGGTCCACAATCTTCCTCATATTCTCATGGCAGTCACCTGCGACAGCGTTCAGCACATGGGCTATTGGATGTTACTGGTACATCAATGCGAGAGTATGAAGCGAATCCAACTTCAGGTAATACTGCTGGTTTCAGCTCTGATCCTTTCAGTACTGGCCTCTGTAGCGCTCAAGGTGGCCAAAGATTTACGGCTGCGTCTCTTCTGAACACGGGGTCTGATGTTGGAGAGATTGCAGTCCCAGACATTAAACTGGTGGCAGCCTCGCTCCCAACACAACCCGTGACCCCATTATCGACTTCGGAATCATCTTCTCTGGCGCAGATTGTCCCAGATGATTTAGATCAGGAGGATTCTAAGAATGGCGGAGAAATGTTCCAAAAAGCGACCATAGATGAGTTGTGTAATTTAGATCTGGATCATCAGCCAGTTGTGATTGAATCAGATGTTTGTCGCCAGTCTGCTGCGCCAGGGCCGCAAGGAGGGATGTCTGAGTCTGATACAACGGCTGCTGAAGACTCCAAGTCAAGTAAGAGCAATAATAGCGAGCGATTCTCTCGATCGGGAGAGTCGAAATTCAAAGAGTCAGACATGAAGTTGATGCAGGCGCCACTGCCTAGGAGTAATCAGCACTATCGAAAGCAACAGCACCAGCAATCTCAGGGTCAAGAAGGAGGGGGTATGTCATCCTCTGCACATGTCTCCTTCTCAGATACGCATCCCAATAGCGTTAGCGCGAGTAGTGGAGGAGAGGGGGATGGCGTTGCAAGCCAAGGCGGTGGCGTAGAGACATTTCATTTCAGAAATGATGGGCTTGGGCGAAGCGGCTTCACAGGAAAGTCATCGTCAACCACATCATCGGCAACGGTGTCTGACTTTGGGTCAGGTCCGTCTTCACCACTTGCTAGTAATGTCAACGCAGCGCATGCGATCTTGTCTAACCCGTCTTTCAATAGCTACAAAGGATTCAGTGTGTTGTCCCTACCATTGACTTCACCCTCGGCTTCTACAGCAACTGCACAGCAGCACCAGTACTTTTCTCCGTCTCATTATCATCACTACCATGTGTCCCCTACATCTATCATACCATCACACTTGGGCCTATCCACTAGAGGAGGTCCACAGACTCATGACCGAGCATTGGCGCAGGAGGATGATAGAATGTCTATTCGATCTAGGACATCGACTTTCCATGATACCAATGAAAATCCATCCACCTATGAGGTTGTCCCATCAGCGATATTTGTGAACACTGGTGGTGCTACCGTTGGAGTTGGAGAGCAACATCAGCAAAATAATATTTATGGTATGTCTCCTACTTCGACACTGACGAGCAACCTGACCTCGGACTCACTTGTGCGCCGTCTTGAAGATCTGCAGCAACAGGATCGTGATCTAGAGGAGCGACAGCAACAGCGCCAGAGAGAAAAGAAACTAGAAAAAGAAAAAGAGAACTCTAAAGAAAATACTAGGGCAACCCCTACACTCACGATATCTCAGTCATCGTCAGCAGCAGTGCCGACCAGTCGGCCATCTTCACTGTCACGAGCCAACAGTGGAGCCAGTGTGCAGAGCGTTGTTAGTCATCATGGCCACCGTGCTCCAATAGCTTTGCAGTTGCCTCTGTCTCCCCATTCTTCGTCTTCTGCCCCATCGGTGCATCTATCGGGCCATGGGTCTATAACTGGCGCAGGAACAGGACCAGCGTCTTCTTCGTCTGGTATAGGATCCTTAGGTTCTATCTCGGGGTCAACTCATGAAAGGCATCACCATCATACGTGGGAAGAAGATCCACATGAAGCTGCAAAAAGACTCCGGAGCAGACCAGGCCTTGGAGCTGATAGATGACGGTAAAAAAGAATAACAATAATAAATAGTAGAAAGGGATAATAACTGTAAAAGCACCATCGCGGATTGCAGCTAATTTGATATGGTGTCTGTGGTATTCTTGCTGCACCATTATCACTTCCTTTTGAACACATGAGTAAAGGGGCTCAATAAAGCGGGCCTTTTAATGAATATATATTTTATTAGTAGGTATCATACATGGGTTTACAAATGGCTATAGTCGCTGACTTTCAATAGTTGCTAAATGCGCTTCCGATTGTTCGAGAGGTTGGCCCGAATCTTGCCAGATTCCTGACGCTCCCTTCGATAGATTCAAGTGTTGAGTTCATAGTCTTGAGATCCCATTTGACATTGATCAAATCAGACCTCAGATCAGACGAATCTGAACGGATAGTCGAGACTTTGGATGTAATGCTGTCGAGTTGGAGATGTTGCATTTGTGTCATGCTATCGAGACTTTGTTGAACCCTGGTTAGCATTGTGCGGTTATATTCAAGCGTGTCAGTGACATGATCCATCTGTTGGGCGAGAGATCGATTAAACATAACAACGGATTCCATTTGTTTCTGCATCATGGCCACTGTTGTAGTCAGACCTTTGATAGCAGACTCTACCCGATGCTCGCTTGTGCTGCCAAGGATGTCTTTACGGGAAGGTCCAGAGGTATTTGGAGGAAGCGCCAGTCTGAATAGTTCCAAGACATCATCCGACACTGTCGTGTTCCCTGCAGGTGATTTGCTTTCATGGTTAGGAGCATAGTCGTAATCATAATTGTAACCATATTCTCGACCCTGATCCTGATCCTGATTCTGATTCTGATTCTGATTCTGATTCTGATTTGGATTCGGATTCGGATTCGGATCCTGGTTTTGACTTCTACCATAAGTATATATTGCAGGCTTCTTTATGCGAGATGGATAAGTTGATGATAGCCTTGTTTTTGAGCTTGAACTTGATCCCTTATCACTAAATTTATGATCATGAGCATGGGCATGGTGAGGTACTACGGTTGGTATCCTTGATATTGATGGAGTGATTGTTGTTGTTGCTATTTCCGAGGGTTCCGGACTAGTCGTAGCATCATCCGCGTAAGGTAAAAGGAACGAGCGCGTGGGCCCAGTCGGTGGAGCGGCAGCAGCAGTAGTGACCAATGGAACTACCGACGGTTGAGACGCTGTTATCAATGGAACCTTTGTTGTGTTCGTCATTGAAGTCATCACAGCCGCTGTTGCTACAATGGCTCTTTCTGTATCCGTGTCAGTGGCTTCACTATCACTCGCTTTAATCTCAATCTCATCAACATCACCTTCATCCCTTGTCTCCTGCTCCTCCTGCTCCTCCTGCTCCTCCTGCTCCTCCTGCTCCTGTTTATCTTCTTTTTTCTCTCCCTTTTCCATGTCTTCTTCATCCTCAACGTCCGACATGGCAATCATACGACGTTTTCTTTTGCTTGAAGGCTCTCCTGTTTGTGGCGATCTTGCCAACGGATCGAATGATGGAGACACCTGTTTTTCTTTACGCATCCTCAATGCTTCCTGTAGACGCTTCCACTCAGGATCAGGTAGTGTACATGTTTTTCTTTTGGCTATTAAGAAGTCTATATCCATTTGGTATAATTTTTCCACATATTCCATCAGCAATGTTTTCTTGAATGCAGTGATGCTGCTAGGACCATCGACATCATCATTGTTATCATCAGAACCAAAGTTGGTATTGCTATTATGAAGATGTATTTTCTCCGCCTGTAGCAATAATTGGAACTCATGCCAAGTGTTCATGAGTTTGTCGTAGGTCCCATAGAGTGCCAAAGCGGTAACGCCTCGTAGACAGGGTTCTGTCTCCGACAACTCTGCAGCCAACTCTCGGAATGTAGGACCCCCTTTGGATAGATTGATAGGAGCCTGAAGACGCTTTTGTTGTTGATCAAAAGCATATAAAATTTGTTGAAGTCGTTCATATAAAAACCGAGTTGTGATGAAAATCCTTCGTGCATTTGGTCCACCTTCCAGGAACTGGAGGCCACAATATCTCCTTTGGCCATGTACCTCTTTGAATTACCATGAAAAAAAAAAAAAAAAAAAAAAAAAATTTGTCGTTATATTTTTATGCTTTTTAATTTGTAACCCCGCTTGTCCTTTTCTTTAATTTGTTTTACCTGCAGGGATGTCTAACCTGGTCACTTCTCTTGTCAAGTGAGTTGCATTTGGAGGATCCTTGAAGTATATGTAAAAGTATTTTGAGAACTTGGAGTCCAGCTCAAGTGGAGAAACAGACGAAGAGCCTGAAGTAATGACTTTACGTTTCATGCTTTGTTGATTGTTTTCTTGCTCATTGACATCCATCTTGGACAAGAAATAGTAACTGTGACAATAGAACTGAGAGACAAAGCAAAAGACAGTGAATGGATTTTTTTTTTTTTTTTTTTTTTTTTTTAACTTCCAAGGTCAATGATGAATGAAAGTCTAGGAATCAAGGAAACACGCTTATTTTTCGGGAACGCGCAATTAGAAGATTTCCATTGTTTACAGAATGTGTGGAAAGAAAGAGAGAGGGAAAAAAAAAAAAAAAAAAAAAAAAAAAAACGTGTTTGACTTCCCTATGTTATTCTTTTCTTTCTCGAAAGAAAGGATACCATCAGTCTTGAAAGAGGAGAGGAACGGGGGAGAGTTAAAGGACTGACACTTGAATACCACAATGCCACATACTAGCAATTGTGAGCCCCTTCTCTTTTTGTTCTTTTTGTTTTGTTGATGATGTCGTACGATCAATCAGCTTTCTTTTTGTTTTATTTTATTTTTTAAAAGTCCATGACTAGCTGAGGTGTGATAGCTTCCAAAGAATCAAGTTCAATCAATATCTCATCGTTCCTTAGCTCTTCGTCTTCTTGATCCCGTTGATATGCTGCAGTTCGATGTAAGGCTTCAATTGTAAACAGTCTTAGATACTCGGCTGACAACTGCAATGCCTCTTTACTTGCTATAAAAGCAAAAGTATATATATATATATTAAAGAATGAGTAAAAAAAAAAAAAAAAAAAATTGTCAGACATATTAAGGCTGTAAAGATCTTCTATGACTATTACATCTTGTTCCTGAGTCTGTCCAAACTCCTTTAAAGATTGCATGCATTGTTTCCTAAAGTTCAAAATAAAAATAAAATTGTTTGAATAATCTGTCCATGTAGCGGCTCAGTTCTCTTAAACCTTTACTTCTCCACAAAATACAATATATATGTAGGTTTTTTTTTTTTTTTTTTTCTTACAGGTCGAAAAGTCGGCGCGTCAATTTCATCCTGTTGATCTTCATCATCATCTCTAGGTGCTAGTGCTGATAATAATGCTGCCGTGCGGCTAGATCCCGCACCATTGGTTTTAGCAACAGTACTGGACCTACTACCATGACTATGACTACGGCTCACAGCTTCTTCGCCTCTCAAATTGGTCCAAAGATCATCATCCTCATCAATTTCTACAATGTCATTTTTTTCTAAAAACTCTTCTTCCTCTTCGTCCTCATCGTCTATTGCTTCCCGAGCAGGTCTCTTTTTCTGTAATCGTCGTCGGTTAGCTGCTGCTGCTGCTGCTGCTGCTTGTGCTTTTGCTTGTGCCATGGTGTATTCCTGTTCTACATCGTCGCTGTCGAATTCAATCTCGTCATTATTCATCTTTTAGACTTTTGATTAGATTTGTTCAATAGAGCAAAAACAAATATGAATGCGCGCTTCGCGGCGAAGCACTTTAAAGGAAAACTGCGTGACTGCGATCCACATCCCTTTACCCACTTTTTTTTTATTGACATATACCATTATTATCTAGCTACAATACACAAATCACGATTAAGAAAAATAGAAATAAAAAAATAAAGATGATTTGGTTTTTTTTTTTTTTTTTTTTTTTGCTTTTTTTTTATCACACAATGCCATCTTCACTTCCAAGAGTATTCAAAAGTGGACCCAACAGGCCGTCGACTTCGTCAATCGATACATTGCAACACAATGCAATCAAACGCTTGTATTCGTGGCGTCTCTTGCCTTGTTGACTCTTGAGTTGTATAATTTGTTCTACTTGATCTTTTCGTTTCTGTTGCATTCCTGCTAGGCTCAGCCTCAACTCTGATGCTTCCTTCTCTAATGCTAGGACTTTCTCCATATCAACACCACCGGCAGCGGTTTTTGTAGATGGAGTAGATTCTGTTCCGACTGCTGCTGCTGGTGTGGATTTCTCCTTTTCCTTCTCTTTCTCCAGCTCCATTTCTTGTTTTAGTCGTGTCTCTTCTTGCGTAATTAGCTTCTCCAACCTCAAGCGTTGACGCAAATTAATCTCCTGTCGGATCATACCTTCCAACGTGCGAATTTGATCTTCTGCTTGACCCAAATACATAGTCTTAGATCGCAGCTCCTCAATACTCCGCTGCCCTTCCTGGATCTCACTTTGGATCGATTGCAGCAGATTACGAGCATCTAATAGATCTTGTTCCTTCTCATATAGATCCTTTTCGTAGGACTGTGTCAGCTGCTCAAACAGTTCAGTCACTGCTGGAATCATTTTTTGAGAAGATCGGCTGCTGCTGCTGGAGGCTCCATTATGATGACTATTATGACTGCTTCCTAGATCTCTCGCTCCCAAGTAGGGTGAGGAGTGACTTTTCTCTATTGGTGTCCCATGGCTTAACGAAGGTTGTTGATTATCATTGTGCCCGCCTCCTCCGTATCCTCGCCCAGACGACGACAATAACGACGGCTCATACTTGAGACTGGGTCTTGCATTGGGGTCTAAGTGGTGACCATAATGTAGCCCAGGATGTGCTGGAGATGACGAGACTGGAGGCTGGATTTGGAATGGATTTCTCATAGATGGTGAATATTCTGGGTGTCCTGAATTCGATGGTCGATCCGTGCTTAAGATGGATGTTGGGCCTGAAGGCCCTCCATATCTTGAAGGTGGCGGGGTTAAGGACCTTGTCCCGAATGTGGGCTGTCCGTGAAGATTTGGCGAGGGGTGATTATGCATATTAGGCGACAAAGTATGGCTGTGCATGCGTGGGGTCGATATGGGTGTCGTGGTTGCAGAACCTATACCTCCTGAATGATTATGAGCAGTCGGATGGTGTTGCAGTTGTTGGTTTTGACTCATGCGTTGGTGCTGATGACTGCCACTGCTACTGCTACTGCTGTGAGGATGATATTGAGGTCCAGGTTGTTGAAGAGAGGTGTTACTGTGAACTGAAGAGCTCGGTACTCCTCCTCCTGCAACTGCTGTTGCTGCAGCCAACGACGGCGAAGAAAGGGACGACTGTAGTTGTGATAGATGTTGCTGTTGCTGTTGCTGATGTGACTGCGGCCCCAGCTGAGATGAGTGTAAAGAAGGATACACAGAAGAGGAGTGTGGACCATTGTTTCCACTGATACCGCTACCAAATTGCATATCTGCTTCTTGAAGAAATTCATCCGCATTTCGACCAGACTTGTTTCGAATTTTGGGATCTGCTCCCGCATCCATGAGTAGTCTTACAACTTTCTTGTTCCCAATTCTTGCAGCAATGATCAAAGCCGTGTCACCTACGACATCCTGCACATTGATAATTGAGGCTAGTTCCTGAGGGTGCTGCGCCAACTTCTCGAGCAGACATTCCATATAGTAGCGGGATGCATGTACCTTGCCCCTCATGCCTGCTGTAACAGCCACATGATGAAAAACCGTCTGGTCATTCTTATCAATCGTGAAAATAGTTTTCTGCAAGATCTCCAGTAAGGAGGGGAAAGTCTTCATATCGAAATTATTCGTAAATAACACAGAGCGCATCAATGCCGTCTGCCCTTGATTATTGACTCGGTAGATGTCTGCACCATGCTGCACTAGTAGCTTCACGATCTTTGTCCGTGCCATCGCCACAGCCCAGTGTAGCGGTGTGTGTCCCTCTTCATCAATGATGATGTCAAAGTCGAGATCCGATGGTGGATGAGTCAAAATTGGTGGCAATGCAGTCGAGTCTGATACAAAATAGTTGAGAAGCGTCTCTGCATAATGGCTCTGGTTTGAATCGTTTGTTGTGTTTGATGCGTCCTCTGGCCATATTCCATTTTCACGTCCGCCGCCAGTACCAGTACTAGCACCAACACCAGTACCACTATTACTGCGAGTATCAGCGCGTCCACGTTGGGGACGAGCTGGTGATTCATGGCGCATCGAAGGTGAACGCATTTCAACGTCTTGACCTTTGCGAGGTGTGTGGTATCCACTCTGTTTATTCTGGCCTCCATGGTATCCAATAAAGAGTTCATCGCCCGGACGGCTATGCTGCTTCTTCCGTGCTCTCGGCGATCGATCTGAAGATCTTGGGCGACGACGACGTCCCGTTGAAAGAGTCTCGCCATCAGATACCTCACTTGATGATAAGTCAGGCCGCGACCCTATTGGAGATGGTGTCCTGCTATGAGCAGAGAGAATGCTCATTGTTTCACCCATACTTGCTTCGCTACCTACTCGAACATTCCAAATACAAATATATTTGCCAAGCATAAGCATTAGTACAACACTCTTTTTTTTTTTTTTTTTTTTTTTTTTTTTCTTTGCAGTATTGTGAACTTGCCTGCACGGCTGTGTGCCTCGTCATCATCCAACTCTGATGTGCTTGTCTCTTCTTCTCCTCCATCAAATGGTGCCATGTTTCCTCCCTCATGACTATCATCAATTACGCCCATAACAGGCCCTTGCGATCCCGGCTTGGGCAAGAGTTGTCCAGAATTCTTTTTATTCTTCTTGCCCTTGGATCCCCCAGTGCCGCGAGGCTCTCTTGGTTTCCGTGGTTTGTTCGACGCCGCTGTGACATGCTTTGGTGCCAGAGGAGGACTGTTGATCTTTGAGAATTGATACTCTAATAAAGGTCGCAATAAATCAAGCACTCCATATTCATGGCACAATTGTACTCCTCGATCATAAGGTACCCATGTCCCTTAATGAATATAGTGAAGTTTTTTATATATATATATATATATATTATATACGTGTTTAAAGAGAGAGAGGATAAGTGAATTGAGACAAAATAACCTGAAGAGCGTATATGCTATTTAATAATAATAAAAAAAAAGCTCCGTTGGTTTTACCTTGGTATTTTCCGTAGCCTCCTTGGACTTTCTCATGTTCACCTTTTTGAACCTCCCGTTCAAGAATCCTTGTTCGCTGAGGCTTATCAAACTCTGCCACCTTAAGGATCTGAGTTGCATTAAGATAAGAGTCTGATCGACGGCGCATGACTGCGATGCCACGACAAATCATTTCAAAAACAGGCACACCCGAGTAGGTGGCCTTAAAAATCTGAGGCGCCTTTGCATCGCTTTCATCCACAACGGTTGTTTCTGTTGGTGCTGCTGCTGCTGTTGTTGTGGGTACGATATCACTCATTGATTGGCTTAATCCAGAAGCAGCAGTAGTTCCTCCTATGCCTTCACCATCACCGGACCCAATCTCAATCGTTGGATTACCGAGATTGATGTTGCTTGTTGATGCTGCGGTGGATGCATTATGATTGTGGGAGCTCGACAACGATTGATGGACATCTTCCATGAGAACATCTTCTGATCGATTATTAGTATTGGCATTAGGATCATTATTAGTAATGTCGCCGACGGTGCTCCCTGTACCCAGTAATTGCTTAATTGCACTATCGATGACTGACATAGGTGCAACTGACGATGATGATGGCGGTGTTGCTGTCGCTTTGGACAAGTCTATTTGTCCTTCAGAACCTACAGACGCTGCTGTTGCTGCCGCCGCCGCCGCTGCCTGTCGTTGGTTATGAAGCTGCAGCTGTTGGAGATCATGCTGTAGTTGCGTTGGAGTCGTCAGGGGGACTCTATCGTTCGAAGAACCTTCACTTTCAATAGCTACAGCAGGAGTCGTTCCGGAAAGAGGAAGAGGAGATGTCCCTCCATTCTCCGTTAGGCCCTGTATGGGTACGTGTTGTCCTGATTGTGACGCTTGCTGTTGCGGCCGCTGTAATGAGGAAGCTCTAGTGGACGCAGCACCTGATGGTTTTTGGGCGGTTTTTTGTGCTGCTAACTGCTGCTGCGCCGCTAACTGCTGCTGTAAAAACAAGGCTGAGGCTGTCATTTTTGGAGGCTGAGAGGTAGTCGGCTGTGATGGAGATTGAGACGGCTTCGATTGTTTCCTCTGTCCTTCTGTCTGTTCTGATGTTGTGGAAGTCAAGGAGTTAGCCACTGGTATTAATGGATGGTTCTTTATACTGTCGCTACTAGAAACGGTCGAAATAGGGAAAACTCCAAGGATATTTGATGGATTAACAGGCTCAGGTGCTGCTACAGTAGCATTTGGGGACATCATGGATTCTACATCTAATGATGAGGAATGTTGTAATCCGGGTTCCGCTGCTGTTGCTCCTGTTGCTCCTGTAGTCGATGCAATAGTAGGAGGAAATGATTCTGAAGTCGGCAACAGGGCTTGAGTTTGGTTATAGTCCGGTAAGGCAACGTACGGTTGCTGATGGGACGCCGGAGAGTTACTATCTTCCGGGATTGATGATTGCATAGTAGCGGAAAATGCAGCAAGAAATGAGGCTGATAAGGGTTCTGACGCATTTACAGTAGCAGCTGCAGCCGGTAATGATGACGCTGTTGTGGTTGACGTCTGTCCTGCTATCGCACCTTCTCCAGCACCCGTTGGAAGAGAGCCGGTGTGCGAAATGGAGAAAAGAGTAGCAGTCAAAAGAGGAGTAACAGTATCAGGTGCTGTCACAGATGTAGCGGTGATGTTAGTTACAGGTCCAGATGGCAATTGCGTAGGTACGGATTTGGGCTCTATTGTGGATGTAAGTGACGAAGGCTGCTCCACTGATGACGAGTGTGATGGCTCTGGCACGCTATTCAACCCTGTCTCTCGAGTAGAGACGTTAAAAATGCCTGTGTCCATACCATTTTCAACACCAGCACTTTCCCCTGTATCTGCTATACTCGTGGCAATGGCTCCTCCTTCGACTCTCGGGTTCGTGTTGTTTATCGTGCTCATTTGTATCTTGCTGTGTTTTCGTGTCGTGTTTAATGTTCGTGGACGTGTCGGAGCCTTTGAACACAGTGACCTTTAAAAAAAAAAATGTGACTGGTATCAAGTAGATAAAAAAAAAAAAGAAGACAGAAAAAGAGAGAGTGAATAAGAGAAAGAGAAAGAGAAAGAGAATGAAAGAGAGGGAATGATGAAGGAAAGGGTGAAAATGAGTGGAACTAAAAAAAAGTTAGCTTTGGATGTATGATGCAAGGGTAGAGAGAGAGACCTTTTGGCGAATGTAAACAAATAAAGCTACGCGAGCAACGCGTGAGCACGCACTCTTTTTTTTTTTTTTTTTTAATCCTAAAAAAACTATTAGAGTATTAACAACCGTATGTAATAAAAAATAATAAGGATGTTATTACAATGAAGGATGGAAGGAAGGATGATCAATTTCAAAATGTAATGAAGGTATTTTTCTCTATTTGTTTCTGAAACATTTTTTTATTAAAGTACAAAAATAGTAGATTTTTTATACGCGGGTACGCGTTTTATTCTACAATGAAAAAAATAAATAAATAAACAGCGTTAGAACCCTGTCATTTGCCACATCTAAAGATACTCAAATATCAAAAAAAAAAAAAAAAAAAAAAAAAGACTTACAAAGCAACCACGGCAATACGCTTCTCCTTCACCGCGCGTCAGTGCGCTTGAATCTAAGACCTTCTTACACTCTTTACAGTTCAAACACTTTTTGTGCCACTTTTCATTGTTGGGTCCTGGTGTCTGATCCATCAGTCCCACGGGCTGGTGACAACGAGGGCAGTTTAGCGTGCCTCCAAACTTGGGTAAAGGACGTGTGCGAGTTCCAAAGAAGCTGGTCAGAGGAGGCGGTGTGGCTCGCTGTGCCAATGGGGATGATGCTCCGCTTCCAATCTGGTCTCCAAAAGTGAGCTGATCATACGATGGCGATCCAGATGCTCTAAGAGGCGAAGATGATTCGTTCAATGGCGTGGCTGACCCAGCGCCCGATCCTGACCGCGATAGATTGCCTTGGCCGCCGGCGACCATCCCTGGGTTTGAGGGGACCATAACTGGCAAAGGGAAATGATCTGTTGCACGTGGAACCGGAACGATCTTGGGTGGAAGACGGACAGCGTCACGTTCGTCGCAGCATTGTTCACATTCGACACGGCCATCTACTTCAAAGAATCGGCTAGTGCTTGTAAGCACCTTAGAGCAGTGAGCGCAAGTAAAGCACTGTGGATGGTAATTCATTCCAGAGAATCGAATAGACTTGTTGCTAATGACTTTGTGGCATTGTTGACACTTTGTGACAACACCCATTGAGCTCGTTGGGCCCGCCATTGAGACGCACTTTATGTAGAATGAAAGAAGGAAGGAAAAAGTCAATATTAGTTGTTTCATCATAGGGCCTAAGAGTAAAAAGGAAGACGAAAAGAAAACTCACCTTAGGGTGGTAGGGACGTCCAAGGACGACATGGAACTCAGACTCTGTAAACACTTGCTTGCATCCATAGCAAAGGAAGCACCCGATATGGTACCGATCCCCATTCTGTAAACGCACACCATTCTCGGTCACTTTCTCAAGACATTTGTGGCAGTGGCCCTCTGGAATCGTAGCTGCGCGCTGCACCGATGGACTCCAGGGCGCGTCCGTGACATTGACCACAGGGAATACGATAGCATCGCCCGCGGAATTGGATCTTTGATGACCATGGCCATTTCTGCGGAAAGACGGGCTCGTATTAGATATTGATCTGTTAGGCTCTGCACCAGAGGGCATCGGCGCGGATTCTTTTGATTCTTTTTCGTATGACCCATTAGCTATAGCTGTTGCTGCTGCCGATGGCTGCTGCTTTGGAGGCAAGTTGCTGAAGATTGCAGAGCCTCGGTTTGCGTTAAACAGTTGACTAGAGCTTCTGGGGGGCGAAGAGGTTGTGCTTGTGGTATTTGTTTGAGCCATGTTTATATAAGCCTGTGTTCTAGCCCTTACAGACGCTGCTGTTGTGCTAGGTGAAGCTACCGATCGAGATCTATTGCGCACTAAAGGTCTGAATGAGCCTTGCTGCTGCTGTTCCAGCCGTGGCTGTTCACGCGCTGAGTTTGAAACAGACAATTTCTCGGTAGGCGCTACAAGGTCAGCCTCAACGGAATTTGTTGATCGTGAATATGAATCTAAGGCATGTGCCTTGAGGTTTGGCGTACCCGGTCTTGAACTGCTTCTACTATTAGCTCGTGAACTACTTCGGCTTCCATTGTCGGCGTCCGATCGCTGCTGTAAAGCGCGTGCGATATTAGGCCCCAAATCTTCCGATCCAAGTGAATGGCGTGACCTGGCATGACGTAGACCATAGAGTGTAGACTCGGATGTGTTCTCATTCATATTTGGGTCCTGGTCCTGATCAATTGTTTCAGGATAGTCATGTGACTTGAACGTGCCTTCATTTTCCTGATCCTGTCGGGAATTGAGGGATGGAGAATTAGGTCTCGAGCTTGTGTAGGAATGGATAGAAAGTGCAGAACTAGGACGCCTGTATTGTAAGACTGGGCTATTGGCTGCTGATCCTGAATGGTCCGCTCGAAGCAAGTTAGCAGCTGATATTGCTGAGGGAAGCACAACTGAATCTGCACGCTTTCGTCCTAAGCTCGAATATGCGGAAGAGGTACCGCTAGTGTATCCGCTAGTAGGAGTGCTACGATAGGATGCTAAGGATGATGGGCTAGCGGTACTTTGAGCTGACAGCGGTGAATTTGATGGAGGCAGACTCTTGTCCATATGCAAATCTAAAGGCGATAGATTGACTGGGGATCTTTCTGAGCGGTCAGTGGTGTTATCAACGCCACTACTACTACTTGGATTTTGTTGAGAGGTATATGGTGGTGAGCTAGTCATGGAACGATCGTCAAGTGGAGGGCTATTGGTATTAGGCACGTCCTCCTTAAGGTTTGGGCTACTGTTGCTTTCTTCAGCTGCCGATCCTGCCTGCGCCATCAAGCATTCCTCACAACAAGGTCGTCCACGCAAATCCACCAATGGCTTTGATGAAACGTCAATACGACACTTGAAGCATTTGAAGCAAGCCTAGAGGCAAAAAAAAAAAGTATGAAAACAACACACAAGCAAAAGAGATAGTCAGTTCAGATTCATATCACGAGAGAAAGGAAAAACAAAAAGTAGACAAAATTTAGTAGAAAGGGATGAAAAATCTTACTGCATGCCAAGAACTCTTGTTGTGTGTGATATAGGGGTCGGTCTTGGACATCACAGGCCTAAAGCATGCTGGACAGCTTCCTTTGGTGAACTTTTCGATATAACATTTTTCGCAGTAAATGAAATTTGGCTTTCCAGGTTCCATGAATACTTTAGCCTAATTTGAAATATACATTTGTGTAGACACGTATAAAATGAATGTGAATAATAAATAGGCAAACAAGTTAGGAATAGAACGCCCATACTATAATAGGCAATGTGAAGCTGATCCACAACAGCAAAATATTACATCATTACGATATAGCAAAGTTATTCTTACCTGATGGATTTGTTTACTGCAGCCATGACATTGCTTTTGAATGACGAGAGGCTGCGGCCTGCTCATGGAAGGGACAGAAGGCATGGACATGCGCTTCGCAGGCTTGGCCATACCACCCTCAAGAATATTCTGATATCTATTTTTTTTTTTTTTTTTTTTTTTTTTTTTTACAAGCATTATAGAATGTGGCGGTCAGTCAGTCAGCCACTCAGAATAAAAAAATAAAAATAGGGCATCATGTGTAGAGGGCATGTGTAAGGGTGAAAAAATCATTCTCTTCCAAAGTGGCTCTTTCTCCAGAAAGAAGGGGTGTACGACGATGGTCATTCCACTGTTTAAACAAAGCGACTCTGGTGCTTGTACCATCATACTCTTATTCCTCTTTCTCTTCCTTTCCCCCCTTTCCCCCCCTATTCAAGTGGCGCTCATCTAGTCGTGACTTCTCTCTTCCAGAACTTTGTAATCCTGTTCCTGACTCTGCCTCTTCTAGCTTGATCACTTCCATCACTCGTTAGCAGCGTTAGCGCAGGTACGAGTATCCCAAAAAAGAAAGAAAGGCGCAGACTTTCAAGCCAATTACAAAGTTACGCCAATAGAAAAAAATCGAGGTGATGTTCTCCTGAATCAGTCTGCCATAACCTTCTTTTTAAGATGATCCCGTCCCCTCCCCCCCTATATCCCGCCGCGTGATCCAGACTAAAAAAAATAACAACAACAACAACAACAACAACAACAAAGCACGAGAACAGACACTGACTGTTTGCTGTTGTTGATAATGTGTCGTTATCGTAATTTCTGGTTGAGAACCCGTTTTTTTTCTTCTTTTTCTTCCCCATTAAGAGCCAACAAAATCTTGATTATTTCAAGGCTCGATTACTTACGCACTCATCCAGGGATCATGTCTGGAGTTGGACTGAAGCCCACTTGTGACGGATGCTAAAATTTTTCATTGAATTGGAAAGAGAGAAACGCGTTAAGACATGGAACTTCAATTGAAGACGTGTTTAGCGATTAAAAAAGATAATGGAAACAGGGAAAAAAAAAAAAAAAAAAAGTAGACTTGATATGGCTAGGAATAAAAATGAGGAGGTAAGAGATCAGGATACATACAGACTGAGCGGCCACCACACTTGAGACAACTGGCGCCGTGGACAAGATCGCCACACCGGTGACAGAAACCCATTTTTTAGTTATATGTGTAGTGTGTGGAAAAGAAAAGAGAGAAAAAAACGGAAAGATAATAGAAACTGAGACAGTTTTGTTCAGTTTACAATAAGAGAAAAGTGAAAGGACAGGAAAGAGAGAAGAAAAAGAAAAAAAGAGTAGGGAGTGAAAAAGAAAAAGCAATAAAAAGGTAGATTTCCTTAAAACAAAGGAAAAGGTGGCATGAGTTATCGGGATGGATGTGGTGCTTTTTTTTTTTTAGTGAAATGTCACTTGAGTGCCGTTGTTATTGGAATAGGTTGATGTTCAGATAGAACAAGTATGTGTTTGTCGAGGATGAGGGAAAAGTGGTTCCAGTGGAAGGCAATAGGGTAGTCGATCCTGGAAGAAGTTGGAAAGAAAGAAAAGTAAGGAAAAAAAAAATGAAAAAGCAAATGAAGAAGAAGAGAAGAAAATTGAAAAAGAAACCAAGGGAAAAGGGATTGTCTCTCCTCGCCATTGTCACTCCTTTTTATATTTTTATATCTTCGTTTGTGTGTGTCAGTGTGCAGCAACATCAACAGCACAACAACCTTAAGCACCAACAGCATGTCTGTAAGTTAGTCACTGCATAGTTTTTGGTAGTTTGATTCCTTGTTGCCCTGAGAAAATGATGATGACGATGGATAACGATGATGATGCGAATGGTCTGGACGTCCCTTTTTTTTCCCGTAAGAAAAAAAAAAAAAAAAAATTATGCGTGGTTCATCCACTTTTTTTTTTTTTTTTTTTTTTTGTAATATTGTGATATTTATGCATAGAATATGTGAAGGAACGATAGAATGCGGGTTTCCTCTTTATTATCCTTTGCCTTTTCTCATTCAAAACAGCCTAATTCATACACTATAAACACTATATGAATAAATATATACAATACACCACACAATGACGCCTTGTCCAAGGTCGATATACCCATACGAATCATTCAATCACTCAGCCATTCAACCAATGTAAAATACGTATACCGTTTCCCGATGAGAGTATCGAACTTGTACCTTTGAAATGCGATAGAGCTGATCTTCAGTCTCCACCAGATTGCGGTCCAAAGCAGGGTTGCTGGCTTGCTGCTTTTCTATGAACTTCCATAATACTCACTGTTTCTTTCATTCTTGCTAGAACTCTCGATGCACTTTTTCATGCGCATGTTGTAAACCACACCAATCTAACACTAACCAAATGATAAGATGAAAGTAAATACATAAATACCTAAAAACAAAAAAAACAAACAAACCTTTCTTTAATATATCTTTCTTTGTCATTTAGGACAAAGAACAGTTTCATGGTTCTCCTTAGTCTTTAGATCCACTTTTTTTTTTTTTGTTGTTGTTTAATTTCAAGTAAAAATGTCTGTGTGTCCACGTCCATGTAGAGTTTTTTTTTTTGTCTGTGTGAATTACGTGCTGTGTGCTCCCTTTTTTCTTTTGATTTCAAGAGAACATCTTTAATACCGTTATGCCATCTTCGGATTTTGCTTTGCCTGCTGGCTGAATTGTTGTTGCTGCTGCTGTTGCTGCTGCTGTTGTTGTTGTTGTTGTTGTTGTTGTTGTTGTTGTTGTTGTTGTTGTTGTTGTTGTTGTTGTTGTTGTTGTTGTTGTTGTTGTTAGTTAGTTAGTAATGGGTCGTTAGCTGTTGTCGTTGCACTGTTCCACATACTTCTTTAGTCCAGCCCAACACACCATCAACAATTCAACGGTCCTACAAAGGTATGACATATGCATTGTACACATGCATGTCCCGCTTTCCTTGTAAACATTCAAACCCTATTTCCTTTCTTCCCTTTCTCCTGCCTCCTCACCTGCATCATTAAACAATCATTTTTTTTTTTTATCCCTTTCCCCCTGTCTTTTCCAAGCGTCATGGCCAATTAAGTGATGAATCTTCATTAACTCTACGTGTTATTCACTCCCCCCCTTTCTTTATTTCTCAAGAGTCCGACAAGAGCCATGACAAAAAAACGTAATGACATGATTAGTTTATTCTCTCCTTTTTTCTATCCTTTTCTCCGCCACCAAAAAAAAAAAAAAAAAAAAAAAACCATCATCCGCTGAACTTAAACTTTGCCAAGGATGAATATGCACAAATGCATCCTCGATGTTGATGTCTCCATTTTATATTTTAATGAATGAAATCCAAACCGTTGCTGATCAGGATTGTCTATCAAAAACACTAGTTCATCGAGGTACAGGGATCAATTTGAGATCAGACTGACTCTTTTTTTTTTTTTTTTTTTTTTTTTTTTTTATTATTACAAATTACATTTTAGCATGACTCTTAAAAAATATCAAGTTATTATGAGATAAAATAGTATTAAAAATGCTTTTTTTTTTTTTTTTTTTTTTTTTTTTTTGAACTAAAGGCATATATTGTCCTGTTTTTTAGTGGATGTGAAAGCAGTTATTACAACTTCCACGCTTGAACACATTCGCTGAAAAATCTGTGCATTGACACTCACGACAAGGCCCCATCTCACTTTCAGTAGAGCTCGATGTTTGGTTCGAAAAATAATCTTTAGGAATATAACCCATCATCGGTGCTCCTGCTGATGGAGTAGGGGGAACAGGTGAGGATGGTCCTCCTCCTGAGGCCATCAAGGGCGGTGTAATCACTGGTGTAGTCGAGCTAGAAATGACTGGACCTTGTTTCATTGGCTCTGCAGTCGCACGTCGAGTTGGTGGAGGGGGTGGAGGCATCCTACTACCAATGGTCGATGATCTGTTCACAGGCGACAGAGCCGATGCTGGTCGATTCTGAGGAGGTGTTGCACGTGCAGCTGCCGAAGGTGGCGTAGCAAGAGGTACTCCATTTGTATATCCATGTCCATGTGCATTGGAGGTGGGCACATTGGATACAGGCGCAACATAGGAAGCCTGTCTCGTTGCTGGTGGTGGCGGGGCTCTCCTCGTAGCCGGCACTGGTACAATTTCTTCTGGCTCAGCATAGTGGACTGTGGGCTCTGTCTCTCTCTCATAGTACGCTGTCTCGTCCTCATCCATGTAACGTCCTGGGTCAGAAGAGTTTGAGTGAGTGGATCCTTGACGATGGGTCGATCCCGAATCACTCATGATTTCTTCGCAATAATTAGAAGGAATCATTCCGGTGTGTCGGACCCCATTTGCATCAATCAACTCTCCTTCCCACCAGCCCTCATCAATCTCTTCCACAATGCGGATAATGTCACCTTTCTGCATTGATAGTTCATCATCGCCAGTGGCATCAAATGAAAATAGCGCTCGCACCTGCTTCTGTGCTCGACCTCTGCTCGGAGGAGCTGGAGGTGGTGCCATAAATCCATTGGAGCGGGCACTTCCACTTCCACTTCCTCCACTGTTCTTTCTAGTCTGCGCCGCATTAGGTGTCAGATGGGACATTGATCGACTCATTTCCAAGTTCGGATTTTGGTTCATGTTGCTGCGACGCAAGTCCGCAGAAGATGGGGTTCTATCGAAGGGCTGACGCCCATTAGGTATTGACTGAGTGCTTAATTGGTCATCCGAGTGGTTAGAGCGTTCGTCATCAGGCTCCTGAGAGTTCTGTCGGCTCAGTTTCGTAGAGGTACCGTTGCCATTATATAGCGAGGCGCGTGACCCGTTAGGAGATGTGCTGACAAAGGTGCTTTCTGGGATAGCTTCCAAGATTTCAACTACCCTACGAGCATATGCCAGTTGCGCATCATAATACGATTTGAGACTACTCAGGTTATCGTCCTACAATGAGCATGTGGAAACATGGTTCCAAATGATGTTAGTCAATCTTGCAGGTAATCACCTCAGATTGGAAGCTTCATAGACAATAAAAGATATGTTGTTTGTCACTGTACCTGGGATTCATTAATAGTAGTCATGAGATTGAGTACATTCTCTCTGGTCTCTTCATATTTTGCCTTTGCAGCTTGCATTTCTTCTTCCCATTCTGGCTTCTCTTTCTTGGCTTTTTGTACCTTGGCAAGCTTGGAATCGTAATCCTGTCGCCTTGATAGTAGCTTTTTTTGTAGTGCCTGATACTCTTTCATCTGTGCCTGGGATTTCTCAAGGCAATCGAGATATGAGCTACCAAAGCGGGAAATCTATTCAAAAGAACAGGGGTATTGTAAGATGGGAGTTAATTAAATATCAACCATATACTTGGAAAGGACTAGGAATAGACTAAGGAGGCCAACGTTGCTTACCAACTCCAATTGAGCGGCGCCGATATTTTGATGTGCATCGCCCATGCGCTGAAGTGCTGTCCTATATTGTGACCCCTCGCGGATAGTGTAGCTTTGAGCAGACAGGCTCATACCGAATGTCTCGATGGCCAATCCCTTATATTTGTCATCACCTTCAACTCGTTTGCCTAAAAAAAAAAAAAAAAAAAAAAAAAAGTTGAACATGTAAGCATGAATTATGGCATCAAAATAATTTTCATATTCCTCCGCGGCTAAATTTGGCGGGAAGGACAGAGAAAAAAGAGGCGTTTCCCGCGCAAAAAAAAAAAAAAAAAAAAAAAAAAAAAAACACCGGGTTGGCCGTGATTTTTAAAATTTACACTGCCCTCATATAGGCGATAAGAACAGAGGACAAAGATGGGATGCATTAATATATAACCAATATATAACCATGCTTTGAGATACAGTATGGAAATATCCTGGTCATTGAACAAAACGATTCATCTCATTAAACATGCACGTGCGCCTGACCCAGTCTATGGCTGCAAGAGTAAATAAACTATTTTCTATTGCTCAATAGAATGATCTGTTTTGACAACTGTTGCCCACAACACTGCTCCACACATGATAATCAAATTAAAAAAAAATAAAAAATAAAAAAATAAATAATAAAAAGAATTAAGCTCAAGCTCTTCAATTGTTTGTCAACCCAGCCCGGTGTGCCTGCGCCTATCCACGCATAAATCAAACAGAATACATTTCCTTCTCTGCTTCTGCTCTTTCCCATTGTACGACCGGGGACCTCTTTTTCGTTGTTGTTGTTGAGAAATGAAAATGACCAGCGTAAATTAAAAACAGGTCAACTATAGTCTTTTAGACGATCAAACGAAGCAATCAATTCGACTGATCAATAACGCACCCAGACTTTCAGCCCACAGACAGTTGTGCCTCCTTTTTTTTGTTCCTTTCAGAGAATTAACCAGGTAAACATTCGCCTCATTGCAATCACATCAGGATATCATCTCTGAACACACATACACATCATGTCTTCACGGTAAAACACAATGGAGGAGATCACTCACAATTAGAAATTAATAATAGGTATGGCATGGTTGGACAAGATGAAGTGCTCAATGTTGCTCTTTTTTTTTTTTTTTTTTTTCCTCTTCACGTATACTTCCTTATTTTCTTTCAACATAGAATTCAACAAGTGAGCAAGTCGCTGACTCCCAATTGAGTGAACTTGACCGGTGGCTCTTGTTCATACACTACACCCCCTTTACACGCGCAGACCAACAAAAAAAAAAAGAAAAGAAAAAAAAAAAATAGAAAAATAAACTGCTCATCATAATGGAACAACATATTATGAAGGGATCGCCATGAGTGAAAATAAAAAAATAAAAAGCGCATAGAGATTGATGAAGAGATAATCGAGATGTACCACAGCACTCGCTTCAATAAGTTCAATTTTGACTAAAAAAAAAAAAATATCATGCCATCTATTGTCATCTGAACCGCGTCTCAAAAACACAAACATGACTTAGAAACCTGAACACAAAAAAAAAAAAACTCATTTCCTAATGGAGTCAAGTTTCAACAAACTCTAGTAACGACGCGATGGTCAAATGCTCGGGTGATGACGATTAAAAAAAGAAAAAACTTTAAAACAAATAGCAAAAAGAGGATTGGGAAGCACATGGTTGCGCGTGTGTTGCGTTGAGACATGAATATGAGTTTAGGCTCGCGTTTACTTTTGCCTTTCTTTTTTTTTGTTCAGATCAACAAAACCGATAGCGAGCCAAAAATGAGCCAGAAGGAATGAAGAGACAAGTGAAGAAGTGGGAAAGAGTAATACAAATGTTGTGTATGGTAGTAAACACATATTTAGATTGTCACATACTAATAGCTTTGAGATATGCTTGAGAGGTGTCGCCCAACTTTTCGAGTGCAATTCGCTTGGCCTCTGTCTCATTTGTCAGAGTATGAAAGTCCTCGTCCATCCGAGCCTTCGGATTCTTGCCTACAGTCCACTGCAGACATTTTGATAAAAGGATTGGTTCGACCAAAACAATACGAAAAAAAAAAAAAAAAAAAAAAAAAAAAAAAGGTTGCGTTTCATATATTAGCTCTCAAAAACGCTAGTTTTTAGAGATTCAGAAAAAAAAAAAAGAGAGAGAGATCCTGCATGCCAATCATGTCAATATGATGCTTCTTGAAGGTCGTTGGTGGGGAGGAATCAAGCACAGCAATATCAGCAAGTTGACAGAATTATGGATCCCATTTGTCCTGAGAGTCATTGTAACCGTTATTTTTTTATTTTTTTTGATTGCCCGTCTCCATTTCAAATTGCTGTTTCTGAGATGCAATGCATTCCTGTTCCAAGTCGATCTCATTCTGTGCCTTTTTTTTTTTTTTTTTTTTTTTTTTTCTTTGTCATTCCAGTCTGTCTTTTATACTGCAGTAGAATAGAACAGGCGTATAAAAAAAATGTATTGGTGATAAAGCTGCGATGGGTGTATGGCAGGGTATATAAGAGAATGCGACAAGGAGTGTGAAGTTGGGAACAAACATACCTGCTTGAGTTTGCCGATATTTTTGATCATGATGAAAAAGTGAGGAATAAAAAAATAGAAAAAAAAAAAAAAAAAAAAAACGATGCAATGCAATGCAATTCAATTGGAAGTAATGTTTAAAAAAAAAAAAAAAAAGGAGAGAGAAATGGGCGATGGTTTTTGTTTTTTTTTTTTAAAAAAAAGCTTAAAAATAAAAGAGGAGGTGTGAGTGAAGGAGGAGGTGAGGATGGTAGTGGCAGTGATTTGTTTCTGTTCCTGTTCCTGTTCCTGTGCCTGGGGCAAGATTAGGAGGCACTTGAGTGGAATGATATTAATATATTAATAATGAAGGTAGTTATGACAATGATGATGGTATTAAAATAGTAATAGTAAAAGCAGTGCAGCTGTGAAGAAGAAGCAAAAGAGAAGAAGAAGAGGAAAGAAGAAAGGGGGACTAATAGAAAGAAGTAGAGAAAAAAGAAAAAAGAAAAAAGAAAAAAAGGTGCACCACCCAACCGTCCCTAATGCTTAATTATAATTTCTTGTACTGTACATGTAAACAAGGGAAGCATTTTGAACGAACAGGATAAGCGTAATTCGTACATTTCAAAGAATGAAGCGCTCTTTTATATTCTTTATTCTTTGACTCAATCTGAATTGCTTTTTTAAGTGTGTAATATCCTTGCACAAATACATGTAGATATATACATGTGTTATATAATTTATACATGTACATCTATATAAATGCTACTCTAATACTTTATGTGATAATGAAATAAACTTGTATTATTTTAATATTTATATTTACAGATGTATAGATGTATATAAAAATATATATATATTTTATATACCCTGACATTTATTTTACTTTCGTTGGGTCCAACTTACTCATCTCCGGGGCACGTCATCCGCACTAGCGCACTAACACCTCTCCTTTCTTCCCTGATGATAATCATCATTTATACTACACATAGTCCTATAGTCTATAGTCTATTGTGTACACAAGCTTATTGATTTGGCACCAATCTCTGGGCCCTGACCCTAATTTCACCATTACGTTACTCATTTCCACCTGACACACACAAACCCCCTTCTCTCTCTCTCTCTCTCTCTCTCTCTCTCTCTCTCTCCCAAAGATGAGTCTCGGAATGTATCCGACTTTGATATTTGTTCCGACCCTTTCGGGCATTGTTGTATAATCTCTTTTTTAATGCCTTTTAATGCCTTTATTCTTTATTTTTGCCCTGGCATTTTTTTTTTTTATAATCTGCTAGATCACGTCAACCGATGACAAGATGAAAAGGATGAGAACAAACAGGTGGAAGGTACAAAAAAGTTTGAATGATATACGAAGATACAGGAATGAGAAAAATGGACAACTTTACAAAAAAAAAAAAAAAAAAGGAAAGAAATGAAAGCCAATGAGATAGACATGCTCTAAATTCATTTAGCAGGCACAACCTCCTTTGTCTTGCTGCCCACCCAAACGCTGGCCATTGGCGCCATTCTGCAGATCCACACGTCCATTACTGCCACCCACACCTCCAGCTCGAGAACCACGGGTCGATGAGAGAATGTGCTCTAGAGGAATCTTTTTGGCAATCTCCGTGAAAACCTCTGCAACACCTTCACCATTCTTGGCCGATGTCTCAAAGAACAACAAACCAGCCTCTTGTGCATACGCACTCGCCTCTTCTGTTGGGACCTGACGACTAATACCATAATCTTCATCATCCTCTTCATCTTCATCCAAATCCATTGCCTCCTGCTCCTCCTCCTCATCCTGATCACTCTCGCTTGTCCTACGACCCTTTCGTCCAGTTGAGACCAAATCAACCTTGTTTCCCGTCAATGCAATCACAATGTTGGGATTAGCCTGTCTCTGCAACTCTTTGACCCAAGACTTTGCCTTTTCGAGTGACGACTATGTTTTGTATTTAATAAACACAGTCAAGATGGATTTCAGTACATGTAGTTTTCCAGAGACTTCAAATTCAAACGACAATAAAAATAACACACCCAAAAAAAAAAAAAAAAAAAAAAAAAAAGACTACGTACAGCCTTAGTGACATCGTAAACAACCACAGCAGCCTGGGCATTCCTATAGTACATGGGTGCAAGCGAGTGAAAGCGCTCCTGTCCGGCTATAAAATGATCACAGCACATAAAGAACATGATTAAAATCAAGCAAACTCTTGTGCCTTCCTATGACATGAATGGTCCGTCCTGCTTACCAGTGTCCCAGATTTCAAACTTGATGACCTTGTCTTCCAGCCGGCATTTTTGAGTCAAAAAGGCAGCTAAAATAAAAATAAAAAAGCATGGTCAATCAGATGGCGACAATCATATCATGCATTGTTTGTCCCTGTTCTCTTCCTGATATCCAAGACGGTAATCGCACAGTCCTTTTTCTTGACAGAGTATAAAAACAGACAGCTTACCTCCAATGGTTGGCTCCTTGTTCTCCTGAAACTCGTCATTTACGAATCGAAGAACAAGACTCGACTTTCCAACAGCAGCCTCGCCTATACCAAATCGAAAAATAAGATGGCGTGTTTTTTGTCAATGTGTGATCACAAACAACGCAAGCAAAATAATAATAATCATAAAATAAGCTTGTTCATATCCATGGTTCACAAGTTGTCCAAAGATCTCTCCATACTCTAACAAAAACGCATTCTCTCTAAATACAAATAAAATACAGTAAAGCAATATGTGTATGGGCATGGCGTCTTCGGATGGAATGATTATTACTATCGCTTGAGTAGATATCGAACCATTGGAATGATCCTCATTCTTTCCACAATGTCGAATGTATCGATGTCATATTTGTGGATCTCCTTTGTCCCAAAAAAAAAAAAAAAAAAAAAAAAAAATTGCTGGCAACTGGCTCTAAAAAAATACAAATGATGCACCTAGAAAAAATAAAATAAAATCCCTTTGGATAAACAGTAGTTTCAACATCATGTCATTACTACCACTGCCCGTCAGTCCAAATGGTGTCCACTGCCTGAAAACAAAAAAATAAATAAACTATCCCTTCCTCACATCTTTACAAAAAAGAACCTCCTGACATCTGAACAGGCTTCCTGTGTTTTTTTTTTTTTTCTTTTTTTTTTTTTTTTATAAAAAAAAAACTTTCCTTAGATTCGTAGTATTGCTTTGTTTTTTGCTGGGCACATGTTGGTTAAAGTTGTGCCTGAGTATCAGCAGGTTTTTTGTGTAGCAGCCATGGAAAAGGAGTGATTCCAACATGTTAAAGTTGAAGAATTCTTTTGGGCTCAATGTAACAGGAGGTGACAGAAAGGTGCAACATAACTCGAGAAACAACAGGAATTTCAATAACAACAACAAAAAAAAAAAAGTATATCTCCATCTCGTTGAGCGAATTGAGACCAACTCTATCACAAGAACTGCTCGCTGTCACTTTTTGCTCATCCAGATAAAGAAACGCTGAACAGATAATCTGTCTGTCTTTTTTTTTTTTTTTTCCTTTTCATTCGAGGTGCGCAACACGAAAGTACGTTTAAACTGGTCATGTCATGGGTACTGGGCGAGACGTATCAAAGAAAAAAAGAAAAAGAAACCCCGGCGGAAACAAACTGGAATTAAAAAAAAAAAAAAAAGTATTACCAAGCAGAACAAGCTTAACCTGGACTGGCTTCATGTTATTGGCAATAACCTGGCTTGCGGCGTCGTTTGTTTGAGACATGTGAGAATAAGATCGCTTTCTATGAATGGGCTATTAAATGGTAATGTGTGTTGTGTAGTCTTGGCAACTGGTCAGTTGATTGTGCTTGCTTATTAGAGCTGGGCTGAGGCTGATAAAAAATAAAAATAAAAAAAGCAGTAGAAGCAAATGAAGCAGTGTTGGTGCGTCCGTACTTGTTGTTGAAATTTATTTGAATATACTTGTGGCGATGCTTGTAATGAATAAAAAATGAGGTGAAGAAAGAATCAAAAACCGAATGACAGCGAAATTAGGATGCTTAAAAAAATAAAAAGGTCAGTCGGTGTCTGCTGCAATGACGATGATTGTGTTGTAGGTTCCTGTATCTGCATTGAGGTGCATAGTCTACTTTTAGAATACAGAAGTTCTGTAATTGCAAATGTCTTAGCTGAAATGCATCTCTCCATGTAAGCAATATTCTTTTCCTCTTGCAGTTGGCTGCTTCAGATTCAACACTTTCAACCAACAGCCTGTCATGTCGTCCTCAACCACAAACACTATGGAGATCGAGTCGAGCGAGTAGGTATACATTTGTCGCATTACTCGATCATAAACCAGTCAACATTGGAATTCGACTACTTCTGCTGTCCTAACAAAGTTTTTTTTTATTTATTTGTTTCGCATATAGTGTAATTCGGCTTATCCAACAGTTTCTGAAGGAGAATAATTTGCTCAACACATTGGCAGCGCTTCAGGCATGAGGAAAAAAAAAAAAAAAAAAAAGAAGAAGAAGAAGAAGAAGAAGAAAAAGAAATATATATTCGTGTTTATATGGCATTTTCGCATGGAATGAATATTTGAAAACATGAAACCAGAGGAGCGAAATAAGGAAGTGTCTAAATGGATCCAGTGCAGCATTTTGACTCTTTATTCGATCTGTCTCCGAAATGTTAAATAGGAGGAGACAACGGTGGTCCTCAATACTGTGGATAGCATTGAGGCATTTACGTCCGAAATTTTGCAAGGGAACTGGGATAATGTTTTGCGTGTTGTGTCGCAACTCAAGATTCCAGAAAAGAAGTTAATGGACTTGTATGAACAGGTAAATAACCCCCCACAACTGCCCTATGCTCTTTACAGACATGAAGATATGAATCAGCAATAAAGCTTCAGCATCCCTGTTGACTTGGATTTGACTACCAGCCCATAAACACCATTCCCATGATTTTGCTTAAAAAAATGCCATAGATCGTAATTGAACTTGTAGAAATGCGCGAAATCGGCACAGCTCGAACGCTTCTTCGTCAGACCACACCAACACAGTTACTCAGGGATCAGTTCCCGGATCGGTATTTGCATCTAGAGCATGTCTTGTCACGTACCCATTTCGACCCCAGGGAAGCTTATCCTAATGGTGTTTCAAAAGAGAAGCGGAGACAGATCATTGCGCAAGCGTTATCAAGTGAAGTCACAGTGGTGGCACCCTCGAGACTGGTCACATTGTTAGGACAGGCCCTCAAATTCCAAGAACAACAAGGAATGTTGCCACCAGATTCCGCATACGATCTCTTTAGAGGCACAGTTCCTGTTGTTCAAGCAGAGACAGATGATGTGCCTATCAAATGCTACAATACAATCAAGGTAAAGCTAAGCTTGATATACCTTTTAGTCTTTCAAAAAAAAAAAAAAAAAAAAAAAAAAAAAAGCAAAAGGGCAAAAGGGCATGATAATCTTTTATGTCTTCATTTGGTACTTACCAGCCCATAAAAATCTGTACAAACATCAGTTCCCCAAGAAACAGCATGCTGAATGTGTAGCATTCTCTCCAAATGGACAATATCTCGTCACAGGAAGTATGGATGGCTTTATTGAAATTTGGAACTATCTTACAGCAAAACTCCGAAAGGATTTGAAATACCAAGCCGAGGTAATAATTTGCGATACAACGCACATTGCACATTATCAGAGTCAAAAATACATACAGCACATATTTATTAATATATATTTGGATGGCTTCATAGGATAATTTGATGGCTATGGAAAGCGCGGTTTTGTGCCTCGCTTTCAGTAAAGATAGCGAAATGCTAGCATCGGGGGCACAGGATGGAAAGATCAAGGTGTGGAAGATTCAAACAGGCCAATGTCTTCGACGCTACTCACCAGCTCATCAAGGTGGTGTAACTTCGATCTGTTTCTCACCTGATGGAACTCAAGTTCTCAGTACTTCATTTGATCTTACAATTCGGTAAGGGAGACGATGAGCATATCAGCTTTTGGTGGGTGGGAGGAAGAGAAAGAGTTAGAATGGAGGGCAAGTAATAGGCTGACATATTAGACGGTCAAACTTTACATGTGTTTATGATATTGATAGCTTACATGGCCTTAAATCTGGCAAAATGCTAAGAGAGTTCAGAGGCCATACATCGTTTGTGAATCATGCAGCCTTCTCCCTCGACGGGACACAAGTCATGAGCTCAAGTTCTGATGGTACCATCAAGGTAAAAAAAAAAAAAAAAAAAAGTGTATAAACTAACTTGTAAAAGAACTCATATTGTTCAACAATAGACAAGTAAACTAAAGATTGTATGCGTTGCTTCATTGCTTTATTAGATCTGGGATTATAAAACTGCCAACTGCCTAAAATCTTTCTCACCGCATGATGGAACAGGGACGATGGCAGGTGTTGCAGGATTAACAGTCAATTCATGTATTCCATTTCCTAAACCGAATCAAATCCTTGTCTGCATGAAGTCCCCCACAGCCTATTTGTTGACGATGGAAGGTGAACCTATTCGCAAATTCACGTCTCCAGAAAGTCAAACAGAAGGAGCGGTCAAAGACCTGGGAGCAGCAGCAGCGGCAAGAGCAGCAGGCACTGTTGGAGATGGACCTGATGCCAAGAAAGAAGGGCTGGGTGTGCCCATGACAGATTACTTGGCCTTGACGTTGTCACCCCAATCGGAAATTGTCTACTGTTTAGCAGAGAACAGCCAGGTGCATGCTTTCTATTCCGACACTGGGAAATGGATAAAGTCGGTTCCTGTGGTGGAAGGCGAGGTCATTGGGATGGCATCGCATCCGTCCTCTAATATCTTGGCTGTCAACACTGTTGATGGGCGTGTACTCTTGTGGAAGGCATAGAGAGAAAGGAAAGAATAAATGAGTAGAAAAGTTAATTTTCTTCATACAGTATTAACCTTTTGATTACCAATTGCTATGATCTGCTGGATGTGAAGAGCTATTTAGAAATAGGGCCATCCTAGGAAGAAAGCACCAAGGCAATGTTTGTTTATGTTTTGGTTACCATATTTTCGTCCGGCTCGGTTCGATATGGGATAATGAGGTCAAACCATTTGATGCCACAACCATTTTATAAATCGAATGAGAATTATCTGGCGGACATGATTTTTTTTTTTTTTTTTTTTTTTGAAATAAAAAAGTGGCATGATTTTTTTTTTTTTTTTTTTTTTTTTTTTTGAATGTTGTATCAAGTGAGTTGATTCAAGCAAAAAGCAAGGTAATATTGATATGATGGAGAGTAGGAAGGTGTTCAGATGTCTCCATAGTATTAATATTCTATTCTAATGCTTCTATGGTATAAATACCATATACAAGTATATATATAATACTTCCATACTTTTCTTTTGTTTACGCGACAGAGACCGAAGATAAATTCTTGTAGATTGATTTATTTGGAAAATAAATGAGACTGCGGTCAGGCCATTTCAAACTGTGGATTGTTTTCATATGACATGGAAATGAATTTGACTCTCTATTTTTGTGCATAATCAGGGCTCGAAGTCGGCCAATGGCAAGATTTGATACGGGATTTAAACAAGTTCTGTGAGTTCTGTGCAAAGGAAGAAAAGTATCACAAAAAAACAAAAATCAGGCCACCTTCATTCTGAACCATCATTTCAACTCCTTCTTTCATTCATGCACTTCATTCATTTATTTAACTTCACCTTCGACTCACTTCCCTTCTTTCTTCTCTCTCCCTCTCTCTCTTTCGTCTAATATACATTATAATATCGAAAAAAGTTTCTTTTAAGGATCAACTCCACACACATTGACCATATTATATAAATCCATCAATTGAAGCTGCCATGACTGGATCGACTATCGTCCACACAACAACACATTATGCCACAGACAGAACTCGTTGGCGTCTGCGGTTTAACCAAGGCAGACAGACCTGGCACTATGTCAGCGAGGAAGAGAGTAAGGCCAATCCTCAAACCGACATTGAGAAGTATTGGCTCGATCTGAAGCTGGTAATTTTGATTTTGCAGTTTGTGTACTTTGGACTTGAATGCACGGACTTTGTTCACATTCATAAACATAAACAACTCACCTCTTCATTCTCATTCTCTCTCTCTCTCTCTTCTTTCTTTAGGATGCTCCTGAGCTTCCCAAAGCGACCACAGCACTCGAGTCTGCCAGAAATGCCTTCGAGTTCTTTAAGCGTCTACAGAACGAAGAAGGATTTTGGGCGGGTGAATATGGTGGTCCCATGTTCCTGATCCCTGGACTGGTTATCGCCTACTATAGCACCAGTACAAAGTTACCTGATGGATGGTCAGAAGAGATTATCCAATATCTGTTCAACAGAGCTGATAAACAAGACGGAGGATGGGGATTGTAAGCCTTCTTTTTTTTTTTACTACTTTTTTTTTTTTTTTTTTTTTTTTACTTTTTTATTGGGCGGCCAACTCGCATGACAACGTCAACACGTATAAACATGTATAAACATTTCTTTTCTTTTCTTTGGACAAAGGCATATTGAAGGACATTCGACAGTATTCGGAACTGCACTCAATTATATTGTCCTGCGCCTGTTGGGTGTCGACGCCGAACACCCCGTATGTGTTAAGGCCCGCGGAACCCTTCATAAACTCGGTAAATAGCTGCTTTTACAGCACACAGTCAAAAAAATATTGTTCACATTTCCCACGTTTATTGATGTTGATCTTTTTTTTTTTTTTTTTTTTTTTTGTGCTCCCTTATTAGGTGGGGCAACAGGATCACCTTCTTGGGGCAAGTTCTGGATGGCCACATTAGGTGTGTACGACTGGGATGGCATGAACCCTGTACCTCCTGAGCTGTGGCTGTTACCCCATTTCTTACCTTTTCATCCTGCTCGTTACTGGTGTCATACCCGTAACGTCTACATCCCCATGAGTTACCTCTATGGTCGTCGAGCCACTGCTCCCTTGACCGATCTTACTCGTCAGTTGCGTCAAGAGTTGTATACTCAACCCTATGAATCCATTAATTGGAGTCAACAACGCAACAACATCTGTAAAGCGGATGAATATTATCCTCACACAAAATTCTTGAATTTCTTGAACAGCGGTCTCGCCATAGTCGAGATGTTCACCCCTCGTGTTGGCCTCCGCGCCCAAGCTTTGAAAGCTGCTTATGCTCAGGTCAAATATGAGGATGAAAACACTCATTATCTTGATATTGGTCCAGTCAACAAGTGCATGAACATGTTGGCGGCATTTTATGAAGAGGGCAAGGACTCTGAAGCCTTCAAGAAACATGTAGACAACAACATTGATTTTATGTGGTAAGAGCTCTTTACACAATCAACTATCTAATCCATTAAGGGAAATTGGCTTGCTTGAATTATATCTCGAACTGTACAGTTTTGTTAAAAAAAAAAAAAAAAAAAAAAAAAAAAAATCAAACATCTATTTCTTTTAGGATGTCAGGCGGTGGGATGATGATGAACGGAACAAATGGCTCGCAGTTGTGGGACACTGCCTTGCTGATTCAGGGTGTTATGGAATCTGGATTGGCACATGAGCCCCAGAATCATGAAGCCATGAAGAAAGCCCTTTTGTTTTTGGACGACTGCCAGATCAAGCGCAACCCTCCATTCATGAAGGAAGGCTGGCGTGATCGCACCTTAGGTTCTTGGCCCTTCAGCAACAGGTTCCAGGGATACACTGTCTCTGATTGTACCGCCGAAGGTCTCAAGGCTGTCTTGCTTTTGCAAGGAAAGCTAGAGTAAGAAAAGCATTTCTGAGCATCTTTGAAAGGATCGACTGTCACTGTATAGTATTTATGTATATTGATGCTTTCATCTCCATCATTACTAATCCGAAATTTACTATATATATAAAAAAAAAAAAAAAAAAAAAAAGCTATACCGAAGAACGCATTCCTCTCGAGAGATTGAAGCAAGCAGTCGATATTGTACTGGATATGCAAAACAAGAGTGGTGGATTTGCTTCCTATGAATCTGTCCGTGGCCCTGCTTGGCTTGAGTGGATCAACCCTGCAGAAGTCTTTGGCAACATCATGATTGAGTACTGCTACCCAGAGTGTTCCACCGCCTGTGTCCTCGGTCTCACCTACTTCCGTGAACAGCATCCGGATTACCGCCGCGACGAAATTGAGTACGTTACGAGTGAGCTGGTTGTAAAAAAAAAAAAAAAAAAAAAATACTCAATCATCTTTCTTTCCTTTTGAATTTAGTGCTACCATTACACGCGCAGTCAAGTACATCCACAGTGTCCAAAGGGAAGACGGTTCCTGGTACGGTTCCTGGGCTATTTGCTTTACCTACGCTACAATGTTTGCATGTGAATCTCTAAGCAGTGTGGGGCTTTCATACGACAACAGTGAGGCTCTCCGCAAGGCCTGCCAATTCCTGCTGTCAAAGCAACGTGAGGATGGTGGCTGGGGAGAGTCCTACAAGTCATGCGAACAACATCGCTACGTCGAACATGAGAATTCTCAAGTGGTTCAGACCGCTTGGGCTCTCATGGCCCTGATGGCTGCCAAATGCCCAGATCACACCGCTATTGAGCGTGGTATCAAACTGATCATGGGTCGCCAACAAAAGGATGGGCAGTGGAAACAAGAGGCCATTGAGGGGATCTTTAACCATTCTTGCTCCATCTCTTATCCAAACTATAAGCACATCTTCACCATTTGGGCTTTGGGTCGATATGCTAACATGTATGAGAGGAAGACAAAGCAAAACTAAATAATACAGTCGACAAATAGTCTATCTATCAATACCAATATCAATTTCAATAATCACAATTGCCGTGAATGCTTTGTTTGTTTTGTTTACTTGTTCTTTGTTTCTGTCAAATCTGTGAAGGCAAAAGTACATTATGAGTAAAAAATAAAGGCGTGAGAATATATGTGAGAAAGTGCATAAATGTGAGGTTTAGTAAATGGAGTTGTGCATAAGTGTGAACTGTACAGCCGCTGCGATTTCTTTTTCTTTTCTTTTCTTTTTTTTTTTACGGCTCGTGCGTTGGATCTCTTGAGCCTGCAGCCTCGCCCATAACACTTATATGATGTTACTGTTGAATATGATGGGATGTATAACCGGCACCAGCGCCACGAAATCCATTAGAGAGTCGGTCATTTTCCATCACCAGACCAGTCGAGTTACTATTAGCGCTGCCACTGCTATTGTTTGAAGAAGCATCACTAGAGAGACTACCATGCCTTAATGGTGGTAGGTGGCTCACCGATTTTCGGCCTGATCCAACCGTCAACCCAAGGCTCCCATTGGCTCCGTTACTGGGAAAGTGACCATATTGATGTTGCTGTTGCTGTTGTTGCTGTTGTAAATGACTAGACGGCCCATTGGGCGGTCCGATGGGTAGTAATGGGCTATGGAGTCCACCCGCTCCTCCGCTTCCGTTATGTAGGCTACCTCCTAAGACTGGTGGCGGCGAGTGTGCGCGTGAGGTAGAAGACATTAATCCAATGTTTGACGAGCTTCCATTCCCGCTACTGTTCACAACGGTTCCACCAGGGCCATTCATGTGAGGTGGTCTCATGAAATTGGTACGACTCCAAGTATTAGATCCATTTAAAGGGGGCGGGCTCAAGCCTAACTGCTGTGGCTGTAAATCCTGCAGATTAGGGTGCATAAACTGCTGCTGCATAAAGAGCTGCTGCTGATGTTGCAAGTGCTGTTGTTGATTGTGTGGCGATGTTGGAATGTGCATAGAATAAGGGGGCATGAAGTGAGAAGCATTAGGCAATGATCCATGGCTCTGCAGTTGATGTCCGAAAGACGAAAAGTCTGATGCTAAGAAAGGATCTGGAGTGTCGTTAAAGAAAAGTCATTTTTGAAAATGTTAATAAAATATGACAAAGCAAAGTCAAGTAAGCCTGCTGTAAAACAAACGTCTCATACCATGGCCGTTCATCCGGCTTCCAAAGAACGAATTGCTAAAAAATGAACTCTCACGCTGGTTACGATCGCTTGAACTGAGTGTTTGTATAGATCCATTCTCGTTGCCAAAGGCATGTAAACTGGGATGATCAGCCCCATCACCCGTTGGCCGTAGTGCATCCTTACCAAGAGCAATCCCATCCAAGTCCAGAGCTGATCCTCCTGCAAGATTCAAAGACGGTGATCTAGGCCTCCGGTCAAGCTCAGAACCGATTGTTAATCCTGAAAGTCCGAGCGAGATACCATCAAAGCTACTGGACATGTGGGAATGAGTTTGGCTGTCCTTTGGTCTACCGATGGGGACCGGACGCTGAATAGGTTTAATCACATCGCCTGATGATGTCCCATAAGGTGTGGATGTCCTTCGGGTATGTCCGATAGGTGATATAGGGCCAAAAGAACCGATAGGGGTCCCAATGGCTCCCAAGGCTGGTGGGCTGTGTAATGGCGACCCATTGCTGTTTGTTAACTCATGGCTTCCTGGCGCAGAATTGGGGTTCATCAAGGTAAGCAGCTGCTTTGAAGGAACATTGATCTGACCGAACCCAATTGAATTTAATCCTGGTGAACGAAGTCCGCCCATCTGCTGAGGAAGTTGATTAGACGAAAGATGGTGTTGAGGCTCGCTTTGGAATGTTGAAGCATTCTGATGCGATGCTCCCATATACCCACCGCGACCAGTAGTATAACCCATACGAGATGAGAAGGGATCGAGGTCGCCGCTAATGGGACCAAAGTGCCCCGGAGGTCTAAAGAGGCCTTGTTGCATAGTTGATGCAAACATTGGTTGGAGCTGAGGCTGGGAAATACTTTGCGCTGAATATGGGTTGGACCATAGACTATTTGCAAGCGACGTTGAAGGGCCTTGTGCAGGTTGAGACTGGTTGATCAAAGATTCTTCAGCATGGAGTGGTGAGGTTGATAAGGGCATAGTGGGCGACCGACTTTGTGACCCATGCGTGACACTGGCAATACCTGATCTCGAAACGGTAGTTCCATCACGATTTAATGATATTGATGTTGTAATGCTCTCAGGGGCGAGATCATGCGAGCTATTTTCCAACACTGCGGCAACTATCTCTTCCGTTACAGCTACTTCCTTTCCTGCAGCTGCAGCAGAAGCAGTCTCCCACTCCAATTTTTCGAGGTCTTCTTTGACTTTTTGCTCCTTCTGGCGTAACTCCTGTTGTCGTTTCTGTTCTTCAGCGAGCTGCTGCTTCAGATAGACCTCTTGCTCCAATCGCTTAGCTTCCTTAACCGCCTCTTCTGCTACCTTCTGTGCTTCGAGCTCTGCCTTCCGTACTAGTTCTTCCTGCTCTTTAGCATGCTGTTCTTCCTTGCGCTTACGCTCTTTCTCAATCTCACGTGCCTTCTCTTCCTTGATCTTGCGTTTCCGTTCTTCCTCCTTCTTCAGCCGCTCTTCCTCGCGTAACCTCTTTTCCTCTTCTTTAGCACGCCGCTCTTCTTCTCGTCGCTTTCGGTCTGCTTCTAGTTTTCGCTCCCGTTCTTCTAGTAATCGCTTTTCTTCAGCTAAGCGCAGGGCTTCTTTAGCGGCTCTTTCTTCTTCCTTTTGCTGTCGTTGCAACCTGAAAGGATTTCAAATAACCATTAGTACATGGAAATAGTGTTTTATCCCTACACAATATAGTTAGAACAAGCTACAAAGGAAAATAAATAACACACCTCTTCTTGTCGCGCTTCCGCTCTTTTTCTCGTTCTTTCCGCTCTTCACGGAGTTGTTCCTGCCGTGACTCCTCTTCTAACTCAGCCAGGAGGCGTTCTTGCCTTTCCTGAGCCACTTTTTCGCGGTATGCGCTCAGGACCCGTTGCTCAAACATCCGTGCGGCGAATGCTTGAAACATACGGCGTCCTTCCTCCATACGCTGCTCTTTTGTCAAGGCATCCTATAGCAAAAAAAAAAAAAAAAAAAAAAAAAAGCTTTGTTCAGGAAACAAAAAAAAAAAAATCTCTGTTGTTTTGTTGCTTCTAGTGTTTACCTCTTCGACACCATCATCCTCGAAATCGCCGTCCTCATCGTCGTCAAATTCCTCGTAAACTCCTCGATTATCCATCAGCTCATCATCGCGTTGGACTTTCCGATCTGCCAATCTATCCATCATCTCTAAAAACTTTTTGCCGTCGTTTTCGAGTAGGTCCTCAGCAACGGTAAGGATGTTGCCTAATCAGTTGCGAATATTTTTTTTTGTTCAGTGAGCTACAAATGCCTAAAGGACCAATATTCAGCTCATGTGGCCCGAATTATATCATGATCTGAGTTGCTGTTGAATGAAGGCAAAAGAGAGTACCTTTGGCCTGAAGGGTATTTGGAAAGCCACTCCGGTAAGAAAAGGGCGCTTTACGAGTACTGACTTCGTCTTCGTAATCTTCCTCTTCTTCCTCATCTTCATATCCATCTTCATCATCCTCATCATCCTCTTCTTCGTCTTCTTCTTCTTCGTCTGAGCCTCTAGATTCATCGGAGAGATCATCATCTTCAAATACAGGCGAGTGCTGAGCATATGTGAGAGCATGACCGTCTGATGGCTGTTGTTGATTGGCATATTGCTCCAGTTCGTCGTAATAAGCATCATAAAGCAGCTCCAACTCCTCCTCTATAGCCGTCCTATCGTAGTAAATAAGCGATAGCTCCTATAGTTAAAAGCCGGGTATTGGAATTGTGTCACCTGCGAATGTGAATATAAAAAAAAAGTTAGAAATATTCAGTCAGGCCTACCGTTTACGACCACACAGGGAGCAGGAACAAGAGTGCCGTTGTTGTTCCTTCATTTTTTTCAGAACAGCTTCTTTTTCAACACGGACAAGAGATCGACGTTCTTCCTCTCGTAGCTGGAACCAAAACTCTCTGATCCGCTGACGTTCCTCTGCGTCCGAATAATGCCAAAAGCCATCGTTTTGAGTATGACCGCCATCATGTACATGCTTGGTTGTTGAACGCTCATGGCCATTTCTGTGGGAAGTTGGGACCATGGACTTTGAATTAGAGCCATTGTTCCCATGACTATTGTGGCTATGTTGAATGTTGATTGATGGCATCGTCCCAGTTGAAGATTTTTTTCTCTTCTTTTTCTTCTTTTTAGCTGAACTTGACTCAGCAGAATTGCTAATCGTAGTTCCTTGCCTTAGTGGTGCCGACATTGATGATACTGAATGACTATGGCCTTCTGTGCTGTCTAGACACGCTGAGGATGCAAGAGCGGGGGTCTCGGGATCATAAGCATCTTCGTCCGAGTAGAAGTCCTCGTCCTCGTCATCTTCTTCTTCGTGGTGATGATGGTGGCCCGAATTATGATGATGCCGATGTCCATGTTCATGTTGGCAACCAAGATGATGCGCTTGGCGATGCATCACTCTCGTAGTAGCAGAATTGATGACGTCCTTACTTGCTTTGCTATTTGTCTCCTCGATTCTATCTAGTAGCTTCTTCTTTGACTTTTTCTTCTTCTTCTTTTTGTGTGAAGAACTTGTGCTGGTAGAAGTCGTTAAGCCGCCTTGGTCATTGCTACCACTGCTTGCAGATCCTCGGACGTCATTGATTGCGCCTGTAGAACCATCAACAGTGGATGCAGTCCCGATTGTGGTAGAGTTCGTAGGAGTTGGAGAGGCTATAGAATGGTCATGAGGCGCTGGCGCGAAATGCTTTGTCATGTCAATGTTAAGGCTCCTCTTTCTGCCATCTCTGCTGTAAATGACAGCGGATTTAGGTGGAGGTAATGCGTCCTCGGGAGCAAAAGTGTGAGCTGCCATCGAGGTATACAAATACGTGTCAATGAATACGTCGGTAAGGGTTGAGTACTGAACCAGGCTACAATCGGTTGGAATATGAGTATAAATGTGAATGAGTATTGAGAAGGAAATTAATTCACCAAACGGCCTCCTGAAATATCGGTGCTGGTGCAGGTGAGTTTGGATAGGGGGAAAGAAATTGATGAGTTCCCGCTGCTTGGGTTATATAGAGCTACGTTCCGTTTAATGAATGAATGACACGATATGGCTGTTTGAGGTGGAATAAGCAGTGGTAGTTAGTGAAGCATAATATGGTTTATATTTGAAAAGCCAAATGAAAAATAAGCAACATCGTTGTGCCTCACAGGTCAGTCAGAAATTTAATCGTAAAGTCCATCGAATGCTGCAAACCAAATCACTACATCACTCTCATTCTCATTTTCTCATTCTTTCTTCCTCTCTTTTCGGACTTCCACCCATTCAGCTGTTTGGTTTTCTTGAATATTATTGACTTTCTTCACCAACATCTCATTATTTCATAAGCATATACGTATAAGAGACATAATAGAAGAGAGCAAGGGAGAAAGAGGAACATACACACTCTGTTTTGGACTATGACAGAAAATGAGAAAGAATCATACCCGATGAATGTTTTTTTTTTTTTTTTTTTTTTTTTTGGCGGCAATGGAGAGGGTAAAAAGAACAAGAGAGAGACAAAGTCTTTCCTTGCAGGTCGTCTGGAGAAAGATTGAAATCAGGAAATAAATAAATTACGTATATCTCACAAAATTGCAAGGATATAACATACCCTCCATAACACCAAGCTCATTCATCATGAAAAGGTTTTTTTAAGATATCTTTTTTTCTCTTTATTGTTAATAGGGTGTGGGATTTTAGAATTCATAAAAGACCCTCACTACTGTTTTATAACAATGGGAGAGAAAAAAGCTTGACAGTAAGAATATGTTGGGAGGGAATAAGATAGTGATGCGTCCTGCGGGAACGGAAGCATTCAATGAGGCAATTTACAGTCATTTCTTTTATTTCTTGTCGCCATTCTTCTTGAGCTCTGCGATCTCCTTCTCCTTTTGAGCAAGCTGCTCTTTGAGCTTCTTGATCTGCTCAGCCTCCTATAGATCATCATGCAAAAAAAAAGTGATAAGAGTTAAAATAGTTGCCATACACAAATGACACGAAAACACGAACGTGATGCTCAATGATGTGTTCATGCTGTATTGTATGGATATGTTGTCAGAATTGCAGGCTAAAGTAGCCATAATGAACATGAATGAATGAATCTTCAGATCCTTCTTGGTAATTCTTTTTTTTTTTTTCTCACCTTCTGACGGATGTACTGGTTCTCCTCTGCTCTCTCCTTGTCACTGAAGGTGTTGCTGTACATACGACGAGCAACAGTAGAGACTTGGACAGGCTTGAAGACACGGACAGCGGTGGTGGTAGTGGTACGCAACATGATGAATTGATTTCTGGATTAAGAAAAAGAAAAAAGTGAAAAAGAAGAATCAACAAACTCTGCTCTTCATATTTCGGGATTGCCGTTGCGCGTATCAACCACATGCTCCTCGACGTGACTGTGTGAAAGTGCTGATTCTAAATTAGTCCAGCAGGTTTGCTGACATGTACTTGTTTCGATGGCTCGAATACAAATATTTCCTTGTGGCTACTTGGCTCCTCCGCTTGGCGTTTGGCGTGCATACCCCAAGGATACTCTCCATTGTCGCCTATCAACTGAGAATAAAGAGGTCGTGGCTGATAACGTAGATGGCCAACCATCACATCTCTGTGTACTAACCCCTTGTTTGGAACAATAAAGCTGGCGAATAACAACTTGTCTTATAAACTGGTAGTGTAAGCGCTCCTTGGAAATATTATTCGTTCACGGCGGCAACGGTAAATCCAAGGGACCTAATCTGAAAGAGGCACGAAGATCACCCGGCAGCGTTAAATTGATAAAAAATACTTACAATGGAAGAAAACTTTCCAGGTCTAAAGCAATCACAACCTTTTTGCTCTAATTGGATCATCAGCCATCTGGAATATATGGTTAGTAATCTGTATGTATCCTTCAACTCACTCCCCCTTCGCGTCCTACCGATGTCTTTTGTTGGTTCTTTCCTTGTAAAAGGAGCCGAGATGTGTCTACACTTCCGCGAGCTTGTCGATGCAATCATTGCTGCTTAATAGAGGAGGTATGCTGTTTTTTTTTTTTTTTTTTTTTTTTTTTTTTCATCCAGTAACTGTGCTTAAATGTGAGATGATACACCTTCTTTTGTTTGTTAGTCATATTGTAGAAGTTAGGCACCACTGGGGCCCCTACTACTTGGTAACAGAGCATTGCTATCAACCATATATTCTTCTGCTGGGCCAAGGCCTAGAACTCGACCTCTTCTGGCTAGTGTCCCCATAGACCAAGAATAGCTTGATTGATTTCGGCTGCGTCTCTAGCTTCGGTCAAATAGTAGCCTGTATCACTAACCGTGGAGGTGGTGAAAGCAAGTAGTTTTCCCTCAGGCAATTGTTGGCACCTCGCCGCATCCAACTTGCTCCTTTTGAATGCCAGTAACTAGAGTAGGAACTATTGTCTAAACCAGGCCTTGCAAGGCATAGTCGCTGCTCATGTAAGAGCTTGATTCGAAGCTATCATTCTAAGTGACTTGAGCATGACCGCTCGTTCCTGACAGAGACATCATGAAAGGCTTGGTTTCGAGTGTTTTGAATCTTCGGCGCCGATTTGTGTTATAGTCTCCAATATCAGTGACCATCTGCTTATAAGAAAGGCTTCTTGTTAGGCATGAGGTCATTCTGTGAGAGAAAGGCAGGCATAGTACTAGTAAATTCGTCTTTGGCATGGCTTCGGACAGGCCTATGGGTTTCTCAAATGAAAAGCGTAGCAAGCCTCCGAGAAATTCCCAGCACTTTCCTCATGCGGATAAAATTTTCGTTTGTCAGGGCTATACGGCCAACATTCGATTCACAATGTTATGGGAGAAGCAATGCTATTTACGTCTGATTATCGAACCATTGATCGAGATATAAATTTTTTTTTCCCCAAACAAGTGTTATTGTCACGGTCTTCAGCCTTTGGGCTGTCTGTTAGGGCCCTTTGGCCTATCTGAATAAAAACATGCTTAGTTGCTGGTGCCCTCAGAAATTTTCTAAAAACTGACGCGTTTGAAACGCGTCTTTTATTTTTTATCTGCAAGCCTTGGTTATTTGACACGTCCTGAAGGATTAAAAGCACAATTTCTATTAAAGACGTTATACGAAGAATACCTCTAGATGATACAGGATCTGGATACCCACTGTAGCCGGCAATCTGATCCTCACCAAACCAGACGCTCTGGCAGGGGATTATGAGACTAATATCGGATTGACACCAATATCTTGTCGACCTCTGAGGTGCCAATGGTAGTGAGCAGATTGGAGCAATGCACACGTACAACATCCATTTTATATGGATTTGCCTGTACGTGAAGTGGTATCTTTCCCGGTCTGTGTTTATTTACTTTTTTTATTCACTCCGCTACAACTACGTCTTACATTGTGATATCCGTCTCCCATCCATTCCTCTTTTTCTTTTCTTTTATTGAATCTCATCTAAACCTCCATTATCCCGCTGTCCTCTCCACTCTGCTCCCATTCACTAGCCATGCTCGCCTCTCTGAGAACCACGGCCTCCGCCGTTAAAGGCAAGTCAGCCGCGTTCGACTCCACTTTATTTTTTTATTTAATTTTTTCTGCTGTCGTTCATTGCATCACTTGGGACATTCGCGTGGAACCTTGAAATGCGCTTCAGGTCTATGACATCACTCTTATGGACGGAGAGCAATAATTAACAGAATGAAAAGAGAGGAAGGAAGGAGTAAGCAATGCATGAATCTTTACATGCTTCTTTTCCGTAACTTGATTTACATTTGAGTGGACATGGACAATCTGGAGAAGCAATTAAATTCCTCTTCAAAGAAGTAAACATATGTCTCATTGCGTCTTAGACCTGGGCCGCAATGTCAAGACGGCTCAGGATAAAAAGAGACACGTCCTGGTCAGCAATAAGGACGCGATCTGGGTACAATGAGATATCTACACGGAACGTGGGAAAGAGATTAATTTAGCAGAGTCTCAAAGTATCTGTCCACTCAGGATCGCTTTTTGCCATCGCTGGGACAATAACGTGTCTCCTACGTATCCTATTTCTCTAGAAGAATCCCGACCTAGGGATGGATGTTGACTTTCAATCGCTAACTAACTAAAGTTTGCAACTTATCTATTAATCAATCTAGCTGCCCAGCGTATGTTCAGCAGTTCTGCCAAGGCTGCTGCCAATTACGACAGTACTGTTAAGAACATGTTGATCAACAAGCAGACCAAGGTTGTTTGCCAAGGATTCACTGGCAAGCAGGTAAATATTGCGCTTGATCGTCCAATTCACTCTTCTTAACGCCTCTTAGAAAAGGAAGATAGCCCAAGAAGTTTTAAAAAAAAAAAAAAAAAAAAAAAAAAGTGTGGTGCTATGTCTCTCGTTTGATCACGAACTTCAGGTATCGATTGAAGTCATCTCCAATGGAAAAACACCAGGATGGCATTTTATGAGATACTATTGAACCATTGTCACCGGCGGAATATTTGATGGGAAAATATTTTTGCCTACTACCCGTTTTGTCATTAGGATTCAAGATCCTTTTATTTTTTTTTCCAACTAGTTATCGCACTTTATTTTGACTTGACTAAAAGTACAGCTGCGGTTTACCTCGAAAAAAAGCATGTTGTACTTACCAAACTACATTGACTATACTTATTAGGGTACTTTCCATTCCAAGCAGGCCATTGAGTACGGGACCAATATGGTTGGAGGCGTCTCCCCCAAGAAGGGTGGCCAGACTCACTTGGGACTCCCTGTCTTCAATACCGTCGCTGATATTGCTAGGGAACTCAAGCCTGATGCTTCAGTCATCTACGTTCCTCCTCCCATGGCTGCCGGCGCCATCATGGAAGCTATTGAGGCTGAGATTCCTTTGGTTGTTGCCATTACCGAAGGTATTCCTCAACAGGACATGGTTCGCGTAAGTGAAAACCCCCCCCCCCCTATATCACTAGCAAGCTGTGTTACGACTGTTACACTTCCCTCACCCGTCCATGTTTTTCGATTGTTGATAATTTACTATGATACAGGTTGTCAGAGCTTTAAAGACTCAGGACAAGACCCGCCTCATCGGACCCAACTGCCCTGGTATCATTGCCCCCGATGCCTGCAAGATCGGTATTATGCCCGGCCACATTCACAAGGTTGGAAAGATCGGTATTGTCTCTCGTTCCGGTACTCTTACCTATGAGGCTGTCAATCAGACTACCGAGGTTGGCCTTGGTCAGTCTCTTTGTGTTGGTATTGGCGGTGATCCTTTCAACGGAACCAACTTCATTGACTGCTTGACCTTGTTCTTGGAGGACCCTAACACTGAGGGTATCATCATGATCGGTGAAATTGGAGGCAGCGCCGAGGAGGAGGCTGCCGAGTTCCTGAAGAAGTACAACTTGACCCGTGAAAAGCCCAAGCCTGTTGTCTCCTTCATTGCTGGCCGCACTGCCCCTCCTGGTCGCCGCATGGGCCATGCTGGTGCCATCATTGCAGGAGGCAAGGGAGGTGCCGATGACAAGATCAAGGCCTTGGAAAGCGCCGGTGTCGTGGTCTCGCAAAGCCCTGCTAAGCTGGGAGTTCTCATGCGTGCACAAATGGAGAAGGCTGGATTGGTCTAAATTACGAACCTGTTCAATAGCAACAACAATACTGCTAATACTGCTCCTCCGTTTTGATCATAATACTTCTTCCTCGCGACTATTTGAATCCTTTCATCAAGTTCAAATCATCCTCCATGCCCCAATAAAATGATATCTGTTTTTATCCCATGTTAAGAGTTTGTGCATTGACTCAATGTAACAAAATACAAATTTTTGATCATTGCTTGAGAAATTTTCTTCTCATTTTGTTGACTTCACCAACCCTTGATTCAGAAGCCTTGGTAGAGGAAAAAGGCTAATCTTCAACAAAGCAACTTTTATAAGCTACCATAAAGAAGAACACAATAGCAACAGCCTAATGGCGACACCGGCGCTATTTTTCAATGCGCTTTCAATAGTCCTGGGTTCATTCCAATATGGTCATCATATTGGTGAACTCAATTCACCTCAGAAGGTCATCACAACCTGTCCAGAACCACTGTATCCTGATCCGTCAACGCTAGGGGACCACTTGAACGAATGGATTGAAACAGATGGCTCATTACCGTCATGTATTCCCATGACAAACGCAGAATGGTCTGTGTTGGTAGCAACATTGACCCTGGGTGGACTTTTTGGAGCCTTGTTTGTAGGGTCACGACTGGCAGACCGATGGGGTCGAAGGACCGCGCTGATGCTCAACAATGTATCCTTATTGTTGGGATCCTTGATCATGGGTTGTGCCTCAGCTTACACCACCATGTTAGTAGGCCGGTTTCTGATTGGTATAGGATGCGGAAACGTGACAGTGATTGTGCCCATGTACCTTGCTGAGGTCTCGCCACCAGAGCTACGTGGATCCTTGGGTAGGCTTCAGTTCCGTACCTGCGTTTTTTTTTTTTTTTTTTTTTTTTTTTCCTTTCATAGTATCATTATTATTTTTTTCCATGTCAATCAGTAGGTAGCATCTAAGCAGCATCTCGTTTTTTTTTCCTCTCTTATGAAAACTAATAGGAGTAACGAATCAACTGGGCATTGTCGTGGGCATTTTATTCTCACAAGCTCTAGGGCTCTTTCTGTCCACACCCACAGGATGGCGAGTGATTTTACTCGCAGGTGCAGTCATATCGTTCCTTCAGGTACTTCTGCTTCCTTTTTGTGTAGAATCACCCCGATACCTGGCACTTCAACCTGGTGGAGCAATGAAGGCTAAGCGCGCACTTCAAATTTTACGTGGACGGCAAGATGTGGCCAAGGAGATCCGGGACTGGACTCGTCAAGATGATCGCGCTGCTGAGGCTGAAGAGGAAGGCCTGAACGATCCAAGCGACTCGCTCTTGGCTGACGGTGCAGGAGGAAGCACTACGGCAGACGAAGGTCAGCCTCTGCAGCCAGCAAAGGCATACAGCCATTCTGGAAGAGCCATTTCTGTAATCGAGTTTGTATCGATACCTCGGTACCGTCGACCGGCTATTATCCTGTTGTTAGTCCAGCTTTCACAGCAGTTGTCGGGTATCAATGGAGTAGTTTTTTATTCAACTGCCATCATGTCACAAATCTTACCCTCGTCCAGTGCCATGATCACAGTGTACATTTCGATTGTAAACGTGATCATGACGCTAGTAGCAGCTTATCTTATGGATAGAGCAAACCGACGTACATTGCTTTTGACGTCTGGTACTGCTATGGCAGTGGCCTCATTTCTTTTGGCACTCTCGCTTAATTACCAGATTCCGGTACTTTCTGCTATCTCTATTATTGCGTTTGTGGCGTCATTCGCGATTGGTCTAGGTCCAATCCCTTTCCTGATTATTCCAGAAGTGGTGGATACGGTCGCGGTGGCAAGTGCCTCTGCATTTGCATTGTCGGTCAACTTTGTGAGCAACTTTATAGTAGCGGCTATGTTTTTGAAATTACAAGAGTGGTGGGGCGGAAATGTGTTTTATTTCTTCTTTCTGTTACTGGTGATTCTGACCATGGCCATGAACAAGATCATCCCCGAGACTAAGGGCAAGACTGTGGAGGAAGTAGCGCGTTCTTGGCAACCATCACGTATCCATTAGTTTGTCAGTGTATCATAGACTTGATGAAGGAGAGAGAAGTAAATAGCTTTGAATAAAAGATACCATCATTTTGACACCATGGCTTTGGTATTTTTTCTTCTTGAGTCCAACTGATGTTGTGTTGCTCTCAGTGCTCATTGCACTCTCTAAATGAGCTCCTGTCCCCCTTTCCTTTCGTGAATACAGGGCTGAAGAGCCTAAATCGCCCGATTCTTTCATATCACGATCGTAATGAAAATCACCCCCACAAAAAAAAAAAAAAAAAAAAAAAAGTGCTAGAGCCAGAGCTAGAGCCAGAGATAGAGTAATATTAAGAGCAAGAGCTAGAGAAGGCGTAGTCCATGCCAGTCTAGAAGGTTAAAAAACTGAAGTGACGATAGATGATGACAGGTCGTGCATAGTTGTGTCTGTCACACAAAAAAGCGAACAAGTTATGGAAGCCGACCATTTCAGGAAAGAAAAACGTGCATGCTTACTTGCGTTTACAATTGATGAATACAAGCCACAAACCATGTCTGCAGCCCTGAACTCGTGCATAAATATATAATATATTTGTACCATGGCAAAAAAGAAAACATCGCCATATTGTTAATAGATCTTTATACAGCTGTTTGCTCTTTGTTGTTTTAAGTAATACAAATATATCGTACATGTGCAGTACATGGACATGACCTGCGGTGACATGCAAAATAAACTAATAGCCTACCTGCTCAGAGTGTGAATATTCAGAAAACAAGTTTGTTCTTGTCAAGGATGGTTTCTTTGTGACCCACATGTTATTTTAATATAACCTTCGAATGGAATTTTCATTGTTATTCTGGTCTTGCGAAGTCAATCTTTTCTACTGTTAACGTGGCTGGCCTGCTTCTTTCTTATATTTTGAGCTAGACAAATGAGAGGATGAGAAAGTGAGAGAGAGAAAGCAAATGGAACTTCCTGTTTTTTTTAAAATGTGGCATTGGGTATACACAAGCAATTGGCCGTTTTTTCCTACTTTTTATTTGTTTATTATTATTATTTCATTATTTTGTATTACTATTGCGGCAACCGTTATTACTCTGTGTTTGAAACAACGTTACTGTTCCTTAGAATGCTTGTCCCTGTTAGATTTCGTCGCATCACCGCTGTTGGTGTGTGCGCTTTTGGGCAGGGACCAGCCTAGTGCTCAGTGCGGTCAAATACATGTGTAGAGAAATATTTCTTAGTCTTAAAACGACGATTGAATTGAATTAGTACAGACTTTTTATATTTCGGCACCCGTGACGATCTTGCGACAAGAAGGCTAATTAGCTGCAAGGTTATATATACAAATATATCCGGTCATGGCGTTAGACAAAATGGAGCAATAACAGCAGATCGAGCACCATTGGAGAAGGAAAAAAGTTTTATTATTCAATTGATTTAGCATCGCCCGATGGGTACATGTAACTTTTTCTATTCATTTTACTATTTACTTGTATGGAGAAAAACAAATATTATATACTTCTCCACATGTACATGTCCATGTACAGACAGGACGACTGAATAGCTATTTAATAATGTTACGGAGGTGTGCCGCGAGGGTCCTAATCGGACTAGAGTTGTACCTGGTCGATGGTGCATGCTAAGCAACACACTCATTTACCCCTTTTTATCCCTTTTTTTCTTGCTTACTTGTTGCCGTCTTCGTTTCCATGGCTGACTAGAGTTGTTGATGTTGAGGCTGTGAAATAGGAGAGCACAGATCGAGCCATCATTAACTGCAATGGTCCTCGCAAATGAAAATGGGTGAGGTAAAGAGATGTAGCAAGGATACAATCACTTTGGAGATAAAGCCCTGTGCCGTTTTTTTTTTTTTTTTTTTGTCTTAGTTGCTCTCTTTGCTGTTATGTTTGCTCTTGCTCGCATGACTCCAACTAAAGCAAGGAATATGTCTTGTCTATATGAATAGCAATCTAGTCTCTCCAGTAACTCTTTGCTTTTTCATTTCTCTTTCTTTTATTTCCCTTTTTGCTTCTCCACTCTACTCTTTCCACTTTTCTCCTTCTTCTCCATTTCTCATTTCCCTTTATTTGTTCATTTCTTCTTTCTGTCTCATTCGTGTCTGTCCCTTTATTTTTATTTTTTCTGTGTCGCACCAAGTAGACATTAAATTGCTAAATTTCCCTGTCGAACGCGCCCCCCTCAACACGCCTTTCTCCACCCATTTTAAACGAGCTGCATCTATCCTATTTTACTTTTTTATAACATCCAACCATGTCTTTGCCCCCTCCTCCTCGCAGGATACCATCTGTATCATCAAACGCCACCACAAGGCGCCCAAAAGTTAATCCCAATTCCTTGGCCTTGACCACCCTGGATCAACATCAGGAGGTCGACGATCAAAATGTCGACAAAGCCCTGCTTGAACTCTTGTCAAATACATGTCTTGACCATGGGCAGGACCGAGATTATATTCGACAACACTTCTCCAACCATTATCACCATCCCCAATGTAAGTTCTATACGCGCCGACGCAGCATTACTAGTGACTCGAGTCTCGGCTCTGGTTCCGAGATCTATTCCACCTCCACAGGAGGCTCCCAAGAAAATCAAAGAACAAGTCAAGCAACCCATTCTCCTCTCTTCCCAGAGCTGAGTGCTGAGCCCATACCAGCTGCCTCCCCTTTACTTGCAACATCTCCCATGTATTTTAATAGTAGCAATAACAACCACAACGCAGTTTCATTTTCGACAGGGCCATGTCTGTCCTGCCAGTCATATTCTTGCCCTTCTATAATAGCTCAGGAGGAAAAGAAGGGCAAGGATGGAGTAGAAAAGACAGCGACCACACTGTTTTGTCCTAGGGGGAGTAGTGAGGTTGGTATGGAAGGGACAGCCCCGTTCTCATCCTCATGCAGTTACTGCTCCAGTCTAATTGCGAGAAGTAATAGTAGCACAAGCATGATGATGACGGATGACAGTCGCAGTACAAGTGATATGAGCGTGGTGAGTACTCTGCATGCACATGGCCTCCAACACTTATTATTCGATGACCAACGGCTAAAGCATCTCCGAACTCTTGTCCCGAGCGAAGTGCGACGACGGCTGAGTTTCCATCTGGATGAGTGCTGGTTTGTACACTTTTCACCTTCGGCTGAATATATGGCCTCTATTGGTCTCGATCATACAATCAATCTCTGGAAAGACTTGACGGTAAGTTAAAAAGCTCTCTTTCTTATTCTCTCTGTCTTGGCTCCCACCCCCTCTAAAAAAAATTTGGCCAGTGAACTAATGGAAGGGACATTTCGGGGTTGAGTACACAAATATGCATTGTATCCGCACATCCGCACATCCGTGGGAGACAAAGTGGTCGATCTTTATTTTCGCTTTTGTTTATATTTGTCTGGCACTAACATGCCGACTTGTCAACAATACATTATTTTTTCAAGTATACACATTTGTTGAGGGCATCCTTCCCTCCCTCGTCTTGGTTGATGTTTTTCAACTGAATGGAATAAAATAAAAATCTATGATTAGGTTGGGTAGTCAAAAGAGAGAAAGAATTAGATTAGGAAACACGAAGAAAAAATAATATTCGGGTTAAGAGAATGTCATGCCAAGGATTGCAACGAAAGAATTAAAATGCTGGTTGGATGGTTGATTGAACCTAGAAACTACACCTGTTTTTTTTTTCTTTCAATATTGCCACTATTCTAACGCCGCAATGTCCCTTCCATATCGACACCTAAATAATTTAGACTCCAGATCCAAGCGTGTACAAAACATTCAGCTTCCCTAGAACAGCGACACATGTGGAATGGTCTCCTGACAGTAAATACGTTCTCGCGAATTTTGGTAATGATATCTTTCGACCGGAGCTAATCCCAGAAGTGAATCTCATTGACGTTGAGGTAGGTCTGGGTCTACAAAATATGATAGAAGCTAGTTTAACTTTATTTTTAATTACCCAATACAAGTCTCCTTACCTTTTTATTTTTATATTCATTTGTGCGTACATACACTTGCATACAAACTTGCAGAACGGCGAAATCCTGATCAAAAGGAGTTATAAGAATGACTTTGGGTACGTTTGGGCAAACGCCATCGGCTGGTTCTCCGATTCTGAACGTTTTGTTACTGCCCTTGACGATGGTCTCTATTGCATCTGGGTAAAGATACATATATAATTCACAGCTGCTTCAAAACATGTGCGCACTTTATTTTTGTTCGTTTTCCTCGCAATGAATAAGCTGTATATTAAGCTTAAGAAATCTTTTTTTTTTTTTTTTTTTTTTTTTTCTTTATGAATATATTTAGAATGTGAATGGGGAAATGGTCAAAGAATATGCCATGGATAATGATCTTACTGCGAGACATATGAAAATGATTCCAGGAAGGGATGAGGCTGTCATCTTGACTAAGGCACATACTATAGAGATCATCTCATTTGAGGAGACTGTGATTGCGAGGTAAACTATGCACTCTATTTTTCTTTTAAATAAAAGATAGGGTAAACTGGATACTAACAGTAATCTATCAATTCAATGGATTGACTCTTTACAGGAGACTTGACAGCTCTATTTCGATCACTATGTCAATGACAATTTCTCCAGATGGGTCCTATATGGCGCTTGGGTCAAAGGTAAATGCTTATTTAAGATGGAGGCTAAAGAGGAAATTATTTTTAATGTGATGATATCACGTACCTAAGTATCACTTTATTTTTATTTTTATTTTTTATTTTTTAGACTGACAAGGAGCTTCTTCGCCCAGCACAGATTTTGCTTTATGATCTCAGATCCATGACATTCATGAGATCATTTGAGGCTGACTCATATATGAATCAGACATTTGTGATTATCCCAGCCTTTGTCGGACCTAACCAGGAACTTTTATGCGCAGGATCTGAGAATGGCAAGTTGCATTTCTGGGATATCGAGTCAGGAGAGCTTGTGGAAGTATTGGAGGAGCACATGATGCATGCAGGATGCGTGAGCGTCAATCCGAAGTATCCAGGCATGATTTCCTCCTGTAGCGATGATAATACCATCATTATGTACGATTTTTTTTTTTTTTTTTTTTTTAAATGTAAAATCTTGAAGTTAGCTCTTTTTTACTAATTCTTTTTTTCATTTTGCTGTCATGTTTATAGTTGGGCAACAAAGGAGCTGCAGCTCGAGTTTCGAGAGGATGATGAAAAGTGGATTCAGGAGCATTCAGCCATTGCCATGCCAGCCATTGAGATCAAGAAGGGATGGTAAAGCAAGCGCCTATCTTGAGAGCGTCCCTTCATGTCTTGCCGTCTTGCCATGAGCCTTTTTCTCTTTCTTTTTCTTTCTTTCTTTCTTTTCTTTCTTTTTTTTTTTTTTTTTTCAATGTACCATACTTTCTCTTCAGTGTACCATCATATATATATATACAATACTTGGGCTAGTTTATGCATTTAGACAGTCCAATAAAGACATTCGCATGTAGTTTAGATTTAAGCCAAAAACAGGTTTCGTGATGATGACTAAAAATGCATTGGTATTTATACACGTAAAATAAACAACGCGATTAAAGTTCAGGGAGTAAACTAATTTACAAAGAGACAACGCATCTATCTCTCCATATTTGTAAATGTTTGTGTGCTTACAAAATGTGCATAAACTGGCTATGCTTGAATTGGCTCAAAAGTCTCCAGGTCTTCAACTACCAATATCTTAAAGCTTGCTGCGAAAGGATTAACTTATATAAGTATATCCTATCTATTTTCTTTTAATAAATTGTTTCTATTTAATTAATAAGCAACACGTTTTGCGCAAGTATGGCTCTTTTTTTTCTTCCTGCACCCCCAAAGCCGAACGCCAGCTTCTGGACACAAGGCAAAAAGGCCGAAGCTAAGCGATACATGAGGACATTTCCCGTGTCAACTTGAATAAAACTTGACTGAAGTATCATCGGTGGATTGATGAAAAAACTAGGGGACATATTTAGACTTGGACCGATATGCAAGATAAACTTTTTTTATTTAAAAAAAAAAAAAATAGTTGATGCCCCTAGGACTCGCTAGAAGTTTGGCAATTACAAGTGAGACAACAGCAATCTATTTGGGTGTAGTATACAGAAATGGTGCTCATAGCAATAGAAGGAGATCCAATCTTCAAGAGGCAATAAGAGATAAAAAAAAAAGTCGTTTAGTCCGAGCTCAAAATAGCGTGCCGAAGATCATGTTTTGGTGTATAAATTAGGAAAAAGCTGAAAGCAAGGGGTTCGCTGCTCATTTGTGGTAAATGAGCCAAAAAACTCATACTTTTACTTTTTTCTGACCAACATTTTCAATAACATGCGATATTATATAAGTTGGGATATTGTTGGAGGCGCGTCGGCGGCCTCGCCATATAGCGTGACTATTTTTATTCTATCTCAGCCACAAAATTGACCCTTAATTGGATGGATTTGCACGTTCAATAAGTTCAATCCGTCTGCGCATTGTTTTGGAAATCCCTTTCACAATTTGCAAAATGGCTGCCCTCTACTCGGTCACCGTTAAGGACATCAACGCTCACGACTTCAACCGTGCTTACGCCGCTTATCTCAAGCGGTGAGTAGAAGAGAGGAAATCATAATGGAGGGGCCGAAAATAACTTTCTGAAAAGACTCAGTCGGATCAGTGACATTGGGATAGACGTTAGATCATGTGCCATGGAGTTATGCTGCATTTTTTTTTTTTTTAAATTTGAGATTCAACATTTCACAAAATTGAAACGAGGGTCAGGAATGAATCATCAATGAAACTATAATTCTCATGCCATCGCTGTCATCATTTTTTTTTTTTTTTTTTTTTCGGATCATTAGCTCTGGCAAGCTCGAGATCCCTAAGTGGGTTGATCTTGTTAAGACCGGCACCAACAAGGAGTTGGCCCCTTATGATCCTGATTGGTTCTACATCCGTGCGGGTAATGCATCTCAACCTTACCATCATTTTGAAACAGTGGATTAATACAGGAAAAAAAAGTCATTTTTACAATACACCGGACATCATCGAATCATTCAACATGTGTTAATTTACATTGGCAGAGCCCGAAAGCACTTTTCTCACTTACTGGATGACATTTGATTCCAACTGCAACCCACACTTCAGCTAACTCAGCATACTACTCAAATTTATAACCAGAAGAGTCAACAGTGCATTATCACCCATATCTGGAAACTTTAACAGATGTACCATCGACAACCGTATTTAGACTTTAGGTAGCAGTTTTTTAAAGCATCCTGTTGACTGCCATGTAGGCCTTACAATGACTGCAGGATATGTTTTTTGTTGAGCTGCTATCCAGTCAAGAAACTACAGGAGCTTTTTATTTCGGAGAAGACTACCACGGCTTCTTTTTTTTTTTTAATAACGACTATCATCGACATAGGATATGAATACAAAAAGAACTCAAAGTTATTTATCAACTCATCTCATGATCGATCATCTACCAACGAGACTAACAATCTCATGGTTTATTATTATTACTTTTATTCAGCCTCTGTCGCCCGCCACATTTACCTCCGTCGCAGCGTCGGTGTCGGTGCTCTTAAGAAGCTCCACGGTGGTACGGTTAACCGCGGTTCCCGCCCTTCTCACCATGTGAACTCCTCAGGTTCTATTGCTCGCAAGGTTCTCCAAGCCTTGGAAAAGATTAACGTTGTTGAGGCTGACGAGAACGGGTAATTTTTATTTTTGTATTATTCTGCTCTTGAACAGAATTAATAACAACAAGTAATCTTGGAAATGCTAATTTTTTTTTTTTTTTTTTTTTTTTTTCTGAATTAAATAGTGGCCGCAAGATCACCGTTGATGGCCAGCGTGATTTGGACCGCATTGCTGCTTCTGTTGCTCAGACTCAGGCTTAAATGTTGATTTATCCCACTATTCAACCTGAAATAAATCGTCGCATTTTGAATTTGATTGCGCATGTTTGATTGTTAAAAAAAGGAAAGCAAATGTCAATGTACTATGCTTTGACTAAAAGTATCTTGTTTAATTCATATAAATACCTTTCATCTACGTAAGCATATTTCCGCGTAGCTTTTCTACTCTCTGTGCTGCTCATAGAAGAGATGGCAGCTCAACAATGATGCTATTAAGCATTCCTGTTTTCCTTTTGTTACAGCGTTTGTATGAGAAAGCATACAAAAAAAACAAAAACAAAGACGAAATAGAGTGGTACCAAGTAATAAATTCAGCTTTCTTTTTATTTCATACTCCTTCTTGTTTTCTAAACATCTACACCAGCAAGATAAACAGCATTTATTTCCCATTTAAATGAAACCCTTTAGGATCTGCCTTTAACTTATATCATATCTTTAGATCGTAAGCTTTCACATGAAGAATATACAGGCGTAAAAAATAAAATAAAAAAAAGCCACGATTTAGTTCTTTGGAGCACAGCCACCAACCTCAGAAATACAAGTTGCTTTGCTACGCATAGGCACACAAAATGTCACTTTTTTTTTTGTTTCAGGCAAGTTCAGAAAACTGTCTCGCGCTAGCGGCCGTAGGGGTAATAGTATGTGGTGCCATGACATCCGTGACATTAACATGGAGTCGTCATAGAGGTCTGGTTAATGACTAGTATGATCCATCGTGGCGCTGCCGTGACACCTTTCGAAATCTTAGGGAATTGGCGATTGAATAAGGAAATATAGCCATATCAACAAGAGTGAGGATTATTCTTGATAATGCGGGAGAAGGCTGTGTAATTGAATATATAATGAACTAAGCTGCCTCCCTACCCGTTGTTGGAGACTACTTTGACGTTGAACGTTCCTAAAATAAGCCTCAACATATTGGAAAGTGTCAAACTATATGCGACTAAGGCATAATTAACAACGAACATAGTCAAAAAAAAAAAAAAAAAAAAAAAAAAAAAACATTGCAGGTCTTTGGAAGTGTTTTGAAGGAATCTGGTTCAAGCGCTGTCATCCCCCTATTTCCCTCGAAAATGCGACCAAAGGGAAACCAGCATTTTCTGCATCGCTTGAACAGTAGGGTTGAAATAGCACACAAAAAATCTCTAAACTAGATGTTCCTGAAGCTTAATCAGCTCTTCAGAGGATAAAATAACTAATGCTCCCATTTGGACAGGTAGTAATAAAAAAGGTGTTCAGGAGGAACTTCTCTAATGACTCCAAATCATCCAGGCCATGTTTGAAGGACGTTGAAATCGTCTACGTTGTTTAGAATTCCCTTAATGTCATCGTTTATATTGACTGAAGCCTCAAGTATCCATTCTGGCTCAGTTACACCTGATTACATGTCAAGAAGGCAATGCGACGTGAAGGGAGACAGTTGACCATCATTTAAGATAAATGAAACGATGAGTTCTCAGAAGTAATCTAATGGACAATTTCACTAGCCAAAAAAAAAAAAAAAAAAAAAAAAAAAGTATTGACCATTATTCTTGTAATGAGGATGAGGAGAGGCGAGTAGAAGGCATTCTAAATGGCTAGACAATGGAATGTTTACCTGTATCCACATTTTTACTCGATGTATGCATATTCTCAAGGGAAAAAGACGACAAATGTTGTCCATAATTAAGTATCAACTCATGAAGATATCTATAGAAAAGATTACGAACTATCAATATACATGCTTTTATTACCAACGAGAAATAAAGAACAAGTAGCAGTACTCAAGATTTAGACATATTTTAAAGGTTCGTTTTTTAAGATGCCAAGTTTATTATGAAAATGCGTAATGTGTTGTTATACAATAGGAAAATGCAAGTGGGGTATGTGAACTTGTACGTGCAGGAATATCTGGGACCTTGGTTCATTGGATATACTCTTGTAGGAATGATAAATTAAGCACAGGCGACTTGATCGGCTTTTTTACATTCTTGCCATAGCCAAAGCTTGCATATGACCCATACAACCCTTCTGAGAGAGCATTTCCAAGCCGGTATTGGGGGAGAGGAGATGGGCATTTGCCTTGTCGACAACCGCGGAGATATCAGAAGCATTGAGCTGAACCGAAGTACGAGGAGTTTGTGCAGGCGTGGTAGCAGCCGAGGTGGTCTTGTTCTTGTTGGACTTCTTGAAGAAAGGCATGATTGTTACAATGTATAGGCTGTAGTTGTAGTTATGAGTGTAGTTGCGGATTGATTGTTTTTGTTTTTTGTTCTGATGTGAGTGAGTGAGTGAAGGGAAGTGCATGGATCAACAGGGTATTTATATGTTTGTTTCTCTTGCTTGTTGTCATCGTGTCATTACATTAGCATTGGTGCTGAGTTTCAATCTCTGACCTGAACCGTGCGGGGTGTAGATTTTTCATATCCTTTTTAATGCAGCCGCAACTGCTTGTAGCCTATTCTATGCTCCGCTTAAAAAAAAAAACAAATAAAGACTCCGGCCATTCTTCTGTTTATGCGGCAATTTCACACGGTGTAAAAATAGCAAACAACAAATGAACAAGACGGACGAGGTTATGCTAAACACGTTGGTTGTTTTTGCATGAACGATCGCTTTTCTAACTGACTATGAAAGTGATCCTTGACCTTGTCTCTTTTAAACATCGGCTGTTTTCCTCCTGCTTTTTCAGAGTCAGCTCACTGAACATTGGTGAAATATTAGGCGATGTGGCGACTGCGTCGCAACATAATCCAAACTTTTATTTCACCCCAAGACTAGAATCTTTTACTTCTCCACACCTATGCTTTGATCATAATGCTTTCAATCCTTCTGTATGCTTCTTATAGTTTGTCCATTGTCCTATCATTTATAGAAGATTACTATTTGCATATTGACTTCAAGACCTGTCTATTGTCTTCATATTCAGAGCGACGCATAGTTTCTCTCTATACGCCCCCTGCACCGAGTCCATCCAAAGATTAGGAAATATTTAACGGAGCGATCATTTATGGGCAATCAAGGGGTTTTTTTTATTCTTTTGACTCCGAGACTTTGAAACAAATCTTTGATGGAACTCAACTGTCCTTAAACTCGTATTCAATCAATAGGCTAAAAAATTATTACGCTACAGTGACAGAGCAAAAAAAAATTCTTTACTCTCTAATTTCTATCGCCTTCTAAATTATATTTAAATGTGTTATACTACATCAGGTCCTCTTTTAGGAATATCCCGTCAAAGAATAGTGGGGAATCATTTTCAGGCGGAGATTCTCATAGAGGCGGGCTATTTGAAATTCATAATATATTTGTAAAAAAGCGCGTAGGTGCAAGCAGGGTAACTCCTCTTTTCTCAAGACAAGGTCGTGGGAGAATAAGCAGAGACGACTGGTCCATGGTTCTAAATCTGGCGATCTACAAAATGCGTAGATAAATAGGGTTGGTCGCAGTTTGATTGAGATTTTGCACGGCATTGATTCGTCTCTCATAATTTGAGGATAAGTACGTATATACAATAGTGACTATGCTCCTCTTGAACAATGTACAAACGGTATGCAATTGTCCACAAAAGAAAGCCTAGAAGAAAGAAAGATGTTTTGCTGCTAAGGATCGCATACCTCAAAATAACTTCCCAACAAGCGTATGTATAAAGAACGGGATGAAGAAAATTTTCTTTTAAATACTTATTCGGGGACTATGGATTGAAGTTTGGAAGAGTAAAGACAAAATCATCATATTTAGACTTGTTCCTCCAGTAGCATGAAAATGTATTACTCATATTTCAAGATTATTACACCCATATACTCGCATTTGATAGAGCTCATTATTGTTCTGCTGTATCTTTTGATGAAATTAGCAAATATTTCATAGTCTCTCTCATGAACCTTCTCCTTTGCTTCAAACAGAGACAAAATCCATATTTAATGCATAAGATATTAAAATTTCGACGGGCAAACAACCTGGCTACTCATCACATATAACAGAATAACATTTCCAATAAGTTCAACAAGAGCGGGTCTATTTCGACTGTTCCTACCCTACTTAGATCCTCCATTAATTAATTGATGAACCTCGTCCTAACTATGCTGGTAATACCAAACAACAGCAGTAGAAGCAGGTTCAGGAAATCGAGATGTTCTATAATCTTATTTCCAAGATCATTGCTGGACTTTAAATGAGTTCTCATTCTCAAAGTTAACATAAAAAATGACTACACTTTACAGTTATCTATAGGCATTTTTACGGTACATGTGCATAGGTTTATTCTACCAACTTCCTTGCTCTGTATGTTTAAGTTATGGTAATCATGCATAGCTTGGCAAAAGATTAATACCGCAGTAGATATTATTATTGCTGTGGGACGCGCAAAATATTGTTCCAAATAAGGACACGACCCTCACGATTTTAAAAAAAAAGTTTGGCGGGTGGAGATCCAGTCCAAAAAAAAAAATTACAAACATAATTTCTTAAGTGCTTTAATTGTTATGCGATCTATGAATGGAAATGAACCGCACGCAGTACAAATCTACAGCAGTTGGACCGGCAGGGTATTAAGAACCATTGCTTCTAAAAAAAGTGTAACTTGAAATAGTCCAGCAAATGAAAAACATCTTTCTTTTTTTTTTTTTTTTTTTTTTTTTTTTTAGCACTATCAAGACAATACTCACGAACCATCAAGAAGCCGAACAACAACAGCCATGCATTTCTTCAAGTCGTCCACCTCTGCCTCCAAGAAGAACCAGACCTCATCTGCTACTACTACGCCTGCACAGACTCCCCGCAACTCGGTGCACGAGACCCGCTCAAGAATGATGACCCAAGACGAGGCCCTCGAGATGATTCTCTCCAAGAGCATGGCCAATGCCGCTTCCGGCCCCTTTGTTCGTTAAACCATTCTGAAGCAAATCTTCCCTGAAAGGGGATGCTTTAACACAAAAAAAATCCCTTCCCTTTCTATATCCTCTCACAAAAGCATCTAAAAAATATATATATAAATATTTTATTGTACCATAATTTTCGCATTTTTGCATAGTAATAAAAAGTCAAAAAAATTGAAAAGAAACGTTAACTTTGTTACGAGGCCCTAGGTATTCATGTAGATATGGTTGCTTTGAGTAGTTTGTAGCATCCTGGAAGTCTCCAAACACACTATTATCCTCGTTATTTGGCTACGAGCATCTACAAGTTATAATGACAAAATTAACCTGCCAGCCCAGCAAAGGACCTTAGACTCTAGATTCATAAAATTAATACAATACGATACTTTTCCCAGGGTCAATTGATTAGGAGATTAGGATTGGGATATGTCTGGACCAGATAATGAGAACAACATTTTTATTTTATATAAATATTTTTATTCTTTTTGACGAGTTTTTTTTTTTTTTTTTTTTTTTTTTCTTTTTTTTTTTGCGTTTGGCGGAAATTGATTAAAATGGAGAAAACAGATGCAATCAGCTATGAGTTTTGCTATCAGTTTGTTACGGTATACTCTACAAGAATAAAAAAAAACGTACAATCATGCTACATGTCGCGACATTACTAGCACATTCCTCCTAATTTTCTCTGCTGCTGACTGTAAGATTCTTTGCTTGCTTCATTGGCTTTTTTCCTCGATAGGTGCAACATGTCTGACAAAGGATCTGCAGGAAGTGAGGAGGTTGATAAAGTATAACATGTTCAGTAAATGGGCATGTTCCTGGATATTATTTTTCTATTTAAAAATCCGAAATGAAACGACATCATTTCTCTCCGCAGGCCGCAGCAGAAATAAACTCAGACGTTCATTTCCATATTTGGCATGGACATTTTAAAAAAATTACTGCGGGTTAGAAACTCAACAAGTATAAATAAGATAACTCTGCTCGCCAATATTTCTACTTCATTAAAATCTACTCAATCAGTAGAACAACAAGCCAAAAGCAACCAAAAGCAAAACAACTTTTACTCAAGCAAAAATATCCAAATAAGCATTTCTGTCATAATGACCTTCTTCAAGTTCAACAAGAACAAGTCTGCTTCCGCTGCTTCTTCCCCTGCCGCTACTCCCCGTACCTCTATGCAAGGACATCGTGCTTCTCAGGACAAGCTCTCTCAGCAAAAGGCTCTTGAGATACTGATGAACCAGTCAATGCCTAATGCTGCTTCCGGTCCTTTTGTTCGTTAAAAAAAATTAATTGGCAAGATTCAAGGCCTCAACGAGCTATAATAGCTTCCATCGTTCATACCCATTTGCATCCATGACACTTTCCTTGTATAGTATTGCACTAGTCCTCTACCAAACATTAATAAAATCACTTAATTAAACCTATCTACTTTTTTTTTTGACATGACGATGTAATACATCCATTCTTTGATATAAATGAAAGGAGAGAATAAATATTAATAAAGGTAACACGGGTGTCTATTATAATTATCATTTCCATTTTATTTAATGCTGTCTAATTAATTTTTGATGGCACGCCTTGCTGTTTCTAGTTGGCTGAGTAACTCGCTTACTTGGTCCCGGTATGCTTCCTTGACATCCAATAGATCTGCTTTGAGTTCCTGGACCTCCTCGGTCCGTTCTCCCAGCATCTCAAGCGCAGCTCGATGACGCTCCTGCAACAAATCTAACTCTTGTTTCAGCCCAGGAAGACGTGCAGCTTGCTTTTGTAGGTCCTCCAATTCCATTGTCACCCGAACAAGTTCATTCGAAAGCTCATCTATAGACATTCACACATATATAATAAAAAGGGAAAAGGGAAGAGGTTTATAAGGTGTCGTATCAAGCGCGTTTACAATAGCCTACAAAAGACATATCACTAGTGTACCACGAGGTGATGCGCTCCCAACGATATTAGTCTTACCTTTATTCCTATTTGCTGTCCGTACTTGTTCACTCAGGAAAGTGACCTGGCCTTCTAGCTGTCGAACAACTGTGCTAAGCCTTTCCACCGCCACTGCCTGCCCTGTCGCATTGCTACTAAGACCCACAAGCCCTACAGCTTGAGAGGAACCCGTGCGAGACAGTGACGGCGACATGCCGTCCAAGCTTGCGGGACTGGCTATCAATTCAAGACTAGACCGGACACTACCCTGAGCCTGTGCACCAAGTGTTTTTGAGCCACTCATAGTTAATGGGCTTCCTGGCGGGAACAAAGGCGACGAAAGTCCTGCAGATGATGATGGCCTTCGCATTGTTGCTGCCGCTGAAGTTGCTCCCATCGAAAGATGTGGGTCTGATGCATTATTAGGATACCGTGTGTCCTCACCTATTGCTCCTTGGCTTTGTTGCTGCTGTAGCTGCTGGATTTGTTGCTTCAATTTGTTCATCTCTGTCTGCTGTAAAAGACGAAGCTTCCTTTCTGCGTCGTCTCTGGCCTCTTCAATCGCACGTTCACGGTTGAGGCGTTCTTGAGTCAACTCTGCTTGCATACGGCGTGCCTCATCCTCCTTATCTTTCAGATTCCTCTTACTGTCGCTGATTTCTGCACGGAGCTGAATGTCTGATGTCCTCAATGCCTCAAGACGCGCTTCTAAAGCCACATAACGTGATTTCTATATATATATTTTAATGCAACATTAGTATAAATATTCAAATTATTCGAAGCAATGACTATTCCAAACCAAAGACATACAAATACTGTGCCTCATTTACCATTTCATCGAGCTTGTCACGAGCACTGCGCTCCCGTTCCTGAGCCTTGAGCGCATCTTCCTCCGCTTCTGCAATACGCCGCGTCAGATTCTTCTCAATCTTGTCCCAGTTTCGGTTGGCGACGCTCTGCTGGTTCTGTAAAGCTTCGATTTGTCGGAGAAGTGGACGTCGGGCTTCGTCCAGAGCTTCTTGTAATTCATATGAGTCATTATCAGTTTGCTCCAACCGTGCCTGAAGGTTTCTGATCTCCATCAGCAACTGATCCTCCCTTTCTCCAGCAGATTCCTCACGATTAGAAAGAGACACTCGGAGCTCCTGGATGTCTTGACGGAGATTGGCTTCAATAGCAGCATGTTGAGCTTTGAGGGCCTCCATCTCATTATTCAGCTCCTCATTCAGCTTCATTTCGCGCTCTAATGATGCGGCATGCGCCTGGTTAGACAACTCAGCAGAAGCTTTGCGGGCCTCTGCCAGCTCTTGCCAAGCACGGTCTAATCCTAGTTGCAAATTAGCTTTCTCTTCCTTGAGTTGGAAGAGCTCTGCCTCCATCTTTGTCAATTGCTTATTCTGCCGCTGATTGATATCCTGTAACGACTTGATGGACTCTAAATGTGCCAAGATTGATGTAATTTCATATCGAATTATTAGATATTCTGAAAAGCAAATCTTAGGGACCAAATTATTAATGTAAATTACCGTTAAGTTGCTTGTTTTCGTCCATAAGCTTGGAGATCTTCGCCTGTGCATCAGCATAATCCGATAGCACCTTATCAAGCTTCTTTTGAGTGTCCATCTGAAGCTTCTCAGCTTCAATGTTCTTTGTTCTTAGTGCTTTGATGGTGGTCAGATTCTTGAACTCCTTTTTTGATAGGACCTCCCCTAATGTATAGTTGATATCGCACGGTAGTAATTAAATATTCCCGCCTTTTTTTTTTTTTTTTTTTACACATTCTTCGCGAATTGCCTGTTACTAAAGACCCCCATACCTTCTGCCAATAGCCCTCTGATCTGCTCATCTTTGTCTTCCAAAAGCGCACGTTGCTCCTCAAGAGTCTTTTGGATGGATTTTGGCTGACTAGTAAGGTTGGACCCTCTGGCTACTTCAAGTTCCTTCTTTTGAGTCTCAATAATTTTTTCTAGGCCAGCAATCTTGGTGGCCTTTAGAGCATCCTCAGCAGCCTTTGCATCCTCCAAATCACGGAGCTTTTCAAGTAGTGAAGACTGCTCCTGCATTGCCTTGAAAAGCTGTTCCTCGCGCTGCTCCAGTACCTTCTGCAATGGATTCTCATTATTGGTTTCATGCCTTTCTTTAACTTTAAGCTCTGGTTCAATATTTACTGGAGTGATCCCCTCCGTAGCAGATGCTGAAGTCGGGGCTTTAATATCCTCGATTTGTGTATTAGGGTGATCTGTTGACGTTGATGCTTTTGCATCTGTAGTCTGTTCAGAGCTAGCGGCGGTGGACTTCTCTGGTTCCGATGTAAGTGCGGTCTCCTCTTGTGATGGTTGATCTTCTGTTGTATTCTGTTCAGGCTCATGAACAACGTTATTCTCCTCTTTTTTAACAGCTGGCTGCTCTTTATCTACCTTAATCGTTTCTACTGTTGATTCTGACGGCGTAACTTCTTCCTGCTTATCCTCTGCATCTGCTTTGATAAACTCTTTTCCATTCAAACTATCTTCATAGTTGGCGTCTTCTTGACCTTCTTGAGCTAGTATTGGCTCTACCTTTGCCTGTTCAAGCGAGTCACTTATTGTGAGTTGATCCTTACTATCATTGTCTTTTTCGACATCAGACGTAATCTCTGTTAAGTCCTGTACTTCTGAGGCCTTGTCCTTAGATTCCAATACTTTCTCATTGTCTTCTTGTACATCGGTTTCGACATCTTCCTGTGTACTCTTCTGCATATCCTTCTGTGTATCCTTCTGCGTGTCATTCTGTACGTCTTTTTGTGTAGCCTCCTGTATATCTTTCATATCCTCTTTGGAAAATTTGGTTTCCTCGTCGGTCGAAGCGGCGACAGTTGATTCGCGCGTTCGTTCCACACTGTTTTTATCGATTGCCTTATCATCCTTTTCTGCAGACATTGATCGGCGAACGGATGAAGATGGAGACGCAGTGCGAGAATGGGCCGCAATAGCTGTGGGCGTGGCAGATGGAGACTCTGGTGCAGCTTTTTTAAAAATACCCCGCATCCTTTGCTCCAAGCGTTCCCTATTGGCGGCAGCGGCAGCAGCGGCAGCAGACAATGTGGTCGATGCATTAGAGACCAGCGAAGAGGGATTATTATTATTGTCACTCCCTGAGACTGGCGGTGTTGACATGCGCTTGACAGTGGGAGTAGTAGTGATCATTCCCGTAAAAGGGTCTACTGTAACAGTCGCTTCCTCTTTCTTAACATTCATTTTGAGTCCATCCTGGGATCCTCTCGCACTGCTGGCCATGTTTGAAGGTTTACGAAGGGTATCATGGTTCTTGCCACTTTTATTTTGAGTCCCAGCATCGCCTGTATCAGCAGAGTCTCCTGAAGATGGTACCTGAGGTGGCGCTACCTCCTTTGGCTGTGTATCTTTTGTAGTCGATTGACTGGTAATGCTGGATGGTAAGACTGTCGCATTAGGTGAGAAAGAAGTGAGAGTACCAGCAGCTCCACCATGAATAGGAACTTGGATATCTAGGACCATGTCTAACTTGGATTCAATTGTTGATAATCCCTGCTTAAGAAACGAGCCCCATCCTCCACTGCCACTGCCACTACTGCCTCCATTGTTATTTGACGACAACTTATTGGCATTGGTCCCAGAACCTGAACCTGCGGTGCCAAAGAAGTTGCTCATTACGAATTTTCTTGGCTGAGGATTTCTCTCTATCTCCCTCTTGATATTCCGCTATTTCTCTCTCTGGTTACTACTCTGTTGAACATGAGAAAGAGATGATTCGATAAATAAATATTTTTTTTTTTTTTGCTTTTATGTTTCTTTGCATTGAGTTTACACATTCACATTATATTCATATTCTATTCATTTACCTGAGATGATGTAATCAAAACACGAATGAGCTGCCTTAAAAGAAAGAGAAATGATGCCACTATAGGCGCAAGGATAAATGTAAACTGAGATGGATATGGTCAGAGTCAGACACAAGATTGCAACGGATCATTTGCAATGTAATGCAGTTACAGCTGTGCCTATTTCTGGCCATCCAACTTGGGCGTACAAAAAAGAGTTGTTCAACACAAATAATAGACCTGTTTGTTTAAAGTGTATACATGTATACAATTTCTTATTACATATTTTAATTCTTCAGCTAACTATAATACATGTTGATGGCATCAAACTGAAGGACAGTACTATAGATCTTATTGCCGACAACTGCTTCTGCTTGAATTTCATTTAAACCAAAGTTCATAAGTACCTTGACTCTCACCTATATTACCATAGTGGATTGTATATCGATTCATTAGCCATTTGGTTTATCATTCAATGAACAAAATAAAATGAAATAAAAATTCATTAACTTAATCAAGGTTACCATTGATCCCAGTGGGGCCGAGGGTGCATGGGGTGATGGGATTGGAATATCTGCCAACTTTGTTACACCCACATCAGTAGTGTATCGTGGAGGTTCGCCGTCAGCATCGCATGCATAGAGTGCAATATTGTATTCCTCCTGAATGTCATTTGTGAATTTGGTAAAGGAGAACTCACGCGATATGCACTCATCCACATTAAGCTTCTGTCCCTTACGGACAAAAGGTGTGAACCGATCAATGCACCATACACCATTCACCTCGAACTTACGCTTGGCGATCGGATCCTTTCCCTTTTCAAAGGGCTGATCAGAGGAAATACCATAAGATCGACGTGCAATGCGTGCAGTGACAACACGAGGATTCAGGCCTGCCGTGACAGCACCTCGCACAACAGCCATTTCTGCACGTGGTGGGGTGGAAATAAGCTCCACTTGGTGTTTAAACTGTGATTTGACGCGGCTATAGAGATAGTTGGAGGAACCGAAGCCTCCTACCAGAAAAATGGCAGAGCAATGCTTGGCCTGGCTGAGCTGATGTTGAATGAGTGAAAGCACGTCCTTCACTACGGGCTCAAAGACGTGTTCCTTCAGCTCGAGTGCACTCAAAACCATGTAGCCGTCGTCGATGCCGATTGCTTCCGGGTTCTCCAGTTCGTCAAAGCACTTATTCGCCGGCAGCTGAAGAAACTGTTCCTCGAGACCATCAAACTGAGGCTTGATTACATCTGCGAATGTATCGACTAGGTTAGGGATGATGGTCGCGGGGAAGTTGGCGGCACTGTGTCCGAATTTACGCTCCAAGAGAAGTCGCATGTTTCTATCCAAGAAGACTGAACCACATGAAGCACCATGACCTTTGGTGACTTCTGAGAGCCGCCGTCCACCATTGGTCTCTGCGATTTCAAATACAATCAAATCCACAGTTCCTCCGCCAGCGTCGCATATCATGAAACGATCCCCATGGCCTAAATTGAACTGGTCACATTTGCGTTCGCAGTAGAGGGCTGCGGCCTCTGGTTCTGAAATAAGCATGAGTCGATCAGGGTGGTCCGTTTCCTTAATAATTTTCGCCTTGATGGCTGCTTGACGCATAACATTCTTGGCCTTGTCTGACCACATGGCCGGAACTGTCAAACAATACCGAATATGTTCTCGTTGAAAATTTTTTGCAAACCCACGCATGACTTCGCCCGCAACATAATCATGAAATGCAGACAAGTAGTCAGAGATGGCATCTAGAACAGTAATATCAACGTCTAAGGGTGAATGGTGCATGTTTTCGTCAAGGTAAAGTTTGTATTGCTGAAGAAGAGTATGGTGTTTTGCTGTAGGTTTGAGCATCTCCAGCTTTGCCCTCCATCCCCATGCCATCAAGTTGTGCTCGGGGTCATTCTTTTTGTAGAGATTTATCGTTGGTGTTTTTGGGTATTGAATAATCTGTCGTGGCCTATCTTCCCCGTCCGGAAAATAGGTAAACAAAAAAAAGAAAGAAAGAAAGAGAAAGGGAGAGAGACGTGTCAACAGTTTTTCTTATCACTATTTTTATTGTTCGTACGTTGTAGCAAGCAACAAGCTCTTGATTATGATCGCATTTTGATGTAGTGGAATAGGGAGGTGGGGGTCTTACCATGATGTGATATCAATGATTTCCTGGTCATCTTGGGCATATGCATAGGCACACCCTCTAATAAACCCGAAGTGTATAAGATTGACATAGTGTGTTAGCGTGGTGCTATACTAGGACGGTGAGTTTTCACAAGGAGTTTACTGCAACGTTTTCTGTGTATTTTCGTCGACGTACGAGAAAGTGGTGCCAAAGTCAATGGCCATGACGATGGGATAGTCTGCTGGATTGAAGATTTGCTGCTGCATTGTATAGAAGGAGTTGAGGGTGTGTAGGGTATTGGTGGCAATTAAAACTGGACAAGAAGGGATAATAGAAGTTGGAGGGTTATTGGTACAGTTTAGCAATAGAGTCGATATTTACAAATATTAAAGAAGTTGAATTGAAGTGGAGAAGAGAGAAGAGAAAAGAAATGAAGAGAAAAAGAAAAGCTTAATATTAAAAATCATTCAAACCATGCAGTCCGCAGCATTGGCTCTCACACAGTCAGCATTATTTTTCGATCTGTGTCACTGTCACTCCTCCATGGTCAGACAGTAAAAACGCCGTTTTGAAAAGTCGAGCTTTTGATCTTTGGGCTGTGCGCCTCCCTCAATAAAAAATAAGAGTCAACGACGATGGTGATCGGTCGTTCTTAGTTCGGGACGTCTTGCGCTAGTGATACAATTGATACTAAGGACATCTTTTGGGTGTTCGAGCTGATGCATCTTGTCCTAGTCTAAAAGTGCAGACAATCAAAATAAAAAAAAAAAAAAAAAAAAGAGTCCGCGGAAAACGGTCGCGGAATACATCCCTAGCCCCTTAAATTTTAATTATAACACGTCAAAATATGATTTATATTTTTTTGTTTTACATTCGACACGAACATATTCCATTTCATCATGCTACAAGGTACTCCACGTCGAAAGTCGCGGATAGGTCCTGGTCTATTCTTCAGGCGCTCTATAGGGCCGAATGGAGGAGGAGGAATAACACCAACTGAGACAAATAATCTACTCCGTAATTCTCTACGGCACGATCATTCTTCACAGGACACACTACTGTTCCGACGCTCCCAGCATCAGTATCAACAAGAATTGCTGTCTACATCAGCAGGAGCAGGAACAGGAGAAGGAACTACCTCCTTGCTCCATTCGGAACCTAATGTCCTTCAGCATCAATCTCATCAGTCAAATACTACATTGACTCAGTCGCGATCCATTTCTGAAGTCCTGGAGAACCCGATAGATCAGCTCTGTACAGCCGTGGATCAACTTGTAGAGAAGATGGAAGTTGTCGCAGACATCCATGCAGGTCTAGCCAACTTTAACGAGACTTTTGGAGCATTTCTATATGGTCTCAAGATAAATGCGGGAAATGTGAAGTGGACGGAGGTATGAGGAAACACCTTTTTTTAAGGGGAAAAAAAAAAAAGGTCAAGAGTCTGATTTTTTTTTTTCCTCCCTCTTTGGCTTCATATCAGGCTCCTACGAAACAATCGTTTGAGCGAATGGAGCAACGTGAAGCAGAAGCTATTATGCTTCAGCAGCAGCAAGAAGAGCTGGAACGAATTAGGACACAACAACTTTTAGAGCAAGAGCAGGAACGAGAACGTCAGCGAATAGAAGCTGAGCGACAGGAGGCTGAGCGGATAAAGGCATCGCTTCCAAGCCTTCATAACGGACGCAATAGGGCTATCCAAAAAATGAATGAACAGGACTTGAATCGACAAAGGCGGCCTGTGACAAACGGTCGAGCAACTGCCCCAGCATCCCGGATTCCAGCAAGACCAAAAGCAACGACTCCCGGTGCATCCAGGGTGGGGAATGGAGGCGCGATCCGGAAGCTTGCCGGGAAAGTAAACATGAAACGTATGATCGAACGATTGCCCCTTCGGTATCGCAATGAGGTATGGATGTCAACGCTAAATTAATTGGTCGTGACGATGATCCGATGGATTTGCATTTTTTTTTTTTTTTTTTTTTTTTTGGCAAACATGACTAATAAACGTGTCGTAATAAATCATATTCATGATAGCCTCATCGCGGATTCATTGAAACCATCATGCGTTCATTGTCAGAGCATATAGAGGGTCAGACCCTACCGGAACTGGTGGCCTTGACGAACTTGGTACGACATCGATGCAATGAGTATTTAGGTGTGTTAATCCACGCCAAGGAGGTTGTCAGGAATAACCAAAAGGGCGTCGTGTTTTCGTTAAATCCGGATCGGTATCCAAGCCGATAAACTAATCAGACATTCAGTAAGGGTTTATCCTGTTTCAACTGGGACACGTACCACATTCCATTATGTATTTTAATCACATCATACGAACTCATTGTTCATGTATACTATGTTCAGTTATTTTAATTACTTGCTATTGTATTTTTATTGGATGTATCTTGTAATAAAAAACTCCTGGAATCAAAGGGATGAGCGCAGACATCTGAAATACGACCTGTACGGGTTCTGCGTAAGCAAGTAATTATCCTTCACCCTTGCATTACAACTACAAGTTGTCTAAAAAGTGTGAAGTACGTGAACAGCAAAGCAGTGATGCAAATGCCTGTTGCAATATTCTTTTGAACAAAGGTTTGTCCTTGCATTAGAGTGATCCATTATAAACCCCTGTTCTACAAACATTGTCAATCACTTGTTCCTGTGTTCCTGTGTGTCTGTGCTCAGTCCAAACAAATACAATGCTGCTTGTTCATTTCATTTCATTCCCAAGAGTCTTCTCATTCCTTTTTTTTTTTTTTTTTTTTTTTTTTTTTTTGGTCTGTCTTGGCTTTTATTATCCTATTTTTAACCTGAAAACCCTTTCTCTTTAAACACCTATCTATTACTCTAAACACGTTCTATTCCACGCTCATTTTTATCACACACCCTTTCTCTCTCTTTCTCTCACTTTCTCTCTTGATTTGCTCTAATTCTGCTGTGTCAAAACATTTTTATGCTCTCGCACGAATACTATCAATCCTTTGACTGAACTTTTCCCTTTGTTTATTTGATTCTAGCTCTCTTACTCTCACTTCTACTTTCACTGAGCTAGAACCACCTTGCACAACTGAGCAAAGGCTGGTGGAGTGTGTGTGGCAACCAGGATTGGGATCAAGATCATGGCACGACCATGCCATCCAAACTGGACTTGGCGCATTCAGGTCCTTCCTGACTTGCCATTCTTGCTGTTCATTATCAGCCTTCTCCTTCTTCCTCTTTCTCTTGCTTATCCAGACAATTATGACCACCAACCTTCCCATGTGTCTAATATGGTTACAAGAACTATACTAAAGCCTTCACTTCTACCACAAAAGACATCACTGATGTTTGACAATAAACAGGAGAATGAAAAGGGATATAGCTCTTTTTCCACAGAACCAACCACAGCCATATTTGGTCCAGAAATATCACCCCTGTATCACCACGAGGACACTTCACGATCTTCATCAGATTTTTCTGTTGAGACAACAACTATCCATGATATACCACGGATAGTAGTCCCAGCACCATCTCGGAGGAGTGAATTGGTGCAGGATACGATTGACGACGGCTCTTTGAAGGAAAAACTCTTTGATCCGTCGTCACAATTAAGCCCATATCTTACTACTACAGCCCATCTGCAGGCGCTTCCTGTCAGCAAGGTAGCATCTACAACTTGCGATTCAAATTCGCCACAGACATTAGGGCCTGCATGGTATGGAACATTCTTCAGCAATTCACCAGATGGCGTGTATCCATCCCAAACTCGGACATGTACCTGGACTTTGCAAGCCATTACCAATATCACGAATTCAGACGGAAGTGGCAATGGCGAGAGCAAGGGGAGTGTAGTACCATATGTGATTGCAGTCAACTTTACAACGCCGGTTCAGTTAATCTGCGGGTAAGTCCTTTTTTTATTTTATTTTTTTTAGGAGAAGATTAAGGAGGAGGAAGAAAGATGACATTTCTCAATGCTCGGAACAAAGGTTAATTGGACAAAAGCCATATTTGTTGCTGTTGCTGCTGTGAACGCATTTGCAATTATTGGGGAATATTCATTTTTTTATGCTCAATGCATGCTAAAATACCTATACAAACATGCACACCGCTCATTCATACTCAAGGATGGACTATCTGACATTTTATGATGGCGCAGATACTACCGCACCGGTGCTGGCTAAACTTTGTGGCAACATTTGGCAGGACAGGTTACCGACCATATACTCTTCGGGTCCACAAATGACCGTAGTTTTCTCGTCACGGGAACAAAGTCCTGGGAACCATGGTTTTACAGCTGCCTATCAGTCTGTTGGTAAAGATCATTTGTCATTTGCTCTTAGCAGACCAGTTTGATGTTTCGACAAAAGCCGAAAAAAGAAAGATGAATAAAGGCAATCGACATTGGAAGATCAGATCTAATGTCTTCTTTTCAAAATAGCGCCATGCTCAATATGTGTGCCTACATTAAGAGGAACATGCAGTAGTGCTAATACATGCAATTGTTATAGTCAATACAGCGGAGCTGTCTGTGAAGAAGGTAATACGTCCTAGAATAAAGTCAAGTGCGAGAGTTTAAGCAAATGGCAACAAGAATGTTTTATCTAGAAATTGAATTACTGTATCACTCGTATAATAAAATCGAATGATCTTTTTATTTTGGCATTTCTCTTCACTTTATCTTGTTTAGAGACGGCAGGATTCAAGGACTTTACTCCACGCTCACAGCATGCAATGGTCTACGATGAAACCAAGGACATGGTGTACATTATGGGTGGGACTAGTCTTAACATGCGTTTAATGTGGGATATACTTACCTACAATTTTTGTAAGTTACTTTGTATCAATAATTTTTTTTTTAAAAAAAAAAAAAATCAACCCATGGTAACAACACGTTGTCTCTGCTATAGCTACCAATAGGTGGAACAGGATTAATGCTTTGAATAGGGGCCCTGAGGCCCGGTACGGACACTTTGCGTTCATGTATAATGGCGACTTGTATATCTATGGAGGAGTGACAAATGCTGGTAGTCTAGCAGATATCTGGAAGTTCAATGGCAAGATCTGGACAAAACAGGAGCCTATCAATCCGGATAAGCTACCTACTGGACGCGCTGGCTCCGCTTGTGTGGTCGTGGCTAACAATAATTCAACAAAGCTCTATGTCTTTGGGGGCCTGGACTTTGCGGGTGCAACAACTCGCGAGCTGAATGTTTATGACATAGGTAAGTGGGCTATGAGTGGGCTATAGCTGTTAAGCTTATATCATTAGCTTCTCAATACAGAAATTCCTATAAATTACCCATGTCTTCATATATATATAACTTACATACGTGTTCTCATTTAGATCTTGCCATGTGGAGAAAGTCGGATCATCAAAACTCGGTTGGGTTATCGGGAGCGACAGCTGTACATCATCAGGCAACGGATTCGATTTATTATTTTGGAGGCATGATCAACAATACAACACGCAATGTGATCACATATCAATATCGAATTTCACAAGACTTATGGTATGCTCTTGCTCCTAGAATTGATCCTCACACTGCGACACCTATCATAAATGAACGCTGGGATGGATCCCGACCAGGTTCTCAGCCTTCGCCCAGTACCAATACAAGTCGTGATGGAAGGAATTCTGTAAGAAACATAGATGATGGCTCGGATATCGACAGCGATAGACACGAGACAGGCTGGAACAGTACACTTCCTTATTATTTGCCGCCTGTGATGTATGACTCTGTTAGTACTGTGTGGTCACCTGCAGGACTCATGGGCACGGACCTCGTAGTCATGTATGGCGGCATGCTACCCTACGGTCCAGGCGTAGATAAAGGACACCAGTCATGCTTTTCCAGAAGTTTCTCTGTCTATGATCTCTGTAAGACAGCTCTACTTATTTTTCCTCCTCAGTACACTCTTCGCTTGTTTGTGATGTTTACTCTTATTTTTATTTATTTTCTTTATATCTGTGATAAAAAAAATGCGCGCAGCTTGCCAAAGATGGACTACGTACGATGTGAGCGACTTGAGTGCTGCACTCAAAGGCAGAGTCAACCATACGATGATTATGCGGCCCCCTGGATCAGCGGGTGGTAGTAAAACAGCATGGACAGCATTTATTTTTGGCGGGTTTGGTGGTACGGATCATGCAGATATGCTTAACATTACAATGAATATCCCGACTCTTGTTCCCGCTATGATCAATAACTGTCGAGGTAACAACAGTTTTTTTTTTTTTTTTTTTTTTTTGAACTTTGGAGTTCCAGTCATGAAATACCTCTGTTTAATTTCCTTTCTATCTTTTGTATCTAAAACCTATAGCACTGCGATGGTGCAGTCTTTATGACGATTGCCAGAATTGCAACCCATCTTACTGCTCATATGTAAATGGTCTTTGTTTATTCGACACGGACAAGACAAAGAATTCCGCTTACCTTTTGGGGACATCAACTGATATACCAAAATACGGCACGCTTCAGGATTTGATCCGACAACGACCCGAGTTCAAATCACAGGTTTTGACTACTGATATGTGCCCAACACGCATTCCAATTGACATTGGTAATCCTTACTCAGGCACTATTCAATCTGGCCAGGAAATGACTTTCAAGATATATGTGGATGCACATGATTCAGATATTCAGTTTGAATTCCGTACTCTTCCATCATCTGCTCTGGATTTCAAGTCGTTGAATGTATGGGAAGGACACATGAACATGTACTGGCGCGCGGACCATGGGCTAACAGATGATACTTACAATAGATCATTTTCTGATACAAGAGTCTCGACACCTCCTGAGCTGCCTCGAGATACCTTTGGATCAAGTCAGGATAACGGAGCACTGAGTGACGACGAGGATACTAGTACAGTAATCACGAGCATGGGATATTTGAATACCAGCGAGCTAATGGATCGATGGATGAGATATTCAGGTTTGGACGCAAGCCCATATGCATCTGCAAAGAAGAGCAATCAGTCACTCATCTACTTCCGAGCTATGGATCCGAGGCGGTTCTCTGGATATTATGTCTTTTCACTCACGAACCGGAACCCCACTGCTCTGTCATTTTCAGCTTTGATAACACTCAAAAAACATACACCGACTGTTGAAAAGCAAGCAGGAACACCGTTCAATATGGCGACATTAGGGTTCTTCACTCTAGGATTTATTGTGGCCGTGATTTTGCTGATATTTTTGGTGCGCAAGGTTCGGCAGTTGATCGAAGATCGAGACTTAGCTCATCGTGTGGCAGAGATGCAGCTGCTGGAGGATGATGAAGAACACGGCGGGCTCAATAGCGGCACGGCTATGGCTCAGATGGATGGAAGCCTGTTAAAGAAGCCGATGTATAGAGTTGTTATTGGAGTTCAGGATTGGGGCAAAGATATCCCTCCGATCTCTGGAGCGGCTCTGAAGCGTCGCCATATTCGAAACAGGAAAAGCTCTGCAGTTGAAACTGGCGGTGATGATAACGTCGTTAAGAAGAAGACTAGCGACCATATGTCACATTCACTTACAGAATTGGTCGCGCCGCAAGGTGTTATCACCGTTGACGGCGATACCACTAATTTAGAGGTTCAAGATGACTTGATGTTGGAGCCATATCATTATCGCAGAACTCGTGTACGCTCAGATTATATCCGAGACATCGGTTCTGCACCTTTGCTACTGCCCCCCAATAAGAATGATGTCATAATAGATATGGACCACTCGATGCTACGCTCCGCTAATTCCGTCTCGAATCCCCGCCGGGTATCGGCGTCAGCCTCAGTGGCTTTAGATCTGGATCAAGGACTGCCCTCGAACATTTCAACTAAGGAGAAGATGCCTGATAGAGCAATGGAACAAGATAAGATGCTGGCACAGCAGAACCGGAGTGTATCAATATCATCTAATAGGAAGCGTATTAGCTTACGTGGATCTGAAATAGGATTTGAGAAAGAGGGTTCTGCCAACTCACAAGTTCTCACTACCACTTCTGCTAACGCCATTACCCAACAAAACAGTGGATCGCAACGCAAATGGTCGTTGAAGCACCTAAGCCATGGCGCATCATTCAAACGTAATAATCAAAAACCATCTAAGAACAACGATAGCGATGCAGAAGAACATGAGGGTTTGACAAGCCCGATATTGATGGAGGAGGAGGAATCTGAAACAGCCCGTCATATCAGCACCAGTAGCAGAAATAGCGATAATGGATGTTATGATAGCGAACAAGAGATGGTTGATCTTTGTGTGCTTCCATCACATACGGACCTCTTTCAGGTGCGGCAGAGGCTGTTTGAGAAGCTTCAAGTAGAGCAGAAGCAACAAGCAAGAGCCACTGCTACTGCTTCTGCCGCACAAATACATCGACGCAACCCAGTCAAAGTTCAACCGTTGTCTATAGAGCCTCTACCGTTTCATGCAGGCCTCGTTCCAAGGACGTCGTCAAATCTTCGACGATATCAACGACATCTAGCACGGCAACAGCGGCAACAGCAGCAGCAACAAGAACAACCATTCAATAAACCTTTAACTGACCCGGGTTTAACTCATCATGGCGCTAGAGCATGGAGAGATGAAAACAACGACGATGATAGACCAAGCAGCTCTAAGCCTGCAAAACGACTTAGTAACAATACACTGCGATCGTTTGTCAACCTCAGTCGGACAGCTTCTAGAAATCGTTCTATAACCTCGGTGCCATCTTCACAGCGACTATCATCACCTATCAAACAGGTGTATGCATCGCGTTCACAGGGATCGTTGAAGGAAGTACGCAAAGTTGCGTCTCAAATAACCTTGCGAACCAATGGGGGAATGTTAACTAAGGAAGATGAGGAGAAGAATAAAGACAAAGATCCTAGTTTGTCGTCCTTATCATCGCCTGAATTAGATTCTCTGATATCGAAACAGCAAATAGCAACAACTTCACCACGACATGGATGGATTAGCAGAGAGTCTGGAGCTGAAGAAAATATGCAGTCTGATATTGAACTACGGCGGCTGTCGGGTATGAAATTTGATAACGATCAACCACAGCTATCTTCTCAGCAACAAGAACAACAAGCTTCCTTTAAGCCACACAAGCGACAGCAAAAAATCAAGCGGAAAACGATCAGGATGAGAGGTCGACAGGAGTATGAGCCTGGTCCAATGTTAGCCATGAACTATATGATCGTGTTCCCAGGCGATGCTGAATCGAGACGAGTACGACAGCAAGGCGACTATTGGAAGACAAAGACGACTTTGCCTGCAGAAAGAGTGAACTATGAGGCTGATAATGGGAAGGAGAGGAGTAAGGAGGAACATGAGGAGGATTCGCATGACAATGCTCTGTACAATATGGAGCGGAGGCTACCACCGATGGCGATCGGGACAGTATTTGTGCCAGATCCAGTGCGCTGGTGGGCCTATAAGGCCAAACAGGTGCTGGTTTGCAAAAAATTTGAGAGGCGGATGAGGCGGATGCATCGGCTCCAGCAGAAGCAGAAGCAAAAGGAGACTTAAATCCAGATGATTACAACCTTGCCACTAGGGACCAAGGCGCGATAACCAAAGAAGCTGCATTTTTTTTTTCTTAATACCACCAAGATCTTCATAGTAATCATCAATCATATATTGTAACGGGAATGATTTCAATGATGAATTCGCCGATTTCTTTTTGTATATTAAAGCCTCATTCATTTTTTTTTTTCTTTTCACATGCCAAAACATCAGAACAGATGGATCACCAAGTCGGAAACGATTTATTAGAAATAAAAAAAAAAAAAAAAAAGGTGACAGACATCTTGACAATAAAAATAAAAAATAAGATTCCTCTCAAATGGTAAATAGATACAAATTGCTTTTTGCTTCTTTTTTTCTCCCTGCTTTTTTTTTTTTTTTTTTTTTTTTTAATGCTGGCAATGGACATAGAGTCGGAGGTTTGATTCATCTATGGACCAGTGTACTCTTCTTTATGGCCATGATCCATTGCAATTGCAGTAGATGGTGCAGCGTTTGTTGGATGTGTTCGATATGGGTTATTAAGACTGACGGAGCGGTGATGATGTTGATCGTCAGCTCGATGAGGGACGACAGTAGTCTGACCGACATGATCAGCAGTGGAGGTCATTAGTCCTCGAGGGTGACTCTTGATTTGAAACAGCTCCAGCAACATGATGATCACCCAGAGTCCACCTGCGATACCAGCACAGATCTCAGCGACCCAGAGTTCTACATTTTTTTAAGGTTATTATTAGGTCAGCATAGGAAAAAAAAAAACTAACAAACAAATAAATAAACACTAAAAGATGCATGATGACGCTCGGACGACCGCGCCATTGTGTGTAATGCATGCGACACAGAATCAGCAAAGTATTTTATTTATGACAACCATTTCTTTTCTAGGGTAGAGAATAAACATACCTTTAAAACTCTTTGTGGCTCTGCAACGGTCAGACTGATCACCCAAAAGTTTACATCCTTTATTCAAGCCAATGCCGATCTCGGCTGTGATGGCAAAGGCCAATAGGGCCAACAAAGTGGAGAGGATGAAGAAGAGGAAGGATAGAGACCGAGGACTGAATTCATCGTTCCGATGAATGACCATGGAGAGATAAAGAATAAAGATTAAGGAAAGGACAGCGATGACTGCACCAGCGATGATAGGGAAGAGACAGTATCCATTGTTGTAACTGATGACTTGACCATCATCGGACATATAGAGCACACATCCTTTAGTGAAAGATCGAAATGTGATCTTGCCATGGACACCGACGAGGCCCATGATGATCAATGAGAGTAAGAAGATGATGCAGAGACATGTTAGGATTAGAATCTGTCTCACCCGAGCGTTACTGGATGTTCCAATCATGATATGGAAAATAGATATAGATTTTTGGTTTTTTTTTTAATTTGAAAAATATGGTTTTTAGGGTGGGACGGATTAAAGAGATTTGAACATGTAGAAAGGAAAGAAAAGAGAAGAGAAGAAAAGAAAAGAAAAGAAAGTGGTAGGTTTAAAGAAAGCGCTCTGTAGAGATTAAAAGGAGAATGTGTGTATATGGATGAGGGTATGAATGTAAGAGTGAGAGGATGGAAGAGTGAGAGGATGGAAGAGTGAGAGAGTGGAAGATGAAAAGAGAAAAGAGGATTAATGGGCGAAGTCTTTAAGACTCGGTAGTTGGGTAAAAGAGATGGTGGGATGGGTATGAGGGGTTTAACAGATTAGAGAACAAGGATGACGAATTTTTTATTTTTTATTTTTTATTTTATTTTTTTTTTGGCAGTAATGGCTCGTGTCATGTCTCGGATGGATGTGTATTCAAATAAGGCATGTTAAGGAGGATGACAACATTGATAGAATAAGATCAAGTCATTGTTAGTCCACCAATCTGAGCTGCATTCCAAAGCGCCCTAAAAGAGTCGAGGCAAGCCGAATCGAGTCGAGGCGCTATGAAGAACGAGAACGGACGGTGCTATGCCGTTGAACGTCAACATGAACAAAAAAAAAGAAAAAAAAAATGTACCGCCAGCTACTATCGAACCGACGCCATTGACTGGCAGCCTGTTAGCGATCCAACGGACATAAGAGTACTCTTCGCAGTTTTAGGTTAGGAACAGGATCTTTAGCAGAGGGATTGACTATGCAGAAAGATGTTCAGTCTGCGGTGACTTTTTTTTTAAATTTAAATTTTTCTTTTTTGTCTTAAAGGGCGTATTAAGTTATGGATGGTACAGTATATGTTTTAGAGATCTCTAGATCCCCTGAGTTTTTTTTCTGTCTGGTCAGGGCATCGAACCGCGAACTAGTTTCATATCCTTCTGCTCCGCCCATGCTTTTTTTGTAAACATTGGTGCTGATGCTTTATGTCAGGTATGCCATGTTCTACGGCCAATTTAAATTTCGTCAAGTCCCCAAGCTGATCATAAGGAAAAGTCTGTTGCTAACACGGATGCCGCCCCAGATGTTCCTGTTCTAAGAAAACCAGTCCCCTAGTCCTCGTTTGTGTATGACCCGGAGAGGGTCCCTTATAAAGTCTATTTCTAATAAATCCTCACGATCTCGTGGGTCCCAGTTATCAAAAAAAAAAAAAAAAAAAAAACAACAACAACCTTGCTCTTGTTTGTGCACGCGTCGCCGCCTACGAAGGCTTAATGCAACAGCTTTGGCCTCTAGTCACTGCAAACAACCCATCCTCGTCGTCATTACTATCCTCTGTATCTGTCCGTAATGCGGTCAAGAGCGTTCCACCCCAAAAGTTCCTACTATGCTTTTTGAAAAATACCGATCCTACAAGGGGCAATGGCATAAATTGATCTATTCACGTGTCTGGTCTCCTTTAATTCCCCATCATCTATTTAAGTAGTTAGAGCATTATTTATTCTGCCCCCTTTCACTACTGCAATACGGTATCCCTCTTTTCACGTTGTCAGTTTGCAGGTGAACTTTCTCCTCATTCCCGTATTATTATCAACCATTATCTAGCAGCAGCAGTATTATTAGCATGTAATACTAAGTCCGACTTTTTTCCTTTCGGGTTACCATTTTGCAGTGCGTCTCTAAGGGTTGTAATGTTTGCCTTTGTACTTTGTGACCTCGTTCTTGTTCTTGCGTTTTAATCATTGTTCGGAAATAATTGTTTTAAGTGTAGATACACAACAATACAACCTCAACTTGCAGAACTTTGGTAAGGGTTCTACGACTTACAACCGAGAGACTTCCCATGTCAAGGTCTTTGTTATAACATATATATATATATATATATATATAACCCACTCTATGACCAAGAAGTGATGGAGCCTCTCTGGGCTCCACTTGAAACGAATCCTAAAAAGAGATCAAGCGTTTTAGAAAAATATCCAATGGTCCTGGGATCTTTGTCGGAATTATAGTTCACGCCCTTGCTGAGAAATATTTAATAAGGATGGATCCTTAATGATTCAATAAACCAGAAGGCATTTCAGGAGGGAAAAAAAAAAAGGATGACATCCATTGTCCTAGTAAACGCCCATTAAGTCTCGCTCAACATCTTGTGAACCAGGATGCAAAGACTGATTGTAACGAGCATTATGAGGCAACACGAGTATGACCTGGAAGCTACAGATGTCTCTCTCATAGATCTGTGTAAATATTTTTAAGAATATCGTTAAGATAGAGATGTCGTCCAGAGCTTTGATAACATCCTAAAAAAAAAAAAAGAAAAAAAAGAAAAAAAAGGGGAGAGTAGGTCATGCATAGGAGTGTGGTGTGTAAGGTAGAAAACCTCATTCTGATATCAACGTTACACATGTAGTTTTTTTTTTTTTTTTTTTTTTTTTGGGCTTATTTGGGGTCTCCAAAGAGTGGCGAAGCTGGGCGTGGTATTCTTTTATTCCACATGTAGATTTTGTTGGCCTGTAAAAAAAAAAAAAAAAAAAAGAAAAAAAAAAAAAAAAAAAAGCTACATGCCAGGGTTCAGTGCTTATATGAGACGAGCTATCAAGGAGGCCTGATGTGACAAATTATAAAAAGAAGCTGTTTGTTATTTTGATGCAGCAGAGATATGAAGACATTTGCTCGGGGGTTGGGTTGTCGAAAGCAATTTCTTCCGACACAAATCAGATGCGCAAGTCATTCATATGCATGCAAAAGGAGGAATAAAAAACCAGTGCGCCCTGCAGCCTTTTTTTTTTTTTTTTTTTTTTTTTTTTTGGAATAAAAGGAGTCTTTTTTAGAGATGATAGATAAATGTTACGAAAGCTGCTTTTTTCTTTTTTTTTTAAGGCTTTAGAGATATACATGTAAATGTATAAATGGAGCAGATGCTTAGAGATTACAGCAAGCCAAGAAAGATAAAGGGTCAAAAAGTTGATCTTTGTTTGCATGCGACTGTACAAGTATAAATATGTATGTTTATATATTAATGTTATACTTATATATTAATGTTATACATTTGTATTACCGCCACAACAGGTCATAAAAAGAAAAATGAGTCGCATGGAATTCCAGGCACAATGGAATAATAAAAAAACGAAAAGGTCAATAGGTCAAAATACACATACACATTTGTGTTCAATTGCTCACAAACTCGCGTGAGTGTAAGGATGGTGAGTGGAGTTGAAAAAAAAAAAAAAAAAAAAAAACCAAGTCCGTCCTATAATTAGAAGAGGTCCACTTCATTTCACTGCCTCCTTCTTTCCCCTAGAGCCGACTATCCATTCCCATCCAAAGTTCAAGATCAAGTCCAAATCCTAACAACAAGCCCTGTTTGTCAGTTGCTTGAACACATGTATGTACATTTATTGTGCTGTATGCAGTATTATTACATGAATGCTAGATGGGCGCTGCTTGTTTTTTTTTTTTTTTTTTTTTGGTCTGTTGGCGCAAGGTTTTTTTTTTTGCTCTCATCCATTTTTCTGCTGTTCCTTGTCGCTAGTCTGGATTCGCACTTTTGTTTCGTTGTGGCATGTTATCGAATGGGCATGTAGATCCAGTCTAACTGTTTCTTCTCTTTTCTCCTTTTCTCTTTTTCTTTTTTTCTTCATCATCATCATCTCCATCACACATTCACATTTACACATTCATCATCTGATTTACACGCACTTTATTCAACTTTTTTATTTTTTTTCCACCCCTTTTTATATATAAATATATATATATATATATATAAAGCAGTGCGTTCGTGTATATCGTGTGTGTATTGTGATTGTCTTACTTTATCTCTATTTCCATCTCCATTTATCCTCGGTAACGGTTCCGTCATTTTTTTTTTTTTATAGTTATCAATTCCCTGACATAACAACCGACTGCCACTTCAGTTTCCATTTTCCCGTACCCAATCCCACTTTGTCGCTATTTTTTTTTTTTTTTTTTTTTTGGATTTGTTCCTGAACCCGTCTTTTACTTTTTAAAATCCCTATACTTCCCTCCCACCCTATCAGCAATCAGGCCTTTTCTTTCTTTCCTTGACTTGCAAAGGTTCACAAGCTCCTTGATGGTATCATTCTTCACAGCCACTGCACCAGGTGCAGCACGAAGAAGGCTGTTGGCCTTAGCTGTATTCGCCCTTGCTCTCTTTTCCTCAATACCGACTCTCGTTGACGCAGCCAAGGGTGAAACCATCACCCTCTCCTTCCTCGATGAAGCTGGAGCTGTCATCAGTCAACAGACTATACCCTGGGCAGAGTGTACAAATATCGATACCACTCTACTACAACCCACAGGCGGAGCTTATGCCTCTGTCTCCGCTTCGGTTGACCATGCAGCACTGAATCTCTATTCCTACCCTTACTGTGCAACCCTTTCGGGGTCTGCAGTCGGCAGATGGAGAAATGCAGGTGATTTAAAAGACATGATTGCTATCCGTTGGGAAGGTATTGCTAACGATCTGGCCCCTGGTACAGAACGGACAACAAATTTCCCACCAGAGATGGCGGTTGCGACTCAAGGCCCGGATCCTGATGCTGACCCTATCCTTTGGGCCCCCGATCCCGAAAAGGGTAAACTGGTAGTTGGACTGGTGGCGGGAGTATTGGCTGTGGGTGTGCTCATTGGTGTGTATCAGGTCTATAAAGCAGCACAGTATGTACCACCACCCAAGAAGCCAAAGAAGATTACGTTGAATACAAAGAAGATCAAAAAGAAGGATGCGTACTATCGTAAGCCCGCTCCTGCTCGCCCTGTGTCCTCTGGAGAAGATGATAAACGGTCCTTCCAGAGATTGGAGCATAATGAGTCACCCGAGCCATTGTTGAACAGACCACAGATGATGGAGCGTGGAGGAGGTCCATTTGGAGGTAGCAGCCGAGATAGCCAGTATTCAGAAGCGGCAACGTTTGTAGATTGGGGTCAACAACAGCAGCACCAGCAGCACAACCCTGCAGTATCCATTGATATGCGAGAGACATCCTATAGCAATAACAATAACAATAACAACAACAACAGCATTGCCACTAGGTTGTCTCCTTTCCGGGATCAGCATAGACCAGCGACAGCAGAGCTGATCCAGTTTGATGGAGTTCAAAGCAGTGACAATACGAGCAACCATAATAATAGCAACAATCGTGGTAGGGGTGGTGAGGTACTGGTTCCAATGCACACATTCGAAAACAACAACGGCTACAGTAACAACAATGGATATAATGGCCGGTCGGCATATCGAAGGTCGAGTAGCTCACGCTCACGATAGAAGAAAAACGAAAAAAGAAAAATAAAAGAGCAAGGAACAAGAGAAATACCAAGACCGACAGAGAGATGAGATGAAGGAAGGCCGCAGGAAGAGAAGAAGGAGAGATTGAAGCATGACAAATAACCAAACGAGTTTTGATTGCCCTCTCCTTCTTTTTTGTTTCATTATACTATCGTTACTATCTACAATCATATAATACATCAGTCTCTTGTTCTTTATATATATATGATGATAATGATGACAAACACGGGAAGGCTATGCAATTCGCCATAGATGTATTCAAAAGAGAAGAATAGGTAATCAAGTGGATCAGAAGTGTGAGCTGCACACTTTTTGCCAGCCTTCTTTCCTCTGTCTCTTTGTCATCAGGAAAGAGTCCACGGAAAAGTTTTTTTTTAAAAAAAAAAAAAAAAAAAAAAAAAAAAAAGATTGAATCTACAACAAGAAACGTTGCAGCATGCCAAGTAAGCTACGGTTGCGAGGCGAGATTAAAAGAAAAGAAGGGAGAAAAAGACATAGTAGGACAAGGCAGATAGTTCAGGATGGTATTGAACTTTTTTTTTTTTTTTTGCTTGAGTGGATTATGTGTTCGCCACATGTATTTTTGGATGTGGACTGCACATGGACAAACATTTTAACTTACTGGTATGCAGGAGAGTTCTCTGGACGGCGAAGCGAAATGGGGAGAAACAGATCTGGAATGAATTGGTAGGGATTTGTGCATACATGTTCATATTAGCAGCTAACAGCCAGTTGGATGACAATACGCGTGTCATGTTGTAGCCAATGCCATTGGCAATGTCCATGTATGAACTGTTACCATCGAACCTTGCTGTTTCTTTTTTTATCTTACTCCATCCACTAATCTTTATTTTTTTTATTTATTTATTTTTTTTTTTTTGCTTCCTAAACACTTGAACAAACCATTCAGAACAGGAAAAAAAAAAAAAAAAAAAAAAAAAACAGCACCTCTCTTTTTCTTTCTTTTCCTCGCTTGTCTTCCCACTTCTCCTCCTCTCTACATCTTTTGTGCCTTGTAGATCCCAACATTATTCTTTGCTGAGTCCAAATACTCATATTCATACTCATACCCATACTCATATTCTTACATCCATCCCTCCTGGGGGTTGCGCTCGATCTTTGTGCACCTATTTAATACACAGCTAGAACGAATAGCGACCATGACTACTACAGCTACTGTATCGACACCTTCAGCCTCGTTCGCCCGTCGTACTGCAGAGGAAACCGCAATCCAGTTGGAGACCAATAGTGTCAGTGGACTGACAACACAGGAGGCAAACAACCGTCGGCTTCGCTATGGGCTGAATGAGTTTGATGTAGAGGATGAGGAGCCAATCTACCTCAAATTCTTCAAGAGCTTCTATGAAAATCCTCTGATCCTTCTCCTGCTAGCCTCAGCAGTTGTCTCCTTGGCAATGGGTCAGCACGATGATGCCATCAGCATTACTTTGGTAAACAACAATGCATTCTTTACATCTCTTTCATCCATTGCTCACTGATGATGAATATGATTCCGAAGAAAGAAGAAAAAAGTCTGTGAAGAGAAAAAGAGTTTATTACTTATTCATTTGCTTTATTGTTCTGATTACTAGGCTATTCTTATTGTTGTAACAGGTAAAGACATTTTGTCCATTTGACACAAGTTTAATTGATCACTATTCAATGTGGAGAAAGACGATAAAAAAAAACGAAAAAAGCAGACCGGATTAGTAACCATCCTAAACGGCAATCTAAGGATTGATCGGGAAAGAAGCATACAGATACAGGGGAGAGTAAAAAAAATTGCAATCTTCAGTGGCAATCCTGCTCTGCCCATTGAAAGGAACGAGTGCTGTTGGGAAGCATTGAAAAAAAAAAAAAAAAAAAAAAAAAAGAGAGACGGTCTGTCACCAGCATGAACAGATGGCATGTTTAGTAATGCACTTGATCCATATCTGGACGACAAAGGAAAGCCTCAGCAAAATGACATTGGAGTCTTTAGGAGGGCCAAGCTCTTTTTTTTTTTTTTTTTTTTTTTTTGGACGACAGTTGACGATTCAACTTTTCTGCCTTTATCATTACCCCTGGCGTTAAGAGACCTTGAGGGTGATTGGCTCCTACCAGTATATTTTTTTTTAAATGTTTTGTTCTTCGTGAAGGAATTATGTGTGGAGCTTTATGGTACACAGCTTCTTGTCCCTCGAATCCACAAAGAAATAACGTTGAGTGGGAGAATGATACGTGCATTTAGGAGGCAAAAGAAGTTGATGTTCCTATCCCTTCCTTTCTCTTTCATTCGCTCTCTTTCTCATTCTCCTTGGTCCATTATTATTATTTGAGTTGAGTTAAAAGAGGCGAGAATGAAGGACGCTAAACATGCTTTTCTGTTCTTTCTCCTTGGATGCCTTTTCTTTTAACTCCACTCGATCTAAAATGGGGATCGTGCATCTGCGATGTGCATGCAACTCAAGCTTAAAAAAGTTTACTGACCTGCAACTTTTTTTTTCTTTTTCTTTCTTTGAACGATGTCCAATTGTAGTCGCGTTTGTACAAGAGTATCGGTCCGAAAAATCGCTCGAGGCCCTGAACAAACTGGTCCCTCACCATTGTCATGTTATTCGGTAAGTCTTTGCCCCTTGTTTTTACAACCCATTCTCCGCTTTTGTCTACAAAGTTTAAAAAAAAAAAAAAAAAAAACCTAGTTTTTACAGAAACATTAGTGCACTTTTTTTTTTTATGATCCACTCCCGTTATCTTTTATATCTATTGGATACATTATGCCATCTTTTTTAAAATGTAACCTGTACACCATTCTGCGAGAAGGAGAAGCAAGTATTGAAGTTAATTCAATATAGGCTGTGTAATACAAATTGGTCTTTTTACATTTTGACGTAAAAAAAGTTACATGACAAGCGAAAACGTTCTGGATGTTTTTGTAATTGGACGATATGCTACGGGACAGAGGAAAAAAAAAAAAAAAGAGAGCCCTGCATGCATTGCATCTTCTTTTGCGATTCGTCCGATCCATCTCTGCAACACAGTTCAGTGGTTCCCTACTCTTTTTCCTTTTTTTTTTTTTTTTTTTTATAGAATTTCCTATCTTGTCAGTAACGAAGCTTTATGACTATTTGCCCCAAGCGCTAACTTTGTTGTGGCTCCCCGGCCCTTTTTTTTTTTTTTTTTTTTTTTTTTTTTCTCTCTTCTCATTGCTGGTCATAGCGATGATACTCAGACGTCGACATTGGCTAGTCAATTAGTCCCTGGAGACTTGATCAAGTTTGGCATTGGAGATCGTATCCCAGCGGACTGTCGTTTAGTGACAGCTATTGATCTAGAAATTGACGAGTCCAACTTGACAGGAGAAAACAAGCCATGCCGTAAGCAGACAGATGCGATCACTGAAAATGAATATGCAGAGCTCTCGATCACAGAACGAAAGAATATCGCCTACATGGGAACATTGGTCAGGAATGGACATGGAACGGGTATTGTAGTAGGCACATCCAAGGAAACAGAATTTGGAGTGGTCTTCTGTATGATGCAGGAGGTTGAGATCCGAAAGACTCCTCTGCAGTTGAGCATGGATGAACTGGGAAAGAAACTTTCGATGCTTTCGTTCATGATCATCGGTGTGATTGTGTTGATTGGATTGTTCCAGGGTAAACCATGGTTGGAAATGATGACCATCGGGGTCAGTTTGGCCGTTGCTGCTATTCCTGAAGGTCTACCCATTGTCGTCACAGTGACCTTGGCATTGGGTGTGCTGAGGATGGCGAACCGTAAGGCTATCATTAAGAAGCTGCCCAGTGTAGAGACTCTTGGATCTGTCAATGTTGTTTGTGCTGATAAGACAGGTAAGAAAAAAGCAAAAGAAATTTTTATTGGACTGAACCATGGTTGAAAAACTCACATTCTCCGTATGATTTCTCCTTTCTCTTTTATAATACAGGAACCTTAACTATGAACCAGATGACGGTGACTAAAGCCTTTACTCTTGCTGAGGGATTCCCAGTGGATCTGAACCAGGCAAAGACTGTGGATGTGGATCTTCATCCTGGATTGCGCCGTTTGCTTCAGGTTGGAAATCTTTGCAATAATTCTTTCTTGGACGAGCACTCCAAATGGATCGGACAACCTACGGATATTGCCTTGATCCAGATCCTCCAAAGCTTAGGACTGACAGATGAGCGCCCTGTATGTTTTTTATGCCCAACACCGTTCTCTTTTATAAAAAAAAAAAAAAAAAAACATGTTTATTAGTTGATATGGCGCTGACCATTTTGTACGTTTCCCTTAATTTGATAGATTTTCGAGCGTATTGCTGAATACCCTTTTAATTCAGACCAAAAGTTCATGCATGTCAAATGCGCGCCTTTACCCGGAGGCAGCCTTTCTGGCCACAAGCAAACGCCCGAACATGCAATTGATCCAACCAATGCCGCAGTGAGCCAAAGCGGATTGCCTGGTATATTTTACTTTAAGGGAGCATTGGAGCCAGTTTTAGAACGATGCGTGAACTATTATAGGAGCGAGAGTCAACATCTGCCGTTAGATGTCGAGTCCAAGGATAAGATTTCGGCCCAGGCAAATGAAATGGCATCCCATGGACTGCGCGTGCTGGCCATGGCGTTTGGTAGTGATCTAGAGAAATTGACGTTTGTGGGTATTGTCGCCATGCACGATCCTCCAAGACCTGGAGTTGAAGACAGTATCCGCACACTGGCTGGAAGCGGCGTCAAGGTGATTATGATCACAGGAGATGCTGGTATGTAACAAGCTTCTTTTTTTTTTTTTTTTTTTTTTTTTTTTTGACTTTCCCCATTAATTTAGAGGTATTAACAAATGATTTCTTTTTTCTTTTCTTTTTCTGCTTGAATGATTCGTAGATGCTACTGCACTTTCAATTGCTCGACGATTGGGATTCCCGATCAACCCAGGCAAATCATCATGCTTGACCGGGGCTGAGATCGAGGTGATGACTGAGCGCCAATTGCAGGATGCTGTAGGACATGTCTCAGTGTTTGCACGAACGACACCTAAGCACAAGATGGCAATTGTATCTGCATTTCAAGCAAAGGGTTGTATTGTTGCCATGACAGGCGATGGAGTTAACGATGCACCAGCATTAAAGCTTGCAGATATTGGTATCTCGATGGGTCGGAGTGGTACAGATGTGGCTAAAGAAGCTGCGGACATGATTCTTGTGGATGATGATTTTTCAACTATCCTTGCGGCCGTAGAAGAGGGTTAGTTTACTTCTCTTCTCTTTTTGTCTATTTTTTTCCCCCTCTTTTTTTAAACAAGTTTAATACTAACAATCACCAATCCTCTTTGTTCTTATTTTAGGCAAATCCATTTTTTATAATATCCAAAACTTTTTGACTTTCCAGCTCAGCACAAGTGTCGCAGCCTTGACATTAATTGCCACGGCAACGCTTTTTGGACTCAACAACCCTCTGAATGCCATGCAGATTCTCTGGATCAGTAAGTTATTGAGGGCTCATATTGCGAATAACACTTGATCTATTAGATTCATTACTGTGATACCATATCTAATTTTTTCTTTTCTTTCTTTCTTTCTTTTTTTTTTTTTTTTTTTTCCGTAGATATTTTGATGGATGGCCCACCTGCACAATCTTTGGGTGTTGAACCAGTGGACGACGATGTGATGAAGAAGCCCCCACGCGCACGCGATGCAGCGATCTTGACACCACTTTTGATTCGCCGAGTTCTGACCTCGGCAATGATTATTGTAGTGGGCACGATGTTTGTGTATGTGCACGAGATGACAGATGGCCATGTCACAGCACGCGATACGACGATGACTTTTACGACGTTTGTGTTCTTTGATATGTTTAATGCATTGGCATGTCGATCTGAAAAGAAGTCGATCTTCAGCGTTGGATTCACGACGAATAAGATGTTTAATTTCAGTGTGATGGGATCAATTCTGGGTCAATTCTTGGTGATTTACATGCCATTCTTCCAGACAGTGTTCCAAACGGAGGCATTAACGCTCACAGATCTCTTGGGAATCACACTGTTGACCAGCTCGGTCTTTTGGGCAGAGGAGGCACGCAAGTTCTTTGGAGTAAAGAAAGGACAGAAGATGCATGGCCGAGGTGCCAACCAAGGATTCCGACGTGTAGAAACAGAGGATGGTGAAGCATTTGAAATTGTTTAAACGAGAGATATTATAGCATAAAAGGATAGCTTTCTAGAAACAGAAACAGGAAGAGAAACCATAATTAACACTTCACATCACTACCATTTCATAATAATAATAATAATAAAAAAGTAACGTGTTGCACAATGGTCAAAGAACCAAGAAGAAAAGTCATGACTCCCCGCTTACACATAAAGAACACAAAAACAAATCCAAACGAACTCTTTCTCCCTCTTTCTCCCTCTTTCTCCCTTCCCTGTCTGTTTTCTGTTTACCCCCTTTTTCCCTTTTTCCTTTTTTCTTCCTTTTTGTGTTCTCCATTCAGTTCTTTCATTTAACATTTTTCATTCGTTGTTACTTTTACATTCGGCTTCGAGCTTCTTATTTCTTTCTTTCTCTCTCTCTCTCTTTTTTTTTTTTTTTTTTTTTTTTTTTTCCTTGTCTTTCTTTCTTGCTCTACTTTGCTGCAGGTTTTTCTTGTTATTGTCAACTGCTGTGTTCAACTAGACCATTCAGAGTCATGGCTCTCACTGCTGTTCACCCATTCAAACAATACTCGCGCGAGCAGCAACAACAGCAACAAAAGTTACAACCTCAGTTCCAGCATCCACGCGACCAAGCTTCTTGGTTAGCGCAACAGTACTCGCCATGGTGTCTACTACATATGTTACTTAAGCATCATCCTAGCCTAGTCTCTACTCCATTGCTAGAGGAACTCTTACCCCCACTTGCACTTTCTTACACCTCTTACTCTTTGCCTCAATCACATTCGCAGTCGCAGTCGCAGTCCCAGGCGCAGTCGTATCCATCGCAGTATTCGCAGTCAAATACTAGCACTACGCCGATACCGGATCATCAAAGTTCTAATCCACAGTCGCCATCCCATCCTGCACCATCGGTCTCTACCGCAGGCACAAACACAAATGTTACCCCAAAGGCAAAGGCTTTCCTATCTCGGTATTTAGTACAGCGGCTTCATTTTGGGTACTATGGGAATAGAGCCAGATTGTCCGAGTCTGCGGTTCGCTATTTGACAGCTCGAGCGCGGCTTGAGTATGGCTATTTTGTAATCCGCGGACGCGCATTCTGGCATGTCACATCAGAGGATTTGGCGGAGGAACATCAACAGGACATGATGAATATTGTCATCCCGGGGGGTGCGACTCCTTCAAAAGTTGATCGAGATGCAAAAGTAGTAGAGAGTGGAGTTGGTGCTAGTAGTAGTCGGTCAGGAGGTTCATCATTAGATCAGCAGCGACAGCAACAGCAACTACCACCGCCGCAGCAACAACGACGGCAACGGCGGAATCATCAACAGCAAGATCTACATCAGCAACACAATCTACAGCAGCAACATAATAATGGACAATCATCGTCTCAAAACCAGCATAATCAAGGGCCTGGTTCCGGACAAGATGGTGCAGACGATCCCAGCGGAAATAAGGATGAAGAGTCATCAGCTGAGACAGTGTCACAACAGGCTGCGTCAGCCCTTCCTAGTAGGAGACGAGGAGGAGGGGCTAGGTCAGGTTCAGGCTCTAGTGGCAGTAGATCTGGTGTAGGCTTTAATGGGGACAATAAGACTGAGATAATGGACGAAGATGAAAGACGGCAAAGGATCCTTAAGAGGAACCAGCGCTGCGAGGAACGTGAAGAGCAATTGTTGATGTTGGAGGCAGTCCGGTATCTAGAGCGGAAACAACCAGAGCTCATTGACTTGCTTATGCCGATACTGACTTCAGCAACAGTTACCAAAGGGATTCAGTCCCAATCATCGTCGCGACCTTCGACAATCTCAGTGATCCCATCATCAGCACCGTCATTTCCCATGGACATATCTGGAACTACTCCAAGCACTTCTATGATGTCAGAGCGGCAGGAAGCAGCCATACAATGGGCGCAAGTTGCGTTAACCGCACGGATGGGCTCGTTGACAGAATTGGATGACGATCTCCTGATCCATATTCCTTCATCTCCCTTTTTGACCCGGCCCTACGATTCCCTTTGGATGAGGCATCTACAGCATCCACCTTCGACAGTACCTCAAGGCTTTATGAAGCCTCTTTCTGAAGCCAGTAAAAATGATCACCCATTGGGGCCAGATGGAGGTATGCGCATGGTTCAGGATGATGCCCGGCTCTTCCAAATTTCCACAGGGATCTTTGATAAACTTGCAACACATCCAAAAAAGTCTAAAAAACCGCCACCCACAATCATCGAAAGTGACCTGTCTTACTCGTCAGGGACAATACGGGACCTGATTTTAGAGTATGGATACATGCCTTTGCCCGAGGACGATGCAGATCGAAAGTTACATTATCGAGGAGGTAGCGACAGAGCTCCCACAGGAGAGACGGAGGTGTTCCCAAGTGATGGGACTCATACGGCCAACAAGCGTAGTGCGAAGGGCCCAGGAACATCAATTTGGTATTTTTATGATTTACAACCTGTAGAGGTTATGGTCGGATATCTGGTCCATCGAGTCCCTGAAGTGTTAGATTTGTTGTTTCAAAAGGGGTTTGAGCTTTTGGCTCGGCCAGAGCCAGGAATGCCAGGCATTTCTCGCGCAATGCTGCTACAGTGCTGTCTACCGGGATTCCATGCCATGCTCCGTCATATCCTTCAACGGCCGTCGGATTCTCATTTAGCCAGGTTATTACCGCCACCTCCGACACTGCCTACAATTGTTCGGACGATCAAAAATGAGTTGATGGGATTTGGTGAGAAACCTAGGCGAATTGAGTTTACACAGCAGGACTTTGCACAGGTTCTGAGGGATGTGCCAGTATTACATCTGAGTGATACATTGAATGTCTTGACTGAGATCGGGATGCAAGTTTCGGTTGTTCAGGAACGGCTGGTCGGACTATTGCAGGCCCCAGGAGGCATTGCACCCGTCAGTGTGGAAAAAGACGCGCTGTCTACTTTGGTAATTTTCTTTACGATGGACACTTTTATACATTATTGGTTCCTTTTTGTTGTGGTTGTTGTGAGTGCTATTGCTGTTACCGTATTCTGACCAATACCATCTCACTTAATAGTTTGTTAACTGTAATCAGGAAACCAAACCTTCGGCGTCTGAATCGCTAATGTCAGCGACGGCGCTTGTTAATCTCGCAATCCAACAATCATTTGAGATCCAGATGGATATCACGGAGGTACGGGATAGAGAGTGGAAACATGAGTTCGAGGAGACAATCATGAATCTCAAACGAATGGAACTGATTGTTCATCCCGATGTCTCGGAGTGGGTCATGTCTCTGTTGGACCCTCGACAATTGGCATTTAAGATTTGTTTTGATCATGCGCTGATGGAAGCACTTTTGGGGATCTCAGAGTGGAATGTAGCACAAATGAGACGGCTCAGGAGATGGACCCGACAACAGGAACAAGAAGCTAGGATGAGAAATACAGGAATGGGACGTCAGTGGGAAGAAGTAAAGCGGCAGCTATTGGTTGTAAAGTATGCTGATCATGATCATTATAATGCTGGAGAGGGTACTGAAGCCAAGAAGAGACTTGGATTGGACATTGAGTGGACCACGAATGACCTGATCACTTTGGCAACATCTACGTTGGTGGCAGAGAAGCCCTTTAGCAAGACATGGTGCGAGATGATTCGAATCAGCGATGACGGATATTTGTTGTTGGACAACGGATTCCTTGATCAGTCACCGCTCCTATTGGATCAATGGACGACGATGATGACGGCTGGAGAATGTTTAAAAGCGGATGATGGTAGTATTTTGCTTGAGTCGAATATACAAATGTATGAGTTTCTGAGGATGAATGCTAAAATTGAAGAGAAGCATTGGATCTGGTTAGCAATGGGGTTAGTGACAATATCATTGCAAGGATCCCGTGTGATTGAGATTTTAGACTCGGAGCTAAACTTACCAAGGCCGGTAATGTTATCGACGAATAGAAGCAATGTTGTAACTAGTGGCGTAAGAGGCTCGGTTCCGGTCAGGATGGCTTGTTCGCCACAGGCCTACCAACTGGTGTGGATGATGGCATTGGCGTATGTACGGCAGTCATTAAATTCATACACGCCATCTCATCCTCCTGCAGTGATGATGCACTCAAACCAGGATCAGCAGCAGCAGCAACAGCAGCAGTACGTTGAATTTGGGACAATTGTAGCTTCGCCGGCTTCTTCAGCAGCAGCATTACAAGGCTCCTCAATCTTCTCACCCATAGCGCTATCAACTACATCCTCACCAGCAGCAAGGGGGGCAGGAGGAGTAAACACAGCCACACCAGTATCGCCTCCATTGTCTCCAGTGCCACAATCAACATGGAGGACAACGATGCGTGGATTGCAGCGGTTCTTGACAACACGTTTAGGACCAGATGCACGGTTAGTGGTCGAGATCCTCTTGGAGATCGAGGCGGACCTTGGGGATGTGCTGCTCGATAGTGAAGAGATTTTGAGGGAGCCACAAGATTAACCATAGGCATTTGCAATTGTAAAATAAAACATAAAATAATAGATAAAAATAAAATTAATTGGGATGTCTGTTCCTTCCTTTTTGGGAAGGTGAAATATGCATTGTGGCTCCGATTTCACTTAATGATGCAACTGTCGCATATTGTTCGTTTTCTTTTTTGTTCTCTACCTTTTTCATTACCATCAAACATTGACCTTACACCTACTCATTATCTCTAGAAACTTGATGTAAGCTTCATGTATATTAAGCTTTTGACTTTACAAAGAAATTTAATATTGGTATAACCACATAGTTTACAGACACACAACACCATGGGGAGATGTGAAGTGTTACTGTCACATGACACTACGAGATTGTGGGTCATCTGCGATCACTTTGACCTTTACCTAATGCTCATTGCTCATTCTTAATAAACCTCTTTCGACTTTCTTTCTTTTCCTTCTTTCTCTTTCATTTCTTTCATTCTCCTCCAAAACTCTTTGTCTTCCTAAACACTTCTTCTTACCCTCGTCCAGTATCCGTTCATATTACTTTCTCATATACATCATGAAACTCTATGCTCTCTTCGTTGTCCGCAACAATGTCAAGCCCGCCAAGACTGTGATTGATGCCAAGGATCTCAGCGGCTTTGGCTTCTTCCAGAGGTCAAGGTAAAAAATAAAAAAAATAAAAAAACATCAGCAAAACCTTTTTTTTAAAATGAAGCTCAAGTCAGGACATCCACTAGAAAAAAAAAAGGAAGGAGGACAACCCATCTTTATCCCACAATACACAACAACACAATGAATCATGGAGCGTTGAAAAAATACTACAGCAGCATCATTTTGGTCACGATTATGTCTATTTATGCAGAAATCAGAAGGAGTCGATAAAAAAAAAAAATACGCAAACTTGCAGGACAACACTGCCAAGGATTTTTTTTTTCTGATATACGTGGCGTTCTATCCTCAATATTTTCTTTTAATAGTGTGGGCGAGTTCATGACATTTATGGCGCAAACCATTGCTGAGAAGACACAGCCAGGGCAGCGTCAGAGCATTGAAGAATCCAGTAATGTATCCTTTTATTTTATTTTATTTTGTTTTTGTAGGCATGAATGATTGCTGATACGCTTTCTTTTTTTTCTCCCATTCGTCCATTTGGTCATTTATAGGCTATGTGGGGCATGTGTATGCAAGATCAGAAGGTGTTGCAGGAGTAGTGGTGACGGATAAGGAGTATCCTACACGAGTGGCATTTGGACTGTTGAACAAAATTCTGGACGAGTTTACGTCCAAGTATCCGAACCCTGCGTTATGGGCATCGCCTGAACAGATTCAATACCCAGAGTTGCAGCAGTATTTGGTCACATACCAGGACCCCAAGCAAGGAGATACGATCATGAAAGTGCAACGTGAGCTGGATGAGACGAAAATCATTCTCCACAAGACAATTGAGAGTGTGCTTGAGCGAGGCGAGAAGATGGAAAGTCTGGTAGAGCGTTCAGATGTGCTGTCGAGTCAGTCAAAGATGTTTTACAAGACAGCAAAGAAGCAAAACTCCTGCTGCGTTATCTGCTAAAAGAAAGAAAGGAGAGTCAACAAAAAAAAAAAGAAGATACATCGCCAATAGTTGGAAAAAGTACAGTAAAAGATACAAATATAAACAGCATTGTTTTGTTGCCAATTTTTTTTTAAAAAAAAATCCTTGATGTCACGCTTATTTAAAGTTTTTATTGGTGGCAAAAAAAAAAAAAAAAAAAAAAAAGCATTATTTTACCATTTCACAATCTTCAACAATCATCAACTTGAACAAAATGACATGTCTCAGTCGGAAAGACAATAATCTGCTTAGAAAGCAAGAATGGCAACTCTTATTAGGGGCTAATAATGATATTGTAAATGCAGCAACAGCAACAATTCCACCTGTTGTTCCTGCAATATTCAAACAAGATACATTCCTAGTCAAAACACTGTTTTCAGAAGCGGAAAAGTACTATTTGATTTTGATTACAAACCTGAAGCAATGCTGGTTTGAAAAGATGCAAATTGAAGATATTCGACGGCGGTCCATGGTAACAAGTTTGAGGAAAAGATCTACTTTCTTTTTCCTAACCCTCAATCTCCTAAAATCTATTGTTGACTTCATTATCCTTTTTTTTTTTTTTTTTTTTTTTTTTTTTTCCAAGTGTAGAAAATAAAGAGTTTTGCTTATGAAGAAGATACTCAACTAGAAGCATTACTTTTATCACTCTCAGCCATCTTTAACAAGGTAGAGCAGCAGCAACAGCAAAATAATCAGCAGCAAGTCCCTGAGCTGGAACAACAGCGACGAATTGAAAAGCACTGTGAAAAAGTAAGGAAGCATAGTATCAAGTTTTATTTTTATTTTTATTTTTTTTTTTAAAAAAAAAAAAAAAAAAAAAAAAAAAAAAGCAATTACTAACTTTTAATGATACATAGTTATCACTTTTCGTTGGATTTAATTTTGGTTTGGCAAGCGTACAATGGGAATTCAAGTTGACGCCATTATTAATGGAAGCCACACCAGCCTCATTCAGTCCAGCAATAGGCACCAATGACGACAACAACAACAACAACAACAACAATTTGGATGATGACGAAGAGTTGCTATCCATATTTCCTAAATCCACTTCTAGAACTGGCGCTGGTACTGTCACTAGCTCTAAGCAGTTAGAGAAACGGACAAAAAGATTCTTAGAGGACAGTGACCTTGAAGACGCAACAAATAATGATATGATGGATGATGAGGATGAAGGTGAAGAGGAGGATGATGAAGAGGAAGGGGATGAAGATGACGCCGAAGGAGATTATGATTATCTAGACCGATATGATCGTGAGGGAAGAGATAGTATTGGAACTAGAGCCGAAAGTAGATCAATGAGACGTAAAAAAAAGAAACGAGTTGTCCAGGGAATGGCCGTGATGTTTGATCAGTTGGTGTTACCGCTGGTCTCAGTTTCCAATGCGTATCGACGTCAGATCAAGGCGTTAGAAATGGTGATCAAGTCAAAAGAGAATGAAGTTGTTGAAGCACTGGAGATGTTGGAGCAAAATGGGATAAATTATCATAACCGACGAAAGGCGACAGAACGTTATGATAAGCAAAAGACAGAAACCAAGTTAAAGGAGGTAAAAAAGACATTTGCATGTTTTAAAAAAGGATTGAACATAAATATTGACAGTTATTGAGCGTTTTTTTTTTTTTTTTTTTTTTTTTTTTTTAAAAAAAAAATAGGATCTCGAAAAACTCATAAGGCCTGATCTCTTCACGCCGAGAGAACTGTTTTCAGGGAAAAACATCCCTGAGTTATGTTCAATCGTGTCGGTCAACGCTGGCAAGCGAGGTAAAACGTGGAGATTTTCATCTGAAGTATCTTTTTTTTTTTTTTTTTTTTTTTTTTGATGGATTGATAAAGTTTTAATGTATTTTATCTTATTTGTACAAATAGATTCTCATCCATCATCTTTGGATAGTAGAGTTACTCTTCTTTCACAAGATCCTACTCTATTGACTCAAGCCATACGTGGAGCTCAAAAGAACAGTGGCACTACTGGCAGAGCAAGAGTTGGAGCCGCTGCTACATCTGGCACGGATGAAAAGGTAAAAAAAAGAAAAAAAAAAGAAAAAAAAAAAAACTATTCATTTTAAACAAAAAGATCTAATGCTACACTGTTTTACTGCTGAATGAAAATGACTGATATATTACTTTCCTCTCTTATCCATATTAAAATGATAGGCACTCAAAGAGGCTCAAGAGCTGGAACGTAGACGGGCACTTCAGGAACAGCTAGATAAAGAGAAAGTAGCAAAGGAACGGGCACATAAGAAAAAGAAGTTGTTTTAGATTTTTAAGCCACTCTTGCTCTCCGAGGGATCTGCATGCACCACTTTTTACTCTTTTATTCTTTGACTCCTCATTCACTCCTCACTCTTCACTCTCAGCTCTTTTCCTTCATTTCTTCCTTCATTCTCTACAATGACATTCCGAACGCTGATCCCATTGACTCGTCAGGTCGCATTCGCACCCTCCCGCCTCTTTTTCTCTACTTCGATTTCTCGCCTTAATAGTGTTGTGTCTGCAACTCCACCTGCAGCCTTGAATGAAGGCGAAAAACACATTTATACCAAGCTTTTTGAAAAGTTTCAACCAAGCAAACTAGTTGTTGAAGATATTTCTGGTACTAAAATATATATAAGCTATCCATACACTTTTTTTTTTTTTTTTTTTTTTTTTTTTTCCCTAGTAAATAATATTCCTAATCTACAACAAATTGGATGAATTCCTAATTTTCATAGGTGGTTGTGGATCCATGTACCAAGTTGAAGTGGTTAGTCCAGAGTTCAAGGGTTTGACCATGGTCAAGCAACACCGTCTTGTGAACGAGGCATTAAAGGAAGAAATTAAGGGCATGCATGGTATCCGTTTGACAACTAAGGCATCTACGTGAAACAGTAATGTCAGTAATATAATAAAGAGGAGGCTTTTTTTTTTTTTTTTTTTTTGAAAGCATCTTAGCATTTTTTTTTTTTTTTTTTTTTATGGACTACAATTGTCGAATGTCGTAGAGTAAGAAGGATTGCTATATCGGAAGTATTGACGAAAAGGAACCAGGAGGGAAAGAAAATCCAGTTATCATTGCCAGAACACAAAATTGAAAGTATGAAAGGAAAAAAAAAATGACATTGTGCATGAGAAAAAATAATAATAAAAAAAAATGACAAAAATCGGAATGACAAAACAAAAAATCATTTCGAGGGAGTTGAACAATTGAACAGCAGGGCGATTGGAGCTAGTAGTTTCTCTTTTTCGCCGGTACACAATCACTCCTCATCATCCTCCAAATGATCGCCACCGCCCATGTTCAGTCGCTTGTCTTTCTCCACCTCGAGTTGTCCATATAACAAATACAACGCCTTCTCATTTGATTCAGTAGTGCCTACAATCGTAAACATACGCTCGCCGGACTCGTCATGAGGCGTCTTGGCAATGGAAATACGCGATCCAGATAGACGGCGGATCTCCGAGATCTTGGATCCGCCTTTGCCAATGATGCATCCCACCATGTCTGCGGGGATCGAAATCTCCTGCGTCCGAAGGTTAGCATTGTTAGCAGGTGCGCCTCCGAAGGCTTCGGGACGATTGCGAGTGAAATCCGAGCCATTACCGGTACGAGATGTATAATTGGAGTTTGAAGAGCGTGATCCACCGCCGCCACCACCACCCGCAGAATTCATAGATCCATAGCCACCCATTCCAGGTCCACCGGCACCTACACGTGTTGTTGCCGAGGGGTTATACAGCACTGTGCCCTGACCACGCTCCCAATCGTCTACAAGACACTTGCCAATTTCATAGATAGCGATACGGATTGCATCAACCGTTCCTTGAACTTCAACCACACGCTCTGTGGACTGAGGCAACATTTCTTTGGAAGCAACCATGCGAGCCGAGGAAGTGTCCTGGATGTGCTTAATCTTGAGGCCCTGGCGGCCGATAATGGTGCCCATAAGGTTGTGTGAGATCAACAATCGAATTGATGATGTCTGAGCAACAGGTCGCAGAGGGTTAACTGGAGTTGTAGGAGGTGAAGAGGTGATAGGATTCTCAAGCAACGTCTGGGCGATGAGCGAGAAGGCCTAAATGAAAAAAAAAAAAAAAAAAAAAAAAAAAAAAAAGTGTAAGCGCATGGGATTTTTTTTTCTTAGTTCGTCTTAATAACACTATGAGAGCCCATAGATACTTTTTCTACAAAAAGAAAAAAAAAAAAAAAACCACACACTAATGAGGCTGCACACATCACACAAAAAATAACAAATGTAACGTGCAGCAGGGTCCTTCTCTTTTGATTCTGAACACAGGCATACACAAAAAAAACTTTTGTATGGTGGCTGTTATTTGTTGTTATTGTAAATGAGACCCACATACGTATTCCTTTTCCTAGTCCACGGAGCAATATCCCACACTATTCTGTTCATCTCTTGTGTTGTGCTAAATGGCATGGAATGAAAAGAGAAACGATGAAAGTGAAAGGAAAGAGAGCGGAAGGAAAAATGAAGAAGGAGATAAGACTTCTCATATCCTTAACCAACTCTTTTATAAAACCAAAATGGTAGAACTTAATCATAAGACAAAAAATAAATTCTCCATTAACCCATTAGGATAGGAGGTCAAAACATAGAGCTTATAATTTACCTTGGCAACACCTTCAATGGTGCCAGTAACAGTCAAGACGCGATCGTGAACACCCTGAACCACCTTGGAGACGCCAGCTTTGACACCAGTTTGGTCTCGAAGATCAGCCACATTTTTTCCTCCTTTACCAATGATGACTCCAGCTTCCTTTGTCGAGACTAAGGCACGCAAGGTTAGAGGAGCCTCTGCATCGAATCCCTCACCACCGTTGCCTTCGCCTCCATGATGCTGATCATCATGGTCATGGATATCATAGTCATTGTTACTGGTATTGACATTGTTGTTATTGATAGCGGAAGGTGCAGTAGCCATTTTTTTTTTTCTTGAAGTCTTAAACTTGACTTTTGAGTTGAGCAGTGTATGAGGAGGAGGGTCTATTATTAAATAAACAAGGTAAAGCGTGCGACAGAGAAGGACAGAAAACAAGCAGTTTATGTGAGTTACTTGTTATCGGGTGTGTGAGTATATGTGCGAAGAAGAGAATTGAGGGAGAGGAAAGGTAGAATGAGCACATCCACCACGTACGCGTGTCGTACTGCCTCTAAAAAAAATAAAATAAAATACATTAAAATAAATAAAATAACGATCAATTACTCAATTCATACAGATCGATGTGCGAGGAAAGAGAAAAGAAAGAGCGCGAGAAAGAGAAAGAGGGAGAGGGAGAAAGAGAGAGGAAAGGAGCGAAGAAAAAGAGTAATTTGTAGAGAATGAAGGAGAGAAGGGAGAGGTGAATGAAGTGATGAGAAGTAGCACGGATACTTGAAGTAGCGCGGTATCACGTGGTGAATGGACCCTTAATTATGTTGACAATTACAACGAAGTTTGTTTTGATGGCAACCTTCTTGGTTTTTATTTTTTATAATGAATATGGATCTATCGTACAATAGGATTGGATAATGCTCAGAAAAGTATACTAAAGGGGAGTCAGTATAATGAGTTGAGTTGGGCGTTAAGTTTTCTGTTCTTTTTTTACAAGAACATTTGGCCAGACTGGGTGGTAACAGTTGAAATCTTCTGAATGGCATTGATAAGGGCAGCAGTACGGAAGTCAGTGTTCTTGAGTGCAGCAGTGGCACGGGTCTCTTCGCAGGCACCAATCATGGTATCCTCAAGGCCAGAGTAGACGAGCTCATGCTCCTCAGCTCCGTGGATGACAGCGCGACGCTCCTGAGGGGTCAACTGGCGGCCAGCGTTCTCCTCAACCAAGGTCAAGAGCTTGTCCTTACCAGCCTCCTCCCACTTGCGGGACATACGGCCGAAACGGACGTGCGACAAGTTCTTGAGCCACTCAAAGTACGAGACAGTGACTCCTCCGGCGTTCAACAACAAGTCAGGAATGACGACCTTACCCTGGGCAACGAGGTAGTCATGCGCAGCAGGGGTGATGGGGCCGTTGGCGGCTTCACCAATGATCTTGGCCTTGATGTTCTTGACGTTTTTGAGGCCGATCTGACGCTCAAGGGCAGCAGGAATCAGGATATCGCACTCGCGTTCCAAAATCTTGATAGGGTCCTCGATCATTTCTGCACCATTGAAGCCACGGAACGATCCCTTCTCGCCACGGTACTTGAAGAGAGCCTCAACGTCGAGGCCGTTGGGATCATAAGCAGCAACATCGTGTTCACCAATACCAATGATCTTAGCACCGTTGTTGTGGAAGAACTTTGCAGCCCAGTAGCCGACGTTTCCAAAGCCTTGGACAATGATAGACTTGCCTGCGATCTCGCTGGTCAAGCCAGTCGCCTTCTGGATCTCTGGGAACTGCAAGAACTCACGGATACCATAGTAGACGCCCAGGCCGGTGGCCTCATTACGGCCGCGGACACCTCCCTGCGAAATAGGCTTGCCGGTGACGCACCCAGCAGCGTTGACATCCTGGGGATTGAACTGACGGTAAGTGTCCATGATCCAGGACATCTCGCGAGGGCCGGTTCCGACGTCAGGGGCAGGAACATCCACACCAGGTCCGATAAAGTTCTTCTGGCAGAGCTCCATAGTGTAGCGACGAGTGATGCGCTCGAGTTGAGCAGGGGTGAACTTCTTGGGGTCGAGCTTGACACCTCCCTTAGCACCTCCAAAAGGGACATCGACGACAGCGCACTTGTAGGTCATCAAGGAAGCCAAAGCCTCGACCTCCTCGAGGTCAACCTCATCCGAGAAACGGATACCTCCCTTGCAAGGGAGGCGATGACGAGAGTGCTGGGCACGGTAGCCCTCGACGATGATGTGGGTATCAGGATCGACTTCGACTGGGAACTTGACGCTTAAGACCGAGTCAACAGCCCTGATGCCAGTCAAGGTCTTTTCAGGGACACCGCTGATCTTGGCAGCCTATATCAATCATGATGTTATAGATATGTAGCACATGTTAGTTAATATAGTACGTAATGACTAATAGATAATCGTGGGCTTTAAAGTTACTCAAGGGCAAACAAGTTAGAACAAATCAAGGAATGAAAGGGATTCAAGAGCATCGGGATAACTATGTTTTCTTGTTTGTCCATGCATTCTTAATGCACTCTGAGAAATCCTATCGGGTGATTGGCTCTTGCCCGCTCAATCCTAATCTCCAACCCGACGATCATTAATTGATACACAACAACAAACAAAATAAGATTATAAAAATAAAAATAAGAAATAAAAAAAGAGTCCCAAGTGCCGATCCTTTCCATCTGTATTTGTGTTACGGCTGTGTAAGGTTCGTAAGATCAGATCCATCCTGTAGTGCACATCTCTCGGGTCATTCCGTCTTTTCTCTATCTTGCTTTTGTACCCAATGGAACATTTTTGGCCCAGAGTAATGGGACTTTTAAGCCGGAAAAAGTCGCGAATAGAAAAATTAATGTACACAGGAAAGATAGGAACTTACGCGATCATAGAAAGTCTCGACAGAGCCCAGGAAACCAGGCTCGTGATCCTCACAGGCCGCGTTTGTGACATGGGTACTCAAGAAGCGGGCAGCGGGAACGGCAACAGAGGCACGGTGAAGGCGGATAGCTGAGGCAAGAGAGCTAGAGGGAATGAGGTTGCTTTTGATGTTAGCGTGAAAAAGGACAAAAACAGCCCACGAAATACACGAAATAAGATTTGTTTTTGTCGATCATTAATCAATCACAAAAATAACCAGTCAGGAATTCTCAATTCTCCAGTTGTTCAATTATTCCAAAAAGAGACACGAGCTCATTTGGTGACATGATCCTGATGACTGAAATGAGTTTCCGCAAAAAAAAAAAAAAAAAAGAAAAAAAAGAGGCGCAGGTCCTATCCTATCTTTCCTATCCTTCTATTCATTCATTTGCTCTTCTCTTAATGATAACGAGTCGCATGCAAAGTAAATCATAATGGGCACCGAGATTAAGGTCTATGGACTGGTTGTAAATTACATGTGTCCATTACATGCGAGGTTGAGTCCTTGAAGTGCCTATATCGTAGTTCCATCGCTCCATTGTCCGAGTGCCCCATTGCACATAGCCCCATTTCCCATTGCTCCATCCCTCCATTGTCCACTTTCCATTGTCCCATATGCTGATATGATTAATATGTATGAATCTTATCCATTGATATGTCATGGTTAGAAACTTACCCTGGAGTTCTGCGAAGAAGAGCTACAACCATTGTAGGGAAAGTGAAATTGAAGAAGAAAAGGCTAGGGTTAAACAGCGAAGAAGGGCAGGGCGGAAAGGTGAAGAAGGTGAAGAAGGTGAAGAAGGAGAGGAAGAAAAGAAGGAGGACATTTGAGTTGGAGCTATTATATTTATAAATGATCCAATATACTTTTTTGAATAAACAGTTTGTATTGAACTTGACTTGATCTGGCCTTGATCTGGCTTGGTCTGCCCTGTTACACATTGCTCGCGACGGATCGGATCCCTCATCTATCAATGCCCGTTGACCACACGAGCGTGTTTTTGTGTTTTGTGCTCATATATCAACTCTTATTTGTTACTTTTCTATCAGCTACCGTACTTCCGTATTCCCCTTCCCATCACTTTGCACTCTCAAGATGATATCCTTGACCCCTTTTCAATCCATGTCTCCGAGTCTGTTGACCACAGATGGACATGTTGTTGTTACGCTTTTTTTATTACTTTTATTTTTTTTTTATTGTATTTTTATTCTGTCAGGTTGCCCCAATTTTTTTTTTTTTCTTTTTGCCATCGCCGTGTTGGTATGGACAATATCGTAAGGCTCAAATATTTCTTTCCCTTTTCCTTGGGCTTTGCGCACTTTTTTTTTTTTTTTTTTTCCGCTTTGATGAATAAAGGTGACCCGTAATCGCAACACCCATAACTATGCTTATAGCATGTTGGAATGATTTGGTTGAAACGAAATCACACATTCCTTTAGATTTCACTATGGCTTTGTATAAATGACACGTTTAGATTTTTTATCCATATCAGAAACAAAAGATCCATCTATCACTTTCCTTGTGTCATGTAAGCTCTGATGCAACGAAACACATGTTAGATGATCGGTCTTCTTTATTATTATTCCTCTCGTCAAAATTCCCACGCTGGTCTCCCATTTGGAAGGTGATGAGGTCAATTCCTCTAAGCTGCATGCTTCAACAATTTCTTTTTATACCGTTACAAAGCTCGTGAAACGATTATTGCTATTTTACAACTAATAATGTGGCGAACAAGCAAGATCCAATAACGATTATCCAAATTCCACACTTGTGGTTGGCTCTCTGTAACTCTGCCGGCAGCCTGGAAGTTGGATCGCTGCATTGTGATCACTGTTTCATCCAATCAAATAGCCCTTCATCTTGATATTCTGGACACGAGATATACCCATCACCGTATGCAATGGCTCCATTGGTGGCCCGCAATCCAAAAATGAAAAATGAAGAATGAATATTAAACAATAAATGATGAATAATAGGAATTACAGCCTTTTTTTACGTGGTGTATCGTAAGGCAGATCCAGAGTAAATGTGTATCTTTTTTTTTTTTTTTTCCTTCAAGAAGGACACAAAGTGCTGGCGCAGAAGAAGGGGAGCAACGTAAATAGGTTTGTCCTCTTGGACCAGTTCGTTCTCACGAATACAAATTCAGGAATACGGAACGACAAATTGGCTTAGTTTTGTACAACTGGACAAGGAAAAGGTCATGAAAGTAAGGCTGTGGCCTGTAAAAGGGGGTTTCCCTTGAGGATATTTTTCGGACTCATAATCTTGAGACGCCTATGTCTCCAAAACTCACTCCTACATTTCCCCTTAATGGGAAAGTGAAATTGAAAAAAAATAAGCCCTTTGTTTTTCTTTTCGTCACTCTAAACAAACTCTACTAACTTTCTATCATATCATAAACATGGATGCTACCATTGCTACAAAAGCCATTCAAGAACTCTACACGAGTTACCGTGCTGCAGAACGCGCTTGGATCAATTCGATTTCCACTTCAGAGTCCCATGCATCATCTGCTGCTATACAGGATTGCTCACTTCACTATGGAGAGTTAGCCTTTGTCCTTGCAGGTCTCAAACCATGCGTCTTGGTTCAAATGCCTACATCCGAACTGACCCAAAGCTTGTATCATCAGGTCCTGGAGTCGTACTGGCTAAAATTAGATGTTTACAAACTTCATCAACAACAAAAACAACAACAACAACAGCCTCAGCAGCATCTGCATAGACCATTTTCATTAGGACTAGATTGTCGATTGATCACCCGAAATATCTGTTCTCCTGAAATGTCACTCCAAGGCTGTGTCCTCATCTGGTCCAACCAGACGATCCAATCCCATCCGCAAACTGCAATCATCCAACACGCCATCCATCAACTCTTTTCTTCTCCTTCTCTCTCTTCAGATAATGCCACAAATGTTATTTCTGACCATGATTTAGCCATTATGCTCGATATTCCTGGTAGACTTCCAGAGAACTCTCTCGAGATCCAAAACATGATAGAAGTCTCGTACTGGGACCAAAAAGACGAAAACTATAGGACTATGAGCAGCAGTCATAGCAATCAAAACAACAATAGTCATACAGAGGCCAATGATGACGAGCAAATTAAATCAACAGCCTCTTCTTCGCCAATACTCTTGACAGCGTTCGCTGCTCAGCCTGATCAGATACCCGCAGTACAAGCCCATTTTCAAAAATATAAAAACACTGTCAGCAGCGTGTTTGGAATAAAACTAAAGCTACATATTCAAGCCATGGCGGACATGGCCTAATTCAATTTTTTTTTTTATCTATTTTAAAAAGAACAACAACCGCTATGTATTATTTGTATTGAAGAGAAAATAGTTTTTTTTTTTTTTTTTTTTTTTTTTTTTTTTCGTAGATTTTTTTCCTTCTATTAACTCAAGTACAAGTAGTTATAATCAGAGAGTGAGAAAATGAATGAGTAGTCGCAGTTAGCGACGGCAAGATCCATCCAGTACAAAGAAAGAGACTATAAATGAAGGAAGGAAAAGAAAAAAGAAAAAAAGCATATAACCTTGGAAGGGACTTGTCTCATCTATTTTCGCCTACTCGAACGCGAACTTGAGCTTTCTGGTGATCCCTTGCGAGATGCCTTCCCTGAAACTGCTGGGGATCCCTTTCTGGATGTTGCAGGCGAGGCTTTGAGAGATGACGCTGGTGATGCTCTGCTCGATGATGTTGCTCCTCCTTTCGTCTTTTTAACAGGCGTTTCTTCTTTCTTCTACACATATTTAGACAAGAATACACAATGGTATAATTATAATAATAAAAAAGTCAATGGTTAATACCAAACTAAACCCAGACATCAGGAAACATAGCTCCAGCTCTTCCAAGTCCTTACCACTCCCTTGACAGGCTCGTCTGGTTTCTCGTCCGAGATTAAACATTTAATGAGATAAGCACATCGTCTCTGTAGCTCCAAGGGTGTGCGACTCTTTAGGAACCAATCGAATCTGAACAAAGGACTCTTACGAATCTCATCCCTAATTTTGTCATATACATCGTCTGTGCCATACCCAAGACGCTCAAGTTGAATGATCAAAAACCGATCCTCTTCTTCCGTATAGTTCCTGGTCTTCGTTTGATTATATGCGATCTTAAGCTGCTGCAACGGGACCCGATGACGATGAACCACTGCACTAAGTTGATCCTGAATATCAGACTGGCGTTGAAGCTTGCTCTCACCCTTTTCAATAGCAGTAATAATACGTTCATAATCTACAGGCACAAGTGAGGCAGAAGTCAGATATTTTCAGATTCGACTACATTAAACAAACAAATAAACAAGTCTTGAAGTTCATCGTACCTGCAATTTCAGTATAACGTTTCCAAAAAACTTTTGAATAGGCCTTGACTTCTTGAAGCGTCTTTCCTTCAATTTCAGTTGTAATGTCAGCGAGATTACTACGCCCATACTTTTCACATGCTTTGTAGAATGAGATAAAATCACGTTTGCTCCAATTTTCAAAGCCCTACAGACAAAGGAACAGTGAGCGTGGAATGGTAAAGAGTTACATTTTTGTACTTTCATTCGAGCGTAAAAGCATACAAATTGAAGTAAAGTAGGGCCCTTACCGACTGTAAAAGTTCTTCTTTTTCAGCAATCTCCTCCTCAGTTAAAGGCTCAGCAGCGTCAATCAATGCCTGCTCATTCTGCTGCTGTTCCTCGAGTTCTTCCTCTGTCATATTGGCCGCCTCACTTCCAACGGCCTTTGGAACGCGATATCCGATCGACTTGCGATAAAACAGCACTTCCTTCTCCTGTAACTCGTGGAGACGAGCAGGATAGAATTGAAAGTCCTGGATATTGAGTGCTTTAGGGGGTCGAGGCGCTTTTGTCGATGGAGCCTTTGGAGCAACACGCAATGCATCTCTATAGTAATCATCTACTGCATAGTTGGCCTTGCGCTCACGTTTCGCAGGCGTAATCCACAGCAAGCTTCCATCGGCCTTTCTCTTGTTACTCCAGTCTTCGCCTTGCCAATCGTATGCACTTCCTTCTGCATTAGTGAATTTTGCTAAATCCTCGATTCCGAGGTTTGAATATTTTTGATTTAGCTCTGCTGTCTTTTCCTCTCCGCGACGGAGGATCTGCTCAATATCAGGATCGTAAAAGTTATCCGTCGTGCTCTTAAACACATCTGCAGCTCCATGTTGAATCATTGTCAACAACTCATCCTTATTGGCAGTCTTCTGCTGCTGAGTCATGCGTCCTTGCTGAATGACAAGTTGATCCAATCGTAGTTTTTGCGCTGCTCGCTCCAATACTTTCTCCTCAATACCATTTTCCGTCACAAATCTAAAGACATACACCTGTTTCTTCTGGCCAATACGATGAGCACGATCCTGGGCCTGCAGATCAACCTGAGGATTCCAATCACTGTCATAAAGAACAACAATGTCGGCAGTAACCAAGTTGATACCGAGACCACCAGCACGAGTTGTAAGTAGGAAAATAAACTTTGAGCTATTGGGCTTGTTATATTCATCAATAGCAGTGACACGATCCTCATGGTTGGTTTGGCCATCAATACGACAATACTCTATGGAAAAGTACAAATACAGGCTCTATAAGTTGATTGAACATGTACAAACCATGTGCAAAAACTTTAAATATATATGATAGAAACATACCATATCCACGGAAGACGCAATAATCCTCCAAGATATCGAGGACGCGACTCATCTGACTGAAGAGAAGCACGCGGGAACCTTGCTCTTTCATGCGTTTAAGTAGTTTGTCCAATACAATCATCTTTCCTGCATTGTCAATAATGTGTTGATCGGTGGTATAAGGAGGCCCTGGCTCTGCGCCATCAAAAAGGTATGGGTGATTACAGCACTTGCGCAATTGCATGACGATATTCAAGAGCCTGGTCTTTCCCTCTCTCTTATTGGCACCTGCTCCATTGACAGCATCAATATCCTTCTCTAAAATTCTCTGATACCACTTGCGCTGCATTGGCGTTAGACCAACGTAGAGGTTGATTTCTTTCTTGGGCAACAAGCTCTTCTCAACATCGGATTTGATACGACGCAGCAAGAAGGGCCGCAACACCTTATGCAACTGCTGGACAACCTTATCCTGGTCTCCCCCTTGGGTCTCAAACCAAGCATCAAAGTCCTCTGCTGAGCTGAAAACATCTGGCAACAAAAAGTTAAGAAGTGCCCAAAGCTCATGAAGATTGTTTTGCAAAGGTGTCCCTGTAATCAAAAGTCGATTTCTTGAGTTGAAGGTGCGAATGATCTGTGATAACTGCGAGTTTTCGTTTTTGATGCGATGGGCCTCATCAATGACAATATACTGCCAGGCAAACTTCTTCAAATGTGTCTTCTCCAATAAGCAGATGTCATATGACGTCAAGCAAACATCAAACTTTTGTGTAAGCAAGCGTGACTGAATCATAGCAGCCTAAAGTAGTAATACAATAGGTGAAGTTAGCGTGAGTGTCCGGTATTTCTTCATACAATTTCATATGAATGTATTTTGGCTGTAATGAAAGTTCCTTACACGTTCGTCCTTGTTAGCATGTAGCAAAAAGACATTTGAATCCGGGAGCCACTTATTAAATTCACTCTTCCAATTGTAAAGGGTTGACTTCGGCACAATGACCAGGTGTGGTCCCGCAATACCCTCAATATGCTTTAGATATCCAAGAAACGAGATTGTTTGTAACGTTTTGCCCAGACCCTATAGAATAGCAAAGGATTCATAATTCATGCTTAGTAAGGCTACACTTTTTATAAAACCTGATGGAGACTTATTGCCTTCGGTAACAGTTACCATCTCATCCGCTAGAATTCCATTGATACCGTTCTTGAAAAGTGAGATCATCCAGTTAAGTCCTTGGATCTGATAATCCCGCAACGTACCGTTCTTGATGTCTATATGCCAAGGGCCGAGGTTAAACAAAAAAAAGAAATATGAACGAGTATGATTATGTGAGCGACGATGTAGATGGGCCATAATGATAGCCTTAAATGCAATTAAGGTACATTACATGCAGGTGATTCCGTGAACACAAATGAACTATCATCGTTCTCATTTTCTTCATCTTTTAACAGCTCCTGATCTTCCTCCTTCTCGGTCTTGCGACCAGCACGAGATCCCTTGGGAGCTTTGACTTTCTCCTTGTATTCTTCGCCTCGCTCTACCAACAGCTTGGCAAACTCGGGGTCCTTCGCCTTCTTCAAATCAATGAAATGTTTAAAAAGTTCTACAGGGACGTAATTCAAATATCTGTTAGATCATAAGCCCACGATAATGAATGAAATATGAGTTTCAACAGAGGTACATTGCGCTTTAATGTACCTGTCTGCCCAAGGAGGTAAGAAATACGATTGGAGGTATCTACGAGCTATATTTTCGCCAGATCGGAGCGCACCAGACTGAATTGTTAGTTCAAGATCAGACCATATATCATCAAGTCCAGATTAACTGTTGGTTAAAGGGAAATTGGATATAGAAGATCTAGTTGCTTTGTGTGTGTATTTTTTACCTTGGCCTTGTCCATCTCGACAATGTCCTTCTCAAAGTTCTCTTTCTGTTGCTGGATCAATGCACGATCCTGTTCACGCTGCAACTTGCGCTCTGCCTTCAGGAGCTTATCCTGATCCTTCTTTGTAAGTTTCTCTTCTGGCTTCTCATCTGGCTATATTTGTAGTGAGACCATTTTCGATTATAGGATTAAAGAAAAGAAAAAAATTTAAGAAAAGAAAAGAGGACAAAACACATTTTACATACATTAGGTGGAGCAAGGATGCAAGTGTGACATGACGCATGCTTATACAATATTGGGTTCAAAATGATAGACATATAACCCTGAAGGTTGCTAATGACGCGTTGATGCTTAAATTCATATATTGACTTACATTATGCATGGTCTCGTCTTCAGACATATGCTCGGCAATCTAAAATTAAACAATCGCAAAAAAAAAAGTAAATTGCAAGTTAGATAACACTGCCGAAATTACTGGCTGTTTATTATTATCGCTGTGGTTTATTTTATTGCCCTCTGCCAGGATAAAGCCATGCATACGGCTGTGGCAAAAAGGTAAAAAGCGCCATACCTCTTCATTGTTCATTGTGAATGACGGAATGAATGACAGAAGGGGGAAGTCGTTTCTATTTCTGTAAGCCTAGTTTTGAAAGTGAAAACTGATGAGCAAGCTTATCTCTGCCCTGCTCTGTTTTGTCAAATGTAAATGGTATTCAAGGAGGGAACGCGTTTTAGAGCTTATTCCCGATTAAAGCCTCCACATACAAGCAAGTGGAGGCGCAAGTTTGCTGGACACAGAAGGTCAGATACAATCGAAAATCAATGAAATACTAGGTGCAGTGAGTAGAAAATAAAAGGAAGTAACTGAAAGGAAAAAAAAAAAAAATGCTGCTATTTTATAAGGTAGAGAGGTATGTTCCGATGAAAAGAACAATGGTGTCTTTCGTTTGTGATGTGTACAGGATGAGATGGGTGATGGTACTCGACAAAGAAAAAGAGAAGAAAGAGGCGAGTAAAAAATAAAATAAAAAATAAATCAAAAAAGTAACTGCACATACAAGCCACCAGGCAATATTAGATACTCTTCTTTCTTTATCTCCATAAACTAATTTTTTTTGACAGTTTGAAGTTTTATTTGTAAACAGAACTTAATAAAAGTTCAAGTGATACTTGGGGAACAAAGGAAAAAACATCTATTACGCCAGATCTCTTAGCAAGATGTTCTTTTTTTTTTTTTCCTAGGACACAGACGCGTCCTAGGGAAAATACTACGCGACGCGTCTCCTACGGATAGCACAGCCTCCTATATCAATAGCATATAGTATGTAGAAGATCTTGCCTGAGAGGCAGATCGGACTAGTAATATATATTATATGTCTGTCCTGGTAGCCCTTCGAGGTGTCTGGTAAGAATACTTTGTATCTGTGTTTTTTATTTCTCAACATTTAACGCACAATTCTCTTCGAGACCTTGCGTAGATCGTGCCTTCTATTTTTGGAAAGTGGTGGTTTTCTAGACAATGCCTTTGAATATTTACTAGTCCCTCGTGCTTCAAGAGCTTTGGCATAGTAAATATTCTCAAAAACAGCTTACTGGGACTAGTCAGATAGCTCCTGTGGGGTTTGCTCCTTTTTGCTCTCAAGAAGAAAAGACAGAAGCTATAGGAAATGACGAAAAAATGGTGGCAAACTCAGACATTTTAGAAAAAAATAGTCGTCACATCATGTGACAAAGAACTCCTCTATTCTAATTCTCTTAATACCTTTACAATAACTAACTAGCTAACCAACCTAAACTAATAGTCGACAACCATGGCCAGAAATGAAGAAAAAGCTCAGTATGGAAAGAGACCGACGTTTTTTAAAAGCACTATGCATACATCGTGCCAGCACAACTGATCAATTTATTTTTCTTTCATGCTTATGTCAAACATGATTCATGCAGATCTATGCTTTATCGCTTTCGCGAAGCAAAGAATGCAGAGCTAGGAGGATCAAAGAAACCAGAGCGGAGACCTTTTCGCATCACTGAAGTGTCATCCCTGACAGAAGCAGAAAAATGGCGTCGTAATGTTATTGGTGACATTTCTAGAAAGGTGTCCAAAATTCAGGATCGTAGGTGGAAGAAAAAAAAAGCTTTGTCGACCCATTTCTTTATACATATGAAGGATAAAACGCCTATGCCTTCGTCAATTGACCTTTATTTTCTCGTGTCTTTAATAGCTGGTTTGTCTGATTTCCAAATCAGAGACTTGAACGACGAGATCAATAAATTAATGCGTGAAAAATATCGATGGGAGCAACAAATCAAAGACTTGGGAGGCGTGGATTACAGGGTATCTTTCAAAATTGGGGAAGCCAACAATGGTCCATAAAATCGTTCTTTTGGGAGAATGAAAAATCCCGAGGTTAACACATCCTCAAATGCTTATAACGAATAGATCACGGGACCAAAGACATTGGATGCTCAAGGCAAAGAGGTTCCTGGCGCCCGTGGATACAAGTATTTTGGGCGCGCTAAGGATCTACCAGGAGTTAAGGAGCTTTTCCAACCTAAACGTAGGCCGCATAAAACATTTTGAAAAGCTATTGCTATTACTATATAAGAGAAAAAGAAGTGATACTGCTACTTAATTAATTAAGCAATATCTGATTCTTCCACTCGTCTATTAGCGTTGACACTCAAAGAGAAAACTAGAGCAGAGCTATACCGCCATATCGACGCAGATTACTACGGATATAGAGACGAAGAAGACGGGACACTCTTGGAATTTGAGGAGGAACAGGAAGAGATTGGTATGATTCCTTTCATTGTTCTGCCATTTGAAAGAAAAAAGAGGAAATTGAGACGTGTATCCGTCTACAGATTGTGATCTTTCTCTTACCTTTTTTTTTTTTTTTTTTTTTTTTTTTTTTTTTAGCCATGAAAAAAGCTCTCGAGGATGCAGATGAAGACGCTGGAAGCAAGATGGATGTGGATAGTCAGACAGAGAGGACAAAACCACTTGGTCGTTTATATGTCCCGTCTCAGAAGGAAGTTGAGGAGTACCTTGTTAAGAGGAGGAAGCAAGCCATTATGGATCGCTTTGTCAACGACGATGTTGTCCAGAGCGCATGATTATAAAGAAGAACTCGTGCATTGTACTTTATAATATTCAATAAAAAAGAATCAAAAGGAAAAGCATCGCACAGGAAAAAAAGAGGATGTAATATCAAATTATATTTATGGCTATATGAGCATATGTTGGAGCAGTTTTTTATCAAAGCAATCTTTTCTTGCCTTGCTTGCGTGCAAGCACTTTATTCGATCCTGCAGGCGCAACCAGAAAAGCGGTCACCAAGAAACTCATCTAACTATGTGTTCCCTCTCATTCAAGAGTACCTCTCTCAATTCAACAACATTCATCCTCATCTTGCTTACACCTTCTCTACCCTTCGCACCTTTATTTATCTACCGCTTTTTATTTTTTCTGTAATATGAGAACATCTGTATGTCTACCTGCCTTTATAACCCTTGCCCTGAGTGTGGCCATCGCGAAGGCCACTGTCGAGCCTATCCGTGGGGTTTCACCTTCTAGTAAATTTTAATCTTTTCCAGCTCTTTGCTCGTAAATAAAAGAAAAAGTAAAAAAGGGGAGACTGATAATTGATCCGAGCTTTGAAATAAATTAATTAGATGCCGATCGATACGTTCCTGATAAAAATGGACAATGGAAATGCCAGGATGGATTGAAAACAATTCCTTTTTCGGCCATTAATGATGACTATTGCGACTGTCAAGACGGTTCAGACGAGCCTGGTAAGTGAAGAGGACCTCTACTTTATTTTATTTTTTTTATTTTTTTACACTCACTCTTTTGCTTTTTCTTCACCTTCTTAGGCACATCTGCCTGTGGGACATGGCCCTTTTACTGTAAAAACATTGGCCATGTGGGTAATGAGATCAAGTCATCCCGAGTAAACGATGGTGTCTGTGATCCAGAATGCTGCGATGGCAGTGACGAAAGCGATGGTCAAATTCATTGTCCTAATATCTGTGAAGAAGTCGGCACTCGTGCTAGAGAGGAGCAGGAAAGGATTCAGAAGATCCGTCGAAATGGAAGCCGGCTAAGGAGACAGTACATTCAACGCGGAAAAAACATCAAACAGAAAATGATGAAGGATTTGAGAGATCTGAAGTCTAAAACAAAGCAGTTAGAAAACCAGACAGCTGCTGCGAAAAGTGAGTCTTACTTTATTTATTTTGAAATTACTCAGTGATGAATGAGTATCTTATACTCCAATATCTTTGTACTCCTGCGAAAAAGAAAAACTAGAGGCCGCCAATGAGAAACAAGAAGCGTATTTCGAAGGGTCAAAGAAAGAACGTGAAGCTACCCGCAAAACTCAATTGGTGTCGTTCATCAAGGAACAGAAAGTACGTCTAAAGCGTGCTCATGAGAGCAGGGAATTACTCTTTAACACTTTGAAAACCCTCAAGGAAAATCACAATAAGAATTACCACGATCTCATCGTCAAGGACACAGTCGCTGGATTCGATGAATACATTACAGGTCAGGGAGAGGATTGGATGAGCACAATTTATGCAGGGGACAAGGACGGTGATAATGACAACAACAGCGATGAAGTTGCTATTGAAGGCTCCTCGGACAGTCATTTCAAAGCACTGGTGGAAGAAACAAACATCATTTTGCGAGAAATCGGCTCCTTGTTCGATCTGCTCGATAGTATGCGACTTGATTATAACAAGGAATATAATGATGAGGCGGTCCTGGCAGCTGTCAAGGTTACTGAGGATTTTGAAGCCATTTGGAACCTGGATCGCCAAGAGTTCAAGGGCGAAGAGCCATTAGAGATCCCTGAGGAGGAGCAAGGAGACACTCCGGAGGCACTAAGGCTGAAAGAAGGTAAGGACAACAATCCGCATTAGCACGTTGGTCATTGACTGTTTTTTGGACTTGTCAATGTAGTTTACTATGTCTCGTAACAATGAAACCGTTCTTTTTAATAGAAGTGACTTTGGCACAAGAGGAATATGATACGGTATCAAACGAGGAACGAGAAGTGAGCGAACGTATCACCGATATCGAGAAAAAAATGAAGATGGACTTTGGTCCAGATGAGACTTTTGCTGAGCTTCTAGACCAATGTTTCGAATATAAGGATATTGAGTACGTTTGTGGCACACTTCACTTCATTGGTATGCATCGATTATTGAATTGTCTTGTGAAATCTCAACTTTTTTATTTTTATCTCTTAGGTACATCTACTCAATCTGTCTTTATGGTGGTGCACACCAAAAATCATCTACGACAACCTCTCTTGGGTAAAGCAACGCTTTTTTTTTTCTCACTATGAATTAGATATCTATGAGGTAACCACGAACTTTATCCTTTCTCATTTAAACTCTTCTTTTTATCTTATTAGCACATTCGCGGCATGGGATACTGAGACAGATGTTCCATACACTGTCCAGCATTATACGCGTGGCGACAAGTGCTGGAATGGGCCTGAACGCTCTGTTAGATTCGAGATGAACTGTGGTGAAACTAATGAGATCATCTCTGTATCAGAGCCAGCCAAGTGTGAATACTTAATCAAGTTTCAAACACCTGCTGTGTGTTCTCTATTGGCCGATGATGATGCTGATATCGATGATCAAACAAAAGGAGCAAATGAAGCACCTGTTGTCGCAGCACCGGGCTCTGTCAAGAACAAGGATAGCAAGAATAGTCTCAACACACATAAGGATAGCAAGGATGGTCCTAAAGCACATGATGAACTCTAGACAAAGACATCTATAATACACGTACAGCATAAAAAAAGACGTAGTGTTGCGAAAGAGAGCAAGACTGAGAAGACTATTTTTTTCGAAGTGAGATGAGACAGTCAGTTCTTGGGTTGGTGTTGCATTAAGAGAGAAATGGAATTGACTTTTTACTTATCAGATCAAAATGGCTCTTTGGATAATGAGCTTTTTTTTTGGGAGGGTCCCACTCCTATAGACTATAAACTGTACATGTACAAGTTTTTGGGACTAGATTTATACTAGGCTAAACTTCGTTTATCCATTTTAGTCTTGACCGTCGTTGAAATAAATCACAGCATAAAGTGTGAAAGAGCTCTGGCGGGACCTGAAATACGGGTGAGACACGGAATCCAGTTCATCATCACCACCAACCTCTCGCCCTCCGCCGTTTTTTTGGGGGAGATACTAGGATGAGTATCAGAGAAATAGAAAATGAACTGGGCAAAGGGCAAAAACATCGACGTATGGAAAATGAGCCGCTTTTCCCCTACTTCAAGAGCTTTTTGGAGGACGTCAAGTAGGATCATTGATTGTTCCGGCTGTCGTCTCCCAGTTTAGAACAAGCATCTTGTGTATCCTGTATGTATTTTGCTCTTTTTTTTTTTTTTTTTGCTCTCTTTTTTTCTTTCTTTACTTCTACGCGTTCATAATTATACTTTCCAAACAGCTTTGAACTCTTAGGAATGAAGCGAGGGCGAAGATAGCAAGGGGGGAGAAAGCAAGGGCAAAGACAAAAAAGATGATTAATAAAATAAAAAGTAGGGCGAATTCTTCACTTGCTCAAAGCTCTGTTTTGTTTTTCCTAAAGATTCTTGGACAATGTTCCATGAAGCCTTCAAGCCCACTATCTCTTTTACAGAGATTTTGTTTTGACTGAAGGCAATAGACTTGGTTTGATCCATGAGACGGACGATAGATGATGAAGATGAACGATAGACTTGCAGGGAATGACTCGGTCTATCAATTTGCCTATTGTCTAAATCAAGTGCATTATTTTTATTATTTTTAAACCTCGGCGTAGAGGACACTTTCGTTCCCGGATGCTTAACCCTATAAGACTCGCGCATGCCAATTCAAATAAATAAAATAAAATTTTAATGCCTTGAGAGCACAAGAATAATTGTCTACAGGAAAAAAACTGTTCAAGGCATTCATTTTTAGAATGTTTCTTACGAACCATGCAACCATGCTTTTGGTCAGTAACCGTCGTATTTGTGGTACTCAATCAGATGTACCCTAAAGTCAGGAAATACACACCAGTGAACTGAACTGAATAAAAAAAAAAAAGAAAAAAAAAATGTAGGGCACATACAGCTCCCATGAACCCTTTTGTTCATTCATCCACTCGCAATGGGAACCCAAAAGGGAGCAAGCGCCATGTTGTCTCATCATCCGCCCTCTCTCCTTGTCACGCCCTCCTTTCTCCTTTTTGTTTTTTTTATATAAAATTATACGGCTCCCAACTTTCCTTCTTTTCTTTTTTTTCCACCCTTCCATCCTCCTTCCTCTTCATACGCTCTCCTCTTCTAACATCTCTGTTGCAAAGATCTTGACCGTAGTCTTGATCTATAGCATCCTCTTCCTAGCCTTGCATCCTTTGCAAATTCCTTCCCTTCCATCCCTTTTCAGGGTATAAAGATTCCCTCCCACCGAAATCCTTACCCACACCTACACACATTCCATACGTCCGACCACCTTTCATCTCCAACCATCGATAACGTACCTCATCATCATTATCGCTCTATCAATTCATCTTCCAATCTCTCTAATCTCTCCTTCCTTTGATAGTTGTACCTTCCTGTCCATCGATCTTGAAAACTAATTAAGGTTTTGATACGATCTGATTAAAGCGCAACCACATTTATTTACAGCAGAATGAAATTCACTTCCATCCTCACCCTGACTGCTGCCTTGTGCGCTGTCACTGCAGCTGCTCCATCCAAAAATGATTCCTGCACATTGATGTCTCAACAGGCCAGCAAACGAGGCGCTTCAATGAGCTATGGAGCCGTGAAGGGTTGCTTTGAGAGCCACCCATACCGTCCTGACGTTGCTGAAAGGTCTTTGAGATCTGTGGAGAGAATGCTTAGCAACTTTTATGCATTTGTGGAACAAGCCAAACAAGATCCCGTCAAAGTTCCTGGTGGAAGCATCTTCAAATCCAAGCCCGTGGATATCCTCGGCGAGCTGGCCAGGATCCGTAGAAAGAAGGATTGGAAGAGCGACTATGAGTTCCAGAACGCGATTGCTTATTTGCTTCTTTCGGTTAACGATGGCCATCTCTCCTACACGAGTAAGTTTTTTTTTTTTTTTAAAAAAAAAAAAAAAAAAAAAAAAAAAAAAAAAACGAAAATCAAACAATCAATAAGAGAGGGATGCTAAATATATCTTTATTTATTATTTTTATTAATTTACATTAGACTACTGCTACAGGACTGCAGTTTTCCGGCAGCCTATCTCGCTCTACGCACCTGTAGTCAATGGCAAACAATCTGTACGTGTCTTTCACGTCAATACCGAATTCTCGAGCAAAGGTCTTCCCAAAGATCCAGCCTCCTTGACTGAATGTGAAGTTCTCACTATCAATGGCAAGCCCGCTATGCAATATGTTCAAGAGTTCACTGACCGCACTTCAGGTATCTCCAAGGATCCAGGTGTTCGTCTCAATGACGCCTTCGCAAGCACATCCTGGGTTGGTGACCGCTGGGCTATCAGTCCCGGTGGATTCGCATACCGTTGGGAGCTTCCAGAGAAGTCATCGGTGGATTACACCCTCAAATGTCCAAAGAACCAGACCTTGAAATTGACTGTTCCTTGGGATATCCGTGCTTCAGACATGTTTGAAATTGATTATTCTAAGAATCAAAAAGCCTATTGGAGATACCAATGTGATGCTAATGGCTATTATGACAATTACAACGACGGAAAGAACAGCAACAACAGAGCCAACAGCGCCAAGAGACTTACCTCTCCCCGTTTCATTAATGGGGGCGTGTCTATCAAAGGAGGTGTCTCTGTTACTGTCGCTCCAGCTACGACCACCTTTCAGCGGCGTGGTGCCCTTCCAGCGGAGGAAGCTTCTAACACGTATGATGCTCCTCGCAACGGCAAATCTGGTAGCAAGGGACCATCAGTGATTACTCAGGCAAAGCTGGTGGATTACACTACCACGACTGCATTCTATAAGATGAATGGTAGCAAGTACTCGGATGTCTGTGTCGCTGTCATCTCAACCCAGATGGCCGAGTTCTCTGACGATGACATCTCAGATTACTCTGAGTTTGTTCAAGGCTTCCATAAGCTTCAGAATCAAGGATGCAAGAAGTTGATCTTGGATATGACCAACAACGGAGGTGGCTCAGTTGATTTCTCCTACTTCATCAACCATGTGTTCTTCCCTAAGACAGAGCCTTATTTCGTCCAGGACTTGAAGACGAATGATCTCGTTCGGGAAGCAGCCAAAAAGGCCATCAAGAGATCACGAAATGCTCCTCCTTCTATCTTTGATGCCCGCTTCTATGTTTCTGCTGCAACTGACAAGACCTACAAGGACACGTCCATGTTTTTGAAGGATGTAAAACATAAGCGTGCTGGCTCCACGGTCACGTTCTCACAAAAGAACTATTTTGAACACAAGTGGCCATTCATGAAGAAGATCAAGCCTGTCCAGTTCAAGCCTGAAAACATGGCCATTATCACTAACGGCTTCTGGTAAGACTCTTTAAATGCTTTTTTTTTTTTTTTTTTTTTTTTTTTTTTTTCAAAAGTATTCTGAACTAACTTCTTTATTTAAAAAAAAAAAAAAAAAAAAAAAAAATCTATAGTGGATCTGCTTGCTCCATGGTTGCAACTCGCTTCTCGGTAATGCATGGCGTTAAGACCTATGCCATTGGAGGCATCACAAACCGTCCCCTCTCTTACTTCACTTTCCCTGGCGGCTTTGTCATGGACAGCGGAACACTCCTAATGGACATCAAGGATTTGAAACTCAAGGGTGTCAAGAATATGCCCGTATCCTCACCTGTGGTCGCAGAGACTAGCATGGCCGTCGGAGAGATCTACACTTTCGAAAACAGCACCATCCCTCTTGAATACGATGCCCAATATTATGCTGCCAATATTCACTTGGACCAGGATCCTGTCTCTGCTAGGCACCCAGATCAAGTCTGGGTTAAGATTGCCACCCAATTTAAAAAATAAGCAAAAGGAGCCGAGCCGGCATTCAGTTCAATTGATAAAACAGTGCCTACCTATTTAATAAATAATCTGGATTCTCATTTAAACTTTTCCTTTGAAACAAAATTGCCTTTTTTTTTATTGTTTTTGTTATACATGATTACTACTTTTACTTTTTTTTGGTGCTTTGTTCTTTTTGTTCTTTTTTTTATATTTTCTTTTTACTATACAGCGCGGCTGGATTCTTTGCTTTGTCCTTGACTTATTGAAATAAAGCAACAAGGCACGATCCCAAAATCGCGAAGGAACTACAACGAGTTGTACAAGTGAAGTTTAACGAATTAACGCAAAAATAATAATAATAATAACCAAGTGTCTTAGGCTAAAGTACAGGAATCTGAGGAAATGAAGAAAAAAAAAAAAAAAAAAAAAAGACGTGTTGTATGTGTGTGGTATGTGCATGTCGAAGAGTAAACGGAAAGGTTGAGGAAGAAACCAAGAGGCCAAATTGCCTATAGTGCATACACAGAAAGCTAAGAGTTCTCTACTGTGTGTGACCAGGATGGCCGATCGAAATAAAGTGATGTCTCGTAGAAGTCGAAAGACTTCGAAGATCCGTCTCCGATAAAAGTGTGCATCGGTAGCGAATCATACTAAATTATTGAATTAAATAAAATAGAGATAAGTCCTGCTGACCATCCTTGCTGATTTGATATGCCATTATATCCATTTTTACATTTGCGCAATGGGAAAACTTACCTATCACGCAAATCGTCAATAAGATCGTCTTGATCATACGAGTCATCATCAAAGCGATACTTGTCAAAGGCGTTGATACCATCGTACTGTAAGAACAGATCTTTGAGATTGTCGTAGTAACCATGTGAGTCCTTGAACATGTTTCTAGGTCTCGTAAACTGGCGGTCAATGTGAATACGACCACCACGGCCGACACGCTTTCTGAACGACATGTATTTGCCATTGCGTTGCTGAGGCAATATCTTGAAGAATTGCTGCGGGTATGGTACTGTGAATTGTTGATACGGATTCTGTAACGAGCGAATATGTGTTTTTTAAATTATAAAAAAAAAAAAAAAAAAAAAAAGAGGCACATGGTTAATGATAAGGATAAAGTACTCCAAACCAGATTTAACAGATATACTCTTTACATAGTACGTACGTCAGTAAGATCCTCCCAGCCAACATCGTCCTCTCGGCGTTTAGCCAACTCAGATTCAATATTGGAGTGCGAAGAGCGGTCCTTTCTACCATCCTCTTGAGATGAGGTCGATTCACGGTCTGCGAGGAGGTTATGAGGGATACGAATAGTAGCGCTGGCCTCTCTTCTGTTCTTTTTCTGTAGTAAATAGGCGAGAAATTTCATTGCAAGTAAGTATAAAAAGATTTCTCATTATCTTCGTAAGTTTCGAACAAGATTTTCTTTTTCTTTTTTACCTTCTGAATGTCTTCGTCATCTTCCCTGATACCAAGACTTCTCTTATATTCGCGCACCTTGCAGCGCTGATCGAAGATTGTGTGTTCGAGTACAAGCGATTCTTTCCGAACCTTCTCGCGCTTTGAGACCATCTCAAGCAGACTGCGTGCACTCTCCATCTCCATACGCAGCTTTCGCAGTTTCTCGATCGATTGCTGGTCAGTACGTCTGGTTTTGCGAACGGGCTTGCTTTCGCGGCGACGGAAACACAGGTATGGGTCTGCTTCGTTCCTAACAACCTCCTCAAACTATTAAAAGTTCCCCAAAAGTTAGATTAGTTGACTTGAGTTGAGCACTTTTAGGTAACAAGTCAATCATCATTAAACAAACTTGCCTTCAGTTGAGGGGTAATGACTTTACCACCTCTCTTGGATCTCCTTTCCTGCCACCATGGATACACAGACGCGGCAATGTTCTTGAGACCCAAGAGCTGTGGACCCGTAAATGTTGCCTTGAGATCTTCAAATGACGGGATCTGGCCACTATCCTGTAAGTATCAGCATGAATTGTAAAGTAATAGTGAGTTACTATGCTGAGCACTGAAAACCGTGCCACAGCAGAGAACGAAGAAAAATGAGATAGAAACTTACCAGCTGCAGATAAGGAACGCGCTCATTAGTGATTTTTTCGAATTGCCACATGATTAGCTCAAAATGGTCTTCATCTAGTTTTTCCTCATCAGCGGCTCGCTTCTCATTAAATTCCTTGAGCCATTTGTCATCCTCATCATCCATATTATACGGACATCCGATACAATCCTCGACTGTGGATGAAAATCGGATGAGGGTTGAAGGCTCTGAGAAGGGGCGATTGTAGAAATCACGGTAGTTTTCAATTTTGCGGCTAGCATCGGGTGTAGGGATGTACAGTGATTTAGCCTCACCAGTTGTCGTCAGCAGATTGGAAGCAGAAATAGCTGCTTGCAAGTGATGTTCCTATTCAAACACGAGATGAAATGCTGTTTAACATCTTGTATATATGCAATACATATACATGTCAGAACAGAGACGCGATTCAAGAGAAATCCACAAGAACATTTTATGAAGCGGCGAAGTCCAGCTGTTCAAGAGAAACTGAGACAGTCGCCCAAACACAACACTTTGAGAAAGCCCCTCCGAAGAAATGAGAAGATAGGATTGATGAAGGACTAATGCCCGTGTTTTTGCATCCACTACTGTGGAAACGGAAAGGAAAAAAAATGGCGGGAAAAATAATATGTACAAAAATTTAACACAACGCATACCGCTTCTTCTTCCTTATCGACACCTGTCTCTGTCTGAGGAATACTCCGTTGCAAACTGACAGACTCATCGAGATCAGGGATATCGACTGCACGATAAACGCGCAGGAGTTGCTTGTTATTGATCTTGCGGTTCCTGAACCGGGCCCCAACGTTCTTCATGGTTGGGCTGGCTCTGGAGGGTGTTGATACTACGGGAGCAGGAATTTTGGCAGGATAGTAAAAAATAGTGTTTGTACGTGGGATTTGAGTCACGTGGCTGCTCAGAGTCAATTTTTTTTTTTTTTTTCCTTCCTAGTCAAGTCAGTTTTTTGAAAAGTTGAAAGGAAAGCACAGCAGAAAGGTTGATTTTTCTATCAGAAATAGTGAATGAAAATGATTATGAAATAGGATGGGGTCATTAGATGAGAATGAAAGATGTGAGTGAGATGCAGATGCTCTGATTAATGATTATGGCCAGAATGATGCGTCGCTGGAGAGGGAATTGTCAATGAAAGAAATGAGGGCGAGTCAAATGAAAATTTGTGTTCGAGGGGGTGCGAATATTCCACCTGTGAATACTGCGTGACAAATTTTTTTTTTTAGTTGTCCTTTGATGTGTGCAGAGACAAAAAAAAAGGTCGGGCGTAAAAAATGATTTTATTTCGGGAGGGCTGGAGCGGGGTTTATTTTTTTTTTGCGCAATCTGCAGAAAAATCTGCTCTCCATCTGACAACACTAAATTGGCCTAGCCAATCAGACTAACCCGTGATTTGGACTGCTCACTGTCTATTCACGCGTCCAAGTGCAATATCAGATCATCTATTAGGAGCACCACAACTTCTACAGGAGGGAGTCGCTACGTAATGCAATCCCAAGCCTTGCAGACCATTTCCCGGGACAATACACGGTAAATGAAGTCTGGTATGTATATTAACCCTCTCTGTGCATATACTATTGAAGTTTGCTTGTTGAGAAAAAATGTTTCTCAATTTTGATACGCACCATCTAGTCTTTCTAACTCAAGCAACCCTACTGTTGAAACCAAGCCTATTGCTAGATTCACTTCTTCCTCCTCTTGCATCCTCGAATCGTACTACTTTATGTAGGGTGCCCGTGCCTTCTTCAATCCCATCATTATTCTCGCTTCCCTGATGTTTTGTATTTATTACTCCTTTAACGTTTCTCATTGTATTTCAAATCAAATTTTCAGGGGAGGGTCTCAAGAGGATAGATAACAGGGCTTTACTTCACGAAAGGGCGTCCTTTCTTATATACTTGCGTTAGTCGGTCTTGAACAAAACTGGGAACATATTTCTCTTCCTCGTTTTCTTCCTCATCCTCGCCTTCAACCTCGCTCTCATCTTCTTCTCCACTCTTATTCTCTTCTGTATCCCCCTCTTATATCTTATATCTCCTCTTTCCTGTCTTCCTCTTCTCTTCTTCTTACTCTTCCTGGTTCTGTCTTTAATTCAGCACAGAGAATATCTTTGTGGCTAGGCGAATAACTATGGTCAGACATTGAGGCTTGCTTTTCTTCTAGAGATGCCGAACTGCACATGATGCCGTTTCAAGCGTGTTTTGGTCTCTGGAGTCGTGGTCTATGATAGCTCTGCGCGGTAAGACGAAAGCATTGTTGGTTTCGAGGCCATTGCTGAAACCTGCAGATTTGTGAATGGATCTATAATGCCATTCTGAGTATGATATGACTGTATGAAAGATCGTTCGCTTATTTCTGAATATACATCCCAGCTATTAGAAGGAGCAACCTCATTGATGCAAGGAGTCATCGAACCTTGCAAACTCGCTGACAGGACATCGTTGGGTGGGTGCGACAGTGTGAGTGCGACAGTGTGAGTGCTTCCGTATCAATCGTTAGACACGAATCCCCGCTAGATTCTAGGTAGTATATCCGCTCTTCTTGATATCGTTTCAGCTTGAGTTTTGCTAAACGCTCTTTATCTGCCTCAATAATCTCCCTTGTTGTAGGCACATCAACACCCCTATCAAGGCTATAAACCTGTGCGCCGTCTTCTGAGTGCGAATCAGGCCTACTAAAGCTCGCATTGATACTGCTACGGATGGTAGTCTTGACATCGACATCTTCCCAATCTCCTTCAACGCCAAGGCTTTGTTTCTCAACTAAACTATTTCTATAGCCTCCATGCTTTTGCCTTGTATTCGCCATAGACCCACAGGATCGACTGAGTAAGAATACAACTGCTGGAAACAACCATGGAACCACAGCAATTCCGATCCATGGGACATTGCAACACAGTAACCATACACCAAATACAAATCCCTGCATTTCAATACCATACAGAGATATCCATGCTCGTTCTTCCCATTGTTTAAAACCAACTCGCACAAGATAGGGCTGTAAGAACTCGTACATCAAGAGCTGTTGCAAAGTGAAGATTTGAAGACCCCAAATGAGAAACCGAGGATAGATGACGAATACTGCGAGGATGACTAGTTTCCAATACACATGCTGGGTGCCCCTGTATCTCAAGCTTAAATCGATAGTCACGAGCGCAAGTCCCTTGCAAAGTATTGATAGCAATCCACTATAGTCGATGAGTTTACGGAGGATCATGGTCGAGATATAGGCCATGAGGATTCGTCGGTAATATCGTTTTGTTTGAGAGAAATATTCAAGCGCAGGTTTTGCAGTAATGTCAGGCCGTTCTGAACATCCAAGAAGTTGTACTGTATTGATGAAGATTTTATCCCATAGAAAAGGATAAAGGTATCGACAGACAAGGATGGAAGGGTAGAAAAACGGGTTATGTACAAAGTAAGGCCCAATGGTGAACGGTATGGATTTGATGACGATATGAATGATACAGTAGATTGCTGAGCACTGAAAGCTTAGTGCAAGGATAACTCTTTTTGTCTCTGAACCATTTTTGTGCTGAAATACCTCCAAGAGGTGTTGTAAGCCAGACCCAAACTGTGACACCCATTCTCTAAGGTTAAGTGCCAACTGTTTGATATGAAACATGTGTGTGAGAAAAAGATGGAGATGAGATGCCGAGATTAATCAGATTGGATGAGAATGAGAATCGAAAAGGCGTGAGAACGCCAGAAAGAAGATTCCTTCAATCAAAGTGCAGACCCTGACCAATAGGCCATTGGTCAATTAGGCCCCATCGAAACAATAGGAGTATCTTTAGTGCTGCGGTAAATAGGTAAATAAAGAGATGTTGGTATTAGACTTACTCTTAAAATACACGCGCCAGGTAAAAGATGCAGTAAGTGTCTCTTGACGAAGAAGTTTAGGGGGAAACAAAAAAGTTATCAGTTGACTTTCATCCATTGCCCCATTATTTTCTCAATTAACACTTTTGACGATCCCTTTTTTCACAATTATTGCACACCAACCATGGCATCCATCCCAATCCCTCGTTATTACCGAACTCCGATTTACATTCCTTCGAAAAATGACGGCTGCATGCTTGAAGTCTGTCTGTCCATCCCAACAACAATTTCTTCCCAACCCCGAATCTACACAGGAGTCGTTATCGCTCATCCATATGGTCCCCTTGGTGGTTCATACCACAATAATGTGGTTGGTAATCTGTTGCAGTGGTTCGAAACCTATCAGCTCCAAGCTGCAATAGATGACAGCAATGATAGCGGCATTACAGCGACTATGTCCTCTAGCAGTGCATCGCTAGAGACAGGAGCTACGCCCGCAGGCAAGAAGAGCTCAAAAAAGAAGCATTCTGTCCCACTGTCCTGTGTAATTTGCGCTTTCAACTTTCGGTAATTAAGCCTTGTTTAATGATTTAAGAATCCTCGTCTTCTGACGTAGCCATTCCTCTCTCTTTCCCTGCCACCCAAGAAACCACCATTAACTTTTTTTTTTTTTTTTAAAAAAAAAAAAAAAAAAAAAAAAAAAAGAGGGTGCGGCCGATCCAAGGGTAGGACATCATGGTTTGGAGGGGCAGAACGCGACGACTATCAGACTATCGTTGATTTTCTACAGAGTGGCTCTCACTCCAGAGCAAGTCCCCATTTAGGCCACCAAGATTCTGATATTGGTTGGTCTGGCAAGGTCTATGATGACACTGGCCGCCAGATTGATTCACCACGATTACCATTTTTCTCGCGGTTTATACTTTGTGTACGTTTTTATTGCGTAACAGAGAGTTGACAATTCTCCCTCGCAACCGTGATTGACAATATCCATGATTCAACACATGTCCTGATATTGCGTAATACATAGGGTTATTCATATGGCGGGATGGTCGCGTCGACAATTCCGCCCCCTCTCAGAAATCCAGCTGATCCAAGCTTGGGACATTTGCCCACCACATACATCCTTGTCAGCTATCCTGCCGGTGTATCTTGGTTTCTGACCTGTGGTGCACATCGTTCCTTCGCAAAACGCGCTCGAGAGATTCTTTTTCAAGGAGATCCAAAGCAAGAGACGGCCATGATGGAAAATGGAGAAAGAGATAATGAAAGTAGAAGTGAAAGTGGGCGAGACAGGAAAAACTCAACAATAAAAGCTTATTTCATTACAGGAGGGCAAGATCAGTTCACGAGCCCAAACACCCTTCTAACCTGGCTCAAGACGAATACAGGATTAAGTCCGCCACCAGTACCAACACCCAGACAAGCCAAGGGGGATGGCTCGAACATTCCTTTGACTTTAAGACGACCAGATGGGGCCATTCATCTGGATGTGCTTGAGGATGTAGACCACTTTTGGTTAGACCGTGAGCAAGAGTTGTTGGATAAGCTACAGCGCTGGTGGACCGAAACGCATGTGTAAAAAAAGGTAACCCCAAGACTACACATTAATATGCAAATATGCATAAATCGCCTTCGAAAACGTATGAATAAATAAACTATTGGGCGTTTCTCATGTCGCGTCGCTTTACGTGGACAATGGCGTCATTAAATTAATGAAAGCCAAACTTCTATATATTCATGACCACAAATAGCCAGTGGATCACAAATAGACAGCCCATCAGTCTCTCAATGGAGTGTATTTATATGTATTCTGTATTCATTTTTTGCATGAATTTAGACTATGGTGTCTTAAAGCCCAGTACAGTCTGCCTTCAAGAAGTGGGCCATTTTGACCCACTTGCTAATGGAATTTGGCGCCTATTTAATTCAATCGAATAAATAAAAAAACTAGCATTTAATATCAGCCCCTTAATAATGCAGAAATTATTAAGGGACGTATCCGTTAGCTAGTTTGCAACCGATTTCATTAGGCTCTACAAACTCACTGGCAAGTGGGCCATTTTGACCATTTTGACCCACTTCTTGAGTAGACTGTAGATGAAAAAGGTAACTCATGGCTGTGGCGAGGACTCTTTCACCTTATTAGTTGTACAAACAAAACGACAGAAGAAAGAGGTTGATGTTAGACTAGCCGTGCTTTTTTTTTTTTGACACTCGTGACAGAGAGTGCGCTTTTGTTTGTGTGTTTGTGAGTTTTTGTACTTTCGGTCAACGGAAAAAGCCAAATGAGAGACAAGGGGGCGTCGCTTTAGTGGATATTCATCATAACCCCTATTTCAAGCGAAAATGATTGTTTCTGTGAATGTGGAATGTTTGTAAAGCAAAATAGCAAAAACAGCTTAAACAGCATAACTCGCATTATTCATTCTTTAAAAAAGCAAAGATGTGGTTGCACAAGTTCTCTTCTTTCACCCCTTGACTTCTCAACGCAGCAAAGGCGGCGGAAGCATTGCCAGAATCAGTAAAAAAAGGTGCTGTTGTGCCTTGATTCTTCTCTGCGTGTACATTAATAAAAACAAACAGGAAAGGAAAATAAACGAACAAAATCCTGTTCCCGCTGGCTGGGAAAAGGCTCTTTTTTTCTTTTTTGTTTTTTGCAAAGGAAATGACAGGTCGTTTGTTTGTGCACGAATCCACTTTTTCTCTCATTACTGGTCTGCAGAGCACCTTCCAACATGCAGGCCAGCAAGTAGCAGGAGTAGGGGTAAGGACGGGGAGTGGAAGAGGAGGGTACAGTCCCTGTAGTGAATCAAAATACCCTGTATGGAAAAAGTTTCTCAAAACATTCGTGGTTGGAAACGGATCAAGGCAGGAAACAGCAAGAAAAAGATGTCCATGTGGATCATTTGAGACCCATATTGTTCTTTACGTTTCTTATTTTGTCCAATCGATCCACCCACATCGTTTTTCTTCTTTTTTGTTTTCAACTCTAAACAATACTTACAGTCTGCTAGATATTTTTGTGTGCGTGAGCGTATGTGGATGTATGGATTTAATAGTTGGACAGTTAGGAATGCATGCTCAAGCATGGGATAGCATGGGAATATCCGTACTCTGCAAAGGCTACGTGGCATAGAGCACCAATGACAAAACGCTCATTCTTTCTCTCTCTATTCCTTTTTTTCTTTTTTTTTTTTTTTTTTCTATTAGGCACTCGACCATCATAACCATATATTCCATGTTGCAAGGGCGCAAAAGGAAGAGATCAATGGATGTTAGGATGCAGGATTATCGCAAATTAACCCAAGGATGATCAATACAGTATGAACGAGAGTGGTGTTCAAGGAGAAGAGGAAGGGGTAGGAAGAAGAAAATAGAAAAAGAAGAAGGAAGATCCAGTCAGGATATGGGGTCCTCACGATTCAAATGTAAGCCATACATCACTTCAGCCTAGACCAAGAGAGCTCACTCCTACATTCATCTGGACACATTGAGTGGTTGATGAATAAAAAGGGTCATGACCATGGCTCTAGCCCTCAGAGACTGCAAGGTTTCCCTTGCAGAAAGTAGAAGGAACCAAGGATTGCATTGTGTTGATGGTCTAGTTTTTTTGTTTTTTGTTTTTTAGTTTGAAATAAAAAAAGAACAACGCACAGTTACAATCACTGAACCCACACCTGCACTTTGTCACTCCTCCGATCTTTTTTTTATCTTTCTGTTTCTTTCTCTCCCTCTCTCTCCTTTTGCTCTTAGCATTCAACTCGTTCAATTCTCTCATTCATCCACAGTACATTCACTCTCTCACTCTCATTCTCATCGTCATACTTATCCTCATTCCCATCTCTTTTACTGCTTCCATCCTTTTTTTTTTAATAGTTTTACCGTCTCTTTTTATCCTCTTACTCGCTTCTATCTTCCCCACTCTGACGCAGGCACGGAAGAAGAGAGAGTCTGAGTGAGTGAGTGAAATTGTATGCAAGGAGAGCAACGATAATAGTAGCAATCTTATCGCACTAAAAAAAATTTTCTGCTTGCTCAACCGTTCAACTGTCTACATTTTGTGCTCAATGCTCCGTCAGAGTCGCCCTCATACTCCCCCCACTTCTACTAATATCAATGTTGGCCCGAGAAATCCCTCCCCAGGTCAACAAGCAACTCCCCATCCTTTCCTTCAGTCACCTACACATGCACGCTCCAACTCCGGCACTATGATATATCCCCCATTTTCGCCTTCATCACAGCCACGCTCTTCGCACACAATCTCAAAAGACGCGTCCTCTTTCAGGAAGGACCCTTCAGCTCTATTAACATCGGCTGAAACGGCAACAGCAGCACAACCTTTGTCATCAGAACCAGAGAGATCAAGTATGCTTTCATTTGCAGCTGGATACAGTTTACATTTACAAGCAATAGTGTCGCCTACCATTGCCAAGCCTATAGCTGTCTATCCTCAGGAACACCCACAACGTAAACGGTTTTCACCACGCTTTAGTGGCTCTTCAGTGTCCTATACAACATATTCGTCTGCGCTTGCTTTAACATTCCACCAGCAGCAGCAACTATTGCAGCAGCATCAACAACAACAGCAGCAGCAACGCAAGTGTCACCATCCATTGGTTGACCGTTTAGATAAACATAGTGACAACAGCCTACCAAGTTGTGACCCGCACCAACACTATGTTTATAATCTCGACAACCGAGCACAACATCGTCATACCTACACTTCTCCACCTTCGCCTTGTACTGCTCTTGACGCGTCGTCATGTCACTGTTCGCGACCAAGTCGATGCTCCCACTCACACTCATACCCCCATCCTCCGTCTCAATCCTCAATCCCTTCAGGCAACAGTGCCAGTCATGTCAGCATATCGTCCTCTTTAAGCGTTGCATCTGCCTCAACAGAGACAAACTCCGTTGCATCAGCCACTACGGGCATGGATCAATGCTCCCCCATCCTTTCTCATGCTATTACGGCTGCATTATCAGACGTGATCCTCTTGGGAAAGCCGGCAGCAGCGACAGCGCTAGTTGCGGATCACCATGCAGTGTCCCTTAATTCACAAATGCTTGATTTTAATTCGCCTGTGGAGAACGGACTTGTCTCTGTGCCCTCCTCACCCCATAGTAGTACCAGGACACCGTCTCCTATGCGAAGTAGAAGGACGTCTTCGTCATTGGCTTCACCGTCTTCATCTGCTACATCCGCTTTATCTGTTGAGGATAACGAACGGGACTATGAATGTTGCTACAACGACTCTGTATTGTCGTACTCTTCCTCAGCTTCCCTGCCACTTAAACCGTACCTGAAAGGGCCCGATACTTTGTTGATGCAAACACAACAAACACAGCATCAGCAGGCACGTCAACAAAGACCCAGCAAACAAGCACGTTGTCATAATCATCATCTCCAAAGACGTCATGCACAGCAAGCGCTAGCAGCACAGAGTCAGGGACAACAATACGTATCTTCAAAAATGGTTCCTTCAGGCACCTATAAGCGTTCCTGTCCCTCACCAAACTCACCACAGGCGATTGCCCAAAATTCTACTCGTTACATCCGGTTCCTGTGGCTACCCTTGTTGCCACTGCTAATCCTTGCATTAGGCCCAACTTCAACCAAATTTGAGACCCCTACCAGATATGCTGTATAGTTTTTCTTATTCCCTACTCTCTTCTTCTCTACCTTCACATTGCATCTACTAATCCTTTTTGATTTAATCCCATAACCACTGTATAATCTCTTCAATTTTACACTCGGAAAAAAAAATACCCTCTTTATATTTTCTCCCTGCATTACACCTTTATATTATTGCTCGTGATTTACTTTACTACTATTCCTATTGTCTATGAAATAATTAAAAATGATAATAAAAAAAAAAGTAAACGTTCTATGATCAAAATGAATCAATGTTAAACATGATGTAATGGAAACACGCCAACAAAAAAAAAAAGTTATGACTTGAGTTGAGAAACATGACAGAGATAAGAAACAATCAAAACTTAAATCCATGCTCTGTCCAGGGACCTGAATTGGTTTCCTTTTTTGAATAGACGCGATTCAATTATCTGTTGATCTGTACGGTTTTTAAAGTTAGTCCAGAAATTCAGGGGCAAAAGATTAGAGAGGATACAGGAGACAGAACTTACAAATTTTTTGTGGGTGTGCCGGCACCCAAATACTTGTGTCTAGCATCGTGCGCTCTGCAGCCGGAGCAGGCGACTCTTCCGTGGGCTTGTACTTTGCAGGCCTCTCTTGCCTCTCAATTTGAGCAAGACCGATTCTTGCGATGTTTTCCGCCCCTACTGCGTCACGGTCGAAGAATACCTTACATGTCCGGCAATATTTAGAGCGAGGGTACACCGTCTCTAAAAAGCTATCGCAGAGGGGTCAGGGACAGCGGGCGCTGGTGTAAAATTCGTGCGCTCCTACAGCGAAGTGTCCTCGTGCTTTGACCTAAGCGTTTCAAATGGCAGTCGTTTATTAGCAAGGGTTCTATAGCTTTCCAGCTTTTCTTACTTTTTTTAAAAAAAGCCATACCTGTGTGACAAGGTGTCTCGTTATAGCAGTGTGCTTGCTGGGAACTCCTACTACTTTCAAAGGACCCTCCATATACAGCATACAGTGTCGATGTCGATCCTTTGTTACACAATTTTGTTTTTTTTCAGTTTCTTTTGCACTGGCCCTTGCTTTGTGCTTTGTGAGGAATTTAATGAATAGAAGAAGATTTATAATTTTGAACAGGGGTAATAAATGCATTGACAGATATGACTTGGTGATTATATCCTTGTCAAAGGTAACAACTAAAGAAAAAAAAAAAAAAGCCTTTTTTATCAGAGAATGCCTTCATATGATGCTCTTTGCTCCAACAGCCCCAGTACTATTGCGTTAAAGCAGAGATATTCGTTGACTATCAGATTCCGGCATCAATGGCGGAGATAGGAGTGATGTAGTTGCATGCGCTTATTGCTTGGAGTAAAAGCTATCTAAGCACCCTTTCTTACTGGACGATACCTTGTTAATGGTGATATTGCGCAGCGCCTTGTGGATGGAGGGAGAGCAGAAGCGAGAGTGGTGGTTTTTGGCGGTCGTTTGGTGTGTGTATGTGTGAATTTGATAGTTAATACCAATCGCCAAAACATATGCATCTAGAAATACAGAAGCGAGATTGATACCGACGCGTCTGATCCTTTCCTAGGGATTGTTACAACCATGGTATGATTGTGGAGTGGCCACCAAAATAAAGTTTGTTTGGAGGCACCAATGGAAAACGCTTGTGTTTTGAACAAAAAAAGACGCCACGATGTAAAATGTGTTTATACATGTACAGAAACCAAAGAGATGCTTCAGCTGCTTATTCGTGCACACAGTGATTGACGAACAAAAAAGGAAACAAGATTTGCGAAACAATAAAAAAAAAGCCCGCGATGAAAGAAGGCATGTGCAGACAACAAATAAACACAGCAACTGTTTGCTCACATACATTTTTTTCACCGTTGTGTCTGTATCTCTTCTAAGCTTTCTGTCTGGCCGTTTAACACAAGGAACCCTCAGAAAAAGAAATACCTCGCATGATTGGTGCCAGGTCTGAAAACAACAATAATGCAATGCTGTACGTGGAAGATAGGGTCTAGAAACTATACCATTGATCACAACTGCTACTCATGCTCTCTTGCCAAGGACTTGAACAGGCATACCAACCCTTTCTTCCTTGCTCTCATAACCGCTCACATCCTTTCGATGCATTCTTTCGCCGTTTATGTCCACTACATCTGAACCACACAAGTTCACCACTCACTCCAACAGAGATATTTGTATCACCTTGGGTATGATATGTTGCTGTGGTTTCCTCTGGTTTCAACAGGCCCAACAAACTCTATTAGCAATGTTTACCAACCCAGATATATCAAGGGAACACAAGAAGACGAGGAAGCAAATGATGTGACAAATCAAGTCTTGCCGAACAAGCTCCATGGTGCGGTAGAATGAATCAACTCAGATTGCCTTCCTTTCAAGTCGAGACTACGGCGGCGAATATTACCACTGCTATTACACTAGTCAATAAATAAACGATACAATGGACTCCCAAGCGGATGCTAGGATCATGCGAAAATCTTCATAAGTTTTTTATTTGCACAAATAAAGAAGCCAGGATAGCTCCATGACAATTTAGTTTTCGGTCATTTATTTCGACATCGAAATAAAATTTCAAGACAATGCCCATGGATTGCTGGATTTTAAGCCCATTTATAATGGCAAATTTGCCCTTGTTACGGACGAAGGGATAAGGTTCGATATCATCTTAGGTTGAAAATTGACTGCAAGCCAGCCTAGCTTCTCAGGTTTGTACCAGGTCACTACATTTCAGTTGCTAGATTTTAAAAAGGAAGTTTGAAGGCTTAAATACGTACGGCCAACGCAACTCATTTCAGAAGAAGCACAGAAGAAGCATAGAAACAGGAAAAGGGAACACCTCGACAACTGTTTTATTGCTGTAATCCTTATCTTCCATCAACATTTTGGAGCTACTTTTTGGCTACCTTTTTTTTTTGTTATCTACTTTTTGGCTACCGTGGACCACTCCACTCTGAATCAGTAACATGATACTATTCTTTAGCGAGGTTATCCAGCTGCCTGGGATCATCGATCAAAAGACCGGTTCACTCAGATCTATTACCAAAGCCTTTTTTTTTTTTTTTTTTTTTTTTTTTCTTTCTTTTACTGACGTCGCGACTTAATTGATTAGTCATGTTCGAAAAAGAGCGTAATCAAGCCCGATCAACCTTGATTTCATCTTCATCCACCTTAAACCGCTCTTTTTGTGCAGTGATGCAAGCTAGTCGCCATTTTTTGGTTAAACTGATTCAATAGTCACCAAAAAATTGTGGAATGAATATGCTAAACCTTGCTGTACGTAGCATTCTTTTTCTATAAGCACTGAAAAACACTAAGCAAAAAATGAATGTCATATTTTAAAAGACAAATAACCAATTCTATTTGACATTACACTGCTCTTGATAAACAAATTTGTTCGAGATAAAAAAAATTGATCGAATGAGATGGAAGTGGACCACAAGATATTACAAATGTAAACATCATTTGTATATCATGGATGTGAATAGATATATTTATACCATCTCAAACAATATGTAGTAGTGTGGGGAAACAAACTCTATCCAAACTGTTCATTAGCGACATTCTTCATGCGAACAGACTCGATATTCCTTATTTTATATGACAAATAAAATGGTTCGCCGATTAATATAACTTGATTGTCCCACAAAGAGTCTTAAAGTTCATATGCATTCAGCGCCATGTTAATTAATAACGCGATATTTAGTATCCTCCAACTCGTTTGGTCAGTGATTCATATATTTTCTATTCAAAAACGATGATTGAATTGATTTGGTGGCTGATTTTGACATTTCACCCTCCGTGACGAACTGGTGCCAAGGAATATAATTGGCTCCCAATTCAATCAAGACTATTCAAAAATATATGAATCACTGACCAAATGGGACGGAGTATAAATATATTTGTGGCCAAGTGGCATGAATAAAAAAAGCGATAGTGCTCGTTAACTTCTACATGTGTTAAGTACTGGAACACATTACACATGTATATTTATATATATATATATAGATACAGGGTGAGATTCCTAATTAAATATATCGCTCATTATTTCGGGTTTCGCGTCATGTGAAGATGGTTTTTTTTTTTTTTTTTTTTTTTTTTTTTCGTTGGAACAACGACTCAGCGTACATGTGTAACATCAAAAGCAAATAACTCCAATGTGTACAAAAAAAAGTTTATCATAGACAATCATTCCACCTACAGCTTCAACCTCCATATTATCCTTCTACCCTGTTCAAATCTCTTGATAAAATAAGTTATACTACATTTTTATACAAAATAATATATGTATAGTCCGTTTCATTTGGTCACGATCCCTTATATTTTTTAAATACTCTCAAGGATATTGACAGCCAATTAACTCGCTTGTTCCAAGTTCATCAGGCAGTGAGACGCCACTAAGACCAATTTAATCATCGTTTTTTGGATTAAAGTTATATGGGATCGCGACCAAATGAAATGGGTGATATATAAATATATCAGTATTGGTACACGGTACACGTAAAGCATTGGTGGCGCAAACTAAATCAAGAAGATATAGTAAATTTATACATATGAATGTATATATATTTCAGCGAAACTTATTTTCCAGATAAGACATCTCTTACCATATTTTGTTGATTCAATAAGGATGTTGAAAATAAATGAATATGGATGTAAATTCTCTGCCTTTCTGGTTTACGTTCATTTCCATGGTTCATCGACAAAACATTATTTCAATGGAATTTATCTTTTTGTTTACTGCTGTGTCAATTATTTTTTTTTTTTTTTATTTTTTGAAAAAAAAAAAAAAAAAAAAAAAAAAAAAAACATGCATGCATGCATGCGCGTACAGCAACTGAGTATGGAATTTGTATCCTCTAAAATATGCAATGCACAATCATTCGGGAAGCAGATTGAAATGAAATAACTGTGAAGGCAACAGGCATAAACATAGACAAAGCTTTGTCTATCAGCCGTACCCGGCTCCGATTGAAAGGTAGATATACAACGGGACAAGGCGGATACCGTTTGTATATAGCTCATATTTTGAAGTGAAGGGCTCACTGTATCCAGTTTTCCTCAATGTTGTACACACAGCACTTGTAATCAATGATTTTAATCCAATGGATGCATGTGTCTATCTATTGAACCATACTGAAGACGACCAACACACTCGCTAGCTTCATCCTTCACAAAGATGATTAAAGATTGATAATATTTTATGCTCTACTTGATTAAAACCCATCTAGTCGACAGATAGGGAGATAGTACTTGTCTAAGGTCCAGTATGCACGCTTAACACCATTCCATTCCTCTTCTTTCAAGCCGATATCCATTTCTTCGTACTCAACTGTAAAGCCCATTTCGCTTAGTTCCAATTCAGAAATCCGATTATACACAGCATGGAAGAATTCGTTTGTGGCACCAAGTCCATTAAAGTATGAATACACTCCTCCTTCTTCAAGATGGTTTGGCACAACCTCATGGAATGCTCTCAGGTCCTCATAATATTCACCAAAGGTATCAAAGAAGATCCCATCATAGACTTCCAATTGATCCACTACATCTTGCCATCGTCCAAAGAGGATCTTAACACCTGGTTTCTTATCCCACCCTTCCTTGATCATATATGCGTATACATCTGGGTGAGCTTCAATAATTGTGTGCTGTACAGGCGATCGCCTCTGGAGTTCTTTGTCAATCAAGCCTAGCCCAAACCCTACATTCAGTACTCTTAGTCCTTCTTCGGGGCAAATCACTTCGGCATGACGAACCATTAAGGGTAATTCCCAACCCATCATCACACCATTCCTTTCAGCATCCAGTAGCCGGTCACCGTCGTCAGTGTAGTGGAGTGGTTGTGACAAATATGACGCGTTGGGTACTTCTGAGGCTGATTCTACCTTTTGCTTCTTTGATGCAGGTTCTGTTGATGGTTTGTCCTTTTCAGATAACGAAGAATTGGATGGTTCAACATCCTCAGATGTAACATTGACTAATGCCTCAACCTCTTTCTGATCGACGTGCTTTTCCTCCTCTTTCTCTTCCTTCTCTTCTCCTTCTTGTTCTTCTTGTTTTTCCTTCAATAGCTCCGCCTTGAGTTTTCTCTGCATGAGTCCCATCAAGAGTTCTGTGCGGACCCCTTCTTCTAGCAGAAAATCGTAAATCTCAGGTTGATTGAAAGATTTTGCATAATCGCCTACGGATTTGTAATCATCATCTACTAAATTCCACGGATGACCATAGCTCAATAATAGCTTGACAATCGGTAGGCTCCCAACCATAGTCGCAAAGTGAAGCATGGTCCTTCCGTGAGCCGCGCGGGCGCTAAAAAAAAAAAAAAGAGGGATGATGATAATGTCAGCCGATATGCCGATATGTGCCTCTGCTTTGAAGATTATGCTAATGATGTATATTTTCTCGACCCTGTCCTTGCTCCAATTGCTCTTGCTCTTGCTCCCTGCGCCCCACCTCCCCCACTATTTTCCGTTTCCCGTTTGCCCTGCGCAATCTTTTTTTTCTTTTTTTTTTTTTTGTACCTGTGGTTAGCGCCTTCTTTGAGCAGCTGTTCCACCTTGTTAACCTTGCCTTCAGCCACAGCCTGCATCAATTCCTGGCTCTTGGCAACCTCCTCACTTGTGGCCTCAATGACTTGCTCTGTTCGGACCAAGTTACTCTCGGGCACAGGATTGCGTTGTGATTCTTCCATGAACGATGTGTAGGCAATGGGTTGATTAAAGAAGTTTTGAAATTGTTAGAACGAAATAAAAAATCTAAGTGTGTGACGTAATCATTTTTTTTTTTGTCTAGATCTCAAGATCCAAATGATTATTCTGTATCGATTCAGAACATCTACATTGAGTGTTGTTGTTGACAATAAACAAATAAACAAACAAACAAGAAAGAAAGAAAGAAAAAAAAACGTACTTAATCTACAATGCGCCACGCCTGCTCCCGTACATGTAAGCATGTCGCGTTGAAAGCTACTTTGCATAAAAAAAGGAGATGCGGAGCCATAGCCCTTTGTTCTTTAAAGTTATTCAAAAAGTCCTTCATGACAAATACAATGTAGTACAAAGCCAAATATTTTCATGTTCAAGGGGAGAGAGGAAAAACAGTTGAGGGGGTGAAGGAAAGGGGGGCGCGAACTTGACCAAACAAACAGGGAGAAAGTTTGCGCATGCGCAATGAAGACAGCGTATTTCCCCACTATGGCATGGGCATGATTCATCAGACATCAGATGGTTGTAATGTATTTTTTTTTTTTAGAAAAAAAAGAGAGGCTTGATAAAAATAAAAAAAGCGTTGGGCATGACCACGAGGGAATAGGGGCAACAAAAATGCAATCGTGCAAGGCAAGAGTGTAGTGCTAGTGTGGTGAGTTTGTTCAAAAGTAGCTACATCCAATTATGGACGCGTTAGTAAGGAAACAGACTTGGGTCTAAATCCCTAACCAAAGTGCTCTCTTTGTTCTCTTGTTGCTCTCTTTTTTGTTGTTGTTACTGCGGCCAGCTTATTGCTTCTGTTTGCCAAACATCACAAGAGCTGATTCGCAATGAATGTGCGGACCATCTGGCTCATCATTTGCTCATGACATTGCTCTTTTGCTGTTCATCTGTTCTTTAGTGACAACAAAGGTCTCCTATTTAGTTTCTAGTCTACAACTGCATCTCTTTTTTGGGGAAACTTATAGGGAAATATGTATAAAATATATACGTGATCTGAGATGTACATATAATCATTGTGCAGTTAGTAAACTAATGTAGTAAACATGTAAAGTTCAGGTACGAGAAAGCGATGCATCCATCCACAGGTCCATACTAACGGTGATCCAGGGATAGGAAAGATATATATAAATATATATGTATATGTATATAATATATCAATATACAAATTATATATCTATATCATACCTATACAAATGGCGCACTTGGTTCGTCAACAAGCTTGGTAGATGTCGTTATGCATGCGTCTGCAACCAATAGTAAGCATCTCCTACCTGTTTCCCGATCTCCAACCCTCCTTCTTCCCCCCCTCCTTTCCTGGTCAGCCCAATGGCCGTAATGTGCTTGACTGCGATAAATAAGAATGTCTATGGTCAAACCTTGCTTCGCACTTCTGCGCTTTTTGGCTTTGTACATGTACACAAAGTTAATGTCCATAATTGCGAAAAAAGTGTAAAGTAGAAAGAGTAGAATAAAAGGTAACACAAAAAAACGTTGTTTTATGGAGTGCAAGCTTTCACCCCCTCTACCTTAAAAAAAAGATGATGGGCAAAAAATAGTCGCAAACTATAGTCTGCAGTTGTGCAGTTCTTTTAGACTGAACTGGGTACATGTATACCAACGAGGTTGTTAACGGGAAAGAGAACTCGAATTAGGTCTGGTCGGTTGCTGCTGGAGAGAGATAGCCGGATAGGATGCTCAGCTAAAGTTTATTAAACCTATGCTCTAGAGACATGGACATAAATATATTATATATATATACAATTTATTTATGCATCATATATATATATATATATATATATATATATATATACAGTAGACTTTGTTTGCCGAAATGCATCGGCATTAACTTGCCGGGATATAGCCAATGGAGTCTCAATATATTAAAGGAAAAAGCGGAGAAGAATGAATATGATTATTGAATTGGGACGGGAAAAAATAAAGCATGAAAAGTGGCGTAGCGGATTGGCTTGGGTTGTTCTTTGTTCCTAACGATGGGGACTCTTTATTTTATTTTAATAGTATATAATGTATTATTCTATATATTCAGATATTTCCATGAAAATATAGTTTTCTCTACTGCACCCTATTTATTTGCGATAAACATTCCTTTCCATTTCTTGACATCTCAACTCTATAGCCCGTGATGTATTTTCTTGATGATAAATGTAAATATACTATATGTGCGTTTGCGCATTAGGGTAACACTCTTGCGGAGGAATTTACTTTTTTATAATTTTATAATTTTTTTTTATAGAACCGAGGCAAAGAGAAGGCGGGATATGGATTATCGTTTAGGTGACCTCTTCTCCTTCCCCCTTTTTTATGAACTACTGTGGTGCAAACGATGTAAGGAAAGGCTATTAACGTTGTTTTTAACAAAAAAAGAGATGCGGAACTCATTGGTGTTGTGGATATACTCTTTTTTTTTTTGTTAGTTTACTCATGCATGGCGTGCATTTATACATCAACTGCGATAAAGAGTTACACATCTATTTTCCAGCTACTCAATAGAAAAAAAAAAAAAAAAAAAAAAAAAACTGGATAGAATTGAATGAATGTATTCAAAATGTATATTCTATCAAGGCATACAACCTGGGGAAAGTCTAGTCAAGTCTATCTGAACGTTAAACGAAAAAAGTGTACATGTAGATGTATCCCTATTTGGAATGCATATATTTTTGTAATAGTCATTTGTATTCTTTTTCTAGCCTGACTAAATAACACCCTCTTTCATCCTTTCATCGATCATTGACTGAGAGCATTACCCTTCGGCTCTACTTCTTCTTCTGCTCCCATGCTTCTCTTTCTCCCCCTCGATTTTCTCGTGTTTAGTATACATGTATATCTGTCTCATGCCTGCGATTGATAGGAGGATCTTGTCTTATATCTGACTCGGTTTTTTTCAATAAAGTATGTGGACTCAGTCAAACTTCCTTCAACCGTTTCATTTCTATCGTCCACCATTAATGATCGGAGATCTACTTAAATACAGGCCTTCTTTCGACGACTTTTTTTTCTTTTCTTTTCATTTTTCTTTCTTTCTTTCATCATCACCCTCTTTTTGTTTTCTTCACCGTTTTACTTCGCCCTTCATTTACACCAGCAAACAGTGTCTGTGCTGCACACGCGTTTTAAAACATCCAACGTCCTCCCCTTTCTCTTCCCATCATCATCCACTTCATTTCTTCTCCAATAGTCGTGCAACAGTAGACAATCCTCCCTCCTTGCACTCACACTCATACATACATACGAGTCCTCAGTCATTCACAAGAAGACGAAAAGAAGAAGAAAAAACCTTTTCTCCCCAACCTTTTTCTTGTACACACTCACACATAAACAAAAAAAAAAAAAAAAATGTCGTGCCCAGCAGGATATACTTTTGATTATGCCCAACGTCCCAAACGTTTGCATGAAGCAGAAATCCCACTAGAGCGACAACGTTATTTAGGTCGACAGATTGCCTGGACCAAGAACCATGTCTCCGCAAGTCGCTTAGACGATCTTCGTTATATTGGTGATGATCTCGGTGATGAGGCATATATAGCTCTCAAATTGAAGCCAGGCGAGGATGCACTGCAAAAGTTGCTCGAATACACATCCCGCCCAGAGAGTGAACAAGAAAGTTCTGCGCCCCGTCGGCTATTGCAGCAATGTATGGAGGTGCCTGAATGGGTCGACTGGGAAAAAATGAAACGTGGTCAAGAGGTCGTCATGTAAGTTATAGAGAATTAAATCTAATTTTATTTGTTCATAAACATGCTCTTCCTTTCTCCCAGCACATGTCTGCAAAAGAATGAAGTTGGTGCTCTTTTATTATTCCCTTCAATCGATCCCACGCTTCCTTCGACCATTCACTGATTTGATTATCAATGATGGATGAGGCTCTTCATTCCTACTTCTACACCTGGCTCACTTTTCTTGGAAAAAAAAATCAGAACATTTTAATCTAATGATTTTGTGCACAAGGAACACAAGCACAATGAGCACAGAATTTTATTTGGTTTTTCACGCTGAAGTTTTACATGGTTGTTGGATACTCATTTTATTTTTTCCGTCAATCTTGTCTATCTCGAATTTGTCATATAGGCGTTACTTCTTGTATATGGCTCATATCATGGTCCACTTCTCGTTGACGTATAGTTTTACAGCACCCAAAACTAGCAAGGTCTTAGTTTCAACCGGATATCTATCCGGTGCAAAGACACGCATTCGCGTTTTCGAGACCGCTATTTTTGTCTTGGAATCAATCACTTCACTCGAGAATCTTCAACCAGGTACTGGTTGTGCCTGGAAATCCTATATCCAAGTCCGCTTCTTGCATTCCGCTGTTCGAACCCGTCTCGTACGAATGAGCAAGGCCCACTCCAAGTTCTATAATGTAGAGGAATGTGGTGTGCCTATCAACCAAGAGGATTACCTGGCCACCTTGATGTCGCTCTCGGTCTCAATTTGGCAGGTCATGGAGACCCGCATGGGTGTTCATATGAACCAGGAAGAGAAGTCTGATTTACTGCATCTCTGGCGATACATTGGCCATTATGTCGGTGTTGAGGATGTCCTCAACGCGACCGCGGACCCTGTAGTGGCAGATGCGGTTTCAGAGTCTATTGCGATGCATTTGCTCGAACCAAATCCCGAGGGCGGCAAAGTCGTGGATTCCTTATTCAAAAACATGTCCACAACCTTCATTGGCCCCCGAACCGTCTCAAAATCGTATCGTCCTTCCCGCTATAGGATGCACATGGCATTGGCAGAACAACTGTTAGGCTCTGAAGTTTGGGATCTCTGTGAACTTCCTCGTATCACACCTCTCTATAAATTTGTTCGCTTGTCGGTCTCATACTACATGAGGCTAGATCTTTGGATGGCTAGGAAATCAGACTGGTACTTCCGTACTCGAAGTGCCCTTGTGCATTACAAGGTCATACAGCGAATCTCGGGTCGTCTCGGCCATTCCCCCGATAACTATCGTCTGAAGGAACTGCCAGTTGATGGTGGAAACTACACAGTCGCCTCTCACAGAGGATTCTTCGCTTCCTTGTTGCCATCCTCTATCACATCTACACCTGTTGTAACATCTATTGTGACCTCTGTTGGAAACCTACAGTTTAAACAAAGCACCAGCAGTAGCAAAATCATGTCCATGTTCTTGACTACCGTCGCTTCCGCGGCTGTGTGTGTCGGCATTGCCATGGCCAAACGTTCATGATTTGTTTCAAAGAAATAATCATCATAATAGTAATAACATTAATGGGAAAAAGGGCACGCCAGAGTGCCTAATAGACATCTCATTGTAAATATAATTCATACATTAAAACAGTTTTGTACATTACATACATTACATTCATTAAACATTAAAAAAAAGAAAAAAAGAAAAAAAAAAACTTTTATCCATTCATTGCTGTGCTGAACATTCAATGATAGTCTTTGGGGCACTGTCGGGTAAGTACATGGTCATGGAGCGGAGAAAGAAAGTTAAACATTTAATACCACATCTAACCTGCCTAGCTTTGTTTCGTCTATTTTTTTTTCTGTATGCATGCATCATATAAAAATAACATGGGGGGTAGAGGGAGTTATTTCAGATCCCTATTTGACTTTATTGATGATCCTGATTCACCCCTCTCCCTTCATGCAGGTGCAGGTAAATTTACAGAAAATACATGAATAGCATAAAAAGAGTTCAGAGGAACTTTATTTTATTTTTCAGGCAATTATCAAAAGAAAAAAAAAGTAAGGCGATCAAAAAAGATAATGGGACAGAATTAGAACACATCCTCATCGCTTATCAGGCACAAACATAAATAAAAAAAAAAAATAAAAAAAAAAAAAAAGAGGGATGCCCTTCATTTTCAAATCCTATTTTTTTTTTTCTTATGCAGATGGAGGTGTAGGTGATGGTGAAGGTGGTGGCGTATCCATCGTAGGGGCTGATGATGATCCAGGGATATGCTCCTCATCTTGACCGGCAGCTTCTGTACCCAATAGTTCATGCAATTTGTCCTGGAAAGGCCGCTTACCCAACAAACGCTCCATATCTGCACGACTTAACACCTCCTTCTCCATCAACAGCTTGGCCACTTTCTCAACATCATCACGTTTCTCCGTCAACAGGTCTGTGGTCTTGCGGAATGCCCGATTGATCAGCGAACGGACCTGGTTATCAATCAACTGACCTGTCTGTTCACTATAGGGCTTAGTGAACTGGTTCTCTTTGTCAGGGTTGCCGTATGATAATGGCCCAAGCTCGGGATCCATACCATATGTTGCAACTACAAGAAAGCAAAAAAATAAAAAATAAAATAAAATAAAAAAAACCAGCGAAAGAAAGTGAACACATCTATGAGTAACCAACTCTATTCAGAGGAAAACAATAAGTGAAAATGCCCTCTGCAAACTTTACCTTGAGCATATGCCATCTTAGTAACCTTCTGTAAATCGTCCTGTGCACCAGTAGTAATAATACCAAAGAAGATGTGCTCCGAGACGCGTCCTCCGAGGGTCATACACATGCGGTCCATCAGCTGGTTTGTCGAATACAGGTATTGATCCTTTGGCAAGTACTGAGCATATCCCAATGCTCCTACGCCACGCGGAATAATCGATACCTTCAACAATGGATCAGCATGCTCCAGATACCATCCTGCAACCGCATGTCCAGCTTCATGATATGCCACTGTCTTCTTTTCTTCTGGCGAAAGTACCTTAGACTTCTTTTCCAGTCCCACAATAACACGCTCAATCGCTGCCTCGAAGTCTGCTTCCACGACCGTGTCCTTATTATGCCTTGCAGCAATCAACGCAGCCTCATTACAGACATTATGAATATCTGCTCCTGAGAATCCGGGTGTCAAGGCAGCGAGTTTCTGTGAGAGCTTATTGAGATCTTCGTCTGTCTTGATGGGCCTCAAATGGACCCTGAAGATATCCTGTCGACCCTTGATGTCAGGCCGATCAATGGCAATGTGGCGATCAAAACGACCAGGCCTCATCAATGCTTCATCTAATACGTCTGGCCGGTTAGTTCCTGCTAAAACAACCACATGCTCATCCGACCCAAATCCATCCATTTCCACCAAAAGCTGGTTCAATGTACTCTCACGTTCATCATTGCCGCCAAAATGGCCTCCTTTACCTCGAGCCTTTCCGATAGCATCAATTTCATCTATAAAGATAATACAAGGTGCATGCTTCTTGGCGCTCGCAAACAAATCACGAACGCGTGAGGCTCCCACACCAACAAACATCTCCACAAATTCTGATCCAGAGACACTCAAGAAGGGTACTCCTGCTTCACCTGCCGTCGCCTTTGCCAATAGGGTCTTTCCAGTTCCAGGTGGCCCACTCAAAATAGCGCCCTTGGGGATCTTGGCTCCCAATTTTCTGTAGGCTTCAGGATTCTTGAGAAATTTTACAAACTCCATAATCTCAACCTTAGCCTCGTCCATACCTGCAACATCCTTGAACTTGACAGTGATATCCGTCTCCCGGTTGAACATCTTAGCTTTGGACTTGCCCACCCCAAAGATACCCTGTCCAGCACCTCCACCTCCCTTTTTAGCCATGTAAACAAGCACCCCGACAAGGAGTAGCGTGGGTGCAAAATGAAGTAAAGTGCCCAACACGTTGACTTCATCTCTGTACGAAACCGGGATCCTCTCTGAGCCAGGGATACCCAGTTCATTCTGAGCCTCCTCCATTTTACGTTCAAATGCATCTACTGACCCAATACTAAAGGTATAAGTAGTTCCATAAGGTTGTCCCAACGTTCCAGGGATCTGACCCGGTGCATCAGGTCTTAAATAAACCTTGACTCTGTTTCTGTTCAAGACCACAAGACGATCAACGAGACCACGATCTAAAAATGTCGACCTGAATTCTTGCCATGTGATTTCGCGTGTATTATCAGAGACAGAGAGAGCCTTGTAGAGAACATAGGTTGTGAAAGCAATTGGCAGGACTGTGTTGGGATTGATGTTCATGCTGTAGAATGGGCCCTCGGGGGGTGGAGTAGGCTTGCGATTGGATGGACGGTGGTTACCATGGCTCCCACTACTATTACTACCACTTTGATGACCGTCATGATTGCTTTTATTGTTGCTGTTATTGTTGTTAGTGCTCTTGCTCTGATCTCCGCTGCTGTTAGAGCCCTTATTTCCGCTTGATCCAGACCTAGATGCCTGTTGAGCTTGTTGACCATTACTATTTTCGATCTTCTTGGCCGCATCCTTGAAAGCTTTTCCAAAAAAGTTTTCAAAGCCTTTGGGGGTATTCTCAGGTATGTTATTGCCACTGCCATGACCCTCTCCATGCTGCTTAGGTGGCTGCGGTCTCTCAGCTGCATAGTAGCGCGTCTGGGACTGTATACGACGACTAAGCAAACCAGATCTTGTGGCTGCAGTGACAGTAGATGTGAATCGAGACAAAAGACCTCGTCTGTTGGATGCAGACAAGGTGGATCCCCGTGCGATGAAAGCACTCATGGCGACGAAATTCTTTGCGCGAGGTGAAGGAGAGGAGCGAAAAGAATGAGATTTAAGAATGTAAGAATGGAGAAATGTATTTCTCGACAATGTTTGCATGCTTAATTTAAAATCGCCTTTTCCGGACAAAATTTAATGTATCCATTTGATCGGACTGCAAGTTTACCCAGTCCAAATCACGCGCATAAATATTTCATAGAAAGACTATCTCAACTTTTTGCAGGTTGGAAGAAAATGTTTATTAACTTATAAACTCATCAGCGACTACGTGATGAACGACTGCGGTGACGACGTGCACGAGGACGAGGGCTGCGAGGTCCAGACGATGAACCTGAGCTCGAATCAGAATCTGAAGAGTCCGAGTCCGAGTCCGAGTCTGAATCTGAAGAGTCCGAGTCCGAATCTGAAGAGTCCGAGTTCGAATCAGACTCAGAACTATCCTGCTCTTGTGCCATAATGTTCTTGGGGGCGTTCTATTTAATATATTGAGTACAGTTCCAGGCAGTTCATTTAGTGTCAAATAAAGAATAATAATGAATAATGGCTCTTCTTTAAGATAAAACTTCACAAAAGACAATTATGTTACCTTCAAATGTTCTCTCAGGTCTGTTGTCAGAGCTCCCAAACCAATTGATGTAAAAAAATTGATTGCAAAACGCGTGTTCTTGGGGTTATCTTTGGGGAACAATCCTGCAAACCATTCTCCGAACCGAGGATCCTTAACACGTTCATCCAACTTCTTCAGACCTAGAGACTCGACTAAATCCTGAAACAAGATCTTAATAAAAATACGTGAGCTGCTAGTCGTCTCCTCTTCATTCAAGTGAATCGAAGACAGTACACTCCAAGACAAGGCATCTGTAGACATGAGATGACCAAAGTACTTGGCCACATTGCGAAGCGGGTTTGTCTCCAGACGATGAATCGTTTCATAATTGGTCACAAAGCATTCCTGAAACGCCTCTGCCCAGTCCCGGTTAATCTTTGAGAAACGTTCTCCCACTAGTCCAAAAAACTTTTCATATGTCCGCTCTTGCGAACAACACTCGATAAGCATGTTTGCGAGTTCGATCTAGAAAAAAAAAAAAAAAAAAAAAAAAAAAAAAAAGGCGCGTTTAGTTCATGTAATCCAAGTTGTACACCTTCGCCAATCTTTGACCAAATCATTACCTGTTGTCCGGGCTCAAGCTTGATCAACAACAACTTGTGACAACACTCCTCAAAATTGAGCGAACTCTTAATTGTAAGATAGATTGTCTTTCGAAGATTCACCAAATTAGTATTAGTCCTATCCTGGATTTCCATTTTTTTCTGTAATGATTCGCGACTCTCCTCCTCTTCTTCATCCTCATCCTCATCTGATTCTTCAGAGCCTTCTTCATCCGACTCTTCCTCTCCCAGAATTTCTGCTTTAATCTGGGTATATTTCTCTTCATTTGTCAAGTAGTCAGGATCATACTTGAAAACATCTATATTGCAGTAAAGGGTATAGAACATGAATCAATACTTGATCAAAAGAAGGCAACATCACAAAACAACTTGGACACTCAGAGCATATACTTACTGAGCCCTTCCATAGGGTCCAGATCCTCCTCATCTAGCCTGAGAGTATGTGTAATTTGTTCATCGTCGTCGACTAAATCTAACTCTGGGGCAATTGGCGGATTTTCCTTATATTTGTCCTTGCGAATCTGGAAAAGAACTTCGACCATGTACTGCGTACGTTTTTCGATTTTACCCTCGTGTAATATAGTGCGTAGTCGCTCAAAGACATATTCATTTTCTTTAGAGGCTTCTTGTGAAAGAAAAGAGCCAACCTCCTTCATAAATCCGACTGCAATCTCAATCGAGTCATCTGTAGGCTGACCCAACAATAAGATCAACATTTCAAGCGCCAAGAGAACATGTCCCACCCATTGGTTAGTCAACTGCGCAATGAATGTCGTAGTCGCAAGACAGGTTGTCTTGTCATTTCTCTTGTATGCTTTCCTGAACTGAATGATAAGACGAGTCAATAACAGTTCTCCGATCTGTGGAAGCTTTGTGTTAATGACAGCCACAACAGCGGCATATACTGGAGTGAAGGGCATGGAAGCAGCTTGTGCTTTCATAATCGACTTGCAGAATAAGCCCCGCCCACGAACCAAGTTTTCGCCAAACAATTCTGGCAAGATTGCTTTGATATTGGAAGCTGTCACCTATATGGATATATAATTAGTCCGTAGTAAATAAAATAAATAAATGGGTCCGCATTGTGCCTGTATCAACGCTTCCTTTTATCTCTATTATGCTCTTGGAAAGAGTAATGTTACCTTATTAATCAGACCATTAATGCTCTTCTTTAATGCCTCCCATGCTATCCTCTGGTATTCTTTTGAACTCTTATCCGTGATTTGCTCCTGCATCATACGAAGTCGAGCCGGGGGAATATATGCCCCTCCAGTACGGGTAGTTGTCAAAAGTTTTTTCATCTCTGCTTCCGGATCTTGTTTAGGTCTTGGTACTACCGGCTCTCTTTCCATCATCTGTCTTTGGCGCTCGATACGACGTGCTACAGAAAAGTCGTTTACGAATGGGGTAGTGTGTTCATGCTTACTTCGCTTACGCTCTCCATTTTCACGTACTGCTCCAGCGCCACTACGGTCTCTAGAGCGATCTCTAGAGCGATCTCTAGAACGATCTCTAGAACGGTCTCTTGAGCGGTCTCTAGAACGGATTCTAGGACGATCTCTAGAACGATCTCTATAGCGATCTCTAGATCGGTCTCTGTCATCGTCTTTGCGGCTCCTTCTTGAAGGTGGTGGTGGAGGGGATGAGGCATCAATCGAGGCTGCTCTACGTTTATTATTAGACCGATCTGGTGGCGGCGAGGAAGAACGAGAGCGAGAACGAGAACGAGAAGCTGAGCGTATAGTTGATTGTGAGTGTGTGGGTGACGATGAACGTGATCGCATAGGTGAGCGTGAAACCGATGGTGAAGCTGATGAAGATCTACGTTTTCTTTCCGTTGGCGATGGCGATCTACTCATGGATCGAGACATGGACCTAGCAATACGATTTAATAAGGAAGGCCAATAAACAAGATGCAATAATTGATAAGGAATAAGTGGAAATAGATGTGGGTAAAGAAGTAAAGACGAACCTGCTGGCCCGCTCTGATGTAGTCTGCCCCTTGGTATTGTCGTTCTGGCCTTCCATGAGAGGGACAGTTGATGAATAGTAATGAGGTGAAAATATGATTAGAGAAAATGCAAAGGCCCAAGAATGCATCAAAGCATCAAAGAGAAGAAATAAAGTCTGTCAGATCTGCCGCGCCTCGGTGCAGCAAGAGCGATCATATCGCTTACTAATACATCATATTGTATCACATGATATTTTACGACGAATTAAATAACTAAATAGTTAAATAGACGAGTCCACAAAGCAACATGGACGTGTTCTCGTTAGTCTTGTGAAGTTGGCGGATCCGTCTCTTGTATCTTTGATCCTGGGTTTATGGAACCCTTGAACAAACTCGGGGCAGCCTGAGGCAACATCTTCAAAGCATGTAGCCATCTAAGCTGCGATGAAGGTTCAAAGGATCTTTATCATCGTATTGTTAGGTCGGGACAAAGTTCGCAGCATGAACGTAATGCATTTCATATTTAAAGAGTGACCATGCAAAATAGAGATTTTTTTTTTTTTAGATAGTTTATTGAAGGATGGCTCTCTCTTTTTTTGTTTCAACACAAATCAGCGCTATTTAAAGGCACCGATGACCACTTTACAGGGGCTTAGCAGTCTGGGTGGAGGTAACCTTCTTACCATCCTATGTTTTACAAAAGTATCGATGATCATTAGCATAATAAAAAAAAGGTTGACATGGGAGACTTGATAACATAGAATACAAAAGTTTTTTATACCTTGAAGCGGAAGCGTGGTGGAGGAGCACGGTTGCGGCGACCCTCACGGGAGCGAACACGGACAATGTGGGCGTGAACGGCGCAAGAGATGCAGTAATGGATCTTGATGTAGAACTTGGGGAGAGTGTACTCTGTTGGTTGTAAAAAACGGCATTGTTAGCTCGTGCGAGTGTGTAAAATGCATGATAGTGCTTATTGAAGTAAATGGCAAGTATAAGCTTATATTCATGTCGTATGATGTTCCCTTTTAGTGCCTTTGCATTACAAAATCATGATGCAAATGTATGCCAAAATGTGAAAAGCTGGCTAACATGATATCCTGATCCCGACCTCCACCGCACATTGTCCCGCATAATAGTTATGTCGAAAAAAAAATATCCCTTAGAATTGATAGTGAATTGGTAATGCCTGTTGAGAGTCCTTACCCTTGTAAACAAGAGCCTCAGTGATGTCACGGACGGCAGCCAACTCGACCATAGGGCGGACAGTGTAGCGCTTGATTGCCTTATCCTTAGGGACGCAGCGAGAGCAGTTGGAGCAGCGAACGGGCTTAACGTGGCCGCGACCGTTCTTGTTACGTCCGTGATTTCTTCTCTTGAAGGTCTGTAAAGAAAAAATAAAAAAATAAAAAAATGGGTAGTGAGGTTAAATAATGTGGTACTGAAAAGTACAGAGTTTGAAAGTGGAGTCTTCCTCTCCCTTTTCCTTCCTTGTCGTTGACTTTTTGAGTCCATTGTTGTCCTAGAAACTTTATGGATGATCCTTTTGCATAAAGATTGCTCCATCGCTTCATAGCACCTCTGTAGCATCTTAGAATGGCGTTCCATGTCTGCCTTGTTGCTCAAGCTGATTAAATACTGTATAATGTCACTACTCAAACACTATATTTCAGTAGATCAATCAAGGCTCCTTCCTGACTTTGTAGGCTGAGTCATATAAAGTTTTTGTACGAGTGATATTGCTGCTTTTCACCAGCCTAAGCACAAGCCTGATATAAAATGTTCTCCTATTGTTTTATTCATCTCAACTCTTTTCTTGTAGAATCAATGGAGCATGCATTGTGCTGCATCTTTCAATGCTCCGCCATGATAAATTGATGTCTCTGATCCCACACTAAATAATATGATATAAGTTGATAGCCGCTTCTTTTCAGTAGTGATGATATTGAGAGTGGATCGATGCGTTTGACGGATCCATGGATGCGTTGGATGTGATGGATGGGTGTCTAATCTTTTCCTCTGTATTTGGGACTGCAATTCTAATTCTATAGAATACTTTCCATGATGGAAGTGAAAGGAGGAACTTCTGCTTCCACATACGTGCCCACATAAAACTCAGCAAGCAATAATAAAATCGATTCTACCCCTTAATATACACCGGTATTTTTTTTGGCCAGATTTCCTTCTCCATATTATTACAGCTGAAGCTTTTTTGCATGCGTTTAAATTTTCTGGCCATGTGCGATCACGTTCACAAGCGCGACGACAGTGTCGCTTGTTCTAGCTCACCCGCTATCGCTGTCATTGTTAATATGTTGTTGCTGCTGTTGTTGTCAGCTTCATCCTAATTGTGGCAATAACTGCCAACAGGCCAAATGAAAAAGAACAGAGAAATAAGAAAACAAGAAACGTCTCTCCTCCTGTAAGGCGTTCATGTTCAACATGGACTCATGCCAACCAATGCCACATGATAAGTCAAAAAGTGGCAAACTCGACAAATATCTTGGCAATTGGTGGCGATGATTGTTGCTTTATAAGGAAACCGTCGCGGAAAGAACCGCTATTCTCATTGCAAATTCTTTGTTTATTGTGTCATTATTGATGGTGCTTCCCCTTTTCTTTTTTTCTTTGAATACCATGCTTTTTGTATTGCGGGGGGCTTGGTCGTTAGTTCGTCATCCACAATGGCACATCATGCACATCCAAAAATCTTTTTTGTGCACTGTTGCACATCACACGCAACAGATTATTTACACAGTACACGCAACATACACACACATACACAAAAGACATGTTGGGTGAAAAATCAGTGCTCGCTTTTTTGCATAAAGTTCTACGGCGTGGGTGTGTGAGCTCGTGTTTATCGAGATATCACTGAGATTAGTGAGATAGACAACAGCAAGGTCGATTCCCGCCATTTCTGAATTCTAAACAATTAACGAGGGAGGAAACATGGTCAGTTGACGACCACAAGGATAGAAAAAATTGACGACGACATTTGAGTGTAAACAAGCTGTTCTAATATTCATGAAAAAAGGGGCCAAGGAGTAAGCGAGCAAAAGTCTCCTTTGTAGTTGACGAGAATGATGGGCATTCTCTCTCGCACCGCCCAAGGCCATATTCATGCAAGGAGCCACGGGACGTCCCCCTATGTAAACGGGGCATATCGTATAAAAATGCCAAGTACATATCATATCTCTCGCTTATTTTTTCCGCAGTCTTTCTAACAAGGAAAAATAAAAGAAATATCACGCTTAAAAAGCGCAACTGAAGACGGATGGTGGATTAAGACGTTTCTTTGCCTATCACGTTTTCTGTATCGGTATTTGTTTATTGACCCACAGTCGTCGATGTGAGAAATAACCAAATATTGTAGAAACACATGTATGTATCAGGCCATGCTTCTTGTGAGAAATTCTACATCAAATGCTGAGCTTTTCAGGATGCACCAAAGTCATTAGAAGCCCGTGTTTGGCTACAATTTATTATTCTTCGATGACCATTAAGAGTGCAAATTCTGATGCAACACTCACCACAGGGCCATCTTATAAATCGGGAGCCTTAGTGCTGATACAATGCATCTCTGTTCTGTGGTCTGTTACGCTATTTGTTAATGCTGATCTGTAGATGTGAAATGTCCCCTCGCTTTTTATGCTACAAACAGAACTTGGTATAAATATACGTGTTGGATCTTGTCGCTATTTGTAGCCCCTATTCTTTCCCTTAAACCGATGCGAGATATCTTCCTCTACAGAGTATCTTTTCGCATTGACTGCATTACTCTTGGATTCCTCCATACTTTATAGCTGCAATTAATCCCTTTATTCATAGTGTTGTTATCGCTCATTTCGATTTGCACAAATTTTTCATTGATGATCGATCAGGACGGAGAACCTAGTTTGTAATCTTGTTAGTTCAAATGGCGCCCATGTTGTACTGCATACATCTATGCAATACTTCCCCGACGGTAAAGAACATTTTCTTGTTTGTTTATTGTTGTTGTTGTCGTTGTCGTTGTCGTTGTCGTTTTTTTTTTTTTTTTTTTTTTTTTTAATCACAACTCTGGACCACGCACAAATTAGAGCATTAATGAGGTGATTATTGGAAGCATGGACCATGAACTCGAAGCCATTGGTTAGGGTTTCGAGCGTGAATCAAGTAGCTTGCGACTTGAGGCTAAAAAGAGCCATGCGATTGTTCTAGATATATATGTATATATTATATATCCATTCATTCCTTGATATTGTATTCAGTTGACAGAACATACATGTGTATATATACTTGCGCACAAGCGCGGTCCATTGGATGAGAAAGATAGTGCACAATTGGGCTGGTAACATTGATTGCAATGAAGATGCAAGTGTAATATACACGTTTTTTACTTTTTGGTTCGTGTGGATATAGGCGCCGCATGATGCTCAGGCACAGCAAATCCGCTTATTTTGTCCAACTTGAACTAATGTCAGCATGCGAGAGACAGAGGGAAAGAACTCGCATGTCGTAAGACAAACAAGGGATCAACAAAAAAAAAAAAAAAAAAAAAAAAAGGCGCAATGGTGCCCTTTTTACTCGAATATTACAAATATATATACTATAGACATGATGGATATTACATGTGCTGTATAGCATAAATGCTTAAGCATCATAGCAAGGCGACTGAGTTGCAAAAAAAAAAAAAAGAGAGAGAGAGGTGATGAATGGTTGATGATATAATATATATGTATAATTATAGTCCGCGCGGTTTTTGTTTTCTTTGGCCCTTGACCCTTTTTGTCCATTAGGGTGATGGGCAAAGGAGTGACAATCATATGCCAATGCTCATCGGACTGTCCAGGTGCTCTATTTTATGTATTTTATTTGGGTACTATTCAGTCCAATTCAATCCTCAGCCATTGGAAGGAACAAGCATTTGATATAACCCAACAAGACGTTGTGTCTCTTTTTTAAAATCAGTTCTCTTTCGCATATTATTTTATTTTCAATATTGATTTTCGCTGTTTTATTCACACTCCGCCTAGTCTTCTTCTATCTCTTAATAAAACCAAAAGACATTCTTCTTCTTTCTCTGCAATTCTTTTTTCTTTCATTTCATTTCATTTCATTTCATTTCATCCCATCTCATTCTTTTCTTTCCCTTCAACAACTACAATTCTTCTCTCCTAGTTCAAAAAGATATCAATTGACTTAATCAGATCAACGTATCATTCCTCTTCTCCTCAGGCTCACTCGCTCCCTTTGTAAAGAAGCTGTGCACACTTTCCATTTTATTTATTCAACTTTACATCCTTACTGTTCTCTTATTCATTCTTATTTCTTTTTTTTCACTCATCCTCCACCTTGTCTAATCCTTGAATTATCCTTACTACTTACTGCTTTCTCAAGGTGAGTTCAACGGTTGTTTTCCACTTCGACATTCTCCCCCCTGTTCAATTCTGAAAGGCTTGCACTTTTTTATATATAAGTGAGGACCAACAAATATGCCCGTACGATCTTTTTTTTTTTTTTTTACGACATGTTCTCACTCAAGCACGACAATATGGAGAGATATCAGATGCTTACTTTAAGCACCCTGATCTTACAGCCATACATATGCTTGCAGCTTACCGTGCATTCCAACAGGTCACAACCTGCATCTTTTTTTTTTTTCTTTTGTTTGTTTTCCCTTTCTTGGCTTTGTCCCACTTCGTCCCTGCCTTTCCTTTCGTTCCGCGCGATAAGACGTAGCAACGTGTTGCTTCTCGTGCATACCACGGGTGATTGACACACCGCTCTCCCTCAGCCAATAATTTTCTTCCTTTCCGTCCCTCTTTCATCATCGACTATTGTTTACTTGCATCCATCTTTGTTTCCTTCTACCCTTTTTATACAGCCCGGTAGTATATTTAGTGTATATACATTTCTACCACATCTCCCTGTCTGGTTATTTTCGTTTGATAATTCCGCAAAAGGAGGGTAAACAGACATTGACACATGTCAGTGACAAAATTGGCTATTTGGTGTTGTTGCCCTGAGCACGCCACAATACTGGTACAAAAATTTGCTCTGAGCTAAGCGAAGCTAAGCTAAGCTTGGCTTATCATCGGTAGACAAAACCAGCTGATTGTCGGCTTTGTTCATGTGCAAGATAGACACATGAAGGGGGAAGGGGGAATAAGTGCAGAACAGGGTTAATTGCTAACCGCGGTAATTTTCTTTTCTTTTGTTTCTTGCCTCCGTCTTGGTGCCTGAATTCCTGACGCATCTGATTGGCCACTATAAAAACGTGTATGACACGGGCCATTTTGTTTCATATTTTTCTTTTCTTTCTTTCACTTTTACGTATCCACTTTTCTCTGATTTATTATTTTCTAGTTAAATGTCTTGAAGGCATTCATACATTTATCCATTTGTAAGCTTGCATTTGCATTCTCGCATTCCTTTCGCTTTGTTTCCTATCTTTCCTCAAATACCCTTTAAGAAGCAATAGCGATACGATTTACAGGTATCATTACCTCATCCTCCCCCCCTTTTTTTTTGGCACTTGTTCATGCTACTATTGTTTTTTCGGATATATCTGTCAGTAACGGCTTCGCTTGTTGCTTGTAACCCGCTTTCAACTAGTGCACACTGTCTTCGTCTGCCTCCTGAGCAATCTATACTATCATTCCCTTCTTGTCTTCCTAATCATGGGTTGTGATCAATATCATTTTCTTCATGGTCTTAACCTCATTCTCTTTGCTTTCTTTTTTCTTCTCTTTTCTCAACAAAAAGAATAATAGAACAAATAGCTATTAGAGATCATATCGATCCAATACCCTTTCCTCACTTCCTCCACTCCTTTGCATATAGAACTTTATACAGACTTCAAATATCATGTCACTACCACAAGAAACCACAACCATGCAGTCCACACCTTCACCCATCCCCGTCACCATCAGCATACCATCATCAACAATAACTGTGGAATCAGCACCAGCAACGCCACTTTATCAATCATACCACTCACAAATCGAAAATTTGAAACGGCTTCCTATCCCATATAGTGATATCTACCACGCTCTTTCTTCATATGATACATTCCCTCTCCGGACAATCCACGAACGCTTCCGCAGCGCATCAACAAGTTTGACATCATGGCTAGAGAGCGCAGAGATGGCAGTCTTTGCGCTCGAGATGGATGTTGGTCAGGAGGGCGCAGCAGATAAGCGTGACATCGGTGAGATGGATGTAATCATGAACCGCTTCCAGCCCAACGTCGACATGTTGGTCGAACTCAAAGAAAAAATTGAACAGAGGCTAAAATCATCATCATTCGCAGAGCAAGAAGAGGTAGCATCTCTTCAGATTGACCAGGATCTCAATCAAACCATTCAAGGCATCAAGTCAAGCTGGGCTGCTCTTAAACAGATGCTTGAGAAGGTTAAAGGAGATCTTGCAGGCGCAAGGCTACGCGCTGAGCTCATGACACATATGGATAGTGTTCTCGCTGATATTGATGATATCTGTACCAGCATCGACGCTTACAACAACGAGCGCAGCGCCATGACTTCTGATGATGAGGGTTTGTTGCCAAGCCGCGCGAGCCACAGTGATGTAGACCAACAGGCCAAGCAACGAAGTCTCGAGACACTCGCCCAAGTTGACTCGCGTATTGAACTTTTGATTTCCAGGATCGACTTTTTGGATAATCGTGTCGGCTCCTTACCCAAGCCCGAGACTGGACTTGGCAACGAGTCCGAGGATACCCTTCAGAGCAAATACCAGCAGGTACTTTGCCGCTGGGATGATCTCAAGTTCCGCCGCGAACGTGTCAGCGATGAACTCAAAGACGACAAGTGGCTGGAAGTCTTTGATCAAGTTGCCGAACAGGTCGAGTCGATGATGGACTCGATTGAAAGGGCTGTGTTACACTGCCAAGGCCTCCTTGATCACATCAAAACGATGGTCCGTAACAATACTGTTCCTGATGCCCCCATCGACCGTGAACACCTCTACAACATTTTCAAGTCCTTCGAAGCCAAGCACAAGTACTATACCCCTGCTGTTAACCAGATGCTCGAGATGCTGGAGAATGGCATTGAGAGCCGCACGACTCGAAATATGGATGTCATTTCCAGACATCAGGCCATGAATGTCAAATGGGACCGCCTTGAGGATGGACTTGAGCGCGTCGACAGAGAACTTGATGATGTTGAAAGACTACTGGATATCCTTGACAACTCAAGGCTCCCTTACTTACCCAAGTTGCCTCTCAAGAAGCCCGAGCCCGCTACAAATGTGAAACGTCAGTCTGCTACACCTACCAAACCTGGTTGGAAGTCGTCTACGTCTAAGGCACAGACTACAACTGCCAGAGGACAGCCTGCTCAAAAGCAGGCAGCACAACGACAAACACCAGCACAGCGTGGCCGACAGCCTACGCCAACATCTACTCAACGCTTCCCAGCAGCCACTCGTGGTCGCTCCAGGTCGCAATCCCCTACGGACGGTTACTATGATTATCGCCCATGGTCGCCTGCCAACTCGACCAGCGGCTTGTCACAGTCAGGTCTCCTCACAGCCAGTGCCTTGAACAACTATAGATCTCTTAGCCCCAGCCCCACGCGTGGTAACTACCGTTCTCGCCCATGGTAAGCATCAAACCTGTGCAACGTAATTGTAGTCCATTGTTGAGATTGTATAAAGTTCATTTGGTTAACCTTTTTCTTTTTTTTTCTTTTCTTTTACTGTATGAACAGGTGTCCATCGGTCTCGTTGTCTTCCCCTGGCATTCCAGGTATTCCTCAGGTCCTCTCTGCAGCTGCAACTTTCATTCCTCGCCCTGTTAGTGTGAGTCAAAACCGTATTGACTCTCCCGCGCCCACTGGTCGCGCTTCTGCCATGTCAAATGGATCTAGAAGCAACACGAATACCCCATCGATGCTCAGGACTCCTGCCCAGATCAAACCTGTTTTCTCGCCCTCTGGAAGCAATAGCAAGCTTTCGAGTGGTGTGCGCTCGACTGTCACATCACCTACACCCACTGGTAATGGTCGTAAGACAGGATTACCAATGCCCGCATCGAGACAAACCAACCAGCGCACGACTTCACCCCAAGTGCAACGAGGGCAATATAGCCGTGAGGCCTCTTCCCCCACTCCAGCTAGCTATGGCGCCGGCTCCCGACTTTCAACCTCGTCCATGTCGTCCATGTCGTCCATGTCGTCCATGTCTTCCGCTTCTGGACGTCAGAGGCAGCTCAGCGCCAACGGTACTCAAGGTTATAATGGCCGCTCATCGCCTGTATCAACCCGTCAAAACTATGGTTACTATGATGATCGTACCTATGGCTCCCGCCCTGGCTCTCGTCCTGGCTCTGCTGCTGGGTCAATATCGAGTCTAGGGAGAGATCATTACGGATATGATGAGCCTCTTAGCCCCACAGTCCCCTCCCGGCAATTTCGCTACGGCCGTGAGCAGGCTCTACCAGAATTGATGGATAGAATGAGCATCCACTTGGATGATGTTGAGCCCTATAGCCCTATCCGGGGGGACGAACTTGATGAAGAATTTGCCAAGGTGGTAAACGCTAGCCCCATCCAGATGCAGGTCCGACGTTTGGGTGAGGGTAAATACTACTTTGGCGGACACCTCGATGCGCAGGGTACATCGTTGGTCGGAGGCAAGATGGCCCTCTGCCGACTGATGGAGTACGGTCGCATTGTCCCGGGCGACGGGGACGATTCTGGTGTGTCAAGCGCCGGAAGCCACAGTGGAACCGATGACGGTCTCCAACCGACTACCGGTGCATCTTCACGCCGCAATGGCTCACGTCCTCAGGGCAGTCTTGCAGCATTACAAGCTGAAGAAGCAGCGCAGAAGAAGAGACCCCGCAAGGTGTTGGTTCGTGTTGGAGGTGGTTGGCAAGATTTGGATATCTTTTTGTTGGACCACAGCAACTTGGCTACCGACAGTGCCGTCCGCGCATACTAAGACTCGCTGATTGTCAATCATCTTGTGTAAATTACAAATGTAAAAAAAAAAAAAAAAAAAAAAAATTGCACGCATTCACATCCATATTCATTCCCCCTCACAGCATTGCACATTCTACCCCTTTACTTCTCGATCTTGTATCCTTTCTCCATCATTTCATGATACCCTTCCCCTCGAAAAATCCAATCTTGTAAATAAAAAAAAATAATAATAATAAAAATAAAAAAACTGAAATCACACACAAAATTTATGGTTCATAAGTTACTGCAAATGTTACACGTAGTATCTCGAGAGAATGGTGGCAAAAAAAAAAAAAAAAAAAAGGATTTGGTTTCTTTTAAATGTTTATTTGGTTCTCTTTGGAATTAACTGTTTCAGTTCCAATCCTTGAACATACAACTGTACAACTTGTAGAGGCGACACAAACCAAACCAACTCTTTAGCCAGATCATTGATCTCAATCGCGTCCACTTCTGCCTGTAACTTTTCCCATGACAATTCCTCTAGTGCGTCCAATTGAATCTGACGATCCTTGCTTGGAGTAACCCCTTCTTTCTTGATTCCATTAGAAAGTGTGCTTGATTTGTTAAAGGGCAAACATCCTAAGAATCTCCTAAAGTTAGCACGATAACTGGAGGCCTTGGACATGGACAGAGATTCAAGGGTTGAAGGCGCTGAAGATGATGGAGCGCCCGCGGATATAGATGTGGATTTAGATGTGGATGTGAACATGGATTCGTTACTAGAGATAGGAGATGAAGGGGTCATATCATGCTGCTGCTGCTGCTGTCGGTGTTGCATTGCTACATCATTATATGGGCAGCTTCCATCCACCCCTGCACTATCGCATTCACAACTAGTACGAATATTCACCGATATGCCACCATTGTCGTCTCGAATTTCGTTTGGTAACTGAGAAAGAGAGGGCTTCAGGTCTGATCCGAGGTCATGTTGCTGAGGAGTGAGGTCGTGGTGGAGGACATCTGTTAGAGTGTTTTCCAAAGGTCCTTGGGTATGACATAAGGGGCCCGAAGTTTGATGGTTGTGACCATGGCTATGATTAACGCTGCTTTGGGAATGTACATTGTTAAGATGAAGCTGAGAGCTGCTTGGCAATTGACCAGGCTGAACTAGCTCTTGAAACAACTTGCGAAGACCATGAATACAATCAACCGCTACTGAAATACATTCCTCTCTCGAACCACGAGCTCTCCATTTGCTAGTCGAGATCTCGGCCGAAACAGCCTTGTAAACCGCCTCGCGAATGAGCCACTCACCAGTCGCCGCATCGAGTCGATAGAGGGGAATTAGCAGGTATCCATACTCGGCAACCCATTCCAATGATTTGATCACAAATTCAACATCTTTGTCCTTGGTGAAATATGAAAAACTGAATCGGACAAAACCAGGTTTGAGAGCTTTTGAGCATAAGTCCTTCTGATGGATGTTACTGTTGGTGGTATTGCCTCTTCTTCCCTCAGCTACTCTTCCTCCTTCTATCCCTTGCTCTTCGACAGAGCTGTTGCCCAGTAGCAAGTTCCAGAACTTGAGTTCTGTTTCTGCATCGAACATGAGCAACTGTGAAGCATATGGGCCTGCACACATACATCCGCCTCTCATCTCTACCCCAAAAAAGTCGTTCATGATCGTGCTCAATAATGCATAATGAATCTGTAAAGGTCGTTTCTGATCACGACTCCGGAATCTTGGAACTGCGATCGTCAGACTAAAGACTGCTATGCGATTCCTTTCCAACAACGCGGATGGCGGTAATGATGATGATGATGATGATGATGATGATGATGAAGATAATGAAGGTGCTTGAAGCCCAAGTACGTGAACGTTCTGGCGCATGAACCCTGGCGCCGTCAACCTTTTCAAGACCTCTCTAGCTAGCTGGTATTCCTTCTGTAAAATCCATTTTGGGCCCATGATCTCTTGCAACCTGAATACGAGCCCCGTCCGGATAGTGGCCGGGATGTTGGGCGTCCCAGCTTCTTCACGAGCCACTGCATGGTTCGTATACTTGTGTCTGTTCTGGATCACCATATCCACGGTCCCGCCTCCTGGTGCGGTAGGGGTGATGTACTGATGTTGGTATCCGTCTTCTGTACTGTTGTCAAATATGCGCCCATTTTTATGTTTTTCGGCCCATTCGAAGATCTCAAGACGGGCGACCAAGACTCCCGATGCACCGGGCCCGCCTAGGAACTTGTGTGTAGAAATAAACACACCATCCTTGTAAGCTAGATTCCTCGAACTGCTCTCTGATCCGTCATTAGAGTGGGTTGTGCTGGAAAAAGAAGACGAGGATGTGAAGGATGTGAAGGATGAGGAAGACGAGGACGAGGGAGCTGAAGGTGGGGGATTCATGTCAATAGGAGCATAAGGCCCCACGCCTGCAAAATCAAAGAAGGCAAATGCGCCATATTGGTGAAGGAGCTCCGAGATAGCTACGGTATCATTCTATTTAGAAGGGAAAAAATACTGTCAGTCTTTGATAATATAGATAAAGAATAAATAAATAAATACAATAAAGGCCTTACCAGAATACCAGTCAAGTTACTTCCGGCCGAGAAAGAGCCTATCTTGAGTGGACGATGTTGATGTTGAATCAACTGCTGCTTCAAAACTTTCAGATCCAATTGATGAGTCGTCCTATCCTCAGGAATGACTATAACGTCTGCACAGCTCTCACGCCATGGAAGAAGGTTTGAATGATGCTCTTGGATCGAGAGGAAGACCACTGGGCGATATTGTGGAGCCAAGCGAGTTGAAAACGAGAAATAGCTCTGTTCGCATAAACACGATCCAGGAAAGGAGGAAGGAGGTAAGGGAGAAGGTAATGATGATAAAGTTGATACCATCGGGATAGTAATCGGATCGGTGTTGGCGGTGTTTCTGCATTGAGCATGAGCATGAGAAACAGAGGGCTGTGCAATTGAGACAGCGTGTGTGATATTGTGAGGGCAAGTGCACGGGCGATCAGGCACAAATGTGGCTTTGGTATTTGTACAAGCATTGGCCACAGCAGATCGAGTTGTTTGTGATTCGTTCATCGCTCTACGGATCCAGTACGCCTCGTCTGTTAGGCGAAAGACATTACGGACCTTATTGATGGCAGACGTGGACCCATCCCTATTTTTGAAAAAGTGTTGTAGTTTAGCACAGAGCAACAAGGGGTGAGGCGCTGATGGAATCACAAGCGGAGAAGGGAATATGAGGTTTATCGAGCCTAAAAATGGCACTGCAAATCTTTTGTGTTACAAGTGCCAGCAATGTATACAATAGGGACTAAAAAAAAATAGGACAACTTTAGCTGAGTTGTAACCTTACCCACTAAATATAATTGCTGCTTGGTGCTCATGCCCTGGTGTCGTGATCGCATTTGTACATCGAGCAATTGTCTCTCTTGCGAGCTTGACACTCCGTGAAGTAGTTTTGGAAGTCGATGTGGTTGAGGTGTGAGTATTGGCATAGAACGGTAGCACATTCTCAACCATGATAGACTCAAACTTTCGAAGAGGCTTGGATGATGCAAAGAAATCGGTATAGATCGACTTCCTGTCTTTCCCAAAGAGTGGATCCGCAATCGTTGGAGAGGCGATGATGTCGCATTGGATCTCTTTGAGTAAGCGCTGAGGATCCTTTTGACGCATCTGTGCCCAGGCTGCTAGCTGTACTTGAGGATCCATTTCAGTCTTGTTGTTAAATTTTTATCTTGAGGAACTAGCTGTGTAATTAGGGATGTTTGCGCGATATGAAGTAGAAGGCGACAGCTACAACGGCAGTAGGAAAAAGTAGTTGAAAGGATAATAGAGAGTGAGAGGAAATGGGTAAGAGAGAGAGAGAGAGAGAGAGAGAGAGAGAGAGAGAGAGAGAGAGAGAGAGAGAGAGAGAGAGAGAGAGAGAGAGAGAAAAGACGATGTGTAACAAAGATAAAAGAAGAAAAAAAAAACGCGGATTGTTGTTCGTTTTCACAAAAAGAAAAAAAGAAAAAGAAAAAGAAAAAAAGAAAGCTTTTAAACTATCGAAAGGGGCTGAAGAACTGAAGACGAAACAATGTGGAAGCGCATTTCTTTGGACCGGAGGATAGGAATAGCCAGTACTCGTAACTGATATGTTTACCCATGAGGAGATTTTTAGACATCTTTCCACCCAAAAAGTCGGTTTTTGTCATAATGGAGTACCACGTTGAGATGCATGATTATACATTCTGTAAGGCTCCGCACACGTAATCACGCGTCTTTTGAATTGCTCTGATACGTTAGATCGGAACCATAAAAGCGTGTGCTACTGCTCTCTCTTTTAAATCAAAGCATGGTCTTTTGGACTTCAGACTTCAAACCTCTGCTAAGATAATAAAAAGAAACTATTTGGAGCAACATTAATCCATCTGAATAAAAGAAATAAAAATAAAAATAAAAAAAAAGGTTAATCGCTTTAAATTATGCCTTAACACAAAATTCCACAAAAGTCAAGCAACAGGAGGTTATTACTCAATTTAGTAATTTTTGAAATACGGGATGATCGTCGGAGCACTTCGCCCTTTAGCGATTAAATATATATAAATACCATCAAACAACAATTGTACTATCCTCGTCATTTGGTCACGAACATGTTTTAAAAGCATGGATTGTCGCCGTCATTTGGTCATGAGCATATTTTAAAAGCATGTAGTTATTGAATTGCTTTGGATGGCTCCAAATTTTGGATAATCCTAAATAGTTGGTGGCCAATTCAACCGCCGATTCAATACTCAAATCCCATCCATTGCGACGCGCTTTTTCTAGGACCAATTCAATCAACATATTTTTACAATATCTTCGTGACCGAATGACGAGGACAATATATAGTAGTAGCAGCGACCAAAACAACAATAACTGCAAAATAATAGTAATAGCAATAGCGAAAACAATTATATTCACAATGCTACATACTTCACATTATGCTTGTTTGATGACGACAGAACGCATCCATATTGAAACGTTTATACAATAACAATAAAGTAGATTTTCGATTATGGTCTGTCAGGCAGCTGTAGGAAAGCATGCTTCTTTAACTTCATTTGATATTCCTCATAGTCACGTTTTTTTTTTTTTTTTTTTTTTTTTTTAATAACAATTGGAGCAACAACTGACAGCAACAACTGACAGCAACAACTGACAGCAACAACTGACAGCAACAACTGACAAAAGCAAAAGCAAAATCAAAAGCGAAAAAATCATTTATTAAAGTACGGTAGATAATACAGGTGTAGAGAACAAGGACGATGAGAAATGTATAATATGTATAAAGGTTGATTGATATGAAATACTTGAAAATGAATGTGTCAACATAGTATGGAATAAAAAAATAAAGAAAGAAGTTAAAAAAACACCCATTTAGAATATTCCTTTCTCTTGCATGATTTTGACGTATTCTTGATGCTTTGCCAGCTCCTGTGCCTCTCGCCTCTTCTCAAACGGACAGAGATGACACGCTTTTGATGGCTTGGGCTTCCCTGCAATACTTCGGATAGTCTTATATTCCTCTGGTCGGTTAATGATAGTCAAGATGTAATGCGCCAAATCTTTACGGCTCAAAACCTTGATCTTGTTTTTGTTCTTGGGTAATTCCTCTGTACTCACATGATAGCGATTTGATAGCTCCCCGTCCTTCAACGTAACCGGCCGAACAATCGTCCAGTCCAAATATTCACTGTCGCGTTGGATAATGTCCTCTTGAAGCACTTTATCCTTGAGAATTCCTGTCATAAACATGCGAGAGAACAATCGCTTCGTGTTGATCAGATGGCTGCGGAGACCAAGGCATCCATAGGATGTCACCACAATTAGCCGCCTCACACCTACAAAAAAAAAAATAAAAAATAAAAATCGAAGTCAGAGAAAGAATCGGAGAATGAAGGACCATTAAAAAAAGAGTCCATTTGAATAGAATACGACTATGAGCACAGAACATGAGGATCGGAGTAAATAACAATTGAAAGAAATTATGCTCATAAACATACCATGCTTCTTTAAGGCATTGTTAAGGACAACTTGTGAATGTGAACCGATAGTGGTGTCATTGGTCATCAGTCGTGCCTATATTTTAAAAATAAAAATAAAAAAACACATGGCGTCAATGTCAACGTCTATTCGATCAAATTGTAGACTAGCGTTTCAAGTTCTATAGACATACCCCAATCACATTAACAACAACATCTTGACCTTCAACACAACGGTCTATATCCGCTTGTGATGTAGGTGAGCCTCGAACGATGATTAAGTTCTGATTCTTGCGCAGCGAACTGTCCTCCAGCAAAGCCCTATCATCGCGTACGAACGCTGTCACTCGGTAGTTGCGCTCAAGTCCTTGTTTTACAAGTTCAATTCCTGTCCTTCCATTTGCCCCCAATACTATTATAAATTCACCATCGATTGCAGTTATACATAGACAAAGAATGAAGAAAAAAAGGTTAGAAGCTGCATGCATTCCCATCATATTCATAATCATTTGAGAGCAAAAATGTAATATGTATCCAATAGGATGGGTATTCTCCATTTCTTTTTTACAATGGATAAACACAGAGACGAAGCTACAAGTCTTCGTGTGACAATGGATAAATACAGCTCTAAAAGGCTCCAATATTAAAACAGCAAGAGCCAATATATTAAATGCAGCATGTGTATGCGCGTAAAAGTGCCAATGTGCGATGTTGGGGAACAAAGTTCTATCAATAGTCCTCCACCTCATAGCCATGATACAGCATAATACTCTCTCTATACATATTTCAAAAAAAAAAAAAAAAAAATGAAGAGCAGCATCAGCTGGTTGATAGAAGAGAGGGAGAGCCCAATGCTGATTTAGGATGTGAAGATTAGATCCCTCTTTGCATTTTTTTTTTTTTTTTTTTTTTTTTTTTCATTGCATTAACACTCAAAAGGGTTTCGGCATAGACCATGGCAAAATAAAAAAAAAAAAAAAAAAAAAAAAAAACATGCGGGAATGACAACATGCTCGAGAGCCAAGTAACAAAAGTAATAATATATAATAAAAAAAGGGAAGAATAGGGATTGAAAAAAAAAAAAAAAACCACAAACAATCAATTGTTTCAAAGCGCAAAATACATAATGCGAAATGCGAAATGCAAAATTACCTAACAAATATTTGCCATTCCCATTGCCATTGTCGTACTCGTGCGACAACGTGAGCGCGCTCATTGAGTCCAATACGTCAAGATCGGGGTCCTCTTTTGAATCTGAACTGATCGTCGTATCGGAAGGCGAGGAAAGTGTGGGTGAATACAATGTATCCATCAATGTGTCCCAGCCATGAGACTTTACACTTGTCGCGTTCTCATCGCTATCATAGCCTGTATAGTAATACTGATCGTGTGTGGGTGAGTGCTGATTAGCACCACTACCACTACCAAGGTCATTACAACTAGCTTCAGACCATGGCCGTAAATCATACATAGATTTTGTAGTGCTTTTGAGACTCAGAGACCGCATGCGGTCAGGCGCGTGCCCGTGCCCATGCCCGTGCCCATGCTTATGATGAGAAGAAGAGCGGGATTTGGTTGAGGAGGATGAAGATGAAAGGTTGTCTTGGTCATGTTGATATTGATGTTGATGCGAGAATGTCTGGTTACTGGCATAGAGTTGTGCATCCGTCAGATGATGGTGTGAACTGCTGGGCAGCTCGTCAGGGTTGTAGGTTTCAATTGGCAGTGAGAATTGTCGTCTATCTTTGGAGTCCCTCGACCTATTGCGTCTGCTGTTCTTGTCCTTACTATTATTATTGTTGTGGTGGTGGTCGGGATTACTGCGATCGTACATTTCTTGATACATTTGCTTATACTCATTTCTTTGATGTTTGCGCTCCATTCTAGCTTGCTGCTTCTCCAGTTTTTCTTGTCGTTCCTTCTCTTTGGCATCGATTTGCTGTTGCTGAAGTTTCTGCACAATCTGTTCCCGTCTTTGCTGCTGAATAGCCCGTGCTTCCTTCTTTTGTTCAGCTGTCGCAGATGGTGATAGTGAAGAACGATGGAATTGCTGAAGATCGAAAAAGGAGATTGTAGAGGCATCGAATCGAGGGGCAGAAGATTTAACAGATTGTGGAGACGCTGTTTGTGAGGTAGCAGTTGTTGAATTAGGGATAGGTAATGAAGAGTAGGCATACTTTTTTGAAGGTGAGGGAAGTGGTGGTGGGAATGCTGTATGTGAGAATTCGGAGGAGATGTAGAACTCATCTCTTGTCCTTCTTGTCTCTGCAGCTACGCTCGAGGCTCGCTGTGTGCGACAGGATGCTGGGGATCGAGTATTGACCATTTTTTTTATTATTATTTAATGACAGTGTGGTACAAATGCACAAAATGAAGTGTGTATGTGGAGGAGGGAGAGATAATGCAGATGAATGAAATGATGAGGATGTGTTCCTGAAAATTACTGTTACAACAGTTGGAACAAAAGAGGGAGACAGTTGGAGGAATTGATAGGTGGAAACGTGAGAACCAAAGATGGAAAAGGGAAGGAAGAAGAAAAAAGGAAGAAAAGAAGAGAAGAAAAGAAAGAGAGACCCAAGTGAAGAAGAAAGAGAGCGAAAAGGCCAGGAAGGAAAAAGGAAAAAGAGGAATAATAAGGAAAATGAGGCTAGAAAACCATAAAAAGTAAAATAAGAAAAACTTTTTTGTTGGCTCTCAGCTTATTTATTCTTTTTACATTACAATAGTTCAGACTCTGTCTTTTTGGATCCGTGGAGTGATCCTTTTCGTCTTTTTCCTTTTCCATGTCTACCTTTTCGTAAATCTCTATCGCTATTATTTCTTTACTTCCTTACTTCGGCATTCTCTTTATTCAGCAGCGTTAGTCTTTTCTTTTCTATTCACCTAATGTCAAGTACCATATGGCACCATGTGGCAGTGTGTGTGGCTGCTTATAGTAGGAACTATCCCGACCAAGAGGGCTTCGGCTAAAGTTTTTTTTTTTTTTTTTTTTTTTGCAAAGTTTGGAGGGAAAGGGCGAATAGTGTATGCATCAATGCAACAATAAATGACGATGATGTACATGTTCTAGTTTGTATGTTTGCCGCGCTCCACATGGTAACCCTATAATATATTATTTATGGTTGAATACACTCTAATAAAGAAGTTTTTTTTTTTTTTTTTTTTTTTTTACATACGCCGCTTTAAAAAAAAAAAAAAAAAAAAAAAAGGCTCCAGTTTGAAAGGATATTCACATTACAACTCTCGTTCCAAACCTTTCCAAGAAAAACGTGGTCTTTGAAGTAATCAATAAATGACGTTCGCTCATCCAGAATTCTACCTGGTATCACGCCATAGTCATATAAATAAATACACATGTATACACTTGTTACTGTTGCATACTATGCCTGTCCAAGCCCGCTCGAAACATGTGTTTCTTGTTCATTCGTTGTCAAGTCAAACGGTTGAAGATTGGAGATCGGATTAAAATAAAAAGGGTCTCAACTGGTTTGTGCCTTGATTTTTTTTTTTTTTTTTTTTGAATTTTGCTCAAATGTAATAGCAATATATACAATAAACAAACCATCGATATGATTTGCGTGCTATTTTTTATTACTATTGTTGTATGTTATTGAACCTCCCCTCCCCCCCCTTTTTTTTATATTTTCCTCTAGTGTAATTTTTTTTTTTTGGTCAATAGCTGTATACAATGACGATATCTATCAACAATTGTATTTCGGCTGTTACAGAATGGGATAGATCAAAGTTTTCAGTAAATGTAGTTATTTCTTGGTATTGCCGAGTCTAGAGCCGATGGAGATGTTTCCTAAGCATAAAAGCCACGTTCTGTCGTCGCGTGGCTCAAAATGTACAAATATTATACATACATTTAGTGGCAACATTTGTCACGATAAATGCATGTGTATATTGGAAGCACTCTAAATTGTACATTACTTTTAACGATCATTACTCGTCTATCCACAAATACTGAGCTTAACTAAATCAAATAGAAATTTACTTGTATTTTTTATTTTTTTTATTTTTATGAGGCTAAATAACTATATACTTTAGTATGCTATGAGTGAAAACAGAATGGAGAAATGAAAAAAGACATAAATGAAACAAATAAAATAGGATCGATCATTGGTGGGGTACTCATTTGAGTTTTTCGTCCAGCATATTGCTGCCGCCTGTGAGATTTTTGGTATTACTCCTGTTCGCCACCCCTTCTCTTACAGAGAATATGACTCTACCAGTACATTAATTATTTCTTGTCCCGGAATGAGGTGGTGATGGTGATGGTGAGAATACTGCTGTTCCCACTGCAGCGTGCGATAGAGGTCTCGCGTCCTTCTCTTCGGGTTCATCATCATCCACATATGGTTCCAACTCTATCTCTTGTCCTTGCTGCTCAAGTGCATTAGCGCTCATCAATGGTACTTGTTGTTGCTGCTGAACAGGTGCATATGGGTTATACGTCTTTTGCTGATAATGAGGGTTTTGATCATAAACGGTCGATTCACTTGCTCGAGGCAATGCAGAGAGATCTAGTTGGGTTTCATGGGTCCTAGCGCCTCCTCCAGTTCCTGGAGCCAATGTCATTCCTGAAAGTCGGCTTGCAGCAGTCTCTGCCGAAGGATGTGCGGCTTCGAGTTTGTGAGCAGCGGTAGAAGCCAAAAATGGCTTGTTACTACGCTTTCTATTGATGCTGAATCCGCGCGCAGCGCCAGGTCCTGCCTTACTGATACGACTACCTCGTGTGTGTCTTCTCCATAATCGAGCAGCAACTGAGGCTAGTACAACGATGACAAGGAAGGCTCCGACAGACCCACTGATAATAGCGACAGCATGTCTTTGGAAATATGTTTGGACGATGGTCCCGAATTGCACGGCCCAAGAGGACGTCTCAAAGTCAAAGATCATGATATAGGCGTTTTGAGCCGCCTTGGTCTTGGACGTTTCAAATTCAAACCCAGAGAAAGACAATAACTTGTTTTGGTAGTTAATCAACGTGTGCATGGCACGGCCATTCAAAGAGTCAACTCCTTTTGTCCACTGCCAAGTACCCAAGTCGAGGATCCAAAGATCCTTGGCATAGGATTCTGTCGAGACTGTCTGGGTTGTGTTTCCTCCATGCATGTAGATCTTGTTACCGACTATTTAATAATAAAGACAAATGGGCGGTTGGACATTTGATCAATTCTCAAATATTTATATCTGTATTGTTTGTTAAGAAAAACAGAAACAATAGCACCGTTATCATCGTCAATGTTTTCACGTGCTTACCAGCAACAAGCGCGGCGAGGCGTCTAGGTAACGGAAAGTTTCCTCCAGCAGCAGTCTAATTTAGCAGCGCAGCAATGATAAATGTTATTTCATTAGTGTAAATCATGACCAAACACACAAATAAAGACATTATCTTCATTCTTTTTTTTTTTTTTTTTATAAAAAAAATTCCTTATTTTTACCAAGTTACGGACACTCCACTGGTTCGTTGCAATAGTGTAGACCCAGCACCGATCCATCTTATACCAACCAGACGCGGTATCGACATCATCTCCAGTCAATTTTGTTCCTGCAGGTTTTCCACCTCCAATGACCAGAATCGTTCCTTCGTGATAGATAGCAGAGCCTGCATCAATAAAAGGCGCCAAGACAACTGCTTGTGGAGGTGGTGCCGGGATAGTTGTGTTTGTATCGTTATTAGGTGGTGTTATAGGGGGTGGCGTCGTGATAATTGTTGTATTCTTTGCAGATTGTGCGATGTTGCCTGGAAGATGGTCTGTGGAGAATGACCATAACTGCATGCCCAGTTGTGGATTAAAGACATCATAGACGAATGTATAAACCATATGGTTCTTTGAGTCGACTACCTGGACAGGAACGGGTTGGTCATCCTTGACTTGACGTGGTCCGAGGATATCATTCGTGGTTGCAGATTGGGTCCAAGCATTGTTCTCCAACTGAAATTGGATAGAGGCAGAGCTGCGAGTAAAGGTATGTGGGCTGTTTGCATCCTTTGCCAGAAGATCAGGACACAAGGTCTGGCCATAAAACAGAAGAGATTTACCATCCGTTGACCCAACAGCCCATGAGGTTGTACCCATTACAGGTGATGATGAGCCTCCCTTGATGTTATTCCATGGTGCATTTGCTGCCACCCACCCGTTTGCAGAGTCGAGATGAAGGCTGTAGAAGTCAGAATAACAATCTCCGCCTGTTCCTGAGCCTAACAAAGGAATAATAATAATAATAATAATAATAATAATAATAATAATAATAATAAAAAAGATAACGCATGAAGGTTTAGTGAATGACACACTTTTACTTTTGAAGCTTTCTTGCTTTCGGGTCAAGCCATTTTTTACGTTACCTCCATAGAGAAAGACATCATCTCCGACAAGGGTAATGGCTCTGGTTGAGCGAGGCGGCACTGACTGAGGCTGAGCACAGGCTACGGCGATGATCAAGGATAGCACAGATGCGTACCAGACGACCATGGCTTATGGATTATCTTTGATGGTATAATTGCAAGAGTTGTTTATGAGCAGCAAAAGAAGGATCTGCAATTTTTTTTATGGTTCCAATGCTTCTTTGCGTCGTGCTGCACAGATCTTGTGATTGAAAATTTCTTTCCGTTGTCGTATTTGGACCAAGCAAACAACGAAACAAGTGGAATGAGAAAAAAGAATCTGATTGTTGAAGCGAATTAGAAAAAAAAAAAAAAAAAAAAAAGTGGAAAAAAAAAAAAAAAAAGAAAAAGAAAAAAGAGGAGCGAATGGATGGTGGGAGAAAGAGAGAGAAAATATGTGTAGATAGGGATTGATCTTTTTTAGTGTGGAATCGGATTACTACTTTTTTCAACTTGGGAGTGATCTCCTCCCCACTGTTTTGCATGCATTAATGACACTGCACTGAAGGCCCATGCCACTTTGCGTTTTTAGTTTGCCCTTCTCTCAAAATACAGCCTAGTGTAATTGTTATTCTCATTCATCATCAATTCTTCTTTGGGGCGGTGCAACAACAAGAAGGACATGGTAGCCCTGTCTTCTTTGTCTCTTCGTGTTTTGCCACTAAACCACAATAGGATCATGTTTACTATTGTATATACCATCCTGTATCCCATGTCTGATGGGCAAAAAAAAAAAAAAAAAAAAAAGAATAATCTTTTTGTCATGGGCAAAAAATACCTCTTTTCCTTCTCTTCTTCTCAATCTCAGCCCTCTCTCTAAGAACTTGTCATCTGTAAACAGTATGGCAGTCTGTGAATAAGGAGGATGGAGTTTGCTAGTCTGGCAAATAATGATTAGACATATTCATCCAAACGCTCTTTTTTTTTTTTTTATAGCTAAAACCACTCTTTCCTTTTCTGGTACCTCATCGCCACCTTTTGCCATTTGTTGAAACAAAGACACAAGTGCACAGCAGCTATTTTTATTCAATAGAGGACAGTAGTAGTCATGAAAGCACGAGATCTCCAGATAGGAAAATTTAAAAAAAGTTCACGGAGATATTTGTGTATTACATGTGTCAGGAGAAACTAGACAAGTTTAAATTCGTGAAATGCTGGATGGAAAAAAATAAGGAGTGAACATCTATTTTCCTGAATGTCTTCTACTTCCTTCACAGCATGAACACGAATGGATGTAGTAAGCAACGCAGCCTAGCTCTATCTGTTTACAAAAATAAGCTCTTCAAGTCTTCTTGTCTTCTTTCATGATTTTTTGTACTTCATCATCTGCATAATCCATAATGGCACGATCTTGCTCTGGTGTGTTTCCTTCTCTGGCATATCCTTTCTCCTGTAGGATATCCTATGAACCAACAGATACGAATAACGCGCAAGAAAGAGAAAAATAAAATGTTTAGTTAAATCACTTTCTTTCTTTCTTTCTTTCTTTCTTCCTTTCTTCCTTTATACTCGCTCTTATTCTCTTTTACCTTGTTGAGTCGACAGCAAAGTTGAAGCGTTTCTTTTGCTTTCATACACATGGATGCTCGATCCCACCATGTGCCAGATCGACCCATCAAACAATCTGTGAGTTCCATATTTATATCCGCACAGTTATCAAGTGCCGCTGCATGTATCGCCTTCCTTTGATGAATCGTATGTTCAAGCAGTGAGGGTTCAGTTGATATCTTTGATCCAAGCATTTTTTGTTTTGATGATGTAGATGAAGAGGAAGATGAAGAAGAAGCTGCTGCTGTTGTTGTTGATGATGGTGTATAAGATTCTTGTTGATTTGCAGGTGCATCATTGGTATCCGTGCTTCTTGTTGAGGCTGAAGCAGTTTTATGGCTGTTCGGGTCAAAAGTCGGCTGATTCTTTTTCAGGAACGAATCCAGATCTTGTGACTGACTGAGGTCTGACATGTATTCTGACATGAACCCAGTTGGTTTCTCTGACGATGTTGATCCCTTTGTTGATGTCATTCTTTTTTTTTTTTTTTTTTTTTTTTTTTTTTTTTTTAAAAAAAAAGTTTTTCTTCAACTCTTCTTTTCTGATTCAATGAACTTTCCTGCCAGTCCTGGGAATTGCGTTGGGAGTGAAACAGGAAAAAACAAAAAGTTGCTCCCCCACGTTCGTTCTCTCAGTCTCACGCTCTTCCCTGTGGCTTTTCTACTTTCTTGCTCGCAGAATACGCGCATTGACGCGTCTTGAACTTTATACTTTTTTTTTTTTTTTTTTTTTTTTTAATACGGATGGCCCTTTATAGATTCAACTCCGAGATGCTTCAACGGTTATTTTTTTTATTACACGTATTAAAAAAGAAAAGCTATTATATTTTTTCCTGCTTGCTATAAAATAAAGATATTGACACTTTTTCTGTTTTTTCCTCCCCCTATTATTCCTTGGCCAACTGCTCCCATTGGTTAGCTTGGAGAGGTGTCATTTCCTGAGGACCCTGTTGAGTGGGCATGAAGATCACTCTGGTATTCGATCCCTTTGCCATATTAGTCATGGTTTCCAAATATCGGATTTGCATTGCTGCAGGTGTATTTAGGATATCAGCGGCAGCTCGCATCAACTTTGCAGAATCCACTTCGGCTTGTGCTCCAATCACCTTGGATTCTGCCATTCGTTTCGCCTGTGCAGCCGACGAAAGAGCTTCCTGCAATTCCCTTGAGAATGTAATATCTTTAATCAACACCGACTCCACCTTCACACCCCAGACTCGTGCAGGTGTATCGATCACCTCTTGGATCTCTTCACCGATTGCCTCACGGTTCTCGATCAACTCTTGAAGTACACGCATACCCAAGATATGTCGTAGCGTCGTCTGCGTTCTATTAGATGAAATATATTGTATAACGGTTAGTTTTACTAGTCGCTAAATTTTATATTACTTGTACCTCGCGTTTTATTGTCGTCGTTCTTAAATATATCTTACCTTTCAATCAGTGCAGATTCAACGTTGGTGACTCCAAAGACCGATTGCGAAGGATTGATGACATGCCAGTACAGGACTGAATCAATGTGAACATTGACATTATCCTTTGTCATGATCACCTGTCGCGGGATGTCTGCAATCTGGATCTTGATATCAACCTTGATGAGCTTTTCAGTAACTGGGTTAATCTTTGTCAAGCCAGGATCTTTTAAAGTAGCAATAAGGAGCGGAAAATAATAATAATAATAATAAATATAGAGTTAAAATTAATTTTTCAATGAATCAAAGGCCAGGCGATAGCCAAGTAGTATAAAATATAAATGTTCAAGAAGTGAAAAGACATACCAACGATCTTGTAAAACTTTCCAAAGCGTGTAACCAATCCAACATATCCTTGAGAAACCGTCTATTGTTCATGATAAAAGATAAATATTTGTTTTATTTTTCCTCCCATGCTATTATGTTATTTATTTCATCGGATTAAATTGGGTTACCTTATAAGGGTTAGGACAGCAGACAATACATGGAACAGATCCCAACATTCCCATGATTTCACCCGCTGTGTTCATAAGACTTCCATAGATACCATGGTTCTCATCATCAGGTGAGAATTCTAAATTTCATAAAACAAAAAAAAAAAAAAAAAAAAAAAAGAAAGAAAAAAGAGTATTAGGCAAGAATTGAATGACCTTCGATTTTTTTTTTTTTTTCTTTTTTATAAATAAATAAATAAAAAAAAAAATAAAAAAAAAAAAAAGGCAAAGAACGTAAGAGAGAGCATTGCCTAGAGTTATTACCTGTTGCAAAGGACTGTTGCATGGAATGCTGACCAGGCTGTTGTGTGATAAGGTCTGCATTTGAAGTTGAAGTACCAGACATCTTTTTTTTTTTTTTTTTTTTTTTTTAATTATTATTTCTTTTTTGTGGAGAACTGAAAGTCAAGAGTGTATGGAGGAGAAAGAATAAGTAAGGTGGAATGAAAAAGTGATGAGATTAGAACACGTTGGAGAATGACAATGAGCAATACGGGTAAAGAGTAAGAGAAGTGGAAATATGGGTGGAGTATGAGGAGCTAGGGGTAAAATGGAAAGAGTAAAAGAGGAGAAAGTTATCTTTTTATCTTCTTGGTCGTCGTTTGCATTTGGGGCCAAAGTCGAAAAACTGGTTGCTTTTTTTTGAAATCTGGAACTTTAACGCCCTCAAGGTTATTATTTCCTCCATAGTGTGTACTGTACATACATGTGCATCAAGCACATCGCTTCGCCTCACTTTTAAAAAAAGAAAATCGACTATTCCATGGAAACCGGGGTGAGCACCGCCCCCATTTTCTTTTCAGAATCTTCCTACCCCTTGTCGACTTTTTTAGAGCAATGACAAAGTGAAGTGCTAATGCAATATCAAAAAAAAAACGATGTTGTGAGCCATGTAAGTCTCCATCGTGTATCTAGAATTCAGCCATGGCTCCTCTTTTTTAACTTTTGGGCTGTTGTCACATACAGTCGACTCTGTCTAAGTGCAACGATTTCTGTGGTCCCGAGGCTGGGACTTATTGCAACTTGCAAGTGCAAAATCTGTCTAAGTCCTGAGTGCAACGACCCCTTCCGCCCACATTTAGGGTTTACCATATAATTTTTGCACTTACAGAGAGAAGACAATACATATATTATACATTATGTATTAATTGAATACGATCAAGGGCGAGGAAAAAAAAATGTCAAGTGTGAACTGTTGAAGGCACTTCTGTAAATCCCTTGCAGACTGCAATGCTTTTTTTGTCATCGAGCAGAGTCCATTTGTGCCGTGATCCTGGAATTGCTAGAGCAGCGCATCATCGATAGTCAATTTTTTGGATTGACTGAGCAACCTGAATACTGAAGACTTTGATACTCGAACGTTTTCGGTCTCACAGATTTGATCACATGATTGCTGCAAATTCATAATAGGATTTTCTTGGGTGAATCTATTTGACAACCCGGGTTGTCACTCTTATTTGACAACCCCCCCTAATTTAGCAGTCACACCGGCTTATTTGGCAACCCAGGTCTTCAATTTTCACTTTTTTGTTATTTGACAACCCGGGTTGTCAAAAAAAGAAGAAAAATTGTCTTTTTCAACCTGTCACATGACAAGTCTTCACCCTCTTGTACTTATGGAGGGCCTTTCTCAGCTGGATTTCTAAAATGGTGGCAACACTCCATTATCATGACTGTGGTTATAGCTTCTTCTGTCTCTCTTTTTTTTCCTTTCCGCGTCTTACGCATGCGCCATCAAGCGTCGCATAACCACTCCGAATTTATGCATGCTTATATATCCAAAAAAACCCCTTAGTGCATGTTACCCGTATAGGCACATTTTCTATAAAAGCAAACCCTTGTTTTAGAAATCAGTTGTAATAAAAAAACAACACCTCGTAACCAAAAAAAAAAAGTTTGTTATTTGATGGAAGCTTTTAGATTGCTGGAGGGATTTCGTGTTGCTGAGGGATAGCAATAGAAACGATTTTCACATAATAATCTTGCCAATAAAAAAAGGGTTGTCAAATAATAGTGAGCTTGGGGTTGTCAAATTAGATATTTTACTATTTGGCAACCCGGGTTGTCACGCAAAGAAAAAAAATTGAGAAAAATAATTAAGGGGGGGGGTTGTCAAATAAGAGTGACAACCCGGGTTGTCAAATAGATTAATTCGGCTGGGAACGAGCCTAGCAAACATTAATGATTTGTGCCTTTGTCAAAGCGGCTAGGGTTCTGGGGGCTTGTGAAGCATTGTTGCTTCATGAATACGAGATGTGTCTTTAATGATATGCCCCATACAACTCACTTCACGTGATTCTTCATAAGTGCAACCACTGTCTAAGTGCAACGCAAAAGGACCGCCCAAAACGTTACACTTAGAAATTAGAAAGAGTCGACTGTATTCAACTTTTTATACGAAGAGCAGTTTCTTTTTTTTTTTTTTTTTTTTTTTTTTTTTTTTTTAAAAAAAATAAAAAAAATAAGAAAAAAAAAAAGGTGAGAGTGAATGCACTTTATTTATGTGACACTTTTGAAGGCGATGGCGACGTTGACGATAGGATGATATCTTTGTAGAGAGGCTTTGACCAAGAAAGCATATCCATATAATCACAGTGGGGAGCTGTATGGGTTTCATCATCACCTTCATCCTCTACACTTCTCCATCCACTACTAGCATCTGGAGCCCGGTATAGATATTCTGGTTCCGTACTGGTATTCCTATCAGGAACCTTAGAAATAGCCATGGCAGGTGCCTTCTTTGTCATATCCCTCTCATCTTCGTCCCTGTTCTGGTCCTGGATTTCTATCCTTGCGTCTCCTGCCTCCTGTGTATCATCTTTACAGGCCTCATTATTATCTTTCTGTTTACCCATGTTGAGATAAGGCCCCGGTAGCCTCTTGATGACTTTGCCTTCAAAACAAAGTACCGGTCGACTCACCCATTCATTTTCTCCTTGTCCCTTGCTATCGTTAGCAACCCACCTTGTTCCGACCTGCACTCCATGCATTACCTTCTCCGCCGCTCGGTTCCACATCAACTTTAAACACTCCATCTTCTCTGTATCAATCACTACCAATCCCATGGGCCAGAGTGATTTCGCATAGGGCAGCAAGGCTTGCCTCGTAAAATCAGTCGATACCGCCAAGATTGCCATCGTCGGCTGGGTCTCATACGATAAGGTCCCTTGTAGTTCCCGAACAAACTTGGGTCCAACCTTGGAACTCACCATCTTGCATTGAACAATCACCTTCAGATGGCGAACCAGATCTCCTGGTTCAGGCGATGCACTTAAGGGCAAAAACCAAGTGCCTCTCAGGTCCACTCCCAGATCATTATTGCCTGCAGATCGTTGTGTATAAATCCCAAGGTATTTTCTCAGGACCTCTTGGGTCTGATACTCAAATAATGTTCCACGATAGATCGTGCTTCCTGTGTTGTGGTTAAGGCCTTCAAAACTTGTAAGGTCATTATGTGAGCCGCTGCCACCGCTTCTATTCTCTTGATCATTTCTGTTCTGAGCACGGCATTGTTGTACATCGCGATTGATGTAGGGCATAGAGGAGTGGATGTCTCTTGGAAAAGGTGCGGGCTCAAGCTCTGGGGACTCTGTCCCATTGCTGATAGAGGCGTAACTTTGATAGGTCATAGGCAATGAAGTGTCGATGGTTTGTAGTCCCGACAGAACCAATGACGTTGGAAAGTAGTCTCTTTCATCCAACCTCTTCTTGGTTCTTCGCCTTCTCAGTATGGGTTCTGACGGTAACAGCGATGTAGCTGCTACTGCTGACAATGGTATCGACGCTTGTTTTTTAGAAGCAGTTTTATTCGTCTGTGTGGCACTCAGGGTTGTTTTCTTTTGTTTATCCGATGGTTCTGCCGTCGATACGGAGGCATTTAGATTTCCCTCTTCTAGTAATCTCGAGCTTGTTTTCGTCTTTCTAGCTCTTGTTTTCCTCGACAGTGACGGTGATGGCGACGATGCTGTTGTTGCCGCTGCTGGAGTTGCTAACTCTACAGATGTATTGTTATCACTGCTCACCAGAGTATCTCCCTCCTCTTCTGTTATTTTTGACTTTGTCTTCCTGGGTTGCTTTGGCTTTTTAGGACCCGGCGATCCTTCTTCCATAAGCATAGCGGTGCCACTCTCATCTTTGACCTTTTTATTTCGCGTTACCGCCTTCTTTTTTCTCTTTGGCTGTTGTTCTAAAAACGGCGTTGCTTCCTCTTCTGCTTCCGTTTCAACTATGGACTCTATTGCTGATATAGGTGTCACTAACGGTGTCGGTGATGGTGATGATGATGATGATGATGATGATGACAGCGGTGGTGACGCGTAGATAATTGTAGATAGTTCAAAGTCAACAACGGTAGGAGCAGAATGTACAGTAGGGGTGTCAGTAGCAATGGAGGAGCGGAATCGGACCTTGTTGTTATTGGATTTCATATAGTAGCTACAGCTACATGGTAGTCTTAGTCTTTCTGCTCCTCTTGCTCCTGCAAGCTGTTTGCTAGTGATTATTGCTGTTGCTTTCCTGAATGTAGTCTTGATCATCCTTTGTGAATGAGAACAAGTTCAGGAACGATAGTTATAGACGTTTATACATATTTTAAGCGCACCTTTCCTTTGGGACAATAATAAGCTCCGAGTAATACAACGCACGCAGGTGGTGGCTTTGCCCATTGTGTCCTACCTGATTCTACTGCCATTGTGGGGGGACAGTATTAATAAAGAGAAGACAAGACAAGTGGGGACTAGCGAAGAGCCCTTATTATGCAGATAATAAGGAAAGGAAAGAAGAGAAGGAAGGAAGGATGGAGATAAAGTGTGTTCTTTGGATAGTTAAATATGGACAAAGCATTGCAAAAGCAGTTTGATCAAAAGATGGGCTTAGTTTGCATCGTTATCAGTTATTGAAATGCCATCCATCGTCCCTCAAGTGCATGGCTGAGTTTTAAAATTTACATGTTTCTTTAAGTAGCATTTATATATTTATGACACATTGAATGTGTGTATTCTCAGTTACCATTGCTTCTTCAACTCAATTCTTTCCTTCCCATTCCTTCTTTTTGTCTCTTTTTTTTTTTTTTTTTTTTTTTTTAATCTAGTGTAATAATTCATCACCATGCGTGTAAGCATCAGCCCCATTCATGTGGGAAACCTCAAGTTCTTGATCCTTGACTGTCCATCTGACGCTACTTTGCCTGCTTACCTTCCAATTCTGGAAGAGAACCACGTCACCGACTTGGTTCGCATCTGCGAAGGAAGTCCCTATGACCCCAAACCACTCAACGATATTGGCATCCGTGTCCATGATGACATGTAAATAATATAGCCTTTTTTTTTTTTTTTTTTTTTTTTTTTTCTTTTTCTGCTTTATTTGTATTTGTATTATTATTATTTTCTTTTACTATTCAAATGTCTGGACATCTTCCTCTACTTTGTCTTGATAAACCACATTTCAGGACATGAGCTGAATTACAAAGCATTTTCCGTCTAACTTTCTTTTTGAAACCCTAATTTTATTGATCTGTCAAAAAAAAAAAAAAAAAAAAAAAAAAAAGGAAGTTTGCAGATGGTACAGCACCCGGAAAAGATATCATAGCACGTTGGCTAGAGCTAAATGATGAGGTCTTTTTCAACTCTCCTGACAAAGACCGCTGCATTGCCGTACACTGTATCTCTGGGATCGGAAGGGCGCCGGTAAACTTTTTTGTTTCTTTTTTTCTTTTTCACTTGTTCACCTTATATTATTCAAAAAAAAAAAAAAAAAAAAAAAAAAAAAGAGACCAAACACACATATGGAAGAAAGGACATTGGACAACTGACAATGACATAAACATGATTATTATTATTTATTTATTTTTTCCCTCTTCTCCAACTTGCTGTTTCTGTTTGTTTAGGTCCTCGTTACGATCTCTCTTATTGAAGGAGGCATGGATCCATTGGTAAAATGCTGAAAAAAAAAAAAAAAAAAAGATTTTCTTGTCAATGATTTTGATTTTGGAGAAGCGGAGCAAAATAATTAATTAGGATTAAAAAATATTGCCTTTTTCAGGATGCCATCGCATATATTCGGAAAGCCAGAAGGGGTGCCCTCAACCGCATTCAGATTGCATTCATAGACGGGTAAAAAAAAAAAAAAAAAAAAAAAAATGCTAAACTTTGACTTTTGCAAGAAAGGACGTCTGTTTTTATTACTATTGATACTATTGCTATTGTTAATATTTATGCATTATGTACCCTAATTCAATTGTGACGATTATCCTACTTGTATATTTTTAACATCCATGTTATATTTAGGTATAAGAAAAGAAAGCATGGTTTCGGAACAAAAAAGAACACCAGCGCAGTATCAGGGTCTAATTCATCTGGATCAACAAGTCAGTCTGTAGCATCAGGGACTGGGACTGAGAAAAAGAAAAGTGGATTTATATCCAAGATGTTTGGAAAGAAATAAAATAATAATGCAAAAAAAAAAAAAAAAAAGAAAAAAAAAGAAAAAAAGAAAAATAGTTATAAATTATGGGTATACAAATATAAAACATAAAGCTGTGAGAACGTGTTGTGGTCTGTGGGGGAAGAGGGGAAATGGGCGAAAGCGGTGGAGGGAGATCATAGACCCAGTAAAATTTTTTTTATTTCGGAACTTTATTTCGCAGTCTCTTTGTCTTTTTTTATTTTTTTATTTGCATTCAACTTTTTTTTTCTTTTTTCACTTTTCATACTTTTCATTCATTTGTCTCATTGAGCTTTGCATCAAGCATCCTTTTTTTTTTTTTTTTTTTGTTTCTTAAATCGATTTGATCTCATGTCACATTCAACACAGACAACTCATAAGGACATTGTGAAAATCACGGCTGATACTATCAGCTTGGATGAAATTGCACAGTCTGTTCATGATCCAAAAGCAGGTGCTATCTCGACCTTCTCTGGCACTACACGCGACAACTTTGAAGGTGAAAAAAAAAAAAAAAAAAAAAAAAAAAAAAAAAAGCTAATTTTTTTTTTTCTCGTTTCTTTCTTTCTCTTTCTGTTTTTGAGTCAGAGATAACTCACAAGGAAATATATAAATATATATGTATATATATTGGGTTTTCACTTTTTTATAGATAGAGAAGTAAAAACTCTTTCATATGAAGCTTATATCCCCATGGCAGAGAAAGCAATGCAGTCATTGATCACAACGGCGCGTTCAAAGTGGGATGATTTGATCCATGTGGCGATTGTACACAAGATTGGAGATTGTCCTGTAGGCGAAACCAGTGTGGTGATTGCAGTCTCTTCAGGTCATCGGAAACAAGGCCTTGAGGCTGTCCATTGGTTGATCGATGAATTGAAAGTTCAAGTTCCAATCTGGAAGAAGGAAGTTTATGTCGGTCATGATGCTCAGACCGGTGCAGAGATTGACGGAGGTGCAGTCTGGAAAGCGAACGACACCATGATCTAATAGACATTAGAGAAAAAAAAAAAAAAAAAAAAAAAAACACGTGCTTTTTCAATGACTTTTTGCGGTGAAAACGCGTCTCTCAAAACGTGCTTTATAAGCTTTTCTATAATAGCTCCACCCTATTTTGTATTCAGTATCAATGTATATAAAGATTGATTATTCCAAGTACAAATGTACATTTCACCAAGGACGAGACAGTTTTAAAAGGTTTTGGGATAAAAAAAAAAGAAGAAAGAAGAAAGAGGAGAAAGACTTTATAGATGTAGAATCTTTGATTATTAATGTATTTGCACAGATTACAATGTATGAATACTGAAGTTGTCGTTTTCATCAAGGATTCAGATTGTTGGAAACAAGAGTTCGAAAAGCTTTTTTTTGTTAAACTTGTTTTGCCAAAAAGATTAAATGAGAGAAAGTGAAGGTTCGAGTTTTATGAGAAGGTTAAACCAATTACAAGTATACATTTATACTATCCAATTATTTTTTTGCGATTCAGATTTAATCTTGAGCGCAATGAGCCACTCTTCCATCACAAACAGGTTTTAGTATGTCATGATATTTATTCTATTCTTCCCCGGGTCCAAAGAAATTTGTCCAACATTAAGCAAGTTTCCTGTTTCCTGGATTGGTTTGTCTGCTTCTTCCAGGAACCAAACAAGCGATGAGCAGCAGGAAAAATAAAAAATAAAAAAAAAAACAACATCCCCATTCTTCTCTTTCTCCCTCTCCTTTCTCTCTTTCTCTCACCTTTCCTCACTCTTTCTCACTCTTTCTCTCTTTTTCTCGCCCTCTCTGTCTTTTCTCACACTCAACAAGACCTCGGCTCGTCCTTTCTTTTCTGCTCCCTACAGTACGCCCTTCCCCTCAAAAAAACAAAAAACAAACAAATAAACAACTTTTCTTTAATTGATTAATCCCTCACCCTTTTCTTTTTTTTATTTTATTTTATTTTTTTATTTATTTTGCTCACTCTCATTGCATTCATCCTGCATTCTCATTGCATCGCTTCTCAACAATCATTCATCTTTTTTTTTTAGCACTAAAAAAATATAAAGTAAAAGAGACAGGGAAAAAAAAAAAAAAAAAAAGCGTAGAGTTAATATACGAATACGAAATATTAGATATGGTTATTTTGTAACACCATTATCATCAATCATTTCTTTCTTTTCCTCCCTTTCTTATGAAAAGGGCTTGTTCTAGAAAAACAGAGTGAGAGCAAAATAAGAAAGAGGGAAGAAAGCAATAAAAAAAAAAAAAAAAAAAAAAAAAAAGAGTAGGGCATCCTGGAAAAATGTATTACTCTCAGCAGGAATACCATCACCAGAAGCAATCTCCACCATCTCAGGAGATGCACCAAGCTAACCAGTCTCAGCAGCAGCAGCAGCAACAGCAGCAGCAACAGCAGCAGCAACAACAACAACAACAACAGCAACTACAATATCACCAGCAACAGCAGTATCAACAACATCAGCAACATCAACAATATCAGCAATATCAACGTAATCATTATTCTCAGCAGGGATCGTCTTCATCTTCCAACGGTAATAGCAGCACTGATGGTGACAATCTTTATAGTCCCGGTCACGCTCATTATAATCAACAGCAACATCCACATCCACAGCAACAACATCAGCAGGGCTATTATCAAGACTATCGAGAACAGCAATCTTCAGGACAGGGTCAACAGGGACACGATCAGAGCCAATTGAGATACATTCATGATCAGCAACAACAGCAACAACTTCAATATCAACAACAACATCACCCGCCATCTACGCAACAGCAAGAGCATGAGGATGACAGATCAGCCTCTGCTTCAGAGTCGGCGATGGGCTCTTCTTCTACACCTTGGTCCGAGAATGGGTCAAGGTAAGAAAAATAAGATGCGTCTCCTTTCTCTCACATCCTTTCCCTCCTCCCCCCCCCTTTTTTTTTTTTTTTTTTTTTTTTTTTTTTTTTCTTTTCTTTTTCTTTTTTTTCTTTTTCTTTTTCTTTTTCTTTTTTTCTTTTTTTCTTTTTTTATTACATTTTACTGGTCAAAAAGAAAGTTTCTAGCACAAATGCATGCACAATTAGACTATAATTTGTTATTTACCCTTCTTTATTTACCTTCTTTATTATGATTCTTATGTATTAATGAATATTCCATTATGCTTACCTTCCTCCTTTCTTCATTACTCTCGCCTCGACCAATGTAGCATGAGATTCAAGGTCACATTGGAAGCTCAGACAGCAGCCATGCAACGCCAGGATGAAACTTCGGTCACATATCTTAATAAAGGACAGTTTTACACTATCGGATTGGAGGACACGGAGGAGTACGATGACGAAATCACCAGTGTGGTCAGGGTCGCGTTCCACGATGCATCTCATCGACATCTTGCAGCTCGGTATTGGAGCTTCTGGCTGAGTCAACAACCTAGCCCAAAAACAGCTAGAGCTTTGGACATTGGTAAACAAACAAGAACCAACAAACAATAATACCAACAAAAAAAAATACCCATGAAATATTACCTTTCAAGTAACATCTATTGTATACACTTTTTTTTTTTTTTTTTTTTTTTTTTTTTATTATCAGAAAAGGCTTCGTCAATAGGGGTTATTGAAGTGCATTCCAAGACCTTTGATCAGATATCTTTCAAATGGAACGGCAAAAAAGGAGCTAAACTGATGGTTCGATTCAACTGTTTATCGACGGATTTCTCACGTATCAAAGGAGTCAAAGGGATTCCATTGCGTGTACACATGGATACATCATTGGAGAAGAAGAAAAAGAAGACGAAGGTGAAGGCTAACAGCAGCAAGAATAACAAGAAAGGTTCATCGGTATTATTATTGTCATCTAGTTCCTCCTCTTCATCATCTTCACCATCTTTATCAGCATCATCTTCACCTTCATTGGCTTCACCATCATCAAGTAGACCAAACAACAGCACCAACAGCAAAAGCACCAACAGCAAAAGTACCAACAGCAAAAGCACCAATAACAATGTTAATGACGACGACAATGGTAACGACAATGACAACGGAAACGATGGTAACCATAATTGTACTGAGGATGATAGCAACTCCATTGAACGATCATTTCTTAAAGTGAAATTGTTCCGCGATAAGGTAAAGTTGAAATAAAAAGGATTTAGGCTTTTTATAAATATACATGAAAAGAAAAAAGAAAAAAGAAAAAAGAAAAAAAAAAAAAGCTAAGGAAAAGCGTTTGTCTTGCCTTTTTTTTTTTTTTCCCTCCTTTTTTGTATGCCTTTCTTAGGGCGCAGAACGTAAAAACAAAGATGATCACAAGCATTTGGAGAAATTGTGGGATAAGATGCGAGGCAAGAATCAAGACACGAATCCATTGACCAGCATGCTTGCACCTGTTCAGGCTGTCTCGATCTTTACAGAATGTTTAGATCATCTTGAAGACGAATCAGATGAAGACGAGACATTGGATCTGTCTGAAAATCTGGCGAACATTCCAGACTCAATAGAGGATAATGCTGATGGTGAAGGAGATGATAATGATGGTACTGGAGAAGGCAAAAGAAGCGTTGGTGGCAATAATCATGAGAGTATAGAATCTTCTTCAAGATATGGCTTACCAAACAATCAACAAGGCAATAACCATACTAATGCTAATGCTAATAATAATAGCAATAGTAGTTACAATAACACCAACAATAATACGTATGGGATCCCAACTTCAGCAGCTACGGCATTAACTCAGACTCAGACTCAGACTCAGACTCAGGCCCAAGCACAAGGACAAGCACAACAAGCTACTATAGGAATTGCTGGAGGAAGTGGGAGCAGCAAGAAACGGAAGCGTAATACGGATAACGGAGGTAAATAAGGAGAAAGACGGAGAACTGACAATATGAATTTTATTATCAAATCCCTGTTCTTCGGCCACTAATATGTATACATCTATACCCACACACACACATATATATTGTAGAAGCACAGAGACGAAGGCATGGACAAGGACAAGGACAAGGACAAGGACAAGGACAAGGACAGGGGCAAGAGTATGAGCAAGAAGACTTTTCAACATTTCAGGAAAATGATGATGGCGACGGTAGTCACTTGCTCCGCGCCAGTTACGTACAACACGTGCGCAAGAAGCGACCAGTGTTGTGCCTGTATATTAAAATTGGTGGTGAGCCTGTCTACCGGGCTGTGTACCTGGAAAAACAAACGGTTGCGGACTTGATCCAGAAGCTTTCGGAGAAGCTTGAGATCCAATCTTCGACTATCACATCTGTCTATAGAAAAACAGTCAAGAAGGAGCTGATGGTCCGTGTTGACGATGCCATGGTCGCTCAGATGACTGACGAACTTGATATGGCTGTTGAATACGAATTCAATCAGTTGGATGGAAGTGTCAACTTGACGCTCAAGTATTAAATAATGAACGAAAGGGAAAAAATAAAAATAATCGATATAGGGTAAGGGACTAAAAAAAAAAAAAAAAAAAAAAAAAAGCATGGCATTAGATGTTGTATAATTATGATACATTTTTATTATTTTTTATTTTTATTTTTTTGTGGATGGTTTTTTCTTTGATCTTTTTCCTTAGTATGGAATATGAAATAGGAGAGGGGTTCCGGGATCTTTTTTATCTTTCTTTTTTTCTTTTCATTTGGCATTAAATCAATCAACGATGTCGTAACAAAAGAAAATCTACGCTTTGCAAAAAAAAAAAAAAAAAAAAAAAAAAAAAGAAATAAATAAATAAATAAAAATAAAATAAAATAAAAATGAAAAACAAAGAAACAAGGTCATAAAAAATAAAGAAAAAGTGTCAAATTCACGGAAAAGGTCCAGCTTTTACGTGACAAGGATTTGTTATTCCTTGAAGTAAAGAAAGAAAGAAAAAAAAAAAAAAGGGACAAACAGGGCGCAAGGGAAATAAGGATGATGATGCCAATAAAAAAAGAAAAAGAAAACGAAAAGGAAAAAGAAACAGGAACAAAATGAGACAGCTAGTGAATAGAGGAGAATGCACGCAATATTTTTTTTTTTTTTTGTACTTTTTGTACTTTTTTTTCTTTTTTGTTTGTATGTATATGTGTCTGTGTGTAAGTGTTTCCATGCTGACGAAGCTCACTGATTAGATATCCTAATGTTCAAGAGTTCCTCGCTCTCCTTTTCTGACAGTATTGGTCCGCTGGGTGAGGTTTGCGGGAATGCTGGCGTTGGCGGTCTCATCCTCTGCGCCTTCTCACGAAGATCCACATAACTATTAAATAAAATAAAAAGTCAAGCCCATTGACAAAGAAAACGCAGTCAGTGACGGATCTTTAATAAGCAAAATACAAAAATAAATAAATAAATAAATATAGATAAATAAATAAAAAGCCGTGGCTGTGTTTGTCTTACCTATAACAAGCGCCTCCAATAAGAGTCATGATGATACCCAATCCGTTCAAGAATCCAATCTTGGTGTTAAACACCGTAACAGCAACCACGATCGACAACACTTGTTTGACATTGGCTGGAGAGAAAAGTAAACAGAAGATAAAAAGAAAGAAAAATCAGCGTCAATTTACCTTTGTAGAGTACAATAGGTAAGAAAAAAATTAAAAAAAAAAAAAAAAAAAAAAAAAAGTGGATTTGAATTGGCACTCACCAGCGACAGTCATGGTCAAGGCACTGGTCTTCTTGTTGGCGGTAAAGGAGACATAGTTGAGGAAGAAGGCAATGATACCATTGATCGAAAGGGCCAAGATCAAGCTATAGCTCATCTCTGTCTTGCAGAACGACACGACCTCATCCAGTTCGCCCTTCATCCACGAAAAGATGACTGTCTGCACAAATGCCAGAGGACTCATTCGGAGCAACAGATCAAGGGGATGAAGCTGAAGACGACCGACCTGGATACGGTTGGTGACAACGGTCTTTGTCGCAGCGAGGACTGTGCCGAGGACGGTGAGGAAAAAGCCCATGGCAGTGTAGGAGTAATCACCAACAGTTGCCATGTAGACTCCCAAGAGTAAAGGTACCAACGAGAGATAGGTCATGCCGCTGTATCTCTTTCCGAGGAATGCAACCGAGATGGCAATTGTGAAGACTGGTGTCATGGCACGAACAACCTGGTGGAAGGCGACAGAGACCTCATTTCTGGAAGGATAAGAAAAAAAGAAAAAAAGAAAAAAATTTTAGACTTACACACATGTTTCCATTAATTTTTTTAGACCGGTTTTCGCCTTCGATCCTTGTCCTCCGCTCCTGATCTTTCCCATAGCTATTGCCGGTGACTGATCCTGAACTTTCTTGTTTGTCATCTGCATATTTTCGACTTTTTTTTTTTTTTTTTTTTTTTTTTTTTTGCTTTTGCCTTTGCTTTTGCGTTTGCTTCTCTGTTGGATCCATCCTCAATAAATGATACAAACAAGAAAAAAAAAACCGAGAGAGAAAGAAAAGACTTACAGTGAAACGTTACTGATAGCAATGTTGAGAGTGTAGAGAAATGAAAACATCAACATGACCATATTTTCGTGTTCTCCAAGCTGTGCAGGTGTGAAGTAACCCATCCGAGCCATGATATAAGCACCCACGCCGGAGCAAAGAGTGTGGATCCCTGTCAGGGTCCAAGGGAAACCAAAGTGGAATGTACTGAGGATAGCCTTGTTATAGATGGTCAGGGTGAGGTTGAGAAGGAAATACATGGCCAGCCATGTGTAGGACGTATCAACCTTGCCCGGCCTAGTGGTTGCAGCAGCAGAGAGCTGCAAAGGATGGGGTCGTTCCTTCCCGAGCATCTGGCCCGCGGAAAGGGATGTACGCTTTGTGTGTGAAATGGTGGAAATCCTGCCTTTGTAGGCGAAAAAGAAAAAGAAAAAGAAAAAAAAAAAAAAAAAAAAAAAAAAGGAGAATGTGGGGAGATTAAAAGGAGAGGAGAGAAGAAATTCCTGATGAAAAGATAAAGGCAATGCTGTTCTGGGCACTGGGATGAAGACGAGGATTGTCTAAATGATGAATGAACAGACACTAAGAAGAAAAAGGGAGAGAGAGAGAGATGAAAAAAAAAAAAAAAAAAAAAAAAAAGTCAGTCAGTCAGTCAGTCAGTCAGTCCATCAGTCTGTGCGATGATCTCTTTCAGGAGAAATAGGGTGATGTCATCAAGCAATCCAAAATAGATGAACAATCACAATCAGAATCACCATTACAATTTCTTTTTGATGAGGATGAGGATGAAGTGTGTAAGGGAAGTGGTCGTGACAGAAAATGATAGGAATAACAACAATAATAGTAATAAAAAGTAAAAAATAAAAATAAAAAGTAAAAGTAAAAAAAAAAAAAAAGAGGAACGAAGAGAAAGAGAAAAAAGATCCAAATCATTCAGACACCTTTTTTCTTCCTCGTCAAAGATGGTGTTTCCATCTCCCCCAATCCGATTCTTTCTTTCTTTCTTTTCTTCCTTTCTTTCTTCGGTATTATTCTTCTATTGAATTGATATCGTACTCAAATTAAGGTCATTGTGCTCTGCTCTTGCTCTTGCTCTTTCTTTTTTAAAACTCTGCTCTTTTTTCTTTTCTTTTCCTCCTCTGTAATCAATCAATTCGTTTAATCTGGGATGTCTAGGACATGGGAATTACTGGGATGGAGGGGTATGAGGCTTTGGGCTATGTGGACATCTGCTGGATCGGACTGTTATCCTGCCACATACTTCATCTTTCCCTTGATGTCCTCTCATTTCCTTCATCAAAACGAACTGGAGAAAAGAATAAATATTATAAAATAAAAAATAAAAAATAAAAATAAAAAAAAAGAGTGCCTGGACTTTGACGGACATTATCGCTGCTTTGTTGATATTTGTTGTTGTCGTCCATCCTCATTGAACGTTCTTTATCTTCTTCCCTTCAATCTTTGTGTAATAAATTGATCCACGATTTCTATATGACCTTGCTCAAGAAAGAACTCCCAAACGCTGTTCAATGGAGGAAAAAAGAATATAAAGAGCAACTCGATCTGATTCTGATAACTTACATTGACTCTTTTTCGTTCTTTGTAACGCCTTTTTATTTTTCCTTTCCTTTCCTTTCCTTTCCTTTCCTTTGAGATGAAGACTGAGATGGTGCCTGTACCAAATGAAACAATGAATTCCTTTCCGTGTGTTTTTCTATAGGGATATGTTGTTTGTATAAATGCGTTGATAAATCAGGTCCCTCAGCTAGTAATGTCTCTCTTTGTTCTTGAAGTCGTGGTAAATTAAAAGTGATCGGAGTGAGTAAAAGAGAGGATTACAATGTTATGAAAGGGTATGGATGTAGTTTAATGAAACGAAAGAAAAGAAAATAAGAAGAAGAAGAAGAAGAAAAAAAGAAAAAAAAAAAAAAAAAAAAAAAGAGCTTTCATTCAACCTTCACCGCTAAAAATAATGTTGTCATGCCCATCGATCTCTTCTTTTTTTTCTAGCCCTTTTCAAATCCTGTACAGATCATAGTAGATCGGAGGAAAAAAATAAAACAAACAAAGTATTATAAATCTGCATTGAATAATTATTCAAATAGAAGGGACTAGCCCAGAGGAAACACACGTTGGTGCTTTAAGCGAGAAAACAATGGCAAAAAACCATAAGATAGAGAAAATGACGGAAAGCTCAGTAACACGACTCGAGTTCATTGGCACTGACATTTCGCATTAACAAACAGGAACTTTATCTTTGTGTCTTGGAATTATAAAAACGTTTAGTTGTGCACCCGTCCATTGTTGCACCTTAGTGATGTGATGATGATTCAGATAAAAAATAAAAATAAAAACTCCTTCTAGGATTATTCAATCCGTGTTATTATCTCCCAGCAAGGTCTTTTTTTTTTTTTTTTTTTTTTTTTTTTATTGCTTCTATTATTCTCAATGAATCTTCCTTTGATTCGCCGCACTTCACTTCTTTCAGTGACATCGTTTTTTATGGTTACATATTGCATCATTGCCCTGCAGCACCACACAAGGGGGAATTGACCAGCTTTTTTTGCAACGTTAATGTTGCGGAGCCATGACATGATTCGCGATCTCCCCTATCTGGTCTGGCCTGGAAGGGTCTGAATGTTTATGATATAAATATATAACACATAGTCTGTTCTGCTGAACATGCATCTTAACAACTCAATCAGCCAGGCCAGCATTGTCATCTTTTTTCATTCAAATCACATCATTCTTTCCCTTGTTGTTGAGCTTATCCTCACAAAGAATTACGCATGTTAAACATAAAATATCTTTTTACATATGAATGCAAAGGCCATGTCTAACAATGTCAATGCCAGGAACAACGGAACCCTGACAGGATGCTTGAATGATTGAATAATAAAATTTATGAGTTAAGCCTAAACTCATCAAATGCCACTAATGGAAAACAGGGCCAGACTAAAAAAGTTTTATGGCAGACTGTAATACTATGTACTAGTGAAAAAAAAAAAAAAAAAAAAAAAAAGCCTCTCCTTTTCTCTGTTCTTGAGAATTGCTCCTTTCTACACATTCATTCATAATCCATTATCATTATATACCAAGCGAATAGATCGTCTTGGTCGTTACATCTCATTTTTTGCTCAAAGTGTGACAAAGTTGATCATTTTGCAGCAGATCGCTCAACAGCATCAGAGCAATAAAGACCTTTCATATAATCTTTAAATTTTTTTTTTTTTTTTTTTTCAAACGCCTCATGCTTGAAAAAAAAAAAAAAAAAAAAAAAAAAAAGAAGCTTGATGCTTTCTATCAAGAAACCTTGCTCTCTTTCTTTCTCAATAATTAAATCATTATATAAACATCAAAACTACCTCCAACATTTATATACTGCAGAGGGCTCCTTCTTGTTCTTCTATTTCACACATCTTTCGGCTCAGTTTGACAGCCTTTTTTTTTTTTTTTTTTTTTTTTATGAGTGTACAGTCGACTGTAGATCCACGTTAGACAAATTAATCAACACTAGCACAATCAACAAAACAGGACAGGATGGGAAATGTGTTTTAAACCATGGATCCAGTTGGACAATTGAATGTTGTACAACACAGCGGCTGTGACGAAAAGGATTGCATGGATATATTGATAATAATGTAATTGTAAAGATATATAAATGTAAATACATATTCAATTTATTGATTAATTACAGTGAATATCAGTACAGATAAAAAGAAGATATTCTACTATCTAATATTATTATGTATAATATTATATGTATATTAAATACACCATCAAGTTGAACAATCAAATGAAACCCTTCTCCTGTCCTGGGTACCTCTGATAAAGAAATGTCCTGAATACAGTCTAGTCTCGTGTGAAACGAGGACTTTTTTTTTTTTTTTTTTTTTTTTTTTTTTTCTTGTGTCGAACTAAACATGTTTTTGCAATTGCTAAAAAAAAAAAAAAAAAAAAAAAAAAAAAAAAAAAAAGATTCAAAGATTGATCCGGTTGATTGGATCAGACTCCTAAACTCCAACAATTTGGGACCGTTACAAAAAAAAAAAAAAAAAAAAATGCAGAAATGCCAAAAATGCAAAAATGCAAAAAAAAATCTATTTTTAGAGATAACCGTTGCGTGGCTGAGATAAGTTTGTTTTTTTGGTGGCGATCGATTAAACTTGTTTCAGAGTTTTTAAACATTGTCACGAGGCCATCGATATTAAAAAGCAGTAATTTGGAGATCCTTGTCCTTGGTATGGGGTGGGCTTTAGTCCTTTTAGTCTTGGCAATCATTAACCCCAAGTGCTTGAACATTGTAGCACCTTTTATAAATAAGTATATTTAAATGTTTTTATTTTCATGCACCTAATGCGTTTTTTTATAAAAGGTCGGCCTAGAATGCTATTGTGAAAGTGAAAGGAAGCATCCATTTTTATTTGCATTTGGCCCCATGGCTAAACCATGCATCATGAAAAAAAAAAAAAAATAAAAAAGATAAAAAGGGGTTTGTGCATGCAAGTTAATTGAACATGTGGCACGGATAATTCTTCACAGGTCAATGCATCGACTCTTTTTACTGACTCACTCTTTTCAAAGTTTTTTTTTTTTTTTTTTTTTTCTTTCTTTTTAACCTTTTTGTCCTCTTCTCTTCTCTTCTCTTCTCTTCTTTCCTCTTCTTTCCTCTTCTTTCCTCTCTTTTCTCTTCTCTTATTTTCTTCTTGTCCAACCCCACATTCTCCTGAAATAAAATTTTCTCTCCCAATCCCTATTAACTGATCCGCAGTCAGTCACTCAAGCCATTCAAGCAGTCAGTCAAGCAAGTCTCCCCCCAGCACCCGAGTATATCCCATAATCCGTCCTCTTTCAATCCCAGAGATGCAGCACCAACATTCACCATATAACCATCATCAACATCAACATCAACATCATCAACATCATCAACATCATTATCAGTCGCCTACACAACACTCGCAATCTTCACAATCTTCACAATCGCAATACGGATATCAACAGACACCTCGTCAACATTATAATCATCAAGATCTCTATAAACAGGGCTCTACCCGTGAGCAACAATATCAGCAACAACAATATCAACAATACCAACATGCAGTACAACAACAGCAACATCCTCCTCAAAACCCTGCAGTAATCCAGAGTTCATTAAAGGCTTGGTTTGATGCGGTTGATACGGATCGTTCTGGAAATCTGTCATGTGAAGAGTTGCAACGTGCGCTTATGAATGGTAAAAAAAAAAAAAACATTCTTCCGCTTCCCCAAAAAAAGAAAAAAAAACTTTTTTTTTTTTTTTTTTTTTTTAATTCCTTCGTTTGTTATGCTTACTCACAGCTAAACCTTTTCTTTTTTTTTTTTTTTTTCTGAAAAAAAAAAAAAAAAAAAAAAAAAAAAAAAAAATAGGTGACTGGACACCCTTCAATGGTAATGACAAATGATGATGATGATAATGGGAATAACTGTTGTTCAACATGGCAAAGACATGTCAAAAAAAAAAAAAAAAAAAAAAAAAAAAAATAGGAGAACAGGGAGGCGTAGTCGAAAATTTGTGTCGTACAAGTCGACAATCGAACCATCATGATGTGCTCATGAGTACAAAGACACAGAAAAAACTTTTTGCGCGCAGATATTTGTGCTTATATTTGATTACAAGGACATGGTTGTGACAAGAGAAGAAAAAAAAAAAAAAAAAAAATAGGAAGAAAGAGAGAAAAAGAAAGAGAAACCCATTGTGCTTACTAATATCATCTCCTCTTTTTTTTTTTTTTTTTTTTTTTTTTCGTTCTTGTTTTTTATTTTTTTATTTTTTATTTTTAATTTTTTATTAATAGTGGAGACTGTGCGTTTGATGATGAACATGTTTGACAGGGATAACGACGGCACAATCTCATTTAATGAATTCATCGGATTATGGAACTACATTGAGAAATGGAAGGCTTGTTTCCAGACCTATGATCTTGATGGATCCGGGACCATCGACACACATGAACTCCACAAGGCCCTCCGTGGCTTTGGTTACAACCTCAGCGAAGCTATCGTCCAGTTGATCGTCACCAAATACGATGTCCGGGGCCAAGGTGATATCAGCTTTGATAACTTTGTCCAATCTTGTGTCACCGTCCAGACCTTGACCGATGCCTTCAGGAGGATCGATGTCGCAGGCACAGGCGTCGTCACCATGACTTATGAACAGGTAATTAACTATTAGCATGCTTGTATATATATAATATATATACAATGTCTCTTTCTTTTACTAGTTTGAAGAATTTGAAGCTAATTTTTTCACATCTATTCTTTTTTTCACTCGTTATTAAAGTTCCTGGGCTTAGTCATTAACAACCGCTAAGAATACCCCCCCATTTCCTCTATAAATCATATTTTTATATTGATTTAATTATTTTAATTAAATGTATATTTTGACTTTTTTTCTCAAATGGTCGCCAATAACGATAGCATAGCGTTAAAGCCTTGCAATCTCATATTGCTGCTTCTGAAGAACCTCTTCTTGTTCTGCCTTTTCAATGGCTTTAATAAGATCATAAGCTGTGCCCCAACTTGATTGGAATCCTACAAGCAAACAAACAAACAAACAAAAAAAAAGCAATCAGATTAGAAAATCATTTAAACAATGCTTGAAGGAATAATAAAAAAAAAAAAAAAAAAAAAGAAACCTACCAGCACCTCCATGGCCATAGTTGTGGCCGATCAGTACATATTGGCCAGCTCCTGTGCCTAAAATTATAATAAAAACAAAAATAAAACGGCTTAGCTAATGCTTCGCCATAACTACGCCACTTTTCTGTAAAAAAAAAAAAATATATACTTACGACTGTGTTCAACCTCGACGCGAACACCACCTGTCCTTGATGGTCGGAAGCCAACTGCCTGATCCACAATGTCAAATTTGGTAAGAATATCAGGGCTGGCTGCATAAGCTTCGGAGGTTCCGGGCATTAGAATCTTGGGATACCGACGGATAATTGTTTTGAGAATATGTGTTGTCTTTGTCGGACTCACTGCCTCATTGCTTTGTTCAAATATATGCATAAACAATAATAATAAAGTCAGATCAGTCTTTAAAAAAAAAAAAAAAAAAAAAAAAAAAAAGAAAGAAAGAAAGAAAGAAAGAAAGAAAAAAGTACTGTTTCTTTCTTATAATCTCTTTTGGTCATACTTTTGATGCGCCTCGCGAGAGCCTCCCAAGACAACTTCGCCATTCGATCGAGGAATGACATACATAATCTCTCCAGTTTTAGCTATCCGATAATAATAATAATAATAATAATAAAGTCAACAAGTAAATAAATGATCCACATAATTTGCTATAGGAAAAAAAAAAAAAAAAAAAAAAAAAAAACTTACAGATCCAAGTGACGGTTTCATGAATCCAAGATGCTCTCACTACTGCCGTCTGTCCTCTTGTTTGGAAACATTGTAGATCCTGTGCTCCTCCCAAGTATCTAGCCCTGACTCCCGTACAATTGATAATGATCTTGACGGGCTTAGCTTTCGTTCCTACCCAATGTGCTGCCTCCATCATATGTGAAAGTGTCCGTTGCTGGACATGTCCGCCCGCTTTCTTGAACTGTTGCAATAAAAAGTGTAAATAGATCGAAGGCGTGATCACTGCTGTCTTGTATGTATAAGCGATAGGGAAATCTGGATTCGTGGACGGGATTTGTTTGAACTAGAGGAGAGGAGGAAAAAAAAAAAAAAAAAAAAAAAAAGAAATAAAGTCAATAGCAATTACACATACATACAAAAGGGGAAATAAGTGTGGTCTATTCAATCCTTTCAATAACATGTGCGGGTAATGTATAGATCTACTCACTCCGTCAACCACCCTGGACCACCATGGGTATTGTCTTCCGTGCCCTGACGGATTAAAATCATAATAATCGATCGCATCCTGCATTTTAATGCCCGAGTCTGAATACTTGGCTAATTCCTTAAATGCCTTGTATGAAATAGTATCATGTTCTACCCAGAGAAAAAAAAAAAAAAAAAAAAAAAAAGGTCATTTCAGATCAAGTCCTATTAATGTCTAACTACTACTTATTCGTAAAAAAAAAAAAAAAAAAAAAAAAGTGAGCTGTTACCTTGGGCTCGTGCATCATCCTCATCACATACAGGTCGCCAATGTGCTCCAGCTTTCGCTGATGAATAGTCGGGATGCGCTTTCCCTCTCTTGGGGAATTCGGACGCAATGATTGTTACATCTAAAGCAATATCACAACACCATAAGATAGATCAATGGTTCCACAATGCGTTTTTTATTATTATTTGTCAGAAGGATTTTCGATTCACTCGATACAAAAAGTGAAATAGCAAAAAAAAAAAAAAAAAAAAAAAGTTACCATAATGGTTGCATTGCAATAATAATGCGGTTGTCAATCCAACAACACCAGCACCAATGACGGCGACTAATGGTCTTTGTTTCTTATTATGTGCAGGCATCGATCGTGTTTTGAATCAAGTAAGGGTAATTCAGGAATGAAGCGAACCGAAAGAAGGCAAAGAAGTGTTTTGTGTCTTCAAGACCATCTTTCATCACGGTGCATGCTGCGTGGGCGTATCCGCTGTGGCACGTGCTTCTTTCATGAGTATGCCGTTCGATCCATCTCTTCTTATTACAGTTATTTGTATTGTGTTCTCAGGTTGGGCTATAGAGACGTCCTGAGCATTCAAGCTCGGATCTCCCGGGTCTGAATCCATGTCCATATCCATATCGTCACTTCCATCATCGTCTTCATCCACCTCCTCTTCTTTACTTCTACATGGCCCGTTACTTCTCTTTTCTCTCGACTTATCCCTATCCAGGCTCTCTTCTTCACCATCCAGTGGAGGCAAGTTAATCTTTTGAGCTGATTTTCCTAGCAATGCTAGGACAGCCGGTTTTCAGAGTCCACTAGGTGTCCTCTTTAATCCACTTCCATGGCTTGGCCCTGCTTGTTTCAGTCCTCTCGAGCTATTAGGGGCTTGTCTCAAACCAACCCTATCCAGTAGATTGTCTGTAGATTCATTGGTGTTCAGTGACCTCGTGATGATTCTAGTACAATGAGGACCCTAATTACGCCATAGGAACAGACATTGGTCATAGTCGGACGCGCTTACCTTGCTGAATTAATGGGTTAATAGAAAGAGGCAGCATCCTCACCCTGTAAAACAAGAAGTGATTAAAAAGCATTGATAAAAGTGTATCCAAATAAACAAGCAATAGGTCGTCAAAAGTAGCGAGGCTTACGGTGGCACACACTCTCTTTATCTTGCTACTGTTGACTGTTGTTGTACTTCTGTTAATGTCGCCCGATGGGGACGCTGTCAGTTGATGACGAGTAACACTCAGTGAGGGGAACACCTGGTCGAGGCTATAGGTGAGGACTTTGCGTCTCGTGGCTATCCGCCAGATCGTGTGAACATTCTCGTACATCAAGATGTCTCTGTCTCTAGTAATAGGTAGGGCTACTGGTGAGTCGTAGCCTTTTTTTCTTCATCTTACTCCGAGGAGTTAGCGCTCCCCATTATCGGAAAGCTTTTTGTCAGTACTGTAAGAGGTAGTAGTTGGTATACGGAAGTAGATCGAGGAATGACGAGCAATAGTATCAGATGGTGGATGGGAGCAGTGAGAACAAGATGTGGGTCCACACATCTACACCCAGATGTATTAAACCGGTTTTTTGTATTGATGAACATAGAACATTTATTGGTGAACATAACTCTTATATCAATCAATATAACTCTTGTATTGATCAACATAAATCTTGTATTGATGAACAAACATCTTCTAGAAAAAATCAAATATATATATGTATCCTTACTATGCAAGATTGGGTGTTCAAGCGCCTCTTTGTTTTAGACCAAAAAATTACTGTCTATCCTCGTGGTACCTGACGTCTCATTTCTGTTCCTGACACCTAGTATACCGTCAAACGCGTCACGGGAAAAGTAGTACGAATACCAGCTAGGCTCGTGTTTACTTTTTGCTGACGATAACTGAAGGTTATACACTTTAAATTGCCGCAATGTCTTTCCAATCTCATCTGTTTGATCCAGCTGGCGATATGCCCGGACCTGGAAGTAGAGAACCTGCACAACTTCCTTGAGCGACTCAATCTTTTGGAAATCTACATAATATAATGAGAAAAGGTCCTTTTAGCATCAAGGAACTTGCCTCTTCCGAATACGAAGCTCTCAAGACTTGGCTAAGAACCACGGAGGCTTCTCATCGTGACAAACCTCGTAATGCATGGTTCAAGTAATTTATAGTGCTTTCTAGCTCCCGCTGACGTGTTTTCTTCGAGGCCTTCGATGGCTGAATTTTGTTGGCAGCTGCAAGAAGACATTTTGCTTTTTGAAAGTATGCCATCGCCTGAACAAACAGGTCACCTTGGCTCAATGCCTAAAATTAGTAAATAAAGATAGAGTCAAAAAGAAAGATACTTTAGCAACATGTATATCATTGGTGCACTAATAGTATATATGCCAGCGAATACACTGAAGGCATGTGCCTTGGATTTGATTACCATGCTCATAAGACCGTCTATCAGGTCGCTAGCCTGCTGTACAGACTCTAGGTAAAGCAATGCTTCGGATAGGCGGAGCTTAACTAACAATAGTAGTGGCCGCTCCAGACAACGTTCACTCAAGGTCATGGCTGTCAATAAAAGAGGCATTGCAGACATTGTGCTGTCTGATTCCTATAAAAGATGTGTTTGGTAAAGTTTTCAGTAAAACGCATGCACAAAAACACCATAAGATCATGCTAGTAAAAGATAGAGGCCCGAACATACCATGTAGATCTCTGCAAGCGCCAATAGATACATAACAGTAAACTTGCGTGTCCCTGGCCATTGATTCTGTTGTATAATGGCCAATCCTTCTGATAGTTGCAGCACTCCTGAAAGGCGCTGTCCTGCAAGCACACTCAGCAGTGCCTTCTGTAATAAGATCTCAAGCTGAATTTCTCGACTGGTATCATCAAGCTGATTTTCACGAGAAGATGCCCCGCTCCTCCCACTACCGCCTTCACCTTTTGAATTATTGACATCCAACGAAGACGTTAGTGTTGATGCGCTGACAAGAGTAGTCCCCAATTGCTGTGTCAATAACTCTGCATCTCGTAGCCGATTAGCCGACATGGCGCGTCTGTGAAGTATTTGCACAAGCGTCTGTACCCAAGGTGTGGCCTTCAAAGTCGAGATAGGAAACTTGTCCTTCGCGTGCTCTATTACGCAAAGAGCTTCCTTAAATTGGCCATTAAGTGCAAGCTGATATGAGAGGTATAGAGGCCCATTAGCTTTCAAAAAATCAGGTATTAATCATCATGACAAACATCTTTCTGCATTAAGAGTATTTACATCGCTCGCTGTCTTTGAGTATCCTGCTGCCGCATCACTCATGTCAACTTCCGAAGGGTGGTACCGTAATTGAAGCTGGGAATACAAGGAAGACAAGGCCGGATACCCTAAGAATTTACGAATGATTTATCAGTCGGCACCTGCTACAGAGGCACAGAGCATTTCCTCAACCACTTTATAGGTTACTTAGTACCATAGGCGCCCCACATCCTAGATTGAAACAGTTGAATAGCGCCGATAATGCCTTCCAGTGAGTGTCGCAAACTGATAGATGATGTTTTCGTTAATGCCTCGAGCGACTCGACGATAGATTCGCCTTGCTGAAACCATCCAGGAATCGGTAATCAGAACTTAGCAACGATGAACTACTATGCATCATTATTATAAAAAAAAATATGCTTTGTGTAGAAGCACTTACCATCTGTTTAGCAATTGTCAATTCATTCAGAGCATGCAAGTAGTGGAGTGCGCGTCCATCTGTTGGTTCGTCAAGGTTAACTAAGAGTTGCGCCTCACTCGATTCCAGACTACTGCCAGGCATTATCCTTGTAAGTCGATACAACCAGCTACCAACAGATAAAAGCAATAAATAGGTGAATGGGATATGCTGGTGATTCCATTGTCCTTTCTTTGATCCATGGGCAGTTTTTTTTTTTTTTTTTTTTTTTTTACTTTAGTGCATAGCTCAAGCATTCTTGGTCCATGTGGTCGCGGGCAACCTCTATAGTCTCTCGGAGTGCCTACAGTAGAAACCAGTTCAAAAACATTTGTAAATATCTGAAAAAATTTCTTGGCAAATAACATAAACTGATATTAAAATGTCAAAAGAGTGTCATATGTGTACCACTAGGGCTTGCTCGTAATGCGAGAAGCGGACATGAAGCATAGCAAGGTTCAAAAGAGCATACTGATAGAGCACACGATCTTCTGTTGCCATGCAGTAGTCAAAGAACCGATGCAAACTCTGAATTGCCACTTCAAAATCGCCAGTTTGCTGTGCATGTAGACAACTATAGACATTAACCAGAGGGCGTTTTTTTTTTTTGTCCGCATCGAGAATCTCATTAGTAAAATGCCAAAATGTTCACTCTTATAAAATTTTTAGCTTCAAATTCAGTGCTTGAAACCATACGTAAGATAGTGTGTCTTTGCTAATGTTGGCATCCGTGATTGAATACAGTGAACATGAGTAAGCAAGTCCGCGGGTATATCACTTTGACCCATATCTAAATATATAAATGAATGTGTAATGTAATAAGTTTAAAGAATCCGCTTATCCATGTGAACAGCATCGACCCTGTGAATCGCTTTCATAGGAAGCATACCTGATAGCTGTTGGATGTGAAAGTCCAGGTATTTCTCCATGTCAAATGCTGATAAGACAGTGGAATCTTCAGACCCAGCTAAAGACTGGGGCCTCGACTGAGAGCTCTTGTCGTCCAGGTTAAGGATTGAAATATAATTCTCAAATGCACAGTAAAGTTTACCCGTACTCTCAAATGACAACTTCCTGAACTCGACTCGTGCCTTTCTAACATAAAGACCCAATATACTCTCGGGATCCTATGGTGTATATACATATATAAGACTTGGTACATCAGCCTTCAGCTTTTCAGGTGACTGTCCTTCAAGTCGCTTGATGCTTTCTCCATTTTTGGCTGCAACTTACCAACCCAATCATAACATTGTCATCCTAAACAGACATATTTCCAAGCTCGATTAGTCTGCATACTTCTGCATGGGTTCGCCATGATGCCCCTCTTCTTTTGGCCTACAACAAAAGAATGTTACCATGATATCTCCACGCTGTATAATTAAATCCTGAAGTCCAATTTTGCGTAGTGTAGTATGATTGGGATCCATAGAATCTGGCTCCAATTTCGACATGAAAAAATCATGTAGGTGACTTGGGCTTTTAATTCTTTTAAGCTAACATAAATAAAGCATGAAAGGATGTGATGATTTAGGAAGAGTCTAGGTATGTATGCTATACAAAAAAAGATGTCCATGTAAAAGGGATCTGTGGCTTACTGTAACACGTAGATGGTACCATATATCAGGGCTAGTTTCTGATGCCAATTGGGCCCCAAACTTGTTAATGTCGCTGTGTAGGTACTCGGAAGAATCCTTAAAAAACGGAAAGGAAACGTTAGGCAAAGTAAGTTTTGGATATTAACGAAGACAAGTCGAATGAAAAAACAAATGAATAGTAATAAAAAAAACTCCACCGTACACACCTGGATACACTTTAGGAGAAACAGTAATAATTCCTGTACGGATGCTAGGGAGCACTTTTGACAGTAGTACTCAATAAGAATGAGGATCGATACTTTGTGTGGTGTCAGATACGGAACTACATGCACAGGTCCCAAAAATGCACGACCTTCTGTTATTTCTTTGCCACTTAGAGCTTCATCCTCAAGACTAGGGGTGGCCTGTTCTGAAAGCCCAACTCCTTGTGTCCGTGGAGGTCGCAAGGATATGTCAGTGGCCGTTCGGGCGAATGGACGTCGGTTATTCATGTTGAGTCATGGAACATGAAAGAGGAATTGTCGCAAGATGCTGAAACAAACAAAGAGCAGTAATTTCGCGTGACTTTGAATACAGATTGGTTGCATTAAAAGAGACATTTCATATGAAGTGCTGATAGAGAACAGCTAGATTAAATGATCTTTTTTTTCCCCCCTTAATCTTGCAAACAAATACAACGGGCATCCCTCTCGGAACCAAATGATCGCTAAGACCCATTGGTATCCAAGTTGTGCTTGAAACCTCTGCAGTGGACACCACACTGCCGTTGGAATGCGGTTATGTGGCTTGAAATTCGAGGCGAAGCATTTGTTTGATGTAAACTGATCATTGTTATTATTCTTTTCATTGACATTCCTCCCAGATCAGACATGGCGAAGAAAGATAAGAAAGGGACGGAGGGTGCGGTGCAGAATCGAGAGATCTTTCAGCGAATGAATTTCCTCTATCAAGCTGCGATGTGCATGGCCACTATCACCTGTCCTTCACTAACGAACTTTAGCACTAGCACTCAAATGAATTTGAGTGGAGGTGGGCAGAGCACAATTAAACAACCCGATACAAGCATCGCTACCACCACTCCTTCCACTACCACCATTTCTAACAGCGAGGACTCTACAATAGCCTCTGAAGTAGTCGCTCCTGTTGCTATAGACATAGAAATGAGAAACAGCACCAATTCCTCTATCGCAGCTGATATGGAAGATGTACAGCAAGCTGCTGCTGAGGAGATAACAAAAGTAACCGACAATATTACAACGCGTTCAGACAGCCGTAGGAAACTGAGCAGGCGGCAAAAACGAGAATTATTGCGGTTGCGCAAGACTAAGATTGCTATGGAACAAATCAGTCAAGATGAGACACATCAGAGCCTTATTAACAAGAAAGTTACTTTGAACTCTAAGAAGTGCGATTTGTATCCTCTCTCTGGAACCGCACGCTTCTATGCATCTACTCTGCGCGAAGTGGGCCGCAAGAACGTCATCCGAATGTATAAAACAAAAACAACCCCAATAACTTTCACCACGTTGCAAAATTTGCTATAACTCGACTCAATATATTGCTTATTAATGTACGTCTACTTGATTTATATTTGACTTCTTTAAAATCGATGCCAGAGGTCCAGTCATCAAAAGAAGTATCTGTCAGCGTTGCGAGGCTATATTGATTCCATCAATAAGCTGCGAAGTGCGAATTCAGTGTATGCCGAACATTCTTTTTATATTGCGTATTGGCGCTATTTTTGATTTTTGATTTTTGATTTTTTTTTTTTGTTTCTCTTCTTGTAACCGAATGAGATGATTGAAATGACTATTCCTTATTATTGTATTACCATCTAATATAGCAATGCCTCAGCTGCATACTCAAGTAATCTGCACAGCCTGTGGAGCTTTCAGACGGTATTATTGTATGCCAGGAAAAGGAGTCGAAGGCGACCGTTGGGAATTGGATAGAGCCTCTACTGAGGTAGCAATTAAAAAGGAGGAGACGATAGAAGCAGAAGAAGTAGAAGCAAAAACAATGATGGATAGTACGTAAATTGTCTATGTGGGTGATATGGTGATATGACAAAAAAAAAAGAAAACTCTTCTAATCTAACACATTGACTGTATCATATTGTGTAAAATAAAAAAGAAAAAGAAAAAACGAGAAAATCAGGTGTGCTTTGCACTTTAGAAAAAGTGTGATTGCGTGTGCGTGTTGTCTAGAATAGACGAACACGACAAAGATTCACCTGCATTTGAGCAACGGCGTTACACGCACTTGTCAAACAAAGCTTGCAATCTTCTTGGGGGAAAGTATATAAAATGTGTGTAATCAATTGCTTGAGGAAACATGCCCTTTTGCGCCCCGAACAAACAAGAATCGAGGATGGAATAAATCGCAGAAAAGCTTAATTTTGGCGGTAATTATAAAAACTTACACATCCACATTACGCACTGTACCATATGCCTATATGCTTTGTCAAGATCATTTGCATCGATTGCATGAAGACAAATAGGTTAAACAATATAAAAATGTTTTTTTTTTTTTTTTCTTTTTTTTTTTTTTTTTTTCTTCACTTAATAAATCCATTCTCTCTCACTCTCTCACATAGCTCGTCTTTTTTTTTTTTTTTTTTTTTTTTTTTGTCTTCTTTTTATAACCACCCACAAGTGCATGGTTCATTCCTTTTCTTTTACCTTTCCTCTCATTCCCTCTTCTTTTACACATTTGATTTCATTCATTACAAATTCATTGATCAAACTAAACGACAAAGAAAATTCTTTTACCCCTTTGTGCCCTTGTTTAATATTTTATAAACATGTCCCTGCTCAACTCCCCTACTGTGCCTTCAACGGACGGATCAATCCACACCAACACTGCGTCTTATAAACATCCTGTCGGGGATGACCTACTATCCCCCACAGAACCTCATCAACACGGCACAGCGAACAGCCATCATAGTCATCCCTTGACAGAAATACCATTAAAGCAAAAGCTAAGGGTTGCAGTCGTTGGCTCTGGTCTTGCAGGTTTGACTGTAGCCCATATTCTCTCATCACTTCACTCCGACAACGGTCAAGGTGGAGTCGGAATCGAGGTGGAATTATTTGAGAAGGCACACAAATTAGGTAAAATGTTATCATCAAGACTATTGTAGTACATGCTTGATTGCCTGATTTATTAGTGCTTTGTTCAAATGTGTACATACGTCATTTGCCAGAGGTAACAGGATCACTAAGGAGTGATTGCACGTTGAAGAGCCACTCCAAAATAGCACAGGCAATTACTAATACAAAAAAAGGAGGGGGGACAGATCTTTTCTTGAGGAAATTCAATGCTGACCAGAAATACCCACGTTTACTTGTATTAGGAATGGATGCTGCCTCCTTGTCAGTAACATGCCCTTGTCAAAAATGTGCATTGGCTGCAGGCCGAGATGATGGAGATCCAAACCATGAACATGTCGAAGGACGTATGGACGTGCCTATGCGTAGTTTCTTCCCAGGTAAAGCTATCAAAGACAGTCGGTGATGGAGCAGTATCTTGTTTAATCATGTTCTAGCTGTTCTCAATTGGTGGTACCATGAGAAATCAGATGGGAGGAGGGAGATTGAGATGCTTTCAACAGTAGTTAATGATGGACGTAGAATTAGGATGGTAGGATAAACCTCAATTATCCGAGGTAGGAGAAGTGAGCAATTACGCGTCTCCATTTGCAGTGATAGATGAGTCCTTCCGATCACATCTGTTACGCTGATATTTTTGGGATAGCTCTATTTTACTAGAAGGGTCGATCATAAGAAAGAGAAAAGCAGGGGTTGACAAGCGCAGACTTGAAGTGCGACTCCTTGCAGCGTCCACACATTGGAGATCTTTCTTTCCCTTTTTTTTTCTCCGGACAATTCTATCCCATTTTTCACCAAGGGCGAGACCAGGCACGTGAAATGAGGCGGAGCAAGCACCGCTATGCCTCATTTCGGGCCGTAGTGATTGCCGTAGTGACAACTACGGCAAATGCTGGCCTGTGATCTGAACTAAATCACCGATCACTTTTGCGAAACTTTTTTTTTTTTTTGAAATTTAAACTAAACGCTTGATCGCACAACAGTAACTAAAAAAAAGTTGGCAAAATCGAACATTGTCTGTGCAACCACACCATCCTGACTTCATTTTCTGTTTATCTCTATTGCTCTCTCATCCTTAAACTGCTATCATTATTATATTATTTAGAATACTACCCTAATTTGGTTCGCCTATACCGCTCGATCGATATCAAGTTCCATGACGCAGATAATACACTCGCCTGCTTCGATGTCACCTTCGATTCCAAGCCTGTCCCATTAGCATCGGATCCTGTCTCTCGTCTTAATCATGATGTCAATATCGGGGCACCGTATCTCTCTTCACGATCCTACAAAGTTAGTAAAGACCATACTATCACTCTTCCAGATCTCCCGCCACTCTCAGTCTTCAACCCATACCCCTTTGGTCGCCGCTTACTAGGTTATTACCGCATTGCTCGTGACTATGTCAGGATGTTGATGGTCTCCAAAGAATTCATGACAGAAGGTCGCATGATGGAGATTGGTAAGGACCGATCCGAATGGGGTAATGGTCGCCAGGCTAGTCTACGTGAATTCTTGGTCAATGGTAGATACAGCCATGACTTTGCAGCCTTCTTTGTCCCTCTCTTCGCCTGTGTCTGCACTTGCAGCTTTGAGCGCATGATGGAGTACCCTGCTTGCGTCGTACTAGAATATGTTGCAAGATGTATGCCCTTTGGTCGCATGCAGTTCGTTTCCTCAGGCGTCCGAGAAGTTACCGAGAACTTGTCCAAGAACATTAGCAAAATTCATTACAATACCATGATTGAAAAGATCATTGAAGCAGACGTCGTTGCCGATGGCGACAAGAAAGCACCCATTATTCTTGTTGACTCCAATGGTGTCCGTAGGGGATTTGACCATGTCATTTTCGCCACCCAAGCCAATCAAGCAGCCACAACCCTTGCGGGCCAAAAGGCCAGCAAACCTCTGCCTAGACCCTATGTGACTTCACGTGAGGAGGGTGAAGACGAATCCAACTTTGGCCGTATGGAGGAGCATGATCGGACCGACCCCGAGACACCCAGGGATATTTCACCCGAGTCTATCCTTAAGAATCACCCATTCTATAATCAAATCAAAATCCTTTCTAAATTCCCATATGAGCGTACACAGGTTGTCTGTCACACAGATACTTCGTTCCTGCCCAAGGATCCTTCTGCATGGCGCCTTTTGAATATTGCTAAAGCTACAGATGCAGACATCCTGGCCTCACCGTTTGACAGGGTCACTGCGGAACTGAAGCAACAAGAGCAAGAACAAGAAAAAGAACAACAGCAATCAATTGGTTTTTCGATCCGTCCGTTTTTCTTTCCAAAGTCAAATGAATTGAACCAGAGAATAAACAAAGCTATGGGTCATGACTCGGGCATCTCTAGTCCCGAGCCTCATAGTGGATCTTCTACACCGACTTCCACTGCTTCTCAAAGCCACAACTCAGCAATGGCGACCCATATCATGAACAACACTGCCCAATCTCTAGGCACAACGACCAAGTTCTTACAGACAACAAACCCAATTTTCCAGCCCAGGCCCGATACTGTCATTTCTTCCGCCTGGTTCGAACGTGCCGTTGTAAACCCCGAGTCTATGAAGGCAGTCGATGAGTTGTATCAACAGATGGAGAAACAAACCGACCGTCTCTTGGCAGCCAATTCCGCTTCATTATCTGCACCATTCTCACCACCTTCGTCTCCATCGTCACCGTCATCGTCATCGTCTATCTCGGACCGCGTATGGTTTGTTGGGAGCTATGCCTACCCCGGCATCCCACTCTTGGAAGGCTGTGTCGTCAGCGCTGTGCAGGTCATGGAACGTATTATTGAGGCAGAGCCCTCTCACCGTTTGGCGCCTTCGGTCACAGCACCCAAGGAGTCATTCTTAAAGAGAGATGCACCTATGCGTGAGCGTCGTCTTCGTCGCAAGAAAGAAGCGACGGTAAAGGAGAACAAGTCTATGGAGGATGATAAAGAAGATATTGACAACTCTATCAGTGCAACTTACTTTAGAACAGCATGGAAGGACACTCTGGAAGATGAGCGTATCTGGGAAGAACAAGAAAAGGCACGTCAAGTGCAGGAAGAAGAAGCAGCAGAAGAAGAAACAAGGATTCAATCCAAGAAAGGACATTTCTTGAGTGCTGTTGGATCATGGACTAACAATGTCTATGTTGAAGTTGCATTCATGTTGTTGCTCTATATTGCTGCCATTGTTCAGTGGTTGATGGTCTTTATGATTGAGAGTGCAGGATTTGATGGTAGTCGATGGGCCCTTGCTTAGAAACCATGATAATAGTTATAGTTATAATAATAATATATAGTATATAAAGTACACTTATAGAACATTAAATTAAAAGAAAAAGTGCGCTGTTTCCCTTTTATTCTATAATGCGAAGTATTAGGTCTACCAAAATAGAGTATAATATATATTTTAGATGGAAGCTTGATTCAAACAATTTTAATGTTGATCAATTCTGGTTCATCGCTAGGATTTTCATTATTAACGGCGCTAGAATTCTCATTTGGCTTGTCCACTCCAGCCGAATTCGATGATTTATCTGCCATGACCACATCTTCCTCGTCCTCTTTCGGTTCCTTTTCCTTCTCCTCTTCCTCCTTCGTCCTGTCTGCTGGTTCTTGAATGCCTTCTTCACTAGCCATTTCTACTTCCTTAATGCTGGTAGAAGTCTCAGATGCCACATTGTCGTCTTCAGCCTTTGCTGTCACAGGCTCATCAGGGCTATCTGGCTTATCCTTTACATCTACGACCATGTCTGCAACAACATCATCAAGGTCCAAATCCATTCCTGGTGCTGTCACATCGTTTTGCTCCTTCACCTTTGAATTTGTGGTATCCAAAGAGGTTGCCTGCGCTGAAGCCGAGAATGAGCCGCGTTTGTCCTTCTTGATTTGAGCCTCAAATTTCCTCCGTGTCACATCATTCATGACCTTGGGCATATATCGCAAGCGAGGTCTTGTCTCTGACAAAATATACCCATTCTCCCACCTAGCCTCTCCTCTCCGCTAGTAAAATAATAAATGAATAAAGAGATGATGTCAGTTATCATAGCTTTTGTCTTTTCTTTGATTATGATACATTCGCCGTTTTTTTTTTTTTTTTTTTTTTTTTTTTTTTACCTTGTTACCGCCTACTCCTCGTAAGCTCGCTCCTTGCCGCTGCTTCAACCTCTGCTCTCGCAGTTTTTCCCGTTCCTGTTGTTCTTTCTTACGAAGCTCCTCATTCAACTCCTGCTCTTTTCTAAGCTTTTCTCGGACACGTTCCTGGAGAGCCTCTCTTGAGGCTATTCCGGATGCATTGGGGCCATTGTTTTGGCTGCTTTGATCCGTCTGTTTCTTGAATTGTGTTAATGTACCCAGGATCATGCCCATCATACGTCGGCCACGATTCGTATCCTCTGCAGGGTTGAGTCCCAGTCGTGGACGTTTCGCTCGATTCGTTTCTCCAGAATTTCCTGCTTCTCCTGCTTCTCCTGCTTCTCCTCTTTCCCCTGTTTCTCCTGGCGATATCGTTGCTGTTGCTGTTGCTGTTGTTGGTGAAAAAGTGGATGAGGTGGGTGATTCTGATATCTTTGAATCAATTGTTCCTTCATTGAGCCCTACAGTCCCTGATAGTCCCTCAATATTACTCGATTCATTTTCATTAGTTGATTCTGCTGTAGTGGTTAATGTAGATGAGGATGATAGGTCATTTGAAAGAGGACCGAGCCGTGTAGAAATATTGCTGCTTGAGCGACGGCGGGCAGGTTCAGGTGCATCTGGAAAGGATCGTTTCCTGCCTGGTACGCGTACGTGCGTCTCTGGACGCACGATCGTTGACGACACGATTCTATAGTGCGATAGTTAAAAAAGAATAAAAGAAAAAAAAAAATAAATAAATAAATAAATAAAGGCCTGTGAGTATAAGTTTCCGTTCATGCAGACCAAAATATTGGAATATTTTTTTACCTGTTACTGGCCATCGATTTATGATTGCAGAAATTGTATAATAAAAAATAAAAATGTAAGGATAGGTTTGCGCGTAGTTGAGAATGAGGTTGAATGCTGATTCGAATGAATAAAAAAAAAAAAAATTAGTTGAGAAAAGCAAAAAAGATCAAGCTTCTACTAACTTTTGAAAGCCGCTTAAGGGTGACATCGTTCATTCAATGATTCATGATTCTCATCCTTAGAGATTAAGAACCTTTGTCACATATCTATTATACTAATAAAAGTAAATCCGAATTCTAATATTATTTCTATTTGGACATTTTCTCAAGCACTTTATCCAATGGGCTCCATTGACTCGAGATCAGCCTGGTATTATGGCCTCCTCCTATTCCTCCTGCTCCTAAAATCCCTGCACCCCCTCGATCCGTCAAGTTCCAGTCAAAGCGTACAGCAAACACGGCTGTCACAGGTCGATGATCCGAGAACAAGCCCACGTCATGATGTGCTGTATATTGCTTCACAATCACCGCTGCTCGGTCTTCATCCTCCTTAGACATCATAGCCGCCCCTGTTGCCGCTGCTGCTTCCACTATTGGTTCGTATTCCCGTTCCTGTCCCCGTCCTCGTCGTGCTCGGGACCCTGCCACATGATGAAGTTCAGTCTTTAGACTCTCTAGAAAACCAACTTTCCCATCTACTGTCGTTGCTGTTTTTGTTGTCGCTCCATGATCTTTACTCTTCTTCCGGACGACTGATTTCAAGATCGATCCAGGATCTGAGGTTAGGCTCGAACCTGAGACAGATTCGTAAGTGTGTTCATTTCCTTCGTCCTCTCTATCGGACACAATCTTGGAACGATTCCTTTTCAGCATATCCCAACCTCTCTTACCCCCAGCGCCAATTCCACCGCTCCGAGTATTATCTCCGATCTCCAATGGCAGATAATAGTTACCACCAGTTGATTTCCAAAGGATCCGGTCTGTCCATGATGGAACCCTTTGTTTACTGCTGGTATCATATTGTTGTCCCTTCTGCACCGGGACTGGAGTTGGTTCACTTTTAACAGGTATATCTCGATTGGCTGCATTTGGGGTTATAAACAACTCTTTATGGAGGACTGGATCGCCAATTTTAGGAGCTTGATCGTCAAGCATAGGATGGCCCAAAATGTCATCAGGCTGTGTTTTTTGCAGCTGTGATTGGTTTGGTAGCTGTTGGTATTGGTATTGGTGTTGAGAGAGTTTCGAGTCAAACAAAACAGGTTGATGCCGTTGGATCGGTTGAATGTCCCTCGAGACTGCTAACTCTCTCTTTTCCTTATCATTGCTACCATCACTGGCATGGGTGACGTCCGCTGGCTTGGATATTAAACTGGGGTCCAGTGATGGTGGAGCTCCCCAGGATGATAATCCAACATTCCCTATATTGCCGTGGAGCGGTAATGTAGGACACGATTTGTTGACATCCAATCCATAAAATGTTGCTGGTCCAATAGCAGAGATAGTTGGCGATGGATCGCAGTTTTGACGGACCGAAATCGACAAGTTCATCATAGATTTAGGCCGTCCCATCAATGTTCTGCTCCTGATCCTCCGCAAACGACTACCGTTATCGGACTTTTCGGAGGATGAAGATGATATTTGTGAAAGCGGATCAAATTTATAGGTTGGTTTGAATGTAATAGGTGCTTCCATGAACCCCTCAAACACCGCTCCAGCTTCCCTTTGAAGCGTCAACTGGTCATGCGCAAGTAATGTCTAAAATATTATCAAAATGATACGCCATTAACTATTTGGTTCAGTCAAAATAATAAAAAAAAATAAAAAAATAAAAAAAGAAGATTCGAGTTCATACTAATCTTACCTTTAAATCCCCCTTTTGAAGGCATTCATCTGCTTCTGCGCGAGTCATATCAACACGATAGTTCAAATCACCTGCCCAGAATGTATAATCAAACTGGTTTGTTATATCCACGTTGGCTGATGAATTTTGAGTAACATTACTATCACCACTTTCTCTCCCGTCCTTTCTTGGCATCCTTGGATCTTTATCTTTATCTTTATCGCCTTCATTTTTGTTGTTGGAGCTCTTTTTGGACTCACTGCCATCACTATGAGTACTTGATTGATTGGTTGACTTCTTTTCACCATTGCTACCGCCGCCAGCATTGTCATTTCTTTTGATATTACTATTACTGTTATTATTCTTGTTGTTGCTGTTGTTGCCGTAGTAAGCTGGTTTCTGTAGAGACGGTCCAGTGGCAACAGGTGGAGAATTGTAATGTCGTCGGAGGCGCATATCTCCCCCGAAATACCATCCTCCAGGCGAGCTTTTGGGGGCATCGTTTAGCTGCAGTTCTTGAATTATACGTTTGTAGTCATTGTTTCGTGCTTGAGTATTATTTTGATGTGCTAACGTTTTTTTTTTTTTTTTTTTTTGTTTCGTTGGTAATGTGATGAAATAACCACAAGTTAATATTAATCGTGAATCAAAAAATAACCTTCACCTTGATATCGAAAAAGCCATCTGTATACGTGTGCGAAAAAAGGAGACTTGAGTATTACCTGTGAGATGTGCGTTGACAAATAGGAAAGACATGCTCCCAAGGTAAACTGAAATAGCAACCGCCCCCTTATTCCCCACAATACCTCCAATTCCAGTCGCTACTGTTGAAGAATCAACCGCTATGTGGTGGTTAAAAAAAAAAAATAATAATAAATAAATATCGCGTATTAAAGACTAATATATATAAGTGACACTTTTTATAAACATGTCTAAGGAACTCACCTGTAACAAGATCTTCGATCGGCTTCCAGATAAATACCGCCAGATGTAATGCCGCCATTGTCTCGGTCTTGATCATCACATAGTCTGGTCCTAAGCTTTTTTGAAGATACTTTTCCCAAACTGACTTTGAAGGGAATAAAACAGCCTCTCGGATCTCGCGCTCACATTCCTGCGTGTTGATCGCAATAATATGGTAAGGAGCTTTCGCATTCATTTCCAAGAACGGATCTTTCAATATTGTCGGCACTTGAGGGAGGGGGTTCAGGGATGGTGTCCTTTGCTGTGAAAAGCCTTGCTTAAGGTAATGATGGTACTGCTGTTGTTGCTGTTGTTGGTGATACTGAAAATGACTTGGGAGATTGCTGACCGAAGGAGAAGGCTTGAGATTAACGCGAGGAGTACCATTATTACTACCGCTGCTGCTTTTATGATTGTTCTTATATTTGAAGCGGTTGAATAGACCACGCTGCTTGAATTCTTGCCTTGGAGCTTCCGTACTGTTGGTATCAGACATCATTGAAGATTGTGACAATAAGAGATTGGGTGTAGACATAGATGATGGAATTCCTCGTGCAAAATGCTGTGGTTTTTGTTGTTGTTTTTGTTGCTTCTGCTTCCTTTCGACTGTCTCCTGGAACTGTGTCGTACCTGTGGAGGAAGGATTACTATCCGGTTCTGACAACGTTGATAATGGCGATAGTAATGGGGATGAAGGAAAATTCCCTGGCTTATGTTGTTCATCAGGACAATTTTGTTGCTGTTGATTTTGTACTACTGGATCCTGCACTTCCAAGAACCCAGTCAAGCCTTCGCTGATATGTGGTATTTGACCCATCATATTCCATGTGCCCACAAATACTTTAAGACGCGTCCTAGAGATCATCGGCCTAGGTGGTGGGGGAGGAGAAGCAGGGTGAGATGGTTGTTTCCTTTGTTTCCTCCGCTTACTGGTTTCCTGTTGTGACGAAGTTTTAGTATCATAGCTATGATTGTCATCGATGACCGTCTCTTCTTCATTCTTATTCCTTTTACGGTTGTTGTTGTTATGGATCATCCATTCAAGAGCATGCACAATAGAACGTATGCTTATTTTTGGACGAGTGGGCTGTGAATCGGGTGTAGGTGTTGATGCGATCTGGTCAGCTGTTAGTGCAGGGTTGTCTCGCAATATTTGCTGTGGTTGTTGTGTATTCAATATACTGCCGATCACATCCTCATCTAACGCCACGGCAGTAGGAATAGGAAGAGTTGAAGCTACTGAAGTAGACGTAGGCACAGGCGCTGATGTCGGTATAAAATCTTCATTAGAGAACTTCATTAGGAGTGATGGGTCACTGTCTACAAACGTGCGCTGAGACTGTAATCCTTCCGATGATGGGTCCGCCAGCACGTCTTTAATTGACAACATTTTCTGTTGGGGGAAAAATGAGGTGTTTTTTAAGAAACCATATCAAAGTTTTTAGTATGGCAGTAAAAAAGCCGACATCATTTATGCTTGGTCATCGTCAATGCAGTCGGTAGTTGATTGTCATTAAGAAAAAAAAATACATACTTTGGTTGGGTGTGTATAGTGTTGTTCATGCGTGTCCTGTGAAAGCCCATGCTTTAGAGCTGTGGACTGCTGCAAGAGATGATCGATCGGACTCGGGTTTCTGATGGTCTGTGCCCGTTCTTTCTGTTCTGTTGATTGATTGGCTCCTATGTCGGTTGCTGGCAATTCCGCATCTTCGGTCGGCTCCTGCACGACAGCCACAGAAGCCCCTTCACCGTTAAACCATTTGACGAGCGGAGATACCCAGGCGTCCATTCAGTCCTTGTAGATAATAGCAATAAAAAAATGGCGGGAAGTACAGGAAGTAAAAGAAAAAAAAGGGTCGGGGAGGAAAAGGGAAACGAGAGAATTGAGAAATGAAGAGGAAAAGAGTAGAGTTGTTGAAGGGATATACATGCGACTCAGCAGTTGCATGTACAATTGCCATTGTCAGCTGTGAATCCAATGACACGGCTCACTTCCATTCGGCATGACCATGATCCGTCCACGTTGTCTTCCCTTTGTTGTACTGTATATTTTTCTACTCCCCCCCCTTTTTTTTTTTTTTTTTTTTTTTTTTTTTGAATATTATTTAATCGTTTTGTAAGACCCCTATTTTCTGCTCTTTCTGTATGTATGCTATTGACCCTTTTCTACCTTTCTCGACAATCATTACGCTTAAATCTGCCCAGACATCTCATTCGGATCTCCGTCATGACCATTTCTACTCTGTCTGTTAATCCAGCCACGCTTTTCAAGACTCCTGTACGAGCTATCTGGAATGTGGAAGGCGAAAATGTACCCACGCTCTGGTGGCCTGCAAAAAACCCTCTCCCCTCCTCAGAGAACAATGTAGGAGAGCCACACCACACTGTCTTATTTATGATCCCTGGTATGTAGTATCGCGACCATCATGACCATCGCTTACCCCTTGTTTGCTCCTTAAAGACTGCGTCTTTGTTTATATTGTTTGATCATTTTGCTGTGTCCCAGACGCTTGATGCTATCATTCCCAAAACTATAATCAGACCGGCATGCTGCCGATCTCTTGAACCAAGAATTAATCCTTGATTCTTTTATCATATATCGATTTTGTATGATTTAGGAAACCCTGGTGTAATTGACTATTATACTCCATTCCTCCAGACAGTGCATGATACTTGTGAGGGAAAGATCGACATTTTTGGAGGTAAAAGAAATTGTTTGATTTGTATTTAAATATTTTGTCATGACACATCTAAGAAATATTTAATTTCGTCCGCAAATTCCTCTCCCTTTTCTGCTTGCGACAGACCTTTACTCATCCGCCTACTTCCTCTCACTTTCTTTGAACTTACAGCCTCTCATTTGGGTCATTCATGGGGCTCACATATTACGGACACTTCCAAACTGTATTCTTTGGAGGAACAAGTTGAAAATAAGATTGCAATTGTGGATCAACTCCGGAAAATATACCCTGCAGGAACCCGATTCATCTTGGCGGGACATTCCATGGGTGCCTGGTTAGCGTTGCGAGTGCTCAAGGCTCGCCCCAATCATGGGATCGAACGGGTTTTTGCGCTGTTTCCTACTATTCATAGGATTGCAGACACTCCCAATGGCCGTAAACTATCGAAGGTAAAAACCAACTCAAATTAAATTATTACCTTTGAAACTTATTGTCCTCTCTCTTCGTGCTTTTAGGGAAGGAAGCCATGCTAAAGGTTGTTGTTTCTCATTACTCTTTACTTATTTATTATTTGTAGACTGTACTCAGCCCTTCGCTCAGGACATTTGCAGGAGGTTTAATCAGTACATTACGTTTTATCTGTTCAGCACCCCCTGTTTTTCAATCGCTTGTGGGCCTTATAGCGGGCCAGGAAGCCGATATGGCCAAGGTGACCTCCCAGAAATTGTTGCACAGTTATACAGTCAAGAATTGTCTGTATTTAGGGAATCAAGAAATGGATGCGATCAAGATTATGGATGAAGAGCTGATCGAAGAACATGCTTCTAAATTCGTGTTTTATTATGGCAAAACGGATGGTTGGAGTCCTATTGAGAACTATCATGAGATGCAGGAACGGTTTCCGAACGTTAAGAGTTTTCTCTGCAAGCAGAGGATGGTTCATGCGTTTGTTTTAGGCCATGGTGAAGCCATGGGTCTGTTGGTTGGGGGATGGATTAATGAAAAGAGTATTTAAAAAAAGAAAAAAAAAATCCTCGCGAAAGCTAAATAGAACAATGGGAAACTATTGAAGAACACCTTACTGATTGCAACCTATGAAGGAATTTATAGGATAGATTCGTGTGGAAAATGACGGTAACGGATGATTTACTTCACCCTACTCCTGAGTCTATGAATCTATAGCCTAAAAAAGGACAAAAACCATGCCATTATTCCTCTTTGTACTCCCATCTGGAACAAAAAAAAAGTCTTCGACTGATCATTTATTACCACATCTGTCTACTCAGAAGCGTAAATGATCTTAATACCTTACACAGGGAACTTCGGGGTAATATTAAGAATGAACTAAAGGAGATATACATGGCGTGTTCATCATGTTCATCATTCAAAAAAGGACTACCGCAGTAAGAGGATCCCAAAGATGATCTATCCTTAGTGCTCACGAATCGTTCTCAAAAGGAAAAAAAAAAAAAAAAAAAAAAAAAAAAAAGGTCAGCCGCACCATTTTTTCCCAGAATAGCATTCACTATTCGTGTGGCGTTCTATGAGGGAAAAAAAAAAAAAAAAAAAAAATTGTTTCGGACAAGATCTTGTATTGTTGACATTCAACACTTTCTCTCCTCTCTCTGTCCCTCTTTGATCCTCCCTTGTTCTCCTGTTCACAAGGTCCAAAAGAGACACTTGAAGCTGAGGCAATACTTTATTGAGGTCACTGTCTGATGTTTATTTATTTATTTTCCCCTTGTTGTCCAAAATGGCGTGCCTGTAATTTCACAACGGAGGGCGCTTTAAAAACACTCTGTAGTCACTCCAAAGAATGCAGTAAACGAATTATTTCTTAATGTATACGCTCTCCTTTCTTGCTTGGCGTTTGTGCGCGTTAAGGAAAGGAGTTACAAGCTTAGCTGATGCACAAAGAGCAAGAAGATTGCTCCAGGGATCAAGCAAAAGGGAGGATCAAGCAAAAGGGAGGAAAAAAAAAAAAGAGTTAGGAAGTCAATTGCAAATTGAGATGTGTGGGATGAATGAGCCAATCGTATCTGTTCGACAGAAAAGTTTGTGCACTCTATCCGTCTCACACACCTTCTTTTTTCTTTTTTCTTTTTCTTTTTTCGACTTCCATTGATTCTCTTTTTCTTCTTTTTCTTCTTTTTCTTTTTCTTTTTCTACACCTCTCTTTGTCTGTTAGTTAGATTCTCTTTCTCTCTTTCTTTTTCTTATTCACTTAAAACAATAACAACAGTAGCAACGACATAAACACCAACACCACCAACAACAGCGTCTGACTTCTTGGGTCCCTTCTCTACAATTCACTTACGCCACACCTCTTGCCCACACCCACATCCACAGCTTGTCCCTATACCGGCCCTACATTCTCCACTCCCTCCCCCTTCCTTTCTTTTGTGAGGGCTTTCCTTTTTTTTTTTTTTTTTTTTTTTTTTTTTTCATTGTTTATTCTGCGCAACATCAGCATACCATTTCAATCACTCTCATTCACAATGTTCAATTCTCCCATCCTTCTCGACTTCAATAATGCAAAGAGATCCAAAATCACAAAAGCATGTGATAATTGTCGACGACGTAGAGTCAAATGCGATGGTGTACCTGGAGGCTGCGGAGGATGCAAAGCTGCAAAGACCCAATGTGTTTATACGACCAGCAACACAAAGCGTGGCCCACCCAAGGGTTATGTTGAAGTGATTGAAGACAGGCTGGGCAAAATTGAAAACATGCTCACCAGCATTGTCAAAAAGAAGGCCCTTGTACCTAGTAGCTCATCCAACAAGGGCACACCAACCCAGTCAGACGTTGAAGATAATAACGACGACGACGACAACAATAATGATAATGACCATGCTAGCATTTACTCTTCTGACCTGGTCGAAGTGAAAAAACAGCCTCCAGCTTCACCACCGCTGCGTCCAGCACGCTCTATCACTCCAGCCAGCTCTAGCACACGCGCAGGTTCCGTAGCAATCTCTGCATCTTCTATCCTTCGCCATTCTCCTCTGGTCTCACGCAACCGGTCACTATCATCCTTGCTACCTTTCCCTAATGACAATAACAGCATGCTAGAGTATCCAGATTCTGTATCTCAGGTTGACATGGCTACACTGACTAAATCATTTGACAAGTTGGGATCAACCTCCATTCGTACATCCGTGCCTTTTCCATGGCTCTCACCGGAGCAATCCCATCAATATGGACGTAACTTTCTTCATTTCACACCACAGAGTCTGGAACCACCCCTACCTGTTTTGTTTTCACGTCCATCAACCCCATCCATTTCATCCGATCAACAACTCCGACTCCTGAACGCGTACTTTGACCACTTCAACGTCTTTTTACCTATTATTCACCGCCACCAGTTTATGAAGCAATGGCAGCGACAGTTTTGTCCGCTCTGCTCCCCCTCCATACACTCACGCTCACAGTCTCCTACAAGGACAAAACAACTGAAACAACAGCAACAACAGCCATCTCCGCAAGAAGTTGAGGCCCATAAAGAACACTTGTTGAACCCTGTGATACCTCTTTCTCCACTTCTTCTGAATGCACTCCTCGCAGTTGCATCAAAAGTCCCTATTGTCAATCACTCAGAAGGCTCACCAACGGCCTCCATGCACAGCCAAGAATTTTTTGATGCAGCCCGATTGCTTCTCGACGATTTCTTGGATGTTCCGCGTGTGAGTACAGTGCAGGCATTGACCTTAATGTCTCAGTTTCATCACCAGAATCAATGGAAGATTACGCGGAGCAATAGCTATCTCGCGACGGCTATCCGAATGGCGCATGAACTAGGCCTTAATCGAGACCCAGAAATGCTTTGTGGAGCAGAAGCTGATGCCCTCCGATGCCTGTGGTGGTCCTTGTTCATCCTGGTACTTTTATATTTTTATATAATATTGTTACTACGTGTACTCTCTTTACAGTTAACTTTTCTTCCTTACATGAATTTTTTTTTTCTTTTTTCTTTTTTTTTTTTTTTTTTTTGGCCATTTTAGGATCATCAATTCTCGGCTTGGCTTGGTCTTAGCCTGCTTATACAGGGTAAAGAAAGTAATGTTGAACTTCCCATGGACTTTAGTTCCTCTCCTGTGGAACTTCGTGGATTTGTGTGCATGGTGCGGTTAGTGAAGGTAACAGCATTTTCGATGCGATCAAGATCATTTGTGCTAATTTGGAAAAAAGACCGGATGAGACTGATATGATAAAGTTATCATAATATTAATTAGATTTTGAGCAGCGTGCTACAGCACTCATATTCGACTCAATCATTGCCTCCACAGTTTGGTGGCCATGATTCCATGGTATCTTACATCGAAGGGTCGCTAACATCCTGGTTGAGCAATTTGGCACCCGATTTACGGTGGCATTATCCGAATGGTGTTGGTGCTAGAAAAAGCCCACTCAATCCCCAACAGCAGCAGGCCATCGTCGTTGGTGTTAAACATGCAACGGCGCTTGCCAAAGACTATAGCGAGATATACCCGGCTTATTTGTATATTATGTACAATATGACCTTGATCTTATTGCATCGACCCTACATTGTAGGTGCGGCGGGCTCCCCTGCCGCAGCTCAATCCAACACCATCTGTACTGGCTCCGGGCGTGCAATTACGGACATTGCTCAAGGCTTGGATATCATGCATTGCTCATATGTAGTGAACCGCTACGCACTTTATGCACTGTTGCAGGCTGGTGTCATTCATGCTATGAATGCAGTCTATGATAGACGTGGATCCAATGTTGCCATGGACTACTACAAGCGGACACTACATATCCTGGGCAACTTTCTAACGTGCACAGAGTATGCGGGTGGTGTTGCAGAGGGTATCAAGGTACTTCATAAGACATGTCGTACGCCGAATTCTGTCGTGTTAAAGTGTATTGTTTTTGGCATATTTTGATAAAATACTGATGAATCTTTGATCCGATTAGATACTGGAGCAATTTCTGGCCACCACATCCAAGAATGCAGCAGAAGATGAATTAAAAGAAGGAGGCACCGGAGATTTAGAATCATCAATGATAGAGCAGGATGAAAGTCAGTCTAGTCGTAAGAGGAAACAAATGGATGCCTCTGCTCTCCATGAATCTGTTCAGAACATGGTGAAACCTATCCCATATCAGCCCCAGCTCCAGTCACAGCCTCAGCAACAGCCTCATCTACAGCCTCAGCAACAGCCTACAGTGTGCTCCATGTCCACTGCAACGTCAAATGGGTTTGTTCAGTCGCCTCTTTTGACAACGACTACACTTTCAATGATGGCATCCCCCAAACCGATTGCTGTCATTGGTTCGCAACCCCCCTACATGTACAGCCTTAACCAATCAACGCCAGCGATGGATCTTAAGGAACAGCAGAAACTGCAGCAACTCAAGATTCAACAGCAGCACCGCATGTACCAACAGATGCAGACATTTGGTGGCGGCCCCATCAAGACGGAATTGAATAAAGAGATTGATTCGAAGAAGCTGGAGCAGCAACAACAACAGCAGCAGCAACTATTGAGGCAACAGCTCCAGCGCCAACAGCAAAGACAGCAGCTCGAGTTGGAGATGAAAGATCAGGAAAATAAGAACGGATCCATTAATCCAGCATCATTGCAATCACCCTCGCCTTCTGTAGCGACGCCTGTCATCCCCAGTCACCGATTCGCTCTGCAGATGTTGCAGCAACAGCAGCATCAACATCAGCACCAAGCTCTTCAACAAGCACCCCTTATTCCAATGACTATGTCATTGACAACCATGGCGATGGGAGCAGAAGGGAAGACGATGGACCAAAGTTTTCAATTGAGCAATGCTATCAATTGCTCCACCCCTACGACTAGCAACAGTATCAACAGCAATGGGATGATAACTCCATCCTCCACCACTTCACTTGGGGTTGGATATGGCACACAATTCTGGATGGACTTTTCGACTGCGGATCCGTCAGCATCGTTGAGCGCTGGTATTGTGAACCCCGGTGGTCTGAACCAAGGTTCTCTCCGCGTAGCCAACACAACCGAAGGGCAGAACCAGCATGAGGGATCAACATCCCAAAGCTGGATGTAAAAGAAAACAAGATCAGATAAGAAATGGGCCATGACTCGACTTCTTCATCATTTTCATTATTATTTTTACATTTCACATTTCGATTGTATGCTACACTTTTTCCCACTACCTCTCTCTTCCCTTAACACTGTCATTTATCATCATCATGTTATATTATGAAAGTAATTTTTGAATTTAAAATAAAAAATCAGTCTTTAAAAGAAGCTGGATTCAACATGGTATATTTCTGTCATCTAATGTTTATGTCACCCATCACATGCTAAATGACAGTTTTTTAGTAGCATCTTTTAGTAGCTCTTTCTTATTTATCTAAAAAACTACTAACTTGCTGGCAACTGAGGATGGAAAAAGTTGTGAGCAAAAAGGAACAACATTCCTCTTGTTATGCTTTATGGCCCTTCTTTACAAGCTCGAATTCAAAACATTTCTTTTTAACAATTGTATGCTCTTTCACCGAATGTCATTGATATTGGCAGAAGAGATGGAAGCTTACATGTATCATCCGTAGCACTTTGGACATGCAGGTCCGGGTATTGCGTTAGGCTTTCCAGTAGAGTTGTTGCCCTTCCATTTAGATGAATAAGCAAAAAAAAAAAAAAAAAAAAAAAAGGGGCCCTTTACTGCCGTATAGGCTAATTAGTTTTCCTTAGCAAATCTGATGGATGGATGGAGAAATGAGAGCGTATTTGTTATGAGCGAACGTGCGAGCTTTTTTTTAATTTTTTTTTTTATTTAATATCATCAATGAATGAGAATGTGAAATGTGGAAGGAACAAAACATGGTTTGATATTTAGCGCCGTTAATTGGCAATTTAACAAAACAATTATCGGACGAGCCCTCCTCTCATAATTTTTTTTTTTTTCTACTTGCAACCAATACCTTGGAACTTGGAACTTGGACCTGGGTCTAAGTTTTACATTAAGACATGGTCAAGTATATGTATATATTGTCCAATGTTTGATATGATACAAAGGAGCTTTTTTTTTTCTTCTTTTTTATAAAAACCTGGTCATCTGTAAAAATGATTATTGATGTGCAATGATATAAAAAATGCTCTCGTATCCAATGCGGCTGCTGACAAGCCCTTTAGCCTCCTGTTTAATATATCTTTCTACACATGACACCTAAACTATCAAACTAACGGGTTATAAGCAATTATCTGTTTGTCCAACAGATACTCCCAAGTGATCACCTAAACTCTCAATAGTAGAGTCTTTTCTTCTACTGAGGATGTCTTGATAACCACATTCTGGAGGAAGGGTACATTCCATTGTCGCATTTGCCCAAAAGGAAGAGAAAGAGAGAATGAAAAGACCAAACCCAAACCCAAACCCAAAATCCAAGTTAATAACCAATACTAAAACAGTGTTGTTGGGCCTTTGGTTTTTTTTTTTTTTTTTTTTTTTTTTTTTTGCGGGAAAAGAAAAAAGAAAAACGTGAGAGCGTGTATATATTTGATTTTATGAGTTTTGTAAACTACTTCCATTAATTCACATTGAACACAGCCTTGCTGAGTAAACTATAACTACTGCATGCAATGTCCTCTCTCTTTCCTTCTCTCCTTTACTCTTCCTCTTCCCTATTCTATTCCACTTTACTCTCTTCCTTTCTCTTTTTCTCCTCTCTTTCCTTTTCTCTCTTTCTCTCCTTTTACCCTTTCGTTGTCAATCTACTTCACATTCCTCTCCTCATTCCTTAGTCTGCCGACAACTCCATCTCTCATTTCATATAAGCACCCTTTTACGAAAATAAAGAAGCACCTTCAGCAGGACAGGAATTATCTGGATATCTACCAAGAAAAAGAATAAATAAAAGAACACATACTCATACAAAGTAAATAAAAAAACTCATACTCATACAAAGTAAATAAAAAAAAAGAAAAAGAAAAAGAACAACCATGTCGTACGCTATGCGCCGCAAGAACCTTGGTAAGGAAGCCTACATTTTCTTTATTCCCTTTTGAATGAAACATGGCAACGCGTGGTTCCTGGCTGAAGATTCTCTCACGTACGCGTCGTAATAACACAGACAAAAATCACTGACCAAGACAAACCCTTTTTTATTCACTTCATATAATCTTTACATGATGCTGGAAACTTTATGATGCCGATTGCCTTCTATCGTGCTCTGCTGCATCATCAATATCCTTTCTCGGTCTCTTCTCTTTCTTCCTCTCTCTATTTTTTTTTTTTTTTTTTTTTACTATTCTTCGCATGGATGGCTATGACTGTTTCAATCTTTCGGGAAATTCAACTTCTGCTCGACATGGGATACAAATTAACAAACAACTATTTATTGGGACAACTTTCGGGACAACATCCTTATTTTTCTTGAAACATTCTTTGTTGGTCGCGGGTGGTTGATTCTCTTTATTAATTTCGATTCACCTCTGACTTTTACCGCGGCTCCCTTCTTTTTTGGTGGTTCGTGGACGGGAAAAAAAAAACAACAACAACGACCTATTCATAATGGTCATGTATCTCTGTTTCATGGGTCCCTTCTTGGGTTTAATTGCTCACGACTTTCACTCATGATTGGCCTCTTTTTTTTTTTTTTTTTTTTTTTTTTTTTTCACTTGGGCTTCTCTTATTAACTTATTCTTTTACTATATTGCGAAAATGCTCTGAATCAACTCTTATTTTTCTGGTCTGCCCGCCCATCGCTCTCGACTTTTTTTTTTTTTTTTCCTTTTTTTCTAAACGAAAAAACAACATAACACTATGATGGTGGTTTTTTAAATGATGCCGCCTCTCTTTGTTGATGATTCGATCTTTCTTTTTTTTTTTTGTGCATGTTTGTTTTGCGTGGTTGAACCCCATGATGATTAATATCAACAAATTATTACCTTCATCACATTTGCACGGAAAATAAAATCAGTCTCGGAACTGAACCTGATGGTCGCGGGATACAGTGGTCTGGGAAAGACGAGCTTCATCCGAACACTGTGTGGAACATTCAAGCTTCGAGCATCCGCCACTGGTGGGCTCAAGAACAAGGCTTCTTCTCCAAACCTTCCAGACGATATAGCAGCTGACAAGAAACCCACCTCTCCCACCTCTCCCACCTCTCCCATTGCCATCAAACCTCATACGACCAAGGAGTCTGTAGCCTATGCTACCGGGCAGTTGGAGCGCACACTCAACTCATTCGAGGCACTTTTTGAGATTGATGAAGGGAACGAAAAAATCAACCTGACTTTGGTCGACACACCTGGATTTGTTGGCTCTGATGAGGTTATTGATTCCCATTGCGACGAAATCTTGCGTTATCTTGAATATCAGTTTGACTTGACACTTGCTGAGGTAAAGAACAAACCTGCTGACTGTTAATTTTTATAATAACCTTCTTGAGTTCTTGTGTATTGAAATTGTTAATTTGTGTCACCATCAATCCTTAATTGCTGTGAAATACAATCTCATCACTTTTTTTTTATTCATTGGTGTTGATAGGAAAGAAAAGTCCGCAGAAACCCCAAGGCTATCGACAATCAGATCCATGCCTGCCTCTACTTTATCGACCACTCTTCACCACGCCTAGGTCTGTCGGATGCAGATGTTCGGATTCTAAAGCGTCTAGGCACACGTGTCAACCTGATTCCCGTCATTGCTCGGGCTGATACCCTCACACGCGCATACTGCAAGCGTCTGAAGCAGGCTATCCTTAAGGATGCAGCTCACCACCAGATTCAGTTTTTCCAATTCTTGAGCCCCAAATTAGCCAAGAGATTGCAACAACAGTACGGAGAACAGAACGATGGCAAGAAGAAGCGGGCCAGTCGACAGGGACCTGGTGATGATGAGGAGGCAGCAGAACACGGCCTGGCTAATGACGAGGAAGACGAGGAAGAAGAAGATGATTATGATGAAGATGACTGGGACTCAGAATTCTTGGAAGAAAAGGCACATTTACAATCACTTGTACCCTTCACAGTGATTGCACAGGAGGAGGATGGCGTGGATATCCGTGACGAGAATGGCAATCACATCCAAGGACGTGAGTTTCCTTGGGGTATTTTGAACTGTCTTGATAGCAATCACTGCGACTTGGCAAGCCTTCGTTCAGCTCTATTGTCCTCTCATCGCCAGGAGCTTAAAGAAATTACCTATGGCTACTTTTACGAGAAGTATCGTACAGAAAAGCTACTAGCACGGACCAAGAGCCAGCAATTCGCAATGCAACAACAGCAACAACATCAACAGCCACATTATCAACAACAACCACATCAACCATACCCCCCACAGCAACAGCACTTGAGGAATGGTAGTGCAGGGATACCACCAGCACGCATCCAGACCAAAGGCCCGATAATGAATGGTGGTTCATCAAATGCCACCGGTACTTGGGAAGAATAAAAAGTAACAACAAGATCAACTCCATCAGTAACGAAATCATTTATACACCAACATGCAATGAAAATATACAATGAATCAGTTTCAAGACTTTATATCCTTTTATTATGATTATTTTTCTACCGCACCTTTGTTATTAAACTCTTCCAAATAATCAAATCATAGTCCACGCACATTTCTTAATAGAAAGTAAAAAAAAAAAAAAAAAAAAAAAAATGAAAAATGAAGCAAAACAATAACCACACCCATTGCAAAATACTTGTATTTTTAAGTAGACCCAAAGCTCATTTGCTTAAAAAGCTCTTTGTGAATAAGCTTAGGACGAAAAGAAGTGTATAGGATTTGAGGTTTCTAAGCATTCTACCATAGCCATCACACAAATAGCCCTGACCACATCTATTGTTAAGAATGAGTAATAGATTGATGGGCATCTCTTTTTTTTTTTTTTTTTTTTTTTTTTTTTTTAACCACAGGACCGGACCACAACAGAATCTCATCAAGCTTTAGATTTACCAGGCATTTTTAACAACTACGAAGGATCTTCAAAACAGCGCCCCATTTTATCGGCGGTAGGAAAACTTAAGGCTTTATGGCATCAGCAAACAGGTATTTCATCAACTCCGCAGACAGCATGCAGTAAGCAAGTACCCTCTAAAGAGCTACCACAGCATTCAAACAAATAAGCAAAAAAAAAAGGTATCTTTTAAGCTTTTTTGGGCTGTCAAAGTACAGACAGAATTTGGCTCTTATAGTTGGAATGTAATCGATATGCACTCAGCCTTACGCAAAGCAAACCAAAGAAATGAAGACCGGCCAAGCCCATTGAAGTCCGAGCAATATTGCAAATCCTGGTCTTTATATATATATATATTTTTTACGCTAAATAATGTGAATAAAACAGCGCGCTCAAAAAGTCTCTAACTAATATATACCCGATAGCACTGTAGCCGTCTGTATCATATACAAAGATGGTAACGATTAAAAACACAAGCTAGCCTAAGGCTAGGTTCTAGAAGCGTAACATAATGATTGAATTATTACAGAGGACAGATACATGTAACAAAAACAAGCTATCTATTGAATACCCTTGATACTGATAGATATATCTTTTGGTATATTGATCTTCACATAGTTTGATGTTTGATAGGGACAGGAGGAAGTAACACTATATCGGTTTCTTCATCTATTGATATGGGAATGATGCCTAGGGCTTTTTCCTTAGCAGATGATTGTTTCATCTTGAACAACCTAAGCCTTACAAAGAGTCAATAAAGGAAAGAAGGGGAGAATTGTGTGTCTTAGAGCTACGGCTATATCAGTATCTGTGTTGGCTTTGACGAACACTGCATAGGTTGGCTCATAGTGATGTACAATAGATTATAATGAAGCAAGTGGGATAGTGATGAACATCACTGTATCAAATGTCAGCATCCTAGGAATTTTCGCTTGCAGGTTTCAGTACAGACTGGCAAAAGAACGTCAACAACCTGTCATCACTAATTGCATCACAGGAGCCAACTCGTTTAGTGGCGTGAGGGGGAAAAACACTGGCAGCCCTTCAATCATGTCTTGATTTTCTTGGTACGACAAGTGGAGATGAAACCAAAAAAAAAAAAAAAATTAAAGTTTATTAATCAGATAATTCAACATGGCAATGCTTGACATGTTGCAGAATATTAATTACAATGTACATGTACACGGAAGTTTATTTTGTCTGCGCTTTTTTACTATCAAGTGTATATATACTTCCAAGTCTATACATGCTGTTTTGTTTGATATAAATGCATGTACATTGCACTTCTCTTATTAAGAGCATCGTTCATGCAAAAGGAAACTTCTTTAGAAACGGCAATGCATATTACAAAGGCGTGGAACCAACCTATCTACTGCCGTAGCTATATGCTAGGGCTAGGTGAAGGTAATATCAGCTTCATACCAAGGACCTGCGTATGGGTCAAAGTGGTAGAGTAAGGAGAGGAAAAAAAAAAAAAAAAAAAAAAAGAGAGAGAGAGCTTTATCTCATCATATTTATGGATACATTGACATCTTTAATGGCTGTATAACAAAACAGATCAAGGCATGGATAAACACGCCACTACCATTTAACATATAGACATGTATAATCTTCCCCCCCTCCCCTTCTCCCCTGGAACGTTTGAAGAAGAGCAGAGATCATTCATTGGACAGCCTTGAATATGGTGTCAACACTTGTAATGGTTTGACTCGTTTGAAACGATCATAGCATGGTTTTATGATATGAATATACGTATCTGATCCAATAGTTTTTTTTCTTTTTTCTTTTTTTATAGATGGTCGATCAATCAATGAGGTTAATTCCAAGTCCCGATCTGACGGTGGCACAGATCATGAACAAAAATGATTTTTTTCTTTTCTTTTTTTTTATATTAATATTATAATTGCGGAGAATCTTTTTATAAGGAAATGGAGGGAAACGTGCCATGAACGAAAGGTGAAGAGCCCAAGTACATGTACATATTACATATTTGGTAAAGGTTTAAGAAAAGAGTCAGATATGAACATTTATGGCTGATTTGAATGAAATATATCTTTCTTTTTTACTTTTTTATTTTATTTCTTGCTTTATTCCTGCGGCAACTTGCACCTCCTTATGAACTTTGTCTTTTATTTTAAAAAAAAGCTTTATGTTAGATTTGTAAAGTACATAAAATTAAGTAGATATGAATAAATGTATTCATTTTCATGTATTAAAACTGAGGAAGAAACACTAGGCTGGTTTAAATTGCGTAGACCACACTTTTTAAAAATGTGTGGACACTTGGATCTTTTCGGTGACAAAAAATGAAAAATACATGAGTCTGAGTATATGAATTAACCTTATGCTGCAGGTAAAAAAAAAAAAAAAAAAAAAAATTTCCCGCCACATCTGAATGCAAGAGGATATCATTTGTCGGTGCAAAAAAAAAAAAAAAAAAAAAAAAAAAAAAGATAATTCCTAGCTGAATGGACGCATCATTGATAGCCCCAAGGTCCTATGTCATATTATGGCAGCGAGTGAGGAGAGGACGGAGGAAGGAGGGGAAAAAAGTTCTTTCTTTTTCAATAAGAAAACAGAAAAAAAGAGCAGAGAGGGGGGGCGAAGATGGAAGTGAGGAGACCTTAGGATACTAGACATTTTGGGAAATCTGAGCACATGGTACATCCAATGTACAAAACAAGCCCAAATGAATGAAGGATACAAGAAATAAGATACAAATTAGAATACAAGTAAATTACTTGAGAGAGTGAGGGGTAATAAAAACCGTTTGAAATCGCACCCTTGTTTTTTGATTTTTTTTTCTTTTCTATTCTTTTCTCTCTTTTTCTTCTTTCTCTTTCTTTCCTTTCTGTTCTCTTCCTTACATATTCCTTGAGATCAGACAGGTCATTGTCATCTCCACTTCACTCCCCATCTCATCCATCCTGCTGGAGTATTCTCTGTACATTCCCTCGCTTCCTCATCCCCCCTTCCCTCCCTACCTCTCCTTGACCACTCTCGCATACTGTTCCTACTGTTATGACATCGTAGACAGTCGCTAACCCTTTACGTTTTAATGCCCTAGAACTTCCTTGTGTTATATCGCTTTTTTATTGATAATACAGTCCATCGCACCTTTATTCCTTAAATCTTGAAACCGATTAACGTTCAAATCGCGTCTTCTACAATCATTACCATTCTTTTATTTGACCTCACTTGTTCTATATCACTGTCTTCATCATCATTCCGCCTCACTTATCCCAATTTGCCTTGCATCTCACCTTTCGTCCCAAGAAAAAGAAAAAAAGGAAAACAAAAGAGAAGAGAAACTATAAAAAAATGTTGGTGTCCCTCCGTTTCTTCGTCATGACCATGTTTGTGGGCATTGCTCACTTATCCACACCTGCAGCTGCCAGTAAGATCTCCTCTATTCTTTGTCATTTGAGATTTTCGACGCGAATTAAATTAGACCAGCCAATAGCGTACGCGTAAACGCGTCTGTCATCATTTTTTTATTTTCCCCTCTTCTGACCTTGTGATTTGTTGCAATATCTTTCACTCTTTCTTATTCTTAGGTTGCTGTTATTCTTTCACTCATCAGAATCTACAGGGATCTGTCCAAAAAAACCGCAACGACAAGGTTGTGGCTGCAGGGCCAGATAGCAGCAACAATGTCCTACCAATCTTCTCACTTTCTCTTAACATCAGCTCACCAATCGCAAACAATACACCCTCCGATCGATCATATCACGCCACCATCGCTTTCCCTAACAACTACGCGGTCTCTGCAACCCCTGTAGGATGCTCTCAAGTAAACTCTCATGCTGTCAACTGCACGTCCATTGGGATTAGCCAACTAGCCTTAAACTTTCCCAGCATTACTCTCTCAAGCGGCAAAGCAAACACCAATTTCGTGCCAAAGTTAGAAGGTGTCGTTTTTAATGGTGAAAAATGTGGGATGCAAAATTCCTGCCCCGCTGCCTTGGCAGTACTGCCTTCAACATCTGGAACTGTTAGTGTGCAGCCAACTCAAACTGGTACAGCCGATGGCAACAGCTCGGCAACTGGGCCTAATATGATCTTGATCATGGGTTTGGCTGCGGCAACAGTTATCAGTACGTTGGTTGCAGGTATCTGTATATTCCTTTACCTCAGGAGGATCCGGCAAGAAGGGAAGCCTGGTTACTCGATGCTTCTTGCTTCTCAGCGCAGAGGTGACCCTGAAACTGGTGCTAGAAGCATCAATGGCAGCCTTAGAAGTGGACACTCTTATGGGGCCGGGACTCTGTATTCTATTTCGCCACCAATTATAGCCCCGCCTGCCCCTGCATCCTCGGTCCCGACAAAACCTTTGGCCCCACCAAAGCCTCTAGCCCTAGCAAGGCCTGTAGCCCCAACAAAGCCTCCAGCCATTGCCCCCAGGGGATTGGAAAGTCATATCGCTACTACAAGGAGGGCAGCTGCTCTCCTTGATGTGACCCCCATTGATAACCCAAAGCTACGTGAACCTAAACTGGTCATTAGACGTGATTCGGTCCTTTCCTATTGTCATGAAGTTGAGCAAGAAAGCGATGAAATGGACCGAAAAGAGCAGCAAGAATCTAATGATGCTGCTGCTGTCGCTGCAGACGATCAACCTCTTAAGCAGCCCACTGCCGCTACAGACGATCAACCCCTTCAGCAGCCAACCTCCGCTTCCAAGGCACCCAGGCCAGTCAAGCATTACTCATGGATGGCAACCCCAGCCACTAGTCGTGATTCCATGGCGAGGACGGATACAAAAGCAACACGAAAAGGTTTCTTCAAACTAGACCAGCCTGATGAATCCGCGAGCACAACAACAGCGCCTTCCAATCAACAGGATCATCTCCAGATACTCACTTCGTCCGTGCAAGAAGATCGTCCACTGAGCCGCTTTTCATTAGCGTTCTCTAATTCTAGGTTGTCCAAGACTCTCTCGGCTATAAAGCTTCAGCCGCCAAAGAGCGCATACCTATCTGCAACTCCATCCAAGCGTGTCCACAGGACGAGTGGAAGCCTCGTTACCACAGTCCGTCCTGAGCACCACCAACAGCATCTTGAACAGTCCCAGCCCAAAGATCCCAATGCTGAGGATGAAAACGAATGCCCAGAACAGCAAATTTTTGATGTACTAAGCTTTATTGACGCCTTCATGAACCCAGGCGCTCCACCACTTCCACCTACACCAGCTCAACCCGCTTCTTCCTCTTCGTCTTCTGCTGCTCCTGCTACTACGGTGAGCCGACGCGCCAACTCTAAAAAGCGCCAAAAGTCCGTACGCAGAGTACCGACTGGAAGAAAAGCAACAGTGACGGCGACGGTAGCAGCAACTGCAACAGCGACCGCAACAGCGACAGCAGCACCAACAGCAAAAGCAGCGCCACCATCAAAAGCAATGCCAACGGTAATTGAACAACCAGAAACGACTACTACTGCTACACTAGAAGTACCTGGAACGCAGGAGGCAGCTACAACAAAACCAGAAACGATAGAAACGATAAAAACGACAGAAACGGCAGAAACGACAGAAACGAAAGCAACGAAAGCAACGACAATAACGAAAACGGTCTCAGTTCAGAGGCCAAAAAAAAGGCTTGAGCTCCCAGTCCACACTCGACCCGGACATCATAATTCAGGCCTATATGGATATCTGTAGATAAAACATAAAAAAGCTAAAAAAAAATAAAAAATAAAAATAAAAATAAAAAGAGTAAAAATATAAATATAAATATAAATGAATCTTTTAACAAAAGACAAAACTGCCTTTATTGAATGTAAACCAATTCGTATTTGTCAGAGTTGTATCAATTTCGGCCTAGAGGAGTAGCAGGCTGGGAGCTGAAGCTCTTGCAGCCACAAAGGGCCTTAGCCTAGAAAGCTTCCTCCTTAAAGGGCAACGCTACCACTAGCTGCCCGGATTAGTTCTATAGGTAATATTCTTAAATGCTGCAAATAGTATTTTACGTTTTAGACTGAAGCATGGTAACAAAGCTACCCTGACCCCCAGTTTTCGTCACCTACATTCTTGATTCCCTGTCTTCCTCGCTTTATGATCCTTCACCTCCTCGCCTTCCTCGTCTTATGTCATCACCCTGTTCCCCATAGCATCCCTCGTTAGCCATAATTAGTGTTACATAGACATTTTACAAAAAAAAAAAAAAAAAAAAAAGAAATCAGGCCATTCTGCTTGATAATATTAGGCAGTCAAGACACGGCGAGGAGATTGGCTAGAGAAGAAGAAAGAGCTATCCCTATACATTAGCATTTGAGCGTGAAGTAAATGCATTGTTTAGGCTATTCCCAAAATCATATGCTTGCAAAGAAAGAGTTGTTTGTTGACAATAAACTCGAATCACGAAAATAAAAAAAAATAAAAAAAAATAATTGAACCAAGGTCCCCTGGTTAAGTGCTCGAGCGTGGGAGAGAAGTATAATTGTTGGTCGGTGAATTTTTTTTTTTTTTTTTTCATTGTTTATTCAAGGGGGGAAAAGGGAAACTCCCCCCTTTTGCAGCCTAGAATATGCAATATTTTCCTGAGGCTAATAACCGTGAGATGAAAAATATTGGTTTTGGCCACGAAAGGAGTGCCAAAAAGAACCTTCCATTAATTACATACCTCCGACCATGTAAAAAGAAAGTATGGTGGATTGAGTATCTACTTTGTATTCTCCTTGGGGAAAATGTGACAATGGGATGCAGGAACAACCCAATCATGCAGTTAGGCACATGAAAAAAAAAAAAAAAAAAAAAAAAAAAGTTATTGATATCATTGTCGTTAGATGTACAATCATGTTTATAAAACTTGGTTCCTTCTATTTAGTTTACTCAGACTCGGTTTATGGCCTAAATGGTTTTCACAACTGTAAAAAAAAAAAAAAAAAAAAAAAAAAGTAATGATATTATATATACCAATTACTGAGAAACGATTGCAAGCTATTGGACAATTGACAAATAAAATACACGCGTCCTCAACATTTTTTTATGGGAGAATTGACTAGGCCAATGAAAACTCGCCGTGCATGTGTTTAATCATCTGCATACATTTCGAATTTGTACTTGTATTTGCATATCGTGAAGACCCTGCCTGCCCTTGGTTGGATCTTTTTTTTTTTTTTTTTTTTTTTTTTTTTTGAAAACATGTCCATTTACCCTAAACCCTTTATTTTAGTAAAGCAAGGCCTAACCAGACTCTATCAGCTCTTACATCTCCTGCTTTTTGGGTGAATGTACTTCAATTGTTTCAATACGAACGGCATCGAGTAAAAAAAAAAAAAAAAAAAAAAAAACAATTCTGATATCTAACACCTTATACTTAGTATCCTATGAATATATATCCTATACACATGTACTTGATTCAAAGGACCTGGGACTCATGATACAACTTATGGTGGTCATGGCACCAAAGGTTATGCTGATATTCTCCAGATGCTGTCAGGGATGAAGACGTATATACCCATTTAGAGTATTGCTTCCTTTTCCGCGTTATGTTTTTTTGTTTTTTGCTTTTATTGGATCCTCTTCTTCCGCCGCTCGTTCTGTCCTTGGGCCTCAATTGTGCCCTTTTTAAGCTTCTTTATAACATAATCCTGACCCTCTTACCTCCCTCCTCTTTCGGCAAGAATCTTACCAATCTACATTCCCTTTCTGTTGAAGTGATATTAACAACTATGTTTGCGGATCGTGCGCAAACATTTCTACAAGGGGAGAGGGTACTGTACTCAATTGTTATTTATTAATCCTATTTTACACAAATGGGGAAAGTGTAAAGAAGAGTTCCCCTCGACTGCTCACCTTGCTATTTTGCTGTTTACACATAGGGGGAAATAGAGTAAATACAATGAAAAATACATGGGAAATGTAATCTTGCAGAGACTTGTGGAGAAATAAAGACAAACAAACAAACAAACAAACAAGCAAATGAAGTAGCATTAATACCGTCTAAAGCATCAGCTTACCAACTTATCAATAAGTGTCAACACAAAGGGGAAAACGGCTCGGCATGACTATCGGTCAGCTTTATTCCTTCCAAAGCGCATCGATAACATTGTCTTTTTTTTTCTTTTTTTTTTTTTTTCCTCATTCATCCTAACCCAAATATTTTAACGCGTTCCGTTGGACTGCTCTTCGAGTGGTTGCCGTGTCCTAATTGATTGGATGACATTCAGCTGAAATAAACAGAAACGTCGGCGTCCATTGGCCAGTGAGCGCTTCAGTTTCTTTTTCGTGACAACTGCAACAACAAAGGTAATATATCTACACGCTTTATGTATTCTATTTAATCAGCAAACATTGGGCGCATAGGAGCTGAATTTCCTTCTCCATGGCATTGTATATATGCATGAACTTCCGACCGTAAGATAATGCACTGTCAACAATGTTACCTACATTTCCCTTGGTCTCTATTCAATAATCAAAGTAAAACTAAAATGCCTCTTATCCGAGCATTGCTAGTTATATGCTTCTAGACGTGCTTAGGAAAATTCGTGTTCACTCTGGCCTTAATTGACCAACCTTTATGACCTTGTTTTATTGCCATGGACGAGGAGGAAAAAAAATGTATAAAATGACCCAATTCCTCGATTCCTCTTTTTTTTATTTTTTATTTTCTATTCTTCACCACCTCTTCTGCACCCTACTCTACTCTTTCTCCAAGACAGTCCCACTACTCCAAGCCATGAAGTTCTTCTCTGTTACCGCTATCGCCTTGGCTTTGGCCTCCTCTGCCTCCGCTGCATTCTCGTCCTGCGGCGCTGCCACAGATTCCTTCCAACTCTCCGGTATCTCCTATGCCCCTAACCCTCCTAAGGTCAATCAAAACGTCTGTGTTACCGTCAATGGATCCTTGTCCAAGCCCGTCATCCAAGGCTCTTCTATCCGTGTCACTGGACACGTCTGTAAGGATTTTACATCTACATTATTACTTTTTCCCCTACTTTGACCACGCTCCACGTTCCAATATTGAACCATTTTCGCGTTTTTTTTTTTTTTTTTTTTTTTTTTTTTTGTTATCCATTCCTCGTACGCGTACTTTATGAGATAACTATCCATGTACTCATCTCATTTTTTATTTTTTTTAAAAAAAAATAAATAGGGGGACTGAAGGTCTATGACCAAACATCAGACTTGTGTGCTGCCTTGGCTGGTAGCGCCACCCCTTGCCCTATTGCCACAACTGTCACCTCCGTAACCCACTGCATTACAGTCCCATCGGAAGTTCCCGCAGGTGTATCCATCACCCTCAAGGCTACTGCTACCAATGGCAGTGGTGAACGTCTCTTCTGCATCTCTGGACCTTTGACCTTCACCAATTAAACAGGGATAAGAGACATTGTTCCTATTCATATCTATTGTATATATCCCTTCCTAACTTTTGATAAGCTTCTATATGAGGATTTATGGTCAATAAGAAAAGCAGCAAAAATGTAGTTTCTTGTAGCCCCCTCAATATTTGATCAGTTTTAACCTTGATCAAAGAGTAAATAAAAATTGAAAAAAAAAAAAAAAAAAAAAAAAAAATAGGGTGGCAAATATGCAATATGTTTACGATGCTTTCGATCTCTTCATGTGGTGGATTGGTTTTCTTGCAACGATCGGCGTCTGTATTTCACTCTTTTTGTAAAAAAAAAAAAAAGAAAAGAAAAAAGAAAAAAAAAAAGGCGCGTCAACACACGTGAGAGAGGACGTCTCCATTATACTCATTTTCTCATTCAAGAAGAAAAACTTTCATTGTCATTTTGAAAACCAAATACATCTGTCATTTTAACGATGCAAAACTCCATTCGAGGCGTGCTCATTGATGTCTCTGGTACAGTTCATGTTGGAGACAAAGCAATTCCTGGTGCTGCGAATGCTCTGGATCGACTTCGTGATAGTGGCATCCCGGTACATATTGATATAGCGATCTATCAGGCTTTCTGTTAAGAAAAAAAAAAAAAAAAAAAAAAACACTCATACTTTGTTCTTTTTTTTTTTTTTTTAATAATTGTCCCCTATTACCAGTTCCGTTTCTGTACAAATACAACACAATCATCTGGAGATACTTTAGCTGAGAAGCTCAAAAAACTAGGACTCAATGTGAATCGCGAGGAGGTAAAATCAGAAAGATCCTCCCACCTCTTCCCTGAGATGTCTTTTTATTCACATTTTAATAATACCCTTTTCTTTTAAAGATCTTTACGTCCTTATCTGCGTGCCGACAAATGGTGAAGTCGCGTGGGTTGAGGTGAGATCATTGCTCCTTTTTTCTATTACTCTTATTATCTTTATTTCACAACAACTGATTTCTTGAAGAAAATCTTAATTCAAGGCCACTCTTACTCTTGGAACCAGACGCACGCCAAGAGTTTGAAGGCATCGAACATTCTGAACCTCATGACTCTGTTGTCGTTGGATTGTCTCCTTCAAGCTTTCAGTATGACGTGGTAAAAAAATATTTTTATTAAAAATGAGGCAAAATGCAATTAAGAAAGTAAAAAGTAAACAAGAAAGGCTAATTAACTTTTTTTTTTCTATTATTTTTTATCAAAGCTAAACAAAGCATTCAGGCTCCTTATTGAATCTAAATCAACACCTCAGCCAGCAACATTGGTAGCTGTGCATAAGGCCAAATATTTTGCAGATGGCGCTGACCAAGGCAGGTTGTCAATGGGTCCAGGCGGATTCGTAGAAGCATTGGAATACGCCTCAGGCATTAAGGCCCATGTCGTAGGCAAAGTAAGTCCACCCTGCCAACTATTTGTCATTCACAAGGAACTAACTCGAGTGCTGATAAATATCTATATATTTATCTTTATTATCTGTCCTGAATTTATCTTTGAACCCATCACAGCCCCAAAAGGCATTTTTTGAGTTAGCAATTCAAAATATGGGGCTCGCGCTTCAGGTATCAACTTCTGAATCCTCCTCCCACTCCGGCTCTTCAGGGATCGTAATGATTGGAGATGATGTGGAGCAGGATCTAGGTGGAGGCGCCGCTGAACTAGGACTTATTCGATACCTCGTTCAGACAGGTAAATACCGTGCCAAAGATGAAGACCGTGATGTATTCGGCGGTCTAGATGGGACTTTCAAGGATTTCTCAGCAGCGGTGGATCACATTCTTTCTAGTTATCACAAGTAAATATGCTATGTAGTTCAAACCAAACCTTTCGGCTTCCTTTATTGCAATTTTTTTTTTTTTTTTTTTTTTTTTTTTTTTTGTGTGCTTATGTACAAGTCATTAAAGAGCACGAAGAATGCTCGTGCCTTTTTTTGTGTAATCAACTTAAAGTGCAAATACGTATGATGTAAAAAAAAAAACTTAGTTCTTGACAGAAAGAGCGGCAACACCAGGGAGATTCTTGCCCTCCAAAAGCTCCAAGGAAGCTCCTCCTCCAGTCGAGACGTGTGAGATAGAGTCCTCAGCCTTCCATTTGGCAACAGCAGTGGCGGTATCACCGCCTCCAACGATTGAGACAGCACCGTTCTTGGTGGCCTCAACAACAGCATCCAAAGCAGCCTTGGTGCCTGAGGCAAAAGCGTCATACTCAAAGACACCAGCGGGTCCGTTCCAGAGAATGGTCTTGGCGTTCAAGATGACATCCTTGAAGATAGCGTTGGACTTCTCACCACAGTCAAGGCCCATCCAGCCATCAGGAATACCAGTCTCGTCAGTGGCATAGTCGGTCTTGGCCGAGGCTGAGAAGTCATCGCCGGTGATGTAGTCAACAGGAAGGTAGAGCTTGACTCCCTTAGCCTTGGCAGACTCGACCAATTTGCCGACAATCTCAGCTCCATCCTTGTCAAAGAGAGACTTGCCAATCTGAAAAAGAAAACAAAAAGAAGTGTATGTTTTAGATTGAATGATGTTGATATGATGTTGGTGAATGACACATGAAGAAAAAGACTTTTTTTTTGGACTGTTGAAACTACTATTGATTGTTTGTTGGGTATATCACGTCCCGAGAGATAACAGCCTCTTCCCATTGCTATGTCTCTCCCCAATATGGCGATATTACTGAGATAAGGAAAGACTGTTATCGTCTCACTTATCCTCTTCTTGACGTGACTGACCCTTCGTGCAATCTACCGCGTGTGTGGTGGGCAATCCCAAATCAAAGATAATAAAAGAAAGCCTTAGAAAATATACAATACCTTGACATCCTCCAAAGTTTTCTTGAAGGTAAAGGCCATACCACCTCCAATGATCATAGCATCGACCTTATCCAACAAGTTCTCAATCAGCTGGATCTTATCCGAAACTTTAGCACCCCCTAGAATGGCAAGGAAGGGTTTCTTTGGCTCCTCGAGTACCTGAGCAAAGAACTGAAGCTCCTTCTTCATCAACAATCCGGCAGCACGAATAGGGAGATCGATGCCAACGACAGACGAATGAGCGCGGTGAGCAGTACCAAAAGCATCATTGACATAGATATCTCCGAGCTTTGAAAGCGATTCACGGAACTTCTTGACATCTTCTTCCTTGGCCTTGGTAACATTACCCTCCTTATCCTTGACCTTGCCTTCTTCCTCAATATGGAAGCGCAAATTCTCAAGAAGGATGACCTTGCCATCTTTGGCATTTGCACAGGTAGCCTCAATCTCCTCACCTACGCAATCGCTCAAGAACTCAACATCCTTGTGGAGAAGAGATGAGAGCTCAGTGGCAACAGGCTTCAAGCTGTACTTCTCGACCTTCTTGCCATCAGGACGGCCAAGATGGCTCATCAAGACGACGGCAGAAGCACCTAGAGTGTAAGCGTTTTTTTTAAAAAAAAAAAAAAAAAAAAAAAATCAGCTTTTTGTCCCACGAGTTCCTCCAAAGTGGAAAAAAAAAAAAATTCCTGAGCCAAAGGATATGCAATAGGATCGTAATATCGGATCAAATCGCGCTCCGCTTCTTCACACCCTTCGCACATGTCAGTAAGTGAGCACATCACTTATTATTACACTACAGTTTTTTATCTCTACTAACCATGATCCAAAGCATACTTGATTGTTGGAAGGGCTGCAACAATACGGGCGTTGTTGGAGATCTTGCCATCGGCAAAGGGAACATTGAAGTCAACGCTATTTGTAAAGGGAACAAAAGGACATCCATTTTGTTATTTTTCTGCGTGTGTTAAATGACCGGTTCACGCGTCGTGTCATATCATGTCATGCTCTGAGGAAAATAATATATATATTAATAACTTTCTTACCGCATCAAGACCCTCTTGCCGTTAACATCGACCTGGTCAATGATGAGCTTTTCTGAGAGTTTGTTGGACATGATGTGGCGTGTAATTTGGCTAATTCGGTGAATGGTGGAAATGTTTTTACGGTGGAACCGAAAAGAAGAAAAGAGGTTTTGTGTGATCTAAATTTTCCCCACGAGAAATTTTATTCTTGACTGGCAGCCGCATGTACGTCACATAGCATTATTGCGCCTGATCTACGCCTTTGTATTTCTTGGGCGATCGGCTCCACATTCTGACCCCCAACGAGCTTGTCATTCTCAATTTCGTAGCTTATTCAAATCGTCGCACCCTTGCTGTGATCATTATCAGATATGAGGCAAGAAACTTTTAGCTGATAATTCAAGAGACACCATGACGATACTGATGAGCAAAATGTGTATATTCTTATAATCAGAACATATCCAGATTCCTGAAAACCTACATCGCTCGGGCTAACATCTCTCGTCATCTGGAGGATCTGCCTTGTTTTCATGTAACTCAACCTTTCAGTCTTGCTATCTCGTTCCTTCTAAAAACTCCATTCAGTGAATTTTATTTAGACTCTGCCCGCTAAGCATTGACTGATAAATCAAATCAATCGCGCCGTATTAGGTATTATGCTTCGACATAGGATGTAAACCTTTTTTTGCGTGGGATATTGCTATGTCAAAATGAAGAATACGAGATTTGGCTAGTTCGTAGTCAAGAATCATTTTCCTCTATGAGCTATCTGGTCTGAATGTCATGTAGCTGATCCTACCACAGTGTAGAGCATAGCACGTTATAAATGGAGATAAGAGAAGGTTGCGAGTAGATGTCAGGCTGGTAGCCATGATGACTAATAAATAGCTTTGTTTGTGCAGTCTCAAGGCGATATTTATTGAGTGTAATTCAATGTTACTTAGTTTTATGTGTAAGTATTAAAGAGAGAACAGCACTATTTGCCTTTGGTATACATCTAGTAACGAGCGCTTGCACCAGTAGTCGTGGCAGACGTGGCTGCATTGGTCATAGCTTGATTTGACACTGCGTTCTGGTTCCAGGACAGATAAGTATGATCGCCCAGTCGTCGAGGCTTGTACAAGTGGCGAGCAGTGAACAAAAGTCCCAGAACCACACAAAGAACACCTACGACAATATATGCAATACCCAAAAATGGGTTACGTCCTCCCATAAACGACACTGTCGAAATCACCAGCGACTTTGTGCCTCCATACGATGTGACATTATAATCTAAACAAAACATGCAAATAATCATTTATTCAAACGTTAACGCTTTAAAAAGAAAAAAGGAAAAAAAAGAAAATCACATCATCAGTACTTACTCATGTCAATATCAATGGTATAAGTTCCGCTCAACAGATCATCTTGTTCATTCTTGGAATACAACTTCCTAAAGTTAGGCAAACCAGCAGTGCGCATCCAGACCTGGAAATGCTCATCTTCGCTAGGATTGATGGGCGGGGTTTGAGCAGAGTATCCTTTTTTGTATTTTGCCCAGTTAGGTGGGGGTCGGACCATGCTTAGATCTGTGTATCCTGGAGGCCCATACTTCTTTTGATCACTGCTCCATGAGATCCCAGTATCGGTAAGGATATATGATTTGTTATTGTTAGTGTTACTGTCGGATGGGTACAAGAAAAGCCCCAGCGTATCTAAAGCGAGAAAACAAAAGGTAAAAAAAATAAAGTAAGCCAACATTTTCTTTTTTGTCGATCGAAGATCACCTGAGGATTATGGCCATCATTCTATAGGAAAGCCAGTATATACCATTGAATATCGAGTTAGCGATCAAACCACAAGGATAGATGGGGTAATCGACCCCATTCTCTTTGACAATGGCAAGTGGTTCACATGAACCACCATTAAGTTCTGCTACACTGCGTGGTGCTCCAGATAACTGCTTTGCGTCCAAACTCTTCACATAGCGACGGTGGTTCTGATAAAAATTAGTGAGGCGATAGTAGACAAAGACGGGTTTCTTCAAGGTGACAGGCAAGTTGAACTTGATGGTGCATTTCCGTGTTTGCCAAGTCTCGCCGTTGCCGGAACCAACTGCTGGGATTGATTTGTACTCTGGTGGCACTCCGTCACCAGAGGAGCCGGGAAAATTGACTGAATATGAGTCCTGCGGGACCTGGACAAATGTAGGACCGACCTTATCACATTGTGTATAATCAATATTGACCTCCGCAACCTGCGCAAAAAATAAAAGAAAAAAAATCAGGAAATGCGGATATAATGTGAGCCTTTGTCGATTAATATAATGAGGAAAGAGACAGCCTAGGGTTTTCTCCCTCTCATTGTTATGCTTGGCTTTGGCTGTTGGAGTATCCTTGCATGATTTATACTAAATTGATTGATTGGTAGTCCATACTGTATTTTCGCCCTTGCTTCTTTTTTCTGCAAACAAGGTTGGCTTACTGGCTGACTGGCTGATTTCACTGTGCCTAAAATATCCAATGCTCATACTCATTTGATCATGTCTGTGCCGACTCTTCAACTTTCTTTGCTCAATTGGATCATCTACAACAGGGGGAATAAAGGGAGAGAGAATAATAATCATAATAATGAATGACACCTACAGTATCACTCGCCCAGAGCAGCAGGCCACCGAGAGGAGCAAACAAGATACCAACAAGTAGGAACGTAGGCAGCACTGTTTTGGGTGTCAATATGGGCTGCCAAGCCTTAAGTCGCTGCTGCTTGAAGGCCGTGTCTATTGAGTTGCAAGAATGAATGGTATGGCGTGAGTTTTACAAATGATGGAGACCACAAGAAATAAAAGGGACAGGAAAGTGTTGCAAATTGCATTATTTAAATGAAATCAGTTGCTTTCAACACTAGAAGAAAGCGCAGACGATGTAATGAAATGCATTGAGAGAGAGATGGAAAGCAATTGTCATAGGATAATAAAGTAGGAGAGAGAAGCGAAGAAAAGGCACATACTGGCAGGCTTCCTGCTCTTTGTCTCGGAGGACATTGTGTTGGCAGGAGAGAAAGTATGCGAAAGAGTGTTTGGTAGGTGGAAAAAAAGAGAATGTAAGAGAAGACTGAGTGGAATGAATGTGATTGAAGTGAATGTGCCCAAAGAGAGAATCAATAAAAGAGTCAGATGTCACATCCATGCGCTCACTGGTACGCAAAAGACAAGATTTTGCGCAAAGTGGCTTGGAAACTGGTGCAAGAAGCTGGTTTATCTAATAAACTAAGACGCCTAGTCCTGCTACCTCAACTTTCTCAACTTTCTCAACTTTCATTACATGATTAAGCGTTATCTACTCTTTTTCCCTGCTTGAATATATGTATAAAACCAGTCAAGGAACAGACAATCCATACTCTGATTATGTAGCTAATGCGCTTTATGAACTTTTCAAGCCCAAAAGAAATCGTTTCTCTAAGGCCTCGCTAAGGTGTGCATGGCTCCATGCCAGGAAGCAACATCATAAAACTCAAAACCCTTAGTATATAGAAAGGCAAAACACTATGACCACACCTCCTTCACAGAGATAAGAAATTCAATCTCTAAACATATAGTGTCACTCACAGTGAGTGGGGTTGTGGATATCTTGATGTGAAAAGATTTATGCCCAAGCAACTCTTGCGGTAGGCATTGGAAGTAGGATGCACCCGAATACTCTCTTTCATGAACGTATCGTTATCATTCCGGGCCATATCCGGAAACCCAACAGGATAAAATATTCATTTTACCAGTCTACATGTGTAATACAAAGAGCAATGAGATGTTACGCAACCTGATGCACGCGCTTTTTATATTTTTATCTTTAGAATCATTAAGGTCTCCGATCTACATGTACAGAACTAGATGTTGATATAGGACGTGAATGGTATATGGGCTATGGTTATGGGTGTAGGGATTACGAAAATAAGAAACTTCATTGCTTTTTTTTTTTCCTTTTTACTTTGATCCAAGAGGAACATCATAAAGCTCCTGCTTGGCACCATAATCTTGCGTAAGTTTTTCAGTTTGAAGCGAACGAGCCTCAGCCTCCAGACGACGATAAGGTGCTTTGTACAAATATACAGGGAAGGTGGCAATCACACACCAGGCAGCGATAAAGATCAATGGAGGATTAATGCCAGTCTCAGCAGCCTTTTCGTCGTCCTGGAGGGCTCCCAGGACAAGCAAGAAAATGACAGCAAAGAATTGACCGGAGCCCCAAAGAAGCGAGGTTGACGATGCAGGTGTGACAGGGTATGTGCATTCTACACCCAGCTCCAACACAATAGGCAGCAGTGAAAATGAGAAGAGACCAAGGAGAGCTGAAGCAACAACGATGCCGATGAGGAAGTCTTTGCGGACGACAAAGACAAAGATGATGTAGAATAAAGTTGCCAAGGGAACCATCGTCTTGAGCAATGTCTTGTACTGCTTGTTACGATCAATTACTGGACCAGAAATACCAGCACCAACTAAACCGGCCACAATCATCGCGGCACCAAAGTAGCCAGCCTCATTTGCGGTGTAACCGAAAGGAGCGCTGAACTGAGAAATAAGAGACGAGAAGGCGTTGAAGAAGCCAACAAAAGTTCCAAACAAGAACATGAGGATAAGGAATTGCTTGTTGGAGCCGACCTTCTTGAGACTGACCCAAAAGGGCTCCTCGGAAGTCTCCAGAAGAGCCTCTGCTGCCGAAGGCGAAGGAGGAGTAGGAGGACGCTCAGACATGAACAACACGGGAATAAAGGCTACAACTGCAAGGATGACGCATACGAGAACCGATGTAGACATGGAATCCTTGTCGGTTGTAATGATGGGAATAATCAATTGAGCGAGAGCAGCAGCGAGAGCATTGGCAACAGAGCCGATCATGGTAGCAGTCGTACGTCCGTTCTCAGAGAACCAAACGGCAGCGTACTTGGGGGGCACGTTCAAGAAGAAAGGCTGAGCAGAGGCTGCGATGATCTGGCCAACCAAGGTCAGTGCCACTCGACCGCCTGGGCTGTCGGGTGTGGAAGTGATGAAGTGGGCGATATATCGAAGGAGAGCACCAATAAATTGAATACTGGCACCAAAGAGCAAACTTTTCTTGATGCCCACCTTCTCAAACATCCAGCCTGAGACAGGACTCATAATCAAAAAGGCAACGAAGTATAAAATCGATGTGAGATTGACAATTGTACTAGAGCAGTTTAGGTATGCCTGTGCTGCATCAGCAACTGATGAATAGGTCAGCCAGACAAATCCTGTCGAAATATTGAGCAGGACGATGGCAAAGAGGCCAACGAAGCGGGACTTGTAGGTGACATAGCCCCGATTATCTTCGGAATATGCCAATGTAGCCGATTCACCCATGATAAAATGAAGAAGTATCGAGGTGTAGTGAGAAAGGGCAAAGTGAGGGTAATGCAGATACCAAAGATGTGATATAAGAGCGTAAAAGAATGATTTGAGACGATTGAGATTCGATTAAATTGCCTGAAACCAGAAGAGCAGACAGACAATCAAAGTAAAAATGTGAATGAATTGAATGAATGAATGAATAAAGTAAATGAAGTGATGAAGAAGAGGAAGAAGGAGGGAGAATGAATTAAACGAGAAAAGAATGAAGGAGGATTGAAAAAAAAATCAATGAAGAAAGAAAAGAAAAGAAAAAAAAAAAAAAAAAAAAAAAAAAAAAAAGTGAAGAAAGAAATAGGACTCCACGCAATACCGGTTAAGTCGTTGTCCTGTGCTGTGCGAGAAATGCTGCCTCATTGGTTTGCAGGACTGAGTAAATGGTGGTGGTACAACGAGGATTATCAGTCCTTTCACGACTCTTTGGAAAAATAAATGCTCTTTGCTCTCTTCCTTACTCAGCAAGTATAAGCAATCGTCCTTATCACAATCAACACCCATGCAAATATATTTGGTGGCGGCCATGATTTAAGGCATCGGAAAGAGTGACAAAACAGATACTCTTCTCTTTGATCTATAAGAAATGGTTTCGTACATTTACTTTAACATCGCTCTCTTTATTGTTACTTTTCTTTTTTCTTTAAAAAAAAAAAGGCGAGTTGCTGTAAGAAAGCATGTAAAAACTCTTACAACTCGCCTTCATGCAGCAAAATAACACAACTGTTGTTGTTTTTTTTTTTTTCTTTCATTCCGCTCGTGTCACAGGCAAAGTATAAATGTGGAGCAAATGCACTTGAGCAAAACGGGAAGGATAGAAATAAAAAATGAGCCTAAAAAAGAAAAGCATGTCCTCCATTTGCCCTGTCCAACGCACCGGCAAATTGCTGAGAAATATGAATTTGAGTCTGCCATTGGCTCTTGTACGACAGAGTGTATAGGAATCAAAGCTCATTTTCAACATTCAAGGGAACGATCCACAGTCCCTCATGCTTGTGAAGAGAAATGCTATCATAAATTGTACCTGTATCATGGTAAATTATACCACATGTCCTGACAGCCGTGCCAGTTCCTCGTTCCCTTCCCATTGCTCTCAAATGGATGCCACCTGTACAATAGGTCGTTGTCTAATAACGAGATGGATGGCTTTGAAACAATCGAAAGCAAAAAATAAGTTCCAATACTTTGCTGTTCCTATTTAAAGCATTTTTCATTTAGCGAAAAGCGATCATTGATTTAATTTCAAATAATGAGTTTTCCCTTCGCGCCTTCATTCTAGTGAACTAGTCATGTGCAAATGACTTTCATACGTTTGGATCCCTCTAAGATCTCTTATGATGATGCTGATCTATCGCTCCTTATTTTTGTTTGAAGTATTAATGCTCACTTTCTCGAATTCATGACGCTACTAGAATCAGGGATTCATAGATATTTACAATCCATTCCATAGTCTTCGGACTACTCTTGTTTCCTAATAAAACATCCATGAGAAAGAAAAGCAATATGGATTGTCGGCATGACTCGACGGGCAGGAGAGAATCATCAACCCTTTTTTTTTTTGTGATGCATGACTCCTTACTCACACGACCTTCTATAAAAAGCAATTGCTTCAGTTTACCTGGTACGACTCCATCGTCAATCTAAAAGCTCAAGTGCTTGGATGAAACAAGAGTTCTTGTTTTTTTTTTAAAAAAAAAAAAAAAAAAAAAAAAAAAAGTGCATCGAGTACAAGAGATGGAAGGGAAATGTTCTAGTAAAAGAGAAGATGAATATAGAACTGGTCAAGAATTAGCCAGGAGAGAATAATGCTTTTATTAAAACACGAAACGGAAGGACAATGACTATTTTCATGGCTCCTTGAACTCGAATTTTTCTTGCAATAATGACTTTGGCTGTTCTATCTGGCCGTAAGCGCTCAATTACTAGCCTGTGATCAGATGGAACACACAAAGGGAAATGTCCTACTGAAATGAAAGGATTAGATGGACATGGATGCAGTGAAGAGAAGCAAGTTATTGATTCGGCATTTCGGGCACAAAAATAACTGTGCCCAAAGACGAAAATAACAATGACCTGACTTGAAATAGAACCATTGTTCTGTACTGCAATCAACTACGGTTTAGAATCAAACAAGTACATACCGAATCTGATGTGATGAGTGTACATGAACAGTGCACTCTTTGCTACATCCTCACTGCACCCAAATATATACATAGTTAAACATCGCAATGAGGCGCAGGTTCATAAAAAAGAGCAACAAGATGTCGCATGGTTGCGCCATATTTCTTACTCCTTTGTCCTTTGAGGAGTCCTTGTGTCCAGTCTATGTTCCCAGTCTTCCATAGATGCAATGCAAGCCTTCGTTATTTTTACATGTTAGGTGAATATATATATACATCATATTCCTTTCAGTTGTTGTGTTCCTTTTCTCTCTTTCAATTTTATCTGCATCTTCATTCTTACTTCCACATCCGCTTTGTCATTCTTTGTTTATCCTATTATTGTATGCCCCGAGCAACTTGCTACCAAGATACTCTCCTCGTTTACCTCCTTTTGACTCACTTTTCTTCACTTGAATCTGTTGTGATAACTCCAATACAATATCACTAACCTCTTCTCTTGATCATCGGTAAGGGATTTTTTTCTCTTTTCTACTTTTGCGACATTCATTTCTATTCGTACCTGTAGGTTCCACTTGCATATCCACAAGGGTATATGATCAAAATTTGATTATATATCCTTAAAGAAATACTCCTTCCAATGACAGCGCATGTGGACATTAAGCATTATTTTCTTTTTGTTCGTTAATGTTCTCATTCTGATAAATATATCTTACATTCATCACACAAATTATCGTGCCACTGGCTCTGCCTCCTCTTTGTTTGTGGCAAAACAGTCTAGAATATACGAACTCAATATAGGATGACTATTAAGTGTTGCATGCATCCACTTCAACCTCATTGAAACACAAATGAGAAAGAATGGGTGGATGAGTTTTTCTTTTTTCTTTTTCTTTTTCTTTTTCTTTTTTTAATCGCGGAATGTTTATCTCGGGATCTGTTTTGTTTGTTTGTTCATTTCTACATCCATCTGTCCTACAGAAGGCCTTTTATTTTGGCTCACAATTGCGCGCGCTATGGTCCCCTAAACTCAAATTTTATATTTACATTTGCACATTACACGCACATACTACTTTGGGACGCACGCGAGCTTTTGAGATTGATCAGTAGCATTGTAAATCTTTCATTTCGTGAATGTTGCATTGAATGCCATGATCTTCCATGGGATCAGGGCTACAGGAGTGAAATCACACACACACACATGCACACACGCACATATTTATGTTTATATAACGTCATATAAGAAAAAAATATATAATCCTTGCGACACATCAGGATATCGGCCTTTTCGAGCACAATAATGCTCCGTACATATTAGAAAGACCATCCTGTCGATTCAGGGTCAAGCCCAAAGGGAGGAGAAGCAGGATACACAACAACAGCTGTCTTTGTAATATGTGCTTTTATTTTAACTTTTCATATTTTTTAAAAAAAGGATCTTCTCCCTCATTTTTCTCTTTCTTCCCTTCCTCATCTCTCATCCTACATCCCCCATCCCTCCTCTCCTCATCCTCAGCCTGCCTCTGTTCCTGACCAACCATACGCCTACACTCCAACATACTCCTCATCTCTACCTAGGTACACCAATCTTTTCCTCTTTCAGATCTGCGCTTTTTCATTTATTTGTTTCTGTGTTTACAATATACATCGAATATCCAGTATTACCCAAACCCAGATCCTCTTTCGTCCCATACCCCACACTCCATACTCGACCCTTCCCTTGCCTACATTAAACACATACACTTCTCTTCTGTTCACGCCACCATAACAAAGCTAGCCACCTACTTCTATTTCTAGCTAGCTACATCTGTTTTTTGTACCATGTATATGTGCTGGACTGAGGAGCATTGAACAGCCCACAATGGCCAATCTTTCCGCTTTTTCAATTTTGCTCCCGTTCTGATTCTGATCAAACAATTCTGGTTTTTTTCTTCTTTCTTTTTTCTATCCGTAATAGACCACAACATTTTAAACGTAATAGTTCTTTCAACATGAAGTTTGGACAGCATCTGGCCGAGTCAATTCAACCCGAATGGTCATTCAACTATGTCTCGTACGATGAACTCAAAAACGTACTCAAGTCACGAACTGCCGCCCAGATATGGACGGAGACTGATGAAGGTTACTTTGTAGAGCTACTTGAGCGTGAGCTCGAGAAGGTCTACAGCTTCCAAAATGTTAAAATTGGTGAAGTACACCGTAAGCTTTCCTATTATAGCACTCAAGCGCAAGATTTCAAAAAAAATGGGGCCCAGGAAGAGACCTGGAGAGCACTTGAAATCGAACTCTACCGCCTTGTGGCTGAAATTGATGTTCTAGCCAAGTATACCCGCCTTAACTACACAGGTTTGCTCAAAATTGTCAAGAAGCATGATGTAGGTGAACATGATTCTATCTTAGTAACGGCATATAGATTCAAATGGCAAACAGCAAGATGTTGGTTTATTATTATCGACAATGTTGGCCATGGCTTTCCTTTGAACTTGGTCTTCATAGGCCCAGTTTTTTTTGTTGTTGTTGTTGTTGTTGTTTTATCTATGGACACATTTTTGCCATGATGACAACTTACCACACGATCAGATCGAAAAAAAAAAAAAAAAAAAAAAAAAAAAAAAAACTTCCCTTTCCGCAATTAACACAACCCATATTTAGAGATGGGTGTCGTAAAGATTTGCACGCATGTTAGCGTCCCGCCTGCTCTGCCTCTTTTTATTCCATCATCTCCGATTTGGAATGTAAAATACAGCCAACCGGCACTACAAAATTCGATCCAGGCCCAGAGTGCATGCTCTGTGGGTCTCGAGCTACGCCTAAAAAAAAAAATGGCTGTCATTGTGTCATTGGCGTTAAATTGGGTCAAATTGGAGTGGCGTGCAGTAACCAGCAGACGTTTGGTACTAAGAATCCGACTCCACCCCAACCTCCATTGCCTCCATTGCCTCCATTACAATTATCGTTACTGCTTTTGTGTTGTATATACGTTTGTGGTTAATCATTAGAGTGGGCAGTTTGCAATCATCCCCGAACGGAGAATGAGTCGTCTTGGTCCTGCAGAAATCCGCCGTTCCTGCAATCATTGCAAACTAATACATCTGTTTCACTCAAATCCCCTACCCCTGGATATGACATGCCAATTCCCTCATCTCACTCATTCTCTATCATTACGTGTGTTTTTTATAGAAACAAACTGGATGGATGCTCAAGTCCATCTTCCATGTCCGCCTTAACACCAAGCCTTTTCATAAAGAGAACTACGATGCAGTTATTGTGCGCCTGTCAAACATCTACCACATTGTCGCTGCCAGAGGCCAAAAGCTCAAGGGCGACAGTCAGTTTTCAAACGTGGATTCTGCCGCGTTCGTACGCGACACTACCAAGTATTGGGTGCACCCCGACAACATCACAGAGGTCAAGCTGGTCATCATGAGGCACTTACCCGTCTTGGTTTTCAACACCAAGAAAGAGTACGAGGAAAATGACTCCGCCATATCATCTGTCTATGTTGACAATGAGGATTTTGAGTGTTATCAAGGACGTCTCGAGAAAACCGACATGGCACAGGCAATCCGTATCCGGTAAGCTCCTTTTTTTTTTTTTTTTTTTTTTTTTTTTTTTTCGCTCGTGTGAGCGAAAATAGAATATCTTGTTGTAATCTATTTTTGTCTCCAATTCTTGCGAAACATATTCTTTACGACCAGGCAACGGGCTTGTATGGATACTTGATTGACATAATTGACACACCATTAACCTTATGCTCCCCACATTCACGCCTGTACTTTTTCAAATATAGTTGGTATGGACCTACTCCCACTGAAAATGGTCAGTGCTTCTTGGAAAGAAAGGTTCACCGTGAGAAATGGACGGGAGAACAGAGTGTTAAGGAGCGTTTCCCTATCAAGACAAAGTATATCAATCCATACCTAGCAGGCGAATATACCATGGATGTTAAGTTTGCCAAGCTCCGTGCTCGCGGCCAAAAGTCTGTCAAAGATGTGGAACTGATGCAGAAACTTGCCAATGACGTGCAAACGAGCATTGTTACTAAAAAAATGCGCCCCACGATCCGTGCCTTCTACCGTCGTACTGCCTTCCAGCTCTCCAACGATGCGCGCGTCCGCATTTCCCTCGACACAGAACTGGCCCTGATCCGTGAGGATGACTTTGGTGGCCGGAGGCGTGCTGGTGACAATTGGAAACGCGAGGACATTGGTATTGATTGGCCTTTCAAGCAGCTTCCTGCTGAAGATATTACTCGCTTCCCCTATGCTGTCCTGGAGGTCAAGCTTCAGACACACCATGGTCAAGAGCCACCTGCCTGGATTGTCGAACTGATCAACTCACACTTGGTTGAGTCTTGTCCTCGTTTCTCTAAATACATTCATGGTGTTGCCACACTACTGGAAGATAAGATTCAGATCCTTCCTTTTTGGCTACCGCAGATGGATCAAGAGATTCGCAAGCCTCCTAATACAGATTTTGGTTTGACCAGTTTCTTGCCAAGATCTTGGCCCGTAGGCACACCCCAAGCTGGGCCACGCCCAACATTAGCTCCACGAGCCCTTATTGAGGGCAGCTCAGATTCAACTATTAAGGGTACCAAATCTCTCTCAGAATTTGAACCAAAAATGCCCAAGACTATGGACAAAGCTACATATCAGCAAAAAATGGCAGAGAAGAACGCTAACCGTCGCCCAGCCAACAGCAGCGAGAATACCTTTTACAATCAATCTACGCCTATGAGTGCTTCAAAGGCTAGCGTGGCACACTCGCATCCTCTTGTTGATAACGGATCCACTGTTTCTGACCACGCTTCAATGGCTCCACCAGCTCGTCCTTGGGTCGACCGTCTCAATAACCGTGACTCTCCGCTCTCGCTTGGTGCGGAGCCCGCCATGAACGAGAAGAATCCCAGCAAAGCCAATGATGGCAACAATGAGGATGGTCTTTTGCGCAAGAAGTCGACCATTCGCCGCAAGCGTTTTGGCTTTAGGGAAAAGCGATCCTCCGTCGTACCCAAGCGTACCACTGCACCCGTTAGAATGGAACCTAAAGTTTTCTTTGCCAATGAGCGTACTTTCCTAAACTGGCTTCAATTCTCAGTCTTGCTTGGATCGGTAAGTTCAACAACTTACTACCATGCGATTTACTGTGTCCTTCCTGAAGGCATTTATCATGTCGTATCACAGCTTTCTGACAGATTTTTTTTTTTTTTTTTGGTTAATAGATCGCGCTCACGTTGTTAAACTTTGGCAACCACATGACTCGCGTCTCTGGAGCCGTGTTGACAGTTATTACACTATTGGCCATGCTGTACGCCCTCGGTATCTTCCATATCCGTCTGTCCAATATTTTGTCATCAAAAGCCAATCGTCAATTCCACGATCGCGTTGGGCCAACTGTTCTTTGCGTGTTCTTGTTCGGAGCATACTTTCTCAACTTTTACAGTAAGTCACCTTAGCCATTTTGGCACAAGAGACTTGAAAGTTATTCTTCTCTTTTGACTAATCAACTTACTTTCTTTTTTACCCTTCTATAGCGAAATTCATTCAAGCCAATAAAACAGGAACGGCATAAAGTGCTACTGTTTTTCATTTTCCAAAGGTCGTTTCACTATGCTTTAGTATCAAAAAAGGCTTGAAGCCAAATGTACACCACCATTTAATACATACCACAGAAGTGGCATGAGTTGGATTAAATATGGAGGACAGGGAGGGCGGAAACCTTTTTTGTCATTTTTTTTTTAATCCAGAAACCATAACCTCAACTCATAATGTCGACACTAGTACTTTTGTTTATATATGTTTGCCTTTTCACTCTTATCATTTGTTCCTTTTTTCTTTCTTTTCTTTTTCTTTTTTTTCTTCTTTTTTTTTTTTGGAAGAGGAGTGTTTATTAAAGACATGGGATCTTTCTAATACCTGCTTCCAGCTTTAATTAGCGCTTTTATTTTGCAGGATCTATACCCTGCTGATGATATTAAGTCTATCTCTAAGATGATTATATAAGCATAGCATGATATCAATTATACATATGTATTCAAATGCTATTTTTAATCCCGGACCAGATCATTTTGCTATAAAGCAATACATTGGCAATATGATTACGACTGAGTAAGATGGAAGACAAGTTCCAGACAGGCTCCTTTTGATTGGCAATACGGTGAATGTTGCCCGTCGAGACAAAAACATCGTCGAGGAACCCACCAAGCATTTTAGGTATGCGTACAGCCCCGGTAACGGACCCTGCCATGATCAAATTAGGTAGGTTTGGTTCATGACATGCGGGACGACCCAACCCAATCATGTCGATATGAGGCTGTCCATTACTATGGATGCTTTCTTCATCCGAAAGAGAGTTGAGAGCATTGATCATTCCCTTTGCGCTAACAAATCCACCTGTAAGGATGACCTTGGTGATTTTGAGCTTGTTGGAGATCCGGTCTGCAAAGACAGCGAAATGAGCCTCACGTTTCTGTGTCGATTCCGAGAGTTTTTGTTGCTCGATATTGATTCTTTTCTCGTTGCGATCCAGCAAGCCTCCAACCCAGCTTTCGTAGCTTCCACCCGAGATTTCAATAAAGTCGACGCCTAGATTTTCGAGCATCAAAGATACTTGAACAGCATCATCCAAGGATCTCTCGATTTGTTCATCATCCGCATCTAGGTCTTTAATTTCAGCTGCCAAAGCAGCATCTTTTGTATTCTGGTTCCACTGTTGCTGCTGGCCTTTAGGAGATTGTCGTCGCCCAAAGTCCACGCTATTGAGTTTAACACCAATGGAGAATTCCCTGGGGGTGGCTTGTCGAATGCCTTGGATAATCTCACATAAGAATCGAGCTCTGTTCTCAATGCTACCACCATATTTATCCGTACGAATGTTGGTGCGAGGATTCAAGAATTGGCTGACGAGATAGCCATGGGCGGCATGGATCTGGACGCCATCAAAGCCTGCTTTGTGAAGGACTACAGATGTAGTGATGAACCTTTGTATAGTTTGGTGAATTTCTGGAACCGTCAAGGCTCTTGGGTAATCTTAGAAAAAACGTGTTTCACGAAAGCGCTTTTTTTTAGTACGTACAATACGATTTACTTTCAAACCTAAACAAAAGAGAACATTTGTACTCAGTCATAGAGAATTCAAGGAATAGCATCTTTGGTACTTACTGAATACCATTAACCGGTGGAAGTTAGGGGAAGGAACAGCGCTTGGAGCAACGGGCTCCTTGGTAAGATGGGCATGGGTCTGTCGTCCTGGGTGACTAATCTGAGCGAATAGAGCACCCCCTTTTGTGGACAATAGAATTCCAAAGGGAAAAAAAATTAGTTCGACATGGACTCTATGAAAACGCACGATAACATTGCAAACAATTGTAATCTATACCATGGTTCTGCACAGTCTGAGCCCAGACTTTCAATCGACCTAGATCCCGTTCATCCTCGACAGAGACATTGAACTCCATCTCACGCATTGTTCTGTCCACCATAACGTTACCCGTTATTATCAAGCCAAAGCCTCCTTGAGCCCACGAATCATAGACGTTGAGTAGCTTGTTCAAATGAGCATTATCGATCTGACCATCTGACCGCGCCAGGTTCTCACTTAGAGCTGACTTGCAGAACCGATTCTTGATCACTTTGCCAGAGAAAGGAAGCCTCAGAGGTTGATTTAATGATTCGGCTTCGGCACCAGATAAAACTTCAGTACCATACCTGTCCGTGGAGCAAGACATTTTTTTTTTCCTTTTTGTTTTTGTTTCACTGGTTCTTTCCACGGATTCGGGTATTGATTTGCTGAGTAGGGAAGCAATGCGGAAGCTAAAAAGAAATAAAAAAAAAAAAATAAAAAAATAAAAAAAATAAAAAATAAAAGAATAAAAATAAAAAAAATGGACTTCAAGGCCTCTATTTAAATGGGATTACACAGTAACGGTCAACAGCCCCGTGTAAGACATTTCTTGTAATAAACATGCCACTTTTTGTAGATATTGGATGAGCCACCTCAATTGCCGACCGAGAGGAAAGAGAGGGGGATAAAGATCGAGGAAGATATGATGGGGACGTATCATCCAAACGCCATCCTCTTAATGACCAAGTTGAAGCGACTACAACATTCCGAGTGCACAGAGAGAAGATGAAATACCATCAATTTTAATTATACTGGATGGGTCTACGAAAGATGACTTAGTTGCATGATCTAAAGTGGCATGGAGAAAAACGGACGTCTTGTCGACACGCACCCTTTTGGCTCGAGAGAAAAACGCAGTATTGGATATCTATATTCTTTACTCTTCTTGCACACATGGAATATACTGTTGATATCTTGTGCATGAATAAGTTATTCTTTATATTTGTATAGCTGTCCATGTAAAAGATCATGAAGCTGGCTCTTGATTTTTGCTTTTAGCTGCTCTATTGAGCAATTGAATGGATCAGTAGTCACCAAGAAGTCTTAAGCAAACGCGGGGTAGTCGCATCGTATCCTAGGAAAATATATCCTATTGAAGTGAAAGGCAGTAAAATAGATCGATAACAGTGCTACACCCTATAAAAGTTACGTCCTCATGACAGAAAAAGAAAGAAAGAAGAAAAGAGGCCTTCACCCAACAACCCATCATCCCCTCACCATTCGACATGATACTCTTGTAAACCTATGAGTAAGAAATATTATAATGTGTCATCTTCTCTTGACAAATAAGTGTGTCCTACTGTGGTCTATGTCCATATAAACCCATAGTTAGGCTACTTCAAGCACGACTACACATCGAGTGCAAGTCCAATCCTCTTTTCAAGTTGGGATATTGATAAGACCTAAATATATATATAATAAGCGTTGTTTTATCGAAGTGTAAGATTTCTTTTTTTTTTCTTTATTGAAAACAACATGAGCCACTCTCATATCCATAGTAATGGAAAGTCAATCAATGAAGGAAAAAAAGAAGCCAAATGCTGATTTTTTTTCTTTCGAAGGCGAGTTTCGGGAGCTTGGTGGACAAAGAACAAATATGAATCAGGAAGAATCAGGGCAAGAAATGAAAAAGTCAGTCAATGAGCAACAGGTAGGGATACGTGCAGTAGGATAAGCTTCTTGCCATCTGGATTATCATTTACATATCCACAGTAACAACTTGATCCTCGTCTTATATTTTACTTTTATTTTTCGATATCCATAATCTTTTCCTTTTTATATCTCAATATTTCCACAAGTCAGCAAAAAGACGAAAGTGAGATAGTATGTTTATTGATATACTATCATAGTTGTCATACCGTGGTTTACGAAGATGTTAAGAACGTAATGTGAGCACAGTAGGAATTAAGGGTCACTCTCAGGGGATAAAATCAAGTCGATCACTACAATAATTTTTTTCTTCTTCCTCTTACAACTTTTAATCCAAAATGGTTAGTCACGTGCACCAACTAGTGAATAGAAGTATAAATCATGGATTACTCATGGATCATGTATATCTATGGGAAGCAGAAACCAAGTGAACATGCATCCATTAGAAAGTTACAGCAGGAATAAATATCAGCGACTTTTATACATATCATCATCAGCAGTAGCAAACATCTTTTGACTTGTTTGAACGGGATCTATGATCAACTTGGATGAAGTAAACATGACCTAAAAAATCGCAGGAATAATCCAACCATGAATGAACAAGACTAGCATAAGAAAGATGAAATCACGTTTCGCTTTTAACCATGATTAAGGAAGCGATCATACTACAGTAACATCAAAAACAACATTACTTTAAACTACACTTAAGCTCCGATCTGCATAATTGAGATGAATCGTGCCAAAATAGCACTTAACGCAACGGCTGTCATCAGTAAAAAAAAGGATAACGATGCTGCTCATTACAAGATGCTTACTTTTTTTTTTTTTTTTTTGTTTGCTTCATAATAGGGTCGCGTTAGGTAATTATCAGTAGACACGATTTGAAGGGGGAAAAAAAAATGGAGCAGAACAGTTGCTTTGTATCAAACAAAAATAGGAATAAGAGTACGTTTTTTTTGTTGAAACTGAGATGCCAGGAAATCTGACCTCCTTTCCACCAACCTTTTCTCGTTCTTTCCTTGCTGATGCATATTATCACTCAACAGAACTAAGACTGTCAAGAGGGCCTCCAAGGTTCTTATCGAGAAGTACTATCCTCGTTTGACTCTGGATTTCCAGACCAACAAGAAGATTGCTTCCGAGGTCGCCATTATTCCCTCCAAGCGTCTCCGCAACAAGATCGCTGGTTTCACCACCCACTTGATGAAGCGTATTCAGCGTGGCCCTGTCCGTGGTATCTCCTTCAAGCTTCAGGAGGAGGAGCGTGAGCGCAAGGACAACTACATTCCTGAGGTTTCGGCCTTGGATACCTCGTCTATCGAGATTGATACCGAGACCCATAACTTGCTCAAGTCTTTGAACTTTGAGGAATTGGCTGGTGTTACCGCTGTCGAGGTCAAGCAGGCTCCTATCGAGACCCGCAAGCCCCGTCCCCCCCGCCCTGAGCGTGCTTAAACAAAAACACAAAAAGGGAGAATGAATAAACATTTCTAAACTTTTTGGCACTGGATGATTTTTTAGTTTATCTTGAACCATGTCGAAGATCAAGACACTACTCTGATATTGAAATGATGTATCAATCACTACACTAAATCATCGTACTGAATGACATTAACGAAAAAAAAAAAAAAAAAAAAAAAAAAAAACACACACACACACACACACACATTATAAACAAAGATGGGTGTTTTTTGCGAATATGGGGGTTTTTTTTATTGTAGAACAATCTGACTATCCATCATATTGCAAACACTGGCCTGGCATGAGCATAGCGCTGTGTGTATGCCGCAAGGTCAGCAGCGTAGGTGTCAAGGTCAACACTTTCAGCAAAACTTCCAGTATAGTCTTCGTAGCAGGGCGGTAGTATCTCCAAAGGCCAGTCGTCCTGCAATGCCTCGATAGCCTGTTGGTCAATTTCATGGATCTTGTCCCCTTCTACCAGTGTCGTTGAAAACGATCGGTAGTAACTTGGAGGATTTACTCCGTCCTCCTTGTACTCTTGGTTACTCACAATCCGGATCGCTGTCTCATTCTCAGCGATGCCATACTCGACCACGGACTCAGCATCCTTACTCAAACTTGTGAAATGGATCACGAAGCGGATCGAATGCGTCACTTTAACACTTGCATTTGTATATGTTCCAGATGCAAGACAAAAGCCCTTTTCGAGTTTCGATCGAGGACTAGAGAGCGAAAGGGCTGTGTCTGATTTGCACCAATGAGTAAGCGGCAATTGTGGAACCCTGAATATGAGCCGTTTTATAATAGGAGCTGGCTCTTCAGGGGTGGACGAAGGCCAGTCCTGGATCGGACAGTTCTGCCTTGTAACTAATCGCTCGTCGACTAAGACTTGATCGGCGGAGGGACGAATGTAATAGATTGATTCCAGTAGTTCGATAGTGATTTTAGTCACTGTGGTCGCGTTTCCTTTGAGATTTAGATTCAACATTAATGGGATTGTAGCTGCTTGAGGTAGGACAGAACAAGGGATACTGATTTGACCTGAGAGCCGAGCAGCTTCTTCAGAAGAGATACGCATCACAGCAGTGTTGAAGAAATTATCTGAAGGGAGTTCATCTCTCTGCAGAAGTATGACTGGCTTTGTAATATGAAATGGTGAAGAGAAAGGGAGGATGGATGTCGTATGAAGTGAGGCTGTGAGTTGGTAATCGATGTTAATGTCCTTTGAGGTGATTACCGCGGGCAAATGGGAACTGATGGGTAAAGAGAATGGGAACTGATGAGTGCCAACAGGAAGTATGAGCGGAGCCTTGGACTCGCTGAGGAGCAAAGTTTGTTTCTGTTCTACCAGAGTACTCCCGAAATTATGTTTGTCTACGAATTGAACCCAATACGGCGGAACAGAAATGATGTCAGGTTAGATTGGTGAGATTGATTAGATTTCAACGTGCCCCATGCGTTTAACTCAAGGGCGTGATATCCCCTCAATCCCTAAACAAGGGTTTAAACACCGCAGATGAACAAGGGTTCCAAATATGTCAACATGGACAAGATTGACTACATTTATGGAAAAGCCCTCTTGATGTGGTACCTTCTATAACTCATTATCAACCATGCGCACAAACAAAAAAAAAAAAAAAATAGCTGCCATGACATCAGCCAATTTTGGCCGCAGTTTCCCTTTCTGGCTTTGTTTGACGCCAAATAAAAAAAAAAAAAAAAAAAAAAAAATAGAATCGCGTCGCTACTTAAAAATCAACTAAAGCTCGATTTTCAATACTTTGCGAAGGACTGGGTAACTGCGACGTAAAATGGCAGGAATAACCATTGAATGGATCAATGTGGTTATAATGCGCAATTCGTAACCTCTAAAAAAGACTTGGTAAAAATAAAAATAAAAAAATTACTTACCAAGGGCGAAGCACGGTTGTGCACCTGGAATATTGGAAGTCTCAAGATAGAACGAGGTCCTTGCGTACCCAACAAAGACTATTGAAAGCGACTTCACTTTTGTAGGCTTTGTGAGGCGAAGGAAGATGGTACCTTCAAGACTGTGGTGTTGTGGATCTGATATTGATACCTCTGGGATTACAATATGTGGTTCGTTTAGGTTGATAGAGAACCAATTATTCGTAGATGAATGACTCATGTTGTTGAAGCTGTTATATGAAAGGGCAGTAATCCTTTTGAGACTGATAGTCGTAAAAAGAGGATCAATATATCGAAGAGCAAAGTGTACTAATGTTTAATGTTTATGTGTGTGATAGTTCGATGAAACTGAGGGATGTCGTTGCGTAAAGAATGTCTATAAAAGAATAGTATGCGGAAAGAATGCAATGCAATGCTGATGAAGAACAGAAAAAAAAAAAATAAAGACAAAGACAAAGAAATACGAAGAAATGTAAGTGTGAATAAGTTGAAGGAACAAAAAGATGAAAGGAGATAGAGCGCTGTTTTATATAGCCATAATTGGAGGAGATGAGAGAAAGATTAAAAAAGATGTTGATTGCTCCACAATAAATAAATGTTCAGTTTTGGGGGACACGGACTGTTTCGATTGAAGCATCAATTGATAGAACTTGGATTAAGTTTGCGGAGAATTCTTTTCTTTTTGGAAAGATATGTGATTAGGGGTCGAAGGAAAAGAAAATGACCATGATCTGCGTTGCATCATTTTTTTTAGTCCCTTGCTGTCTACCATCCTCGGATTGAGTCAGAAGTGGCCTTTCTATCCTTCCGTTTTCTTTTTCTTTGCACGCATGAGAGGGGGACACGGCCCCCCCTTTGGATCAGTCTACTCGGATAAAAACAATTAAAATCTCTATGCTTTCCATTCTTGTAAATTTGGAGTGTTCTTGACCAAATTTGCCACTGATAACGAAGATGCTCCCTCGTTGTTTCGATAGCTTTGCAAAAAATCTTCTCCTGTGTTTACCTTATGCCTCGGGATAAATAGAGTAAAATAGGAAAGACATGTGGTAGACCTCATTGTGTTCAATGGAGCAGTTTTATCATATATCATTTATCTATTTATTTTTTTAAACTCTACGGTAACATGGCTACACAGGGGTTGAATTGTCGGGTCTTTCCATCCCGCAGTTTTAATGTACTGCGGAAATATAAAAAGTATATTTTATTCATCATGTTGTATTTATTTAACTTCTGTCTTGTAAGGTGTACACATCCATATATACAATATAAATATTCCTGTAATGTTGAATCAAATTAGCGTCAAAATAGCATCTGCAAAAGAAAAAAGACAAGGTGCGTGCGTGTTCATGAATACGCGGATAAGATGAGGTGGCTGCCGTGACTATACCTTGAGTCCTGCTTTTACAGGACAAATATGAATTATGATATTCGCGGCGTCCGAAATCTTCTCCTGTTGTCCGTCCTCTTTTCTATATGAAATAGATATCCTTCTGTACTACAAATGATAAATCTATTCTTTCAAATCAATCATTCACCGCTTGTTTATTCTTTATTCTTTTTTCTTTCTGGAAGGCAATGTCTTGGCACAAACATGCCCTTCTACTTCACCGCCACAGAAGACAAGGTTATTGTCACCATGAATACTGAAGATGAGATGTCAATTGATGGACGGCGAAGCAAAAATAGAAAAAGTGGGCAGCTGGAGGTAACGCTGTCGACTCTTACCCCATTGCGGAGAAAAATCTTTTGAAGAGAAGCAAAAGAACCTAAGATTCGATACTTTGAACGCCCTTTTATTTATAAATAAAATGAATATTGCCTGGGAAGAGAGTTATTGTCACATTGCTGTAGAAACTGAGGCGATGCTGTTGCTCTCAACTAGCTCCTTCATGAAAGAATGGCCCTATCCGTGTATGTACAGAAGTATGCGAGATATAGAATAGTACATGACAAACGAAAAATGAATTAATTAATCATTAAAAACATGGTGCTCTCCCATACCAACGCCCGATGCCTGATTTTGGAGCCTGTGCAACCAAGCCCCATGGATTCTTACGCTGCAGGGAAGATTTGAAAACATAAGGCAAATCGGTCGGATGACGCAATTATCCGAACAAAATTGCGTACAGAACGGAAGGCACCTTGGCATGAACTTGGGTTTGCGGACTGTACCTTTCGTTTTTTTGCTAGTCAAAATGAAGGTACATGTACATCTCGAAGATGTATTGAGGACCTTATCGTCCCTTCTAAAGAGGAGTCCATACTATTGGAGTAGCTGATGGACCTTCCCTATTCGTCTTCATTTCATCATAGGTAACTGGAACAGCTCATGTTGTTGATTTGGTTCTGTCGATCCTACTCTGCATCGCCACATGCTCATCACAAAAAAAAGCCTCCTCGTTAGATAGAAAAGCGGCGTGTGTCTGGCCTAGTACATATTCAGTTTATGACGAGAGCCCTTTCACCTTGTGTTCGGTTTTCGCTGCCTAAATTAGCGGCGAGGATCCTAAAGATGTAGGGCCGACAGACAGGGGAATGTGATTGCTGTTTTTTTTACAGAACGATATTGGATAGGAGGGCGTTGATGAGGATATGGGTATGATAGACCTGGAGACCCTAGGCGTGCAAAACACCATAACAGTTGATGAGTAAATCAGGATTAGCAAATATACAAAAAAAAGAAAGACTAAGAACATCCAGAGGAACACAGGACCAATCATTCGCGCGGGCCACCTCTTTATTTTGGATGCCCGATGCTAGGGATAGACCAAATCTTGTCAGAATCTTGGTTTAGAGTTTCAATGTAATGAAGGCTCGTTATAAGTGGATGCTCTCCTTTGACCATTGAGAAAGCTCCACCGCCACATTTAGAACGTCAGACATGACAGGGAGTTTTTTTTGTAACGTATCGAGTATGTACGTTGCTCACAATAACTGAACGCAAAGCTTTATAAATTCACGTTATCATCTTTTCATCCCTCTCTCATTCACTTTCCTTGGTCACGCCTTCTTTTGCCCTCTCTTGAACTCATAATCTCTTCTGTTTGTGCTGGGCACCTCATTGCTTTGACACCTCAAAGAGAGGACCCTTCCGCTTTTACTCAATTCGCATTCACTCTCCATTCACATTCACTCCTCCATTCACCTTTTTTTTTAAAAATAAAAGAAAATTTCTTCTCTCAATTTTGTTAAGCCCATAAACGCGTTCCTTAGATCGCGTCTCCTACTTGTCTCATATTCCTTTCATTCGTCATATTATCACTTGCTCATCAGCAAAGGCTTTCAATTGACTACATTCTGTACTATACAAGGTAATTTTTGCATACCATAGGATACCTGGTCAGATATTGGCCTAATTAATCTATTTATAATATCTAAACCCAATATCATGTTGTTCATATTAAGTCTTTTGTCATGCAACATTGGTACTTTGTAAAGGAGTTGACATGACGAGGTGTGCGAATTTTTTTCAAACGCACGTGTCTGGCTATTGACGAAAGCAGTAAGGAAGGACAGTTGATAATAGAATAAAAAAAAGGGCCATTGTAAAAGTCGTGCTCTCGTTTCAATGGGCAGTGCATCATTACGATCTATCCTTTTTCAGCCCAATAGTTTAGGCGCGACAGGGCGAGAGCACTGATCGCTCTGACTCTTAACACTTGTCCCACGTTGATGACTCTCCTCAGGCTCTGGTGTCTAATATATGTCTATTAGACCTTGTTATGTCAAGGAAGACATTTGTGTCTGTGTTTAATTGAATCTTTGGAGGAATGCGAAACTGTACAAGGTTTTTGATTTTCTCGTAACCTGCTTAAAAAAAAAGCCCCCCTATTATCGCGCGTTCTTTGGATAATAATTAGGATTACCCATTTTTACCATTTTTTTATACTCCATGAGGAAGATGAGGACATTGAGTGCGGTACATGTTGATAATTAGGACATAATGAATAAGCTTTTATACAACCAAACTTCCTCCTTATTTTTTCTTTCATTAGCCTTTTTTTTTTCGCGTTCTCATTTCGTTATTGAGTATTTGTGGGAGAGTGAAGAGGCGAATTAGCTCAGTAACTTTACGTGTTTGTGTGCTTGTACTGTGATGGATGTAGTTGATTAAAAAAAAAAAAAAGATAAACATGGATGCGGCTGGGTTCACTGCCCAATATATGACAGATTTGAATACAAAGACGGATTAGCGTTTTAGGCATGTTTTTTTGTATTGGAATTTTAATTGATTCGGCTGTGCAAATATTGGCTTCTCTAGACTGTGCATATTTTTATTTTTGTAATGCCAAAAAACTTTTTTTGCCTCTCCTTCTCCCTCTTTTTTATCTCTGTCTCTCCTTTACTCACTCTCTCGCTCTTGACATTCGTTTCTTCACACATTTCAGAACATTCCTCTTTATTTTGATGAATCAATTCCACCTTGACCCTCTAACACGCATAACATAATTATTTTTATTTCCCTTCCCTTCACTTGAACCCTTTTTTCTTTTTTTTTCTCTTGTTGCTATTGTTCTTTTTCAATACAACACAGCCCCATTGGTGTTTGTCTCTGCTTTTCTTTTCTTCCTTTTCCTTTTTTTTCCTTTTCTCTCTTCTACTTCTTTTCTCCTTTGCCTTGGCCTGCCCAGAAGGACTTACTGTTATTCCTCCTCCTTCCCCCACCTCTCTCTCTCTCTCTCTCTCTCACACACACTCTCTCTCACACTCTCTCTTTCTTCCCTTGTCTCTCTCCCTCTCCTTGTTCCCCACGCTCATTCAACTAACTGTTTGCTCTTGTCCTCTTCATTCTATATCCCTATCAACCCCACATCGTTCGTTGTCTTTACACTTCCTCCCTACTCATAACGTACTCCCTTTTCTGACATCATTCTAAATCTCTCTTTCTTTCTATCTCTTAATCCATTCTATCTTTTATTTCAAGTCTTGGTCTGCGTATTTGTACGAACAACTTTTTCACTCTACGTTATCATCAAACACTCGTTTTCTCTCTAGTTGACAGTAATAGCTAATTATCTCCTATCAACTCTCCTCTTCTTTCCCAACCTCATTCGCATTCTCTTTCACCATTGTCATAGATCATGAGAGAACCAAATTTCTCTTTTCCAAGCCAAAACAGAGCTGCCATATGCATCTCAAGCTCCATGTACGACAGACGTGCCCTTGACTGCACAGACTATATCCCACTCATTAACACCCTCACCAACCTCGCTTATCTCACTGGCTCCACACCTACCATCCGTGAATTCATTACCCGTGATGGAGGCTTGGAGCGCCTTGTCACTATCCTCAAGCACACTAAAGTTCATGATAAGAAGAACGGTCTCAAGTGGACCCTCGCTTTTCAATGCGTGGTCAATATCGGTATTCGTGGCACAGAACATATCCGTAAGCGAGTCGTCCAGGCTGGTATGGTTCCAGTTATCGTCAATGTCTTGGAGAGCTTCTTCACTGTCCTTAAAACTGTCAGCGATGAGAACGAGCGACGGAGAATGCTGCGACGAGCAGAAGCTGTACAGCAGAATTCACAGCCAATCATTACCAACGGAGAGCTCTCTACAGACCAAGACCCACAGCTTTCAACCGCACCCTTATCAGTTGAGCAGGAGCAACAGCCCCATGCTGGTCAGGACACTTTGAACAATTCCTCCTCCTCCTCATTTTCTTCTACCACCACATCTTCTCTGGGGCCCTCTACAGCCAATCTTAGCCCAGCAACCTCAGCGTTCTATAACCGAGGTACTATGGACAACACACAGGGACCTTCTACGATGCCAACCACTCAGGAGCCAATGCAAGCGCACTTGAACCCTAACAGCACTCGATCATTACCTATCCAAGTTGTCGACGGACGGCCGCAGCAGCAACTACCACAATTTTTTTACCGCGAAGATGATATTCTTCATTCACTTCAGCTTCTGGCATATCTTTCAAAATATCCATCGCTTCGTTCAGCGTTCCACACGGATACAGGATCAAATGTCTTTGCCATTGTAGAAAAGTTCACAAACAAAGCCATGTATCCAGTGGAGATTCAATATTGGGCCGGCGTCATTATGCGAAATGCCTGTCGTAAAGATGATTCGAGAAAAGGTATTCGGCAGTGTGCGTACATTGGCTGTGGCAAATGGGAAACTCAACCACGTGAATTCGCAAAGTGTCGTAGATGTCGCAAGGCAAAGTACTGTAGTAAGCAATGCCAGAGTAAAGCATGGAATGAAGGTCATCGCTGGTGGTGCGTCGAAAAGAAGCCAGAATCCATGGGCGTTTCATCGTCATTTGGGACCGATCCTGCTCCTCCTCCACCGCCCCCTCCAGCAGATCTTCAAGATCAACCTGACACTTCCCCAAGTTTGATGGAGAATGGCAGTATTTCATCCATGGCATCGGGTGCAGGTGGAGCAAGGATGATTGGTGGAGGGGAGGGCGGAAGCTCAACAAGTCACCATGTCCACAGAATTCATCAACCCCAAATCCAGCAACAGCAACGACCGATATCGTCGCCAGTTCCGGTTTCTCAACCACATATCCCAGTACTCGCCACTTCAGTGTCAATCCCAATGCCGATGGGAGCTCAAGCTCCGTATCAACAGCAACTCCTTCAACGTCAGCGTATCTCGTTGCCTCCACAATCGCAATCACAGCCGCAGCAACAGCAGCAACAACAACATGAGCAACTCCGTCATCAACTCGTATTGGATGCTTATGTTCAAGGACAACAAAATCAACAACAAAATCAGCAGCAAATGTTCATGCTACAGCAACAACAGAGACCTGGCCAACAGCCTCTCCCACAACAGCAGCACCAGCAGCAACAACTACCGCATATGCGAAATGCCCCCTCCTCTTCCACAAGACACCATCATGTTATAGGACCACCTCAAAGATCTATGACCCAACCTCATCCAACAACAGCCCCTGTTCGATCTTCACGCAATGGAATCACTCCTCATCTCGGCTTCACACCAGACTCGCCTACGCCAGAGCAGCTCGCCCAACGCTTTGTTCAGCAGGCTGCATTATACCCAGGTCAGCATAATGAACTGGTTCAAGGATTGAATGCCCAATTTCAACAGTATTTCCCACCTCATCATCAAGAGGAAGCCAAACGCCAGTTTTCCTTTCATCTTCGAAAACTTTTTGCTCGCAACCAAAGACAGCAGGAGCTTATGCGAACCGAAGGCCCTGGATCGTCTTTCCAGAATTCCAGTAGCCGTGGTCTCGTCTATGGACCTCCTCCAGCATCTATGATGGCTCCCGGCGTTCCAAGGACATCAGGCATGTCAACGTCAGGCTCAAGCATGGATGTTTCGAGACAAGGAACTCCCAGGCGGCGTTCCGATCTTGATTCTGATGATGAGGATTCAGCACGAAGCTCGCATATGATGTCCAACAGTAGCCTTACTGTACCCATGCTAACTCAAGATCTGTCCACAACTATGTCTTTAACATCCACTGAACTATCCGGACCACTTCCTACATCTTTGATGAATGCGCGCATGTCCGGGAACTCGACACACCCTGCTCCCTCCGCTGCTAGTGCTAATTATCCGGGCGGATTAGACTCTAATGGGGACCATGCCACGGCCCGAGACTTCAAAGTTCGTAAGCTTATGTCGCCCGATGAACCATCAAACCGAAATGGTAGTTCTTCGGCTGCACTCAGAACGTCAGAGCCAGTGCAGAGAGAGGATGAGTGGACTTATTCGCGACACATGGCGAACGACTCCTCAATGGATCCTTAATTTTCTATCTTAATATTCGTCATCCATTTGCTATTTTACCCGAGAGGGATTTATGTATCTTAGCACTAAGAACTCATGTACTATAATATAGATCGTTTTTGTCTCTTCAAAATCAAATATATCCAGAACCTTCGCCCTTTGTGTGTTGGACTACAATAACCTCGTCATGAATATCCCCTAGTTTTGTTACTCTCAATGTTCCACTTCTTGATCATCGACAGATGTAATGCTATTATCACACAGAATTTATTTAGACGGTCTGCATGGACTAATTTTGTTCTCCACAGTAAACAATCATGTTCACAGAGTAATTGATGTAGGTAATCAATAGGAGATAAATCGATATTATTACGAATGGAGATAGAAAGAGAGAAGCAGATATGCACGCATCATGTATTAGATGATTTAATTACAAGGGCACATAACAATTTTATCGCCTAAAAATACACAAAAACAGAAAAGCACATTATCATCAATCAATGAGACGTAGCTGTACTAGAAAAAGATTTCAACTGTGGTGTTTGGGTTCGTCATTAATGTGCAGCAGGGTTGCCGCAAACTTCAAGATAAGAGGCAACTAAGTAGTCATAAAAAGACACATCTTGTAAAGGCTTTAGGTTAAATACTAAGACTATAAAGGCTTTAGAGGATAGAACTAAGGAATCATGACAAAGCAAAAAAAAAAAAAAAAAAAAAAAATTATGTGCTAGAAAGACACAACTGAGGATATAGACAGGAACTCGATCTGCGTCGATTCACGTAAGGGATCGAGACTTCTACCCTAATCTTGAGGTTGACTTTCAACCAGCTCTCTGTTCTTTCTCCAGCCAGAATAGGATCATGAATCAACGTCTAACTTTTAGGGTCCTAGTATCCAAAAGAAAGCACAAGTTCAAGATCAGGCAAAAGCTCCCCCAATCCCCATCCGAGCGACACCGTTATTTACCGACAGTGCACAGGAAGACAGAAGATATCGCCAAACCTGAAGTCAATATATAAACTAGAATTCTTAAAGCAACCTCAGACTTTTTTTTTTTTTTTTTTTTTTAGGTATATCTCTTGATGTCTTTATTTCTAAATAAAATTACTTGGATACATGCTTATGAAGAGTGCACAAAATTACCGGCATATAGAATACACCTCTGGTCAAACCATTGTTGGAAATATAGAATATATTTCGAATGGGATGAGGTATGTTCTGCAGTACCCTCTCATTCGGATCAAATATCAATCGAGGTTATCGATATGTGTATCGAAACAGACAGCATATTATCCGTAACAAGCGCTGGAAGGCATGATAGTTGGATGGTTAGACCATCCTTCAAACATTTTATACGGAGTAGTTGCGCCACAACTTATGAACACAATGGTATAAAATTTGAGCTATTCAGATCGTAAGATAAAATAGATCATCGCCTCCATTTATCGACGCATTTTATCTCCTCATGTGATGAAGCAGACATACATGGCGTTAAAACAAATCATATCTTTGTTTTTAATGCTTTTCTTTTTCAATCTGTGAAAAAAACGTACTCCTCGTCTACTCCATATCCATATCAAAAAGCTGCCCATCCTTAATTTCCTTGGAAGCGGTAGCGTGAGCTATAAAGAGCCATGATTACAAAGTTGTAACAACGAAATCAGACATATTTTTCATATAGATAAAAAAGGCTAAAGCATAACCAGCCGCTTGTTAAGCGCCATTCTTGCATGAATACAATAGAGCGCATAAGCGCACAGACATTCTCTTTACCTTTGGCATCCTCCTCCTCTTGCGCCTTTGCAATAGCCTTGCGCTTCTCTTCATCCGAATCGTTGTCAGAATCAGAATCAGAATCGTGAGTCTCAACATTGAGGTGCGAGCGGCTGTGGTGGCTTCCAGCCTGGTGAGGCAGGCTCCCACCAGTTACACCAGCGACAAATGCGAGCTTTGCAGGAGGGGTGCGCGACAAAGGCGAGTTACGAAGGTTCAACAAGGTGTTGCGATCATAAATGATTCGAGTTCCTTTTTGAATTTTCGTAGTATATATGAAGAAAAAGAAAAAGGAAAAAGAATTTGGGTTGTTAGTTGTTAGTTGCGTCACATTTTTTTATCAAGGAGCAATTGTCCTTGTAAATGGCATAACATGCTAGAGTGTAGAAATTGGTGTCACAATGAAACCCAATTGTGATCCAGAGAGTCAAAATTTCCTCCACCTCACTAAGTTTTGAATAAATAAGCAGCAGACCAGCTTGTGTACAAGCATGTATTCCTCGCAGCCATTGGAATCATAAAGGTTATGAGCTATCCTGACTTCTCTTTCGTTGGTGGAAAAAATCCTGTCTCCTGATTTGATCATTGATGCACCTGACCTGTATGTCTTCGTGGGAAAGGCTCTTGTGTAGGGGAAATATAAGAGGTTGGTCTCACTCAATGTTGTGATAGACAGAAATAAAAATTCTGTCATCCTGGTTTTTGTGGCAACCAATCTTTGAGGTGTCATGAGTGAGCCACTCGGGGCAAAATGCAACAACCCAATAATATCGTTTCTTCGTTGGAAATATACAAATAAAGAGCAAAACAAAGGTCTACGATGATGCTGATTCTTTTCTTTTGTTACCTCCAGGAGTGCTCGAATAGATGGTACCACCGGGGGTGGTGCCATAGTCCAAGGGGATAGGCGTGCCGGGTTCAGCCCGTCTGCTTGGAAGAGGAATCGCCTTGGAGTTGGTTGACATGTTTTATGCTTCTACTTTGACGATTTCGGTGGGTATTCTCGTTTCCGTTCTCTACTTTTATTCAGATGAGATTAGGGAAAAGTGAAGGAGACACCACAAGTAAAATGAAGTGGAGGTTATGGTAAAAGTAAGATTAGTTAAATTCGTCAGGTCATGAACCCTCCCTGCTGCCTGAGTTTGTCTCATCCTGGCCTCAGCATCACAAGAGAATTATCTTTACTGCTCAAGACTATTTGAATATGTTGTTCTTAAGAAATAATAAGATTGTGTTTGTGTGTGTGTATGTCGATGGCTCACTCATTTCTCATTACTCGGCTTCATCCACTGCAAGGGACACATGCAATACCTTGATCGAAAGCAAAAAAAGCAGTGGTTGAACACAAAGAGAGCGCCGCACTACTTTATAAAAAGGCAAAAAAAAAAAAAAAACAAGATTTGGTGTCACGTGCTTGAGGCATATTCTGTCTGGAGAATAGGTATCCAGTCGCGATCGATCCTTTGCTCAAAAAAAACTTCGTTGGTCTATGTTGGAAATAACATGCGACGCATTAAACCTCAGCGCCGAAAGGCTTCTCCGGCCTACTCTCAAGATCAATTAGGCGCACCAAGCCTTAAAGAAAGACATCTTCCTTTTTCTAATACTCAGAATTATCACCAAAACCACACTCACACTCCGACCTCAAGCCAGATCCAAGACGACGGAGAAAAGGTTAGAGCTTCTGGCCTAATGATCACATCGGAAAAAACCATATAAACTGTCCATAAGCCTTACAGAGTTCTCGCGCGCACAGCCAGACATAGGCTCGAACAATAAGGACGCTGAAATTGAGAGTGATGACAGCATAAGCATACTGCTCCATGAGTTTGATGACGACCTAGAAAATAGTATCAGTAGAAAGTCACGTAGAGTCGAGAGCTATTTAACCACAAGCAGCATTCAGCGCCATCAAACCTCAAAGATACAAAAACATGGCATTACTGATAAAATTCATCGAGGTTCAAAAGAAGCTAAAGAAATTAGCTCTCTAAAGGATTCAAAGATGGGGGATCCTGACGAAGATCTTGCTGTTGAGGATGAGCTACTTTCGTCCTTGGAGTCTGTTGATATGGACTTTAGGCTAGGCACAGCTTCGACGGCGATAAGCAGCTCGATCACCAAGGCCACTAAGAGCGCGTCTTCAACACATTCCATTTCAGAAGCTCAAAACGCTATTGATGATATTGATCAAATGCTCATGGAGAACTCTTCAACTGCTTTCAGTCCTTTATATGAACGCTCAGCTTCAGCGGAGTCAAACATTGTAAAGGCCGAACAAGTGCAACCTTTCCCTGATCCGGGTTTGGATAAGCTTGACTCATCTTTTGAGGATAAGGATATTTCGGAGAAATCAAACTATAAAGAAAACAATGGAAAGGTCTACGACGCTGCCAAGATGAAGCTTTGTGGAGGCAAGTTTATTTTTAAGGCTCCTGAGCCATCTTCTGTCCATACTCAAATCGATAGCACCAAACATCAGGATGGTAAAGAAGCACTTCAGCACGACGAAACTTTGTATGAAGAAGAATCATCGAAAATAGATACCGCGAACGATAGTCCTTCCATAGCCCGCGTGGATATTACTGAGAATTTGGAGCAAGATCAAATCGAACCAAACTCGAATGCATTTGAAGTACCATCGACTGCTGCGGAATTCAAGTCGCGTCTTGATGGTTAAGGACAGCCTGCTCTTTTTTTTTTTGTTGCATTACGAGTTGTGACCGGCACTCCTTACTATGATTACACTATTCCATTACTTTCACTACGCTAGATATAAGCGTCAAGTTCCAATCGACCTTGAACAAAATGATTGAAGCAATACAGTATGTTCTTAACTTGTGCTTATTTTGCTCAGATGCTCAGTCGAAAATATCATTAATATCATTGAAATTGTCCAATATCTTTTTTGAGTGATGTAAATAGTCTCCATGAGTCGCTCAAAGACAATCTCTTGGGACACCAAGCTTATCTCGACCAAAGAGGACGAGGAATTCATAGCAGAGTACAGGAGCTTCAGAGAGATGCGGCTACTTTGCACGCGAGAGCCTCAAAAGGATTAGCCTGAAGAGTGTTTAGATAATCGATGACTCCCCTTGCTATTCAACACAATTAAAAAAAGAGGCCCCACTCTCAAATAAATAATGCCAGCGTACCAATAGTCACAAACCTCGTCAAAAAAAAAAAAAAAAAAAAAAAAAGATCGTATTTCTCCATTAACTTTTAATCACATCTCAATTGATCATGGAACCAACAGAATCACACGATGATGCTCTTGCAGATCGTATAATGAAGTATGCGACCTCCAAGGACTCTAATAAACTTCCAGCTTTCCCTGGGGATGATATTGAATCTCTCCCCTCCGATTACGAGTATAACGAAGGAGACGACTATCAAGAAGAAGAAATTGAAGAGATATCCGAGATGGATTTACTACAACAACTGGACGCATCAATCCCTCCCTTACTTTTAGCACAGGAGCTCTTTAATGAAAACGTTGATTCCAAATCTTTTAAGGTTCTTTCTGCAGACAATGGCAACGAACTCTTCCATAACGGATTTACTGTTCTTGAGAACGTGATTGACCCTTCGATAATTCAAACAGTACGTGAGTGGAGCATACACATGTTCAAGACGGGCCAAATGGATAAGGCCAGTGGGAGGCACGACGAGGAAGAGGACCCATTTCGAGAGGGTAATGCTCGTGGTGATTATACGATCTGGGTCTCCCCTGGATCAAAGTTTTTGGAGCAATCCCAAGCATTGAACGATTGCGTAGATTGGTTTTCAAAGCAATTGCACGATGACCTTGCTAAACTCGTGCACTTGCATGGAGATGCAGAATATCAATTGGCATACTATCCTCCAGATTCAAGTCATTATGAACGCCATCGTGATTCCTTCCCTACGAATGATCGTGAAGACCGGGATCAACGTCGAATAACCGTATGCCTTTTTTTTTTTTTTTTGTTTTTTGTTGGAAAAAATCGATGAATTGGTGTGCATTTCTTACTAGAAATCTATGTCGCTTATTCCTTTAAATTTATTATTATCATCTTTAGGCAATTGTATATTTCAATCCAGAGTGGACTCAAGGAGATGGCGGCGAACTCAGGATCTTCGATAAGGGTATGGGCGATGATGGAGAAAAGCAAATTGATATTGCTCCCAAGGCTGGACGCTGTGTACTTTTCCTAAGTGGAGTCATAGATCATGCTGTTCTTCCTTCCTTCAAAGAACGTATCGCTCTCACTTCATGGTACCGATAGATCACATAAGAAAAGCACATTTATACAATATATATCAACTAAAGTGGATTAAAAACAGATAGCATGTACTTTAGAAAAAAATCTATTTAGCAATTCTCATCTCTACTTTCCAATTTTTTTTTTTTGATAATGAGGACCAATGTGGCCACGTAGGATTTATTTAGATGTTAGCTCTATAAATGGATTGTCCCATTACTGGGGAAAGCCTCCCAGTAGACCCTTCGGTTACCGCTTTTTTTTTTTTTTTTTTTTTTTTTTTTTGATAACAAGGACCCTCAGGGTCATGGGTAGACCCTTCGGTTACCGCGCTTTTTTTCTTTTTTTTCGTGTTAACAAGAACCCACAGAGGTGAGGAATTTTATTTCATAATCTCGCTCTAAAGTAATGATATCGCCCTCAACTATGAAACAAGCGAAACTCTCAAAGTTCGCACGGGATGGCTGTGAAGAGCCAATTCGTATCCATGTTTTTCTCTACCAATGTACACCGTGATCGGTACTCGAAGTCCATCCTTCCGATGTGGCCTGTTGCACCCGTGAAAAGCCGCGGAGGCTGGCGTGCCGACTCTAGCCAAGGACGACTTTTAATTTTTTTCTATTCGATCAAATCCACTGGCATGTGGACCCAAATCTTGCGGGATTGGTCTGAAATTTCTACTTTGGACTCCGTCAAACTTTGTGATCATCGCTGTCCTAGTCAAGTGGGTGGATGGGGGGGATGTGCTGCCAGATGTACCGCTGGTTCGGCTGGGGGGTGGAATATAAACCTAAGACATGTGGCCAGCCAGGCGACTTAGGGTAGTGCACCCACGATCTTAGCCTTAGCGGAGAACACTAGGCTGTCTCGGAGAGAAAGTATAAAAACTCAAGCAAATCCCTGACCTGGCACATGTTTGCTTCACTTTATGTGCCTTAACCAGGACTCGAACCCGGCCCCTGGGCTAGACAGGAGGGTGCCCTGACGAACGAGTATACTAGACCCTTCGGTTACCGCGCGAGTAGCCTTCCATGAAGTAAAAAACTATTAATTGCTAAAATCATATAGTTGGTCACGTGTTGTGTTCAGATTTATATAGTTAATTATTGCCTTCATCCTCCGTTCCGGAGGATTGGCGCAATTGGCAGCGCGTCCGTCTCCAAAGCGGAAGGTCGGGAGTTCAAGTCTCTCATTCTCCATTTTTATTACTCATTTAACGAGTGAATAACGGGGTTTTTTGGACGAAATTATTTACACGGAGACTGTACAAATAAAGTGTGTACTAGTCTGTCCAAATATCTTTTTGGTTTTAGTAATGGTCATTTGCATGGCACCCTCGTACACACCTTATTCACACTGCCAATGTGCGAACAAATTTTTTTTTTATTTCCACGGGGTTTACTATTTCAGTCTTTCAAGAATTCCAAGAAACCTTGCCGATAGAGAAACATGTATTCATGTCCTTATGTGCGATGAGGATGTCGTCAAGATATTGTCTCAAGAAGATGTTGTCAGCTTCGATAAATAGTCTGATGAGAAAAAATGGCTAATCTAAGGTCGGCTCTCACTGCCAAGTCCTAGCAGAGCTAAACAAACGAGATACCAGAGTTTTTACAGATAAAACAGGGAATAAAAGCCAAATAACGCTAGATAGATTGCCAAGCAAATCATGAGGGTATTCCTTGGCAGTTGGGCTGCCAATTAGTTAAATCCTATCTTTTTCTTATTTTCTCACATAGATAAACATCAATTACAGTCCCATAAAACACTCCTTATTATCATGTCGTTAAGGCGAGAATATTTATTCATGAAACAACCTCCTTGGACATGTTAATTATGGCACGAAAATAATCCGCCTCTAGCCAGTCACTTCAGCGAAACGCCATCTCTCTATTTTTCCATTTCTCTGGTATTGGTTATGGGCTTCACTACAGTAGTAAGCAACCCGGAACTCGTGCACGCTGCCCTGAAAGCACGGATGTCAAAGCCAGGAACTATGAAGTGAAGAGACTGACGGTGTACATCTAGCTGGCCCCAGAAGGGTGTTATTTTTTTGACATTTTGTATTTGAGTTATAGCCGGTTTCCTTTCTTTAATTTTGTCACCAAGTCTATGGAAAATTTGTAAACGAGGAGAACCATGATTGCATGGCGCTTGAGACGAGGTCCTCTTGAGAAAACGAACAATAAGGCGTGTACGGGGCTGCGGGGAACAGTTAGTAATCTAAATGCAGATGTAGAATGTGAGATACCAACGTTTCTAACGTTTTTAAATCTGTAAATCAGATTTATGTTATCAAGTGCGTACGCAAGAAGTAGGACTATCAATTTTATATTATTATTATAATTATTATTATTATTACTATTATTATTATTACTATACACATTAGAGATACGTTTGCATACTACACTTGCGTCTATTTGAAATGAATCAGGTCCAAGTTCATAAAAAAATTTTACTTCTGCTGCCCTTCCCAGTAAATCTGATGGCGACCAACTTCAAACAAGTCAAAGTCCTTGGGATAGTCACCCTTGCTCAATTTATGCTGGGCAGCAACAACGATCTGGTAAAAACCCTTGGGTATAGCCTCAGGTATCTCGGATGGGTTCCTAGTCTTATAGACCTTACCATCCCAGACCCAAATACTGAAGAAGAGAGAGCCATTACTAAAATGGTTGGGGTCACGTCCCTGCCAACCAAAAGCAGCTCCTCGGTTGAGAGTATGGGCGTATCCAACAAACTTATTGCTCTCAGCATCGAAAATACGAATGCTAAGGTCAGGAGTGTGGGAACCTAGACGAGTAATCACAGCTGGCCACTCATCCATAGCCAAATTAAATTGATACTCTGGAGTAATTGGCGTCAATTGGCCATTAGACTTAACCGACAATAACATAGGGAATCCATTATCAGTGTCAAGTGTTGGAACCTTGGCAATATCTCCCTTGATACCAGTGTATGGAACGTGGACGGCAACGCCTCCCTTAGACTTAGGAGTGGCAACAACAAAACCAGAGTAAAGAGGGAAGCTAAAAGCATCACCCTTCTTTGGTTCCTTGAACGTCAGGGTGATCTTAGCGGTCTTGCCAGCAGGAATCTTGACCTTGTCTGCAGAAAATTTGACTGTAGCATAGTCGGCTTCAATGATGGGGTTACTAAAGGGGAAGGTGTTCTTGTCAGGGTACGAATTCAAAGCTTCAGCGGGGATATGAGAGAGAGAATAGGTCTCAGTGTGCTTGCCCTCGTTCTTGACCCGAATTTCGACAGTTCTCTTAAAGTGAGTCGAATCGAGAAGGTCAATATGGTCGGGTGAGATAGAGGTCGTGGTGGTAATGGCATTCAAGACGTTAACGAGACCAGCGCCTTGCTTGGCAGCAGAAGCCTTGATCTTGGAGCCATAGTTGGTGGCAATGGTTGCGGTGTTCTTCAAAACCTGACGGATTCTATCGCCACGGGGCCTGGACCCCTTGGCCTGCATGTACAACGCATGAGCGCCTGCAATGTAAGGAGTAGCCATGGATGTACCAGAGAAAACACCATAGGCATCTTGGCCAAGAGGTAGAGCGGACAAAATATTACCACCAGGTGCAGCAAGATCGGGCTTGGAACGGAGCTCGCCATCCAATCCGAAAGAAGAAAAGTCAGAGGGAGCGCCACCACCTTCGATCAAGAAGTTGGAAGGCTTCTTACTCCAAACCAGTGAGGTCTTGGGGTCTTTCTTCCAGACAGTAACCATGTTATTACCAGCCTTGTTCTCAACAGAGCCCATAGGAAAGTTGGGGATGCCACCTACGGCTACGAGTCCAAAAGGAGTAGTTTGAATAAGGATACCAACGGCCCCGGCAGTCTGAGCATTGGAGGCACGAGCACCAGAATTACAGCGAGAGAAATCACCAAAGGCAAGGACGACCTTGTCCTTGACATTGATAGTCTCATAAACGGCGGGATCACATCCGTCTGAGAGCGAGCCATCCTCCTCAAAAATGGGGACGAGAGAAGCGCTGGCAGGGAGCTTGATACGCTGACCATAGCTTTCTGATGGGAAATAGGGGTGAGCAACACCACCGTAAGAGACCGAATCGTAAAGTCCATGAGTATTGTCGAACGAAGCGACACAACTAGAAAGATCCCCCAAACCAGCATCAGCAACCATCCAGACGCCTTCAGTGCCATCGTTACCAGCAGCAGCAGCTAAAGCCATGCCACGTGCAGCCAATCTGTCACCGAGGATAGCAATAGGATTGTTCTTGTATGCAGATCCGCCTCCTAGAGACAAATTGATGATCTAAAAAAAAAAAAAAAAAAAAAAAAACAAACATTTGTGAGCAAAGTGTAGCAGAAATAGTGTGCATTGCCGAGATCCGGAAACACACAGACCCTTTGTGATACGAGACAAGGCGAAATTATAGAACTACTCCTTACATCCATGCCATCGTTGAAGGCCAACTCCATGGCAGCGAGGATAATATCATCTCCAGATGAGCCATCGCAACCAAAGACACGGTAGGCACCGAGGGTAGCTTCCGGAGCGACACCGACGAAAGGTTGAGGAGGTTTAGGCACGGTCTTTGATGTCAAGGGACTACTACCAATGATACCAGCAACATGAGAACCATGTCCTTGACAATCACGAGGATCCGAGCTAGGTTTAGGTTCATTCCGACCAGTATAGTCATCACCGACAAAGTCCCAACCGTACTTAATACGGCAATCCTTGCCATAGCGTGCAAAGCATCCTTCCTTAGCACCAGGGGCAGCGAAGGAAGGGTGCTTGTAGTCGATACCAGTATCAATGATGCCGATCTTGATGCCCCTTCCAGTCAACTTGTATTTCTTATGGACGATGTCAACGCCAGTCATGGAATGGGGAGAAGTCACCTCTGGATCATTAATCTGTTTGTTGCTCTTCTGAAGCTTAGGAATCCTGTGTAATGTAATAGGCCAGACGTTCTTGACAACAGGTAGCCTGGAGAGCTCATCACCCTTATGACCTGACTTTACAGTAATAGCAGCTCCGTGGAGGATATTGTAGTGAGTACGGATCTTGAAATCAATATTATGGGCTTTCAGGCTAATCTGAACTTGGTTGTGGCTAACATTAGGCTGGTACTCTATGATATAGCCAGTAGAATCAATATCACGGGGATCGATTTTCTGAGGATGGAATGTACCTGCAGAGACCAAAGAGGCCGCTGCCATGACAGAGACGATGGTGGCCGTGATTCTCATGGCGCTTTTCTATGCAATGATAGGGGTATAATGTAGCAGAGATGTTTTTAGAGTCTGACTATCAAAATCTATGGAGAAGAGAGAGAATGGGAGGATGATGAAGAAGAAGAAGAGGGGGGAGGAGAGGAAGAGGATAGGTTGAGGATTGTTGAGTCCTTGATGGCTAAAGAAAAGAAAAAAAAAAATATAGACCTCTCCTGACTTTGAAGGTTGAGAGTGACAATTGGAGCCCATTTCATTGTCGTTTCCTTTGAGATTGCCGTTATTTTGTACATGTGGATGGGCCCATGTCTTCAGAGCCTTCGTTTTTAGATCGATGGTTTAGATTGATTCTAGTCCCTCCCGCTACAAGGCATGCAAAACGGAAAGCAAGGTCTTCTAGCACTTGCCACCTTTTTTTTTCTTTATTTTTATTTTTACTTTTTTACTTTTGAGAAAAAAAATATAGGGTACAAAGATAATACGTATAATACACTAATATTGAGGATAAAAGTCTCAACGATTCATAAAGTTCTCCTTCTGACTCCTTACATTACTATTGTAAAGAGACTGAATAGCTGAGGACTTTTGTCTCATGGCATTGGCAGCCATTTGCTCTGCTACTTTAGCCGCAACAGCTGCAGTCAATGAATGAGTGGGAGAAGGTGCCACTGGTGCTCTTGCTAATTCTGAAGCTGCCGTATATTGTTTTTTGTGCCTGGAGCTGTCCGTTGCTGCCTCGTCTAGCTTGCGTTTGTTAGAAGAAGTCTCATGCAACGTTGAGTCTGTTTTGCCCGTCTTTTCGGTCTGTTCCTTCTTACTAGCCTTATTCTTCTTCTTTTCCTTCTTTTCTGCTAGTGCTTTAAGTTGTTTCTCCAATAGAGCTTCTTCCATAGCTTCCTGCTCCTCTGGTTTAGGATTAAGAACAATCACATTCAGTGATTCAAATGGCTTCGCGCACTATCAAATAGAAATATGGGAGTAGAGAATATGAATAATCATTAGAATCTGAATAGCATGTGGGGACATCCATTTTTTCCTCAAAGACTTGAAAATTGAGCCAGTTGTACCTTAATACAGGTCGTAGAGGGGACCTCCTTTAAAGCTTGTTCTGACATGACGCAACCACATGTATCCAGATATACAAATCTATGCTTTCCATTCATCTCCTTCATAGTAATTGGGCAAATAAAGCGAGCGACTGGCTCCTGATCATGATTTGTGAGACTGGGCGAGTGGTCGGGGGAGAAAGAAGGGTTGGGCTCCAGTTGTAAGGTTACAACATCCTTGAGTGATTTGATGTGCTTACAAATCCGATCTCCATCACCATAAGCAGTTCTGTCAAGAAGGAATTCTAAAATGGCATCTCTATTGTAGAGTTTTCCGAGTCCACATGATACAATGGGTGTGCTCAGAGGCTTCTTAGAGAGTGCACAGGAGAACCATTGTACTCTGTTAAGGATGCTCTGGTCGACTTTGGTTTGTTTCTGCTTCTGCTTGACAAGTTCATCTCGCTTAGGAATGGAGCCTCCGTCACAACCCATATTATGGCCGAATTTCTTTCTTTCTAATAGATGGTGTAAAAGTGATGTCCTGTGGAATAGAGTACGGTGTACTGTGAAGATAATTAAGAGGAGAGGTTTTTTCTTTTTTTAAAAAAAGCGGCTTTTAAATATATACGATCATGTGATGTATGACAAAAATGGTAAAATGCAGAATCGCCATATCGGAACAGTGTCCTGACATGCAGGACAAACGCAAATATCCATGTCTATTTGTCACACGTTTGGAGGACTGTTCCTCAGCCCATCATCGCACTTTCTTCCTTTCTTCTATTCATTTATTTGTTTTACAGGACATACTCTTACTCCCATTTTCCATTTTCCCCATATTGTCATTCATTCGTGACATTCAAAGCGCGTCCACTCAAATTTTACTTTTATTTTTTGCGTCATGGCCTCATCAAGGGGGAAGCTCTTGAGCATACTGCTTACTTTGTCCTTGCTGCTCAATCTCACATGCACGGATGCCTTTAGAGCCATAATTGCAAGTTCTTTAATATCAATATTGACATGAATGTCGCAGGCAGCTTACTTATTCATTTTGAATATCAACATGAATGTTTTAACGGAATAATTTTATTTATTGACCATGCGAAATATAGGACAGTGATCTACGTAAATTTGGATGTGCGGGAATGTATGGATCTAGTCCTGGAACGAATGATAGTGAGATCAGAGGTATCCTGAAGTCGATGATGAGGATATATTAGATGTGCTTCATCAGTATGATTGGCTGGTTTATGTTTTATTCTAACAGATTGTTGGGAGATCCCCGATTCTGAATGGACGCGATAATAGTGGTTATGGATAAAAGTTCAAAGGGAAACGCGGTAGTCGTCATTTTCGAATGGAATGACAACAAATATGTTGGTAAAACTGACCCTGAAGATGGAAAGGTGAGGTTGTAGAGTTGCTTTTCAGTTCATTAATACACTTTCTGCTTTACTTAAAAAAAAAAAAAAAAAAAAAAAAGACGACTGATAATTAACCTTCAGCCCATATTTTCTTCCTCGAATTTATTTATAATTAACGTTTTTACACAACACAGCCCATATATATTTGCGATACCGACGCCTTGAAGGCAGGGCTTTGCAATGAAGGCGAGCTAGGCCATGCTTTGATTGACACGTCAGTCGAGTCGACAGTTAGATCTGCAACGTTCAACTTCACAGAGGAAGAGCAAAAAGGCATTCAGTACTATCAATATCATATAGAGAAAACTGGCTACTATTGTGTCATGGCATGGCCTGTGCAGGTTAATCAAGAGGACGCTTATTTTCAAGGTGTTCTCGACTTTAAGAACAAATACGGGACACTAGCAGGATCTGATTTCCCTAAACTTCCTGTAAGGGCTTTTTCTTGACAAAAGTTTATACCAGCAATCTGAATGAGTCGAAACAAAAGTAGGTACAAACCTACGAGAATATGGTCTAACAGGATCCATTTGTGTGCCTACTTGTAACATAATAGTTCTATGGTGTATTGTCGCTCATATATATGACAATTGGAATTTCGTGGATGGTCCTTTGTGCAAAACACTGGCGCGAGATCTTGATGGTACAACATTTTATCTCTGGCGTCATCTTCTTCTTAATGGTCGAAATGGCCTTCAACTGGGGCTATTGGGATGATTACAACAAAACCGGCCAGTCATGTAAAGTTTTCTTTTGTTTGTTTTGTTTACAGCTTGTATTTGCGTCAGATATGGTTCGCTTTCCTCTAATCACCTTATGTTGACTGTGTTTTAATCCTTAAATTTATAGCCATGGCTTTGCTTGTCATTGTATCAATCTTGAATTCGGGCCGTAACAGTATTTCGCTATTTATGCTTTTGATTGTCTCCATGGGCTATGGTGTTGTGAAGTAAGTAATATTGTGATTAAGGCGGTAGCATGGAATGAGTAATTCTTTTTAATGATGTTCTGACAGCTTGCTTATTATATTCCTCTTCAATATGTAGACCGACGCTTGGAAGTACTATGAAAAAGGTCATCATTCTAAGCTCGGCCCACTTCTTGTTTGGAATCATCTATTCTGCGGGCACGATGTCTCCTGTTGATGATATCAGTGCCATGATCGTGCTAATGGTAGTCGTGCCCTTGGCGCTAACGATGACTAGTTTTTATATCTGGACACTGCAATCACTGACTTCAACTATCGCTACACTCAATCTACGCCGTCAAACAGAGAAGGTCAAGATGTACACTCGTTTGTGGCGTCTATTAGTCTTTTCGCTCACGGTATTGTGCGCTTTTTTCGTAATCAACACGCTCAACTTTATGAATGCGGACAGCGACGACTGGCCTGCAACCCACTGGCGTATTCAATGGTTCCTGTTGGACGGTTGGTTGAATGTTCTCTATTTAATCGTCTTCACAGTCATTGTCATCTTGTGGAGACCCACCGAAAACAATAAGGTAAATAAGCAAGTTTATTAACGATCAAATAATAATGAAAAAAAAAAAAAAAACTAATATGACGAATCCTTTCCTAACAGAGATACGGGATCGATCAACTGGAGACAGAGGATTTCGATGATAATGATGAGCACGCAGACCATAACAATGCGCGCGCTGCTGAGTCCATGGGATTGACTGGCATGAAACTCCGCCCTCAACGTCGTGACTATGAGATGGAGGACGATGTTGCCATGTTTGATATTGGCGAGGAAGATGAGGATGAAGATCAGGATGAAGACCACAATGGCGATGACTTGGAAGCTGGGGGTAGACCTAATATGCAGCGTATGAATTCAAGTAGCCGCGGATCTTCTTCAAGAGGACATTCGCCTGGAAACAATTTGTAAGTCCTGAAGGAAAAAGAAAAAAAGGATCATTGAGCCTAAAGAATACAATTTTAATATTTTATTTCCATCTTGCCTTCCGTCTCTAGCTCCAATGAGCCTAACCAGGAGCGTGTCCATAAGATGTACTAGATAGGGATCAGTTCAATGATAAAGAAATAACAGTGCAGTGGGTTTCTATTGTTTATTTATATTGGTCGCAATAATAATTAAGAGAGGGTGGACAAAAAAATCCGATTGAGTATTGATGCTAAAAAAAGACACCTAGAACACTGATGATGGCTATAGCAATGAGAGGAAGAACAAAGAATGTTGATAGATGCCAGACTGGCCAAAGTGCGATAGTTGATCCGAATGAGCCCATGACTAGAGAAGCAGTTGCTATGCGGATAGGATAGAGAAACTCTTTTTCCCAATTGACGTACTCTGTAGGCTTCTTCCTTAACACAGGGCGGATAAATTCGAGATAGAAGAAGATGGAGAGCATGATCACCCAGCACAGAAGTGAAAATGTCAAAAAGTTTCTAAAAAAAAAAAGCCATGATGACACATGAAAATTTTAGAACCAAACGCAAACTGAAACAAATTTTTCAGATGAGAAAGAGCGTCTTTCTCACAGATGCCTTACCCTCTGATGCGGGGATCCCTCCTGTATATCAACACGTCAACTGCATCATAGTACCAGCCGATCAGTAGTCCTAGTATGGTTGGGATGAATGCCTTACGCACCCTCTGTGAAAGAGGTCTTCTTACTGTCAGTCCAGATTTTGATGATGTTGTGAACCCATGACGATCAGCGTTTGTTCCTAAATGATGATGACTGTTGTCGTGATTGCTGTGTTGATTGCCTCTGCCGTCTATTCGTCCATCACGGTAACCTTGGGAATTTGTATAGTTACCATCGCCGTCCTGGTCGCCCTGCGACATCTCTCCTTGACGACGTCGTATCATTCGTGCAGTTGCTGTTTGGGGGCCATTGGCTTGAACATCTGAACCTATCTCTAACGTACCGTCTGCGCGGGGTACCGTGAATGTGTGAATGCCTGCTCACAACAATAGAAATGTAGTTAAACGTTATTTCTTGAAACGATTGAGTATATACAGTAAACAATAATCAGAAATTGAATGTAAAAGGTCTTTGCTATCATACCATGGATTGTATTATCTCTTATTCCTACTGGTCCTTGTACAGGTCTTGCATCCGAGTTCGCTCGGGCTCCAAGACCATTTGTATTTGAAATGGGTTGTCCTGTGGGCTCGTTCATGTCTCGGGAATGTTGAATTCGTTGTTGAAAAAAAAAAAAAAAAAAAAAAAAGAATTGTTGGGTCGGTTTTAATTCTCATGTCACACGAAACACGTAAACGGATCGAGGTGACTGGAATTTTCACGCGATGAAAGTATACGGAAAAACTTTTTTTTTTTTTAAAAAAATTCTTCATTCATGTCGCACCTTCAGTTAGGCAGGATCTCATCTGCCATGGTCGGGATGAGTGCAGTTGGAATAGGCGTTGGGACTGCAACGACAACAACAGTGGCAGCAACTTATCCGTTGCTTTTGTCCTCTTCGTCCATGCTTGGTGTTGGGTTGAGAGCAACGACTTCTGCAGGTTGTGCGCGGCCATGCTTTGCGTCTTTTGGAAGGAACACACTTATTGGAGGGTTGGCATTAACAGGCCATCGTGGGTTCGCATCCCTTCCCGAAGGCGCTCAGGAGGTTGGCAAGCTTGTTTCTTCTGCTACTGAAAAGATGGGACTTGGTGACAACCAGGTACTGCAACCAACAATAACAGCAATAAAAAAAAAAAAAAAAGAAAAAAAAAAAGAAAAAGATATGGCAGATGCCTAACGGGCCGTAACTCTTCTTTTCGTATAAAACAACATGAACCGTGGTATATTTTGATTCCTCATTCGGCTTTTGACGAGGAAGTTTGCTGCAGGAGGATTTCAATTGGCATTGATAGGTGGTATCCTTGCAGGAATTAGAGTTCTAGGATCCTATGCCATCGAATATTTCAAAAAGAAAATTATAGTCACGGCCGAGTTTGATTCGAGAGATGAATCCTACAGTTGGATCTTGGTAATATGTTTACAGTGGTTGTGATCTTGGTTTTTTTTTTTTTTTTTTTTTTTTTTGTACATGTGCATATGGATCTAATCTAGAAAGGGATTCTCTATTTGTTCATAGAATTGGCTTAGTGACCATCCATATTCCAAAAAAGCAACTCATTTTTCAGTATCAACGACAATTGCCAGAGGAGCTCAAAAAATCAACGGGTAAGAGATTAACTGGAGTTGACTCAAGCATCTACATTGAACTGAGAGTCCTCACTATCGAATATATCTTCTTAATCCCACGTTGCTGGCTCATACGACTCTATAGAGAAGGAGGCGATTCTGCTATTGCCGCTACATATTTTTTGCCCGCTCCAGGTATAATGCATAGCCCATGTCTGTCAATCAATGTTTAGACACAATAGATTGGCACTAGTGCTAAGAAAATGATGTCTCGCTTGATGTTTGCCGTTTTAGGACTCCACTTCTTCTGGTACAGGAATCGTTTGCTATGGGTGAGTTTTTCATGGACTATGTTGGATAGGGTTACAAGTATAGTTTTTGAGTCCATTTGATGATTTTTTTATTTTTTATTTTTTTTTACTAAACAACATGGTATTACTTCAACTATATTTATTCTAGCTGCACAGAGAGCGTGCCCGTCCTGCAGGATCCACTGTCGCCACTTCAGGGTCGGCGGTAGAAAATATTACTATTAGCACAATAGGCCGATCTCGTGATCTTATCCAGTCACTGATCTTGGAGGCACAGCGTAAATTTATTGATAGAGACCAATCTAGGACAGTTATCTTCCAAGCAGATCAATATGGTGCATGGAGACGGACCAAATCGAGACCCAAAAGGTTCAAAAAAAAAAAAAAAAAAAAAAAAAAAGATGAAAATTCAAAGCGCGTTTGTGCCATTGACTGATCCATCATAACGTTTTTTGTGATAGACCTCTAGATACTATTGTTATGGATCCGAAGTTGAAAAACTACATAGTGGAAGACGCCAAAGAGTTTTTTGCAAGTGAAAGCTGGTATGCAGAACGTGGTTTGCCCTTCCGACGTGGTGTAAGTCTGCAACTATGATATCTAACATCCAGGAGATGACCGGTTTTTTTATGTTCAACAACAGCGACGACGGCATCAGCATCTATAGCCTTTTTTCTCATATTACACGCATTTTCCCTTAAAAATCATATTTTCCTAACTTCTTGTATTGTCTTCCAGTTGCTTTTATATGGATCTCCAGGGACAGGGAAGACATCGTTCATTCATGCATTGGCAGGAGAATTGGGACTCAATATCTATGTTGTCAATTTATCGAGCAAAAACCTTACCGACGATACACTCTCGGAATTGGTTTCCGATACGCCATCGAGATGCCTGCTATTGATCGAAGACGTAGACGCTGCTTTTGTTCAAAGAGAATCTCAGGATGCTGCTAAAGGAATCACGTTTTCAGGATTGCTCAATTCCGTAGACGGTGTATCGGCTCAAGAAGGCCGTATCTTGTGCATGACGACCAAGTAAGTGGCAATTCTTTTGTTCTATCTCTTTTCCTCCCTCCAAAAGCACTGGCATACCATAGATTATTTGAGGGGTTATTGCTCCAAATATTTATCCACTATTATTCGATGCAGTCACTTAGAGCGTTTGGATGAGGCATTGATCCGTCCGGGCCGTGTGGATGTACGAGCTAAATTCGGGAAAGCTAGCCAACTGCAAGCAAAGGAACTCTTTATCAAGTTTTATCCTCATGTTTCTGGCACTCGAGTGGACAGCTCTGTATCCAAGGAGCCGAACAACAATAAACGACTAAGCGCACCTTCTAATTTATCAGAAACGACAAATTATTTGGACAATGGCAATTCTACCGTGTCATCAATGACTTCCCCTGCAGAGAATGCGATCAATAGCCTTTCAGCTGCCCAAACAGAAGCGCTAGCAACGCAGTTTGCCAAAGTTATACCTGACCAAATGTTTTCAATCGCTCAGCTGCAAGGCTTTTTGATGGGCTACAAAAAATCACCAGAGTTGGCAGTGAAGCATGCAGAAAAATTTGTTAGACAAGCTGGAAGCGCCGAAGTAAGTGGAACGGCCAAGGTTGAATATGATGAAGAGACTACTGGCAAAGCTTCTGAGAAACAATTTTACTGGGAAGATGATGAGGAAAAGCAAGGGTTTAGAGAAGAAAAGGAACGTGAGCGGAAAGCAAGCCTGAAATAAACTACCTGCCTGTTTTCATCATGTCTATTATTTTTATTTACTATTCCTACTTTTAAACTATGGTTCATTAAATAGTGGTAGACTATTTCTATGATCATTTGGCACCGGGCTTCTTTAATTGAAATCCACCAATCTTCATAGGCTTAAACCCGCTTAGTTTAACGGGCTGGAATCCAGCCGGAGTAGCTGAAGGTGCAGATACAGCTTCTGGCCCTGCATTTGTCGTTGTTGAAGATGATACCGGCATATTGGGGTCATCATTTTCTTCCTCAGGAAGGAATCCACTCACTTTTACAGGTTGAAAACCACTCTTTTTATCTGGCTGCAATCCAGGTACTTTCACAGGTTGAAAACCACTAGTCGGTATTGAGTTGGTCGTTCCTTGATTGTTTTCAGATCGTGCTGTACTACCACTCACCTGCTCGGGCTGAGGCTCACTCGATGTCACAGGCTCAAATCCTCCAAGTCTGACGGGTTGAAAGCCTGTCCGTCCTATGGTAGTCTGAGCTGGTACAGATGGAGTACTGAGAATTCCTGTTCCAATGCTTCCTCCTGCACCTGCACCTGCTCTTTTCATGGCGGCCTCTTGCATCTTTGCTAGCTCCCTTTCTTCCCTACGTTTTTCCTTTTCCTTGATCTTATTCATAGTACCCGCTGCTCCTGCACGACTAGTTTCCTTCATTTCTTTGAAGCGCTATATAATTATAATGATATCAATAGCAATAAAGGAAAGAAAACGTAAATTAAAAGAATGTTCTACTTTCATTTGCGTTTAATGAATTTCAGCTGCGTCGCCCATTCTCACCTTCTTATGGTTATGATCGTATGAACTCAAGTGAACTTCATATTCAGAGATGCGTTCATACTGCTTATCGCAAAGTGCGCAATAAAATGCTGACTTGACTACTTCAAGTTCCGCCTTGACAGCTACTTTCTGCTGAACTTGTTTCTAATGGAGTTTTATAACAAGTCATTGTGTTATCGTTAAATTTAAATAAATATATATATATAAAAGCATAAAAAGAAGCATAAAAAAAAGCATGAATGTTACCTCGCGCTTATTCTTTTCTTCCTCAGTTTCTTCTGCTTGTCTCTCCACCTCTAGCGCCTTCCTTTTGGCGGTACTCGATTCATTATACCAATTATCAACCTCCTGTTTTCCAATTCCTAGCACATCCTGCTTATGCTCAATTGGGATCGGTGCTGTCCTACCTTTTAAAATTGTAAGCAATAAATGGATATTGTGATTAATATATGATTTCATGAAGATATACACACATATATAAAAAGGAAAAGAAGCTAATGCTGGTTATTCACCTGTGGCGTTTTGACCAAGTCCTGTTCCAACCTTCCATCCCATTTTCAACAAAAGCTTGTATCCAACATTGGAGGCTGGAATATGAGTCTGCATATCTGCAGCTTCAACTTGAATATCTCCATCATCGTCATCGAGTCGATCGCTTAGACTATCCTCATTTGAATCAGAGCTGTTCTCTTGCGGACGATGCTGTGCTCTAAGTGCATCTTTCGTCTAAACCAAACAAAAAAAAAAAAAAAAAAAAAAAAAAAACGAAAACGGAAGGAGTGGGGAAAAAAGAAGGAAAAAAAAAAAAGAGTTTTTGTTCCGCAATGATAAGACTAGATTCTTTCTCTCTCTCTGAATAATTAAAAGGCATCTAGTTGTTGCCAACAATATTCAATGTAATAGGTTGCTTTAAAGACAAAAATGAAAAGGAACGGAGCGTAAGGTATAATTCTATATAAAAGAAAGTCTTTTTTTGGCCTATAAACCTACTTGAGCAAACTGTTGTAGCTCCTGGCGATAAAATCTCTGTATCTGCTCTTGTTGTCGGTCCTGTGGAAGTTGTTGCATGACTACAAGTTATTAGAATGAAAGACAGAATAGAAAGAGGGAGAGTAAGTACTTCAATCACGAGTATCAAGGGATTTTTTTTGAAAAGCCACGAACGTCAAGGACATGGATGTGATGGCTGTCTCCTTAACCCATTCCATTCTCTTTGCTTAGACAATAAAATCACAATGCAAGAATCTGTGCGGGATCAGCAGCAGCGTCAACAACAACAGCAACAAGAAGCACGCCAAGCCATGGATAGTAAGCTCTCTAGTTAGAATTTCTAGTACAGCAAAGACTCATACAAGGATAAAATAAAAAGCCTCACAGCAACCAACTGTTTTATTTGCGAGAGAAATAGTCCTGACCGAAATGTCAACTCTTCTCAATACGGGGCTTGACCGAGAAACGTTGTCTGTTTGTGTCTCATTATGTGAATCTGGCGTCAACCCAGAGGCATTGGCGGTTCGTGATCTTTTGTTTCCTTTGTACCAAAAAGCAGGGATCTTTTTTTAACCTCACCACAAAATTGATTCGTGATAAGTGGATTCTAACTGAAATACATTCTACAATACTTATGGAACTGGTGGTTAAAATCCCTGGTCGTGATATATACTCTCTCTTTCTTTAGGCTGTCATCAAGGAACTTCGACGAGAGGCTGCTTCCGCAAAAGTAAAAGCCTAAGTCTGAAGCATATTGCATATACATGGTTTTTTTTTTTTTTGAAAAAAGTCTCTTCAACTCACTATCATTTCAATATTTGATAGACCGCTTCATGAGACCAATTATCAAAGATTTCTCAGAGGCCTGGGTCTGCTGTTTCCAACCATTTGCCTGTACTACTAGGACTTGTTTGAAAAAGATTTATTATTTTTTATGAACAATTATCAAACCAAGCTGAATTCTCTGTTTTAAAGGATAGAATGCTGAGTGAATTAAAGTTTTTCTCCATCAGTGAGGTAGTAGAATAAAGTTTTTCAAACACTGCCCATCTTGCTCTAGACAATCTTGGGTTCAGCAAGGTTGGGGCCATTGCCAGCAGGGACAATGCCAGTTGGGTTAATCTGGAGATGAGACTGATAGTAATGCTTCTTGATGTGTTCCATGCTGACAGTTTCAGCGACCTTGGGCAATTGATAGATGCGGCGTGCCCATTTCAGGATGTGAGGGTAGTCCTTTTCAATGCTCTTGATGTTGCACTTGAAATGCCCATGATAGACAGGGTCAAAACGGATGATGGTTGTCCACAGACGGAGATCGGCCTCAGTAAGGGTATTTCCAACGAGGTAATCAGATTTGGACAAGATGCCTTCAATCCTGTCCAACGACTCAAAAAGTGGATACACATTCTTGTCATATGCCTCCTGTGATGTTGCGAACCCAGATTTGTAAACGCCATTATTGACGGTATCATAAACCCATTCATTCACCGAATCAATTTCGGATTGGAGATTAGGAGGATAAAAGTTTACGCCAGCCTTTTCTGGGACAAGTTTGTCGAAAGCCGTGTTGAGCATACGAATGATCTCGCTACTTTCATTATTCACTACAAAGAGAAAATAGGGGGTTTTGTGATCAGGACCAAGGTTTATTCATGCATGGGTACATACAAAAAAATATCAACGTTCCCACCCTACCCTACACAGCCCCTTCTCTTGGTTTGCTCAACTAAGAGGGAGAGAGCAGCAATGACAAATGGCCTACTTACCAATGGTTTGAGTCTTCTTATCCCAGAGAACAGGGACTGTGTAGCGTCCACTATAATCGGGCTGGGCCTTAAAGTAAAGATCCTTGATGAACTTTGATCCATAGAGAGAATCCTGGTAATCGTCCCTGAAAGGCCAGCCATTCTCTTGCAAATGCCAATGAACAACATCCACGGAAATGATGTCCTCAAGGCCCTTCAATGCGCGCACAAGCAAGGTGCGATGAGCCTAAAAGAGTTTTTTTTTTTTTTTTTTTTTTTTTTTTTTTTGGTTAGATGAGGGCTATTCATATGCTTCATTACATAGATAAATTGCCATTGATTCAAAGAGACCAATTTCTATCAGAGAAAACTTACCCAGGGACAAGCATAAGAGACATAAAGGTGATATCGGCCACTAGAGCATCCAAAGCAAACAGCATGTCATTAGCGCTAACAATATATATTTTTCTTTTTTACGTTATTTGCTCCATTGCGGAAAAAGTACGAATCGCTGGGCATCGTTGGGAACACGTACGCTTCGGGGCTAAACTTGGCATTGGGTTCATCAACGATGGATTCACGGAAGCTCGAGACCTGACGCTTGAATTCGCCTGTCTTATCATTGGCCCACTTGAGGATCGATTGGGAATTAACCATCATCGTGTTTCTTTGACCTTGGATGTAAGCTGGTTGTTGTTTTAGAAGAGAACGGTTGGCGTTGATGGTTAACGACGTGAGAGAAGCGCGAGAGGCAAAGTTGGCAGTTGCGCTTTTTGACAGCAGACGGGTGGAGATTCTTGAGATGAGAATTTTGGAAAAAAATCGTTTGAGGGCGAAGAAAGGATTGTGAATATGAATGCGAGGATATGAAGGAAGTGGATGTAGGATTGGAGTGTCCCTCTTATACCTTTTTTTTTTAAGCATCGTCCAAGCTGCGAGGCTTAGTTGACGCGAAAGAATTGATTTGTCAATGTTCAATTATTAATTATTAATAGTTATTACTACTTGCCAAAACTTACGATATCATGGCTACTTGCTGCTGATATATATACTTATAATAATTATTATCACTATTTTTATTATTATTATACTATGGTATCTTTATTAATGGAATGAGGAACAACATTTTTTTTTTTTTTTTGTAAGAGTGATAGATACTTTGTACCCAGATGACTTTTTTGCCATTTTCTTTCATGTGCTTTTTTCTATCGAACAAATGATGTCAAAAAATTATGCCTGCTTGTTGTTACTATTGGCGGCTGCACTAAAGACACCGAGCTAAGTTTAAGAGTAAATATTTAAGAATTGTTTGTTAGTCATACGTTCACTAACCGGCCCAAAGCTGACAAGAAACATCAGAGAGTCCATGTACCTGTTGAAGCACAATGATGGCAATGATGGCGATAAGCACAATAGAGACAATCAAGCAAATCCATTTCTTTTTTCTAGCTCCACGGGCATTAACAATGGCCACATCGACCTCTTTGTTTCCGGTCTCAAGATGTACTTCCGTCTGCTGCGTACTCTCCTCAATCGTGTTCATGACCTCAGCCTGCTCCGTAACCAATGTCTCCATGTCAATGAACAACTGATGCAATTCCTATTAGTAAAATAAAATACAGAAGACAAAAGTATGCATCATTAGAATCCGTTGAATGAGCATCAATTCTATAGTCATCTGCTTTCGAAATATAAATGAGGGTAAAAATCAACCATACAAGGATGGTCTTCTCAATCTTCTTGATATCATCGTGACGGCTTTGGACTTCTCGGAGAGCCCTGCTGGCATCGCCATAACGAGTGCTGTTAAGGACCTATTGTGATGAATGAAATAGACAGTACATTCAGCATCTGATTCTTATCATGCATGTCAATTTGCCTTGCAATTACTCGTGAAGCATTTCATACAGATTGAGCAAAGATTTGCTGGTTGTCGCTCTCTAAAGCTTGAGCAATCTCTTGGGGGGTAGCATCAGGTTTGACTATCAATTGGGCGAAGTTGTATGGGATAAGTTAGGATGAAGGATGAGGTAATTGGTTACATTTGCTTCGTTGCATCAGTGTCCTAGTAGCAAGTGGTTTTTTTAGTCATACCAATCTTGTATTGCCTTTCCATGCGACCCTGATATTTCTTTCTAGCCTCACTTTCCGCGGATTGGTAGTGACGAAGAGTCTTCAGGAACTTTTCTTTCAAGGCTCCGGCCTGGGTTCTACGGATTTGAATGTCCGGCGAGTTAGCTAGGCGAAGATTAGCCAGTTCAATATCTAGGATAGGTAAAGTCAATGCAAACATGAATGTCAGTACCAGTTCATATAGGACTGCAACCCTGATTGAAGGCACAGTTTATATGCATTCTTTACCCTTGATTCTTTTCTTTGTGCGGTTGGACAGCTGTGTTGTGTCAGCGGTAATAGCCTCCAATTGACGGTTGGTGCGCGAAGACTGTTCTTCAGTTGCAACACCATTCAATGAGATATCGTGGAGCTCCTCAATCTTGGCAATATTTTGCTCGATCTTGGTAATATCTTCTTGAATTGAAGTGACCTAGATTTTTTTTTTTTTTTTTTTTTTTTTTGAAGTTGAAAAAGAGTATGGGGAGATTAGTTTGATGCGAATATTGGGAACTGCATGCATATTACTGCAGGTAAGAAACCTAATTTCGCAAGAGCGTTGGATGGGAAAGGATTGGGTGCACACCCATAACAGGCACTGCACTATTCTGTCAATTCCAATGGTGTTGACGCTGGCTCTCGATTCTTATTCTGGTATGTGTATGCAGCAATTTGCTCTTCTTGTCTGGTCGTCTCCAATTTTATTAGTCTTTTTTTCACAGCTCCCAATAGAAAACAATGAGCCCGCCATTAAAACACTTTTTCTTTTTTCTTTTTTTTTTTTCTTTTGTCGTCCAAGTCACTACTGTCTTTAAACCTACCTCACTAAAGAAAGCGTTCATGTCACTGGGACCGGCATTGTTCTGTTGGACAGGAGTCATCTCGATCCTTGTAGATGGCTGCTGCTGATAGCCACCATACTGTGCAGGCTGGCTGTACTGGTTTTGCTGAGCAAATTGGTTTTGCTGACCATATTGATTTTGCTGACCGTACTGCTGACCGTATTGCTGTTGACCGTACTGGTTACCACCATATTGCTGGCCACTACTTCATCAGTACACACATATGATGAGAGAAAAGAGGGACAATTAGGCTTGTTAGTCTTATTGGGGTCACTGTCAGGATGACAGCGGGTATGTTCTTGATTTCGGCTCCATCTTTGACAAGACAAAAAAAAAAAAAAAAAAAAAAAAAAATGTACCCGTAGCCCTGGTTCTGGTTATTAGACGAGGATTGTGCCTAACCAGGATTCGATGCGTATTGATCGGAGATTTAAAAACATTAAAATGATGAGAATATCAGCAACAGATGTGAGGTTGGTCTTTTATCTCCTTAATAGGGAGGAGTCTGTCAGTACCTGAAAGTCGGCCAAGCGATCTCTTCCACTCATAATTTCTCAATTCTGTATAGCTGTTGAAATGATTGATGAGCAATTTATATGATCAGTAACAAGAAGAAGGGAACGTGTAACAGGTGGCGATTAAAGTGAAGAATGGAAGAAGGAAAAGGCGGTGAAGAACAAAACAAAACAAAACAAAAAACAAAAATGAGGATGGGTGGAGAGCAAGGTTATATTTAAACAGGTAAAAATAACATGCAAATAAACTTGTAATGTATCCGATGTAGGTAAAATGAAAAGAATGAAACAGGGTTTCCCAGCATGGATATCACTAATCTAGTAGAAACAATGGTGCTTTGAAAAGGACTTTTTGGAAAAAAGAATAAGGAAAGCGGTATACAGACTAACGTCTGTGTCTAAATTTGTCTAATGTGTAGGACAGAGAGAGAAAAAAAAAAAAAAAAAAAAAAAAAAGAGATGCTAGAATGTTTTATGAGGCATGTCAGTACCTGAACGTGCAACGGTGTAAAATGTCAAGTAATGAATGGAATGAGTGTGAATGAGGATGGGAAGAGTTGATGAAAAAGAGAAAGATGAGATGATACCGGATGAAGAAGAGAGAGAAAAAAAAAAAAAAAAAAAAAAAAAAAGAGCAAAAGGAATGAAGGCTGTAATAAGAATGAAAGAGAGCAAAGTCTTTTTTGTCCAACCAGAGACTCAGGACCAAAATAAGCTGTTGATGTACAACTCAAAATCCTAGTCTAGCCCGATGTACAAAAATTCTGCTGGAAGACTAACGTCTGCGGTGAAGCAAAACAGTCTCCGTCGTCTTCGCCATCGTTTTTGTTTTCATCTTTGCTAATCTCTTTATTGGATAGCTCTGAGTAGAAAAGAAGGGAAAAAAAAAAAAAAGGCTAAATTAGTTGGAGAGAAAAGGAGGTGTAAGGATGATAGAAAAAAATAAAGTCTAATTGAAATCAAGCAAGAGAAAGAAAGAAAGAAAGAAAGAAAGAAAGAAAGAAAGAAAGAAAGAAAGAAAGAGAGAGAGAGAGGGAGAGAGAGAGAGAAAGAAAGAAGAGACAAGGTCGCGATGTTGATAGTCTGTGAAGGTGATGGAAGCCAAGAAAGGCATGGGACATTTGACAATAATTTGAGAGACATGTGTGAACAAGAACATGGAATGAATACAACACAGACCCCCTTTTTCCTTTTGGATGTTCCTGTTTTGGGCAATTTGTTGTGAAGTGTTTGAAATTAGTTTTCAGACACACAATCGATAGAATGCAATCAAAAAGACAAGGCCCATCCTACATAATAAACGCTTCTTACTTGTCACCTTTGCAAAGATGGCTGATCTTTCCAATCACACGCACAACCTGCCTGATTTAGTCCGAGGTAAATGCCAGTTTACTCCACTGTTTGCCCCTTGAAGTTAATTAAAAAAAAAAATATCGCAAATTTTTTCAGAAACATCTTTGTCCTTCATTCCTTCACTTTTTGCTTCCACTCCACTTTTTTTTTTTTTTTTTTTTATTTTTTTATTTTTATTGTTTCTTTGCTCACAAAACTCATCATCACATCCTCGTTTCATTTGCTTCATTTTTCGTTTACTTCGTTTGCCTCATTTGCTTCATTTGCTTCATTTGCTTCATTTGCTCCCCTTTCTTTTATATCTCGTACTTCTGTTTACTCAGCCATGGTACACTCCACCACGACGGTAAGAGCTTTCATTCCAGAAGCGACACTCCTCTCCTGCTTATGGCATATCTCCATCTCCACCTACTTTTATTTTATGCTTTCCCTTTCCATTCCTTTCGTCGATCTCATGCCGTCCCGCTGAAACATATACTTCCGCAATCCCTTTATACTTCCTATTTGTCTTCTCCATTTCCGTTTTGATCAATCCGTGATTGCTCTGGATATTGATCTTCCTTTCGGAACTGCCCCGAAAAGATGGTCATATGGTTAAACACTGTGTTATTTTCTTTCCTCCGTTTCATTCCTCTCCATTGACCTGAGCATGGTTCATTCAGCTTGATCTCATGTCAATGGATTAGCTCTAAATTACAGAATAACGTGGAAAAAAATAATAATAATAATAATAATAATAACCCCGACCACCTTGAGTTTCAAACTGCTTTTTCCGGCAGAATCCTGTTTCCATCATTGTCCTTGTTGCTGTTTTTTCTCGCCACATGCGCCAATTTTTTAACACTTTGCTCCCTCCACCGTTCTTTGACTCTTGCTGCCCCTCTTTGTCCATTGCAATTTTTTTTTTTTTTTTTTTTTTTTTTTCTAAATCTTGACGAAAAAGGCTGGGTACCTTTTCACCACGTCAGGAACCATCAGGAAATACACGACAAATCATCCATTTATGATTGGTTTGGACTTGTCTAACCATGGAATATCTCTCTCTGAAAATACAGACCTCAACCTTGCTCCTTAAGGCCAAGCATGCCCTCTCGCTTCATCGCAAGTCATCCGCCAGTGGATCTGCGCCTTCTTCCTCGAGTCAGTCTTCAACACTTTCGTCAATACCGCTCCCATCTACAGACTCTCCTGTTTCACCCCCTCTCCCCAATACTTCCATCACTCCGGCTACCCACATAGACACAGCCCCTACTCCCATTCTAGACAATGTGCCTCACAAGACCAAGCGCAGTAGCCGGTTCAAGGTCAAGACATTTCCATCTTTCAGGGAATCAGCCAGCTCACTTCATACAAAAACAAATCAGTCGAGCAAAGTGAGCCGTACATCCGACTTGGTCAACACAGTGATCGGCCCCGGAATACCATCTCAACCAATGGCTTCTGTCAATCCTTACTCCCCCCTGTGGTGCCCATCCACTGTCACTGCTTTGAAATCACCATTGAGAAACGCCTCCTTGTTAAGATCAAAATCCAATTCATATCTCGACCTATCTCAAATTTCACATTACTCGCCTGCACCAAATCTTATTCTTCAACCTAGCCCCTCTGTTGATTTGGCATCATGTTATGCCGGAGCAAGGTCCTCTACATTGCCAGCTATGGTCCGCTATCACTCGACTTCTGGAGAGTTTGCAGCCGCCCGAGGTTTTGTACCGGTTATTGGGCCTCAAGGTAATGAGTAAGATTGATCTAAAGAGAAGCTAAAAGCTTCTGGACAGCATCGTGGAAGGGAGTGAAGGCTGGTAAAGGGGAAAAAAATAAAAAAAAAAAAAAAATGTCCATGCAAGTAGTGGACAAACAACTCGTACTGTACCTAAACTGTATAAGCCCATTGTGAAGAGAGAAGAGATCGTCTTTCTGCTCACTTTTTTTTTTTTTTTTTTTTTTTTTTTTTTTACCGAAATGGTATACCACTCCGTTTCTCCATTCCTTTCTTCTCTCTGTGGCCTACAGTCGTTCAACACCTCCTTTTTACCCCTTGTTACTCGATCAGGATATATTTAACATCCATCATCGTTGCCGTTGCAAAGGATCGGGTTTAACAGACGAGAATTCTGTTTTTATTCCCATTATTGTTATTTGTGATGTATTTCTGTATTTATGGCTGTAATCAAAAAAATGCGCAAATGCGATCTTGATCTGTGAAAATAACTCACTTCAAGCTTGTCAAATAGTTTTCGCACTGGTATTCTTTTTAAGTCAAAAAAAAAAAGTTTCTTTTTTTTTTTTTTTTGCCCTCTCCCTTTTCCCTGTTCACGCACATTCTCTTCCTTTTCTCCCAAACTGCCCCCGAACTTTCCCATTCAATCGACAAACTTGCTTTTGCATTTGTTACTGTCCCTCTCTCTCTCTCACTCTCTCATTCATCACCTCTTTTTCTAATCAAATGGCCTCCTCCCCGTCAAATCAATGCCAACACAACCATACATCGTCTTCATCAAACACTCGTGACATGCATCACATACCTGATCTAATTGACCGCCATTCAACCTCATCTCCCTTCGATTCTTTTGCAACGTCCCCCAATTCACTTGTTGCTGCACCTACTTCAGGCACTCCTCCATATACTCGTATTTATCTCAACCCCGAGGCCAAACGCCAGCTCGTTGACCAACTTTATGATCTGATGATTAATGGCCCTCATATAGATTTCCTTTCCAAGTTGCCGTATGAGCTTGCGACTTATATTCTCCACTTTGTGGATATGCACAACTTGGCCAAGGTAGCACTCATCTCCAGGACATGGAATCAGTTTGCTAAGGATAACGAAGTTTGGAAGTCCGTCTTTCTGCACCAGAAGCGATGGAAGATCAAGATACCCCCGCAACAAACTAAGCCGCTTAATTGGAAAATGCTTTGCCATGATCGTAAAAAGCTGGAGGAGCGTTGGACCTCGGTCCCGTCGAAAACAAAACTTGTGGGCCATACCGATAGTGTTTACTGCGTCCAGTTTGATGATAATAAGATCATCACCGGCTCAAGGGACCAGACGATTAAAATCTGGGACATTCATACTTTGCAGTGCATCTACACCCTGCGAGGTCATTCTCAGTCTGTTCTCTGTTTGCAGTTCAACGATAAGGTCATGGTCTCAGGATCGTCTGACAACAGCATTATTGTATGGGACATGGAGACTCGCCAACCCATAAGGCGGTTACAAGGACATACTGCTGGAGTTTTAGATGTCTGCTTTGATGACAACTATATTGTCAGCTGCTCCAAAGACACAACGATTAGGATTTGGGATTTTCATACCGGTAATTTGATCAGGACATTGACAGGACACCGTGGACCAGTGAATGCAGTTCAGTTACATAAGGATCAAGTGGTATCTGCATCAGGAGACGGCATGGTCAAATTGTGGAGTGTGACTACAGGACAATGCGTGCGCGACTTTATCGGTCATGAGCGAGGCCTGGCCTGTGTTCAGTTTGATGGGGAGACAATCGTCTCTGGCTCTAACGACAAAACTATTAGAATTTGGGAAGCAGCTACAGGGCGGTGTCGTCGAGTGTTAACCGGGCACGATGGCTTGGTGAGGACACTCCATTTTGACCAGAACAGAATTGTTAGTGGAAGCTATGACTACTCAATTAAAATTTGGGACATGACAACAGGAGAAGTAACCCTGGATCTCAAAAACGGACATACTAGCTGGGTGTTTGATGTACAATTCTCAGCACGGCGTATTATCAGGTTTGTGTGTTTTACAGTTTTTATGATAGTCATATGGATGTGGTTTGTCCTTGTGGTTCTTTTCTTAAGAGGTACTGACCAAAAAAACGGAATCTTTTTTTTTTTTTTTTTTTTTTTTTTTTTGTTGTTGTTGTTGTTGTTGTTGTTCGAAACAGCACTTCACAAGACAGAAGTATCGTTGTCTGGGATTTTGCACCAAGCGGTATCGAGGATATCGACGTACGACTCTTCTTGTAAAAAGAGCCGTTGCATGACATGCATTAGAGCAAGAATACATATTGCAACCTACCAAAAGGATTGTACCTTCGTGGTGCAGTTTGCGACCCTATTGACCCCCCAAGGATGTCTGAATATTCTTCTGCTGGTTCTTCCTATCATCAACGGGCCCAGCTAGTCACATGTTTAATTCCCATGCTTCACGTCACTCACGTTCTATACCCTGTCGCCTGTATTATAGTGCCGTAATAACAACAACGATAATAATAGTATAATAAAACTCCCTCCTCTCTTCACAAAGCTTCCATATGGTGTACTTTTTCGGCTGACATCTAGAAGCATAGCTTTTAGTCCATTGTTTCTCAAGGATATCTGCTATTTGACAGCACGAATTGGCGATTATAGAGGCGTATCTTTTGGAGCTCGCCGTTATCAGATGAAACAGACCCAGTAAGAGCAGAAATGTTAGTCTGACGAGAATAGCGAGAGTAGGCGCATCATCCTTATTTCACTTACAGCCCCTGTTTTGGTCAGAACAGGCCCTTATATTGGGCAGTCTGTTGGAGATCAGTGTTGATAGGTCCAGAAGCTATCGTTAGAAACTGAGTTCTTGATACTATCACTTTGTATATTTCCGTTCGGAGCATCACAGCATGCACTCTAATGCCGAGGCAGAACCGCTTTTCACATATTTCGTCTTTTCTTCCTTCTCTTCCTCATCCGTGTCGATCATAAAGACGACAACTTTTTGTGAAAAACACCCTGCTTCTCTTGGAACAAAACTTGCTCCCAAATCACAAAGTTTAAGCTGAACTTTGATCTTGTCCAAACCGCTCTTGTTCCCTCTTGGTATCATCGAGAAGTTGACGGTACCTGAGCTGCCTCTTTCTTTATTCATAGTGCTCAGACTGGTTTCCCAAAGTAGTAATGATGGCATCAGGAGCAAGGTCGGGGACTGTGATAAATGAGAATACGTCAACTATGAAGAGTAAACAAACAAGACGCTTTTTTATTCCAAAATGAGGACCAATTGCTACCAGTCTTTTTTATTGATAAGGACGCGTCTTTCATTCATTTTTACGCCCATAATATAAATGCAGACGTATGGATTACCTTAAATACGACCTCACTATAGCATCGGCTATATTTCTTACGGAAACTTTTGTATTAAAGAACGTCCCACACGATGTGTGCTCGATTGTGCAAAGATCAAAGCCTCAGCCAAAGGCTGACGTATTCAGATGCTAACCTCCCCCCACCAAATGACTGTTTGTTCCCTATGCTTGTTAGTTGTGTCTTGGACTGGGTTGAGCTTTGGTAGTCAGCTTGGTTTTTTTCAACTTCTTACATGCTTTACTAGATCTTTAAAATTGATTAATATCCTTATGTTACTTTTTAGCTCGTGGTAAACTGACGCATTGTACTTTGTGCCCCATCTCGTCATGATTGAACATTTCACCACGTCCTTGATCAAGGACTCTAAACAGTGAGCTACACCAACATCTCCAATTCAAAACAATCTTGCCATATTCGACTGAACAACTGGCCTATAAGTTTTGTTAAAAAAGAATAAGCTCAATCTTAGTTTGCCAAAAAAAAAAAAAAAAAAAAAAAAAAGCTTGCTGTCAACAACAGTGGAGGAGGGAGGGGTTAACCTTTCTGCATAAGCAAAAGACTGAGTTTAGCAAGATAGTAGACCATGAGAAGAAGACGTCGGGCGCGACGGTGTCACACAGACCCTCGTTACCAAGACATGACGAGATGTGATCCACATTTTGATTGTATGATACTGAAAGTGATCGTAAAAGGTGATAGTGGTGGATTTTAATTATAAGAGTCAGACCTATAAATGGTTATCGCCAATGTTGGATGATGGATTATGATATTGACTTTTTACCTTGGCTGCTCTAGGAAGCATGAAAGACAAGAGACTCCTGTATTGAAAAAAAAAAAAAAAAAAAAAAAAAAAAAAAAGACCCACTCTAAAATACTCTTCAAAAGTGAAACAGCGGGAGATGACATAAGAGAAAAATAATAAAAAAATATATATATATTCCAACAAGTGGATTTCGTTCGCCTAAGAATCTATGGAGCCCATCAGAATTCTATAAGAGAAGCCTCGATAAAATGATTCGGACATATCTCAGACGCGAACGGTAAAAGGGAAAGAGACATTTCCAATTTTATGTAAAGAAACATCTGTTATAACCCCTGCATCTATTTTTCACATTTTATTATTTTTTTTAATGGCAGGTACAACGCGTATCATGATCATGAAAGCGCTTGTCTAATTTTATGTGACTGCAGCATACATATTATCGCAGACATGCACTTAATGCGAATATTAGAATACACATGTAGCATAAATAAGGGTGACGCTTGTACTACCAAAAATTGATACGACTCGTTTCCTGCATACAGCACAAAATGCATTTACTCTACCCCTCTGCCTTGTCGTGACTTTGGCCAGGGTGCTGAGGAAAAAAAAAAAAAAAAAAAAACTGATTGAGACTGAGACTGAGACGAAAATTAGGTCCGGGGGCATTATTTCAATCTGTTTATATCAAGTCGTAAAGGAGAGAATGGATGCTCATTATCCGACGCGCTCTAGATCCTGCCATGCGATAGTAAAGGAGCCTCTTACTATACAAGGGAAGTGAGAAAGGAGTCGAAAGGGGGGGGAGAAGGGGTGAAAGGAGTAAAGAAATGAAAGGGACAATTTCAGTCATCGACTGTGGATTATCATTTGCTATCCCAAATCATCAAGAGGCGAATGGGAGGAGCTTGTTTGCATTAACGGTTCACGACACTGTTTTAATCAATGCTAGACTTATTGCTCATCCTTATTACATGTGCTTTTTCTTCAAATCCATGGTAATGAGACTAATAGGAAAAGAGTAAGTCTACATTTATTACACATGTGCAATACAACGCAACGCGATGAGGAATGAATAATGCTATATAACAAGGTTAAAGGAGTAAATAATGATTATTATATTTATCATCATATCCTTTTTAACCTTTACAATTCTCACTCGGAGACTGTGCATTTAATGATTTTCATATCCTGAGTTTTTTTTTTTTTTTTTTTTTTTTTTTTTTTCTCAGGCTTGTCGCCTACGGATCCTCATATGCTCGCATTTATACAATAAAACAGACTAATAGATGATATCGGGATGCACTTTTGTTTATCAAAATATTATTTATACAATTTCTACAGTTATACATGTATAAAACAAAGGCATGCACGCATGCGTGTGTATAAATATGTTTATATATATAAAATACGTAAAAAAAAAAAAAAAGTACATGTATTGTTTATGAGCAATGTCGAGTGTTGAGAACAAACAGGATTGGGGGGGTCCTTGAGGATTGGTGTTGTTATCACGCAAGAAAGGTTTGGCGATACAATTTTCTAAAAGAGATATAGGTCGTTTTGGTCATGGGGTTTTGTTCAAAGAAGGTCGGTGCCATAACTTTCATGTACATGTATAGCAATCATTATATTGTTGCGATATGTATTTTTCTGTGTATAATCAATCACTTTTCTAAAAGAAAGTTTGGAAAAGGATTGTGGGTGCCAGAATACAATACTTTAAAAAAAAAAAAAAAAAAGGCTGGCCTAATTGGGTTGCACTGAATGTGTCCAGATACATGTACATGTATCCATGTAGATACAGTAGACACAATACATTGAAATATACACATGTTGTGTACTGATAATTGTTTCGTGTTTATTGTTATATATATATTTATATTCTTCATATCCTGTTGTATCCTTTGAAACTTGTCTGCAATGAAAAAGGTAATTAAGAACATTGTGTAACATTATAATTGATAAATATTGACTAGTTCAGCTCACAGCTCTCGCTTTTTTTACCCCTTGTTTGTTTCAAGAGGTATCATTTGCATCTCATCATATGCCTGCATCTGTGAGAGCACTTGCACGCTTTTTTTTTTTTTTTTTTTTATCACTCTCACTGTTCTGTTTTGTCTCAAGACGAAGACGAAACGAGGAATGGATTGAGAAATGCTTTGGATGGAAGGATGAGAGAAAAAGAATGTGTTGTTGATTCGTTGGATCTTGGGTTGATATCGGTGAGAACCACACAGTGATCGAGTCCGCGTGGCCATCAAATCACTCGCAATCCCCTTGATTGAACGAGGTTGCTTGTGTTAATGATTGCGCTCGTGCCCCTGCGTACCCATTCATGAAGGAGAAATGAGGGGCCCAGGACGTGGTTCCCAGGTCTTGATAGAGCATGGCAAGATGCGCAAATTCTTTTTTTCTTTTCTTACAGCCATCCATCGTATCCATCCATCTGTCATCGCTCTGAGTTTAACTTTTGCTTCTTCCTTCTTGATTGTTTTGCTCGGAGTAAAAGAAGAAGGAAGGGTGACTGATCTGAATGTATTTGTTTACATGGTCAAAAAAAAATTGGTTTTTTTTTTTTTTTTTTTTTTTTTCTTTTGCAAGTGCCTTGGGTGCTCACACTAGACCTACTGATGACATGCAGGTCTACTTCGCTGAACACATCATTTGATTCAGTTTGCCTCACGCCTCAAAAGATGAATTGTTTGATGATGAGCGTTTTTGGGCTTACTCAGTTATCAACGAATAATGCAATGAGAATGCGTGTGTGTGTGGTCAAGCGGTAGCTATTTGACGTGGTTTTGCCATTCTGCCGCAATAAAACCCCTTCTTGGGTTCTCCGTTCGAGTAGAGATATAGAGTAATACTACATTTAAAGTGAGTATGGTAGATGGAAGTAAATAGATTAATAAAAGTTTTTCAGAGCCATGCACAGAAATGTCCCTTTCTTCATATTATACCTATCGGAGAAGGGGCCAATAAGTCAAGATAGACATGAAGCTTTCTTTTGTTGATTTAAAGACAGCCATAAGAGCACTACGGTATATGTATAACAAATATTATATACTAATATTGTATAAACGTATTGTTCATTTCGAACAAAGTAACATTGTGTTCAACGTGTTGTGTAGGATTTTGGATCTGTTCATTTCTTGGGTCTTCTCCACGTCTTTGGCCAAACATGGTTTAAAGAGCAACCCTGGTTGTTTTTTTTTTTTTTTTTTTTTTTTTTTGTTTTGAATTCAATTGACCGAGAATGAATAGTTTAATATATTCCGCAATACAAAGCTCTATTTCTCATTCCGGAATCGTACCCTGTTCATTGTAAATAAAAGTATAAACAGTATATGTACATATAAATTTCTTTACATCGGTATGTCTGTGTGTGTAAAGAATACATTAGCCCATTGACGGCTAACAGTGACATGTATGTACATTCGCTTTATTATATACTGTCGATGGTGATGGTAGTGCCACCGTTCCCGCTGCCCATGTAAGAGTTATGCTTATTGAGATCCAGGTGTGACGGTATGAATAGCAATATAAGATATGTTTAGCTTTATTTGCACTGCCCCAAAGGTGGGAACTGCCTCTTTTTTTGATCTGGCATGCTTGCAGACCGGGCTCCTCCCCTTCCATTCTCGCGACAGTTTTCGATTTGCTCTGCTCTGTCCTTGAAATATACGATTGGTGTGTATATGTATATACCAATTGTCCTTTACGGGATATGATTCAGACGCAGTATCAGGATCGATCATGAACGAAAAGAGAGAAGAATGCGAAGAGACTATGAGGAGAAACAGGAGAAAGAAATTAACGAGAGTGAGGGAGAGCCTGTTGTTCTGCTTTACTTCTCAAGCTTCAGTGGTTAATTTTTTTTTTTCTACTTCAGGAAGACCAGTTAGGGCAGATCCCTTCCTCCAGTTCGATTACGTTGCTGTCGTAATAAGAAAGATAAATAAATAAAAAAAACCTTGGCGTGCTAACGAGTGCCTTGGGCTCGGAAAAAAAAAAAAAAAAGGGTCCACAAGGAGAGAATCAGGAAGGAGGAGGGTCAGAGGCGGTGCAGAACTAATGGCAGTGATTGATTAGGTCGTTGGTCACCGATTTTTATTTTGATCAGAAGAAGACGGACCTGTCAACTGTCATTGTTCCCGCAGGATTGTCTGACAATGGACAATAAAAAAAAAAAGAGTTCTTTTGGTTTTTTGTATTACGTACTGGTCCTTCGACTTGTTGAGGCTGTCTTTTTTATTCTACATGTTTGCATAGTCTACAATACATTTCAGAAGGAGGGAGGTCAGGCACTGAGGATGCATGGACGATGATGTATACTAACTGAAATACACTTTGCCCTGTGTCTTTTTTTTTTTTTTTTTTTTTTTGAATACTCGGTCGAGTAAACCATTTTTTATTCTCCACTCTGGCTTGTTGCCGTTGTACCGTCCTGTCCTATCCCAACTTAGTCTTTTATTTTATTTTTATCCTTCTTTTCTTCCTCTCTTTCTCTCTCTCTCCTTCCCTTGACCCATCATCCCCCACCCATCCTGCACTTCGTCTCCTTGTGTGCCCTTTTTTTTTTTTTTTTTTTTTTTTTTTTTTTCTTCTTCTCTTTTTTGACTCATCTTCATTTCTTTTCCTTTCTTCCTTTCCTTTCCTTCCTTCCTTCCTTCCTTCTTTCCTTTTTTTTTATTTACTTTTTTTTCTTTTTCATTCTTCCTTTCAAATACTCATTGTCATCATTCTTCCTTCCTTCCTTTTATTTTCCATTCCTTTCTTACAACCCTATCTCGTCTATCATATTCATCACACCCACAACTTCCTCCTTTCATAAAGAAATACGTTCCAAAAAGCCTTTTGTCATTGCCACCATTCATATCTCTCAACCACATAATTATCTTAACCCTCCGTGCTCTTTATTTTTCTTTATCTCCATTCCCAGATTACAGCTCCTTGAACTCCCCACCTCTCCCCTTCCTCTTCGCCACGCTCCATTCCCAGACTCGAAAAGAAGTCATAGCCAAAGTCTTTTTTTTTTTTTTTTTTTTTTTTTTTTTTTTTTCCCACTTTAATACCAACATAGTTGACTAGGCGAACTTAAGCCTACGTATAGTTCTTACTTTCCTTCTTTGTCCACGTTCCTTGCATCTTATTTTAAAGCCTTATATTCCAGGTGAAAACCTTGGAGCACGTCTTCGATCTTTTTTGTTCATTTTTCTGTCTTATAATTTTTTTTTTCTCTTTCTCTGTGTGCCTGGCTGCCTATCGATTGTTGATCAATCCAGGGCAATCAACGTAAGTAGACTATTTATTTATTTGAATTGAGCACCATCTTTTTTGTCAGATGTGGGATAAAAGGGCTGAATTGTCAATTTTCATCCTATAACCTCTGCTGGTCTTATAAGTCAGCAGTGACCCTCTGATGGGTCGTGGGTAACTATCGTGCAAGGGAACTGGGGCCAGTGACCTGGAAATCAACCAGTCTCATTGCCAATCACCCAAAAGGAAAAAAAAAAAAATCGAGGGCACTTCTACCACATCACATTCTTTCCATGGCTACAGACCGTCTTTTTTTATGCCTTCCTTCTCTTTTCCACTAAAAAGTCTGCCATGTTCACATTCTGTTTAAGCAGTTCTTTTTTTTTTTTTTTTTTTCCTTCTCTCCTCTGTCATCATTGTTTCTATTCAATTGACATTCTGTTCTCATCTCACACTGTGTCTTTTGTACTGTATGTATTTGCCAATTTTATTTGTATTGGCGTTGTTGGGCTTCCACACAAACATCCTCTCTCTATCAGTATTCATGCCGCGTAGCCCATCATTTGATGTGTTCTATTTTGGTACAACTGCAATCAGGGACTGAGGGTGGCAGTAGATCGCATGGGGAGATTACGGCAGTCTGTTTGAGGCTTCTCCTTTTTTTTTTTTTCCGACCATGTTGGCATTTCAGAAACCACATGTCGTTATGAATAAACTCTTTCTCTGAGTCTTGGTTATGATTACCTTTTTCATTCATTCAAATCTCAATTTGGCTTCAGACGCCGCCTCTTTGAACATGCGCGGGGCTGGTGTGTGGTGGTGAAAGAGAAAGCAATCTCACCACATTTTTATCTTTCTGCCCAATCCCAACTTCCCCAGACTGAATGTGTTATTCCTCCTGTCAACCATATCCTTCCTGCTATATCATTTTGACTTTCAGTGGTGGAACATCTTCCAGATGTATGTTGGTTTGGTGGAGATTAAACATAAATCCCCATCCAAGTCTACTATCATATCTCTTCCCCGCAGCTACAGCTCCAGCTGATTGCTGATATTTCTTCTCTTCAGTTTTTGGCTTGGCCTCTCTCTCCTCCTGTCCTTTTTTTTTTTGTGTTTCAAAGTGTTTATTTGAACGGCCTGACAACTGAAAACAGCCAGTCATTGCTAACTGGCGTCACCTTTTTTTTTTTTTTTTTTTTTTTTTTTTGCACTGACTGTAGACTAAAACACAGAAGTAACGTCTGCGACAGAACACGACTTCATGAACCCGTATGAAGGTCGTGCACAGGACTTGAAGCAATCACTGCCACTATATCCAACTGCTCCGTCTTTTCCTTTGAAGCAAGGTCCGTCCCAGCATCTGCAGGCCCAATCAACTTTGTCTTCTGTCCACACCACTTATCCACAGCAAAACACAATGCTTACCTTTAACCAACAACCACAGCAGCATCACCTTAACAACCAATATACTCAACGTATGCCCCCAGGCCCTTCTATAAAGAAACCAGAGCTTCTTCTTCAATCATCGACACCATTAGCTAACTCCACCATCAACTCAAGTACTAGCAATAACAACAGCAACGCTCAAATGCATTCAGCAGCAGTAGCAGTAGCACAACAACAGCAACTACTTTTGCAGCAACAGTTGCAGCATAAGCAACAGCAGCAGCAACAGCAACAACAACAACAGCAGCAGCAGCAGCAGCAGCAACAGCAGCAACAACAACAACAGCAGCAGCAACAGCAGCAACAACAACAACAACAACAACAACAGCAACAGCAGCATCACACACAGCACCATCTTCAACAACATACAGCATACCAACAACGCCAATTTGGCAACTTTGAAACACCAAGTCCACCTACACCTTCCCCTTCTCCAGGCAACCACCCAACAATCCTCATACCTCATCCCAAGTTACACCAACTCGACATGTCCCAAAATTCACCAAGCGGTGATCCGGCATCGTCACCGTCACTGTCAGCATCATCACCAACTAGTACCACATCCAAGAAACGCACGAGAGCCTCAGCTGAACAGCTCGCGATTTTAGAGGACACATTCTTGACAAATCAATCACCAAACTCCAAGGTGCGTGAGATCCTCGCCAAGAAAGTCAAGATGTCTGAGCGGTCTATTCAGATTTGGTTCCAGAATAGGAGGGCGAAGGTCAAGCAGGCACAAAAGCGGTCAGAGCTTGTCCAACAGGAGGCCATGAAAGCTCAGTATCTTAGCAGTTGTGCTGCTGCAGGTATTACGCCCCAACCTTTCTACGGATTTGGCGCGCCCACTGCAGGAGCCAAAGCCTTCCCGATGGCGGCACATCTCCATCCTTCTGCCACAGCTCGTGCTACTCTTTCGCGAACTAATAGCTACGATGCTGCTCGAGCGTCTGCTGTGCAGGCACGTTTTGCGCAGACAGGCCTGGGTATTAATGTGCCTGGAGCGGCCAATGCTGCATTATGGAGTGGCCAACTCCCATACGGAATGCAACCTCAGAATCATCCAGGTTTTGCCTTCCGTCCAAATGTTCCTCAGGCTATGGCAGCTGCTCGAGGGGTTAAACGATCGTTTGGTAAGTAAGATGTAAAATAAGAAAAAAAAAAAAAAAAAAAAAAAAAAGTAGTGAAAAGTATGTTCTAATGAAAGCTGCCTTTCTCATTGATTTTCTTCATAGACGCCACTAACGGTACCCTCACTCCTGGTGCGGTTCCCAAGGCTCTTCATTTCCCCGGTGCGGTTGGTGCTGACGGATTACCTGAAGGCGTTGCCTCGCCTGATGTGATGTTTGCCGCCGGTCTGATGCCTGGTGCGTCTCAAATTCCTACCATGCCAACATTCAATTGTGACAACCTGGCTATTGGAACGTGGAGGAGAATGTCTACACCTAATACGGATTTGAGCTGCTTCTACTGTCCTACCACAAGGATTATGACGTGGCAGATCATTGATCATGCTGCTCGTTTCAAGATGACATTCCCCCTAAGTGCAATATCCCGTATTGAATTCTACGAAGTTGATGCCATGTATTCTCAAGTAGACTTTGATCTGCTTGAAACTCCTCAGTTCTTTATGGAAACTGTTTCAGAGGACCAGACGCGCGATTGGAAGAAATGTAGTGACTTCACAGAAGGCAAACAGGCGACATTAGTAATGAGGCACACTATCCACGGAATTTCTTCGGCTCTCAAGATGCAGGTCATGAGCTTGACAATCGCATATCCCCCATTGCAGGGCATCACACACTACCGCGAGACACAGTTCCAAACACAATTCCACGGATTCACTGCCCCTATTCCTCAGATTTCTCAGTTCTTGGATCCTTCTCAATATGATCGTCGATTTGCTGCTACCCCAATGAATCCTGGGTCGTATTTGGGGCTGAATGACGGTCTAGACTCTGGCGAAGGTTCTGATATTGGCGAGGACTTCTATGATGGATCGAATACTTTCGGGACACCCTTTTCGGCCACTACCAGTGCACTTTTGGATATGAATGCTGACGGTACTCAGCAACCGAGACTCAAGTCGCGCCGAACAGCAAGTATGCCAACGCCAGCTGTTAACAATTTCTTGACTACAGGGCTTAACGCAGTACCCTACCACTCCTCGCCCTTATCAATGTACTCAACAACTGGCGTAGCCTTGGAGACGTCTACAAGTACGCCAGGACTTTTGCCCACCTCAGCTGCAGCTGCTGTAGCAGCCACAGTGACCCCAGCTGTAGGGGAATCGCAGACTGCATTGCCAGCGTCTTCAGTCCCAACCACATCCACCGCTCCGTCACAGACAGTACAAGTGCCCGCTCCAACAGCGACAGCTTCTACTATAACTAGCTCCACGGCCGCGGAAACATCTGCAGCCTCTGTTACCGTCTCTGCGTCATCCACAGTGACACCGGCACCGGCTGCTACCCTTGCTCCTTCTATGATTGCTACTGCTACGACCATGCCTAAAGTGACCATCACAACACTAAGCGATTCAGCCGACAATGGCGGCGCCGCTACAGAATCCACTACTATTGTCCATGGTGAAAACGATCAAGAAAAGGACAAAGGGGAGACACAACAGGAGGAGCAAGAAGAAACGAAGCAGACCGAAAATCAAATGGGCTTGACTTCTCAGTTCAATGAATTTTTAGCACAAGCTGTAGTATCGACATCGGCTCAAATGTCGGCACCCTTCGTTTCAGCAGCTTTCGGAGGTGGTATGATGTATGGTCATGCGCATCCTCAAGCCTTCCAGCTGGGAACATTAGATGATGGATCGGATAGTGGATACGAATTCAATTCTGGATACTATGGCATGATGCCCGAGCAGGCCTCGTTCGTCTCCATGAGTGATCTGGAAGGAAGCACCGGTCAACAAACAGACGGCGAAGAGAGTTCGTATGGTCCATACTAAAGTGGATCCACGCATGTGTCCGCTTACTCATCCATTTTTATAATCTCAAGCAGTCTCCAGCTTTTCTGTGTATCATGTTCAATGTCCTGTATTTCTGCAATATTCATGCCTCGATTCTGTACCCTCTTTGTATAGCCTTTCTCACAAACGAAACTTTCTCTTGATTACCATCGAACCCACACATATTTTTCCTTGATCCGTTCATCATTTACCATCCATCATCTTGGCCCGTTATGTTTGTTATTTATTTATTTTAGCCTTGCATGTCTTCATTTGATCTATACTATTTTTTTTTTTTTTTGCATTGACAAACCTTTCCTTGGATATCCTCCACACCTCACTATGAGAGAATTTTAAAAAGCCAATAAAAGTATAGCCATGCATTCCTAGCAGTCACTTAATCAAATTAAAATGCTGACAAAACAATTTCGCATTCTTTTCTCCCAATGACCCTTTCACTCTCATTTTTTGTCAAACCCGCTTTTAAGAATTAAACTCATGTCAGAAAGAACTTTCCCAACTTTGCCCGAAGACTGCGTCTTTGAAGTGTTGAAATATCTCTCCGCACGCGGTACTAACCTGTCTGATACGTTGCCTCATTTCACTATGCCTTGTAAATTTTTAAATACATTTAATAATATATACTCCTGTGCCCTCACAATATGTAGATCTTGCATTGGTATCAAGGACTTGCAGCACTTGGAATAGGCTAGCGTGGAAGAATAGCTTGTGGCAACGCCTCTGTTTAGAGCGCTGGAGAACTTGGCCACTCCCTCCGTCATATTCATCGTACTACAAAAACCAGTATAGCTACTCAGATGGCCGACTCGATGGAATGCTTGATGGAATGTCGATAGATTCACAAAAATCGGGGTCATTCTTGTCGCTACCAGATTCTTTAACTGACCTATATTCACCTGAGCGGTGGTACTCGACTTCTTATCCACCGTACGGATTCGACACATGGAAGGAAGTCTATAGAGAGCGGCATGAGAAGGATGGGATCGTTCGAGTGTTGCTACAGGAAATGGTGGAGGACCCCAGGAATAGGGTGCGTCATATGGATGGTATCGCGGAGGTTGGTGTGGTTCATGCACGCGATGTTTTAGAAAATATTATTGCAGGGAGAAACGGCGAGGTGAAGAATCTTACTCGGACATACTATGCCCGGAAAACGCTCAAAAGACTTCGACGAGGCTGGGTACTTGACCAATGGCGTGCATACCGTTCCAATAGCCAGAACTTCCCCATCTGGCAGGGATGTGCACTTATGGCCATGTTCTCTGATCATGAACTGGAGCTGACAGACATTGAAGATCAATTTCAGGAGCTTGCAGACGGATTTCTTGAAGACTCTCCTATACCCGAACAAGGAGACCATAGCCTAGCAACAACGCCACCTATTGTATCGAATACATTTGATAGAGGCAACTCTGAAAACTCGTCATTGGATGACTGGAATAAGAGGTGCTCTAGGTGGTTTGAGACTCAGATCAATCGCCTTAAGCACTTGATTCGATTTTTTACGCAAGAGAAGGGATTTAAGGGTAACACCGAAAATTATTACGACCCATTCAATAGCTTTATCGATAAGGTATTGGTGCGCAAGGTTGGCATTCCAATATCGCTGAGTATTATCTTCGCAGAGCTAGCACAGCGGGTAGGGATTGCAGGAGTGGAGTTGATGGGATTCCCGCAACATTTTATGATCCGCTATCGCCCATCAATGCTTGACCGCTCATTGGAGCCCCAGGTATCGCTATCAGAAGCAGCGCTAGAAGCTCCAACATTCTACCTTGATTTGTTTCATCCGCCCCATCGGTTACTGTCAACAGAGGAGTACGAAAGCTACTTTTCTGTCTTGAATATACCGCGCCCATCCAACATCTACAGAGATTTGCCAACACCACCACTAGAAATCTTCCTAAGATGCCTTCGGAACATTATTCGTGCGGTGGAACAGACCGGAGGAGCAGGGAGGTATAGTATCCTGGAAACAGATTGTTATCAAGGTCATAGCGTTTAATGGTCAGCTTTCTCAAGAGTGTATGGATTATCGGTTTTATCTACTCAAATAGGATCGGGTCCGACCATCAAACAAGTCTATATTCTGGTATCACTCAACTACTTGCATTGCATCCTGGTGAAGAGTAAGCCTTTTCTATTTTGATCTCTTTGGATGGGAACTAATGAATGCTTTGTTAAGTTTTTTTTTTTTTTTTTTTTTTTTTTTCAGTATCACTTGTCATTAACATTATCATGTCGGTCCCTGAAACCCGTAGATGGGAACTGTACGTTTTGTGGCTCAAATACCTTAGTAACTTCTGGCCAGAGGATATCGGATTTATCCGAACATCCATTGAGGATATGGAATTGATGGATCATCGACGGTCTGTAACTAAAGCTTATGTGTCATCCACTATTTCACCCTCACAGAATCAGCATTCACAGCACCAGCAATCAAGCCATACCTCAGAATTCCATCGAGGAAGGCTTCATGAGGCGGCAAGTCGCTCCGACACTCATTTTGCATCAACGTCCAATGAAATAATCAGAATAATGAGGGCCCAAGTCAGAGAGCTTGAAAGGATGGATGAGGATGTAGATGTTGGTGAGATCCGTCGACGGAAACGACCCAAGGCTTCACCTGATGCTGATCAAAGCGACGCAGCCCAACTTCGATCTGAAGCGCGATCTCCTGATCAGTACATCACTGGAGTAAGCCAAGCATCATCGTCATCAATGCTTGGTGAACAGGTCAATAGCTCTATTGAGATGGAATCGGATGAGCACCCCCATGCTCCCACGAGCAGGATTATAGCTCTGTTTGGAAACGAAGAACGTCGGCGACCTGAGCCTAAATATTATGTTGGTGAAGTTTTTCGGCATTTGATTTACCGCTATACTGGAGTCATCTATGGATATGATCTGAGTAAGCTTAAGAAACGAAGGAAAAAAAAAAAAAAAAAAAAAAAATTGACAGCAGTTTTAAGCTTACAATGTATTTCATCATTTTTATTTTATTTTTATTATCCCACAAGAATGTGAGGCTCCGGACTCATGGATCCAATCTATGGGTGTTGACTTACTCCCTCATGGAAGAAATCAACCTTTTTATAATGCTCTGTTGGCTGATGGTTCAAAACGATATGTTGCGCAAGTGAATATCCAAGCCCTTTTCCGAGAATATAGGTCGTCTAATCCTATTTTAACTCATTCTATAACCTCATCTGCAGCGGATCAAATTCAATCTAATGATTCAGAATCATTAGTGTCATTCAGTCAGACAGATTCAACTTCAACAGAGCCAGTATTAGCAGCGGCAGAGTCATCGGCTGTTACACCTGTTACAGAGTCAGCGCTGCCCACGCTTCAGTTCTCGGAGTTGGGACCACTTGAGATTGAAGCTGTGGGGCAATATTTTGAAGCCTGGGACGGACAACGTGGCTACTACATCATGAATAAAGAGCTTCGCAAGCTTTATCCTACAGAAGATTATCTGTAAAAAAATAAATAAATAAATAAAATATCTCCGAATACCATGCCAAGTTTATTTGAAAGCACACAGAAGGTCGAGTGATTAACCTTATAGGGAACCATGTCCACGCAAATGTGTTCTTTGTATCTGTTATACTATTCCTCTTACATCCTTTCAAAAAGAAAAAAAATCCCGAGACAATTTTGTGGATCAAGTGTAGCCAAGAAAGGGACTACTGACAACGATCCCTGCCTGATGTCGCTGGATCCTTCGAATGATGAGTCCCTGCCATCAAAAATAAAGCGTGCAAGTTGAATGATCCGTATAGAGTGGATAACAGCATTAGCTACAACATAGTGCAGCATCATTTCCTGAAAACTTGAAAATGTGCAGATGGATTTATTTGTACTAGTTTAATGAAGGGGATGAGACTGACGAGGCAGGGATATTTGCAGCAAATTTCTCAAGTAACTGAGCCTCTTCTTTGGCAATCTCCTCTAACTCTTCACGGGTCTGAAGTCCCTTAGTTTCCTTACGCAACTCATAGAGTTGTCCCAGTTGCTGATCCGTCATCTTGTCCAACAACCCCGGGTCGAGTTTCCTACCGAACGCTCTTCCTTGTTCCACCATTCGTTGTAATGTTGTCTCTCTATTGATTTTCTCTTGTTCTTTCTTTATTGTGTCTATGGAGGTCGTTGATACTGTTGTTGGTATTGATGACATGGAGGAAAGAGATTCAGCTGCTTGCTGTTTCAGGTCCTGGTTCTGGCTCTGGCTCTGGCTCTGGCTCTGATTCTGCTTGGGTGAGGCAATGAGGATATGATTGAGATAGTCCTGCCACTGCTCTAGAAAGCCAACAATGTAAAGAGGATTATCGACATCTTTATGGCGATGAAACTCGGCTTTGACATAGCCATCTCCCAGAATCCGAAATTGTGGAGGCAAATGCTTTCGGTGGGCTCGGAGAATCTGTCTGTATAGGGTCAGAGGTGGAATGAGAGTCTTTTGCGATGCCATGATGCTCTTTATGAATAAAACTAAAACAGATATTTTTTCCCCCTGTGTCCGAAGTGATCCGGTTATAAATCCTTTTTTTTAAGGCACGTGACAGACAGTTGGCGCAAACATATACCTTCACATTGGGCGAAGTCTTTGTCTTTACAAAAGAATGAAAGAGTGACAAAAAAGATATCTTTGTAGTATGGGGTTTACATGACATGTGGGTTATGGCAGCATTCTTTTTTTTTTTTTTTTTTTTTTGCATAGCATCAGAGCCTATTTATTTTGCGGGAATGGAGGCGTTATAAATGGTGGCAAATGCAAAAGCTTTCTCCATGAAGAGCGTCTGCACATTTGACTGTTCCCAAACAAGGCAATGCTTGGCAGCCTTTTTATTTATTTATTTATTTATTTTAGACTTGCTTTGCCTCTTTTTCTTTTTTCTCTCCAACCCACTTTTGACGCAACGTATCTTAAAGCATTTTTTTCCTTTCTACACTCTTCCTCACTCCGCTTATCCCATATCTTTTATTCTGCTGTCATTTGTCCGCCTGCTTGCTTCCTCTTACGCATAGTGGTGTATAATGAGCTAAACAAAGATGGGCATCAACAAAAGTATGTCTCATGACAAAAGTGTTTGAATTCCCTGATATTCGAAATAGTGCATTCATATTCATCTAAAAACCTTGGGTCGGCATCACCACCAATATTACCTCGTTTATCTTTTTCATAGATCTCTTCAGTGACCCAGAGCATCTGCCTTCTGGACTCATTTGTCCACTATGCGCCAACATCTTTCTTAACCCATATCAAGTTTTTTGCAGTGAAGGCAAGTATTCCAAGAATATCTCACCGAGGCAAGAATGACGAGCCATAATCACTATGGTCCCAAATTGATGAAAACCATTCTCACCTTTGACTTTTGAGATTTACTTCTCTCATTTCTTACCACGTCCTTTATTATTTTTATTTTTATTTCTGTGTGTGCATGAACGTTGAAAATATTTGCAAATCAGACCATGTTTTTTGTGAAGCATGTTTGGAGGTTTATATTGATGATTATCTTCAAAGCAATCAACTAAAGGTTTTGCAGGAGACTGATCAAGAGCAACAATCACAATCACATTTGTCTCGGCCAATACAGCACCCAATGATTACAACGTCTGATCAGGAAGCACAAGAAGAAGAACATGAAGAAGAAAGGGAGGAAGAAGAGAAGGAGAGGCCCATTGAGTCACCATCTTCATTAAATGATACCATCAGTGTAGAGTGCCCTGAATGTCGAAGAACAGCACAAGATTCTGCTTCAAGAATTAAGCTTTGTATCAGTTCATTTCGACCAGCGAAATATCTGGCGGTAAATTTATTGAGTCCATTTGTTTCTGTGTGGTATAATTTTGAGTCTGAAATGATACTCACATTCTTGCGTTGCCTTCTCATATAAATCACTTAGAGAATGATTGATGCACAGCGTTTACGGTGTCCAACGACTATGATGAGATCATGCCAATGGATTGGAGCTATGAAAGATATGCATACGCATCTTGATGTGGTAAAAAAACTGAAGTTTGTCTATTTCTATACTATTCAGTACGTCAGCATCCTTTCGACTTCCTAACCCCTTTGTACCAATTATTCTGTTATTATTGTTATTATTGTAATTATTATTATTATTGTCGTGATTGTCTTCGATCCTCATAGTGCGGATTTGCCATAGAAACACTATGCCCTCACCGCCAATATGGCTGTAGATACAGAGCTTCCGCCCTTGACATTGTCGCACATCTGCCATCGTGCCCATTTGCACCACAGGGTAGCTCAACATCTGAGATCTCTGATAGCCAGAGTCTTCCAGAGACTTCGCTTCCAAATCAACATATAGCGCCCCTTTCGCCCCCACAATCATCCCCGCCAATGAATCCAATGGACTATCCCCCGCATGGGCTATTTGAGCGCTTTCCACAAACGCAAGAATCAGACAATATCCCGGACCAACAACAGGATAGCGACAAAAAGAAAGCTATGAGCTCAACTGCTAATGAACTTCAGCCGTCTAATAAAAACTTCCGCGCACTGTCAATGGATAGTATCACGGAGGATGGTCCTGGACATATCAATGACCTGCATAACGGCGAGACAGTGAGAATGGATGACAACGAGGATGAGTTTGATCAAGATGAGTTCCTGGAACGTCTTGAAGACTTGGAAATGGCAGATATTTCGTTCTCTCCTCATCATAGCCCTTTACTGGCCCATAGTGACAACAGCCCAGACCCTTTGTTGATTAAGTCAGAGCAAGCACCCATTTCGATGTCTTTGCAGCCTCTAAGAGTTCCTACACGACGTAGGCTCATCGTAGAGGAAGAATCGGAACAAGAGGACTGTGATAACGCAACCAGAGCTGCAGTTAACGACCACAATTTAGACGTAGCCATGACAGACTCGGTTCCTCCAACTGAAATGGAGGATCGTAGCCAGTATGGTGCACATGCTGGAGGAGATCCTAATGACCAAGGGCTTCTGCCTTATATTTCTAGCTATGCAGGGGAGCTACCACCAGCCTCTAGATCTGCTGCTTTACATCAGAGCTCTCCCCACATTGATGGACTTACAAGCACTTCAGATCACCCTGCGCCGCTTATAACTGAGCAACAGCTACCGCCAGCACCATTGTCACCGCATCAAATAGAACAAGAAGCTGAGCAGCACAATCCACAAACGTTTATTACCCGTCGAAGGCCTTCGCTTGATAGTTTGACAGACGCACAGCATGACTCTAGTAAACGAAGAATGCTGGAATTTCATGGACCTTGGCAGTGGCAGGTTGGACCAGCATCTCAGGCACAGCCACAAGAACCAGCCATTATTACCATGACCGACATCTCGTCTGTTGACTCTCCAGCTGCATCATCAGTAATGTCATCACTCGTATCTTCTTTTATCAAACCTCTATCACGAAGGCCAGCATCGTTTTTTGCGCCGCTACATCGTCCAATGACAAGATCTGAAGCAACTGATATACAGGTTTATGTGGCTGAGTCGTCAAGCTATCTACCACTTTTGGTGCATCAACCAAGATACTTACGACCACGACAAAAGGTAAACGTGATACAAACTCATATCGCTCATATTGTTATTATTATTATTATTATTTTACTGACCTTGCGCATACACCAACATCGATTTTATGTAGAAAATCCTTCGTGGACGTGCTCGATCCAAATTTTTGACTCCTATTGTCCATGGAACAAACAATACAGAAAATCAGCTGAATGGACCACCATTTGGTAGCATGATGACAAACATCACATCACCTGAGAATTCGTTTGCTTCCGATGGAAATTCCCATGAATGCTGAAGAAAATGTTGTATACAAAACCGTAGTTTTTAGTAAGGACATTCCAATGGTTAATAAAGCATACATAAAGTTTAATTCTGTTCATTTTGCCCCTACTTGCGGTTATTAATTTCAAGGTAAATGCCAATACAGTCGACGTCAAGAAAGATGTACTAAGACTGAGTGGTCTTCAAAAACGCACTAGTGTGAGACGTGTTTCTGTATTCCTTTCATAAAACATTACCATGTGAACTAAGGATGAAGAGAACGGGTACATACTAATACAGGATAAGTTTGGTTCTACGCAATCTCCGAGTTCATCCTCCATCCTGAAAAACATCCTTGGTCAAGGAAACAAATAAATAGGACATATCGCATTGACCATCCGATGTTTTTTGGCATGATGGAAGACATGCGTATAGTAAATTCAAGCATTCAAGGACGTCAAACAATCAAGTGCGAATGAAAGTTTAGTAATAAGTACAGTCTAAAAAACATGATGCATCACATTCTCACATTCTCCCCAAGAAAAAGAAAGGATGGCGTAGAAGAAGAGTTCAGTTTCATGTGCTTTTCATATCATCGGAAGGGGCAGGGTACAATGAACACTCTGTAAAAATCACATCTTGGTCTTCTTATCTCCTCTTCTATCTTATCCTCTCTCTTCATGAGAAAAGAGTTCTGCAGGCGAATGCGTCTGATACCTGGTTATGTTCTTTCTCTTGTAAATGCAATTTAATTCTTAACGTACCGAGTCCGCGTTCAGCTCAGATGTGGCGTAGGGGGAGGGGGGGGGTTTCGAGATACAGAAATGTAAAAAAAATTACTCCATCTGCAAAAAAGGTGAGACAAAAAACTTGTATACAAAAATGGTCCAAAACCAAACCAACGGGAATATGTATTGGTATAATAAAACAACAACAAACACAGTCAAACAAAATAAAAAATAGAGAAGAGGCTGGAGAGGAAAAGGAAATTGGATGAAGTGCGGAGTGACCCCCACTGGTCATCGTAATTGATCATCCCTCGCCTGCAGTGTTGATGACAGCCAAGCCAAATGCAAGCGTAAAGAGAAAAAAAGATGGGATGTTTTCTTCTAAGATCCTCTTGCGAATCTGTAATTAAGAGGGGAGGGCCTACCCCTTCAATAAGAGAGAGAAGCATATGCCTCTTATTTATACCCACTAAGCTAATACTACGCGTCCTTTGCAACACAAACTCAAGATGGTCAGAGCACCTCTCTCTCAACCCACATTGCCCCTTGCATTCACACACTCTATTTGACTTCCTTCCCTTGTCCCTTCTACTTTGGTCTGATTGTGTTAGATGTTATGCCGCGTGGCAGGACCTAATTTACCTTCTCTTTTTCTCCTGCCTTTTCCCCTGTTCCTTCTCAAGTCCTTGAATGTCTTTTTTGCTGTTGACATTCGTGTTCATACTCGTGCTCGTGTTCGTGTTCGTTAGTTTGTCCCTTTCGTGCACCAATAGGTCGTGTCCTTTTTGTGCGTCTACTTGCAAGAGGTAGTTTGGTTGGCTCGGGCTTGTACAAGGACGCGTTGTACGTGTCTTCTTCATCCCTGGCGCATCGCGTGACCTTGCTTTTTAGTCAAAAAAAAAAAAAAAAAAAAAAAAGAATGCCCACTGCATCTAAGCATTTATTCACTGGACGATCTTGGTCTGTCCTTCTTGAACATATTTGTATTTGCACATGTTTTCATGTATTGAATGGGTACGTTCCACTTCATCAATCAACCGTCGGCACAGCCGCCACAATCCCTTTGAGTCCCTATCTACAGTTACCCCACTCCGAGAGCAATTCCAGTCCTCTTTGGCGTTTTTATATTAACTCATACTTGTCATGATACTCATAAGCTCTACATTTCATCCTGAGATTTGAAGGTATCCAATACAACTTCATTCCAAAGCCCCAATGTCAAACCTTAGTGTATTCATTGACCAGAGTTCCTAATGTCAATTGATGTGGTTTGTCTTCAAACTGGTGCTCCTTTGATTTTGCTACCCTCGTCATCAAGAGTTGCTCAGATAACAGAAATGTGGATATGATAGGAGAGTATAAATGCAGTGAGCCAGCGCCTACGATGCCTCCTTGAGCCACTACAGCAAGAAAAGAAAAAAAAAAAAAAAAAAAAAAAAAAAGACAATCTACTGGTACAACAGCATCACTTGTTGCAGACATTGCAAGTTTCAACAACTACGCAACAAACATCAACTACCGCGATTCAGCATCCGCTACATGCACTATAATCCCTTGAGCTTGCTCTTGATGTAGCCCCTCCCTTTTCCCCTGCGATCTTTCAAAATAAAAAAAAATAAAAAAAAAAGAAGAAAAATTCTTGTGGACAGGGAAAAAAAGCGAGGGATGAGGAAGGAGAGAGAAGGATGAGTCTATTTATTGTCTTTTTTTTTTTTTTTTTTTTTTTTTTTGTTTCTGTACATCCTTCCAATTGCACCTGCAGTCGATTGACGAGCACTTTATTCGGATGTAATCTGACGGACGCTTTTTTTTTATTCGTTTAGCAACTCCTCTTGTTCTTCGTCATCTTTGTCTGTGTTTATTATCACCATCGTTACCCTTCTTTGAACACTTTGAACACTTTGATTTCTGCATCTGTATCATCATCCCAGTTTACATTTGCAAAAGACAAAGTGAAAAAAAAAAAAAAAAAAAAAAAAAAAAAAAAAGCAGATCTACCCTGTTTGTCTCTGTTTGCGTTCTTTTTTTTTTTTTTTGTTTGTCACTGTTATCTGTTGCTACTGTTTGCTGCTGCAGGCGACTGCATCCTAACCCTGCTCAACCACGGGTCACTTTCAGTCCCGACCTTTTTCCATCTCGAGCACCCCCTTTCATTCATCCTATTGCTTCCTATTATCCTTTTGTCTTTCTCTATCCCTTGGGAATCCATTGATTCATCACTGCTACATATTCTTTTTAAATTATAACAATTAGGTATTCAATCAACACAGACAAGAATAGGTGGGTGAGTTGGATGAATTTTGTGTACTTTGTGTATTGTTGTTGATTGACCAGTTGAAAAAGAGGCTCCTTTTCCCCCCTACCTTTTTTTTTTTTTTTTTTTTTTTTGTTCCTCGTCCTTAATCCTTTTTGTCCTCACCCTTCCAACCAGACCAATCGTACCCAGGTCAACACCAATCTCTGTCTTGTGTCTGCTTTTTTTTTTTTTTTTTTTTTTTTTTTTTTACTTTATTTGGTTGAATAAGAAGTTAAAGACAAATTCTTTTCAATAGTTTCAAATAACAATTTTTTTTTTCTTTTCTTATTGTGTTATTGTGTGGAAATGCGTGCATGCCAAAAAGGTTTTTGAAATGAGTCTGCATCCGTCAAGGAGATCCTGGTATCATTGTTTGGGTCATCAATAACCCTCTTTGGCGCCTTTTTCTTTTTCTTCTTTTCTCACTTTTCCTTTCTCGTCCAACTAAACCTTCTCACTTGCACCATCAAGAACTGCACAGCGTAAAAAAAAAAAAAAGCAACTCCTAAAATCACTGTTCTTTTAAAAAAGTAACGACATTTGAATGATATCCTTTTTTTTTTTTTTTTTTTTTTTTTTTAAATTGTTCACTCTCATACTCTAAAAACTCACACATACGCACACACAGCATCTTTTGTGTTAGTCTGCATTCGTCCTGTCTTTCTTTTCTTTTCCTTCTTTCTTTTCTCTTGGCCAGTTTTCCCTTCTTTCTTCAGTTCTCCCTCTCCTGTTGCCTTTCTATTCTCTTTATATTCATTGTATTTTCCCTAGCTCCTCTTCCTCTCCTCTCTCCTCTCCTCTCTCACCCCTACTTCCATAAAGCAACATCCCACCTCCATCGTCTCTCCACATCATTCTTTCGATTCCCTCCCCTTTTTTTATTGACACGAACAACGATTCTTATTCTCTTCATCATTCTTATTTAATCTCAAGTATTGATATATCCATCTTCCACATTGTAATTTACAAACTTCTCACTGTTGGCCTTTGTAGCCCAATCTATGCATGGTACGGGCGTTTTTCTATACTTAAACATGTGCTCTGTTACATTCATCCATATGGTTACACTCGTAAACAGTGCCAGCAATACCAACAACAACAATAACAACAATAACAACCATTTCCCGAAAAAAAAAAGGGATTTTTTTTTTTTTTTTTTTCCTCCAAGTTTGTGATGAGGCTCTACAAACCATTCTGCTTTTTTTTTTTTTTTTTTTTTTTTTTTTGCTCCTCCTCGGAAAAATGGTCTATGCTTCTCCTTGACAATTACATTCACATTGTCGTTCTCATTTCTTCACTTGCCACCCATTTGCCTCGTTAACCAAAACAGGCTAAAGCTAACACAAAAAGTAAACAACAAAGAGTATAGAGGGAAAGAGAAAGATTATCCATTCTAAAATGGCAAGATTGTTGTTGTGAATAGGTTATTGGTTTGTAGCACCGCTCCAGTTGTGTGTGGACCCTTTTCTCCTTTACATCAGGTATTTTTCCTCCCCTTCTGGCTCTGGTCTGTAAACCAATCTCCGCCTCATTGTTTGTTCTATCAGTCAATCCGTGCTCGAAATCTTTTTTAGTATTCTGTGACAGGAGCTTGATTTGGGTCGCATGCTCCCTGTTCCCATGTTCACAATTGTAAGAGCATAATACGAACGGTTGTTATTGGGAAATGGAAAGGGGGAAATGGGACGATCGCTCAGTGAAGAACCTTATGCGACCGACCACTTCTCTTTTTTTTTTTTTTTTTTTTTTTTTTTTTTGGAGCCCAATCTTTAGATCAAATGCCTATATTCTTTTTGTTTTTCTTGTTGACTACAGAAATTGAGATAGGATTAACAGATGTATTAGAGCGTCAGAGAGAGAAGATTACGACAAATTCTATCGTCCTCTTGCGTATAATGCAGCAGTATGCTGTGGTTGTCTGTCCGCGCGCGACCTATCATCGCGATGCACGCGTCTATGGGCTTACGGCTATTTCTAGTCTTTTCTGACTTACCATACCAATCTAGACTAATCGCTGTATTCAAACATCTCGGAAGATGATCCCCTATCTTTCTATCCCTCCCCTTATTCGATTTTTTTCCTTTTCTTTTTTTGTCTTGCTTCGCCATTTCACCGCTATCATTATTGCATCGCACAATTGGCTGTCGCATTTAATTGGCCTTTCTTCACTCTTTTTCCCTTTCCAGTTTTTGATATTTCTGATATGGTGATTTGCTCTCCTCCCATTTTTCGTCTTCAGAGTTGTGTCTTCCCACAGATTTTCTGCTGATAAAAACACAGATGGCTTATCAGTCACGCCCATAACCTTGTGCTCCTTTTTTTTTGTACTCCAACTCATTTCTTTGTGCTTGTCTTCAGTTGTTTTTACTTCAAAAAAGAAGCTTTTGAATAATCTGACCCATTCGCTGCTCTCTTCCTCCTTCCTCTCTCTCACTAGACTCCAAAGATTTAAACGAAAAAATCACTTTTGACTCTAAGATCATCCTTACCCATCAACGGGATCTACATCATCCTCAGAATCAAAGCCAGAATCAGGATTTAAGTCTACGCGGCGTCGCGACTCACAGCGGAAAGCAGCTGGACATGATGATGGAGCATCCCCAACAGCCCCTGGATCTACGACAGCTCCACTCACAGCAGCAGCAGCCACATCAGCAACAGATCTCGACCCCTACTCATATCGACCCCAGTTCGACAGCTTCTTTTGCAGCATTTTCACAGTCATTGGCGATGGAGCCCATTCACCCCTTTCAAACCGCATCCCCATCCATATCTTTGGGATCGCTATCATCTGCAGGTATGACCGCAGATGGTATGCCTTTACATCCTCAGACTACCATGTCCCAACATTCAATGCCCCAAAGGCCTCTTTGGCATGAGCAAGGTCCTCTCAGTCATCGTGGATCTTTTCACAATCTCATATCTGCGAGCAGAGAGGACCGTCTACGGGCTCGACAGGACCGCGGCAGCATCATCAGCCTTGCTTCGACTGTCGGTGAAGACTCTCCTTCAGAATTTAGTGCGCTTGATTTAGAGCCTACACTTGGCGACTTGCATTCGCAGCAAGGAGCATCCGGAGTAGGTATTGACAATGAAGAGTATGATCATCAGGGTATCGGTACAGAATTTGCGATGATGAGTGTTCTGGATTACAACCTGTCTGGTTCTAGATCCAGTCCAGGTGGCACAAGTGTGGAAGGAGATTTATCTAGTGCTCAGCCCTCAAGGAGTAATAGCGTTATGCTAGACCCTTCGACAGTCATGAAGGTTAATGCAATGTTCAACATGGGCGAGGAACCACTTCATCTTCAGGCAGAGCAGTTCAATGGATCATCATCTCTCACTCATCCTCTATCCAAAGAAGTGTCTCAACAGCCAGAGTCTTCTCTGGATGGCACTGTGCGCTTCCAAACTATGGCCCCTGGCCAGCATCCCAATGAGACAGAAGGCACTCTTTCATCACTGTGGTCTGGTTCAATGGATATGCTCGCGGCATCTGTTCATCCATTTAGCATGCCTCCTTACATGAATGATGGCAGTCAATCAATTTCGAGTCCTGCAGACCCTGCTTTACTGGATGGTACTAGAACGCAAGAGCATATGCTACAGACATATGATCATGATGGTTCTCGACCTGCCCTTCCAACTTCGGTGTCTTCCTACTCCAATTGCTCATCCTATTTTGATGGCAACAAGGAGAGTTCAAGAACTGTAAACTCCCAAATATCCATTCCTAATAACATAGGGGATGGATCTCAACAGCAGCCGCAACAACAACAACAACAGCAGCAGCAGCAGAAACAGCAACAACAGCAACAACAGCAACAGCAACAACAGCAACAGCAACAACAGCAACAGCAACAACAGCAACAGCAACAGCAACAGCAACAGCAACAGCAACAGCAACAGCAACAGCAACAGCAACAGCAACAGCAACAGCAACAGCAACAGCAACAGCAACAGCAACAGCAACAGCAACAACAACAACAACAACATCAGATACATTTGCAACATCAGCAGCAACAGGCGTTTCAGCAGCAACAACAGGCGTTTCAACAGCAGCAACAACAGGTGCTTCAACAGCAACAACAACAGCATCAACTACACCTGCAACAGCAACAACAAGCAATTCAGCAGCAGCAAATGCAGCAGCAACAGCTGCAGCAACAGCAAATACAGCAGCAACAAATGCAGCAGCAACAACAGATGCAGCAGCATAGACTTCATCTACGGTCTCAGACACTTTCCATGCCACAACCACCCCATATCCGCAATCTTCCAAGTCCTGGTATCGAGTATCTTAAGAATCCACATTCTCTTACACCACCTTTGCATCCGCAACAACAACAACAAATGAACCAGAAAATGTTCGCTGGCCCTGTTGGTCCTTCTAATCTTGGCGTCAGTAAGGCTACAAGGATTCGAAACAGGACAATTAGTAGTCCTGCTGGCTCTTTTCAGTATTCTCCTTCCAGCATGGCAACCACATCCACTAGTGTTAATAGCATTCAAAGGCCACCTTCTGGTCTTTCGTTTGGGCCTATGCCTGTTCGAGAACGGAAGCGCTCGCTACTGGATGCCAATATGACCCAAGGATTGGACCAAGTTCGTCAGTCTTTCTCAGGATCAAGCCATTCTGGTACTTCATCTTCATCCGATGGCAGCCAAATCAATACGTCAAATGTTAGTAATGGGAACAACAGTGGCAGTAGTAACAACAATGCTAGTGTCGATGGGAAACCCACGTTGCATCTTTCCTATGCTATCAAACAGGAGCCAGGGGATCAAAATCTCATCGGCTTAGGCCTCGGAAGTTCAAGCTCTGGTGATGTACCTCTCACCGAAGAAACATACCATCGCAAGAGGACAAAGTCTGTGGACATGTATAGCAGTTATATAGAGGCAATGAAAGCATTCACACCTCCAACGACGTCTGCTAATATATCACCATCCACTGTGGAGATGGCTTCCAACATTACTACAGGACCAAGCCAAGGGACTTCTGTTCAGAATTGGCAACCACCAGATATGGCCTTCCACCTGCAGATGTATCAAAGCAATATGCATTTAAATGGGCTTGGCTCAGCCATGCCGCCGTCGTCAATGCCTATGCATATGCAGATGAATGGTCCTGTTCACCAGCATCAGCTGACATCAGGTGTAATGGGGTCAGACTCCAATCTTTATCAAGTCCAAAATGTGGGGTTACCAGAAGGTAGTCACACGCTTCGTCATTCCATATCTCATGACCGAATTGGAGCCAGCTTTGGTTTGCCACCACAGCATCAATCGGGAGTCAAAACTAAAACTAAGGCAAAAGCTTCAAAAGGTCCTGCCAAGCCAAGGCTCAAGGGACGCTCCATGTCCATGGGGGATGCTCTTGATCCCGAGAATAATAGTGGCGGTGGTAGTAGTGGCAGTGGCGGTACTGGCAGCGGTAGCAACGGTGGCAACGGCGAGGGAGATACTCCACAGAGTGACGAGAACAAACCTGTGTCTGGATTAGACTTTGAAGGTAGTGAAATCCATGGTGATCCTACTGCAAGGAAGCAAAAACTTCGCTACGAGGGTGACCAGTATACACCGCAATGGGTGCGCAATACAGGGCAGGCCAAAGAAGGTTTTTGCGATACTTGTGTTCCGGGCAAGTGGCTTCAGTTAAAGAACAGCGCGTTTTGGTAAGTAAATATACTTTTGAAGAAAGTGTTGCTATGAGCTTGAGTAATCACCAGTATGTATGACTGTGGCATTAAGCGGCGACTCTTATAATCTTTTTACTTGGTCATAGGTACCATAAGCAGTTTTTTCACGGCATATCTTCTGTGTCTGGCAAGTTATTTTCAAACCCAGTGAAGACACGTCAGATGGAGCAAGAGGATATTGAGGGTCTTTGTCATCAATGCAATGAATGGATTCCAATCTCGAATCATAAGCGTCAAAACTCAATGTTGTGGTATCGTCATGCGCATAAGTGCCACATCTACCATAAGCCAAAAACACAGGGTCAGAGCTCTAATCGATCATCGTTCTCGGCACCGCAACCTTTACCAACCTTTACAGATTCACAACAACAGCTACAACAACAGCAGCAGCAGCAGCAGCAACAGCAACAACACCCTCAACACCCTCTGTCGCAAACACTAATAGTAGGCGTGTCTGAATCGACTGTCCCAACGACTGTAGCAGCAACAGTGTCAGCAGGAGATAACTTCTGACTATAATACCAACTAGCGGACAGTTTGCCAATGCCCTTCATTTATTTCTTTATCTTCGTTTTTATTTTATTTTTCTATTTTTTATTTTTATTTTTATTTTTTTTATTATTATTTTCGGCTAACATCAATCTTGTGTGGCTATTATCCATCGGTCGGTTCAACCTCTTACGGATCACCTATTTTATATGAATTGGCTTTTTCATACTGTTTTCTTTTTTTTTCTTCCTGTATCCTTTCTCCCTGCATTAGTATTATATTGTAGTAGAAACCCCTTTGGTCAGCAAAGAAGAGTAGCCCCACTTGTAGGCCAGTCCTTCTCCCTTCTCTTTACTTGTCTATGTACATGTATATAAATATAAATATAAAAAATGGAATTCAAGAAGGGTTGCACCATGTGCAGTAATTGATGAGCGACATAATTCAGGACATGTTTTTTTTTACGTCTTTATTACATACCGCACTACCACACTTTTTTTTTGTGATTGAGCCACTAAGACAATGACATGAGATTGGTTTTTGGCTTTGCGCTTGGGCTTCCTCTTTCCTTCTCAATTTTCAACTTTACTCATTTTCTCATATTAAGCCCTTACAAATGCAAAATTTAGACTCCGTTGTGTACGAAGATACCACCTCCGCAGAACGTTGCTATCCTGAACGGATCCCCAAGGATCCAATCTTAATGGTAGATCGAATCTTAACAAAATACGACTTCAATGAAAGCAACGATAACATTAGCAGTAGTAGCAGCGACAATGATGAAGATTACATCAGTTCCAGCTTACATGATAGCGGGGATGAAAGCAATACCAGCAATGATTGCTGCTATGATTCGCAATATAAACTCAATCAGCGTCAACAGTTTTACTCGATACGCAGACATGAAAATAATAAGAGTAATAACAATAAGAGCATGGGTGGGAGCGGTAGCGATAGCTGTCTGTTTACACAGCGCGAGAGAAGGCGGCGCAATGCTGCACGACTTCATAACGGGGGACAGTGCCTGTGGTCTCCTTGGTCACGTTGGCGAGTATTGCTGAAGCTTCTGTATGGTGTAGTGGTGCCAGCAGTGATCATATACTTACTACGGCGATCAGACCAATCTCTTCCACGACACGCTCGCTACTCTTCTCAAGAACCGTACCTTCGGCGTATGCAGACGTCCATACAGACACCAGCAATAGCAAGGTCTGTTATTGAAGCAAGGAAAAGATACTGGAAGGAAGGATCTGGAGTCCAGCCTTACCAAAGATGCTCTAGGGACGATTTGGACAGAACAAAAAGAGATTATATTGAGAGCACGCCAACAAACAACGACAGAGACAAAGACTGCTATAAAGACAGGAGCAGTCCCGAATTTCTATCCTCTTCATCCAAGAATCAGTGTCGTCTACATCGGGATCAGGAGCAACAGGAATCTAGCAACGCCATGGTGCAGCAAGTGTCCTATGATCAATTCATCCTCTTTGGAGACTCCATCACACAGGTAATTTAGCTCGATTGATTTTAAAAATGCAAAGACTGGTGGTAACGTTGCTTTAATAGAAGGTTGCGGCTACATCCTTATTCAAAATATATGAACTTTTTTTTAACTCCTAGTATTCATTTGATGTGAATCAGCGAGGATATGGTTCTCAGCTCGCCCATTTATTTCAGCGACGACTTGATGTTATTAACCGTGGATTTTCAGGTGTGTATTACGCGTGATTTTTTTTTTTTTTTTTTTTTTTTTTTTTTTTTAAATATTGGTTGGGACACCCACGCTTTATGGAAAAGTTCGGGTATGAGAAGTGAATTAATAGAAACTCATTATGTCTTTGACTAACAGGATGGAAAGTTTTTCTCAATGTCTATATCTATATCTATATCTATATCTATTTATTTATTTTATTTTCTTTTCTTTATTCAATCTTTCTTTGGGATCTAACATGCAGGATATACAAGCGAGCAGGCTATCCATCTCCTGCCCCAATTCCTTCCTCGACCAAATGATCAGCAACAGCAACTAGGAAAACAGGAGCAGGAACAGGGGCAAGAGCAGGCCCCCCAGCTCCCCACGCGCCTACAATTATCCTCATCACTATCACCATCATCAAAAGTTCAATTCTTGAGTATATTTTTCGGTGCGAACGATGCATGTCTCCCTCCATCACCTCAGCACGTAGATTTGGAGCGATATGAGCAAAATCTTCGTAGCCTGATCGATATGGTCCATGATCCCAGATCCTTAACTTACTCACCTGAAACACGTGTCATCATAATTTGTCCTCCTGTCATTGACGAAGAGCGTTGGGCAAAGAGACGTCAAAAGCAAGGCAGGGCGATGGATCGGGAAAAGGGCGTGACCAAGAAATATGCAGCGACCTGCCTGAAAGTTGGACAGGAATACCAATGCAGGAACGACCAGCAATCACCACCTCAGTATCATCAGGTCGATGTCATTGATACCTGGAGCTTAATGACTACACAGATCGAAAGTGGTCAGCGGACACTGCAGGACTATCTAATAGATGGGTTGCATCTGGCTTCTGAAGGCAACAATGTAATGAATGACTAAACTGGAAAAAAAAAAAAAAAAAAAAAAAAAAGTAACTTAATTATGTGGCCGATATTAATATGAATGCTAAATTTTATTTTTATCTTTAACAAACTAAAAGCTTATTTTCGAGGAAATTATGAAGATCATACGAAGTCGTTATCAGGAATGGGATCCAGAAGTTATGCCAATGCATGCACCATGGTGGGGCCATCTGGATTTGAAACAACCAGAGATAGATCTACTGATCTGTGCCAATAAGACAAAGAAGGAACTATAATACGGGACAACGCCAAACCAAGTGAAAAAAAAAAAAAAAAAAAAAGGCAATAAATCAATTTTTTTTTTGGTTTTTTTTGCTACTTCTGCTACTGTGTGTATTATGATCTTTTCGTTTCTTCTAGTCTTACAGCGATTATTATTAGGGTAGGTAGAATAAATTATTGTTTTTGAGTAATATACAAATGAACGAGGCAAAAAAAAAAAAAAAAAAGAAAAAAAAAGAAAAAGAAAAATCTAATCAAGCTAATCAAAGAATTGTCGTAACGGTTGAGTAGGATCCCATAATTACGACTAGTGCCTGGATGAGACCCCATAGAAATGGCACCCATGTTGACATGCGATATGCTCCTGCATTGTAGATCGCAGCGATGGCCAACCCTAATTTGATCAGATACGTTGGGTTGATTTGAATAAGTATATCATTTTCCTCAAAAAGAATGGTATGAAGGAACGAACGTCACCCATCTATGCATGCCTTTGATTGTCTTTTTTTTTTTTTTTTTTTTTTTTTTAGAATTCCACTTCAGTAAGTTGATGTATTTTTTTATCCTGTCATTTTGTAATCTTGTAGTCATGCATTCTCAGAGATGTATATACTTTTTTTTTTTTTTTTTTTTTTTTGTCAATATCTTGTCGTCAATGCCTTCTGTCTCTTGCTGCTTACCGACAAGACTTCCGCTAAGGAAAGCGATGAATGCTCCTGTGACGAAGAAAAAGATAGGTAAGAGAATAGCCCATTTATAATGTCTTCGTCCAAAAACAAGACAAGCCCACAATCCTGCCAAAGTGTATATGCTGACAATAAATATAAGAGTCCAATATGTGGTAAATCGCCAAATATCTATTTTTATTTGATCCATAAAAAAAGAAAAGGTTATTACACCGTTGCACAGTTTGAGAGAAAGAGACAATGGCACCTTTATTTTTTTTTTTTTTTTTTAAAAAAAAAGAAACGGGGTTGTTGTTAAAATCCTCAGCTGCATTTTGCAGCGCGACATTAATAGCAACTTTACCCTTTGGATAGTACATAAAGATGCCATGTCTTAAAGGATCAGTTACAGGCCAATAGAGTGATGGCCAAGGCGGAGTGGTATAATCTGATGGAGGCGTAAAGCCATTTGGAGGCATGCCTGTAAATCCTACTTGTTATGAATGTGTGATCGCGTGCTGTGGTATGAAGATTTATAGAATGTTGAAAAGAACTTGTTGGTAATTTGTATTTAGGCTTTTCAACGTTATAATGGAGCAAGAGAGGAAGGAAGAAAGAAACAGAAATTGCGAGAAAAAAAAAAAAGGCAAGAGTGAGCTTGAGAATGAGAATGAAAATGGGAATGAGCTTGAGAATGAGACAAGAGGGTGAGAGTGAGAGTGAGAGTGTGGGTGAGGGCGAGAATGAAATTGAGAATGAGAATGGAAGTAGGAATGAGAGAAGGAATGAAATGAGAGCCATGAGTGGAATTCCAGCTGATATTAACGCTCTGGCGTGTCAATCAAAATAAATTAATCATTCACCGGGTCTTTGAACATGTCTTTTTGACATGATAAAATGTATTTCTGTCATGAAGGATGCTTATCAGCCAGTCAGCGATCTGTACAACCAATAATAATAATGATGTGTAATAACGATGATCATAATAGTGTATAATAGTGATAATAAATGTTGCACCTAAACTTGAACGCACACAAGGATTCGTGTTTCGATCAAGATCCAGGTCAAACGATCAATTGAGTTCAAAAGGGATGAAATAATAGATTGCTGAGTTTATGGCAAAAAGAGGAGAAAAGGAGTAAAGGAGAATGAAAAAAGGAAAATTACAAGGCTCTGGCCGTTAACCAAACAACGCGAACAGAATCAGCCTTTGATGACTTGCCAGAGACTATCCTTAATGTCTGATCAATGAGCTTCGCCTGAAGATTGAACATGGCCCATGCTTATATTATTGTTATTATTATTATGTAGTATTTCTTACAATTAAGCAATCAACTTTAGCAGCAAGAGGCAAAAAAGGATGCTCCATGTGCCTGGATTGCTTGTACGGATGTATAAATGTCTCATGTATATGAATGTGGAGAAATAGAAGCCAAGAAAGCTCTTTCGATTTCTCCTTGTTTTCTTTATTTTCTAATACTTTTTTTTTTATTTTTTTTTTTTTATTGATTTTGCTTCATGATCATTGGATCATTGGAAATATCCCTTTTCATTTTCATTTTACATTTATTTATGAACCCCCCCCCCAAACCCTTCTCACATTAACCCCCGTCTCATCTTTGTCCTTCCACCTCAACGCGTGTCTGTGTGTTTAAATTATTGTGTTCCATCTTGTGCATGGGGTCATTTTGAGTTGACTCTCTACCCCTCTCTTCCCTTCCCTTGACATCTAACCACTCGCTCATATTACTCTCTGCCCATCCCTCTTTCCTTTTGAACGCGTTTTATTTCTACGACGACCTTCTCTTCTTCTTCATATTCTCCTTTAGACATTCATTCACTCATTCACTCATTCACTCACTCGTTCATTTCATTTCATTCATTCTTTCATTCATCCATTCATTCATTTTATTCTATTTTATTTTTTTTTCAACTTCTTCCAATTACTGCACGATTAGGAAACCCAATAACATTCACTGACACGCGCGTGTGCCATTCACATTAAAAAAGATCTTCCATCACTTGACGCTCACTAAAAAAAAAAGACTAGTGCCTCGCCAACCTTTTCCCTCTTGCTTTCTCTCCTCTCTTATCCCATTTATGCTTGCACCTGTTTCCCCATCGCGGCACAGCCTCAACAAGTCTTAACAGGCACCTCCCTTTCTTGTTTTTTCTTTTTTTTTCTTTTTTTTTTTTTTTTTTTTTTTTCTTTATTTTATACAACTTTTTATTTAGTCTTTCTTACTCGCTCTACACATTCTTACTTCAAATTCACATTCGCAGACACATACACATACATACATACACTTTACACGCTTGTCTGAATAGACATCAACGTCCACCTAAATACATTTGTGCTTGCCCTCGGTCATGAACAACGGACATATTAACATGGCATCAGGCGGAATGGCTATGGCATCTCTTAGTCCCATGGACACGGAGCAGTTTCAGGAACATCAGCTTCGTTTGCATGAAAGGTATCGACTGCAACATGAGCAACAGATGGAACTCAATCAAAATAGTACACACCCGCATGACAACGACAAGATGTCGCCTTACTATTCTTCTCAAGGTGTCTTTGTCGGACATGAATTAAGTCCAAACTTCGTTGCTAGGCCACAATATGGCCTTTCTGACTTTCAGCTTTTAGAGACTTTGGGTAAGAGAAACAAAAAAAAAAAAAAAAAAAAAAAAAAAAAGAGAAAAAGAGAAAAAGTGGAGCAATAACACAATTGTCACGCAAGCCCAGATGGAGTAATTGTAAAGGATATCGATGCACATGAGTAATTATTCAGTTCTTTATCTTTCATTGGTCCACCTTTGCTTCCCTTTTTTTTTTTGGGCACGAACTTGGTGTTCATTTTGATGGGTGATGCAAGGCATTGATAAAAAAGAGGGTCGAGCGAGTATTGAAATATGCATGCCATTGCTTCGACCGAGCCTGGAGTTAAATGTGTGGGCCATTTTACACAGGCGGGAGATGACTCTAACAGTGCGCTATCAAGGAGTGAGAGCATGAGGATGCGTGCATGTGTATTTGCAGAATGTTTTGTGTTTTTTATAAAATATGCTTTTTTTGTTGTTGTTGTTTGAGTGAGAGCCAAATGGTTGATGTACGCGAGACTCAGGGAGGCGCGCGATTATGTTGTACTTCTTCCTGTATGCATTATTCAGTATTTTGATGTCTCTCGGATCGATCTGCGCGTGTATGATGATGGATTTGCAAAAAGTCTCTTGTTTGTGTTTATCCATATTTTGGGATTGCATACTTCGGGCATGCTGGGAAGGCGTTCTGAACACAAAGGATCTCTCCGGACCATCAAGCGTAAAGTTCCAGAGGGGAAAAAAAAAAAAAAAAAAAAGTATAAAAATTTGAGCGGGATATGGTTGCGTCGCCACTGGACCGAGCATGCTTCATATCGTCATGTCAGCATGCCGACATGCTCAACAACCCGCCTCCCTTCCCCTCCCCTCATGTCATACCGACACAGGTGTTCAACTTTGAGATGCACAAAAGACAAAAACAAAAAAAAAAGAAAAAGAAAAAGAAATAGAAAAAGAAATACCGCTTAGAAACGCTTATGCTTTTTTGAGCTTGAAAGAGGATTATGCGAGAAGGATCTTTACCCTTCTGTGATGATTGGCACAAAGGAGAGATTCAACCTGCAGAAAGGAACACCCGCGCGCACGCACATTCAATTCGATAGGCATTTCCATATTTTTATTATACGCACACACCACACACATACCCAAGCAAATGTATTTACAGTTCAGAGATGATGAATACAGAAACAAAGCGGACTTTTTTTTTTTGTGTAGATGATGCTGGATGATGATGAGCTTGGATACGGGAAGATGGATTTTCTCACTGGGAAGAGCTGGCCTAATCCAGATCAGACCATCAATACTCATAACTCGTAATCTTCAACGCTACCGCTATCTTCAGTAAATTCTACAGTTGCAAAGGGAAAGGGAGAAGGGGTGTGATAGTAAAACTAGAGAAAGGTTGAACGCCCAGACACTCAAACACTTTGTTCCGCACGTATACAAACACATTCATTCATCCAGAAAACAGACGCATAATGACCGAAAAACACAGATGGTAGAGCACCATCTCGACCTAATTCTGGGCATAAGCTGAAACAGTTTTTCATCCATCTTTTTTTTTTTTTTTTTTTTTTTTTTTTCGGGACCAGAAGCACATTGGTACTAATAAAATCCCTTGAGGGAAGGGGGGGGGGAGGAGAGAAAACACACGTATGCACGTAATCGTAACAACCGCATATCTCTCGGACAAAAATAAATGTTGAGGTTGTTGGCAAAGCAGGGATCTCGTGGATAATATCTGGAAAACAAAGTTGGTATCGAGAGAAGATACTGGAAATATTGTTGTAGACAGATTACTCAACTTGGGTCTGCAATCGTAGAAAGGGATTGGGACGCTATTGATCGCACATTATTGATATCAAATACAGTTGGTGTTCCACGTAGATTGATATGTTCCTTATCAATTATCAGAGAAAAATTTTATCAAGGTCTTCCATTCTTTCCTTTTATTCACATGCCATTTTCCTTCCCTTTCCATTTTACCACCTATTCTGAAAAACAAACACGTCTGGGTTATCAAAGTCATAAATGAAGATAATGCGAGGCTTCTTGCCTAGACTTTTCACCCCTTTCATATTTCAAGTTCAAACTGCAAAAATCCATGAGTGTGGTTTGAGGCATTGAGGCAATGATTCATTGTATTGCGGCGATATCTTTGCGCGGAGGTGTCCCTTAAAATTTCTTTGGTATTCATGCTGGCGCACCCATTTGCGGGCTTTACCTTGCTCGTTGACCCCGTGCATTCCACCCTTTCAGGGGAGAGGGGTGTGAGTTGTAACAGGAAGGGCAAAAAAAAAAAAAGGCGAACATTGATCCAAGAACAAAAAAAACCGAGGAGAGTTCGGGCGACCAATGGTCGTGATGCAATGCTCAAAAAAAGGCGTGGTTTCGGTAATCATATTATTAATGGTCTATTCTAACTGGACATGATTATCATATTATTATTATTATTATTATTATTATTATTTTATTCCCTTGTAGGAACGGGAACATTTGGACGCGTCTACTTGACAAGATCGCAACATGATCAAAAATTTTACGCAATGAAGGTGCTTAAAAAAGTAGAAGTGGTGCGGTTGAAGCAAGTCGAACATATCAATTCTGAAAAGCAGATTCTTGCACAAGTCAATTTTCCGTTCATCGTCAACCTGTACGTGAATCTTGGAAATTTAAGCATATCGCCATTTGGCCCACTCGTTCACGCACTGACATTAAACTCTTTTTTAACTTTTTTTTTTTTTTTTTTTTTTTTTTTCGACAATTTAAATTGTATTTTGAACAGACATACAACTTTTCAGGACGACCGTAATTTGTACATGCTACTAGAATATGTTATTGGGGGTGAGCTCTTTTCACATCTACGAAGAGCAGGTCGATTTTCGAACGACATGACAAGATTTTATGCGGCAGAAATCGTCTTGGCCATTGAATACTTGCACGCGAGGGACATCATCTATCGCGATTTGAAACCAGAAAACTTGTTGCTAGATATCAATGGACATATCAAGATTACTGATTTTGGATTTGCTAAAAGAGTGCAGGATAGGTAAGCAAGCGGAGGATTCATGCGGCTTTATTGCCTTTTTTTTTTTTTTTTTTTTTTTTTTTTTCGAGAAAGATTAAATATTGGGAATACTCGTTAAGCAAATGCGTTCCGTCTAAGTGGAGTACGGAAGAGCCATCACAAGCGTCATTGCTTGCAATGCATGTCCTTCTATCTTTCTTTTTTTTTTTTTTACGGATTGTGAGCCTATACCTGTGTGCGGCTAGATTACTTTGAGGGCAAGCTAGGATTACGGCATGGGATGGAATTGATTCATAATGATTAGTAGTTGTCATCAATATGATAAACAGCGCTGAACGACTGGTCTTAAATACTATTTTGGAATGACCAGCCTTAATGGGATCCATAATTTTAAAATTCATCTTTCACTGAGTCTGACTTTTCAATTTCGTTCTTCTCTTAATGGATAGAACCTGGACATTGTGTGGAACACCCGAATATCTGGCACCAGAGATTATTCAGTCAAAAGGACATGGCAAGCCGGTGGATTGGTGGGCGCTTGGTATCCTCATTTTTGAAATGCTTGCAGGATATCCGCCTTTTTTTGATGACAATCCATTTGGGATTTATGAAAAGATACTAGCAGGACGCATATACTTCCCATCGCATATTGATTCTGCAGCAAAGGATCTGATCAAAAAACTATTAACATCCGATAGGACCAAACGTCTGGGTAACCTTAGGGTAATGAAATGACAATATTCTTTTAATACCTCTGGTGCTTGACAAAAAAAAAAAAAAAAAAAAAAAAAAAATAGAAAAAAAGCCTCCTCGGTTGTATTGCAGAATCATTAATAATTACCTTTGTTTAATGCTCTATCTTCAAAATATGTTTATAACATAGGGCGGGTCAGAGGATATCAAGAGTCACAAGTGGTTCAGGGGTGTGGATTGGGAAGGGTTACGCGAAAGGAGAGTAATAGCACCAATAGTGCCACTTCATCGTCATCCTGGCGATACTAGCAATTTTGAAAATTACCCCGAAGTAATTGATGAAGATGCAGGGCAGCAAGGTGATCCTTACAGATCCCTATTCCTCGACTTTTAGGATCAGTCAACAGTTTCATTAACTAGCTCTAAAGAGTATTGGGATAGAGATACTGTTGCTTCCAGCGTTGACGTGCTCCTGCCACATCAATCAACATTTGGTTCTTTTTTTTTATTTTTTTATTTTTTTCTTTCGTATACAGACGTCTTTTATCGAAGTTTACGCATGCAAACACCTACGAAACGAAAGAAAAAAAAAAAAAAAAAAAAAGCTAATCAACGACAACCACACCAACATCAACTACAACAAAAAAAAGTGAAAAAAACAAAAAAAAGAAAAAAAAATTTTATCTCCATCTCATACTCAGCATCTATTTCATGTAATATTATCATTTTTCACTATTCCCTCTTTATTTTGCTGCATGACGAGAAAAAGAAATTTATGATATGGCAAAGTACAGGACAATCGCTGGCAGGCTAATAAACATGATCCTTCCTCCGCCGAAAAATCTTAAATGCTTACAGACGCAACATATTGAGCCTAAAGACGATTTAGGCCAAAGATTTCAATAACAACCTTCACGTAAAATGACATTAATATATATATATATATATATATATATATTGACAATGTGTTGCTGCCATGGTTTTAAACTTCTATTTGTTACGCCCATTTTGGTCCTACCGGTGACCAATTATGGATACTACCAACCTTTTCCGTGCCTTCAAAAAAAAAAAAGCCCTGAATCTTTGAGCAGCTTTTTTTTTATTCCACACAAATCGATGCAGAAACAATAGTGTCGTTGCTTAACTATCAATAGGATTCTAGGACACTTGCTAAAGAGCCAGTACATCCATTAAATCCTTGTAAGAAAATAACACTTCTTTTTTTTCCTTCATTCGACAGAGTATAACCATCGATTTTTTCTTTTTTTTCTTCTACTGTTCCTCCTGACTTCCTTTTAGTTCTTGATACCCTGTATAATGGAATAGAGAGGGGGATGTCAGTTTGTTAAACCAATTCAATAATAATAAAGTCAATCAAGAGTTACTTACTCTGGCCATCTTCGTAGCACCATACAAGCTGCCAATGAATCCAATGGCGACGAGGCCGACGAACCCAGTCATAATGAACTTATCACCACCTTTTCTGAGGTAGATTGGGACATGAGAGGGAGTCTATCAATTGTTCAGGTTGGAGTTTGCCAAAGTGCAGAAATAAAATACAATAAAATTAAAAAAAAAAAAAAAAAAAAAAAAAAAAAGCGTGTATAAAGTTGAGATTCTTTTTTTAATTATGGCCGTAACTAGTAACTCCACGACATGGCGTAGTAAGCAGGCGTGACATTCAAGTTGTAAAAAAAGTTAAAGTTGAAGTATGAAAAAAAGAAAAAAAAAAAAAAAAAAAAAACAGGCTAGGAATGATGGAAAACGCGAAAGTATGACAGTTTTAAAAAAGGAAGGACCAACAATAGGACAATAGGAAGAGGAGTATATTCAAGTACCTGATACAGACGCTGGAGATGAGGAACGGGGTTAGGGCGGTTGATGATAGACATGTCTGAAAAAGTCGCTAAATGGAATAATGCAATAATGCAATTGAAGAATATAATGTAAGAAAATGAACTTCAATTGTCCGAACAACTGAAGCGTCGAGGACGCGTCACGTTAATATCACGTGATAAGTAATTCTTTTTTATGCAAGCACTGCTAAAATGGAAGGTGCACAAAGTCTGTGTAGCTCAAAGTGAAAGGACCACCACGTTTGCAGTCCCAGTGAAATCTTCCTCTTTTCTCTAATATCCAAACGAAGATGACCAAAGGTGATTAGAGCGGATAGCAAAATGAAATAGGAGACTTCCATCCAATGATGATCCATCGATCCCCATCGACCCTCATCAAACCCATCGATCTGTTATCTTGGCTCAGGACATTGTATCTATGGATATTACCAATGCCCAAGATCCTTCAAAGCGCATTCAGGGCAATCGTACATGTCAACAGGATTGTCTTTTTATTTTTTTATTTCTTCATTAAAATGCTCATCCAATGAGTTTGGTTTAATGGAAAAGGACATTAAGCTCAGCATCAACAATAGAAAGAGTCGACTTGATACTACCACCATTACCTGAACTGTTACAACACAAAATGTTGATTCACCTCTTCCAAGTGCTGGTTCATTTGTCTTCAGTCAGTGAAGAGTTTGCATCGTCACAGAACATATTCACACCTGTATTCTAGACGCGTGAGGGAGCTATTGGCGAAGTACTCTTCTCTATGAAGAGCATAGGACCTTAAAAAAAAGAATGAGAAGAAAAGACAAATGAGGAACAACAAAAAGAATATTGGAGACTCACTATCGTTTGAAAGCAAATCATACTCGGAATTAGTTGGATAGATCATTCTATGGAATTGTTTGTCCTGTAGCCTCAGTCATGGACTTCAAACAATCAAGAGGAAAAAAAAAAAAAAAAAAAAAAAAAAAACTTTTTGTTAATGGGAGGAGCCAGAAAACGGTGATGATCTGATGAGTATAAATACTGATCTGTGATCTATATTTCGAATTATAAATCGTTTTTAGCTACTTCGGATAAGACCAAGGCTCTCGCCGCCAAGAAGGCTGCCTTGAAGGGTGTCAACGGTCAGAAGTCTCGCAAGATCCGCACTTCGACCACCTTCAACCGCCCCAAGACCCTCAAGCTTGCTCGCAACCCCAAGTATGCTCGCAAGTCTGTTCCCCATGCTCCTCGCTTGGATCAGTACAAGGTCTTGAAGGCTCCTCTCAACACCGAGTCTGCCATGAAGAAGATTGAGGAGAACAACACCCTCGTCTTCCTTGTCGATGTTAAGGCTAACAAGCGCCAAATCAAGGATGCCTTGAAGAAGATGTATGATGTTACCGCCCTCAAGGTCAACACCCTCATCCGGTAAGTTCCTTCTGATTTTTTTTTCTTTTTTTGGCTCTCTGTTTTTGTGTGAAAAATCTATGGGAGTATTTCGGCGAAAGCAATTGGATCGCATCAGAAAACCTCCAACAACAGGAAAACTGCATTAAAAGGGAAACTGTTCAGAAGTTCTGTATAAATTACAGTTCAAGATTGGACTTGATCGTCAACACCCCTATTTATGCAACTCAAGAGTGACTACAATACAAAAACTGGTGCAATTGCTATCAATAACTTCCCTATAAAAATAAAAGTCAAAAAAAAAAAAAGTTGGGTTTATTATAACAGCCAGCAGTAATGTCTGGAGGCCTCGAAATAATATAAAAGCGATTAGAACCATTTTCTGATTTGCAATAATATTTCGCCGCTTTCAGTTGACACTATTATATTTTTTCTTTTTCTAACTTTTCTTTCTTTGTTTTGCATATCATATTAGCCCTGATGGCAACAAGAAGGCCTATATTAAGCTTACCGCCGATGTCGATGCTCTTGATGTCGCCAACAAGATTGGATTCATCTAAACGCTTTCAATAAACCTCTTTGCTGCGCGCGCATTGTTTTCCGTGTTGGCACTTCGAACAAAGAAAATTTTAATGCTACATTACTTTTCCTCTTTCTACATGTAATTAATGGTTCCTTCTCGACAGTTTTTATTTGACTTTTTTGGGTCGTATTTGGCGCTATATGATAGCTCTTTGCTAAGTTGTTGTTACATGTTATTACAGAATGATGAAAGTGCAAATAAGAACAACAGAGATGGTGTACAAATGTGGAGCTTCGTGCTTAAAATCACAAAGAACAAAGAAAGTAATGATGACAAAAAAAAAAAGAAAAGAAAAGGGAAAAAAATTAGATGAAGAAATAAAAAAAAAAAAAAAATGGAGAGATCGTGTTTTTCAGCGTATAGTGGTGATCACGCCAGAGAGCCCTTCATCGTCTCGTCGTTCCGACTTGCTCTTTTGAAAAACATTCCAGAACCGTAGCGTTTCATCGCCCGCACCGGTGACAACGGTTTGACCATCAGGCGAAAGAGCCAAGTAAAGAACTCGCATAGAATGCCCAGAAAGAGCAACGATCTGATGCATTGCAGGGTATTTCCATACAACGACCTGGTTTTGGGAATATCCGTGAGTTGAAACAAGCTCATTTGATGTTTTAGACCATGCAAGATTGCAAACCTAGTGCCAGCATATGTAATATTGAATCGAGCCTATTAGAGACATAGCACAGCGCAAGAAAACTTTATAGGAACCTCAATAGTGTTACTGCTGTATATACCTGCGATCCTGTATCTGTAGCTCCAAGGCAAACTCCTGTGGCAGTGTTCCAAAAGCGAATATGACGATCTACAGTTCCTCCTCCGCTGGCTAAGACGCCAGACTGATGTGGGTTCCAATCAATTGCCTTAACGGCTGCAGTGTGGTCTCGGAACTTGTAAAGAGGCACAGTTGAATCCTTCTCCCAGACCATTAGTTTATTATCGTTGCCGCCACTAGCAAGTTGAGATCCACTACTGTTCCACTTCAATCCACAAACCTATGCATTGCCATAAAGTGATGAATGTCAGTTTTACATAGCTACCCCATTGTGGTCCCAATGATTGTAACAATAATAACAAGCAATCGGAATAGACTCTCACCTCCCCAGTGTGGCTGGCCAATTGATGGATCCACATCTCTTGAGCTCGCACATCACGGTGGTAGATCTTTCGATCGCGACTTCCTGATGTCAAAATATGATCTTTCCATGCCAGTACGCCAACTCTTTGAGTATGTCCAGTTAAGGTCCTGACTTTCCGTCGAGCTCCTACATCCCAAATCTGCACATATCCCTTGTCTGTACCAACAGCAAGATGTGATCCCTATCATTTTGAACAAGAAATATATATGTGCAGATGATACGGTGATATGTAAGATTGCCTTCTTTTAAAAGTTATAACATCACAGTAATGGTCATATGCCAGGATGTGTTCAAGCAATTTTTTTTTACCATTGAAATCCAATTGATGGAAGTAACACTATCATTCTCACCAAGACTACAGAGCTGGGTGACCCTGCTTGTCAATGCGCTCCAAAGATAGACGCAGTTCCCTAAACCAACACCTAATACATTTTGTGATGACCAGTCTACTAGATTCAAGTAGAAATCATCCTGTTGTAAGTGTTATCCAATGATGGCATCAGTTAGTCACAAATACTGCTTCATGAATTGAGATGATCATAAAAAAAAATGCTCTATTACATCATACCTTGAGTTCTGGCGCATCAAGGATTTTAAAGGGTACCTGGCTGATCGTTCGTGGGGCTTTCTTTGGGCTAAGTAGAATATTGCGACTCTCCTGCGACACAGGAGTTGAAGCATAAATTTGACGTGATGGTGAGTCGAAATGAATGGTATTATGTGTTGTTGTCGAAGAGTAATTAAAGAGTCGGCGCGGCGTACTAGCCAACTGCTGGTCAGAATGATTATGTGTATTGGTAAGCTGTAGTTCGTTTGCGATGACTGTGTCATGAGCTTGGTTTTGAGCTACATATTTAATATGTGAGAGTAGGTGATAAAAGAATAAGTTTTGTATAGTTTCATTTTTAAAAAAATAAAAATAAATAAAAAAGGGGTATCAAATCAGTTCCCAGCCAACCTTTCTTATAATGGTCTGTAGCCTGCGTAGCTTGTGTTGGAGTCATCGATGTCTTTCGTGATTTTAATCGAGATGTAGTCGAGTGCGTTTCTGGCAAAAGATCATATAGCTCTGAAAGACCTCCCTCCCGTACAGGAATGTATCTATGCAATGAATAATCGGGAACCGCGCACGGTAAGAATGCTTTTCCAATTTTTATGCTTTTGCTCACCATCTTTGTATTAGCTCTACACAACAAATGATATTTACCTATCATATACATGCTTTTTGGTCGGAGACCTTAATCCAGGGGATCGAATTGTTGATGAATTCCCGGTGCCGGTGAGGCCGTCATATATAGAATAAAAAGGGTGCAAGGTTGCACTAGGAATAGGGGTAGTTCTGGGAGTAGACTGTGTATTATCATTATTGCTGATGTTTTTCGCGCCATCAGTTGTTGTGTTATTGCTGCTGATATTATTTTTATCTTGATTCGCCGTATTATTGATATTGCTTTTAGAACTATTGGTGCTAGAAATATTGCGCCTTTCAAACTTTTTTGCTGTTCCAGCAGTTCCTGGTATGCTAACTGAGGCCGCGCTTTGTAAAGAATTGCGCTCTAATAACGATGCTCTTCTCTTCTGGCCCGGACTTGAAGATGACCAGAGACGACTCTTCGTTGTCCGGTTTAGTCCTGTTGAGGGCTGCACTTCTGTGTTGGTTGTAGGTGCCGCTGAAGGACCAAATACGCTGCGGTTAATCACACCGCCTGATGAGCCTGGAGGGCCACGAGCTCTCGCAGAACGAGCAATAGCCAAGGATGTTCTAATAGCGCCACCTGTCGTTCTTCCAGCTTGAATGTTATTTGCATCCCTTGTTGATAAAAGATTAGGTTGATGTTCGGGTAGGGTGTGGTTGCTTCTTGTTGCGTGTTGCTCGTCCCTTGTAGTCCCATTTTGAAATGCTTCTACTCGACGTTTAAAGTCCGCATCCATATTGTATATTACTCTCACGTTTGTCGTTTTTACGAATCTTGACGCGCGTGAGACGTCGGCCGTTACAATGGACGTGCCAGACCCTGGATGAGGTCTATATCTCTCTTATTGAGCAATACCCTTTCTACTCTGATTCAGTAGATATTGGAAGATAAGTAGCAATAGGTAACTTGATTGGGAAGAAATAAGCTGCTGGGTAACAAAAAGCAAAAACAACAATTATAATAAGTATTTTAACGATACTATGAGTCAAAGCGTACAATAAAGCTTGATATGGGTTTAGTGGCGCTGTAGCCAATGGAGCTGTGCAAGGATAGTTGGTGTACTCACTGTACGTATACGTCAAGTTGCGAGAATGGGGTTTTGGGTTTTTGGCCGTGGACATAAAGGGGATCGCTGACTGTTTAAATTGAATGTGATGGCTGATTTCGATATTTTTCTCTTGATGATGACTACTCTTTTTTGTTGATTTGCTTGTATGCACGTAGATGTGAACAAATGTTTGTTTGAAATGGGCGTAGGAAAAAAATAGTAAAATATTGCGATAGATGTCTTTTGTGAATGAAGAGAAGTGAACAAGCAAGATGAAAAGTTTAAAATTTGATTAAAAAAAAAACGCTTTTGACCAAGATAACAATGTAAAATAAAGAGAACAATAAAATCAAAGATAAAGAAGGCCAAAAGCGCAATATTTAAGTACTTTATGGTACTTGGCTCCTCTCCTCATCCGACTTAAAAGACGCGTCTAAAACTGTTCAGGAACTGCGCATGCTGATGTCCCAGGTCATTTTCCCCTACTTAATACATTATCAAAAACGCAGCATTACTTGGGCATTAGCCAAGCGGATACACTGCTAGTCCAAGGAATCCATTGCTTTGATCCATAAAGAAGTATCTCATTTATATTTCATACATGATATAAACCATCAGAGCTCTGCTCATGTTTGACACTGGGATCCCAAGAAGCCAGGCTGGCTATCATTCAACGTATATCGCAGGCCCCTTAATTTATATTAAATACGAATATCGAAATATCGCATGTGCTGTGTGTCACCGAGCTCAAGATATTTGTTGTGTTCGCGTGGCTTAACATGCATTATCTTTTTTTTTTTTTTTTGTGAACATTTCTTTGTCTCATTCTTCCAGCACCTTTTTTTTTTTCTTCATCCTCACGAAACAATGTCGGCCATGGAAGAGGATACACAGACTGCAAAGGACTACTACTTTGACTCGTATGCCCACTTTGGTAAGTCCTGAGCTTGTACAAAGCAAATTCGATTACTTATCAAAACGATACAATTGTCCATTCAAATGACTCTCTCTAACCGCTCAGAACTTTTTTAAAACTTTTCTCCCACTTCATTGTCGGTGTTTGCGTTCTCAGGCATTCATGAGGTAGACATCAAACACAATCTGATTTTTTCTTAACATTAAATATATTGCATGTGCTAAGCTGATTGATCCTGAATATACAATTTAATTTTACTCTGGATACTAATAGGAAATGTTGAAGGATGAGGTCCGCACCTTGTCTTACCGTGCCTCGATTTACCAGAACCGCCACTTGTTCAAGGATAAGGTCGTGCTCGATGTTGGATGTGGGACTGGCATCCTTTCCATGTTTGCTGCCAAAGCTGGCGCAAAAATGGTTATCGGAGTACGTGAACTCATAATGTTGATGATATGTATTACAAGTTGACATTATATTACCGATATTTAGTATGCAGAACTAATACTTTTCTTAATTATTATTATTATTATTATTTTTGCCGCTATCAGGTTGACATGTCCAACATTATTAATAATGCTCGTGAGATTGTCAAGGATAACAAGTTGGACCATATTGTCACTTTAATCCAAGGCAAGATGGAAGAGGTTGAATTACCTGTGGACAAGGTCGATATCATTATTTCTGAGTGGATGGGATATTTCTTGTTGTATGAATCCATGTTGGATACCGTCCTGGTCGCCCGTGACAAGTACCTCGCTCCTGGTGGTCTTATCTTTCCCGATAAAGCTACGATGTATATTGCTGCCATTGAGGATGGTGACTACAAAGAAGAGAAGATTGGATGTATGTCACTCTGCATGTTTTCATTGAGGGGATGTCAATCCATCTGGTGAGAAACTTTTTTTTAGTTGCTAATTTTTTTTTTTTTTTTTGTCTTATGTTTGCTTGCGTGGATAATATAGATTGGGACAATGTTTATGGATTCGACTACTCTTCGATCAGAAAAATTGCCCTCAAGGAGCCTTTGGTGGATACTGTTGATGCCAAGGCAATTGTCACAACCGCCTGTCCATTCAAGAGCATTGACATCTTGACTGTCAAGAAGGAGGACTTGAACTTTAAGGTTCCCTTCTCGATCACAGCCACACGTGACGATTACATCCATGCTTTTATCTCATGGTTTGACATCTCGTTTGACGCATGCCACAAGCCCGTTAACTTCAGCACTGCACCTTATGCTCAGTATACTCATTGGAAGCAAACTGTCTTCTACACAAAAGAGGCTATGACGGTCAAGAAGGATGAGACCATTACTGGAGAGCTCACATGTTCACCTAATGCTCGTAATCCCAGAGACCTCGATATTGTAATCGACTATGAGTTCAATGGCAAACAAATGTCTCTTAAAGAGAAGAACGAGTATCGCATGTGTTAAAAAACTCATCTTTGATAATTTTTGTCAAGGGGAGATTTTCTAGGAATTATTTTTTGAATTTGATTTTTGTTTTATTTTCATTCTCTCCGTTTATATCCGTCACCTTCTTGCCATTTCCCAAAGAATAGACAGAAGCATAGGCGAAGAAGCTTCAAACCTGTACAATAAAAACTTGCATTGAGTGCTTGATTTATTTAAAAAAAAAAAAAAAAAAACAAACAAACAGCACATAACATCGAAAGTAAAGATGCCATGATGTGAACAGGAGACTATGATATATACAAATGGAACATGTTAATTTGTTTACTCAGCTTTCTGAGCCTTCTTCATTAGACCCTTGCTCTGAGCAAACTGCTCAGCCTTGGTGTAGACAGAACTCAAGTGTTCTTGAGCTTTCTGGCGACCCTTGCCGACTTGCTCTTGCACCAGATCGGAAGTCTTGGCAACATGGCTGTCAATCAGAGTCTGATTATCAATGTATAGTCGAGGGAAAGTGAAGAGCGAGATCAAAACAGCTGAGAGGAGTGTGGTTGTCGAGAACCAGGTTCGCAGAGTCCAAATGGCGTAAAAAATGCCCATAAACTACATTACAAAAGATTAAGATTAAGCCATACGTCAGAATCGTTAAAAATTTAAAACCTTTTAGTTTTTTTTTTTTTTTTTTTTTTTTTTTTGCATAATGCGCTTTACCTTCAAACTGCGCTTATTGTCCTCAATAAGCACTACTTTGGCGAGCTCGGTGATGACAACATTCAAACCATCAGTGACAAAACCTACACGGCGATGAAGAGCATCTGCCTCAACGTGCACAAATTCGGCTGAACGCTGGTAGTACTTTCTATATGTACAGGATATAGAAGATATAAAACTTGATTAACAAAATCAAAAAGAAAAACAGATGATCTGTATGGCCATATATATCCTCAATGATAAGATGTAGACAACCCGTAACCACAAATGAAAGCGAACCATGAAATTAAATAAATTCGTAAAAATGACATACCCAAGTGGTCGAGAAGTAGCTGGCTTGTTAGTCACACGACCGAGAAGCAACATGCCATTAACATAGGCAAAAGAGGCAGAAATTCCTATAACAAATAGGCCGCAGACCAAATTCAATAGTGAAACCCATCGGCACAGCAGCACCATTGTCAGTGCCGTAGCGAGATGAGCTGCCGATACTACGGGTTTCTCCCAAAGCAAGATGCTCTTCAGACGTGGCGACATGTATGCAGAGTGATCTGTAGCCAAAAAAAGAAAAAAATAAAGAATGTACTAAGCGTCTGGCTCTAAGACAGCTACATGATTAAGTCCACTATCCAAGTTGTTGCTTACCAGAAGAATGGATCTTGCTCTCAAGGCTAGACTTTGGTGAATCACTGCTGCTCCGTTCGCGTGGTGCAGGGATTTGCCCCTCAAGCACAGGCTCGACTTTAGTAGGATGATCTGGCTGAAGCTCCATGACTGATTTTACTGACAATAGAGATGGGATTGATAAAATATGTGTTTAAGGGATTGGAAGAGGGAAGAAAAAAGATGGGAAGAAAGAAAAGATAAAAGAAGAGAGAAGAGGAAACTGTGAGAAGAGAAGAACTGCTGTAAGTTTTATAGCAGCCACGCCACATCGTTTTTCAGCTCTGTTGGAAAATACTTTTGTCCTCTTGCAGTAATGTTTATATCGTACAGTTTTTTTTCTTTTTTTTACCGTGCGTGTAATGTCGTGAACAGTAACATCGCATACAAAATACACAAGCACAGATAAAGGCCCTTTTGGGTCATCTTTGGATGATCTCCAACCTCATTTAGTGAATTCTTTACGATGTCACCATTCATGATAGCCTTACAGGAGATGAAGTCACCTACTCCTCTGATAAAGAAACACCAACAAAATCCGATTGATTGAAACAGACATCGTGGGTAAGCCAAGCAAAAATTTAAGGGGGCGAGCGAGTCCTCAAGTTTCTCGTTTTCTCGGGAGGAAAAGACATGCACAAAGACAAGTAACAATGTTACAGCATATATCAGATATGCATATTTGTCACACGATGAAAAACCCAATTAATCTTTACTGGATTTCTAACCAACGAGCAAGGGAACATGTGCTTGCCAAGACAAATCGAAGCAAGGACTTGAGGACTGGAAACCTTTCTTGATGCTGTTTATAAATACTTTTACATGTTGGTCGTGTACAAAGGCTCAACATATCATTATCTCTCAATACATTTATTTGCTATAAGGATGTAAAGGCTGGACTAAGGGTGCTGCAAGGGTGCCTTTAAGAATGTTTGCTCCGCGTCACCCTCTCTACACTGTCATCTATCGCTTGTGTGCCTCCTTTTCAATAGCCCCGACATTCTTGAACCATCTCCTTTTTTTTTGTGCTTGTGTATGCCAGTGTGGGCTTCTCACACGATATGCCAGTGCCTCCTGATATTCGAATTAAAAAAGCCTGCAGCTTTCAGTTGTTACGAAGGAGGTCGTCTTGTTTGCTGTCTATACACTTATTTGCTGTATGCACAGTAGATTAAGAATAATGTGCAGTCAAGTAGAACTCACTCCTGATAAAATGGTCCATCAAAAGCGTCTTTCTCTCCTTGCAACACTCTTTTCCTGTTCTGATATCGTGAATCTTACCGTAGTTCAAATCGTACTCTTAATAAGAAAGCCAATGGAAGCTAAATGAATGCAAAAAAGAAAGGCCAGATTAATTTCAGGGTAATAAACTAGCTCTTGCGGTGGGCTTTTAACAGTAGTTACCTGTCCTTTGTTTGTGCTTTTGTTTTTCATGCTGATTGAACTTCTTTTGTGATAGAGATACGTATGAAAGTCAAAGAATGAGCCTAAATGAAGGAGAGAAAGGAAGGAGTGAGAGGAGCAGGATGTGCTGTGAAGGCAGCTTTCTTTTTTTTATTTAAAACATCTGCTTGTCATTATTACAGCTTCGTTAACTGCACCCTTAGCCAGGAACAGAAGTGTCAAACTGAATTTGAAGACAAAAGGCCTCTCATTATCTTGTAAAGCTTTTAGCAATCCTGTTCCTGCTAATTTGTAACATTTGGGAAGAGTGAGAGAAATAGTGCATCTCTTTCTTACAAACGCCCTTCAGGTGGTTTTATTTTTAAAAGAAGAAAAGGCTTCAAAAGCGGCCGAAAAGAAAGAGCAAATACTCACGTCTGTTCCTTCTTTTCTTTTTTAATCTTTTCGTTTTTTGCTCATCAACAAGTTATCATCGAAATAGAAATTGGAATGAACGAGTGTCTTCATCTTATCAGGTACCACAATGAACATCCTAAAATTTGCTGAAGGCTATATCAAACCAAAGTAACTTACGGATTAAATGTCATCGTCCACATAGCCTCTGGCGATCATCTTGGCCCTTCGTAGCCTAGTGCTTGCTCTGGCCTCGTCCATCATGTGCCTAGCAAGAACATCTAACCAACATTGGGGAACGCTGAGAAGCAAGCAAGGATTAAAGCCTTGGGATCGATTGCCTGCTTACAAAAGCACCATGTCTCAGAAGTGTTTGCAAAGGGCGAAAGAACATTTTACAAAACCCTAATTAACAGTCTGAGTGTTATAGGATGTTAAAAGAAAAGAATAAGACGAAATTCATTAGGTCTATCCCATCACGATCAAGGTTGACACCACCTACCGTAATTGTCATACATATATCTAACGGTTCTCGAGCCGAGTCTGGCGAGTCTGGAGAGATAGCCTTGTGGCTGAGGACAAGTTATTGTCGATCCATTTCTTGCTTTGATTGTTATTATGTGACATGTATTCACGCCTTTTTGGGGTTCTATAGCTCTGAGGCAAGTGGACCTCATCTATTGATACCAATAGCTTTCTAGACGCATTGAGGCATGATTCCATTTGCTTCTGCGGCAGCTTTATGTCCATAATGCTAAGCTACTGATGTTATATACACTAACTCATATAATGTCAAGCTTTTGTCTAACAGCGGCGATTATATATTGTGCATGATATTCGTTATGTTTATTCGTCTGATAAATATGCTCTTCGGCGTTGTCGACAAGGCCCACGATGGCACAGTTAGAACCTGAAGAACTGCTGATAACTGGAGCTTTTTGATCCAGTATGAGCTTTAGCCTTGCGGCTGTCTACAACTTTTCATGTTCTGAATGAGCCAACTCCAATGTTATCGCTTAGCAAAATCGCTACTAATTCCATGGTATTTTAGAGCCTGCAAACCCCGATCAGGATTCAAGGTATCTATATTATTAAGCGAATATGCCTTAGTTGTGAACAGGTAGGGACTAGCAAACCGCAATGTGTTATATTTTAGGACGTTTTTTTATGTCCCAGTTCTAACAAGCCTTTGCTCGACTTCTGCCTCGCGATATTTAAATTGTGGTCAGCAACAGCTTATTGACACTAATTCCGCAGTTTACCAAGTGACTATCATCTGTACAACAGATTACTGCCTCAGAAAAGTCCAGCCAGCTACTCCAATAGTCAGTATTATCAGGGCATCTAACCACAATATCAAAGGGCCGACAATGGTTTAGTCGGCGATACGGAATTGAATTGCTGTAGTAACAGTGGCAGTTTCAAAAGCATCAGAAACCGACCTAAACCACGTGAGTTCCGTGGTCCTCTACATATGGGATCTCTCTCCACGTTAAACACGTATTATATTCTATCTCATGAATATCCCAATGTGAGAAGAGTTGGGAAAGGCGGCCCACTAGGTAATTGGGCTACCAAAAGCAACACCGCAAACATAGCAACCACAGCAACCATAGTAGACGGAACGGTGATGATGGTAATGATGGTAATGATGTTGATATCCCACGGGTCCAGGAATGAACCATCCAGATGAAGGATTATGGACAACTACGCCATGGATATCAAATGAAAAGACATGTGCAACATACCATACAGGAAATAAAGAAGCGATCATCTATTTTCTGAAACTATCCATGTATAGTAATACTATGAGGGTTGAGGCCAGTAAATTGCAAATACTGCGCAGGACGCGTTTACCCCTTGCTATGATGAATCTGGTGTCTACTCTAGGCTGTAGCCAAGTAAAAAAAACGTGCTAGCCAACTGAAAAGAAAATGCAAAAGCGATAAAGGACGAGGCCTACAGAGAAGTGATGGACATGGAAACATGGGACCATAAGCTTTTTGTTTTGTTGATTGGGAAAAAAAAGGCCGCCCATGAACATAACAGTAGAATAAATGGAGTGGACAGAAAGACTCGAGCATAAGGTTATAATAGTACATTATAATGGTCGCGAATAATAGATCAGCATCTTGCATGGAGCAGTGATGGATCTGTTTTTCGACATCTCCCTTTTATACAGGGCATCAAACGTGGTGCACTGGAAAGGGAAAGTACATGTACAAGATATCACAAAAGCAGTGCTGTCAGAAATGTCTCTTCCTCATTAAAAATGTATCAGCATTTGGTGGAACCACAACCCAGCAGCCTTGGACGGAGTAATTTTTATGCCAAAAGTGCGGACAAGCCTGTTTGGATCGTCGCACATGTAAACTTTATTCATCCTCCAATACATCATCACCAATAGATATACTAGAAGATTGATCGAATATTTTTGCGATTTCATTTTCGCAAAAGTAGAAGATTATCAAAGTCGTAGTCGACAAGTGCCAAGAAGTTCAGGAAGTCAAGACACAGTCGATTGTGTCTTACTGATCATCTGTGTGTGCAAATACGGAGAGACAGTCGGAGCGACAGTGTCCAGTCCTCTAATACAAATTGGACAAGAGCAGGAACAGTCCTTCTGCGCAGACAAGAGAAGAGCAAAAAAAAAAAAAAGCCCACACACAGATACATGGAACTTCCGAGAATGAAAATAAGAACAATTAAAATTCATAATCATCCAGGCAATCAAAGCACGTTCTATGCGAATATGCGAATAAAGATATTTGTATTAACAAGCATCGCATTGTCACTCTTTTGTACTTTCGGTCTCTTGCTTTGTGCCGCCTCCGTTATTATTATATTATTTTTTGACTCATTGATGTCTTGAAGTCATTGATTCCATTGTGCATTCATTCCTTTCTTTCTTCCTTTCTTTTAGTCTCCTCCACCTCAACCGTCACTTCGCTTCATTTCTCTCCACTCCAATTCTACTTCATTTCTATTTTTTTTTTTTTATTTTATAAAAGAGCTACTGAGCTGTACTTTTATCCAGTCCATCACCAGTCATATCCATATACCCTCTTAATCAGACTAGACGAGAGAGATAGAGATGCCATCTGTCTCCGAACTACAGTTCTCGCCAGAGGACTCTGTTCAAGCCAACAGCAGACATCAGTCGTATGCGGTCAAAGACAACTTTACATACCAGAATGGTTTTATCATTGGACTTCGTCAACTTTGGACTATGCTCAAGCGTAACACCATTCTACAGGTACAATCCAACAATACAAAAATACTGCACCCTGTCATCAATGTCAATGCTAAAAATCTCTCTAATGAACGCTATTCCAAATGTCACATTTTACTAGGTCCGCTATAGGAGATCCACTTTTGCACAAGTTCTCCTAGGTCCAATCCTGTTCCTGCTTCTCCTCTGGGCCCTCCAGAAAGCAGACACAGCACGCCAACTTCGATCAAACTACCATCCAGAACCTTGGGTTCTGCCTGGAATTGATAATTGTCAGGTACAGCATCAGGTTAAAATGTTAATAGGCATTCTTGTTACACAGCCTTGTATCCGCACTTTTTTTTTTTTTTTTTTTTTTTTTTTCATTTCTAACCGTCCACAGCTTCCCCCTTCTATCTCGTTAGGGTCGCACTCCAGGAGACCCTTGTATAAATATCATGTTTACGCCAGACACGTCAGAAATTCGTGAGATCCTTGCTACTGTTAACAACCGCAATAAGATCCGTGAACCATCCGTAAACCTTGGCTTTGAGAACGCCATTTCTGATTTAAATACTCTTCCACGATCAACGCTTGGTATGGTTCCTGTACCCAACGGCAAATTTATTTACGATTACACACTTTCTCATCCCAATGTCACCCGATTTGGAATTGAGTTCTCGATTGTACCTGGGCCACCAAAGAACTATGTCTATCAGACCTGGTTTAATTTTACCAACACGGCTAATGACACAGACCCTTTTGGCGATTCCTTGCTCTCGTTTACTCGAGCTGTTGACGAGGCTATCATGCAGGTTGCAGAAGGTAGTGATCCAAGTCTGATAACTATGCTTAAGGATTTCCCACTGGTACCACCTAGGGTAGCCAGCGATGAGGTTGTCTCTGCACTCGGAGCAATGTTCTTTTTCTGCTCCATGATGATTATTTTCATCTGTGTGCTTAACCAAATTGTAGCAGAAAAGGAGCTTCATCTGCGCCATAGTATGCAGATGATGGGTCTCAAGACACTCGTCTATTGGTTTTCATGGTGGCTTTCGAATGCACTTCTTGTACTCGTTAGTGCTATCGTTATTTCTGGATTTGGTATCGCTTTTGGCTTTTCTGTCTTCAAGAACAGCAACTTTTTAGCTGTCTTGATCACTTTCTTCCTCTTTGGTCTTTCCATGGTAACAATGGCATTTTGGATTACCACTATGGTCAAGGCGAGTAGAACAGCCATCCTGATTGGAATTTTTTTGTTCATTATCGGTTTGCTGTTTGAAAGTATGGTTTTCTCCAATCCTTTCGTGGGCTACCTCTGGTATGACTCTGGCACGTCTCCTGCAGCGAGATATGTCCTTATGTTCATTCCCTTCTTCAATTTTGGCAAGATCTTTTTGGATATGTCTCGTTTTGCGACGGGCCGCTTCGATGTTCTTACAGAGACTTACATCCCTGGACCAGGCTTCTACTGGAAGGACCTTTATAACAAGATCCCCACATCATTCACTCCAACGTATGATGACGCCAGAACGCGTCATCCAGACGTCCCAGCTCCTATTCAGTCCTGGTATTTAATGCTCATGAATATCGGCGTTTTTGCCATTTTGACCCTATACTTTGATCAAGTGGTGGCAGACGACTATGGAAATCGACGCCATCCACTTTTTTTCTTGGACCCAACGTTCTATGGTTGGCATATAGGCAAAAAGCTCGCGACACGTGATTGGATTGCCGCTCAAGAGGCAGATAAGTCCAAACGGGATGCACGTAGGATGAAAATGAACAAGTCCCCAGCTGATCTATCTATTGAAGATGAAGATGAAGACGTGAAAACAGAGAGGAATATGGCATTGGACCCCAATTATGATACTGCAGCCAGGATCTGTAACCTTCAAAAGGTCTTCCAAGAATCAATGTTCCGGAAAAGCCCTCTTGACAAGATTGCAGTGAAAGATTTATGTCTGACTTTGCAGGAAGGGAAACTATTAGCACTCCTCGGACAGAACGGCGCTGGAAAATCAACTACGATGAACATGCTTTCTGGATTGACGAAATCAACTGGAGGCGATGCTGTGTTCTACGGTCTATCGATGAATAACGAAATGGCAGAAATCCGCTCATTGATGGGCGTTTGTCCTCAACACGATATCCTGTTTGGTGATCTTACTGCCAAAGAGCACATTGAGCTTTATGCTGGACTCAAAAACGTACCCAAACATGAGATTCCAAAGTTGACAGAAGAACGTTTGAAGGCGGTTCGACTTTGGAAGGTCAAGGACAAGCTTTCGCATACGTATTCCGGTGGCATGAAGAGACGTCTGTCTATGGTTATCTCTACCCTTGGAGATCCCAAAATTATCTTTTTGGATGAACCAACTACAGGTAAGCATTATTGGTTCATTACAGTAAATCTTTATGTGTTTTGTGGCGTCATTTGAATAAAACGCTCATCTCTTTGACTTCATTATAAATTTTATTAGGAATGGACCCAACTAATCGTCGTCATGTGTGGTCATTTATTGAAAAGTTTAAACAGGGACGGATCATTATTCTCACAACGCATTCAATGGAGGAGGCTGATATTTTGGGAGATCGAATCTGTGTGATGGCTCACGGCCGTCTCCGAGCTATTGGCAATTCGATTCATCTCAAGAACAAATTTGGAGCTGGCTATCGTATCTCGTTGGTGACTGATCCATCGAATACAGCGTTAGTCAAGTCCATCATCGAGTCCAAAGTACCTGGCTGTATTCTTAAGGATGATTCTGCAGGTGCACTCCTATATCAGTTCCCACCATCGTCTATGAGTAGCATTCCAAAATTGGTTCAATGGCTTGAAGGTGCTGATGTTGGCCCACAGGCTGTCAACCGAAATGCTCGGGACTCATCTGCCAACAGTGGTCGGAATACTCCCACCGCCACTCCACCAACGGGTAGTGACAATCAAGTTTCAAAGGGATTCAGCACTTCAGGGAATGCTCAGTCTCTGATCCATGGCTATGGTATTTCTCAAACATCTTTGGAGGAAGTTTTCTTGAAGCTAATTCGAGATGCTAACCCAGAGGGATATCAGGGTTATGAAGTCACTAAAAAGCCTGCCAATGACAAGTCCAAGTCTGATTCCACTCTTCGAAATCGGGGCACAGGGCAGTAGTAGGCTTTACAAAAAATATACAATGTTCATATAATCCTTTAGTTTAAAAAGAGTTTATTCATAAAATTACAAGTTAGTTATAATAAATTATTTTACAAATGGGATATAAAAGGTAAAGAAATTGCGATTTTCCTTTCTAAACATGGCATTGAGTTTACATCATGATGCATGAAGTGTGGGCCGCAAATGTCCGATTCTTTTTTTTTTTTTTTTTTTTTTTTTTTTTTTTTTTAAAGCCGAAGAAAATGGCCATGCTGAGGAAAATGGTCTTCTCGGAGATACATTCTCCCGCCTGCCCTGCCCACTGCTACAGCCTCGTCCATCTCAAGCTGTCTCCACATCTTACGGACTTGTATGACTCCGTAACGATCCATCCATTGCCAATGCTTGATCATGTCCTCCACTTTCCAGATCCAGATTGCAAACCATACCATACCATAGATAGCTCCAATGATAGCTCCTACCAGCACCTGACTAACTGTGTGGTGACCGACTTGAATACGTGACCACACCACAGACCACGCATAAAGCTGCAATAGCAGGATCAAAAACCATTGGCCAGGTGACCCTTCAGGCTCCATTAGCACCAGCTGTAACGAGATATAGCAGACAAAAAACGCAACAAGTTGTGCATGACTACTGGGCATTCCGTAATCTGGACGAAAATTATAGATTTTGCGCCTTCTCTGCCGTCTGATCTTTTGACTTGTTAATTTGGTCTTGAGTTCATTAGAAGAGTTAGCTTGCTCCTGCTGTAATGATGTTGTAGGCGCAAGGGACAAGGAGGATGAACTGATCGTTGATATAGAATTCATGTCTACTTCTTTTGTATGAGCACGGGTCGATTGAGTATCCGAAAATGAGGATGTGTTGGAAGACACGAAACCAGAAGCTGAGGTTATGGACTCAAAAGTTACACCAGATGTGTGCAGTGCAGAAGTAGATGAAGATGAGGATGAGGAAGAAGGTGATGTAAATGAAGGCTGAGAATCCATGTCAACGCCCTCGTCCAGATTGGGTCTTTCTGGGCGAGGTTGCCGGATGATGTGTTTCAGGCACTTTGCTAACATGAGTGTCCAAGGAATTATGAAAACCAGATAGTTGTAAGATTAGATTCAGGTCCCTCCACTTCAAGATACAGCTCATTATATTGTCATCGCACATGCCCTTTTTTCCTGAATTGCATCATAAATCTCCACTTTTTGGTCACACATCACTCCCTCCTTTTCTCCATTTTTTTTCCCTTCTTTTGATAGGTCCGAATATGTAAAGAATGTGCTTTTGTGTATTTACTGCCTGCGTGTACTTTAACATGAAGCAGCCAAGGGCTACGACAACGAAAGAAGGTGGTTTTTGTACACTCACCAAGTACTGCACACGACAGAGCTCCTGTGCCAAAGAAAAGACAATGAAGTGTCCGAAGGTAGATGATAGCAATAAAAGTACAGGTTGATGCAATGTATCGAGTACGTTCGAACGATGGCGAGCGGGAAAAGGATAGTGACTGATAAAGCGATATTGACAAGGCTCCAAGGATGGACCTTGGCTGATTCTGATATTGGTGTCGTTGATACTGTGGCGTAATACTTGGCCGCCGTCGCTGTTGCTGTTCCTGTTGTTGGCGAAGTAGAGAGTTTCGCAAAACCGATTCATCAAGTCCATGTGAATGAACAGACATTTTGAACCTCTAGTTTGTAATGAATTAGATGAATGATTGGTGTCTATGTATGTGTCCGCTTGTGCGAATGGAATTTGTGAATGACGAGAAGGGCAAAAAAAGAAAAGCGACAGTCAAAAACAGAATAAAAATAGGGAGCTCAGATACACGTGATTATAGGCGTCGTGCAGCTCCCATATCCTACGATTTTCAACGCGCGTTCTCAATCTCATCAACACTAGTCACTAAGGGAAAAAATTTCATTGGACATGCCCCTTTGATCTTTCTTTCTTTCTCTTTTCTATTCCTTGTGTACTCAGAATGAATGTATCGGCATTGCTGCGACACGATCCACAGTTGCATTGCATATTGCCTCTGGAATCTAGTCATGTACTTCCAATTAATAAATTTACTCTTTTCATCTGTTGCGTCCTATAATTTAAAAGTCACATAATGCGCGTTCAAAAAGTTTTTCACCCTTGGAAACAAAATATTCAATGTATTGTACAACGCACACTGTGCACACTATCGTCTATCAAAGACAGGAATGATCTAATGATGGAGTAGTAGCAGACTGATCTATAGCTGCCTGGTAGAAATACCAACACGCATACCAACACGCACAAGCATCTCGATCTGTTCTTTTGATGACTGTAATAGATCTTCGTCAAATTGGATCGAGTCGGGCTCAAATAATAACACAATCGTCGAGCCACCAAAGGCAAAGTAACCATGTTCTTCCATCCTCTCTACTTCTTGACCGGGCTTCGTTGTCAAGACTATTGATCCAACCATCATGGCGCCAATTGAGCAATATGCGACTGAGCCAAACTCTTTGGACTCAATAGTCGAAATGACGCGCTTGTTCTCACCATAGACGTCTAAATGACTCCGGATCGACATTGGATTAACCGTGAAGTACTCCCCAGTGATATGCTTGGGTTCGGATATTACACCACGAACGGGTATATGAAATCTACCGTGATATAACAAACGATGATGAAACAAGTCAGTTTTTTTTTTTTTTTTTTTTTTTAAGAAAAAGAACAAAAGAAAAGCAAAAGTTGATGATTAGAGTGAGCAGAATTTTGACTTACCTATGGTAATCTTGTGGAGCTAGACGGAAAATAGCCAAGCTTCCACCAATGTATTTCTTTGCAAGCACCTCATCCCCCAACAGTTTTGCAACTGTAAATTGTCGCCCCTTGATCCAAAACTTTTGAGCATCTTCTATCGTTTGGAAACATGTCATGCGACAGTCTGCCACACTAACCGCCACGCGGTCGTCACCTGGGGAGGCAAGTGTCCTTGCATTTGGTTTCAATCGTCGGTAGAAGAATTCATTGAATGTTTTAAAGTTCTGAACCGGTTCCAAGACTTCCGACATATGGGCTTCAAGATTGTGGAAGCGGATAAAGGGTTCAATGCTTCTCTTCGACCTTGGGTCATCAAATTTAAGTCCCTGCTTTCTAGACATATTAGCCATGATCCTACCAACACGAATCTTTTGGGCAGGGCTCCTATAAAGCAGTCGTATACCCAGACGAATAAAGGTAGGTATTTTCTCCTCCAACATGACTCCGGTTATCCTGTCTTGTACAATAATATTGGCATTACTCTACCAATCGCCGAATGTGAAAGAATAAAAAAAAAAAAGAAAAAAGAAAAGCTGAGTGCACGGATTTGAAGAAGGCGACTGGACAAACCCAAAGTGCTTATTTGTATGCAAAGCCTACCTTGCCGATTACATATCGGCCGTAGCCAAGAGTCTTGACGACCTTAGTGATCCATTTCCGTTGCGCATTTGCTTCTGTTACAAAGTTGCCCAGGATTAGCTTGTCGAGGTTAAAACCGTCATTACCGGAGCACACTGCGATATGTGTGATCACGTCCGTTTCCAGTTTAGATCCGAGACTTGGATCGCGACAAATGGGGCAAGAGGAAATCCTAATTACATACTCATCCTCGGATGTTTGTGGCTCAAAATCTGCCTCTGTAGGCTCAACCATATCCATGGCTTGTGGCACGGCACCGACAGGGACCTTATTTCGTGTTAAATGCATAAATAGCTCATTATCCTGCTCAAACTCTTCATCTTCGATCGAGTCATCTGTGGAATCCTTCTCATCAGACTCTTCCTTTCCATCTGACTCTGGGAAGGCTTCTGATTCCGGTGGTGCTACTGCAGCTGATTTGCGTGACCAAAATTTCCTAAGCCTACGCTTTCGACGCTTGCTTGGCATGCTATCATCCAAACGGACTTGACTCTCTAGTCTCTCAAACAGCTCGTCAAATGTCAATTCATCTTGATCTGGGTCTTTACCATATGGGGTAAAGAAGCTGTCCACAGTCTTGCTTGAGAGGTTCGAGCCAAGTCCTTCGAGCATTGCCTGGATCAATAATTTGCTGAATAGACTCTTTCGTGGTTCAACATCGAATGCCTTTGCAAGGCCAAGCCAGAATCGCCGTCTCAAGTCAGTATATGTTACAAACTTGGCACGAACTTTGAGGTAAGTATCTTCAGTTTGCTTCTTGATGTTGCTTGCTATCACAACTTTAAGCACATATTCCTTCATGTCTGGATCTGTTAACTCTTTCTCATCTTCAGCGCCTGGCACTGGTGATGAAGGTCGATCGGTTTCTTGTGTTTTGGATGCATTGATTAAGGTATCGATATCCATCGTTGCCATGCCAATATAGTCGTTTCCACTCAATTTGTCCCAATCATGAATGGAATACTTGATATGGAAAGATTCTTGACCATAATGAACTCTGAACATGAGTTTTCCACCCCATTTAGGGTTCAAATTGTGTCGAATAACACGAGTCCTGAAAATATATTTTCCGAAAGAAACAACTACGAATGGATCCATATCGAACCCTGTCCGTGTCATGTTACGAGTCCTTGGGAGATTTGAAGCGGAGACGATCTCCATGAATACCACGCCATGTAAACTATTAGATAATGGTGCTGACGCTAATGTGGACAAACTAGAAGATGATGCTGTTCGAGTGCCGGGAGGAGGCGAAGGAGTGTCTATTCGTAATGCAGACAACCCCATAGATGGATCACCTTCACCTATGGCAACTGGAATGTCGGCTACGGCGATTGCCATGTCGTCGGCTGTATGTAGTTGACGTTGTCCTAGGCCCAGCTTATTGCGTCCGCTTGCTAGTTGAGCCCATATAGTTGCGCAACGCAGCTGTGAGTCCTTGTGAACGGGAGCCAACTCTGTATCGACGAACCCGAACTTTACCTCAACTAGGACGGAAAAAAAAGGTTTAAATTATAGATGCAGATTAGCGTCTTGTCTTGCAAGTGATGTAGTATTTAATTTTGGCAATAGGTTTTGGTCACTAAACACACCTTCACCAGTGACTTTTGAAAATTTCCCAGGGATTGATTTCAATGGAAACCATCTAGCCTAATTGGAGCAGAGATAGAGAAAACTAATGGTCAGATTTGATTTTTCACAGCATTGCATGCTACTTCACTCCACTCACAGAGAAGGAAAAAAATAGAATAAGGTCTATAGCGGTAATTGGCTGGAGAGAAAGGGAAATGATGCTATTTACACGATATAGTTTGCTCAGCGTTCTCGATCGGGAAAAAATGGTTCATGCTCTCTTCATGTTACTACCTTATTTTACTTTCTCTCTCTCTTACGGTATCCATAGTTAATTATTAGCAGCAAATGGCGAGAGAGAGGCAAATAGAGCAATAGAGGAAAGGATAATGATAGGCTTACAGAGAGCCGAAGACAAATGAGCAATTGAAAGGTTCAAAGCGCATGGCGAAATGGCTTATTGTATGAAAAGGGGTGGTGAAGAAATTTAATAAAGGACTTGCCTTGTTTTCGGGGTCATCAAAGTGCTTTGGAACCGCATCAGACCACAATGACGCAGACTCAAAGGGAATATAAACCGTACCGAGGTAATCATCTCGACCCCAGCGATCTTTGTCCCAGAACATGAGACTTGCCTGGTCTGGGAGCGACTGAGCTTCGACTTCGAATTCATATGCTTCATTCCAAACGGGGTTTAATGTTTTCCGGATGACATTGGTAGTGAATTTATGACCACCAACGGATAATTTGACGTAAGGATCTGAGAAGCCGTTCTGTTCAGTCCAAAGAATAGAGTGATTAAAAAAAAAAAAAAAAAAAAAAAAAATGATCAGAAAGTGTGAGTGGATGATGCAAGTCGTCCAAATTAAGTCTATTTTAGTACTGAATTTTCTCTATTGTATTATTAAATTGATTTGGTACTGTATAATTTTTTTTATTACAGGCGTCATGCTGCAACTGTTTGACAGTGAATCTGTTGGTACTCCAATTGTGAAATTTAGTCATGCAACCATACCCTGTCTCTGCCAACAAGATTCTTTGCTCGAGAAATAAGAATTCGCATTTTAGCCACAGTAGGCTGCTCATCCTCATCATGTAGCCATTTTATTGTTGTTGTGCCTGGTGTGGTTGGTTTAGGTGCAGCTGTGGTGGATGAGGATGTCGAGACTGTTCGAGGCATTATGAAAGGAATGGATGCAGCAAAGGGACGCAGCGAGCGTGACTTCGAAAGAGAATAATGATGTCGATGCCTTAATGGTCGAATGGTTTAATGGGGTAAAGGAGATTTTAACGTGCAATGTTGGGGTAGAATGTAATGTGAGCGTTAGAAGTCTGTGTCCGTTTTGCGTGAGGGCGGGTATAAAAATATTATATGTCTGTGTGGGGTGCGTGCAAAAGCGTTGGTTTGGATGTGGAGGCAAGTGGTGAAGTGAACAAACAAACAAACAAGCACGCTACGCAGGATGAATTTTAGTAATTTGTTTAAGATATGAGAGTGGAGAAAGAGACTAATTGTCAGGATAAAGAGACAAGGTGGATGGTGAAAGCAAGTAAAGAGAAAAGCAAAAGCAAGAAGGAGACAGAAACAAAGGAAAGCAAAGAGAATTATGAGTTCTGAAATGAATAGTTAATGGTCTGAATCAGCAAGAGCGGGGAATTAAAAAAAGAAAGAGGAAAATAGTAAAAAAAGCCCAAAAAAACGGATGATGATAAGACATGAGACAGGAACCAAAGCCAAACTGAATTGTTTACACTACACGAAGACATGGATGGATAGGGCTGTTTACTTTCTAATTCTCTGTTTGTAAGCAGTTTCTATGAACTCAGGCAATGTCCTTCATACCCGCGGATTTGATACTGGGCGCTCGGGCTTTGGAACGGTCAGATGGACAGGATTCTGTCTAGAATTGGAAGTGAGAGCAGGAGATGTAAAGTTCAATAACACATGTTGATATATATAAATATACATCTATATATTAATAAATACATACCGTTGCCATACTGACGTTGGCCCCTGCGATGAGAACGTTATTATCACTGACTCGGACTACGAGCCCTTCATCGCCTTATTTTTTTTTTTTTTTTTTTTTTTTTATTTCTTTATTTTCTTTTAAATTAGTCTCACTCAAATATCCTCCATAATGATAAACTATTGAAATTTCAATAAATCTTTTACACTACACATGAAAACGATGCAACCATCTCATAATCTGAGATAAAGGCATAGGCAAGTAGCGAAGATCAGGCCACTACAAAGTCTGCTAAATATTGAGTTGTAAAATGAACCTAACAAGGTCATAGCCATCAAAGAAGATGCGATGCTGCTGTGATATCTGAGTAACTGAGAGATGGCGAGTCTTATTAGCCTATTATGATGACAATTGACCATCGATCTGAAAAACAGAACAGAATGTCCATCTCTGTTTTGACAACCACTGCACACTTCTCCTGTTGCTTTTTTTTATGAATGAAACAGTGGATGTAGATTTTCTGATCCCGTGCAATTAACCTTTCAAAATGAAAAACTATGACTGTGGAAATTTTTTTTCCTTATTGTAAATAGGGAGTTTATCTAGCGTTCCTCCCCACGTAACTTTTTCCAACAATCGGTTCTTCGTTTTTTCATCAAGCCTCCATCAAAGCCTCCCGATGAATAGAAATGTCCTCCGCCACTGACCATATCAATACCGATCCTTCCAGGACTTCCTCACCACCTACAACAGATGACACAGCCCGCAATGCAATCCCAGAAGTAGTGGATCCGGTCGATCCACCCGTGACAGCGATTCAAGAGCCTCCTAGTAATGCCTCATCACCACCCGCCAACTCCCATAATGAGTTTTCCAGCACTGTGTCAGAGGATGTCAAAGCCCTGACTGAGGCCCTTACAACACCGATTCGTGAGCAGATCGAAGCACATGAGCAAGCCGCAGCAGCAGTCGTTGCAGCTGTAGGTGCATCTGTAACTGCTGAATCTCATGCAGATCAGACTGCGCAGCCAGAGTCGACCGCCGCTCCCACAGTAGCTCCTTCTACCCAAGCCTTTGATGTCAGTAATATTGAAAGCCTTTCACCAACTACTCAGGACGAGATTGTAAAGAATCAAGCTGCAAAGACATTGCAATTGATTGCCTTGTCTTTTAGTAACCAGGTTTCGCAAACCTCAGAGAGCGCCAGCACTGCATCAGGGTCTGCAACAGACGATGGAAAAGCAGCCTCAGCTATGGATCCTGCTTTGGTCAGTCTTGAACAAGTCCTGAGAGAGCATGCAGCCGCAAGCGCTAGAGAAGCGCCATCAGGAGTCAATGCAGCATCCTCTTCCTCTGCGAACTCAAACTCAAAGCTAGAAGACGAAACAAACGCACTTGCACAGGCTGTTCTTAAGGCTATGCAAGCTGATGCTCTCAAGTCAAGTCAAGTCAATCTGGAGACTGACTCTTCTTCTGCATCCCTGCAAAGTGGTGCTCATCAAAATGTTATTGACCAAAGCGAGCTGCACAGAGTTAAGCTCGAAACTGTACCCACGGGCGAAAGTAGCTCTGCAACCTCAACTTCCACATCAAATCCTAGTCGTGAGTTATTTTTCGAGCAGGACATGGCTACAGGCAAGACTCAAGTCAAATGGATTACAGATTCAAAAACCGAGCCAAAGGAGCATGTCAATAGTGTTCTAGAAGACGCAACTGTTATCCAGTTAGCACTCCAGACGTTGATGGCGAGCACTGGTATCACAGGACTCTCAGAACTGAATGTTGCAAGTGGCGGACTATTGGCGCCACCTGTTGGTCATTTTCCTGCGCAAGGTTCAGATTTCGGATCAAGCCAGGATCCTGCAGCCCCGGAGTCACGTACAGATACAGAAGCAACAGCACCACCTCGTAAAAAGCGTAAGACGGGGGGTTCTAGCAAGCAGAACACTGCCGCATCTATTCCAGAAGGGTCACCTTCATTCCCATGTACATTTCCAGGATGTGAGAAAGTGTTTGCAAGGCTTTATAATCTCAAATCTCATTCCAGAACTCATACGGACGAGCGACCCTTTGTATGCAGTAGCTGCAAATTAGCATTTTCACGGAACCATGATCTAAGAAGGCATGTCAAGATCCACATAGGTGATAAAGTTTTCAAGTGCGATGGCTGCGGCAAATCATTTTCTCGCCTGGATGCACTTGGTCGTCATCGAAACAACGCCAAGAATCGGCCAGGTTGTCAGACAGTGGTAGAAACCCCATCTTCATAAAATTTTCTGTATTTGCGTCAACAAAATAAAGAAAACATGTTGCCTTATCGCTTTCATAGTTGTTTCGAAACAATAATTCGCTAAAAGCTGGTTACATCATGTAAATAAGCTGGTACTATGAGATCCAGAATGATGGTAACACTGAAAAGAGGTTTGTCCTTAATTTTGGATATGAATGTATGTGAAATGTGGAGTAAAAGAAGTAGAATATTGGACATGGTTATTAAAAAGAAAAGGAATTCGTAAGCATCTCTGGAAAAAATGTACTGTATGCTCACGACACTTGTACACGAAGAAGAAAAAAAAAAAAGAGTTAATGACCAGTTAAAACATTGGTCTTTAAAATAAATGGAAGAAGAGATGAAATTTATTTTTTTGCTATTCTACAATGATAATCATAATAATAAGAGTAACAGTAATAAGTATTAAATGCTGGAAAGATCGAGTTATTCTAATGAGATAATGAATAATGAGGAAGATGAAGCGGCATGAAGACTTGTCGTTGACACGATATGAATCCTGCAATATATATATTTACTTCTTGTCCAATAGATCCTTGGCCTCGTTGATCTTTGAAGCCAAAAACGGTGAACCTCCACGATCAGGATGATTAAGCAACATGATCCGGCGATGAGCCTCCTTTAACTTTGACGAATTAAGTCCACTCTCTCTAAAAAAAAAAAGAGAAAAGAGAAAGAGTGAGTAAAAAAAAAGAAGCTAGGCGACTAAAGAATAGAAGTATTTCTCCCCAAACTTTTAATTTGACAAGACTTACTTGAGTCCAAGGATCAATGCAGCTTCACGCCTATCCATCTTTGCCTCGAACCCTCCTTTGTAATACTTCCCAGCGCCAATAGTATCAGGCCGAGGAATGGCAGCCATGATTCTAGTACCATGCAACTGCCAAGCACGCATAGCAACCTTTGTGCCATAAGCAGCACCTGCGATTCCGATACCGATAAAAAGGGGCGTGGTCTAACAAAAAAGTATAAAGAAAGAAAGAATTAGAATCAGTGAGCCTGCAAGCAAATCAGTTCAGGGTTCAATATTCATCCATTTATTCACCTCAGTTTTATTTTTCATTCTCTAAATACATGTAGTAATAATGATTCTTACCATGCTGTGTGTCGTAAATGAAGTTCGAAAAGCAAAGGAGTGGAGCGATGGAACTAAAAAAGAAAAAATAAGGTCGATATACGTCATAGAATATATTTCATCGTAAAGAAATCCGAGAAGGAAACATTTAGTGAGCATCACAATTCCAAATTTGTTTGCTCCTTCTCTTATTTTTTGCAGATAACAAAGATGGTACTTAAAAATGCTTAATATATTAAGCTGTGAGTAGATTAAAGACAGCAACTCTATCGATCCATCAAAGAACAATCAATCAATCCATCTATCCACCCTCTTGTCAATACATTCCTATTACCTAACCAGGATTTTATCATGACACCGTTAAGAAAAAAAAAAATATAATAATCTGACGATCGACCAATAGGCCAATGTCAGGACAGACTGATCGAATGAGAAAATTTAATTTTACAACAAAATCATTTCTGGATATCATCTTCATACGCGCCATTGTGAGATGAGCTTTCCTTGAAGCGTCACCAATCAGATTTGATCTCATCACCTTTACTCACATAATATTGAAAGTGCAAAGAAAACAAGAAGCGCATGTGGGCATGGATAGAGAGGAACAGAGAACCCAATTGGTCTAACTCCTTTGCTGGCTCTGCCGATGGATTTTTCCCCTCATTCTTTAGCCTTTCGTCAAGCTCGTCAAGAACAAGGCTTACTACAAGCGTTTCCAGGTCAAGTACCGCAGACGCAGAGGTAAATATAATAAAATCAAAGTGGGGGGGGGGGGTGTGTTTTTGTGCCGTGATACTTTCGTGTTGTCGTGATCCTGATGATTCCATAGTTCACCCGACGGGAACTGGGTTGGCGCCCGGCCCTTATGGGGAACAATCTATCTTTCGCTCCTATCTGATAATTCGACAAACATAAGTTATTTGACAATTTTTTTTTTCTTCACCAGTGTTCTCTTGAAAACTAACCATGTTAATGGCTTTGATCAAATAACAAACAAACGATAGAGGGCAAGACTGACTACTACGCTCGTAAGCGTTTGGTTGTCCAGGCTAAGAACAAGTACAACTCCCCCAAGTACCGCCTTGTTGTCCGCTTCACCAACGCTGACATTGTTTGCCAGGTCGTCTATGCCAAGCTTCAGGGTGACTTTGTTCTTGCCTCTGCTTATTCTCACGAGCTCCCCAAGTACGGTGTCAAGGGTGGTTTGACCAACTGGGCTGCCGCCTACTGCACTGGTCTTCTTGTTGCCCGCCGTGTCTTGACCAAGCTCGGTCTTGCTGACAAGTACGAGGGTGTCACTGAGCCCGATGGTACCATCTCGATGACCGAGGCTATTGAGGATGCTCCTCGTCCCTTCAAGTGCTTCTTGGATGTCGGTCTCAAGCGTACCTCGACTGGTTCCCGTGTCTTTGCTGCCATGAAGGGAGCCTCCGATGGTGGTATCTTCATCCCCCACGGTGAGAACCGCTTCCCTGGTTTCGATGCCGAATCCAAGGAGCTTGATGCTGATGTTCTTCGTTCGTACATCTATGGTGGTCACGTTGCTGACTACATGCGTTACCTTGAGGAGGATGACGATGAGAAGTACAAGAAGCAGTTCTCAAAGTTCATCGCTGCTGGTGTTGAGCCCGATGATCTTGAGGACATGTATGCTGATGCTCACAAGGCCATCCGTGAGGATCCCACTCACGTCCCTACCGAGAAGAAGAAGCCTGCTCCTGGCGAGAAGGTCAAGAACAACAAGAAGGAGCGCCTCAACTACAAGCAGAAGAAGAACAAGATCCAACAGAAGCTCAAGGCCTTCAATGCCAAGAACGGTATCTCTGCTTAAATGCGAATCTTATGGTAGTCTTTGTTATGAATCAATCTCTGATTTTCATTGCATTGTCAGTCCAGCTTCAAATAAAAGATTTAAAAAAAAACCTCCATCTAAATATATTCTTTTGCGTCGCAAACGAACAAATGGAAAACGGAAAATGTTTTGAATTCTGTTGTATTGCCGTTACTTGTTTGCTACTACGTGCATCAAAAGAGGGATATGGGAGAGAGAAGACAAGAAATGAAAGGTCGAGAAGTAAGATCTATGTGGCATTTATTGGTCGTACGAGGCATTGAGGGCAAAGCGTTATTTAAAAGAGAGCATCTCCATAGGGAAGCTCCGAAGTTTTTCCAAGGACGACAGTGGTGGGCTTGCTGCTCAACAGCTTGGCGGCAAACTATAATAAAAAGAACAAGATTAATAACAGTGATAAAAAGATAAAGGGCAAAGACTTCTTTGTAAGAAACCAGTCAACTTACCTTCGAGACATCACCAGCCTGAACCTTGTCAAAAGCATCCAAGGCGTCGATAGTAGTGATCTTATGGTCCTGGAAAGCTTGGGCACCAAGGATCTCGTTTGTAGAGGCACGGCTTTCGAAACGAGAGGCCGTCTCAAACTTGGCCTGAGCCAAAGCGCGCTTGAACTCTTCAGCAGTAATAGACTTGGAAGCAGCCTTCAAGGAGGAAATGGCAGCCTTGGCAGCCTCACTCACAGAGCTATGCTCAGCTTGGGCGTAGACACCAAAAAGACCAGCATCCGAGTAGCCAAAGTTGAAGGCAGAAATTTGAGCACCGTGGCCGATCTGGGAAGCAGCAGCGGCGAGAGGCGAGACACCGGCAGTTGACCACTTGACAAAGCGGTCACCACCAAGCAATGAGCGCAAGACCTGAGCGGTATAGAACTCGGAGGTACCAGCGGCAGCGCCCTGGAAGGCAATTGCAATGTGTGCAATGGAGCTGTTGTGGGGAACACGGATCTCACCACCATAGTACTTGGTGGTCTCAATGTTGGTAGCTGAACCAGAAGCGACATTGGCAAATGCAGAGGCAGCCAAGCCCTTGAGCTCTTCCTCACTGATACCGGTGGCAACGAGGGCAAGCTTGTTAGCAACAAAGTTGTCGGCAGCAAACTTCTTCAGATCAGAGGAAGTGATATCAGAGTAAGGAGCAGCAAAGATGGGGTTGCCGAGACCGTTGCGGAAAGCGGCATTATGAATAGCTTCAACAACAGCAACCTCTGGCGAACTTTCTGCAACAGAGCATTCGGCGGCAATTTCTTTGGCAACAGCATGGAGCTCATGGTCAGTGTATTTTGTCTGGGCGACCAAATCACCGAAAACCTCAACAAAATATGGGCTATTGAATCGGGAGGAATTTTTTTTTTTTTTTTTTTTTTTTTTTTAGATCTGCCATGTATTATGTCGATAAAAGCGTCAATTCTGCGATTATAGGGTCACATTAGTGTACTTACACATCCTCCTTCAAGCATTCAGCAGTAAAAGAAATATTCTCACGGCCGAGGTTGGAAGAAAGAACACCTCCGACGAGTTCAGTCTCACGAGTAATACGGAAAGCAGAGCGCTTACCAGTGTTCTATATGAGCCATTCAAATTTTTCATCGTTAGCTACCCTGTTCGACAATTAATGCCATGAACATCCCAAAAAAAAAAATCGCTCAAGTCTTGTAGTCTTGTTGAGAATAATGTGCCCATTATGGTTTAGCATCCATATTGACAAGAAAACATAGCTCGAAACAGGCAATGTCGTTTTGTATCCATTGCTCCTCGACTTCCAATGATCACATAATATCCTGTATATCGAAATTTCAAAGGCTGATAGAATGTAGTTATTACTGATACTTGATGCTGCAGCACCATCAATTAGATCCTGGATGTATATTCCGAAGCATCAATACTAAAAAAAGAAAAAGACGCGTTTCCAACGGTCTCTAATCTTAGCAATTGAGCAGTTCCTGATGCAGTTATTGTAAACGCGGCATGGTTATCGCTCGAAAACAAATAGTCGTTTTGAATATGGATATTGAAAGATGGACAATAATTGTCACAATGGCTGTAGAGGGCATTGGTGAGAACAAGGTCCAGCTAATACCTTGAAGCCAAAGTTCTTGGCAAAGTGGGCGATACCGGACTTGCCCTTGGGCTCGAAGCGGGCTCCAGCGTTGATGACCAAGGAAACGGAAGCAGTGGGTGAGCTTTCATCGAGGGCAGCAACCTTGACACCGTTACTAGTCTTGGAAATGGCGGTAGCATAACCAGCTTTGAGGAGAGTAGGGACCAAGTTGATGGTCTTGCGAGCTGAGGAAATGGACAACATTATGTTTCTAGTTTGGATTGATTATTATTATACAGAAGTTGATATGAGATAGGGGAACAACTTAGTCAAAGAGCACGCGTTGTGGAGGGAATGAAAGTTGAACACGCCACGCTCCGAATATTTGCATGGGCAATAGGCGAGTTGTGAAAAAATGACACTGCCATGGTCTCGTTAATAAAATATGAGTTTGTTCTTCTCCGTCCCGTCTTTGCTTATGAATAATTCATTTTTTTTGCGATAATAGTCTAAAACATAGCCTCCATTCACTCTTGCGATAGTGTAGGCTCGAAAAAAAAGAAAGAAAGAAAAAAAGAAAGAAACTAAAGAGAAAGCGACTCAATAACAATAATAAAAAAATAAAAAAAAAACCATGTTATGATTAATCCAATTAATCACAAGAATAATTAATGAGTCCGGAAAGGTGAGAGTGTTCTAATCCATCCGAATGACGTGAGTAAATGTGATTTTGTTGCTGCTCGAAGCGAGGATATGATTAAGAGCATTACCGTTGTGCAAAAAAAAGTAAAAGACGGAAGGGGACAATGGATGGCAAGGAGAAAGAGGAAGGAGGATAGAGAGAAATTTGATTTTCGTGATCGAGCAGATCGGAGGACCACAATCTCCGAGCAATCTTTCTCTCTCACTGTGCACGAAGGAAGTTCGGACCAAAAAAAAAATTAAAAAAGTCTACGTCAATTTCATTTAAATCCTATAATTCGCTATATCCTATAAGTACTTATTTTCGGTGCTGTTGCCTCTTTTGGTGGCAAGAAGACACGATTTCATATTCTTTCTATTCCTTCACATTAAACGATCGCTGTTTATTCTTTCCTTTCACCTTCCTTGCCCTCAATTGCATTATAACAAAAAGTCTGCCGATCCACCATGTTGAAGAATCTGATCCGATCCAACGGTATGCACTTGGTTACAGATCTCTTTTAGTCCAGTGACGAACTCCTCTTTCCTATCTCCTACAACTACTCTTTGGAACATAAACATAACAAGCAAAAAAACAAAAAAAAAATAAAATAACAGTTCGTAACGATTCATGTCCCTTTCACATATTTATTGATCATAAGCTTTCAACAGGGTTGCAACCGAAGCTCGCTCAATTGGCGTTAGGGCCGCAGGGCCTGTTAGACCAATTACAACGCGTATGCAGCTTCCCGTGAACTGCAATGTCCGATATTATAGTAACATTAAGTCAGAGGGCGCCCGGGCTCAAAGTACAAGTGCTGCAGGAGTAAGTTTATACAATAGAAATGTTGGAATTAAGACGTAAGCTAACTTTTACTTCTCTTAAGGCAGACACTATTTCATTTCTTTTTTTTTTTTTTTTTTTTTTTCATTTTCTAATGCTTACAGGCGTATATCAATCTTCATTTATCAACTTTGATAGGCATTGAACTGGAAGACTCTTGCTGTTTTTACTGCAACTGGCGCTGGCTTGCTCTATTACTTCCGTGAAGAAAAGAAGCGCGTCGAAGCTGCTCGAGGTAAGCAATAGCATCAAACAACAGGAACAAAAAAAAAAAAGGTTAGTTAAATGTTAATATGTTTGAAAGGGAGAATAAACAGGAGCTTACAATATTTTCAATTCATCCTTAAACCTCCAAAGCTAAGGAGGCACGACTTGCTAGGGAAAACACTACATACGGGAAACCAAAGATCGGTGGACCCTTCTCATTGATTGATCAGAATGGAGTCCTTACCACAAACGAAGATTTCAAGGGACGTTATATGCTCATCTACTTTGGCTTCACAAACTGCCCTGACATCTGCCCGGAGGAGCTCGATAAGATGGCAGAAGTCTTGGATACTGTCAGTATGTTGCAAAGACATAAAAAAGGTCTATCTATATCATATTCATATATAAACATCCATTCTTATTTGCTATGTTTCTTGTTTACTTAAAATGCATAGACTCTGACCCAAAGATCGGCAATGTGATTACTCCCATCTTCATCACCTGCGACCCTCAGCGTGATACAGTCTCGGAGGTAAAGAATTATGTCAAGGAATTCCATAAAGATTTGATTGGATTGACTGGATCAATGGAGGAAATCGCCAAGGTGGCAAAGGCATATCGTGTTTATTTCTCTAAGCCTCCCAAGGTAGCAGAAGGTGAAGATTATTTGGTGGATCATTCTATCTTCTTCTACTTGATGTCACCAGAGGGTGAGTTTGTGGACTGTTATGCAAAGGATCACACAGCGGAACACGTTTCTGAAAGTGTGAAGAATCATATCCAAGATTACATCAACAAAGGTGGTAAAGTCTCCAAGGAACTTGCTTCACGTCGATCGCAGTCGTCATCTTGAGCACTTTCCTTTCTTTCTTTCTTTCTTTTTTCTTTCTGTCCTTTTATCATTCCTTCATATTAGAGCAGCACGATAAACTACATACATTAAGGAATTCTATCTGATCATTCTGACATATTAAAAAAAAAAAAAAAAAAAAAAAAAAGAGGTTGTATGGTATTTGTGTCTCTTTGATTATAATTTTGTGTTCTAGAAATACAACAGGAAATGGCCTCTCAAAATTCAAATAATTGATTTTAGCATAAAACAACAATAATAGTACCAAAGGCGATAGAGAAAAACAAAAAAGCCAAAAATGAATTGCAATAAGTGAAGCAGAAAGAAAAAAAAAAATCTATGAAGGATCAAAGGACTAGGATATCAAAATGCAAGGTCTAGAATGATGTACAGTAGTTATGATGACAAGGGAGAGCTATTTCACCACATGAAGCCATCCTTGGAGTACGTCGAGTCGGAGGGTTCGAACGTCATTGACTCCTGCGACCCAAGCAAGAGCATATCCAGATCATCCTGTGAGAGAGATTGGTGATGGAGGGTAGAATCCATCTCTCCTTCGGTTGAAAAGTTTGAATCGAAATTGAATGTTGTCTGCTGTTGCTGTTGCTGTTGCTGTTGCGATTGCTGTTGATGGAGGTTCATTTCATTTCCTGTCATTGTTGGAGGAGGGAACGCTAAGAATCCTACGTGCGGAAATGGGCAATAAAAAAAATATGAGCTATAGATACAGCCACTGGTGAGAAATACGCCATTGCTTTACAAACAAAGTACAGACGTCTTACCATCCTTAACTTGATTGATATTTGAAGAATCCGTTCCATCGCCAGTGATTGTCAATGATGGGTTCATCAGTGGTTGGAAGCCAAACATATTGCTCTGTTGCTGGTCCGAGAACCCATTGGGGTTCGAGTCCGACATGATGGATTCGTCATCACCTCCTTGCATTGCAAGAAGTCCAGGAGCAGCCAAAAACTCGTTACAGAGCGCAACATCATCAGAACTCATGAATTGATCGGCCTCTTCAGCCTTGCCTGCCCCGGTTAGCATTACGTCATTTTGACGATTCTCCTGATCCACCATAAAATCAGAGTTATCCGTAGTGTAGGATTCAGGACTATAACTGCTTCTTAAGCTATTGTTTCCTGTTGGGCTGGTGTGGGTTGAAGATGATGGTACATTGGCAGATAAAGTAGAGGTACCATTAGTGGGTGTAGCTTGCTGATGGTTGTGGGCATTACTGTGATTGTTATTATTGTTGTTGCTATTGTTGTGCGAGTGAGCCAAAGTTGAATGTATTTGAACATCGGATGAAAGGTAAGAGGAACCGAGCATGGAAGACATTCCTGGGGGACCTGTAATAATTGGCGCTGAACCTGAATCACGCACACCAGATAAAGCTGTGTTTTTAGTGGGAGTATCCATGCTTGATGAGGGTGGTGCAGGGGAAACAATCGCTCCTACATCGCTATTAACATTATTAACGGCAACACTGGTATTGCTTGTAAGTCCAGGTGATGGCAAAGGGGCCGAGTAAGGAGTATAGCGATGTCCAGATGGCGATGTCGGATGCAAAGCATGAGAATGAATTGGGGGTGAGCCTATGTGCAGGTTCCCTAACGTGCGGTGAAGCGAGGGCCCTGGAGAATGGATAGGAACAGGAGTCGAGGATGGACCACCATTTGATCGGGAAAGACTTGCATTGCGATTTGCTCGAATCAACTCGATCTCAGCCTGCAAGCGCTTAATCAAATCAGCCTTCTTACCTCCACCGTGTTTACCTCGTTGTCTTAGCATTTCCTTAAGCTCCGCCACAGTGACATCTTCAAAGTTGACCCGCTCCATTGCAGCATCTAGCTGCCTCTGCTGTTCCTCTGTTCGTGCCTGAGAACTAGAGTTTCGTGGGATGATTCGATCGATTTGGATGGGTGCTGGTGAAGAAACTGAAGTGGAGAGCAAAGCCGGACTGGTCAACGGTCCCAGCTCCGAACCAGGCGTGATGTTAGGTGGTAATATAATCCGTTTTGTTTGAGAATCCAATCCAAGGTTAGGCGGTATAAGGGAACTCGACTTGGATGATGACAGTGCAGGTCGTTGTTGGTTTGTGCCTGTGGCCCCTGTAGTTGTGCCAGAGCCTGTAGAGGCAGCAGCAGCTCTGCGCTCTGCCAACGTCATAGTAGGCGTATTATCGCATGCTGGTGTGTCTGCATGCGACTCTGTGACAGTGATGGGGATAGGGCCACCACCGCTGCTGAGATTACTGTTACTAATTGTAGAGTTATCTGCAGAGACATTCTTGCTGGCCTTTTTCTTGACAGAAGGTGTCTTCGCACCTATGTTAAGATGCTGCAATGCGTTTTCTGATTTCAAATCCAGAGATGTGCGATTGCCCTTCGGAAGACTTTGACCAAAAAGCGCCTTAATGCCGCCTTGTGAGACTCGTGCGCCTGCGGTAGAGGGCCGTGGTCTGGACTTTATTTTGGAGGATCCTCCTGGGGACGCAGCTGGGCCAGGTGAGACTTGTCGGGATGAAAAGTAATCGTCGCCAGCATAGTTACCTGGAGATAAAGGAGAGTTGGCTGGCGAATGTCCAGTTGGGAACTGGCTCAATCCTGATACATATGGATGTGACATGTATGGTGGGTGATGGTGATACGTCATACTAGGCCCTGGGCTTTGTGGTAGTTGTGTTTGACTAGCTATTTCCAGCTGCATTCGAAGAAGTTGTTGCTGTTGCAATTGATAGAGTTGCTGCTGGCGAATATGTTGTTGCTGTAGCTCTTGCTGTTGTTGTTGAGTGAGTTGCTGCTGCGGTTGTTGTTGTAGTCCTACACCGTCTGTATGCAGCTCTCGCTTTTGCTGCCGCTCTGCTCGCTCCAAGAAAGAAGGATTAGGCATGCTAAAGTGGTTGCGGCTGCCCGAGCCCCAGTTTTCTTCATTACTGTTGCCGTGCAAGAGCTGTTCCATGTCTGTGTTGGCGATGTTACTCATGCCCTCTGCAGCACTGAAAGATTGCCATTCATTTGAGTTAATTCCATTAGACATTGTCTTATGTCCTGAAATAATGGACAGACCCGTGGGGGTCATGTTGACAGTTTGGTTGCTCATTCTTTCGACCAAAGCAGGGTCTGTTGGAGCAGAGGTAGAAAGCACTTGATTTACTGGCCAAAGATTGTCAACGGATTGGTCCTGTTGTTGCTGTTGCTGTTGCTGCTGTTGTTGTGCCGAGAGAATGAATTGCTGTTGCTGTTGTTGTTGCTGTTGGTACTGTGGTGTTGGAAGGTATTGTTGGTTCTGCGAAGGATAACTAATGGGATTTGTATTTGTGGCTGTAGTGCTGTTATCCTGTTGAATCTGCTCTGTGGTCAAGGCTTGTGTCAACAAGCTGTTAGTGGACAGATTTTGTGGAGAAAAGTGCATGGTTAAGAAAAGAGAAGAGAGAAATATAAAAAAATAAATATAAAAATAAAAATAACAAAAAAAAAAGGGCGTAGCTATTTCCTGTTAAGAGAGAGGATGGAGTGCTGTTGTTGCTTATAAGAAACGCTGTCGTCACGATGACTTTTTCATATCTTCTTCCTTTGGCTCTATTTTTTTCTTTTTTTTTTTTTTTTTTTTTTTTTTCTTTTTTTATGTTTATCCGTGGTCAAGGTAGAATAAAGTATGAAGATGCTGTAGGGAGACGATGATAACTGCAAAGTTGATGTCGCTGTTACGGATGTACGTGCCGCAAGTGTTTGTCTGACCAAAAAGTCGTGTTCAAATATGACAGCGGTTCGGTTACACGATATGAAGAGAAGAGAAGCTAAATTACGCTTCGACACGGAAATACATAAAACAAATATCATAGTCTGTAATTAGGTTTTCTTTCTCTTATTGACATTGCTGGTGATGGCTAACATTACTGGATTGGCATGGATCTCGATGAGACTATGACGCTGATGACGAGCACCTTAGTAGAAGAAGGAAAAAAAAAAAAAGGTGCTAAGGCAGCCTGGGGAAAAAGATACTAAAAACGACCCTGCATTGACGTTGTTTTAATTGTCTTAATTGATTCTTTGAGCTGCCTTCGATCCCAATAGACAACGCTCTCCTTTGCTTTTTTCTTCTGTAACCCCTCGTTTTTTCTCTTACATCTGTTCCCCTCTTTTCCTTCATTTCCTTCCATCTGCTCAAAACTTAGGCTCAGTTATCCTTTTTTTTTTAAGTGATCATCTAAGCGCTTTATATCAAACCAGCTGACAGTTTTCTCTGATCCCATAGTCAATAGCGAAGAAAAAAAATGGTAATAAAGATGAAAACAAGTAATCTGCAAACATTTCCTATCCTAGTCTAGATTTCTGTTAACTTACGGATTGGATCTTGATTCACAAAATATGCACAGCAAAAACAATTGCTCCGAGAATTTTTTTTGATCTGCAATACAGTCACAGCACTGTCAGGCAAGAAGTTATCCACTAGCTTATTTTTTTTGTGAGCCTGGATCTCGCAATGGCTCTTGCGCTCGATTGAGTAAAGGAAGGAAAGAGAGATGTTGTGCCTGTTACTTTGAATTGTCGATGTTGATCCAGACTGTTTTAGTAAGGATTACTGTTTGTCAATAGAAAGAAGGAATGCTTAGCATGCTTAGCTTACAAAATAAAGTGAAGAAATAATAATAACAATAATAAAAAAGTATCTTAGGATTTTTAGACTCTTTGCTTAGTATCGCTTCGTACCGTCTTTTGTTTAATAAACAATAGATTGGAAGCCAGGAAACCAACAAACTGGGTTCGAAGACTGAATGGATTGCTTGGACAGACAAAACGAGTGTGAAACAAAGACAGGTAGACAGGTGATGTGCCTGCAAATGATGTGCAATAATAAAAAATATCTATCAATCGACGATATGCAAATAAAGAGGTGGAAATTGAGGAAATAATATTAAAACGTAATGTTTCAACAATGGGTGAAAGGATGATGAAAGAAACGAAAGAGTGTAAAAAAAAAAAAAAAAATGATGGTGAATAACGAATATGAATGAAACAAAAATAAATAAAAAAAAAAAAAAAAAAAGAAAAAAGAAAAAAATAAAAAATAAAAAAAAGATCAGTGATCTCACATTTCACAGACAGACAACACACAGACATCTTGTTAATGTCACCATCTCATATTGGATCTTCAAAAAGACATCAAGGTCCAAAGTGCACAACATTACTATTCTCTTATTTCTTGGTTGTTTCTGAATGCATGCTTTGTAACAGTAGACAAATATGCACATAAACATCCAATGTATTTTTTATATACAATAATATAAGCGAGAGCCACAGACAATTTGGCACTATTTGTAGTTGAAGATTTCCATTCCTCTCCTCCTTTAGGTTCCAGTGATGGGGTCCTTAGGAGGCCGCCGTTTCAAAGCGTCCCCAGGATGGAGAGTATGTCTTACCATCGAAACTACCAATTAAACTTTATCGCGCTCATCACTTTACCTTTTAGCCATGTATCTTCTGAAAATAACTGGACAACCACAGCCAGTTCATTTGTTATTCAGATGTATCTAAGCTATACTATTTAATCGGGGGCGACTTTGGATTTCGTCTCCATAAAAGAATTATGAAAGTTACCCCACCCACCAGGCTGCAGATCGCATTCGAGATGATCAAATTCATTGTGTGGAGACTACTGTTTTTTTTAGTGTATCAATCCAAGCAGGCGGCAGCTACACAAGATTTCCATCGGAAGCTTGGTACTCTCTCCATCAACCTTCGATGTGTCTCTTTTTGATGCTGGAAAATAGTGAGGGTCTAAATATGATCACCATACACATTCACAGTTGGTTAGTACTATAACGTATAGTCAAACACCCAGCCAATCTATTTACACAGCAGAAAACAGGATATTACCCATTCATTCTTCTCTTGAGATTTTCGTCTGATGACTCTAGAAAAATGAAAGAGCGTGTTAATGGCAAGGATATTCACATTGTGCTCAAATCAAGGAATATACTGGTGTAAGAAGATGTAAACGCCAGTCAGTGGAGAGCTAGAGCATGTATGCGAAATAGGCTCAAGCAGAAAAAATAACAAATTCATCAATGTAAACAAGTCAAATAAAAAATAAAAAATAAAAAATAAAAAATAAAAAATAAAAAATAAAAAATAAAAAATAAAAAATAAAAAATAAAAAATAAAAAATAAAAAATAAAAAATAAAAAATAAAAAATAAAAAATAAAAAATAAAAAATAAAAAATAAAAAATAAAAAATAAAAAATAAAAAATAAAAAATAAAAAATAAAAAAAAAAAATAAAAAATAAAAAATAAAAAATGTATCTTTAAGCAAAAAGGCTCGCGAGAGGACAAAAAAGCAACAGTGAAAGTCGGGGCATGGGCATAGACCATGGGTCCCTATACCATCCTAGGGCCAGATCCCAAAGGGGTTTAAAAGATTTAGCAAACTTAAGAAATTCAACCAACGTTCTGAATTCTCGCCACGGGCCAAATGCTTGAGCTTTGGAACGAGATGAAAGAGGAACAATCTTTCGAATACAGACGGATCCAATGGGTGTCGGTAAGAGCTTCTCTCCTATTTTTTGACAGCAAGAGCATATGCTAAAGATGGCATACCCTCTATATCGCAGATGCAGGAGAGTTGGTTCGGTCTGATGAAGATACTGAGTTTAAGTTGATTCAACGTTTCCTGGTGCTCGATGGCGAAATTTTGATTTCCGACGATTAGAAAAGGCGTGCTAGTGCCCATCTTAGGTCCCGGGGCTCAGCCGCTAAAGCAATGTTTGAGAAAATCCTCATACAGAGGTCACAAGGGCGTAGGGGCCTTACGGTTGTCGATGGACATGGCAGGCTTTTCCAACCCGCTCCCCCAATGCCAAAGAAATATACATATCTAAGCTATCCCTGGGAGGACTTGCCATTTGCTCTGATGACAAATCTGGATCTTGTTTGATCCTCACGGCAAACCAGATGTATTTTTTATGCTCTTTCGATTTTACTGCGACATAGAAAAACAGAGAAAAATAAAGTTATTGTACAAATTTGTACAATAAACGGTTGGATAGTATATTTGTCGTCATCCTTGCATGGTCCGTGCGTGACATAGTCTGTGCAAGAGGTTCTTTAAAAAAAACTCATAAAATGAGCTAATTCCATGGTTTATTGATGATTCTTTTTTGACTAATGAATGTTTGGCAGATTAATATCGACTCAGTGGAGTTCTTGCACGCAGGCTGGCTCGTTGTAGGGCGGAGTAAACTTCACTGCTCTGAAATCAAGAATGTGGAAAATATTCAACGGACTTAAGACTTTGTATTATCCCAGTTATTATCTCTGTTTTCTTTTTCTTAGTGGTGCTTCTTGGCGCTAGGGGTTATCCTGACCCTACCGAAATGTTAAGGAAGACATCTTAATACTGTATATGTTGTTGAAGGGCACCTCAATCTCTGAGATGAATGTATTTTTGCCCAAGAGGTCATTTCATGACGTTATTACAGACTTTTTTTGACAGGAAAACGCTTATTTTAGATTAAAAATTAACCTCATGTGTTAGCAACATGTTCTCAAGTATAACCTTTCGTCTGCTAACGTCGCGGTCCATTAATCCAGAGGAGTTTAAGTGTAATACACTTCACATTGATGACCATGATAGCCGAGTGGCATACCTTATTGCGGACGAAGCTATTATGTACTCATACAAACTCAAAAAGTCTGGGCTCCGCATTCAGGTGTGCTGTGGCATAAATAGTATGATTTTGTTTATATCTCAACCCGGCGAATGCCACGATTTCAATGACGAAGTCATGCTCTTCAAGATGGCTATTGAGAAGAATATCCGTAACCTTGATTGCATTACTCTGGATGGAGGCTATGCACAATTTCTTCACGGCATCGTTGAAAAGAGCGGCTAATTAAATTGTCGAATTTCTGTTGTGCAATCTGGAAGCTGAGAGGAATAGTATTGACAGGCCAGAAAAAAAGCTCAACGAAATGATCGGAGGCTTTCATTCCGAGATAGAAAGTTGGTTTGGAGAGATGCGGAGTGCCTTCACAAAGTTTAGTCATACTGTGGTAAAGAGGATATCTGATATAAGCGCTTTCTTACTGCAATTCAAGCTATGCTGTTTACTCCTTAATATCAAACGCATGGTCGCCTTGTGGAATGTAACAGCAGAGCCGCATCAAAGCTTCTGGATGTAAGAGAGCTTCGACTATCCAGACGGCACTGATGCAAACGCTACTCAAAAACCTTTTTCTCCAAAGACACTCATAGTATTCATAGCCCTCAGGATTATTCCTAGATCTCACTATCGCTACCACCACTACTATTGCTACTGTCCAAAGTGTCGGCAACGACCATGAGTTGAGCGATGACGCATTAGACGGTAGTTGTGGTATTTGCAAATGAGCATCGCCCTGGCTCATGGAATATGAGTCCAACGTTTTCAAGAAGTTTGGGGCCTCTCTTCCAGCTTATGTTTGCGTAGTCTTCATCTATCAGGCCTTCACCGGCTGCCTTTAAAACACGCCGTGTTAAGGAATCCTTGAGAAAGTTTCAATTCCTGGCTGAGATCTTCTTCATCTACGTCAGACTACTGCTGTCTCTTCGTCTGGACTGTGTCATAGGCAAGTGGATTCAGAACAAGGCCATTGGCAATATCGTTCCTTTGAGTTTGAACCGAGTTATACCTTTGTCTTGTGCCTGTAGGGGTACCTTGTCTTGATAGCCATGAAACATGCGATCTCCTTCAATGTCACAAAGAGAGCCTGTATCTAGACCTCTTTTGCTCCCTGTACACATTCAAACACTGCAGCCTTGGAAGGATTGTCGAGAGGATGTCAGTTAGGACGTGTTCAGACAGATACACATACCGAGGGGGGACGTAAGGAAGTCTGTTTTTTTTATTTCTTGTTGATTGTCATGGCGAAGGCTTGATTTGGTAAATGTAGATGATTGGAGAAGAGCTGTAAACAATACTCGAAATCCAAAAAGTTAAAACTTGTCGCTGAGAAACTTATTGTTTCGAGTTGTTCCAAATTCATCAGCCTTTTGTTTCGTTCTCTTTCATACACCTATAAATACGTCCTGCCTCCTTCTCTTTTTCCCTCTCTCTCTCTCTCTCTCATTTTACAACGACATTGCTTTCGCGCTCTCACCCGTACTCTTACACCCTCATCCCCTCACAGATCATAACTTTTTGCTTTCTTAAAGGTAAACTATCTCTACTCTAACAACTTCAGCTTCAATCTTTAGCCGCTTAAACCAACATTGCTTGCACTGTTTTACACTATACTTTCTCTAGATGGGTATTAAAGGACTCTATTCATACCTTTCAAGGAGAGACCTGCCACCAAAGGAGATTGATGTACATGAGCTTGCTGCTGAACCCCATTCATCTTTTGAGCTGGATCTGCTTGGCACTTTCCACAGCGATATACATAATATCATCCTAAGGAGATTCAGCTGGCAGAGTTCTTTCACTGCCTGCGGCCATGCTATGGCTAGTATCATTCGAAAGATCTTTGGTCCTCTTGCCACAGTGACGATACACATTGATGGGCCTCGCTGCGAAGAAAAAACGCGTGCCTATAGGGACCGAGATGCTAAGCGTACAGCAGCGGATGCAAAACTCGATACGTTCATAGCCAACATGGAAACCAAGTCCAATGAAGGCAAATGGGAATCTCGAAGCCATATGATTGCCATTAAAAAGAATCTTCGACAGCTCTTCACATTCAGTCATAACGAGAAGAGGGAGCTCGCGGCGCCATTCGGTCGATACAATAACTTTGTGATTTGCCATTGTAGAAATGAGGCTGATGTGTGTATTGCCGCCAAATGTACACCAACCAGTATCGCTGTGTCTGGGGACTCTGACCTTCTCATCTATCCTTCTATAAAAAGAGTTCTTCGTCCAATCCCTCGTCGCCATCACATGTTTGCACTCTATGAGAAACAAGAGGTCCTGCAAGCCCTTGGGTTTTCAAGGAACAGTCAACTCCTGGTCTATGGCATTATATCCGATAACGATTACACCCCAAATATCCCAACCTTTGGTCTTGCTACAAATGCTGAGATTATCTCCGCGCTAACTGACACTGATGCCGAAAAGTTGACGGTATCATATGTTCGTGAGGTCCATGCCCGTAGCCGTCGAACTCCTGCAGAAGGCCAGTTTGACCATTCAATTAATGTTTTCTTTGGTGGGATCCAAACCCAGGCCTCGCAGCAACCAACCGCTGAAAGATTCCTTCATTACCATGATAGAATGAGGACTGCGATATCTGCTAGGTACCAGAATAAAAATAATCAACCTCAACCCAGGTAAGCTCCTTCAAATGAACATTTTCCAAAGCATATACAAAAAAAAAAAAAAAAAAGTCATCTAACCCTTGACATTGTTGTTCCTAATTAGATTCTATATCCCTAAACGCGCAAAGCCGAATCGCTATCGGCCTGTTTTCCCTACCCAGAAAAAGGAACTTTCCCCTAAGAAATATGACCTGACCAACTGCAAACAACACGACCGTCCCGTCAGCTCCAGCCGTCAAAGAAAGTCCCCCAAAAAAAAGGAAAAGGAAAAAAAAGAGGATGACAAAGAAGAGGGGGTTAAGGAGGAAAAGAAGAAAAAAAAGAAGAACAAAGGGAAGGCCAAGTATATCAGAAAGACTGATAAGACCAGGAAAGTGAAGGAGGCTACTGCCGAGGACCGACGGTTGAAGAGGGCCCACCCCACTGTTGCATTAACTCTGGGCACGTTAAAGACATGTGTAGTTGCCAAGCTGGACTCTACTTCCGATCCCAATCTCAATCCCGAGCAACTTGCTGCAACAATTCAAGGGCTCATTCAATCATTTATTAAAATGTTGAATGAGGCACGGATTCGAGCTTTCTGGGCCTGCGCCTTGTGGATCGATAACCTGCTTACCACTGGGCCATCCAATCCAGCTGATCTCCCACAACTCCTAGATGAAGTTCTTGATAGCAGGGACTTTATTTACGGCCTTGCTGCGTTGTTGTATCACGGAGTGATGAGTCCATTATCTAGGTATAGCAGGGAAGTGAAGAAAAAAGGCGAAGGGAACGTAGCCAAGCCGTCCCAGCTCAAAGCATACGAAAACTTCTATGCAAAGACAGGGCTTGGTCCTTTAAACCAGATCTATCCCGATTTGGTGATCAGCAGGTCGTCTCGGATGGTCATGGTCCCTGTTCAAGCAGCGCTAAGGTCTCACTATCGGAATGCGCAGGTAAATATAATATTATAATATTTTGAGGTTATCTTATAATATGTTTATAGAAATGTTCCTAATCATTTCTTCAATATAATGTCTAGTTTGACATAGATATTCCAGGCGATGGAAGAAGTTCCATCCAATTCTTTTTCGAGCAAAATGCAACTGCCAAAAAATATCTGGATTATTATGGTCTAACCCAACAGTTCGAGAGGAAATAGCCCAATTGTTGGAACTAAACATGAGTACCAAGGGGGCTGCAGAGGACAAGATCCTTAACCACAAGGGGATATTGTTGCAGGAGCTGTTTTCCTTGAAAGGATACAAGGACGTTGGACTACAATCTGATGATGGCCCTAGAAGGAAACTACGGACATCGTTCTTTACAAACGGCCTTACCCTAACACTTCTTGCCTATGACACATCGAAGCAAAAAAGAGGTAGAGGTTCGCAAGCTGCCCAACCTTCGGATACTCAAAGATCTCAAGCAGTCCAGGCTTCTTCAAGTGCTCAGCAGGGATCCTCGTCTTCAGGCCATGGTGCAGGTGATGGTGGTGATGATGGAGACGACGACGGAAATGAAGATGACGATATCTTGCTGGGTATCAGCGATATTGACTTGCTGGAAGTTGATGAACCATTCTTAGATGGCGGAGAGGGAGAAGAAGCAGCTAAAGAAGGTACATCGAGCACAAATCCACTGTTCCCGGTGAGTCCCAGTCCCCGGCGTGAGATCAACTGGAAGCAGAGATCCCGTCTCCTCGAGAATGTAGAAGTTAAATATGACACCCAGGCGGCATGCCCTCCCTCCGAAAGTACCATTATCATTAGGATCGATCCAGGCGAGAGGTACTCGATGACAATTGCAAAGTTGGATCCAAGGAAACCTAACGAACGTGAGATCCTTCGGATTTCTAGAGCGTACCTTTACAAACCATCCAAGAAGTTTCAAGGCGAGCTAGAGAGGCGAAAGCTTAGAAGAGGAATTACAGAGATTGAAAGCAATATTCCGTCATTCTCAAGGCCTACTTTAACACAGTATTTCGCTTATATGAGCTTGCTGCTAAATCAAGCTCCATCAAGTACTGGAGGTAGTTTCTCTGGTAGTGGGGTTGGGGCCAGTAGTAGCAGTAGAGCAGGGATCGGTAGTAGCAGTGGAGTTGAGGCCAGTAGTAGCAGTGGATCTGGGATCAGTGACGACAATAGGGAGACTATATATAGGGCGCTTGTCGATTTCTATAATGACGGGTGGTTTGTTCGGAATAGCTGGGATATTAGAAAAGCACAGAACGGATGCATTGATTATGTGATCAAGGCAATTCTGAAGCTTGCGGGCGGAAGCAATGGAAGAAGAAGAGATGCCAATACGAATGCGGTGATCTGTATTGGACTAGGATCATTCAAGACAAACCGAGGACAAGTATCGAAGCATGGGATATTGATGAAGAAGCTTGTTGAAAAGGTAAAAAAAAAAAAAAAAAAAATCCCTTGATCAATGACATTTAATTTTTGAGTCTTTTTTTTAACGAGTATTAAATCTGGCTCGAACAGGCAAAATCTCTAGACTACCCCATTGTAGGTTGTCATGAATACTACACATCTGCCAAGTGTCCACGGCCTCACTGTGACAGTATATTGGAGAATGTTCCTTTTCGATCCAAGTACTGTCGAAATTGTAAAGCATACTTTGATCGAGATGCTGTTGGTGCTGAGAACATCGCAAGGGTCTGTGAGTCGCAGATAAGAGAGCAAAAACGACCTGCAAAATATATGCCGCCGGACGGAGGAACTCAAGGCCAAGCTTCTAGCGGTAGTGGCGGCGGTGGAGGTAGTGGTGGCAGTGGTGGCAGTGGTGGTGGTAGTAGCAGACCCACAAAAAGGAAATTTTCAGATGAAGGAGGAGGAGGAGTAGAGGGATCAAGACCACCGAAAGGACCTTTGCTGGGTCCAGGAGGAGGGGGAGAGACAAGCCGGCAACAGCAGTAGGACACAATCTACTACAAACATGACTAGGTCCAGAAAGGCCTTCGTCTTAAAAAAATTGTAAGTATTGGCTTGATAGTACTTTTTTTTCTTGGTTAATTTATTTATTTATTTATTTCTGTGTTCTAATACATTTCTTTTTACAATAGATGGAATGTCTCGTTTTTTAATGGGACGGACTATAAAGCATGAACTTGCATTTGACCCTGCAGAAATAAAAGATGATTTTATTTTTTATTTTTTTTATTTTGCGTTCATTGACTTGTGCATAAGTGGAGGCGGGTAGTATATATTTATATATGTTTATACGTATTTAGATATTTAGACGTGTAAAAACCCGAGCAGAATGCAAAAAAAAAAAAAAAAAAGATTGCTGAAATAGCCTATTTGTCTATTTGTCTCCTTGCCTTTTCATCGTTTTGCTTAATACTTTCGCACACGTTCCTATCAGCATAGCTGCAGTGCTTTTCCAAGCTCGATTAAAGAAGAAAGCTCTTTACGTCTTCTTGTGCCAGACCAACTTGAAACCATCAGTCGCCTCTGGATCGACATACTTTGCCAGACCCAGAGTCTTAAAACGTTGGTCAATCAAAAGCCCTTTGCATAGCTCCGCAATGACGAGTACTTGAAGATTTGGGCAGAAGAGCAGAGCCTCAAAGAATCGACTTGTCGTCGCTCCAGGAGCCACCAAGTGCAGCTGCTCTAGTCGCTTACAGCTTTTGGCTAATGCAATCAGTGACTCTTGACGGTAAGTCATCCCGCTTTGAGCTGATCCAGCACGGGGCAAGATTAGGTTGCGCAAATAACGAAGTTTGGATAAGGTCTGGAATGATACATCCGAGATCTGGTTGGCATCCAACAGTGAGATGTATTGAAGGCGTAGGCAGTTCGAGGTCAACTCAAGGATAACCTCGTCATTGATCTTGGGTGCTGTAGTCTCAATCCACGAAACGTTCAAATGGCGCAGATTAGGACAATGCCTTGCAAACTCAATCATCTCGGCTGCTCCTAGACACTCATCCGAATCCAGAAGGACCAATTTTGTGAGAGCCTTTCCACAAGTCCGTGCCAACTGTTGGAATGTCTCCTCCGGAATGTTTTTGCAGCGCTTGAGAACCAACTCTGTCAGTGGATTTGTATCCGTAGCAAACATGTGCAATGGATGCCCATTTCCGACCGGCAAGATAGGACAGATATAATTCGTGAGTGTCAAGATGAATAACCGACGACAGGACTCTGCTAAAGCGTTCCAGGGAATGAGACCTTCTTCGTTTTCAGTCGAAATCTGGCGTCCAGTGGCAAAAACCAGTGTCAGATCGCGAAGTCGCTTGCAACAATGCTCTGACAAAGCAAGGATGACATCGGGGGTGATCCAGTTGATGACAAACTGACCATTTTGCTTATCAACGACATCATGCGAGTCAATAATCTCAATCCGTTTGACAAATTCTCCATATTCATGTGTAGATGAAAAGTCGGCATTTTCGGTCAACTGCAAAAAGACATTGAGTTCCTCGCCTGCCTTCCAACCATGAAAGGAACGTTCCTGCCAAAGGAGAGGCGACGCGATGGCATTCCAAGTCTTACAGACTAACGTGAGTGGCCTCAGATGGTGATAGAGGGTATGTGTTCGGTGATTAAGGTAGTCGTAATGTTGGACAGCCAGAAAAGAAAAGATGTGTCGGAGCAGGTATGGATCGAGCGAGTGAATGCCTACAGGACGATTTACATTATCGCCTTGACCTGATGGACTTTTGTCAAGGATAGTTGAATCAATGGCGGCAACGTCCGTAAGACCGCCTTGGTCCACATCCTTGTGTGTGCTGTCGAGTGACTCCAGGTCGAAAAAAGTGATGCTGGAAATAGTAGGTAGAATGCCTTGCGATGCTGTTTGCTCGTTGCAATTGGGGCGTAAAAGATTTTAAAAAAAAGTCGATTGAATGTTTAATTATTTCCTCACACAGAAGCGACCTTTTCAAGTTGAAATCCTTGTTACTAGATCGGATTCCAGGCGCATTTAAAGAAAAGGAGACAATCGAGAATGTTCCTGCGAGTCTAAAAAGTATTTGCCAGGTTAAATTGGTAAGATGAGACATGAATATTGAATTGTTATAGGCTGTGACTCCTAGTCATTAAACTTTTGCTTCTATTACACATATAATGTGATGATGTCTATGCCTTCTTTCATTTTATGAATCAATGTGTTTTTTTTTTTTTTAACATGATAGAATCTGATAACATGTTACTGTATGTGAATGGCAAGCTAAAAAAAATTACCTTTTGTAATTGCTTTTATTAGCGTTCTGTTGCTATTGCTGATTGTCCCTGCGCAGAGTGTGTCAGAAAAGTGCTGTAGAGATTATAAAGAGCCTAAGACTTAGAAAGAATAAAGAAAAGAAGAAGAAAGAAGAAAGAAGAAAGAAAGAAGGAAAAGGTCAGAAAAGCACGAGACATACACTCCAACACAGCACGCAAAAAATGGGGCGTAACAACTCGTGAGAGTAAAATGTCATTAGGTTTTTTATTAATGTAAACTTTGTAAACTACAAATAATAAGTAAGAATATATTGCGAACTCAGCCTAGTCTAATTGTTGGCTTCTTGTGCCTTCCTCCATCTCGCATTGACCGCACTTTTGGGCAAAGACAATCTTTCTTCATTCTTCCTCGACATCTCTTTCTTCCTTCACTCTCGCTTTCATACTTTTCTACCTCGCTCTTGTTGCTCTTCGTCTTCTTCCTACACTATCCTATCTCTCTCCCTCTTTTTTTTTTTATTCTACTCCTCCTTCTGGGAGCAAGACAGTGGGATTCCTGATTAACACGACCTAACGGCTCCTTTCTTCTTTTCCCAATGACAAGCTCATCTCCACGCTCCTTCACCTTCTCTGCCTCAAGTGGCACTCCTACTCCTACCACCCCAACCTTTGACATCTATTCATACTCTAATGCTACATCCTTTTATGAGATCCTACGTCAGTGGGACGATGAAGGCATTGCTTTATGGCTTCATGACAACAAGATGAGCCACTATGACCGTCTGTTTGTTGGTAAGAGAAAAAAACACAGAATTGCTTGATGTTAATGGATGGATGAAAAAGTGGACGTCCATCAGATTTTGTTCCATGCTATGCTGCAATGCAGTTTGTCAGTTTATTATATTGTATTACAACGTAGTTGATGTTCCTTTTCTTCCTCTTGTTTAATTTTACTCATGGCTAATTATTGTCTTATCTTCCTCTACCCCTTGCAGAGCACTGCGTCCGAGGGGCAGCACTATTAGAACTCGATCATTATGCACTCAAGGAGATGGGTATCACGTCACTTGCTGACAGGATTAGGATACTCACCGCTGTCAAATCTCTGCGTATCCGCTGCCTCACCACCCATCCTCAGTCTAACGGTAGTTTTAATAGCAACACTAACGGCAACGGCTTCCTTCATACTTCAAATAAGGTGAATAGCTCTTACAAAATTAAAATCTCGTTACAGGGTAGAACGATATCCAGAAGAAAAAAAAAAGAGATTATATTATTTGAAAACACCATGTCTAAATCCTGGATTAACCCACCTCATTCCTGCTGGCTCCTCCTCCTTCCGCCTATTCTTTTCCTCTGATATGTAGGAAAAGTTGGAGGTGCCTTCCATGAACAAGAAAGAGTCGTTGGGACTAGGTCTTGGTGGCGATGGGTCTCTTCTAAAATCCTTAAAGAGGTCTGGCTCTTCCAAGACCCTAAACCTAAAGCGTGCCAACTCAAAAAATCTCGGCCGCTCCAACTCAAAGAAGCAGACCCATTTTGAAGAGCCTACCTCACCCAGGACGCCTGTAAGTCATGGACGGCACAACAGCATCCTATAAAGAAAAAGGGGAAAAATGAAAAGACTTTGGACTCACCCAATTACTGCTTACTGATTTTTTTTTTTTTTTTTTTTTTTTTTTGATCTTTTTATAGAGATCTTCACATGAAGGAGGCATTATGTCGCTAGAGGTCGTTAAACATGTACGTAGTATGAATTGTGAAGTAATATGACATTGTGCTTATAACCGATAAATCTGGAAGCTAATAGCTAATATGCTTTTATTTTGCTCTTCATACAGCGATGCATCAGAGTATTTGACGATGGAGGCCAATCCAGGATTGTAAATGTGCAAGATGTCACCGATGCTCAGGCTGTTTATACCCGTGTTTTGCATAAATTCAATATTACCGATGAGATGGAAAAGTATTCCATTTTTACTCTGTCAGGCGACACAGGCGATGGTATCTTGTCATCAGAGGGTTTCTTTTTTACGGAGCAAGCCAGAGGGATAAAGTCTAAGATCACCATATCTAAATCGATATATTTATTTCTTCACATATATATTTAGCTCGAAGTCTTGCCGATGATGAGTTATTAAACATCTGCAGAAGCCTTGATCGCCCCGAGAAAGAAAGACTCATTCTGCGTAAGAAGCATCAGCCCGTCAGTCACGACATCCTTAAGAGGCGAGGAACTACCAAAAGAACTGGGATGGGTCCAACAGGAGACCAATCCTCTCCGACCGCAAACTCTTTCAAAGAATCGACTCGTATGCAGACATTCTTTGGCCAGCGTCCGCCAGACGAGATTATTGAGAGCAATTTAGCTGAATATTTTCCAGGTCATCGCAAGGAACTCTTACGTGAAGTCAGCAATGTACGCAGCTCGCTTCTTTTCAGGAACTCTCAATTTATGAGTCGCAACTCCTATATAAGCCGCAACTCCTTTATACCCCGTCATTCATATTTGATTGAACCTGGTGCAGCCGATGTACTCTCTCAGTCTCTTGCACATCTATCTCTTCAGGAGGCTGACGAAGCAGCTGAAGCTGAAGCATCATCAACTGCTGTCAGTGCAAGACCAACGCACGGCATCCAGGAGCATGAGGCAAGACAGGAGAATTCAGCAGAGTCCAGACACGACTCTACCTTCAAAGATGTCTCAAAAACAGGAGATCAATATGATCAGGGTGATAAAGTACAAGTGGAAGAAAAGCAAAACCACGAAGATGATGAGGCAATTGGCGATGATCAGGATCCACAGGGCACAGTGATCCCAGGCGTGGTCGTCTCAGAACACTCGAGCGAAACGGATCTCGCCTCCAAGCAAATCGCAGAGGCGCGTATGTCGCGTGTCTCTCTCGCTAGCCAGCGATATCACAATTCCACAATGTCTGAAATTGTGGCTAGACCACGACAACCAAATCCTTTCGGTCCAAAACAGCGGGGAGCATCAGAGGGGGGCTTACCAAGAGACGCCGGACTTATTCCTTTAGAGAACGACTACTCATGGTGGATTCGCGGAAAGTTTATTGGCGTTGGATCCTTCGGACGTGTCTCATTAGGCTGGCATCGACAACTAGGCACCTTTATGGCAGTGAAGCAGGTCGAATTACCTGTCAACAATTCAGTCAAGGAGGATAAGCAAAAGACGCTGGTCGAAGCTCTAGAGCGTGAGATCGATCTACTCAAGGAATTACATCATGAACGAATTGTGCAGTATATTGGCTCAGACATTGAAAAGGGCCACATCAATATTTTCTTAGAATATGTTCCTGGTGGTTCTATTGCGACATTATTAGCGAACTATGGTCCATTCTCTGAAATCCTGGTACGGTCGTTTGTAAAACAGATCTTGGAGGGATTAGACTATCTTCATGAGTGTGACATTATTCATCGCGACATCAAGGGAGCCAACATTTTAGTTGATAACAAAGCTTGTATAAAGATCTCGGACTTTGGAATCTCCAAGAAAGTCGAAGATCGTAAGTACCAACGTTTTTATGTTTTAATGACGCTGATATATGGATTCGTTAAATCGTGTATTAAAATACATATTGCAACTCGGTATAAAAAAAATTTAATAGATCTTAAATCCATCAATGTCAAGTCTTCTCGACCATCTCTTCAGGGTTCTACCTTCTGGATGGCGCCTGAAGTTGTAAAGCAGATTGAGACCACTTACAAGGCCGATATCTGGAGCTTGGGTTGTTTAGTTGTAGAGATGTTTACTGGTACCCATCCATTCCCACAGTTTTCACAGATGCAAGCGCTCTTTCAGATTGGCTCCAACTGCACTCCTGATATTCCGGAGGATATTTCAGATGATGCAAAAGACTTCTTATCAAGGACTTTTGAAGTGTAAGTTATAGCTTTTATCGATCTTTATTGGTCGGCAATATTCTGTAAACTGAAAGATACTGACCTTTCTTTTTTTCTTTTTTTTCTTCCTAATCAATAATATTAAAAAAAGGGATTACCATGTTCGGCCGTCTGCACAGATCCTCTTGGGGCACTTATTCATCCAGCAGTTGTAATTTTAGACACAAAATAAAGATCTCGTGGGCGTTGCTTTAGGCAATTACATAATTCCAAAACGTCGTCTTGTTCCACAAAATTGGGCATCATTGAAAAAGCAACCAATGCAGACAATTGCTACGAACCATCTATGAATTCCGATGCAAAGACTAAAATTAAAATGACAGAGATGCACACGTCCTTCCGATTCAGCGACTTACCCTGCGAGGTTCAGCTACAAGTGATACAAGCCTTACAAGATATAACGACTGAAAGAGAGTTGCTTCAGCTTCGTTTAGTTTCATCACAAATGAATACCCTGATACTGGACCCCACATTCTGGCACACGATTACATTTTCAAAGCAACGGTACTTCAAAACTGGGACTGGACATGGTAGTAATATAGGGCTTTCTCAGAATCGAGCAGGCGAGACAGGCAGGCATATGTCCATGAGCGCACTGCAGCCAAACTTTTTCCATAGTTCAGACGCCAATATCATAATTCATCGACAGTCTTGGGCAGCGACTATGTTAGGCTCATCGTCATCACTCTCCTCCTCTCTATCATCATCAAGTCACCCATCGTCAACAGAAAATGAGCGGGGGAGAGCAGAAGGTATAGATTTTGACGCAGGTCATCCAACTCAACCATCATTATCAATTACGGCTAATATACCGAGTTTCATTTACAATGAACCACTGCGGAGTGTCGAAGTCGAATCAACTCCACAAAGACAATCCCAGCATTCCTGGAGGAGCATTGGGGACTCCTTTCTTATGTTCATATCACGACTTGCCTCTCAACCACAGACAGCAGCATATGGCATTCGGGAACTCTCTATTGAGGAGTGGGAAAATGATATCTCCATGAAGGCGCTTTGGACGACATTAGCCCAGTTTAACTCATTGCGCAGCCTTTCTGTCAAGAAATCTGCTCTCCAGTGTTTATCACTAATATCTACTCCAGTCTTTGCTTCATTATCAGCACCAATACCGATACCGGCAGAGGAATATGAGAGTCTGCCAAGGTTATCCGTAGGTTTAACACCGTTTTTTTCCTGGGAGCATTTAACACGTCTTGAACTTAAAGACTGTGTAGGCCTAGTTGATCTTTCTGGGATTCTAGAGTTAATGCCTCGACTTGAGGATTTGAACCTGGATGGATGTACTGGGTTGATAGATTTTTCACCTCTTGTGCGCGTTTCTTCCGCCAGACGCCATCATACTCATTCGTCACAGATACGACAAGATACACAAGACGATATCAATGTGTCGCTGTCATTCAAAACCATCAATCTGACACAGACAAAGATTCGTGACCACGAGTTGATTGAACTTTTGAGAGTATCGCCTTATTTACGAGAGTTACGATTGGATCAATGCTATCGGTTGACAGATGCATCATTAATGGGGATCGGTTATAGAGACACATCTTCAATCATGGAATCATCGCAAGCTGAAGTATTAGAGTCGAATCAAGATCCGAACTTGGAGAATCATGAACAATATCAACATGGTGCTGCAACTCCGCTTCCATTTCCACCTCCGCAGAGGATAACAAAATATCGTGACACATCCACATCCTTTTGTCCAAATCTACAGATACTATCACTCAAAAATTGTTGTGATTTAACAGACGATGGCGTGCGGGCTTTGGCAGGCTGTCATCAACTCGAGCTTCTCATCATTCGGGGACTTCGAAATGTTCGTGAAGAGACAATCGAGTGGTTGCATTCACAGGGCGTGCCTTTACGTAAGGCATTAGATCCATTAGGCCATTGGCGACATTGGCAGGAACAGAAGTGAGACACAGGGAAAATGAGATAAAAATAAAAATAAAAATAAAAAAATAAAAAAAAAATCTGGACCAGTGGATTTATTTAAATAATAAAAACAGCTTTGGACCAATCGTTTCATTAAGGATTGCCTGGTTTTTGATGATAGAATAATATTACATCTGTCGTTGTGAAGGCTTTTTATCCTTTGTATCTCAATTGCCTTTGACTAATTCTTTCGTTTTCCAAAATATTGATTAGATAAGTAACCTTTGTACAAAAAATAATAAATCCTGTACGAGCATCCTGACTTCTCTTTTTTCCCTTTCTGTTTCTCCCCTTTCCTACTTATTATCATCATCGCTATTATTTTCACCCAAAAGATCAAAGGGGTTGGCGATGGCAGGTTTGGAAATCTCTTGGATTGTTGGGCCAAACCTCGCTGGCTCCTGCTGCTGTTGCAGTTTAGCCGCTTCACGCGCCCTCCATCCGCCTGAAGCGCCACCAAAGAGTGGAGGGCGTACAGGAGCCGGAGGTGATGAACCTTCCTTTTGATTCGAACGCTTCATGATGGCAAACCCTTCGCTGTCCATTTCCAAAGCTCTGTTTTGGTGATGATTATTATCGCGTGGTCCTCTCCGTTGCTGGTGTTGGGCTGTCTTACGAGCACGATAAGCCTCCTCGTCACGGTGGTACTGAGTCTTGAAGTAATAGTCGTCCTTTTGCCAACGAGGGGCTTGCAGGTTTTCGGGTTTTGTTACTGCCTGCAAACGCTCCATGATTTCTTTAACAGCTTCATCTGAGTACTCGGGTGTGAGTTGAGGCTCGAGACGCAAAATCCTGGAGAAGCCCTCAAAGTAAGTGGGCAAAGTCATCATCTCCAAAAATTTGTAGAGAATATCAACGCCATGAAATCCTTCAACTTGGGTAGGATGGTCAGCTCTAGCAAGGATACGTTGCTTACAGTGATAAAACTGTGTATCCATGATAATGACATTCACTTCGGATACATTTAATTGTTTTGCAATCTCGAGCCAGACCTTGCGCTGACTCTGATTAAAATTACAGCGATCAATGATCACAGATTGGGTTCTGTTATTGGCCTGAAGCGCACTCATAGTCATTTCCTCACAAGTGATTCTGTCGCCGAGATCGTCCTGATTAATGCGGACGTACTCCTAGAATTTTCCATATGGAACGAGCAAAATAAAAGCTAGAAGGTTAATTCCGTTCAAGGGAAAAGAAAAAATGGATAAGAAAATTGCGTTTGCCAAGGAAGCGTTTTTAATGCTGCTCTCTTTACAGGGAAAACCTTGGTTAAAGCTTTTGCAAAGGTCGACTTCCCCGAACCCGGGGGTCCTACGAGGATAAGAACCCTTTGCACCATAGTTGAAGACATTAGTGATTAAAGGTTGGAATGAATGAGGAGAAAAAAAAAAAAAAAAAGCAATAACAAGTGTAATGTCACGTGATAAACATATGGAGCTTGTTTTTTAGATGGTAGTTGTAAAAACAGTATTTTCTCACATTAGAATATACAAAGTAGACATACATGCCACACAGTGCCACAGATCCTGGTGCTCCTCTTCTCGTTAGCCACTCTGCCACTTTGTACTATCCCTTGATCTGTTACAAGTTGAAAATAGTTCAAAAATTCATGGGCAGAACATAGGTATTGTGATACTTCGAGAATATGAACACTATGGTTGTTTCACTTACAAACTTGTGAAGGGATTCATTGTTGTCTCGAACGCTTCACATATGCTATTGAGGAAATCTCTCACAGTCCTTGTGGTGCCACGGTTAATTTGAGCTTCTCGAATCGCATTTGAGATGACATATGTGCAAGACACACCCCACCAGCATTTTGGGCACCAATACACATCTACGGTAATATTTTAACCCTGGCAGGGTGGATTCCAAGAAACTGGTGCAATTGGTAGGGTGGCGACGTATACTATTGGAATATTTATAAATGCCAACCGCTCCATATCCTAGCGCTTCGCCTAGTACTGTTGCGGACGATTTTTCTTTAAAAAAAAAAAAAAAAAAAAAAAAAAAGACTCGAACAGAAAGCATTTTTTGGATCGGTATAGAGACTTACTCGGCAACATACCTCCAGCAAAAAAGAAATCAGGAAGAGATAGAAAATAATAGGGGTAGGTAGTGGTATTTTGGTTATCTTCAGCTTGGGGTAGAAGGAGTGAAAAAGTAGTGAAAGTTGGTAGATGCGCAGAGGAGCGGAGGCAAGGGAAAGATGCACCTAGTGCATCATGTTATATGGTTTTTGCTGATTTTTTTAGCGACTGATTTTTACTGATTGTTTTTACTTCCTTGGCATGCACTCACTAGCGCTAGCGTCAGTACATGAATGCATTGCATCCTACACACCATAAGTGTGGCCTCGTAAAGGCAACAGGAAGCCAGTAATCGGTTATTTTCTGGTAATAGGAAGCACAGAGAACTGAATCTGGTCTGCCTATGGGGTTGATGAAAGCTAATTGACAAATTTGTCCGTTTGACGGTCCAAGGGATACAAACCTGATAGATACAAAACATACATTGCTTAGAGGACCTGATCCTTCATTCGCCATACTGCAAAGTTCTGGCTTCTTTGTTATTGAAATAACTTCGAATCGCTTTACCAGAAATAACTACCAATCTTATTCTCAATAACTTCCAAGCCATCAACGTATATGTTGGAGGTTAACTACCGGAAGAATCCTCTTTGCGAAAACGAAGATTCCTGCAACCATTGTCATATTCATCCATATGGTTTGTGTAAGGTGGTAGGAAGCATCTGTACTCTAACCGATTCCATGATTCATTTCAAAGCTGCGGGGAGCATACACGTAAACGCTGCTCGACTCTACTTCATTTTCATCCAAGTCAATGATACTACTGTTCCTCAGAAGAGCCTTGCACTCTCATTAATTACCCTCCCTATCTTATCTCCTTTTTTACTTGAAGCTTCCATCAAATGCTGCCATACTGGTGGACAGCCTCCCTGAAGAAACTGAAGCCGTCGCATGTATTCTCGTCTAAGTCAAGCAGGTTGAAGTGCTCTACTCATCCTTCCACTTGATATCATTGAAGAAGTCTATAAGTAGAGTTGATAGAAACTCCTTGATAAATATTAGAATTCTGCTGCCGAAATCACTGGGCTGAAAAAAAAAAAAAAAAAAAAAAAAAAAAAAAAAGTGTATAGTGGGCCAGTAAAATTGTGAGCGATGATGATGCTGTAGCTGTAGCTCTTAATACTGATGCCGGCGGTGTGCTGCTGCTTTGACCGGAGCTTCAACGATGGGAGAATATCTCGCCAGCCACTTCAATGCGTGTGTGTCATGTTCGTGTTTTCAACTGCTTCATGGGATGTGTCAGGGGACGCGTCGAGCCAATTCTGGCATTGCTCTTTGGAATAAGATTATTGTGTGGCTTGATCTAATACACCTGATCTCCGCAATGAAGTTGGTACAACAAATTTAAAATCAGAAGAAATATGAGCAAGGCATGTAATGATGGTCTTGGTCATGCAGCTTAAGCGCTATGCTGTATTTCTAGGGAATTGTCTACGTGTATTATTGCACTTCAAGCTACATCAGGTTCTTGTTTGATCATCTGGTGATGTAGAAGCACGGTTTGCTTCAGTATCTCGAAGATAAGTATGGAAGATCCTAAAGAACGAGCCACTAATGATACGGAAGATTATCAGTTTCGCACAAGGGCTGGATAGTATGGGCGTAGCCTGGGAAAGAAAGACGTGTGAGATGTTTAGATAAATTGCATTAGTGTATCTGGGATACTGGTTTGAGAAGGACTTGAGTCCTTTTAAACACTGTTCACATGTCGGTGGCCTAGAAGACATTGATTTGCGAGATGCTTTGCCATAATAAGTGCGAAAGTAGCCAACATCCTCATAAAGTCTTTGATAAACTAATTAAGGTGAAAGGTAAACGGCCGAGTTTCTAGGCTTATCACAATTTCTGGATACTTCTAGCATTTCCTCTCACGATTAATGTGCACGTCAAGCCCTCCTACTTCCGGCAAGCAATAGTCATCTGGGACGAAGAAAACTTGAATAGATATAAGGGCTTTGTGGAGATCTTTGATCCAAATCCAATTAGAATGAGTAAAGTCCAAGCAACATACTAGTAACGCCATCAAGTTACCAAAGTTCACGACAGCAGCACAGACGTTAAAATGTATATTTAGGAATATTATGCTTGTTTTTGACTTGGGGCACAAGACTGATCTCGATATATTGTCGCCTCATTAAACACTGTCTATTTGGTGGAGGGATTTGGATGCCCTAGAGTAAAAGAAAAAAAGAACCGTCTTGGCAAAGGCTCTTTCTCTGTACGAAAGGAAGCCATTGGCATTTAAAATGGCGCAAGTCTAAAAAACTACAGCTAAGTGTGTGGAGTATGACTAGATCTAGTCATACCTAGGACGCAGCCAAGGTCTGAATATGTCACAGCAGCACAGCAATTGTGCACAAAGGATTTAATTATAAACAATTAATCTGTCAAGAGGCTTGTCCTTCGTAAATTACATTTAGCCCAACTAGGGTGATCATTTTTTCTTCTCCACATTTGAAGCATAACATTGTTTAATGATGACTCCAAACTCTCCACGCATATTCAGAACTTCTGTAAGTATAGGAAGGTACGATAACAAATGTATACACCTACCACGGAAACTTTTTTGTTTGCAATATTGAGGGTCCATCCTAAAATCGATAACGGAATTCTTTTATCAGGATAGTCATGTTTGGCTGGATAAGGAAATTGCTTCCGAAAATGTGGTCCTCTGTGGTTCATGTTATTCATGTGCGTGAAAGAAAACAGAACAGTAAAGTCTGAAGTCAATGAAAAAGAAGGGATGGATTTGTTATACCCCTCACCACCTTCAAAAAGAAAAAAAAAGAAAAAAAAAAGTTTGCACATGGTATGAATGATGCATGTGTTGCTGACACCATGATTATGATTACAACTCCTATCCCTTGCCTTGGTTGCACAGGGCTAAAAAAGAAAAATAAAGACTGTAAATAAGAGCCAGCTTATTAAGAAGGAGGTAATTACAGCCACACGCGCAAGCAAACTATTTCATGTGTCAGACGGAGCTTTCTACGACAGCAAGCATATATTCACATCAATACAGGGCCTTTCATTGTCCTTTTTTTCTTTTCCTTTTTCTTTTCTTTTTCTTTTCTTTTTTTTTCTTATCTCTTCATTCTGCCAGTGCAGAATATCACTCTCCACTCTGCATTCTTCTTACTCCACTCCCCACTCTTTTTTGCTCACATCTATCCTCGGACGTTACCTATCATCCACCCATCTACCGCGCCTGTCAGTACTGTACATATGCATCTTCTCCCTCGTTCTGCTTGCCCCTGCTTCAAATCCCCTAAAACACCAACATCTCAGCATTATTAACGACAACGATAAAGAAAGGAAAAAACAAAGACATAAGAGAGATGCCACTACTTAACGTCTCCCGTCCACCTATGGTCTCATTAGTGGCTACTAGCCCCTTGCCAAACCTCAACCAATCCGCAGAGAACTCACCACTGCCATCGCCTGAGCTTTCACCGCTTAAATCAGTCATAGAGCTGCCACCTGCCATTTCAATCATGGACAAGGGTCAGGCAGAGCTTCCATCGTTGCCTGTCCCTCCTCTAAACCAAACGCTTGACAGGTATCTGGAAACAGTGCGTCCGCTGGCCACTGATCAAGAGTATGAAAACACTGTCGCCGCAGTGAAGGCATTTAAAGGAGAGTTTGAGGAGAAATCTGAACAGGGAAGGGACCTTGACCGTCGTTTGCGAGAACATGCTCGACAATGCGAGGCTCGTGGAACAAGCTGGCTTGCAGAGTGGTGGGACGATTGGGCATATTTTTCTCACCGAGATTCGTCCACATTCTTTGTCAACTATTACTTTGGTTTTCAAGATGATCCACGCATGCCCACTCAGACTGCACGCGCCGCGCTACTGGTCAGCCTGGCCCTCGAATTCCGTCAATTAATTGCAACGTAAGTGCTAACGAAAGTTTCCCTTCATTGATATTCATCAAACTTTTTTCCTACAAAATACATGTATACTTGCAGACCTATAGAGCATTGGACAAAGATGTTTTGTTCTTGTTTCGGTGCTCAGCGTTTTTTTTTTTTTTTTTTTTTTTCGTTGTTGTTGTCGACTGCACGCGCTCATTCCTTTTTGGGATTTCCGGAATCCGCCTTGATTTTCATTATCAGTTGTGTTGTACGAAATGTGCGCGGTCCTTTTTTCTATATCGTCAACATCATAAAAATGTACTTTTTACAGATCGTTAAACTTTAACACTAACCTTCTATTTGACACGACCATCAATGCCTCATATAGACGCACACTCACCCCGGATATGGCGAGGAATTCACCTTTTTGTATGAATATGTATCAGTACCTCTTCAATTACGCTCGCATAGCTGGTTCACCCGCAGACACTGCAGTAGGTTTCCCGTTCGAAACCAACAACCACATCTGTGTTGTCCGCAACGGCAAGTTTTATATTTTCGAAACGTTGCACCTACCCTCCAAGCCATCTTCTGTCCTTAGCCCACGTGAGATCATGATTCAATTGGAACGTATCAAAAAGATGGCAGACGACGACCATTCGACCGTGCCGAAAGTTGGCATCCTTTCGACAGGTCAGCGCGATCAAGCTGCTAAGGACAGAGTTACGCTCTTTGAAGCCCATACGTCAAATAAAGCTCATATGGCGAAGATTGAATCATCCATGTTTGTGCTTTGTTTGGACTCAAGCTCCCCCACGACACCAGAAGAGTTTTCAAGAGCCTGCTGGCATGGCGATGGCGAAAGCCGATGGTTTGATAAATGTTTTCAATTGATTGTCTTTGCCAACGGCCGCGCTGGGATGAATGGAGAGCACTCCAAGATGGATGCCACACCTACATCTCGACTCTGCCGTTTTTTAATCGATGAAGCTCAAGCCCGCAACCTCCCTGACTTTAGGAACCTGAATGCAGAGGATTTATATGAGTGCGCCTCGGCCTTGGACAAGCCTCAGCCTCTCAAGTTTGTGTCAAGCCCTGCGCTCGATCGAGCTATTGCAGATGCATTTACATACTTCAAAAAGACTGTGGAAGCACATGAGATGGTGCCTACTGAATTCAAGGGATATGGCAAGGGCTTGATCAAGGCCTTCAAAATGTCGCCTGATGCCTATGTTCAGATGGCGTTCCAACTTGCATACTATCGTAAACATGGCGAACTGGTGGGGACCTATGAATCAGCTGCAACCCGCAAGTATCGCCACGGACGCACAGAGACTGCACGCTCATGCTCTATCGAAAGCAAAGCCTTCTGTGAAGCCATGGTGGACCCTGACAAGAGCCTTAAAGAGAAGGCCGCTGCCTGTCGTGCAGCTGTGGCTCGTCACGCCCAGTACACTGCGTGGGCAGTGGATGGGCAAGCAGTGGACCGTCACTTACTGGGTTTGCGTTTGATTCGAAAGCCTGATGAGCCTGTGCCAACCTTATTTTCGGATCCTGTATTTGCGAGAAGCTGCCGTTGGAGATTGTCCACTTCACAAATTTCAGACGATTGTTTTATTGCATATGGTTGGGGCGAGGTAGTTCCAGATGGATATGGCTGCGCTTACATGGTCAAAGAAAGAGAGCTTTACTTTTGTGTGACAAGTCTTGGTCTTGGATCAAAAGAGTTTGGGGATTATATTGTAGAAGCGCTTGAAGAAATGCGCTTCATGTTTGAAGAGGTTCGCAAAATTGAAAAGGCCGAGGCTGCTGAGGCCGCCTTGGCAGCAGCAGCCGCGGAGGCAGAGCGTCTTGCGGCAGAGGCAGCTATCAAAGCCAGTCAGGCTGATCAAGCTGAAGCCGCAGTTACAGCAGTGGCGGCTGCTGGCCCTTTGATCTCACGTAGCCCATCACCACCATCTCCATCTGCACCTGCGCCCCGAACCAGTTTGTTTTTCCAAAAGAATGACCCTGTACTTCGCACGGCACTTGCGCGCAATGCGATGGCGACGGCACAGGAGAAGTACTGGTCTGGCATTGATGATATTGCGTTTGATGACGTGACCCCTGGATCACCGAAATTGAAGACTCGTCCAATGCAGCCTCCTCCCAGCTCAATGACCTTATCGGGCTCATCGGCGTCCCTTCTATCATCCACTTCCTCAATATCGTCACCATCTTACGCTAATGGAACCCGTTCCCGATCTTCAAGTCAACAGAGTGGAGTACGTCCTCGCAGTGATTCTGGAGCGCAAAAGAAGACGTTCCTAGCCATCCTGATGGGCGAGGATAGTGTATTGCGCAAACTCCGGACACGGCGAGGGTCTAATCTGGGTAGTAGGAATAATACATCTACAAATTAGAATTTAGAGTACATGTAGGGCTTTTGAAGTTGGAATATTCAAAACATAAAAATATATATATAAAATCGGATGATAGTTTGTTTTAAATCTGGGCTTTTGCATTCCACGTTGACAGTTCTGCATCTTGGGCTTTTGCATTTCACGTTGACAGTAAGCTCCTAAACAATACATTATTGGTGGAACGGTATGTATTGTGCTCACATACATGCATGTCCCGATCAGAATATCGTCTTCCGCCCCGCGCCTCAATTTTTTTCATCAGAAGGTTTGTAGCTTTCGGTACCCCGCTCTCGATTGCCGTTGTTGATCAAATGGGTATAAAAACCGTTGGACTTACTTTTAAAAATAAAAATAAAACCCTTCTCCAACAACAACAACAACACTATTCTGTTTTTCTTTTTACTTTCACCATGTTCTCCTCCTCTTCTCACTCAAGCAAGCCGACTGGCTCGACCCACTTTGGCCTCAAGACGTTTCTCAAGGCAGCGGCGACCTTTTTGGTACTTTCTCAGGCCGCCATGCAGGCTCAAGCTGGAGCATGCGAGTCCATCAGGCTGGATATTATGACCGACTGGACGTCAGATACACAGGTGAAGCCTGGGTACATTGCACAGTTCTGGGAAAGCCCTGAATACCGTACGGCATTAAGTGGTAGACTCGGTGTGTATGAATGGTCACAGGACCGCAAGTTGATGCTCTTTGTCAACCTCAAGATGAACGATCCAAAGAAGCATTCGTATGGGGTGGTGAATATCAATTTGGAGTACAAGGGTCGTCCTTATGGTTTTGATGTGCCCAGTCAGACCACTTTCAATGGCAACGGACGTGTTGATAGATTTGACGGTTGCGTCCCTTTATAATCAAGTGATCACTTGGAGAGGAAATAAGTGAGGAGGATTTAACGACTATAATTCAACACAGTTGCATGTTTAAAAAAAAAGTGACTCCTTTGCGCCTTTTTCTTCCCTTGCATTTGTCTCCTCATCTTTTACTCTTTCCAATCCTTTTGCCTTCCTTTCTCTATTGGTTGTCAGTATTAAAATTTAAATATATTTATATAGACAAATATGCTATTGGAATAAAATGTATTCTGCGAACTGTATAAATACTTGGGATCTTTTTCTTTTCTATTCTCCTTGATGAATTAGGCTGGGGTCCTTGTAAAAATATGTAAAAAGCATATATATATAATTATAATCTCGACAAATAAAGCAGCTTGACTGATATTAGCAAGGTTGTTCTGCGAACGTTAAAAGAAATATGTAAAAAGAAAAAGAAAGAAAAAAAAGACTTCTCCCTCAATGTTTCAATGAAAGCATTCGGGTCGTGTCGTGTTGCCAAGTCATACAAGTCAAGTTGTGGAAAATAAAAAATTGATAGTCTGCTTTTTTACCTTCACCTAGCCACCTCACCATCCTTATTTATTATTGTCCCATCCATCCAATCCCTATTCTCATCACATCCTTTTTTTTTTTTTTTTTTTTTCTTCTTCCTCTTTTTTTTCTCTTTCTCTTTCTCCTTCTCTCTTTCTGATCTCCGCTTCATCGCTTCATCTCTTATCCTCTCTCGTCCCATCCCTTTCTCTCATCTGATTCTTTGCTTGATTGCCTGACACGCGTAGCAGAGCATTATTTTTATTACATTACACTATATTATTTTTATAATATTATATTTTAATATATTATTCACACTTCTACTGTATTCTCTGCTCTAATCGTCTGGTCCCCCCCCTTTTTTTTTCTTCCTTTCTTTTTATCTTATTTTATTTCTTCGGGTCTCTTACCCAACGTCAGCAGAGAAAAGAAAAAAAAAAAAGAAAAAAAAAAAAAAGATTATAAAAAAAGTAGCAATACATTCTATACATTCCTAAAGGATTCTTTCCTTGTGCCTGATTCTGTTCCCAGACTCGCCATGGATCAATCCTCTACCGCAGCGGCTGTCACGACATCAGCAAGCACGCCTGCAACAGCTGTTAGAACACCAACCCTGGCAACAGCGAGTTTAAAAGCAGGTTCTATTCATAACAACAACACTAGTTCAGGCAATCTTCACAGTATCATGCCCGGCATCTCAACCTCGACCGATCTCGGCACAACCATTCCTTCCTTCGCTGCTGCCCGTCGTGCAAGAGCTGATACTTTACCTTCTCGACCTTCATCTTTACTACAGGATAGTTCGTCTCAAGGCCTTGCTGGAACTAATGCCTTCTCTCTTGGAAAGGTGCCCCCGGGTGTACAGAGACCCCTCCGAAGGACTCCTAGCCTGCTGGTACCCCCGCAATTATCGACACGTCATCGATCTGGGTCCTTAACCTTACCCTCCGCCTCTATATCTGCAGCTTTCGGGCCATCCATCTTTACATCTTCCTGGGGTGATCCTGATTCTCCTAATGGTGATCGTCCAGCGACTACGCCAACTACTCGCGAGATGCTCTTTGACTCTGAAAACGAAAACGCAATCATGAGCACATTAGACGCACTTGGCTTGGATGATCCTGTTCAATCTAGTACCGGCACTAGTTCCGCCAACAGCATGGGCATGGGTATAGGTATGGGCTTGGGCAAGACTGGCAGTGCCACTGTTAATACCAACAACAGTAGCAGCAGCAGTCTGAACAATAATATTGCCCCCGGTATCAGCGCCAATCACCGTGTTGGTGTCGATTTGCGCAGTCGATCTGCCTCGTTTGCCTCCTCTGCTCTTTCCCACCTGGAACTTGGTTCAAGTCGCGGATCTCCCTCCTCCAGCTCATCTCCTTTAGCTCTAGGTGCCCTTACAAGTCGAAGTGGCAGTATTAATAGTCTGAATGGCATTAATGGCATTAGCGGTATCAGCAATATCAACGGCATCAACGGCATGAATAACATTAGCAGCATGAACAGCATCAACAGCATCGGTAATATCAACTCTATCAAAAGCGGCTCTAACTCTTCTGTCAATGCCGTTAGTAATAGCAGCAGCACTACCACAACCTCCAATAGTAGTAGTACTAGTATTGGCAGCTCTGGGCTGCCCATGCATGATATCCGCCTTGAAAAATCCCTTGCACACTCCTTATTGATGCCTAATAGCGTGAGCTTTTCCAATCGCATCAGGTCGTACTCTGTATCAGCCACAGCAGCGTATCAGGAAGTTCTTGAAGACGAACATGAAGATGATATTGGTCTCTTAAACTCGAACGCCAGCTCGCACTCATCTGGTGCCTCTGGTATTTATCCCACTGGCGCTGGCGGCGTCCATCAATTTCAGACGCTCCAACAAACACACTCGCGTCCTAGGGCCATCAGTATGGGTTTTCTGGAGATGCCACATGATATTGTAGAGGAACAGCGCAAGTTTGCTAATGCTGGCCCTCGTAGCTACAGTGATATGAAGGCTCGCCAGACGCACCAGCGCACGACAAGTGCTGGTGCTGACATGCTTTCTGAGATTGTCAATGGCCATCTACCAACCACGGACAAGAATGGGGTCTCAAATGGCAACATATCGAGTGGATCAGCGTTGGTACATGGACACTCACATTCCTTGTCGCTTAATTATAGCAGTCAGCTTCATGCACAGCAACAGCAGCAACAACAACAGCAGCACACGTCAACACAGCGACCAGGACATCAGCATAGCAACAGCTTTGGTGGACGTAGCCTTGCGGACGATGTTGCTTTCGGTCATGTTCATGGCCTTGGCAACAGCGGGTCCAACCTTAGTCTTACCAATGGAGCTGATCCTCACCAGGTACTGATGGTTTGTTTATTTGGGTGCATGCATTATTTATGTGTGATTGAGATAGTGGGAAACATAATATCGTTCACGATCTGTGACGATGGATGGTAAAGATTTTTTCTTTTTTTCTTTTCTGCTATGTGAGTGAAAGTAGAGATAGAAGGTTGAGATTTTTTTGGAGACGATGCGGGCGAGTGGAATAGGGAAGGATGATGACCATGCGTCAACATTTTATACTATGGATTGATTGATTTGATTTTTTTTTTTTTTTATATGCAACTCTATTTGGAGAAAGGAAAGAGAGGCAGCAGATACATTTGACACGTTTACTTTCTCTTACCCTTCCTTTCCTTCTTCCTCTTCATAAGTCGTAAATGTATAATATCCTTTTCACTAATTCATGTCTTTTTTCCCTCCTTACTCTCATGTCGAGGATATCCAGACTCTTACTGGCACAGCAACACCACCCTTCATAGAACAAGGCATCACCTCCAACTCAGCCACGGCGATCACTCAACAGGTTCCCACTCGTTCGCTCTGGATCGGAAATATTGATCCTAGTTTTACAAGTAATGATCTCATGCAAGTTTTCAGTCCCTTCGGACCTGTTGAGTCTCTCAAGGTGATCCCTGACAAGGAGTGTGCCTTCATCAACTTCACGCGTGTCGAAGACGCTATGCGAGCTAAAGAGGACATTTCTGAGCGTCGCGGAGGACGTATCGGGAATACTACTGTTCGTGTTGGCTATGGCAAGGCAGAGCTAATGGTCAATGCCGACGCACCAGTATCGCATCCTACCCGCGCACTTTGTAAGTTCAATGAGGTTTATAAAATCAATGACCAATTCCTTTTTATTTTCTTTTCGGTTGTGTCTTTAAGGAAAAAAAAAAAAAAAAAAAAAAAAAAAAAAAAGAAGAATGTAAGCTCATTTTGTTTCCTTTTCTCTTCATTTTTCTATCATGAACTTATCTAGGGATCGGTAATATTCCTTCGTCTACCACACCAGCGATGCTACATGCTATGTTTGCTAACTTTGGAGCAATTGAGTCAGCCAGAGTTTTGACGCACAAGTCATGTGGCTTTATCAATTTTGAAAACATGGAGGACGCCGTCGTTGCCAAAAAGGTCACGCATGGACAAGAGATCTTTGGCCCTGGTACAGGAGCTGTAAGGATTGGATTTGCCAAAGTCCCTGCTAAACAGTCTCCCACTGATAGTCCTTCGCTGGGTCATGGTGATCCTTTGGATGGAGTTGGAGAGGGCAGATCGAGCTCGACGACCAACAGTAAGTCGGCGAAGCAGGATTTCGATGGACCCACTGAGCTAGATCGCATGCTTTCCTTGATAAATATCAATAACAAAGGCCAATCCTCAACCAGTGCTGTGGATCGAGAAGCAGCGTCTGAAGACCCTGCCATGGAGCGTCAGGCCATGTTGCGCGAATTTAGTGATGGGGAGCCAGATCCGGTATTGTCCGAGCCTATCCCTGCTTCTTTGACAGAACCTATCGTCTATTTTACTTCAATTCCACCTGTGGCGGAGCCCTCACCTCACCGTCGGCTAGATGCTCCGAGATTGAGAGAAATTCGTAAACGACTGGATAGTGGACATTGCACACAAAAGGAACTGGATAATCTCTCGAATGAATGCATAGACGAGTGTGTTGAACTTTGCAGTGGTATGTACCCGTATCCATGACCGTGTTATATTGCTGCAGGCACAACTCAAGTTCTTTGGAACATTACCGTATTGTTCGATGTATCTAATACTTTTTTTTTTTTTTTTTTTTTTTTTTTTTTAATTTTTATTTTTATTTTTTTTCTTAAAAAAAATAGACTATATTGGCAACACTGTTATCCAAAAGCTTTTTGAGCGTTGTTCAGAGTCTCAAAAGACAAAAATGCTCGAGCTGATTGCTCCTCATCTAGCATCGATCGGTGTCCACAAGAATGGTACTTGGGCAGCTCAAAAAATCATTGATTGTGCCAAGAGTCCTGCGCAAACAGAGCTTATCTGTAAACATGTTCGTCCATACACACCTCCTCTTCTTTTGGACCAATTTGGAAACTATGTCGTACAATGTTGTCTGCGTCTTGGACAGTCAAGAAATGGGTTTATTTTTGAGGCTATGGCTGACAAATTTTGGGAGATTGCACAGGGTCGCTTTGGTGCTCGTGCTATGAGAGCTTCCCTCGAGAGCCAGCACGCCACTAAACAGCAGCAGGTACATGTTTACACGATAATTCCGTACTAATTTTTTGTTTTTTATTTTTATTTTCTTGATGAAAAATATGGCTTGTGGCTAACGTAGCACTCTAAAACGTTGGGTTCCTGATACTAGAAACATGTCGCAGTTGCAGTCGTTCAGAATGCGTTGGCCCTCGCTACAAACCCCAATGGAACACTGATGCTCACTTGGCTTTTGGACAACTCACAGCTGCCTGGTCGATACCGTGTTCTTGCACCTCGACTTGTACCACACATGGTGACATTGGCGACTCACAAGCTAGCGTCTCTCACGATCCTCAAGGTCATTAACCAACGACAAGAGCTGGATGCAAGCGACATCATGATTAACAGTATTGTCAACTCAAACCAGGACCAGGTCTTGGTAGAGATCTTAGGGGATCAAGTGCATGGTGTTAGTCTGATCCAAAAGATTTTGGCATCGCCCAATGTAGAACAACAGCAGAAGCACGTGTTGGCAGAAAAAGTCAAGGCCGTGCTTTCATCAAAACTGAACACCCAAAGTATGCAGGGATGCAAGCGTCTATTAGAGGAGGTTAATATGATCTTGGGAGGAGACTATTCGCCAACAGAACAGGCGAAGCTGACACCAGGATCCACTGGATATTCATCTGCAGAATTCTCAGGTTCAGCAACCAACTTTTATACAGGTATGGGTAACCATCATCTTCAATCTCTCGCCATGCCATCCGATACCTCCACCAGTGTCGACTCGAGTTCGGCTCTTAACACGGAAGGACAAGAGAGTGTCCATTCTGGAACTTCTACAGCCCCTGTGACATCTGGATCAGCTCATATGTCATCTTCGGCCATGACACATGCCAGTGGATTCTCAGTTCAACATAGTCCATATTATACTATGCCTCATGGACAGCTCTATGGACATTATCCAGGCCAAATGTCACCCTATTACGGCCCTGGTGCATACATCCCGCAGCATGTACCATCCATGGGATTCGGAGGCATAATTCCACAGGGAGGATTCAGTCCTTATGTGCCCATGCCTCCTCCAGGGATAGGTGCTGGTATGCACGGAGACGCCTCACAACTTAATGGATCGCCCATGTATTTACAGCAACAGCAACAACAACAAATTTATCACATGCAACAGCAACAACATTTCCAGCAACAACAACAACAGCAGCAGCAGCAGCAGCAGCAACAACAACAACAGCAATAATATCACCTATAATAGCAGTCACTATAGGAAACACGTGCTTTACTCCGTATATATTTAACTGTCCTTCTTCTGATTCCCTTTTGCTTTCGATGTTATTTGATCTTTTTTTTTTACTAGACAAAGTTTAATTTTCTGTCATTCTTTTTATACTTTTTTAAGACACTGTTATTATTGAGGCTCGCGTTTGTTTGTTTGTTTGTTTGTTTGTTTGTTTGTCTCAAGTTGTACACTATTATTGAACAATACTCCCGCTCCATTTTTAAGCACACTAAGACACCAGGAATGTCAGAAATGAAATCAGAGAATTCAGAAGAGCTTCATATATTTACCAGATGACAGCTAATAAAGAATGTCAAATTCCATGTGTTTTATGTTTCGTCTAGTTCGTTTGATCGATTTGATGGCTAATTCTTAAAGTTTACCATTCATGACGACCAATTTATTCAAAATAAAACAAACTAAATACTTCATTAGATTATTCTTGTGATGCAGTGCATGCAACAGTAAGCCGTTCCAACAGCTCTATTGCTCGGTCATTTGTTTTGCACTGAATAATCTCTTGTAACCGAGACAACAAGCGTTGTTGAACATCCTGATCATTGGCAGATCCATGCTCTTTTTGCTCTCGTTGTCGTTGTCTGGACTTGACTCGATCCTCTAAAATCGCTTCCAACTCCTTTGACTTGACTTTGGCTTTCTTGATTAGTGAAAAGGGTAATTTGGCCATTCGAGCTACGTTTAATCTTTTTTTTTTTTTTTTTTTTAACAAAAAAAAAAGTCATCTTAGTTCAATGCTCAATATTAAAGTACCTTATTTGATCAAATGACTACAAATGGCACTTACCCATAGCTCTTTAATGACACCCCAGGAACCAGTTTGTATAAAAAGACAATATCCATGTCATCCAAAGCTGCACTTGATTCCGAAGCTATTCCTTCTTCTGCCAAATCTGTCTCTGTGGCGGTACAGGAGCCAGAAGCAGCACCGCTAGCCGATGCCATGAATCCCATATGATAGTTCCTAACAGTGCCCTCCGCAAACTCAGTGGCCACATCTGCAAGAGATGGATAATGAGTCACAAACAACGTAATGGACCCTACATGGCTGACTACATGCTTCAAAACTGCATAAGCAATCGCAACTCCATCTAACGTTGATGTCCCTCGTCCGAGTTCATCCAAAATCACCAACGATCGAGGCGTCGCCATCTTAAGGATATCGGATGTTTCCTGTAGCTCAACCATGAATGTACTTTCGTGACCAAAAATGTTGTCAGACGCACCCATTCTCGTAAACACTGCATCTAGTAGCGAAACACGCGCAGAATCTGCTGGCAAGTATGATCCGATCTGGGCCATAATGCATAAAAGCGCCACTTGTCGGATATAGCAACTCTTACCGCCCATATTCGGTCCTGTGAGGATCATTGCCTTTTGATCGACCCCACTAGATGGATTCCTGCCAAAATGGATATCGTTGGGTACAAAAGTCCCAAAGGGTAGCATTTGTTCCACCATAGGATGGCGCCCATTCTTGATGTCAATTGTTGCTTTTGTGGCGCGTCTCTTCGGAGACTGTAATTGTAAGTCCAAAGTTGATCCTGTAAAATCATCAGTATCAACATCCATACGCTGAGGACTACTATGAGCGTCATTGTCTTGAGCATCATCAGGAAGGCTGTCGTCTACGTACTCTGGTTTTACGTAACCAGGAAGGCAGGCCACAACAGCCAATGAGAATAAACAATCCAATATCGCCAAATTCTGAACCAAATCGCGGAACACCTCATAACGCTCTGAAAACTCTTGTTGAAAAGCCATAAAAGCCTGATCGCAGGTAAGAATCAGCCTCTCTTGATGCTGTGCCTTCTCCTGAATTAATTGGATTGTCTCAGGCGTATGGAACCGAGAAACTTGCTTTGTCCTAAATAGACCAGTGTGGTACAGATTGAATGGAAGAGGGAACTGAGACATCAGAATTATAAAAAGTGTTGGGGTTGGCCATTTTGTTTAGAGGCAATCAGGCTAAATTACCCACTAATTTTGACCCAAGATTTTGGCACTTTGGCCACGTCCTTGTTCTTGACTTCAACTAAATAATCGATGCCTGAACAAGAAGTAAATTCAAGTTTTGGTTCTCGCAATTGCTTTCGGATAGTATTCAAATGGATCGCTAAATCTCCTTCGGTTGTAACAATGTTCTACAATATTCATAAATCGACTCCCTGTTAACTCTCTATATGGATCCACCATTGCGACGCCTTTACTTTGATAAATAAATCAGAACATCACTTACGTTCCTATGCTCCTGTATATCTGGCCACTTCTCCGCTATCACCTCATCTTGGAACATTAAAAGTTTATCATTTTTCCTAGCTGCCTCCACATTTAAAGCATTTAAAAAATATTGACTGTCCTCAGCAGCATTCGCCAATGATCCAATCAAGTTTCTCAACATCGGACTTGTCAAATTAAAGTCTGCAGGTGATTTTGATCGTTGGCTTGGAGGAATCACTTCTGCGACCTTCATGAACGTCTGAATAATCGCTAAAAATTCTTTTGGTGACGACTAAGTAGACAAAAGGTGGTATGTTTTGAAAATAGTGAAGAAACACTGTTAGACTCAAGTTCGATCTAATGTGGATTTAGAAAGACGTTTCAATAAAACAAATCCTCGTTAATATCCACCTTGCCATAATGGATGCGGCAGACACCCTTTTCCAAATCCATGAGACCTTTGAGCATGATTTTTGCATCCTCCAGGTACGGGTTTTTTCCTGCGGAAGCCAGTATCTCTTCTACAGCATCAACTCTTTCCTGAAGCGGCTCTCTATTAGTTAGCGGTTTACCAATCCATTTTTTGAGTAGCCGTCGCCCGAACCCCGTATAAGTGTGGTCCATGATTGCAAAAAGGGATCCTCGTGTTGACCAGTCTGTTTGATTTCGATATATTTCGAGGTTGGCAATTGTATTTCCATTAAGAAGCATATGCGACCTTGAGGTGAAGCATTCAAAATACTTGGATAGCCGAAAAACAGGAGCTAGTCCAAACTCTGCTAGATGAGTAATCATTGCAGACAATGCGATTATAAGGTTTCGCGGGAGCCCCAAGACTGTTTTGAGTATCGTTTCCATCTGACTCTTTCTGGTCGACCCTTGGTGTCCAATTTTTGATTGTTCATCTTTCAGATTTAAGGAATAAAACTCAGATACCGTTGAAAACGCTTTGTCGTATTTGACAAATCCCTGCGTTCTCTCAACCCGAACATCGTCTTGGTTCCTTGTCGTCCCTATCCGACGCTGTGATGAACCTGTGAGGTAACCGAGAAGCTTCTCTGTTGCTTTACTCATTGATTCCATTGGAATAATTAGCTCCGAGGGTTGAATATGAAGCAACCGAGTCTCAAGTTCATTCCTAAAGTGGCCATCCAAAAATTCATCATAAATGATGTCTCCTGTTGAGGGTTGTACAGCAAGCATTGCAATCCTGACCTTTTCATCTGCACCGTTACCGCCCTGAGGTTCTTCATATAAACACATAAGATACTGAGATACGGTGCCTCTACCAACAAAACTCCCATTAAACTGCTCTTCGTCCCGATCTAAGCTCTCTAGAAATGTTGCTCTTGTATACAAATTAGTGAGTTTTCGGGTAAAAGGTGCACTCTTATTGTCGCCAGCAGACTTAAGAGCCGCTGTTTCCATTTGGCGCACCACGCCCACTTTGTAGCCTGCATGAACCAGCCTAATTACGACAAAGGACAGTGGCATACGTTAATAAAATGAGAAAATATCATACTCGATAGCTAATAAACAAATAGAATCCTAAATATGGGGACGCGACACCTTACCGCCGTACATGAACATCCAATCGATGGGTAGGTATACTTGCAGTGTAAAAATTATGGTCCATGAAGTGTGCGATCCCAAGTTCCTTTGAGGCAATCTAAAAAAGTGACCGACATGTTAGTGCGATCAATGTTACGCCAGCGGACAAATCAAAGTCACTTGAGAGAACCGATTTACCTCTGCGTCTTCTCCAAAGAAACGAAACTTGTATCCAACCTCAATACAAAGGATTGCATCCGGATGTTGATCTTTAATCTCAACAAACTGCTTTTCGAGAGGTGTGTAAATACTTTTGGTGGACTTTTTAGAACTTACGGATCGGTTTGGATTTATGGGCACATGTTGTTGGATCTGTGGTTGCTGTGGCGATGAGCTCACTAAGATTTTTTGGTCTCCTTCTTCATCACTCTCTGCTATAATCAACCGATGCCTTCTCCTGGTAGGCTCGTGCGCTTTTTCATCCAAGCTCGGATGTGATTTTTCGAAGTTGCCCAGCTTTTTCAAAAACCGTTCTCGTCTCTCGTCCTTTGCCTGCTGGGCTACAGCATCATATGATCCCCTTTCATCCTCCTCATTAACATTCATGGTAGTCTCATGGTATTCAAACTTTGACAGATCCTTATTGAAAACTTTCTTTCCTACTTTTTCTCCTAAAGGAGCCTCTTCGCTGCTGATATTCGACCCTGCTTGAGGTATGGATCCCGAAGGTTGACGTGGCGGCGACATATGATCATAATGTTGCATGTCACTCGTGAACCCGGACGGGAACAAAGGCTCGTCCTGTATTGTCCCCTTAATAGTATCTTTGCGCCGCTTCGAATCTCTACCACCTTGTGAATCGTATTCATTCCTCTCTCTATTGCCTTTTCGTTTAGTTGAAATAGATGACCCTGTTGAGGATTGATTCTGATCGGTGTCTATAGTTTGTGGCGAAGCTGCTTTTGGCTTGAAGAAACTGAGCAAAGTCTTTTGTGACATGGCGAGAGGCTTTTCAGTCAACCATGAACGCGAGGAGTTTTTTTGTGAGAAAAAAAAAAAAAAAAATGGTGGCAATGTGCAGTCACTACAGCCACCAAAAGAGAAAGCTACTGTGGGAAAAAAAAAAGACTTTACTTGATCTGTTTCTTTTCTTTACTAAATCCGTATCCTTCCCTTTCCTCTGTTCCCCTGTCTTTCCCATCGTCATGTCTCTAAATAGACCTACCATATGTATCCTTGGGTGCGGCACCATGGGTGTTGCCATCATTCGTGGCACTTTAGATTCCATGGAATCTGATTCGAAGATCATTTCTGGTGTTACGGCTTCTCGAGATGACGATAGACAGTGTGGACAGGAGGAGTTACTTCGCCCAGCCGGATTTATTGCTTGTGTGAGCCATGAAGAGTCGGCCAACAAGCTGCGCAAGGTTCTCGGCGACCATGCCAGAGTGCTTCATGGTGAAGCAGGCAATGTTCAGGGCGTATCCGGGGCCGATGTGATTCTGCTTTGGTAAGTTTATTATTATTATTTATTTATTTTACTTTTCTTTGGAAGTTTGATGTTGTTTTTGAATAGATCAGCTTTTAGCAGTAGGTGAAGGTCAATATAGTATTTTGGTGGCCAAATCTGACTTTGACGGGTATTGCCATTTTTTGATGAAAAAAAAAAAAAAAAAAAAAAAAAAAAAAAAGTACGAAGCCCCAGGTAGCTAAAGCGGTTCTTTCTGCACCTGGTATCAAGGAGGCATTGACAGATAAGCTGCTGGTCAGCATCTGTGCTGGTGTTACAATTGAACAGCTACAGTCATGGACTACGCCTACGACGACCGTTATTCGAGCCATGCCTAACACACCCTGCAAAGTGCGTAAAAATTATTATCGACTCATTTCAGAAATCAGCTAGCATTCCTATTTTAATTGATTTGCCATCGCCGTTATTTTTCATTTTTTAAACTAATACAATAGATTCGTGAGGGGATGACAGTGCTATCATGTGGACCCAATACCGCTGCCCAATATCTGACGTTTACCTCCAAGATTTTCTCGACACTTGGCCGATGCAGAATCCTGGATGAAAAGCATCTTGATGCAGTGACAGCTTTAGCTGGAAGTGGACCAGCATTTGCATGGTTAGTATTAATATATATACTTTGTGTAGGTATCTTTATCGCACATCGAACAAAAAAGCACTATGTATTGATCCCTTTATTTATCATAGCGTGATGCTAGAAGCCTTAGCTGACGGTGGAGTCATGATGGGTCTACCTCGCGACGTTGCCACAGAACTCGCAGCACAAGGTACGCAAAAAAAAAAAAAAAAAAAAAAGCTTCCATAGTCTTCCCATTTACTTAACCATTATTCTTATGAGTTTGATAGTTCTCCAAGGCGCAGCAAGAATGGTGCTCACGACAGGAGATCATCCAGCGGCCATCAAGGACTCTGTAACAACCCCAGGTGGATGCACTATTGCGGGCCTGCTCACGATGGAGGACGGTAGAATCCGTTCTACACTTGCGAGGACGATCCAGGAGGCTGCAACCGTAGCATCGACTCTTGGTCGTGATAAGAAGCCCCAGAATGATGAATAGGTTGTATTTATTCAAATAAACATAATTTAAAAAGCCAGGTGTTTTGGCAAAGCCAAGAAACAAGACCATGTGTATTATAATAGATGTTGATCTGTCGCTATGCTAGGCCTTATTGGGCTGGATGTTCAGTCTTCTTTAGGACACAAAAAAAAGTGAGGGCTCCGGGCTCGCATGAGGGCTAGAAAATATTTATTTTCCTGAAATTCCTCACCAATGACTCGGAATACTATACCTCAAGTAGTGAAGTCACCCAATACTGCGCCAAAAACACTTGTAAATCCCTAGAATGATGTAATATATGTGTTCGCATGTCTCTAGAGCGTTATACGTGGTTTAGATATAAAAAAAAACTATCAAGTTTCTATGCTGAAGATGTTTAACGAAAACGCGTCTAAACATCGGTTGCTGTCTAGTTTTTACTTGAAAATAAACAAACCCTGCTAAAGATATCCAAACTCTCCAAACTTCCCGAATAAATAGAGTTCCAAATGAGGGCTATGAATCGTTAATAATCTCAAGGTGTTTACTGAATAAACAGAAGTTTATCATGTGCCTAAATATCAAAAAGTCTTCAAAAATTGTTGTTTTTTCAGCTTTACGTATATGAAAACTCGAAGCCTGTCCTTGTAAAGCCAGGCGTTAGAATATAGCTGTAGTTAGTAGCTACCATTAATGCCACGGGCTATGAAGAGATACGATGTATGAGAATGCTATATATATTCTAACTCTGAAAATAGAGGTTAAAGGATGGAGTCATTGTCCGGTTCACTTGATCATGCTATAATTCATTCGTAGTATATTTTGGATATTTTAAAATAGCTTCTAAGGTTGTTAGGATAATTACCAGCCAACATATATAAAATACAACACTTCGAATGAATTGTGTCGTGACCAAGTGAACTGGACATACAAACTCATGTCATGTTTTGTTTGAGCACTACAAAAAAGGCCGCGTTTACAATCCATGGAGATTCAAAAGACTTACTTTACTATCCCAATTCCTTGACACACCTTATAGCTCTGAGCCTTTGCTTTCGTTTCATTATCCCACATTCTATACCTCTGAACCTTCATTTTCATTTATTGTCTCATTTCTTGAAACTATGCCTGCCACACGTTCCACACGTTCGTCAACTGCACCTTCATCTTCCATATGTCCGTCGGCTGTTAAAGGCTCTCGCTCTATTATGGAGCTTCGAGCCATTCGACAACCGTTTCTCAGTTGAAAGGGTCCACATCGGGGGTGCAACGTATCATCCGAGCACGGTGAACCAAGCGGGCTGTGCGACGTATCATCCAAGCACGGTCTGTGGAGACTGAAGAAGAGTCACAAGGCCAACAGGTTACGGAGGATGAGGAGAAGCTTTATAATAAGGTTTACAACTGCGTTGACGAGTGCACCTTGCTTGACTTCCTCGAAAGGGAGAGAAAAGAAGGGAGAGAAAAGAAGGGAAAGGAAAGAACAAGAGAAAAGAAGAGTTTTAGAGCAAACTTAGATTTAGCGTTTGCTTGGACACAGGTTCTGTCGTACAGAAGAGAGTCGGTTAGGTGAAGCTGAGTATTATACGATAAACAAAAAAAAGTAAGAAACACGAGTCAGTGGCGTCAAGGCCAAGGTCTTAGTACTTCTTTGAGCCAAATCATTTAATTTATCCCTTGGACCGTAAGCACATTTAGTTTCCATCAACTCATAGGCAGCTCAGGTGCAGTTCTCTATGCTTTCTACTAGCAGAAAGCAACCGTCTGTTGCATGCCAACAAAAAAAAAATTAGTAAAGATTAATCAGTAAATATTATTCATAAAAAATCAATCAGCAAAAAGCATATATTAAGCTATATCACCACGATGCACTATGTCCACCATTTACTTGCCTCCACTCTTTTAGCACATCTAGAGACATTTACCATTTTTTCATTCCTTCTTCCTCAGTCTAAAGAAAAACAAAACACCATTCCTGCTCCTTTTACGCTAGGGGAATGTTACCGAATCTCCATATTGATCTAAAAATGGTTATCTTTCAAGACTTTAAAAAATCAATTGATTGCATCTTTGCCTCTAACAGCAATAGCATCAAGGCAAACTGCTAGGGGGTATTCATAGATATTCCACCAGAGCACGTTGTTACCAAACCAACCTTAGTAATCTCCTAGAACCAGCCCTACCACGGTTAAAATACTATCTTAGATGCGTGGTATATTTAATCATGATGCGATTAGTGCCGGAAATATTGGTGAGATCTCAACCTCCAGGCCCGACTTCGAGAAGTGCCGAACGGAATGTGACGAAATTTTATCACAAGGATCTATAGGTGTGGGACGCACAGCTGTGAGCAATGTTGTGAACAATGCGATACAAGTACATGATGCCCGTGAGCATAATTATCTTTAACAACACAATATGCGTCAGTTGTTATGGATGAATAGATGACTTATGAGTCTTTGCTATTGTTGCTTGAGTGGGGATTGCTCGCGACGTTAACGTTGCAGCTGGGGACCGTGAGTATCGTATCTTTCATGCCAAGCTTAAATAGCTTATTTCTCATCAGAATTGGCATGGAACTTACTCCTCAAACGACAGATGGGTCAGATATACCTTTTTGTGTGTTGCTTTTATGCAACTGTTGCTCGTATCCGCAGTCTCCCTACTAACTTAGTATTATGTTCAGTACTCGTGTAAATAGATAACCAAGTTGCAGTGCGTCTCACTTTCTGGCTACTTGAATTGTATATCACTTTGCCAATTCTTACTGAATAATCATTAATTTATTAAGACGAGTTTACATCAAGTGTTACCCCACTAATGGCCTCAAACCAACCAACGGCCCCGAACCAGTCAATTGCATCATCAACAAGCATCGCGCCATCAAGAGCGACCAAGATCCCGCAGGCATCTGGGATGCCTCCTGGCAAGAGGCGCGAATACTCAGCTACAAATATCATTAATCAGCCATGGCGATCTTTGCTTTATCTTATGTTGTGAAAAGTTGGTATTTATAGTTTGCTCTGGGTTCTATACTAGTAGCGATGATTACTCTGTAAAGGCTATGTTAATCACATGTAATGTTGTTCTTGTTTAGATCAAAGGCGGTGATGTGGCCTGCCAGGAGGCGTGGCCTCAAGCCCTCAATGGTATCCATTTAAACCTATACAGATTCATTGAGACAAAGCTGCATCACCCTCCGCCCCTTACCAAGATTTCAGGCAGAATATCGACATGCAGCTTGAAGACTTAGAAGTGCTAGCCTTTAATGTCCATAGTATGTATGAAACTAATACTAAACATTACTTCTTTTTAGATTCGAAACTCACTTCTTTTGTTATTTAAGATAGATGTCTGTGCAGTCCTGTTCTCATTGCGATGCCATGGCATCCGATCTCGCGACCAAACACCTGCTTCGACTCCCTAATTCCACCGCTTCGTGGAAGCAATTCCTGTTAGGAAGTACACTGAATGTTCTTATAGCCTATGTGGTACGTTGCTTATTAGTTGCCCTCGTCGGGAAAGTGCTGTGGAAATAGACTAATCCTTCTTTTCATAGCATAGGAAGACTTGCAAAATCCGATTGAGAGAACTGAAGAGCACATTTTGTTGCAGGAACAACAAGAACACACGGAGGACCGACAGACTCCTGAGAGAAAGCTCGGAGACTTTCGATTTTTCAGCTCGGCCAAGAAACAATGCCATGTTGAAATCCAGTCCTCAAATCAGGCACCAACTGATAGCAAGACACTTTTTTCTACTTTTGGGCTGGTTTGCAAAAAAAAAAAAAAAAAAAAAAAAGAGTAACTTATAACGATTGCTTTCAACAAAAGTGAAGCTTTCATAAAGTCCTAATGGATGTTGCATGTAGCTGATTGTCTGTTATTAGGAAAAAAAAAGTCCGTTTGGTGCATCTTCCTTTGGCTCGCACATCCATGTTCTGCAGCATTTTAAATAAACGAAACTGATGAGTAAACTGGTGATGTCTCTCAAAAGTATTTATCTTCAGTTAAATCTCAAATGATGTAGTCCTTGCCTGACAAAAATCTTTTCAAGATTAAAATATCCTTTATTTGATTCAAAAACAATATTTTAAAAGTGTATTGTATTACACGCCAGTGAGCAATCATTTTTGGAAGGAACACAGCATTGATTTCCTTCATGAAGATTTGTCATTTCTATTAAAAAGATCTCAAGGATATGCACAAGTTCCATGCAAACATTCTAGATCGGCTCCATACGATTGCATGCCGGATTCTCAAATCTAAGTAAAAAGGTTTCAGATCTCTAGTTGATAACAAAGTCATATTTTCAAACACATATGATAGCTAGTCTACACTGTACCCTCTTCTTTTCAATACTATTAAGCTATCGCGGACGAATAACGATGAGCTACTGAGGACGGATTTGTGTTTCTATTTGCTTATTTGCTCAATCGTTATTCTGAAAGCATATCTTTTCTGGTCAGGTTTCTAGGACTCGAGAATGGTCAGTAATTAATGCCCGCCGGTTCCTCTCCATAGCAACCGCTATTAGTTGTGCCAGGCTTTTGTTCCGACTTGCTGTCAATTCAGCAAACACTGACCCTCGATGGAAAGAAATCATTTAAGGTTTATGCAAGAAACTTTATTTTAATTATTTGGAAGCAAGAAGCATTAAGGTTCGCAATTAAAGCGGTGTTGAATAATTGGCCGTAGGCACAACTTATTGAGAGCAGAGGGTCAAGCTTGTCGCTCTTTTTGGCTAGACTCTTTCAAATATAAATGGTTTACTTAACAAAATTCTTATAATTGAAAAGGACTAACCAAAAAGAGTGACAAGCTTGACCCTCTGATTGAGAGTGTCTGGATGGCACTTTAGCCTAAGGTTAAAAAAGTATAAATACCGTAGACATTTAATATGGAAAGCCACAGCCTGCAATAAACCAATCCTGTATTTCTGCCTAATCCCTGCTCCACTTGCCATTCCTTGCAATTATCTTGTCTATATTCGACATGAACACACTCCTTGGAAATACTTAGTTTGTCATGACGTCTAATAGCGATCTCGATTTCAGTTTTGAAGAGAAGAAATACAACGACATGAGCGATGTTGAACAGCAGGAGGAAGACAACGACATCTACTATTCTGAAGAGAGAGAAAACAACATCAGTTATAATGAGAAGGATGAAGAAAACAACACCAGTTATAATGAAGAGGGGGAAGATTGCGGAGATAATCTATATGCGGGATCTATGAGTGAGGGAGTTGAAGATGAAGTCGAAGCAGAGTACTGGTCTGATGAAGATAACGATGGGTGTAGATCACCTGTAAGTCTACATACATCGTCTGGTGCCTTTTAAGCATTGACACGCTTCATGACGACTTATTCTAAAATACAAATGCAACTCTTCTCTTGAAATTTTAAAAGTCCTACTTAGCCCACCAATATCGCTTGGAGTCTTTAACTTATGGAGAGCTGGATGCACCGCAAGATGTCATTGTAACATTGCAAGTTTCCATAGTCGAAAATGAACTCCTCAACAATAGAAGATCTTCACCGCTTCTGGAGGCTGAAAATACCCATAAACTTGCATCGTCTGCAAGGTTTTTGTCATCGGTCTCTTCTCCTCAGCTGCACACCCCATATCAACCTTTGAACACTCCACATCGCTCTTCAGGGACTCCACATCGCTCTTTAGGCACCCCATATCATTCCTTGAACACTTCGCATCCCTCTTCCGGCACTCCATATCGCTCTTCAGGCACTCCATATTACTCTTTAAACACTCCATATCGCTCTTCGAACACTTCCTCTTCACGCAGGCCTCTAGCAGCCACGTTGCCACCTCGGCAGAGAGAGTCAACCTCAAGTTTTAACAAGTTTCGGGGCCCTATTTCCCTGGAAGAATTCTTCAAGGTCCCGTTCTTCAAGACCCGTTTCCTCAAGATCCCTTTGCTCAAAGTCATCGTCGAGCTCTGTACAATATGGTGAGTTGCAGAGTCCACAGTCAGCCAAGAAGATCCTACAGAGCCTCATTCATCAGGCACAGCCACCATCTTCCCGTGCATGCACACGTCCACCAACGCTCAGTGCTGCCCATGATACCTCATCGTTCATCCAGATTTCAGAATTAGACTCTGAGGCGCAATCTATATTGGAATTACGTCGACAGAACTTGCAAATGGTTAATGAGATATCCGAAGGATGGTGCAAGTTGTATGAAACTCTTGCTCTTGGCACTATTCCGACTCCTGACCAGTGTGCCGAGGCCCCACAATCGCAGCAAGCTCTTGCAAATATCCCATTTACGCAGGCTCAGCGCAAGGACAGTTTAATGGGACATTTTTTTGAGTCCATAAAAAATGTGGGGTTCGTTTGCAAGACGCGTCAGGCCGATAGTGTCTGTGCTTTTCATTTTAAGGTAATGTAAGTGGGAATGCTCGGAAAAGACATGTCGCACAACATCACGGGGATGAGTATAGTGCTCTTCTCGAATTTCGATCATACCAGCTTTCGGTCCAAGGCGTAGAAACAGCGCAAGAAACATCGCAAGAGAATCCGCATGAGATACCACTTGGAGATAAAGGAGACATATCCTTGATGCTAAGAAGATCGAAGTCTGAAATTGTCAGAGAAGAAGTAATGATTTCAAACATGAAAAAACCAAATTGGTTTGAAAAAGACAATTTCGAAAAGTTACTTTTGCGGATGATTGTCATCGATGGGGCGCCATTTTCGCTACTCAAGTCGGACTCTTTCGCTGCTCTTTGGAGGTTACGCAACATAGATTTTAGTATACCCTGTCAAGAAACATTACAAGCCAGGCTGAGGGACCGTGTGCAAGATTATAAGCTGAGGTTCAAGCAATATGCTCATATGAATTTAGATGCAGTTTCAATCACCGCAGATTGCTGGTCTAGCATAGATCAAAGGAAGTACCTTGGGATCATTGCCCATTTTGTGACGCCTGAGTTCAAACTAGCTTCTGTAGTCCTTAGAATGGAGCGAACGGATGAATCCTATACGGCAGAATATTTGCTGCAGAAAATACGTAAGTGAGCTTTGATCCGTATCTCTAGCCTGACTGCTAACCGTTAAGTAAGATTTTAACTCTGGGCTGTCGATTGATAGACCAAGTTACGGATGACTGGGGCCTTGAGGAAAAGATAATTTGTGTGACGACTGGTCAGGGAACTAACATCAAAAAAGCAATGGGAACATATTCCACTGAAACAGGAGCTGCCTGGATTTCGTGTGCTTCCCATAAGCTACAGCTATGCGTCAATAAGGCGATAGAGTGTTCCCAAAAGGCAAAGGCGATATTCGATAAGTGCCAAAAGATATCGACATATTTCAGGAATCATCAGGAGCCGGCGAAAATCCTTGCTGCAAAACAATTAAACCGCTACGGGGAAGCGCGCAAACTACCGACAGTAAATGCAACGTGCTGGAACTCCCACTTCATTATGGCGGGAAGAGTGTATGAAACCAGAGATGCAATAGTAGCAGCACTTGAAGAGCTGGACAGCATTCCAAAAATCCGGCAAGTTAAGGGCAGAAGCATTACCTTTTTACCTGAAGAAATCCTCGCACTTGGCGAAATAGTTTCGATCTTAGAGCCTGCATCTCATCTCACGCATTGGTTGGGTAAAACCGACAGCCCGACAGTTTCACAAGTTTACTCGAAAATCCATGGACTTATTCCTGCCTCCATCACGGTCGAGACGGAAGCAGCGGTGCAGCTACGTCAACACTTGGGTGACCAGATCAAGGAGAAATGGTCGCTCGCGGATATACCGGACCCAGTGCTTCTTTCGAGTTATCTGAATCCAGGCTGTGCTGCATTACCCATCTTCGATGACCTTGTGGATGGAACTAATACAACGCTCCGAGATAAGGCGAAAACTCTTGCTAAAGATGCCTACATGGAGATGCGGAAAAAAACCCCAAAGGCGCCCCAAACCGACTCCCAAACGGATTTTTTAGATGGAAAGTCTGTGTTTCCTTCTATAAATGGCGCAGCTGCCAGCTCTCTCAGCCAATCGTACATGCTTTTGGAGAGCCAGTTTGCCGTAACTGCCTACGATATCCTTCTTACTGAGAGGAGGGAAGATCTCCTCGAAACTGTTGACAAGGCACTCGAATTCTGGAAGTACCAAGAAGCTGTTGAAAAAAGGAATGGTACCAAAACTATTCAGGACCTGCCAAGGTTGGCTCGTTTGTTTTTGTGTATCCAGGCCACATCAAATGAATGCAAGCGACTGTTCAGTAAGGCTGGACTCATACTTACAGAACGCAGGACTGGGCTTTCAGACCACAATCTTTGCAACATGATCTTTTTTAACAGCTTTTATAAATTTTATGAGGAGTAGTGCAACCAATCCTGTCATCAGATCCATTTTCATATTTGTTTAAATGAAGCTTGCTATTTAATGATGTGACAATATCGATCCCTTTCTGGTAATTAATGGAAATGTATTTCACGAGCCTGAACACCTCTTATTCTCACAGTTGGAGTGCTGGTGGGTCTATCCTTTGGGATAAAAAAAAGCATTTAAGAAGGGGTTGTGGTTTGGGTTCCTTGTTATCATGCAAGCAGTGGAGGGTGTCAATAAGGGGCCAAGGATTATTAAACTGTCTGATTCAATATGGTAATACATGAAGATTTTACATTGACATGGAGACGCAACTAGAACTATATATTGTAGACAACTCTTTCTCTTGCAGTTTGGCTGACTCCTTCTCAACCTTCTTCACCTTCCATATTTCAACCTTCGTCCTTTACCAAAGCAGACCAACAGTGCACAGGGGACAGAGCATTCACTATTTTACATAGGAAATTTGTGGGCCTTGCAGAACAACCACCCTTCAGCTGTTGTGGATTGGATGCACAGACATGGACGCGTAAAGATAAATGGGTAGGATAAAGAGGTGCTATTTCATTTATTATTTTTGCTTTTTGAGGAGGTGAGTGCCTCGTTTCCCTAGTAGACATAAACTAGAAGTGAAAAGGAGATTAATAGGAAAAGAGATCAGTGGAGAGAGTGAGATTTATACGATTAATGGGGAATGAATTAGGCGAAAGTGAGGATTAATTAGCGGCAATGAAAGAACAACCAACAGGCAAATGCTTGTCACAGAACAGGTAAACCTGCCTATCGTAACAAGATTGGGCTCATATTTAAAGAAGGGTCAAATATTTTTCTTCGACTTCTTTCTTTCCTCTCTTCTCATTTCTCTCCAAACATTATCGACACATAAGCCTAATATCAATCGTGGGCATTACAGCCTTGCACAGGGAGAAGATGGTTACCCTTACTAGAGAGCAGATCAAAGATCGTATTCTCGGTTGCTTATTTGGTGAGAATGATCACAACCTTGAAGCTCTAGTACCATCATTATATCAAGCCGAGGTGACGGTTTACTTATCATTCTTTTTGCTCCTTTTGATTATTGCAGGCAATGCAGTAGGAGATGCATATGGGTTGGCGACAGAATTCATGTCCAAGGAGACTGCCCGGAAACGTTATGGCAATGGACCTATTGCATTTGGTCTAGATCCGGGGTAAGGTCTCTCCGAAGTTGCTGTGCAGGTGCTGAAAGTTAGCTCAATATGTTCTTCAAGTCGGTCATAACTATGATCATGACCATTTCTTTTTTCTTTACTTTGTTGCTTCATCGCTTTTCTAAGCTATCCCATCTGGATTGATTATCATCGCTCAAAATGGGAACGAAACGATTTTACCGACGATACCGATCAAATGTTGCTTATTCTCCAATCACTACAGCAAACTCAAGACGGCCGACTTCATGCTGCCAACTTTTCCAAGAGGTTAAAGGAATGGAGCATTATCGGTTTTCCAGAGTTGGGCACGCCTCCACGCGGCATTGGCTACACTGTCGGCTCGACGCTTTCCCATAGTGACTTTCGATACAATCCGCATAAGGCCGCATTTGATGTAAGTGCGGCTCGAAAGAACGACTATCCTCCCAAAAACTCTTGTTTCACATGTACAGGAGGGATTCATGCAATAGCTATTCTCTATGACTAATCTCTGTATACTCGCTGACATACATCTTGGCGTTACAAATCCGATGCCTAGATCTGGGACAGCAAAGGGCGTACACTTGCTGCAAATGGCGCTGTGATGCGAACTTCAGTGCTTGGTATTGAATCATTTTGGGATGAAGCTAGGGTGGTGGAGAACGCTCTTGCAGCGGCCAAAGTTACTCATGCTGATCCACGCTCCGTAGTGAGCGCCTTGATAGCATCGGTCCTCATTTCGCGACTGCTACGAGGAGGAGGAGTGGATATTGACCAAGATAGTGCACATGTCTGGAACGCAAGGCTTCAGCAGGCCCAGTATAAGCAAGAGCTCCTGGACTACTTACGACGCGGGTCATATATCCAGGGCGAGCAATCCTCTAACCCTGCATATGAGCCGGAGACAGAGCAAAACCTCTTCAAGAATAAAGATAAGAATGCGATCGCTGAATCACGCCTCCAGTCTGCCATGGCAGCATGGACTTCATCACCAGATACTGCTACCCGCAGTTTCGGGTTGGGGATCGTTGAGAAGGTTGCCAACTTTGTGAAAGGCACGCCTGCAGCCGCTTCCCCCGATAACTGGAACACAGGACGGCCAACTGTCCAACTGAGAAAGAACATTGGCTGGGGAGGTATAGATCAGGTTGGGGGCAGTCAACCTATGACTGCCTTGGCTAGATCTGTTGTGAACGACTACATCTTTTTGCTCCGGGAAACGGACTTGATACCGTCCACTATTCGCATCGAAAACAGTGCACAGGGAAACAATGCACTTGATGGTTCTGAGCAGATTCAGCAGGCCCATGATAAGACACTGGCTTCCATTCAAGATAAGTGGGCCTACGAGCTCGAGTCCCATTGTTTCCCTAACAATTTAGCCCAGCTCGACCTTGGCGAAGGCTCGACGATGGGGTATACCTTCAAGTGTGTTGGCGTTGGCTTTTATGCTGTTACCCGCCATGAGGACCCTCAACCAATAGATAGCGCCTATAATGGTCCGGCAGGCCTTTTTCGTGGCATTATGGAGCAGGTGACGCTAGAAGCCGGCGATGCCGATACTAACGGAGCAGTTGTAGGGTCACTGCTAGGTGCACGATTTGGGATTGAAAAAGGTATCCCTTCTTCTTGGTGGACGGAGTTACGACATTTTGAGTGGTTGAACCATGAGGTTAATGACTTTGCAGAAAGAGTACTGTTAATGTACGAAGACCATGAACAGCGGTTACAGCGACAACAGCAGCAGGACACACAACAATAGATGTATACTGTAGGATGCGTCAGAAGATGCTATGTCTCTTTTACGCACTTGAGCAATTCATTTTTTAAATAAATAAATGCATAGTGCGTTATGGGTTGACTAATTTATTTAAATGACGATCTGCATATTCTTTTTTTTCGATGATGGCTCCTGCAGAGCTATTAGCAATGTTAGGCCTCCACTATGCTAGGCGGAAGGAGCCAGTAGTGCAGGGCATTCGCATAAAGCTGCCATCCTTATTTTAGCCTACGGTTTGAAGAGTGGTTCCTATCTCATTCTACAAATTGCCGTTCATGCAACCATGCAAAAGTCAACACAATGTAGTACACTAAGGAGACATATAGAGCAGTAGTGGCTAAACAGCTGCTGAAGAGCTATTTACTCCGGTTACAGAGTTTTCGTGGTATTGAGCGTGGGATAGAACATGGTCTCACAACATTCGTTGCCCTTTGAGAGGGAAAATTTGGCGCTTGAAGGAGCGTGCTGGAACCATATGTCTCAATCCCCCAATTCCTCCTTGAATTGACTTAGTACTGCATACTTTTTTTTTATGTTGCACTGTGGGCTTTCAAAGAAAAGGAAGTATTTGGGCAGAGGTATTTATCAGGCTCCAGTCATAAATACTTTGCTTCCTAGCGGTATATAGGTCCTTTGTCCTAAAGAATGAGAGGCCAAGCTTTAGACCGCCTTAGAGCTTGAGACAAAGGCATTTCTGGGTATTGAAGCTATTATGGCAAATGAATTCTTGACAGTTGGATCGCTTGATGCATGGGAGTATCAAAGCAAACTAAAAGCATGTCTTTTTTCCACTGACCAATGCTTGAGACGGGCTGAAGAGCAAAATGCCAGTAAAGAGGACATGGAATGAGGTTTCACGTTGATGCTTGTGTTAGAGTTGCGCCTGTATTACATAAAAAAAAAACGATATTCAGCGCTTCTTTAGGTGGCATAAAGGGCATGCGTGCACACATGTTAATTGCGAAAAGCCTCTGTAAACCTTTAAAAGGCCTTGCTTTCGTAGTGTCTAATTGAGTTACATAAATCTATACATACAACTGAACTGATGGCCCTTTTATATCTTTAATTCATTTAGCAACAGAATAACTATAGCAATAAGAGAGCCTTTTGTAATTTAGATACTGCCCCTGGCAATAAAGGAATTCTTTTTTTTTTTTATCAGCCATTACTGATCGCTGTCTGTAATTTCCACCTGTGGCAATTCTTGCCTATCCGCGAATTGTGTGTTATGATAATTAGTCGCGTTTCGCGTTGGTGGTACATTCCACGTGATTTCATTCTGCCAAATGAGGCAACTCTGCTTTCAGTTCCATCGCTTCATGCCTTCATGCCATTGGAACATTAGTATTTCAACTTTTCAGAATGGCCAATCCATTGCATCGTGAAAAATTACATCATTCTTTTCCAGGCAGAGCAAAGCAAATTGATCAGATCCTTAGCTTTATGGGAAAGGTATATTTGTGTGGATTTTTTTCTATTTTTTATTTTATTTTATTTTGGCGTTAATAACTCCTTTTATTAAGAATATCCTATTTATTTTTCAAAGCATTCACACCATTTTCATATTATCACTACAATAATCTTTGTAAATGAATTTAAAAGCCCACAGCTCCTACACCGCCAGCTTTATTTATCAATGGAAACTCGTCGTTGGGGAAGACATCGGTCGTCAAAGCTATTCTTTCTACTGTATTAGGCGACACTAGTCCCAGCCATTATGCATTCCTGGACTGTATAGAATGCCATACGCCCCGTCTGATTTTTGAGCATGCCATATATCAATTCCGGCATCCACCTTCTGTACGATGGCGATATCCAGCTGATCTCCATTCTCAACAACAAGCGGATCAAATCATGGATGGATATGCTCACGCTCAACATACAGCTGAGGCAGATCAAAGTGGTAGTGGTAGCAGCAGAAGTAGTAGTAATGAGGATGGCAGCTCACCAAGTCAGGATCCACAAATGAGTGATGGCTCTGGAAGGAAGGATATTGACACAGGCACAACTCTTGTCAAGAATGGCGAAGGAAGACGGAAGAGGAAGTGGATCCAGGATGAAATCATTACTTCGGGGCCACCCACTTGGGACAAGTGCGAAAACATCAATGAATTTGTGGAGTGGTGTCGGAGGATCTGCGCTGATGGCAATGATGGCCAAGGTCATGCTTCAATACACGCTAAGGGCTCAGCATATTCAGAAGAACAACGTCAGCGTAAAGGACAGCATGATACCCGTTATCTCGTTCTTGACCGAGCAGAAAGACTGAGAGATAATGCACCAACCTTAATTCCTGTTCTCATGCGTCTCCAAGAGCTCGTAAGTTATTCCTATCTAAATCAATTACTTAGTCTTCAAGGCTCCAAAAAAAAAAAAAAAAAAAAAAAAAAAAAGGGAGGGAGAGAACTAAGCGGCCATCGTCTTGTATTTTCGCGCCCTAAATATTGTTAATCTTTCTCACTGCATTTTTGCCTTCGGTACTCTGGGATGCTGCAATTTTTTTTTTTTTTTTTTTTTTTTTTTTTTCGCTTCCTAGACTGGCCGCAATATCTGTGTCATCTTTATCACAAGTATCGTTTGGGAAAAGTTCCGTTCCAAAAATGGGGGATATGAGCCCATCATTATGAACTTTCCTCAATACTCAAAAGATATGTATAGTAACTGCGGATTGAGTATGATGACAGAAAAGAGGCCCTTTTTTCTTTTATTTTTTAATTATTTCTGATTGATATTCAGCATTCTTATCAATATGTGTTTTATTCTCATTATTGGGGCTGATTACGCGAGACAATTGCTATTTTAGAACGGGATTTACCTGAGGGCCAAGATAAAGAGCTGTATATGCGGTTTGTGGATCTGGTTTATAATGTTTTTCAGAGGAACTGTAAGGATCTAAACGAAATTCGGCACTTGGTTGCATTGCTATTCCCATTGTATATTAAGCCGATAAAGGAAGGCAAAAGTAAGATCTTTGGTTTTTTATTCTTTATTTTTTTTTCAATGGCCGTGAAATATGTTGACCAAAACTCCGCTTGTTGACTCAAGTTGTTTATCGTTCTACTCCTTTTATTTCATTTAGTCCAAAAGCATGAAGGATTAAAACTTCATCGACATATTCAGGCTTATTTTGTAGAAGCGATGGATAAACTATACCTTCGGGAGATTTCAAGTACGGAGTGGGTTGATCGCACTTTACTCACTTCTTCAGGATCTTTTAAGAGCAAACATGGAGGCACTCTTGGAGAATCTTTGATAGCCAGGTCCAGTTCAGAAGCGGCTAAGGATGAGCGGGCGTTGATGAATGCCGTTGATATTCAGAGTATGTCGTTATTTTACACACACACACACAAAAAAGATTCACTGCTCTATCACATGCCAATATACCTAACTTTTTTTCTTTTTTTTTTAAACTTAGACACATTCGATTTGCCTTACTTTACAAAATTCATTTTAATAGCGTCATTTCTCGCGTCTTATAACCCGCCCCGGTTGGATTTGCGATATTTTGCCAAAGTGTCCAATCAAGGTGGCAAGATGTCCAAGCGCAGCAAGGTGGCTGCTGCCAAGAAGCATGGGCACGAGCAGCTAGGTACGAAATTGAGGCAGCAGTTACTTGGCCCAAAAACGTTTCCAATTGAGCGAATGCTGGCCATCTTCTACAGTATATTGGATGAAGAGGTGGAAGAGAACGTGAACGTACACACACAGATCGCATCCTTGGTCTCACTCCGGCTCCTGCAAAGAGTTACCCCAATGGATAAACTGGACTCTATTAAGTGCAAGTGCAACGTCAGTTATGACACGATCAAAGCAATAGCGAAAAGTATCAAATTTGACATTGATAGATATCTCTATGATTTTGCATAAATTCATATTCCTGTCACAATCATAAAGAAACCAACGTTTTTATTCTATTCCAAGGTAAATGGATGTATTTGAATAAAAAAAGACTATGAACAAAAATAATGGGATGTGAAAATAGACGAAGAGATTCTAAGCCTTGTTGATGAAGCTCTGGCCCTTGGCGATGTTACCCTTGAGCTCAGGAATAGCAGCACTGATAAGACCTTTCTCATACTCATTGACATTGCCAACGGGGTGGATCTTCTCAACACCATTGGGACCGAGCTCAACGTTGGTGGCAAAGTACTCAACACCCTCCTTGGCGAAGACGTCCGACTTGACAAAAGTAGGCTCAACAATGCCCTTCTTACCAGCAACAGTGGCCTCAAGGAGAGAGTTGGTGAAGCGAGCACCAGCAAAAGCCATGGAAAGGGTGGCAGAGCCAGCGCCATTCTTGGCCTTTACGACCTCGTCACCACCAAACTGGATGCGGTGGGTCAAAGCCTTAACCTCCTCCTCAGTGAAGCTATGGCCAGACTGGGACAGAAGAGGAACGATGGTGACACCGGAGTGTCCACCAATGACGGTGATCTTGGCCTGATCAGTGGGGACCTTCTTAACCTCAGCGACAAAGCGGGAGGCACGAACAACATCAAGGGTGGTGACACCGAAGATTCTATCATGTCGACAATAAGCAATGAATGAAATAGTGTTAGAATAACCGCAGAGTATTTAAGTGGTGTAAGGACTGCAAATATAGCTTTTTTATTTACCTCTTGGGGTCAAAGACACCAGCTTTCTTGAAGACCTCAGCAACGATTGGGACGGTCGAGTTGACGGGGTTGGCAATGACCAAAACATGGGCCTTAGGGCAGTGCCTGAAACACATAAAAAAAATTATGTTTGCAGTCACATTAAGGGTCTGTCCTTCCCTCTTTGTGTTCTGTGTGCAGCTCTAACATAATTGAATTCACTTACTCAGCGCAGGCCTGAGCCAAATCGCGGACGATAGAGGCGTTGGTGTTGAAGAGATCATCACGAGTCATACCAGGCTTGCGTGGAACACCGGCTATGACAGGTAAATGAAAGGATAAAGAGAAAAAAATGGTTAACATGGTGATAAGCAATATGATCACTTAAGCATGTTCTATTGATGTTATAGTCATATAGGATTTTAAGACAAGGTCGTACCAGGGATGACAACAACTTCGCAGCCAGTAAGGGCCTCCTTAAGACCATTGTTGTCAGGAGTATGGCCAGTGACCTGCATTAATTGTTTTTTTTTTTTTTTTTTTTTTTTTTTTTTTTAAAAAAAAAAAAAAAAGAGCATTCGATATGAAAATAGATCCCCTTAAAAATTTCTCCATATCTTTGCAAGCACTGTCCATATGTAATGGTGACGATTCTGACGATGCGACTTGAGAAAATCCAAGTCGGAGATTTTGGCGAAACTTTGTCACTTCCAGATTAACCGGCGGAAGAGTAAGCCCGACAAAGCTCAGCATGAATATTTTCAAGAGGCCCATCCCTTATGCTACTGAAAATATTTTAATATTCATCTCAAAAAGGCTTACCTTTGAGTCAGTGTTGATGTGGCTCAAATCAGCAGCAACACCGGGGGTGTTGACAATGTCGTAGAGAGAGAGATGAGAGATCAAGCTCGACTGCTTAAGGAGGAGCGACAAAGGCTGACCAATACCACCGGCAGCACCAAGAACAGCAACCCTAAAGTATGAAATAACGAATAGATCAATAGATTGTGAGGTGGGTGAGCATATTGTTAGGACCGCCGTAGAGGGTAGATCATTGGCACACACGATTATCACTAGCGTCTGCTTTTTTTAAAAATATATATATATTTATTTCAAAAGAAAACTTACTTGGCAGCGTTCTACAAAAGCCGTGTAATAGTATAAAACACGTGTTTAGAACATCAAAAGCAGGCCAAATGACAGGGAATAAAAAAAAAAAAAAAAAAAAACAATGAATAGAATGAGATCAGTGCATGTCAATGACTACAGTTTATTAATGTCCAAGTCAAACAGTAAAGCCTTTATCAAATCAGGTTGTGAGCGAGCGCGTACCGAAGATGCAGAAGTTGAGAAAGCGCGTTTAGCGATAGAGGAGATCTGACGGGTGGCGAACATGGCTGCTTGTTTGAGTAGAGTGGAGTGAAGGGTGGTGAAAGTGATGAAAAAGAAGAAAGAAAGTGTAAGAGAGAGAATTAACCAGGAATAAAAAAAGAAAAAAGAAAAAAAGACTGGGGAAATTGTCCAATTGCGGGAAGATCGGGTTCCATCGCAGCAGCCATAATGACCAGCCAATCAATTCTCAGAGAAACTTTCCCTCTGTTGCTGTCAGTGAGAGCTTGGAGTCTAAACTTACACGTGACAGTGCACCCACCCCTAGAAAGGACAAGCCGAGGGTCCAAAAGCAATTATTGAATATGAACCTTATCGGCAACGTGATATGTATCAGGCACATGCATTGTTTTATTCGTGTATCAAGCCGTGTTGGTAGCAATGTTACTGTTGGATATACTGATAGATCATAAATATCTCCAGAAAATAAAAGAGTATCTTGATCTGCCTATAACATGAACGTGTCATATTATATGGGAATGTGTATACATATCATGTCTATTACAAAAAGAACAACTCCGCCATGTTCTTCGGGCGCGATGAGCTCAATTGAGGCTTCTGCTTGTACTTCTCCCGCATCAGATCACGGATGCTATTAAGGAAATCCTGGTATGTTTGCACAGAATTTTCGCGGTAACTATGGATGTGTAATCACGAAAACAAAAAAAAAAATAAAAAAATAAAAAAAAAATGAGTATTCATTCATGATAGTCATGATGGGAAAAGCAATAAAATCAATTTGCTACCTCTTGGTGAATGCGTAGGTCATTGCGCCATTCGCGGACGAGGTCTTTCCTCGAGTGACGCTCACATCAGCGGATGTTTCGTCGTCTTTACATCTATAATGTAGCCATAAAGAAATTCGCCATCATTTCAAAGGGTTATGACATTAAGTTAATTAATAGTAGATAATAGAATTCAAGAAAATTATATCCTTAGTTCCAGATAACCGTTGATTCCATTGATATTGATGCCGTAACCACGCATACTATCAACAATAATAGTGGTGAAATTAAGAAAACCTACCCACTAAACATGACTACATCTGCGTCATGGACAGCCTTAAGCTTGACCTGGAGTTCAAACTTTTCTTTCTCCTCCTTCAGCTTCACCCATTTTGCCTGGAGATTCTTAAGCGCTTCTGGATCAAAGTTGCCTGAGACGAGTTCATGACCTAGATTAGCAAGAGCGTCTGAACCCCGAATGTAGCCGGTTCCCGTATAGATGTATGGCAGGTCCAAAGCAGATCCTGAGTGGCAGCAATCAAATAAAACCGTCAGACGGACACCTGGGGGCAATGCCTTGACCAGAATCATGTGCAACTCCTAAACAACCATTCAAATAAAAAGTATATGATACTAAGTTAAAAAAAAAAAAAAAAAAAAGGAAAAATAATAACAATACGTATCATCTAAGGACTCCTTACATCGTCTATAATCACCCCATTCTCTTTATGATCAAGAGGGAAAATGCAGTTGTCATAGTCTCCAACCTCATCGTCATCGAGATCCAGAACTTGACCCCCATGTCCAGAATAATGCAAGAAAAGTCTATTGGTTTAGGTCAAACATCAATTATGTGTTTTTTTTTTTTTTTTTTGCGACCCACCCATTCCTCAGAAGCTTGTACTTACGAGTCATCTTTCTGAGCACCATGAAGTAACCATTTGAGATTCTCAATAATATTCTCGCGAGTGGGCATCCAAGGGGTGTCGACTTGATCGTCTGTGAGAACGCGGATATTCTCTTCTTTGAAGTTAAAACCCAAAAGGAAATCTTTCATGACCGCAGTGTCGTTGATACAACCTGAAATAATAAAATGCACTTGAAAAGATGAGACCTGTCTTCTATTCTCTAAATTGTCTCGACTTATTATACGAATAATTAGAAATTCACTGAGTTTACCTTGCAGAGGGTTAGGGCGACCAGTGTAATTGATCCCAATTAGAAGCGCACGACGTTCTCCAGTGCATTTGGAGAGTGACTGTGCAGAACCGTTTGAATGCTTGACTTTCATTGATTGAACAAGCACCTCTTTGACTGTATCGGTGCCTGATTTAATTACCTCTTTAACCTCAGTCTTAGTCTCGGACACAGGAATGGATGGCAATGGCTTGTCAGACTTTGAGGAACGGCGTGAAAGCTAGTTGTATGCAGATAAGGTAAGTAAAAAAGGCTTCAATATATTAGGGCTACTATTGAGCAGAAACACAATTAGCTTTTTTTTTTTTTGACTCACGCGCTTGAAGAACTTTGAGAATGGCGACGAGCCTGAGGACGAAGACGAGGAAGATGTAGTTGTGGTGGTCTTTGTGACCTTGCGACCATCATCATCAATTGTTGACTGCACAACGATCGTTGGCTCGTTTTGGATTGCGGTTGCTCCTTGCTCAAAGTTTAGTTTGTTATTGAACTCCTGATGGAGTTCGGGTTGGGCACCATTCTTATCGCTGGAGCTGTAGCTGGATGAGTGATAGGTCGTCGTGGTGCCATTCTGAGGAATGCCTGCATCGGCAGTCGACACCAATGTAGCGCCCTCAGGGATAGGGGTTCCCGCAGGGACCTCAACCTGATAGGAATGTGTTATTTTTTTAATAGTTTTCGTGACCTTGCGACCATCTGGCAAAACAGTGACGACTGTTTCCACGTTCACTATGGGTTCACCGACTTCTCGGGGTTGAGACGACATTTGGAATGGAGGTTTAATGAGAGATGAGTCACGAAAGGAAAAGGATGAGATGAAGAGAGGGAGAAGAGAAGGCTGTGTAGCAATGAAGTGAAGGGTAGAGAGAAGGGAGGAGGAAGAGGTGAGAAAGAAAAAAGAAAGAAAGAAAGGGGTTGAGGCGGATTATGAAGTTGATGGCTGAAAAGACATTTTCCCGGACGGCAAGGCCAACGTTGAAAAAGAGCAGGAGTTGTTGAGCTTATGTGCATGCCTTTGCTATTGGCATTGATATCGTTCTCATTGAACAACAATGCAGGTTTTTTTAAAATGGGTTCTTGGAGTGGTTGGAAGATTATAAAAATGTTTGTATTCATGGTGTTGTGTGGGAACGAACACAGTAAACAACACCAAAGTATTTAAAAGCCGTTACACTAACAGGGCTGTACCTCGGCCTGTTGAACATTGAGAGGGGCACTTCCATGTTCAACATGCTGGGTTATTGGATTAAAAAACAAAAAGAATCAATTGAGAGCACTTTTCTTTTTTTCCTCTTTTTCTCTGTTCCCCATAACAATGCTCCTTGAAGGCATGGGTTAAACTTATTCATCTTCTTGCTTAAATAAACCTTCTGCTGTATGCGTCGAATATCCATCCACCTATGCATGTATACGCTTGATGAATATGGAATAAAAGACGCTATAGACCTAATTACATTTACAGTATTTGCAAGACTAACGTTGCAATCAGAGGAATGGGGACTGGCAAGGATTGATGGGTTCTGCTGTCAGACGATATTCAGGGCCAAGTACATGCTCATTGCTTGCTCAATGCTTGCTCAATGCTGGGGTGCTGTATCAAGGATGTCTGTATCTGCTAAGACTTTTTTTTTTTTTTTTTTTTTAACAGGCGAGATGAAAAGGAAAAAGATTTTTCAAAATGTTGCCAATTCATTCACTTGCTTATGTCATTCGTTCCTGATTTTTTTTTTTTTTTTTTTTTTTTTTTTTTTGTTGTTGTTTGTGAGAGAAGAGTGCTTATAAAACGATCCTCTTTCAGGACAGGATCGCATAGCAAACTTTTTAGGCCTACTCGAAAGAAAAAGTGATTGCAGGCTTGTTCATTTTGAGAGTTATAAAAGATTATCTTACGGTTGTAGTTAAGTTTGCGAGTATATGATACTAGTCCAGCATGGGAGATGTGCGCACAGTAAGCCAGGTTGTCACCAGGGCGGTATTTATAAACATACACATTCATTCATAGACGACTGCGGTTGTGGCCGCAGTGGATTTTCTGGGGGCGTTGCTCTTTTCATGATCGGATAGCTTTTCCACCAAGCATACTGCGCCACTGTTGTCTGAATGTGTAGTAGACAAGTGTTGAGGAGGCTGTTTTTTTCTTTTTTCTTTTGTAGGAGTGGGTGGCAAGAGGCGGTGCATCCCGTGGGCAATGACTACAGTGAGGGCGAGTCACTCATTTACAAAAACCCACGTACGAAAAAAAAAAAAAAAAAAAAAAAAAAAAAAAAGGTGCTTTCAATCTTCTCTCTTCAAGTATTGCGTGGTCTTGTTCTTTTTTCTCTCTCTCCTCACCTCCTTGAAAATATTCCCAAAGGCGTCACTCCATCATTCCTTCTCTTTCTGTCTACTGTCTTTCTGTCCTTGGTCATCCTTCATATCTTTTTTTCTTCCTCTCTCTCATTTCACTCTTATTCTTCATTGTCTGTCCCTCTCTAGTCGCGTCATGTCCTCATCAAAGAGCGTGGCCACTCCACCACCGCCCCATGGTAGTGACATTAATGCCACCTGGGCTTTCCTTGAACAAGGCATCGACCAGATCATGAACCGTCTCGAAGATGGACTCACTTATCAACGTTATATGGAGATCTACACGTAAGCTTGCCTATTCATTTGGATATTTTCCTTTTGTCATTGATGACCTTAATGGCGCCTGCGCCTCCTTTTTTTTTTGTTGGAAGTGAATGATGTGAGGGCATTTTTTTTTTTCTCCCGCTTCGTATCATGCAATGATGTTCTGTGTCAGTAGTGGCAAAAAAAAAAAAAAAAAAAAAAAAAAGTGCCATTATTCTTGTCAGGAAACCTGAGCACATTGCGAAATAAATGACATTTGTTTGGACTATTGTTGCCTTAACCTTTTCTACGTTTTGCTTGTCTATTTTGGCTCCATACTGGAATGATTCGTTAACCATCTATTTCTTATTGTTCCCATCCTGGCTCCTACTGTGTGATGAAATCACTTCAGCGTTATCTACAACTATTGTACTACTAAAGCTACGTCTGATACATTAAACCATTCGATCCAAACACGAGGTATATCTTCAGAACATTCAGATCATCAATTGTATTAACTGCGCTTCCACTCCTATACGTCGATCGCGCAAAGACCATGATGTCGTTTTAACGTATATTCCTGATACTGCTGTTAACTTTGTCATCATATAGGTGCAACGCTTGGCGGAAGTGATCTCTATTCGCATTTGATTCGCTACTTTCAAAAGCATCTTGAGGTCATTCGTAAGGACTCGGAAAAGTTCATGGACGTGTCACTTTTGGAATACTATACCAAGCAGTGGGTCAAGTTCACAGGAGCCTCCACCTATGTCCACCATTTATTCACGTATCTCAATCGCCATTGGGTTAAACGCGAGATCGACGAGGGTCGCAAGACTGTGCATGATGTGGGCACTGTACGTTTGCTACTGTATTACTTACAAGAGACATCTTTGACCATCTTTGATACCACATTAGTTATTGAGTAATGTACGTCATGTACTAATTTATTCCAAATTGTATTTCATGCCTGTGCATCTCTAGCTCGCTCTGGTTAGCTGGAAGGATAGCTTGTTTAGTCATGTTGAACGTAACGTTATGGCAGCCGTTCTCAAGCTTATCGAGCGTCAACGCAATGGCGAGTCTGTCGAGACAAGTCTTCTGCGAAACGTCGTGGAGTCGTTCGGTTAGTTATTCTTATCTATTATCTACAAATAGTCTTTTTATACTTTTTTTATTACTTTTTCCTCTCGTACTTGTTCCATGCGCTAATCTTTATCATTTTAATTTATCCTGTTTGTACCAAACCATCCACCTAGTATCTCTGGGTTTGGACGAAAATGATTCTAAAAAGACAACGCTTGAAGTCTACAGACAGTACTTTGAAAAGCCCTTCGTCACTGCTACAGAAGTTTATTATAAGATGGAATCTGAAAAATTCTTGAGCGAGAACAGTGTTACTGAGTATATGAAAAAGGTAGGTAAAATGCCAAAGAATTTACCATTGGTTGATTTGAGACTGTTTTTCATGATTACTGACTTAGTGTTCCCATGACTCGTTCACATTTCCTAGGCGGAGGCCCGTTTGGCAGAGGAGGAGAGTCGCGTGCAGATGTATCTTCATGCCAGCACTCACAAGCCTCTTATCTTTACGTGTGAAACAGTGCTCGTTAAAGGCCACACAGAGATTATTTGGGAGGAATTCCAGAACTTGCTGAACCAGGACAAACAAGAGGACCTCTTCAGAATGTTCTCTCTTTTGCTTCGCATCCCCGAAGGCCTTGATCCACTACGTGCTCGCTTCGAGGCTCATGTCCGCAAGGCCGGCTTGAGCGCTATTGAAAAAATTGCTGATGAATCAGCAGAAACCTTGGTAAGAATATGATGTGATCTAATGGATGAGGTGCATTTGAATTTATGAAGCAATGGTTTATTGATTCTAATATCATTCATGTTCATTTGCATTTTTTCAGGAACCTAAAGTGTATGTGGACGCCCTACTGGAAGTTCACAAAAAATACAATGATCTTGTACAGACCGCTTTCCGTGGTGAAGCCGGATTTGTGGCGTCGTTGGATAAAGCTTGTCGAGAGTTTGTCAATAGAAACAAAATTTGCAAGTCCTCTTCATCAAAGTCACCTGAAATGCTGGCACGCTACTGTGATTCCTTGTTGCGTAAGAGCTCCAAGAACCCCGAAGAGAATGATTTGGAAGACATTTTGACCAGCATTGTAGGTCTATCGATCTTCTCGTTGGCATGCTTCTGTCTATAAAGACACGTAAAAAGATCTTTGATCTTTAAAGTCTACTGGCCCTAACATTATTTTCTTCGTTACTTTATCAATGGTCTCAATAGATGACAGTGTTCAAGTACGTAGAAGACAAGGATGTGTTTCAAAAATTCTACTCCAAGATGCTTGCTAAGCGTCTTGTGAATGATACTTCGGCCTCGGATGATGCAGAAGCTGGAATGATCTCAAGGTTGAAAGAAGCTTGCGGATTTGAGTACACGGCTAAACTTCAGCGTATGTTCACAGATATGGGCCTATCTAAAGAGTTGAATGATCAATTCAGAGATAAGATGAATCAGAACCATGATGCGTCTGAAAATACGGTGGACTTTTCTATTCTTGTACTGGGCACAGCATCATGGCCATTGCAGCCTCCCAGTACATCGTTCAACTTGCCAGATGATGTTGTCAAGACCTATGAGCGCTTCCAAGCGTTTTACCAGGATAAGCATCAGGGTCGTAAACTGAATTGGCTCTTTCAGCTGTCTAAAGCTGACTTGAAGACAAATTATATTAAAGCCAGCAAGACTGGCTATACTTTCCAGACTTCCACTTATCAAATGGGCATTTTGCTGCAATACAACAGTGGCCTCTCTTATACATTAGAGGAACTGCAGACACAAACAAACCTCAATTCGGACATTTTGGCCGGCGCATTAGGAATCTTGGTCAAGGCAAAGGTTCTCTTGCTGGAGAACGGAAAAAATGTTGGAGATGCTGGCACGAGATATGAGCTAAACACTGAATTTAAGAGGTATGCAACAAACAACCTTTTTATTTCTTTTCTTGTGAAATGTCAAATTCAAATATTCAAATACTCAAAGTTTACCTCTCCTCCTTTATTTCTGTTGGCTAACGATATAATATAATAGTAAAAAGATTCGCGTGAATTTGAACTTGCCTCTCAAAGCGGAGCAAAAGATAGAGACGGAAGAGACACACAAGACAATTGAAGAGGACCGCAAGCTGGTGATGCAGGCAGCGATTGTCCGTATTATGAAGACTCGTAAGGTGATGAAGCACGTAGCCCTGATGAATGAGGTTATTACGCAACTTCAGTCTCGTTTCAAGCCTCGTGTGCCTGATATCAAGAAGTGTATTGATGTTCTCTTGGATAAGGAGTATATCGAGCGCGTGGAAGGACAGAAAGACATGTTCTCTTATGTTGCCTAAGTAAAAGAGAAGAGAAAAGAAAAAGAAAGAAAAAAGAAAGAAAAAAAAAGAAAAAAAAGAATAAATAATAAAACTAAAGTTCTAGTCTATCTAATGTTTGCATATTGAAAGATGTGGTGTCGATGGTGGCTAAAAAAAAAAAAAAAAAAAAAAAAAAAACGAAGCGATCATCTTATTCAGTCCAATCAACCTTTGCATTAGTTCTTTCTAAGCTTGCTACTTTATTAGGAAAAGGTATTCTTAATGTCTCCATCTACTCGGAGTATTGGAGATATGAAGGGATAGATTATGTTGTGTTGATTATAAGAATGATATGCAAAGGACATGAACCTGATTATTATTATTGTTATTGTTACTTGGTGCCTGCTGCTGTAGAGGACCCTTCCGAATGGTTGATAACATGAATACTACCTAGCATCACTGGAGTGGTTGTATCGCGGCCATGGCGGACTTGACCGGCTTCGAGATCTATTTCATTGACTTCGTACTTTTGGGGTGAAAAGTGCTGCACATCCGTGCTGCTAGACTGTGAATGCTGCTTGGATCGATGATCAACCACCAGTTCTTCCCAGCGAGATCCCGGAGTGCCATCTTCAGACTGATGCATACGAAGATCCAAGCCATCACACCAGCGAATAGCTCCAGTCAGCCAGACGTTGTATTGCATGGGTACAAAGGCTACACGATCATACTCGCCTCGGTCGTAGCCAATACCAGGTCCACGGATGCGATTCAGGCGGTGTTGGAGCTGGGCCTTCTTGGTGGCAAAACCCGAAGTAGTCGATTTGGCCATTGCTGTCGTGTCGCCGTTCACGGCCTCCTTTTCATCTAGGTTACCGCTCTCCAAATCATTTTCATATTGCTTCTCTTGTTCATTGATTTCTGCCCAGCGATCGTCGAAAACGATGTACTTCTCATGATTGCGTCGGATGCCAAAGTATTCCTTCTCCATTACTACGTCGATCGTAGCCATATAAAGCGACCAAACAGCATAGGTGATAAAGACAGCCAGAACAACATCAACAGTATAGTGAAGACGAGTTGCTACGACAAAGTAGAGGCCAACTGTGATGTAGATGTACGTAAAATAAGTGATCCATCTATTTCGGCAATAGAGACGCCACTGAATAGCACAAGTAACCCTACATAATAGCAGAGGAAAAAAAAAAAAGAAAAAAGAAAAAAAAATCAGCAAGGTGCAATTATAAAAAAGAGACGCGAATGACAACAGAAAGAGATGCATTCATAGGTTAGAAGAATAACGCGTGGATTCGCAAGATGCTTACATAAAGACCGTGTGTCCAGAAAAGATGTCATCAGTACAGGCCTGGACTGTTCCTGGAATCATTTGCAAAGCGATCCACAACATGGGTCCAAATCCTCGCTTAGTCGCAGGGACGCAGTCTACCTTGGGCGTAGGCATGGTGGTAACTGAAAGGGTGAGGGCACGAAGGATACTGAGTGTACCTACGACCCAGAAGACTCTTCTTATAGCAATAATACGGGCAGTCCAGGTAGGGCAAATCAAGGCTACACCGACGAGCGTAAAGATAACGGAGGTCATGACAAAGACGTTGGCAGGCGTAATATCCTTTTGAGCAGGAAAGATGTCAAAACCTCGGTCTTCAAGATAAATTTCTCTGTAGTTTGTGGTGACCCAACGATGGTCCGAAAACTGGTTACAAAAGGCCATACCAATACAGATGACCACAAAATAGATAAGACCAAAGAAGGCCCGACCAAGCTCCGAATTAACAAAACGACTCCAACATCCCCTGTTGCTTGATTTATGATGTGATGTGACCAATTCAACGTCGTTAGGCTGATCCGAGCTAGAGTAAGGACGAGACCCTGAAGGTGATTCTGTTGAAGGGTTTCCAACCATGGTTGTGTTGCTGTGCCTGTTAAGCATCTCCTTATTTGTAGGCGTCTGTAACGAGTCAATAGAGCTTAGTTGTTCTGTGCGCGTGGCAGCGAGTGAAGCCATTTTTTATTTTATTTTTTTCTTTAGCTTTGTTGTAATGATCTTCTCTTTCTAAAAATGAGTTTAGGTAGAATACAAGAGAGAGAATGGGGTATGATGAGCGGTCTTGTATCAGTTTTGTTGGTGGGTTTAGAATGATAAAGGTCATGGAAACTGCAATGGGAAAAAAGAGAGAAGGTGGGTCAAGGATTTGACCGAGGAGGATGAAAAGACATTTTTATCAGGCAGGGCAAGTTAGGAATGGAACGACGAGCAATGTGAGATGTATAATCCGCACGATACGGATGCAAGAAATAAAGACGCCAACGGCCACACAACGATTCGAAGGAAATTTTCTTTCGATGAGATAAAGGGGGAAAGGGAGTATCGCCCATGTATTTGTTTGTTTGTTGGTTGTGCATGGAAAGAGCTATTTCTGAAGGCCAAATTAAAAAAGAATGACTAGACATGCCCCACACACCATCCACCATCCAAGAAAGTATTCATGGCGGCACGCTATTCAGACAACAGCCACAGGGCTTGTGTAGCGTCTATTTGATAATTCTTAGGAGGTTTTTTGGAGTTGCCAAACATGGCTGAAGTCTATTTCTCAATCCAATCTTATTAAAGATTCTACCAACCACAACAGCCAACAGGGGGCGTAAAAAAATGAAATTCTTTGAAAGAGTCAACAGGATGATTGTTGTGTGGGTTAAAAAACAAAGCAGAATGTAATACATGAGCAATCACAGTATGCACATTTATAAAGACTGCATTCAGATGGTGAACTGGCTCGACTGTTTGGAGTTGTGTGGTATGAATAATCTTTCCAAATAAACCGTTACATGAATACATGTATATTTTTTTTTTTTTTTTTTTTTTTAGATCTTCTTTTATGAGAGAATTATGAATGTTTTAATTCTTTTTTTAACTTTTTTTTATAGACAAATGTATATGAAGAGCCAGGAAGGAAGGGTGTACAGGGCGGAACGAATCATCTGACAGGCCAAAATCAACTGACGGACCAAATCTTACAATTATGAATGATGACAAAGGTGGTGTGAGTGAAGTTGAAGTAGTACAGATGATGGACGCAATGACTTCAACCACACGTAGAAACAGTAATAAAAAAGAAAGAAAAAGAAAATATCGATTGGGATAATGGAGAACTAAAAAAGGATGGTAATGAGTGATGGCAAATGGTTGAAGTAACTCACCAAGGGAGGAAGAAAGTTCAAAGTCAATCCCAGACCACAGATGAGGCAATGGAGAAGAGCTTGATGAGAATGAGTAGAGAGGGAAAGAGGAAAGAGAAGAGGAAAGAGAGGGAAAAGGGAAGGAGGAGGGAGAAGGAGGAGGGAGAAGAAAGAGAGAGAGAGAGAGAGAAGAGAGGGAAGAGAGGAAGAGGACAAAGAAAGGGTTGAGGTGTAACCCAAAGTGATGGTACCTGAGACTATGGAGAAAGATATAGGACTATACCATAGAAAGACATGATAAAAATATTTCTTTGTTTCTAATTTAAAATATTTAATTTAAATTGCTTTTTACTTTTTACTTCACGTATGAACATGCAGAACATGCATGCATACTTTTCACACAGATCGGCTCTCTCTCTTCTCTTCTCTTCTCTTCTCTTCTCTTCTTTCCTTTCCTCTTCCCTTTCCGTCAAGAAAGGAATTCAGTTCTATCAAACGTGAATTCCAACCATCGTGTTGATCCATGTTCCTTTAGAATTGTTTGACTAAGAAAATGGAAATACCAAAGTTCAAAAAGTAAACCTTATCTCAAATGAGCAAACTCACAATCAGTATCCACATAACAGCGCAGCGCAAATGGAGCTTATCACGTGGATAGCCCGTGACTAGCCCCTACACCACCCTATTATGATAACCTTTATCAAAAGCAAGTTCTTTTTTTTTTGCATCAATCACAGATTATTCTTCATGACATCCAAACAAGACGAAAACTTTGATCTATACGACGATCCTTACGCGGCGTCAGCTGGAAATGGGGGCGCAGATCCCTATGCAGAGGATGATGATGACTATTATCACAGCAGTCATGGAGACCGCGGACGAGGAGGCTACAATGATGGTGCAGATGCAAATGATGATCAGTCTCGCTTCCAGAACTCTCGAGAAAATCATGACAACAGCTCTCGGTACAAAGCAGACGACTATGGTGGCTCGTATGGCCAAGAGAAGAATCAGCAGAATCAGTATCAAGCTCCTGACTCTACTGGTGGGTATGATCCAGCAGAGCCATATCATCAACGAAATGCTGCCTATCAACCCCAACAACAACAATCGCCACTAGCACAACAACCACAGTCTCAACAGCAGCAGCAACAGCAACAACAGCAACAGCAACAACAGCAGCAACAACAGCAACAGCAACAACAGCAGCGACAACAAGTGCCTCTACAATATACAAGATCTCAACAAGGCTCAAATTATAATTCTGACGGAGGAATCTATAATCAACAACAACGTCAACAACAACCTCAGCAGTCCACGGGTTCTGGCGGACGCGAGCTTGGGTAAGATGATGACATTAAATGAATATTGACTGATTTCTCATTACTACTCTCTGGACGATAAAAGGAATCAAAGCATTCCAAAGCACTACTTTGGTTTTTGGAAAGCGTCACAGCAGGAGTTGCGGGTCTCAGCCTTACCAAATCATCGCCTTTGAGATGTACAGCAGGGTAGTAGGCAATGGTTGGTAGAGGGGAAATAGTGTGCAGCCGGAATCTCACCCTTTTCACAGGATCGAGTATAGTTGGCATAACATTTTTGTTTACTCTATGCCCTAACGAGAGAATCGCCAGCGAGTGTGTTGGTTAGCTATCTACGAACTAGTCTCACTTTTCACTTTCATACTTTGCATATACAACATTCGCTTTACCTCTTCTTATTCGTCACTTTGCTCATCCCTGTAACATCCTACCACACCAGCTGCTTCCTAGAGAAAACCCCTGTCTTTTTTTTATATTATCGATCTATTTTTTGAGAGACATAGGCATAGCTATCTAATGGGCCAACTCAGTAATAGTTATGCAGAGACAGACAGATACACAGAAAAAAACAGTTGCAAAAAAAAAAAAAAAAAAAAAAAAAAAAAAGGCTTCAGAGATATAAGATAGGTCGTGTAGAAGTTATACACACAATCCTAATGAAGCAAAAATGATTTCACTCAGGTAGCTAATCGGACTCCTCCCTTTTTTCCCTTTTTAACCCTGCTATGCTGCTCTTATGATATGCCACGCCTGCAATATTTGGGTCGTCCCCTTCATGCATTGTTCAAATACATCTTTCTGATGGTCTTCTCTTTTATCACGAAATGGTGTGCTCTGGGCATTGTACTACGATTCCACGTCTGTGCAAAAAAAAAAAAAAAAAAAAAAAAAATGCATATAATGATAATGATTTTACAGCAAGATGTTTATTGGCGGCTTGAATTGGGAAACCACAGATGGTAAGTGTACTATTGATAGGAGTTATATTGAACGAATGCTTTTCTTGCTTTGTTGCAAGGAATATTACCTGATAAGCAGTTTTATTTACTCCTGGATTTGGTAGAGAGCTTGAAAACATACTTTTCGCGTTATGGTGAACTGACAGACTGTATGGTCATGAAGGATCCTATCTCCAACAAGTCCCGTGGATTTGGTTTTTTGACATTTTTGGATCCAAAGCATGTAGATGATGTGTTGAAGGAAGACCATTATTTAGATGGCAAGATGGTAACGATAAAACTTATTACTCTGGACGTCCTATTCACGTCTTTGAGGCATGCTATCATTATCATTATCACTATCACTTCATCGATCAATCCTGACACTGTCTTATTCGTACTTGCCTAGATTGACCCTAAACGAGCTATTCCACGAGAGGAACAGGAAAAAACGGAAAAGATTTTCGTCGGAGGCATTGCGCCAGACGTAACGGAGGAAGAGTTTGCAAACTACTTTTCACAGTTCGGACATGTCCTTGATGCCACACTCATGCTTGACCGTGCCACAGGACGTCCCCGCGGCTTTGGTTTCATTACCTTTGAGGACGACCGTTGGGTAGAAGCAGCTCTCAGTAGACGTGATCTCATGTTGCATGACAAACCGGTAGGTCATATTATCCGCTATTTATTTATTTATTTTTTTAAAAGAACTCTCCAATATGGTCAATAACGGTTGGCGCCTCTTTTCACCTTTTTAAATTTAAATTTTGTTTCCCGTATTTAATAGATCGAGGTCAAAAGAGCACAGCCAAAACATCGTGCCGATACAAGAGGCGGTGGTGGCTTTGGAGGGTCAGGATACGGTGGTGGTGGGCAAGGAAATCTTGGCGGCTATGGTGGCGGCCAAGGCGGCTATGGTGGTGGAATGGGAGGCAGCGGACGAAACTATAGCATGGAGGCGATGGGTATGATGGGAGGCGCTGGTTTTAATCCTGGCTTTAGCGGCGGTGCTGGAGGTACAGATCCTTACCAGACTATGGGTGCCTATGCTGCCGCGGCTGCGCGCTATGGAGCGAACCCAGCCGCAGCAGCCGCAGCCGCAGCACTAGCGCAACGGTATCGCATGGCAGCAGCAGCAGCAGCAGCAGCATATGGTGGCGCTGGAGGAGCAGGTGCTGGAGGAGCAAATGCTGGTATGAACAATAATGCTGGTGGAGGTGGTGGTGGATATGACCCTACTGTTGCTTTGTCTGCATTCTATCGCCAGCAATTCGGATATGGAAATGCAGCAGGTGGAGCGGGTGGAGGAGCAGGAGGGGGAGGGAATTCTGGTGGAACCCAAGGGGGCTACAATGCAAATAATACTGCAAGCTATGGCGACCAAGACTCTGGCAACAATCAATCGTCTCAGAGACGGTATGGATTGCAAGATGGATCTTCCGGCTCTGGCTACAATAATAGCGGGGGTTCCCCGTATGGTGGGAATGATTCACGGGGAAGTGGCGGTAGCGGCTACGGCACAGGACGTAACGCATCTAGTTCTGGTGGGGGTCGTCAGGGTAATTCTTCTGGCGGTCCCGTGCGTGGTGGAGCTAGTGGCAGTGGAAGTGGTGGTGGCACATCATCTTCAGGTCATGGACGAGGAGGTGGATCATATCATCCATACCAACGTTGAGCAAGGCTACCTCTGAGGCCCATACTTTTATAGTTTAGTGCATCGACAGTTTTTTTTTCTTCGTAATTCAGTGCATTTGATATTTGTTGAAATCAGGGTGCATAACCAAATGTGATTACTATGTATTTCGTGTGTTTGATTTATGAGCTATTATTACAAGTGCTGCTTGTCCTGTTCCTATTCTTGCCTCTACTGTATCCCTTTTTCTCCTCGACCATTAGTTTACAATGCTATGAAGACATTATACGAAAGCATTTCTCCTGACGAAGCCCGTAGGATTTACTCTTGCTCCACCTTTCTACTTGTGGCATCTTCAATTTGTATCATTCTGATACAAGCCCTGTTCATAAATATAATCGATCACTGCTGTAGGTAAAAGGTACTTGATCGACATGCCCCTACGAATGAACAGTCTATGAAACACATTTTTACAAAAATAAGCTCATAAGAATATACCCAAGAAGACACACAATTTAATTGATCGAATGTTGTTCATGACTTGCCTGATTTTCGTGGAGCTAATATCGTTATAGATGAGTTGCTTGATTACGAAGACATTGTGTCGATGCTTGTAAAGAACGTCATGAGATAACAAGAACTCATACACATCTGATCCTGTCCTTTCCAAAATAAGGCATCCATATTTTCCAATAATGTGATGAAGCTATGCGTAACATTAGGGAAAAAAAAAACAAAACAAAAAGCATGTGTTGGCCTTTGATTACATTTTCAACTCGAACTAACTCAAACTCTTAAAGTGTAGTAGATATAATTTAACATACATCAGCCGTTGCCCACACATCGGGTGCAGCAAAGGACTGCACTAAGTCTCCACCAGCAAGGAGCATGATTTTGATGGGCTTGTATTCACCTAAACGATAATTGTGTTATAAAAAATGTTTTCAGGATTTTGATGAAAGAAAGAGATCATCCCAACGGTACCAAATATTATTAGTACACAGGCCAACCGTAGATCACATACCATTCTTCAGCCTAATACCACCTTCGCCATCAGCACCATTGAGCTCTGCCTGAAAATGATCAAGCACAATGGCAGTTCTCTGGTAGCTGGTCTGTAGACTCTCCCAACTGTCGACCATGAGCCACGAGCTCGATTTCTCTACTGCCAACTCACACATACGCACTCTGTGTCTTGCTTCGGCCAGACCTTGTTTTTGATAAAAGTCGGATACTGGCGAAAAATATCCCGCCAAGATTTCGAAATTAGTGTTTTCCATAACATGGTCCCTGGCCATTTCTACAGCAGACAGTCAACAAATACAAAATAGATGATAAGAATCAATTGGTGTTTCTGATACGTTTAGATTTCAAAATATTGAGCAACGACAGAGTTTCTTTATAATAGAGGATCATGAAATACCAAACATTCGCAGATGCAGATATGTGATGGGAGAGAAAGATCCACATGCAACGATTACTAACGGCGTCTTGGTTTCGTCTAAGAGAAGTATGACCAAGGAGCATAGAGAAACAGAGAAACGTTAAGTATGATTTTTAGATGCCATTTAATCATTGGTTACTTCCATGGCATCAGACCACAGCACAGTGGCGTGCCCACATAGAGCAAAGTATGATTTAGCCTGTAAAGCAATGAAAAAAAAAAAAAAAAAAAAAAAAAAAAAAGCGAGGTACAGAGCATTACATCGTACCATTCATTTGAAGTGGCAGACGGTCTCGCGGGAAGGTGTACTTGGAATTATCGAAGAACTCTGTGGACCCATAGGCCTCAGTGTGTCGTCGATCTGAGGAGCTAAAAATGGTTTTCAAAGAGAGTTTTGCTTAGTATTAGTCATTGGTCAAAAAAAATAAAAAGTTAAAGCAAAGAGACCCTTGCTGATGAATAAGACTAATCAATCTGGTATAATTGTTGGTGAAATATATCTCTTCTTGCGTATCCGTGGGTGAACGAATTCATTATTGATAGTGATATTTAATTTGCCATTAGGACAGAAGGAATTGTATGTATTCAATATGACAATGCCAATAATGATATCGATAATGCAACGCAGAGGTAGATCAGAACGTATTCTGTTGGGTATTGGGGCTTGGGCTGACCAATAGAGGCCAGGAGAGGAAGAAAGAGAGAGAACGGGGAAACGAGAAAAAGAAACAGTCAATGGACAACAGAATGAGTAGGTTGGGATGTGAACTGAGAAACATGCCTGTTAAGATTCCAGATGTTATCATCCACTGGCATGGGAGGAGGCATCGCAAAAAAAAAAAAGATAAAATAAAAAAAAAAAAAAAAAAAGAGTAAATGAACAAGGTAGACGGATCGATGGAGTAGAAAGAATGCGTGAACAATGATAAAAGGGCAAAAGCGTGGAGAGTAGTGAAGGTGAATGGTAAAAAAAGAGAAGAGAAGAAAAAAGGGACAGCACAGCCAGCCAAATGGCTTTTTTGCACTGTGCTTGAGGGTCTGACTTGAAGCGATTTCAGTGGCAAAAAACTTTGAATGTCTAATTAGGCCAGTCATGTTTGGCCACAGATTTGCGTCTTGATGCGAATTGGTCTGTTGCTTATTGCTGTAAAGCACAAATATGATCTCAAGTGGATCAAATGGATTAAAATGGACCCCAGCCCGCCTGTAGTGCGGGGAGGGACACTAGATCTTGTTATACTCATATACTCAACTGTCTATCATAAACTATGGTTCCGGTCAGACCCGTAAGATTACGGAAATCATGAACATTGCAGGAGGATGGATATCTTCCATACGTCCATACGACACAATATTAACGTGGATTAGGAGATACATTGAGAGAGAAGCTAACTTGTGCTGCTTACTTCGGGGTCGCTCTTTGATTGTGTACGTTGTGTCTTGGAAAACACTCCAGCTTTCGGAATTTAGACGCACCCATCCAATTTTTTACATTTATCCTGCACGACTGCACCCTAGCAAAGCAGGTCGTCTGACTTCAAAGTTAGGCAGATATTATTTCACAAAGTCGCATGCATTTCCTTTTTTTTTTTTTTTTTTTTTTTTTTTTTTAATGTAGGATTCAAAATCTACTGAGGCTCTTCTTGGTTTTCAGAGTGCATTCTTGAAAGATATGCGCGAATGAACGTGCTCTCTTCTAGGCAGCTTGTTTGTGCCTCTCCTAGAAAGTTTCCCATTTGAACTAATTGATTCATCTCCTCAATACGATAGCTTTTCATCGTAGACACTAAACTTGATATTTGCATCTCAGCCTCAAATTGGCGACAAGTGATCGGGTGCTCTTGATCAGGCTCCAACAAAGTAGGCATCAGGCAATCACCAGTATGGTTGCAGAGTCTTCTTGTAGCTGGAAGTCTTGGTGAGGCTACGCTGGATGGAGTGTCCGGCCTGCTCTCGCTCTGCGAGTCAATTTCGTAGTTGATGGCGCGGACAATCGCTAAATCGTCTGCAATTTGCACCTTATCTCCAGTCTCCATAATCCTTGTAATATAGAATTCAACTCGATCGGCCAACAAAACCAATGAACGGAGAATCAAGACTGGATAGATATCAAGTTTTGGTATGATTTTACGGAGCTCCTCTTTCGAAACAATCTTAGTTTCTTGGATTGTCAACATGAGGCGGCCTACAGACCCTTCATCCATCAAATCTGCTTCTTCCATTTGTTCCTCATCATCTTCAACCTCCTGAGTGACGCAAATTTTGTCATCAGGTTCCTCGATTAGAGCCCCAATGCCATCTTCTTCGTTCAGGGCGTAGAGCCAAAGAAGGCACTGTGACTCGTGAGTAATCCACAGCCCTTTACAAATCTCTACCAAATCACACGGCCCGTCGTGCTTATCCATATAAACCGTTATCCTTGGAGGAATGCCTAGTCGCATCAAAGTGTGTGCCTTTGGCATATAATAAGGATCATCTTCATCCATTGGCATAGCTAGCGTTATAGTTTTAGTTGGGTTATCATGCAAGGTGAACCCATATAGAAACCTATATCAACATGATTCAGTAAGGACATTTTAGTGAACTATTAGCACAGCAATGAAGCCTTGGTTCAATGTGTTCATCTACTACCAAGGCTTTAAATCTTTTGAACCCATAATAATAAAAGAGCCTTACAATAACTCCACGTTGGGCTTATTTCCATATGACAAGAACACTTCTCGTCTTTTCGACTTGGTTCGATTCTCATCATTCTCAACGCTATCCAAATCCTTTAGTAGCGATTCTTTAGCCCATACTCGAAGACCATCCGGATCTACTTGCCAACGAATGTTTGGATATGTCGCGTGGTTAGCAAAATCGAGGAAAGGAACCATATGTAGATCGTCGGTCTGGTGATCTGGCTTTGATGCCAGTCCGTCATCGGTGCTCTTGTCACTGTCCCATTGAGTCTGGAATGACAGCACACGAGACCAAAAAATGGCATCCGCCCATATAAAGTTGTCAAGCGATGGGCGGATGGCCCAATGGTCAAATACACCAAGATTGCCACTCAGTAGCTCAAACTCAGCCTCTAGTTTTGAGCGTTTAGCGCAAACAGAGTCGAGCAATAATGTTCCTGCAAGGTAACCACGAACCAGATCCGGGTCCAATGTAACTGGTGTACAAACATCAGGCAACATAGCGATATACGGCTCAAAGAGCGATGCTGCCGAAAAGTTCTCAGCATTGGTTGGAGTTGTATTGTCAAAAGTAGGTAAAGGTTCTTCCAGGACACATACTCCATGATCTAGCAGTAGTCGTTGGTAAAGGAGGAAGAGAAGGATAACGAGTCGCTCTGTAAGCAAGTCGGTACTAAGGACGGCAAAGGTACGTTTTAAGGCAAGACATGGAAGCTTGAGAACACGGGAACGAGAGATAATTAGATCATGAGGCACAAACAGCAATTCGCCTTCATGTTCACTTCCACATTTGAACTCAGATTTCAACTGGTGAACAAAGGCAGGATCAATAAAGAGACCATTTCCTTTGCCAGAAGATGTATGAGGTTCTAATACAGTACGAACGGAATGCTCTGTTGCCCATCTGCGGAAGTTTTTAAGTGACGGAGACATAATGTAACGGCTACAAGAGAGTTTCAAGAGTAAGCGAGAAGATAAGAGTGAAGCTGGATTCTACAGGCGCCGCATGACATCATATAATGGACGCTCTTGCACTAATAGAGAATCCGTGTGTCTACAATGGATCCATACATTCTATATATTCATAACAACCTCTAATCGCACAATTAAATCGCAGCGTGTCAGATGGCATCATCTTGTACTGTCCATATCCAACACCATTCACAGCCTCTCGCTCTTTCGCTCTTTTTCTGACTATCGCATACTCCCTATCCAAGCTGCTATAACTCAGGTCCCTCTTTCTTGATCAGTTTCTTTTTCTTTCGCACGCTTGAGCAGTAGCTAGGACAGGACTTGGAACCGTCATATCCCCTCCATTTACACCTGTCCTTTAAGTTTATAATAAAATATTATAATACGTATGACGATTAGAGACTCCACCACAAAAATTATGCAGACGTCCACAAAGCTTCTAAGCGTTCTTATAAACATACAACTGCTCTGTTTGGTATCGTTGATCTATACAACGTTATAATCACACGCGTACAAGTTTTTATTATTTTTATTATTATTTTTTTTTTATTTTTCCCCGCCTACTTCGAATCGAAGAGCAATAGTGTCAAGGGCATTGCTTCTCAACTAAAACACCTTTGGATTCTTGCGGCCTTGCAAAGTGGCCTGATCCAGCTTTGGAACTTCAGGATGAGTACGTTCCTCGAGCGGTTAGATGAGCACGGTAGTAAGTCATCAAATAGTCACGAGGGATGATGAAACGGCATCACCTATATCATTTCGCATTATATTCCTATTATGCGCCTGTTATACAGGCCTTATCCGAAGAGTAGCATTCCATCCCTTTCAATCCTCGTTTGTATCCGCTGGAGATGACTGCAAGATCAAGGATTGGGGCTATAAAACACGACGGTGCCAGTTCACGCTCACGGACCAACACGAGCACCTTTAGATCCTTAGGAAGAAGTAGGAGAATCTTTTTATTTTTACTTTTTATTAAGAGAGCAGAGGGTATACCAGACAACTATGAGCTAAGCCTCCCATTCGCAGGGGCTGCCTTTATTTCTCTTTGAACAGCTCCCAGCCATTTCATAAAGTTCGTAATAATTACCTTTGTGTATTGAACTAGTTATTCTTCTTAGAACTTGTAGGAAAGAGAAACTAAAGCTGTCTTTTTGGCTGAAAGAGCATTACAGGGTATCTCAGCAATACCCATAGCTTTAGCAATTCACACACTCTATCCAACACCATGGGCAGAATCATCCTGCTAAAATTTGCTTCAATATCTTTATTGATGTCACTCCAAATGCATATATACTTGCTGATGATACCCAATTATGAAATAACCTTGCGTGTAGGTGCCAATCAATACTCACTTCGGCAAAGTAACCAACGTTATTGTCACTCTCTAGTATCTCTACTATTCTTCCTCGGGACTGTTATCCATAGCATTTTGAAAGTTGGTGCTATCTCTTTCATCTTCCCTCTCCAACTCAGTAGCATTTTACTGCTTTCTCTCGGCTTCTACAACCTTTTCATCCTGGGGCTGCACTATAACAGAACATTTATCATGTTAGACTTTTAATCATGACGCCTGAAAAAACGCGTTATATTTAACGCGTTCGCGATGGCAAATTCAAATCACGTGAATTCGCAATTTTTTGGAGGGCATTTGTGTTCTCGTCAATGTATGAATGTCGAGGCGAGACAGGGCGTGCCACGATGGCATCCTCTCATCATCTTATGTTGATTGCTCATTTCTAACAACATTCACAGTCTTCGTTCTTCTTATTTTTCATTATTTTACCTTTTTCATTCTTCTTTATTCGACTACTACATCTTTCCATCCTGGCTACTATAGTCCAGATCCTTCTTTCTTGATCAGTTTCTACTTCTCTCACATTCTTGAGCAGCAGTTAGGACAAGACTTGGGACCGTCATAAACGCCAACGGACACCCACTAGACTCTACCACTTCCATTTATTCTACCCTTTCTTCTTTCAAGATGCAAATGCTCACAAAGGTTTCAAGGCTTGTTACAAACACAACTGCTCTGTTTGCCAACGTCGGCCTATGCAATGTTACAACTACATGTGGACTTAAGTTTTTTTATTTTTTTTTTCCTCACCTAGTTCGAGTCGAAGAGCAATCGTGTCAAGGGCATTGCTTTTCATCCAAAACGACCTTGGATCCTTGCAGCCTTACATAACGGCTCTATCCAACTTTGGGACTATAGAATGGGCACACTTCTTGAGCGGTTTGATGAGCATGATGGTAAGAAAGACAGACAGACAATACAGACTTTACAGAACGGAGCAGAGCAGAAAATCGGATCGTTAGATAGTAGATAAGCACACAAACAGGCAGTAACAAATGTCAAATGTCAAATTATACAAGAAATTGCGGAACGCCTTTTTATGAATTTTTTATTTGCCTCATAGTCATAATATCGTTTTCTTTTTTCTGCCGTATACTACTTCTTCTACTTTTACTTCTATAAAAAGGCCCTGTCCGTGGAATTGCATTCCATCCCTCTCAACCCTTGTTTGTATCTGCTGGTGATGATTACAAGATCAAGGTCTGGAATTATAAGACGCGACGGTGCCAATTCACACTCACGGGCCATCTAGACTATGTGCGCACAGTATACTTTCATCACGAATATCCTTGGATCCTCAGTTGTTCAGATGATCAAACGATTCGTATCTGGAATTGGCAGTCTCGCAACTGTATCGCCATTCTGACAGGTCATAATCACTATGTTATGAGTGCACAATTTCACCCTAAAGAGGATTTGATTGTCTCTGCATCTCTGGATCAGACAGTTCGTGTCTGGGACTTTTCAGGCAAGTTTTTTTTGTGTATGTATTCTTAGCTGTCATTATTTACTCGTATATTTACACTATACACTCCATTCTCCCCACATACCTTTTTGTTGCTGTTAGGCCTCAGAAAAAAGAATGCTGCACCCGGAACTGTTGCGTATGACGAGAGTGCGCACCGTGCATCACAGCAGGCAGACATTTTTGGAAGCACCGATGCAGTTGTGAAATATGTCCTTGAAGGCCACGATCGTAGTGTCAATTGGGCAACATTCCACCCAACCTTGCCTCTGATTGTTTCTGCCGGTGATGATCGCCAAGTTAAGCTTTGGAGAATGAATGGTAACTTTTTTTTTTTTTTTTTTTTTTTTTGCCGCTTTTAATTAGCGTGGTAGCTAACCGCGAGTCCTTTTTTTATATATTAATTCAGAGACCAAGGCTTGGGAGGTTGATACTTGCAGAGGACATACCAACAATGTTTCATGCACCATCTTCCATCAGCGTCAAGAGCTCATCATTTCGGTGGCAGAAGACAAATCCATCCGTGTATGGGATATGTCAAAGCGTACTGCTGTGCAGACATTTCGCCGGGAACACGACCGATTCTGGGCATTGACAGCCCATCCTGAGCTCAACTTGTTTGCAGCTGGTAAGGTGTTAAGCAATATTTATGTGGTGCTATATGTTGTTCCCATTCGAAATCGGTGGATAAGGATAATGTCACTGACTCATAGCTGTGGTCTTTTTTTTTTTTTTTTTTTTTTTTTTACCTATAAATCAAATTGCAGGTCATGACAACGGCTTGATTGTGTTCAAATTGGAGAGAGAACGACCGGCTTATGCTGTACACCAAGCAAATTTGTTCTACATCAAGGACAAATATTTACGCGTCTATGACTATGGCACCTCACAGGACACAGCAATGTTGTCAGTGCGTCGCGCTGGATCGCAATTTGTCCAACCAAGAGCATTATCGTACAATCCTGCGGAGCGGGCTGTGCTGATCACATCCACTGTGGATGGAGGCACATATGAGCTGTACAACTTGCCTAAGGATTATGGCGGAGATGCACGTGAACCAGCCAATGAGGGCAAGCGAGGATCAGGCAACTCAGCGATCTTTATTGCGCGCAATCGATTTGCGGTCCTTGAAAAGGTGGCGCAGACGATTACAATTCGCGATCTGCAGAATAACAGTACAAAATCGTTCAAGGCACCCAACGTGGTGAATGAGATATTTTATGCAGGTACGGGTCAATTATTGTTAAGTACACCAACATCAGTGATCTTATATGATATTCAGCAGCGGAGGACAATCTCGGAGGTGACGACGCCTCCGGTCAAGTATGTCGTATGGTCGACGGACATGGCATATGTGGCTCTGCTGAGCAAGCATACGATCACGGTTGCGACCAAGTCATTGGAACAGACATGCTTGATCCACGAGACTATCAGGATTAAGAGCGCAGCATGGGATGACAGTGGCATCTTGATTTACTCGACGTTGAACCACATTAAATACGCACTTCCTCAGGGGTAAGTAGGAGAATGTTTTTATTTTTTATTAAGAGAGCAGAGGGTATATCAGATAACTATAAGCTAAGGAAATGGTATTAACTATTTTATTATTTCTGTTCTTAATTGTTCATTTCCACTTTTTTATTCTATTATATAGTGATAATGGAATCATTCGTACATTGGACCAGCCCATCTACCTAACGCGGGTCAAGGGCAAGAACGTTTACTGCCTGGATCGAGATGGCAAGACACGAACGATCTCTATTGATCCAACTGAGTATCGATTCAAGCAGGCGCTGACGAAGCGCAACTATGATGAAGTTCTGCAGATTATCCGTAACTCCAACTTGGTGGGACAATCCATCATTGCATATCTGCAAAAGAAGGGCTACCCTGAGATTGCACTTCACTTTGTACGTGATGACAAAACACGGTTCGAGTTGGCGTTGGAGTGCGGCAACCTAGAGGTAGGATTGGAAACAGCCAAATCGATCAACAAGGAAGAAAGTTGGAACAAGTTGGCACAGGAAGCGCTTCGACAGGGCAATCACCAAATTGTGGAGATGTGCTATCAGCGCGTCAAAAACTTTGACAGACTTTCGTTTTTGTACCTGGTAACTGGAAACACAGATAAGCTATCTCGAATGCTCCAGATTGCGGAACTTCGCGGTGATGCCATGTCACGCTTCCACAACTCGCTGTTTTTAGGCAATGTCGAGGAGCGTGTTCGCTTGCTGCGTGAGATTGGACAGGGTAAGAGAGAAGGAGGGAGAGGTTTTAAAGTTTTAATTCATCCGAACTGGGGTTTTTTTACTAATTTTTGCTAATTAATTTCATTATGGCTTTAGCCCCGCTGGCATATTTGACCGCCAAGACACACGGCATGAACGATATTGCTGAGGAGATTCTAGAAAGCTCTGGATTGACAGCAGAGGATGTTGTAGATCTTCCGAGACAGGGTACACTGCTGGTTCCACCACGACCACTGATGCGTATACACGACCTGAACTGGCCACAGCTTTCAGTGTCGCGCAGCTACTTTGAAAGTGTGTTCTCAGGAGATATGGAGGGTGTTGCACCACAGGCGCCATTTACAGCATCGGAGCCGGAACCCCAAGTAGACCAATGGGGCATGGATGATGAATTTAGCATTCAAGCAGTGGAGCAGAAGGGAGCATCTTTGGCACCAATTGGGAACGATGGATTTGACGTTGATGGTGAGGGTGGATGGGATTTGGATGCAGATCTTGCAGCAGAACTACATGCGGAGACTGGAGCTATTGTTGCTGAGGATAGTGGGCTGACGATCCCTGTTGCTGGGCAGAGCGAAGGAGAAATTTGGTGCCAGAACTCGCCATTGGCAGCGGACCATGTAGCAGCAGGAGCATTTGAGTCTGCGATGCAGGTAAGTGGATGAAGATGATAGAAGAGGGAATGTAATGTTAAAGTGTTTATAGTGGTTACTTCGCTAATAGAGAACCATCGTTATTATGTTGGATTCCTCTACACAGCTCTTGAACCGACAAGTGGGTGCAGTCAACTTTGAGCCACTCAAGGACCACTTTTTGTCGATTTTCCAGGCCAGTCGTGCGATTGTTACTGGTAATGAAGGCATGCCGCCGATTACACTACCAGTTCGCCGCAATCCTACGGAAACTGATTCAAGGAAAGCGTTGCCTGTGCTTGTCAAGAATTTCCAGTCATTGATCTCCAAGGAGTTGCAGGATGCGTACAAGCTGACAACGTCGAATAAGATCACAGAGGCATGCACGTTGTTCAGAAGTATTCTACATACTCTATTATTGACAGTTGTTACTCAAGCATCAGAGGCTGAAGAGGTATATAAGCATGATTATAAGGACGTTAAGGCGCCCATCATAGGCAGCGGTTTTTTTTTTACACGTTTTGTATATTTGTATTTTGATAAATTGCAGACTAATTTAATGAAACGCATTGAATTCTGGCTTTAAAAAAACTCAGGTATTGCAGCTTGTGGGAGTCTGTCGCGAATACATACTTGGATTGAGCGTAGAGCTGAGCCGTCGTGAGGTCCAGAATGACACGTCGGCAGCAGGGATTAAGAGAATGTTGGAGTTAGCAGCATACTTCACAGCGGTCCAGCTGCAGCCAAAACACATGATTATCAGTTTGCGTACAGCAATGACAGCATGCTATAAGCATAAGAATCTACAATCTGCGCAGACATTTGCACGTCGGTTGTTAGAGCTGGCTCCTCCAGGACAGGCAGCAACGCTTGCGCGACAAATCCAACAGGTTGCGGAGCGTAACCCTCGTGATGAGATTCAGCTGGATTATGATCAGGTATGGCAAGTTTTTTTTTTTTTTTTTTTTTTTTTGCTTGATCATTACTTGACTAACTTTTTTTTTATGATCAGTACAACTCGTTTGTGGTTTGTGGCATTTCGTACACGCCCATCTATCGTGGGTCACCCAGTGTACAATGTCCCTATTGCCGAGCACACTTCAAGCCTGAATTCCAAGGCAATCTATGCACAGTATGCGACATCTCACAGATCGGTAGTACCGGGACAGGCATGGTGGTACTTCCCTAGACTCCTTGCTCCAAATGATTGAGGCAAATACCTCCGTATTCCAGACTTCCACTCTCATTTGCTCTGCAATGCAAATAGAAGTAGATTAATAAACTATTCAGGTCATTTTAATACCATGGTTACCAGCGCAATGTTCTACTGACCTTTTTATACCTGCTTCATGCAGTTGAAACAGATATGAGGACCATTACGACCGTGTGCTTGAATTGAAGAGCCTATTGAGGTTTGTTCAATGCTTTGCTAAAAAAGTAAAATTGGGCGTATGTCATATTCGCTTGCTCGTGTTTTCGATTTAAACTCATCCATGTCATCCGTCCTTTGTTCCATCGCTATTTCTTTACCATTCAATTTTTGATCCTTCAGCACTCAATTATTCACCGCCATGATCATCAACCTGTTAACCACAGCTTTGGTCCTGTGCATTCTAGGTGTCGTGCTCCTCTTGATCGCTTATTTGGTATTCGACTCTCACCGCTTTAGCACCCTATACTAAAGTTGCTGGACCTATTTTCCTCCTCCTTCTAGCCAACTCTCATTTACACTTTTTACACTCTATATATTACTAGACTTCACTCGCCATTCTTTTGTTCGTGCCATGGACCCAAGCGTACCTTGTCTTCGCTCATTGGTTACGATTTCAAAACCCTGCAAGGTTGCTCACTCCTGAAGCATATACACTCCGACGTGAGTCTTATTACTTTCATTTTTTATTTTACTGATAACTCTTCATAGCGACTATTTTCTTGACATCTAACTATGCTCACATTCGTATATTTCAATATGACTCCTCAATAGCCTTTAGCACGCGAAATATCCGGATATCCACACCAGACAACTTGCAGCTTGGAGCTTGGCATATCCTACCTATCAACACACCTAGGACTGTTCTGGAAAAGATACATGCAAACGAACCCGCTTCTCCTCGTCTTGATAATGGAAGAAACTCTGATAGCGGCTATGGCATCTTCATCAACGAGCAGACAGAATCCATTTTTGAGGAAGCCTTGAAGACAGCAGATAAAGTTATTCTATATTTTCATGGTCAAGTGGGTGCGTCTAATGTATTAATTTAATAGCCTTGAATGTGTTGCGCACAGGCCAAATGTTTTGCACAGAACCACTCAGCCTCATCTACTATTTCCTTCTAGGCGATCGAGGGAAATCTAATAGGATCGCGACATACAAGGGTATTCAGGAAGCATTGCCTTCTGCTCATATCATCACTATTGACTGTCGAGGCTACGGGGATTCGGAGGGCTTTCCATCTGAGCTAGGTTTCAAAATGGACGCCTTTGCAGCCTGGCAATGGGTAACAAAGCGGGTAGCGAGTGAAAAAGTTATTATCTATGGGCACTCCCTCGGTTCAGGAATTGCAACCAATTTATGCCTACAACTTGAGGAGCAGCAAATCGCACCTTTAGCCATGGTACTTGATGCAGCATTCACTTCAATGCCTGACATGATGACGGCATACAGAAAAATCCCTATTGTCCGACCTTTTGCCCGCTTTCCGTTCCTTTTAAACCATTTCAAGTTGAGATTGATGGATCGCTTTGAAACTGTCCAAGCTGTCGAAACTATAAAGTCTCCGCTGCTGCTGATTCACGGGCAAGAAGATGCGGACGTACTAATCTCAAATTCCCATACATTATTTCACACTGCCCTCACAGCTCGTCGGCTACAGCCATGTACAAAGGAGCTCGCAGTGACCGAGGCTGGGGAAGCAGCTTCAGCAGAAGATGAATTAGCTCGTGCAGGACTAGACCTTTCATTCCAAATTAGCCACTCTACCAGCAGAAATATTAACGCGGACGAAAATCATATCCAACTGAGAACGAAGGGCAAGTCGTGGAGCAAAGGCATTGATGTTCTAGATGATAATTTAGATGAGTCAGATTCTACCAAGGAGTTAAAGCCACCATCGTATAGTGACGACTCTGGTCTCGGTAGCGAGGGTAACAGCGGGAACAGTAGTGTATTTACGACCTCCCCACTCCATGGCTCTGGTGAATCAGTACAAGGGCATCAACAACGTGAACGTCAGCGCAACCGTGGACAAGGACAATGTCACACTGTTCAGCTGGATTTTCCGCGCGAAGGTTCGCTTGAGTATAATCAAGAATACCAAATTGGATTCTTGACAGTGCAATATGCAGCACATAATACCTGTATGGATTTTGTGCTTTCAACAGAGGTTCTGGGGCTGTTCATAAAGACAACAGAGAATCAACGACGTAAGAATACGTCGACTTATGCGAATATCAGTAGGCATGACTGTGATGAATACGACCTAGATCTTGCGTCAGCACTTTGTCGTGACAGGATCGGGTATGTTGACCGGAGCGAAGTGCCTGAGGTGGTAGAGTAAAATTGAGAAGCAAAAATAAACCATAAAAAAAAAAAAATACAAGCTTGTCACGCGAAATTCAATCATCGTTTTTAAAATAGAAATATATTTTAGTTTCACCATCGTCAATGAAAGAGCAGACAATGTAGCATTTCATTGGAATGCACCAACAGATCAGCATTCCTTGATCTAACTTCTAGCATCAGCCGGCCAGTATCTTTTAATTCTTATTCTAGCTCATTCCAGTCATATTATCAATCGTTGCTGTATTAGAATAATCTTATTGAGTGCACTTGAATAAGTGCCATGACCAACAGTTCAACCCTCCAACGAACTTTAGCAACGCCACCACGAAACAAACAAACCACAGAGGCTATTAAGGCATCAAAAGTTATCTATCCAACCAGCTTGCAGCCTGACGCAATGGATCGAGTCCCTACTATGAGCGTAGCTGATAGGTAGGTAGGCGGCTTCTCAACGAGACGATTTAATTTCTTGTCATTGACCCTACATCCGATCCTCAATGAATGTCGAAGTTGTAACACTCACAAGCACTTCCTGGGTCTTTATAGCGTACTCCTCCAGGCAACGCTGAAGCAATCGCGACATACCTGGACTCACACAGCTTTTGCACGATTCACACCTGAGTCTGCCGTGCGTGGACCTGGCGGTAAAAAATACGTTTCGGAAGTGACGCCTGTTGGACTTTGCACCGTCTGTATCGGGCCACATATGTTTCTTGATACAAAATTTTTTACAGTATACAACCCATCGCCACCAACTCCTTCATCACCTCCCCCTGCGACTGCAGCTCTTAGCACGACTACTGACGCCATAGCACTACCGACTGAGGAATTTCCTCAGTCATCATCCACGTTGACCAATATCGTACCTACAGGGACAACAGGGACAACAGCGCCGGAAGGTATGGATGGGCTGATCGAAGCTCAACCGGGGAACTTATCTGCACAAGAAAAGCTGTCCGAATCAGTATCGGACACTCTCATGGATGGAGATATGGATATTGATAATAAATCCACAAACATATCATTAGCCGATGATTCGAAAAGCCAACCGGTCGTTGTACACCATCTACAATCAGCTGAAACATGCACACCCAGTATACCAGTTGTTGCAATGGAAGATGATACTTTACAAGGAAAATCGTTGATAGAACCGGCAGAGAAGCCTTCTACGACTACACCAACATCCATAGATGCTAAAGCCAAAACACCGGCTGCAAAGCCGCAACGACCGATGTATCAAGTAATTTTTGAGTTCAGAGAGAACCCTGGTGTACGATGGCTATTTCCGCACGAGTCATCGCTTGAGTTCACGTCAATTGAAGGCTGCGATACCGCCAAAATCTCCGCTTCATTCTGGTTACCAACGACAGAGGAATCATGTGCAGGCGCGTATGGATTAGGATCTGGCTCAGAGACTGCCTCCAGATCTGGCCAGGCCACAACTGTCGTTATTCTTCAAGCTACCAATGAGCTTTGGGTGGGACTTCAACAGTCCATCAGCGACCCAGCATTGACATATCGACTTATGTTGGAAAAGATGAAGAGCATTCCGCCTCGAACCTACGTTCAGTATAATCTTCCCCTAGATTTTCCGGACGACCAGTTACAACATAAGGGCTTCAAAAAACTTTCCGATCATCATGTGGACCCATTAAAGAAGTTTGAACCGTCAAAGCGGAAACCTGACGATATAGTGAGTTTTTATTTATTTATTCATTTGCCTATTTGGAAAACATTCAAAAATGCTTCTTTTGTTTTAATATAAAAAGCAAAAGGCTGATATTTTATTCTTTTATAAAATTGTAGGTGGAACAGCAGACATTTGGGAAAACAAAGCGATCAAAAGCTGAGCTGGATCAAGTCGGGCCTTTTAGCCATAAAAACGCGATGACGACTAAAAAGAATACACAGACAACCAGCGCAGGTAGTAGCAATGCTGCATCAAGTTCGGTATCTCATCAGAAGCAGTGTGCTTACTGTGGAGTAACCTCGACACCAACATGGAGACGTGGCCCTGAGGGGCCGCATACACTCTGCAATGCCTGTGGAGTGAAATGGAGACAAGGAAAGATTTTTATAAATCCTGGAGAAAAACCTGGCCTAGCTCAGACGCCTGGGACAACTTCAGTCTCAACCCCCGCACCACTACCTGTCTCGAGGAAACTTCCACCCCCACCGCCACAACCAACGCCATTAGCGCTTCAAAAGATCCCTACAACAACACTTAGTGTTACCATTTTACCTCCTGACTCCCTAACAACTACAGCTGAGGCCGCTGTTCGTATGCAGCAGGGTTTAGTCCGACATGCAGAGCAATTATTATTTGTAGATAACCCCGGAACTGAGACTGAGCTGCGACCTGAGCCAAAAATGTCGAGCAAACGCGCTTCTAGCACTATAAGGAAGCAAAACTCATCCGCATTGAGTACAGATGGAAAAATGCTAAAGACAGTTTATGGGGAAACAACCTCGTCAGGGAAAAAGAGAAGTATTAGTAAAGGTAAAGAAAAGATTGGCATTATGCTTTTGACTATTCTGGAAATGGCATCGCAGAAGCCCAATGTTTATATACCCAATTTTTTGTGTGACCTTCATATACAACGATAGGGCCTAAAATGGTCCCCATTAATCAAATTGGAGAGTCATCTAAGCCTCATGGTAAAATTGTCGCCAGTTCGAAGAAAGACAAAGATAGGGACAAGAGCAAGGAGAAGGAGAAGGATAAAGAAAAGGAGAAGGCAAAAGCTAAAGAAAAATTAAAGAGCAAGCCTAAACAGAAGGAATGTGAAAAAAATATAGTCATTGAAGTACCAGCTCCTCAATCAAAGGCAACTGAAGCTGCTATATCTTTAGCCATGGGATCGCCTAACAAGACAATGTCAGCACAAATCACTGGTACAACAAGCTCCACTACCTGTCTTGCTGACCCCACCTCCGATAAAATCCTCTCGGAGCCAGCCAGTATACTTGTTGCAACCCCCACACCCATTCCTGCGGCAACGCAAACCATGGCTCACAAGCCTGGGACCACAATAACATCAAATATATCAAACCCAAATCCTCTGACTATCGGAACCACTTCGCAATCAACCGTTAAGTCACCTTTGGCAATGTCAGCAGCTACAAAGCTTTCGATTCTCAAATCTCTTGCCAGTAACCCTAGATATCAAGTTGGACACGACGCTGCTGTTTCCACAGTTAGTCTGATAGATGAAGGACTTTCATTATATGCAACCAAAAATCTCTACACCAACAATACGGCGACTTTTCCTCTGCACTTCCCGACTATTTCGATTGCTTTCGGGCCAAATAACGCTTATTACATGTACCCAAACTGCGCTGTAGTACTATTTGAAAATCATTTTCAAATTAAGCTGATTCATTCAGGTGAGCGTGCAGATATTGATGTGTGGAAAGAAAATGTCGAGAAGTCAGAGTTTCAAGTTGTAGATGTTGGTGACGAGAGTATGATTATAATGAAGGCAGTTTTGAGCCAGCATCTATCAAGGTATATTCTTCTGCGTCTTTGCTTTGTAATTTATTAGTTGGATTTTTAAACCTGACCCGTCTTTTGTTTTTGTTTATTTGATATATTTATGGCACCGCGCAGATTTAACAAAGATCTATTGAATCCAGACAAGAACGAAACGTCAATCGTGTTCCGGTTTAGAGAGCGTCTGGACGGTGGAGGACCACCGGTCAAGCCCCTTCTTGAGCAATGGCTGACAACCAAAATTCCGGAGGCTGTACCTCTTGCATCTAAAGTGTCTGTAGCGGCGTCTAAAAAGTAACTTGATTGCAAATACATTAAATGGATATTAGAAAGCATTCATTTGCAGTAAAATCTATAAATTTTTATAGCGAATCAATTCATTGCTTCATGCATGCATCTGACGACTGGTATGGCTCGCGGCAGTGTATCATCGCATTGGACCCAATCTTTATCTAGGCAGAATATAGCTTCTGTCAATCACGGTTATGCTGCGGACACCGCAAGAATCGCGATGAATGATGGCGTCACAGATAAGCCCTGCTTTATTATCATTCTTCCATACTACTCATCAACCTTACGATGCCCAGTGCATGATCTGGCGCAGTTAGATTTTGCTTTATTTTTCGGTGTACGTATAAATGTTAAACATATCTTTGCAAAATACCTGGTGAGCGCAGTGTGTAGTGCCGCTTATAGCAGGCTGGAGTTCTTCATTTAGTGTGGACATTGACTTACATGAAACTGTAGTACTAGAGTACGCGTCTAGTTGAAGACCGCTCAGAAGGGAGTATTCACTTACACTCAAATCTTGTGCCCTTTTTTTATTTTTATTTTTTTATTAAAAAGATATTAGCTTCAAATCTCAGGGATTGTACTGTGTCATCATTTCCCATCAGCTTGGTTCAGTAGGAATTCAGGGGCGCTGGTGGCGGCATAAATGGTTTAAACAGCCATTTCATGGCATATTCCGTATACAGGGCTCGTAGCATATATTGAACACCAATCTTCCTCAGTCCTCAAGAGCTATAAATCAACACTTGATATTTTCGCATAACCTAGTGAAGGAAGCGGATTTTAAGGTGCAACGCCACCACTTTCATTTCCACCAACACCACTGCCAACATCATTGTCACTCTTGCCGTCTAGTTCCTAGGATGTCTCAGTAAGCTGAAGTACTGAAGTAGCGAAAAGGAACAACATTCTGGCGCAGAAAATGTTACATAAAAAATTAATAAATCACGTGTGCAATGAATGCGATGTTATAAATCGGATAAATGTCTGATGTGATCCTCTCTCGTCTAATCTTCACATCCATCCTTTACCATGTCTACTCTTAAGGCTGCTGCTACTCATATCGACTGGACTAAGCTGTCCACTTCTCTTGGCCTCAAAGCCGAGACCGTTGCTGCCCTTTCCGCGTTTCGAAAGCGCAATGAGGAGGCCCGCCGTGTCTTGGCTGATCTTCAGGAGCAGAAGACCACTGTCAACTTTGCCCACTACAGGAAGGTTCTTAAGAATCAAGCTGTCGTTGATGAGCTTGAGCAGACTTTCAAGTCCTTCAAGCCTACTTCCTATGATGTTCAGGCGCAGATTAAGTCTATCGAGGCTGTTGAAGCCAAGGCTGTATGTCTTTGTATATTAGTATCGAATTGTAGCAGGAGACAGGGATAGTTATTATTATTATTATTATTTCAGAAGCCATGGACTTACGGAAGACACCAACTCTTCAAAATTGGCAACGCTTTTTTTTCTAAATATCTTCCACCCAGTTATTAGATCTTGGGCGCTGGACATGCGAAATGATGAAATACTAGCGTTCTCGCTCCATCACTGTCGCCATCACTTTTTTTTATTTTTTTCTGTTGTTTGGTGCGTCAACCCACTAACTGTACACTCTGTTGTTTTGCTTCCAACCGATACCATAGCTCGAGCGTGCCAAGACTACCGCCACCAAGGTCGAGTCTGAACTTGCTGATCTCCAGGCTACTTTAAAGAACATTGAGACCTCTCGTCCTATCGATGAACTTACGGTAAGCATCATTATATTCACTATTTTACTTCTGACGTACAAACTCAACCGCTAGATTAAGTCACTCCGTAAAGAGTTTTCAGGAAATGAAAGCATCACAGATGTTGCTCTTCATATTTCGCATTGGATATAAAATATCACCGAAAAGTGGCGCTTTATATAAAAGTTGTCTTATCCACGTTTAGTAAAAATATTGAGGTCGGTTCACAAGGCAACAACTCCAACAGGAGAGAGGATATATTCAGGACATTACATGAGCGAAGCCGAGAGTTGATGCTTTTAAGTGTCAGAAACAACTGGAATTCGAATCAAACAGGGGTTTTAAACTTGTATATTTTTCATACATTGGAATCACTGTGCTAGGCCGATGATGTCCTCAAGTCCCGTCCAGAGATTGCGGAGAAAGTCGATGCACAATTGTCCAAGAGCAAGTGGGAGACTAAGGGCTACAATGACAGATTCGGATACGTGACCCTCTTCTAAGATGTCGTTCTGTCAGTTCCCCTCGCTTTTCGTGATAATGGCAAAGTACAAGGATCCCGATACCTTTTTCTTTAATTGAAAAGGACAGAGAGATGCTTTAAAATGAAATAAATACTCTTACTCTATCAATAACTTGCACTGCATTGCATAGTGTATCTGTCGCGTTTTAGTAAGGACATTTCTACAATCATTGTAAAAACCACTACACACATGTGTTTGATATCTCAAAATGAAAATAGAATGACAAGACCAATTGGCAGTCATGAAGTAGCTTGGTGAAAAAAATGCGTGATCTTGGCATCTTGGCCTCGTTTTTTACTTTTTACAGGAGACACCGGAGTATTCGCGCCTGAACCTGGCTTTCGCTTCCTGGGTGTCGTAGGAGAGGAAGTTGTTCCCGCTATTTTCGACCGCGGCGAAGGTGATGTTGCGGATTCTATCGACCTGGATGTTGCGGCAGGTTGTTGTGGCTGCAAGGGTTCAATAGCATTGTCCGTTTCATTTAATGAAGCAGCAATGGCCTTTTTCAGTTCATCATCTTCCAATTTATCCAAATCTTGTAGTGGATCGTTACATTCCGGATATATGCTGTCATGCCACTCAGTATCCTCATGCCCATCGGCAATAGCCTGTAGACGCGACATCTCAAGCACTTTTTTCATTTCCTCTTCCTCTTGCTGTAGCTCGATCCGTCTCCTCTCTAGCAAATCGACAGATTCAGAGGGCTCCCTGTGTTTGCTTGCCTGCCTTTCCCGAGGGTCAGATTTTGACCAAAGGTTTTTGTCAGCAACTTGCTGATTCCCATTCTTTTCTTCTTCTTGTCGAGACAACTCCAGAGCTAGTTTTAAATCTTCACTTTTCATGCTTTCGACTATATCCTGATCAGACATTTTGTTTAAGTTTAATGCACCCTGTGGCGCATCAATCGCTTTGTTTTGATTTTCCGATCGCACCTGTTCTCCCTCTATCTCTTCTTGTTTCATTGAATCATTACGCTGACTAATATTTTCCTTCTGCTCCAACTTTCCAGTTTGCTGGTTATTTTCAGGCTCACTCTCTTGTTTGGCGATTTTGGTTGAAGATATATGCTCTGGTGGAGCGTCACCGAGTGCTGTCTTAGGGACAAGAAATCGATTCAATGTCTTCTCATTGGAGCTTGAGTTCCATGGCTTTGCAAAATCCGGCGAGTCATTCTTCACACTGTTAACTTTTTCATCTACTTGGTATGTTTCCAAGACATAGATACTTTGTGCTCCTCCGTTTCCATTGGCATCCTCGATTTGTATAAATTCATCGCAGGGCTTTAGCATCGCTTCCAGAGTTGAGTTCCAAGGTAAGTTAGGATCTAACCACATACGGATCTTTTCAAGACCATCATTGGGAATCAAGACGGGCATGCGATCATGAAGCCAGTCAAGTTGTGGAGAAGCTCTGGTAGTAATGGTTGCATATGTATAAAGAGGCTCTTCGTATCCTTGAATCTGCGCGACATCATAAATGGCAGCCATAAGCATCAGCTTTCCATCTCTTCGCTTGGTAAAAAATGGCACTCGCTCTTTTCCACGCCTTCGCCATTCGTAGAAGCTGGATATAGTGGCAAGTAATAATAATAATAATAATAAAAAAGACGGAAGTTAGCTAATATCCTAAGAACAGAAATGAATTCGGGTGCATGGCCAATAATAAAAAAAAAAAAAAAAAAAAAAAGAGCAGGATAAGTTAACTGACCCTTCTGCAAGTAGAATGCACCTCTTCTGATTCTTTGAGTGGCTAAACATGGGTTTGCCTGTAGGTCCCATGGATAAGGAATCATCCCGCGCATTAATGGACTTGAGAACTGAACTATAATCTGGCATAGACTTTGTATTTCTCGGAATCAATCCCCATCGCTAAAATAAAAAAAAAATAAAAAAAAATCTCTGGTGGGTAGGTTGATCTCGGTCAATTACTCAATGCAACTCATGTGTGATTTGGAGTCCCTACCATCAAGTGCACGACATATGAGTTAGTTTTAGGGTCTGCGCGGACCACGGGCTGATAACGAGTTGGCGCTACATTATACCTAATAGATGGGACAATTAAGGGATATGTAAATTAAACTCGCGTATAATATCCTTCTCTACTATCTGGCTATTGGATTGTCTGAATAAAAGCCATAGTAATTGCAATAAAGTCCACTTACGAAGTGCGGTACTTGTCTTCCCCTATCCATGAGTCAGCTGGCTTGCTTGGTAAGGTCTTGTCAAGTTCTTGTCGGATTTGAGCGGGAGCCTATATTGTACAAAACAATATTTATTAGTTTAGTCATAAGAACGTCGGAGAAAGGGTTTTTTTTAAATGTGCATCAGAGGTATTTTAATTATTGACATTCCTTACCAGGCCTTGGGCTGTCCTGCCACACATTGTGTCTAAATTGTAATTTTTAATTCCTTGCAGTAGAATGCAATACAGTTGCAAAAATGTAGTGTGAAGTGTGAAATGTGAAGTGTGAAATGTGAAGTGTGAAGTATGAAGGTCAAATGAAGTATATTTTAAGGTTTAGAAATTGGTGGCGATTACATCCGAATGAAGTATTGAATTTGGCACATGCATTTAGCGCTTCTTGTTCATTTTCCCATTTATTCCCCCTATACTTTTGTGCTAGTTGTTTATTCGTGTGTAGCGATTACATGGGAAAGGACTGTTGGCGAATAAATTAATCACCTTACTGACCTCTTCGGCCCAACTGTGATCCACTCTGGCATTCTCTCTTTCAAGTCTTTTAATCCACAATGAGAGGTGCTTTTCATAACTCTTTCATGTCCTGTCTGTAACAATTAGCATTCATATCATCAATGCTCAATAAATCAGAGGCTCCCCTCTGCTACTAGCCACCCAAGTTTGATTACAGGGCTTCTTTCGTAGCCCCTAGTCTCTTTGTTTTTCGGGTCTTCATAGAAACGGCCTTGATTTAAAGCAGCAACGTGCTTAAACAATTTTAAACAATCTCAATGTCGTTTCTGAAATCTGTTAATGAGGGATTTCGATGTAAGCTTTGAGTTAGAAATGCTGAACTAAATATACTTCTTCTAAAGCGTCAACTTTGGATAGCCAAACAAAGAACGAGTGTTGTGGACATGGAAAGCAAGAGTAATAATAAAGAAACCGATAGAATAATAGCCATCAGTCTATTGCACATGCACAGGGTGCGAAGCTAGGAAAGAAAAGACATATAAAATAGAATCTCACAAAGACCAGCGTCTTTCATGCATGACATCCGAAAAAGTGAGATCGGTGATACCAGCACTGCCTACGCCTTTCAAGAAGTGTGCACTATCCACCACAAGGTTTTGATAAGTAAATCTGGTAGCAAGGTTATCATAACCATTAGATATCGTAGAGAAAAACGAGTGCTAAATTAATACAAAAATTGCGAGACAGCTGCATGGCAAAATGTTTATCCTTCCCTCTTCCCTCCGATTTGCTCCTTTTCCTTTTCTCGGCAGATCTTCTTCCGCTCACTTTTGTTTCTGACTGAATGTAGTCTCCATTTTCCCCTTATCCTAATCATATCTTAAGGCTTCAAAAAGTCTTTTTTTTATTATTATTTTTTGGCTTTCTAATCGTCTGAAGATGTAAGGTTTCATACTTTCTCGCATCTTTTACCTCTCTTTCTTTATATTCAACTTTAGAAGGAGCGTAGAGTTGAGAAGATTGTGTGCAGGAATAGTGTTAATAAAGAAATATATTTGTATCCAAGAGCATTGATGCTTATTGTGTGAAAGAAAGAAGTTTGATGCGTTTTGTGTTCCAGCTGTAACATTATTTTATTTAGGGTTGAGGGAACTTGCTTCATCATGCAAGCTAGCAAAACTGCCTCCATTTTCTCCTTTCTCTTGTCTCTCTCTTTCGTCGCTCTCTCTCTCCTCTCTCTCTCTTTTTTTTTTTTTTTTTTTTTTTTTTGAGGCTCATCGTCCCGCCATCTTCCGCTTTGAGTTCTCTTGGTCCATACTTTTGGCATCTACTTTTTCACTGCCTTTTACACAGCCCTCGCTTACCTTCCTGGCGGTCTCATTCGCGTTACCATCCATCAACATTCTTTCCCTCTTCCATTCCTCTCATTGTCTTCTTTAATTTCTTTAATTGCTTTGAGGGATTTATATCTCGGATTCTTCAATACTTGACACCTCTTTCTTATCTTTCTTACTTGCCTTGGTGTCCGTTCGTCATATCGTACTTCTTTTTTCTTATTCGCCTTGTCATTTTTACCCTTCGTTTTTCAAATGACGGACAATAAGCGCCTGAGGGTTTCCAAGGTACGTTTCAAAGGAATCGTGACATAAAGCAGCAGCGGCTATCATGCTAGGAGATTCTCATAATCATTTGTCTCTTCCTCTGCCACCCATCCATAAAGGCCTGCGACTCCTGTCGGAGGAAGAAGGTCAAGTGCGGTAAGTTAGCTATTCATTTGGATATACCAAAATGTATCATCGGATTTAGATTAACATAATACCTACTTCATGCATCCTCCTAGTTGACTCTTGGACTATGCAGGCACATTATAAAAAAAATTGGGGCTATTTATTTCTGATATAAACTGACATAGTGAAAACCTCTGTGGCTTCTTTTTTGGTGATAGATGCAATTCATCCACTCTGTACCAATTGTCAGACGTTTAAATATGAATGTAGGTGTAGCCCTCAAATGGCTGCTGGTATACTCAGCCCTTAATGTCTCTGATCATATTAATGTGTCCTGCCTATTAATACCGCTTATCGCACCGGAATGCAGGCACCTACAATGACCCAACCAAGAAGCGGGGTCCTCCAAAAGGTATAGTTTTAATTAAGCTGTAAGAATTTTCAGGGGCAAGTATGCAGCTGCCAACACCACCTTTTTTTTCAAAAAAAAAAAAAAAAAAAAAAAAAAAATGCAGGTTACATCGAGGCTATTGAGGCACGGCTTCATCGAATGGAGGAGCTTCTTGGCGGTCTTATCAAGGACAAGGACCCTCGCGCAGAAATAGTCCGAGCTGAGCTCGATGCCATGGCACGTGAGGCAGAGATGACAGGACTCAAATTACGCAGATCCAAAGCTTATGAAGAGATCAATAATAGTAATCGTAATAACAATGTATGTTATATATTTTTATTGCTTAACACCTCGTCTCTCAAACTGGTTATGATGCCGGTCTCCCATCATGGATCTTGCCATTTCTCACAATGTTTTATTCCATGTAGAATATAGACATTGCCTCCAATGTATCAGAATCAGCCCCAACAGCGTCAGAAGCTTTGTTCGGAAAAGTACCGGAGCAGAATCCAGCAACAATTTCACCTGGGACTTTTAATGTTTTGAATCAGCACCAACGCAGTATACAAAATCAAAGTCCTACTGACCTATATACTCCTCAAGGACTTTCGAAAATCTCTCATCAACAGTACGCCTCATATCAGCAGGAGTACGACCATCAAACTACTCATGTTGAGCAAAAGCAGCAGCTGCATCGACATGAACCGGTCGCTGCGACACATCCCTATTATCCACCATACCCAAACACCCTTCCAAATAGTCATTCATTCACTTCAAACAGAAATGAAACTAAACTTGCATTTGCGGGGCAAGATTTGGACCAAAACCGCCACTCCCTGTCTTCGAGGCATTTTTCGCAAGTCAATCCTCTCACAGGATACATGCCGATGCCACAAGAAAGCATGGATAATGAAACAGGCATCATATTGCCTTCACCAGATGTCATGGATCATTTGTTGAGCATTCACTTTCGCTTTGTTCATCCAGTACTCCCTATTCTTCATCAGAGAAGCCTCTATGAGCAAATTCATCAACGCGAGTATTCGCCACCCCATCTACTATTTGCAATCCTTGGGCTATCGTCTCGATTCAGCGACAACCCAATCTTCCGAACCCCTCAGCCTGGTACAGATCGGCCTCCCTGCACTGTCTTTTACGAACGAGCCAAGCAACTCATCAAGGAAGAGTACGATCATTCCCAAATACGGACTGTGCAGGCCCTCCTTCTCATGTCAATCCAGCAGATGGGTTTTTGTGAAAGTCAACGTGCTTGGCTTTATGTTGGTATGGCTATTCGTATGGCGCAGGATCTGGGGCTAAATAAAGACTTACCAGAGCAGGATCAGGTTCGTGATCGCCTGTCAGCAGAACTTCGGAAGAGGACATGGTGGTCATGCTATGTTGTAGAGCGGCTAATCTGCGCCGGTCTTGGAAGGTAAACCAGTCATGTCTTTTAAGGATACAAATATATACTCGCCTGGATTGCTCCCTTGTTAATATGTGTTGATAGTTTTTTTTTTTTTTTTTTTTTTTTTTGGTCCCCGCTATTGTAAATAAATAGACCGCTCACTATCACGCAACAGGATTGTGAGACTGGATATCCGCAATCCGACAATACTAGCCATCATGAAAAAGTTGAGTCGGAGGCATTGTATACAGAGCCAATATCATTGATCCCCAATTTCGTACATCTGATAGCGCTCTCTAGGATTCAGGGAAACATCATGCAATTTATCAAGGCAAGGGCGGTGCAGTGTGACGAGTACAATGATGGCCATCCTTCTGTTTTGAATGTAGTCAGTGAGGGCAATGGCCATCACGTGGATATCAGCCCAGCAGCCTTCTCAGTGTTGGACAAGTCATTGACAGAGTGGCGACAGCAACTCCCCGAATCATTGCAGAACCCTACTTCCGATTCCTGTCATTTTGGGCTATTCCTACATATGACCTACAATACGCTGATCATCCTCCTTCACCGACCAGAAATTCCCAGCTCCCCGACGTCTGCGTCACTCTGCACACAAGCTGCAGCTACAATCACTGATATAACAGCGATGTTGATGAATGCCAAGGCTTTGACATCCATGTTCATTAGCTGTCTTTATGCTATTTTCTCAGCAGGAATAATTCATTTCATTAATATCCCTAGTACAAGGCGTCCATCCAATATCACTAGCGCCAACCCTGTTGATACACCATCAATCTTATCTCGATCATCCAATCACGCACACACTGCCAAAACAGATCTGAAGCGTTGCATCGATGCCCTAAAACACTTGTCAACACACTGGCTCAGCGCAGCTCGTCGTGCCAAGGTCCTTGAAGATTTGTTAGATCTTAAGCATGTAAGTCTAAAGGACATAGAGAACGACTCTTTTCAGACCGCGCCGTCAATGCCTCCATGGGCAATGGAGACATCCAACTGCGACAAGGCTCTGGCTGTCCCACGAGAGACTCATGACCATCTACGACAGCAATGTCGATCGAAAGTAATGGCTATTCAGTCATTGCTAGCTACGGACGATGAATTTAAAAAGATGCAGGCAAGAATGAGCGACCACTCTCTGGATTACGATAGTCAGGACGACATAGAGCATTATGAAACAAAGTTTCGCGGCCCGGAGCTTTCGCAAGATAACGACGGCGCCATGGATATCTCAATGGATTCCCCAAATCTCTCAAGATCATTTACGGAGCAATCACCTGTTTCAGGATTATCGTCTCCTTCTATCTCCACTCCTTCATCAACCATTTCACCGCGTCTCGCCAGCATGAATGCACTAATACATCAGCGGCCACTTGACGCTGACCCAATGATGCTTATTTCCACAGCAACGTTCGGTGACCCACATATTCAGAGTACGGCTCGTGGCACTTTAATTAGCGAGACGGCCTCGTTAGTGTATCCCAAGAATGTAGCTCTTGGAGTCATGGGAGTGGCAAGCCCCATGACACTGACAACACTCGGGCATAAATTACATACAATTCCGCCAAGTCCAGCATTCGATAAAGCCCGGTCCATGTCCGGTCAACAGGATGTGATGTTGGACCCTTTTTCTATGCCCAGCAGTATCACGTTCCCAGATCAGAATCATGGGCGTCAGACTAGCTGTGGAGGAAACACGTATGGTGGAGGGCCTCAATCCAATACAGTTTGGTCTACGAATGCTCAAACACATCGGGCAGTTGCCCGTGCTGAGCCCTCTTTAACAACAAAGGCCTGTACATCCCAGCAGCCTGGTCATGCAGTAGAGGCCGAACACGCTCACTATGGAGTCAGAAGTGGAAGTGAAGAGCGAGAGTCCGATGATCTTGATTTAGCCTGGAATGATATGCCACCCACGTTAGGACTGGATGAATGGATGACCTACATCGGTGCTTTAATGATGCGCTGGCTAGCAAGCGGTGAATCATCACCACGGTCGATTTGATTCTAGAATCATCTGTAAATTAAATAAAATCGCATCACTCCAGAACCATGTCTAATCTTTATCGAATGTAAGCTTTGAATGCAACCCCCTTGTCAAAATATTATAGACTTTATATGTGAAATTATAGAAGATTACGAGTGTTGTAAAGTATATAAATATATAAAAAAGTAGATCACATCTATTTCTGTATTCAAAGCCGTGCCTGCTCCACGTAGATCTGTTCATTCTCTGTACGGTCAAAACGCTCATATCGTCTCTGGGGTGTCCACCAGTAGAGGCGGTCTTTGACAAGGTTCAAATCGAAGCCTTCCTTTTTTAGGACCTCTTTCTTATTCTTGAATGTGCCAGTTATCTCAAGGTCCTGTTCGCAAATACGAAGAAACCGTGGAACTGCATATGATGGCAGATTTTTTGCCACATACTCGCTCATCCTCTGGAGAAAATTGTTCAGTGCTTGTTCATTGACCACAGCCCGTGATCCATTCTCAGTTGGGCGTTGGAGAATGGAGTCCTTCAAAACCAGTGTGGCCATCCCAGCGCGCCCATCTTGGCCAGGAATTGTGACACCATAGACCACGCACGAAACCACTCCCTCCACTCGGCCCAACGTGTCTGCAACTTCAGCTGTTGAAACATTTTCTCCTTTCCAGCGGTAGGTGTCGCCAGTACGGTCTACAAAAAACCAATATTGGTCCTCATTTCTGTAAACGAGATCACCTGTCCGGAAGTACACATCTCCTTGCACGAAAGCATTATGAACCAGCTTTGCCTGAGTCATTTTTGGCTGATTAAAATAACCTTGGTATCGTGTACTGTGCGTCTTGTTGTCTGCAAGCGTGATCAGTTCTCCAGGCTCATTTAGTCGACATTCAATGCAGAAACCAGTCTTTTCATCCCGAATCAGCTCATTGGTATCTGTATCGACTTTAACCACTTTCATAGTCGGTGCCAAAATTCTAGAGAGAAACATGTATGGGACACGTTATTACACAATCATAGAAGCTATAAAGTTGAGGAACAAATATCAAATTGAATTCGCCTCATGAATAGAATTTCCTCATTGACGTTAGGTGTACCTTTGAATAGGTCCACGGAACCCAATAGCACCTTGAGATCTTTTATCTGTGGCCACATTCAATAGTGCGGTTGTTCCTAATTTCGATCCATTTATGTAAGTTATATTTAGTAAGAATGGAGATCCACTAGTCTATTTGTCTGCTCACTAAAAAAAAAAAAAAAAAAAAAAAAAAACGAACCTTCGCTCATGCTATAATATTCAAAGATGGTTTTAATGCCAAAGCGTTCCTGTACTTTTGCCCAAATATCCGGACGCAATCCATTGCCAAATGCTGTCCTAACTTTGTGTTTGCGATCCAAAGGACTCTCGGGAGCATGAAGCAGATATCTACACAGCTCTCCAATGTACTTTTTTATATATATGACGAGATTCATATAAAGTATTATGCAAAATGACCTTTGTCAACGTTAACCAAAACAATAGCAAAGAAAAAGAAGTCTTCATACTTGAAAGTGTGTGACATCGTATGCAATACAGTCCTTCCAAAAGTTGGAAGCAGAAAACTTCCGAGCAAGAACAATAGTGCAACCAGAATGCCAGCTCTGACCCACGCCGATAATTGCTAGTTTTTTTTTTTTGTGAATGAAAAAAGATCGAAAAACTCAGTTACATATAGTTTTCTGTAAGCAGACAAACTAAAAAAAAAAAAAAAAAAAAAGAGCCATCTAAAAAGTGCATACATCCGGCAGAATGATAGAGAGGTAAAGGAATGTATACTTTGCTTTGGGGCGTAATGCTTGCAAAATATGGCCATGCCACTCCTGATACTGTTGATTGCAGATAGCATGATAAAGCCAGACAGACAGATAGATAGACAAGCAGATGGGTGGCGAAAGAAAGAAAGATTTCCTTAGTATCAGCTCAACCAAATCGTTTCTTCAAAGAAAAATGTTAACCATATCAAATAACGCATACTATTGCCCCTTCCGTGATCCATGATAGCAGCCTTGGGGAGACCAGTTGTTCCACTAGTAAATATGAGAGCTGCAGGATCACTCATCTCTATATGCTCACGGATGCTCTTTTGGAAGCCCTCGCTGCTCATGTTCTCCCATTCAACAAAATCATACTGGAATGGGATCTCGAAGGAGCGACGTGTATCTCGAGATAAATAATTGTATATCTGACCCAGAACTTGTTGCTTTGGCGTCATTGTATAAAGGTCATAGTTCAAACCCTTGATGTCATCAAAACACTCTTGAAGAGCTGATGCGTATTCAAAATCAAATACCAAGATTTTGGCATCCGAAACTTTTAGACTGTGGACCAATGCTGCATGGGTGAGTTGGGTATTGATGAATGACGCAACGGCTGCAATCTTGAGCAAAGATAGCCAGGTGATGATAAAGAGAGGAGAATTGCCCATCATCATTGCGACACGGTCACCGGCTTGGATACCTTTTGATACAAACCAATGGGCCTATATAACCAGTGTAAGTTAACAACATTAGTATAAAATAACGATGAACGAGTAGTTCAGGCTTAATAATGAAAGAAGCGCAGTATTACACAAGCATATTATGCTTATTACCATGCGATTAGAGGCTGCATATTTCGGGGGTGGGGAAAAAAGGGGATGTGTTTTGTTGTTAATGATTATTCCGAACCGGCCAAACTGCATCAAAACAAACAATCGTTTTGTTTTCACCCACCGAGCTCCAATTCACGCCATGTGTGTGAAGTGCCTTCAAATGAAAGTGCGACTGCAAACGGACGAATCTGGCACTGCTCCTCGAATCGATTGTAGATACTGCAACTTCGGTTGCGGACACATTTGTCAAACCTAAAGAAATGAGTAGGATCCAAGGGCCAGATGTCGGATGGATTCATTATCCTCCATTCAATACGTGAAAGATCAAAAGAAGGAGGACTTCACACAATGGGATTCGAAACCTGCAAAACCTACTCTTTCTGGGACGCGACCGCGCTTTTGAGGACGAACAAGTCCTTCGACAACTGATACTTATTCTCAATGAAGTAACCCGCCACTGCGGTCGCTGCGATGCCTGCAACAAGAGGTGCTAAATTACAAATGTTATCCTATCAATTAGCAATTGTGACATTTTTTCAAGAGTACAAGAGTAGTAATAGTAATAAAAATAATTAAAGCCTACTCATGAAGTTCAAAATTAAGAAAAAAAAATTAAAATAAAAGGAACTGTGAATGAGAAATGACTAATGAGTTGACGAATTTAAAAAAAAAAAAAAAAAAAAAAAAAAAAAAAAGAAGCGAAAAACATAAAAAAAGGAAGACCAAGTCCACATAAGAATTGTCAACAACCGAGGTTTTCAATTGAATAACATCTTATTATTCATGTATTTTTAGTATTTTTAGTTATAGTTATGAAATGGACCCTTAGAGCCTCCCCCACAAACCCGCAGACTATTTGAATTCCGAATAAGAAAACTCAATCTTGTAACCTAACCTCAAAAACGATCGTCGCGTTGCCTTCAGGCTCAGCCCTTGATTATGTTAACCAAATGTGAAGTAACAAAAGTGGAATGGCTTTATATTACATCACAGGTTGGCCTTGGATAGAGCCAATTCACTTATTTACATGTGGGATAGCAGTTTTTGGTGCTGCATTTAATGATAGTAGATACATATGTAAGGCAATTGAAAAATAGACAGACTATGACAGTAAACTGGATACGGCACTGGGAGAAAAAACAAACTAGACTAAGCTACTCCATGAGTGAAATACTGAATCGCTTCAATTCCTCAAGGCGTAGAATATTTGCGCTCTCCTTTACTAGATTAGTGTTACTTCGTAGCCTGGACGATGGAAACTATTCACAAGATAACAGTGAGGAATGTGAGAATGTGAGGATCAAATGGATGAGATTAGTGCCCTGTCCGATCATATCACCATCGTGATGCCCTATTGTCGCCTGTACTATAATCATATCTGCATCTAAAAAAAAAAAAAAAAAAAAAAAGCTGGTCTTACCGATGATAATGATCAGGATAATGAGAATACCAGTGCCAACAATGAGGCGCCACTTCATATTCTTCCACCACATCTGGCGTCTGACGCCTGTGGCACCCCTCCTGAACTGAACCGCACCTTGTTCAAGGTCAGCTGTGGGGGGCAGAAATCATGAACATAATAAGAATATGTTAGTAACGGTTGTTTTGTAATTTGGGTATAGTTACTTAAGGGTGAAATCGTCCCATGTGTCACACATGGCAAGGAGCCATAAAAAAGCCACTCACATGTCTTGTGCTGAAGCGAGTCAAGCTTCTCACCGCGGTCTCTTACAGAGTCAATCTATACTCAGGTGAAAATGTAATGAGATTAATTATCAGTGGATAAAAGAACCATAGAAAATTAATAATAACAAATACAATAACAATAACAATAATAGTAATAATAATAATAAAAAGCATCGCAGATTGTTCTGTTTACATACGTTTTGCTGCATGATTCCAACGACATCGTTGACTTGCTGCTGCAATTGAGCAGTCTTGGAAGATGGGCCGGGATGGGGGTCATAGGGAGTAGACCTATTTTTGTCAATACACAGCCAACAGGTCCGTTAGTCATATGTTTCTCCTCCAAAACGCAAAAATATTTTTTCTGTAATGTCTCTGCAGCATAATCTGACTTTCTCTCTCTCTCTTTTTTTTTATGGTCGTGGCAAGGATTTATATTTCTAATGCTGTTGAATGTTCATATTATTCTCAGTGTCTTGTTTTTTTCCCTCTGCTGAGTCAGGAGTAACAATGAGAGCAGAGGTGAAGCAGTGTAATTGAGACTGTGGCGGTGAAGAGAGAACATGGGGGCCAAGAGGGCATATATGAGCGCAAGAGATGAGCCGGAGAGATGAGCGCAAGAGATGAGCAGAGATAACAGCAGAAACTACTTACATAGTGGCTGTGTGTATATGTTACGAGTGTTATTTACAGACAAAGATGGAATATACAGGAAATGATGATGAGGAAAGAAAGAAAGGAAAAAAGAAAATGAGGCGCAAGAATAAAAAAAGTATTCACTTTTAAACAACTGTTTGAGGTGTCTGTCACAGGCACATTGATTCAGATGGGTAGCCAAAAATTATTTATACACATTTCTTATATTTATCGTCAAGCTAGCAATGGACTATGACGATATGATGCTACACAAGTCAACGAATGCTTACAACAGTTCATTGCGACCGTGCCTTCTTAGCAGGTCTCTGCTCCTCTGTCCCTACTTCTGCTTCTGTTTCCATCAGCGTCTCCGAAGCTTCTTGCCAATCCTCCATTTCTTCCTCTTCTTCTTCTTCCTCCTCTTCTCCTTCAGCTACCAGAGGGAAAGGCGTATCAAGTGTATCCGTGCCTGATTGACTAGACCCTACTACAAGACTCATATCCACAAACGAATAATACGCTGGCACTGCAAAATAATTCGTGATCTTGCGTTCATCAATCGTGTCCTTGTCGCACAATTTATATTCTTCTCGCCGGGAGAACAACGTCGTTTGACGCGGGAGGATCCCAGATCGTGCTTCGATCGCACCCCGGCGTTCCAGTTCTTCAATAAGATCATCCAGTTCAACTGATAAAATCAGCTTGTGGAACTGCTTTAACAATGCACCCTGTTCGTTATTTTATTTTACACCCAATGTAAAAACATGTATTTCATGTATTATTAGTAAACATACATTTCATGTGCTCATTAATGTATCACAGGATATACACAATCGTTTGTGTGCACAACAACCTGTAACTGTACTCTACCTTGGAAATGCCTGGTTTTTCTGCAATATGCGAAAGGATCGCATGCAAGCTCGTCTCGAAAATGCTCTCGTCAATTGCGCCTTCAAGCGTTCGCCACATTCGTGGTAAAATCCAATCCTTTGGATTGTTGATGCTGTTTTGTGACTCCATTGACACCTTATAGTTTAAAGTCCATGTTTGGTGCCATCCATATCCAACAAACCGAGTATACGCCATTCCCACCTTCATCACTACTGGTGGTGATGTGCTTTTTAATTTCTGGATGCATTCCATAATTTCCTTGTCGCTATACTCGAAACCTCGTGAAATAAGAGTTCTCTAAAAAAAAAAAAAAAAAAAAAAAAGTTAAACATTAGCTTTTTTTTAAAAAAAAAAAAAAAAAAAAAAAAAAGGAATTGTAAGCACATGAGAATACCAATGTTCATATTTACCTTGATATCTTGGGGAACAATCCCAACTGTGCAAGAATCGCAAATAATCTCATAGATGGCTTTGTACAAACAGCGACTTGTTTCTATGGACAACCCATCATGTAACGCTTGGAAAATAATTTGGGCCTCACGGCGTGCCTCTTGCCATGGGTCTTTGTCATCATCATCTGATAAAGTCTCCGATGATTTGTGCGGTGCAGGTTGCATCTCCATTTCTTTAAGATTTTCAGTATTGGTTTGATCCTTTACTCTTTTAAGTCTGATCGAAGTAGGCACGTTAGCGAGTAACGCTGTATCTCTCGTATTTTTCATATTCACACCAAAATGGTGAAGAGCACCCTGACCATATGGCTCTTCATATGCTGCCGATTGATCTATTTCAATGGGCCGCGCCATGGAAACTTGCAGCCATCCCATCGCAATGTCGTTTAAAAAAACCATCATTTCTGCTGGCCCTGCGTCCAAAGGAAATAGCCGCTCAGACGCCTGGTGATATACCTGGTCAATATCGGAGGCTGCTGCTGTGAGTTTCCGTGGATAGATGCCGTTCATCAATGTCGAAAATCGCTCCGATCGACCCACTTTCTGGCCAGGGATGCGATATGACGCGTTTTTGATCGATGTCAGGATCTTCCATTCCTTTGCTAGCTCACAGGTCTCAAGTACCTTACTTGACACAAAACACGAAAGGATGGATCGAATCATGCTCCTTGGCCGTTTATGGCGGGGTAAGCAGTATATAGCCTTGATAACGGCAAGAATCGTATGCTCCATACCTCGTGTTTCCTGCCGTACTATCAAAGGTTTTGGTTCGTCTTGCTTTGCAACAGAATTTCCAGCAATAGACTGAGGCATATCCAATTCTTCGGGCGAATTGTCCAATTCCATATTGTTGTTGGTTCGAAGAGTTGGTGGAAGTCGATTGATTAATCGTAGTCGTCGTGGTAAGGATTGGTCAGGATGCAGTTTTTCTTCCAAATAGATACTCGAGAACCTCTCATTTTGTCGTACATAGTTCAATCGTTCAATTGCAGCGGGATTGTTTAACAGAGGTGAGGCATCAGGTAGCTTGGGCCTATTACTTATAAAAAATAAAAACCAAAACAGTGAGAAGATAGCAGTTATGCAGTCATGTCATAGAGTTGTCCTCAAAGCATAAAAAGGCAAACCAATGTTATTGAGACTCAGCATTACATCGGTGTACCCTCATTTGGTTGAAAGTATGCAATGAGAGCGCTTGGATCATATTCATCAAGTTTACGCTTGATATCAAATTGCTCTGCAAGAGTCGGAAAGATATAGCTGAATTGCGCTCGATAGCTCTCTACTTGCTTATATAAGTGAGGCTCGCGGATCAATTTGGCATAGCGATGGCGGCAAACATCTCGAGCTCGTGAGCCATTGAAAGAGTTGGAGACACATTGCCAGCTAAACTTTGTATTAAATGTCTCCGACATGCAGCGAACGATAGCGCATGCCAAAAGTAATCTCTCGTCCTCCATATCTGTCCAAACAACTCTCCTGGCGCGTGATTTCTTTGGTTTGCCTACGCTGAATCGCCCGCCGTCCAGAGTAGTTGCCATTTTTAAGGTTTGGCTTGCATTTGTGGCCACATTAGACGACGACGCACCGGTAATAGATGGGGTGTCTTCCACCTCCTGTTTGATGATCATGGAAGTTGTGTCATCCTGCTTATTAATGATGGTTTGTCTCGCTTTCCTCACTCGAGGCAACCGTTTGGCTTTTTCAGGAGCAGATCTAATTGGGTTGGCATGCCACACAGATGCTACAGTTTTGTAGTATTGAATCACATGCTCCCTTGGGAGTCCTGTCTCCTTAGCCATCTGATCTATCTTTGGGTCGTGAGCAGCAGGCGCAAATCGTATCTTAGTATTGACTTGGGTCATAAGTTTCTCAGCTTGTGATGGGGTAATTTGAATGGGTTCTGCCCAAATCCTCTTGTTACACAAGTTCAAGAGAAAATCTCGTCGAATTTCCTCCCAGGATCGATCTATAGACCGCTCTTTGGGCATATATTTCATAACTGAGGCGCTGGCTTGAAGATCAGTCCAAAATGCTTTACATTCATCGGGCATGAGGAGCTTGTACTGTTTCCGACCTTCAAGTTCATGATCCAATTGATCTGGCACCACAGGATCCAATGGGGCTTTGACATTTGTGTGTACTTCATAATGAGTATTGAGCACTAGATGGTTGGGAGCAGGTCCTAGATTCATTGACCCGCCAAAGGAATGGACGGCCACGAGTGGCGATACAAGCCCAAGCGCATCCAGAATCTCCAAGGCTTCGCGCAATCGCTTCTTAAAATTTGTACTGAGGGAGACATAAGGTTGCATAAAGTCTGGCAAGCTATTCAGAGGTTGGCATGACTTGCGATGTTGGTCCAGAAATGCCTTAGCCTCGTCAGTGGGTACCTGAACAATCCCAACGACTATTAAAAAGACACGGAATTGCATTGCATCAAACAGTTTTGAAGTCGAAAACACATTTGGGCGGTCCGCAAAATTATAAAGCGTTTGGTCAGTGGATGCCAATTTATCCAGTAGCATTCGATGAAAGACAAGCGCTCTCATCATCTTGGCTTTGCTCCAACCATATGTGACCGCAGTATCCAAGCCATCAGGTTCCTGTGCCTGTCCGCGTGTCTGTTTTTGCTTTGGATCAGTCCTTGTCTTTGTTACCGGTGGACCGAGGTCAGCGAAGGGAACCGAAGGAACTGAGGGTCCTTTGTAAAAGTCCTGGCCCAAGCGTCGTTGTATCTCATCCAATGATTCTACTTCAAGCTGTATTTTTTCCGCCTTTTTGCTAGACTTGGGGCCCTGCGCTCCGAAAAGGACTTGTCGATTGCTACATTCTTTCATAAATTCCCTGCCCTCTTCCGACTCTGGATCGACTGATGGATGCAGACAAAATGTTTTTGTCAACATGTTACCGCCGGCCGTAAGGATATTCTGGACTTTATATAGTTTAATAAGACCCTCTGCTTCAAGGATGCTAATGGTGCGATAGAGCGTTTTCCTATCGATCACACTGCTTTCTTCTTCGTTTGGATACAGCCGATGCTTTTCTTCCTGATATTCTTGAACTAATGAGTGATGTAGCTCTATTATGCGCTTACGTTCCAAAATTGAAAGGATGACTTTACGGCGCTTCAATAAAGCTACAGAAATAAATCGCTCCGGTGTAGCGGCCGTTGTTAGCTCTGGTGTTTGATTTAATGTAGTTGTATTGCCATTTGCCGGCTGGGTAACAGTAGAACCAGATGAAAAGCTTGTTGCTGTGTCTAGTAAAGGTTGCTCTGACCCTGTGGGGTCTGTTGGCAACTGCGAAGTAATGATGGTGGTCGCGGGCGCTGGTAAGATCGTGGTCTGTGATGCCTGTGTGTCGCTGGATATGGGGACCCGACCCTTCTGTACGCCCGCCGCGCGAGGAGGAAGAGTGATAACGGGGAAAGATTTTGCTTTTTCAATGTACTCTCTGTGATCTTCCGCGACACCGGTTTTAAATCCATGTTCAGAGTAGTATCGGTAACGGCGCTCACGCCCCACAAATTCCACTACTCTCTTAACAAGTGGTTTATCTGTGCCAGGCATAGGCTTACTGAGTGTTTCAAGGATACGAGCCAGCAGTCTTACGTTCAGCATATCCATCTTGTGCCGAATTTCCTAGCAGCAGAATAGACACATACTCATCATGGTCAACTTAATGGATATATTATAATCAAAATAAAATTCCTAGCTGTGACTTATCGGCTACCTTGGCAATTACACCCTTCTCTTTTGAATCAATGATGTGTTTATAGACTTGGTGCTCAATTGATGTATCCATGTAGATGCCGCTCTGTGAGGTGTCGTCTGCAATAACGCTCCTCAAATTGATTTTCTCTCGTTCATTTTCTGTACGATAACATATTGCGACAAGAGAGTGAGATACACTGTTAAAGCTAGATAGACGTAATATATGAGGGGCTTTAGAAGTCAAGTCATTGATACTTACCATCAACTGGCATATCTGTGCCGTAGGGGCGCAAAAGCTGAATGCATCGATAAACCCCTGGCACATGAACACGCTTGATATACTTAAGCTTACAAAGAAGCTCAATTTGCCTATTAAACCATCTGTTCTGGACGATGTTCATTTCTGTCAAATCCTATCACCGTTTTTTTTTTTTTTAGCGAGGGTAAGAAAAGAGTGCATCTAGACGCGTATCATAAAGGGGCTCTATCCCTGTGCAAGGAAATTCATCATATATATCAGGGCTTATCCACATACCAAGGCTTTGGCGAGATCATCAATTGACATTGCCTGATTTTTGGCTCGCCCAAGGATATCAGTTAGCTTCTGTTTGATGAGTCCACTGTAGTAGCTGACTTTTTTCGTCTCTGTTTTGAGAAGCCCTTCAAAACGTTGTCCTCTATCGCCTGTAATTAAGTGGCGACCTGCACTTGCAAAATCAGACTCAGAGTTCATAGCCTTATAGCCCGGGTTCATATCCGCAAACTTTACGTGGAGGCACAATAGAGTATATTGGCCGTCGGTTGTAACAGGGATCTTTACTATCAGTTTCATCTCAATAAGGACCTTTAGGAAATGAAACATGCTTCTAGGATCAACCTTGAGCAGTTTAGCGAGTTGTGCCTGCGTGGCACCGACATCACGAGCGGCTGCGATCGATTGCAAAACTTGGAATGCTTGGTTTGATATCTGAAAAGCAGCGCCCGAGTAACCTAAAAGTGCAGCTCGCTGCTGTTCTGCACTCGCTACAATCCGAATCGTCCCCGCGTATTTCTCTGTTACATTTGTGTAAGAGATCTCTGCAGGATCCAACGGAATCAATTCGTTGAACGGTATAAATGATGCCTTAGACTATCAAAAAATGGACAAAAGGCTGTGGAAATTAGCACAGGCAGCATCAAAAGAAAGATAAAAGAAAGATTGCTACCATCATATTTTATTACATCGTCGGAGCGTTCCTTTGAGCTCGACCTGGAACCGGCGCTGTTGTCGACGCTGTGATTATAAAAGGAAACGCCATCCTCTTGTACAAAGTTACTCCAGAAGAAGAGCCGAAACTTTTCGTCCGCTCGCTTCAAGCGATTATCTGTAAAGCTCTGGGGCGCTCCTGTAAAGGATGGGGCTGACGTAGGATCATCATCCTTTAGTAAAAATTGGTCGACTAAAAACCAAAAACGGCTCCAGCTACAACCTATTTGAAACAATTAGCGAAGCTACTCAGTGGTTACTTGATATTCAACCAAAAAAAAAAAAAAAAAAGCTTCCATCGCTCTCCTATGAATAGTTGAAAGAGAGACCACGGACGGGACGATAAGAAAAAAAAAAACTTTCCTGATTCACCATCAAGTGCGACTTCCGTCTGCACATGAAGTACCAGGTCGTCCATTATGTGCTCTTGAACATGAAGATTGGAAGCTGAACATGAAGTGGCGTTACCACAAATGGTGGGATGATCCAACAAACAAAGCCACTGTTTAAGGTAGATCATTTTCGTTCATAAAATAAAGCAATTCAATTCTTGACCTTTGTACTATAATGAAGGACGTGGTCATTGCGTGTGTAGGGAAACCATCGGCAGGAAAGTCTTCCTTCCTGAACGCAGGTTAGCATAGTATACCTCTTCATTTTTATTTTATTTATTTTTTTTATTAGCGTTATTGTTGCTGTCGTTGTTGTAAAAATCACAGCGGAATCCTGGTCAAGTATCAATGTCTAGACTACGTGTATTCTCCTACAATAGTGACGGATGCGACTGCCAAAGTCGGCAATTACCCATTCACAACGATTACGCCCAACAACGGCGTTGGTATGTAGATATAGCTATATTAAAGACATTCATACAGAAAGCTCTTGGTAGTTTCATTTTACGAACAAGTTTATCTCTATCTTTGTTCACCATAGCTTACTTCCCGATTGAGTGCCCATGCAAGAGGTTTAATAAATCACACTTATGCTCTCCCCGATATGGTATTCTACTGAATTAATAGAGAATTGAATGTCCTACAGATGTACTATTCTCTTTGCCAACCATCAATCTTAACCATACTATACCCTCTTTTACTTAATCTTCATTTAAGGCCGTTGCATTGACGGGAAGCGATATGTGCCTATTCAGATCATGGATGTTGCTGGACTTGTCCCTGGAGCATCAGAAGGTCAAGGACTTGGCAATCAGTTTTTGGATGACCTCCGACATGCTAATGCCTTGATCCACGTGGTTGATGCCAGTGGTACCACAGATGCCAATGGGAAAGAGACAGTCGGATATGATCCAATTGGTGACATTGAATGGCTCCGGAGCGAAATTCATTCTTGGATTTTCGGGAATCTTGATAAGAGATGGAGTCAGATCGTTCGAAGACATGTAGCCGTCAGTATGTTCAACCATATATACATCACTACTGAAGCGGAAGGAAAAGCGAGAGGCACATTATTTTTTCGCTATATTAGCCATTAACAGAGATGTATGATCGTTTGTTTTCTTCTTGCATATGCATTTAGAGGCTTCGACAGCAGAAACCTTACATAACCAACTTTCCGGATATGGAGCAACACTGAAACTAGTGCAGCGGACCCTTGACAGGAGCGGTGTCAAAGAAGCCATGGATACCTGGGACAAGGAAACAATCAAAAAAGTCGTTGATGCTTTCTTGGAGGAGCGTTTCCCCACAGTCTTTGTGAGTTCTTTTGGTCAGCGCTTAGTCGTAGCAATGCTCTTCATTAAACAACTTAAGGTCATTATATCATCACCAATGGTAGAGGATACTTACTCAAAATCACAATATATATTACATACTTCATTGCCAGGCTCTCAACAAGATCGATCTACCGGACTCAGATAAGAATATATCTAAAATAATGAGAAAATATGATCAGGTAATTGCAATCCTTGATCTCATACTCCAAGTGTGGCTCATCCATATTTGCTGACACTTTGCTCTTTATTGTCGTTACTTCAGAATAAGGTTATTCTCACAAGCGCCTTAGCGGAGGTATTTCTTAGGAAACTTCATAAACAAAAGTTCATCATATATGAGGAAGGCACAGACAACATTTCTACCAAAGCAGACCTTGTACGTTTAAAAAAAAAAAAAAAAAAAAAAAAAGTAAATTAAGATAGTCTTACGAGCGCAATAACAATAAGCTTTTCTCTTTCCCTTCTCTTTTTTTTTTTTATTCCATGCTTTCGTTTCTTAGCCCGAGTCTGACCTAAAACCGCTAGATGAAAGGCTAGAAGCGTAAGCTGAATTGCGTATATTCTGACAGAGTGTATAAAGTGGATGTTACATAATTTCCTACTGTATAACAAAACTCTATTCCCTCCATAGCCGCATTGAGAAGGTACAGGACTTAGTTTTATATCGGTATGGATCAACGGGCGTACAAGATGTCATTCTTAAGGCTGTCGAGATATTAGGTCTGATCCCTGCATTCCCTGTCAAGAGCTTGAGTACATTTGGCAATGCCAATGGCAAGGGTGTGTTCCGAGACTGCGTACTTTTATGGCCTGGAACAACAGTTCTCGAATTTGCCGAGATTGTACACCCAGAGATTGCTAAACACTACCTTGGCGCAGAGACAGTTGGAAATCGAATGGTAAGCTTGAGTAACATAAACTGAAAAAGATTCCATGAAAAGAAAGTTCTATCAGAAAGCCTAAATTGGAATTAAAAAAAAAAAAAAAAAAAAAATAGATTGGCGAAGACGATGTAATCACGTTAGAAAACAACATTATCTGCTTCAAGACATCACAATCAACACACGGCAATGCAGCAGGTGCAGGTGCAGGTTCAGGCCAGGCAAACAAGAAATAAATTATTCTTTTTAAAGTGCATGACAAAAAATTGAATTTATTGTTTAGTAAAGTTATGTATGAATAAGGCGTATTAGAGAAAAGGGGAAAAAGGTACATGTTCACTTGCGATGGTCATTGTACTTGGCACACTGCTCACGAGTGGCCTTGGCGCTGGCTTCGACCATCGCAATCTCCTTTTCGTTCATCTCTGGGTAAACGATGCGCTCAACGCCGTTGGTACCCAAAGAGACGGGGAAAGATAAGCAGGCATCAAAACGCTCGCAGTAGGTTGAGATGGGAATGACAGACAATTTGTTGAGAGTAATGCAGAGAGCAAGATCCGAGACTACGGCAGCGATACCAAAGGAAGTAGCGCCCTTAAGATCGATAATACTATAAGCTTTCCGTGCAACCTTTTTGGCTTCCTCATCACAATCAATGCTCTTAATCTCTTCGTATGAGAGCAATGGCTTTCCTCCGACGGTAGCGGAAGACCAGACTGCAACCTGCTTATCGCCATGATCACCAACAACATAGGCATGGACGGATGCACCAGAAACCTGGAGATGTTCTCTCATGGCAACACGGAAACGAACCGAGTCTAGGTAGGTACCGGTACCAATGACCTGACTTGGAGGTAAGCCTGAGAACTTTTGGGCCATGCAAGTAAGGATATTGACCGGATTAGCAACAAGCATCAAAATAGCAGTAGATTTGATGGGCTGCAAGCCATCAAGGACATTCCTGAGAATATCTTCATTTCGCTGAACGAGTTCGTCACGCGTCTCGCCTGGACGCTGGCGCGCTCCCGCCGTAATGACGATGATATCAGCTTGACCACACTCCTTTGGTGTACCGACTCGAACCTTGGTTGAGGAAACAAAGGCGGCGTCCTGAAGATCGAGCACCTGGCCTTGGCAAACCTTCTCATTGAAATCGTTGATCAATAATTCCGAGACAACAGAACGCATCAGACAAGCGAAAGCGATAGCGGATCCAACTGAACCGGCGCCAATGATTGCCATACGCGAACCTTCATTAAGAAAAATCCCAAAAGCAAAAAATAAATAAGTTAATACCGATACAGCCTTTATTTCATTTAAGCAAGCAAACAGCTGTAAGACTACGATGAATAACAATGTCAGAAAATAAAATTTTTCAAAGCTCTGACGATGTTAATCAATATTTCTTATCGTGGCTAGTTACCATCGCGCTTAGATGCATTAAAAGACATGATTTTAATTAAAATAGGAATAGAGAGAGGGATAAATGAAAAGGGCCAAGAGGTAAAGAAGTGGGAAGGTGAGCGTGAGAACAAGAGGTTGCAAGGAAAAGAAAGAAAGAAGGAAAGAAAAAGTGTGGCACAATAAAAAGCGATGATTTAACCTCTCAATAAAACCATGATGTGTCACTTGGTCAAGACGCGCACAGAATTTGACGATTAGGATTAAGACTGAATCAAGTTCAGCTCCCCCAAAATCTATTCCAGTCTCCTTCTGATGAATGAGACAGTTTGTGTGTGGGATGCAGTTACAGTGATGTCTAACAGACAAAATGTCCATTATTGAGAAGCGAACTTGTGAAACAAATTTCGCTAGCATGCCACAACAATCCGCCTTCGATTCTCTGTTACAGCTGTTACAGACAAAATATCTGGTAGAGATATCAGTTCAGAAAATAAATAAAAAAACATGCGCTGGCTCGCTTATTTGCTTATTCATCCATAAACATGCTCTTTTTACTCCTTCTATGGCAGTGGAATACACACATCCTTTTTGTCTTTATTCTACTATTCTACACATCTTTCTCGTGCTTGACATTCTGCAATACAAATATTATGTAATAATGTGCAATAAATTCCATAAGTCACACAAAGGAGTGTTTTTTTTCCTTCGAAGTGCATTCAAATGATGACAGATTTTAAGGTGGAAAATATTTTTTTTCTTGTGCCTGGGATCCCTGAACCAGGCATGCCGATCTAAGCAATCAAGATTCACATTATTCAATCAATTTATTATTACAAAGCGTGTAGATGTAGAATGTATACAGCAGAAAAGGCACGTTGGCAAAAGTGTGGGTATGGAAGCCAAAGGCGATGAAAGTGATTACATGTATGAATGTATGTGTTATTACGTATGTATGTGTGAAAGACTATGGGCCCTTCAAGGACTTGTTGCAGCAGGTATATCTCCGGATGGTACTTGTGAAATTGGTGCTGCAGAAATAGCAGTACCGTCAGCACCAAGGCTAGTATGTGTACTGTTACTACGACTAATGCCTACGGGGTGTTGACTATTGTTACTGCTACTCATGGATGCCTCGGCGCGCTTGCGGTGAAGCTCAATAGTCCGGATCCAACGTCTTTGTTCATGTTTATCATGTGCCAGCAGATAGATGGGTAAGCTGTGGCGAAGGCCTTGTTGCTCTTGACAAGAGATGGTGAGCACGTCTAGGCATTGTCTATGTGCAACGTACTTGCAGACTAGCATATTCAAGATAAGAAGTATAAAAGTGGTCAAAAAGAAGAAATAGACACGCTATGTAAATGCATTACTGTAGTAAAAAAAAAATCCACGTACTGGAACATTCGTATCCTGACTTTTGAGATCCCCACAACACATCATGACACTGATGACACGATTTTGGAGTTGTATAGTGCTTCAAATGGAAACTATGTCCATATGTCTCGCGATGCTGCGACCATATGCCCACTCCTCCAGACTGTAAAGGCGATGCACTCTTGGAACCCTATTTTAGTTGTCCATAAAAATGAGCATGTTTAGAAATCGAACCACCCAAAGAGTTATTCGAATAGTAGGCGCCCCATTCCATTTCATGGTATCACCTGCTTCCTCCTGTCAGTGCTTACCGAGCTAATTTTCTCCAATTCTGCTTTAAGCAGTGCTAAACGCTGTTTAGAGCTTTCCATCTGAACTTCTACAGCGGATTTCCAATTCCGGCGCGCAGCATTATTGGCATTCATAAGGGGTGCTGCCATTTTCTCCGCTGCCTCAAGATGGCTACGTTCAATGGCAATCAGCTTCTCCAGCTCCTTGGCTCTATGGCTCCGCTCAGCAGAGAACAGATCTGGAGAAGACTCGGCCTTATGCTATATCAAAATGTTATCTCTCAGCATTGTATTTTTAAAAAAGAAAAAAAAATTGATAAAACAACGAGACATAGCTCACTTATCTTGCTCTTTTTCATACCTCGGGTGCATTCAATAAAGCACTTAAACGCTCGACTTCTGCGGTTTTTTCCTTGATGATTTTGATACACAAATCAACATTTTCTTTGGATTTCAAATAAGCGTCACTGGTGCCTTTGGTTCCCATCCAGGCTGCTTGCATGGATTCCGCTCCACGTTTGATCTGTTCCTCCTTAGCAATCTCTGCCTTGAGAGTGTCGACCTTGGCTTGTAATTCTGCACGATTCAGACCGCTCGTTGGTGTAGATGAACTAGATCCATTTGTCATGTTGGCCACGGAAATAGAAGTATCCGTTGTAGCGGTCTAGTTTCGATTTAAAAAATAAATAGTAAGGATGAGACTACAATGCATTGACTTTGCTCTGTTATCGATAGCAGAAACAAGGGAAGAAAGGGGGTGAGAAATTACCGAAAACGTGGATGTTGTTGAAGTGACGCCAATGTTCGAGCTTCGTAATTGAAAAATGCATTCCAGTTCCTTAGCGGTTGCATGAATGAGTTCGGACCGGTTCACTGTCCGGACAGAGAAAAAATCAGACCTAAAGACAATGAACAAAGGGACAAACCAAAATATACATCAGAAACAATAAGAGAAATAAAGTAAAAGCAAAAGTAAAAATAAAAATAAACACCCATGTCTAGCTTGCGCTTTACCTCAGGTCGGCAAGTACCTTGCAGTTTTGAGCTGTGCTAGGATCACCTTCCTTCTCCAAAGCAAAAATTCGTAGATCTTTCAGGACCACAAATTGCTTTTTCCAAACCTGCTTTCCTCCTCTCTTCTCTGTCGAAGGCCAAGAGACGCGGATCCAACCTGACGCATCTTCCGGTGCACACAGCTCCATTAACATCTTAGTAGGACTGGACAATGAAGCCATGTCATGCGTCGAGTGCATAGGGGATAGCGCTCTGTCTGGGCTACGGAGGGCATGTTGACGACCCTTTTCCTGCTCCAAGTGCTTGATCTTGTTCTCCAGCTCTGTTATCTTCTCGCCTTGTTCTTCCAGCTGCTGGATCAGGACTTTATTGCTAGCACGCTCACGTTTAAGCATTGAAGGATAGATGGTGCGCACGCTACCCCCACCATTCGCTCCTGAAGCGGATGCATCCATGGCCACTTCACATGCCTTCGTTAATTGCGCTACTTCAACGTCCCTTTGCTCAAGCTTCTCGAGAGCCTTGTTTAATGACTCTTGTAGATTTGCCCTAGCCTCAGCATGTTGATGCAGATCTTCTTCCAGCCTCTTACGGGTTTGGAGTTGAGATGCTACGTCCTCCTGGACACCGCGTAGAGCCTTTTTAAGCTCAGATATTGTGTTTCTATAATCCAAACTCGATTGTTCTTCTTGGCGCTCAAGTTCGCGGATCTGCAGCCGCAGCGCTTCGTTTTCCTCCCTGAGCCGATTACCACGCTCCATTTCTGTCAAAAGAAGTTGATTTTCCTTAAGTTTACCGTGTTCCTGTTGGTTTCGGAGCTCTTCATTCTCTGCCTTGAGCAAAGAGACTTTCTGGCCCTCAATCTCCTGTTTCAGGATCGACTCGCGCTGCCGCTCAATTTCATTCTCAAGCTCACCACATTTCGTTCGTAAGGTTTCGTTCTCTTGCTCAAGTTGCAGAGTTTTCTTAAGCTGTATTCCCAGACTGTTTTTAAGGTCCAGCGTTGCCTCTTCAGCTTCAACCCGCTCTCGTTCAGCCACCGCAGCTATGCCGACCAGCTTGGCGGAGAGTTCAGATTCTGCTGCTGTTGCCTGCGCTACATGCTCGTCATACTGCGTCAATAATGCTTGATGGACATTGTTGAGTTCAGTCAACAGCTCCTCTTTTGCGGCAAGCTCTCCTGTAAGTCGGAATATCTCCTGCTCCATACGCATGCGTCCAACATCATCTTTATCTAGGCCAGTTAATGAAGGCTCACGCCTGAATCTGCCATTTTCCTTTGTAGCAGAAATAGAGCTTCCTGAGATGGATTGGCTCATACCAAAATCTACAAAGGTTTGATAGGTGTATCCGATAAATGCAAGATTATATCCCTCGAACCGACGCAGCTGTCCACCCCTGTAATCGACCACAGTTGACTGTTTATCCTGCATTGTTTCATCACTACCATCCAATTCGTCGTCAAATCGAAAATTTGATGTGTCGTCAGGTGTTTCGATTACGGGAAGGAACGGTGGTATTGCTAAATACCAAAAATGCCATGAACATGTTGAATTAAAATATTTCTATCTGTCAGTATTCCTACTTGAGATTGCATCCTACTACAAATATGCATCCAATCATCAGCACTGCCCCCAAATGTCAATCACATACACTTGCGAATGTTATCCCAGTCAATATTCTTAAAAAACGGATGAGCTTTGATCTCCTCCACTCCATTCTTGCCTAGACGGTTTTCCTTTCGAGCAAGTAGCCTACAGCATCATGAGGAAAGTAAAAGGAAAAGTAGAAGGAAAAGTAGAAGGAAAAGGATGTTATAATGATACACTCTTTATTCCTTATTCCAAAGTCATTTTTTCCCCTGCGGTTGATCCAGCAGCTTACCTAGTAATGAGGTCTTTGCAGTCATTACTGAGACCGGGCGCTTTGTCGAAGCTAAGATTTTTCTATAGACGATTCCATTAAAACTAAAAGTGAGTACTTCTTTATTTTCATTTTTATTTTTATTTTTGCAAATCCTTGCAGCATATTACCTCGTGATCTCGTAATAAACGTATGATCCCCATGGCGCTTTCAGCAAAGAACGGAGGCTCTCCTACTAATAATTCGTACATTACCACACCCACAGCCCACCAGTCAACTTCTTTGCCGTATGGTTTCCCACCTGATTGAGCATCTACGACCTCGGGCGACATGTAGTCCCACGTTCCAAGGGGAACTGTCTGCCCATGGACCTATCACATTAAATATACAAACAGCATCTGTCAGACAGGTTTCAATTGAGCGTGGGACAAATATATATGCTGATGTGGCTAACTGTACCTGGCCTTCAGGGTCAAGTCTTGCGCAGGCGCCAAAATCGGCTAGCATGATATGGCCCGATGCATCCAGAAGGATGTTCTGAGGTTTAAGATCCCTATTCAGCGATGTAATGTGAGGTAAATATCTAAAAACACATCGACGTATGACCAAAATAGACAATTTGACCCCTTTTTTTTTTCCTTGTTGGGGATGATAGGGGATCATACCTGTGAATGTAATTATTTCGATGCAGCTCTGCAACGGCCAAGATGATTTCTGCAATGTAGAATCGAATTTCATCCTCTGTCAGTGTAGTGTCTTCGTCATCGGAAACGCCTCCATCATCTTGATCGAGACCAGCGCTCGCCGATCTGTCTACTCCTTGTGCCTTGTTAAGTTCGTCCTGCTTTTTGTCCAATACGCTATACAAGTCCCCTCCAGGTGCGTATTCCATGACAAGATACAAGTTGACTTCGTCCTGAAAGGCCGCATGCAGTTTTGGGAACCACTCAGATGTAATAGCTAATACCTCTCGTTCTTCCATGTACAAAATTTTCTAGGCCGAGTATTTTTTTTTTTAAGTCAGTAAGTTAACAAGAATCGGACTTTGCGTTCTATAAAGCAAGCCATGATCATATGCTTACATCTTTCTGCGAAAGAATATACATCTTGTTCAGAGTTTTCATTGCGTATATTCCGCCATCGAGACGGCTGCGGACAATTGAAACCTAACAGTGAGAAAGTCGGTGCGTAACTCATTTCAGGGGCGAGTTTTTTTTAGATGGGCCATTACAATGTGAGGAATTCATTGTACTTCACTCGTCTTTTTAGTCTTTTTACTTTGTTGCGGATAGGCTAAAGAGATCTTTACCTTGCCATATTGCCCACGTGTGAGTGCCTTTATTGTCTCAAAGTCATCTTTGTTGATCCTAAGCAGCTTGAGTTTCGATACGATCTTTTCGACTGGAATCAGTGTAGAATGACAATGCCAAGTTATTTCTTTTTTCTTTTTGAATATTCAACCATCATTAGGAGGAGCTATGGGGACCAAGAGCTCAGCAGAGGCATGAAACATAGCCATCGAACTTACATCTCTCCCAAAAAGCTGGTAATGCGCCCCAGTTCTCAGTATGTAGTACAGCTCTAGTGTCGTCATGAATTGCGATCAGTCCATCCACTAAAGCATCAATGCCACCTCGGACAGGGGCTCCTCCTTCTGCATTCGATACAACTTTTGTAACGTCTTGTTGTTCTGCCAGTTGGAGCACACATTCTTTGTATTTCTCAAGACGCTCCTGTAAGAAAGTGGCTAAAGATTTTTCGTCACTGGATTCTAGGAACTCTGTATAATTTTGGCCCAATGGGGCTACAGGAAAGGATTTTAACATGGTGGAGGGCCAACACACGATGGTAATGGCGATACGATCCTTCTATCCTGTTAGGCACTTGACAGCACTTCTGTCCTTCCTCCACTCGACAGTGTTCAACTTTCTGCAATGAGTATTTAGAAGGATAATGAGAGTATACGTGGTACAAGCAAGCAATTGAGACAGAAAGAAGTCTAAGAATGAAATGAGCAGAAAGGAGAGAAGGGAGAGAAAGAGAGAGAGAAAGAGGAAAAAAAGAAAGAAAGAATGTGACGAGAACAGGAGAAAAAAAAAAAAAAAAAAAAAAAAGTAAAGGCAAATATGAAATAGGCTACAAGATTAGCATTAAAGCTTCCTCATTAGACACACAAAAAAAAGAATATGAGAATGAAAATAGAGGGAGAGAGAGAAAGAAAAGACCGATTGTAAGTGGACAAGCGTCGATGGGAATGTGCAGTTGGATCGTCTGAATTGCGACGGTGAGGAATGGATTGAATGAGCACTTGACTTCTTAGTAATGAGTGTAAACACACAATGACCGAATTCGCTATTATTGACGACAAATAACTTTGTAAAAAAAGGGGTTTGTGATATAAAAGTTCAGGGCCAGTCATGGCCAAGGTCAGGTTCGCAAGGCGTATGCGCATCAAGACGTGGTCTGTAATGAACCATGCATAGAAAAGAATGCGGATGCATGGCAAATTTATTGGCACGTAATAACAAGTCAGTCAATAGATACGCTCTGATAAACGCGTCATCCACATAATACCATCCCATATGTTCAGTTTCTCGCGTCTCCGCGCGTCATCTTCAATCAAGATTTAACTGAAGCTTGCTGAGCTAACAAGGCGCTGTGAACTATTTATTCTGCAATGTGATGCCAACACTGTTTCTCACTTCGTACCCAAATAGAGACTCGTTTCACTTCCATCGATTTCAAGCCAATCTTCAGATTGGAGCCAGTCTGAAGCAGAAACGGCTTCACACTGTCTGCGCTCCTCGTGGACGATACTACTAACCTCAATTTCCTCTTTTAAACCGTCAGATACTTCCAATGAAGCTGCGTCTTCAGGGTCTGATGAAAGATCAACTGGAGAGAATGCTATTAATCGCGAATAACTGCAAGATTCTTCATCCCTTTTAACTACTGCTTGACTCTGCTCCGGCGATCCTCTTGGGTTTGAGTCTTGAGCCTTAGATCTCTTCTGCCAATCTAGCCTCATTGCTGCTTCTTGATTAGGCGGCGGCCATTCCAGCGACAAGCTGTCAGCAAAAACAGGAGTTGCAGCTGCAATAATTGGTGACACTACCTCCTCATCGTGATCCGTGACTCCCTTCCATTCTTTATTCTCGCTATCTGATTTGTTCCCAGTAACCGTCTCAGTATCATGAGTCCTTTCCATCTCTTCCGACTCGTAATCACCATTTCCCTCATTCTCAAAGATCTTGATCTCTTCGCCAGCGACAGAAATGTTCATTTCTGAGGGAGCATTACTTGAATCGTCCTGGTTATCCATCGAATCTGTGATCCATGGTCTAGAACCACGATTTTCGTCTTGCAGATGCGTGTTGATATCTCCCCTTCTATAACCGATCAAGGATGGATAAGCTTTCTGACCCTTTGATTGAAGCAACTTCTTTGCTTCGATACTCTGCCTCATTTCACGAACAGCATTGCAAATGGCAATATGCCTCTCCTATTTATTGGGGTGGAGGCAAAAGATAATGAGATGTGCAAGGGTTAAACATGCTCTGTCCCACTGGATCAAATGACATTTACCGGAATCTTCAGTGGCTCGTCCTCGTGCTCATCCTCATTCATGAAGTCTTTTACAGCCTGGTGTTCTTCACCTTTTTTGCTTCTCTTGCAATGGCGCTTTACAAACTGCAGCTCTTTCTTATCTTGCTCTGTAGAATACTTGAGATAAGGCCGAAAATCATGCCGCTGTTGGACAACGCTGCTTCGTTCACCTTGTGTAGGGCTTCTGATTAGTGGCGTCGGGGGAGTGCGTAGGAGATATGGTTTGCCGACCCAGTCGAACGAAGACCCAAGCATCTCTTTGCATATCTGTCTCGCATTCTCATAATCCTCAGAACCGAACACTTTCACTAGATAATATTTACATTGTGACACGTCTGATATATGAGTACTTATGACATTGAACTTCATCTCTTCCAACATTCAGCTCCAATATTTATAGTACTTTTAGATGATGAGTCAAAGTTGTGCATTTGATCCTGGAGCTTAAGAGCTGAAGGTCCAGAATCCTTGATCTCGAAAGAAAGGCGTAGTTGTGTCTGAGCTTCATAATTGCTTTCACGATCATAATCTAGACTTATATAACTTGTGTCTTGAGTCTGTCCGCATGGGCTCATGGCCTGCCTTGAACTCTGATTGAAGATCATCCGTCGCTGTCGATCAAAGTGTTCTCTCTGTTTCAGCTGTTCTTGACTCTTTTGAATCTTGTTCCTATGGATAATAGTGCGGATCATTCGTTTTTGAAATGTAAAGCACGTTCTGATCTACTTATTAATATATCTCTGCTCACCTTCGTCCGCCTGTCCAGTTCATAATCGCTTCTTTAATGTAAAAAGCAAGGAGTCAGTCATTTAAAAAAAAAAAAAAAAAAAGTCAAAATGAAGAACTAAAGCATTAGACGCAAGAAAGTTAAAAAGTAACGGGGTACACATTTATTAAATCTACGATTTTAAATCTATTTGAAGACCTTTCCGTCCTGGATGGGCTTGCCATCGATAGAACCTTCCCAAGCGAATACTTGGTCGATCTTGTTCTTTTCTTCATCATCCACTTTAACTTTAATCCAAGTATAGGAGTCGTAGTCAGCAGCATCAGTTATCTCTTCAATCATCTCATCGGCGTTGCCACGCACAATAAAATAGCCTGTAATGATGTTGTTGTTGTCTTCGCCTGCGACAACCAGACTGCCAAAAGCGTACTTGCGTGCCCGCTCGAGACGATTCATCAGACCACCGGCAAGATTGTTGGACATGTATAGTTTGGTGAGTTCATCGTTATATTTGTAATCAACTTTCCAAATTGAATAATCCGAAGTTAAATCAATATTCTCCCACAGCCATTTCATTGCAACAGGAGTATCGTTGTTGGAATACTGGCGCTTCCACTCGTCCAATGGCATCTTGGCAGGAGGCAATAGATCCAACTTGGATTTTGGTTTAGGAGCCTCCTGGAAGGATTCTTCCACTTCATCTTCCTTAGACTCTTTGACCTTGGGTTTCTTCTCTTCTTGGACAGTTTTGAGCTTTTCCTCTTTTTGGTTCTTTTCTTTGGCTTCCTTCTTAGGTGGAGTGAACTTCAAGGGGGTCTCACAGAGCTTGAACTCACCAGCCACGGCCTTGAAATGCGGCTGGTTCACGATGGTAGTGAACCAACGAGTAACAGCTGGATATGCTCTACGGAAGATGGGGTCAAATAAGCGCTGAAAGCCGAGGTAGAGGGAAGTAGCGTTGGCGATATCAGCAAGGGTGACACGCTCGCCTACTAAGTATGTCTTCTTAGTCAGATGACGTTCGAGGATTTGAAGCTGGGTCTTAATGCTTTCGACCGCCTGGTTTTCTATGACTTTGTTATAAGGCACACGTTCAGGCATAATCAATGGCAGGATCCACTGACCAAGGGCATGGACGATTGAGCTATCGACAAACTGGATCCACTGCTGAATATGAGCCTCTTCAATTTTGGAACGGCCAATCAACGGTGAGTCATCTTTGTAATGGGCCACTATTTGGTAGTAATCAACACAGGGAAAGCAGGTAAGCCACTCATGTCTGTACATTGATGATGTCGTGGCGTCATTCGAATAGATCACGACATAATGATGAAATCGAGAAAATTTGTTCACATACAGTAGAAGGCAATAGCGCCGGACTCTAGAATAATGGTTCCATCAATGCCTTCAAACGCTGGGACCTGAGTAGTATGAAGAGGATGAGTAAACCATCATGCTGCTCTTTAAACGGCGTAGCTGTGGACGTGTCCGAAAATTAAATGATATAAGTGAATGAACTCACCTGGGACGTGCCAAATTTTGCAATCCATTCAGGCGTCCTATTAGTAGTACCCATGGCGAACTTTTCATCAACTTTGACTTCGAGACCATTATATCTGGCTACGATCAAGGCTTTATACGCACGAGGGTTCTGGGGGTAGGTGTAAATAGTCTTTTTTTTTAACATTTTTATAAACATGCAGAAGTTAGTTTTATTCAAAGCTTCGTCGTGATTATTATCTAACAGAGCAAACTGATGATAAGACATACTCCGACAAAGGTCATGTTGAGATTGTTAAACTGATTCGTAAGGAATGAGGTGTGTTCAAGTTTAAGGAAAAGAAGAAGCAAGGAAGGAACAAAGAGATAAGCTGGCAATCACGTTTTCTTTTTCTTTTTTTTTTGTCCCGCTTCCTACGCACGACCCCCTCTCTGTCCTACGAAAAGGGAAGACTAGGCTTCCATAACCACGTGAAGAACTGGGATCAGACGTTTTGTAGAAAAGAAAGTATGATCAACAAGTTTTGTTGAGAAAGGTAATGTGTTCCAGGAAGTCCAGATGATCGTACTGTCTATCAAGCTCATAGCTGCTCTCTTTTTTCTGATTTTCAGCAGATATACCCGGATTTGGCTTCAACCATCGTGCAGATTTCTTTTCTTGTCTATCAAGACATATCCCCAATCGTTAAGTTCAAACCTTTACGTATATACTGTATATAAACATATTATAGAGTTAGTCTTCACGAATCTCTTGTGATTTATACGGATCCAACGGGTTCCCATCCTGGGCTCTCTTTCTCATTCCCTGGAGGATTGAGTTCAAGGACTATAAAGACAGCAACGATGTCTCCACATTATAAAAGTCGTGCCTGAATCTGTTTCAACTTTAATGCCATCTAAAAAATATATAATCATTTACAAAGGTATAGAGTCATCTTAGAGCTGTGACAGCAGTTTGTCTCCTAATTTGGACACAATCGCATCTCCATCCACTCCTTTCTTTGTGTCTGATCCAAATCTTTAATGACCCTTGTGGTCCACAGCCACCGGACTAAAAGAAGACATGATAGCTACCTGGCACGATAACGATTGGGGAAAGAGGAGGAAAGGAGGGGGGGAGCTTCATTCTTTTTTTCCTCATTTGTGTTCTCTTGCGATTTTGAGCGTATTAATACAGGTCTATTACACTTGGACAAACATGTTCGTGTACATGCAAGAAAATACACATGAACAACAGAAAGAGAAAAACAAATGCAGGGGTCTGATGTCTGTTGCTGCCGTGTTGCGAGAAATAAATGAATCAATGCAAGTCTTCGGCAACAAGAGACAACTCCGACATGGAATTATATACACTTCAGTCTAATGAAAAAAAAAAAAAAAAAAAAAAATGGATAGGGTGTGCAAAGTGGTTTCTAAAATGTACATGTACATGTACATTTTTATTTTATAATCTATTTATTATTTATATTATTCTGATTGCCTTTGCGGAGATGCAACGTTCTGGTGCTACAGACATACAGACAACGTGGGTTGCCTTTCATCAAAATAAAACTAAAAAACTATATTAATACGAACTCCACTTATTCTTTTTCTTCTTTTTTTATCATCTCATACGCTTCCATCACACTGCTTCTTGCTGTCCTCTTCCATCCTCCAATCATTCTTTCCCTCTCACTTCCACCTCCAAACCCCCATCCACACTTTTCACCATCTCAAGGTCAACTGCCTCTCTCTCTTCTTCTTTCTTTGTCTCTCTTCTTCTTTCTCTCTTTTTTTTTGCTTATCCCCCTTCATTTCACTTCTCTCCTTTTCTCCTTACTCCCTTTCTCTTGCTCTCTTCCTCACTTCTACACGACACATTCACACTGCACATCCTGCACTTCCGCATACACTAAACAATATATTCACCCATCCTCTTACTTGTCTCTCCTTGCTTCCTGTTGATCTTGCTGTTACTAATTCTCTCCTGCACACGACAAAACCCCTTGATAAAACGGCCTTTCTTCTATTCTTATTGTCATATTACAGTATCTCAATTGCCACACAACTCTCTCTTTATCTCTTTCTTTCCTTCCTTCACACTTTCTCTTTTCTCTTTCTTCCTCGTTTATCTCTCCATCCCCTCTTTCTATTATCTCCTCAACACATCCAGCCCCTCCCCATTCCGGCCTTAAACAGGCGCAAACTCAAAAATAAAATAGGCAAACGATTTCTGCTCTCGACACTTTCCTTCCCTTCTCCAAGAAAAAACTTTATTGAAATGTCCACCTCACATCTCCTCCACCGTGGTCGCAGCGTTTTCTCGAAACTAAACCAAAAATATCGACTCCCGGCTTCTGCTGCTCTTACAACTGCCACTGCCTCTTCCTCCATTTGCACCTTCTCCTCTGTACCTTGCTCACACTCTGATGATGCCCTCGGTAAGACTCAATCTGACAGTCATTCCTCTGTCCGTCAACAAGCCTCGCAAGACCCTCAGGATCAACTCAAGGCCCGTCGCCTCTTCGATCTTGCTCAGCAACTTCTTTTCGGCCGTCATGGTCAGATCAAAGACGAAGTCGCAGCGGCTGAATACTATCGTCTCGCTGCACAAATGGGTCATCTAGAAGCCCAGGGCGTTCTAGCCTTTTGTTATGAATTCGGTCTAGGTGTCCAAGCTGATTATGTGGAAGCAGAGCGCCTCTACATCTTGGCAGCTGAAAAAGGAAATGGCCTCTCACTCTCCCGTTTGGCCTTTTTGCGTAAATACGGTCGTCCTTCCGTTAAGATTGATCGCATCGAATCAGAATACTGGCAACAAAAGATCAATCAGCAAGGCCCATCTGCACTCGCTTGGCTCATGGAGGCCGCAGCCGTCGACAATCATGATTGCTGTCAGTTCGCCCTCGGAGTCTGCTATCACGACGGTGTTGGTGTGGAAAAGAACGCTAACGAGGCATTTCTCTGGTATAAAAAGTCGGCGGAGCAGGGCAATGCTCGTGGTCAGGGTATTCTTGGCTATTGCTATGGTGAGGGTTTCGGTGTAGAACGAGATCGTCGTAAAGCCATGTATTGGTATCGCATCGCAGCAGAGCAGGGCGAGTCTGTAGCACTTTACAACATTGGATACTGCTATGAGGATGGCTTGGGCGTGGATCGCGACCCTTACGAGGCAGTTAAATGGTACCGTCTTTCAGCTGAACTTGGCAATGCGTTTGCTCAAAATTCACTTGGATACTGTTATGAAGATGGTGTTGGGATTGAGCAAAATCTTGAGTTGGCTGCCATGTGGTATACGAAATCAGCAGAGCAGGGATATCCTTGGGCAGAGTGTAATCTTGGATACTGCAACCAGAATGGTATCGGAGTTCCCAAGGATGATGCCAAGGGAGCGTACTGGTATCGCAAGGCAGCCTTGCAAGGGCATGCTCGAGCTCAACACAATCTCGGTTTTTGTTATCAGAATGGAATCGGAGTACCCAAGGATCCTGTAGAGGCTGTCAAGTGGTACATGAAGTCGGCAGAGCATGGCAACATCTTCGCGTTCCATTCGCTCGGATATTGCTATCAAAATGGCATTGGAGTTCAACAAAACTTAGACGAGGCCGTGTACTGGTACTATCTTTCTGCTGAAGAAAATCATGCACCGGCCCAACTTTCACTTGGATATTGTTTTCGTAACGGTGTCGGTGTCCCCAAGGAGCCCAAGGAGGCAGTCAAGTGGTTCTATCGCTCTGCCATCCAAGGAAATGCCCTCGCTCAGAACTCACTCGGATTTTGTTATGAGGAAGGTCTTGGTGTGGAAAAGGACCGTAAGAAAGCAGTATTTTGGTATGAAAAATCGGCGGCCCAAAACAACCCTTGGGCTCAATGCAATCTTGGATTTTGTTATGCGAATGAAATTGGTGTGGCTCAGGATTATGAAATGGCTGTCAAATACTATTCCCTCGCTGCAGCTCAGAATCATGCTCGTGCTCAGGATAAGCTTGGTGTATGCTTACAACTTGGACAGGGCATTGCTCAAGATGTAAAACTTGCTGTCCGTTATTTCAGGTTGGCTGCTGAACAAGGTCATCTTGCAGGCCAGTACCACCTCGCTAATGCATTGGTAATATTCAAAACTCCCTTCTCTTTCTTTTTCTTTTCCTCTCAGTTGCTGTGTTGGTTGACACTGGCAATGTACCTGATCAATTCAAAGCTAATCCTGATATCTTTTTTTGATTTTTTATATGTGATAGGAAAAGGGTTTGGGCTGTGAAGTTAATCTTGAAGAGGCCTCCATTTGGTTTGAACGCGCAGCGGCAAACGGATGCAGAACCTCGCATGAAAGACTTCAGCGTCTTCTCGCACGTTCGTGCCTTGAGAACGGATTAGGTATCACGGAGAGCGGCCTCTTCCTTGGTGCTGTTGGTCATTGCGCTCCCGCAGCATAATCTAATTGGGATTGAGACAGCAACAACATTTAAACACAACTCCTATTCTACCTCTCTTTCCTGTTTCTAATTTGATCTTTTTCGTTCTTTCCATTGCATGCTTATTTTCTTTTACGTTATTTTTTTACTATCCATCGTTTCCCAATATTCATGCTGCATCATACCACTTATAGACTTATGCTCCATGCTTTTTCATTATTTACTTGTTGAAATAGAAAATATGTAATAAAACCTTTGACCAATATCAACGCTCTTCATCTTTTTTCAACCCAGAAAGCCGGGGGAGATTATCCGAAGGAAATAATAATGATTGATAAATATTCTGTTTTTTCTTCTTTTTCTTATTTCTCCTCTCCACAACTGTATCATACTCATCATCCATCGCTCAAGGTTACATTTTCAAGGACGAAAAGCTCTCTATAAAATAGCAACAATATCAGGCAATATTGATAAAGAAAGAAAATAGATAAGGATTTCAAAGTCGAAGCGGATAAAAGAAAAAAAAAATGCCAACGGCCAAAGTCGTTCTTGAGAATGTGTTTGGCATGCTTGGGATTATATTCTGGAGTTTCCAGTTGCTCCCCCAAGTCATTGACAATTATAAGGCAAAGACGACTGAGGGACTATCTGCAAGCATGTTCTTGTTCTGGACATTGGCGTCCTTAGGATTTGGATCATACAGCATCATCGAAGACTTGTCTATCCCTATTATTGTCCAGCCACATGTCTTTGGTTTCTTTTCGACTACTTGCTTCCTGCAATGCATCTATTATAATCAAAAGAAGCGATGGTCACTGCTAAAAACATTAGTAATCAGTTTTCTGCTGGCCGTGGGGTTTGCAGGGATAGAAGCTGCAGCTTTCTTTGGCACACGTGTAAGTTGATCACTTTATTTATTTATTTATTTTTTGCTTAGATGGCAATGAAGATGAGCATGATGTATTTTCAAATGTTGTCGTTCTCCCACTCACATTCACACACATTCTTTTAATAACACAACAAAGGCTGGCTTGGTTCATGATGTCAAAGGGACATTGGATGCTGCGGGCATCTTGCCAGTTGTCTTATTAGGCGTTGGATTTATTCCACAATACATCGATATTCTGCGCCTTCGATCCGTCGTTAGTGTCAGCATGGTCTTTATCGGTGCTGATGCTTCTGGCTCAGTGTTTTCGTTAATTAGTCTAGCCCTTCGAGACACATTTGATCTATTGGCTGCTCTCAACTACGTGATCGTTTTTGTTTGTGACATGGTTATTGTTGCCTTCTACCTTTACTTTAACAAGTACAAACCATCACCGGATATTTGAGCATGCAGCATGTTATACCAAAGTTTAAGCCATAGAAGTAACCATTAAATAATTTATGCATTGTTATTTCTTTTACACGGGTATATGTTCTCTGTCTATTGCTTGGTTTGTGAGGAGTACAACTATGGGGATGAACCTGATAATGGGCCTGAGAAAAAGGACAGGAAAGATAGCGCCTTTTTTTTTTTTTTTTAAAAAAAAAAAAAAAAAAAAAAAAAAAAGGAAAGGAAAGACAATTAAAATCAGCGAGAGACATTTTTTCAATACAAGATCACACCATCAGTACATTACCTCCGCAAAAGTAGCTACAAATCCTGGCTCATGATCACTTTCCGATTCCCCGATATCCGAAAGCGACTCGGCTGGGTCTCTAAATTCATTCCGGTTTCGCTGGTCATCATCGTCACGCTCGCTTCCTGATCCTAATAGATCCATATCCACGTCCGTATAAAGTGATCTTTTGCCTATGCCTCTCGATTTCTTGGCGCTTGTTCCGTCATGGGCCCGTTGCTTTGTCTCTGCTGAGGTTTGTGTAGATGAATTGGTTCCAGAGGGTATTAAAGCACGCCTTGCTTCCGATGTCGATGTTGATGTAGATACCGTTGTGGTCCGCACATCAGTAGGGTTGGCATGTTGATTAGAATGACTATGACGATGATGAGAATGACTCCTAGGATGCGCGGACTTTGAGTGTAATGCTCCATTATGATGATCTCGACTAGAGCGCCGACCGCCACTCTCCCTTTTGGACGAGTGGCGATCCCGGCGCTTGGATGAAGAGAGCGGCTGTTGGTCCTGATGATAACGGCGCTCCAGCTCGCCAAAGATATTACCTCGTACTCCTGGTAGGTGGAAATGATGGTGTAAATGTTGTTCCGTTGGATGTGTGGTCACATAAGGAGGAGGAGACCCTGAATGTGCCTCTGCGTGCTCTTTTACATGTTGAGGGTTTGCATCATTAGTTGTTTTTGCAGTCAAAACTGTTTCTGCAGGATCTTCAAAGTAACCGCAATTACAGCACTCATATGCATGCCCATGTTCATAATCTTCCACTTGTGAACGTAAGGTGATGACTTCGTTTCTGGCATCCTGTAGAAGATCTCGGTATTCAGCAAGCTCATTCCTGAGAGTCGAGTTGGTAGTGGCAAGTTCCTTGATCAAAGAAACAAGTTGATTCTGTGCAATGAGCGGGGGTTCAGAAATTGCAGTAGGATAAGGTGGCGATGATGAAGGTGATGTCTGATATATGTTGATTGGGGCAACTGATCCTGCTGATCCTTGAAGACTCTTTTCTTGTTGGATAGCTTGACCCAGACTCCCTTGTGGCGGTGAGCACAAGCGCTCTGTTGTCTCTTTGAGCCATGCAAGAGCCTCTCGGCTCTCCCGAACAAGATCCAACTCCTGTGTCTGTCGCCGTAAAAGGTCATACCGCTTTCCGAGAGCCTCATATTTGGTCTGCATGATGAGGAGCTTTTGTTGTGCTGTTCGCTCGGAGCGTTGAACTTCATGGAGTTCATCCTGCAACCCCTCAATCTTGAGTCGACTAGCATCTTCTCGTTCCTGAAGTGCTTCTCGCTTGATCCTCTCAATCCGAAGCAATTCAGAGTCCTTCTGACCATCGCCAATCTCTTGTGTAAGATTAAATAACGCCTGCTCAGTGTGCTCCAGCTGGCTAGTCATCAATAGCAATCGTTTCGCTGTCCTTGCCTGGTCACTCACTGCCACAAAGCGTGCTTCTTCCAACTCATGATTTATTTTAGCAAGGTCTCGACTTGTCTTATTGACTTTTTCAATCTCTAGCATGGCAATGCGTAACTATAATCTCGCAAAAACAAAAAACAAAAAAGTTAATATTAGAAAAAACAAAATCAAATGTTTTTCTGGTAATAGGAAAACTTTCTGTTACCTCGCGCTGCAACTCGATGATCAACGAGCGATGGTCTTGAGTTGAGCCCTCGGACTCTATACATAATGGGTTCAACCGAACAGTTTGCTTCATTAGTTCGGATATTGATGACTGATGAACAACCCAATGGCTGTCACTATAGACAACCTCGGGTACAGCATAGTGGCTATGAAGGTGAGTATTAGATATCGATGACGACGGCTGTGTATTTCCTACCATCATGTCGGCTTTGGTCTGAATACTGTGGAGTGAGTTCTAGGTGAGCCTGCCGGTTGGATACAATCCAGTGTGGACATTTTTGACCTTGTAGGCAATAGCAGCCTTCGGTATATGTTAGCTCGGAGGTCATAAACTTTTAAAAGTGACTTTTGTTAGAGATCAGATGCGTAAGATCTATGAATGTGAATGAGAAAGGAAAGACAAAAAAAAAAAGATGGGGGAGGATCAGATGAAAGGAAGAAATAGATTCTTTTTCTTTTTTTATTTTTTTGTTGTTTTTGCTTTTGCTCTTCTTGGCAATCTGCGAGCATCGGAACTAGAGTGGGGTTTTTGAGACTGTGTATCACTTCTCTCAATCCTATGTCATGGTATGGCATGACCTCGATGACTACGAGACCACGCGACCCTATTACGACCCACTGCGACCAATTTCTTACCCCTTGGCTCCATGTGTAATGAGGGCGATGGATGACATCGCTTGCTCAGGAGGTAAAACGAATAGATTCTTGATGAACTCTTAATTAGCAGGGGCTTCTGGGCAGAGCTCTTGACACCATCTTAATTGATGGAATGATGGAGCGTTAAATTAGTTCTATGAGTACGTAGCGAGAGGATCCCTGAGTGGATGTTTTTTGGATCCAAGCAATATCGATAAGAATCTCACGCCACGCTAAAAAGGTCGAAACAAGGAGAAACGCAACGAGGCCTTCAAAACTGTTGGATTCGTCTTGACTAATTTTCATAGTTATCAGCAATTGGAGGATCGAGGAAGAAGATCTCATGACTTTAATTGACAATGATACGGGTATAAATGTACATGTTTATACAAAATATACTTGGTCTACTACACGCAGACCGACTTCTTTTTGAAAAAAAAAAAAAAAAAAAAAAAAAAAAAAAAAAAAAAAGTCCACGTGGAATGATTCTATCATATCCTGGACACCGTGCGCTTTTTTGTTCCTGCATTTCTTTTATTTTTATTGGAAGGAAAGGGTAGATGGACGTGAATAGCATTCTGTGTAGACATGTGTTGACTGGAGAAAATGGGTCACACGTTGCTGCTCCTTTGCTGATGTACATGTTACTTGAGCCAACTTTTCTTATTTGTATTTTACACTCCATGAGGATTAAAGGGTAAATTTGCTGGTTCCACTCATGCATAAAAAGCTACATTCTCAAATTCGTACTTGTGTAAAAATACACAGAGAAAGAGTAAGGAGTAGTTTGGAGAAAGCAAGAGGAGACGCTTAGCTGGGGTCGATGAGAAGATGAGCGATGAATGAATGCTGATCTGCTCCGAGTAACGGAAGAAGGTATACCATTGGACTACAATGATATCCTATGAGGTTATACAAGTGTAAAGAACAAGAAGGAGAAAAAGTTGGGACGAAGCTTTGGTGTGTTCAGGTCAAGACGAAAACACTTTTTTCAAAAAAAAGACTAGCGGATGCAACAAATCCATGCTTATCTGTGTAACGATGTGCTAGGGCCAAGCACAATGACAACCATGAAGGATAGTAAGATTATGCATGTAGTTCACATGAAGAATAAATACATGCCAGACACTGTTGGATCTTGCTCTTTTGCTTTTGCTGGCAAACAAGAAAGAGTATGGACGCCGAAAGATGATCCAAACAGTTTAGATGTTCTATAAAAAAATGTAAGCAAAAAATTCTTTTTCTTTTCTTCTTTCAGTTCCAATACTTTTCAACAGCCCCGCTTTCATACATTCAACTACATTCAACTACATTCAACTACATTCAACCCATTCTTTCTCTTCCTGCTTCTGATTCCTTCTTCTCCTCCATTAACACCCCATTGACACATCCCATTCATCTCATTACACATTCCTTTGAATCGTTCACTTCTCTCTCTTTTTCTCTTTCTTTCTTTCTCAGTTTTGCACATAAAGCATATACACATAATCACACACATGGCATCCCTACGAAAATTGGGTGTGCTTGTTGCCATTCCGATTAAAGGCAGGAGGCTACTTAACCGCTCTGGTGGCAAACAGTCACCTTATGTCCAACTAAAACTCGGTGCAAATGAAAAGAAACGCACCAAGGCATCACTCATTGCCTCGGTGGAACCAGAATGGGACCAAGAGGCATGTTTGTCTTTTTTTTTTTTTTTTTTTTTTTTCAGCTTTCTGTTGTCACACACGGCTTCCCAACTTCTCCTAGACCGTTAAACCTTTAAATGCCATCCTTCATGCGTTTATTGTACACCTTTGCATTCATGTGCATACTCTAGATTCGGTTAGATGTCTTTCAAGGTGTCCTTGACATACATGTCTCGGTCTTTGATGAAGGCAAGAAGCACGAACTCATCGGCGAGGGCACTTTGTTACTCCACGAGGTTATCGATAAAGGAGAGCTTGATGGTAAGGTTTTCTATTCTTCCCCTTCGTTTCAATGCATGCAAGTAGTCATATGGCCGGTTGACAGCCATATTATTTGTCCTATTCATTTATTATTCGACCATGCCAAGGCCTGTTTGAGGATGAACCAACATTATTGTTTTCAACAACGCCCCTTTTATTGCAGCCTTGATTGAAGTTTTCACCTCCGACATGCGCAATTTCCATCACATCGAACATTATTTTTTAATTTGTCTCTGGAATGCATCTGGGATGACACACATTCCTATCTTTGTCGCACGTTGTCTAAGGGCTTTTGTATCCCATCTATTCAAAGATAAAAATTCGTCCTGACGTCGTTGTTGCGCTACCATGTTGAATGTTTGTCTGTGCTGCTTAAATAGTGTGGTTTCCGATCAAATACAAAAATGCACCTGCGGGTGAAATCTATTTCGAGTTGACCTTCTACGCGTTAGCGCCTCCACCAAATGTTGGACCAGGCAGATCACCTGCACCTCAAATGCATTTACAGCATCCGCCTCTGCGGTATGCACAACCAGGGTATATGCCTGCCGGTCGTCCGTTGCCGCATACCACTATGGTTGGTCATCCGGTTGGTCCACCCGCTCCATTCCCTGGTAATACCTATCAGCACCCTACGGGATACCCAAATTCTAACATTCCTAGTCAACCTCGGCCACAGCCTCCACAGCCTCAGCCTCAGCCTCAGCCTCAGCCTCGACCCTACCCAATACCACAGCAACATCCTTTTATTCCAACCCATTCACCCGCCACGCCCCCAACCCAGCTTGGCATGAATTCTACCTTTCGACCCAAAACCCAGTACAATTCTAGGCCACAGCAAGCGCCTGTGCCTGCTCAAATTCGTCCTTTTCCTAACATCCCCAATGGAAATGGACCTTACAACAACATGCCACCAGCTCAGTATCCGATATCGCCTCTTTCACCGCAGCATCCACCTGGAGGAGTGCATATGCCTCTTCCACGCCCCACAGGCCCTACTACACCCGTAAATAATAACCATGGGCGCAGCGCCGGACCAAACCCAGCATATGGGCGGAGACCTCCGCCTATGACTCAAGTCAGTAGTGGCTCTCCAGTCACGCCACTTGTACAATACAATTACACCCTGGGTAGCTTTCCTTGAAGAGCTCCAAGTGAAGCTAACCCCTGCAATAACACTCTCTCTTGTATAATAAACAATATAGCTACGATCTTAAAAATCGATTATTGGATATTCAATTATTCAATTATTTAATTGATGCAACCATCAGTCGCGTTAAAAAAAATTTATGTAACATATTGACTAGAGTGATCTCCTGTATGAATGTGTGTGTGCATGTGGATAATGATTTACAAGGTTTAGATCTGCTCTCTTCTTGAGAATGAGAACATATCTTTAGAACGAAAACGGCTTGCTCATCAAGAATGCCTCATCACCATAGCACCCAAGATCAAAGTCATGGTCCGGCACAACCCGGAATCCGCCAGTGTGCTCCCAGAAGGGCTTTGAGCCACACACGCTCACTAGAGCAATCTCTTTAAGGTTAGGAGCACCCTTGCGATGGGATCGCCCGCGACGTCCTTTATGACGGTGATGGCGGCGTGAATGAGGATCTGTCTGTTCATTATGTCCCTGTTCCCTACTCCGGTGATGGGGCTGCTGTTGCTCCTCGGTCTCCATGAAGTCCTGTCTTTGATTTTGCTTTTCGTCCACAGTATCGAGATCTTTATCGTCCTGATCCTGGTCTTGATCACGACTAGGGGTCAAGGATTCTTCAAGAGCCTTCCACAACCTACGTGCCAAACCATGGCCTCGCCAATCTGGATGGATGGCGCAGTCGTGGATATAATACTTTTCCATCCATGGATCATGTTCGAAAGACTCCTCATCACTATCTGTATCGGTGATCTCCTGGATGTTATCTGTATCGTGATCTTCATCTAATCGAATCTTTTTGGGTCTGGATAACATTTCCTCCTCAGAAGCAGGAGCAGCACTCTTCGAGGTTGTTGTTTCTGCCTGATTAGGTTTATCAGTCCAGCCACCGACACGGTGTAGTGTAACAGACTCACGGCTGAAGGGGTGTGAAAGTAAATAGCCAACAGGTTGTTCCCATTGAAACAGGACTGTCGTCATATTGAGGTCATCATCGTCATGGGTATGGGCATGGGCATGACCATGGGCTTCCAAATTGTTGCTGCCTTTTGAGGTCTTGGTATTACCATCCTCGCTGCCTTTGCGGTTTGCATCAGCAGTAGTTGTAGCAGCTCGTGGATGGAGAAGGCCAGATGAGGAAGAGAACAAGGAGCTGTCCCTCATTTCCTCATCCTCATTATCTTCCTTTTCCACGATATCAGGGGTGCGGGCTCGAATAATACGCATTCCTTCCTCTAAAGTTGTGTCAGAATCAGTCGTAGTCGAAGTCGTTGTAGTTGTGATATTTGATCCATCGGGTGCTGTCTCCGTAATTTCTACCACCGTAATACCATGGATCTCTTCATCTTCCTGTTGTGCCCCTTCATCCAGGCCCTCTTGAGCCCCTTGAGCATCACCTTTCGCTGCTTCCTGTCCTTGCTCTTGTTCGTCCACCTCCTTCTCGACCTGATGACTGTCCCATGTGGAAGTATCGTCGTTTGTGACAACAGACGAAGTCACCATTGCAACAAAGTTACCTGCCGGATAGATATTGAGTTTAGACCGAAAGACCTCAGGGCTTTCATGAAACTTAGTCATACCCGGATAGGCACGTATTTGGATGTCATAGAGAGCATCCAGATGCTCTGGTCGAGCACGGACAATGGAAAAGGTGTTGATGGTCCTTGTATTGACATCCAAAGGAGGAGACCACGCACGAGACATTATCAATGAAGATGAAAGTGGAAAAAAGTGAGGGATTTGCTATATTTGTTCTTGATATTTGATAAATGGTTATGCCGAAATGTCGGGTGTGGTTCGACTAAAAGAACGCAAAGCAAAGATGTGTGTGTGAGAAAAAAAAAAAAAAAAAAAAAAAAAGAGGCCAAGACAGATGTGAAACAAAAGATCCTAATCACGTGGTATAGTGCTAATACATTCCCAAAGTACACCTTTTTTTGAAAAAAAAAAAAAAAAAAAAAAAAATCGATTTTATTGATATTATTCGTAACATTAATGATAAAAAAAGTGGTGAAGTGAAAATAGCAATGAAAAATGAGATCATTAGCATAGAATCAGCATCGATTAACGTTACTGAAAGACACGCTGTGGTTGTAATTGTCATCATGATCGACATGTTAACGTATCAAACGTTGTACGAAAGGCACTTTGAAAAAATTAGTTTAGTATGGGATGACGATAAAGATGCACTAAAGAGTCTCGCGACATGCTTTCAGACACTCCATAAGTCCCTTAATTTGGCTGGTTAAGATCTGGCATTCTTTTGGGCTTTCTGACAACTCAAGAGCCAGACGATAAGTCTCGAGCTTCACAAGAATCGTCGCGATTGTCTTTTGCGTTGCCGCCACCAGAGCCTGCACCTCAGGCGAGAGAGGAGGAGGGGGAGCAGTTGGCGCACTGGTTTCACCTTGCTGTCCATTATGGGATGATCCCTGAGCATGGGTGTGACGATGACGATGATACTTTGGCTCCTGACGTTCGCTTTCAGATGCGTTGTCGGAGGGATTGGAGTAAGTTGACATCGGTCGAGCACCTGCAGGGGTGGAAGGTGGTGCTGGAGATCCTGGGACAGGAGGAAGAGACCTATTTGAAAATTCGCTTCCTCTACGGATGATTTGCTGTTTTCTAGTCTCTTCATCCTCGGTAGGAGGCTTCTACATTAAAGTATGCAAAAATCAACTAAAGTCAGCTCTTTCGAAATCTACCCACACATCTCATCGCGTTATATCTTTCACTCTTTTCTACCTCTACATCCTCGTTCAAATGCTTTCCAAGCATCTGCTGTGTGGGTGCTGCAAAACTGGGCAAGCCAGCAGGCGGGAGGTTGATTGGGTTAGAGATGCGACCGAGAAGCTCACGTTGGGTGCGACCCTGGAATGGAGCTGGGATGGGTGACGATACAGCCTTATTTGGAGGTGAAGCGATGCCGGTAACGCTTTGGTGCTGAGGAGGGGCAACTGGTGATGGCACTTGAGGCGGTGAAGGAAAAGCAGCGAGGGCTGCGGGCTGTGATGCAGCATTGCTGGGTGGTGCTGGTTTGGGTAGAGTAGATGTTGAATTTGCGGTAGCAGCACCAGATGCAGTTGTAGTCGCAGCAGGAGTAGCAGTACTATTTGTACTAGAGGACACAATGGTATATTTCCCTTGCTCCAAATCCTGCTCTCGTTGGAAAAAAGTCTCACAAATAACACAGTACTCCTTCTTCTCACGACTTCTCAATAACAGTACCTGTTAATAAAAAGGAAGGACGATGCAAATCTTGTTAAGTGTTTACTTTTTTTTTTTTTTTTTTTTTTTCTCAAATTCTTAGAGGATGAATGTTTTCAAAACTTACACCATGACATGAAGGATTAGGACATGGATCCTGTAACATGGCCCAACCTTGTAACATCTTTTGTCCGATAAGCTGTGATGCACGCTCGCTCTGTTCCCGCCTGAGGTTACGTTCTTTGATCTCTTCTTCCGTAGGCTTATAGACCTCCTCTGCTGCATCCTCGAAATCATCATCACTCTCTGCACCCTTGTCATCTTCACCCCCATCCCCTGAGGTTGAAGACTGTTGATGCTCCTGCTTCTGATCCTGATTCTCACCCTGAGTTGGTCCCTCTGTAGAATTTTGGTGTAGCTCAGAAATCTCAGGTTTATATTCCTGAACAAACTCGGCTGCGACTTTTGATGATTCAACATCCGATGTATTTGTTATAGGGCCAATAGCCTCCGCTTTGACGATGCTCTCTTCCCCATCAGTTGATAGTTCATTTGCTGATTCCTGCCTCTCTGCGGTGGCAGCGGTAGAGTTCATCTCTGTCTCTGGGGTACTAGCAGATGAAGATGTTTGAGCAGGAGGGCTAGGGAAGGAAGGCGGAGTTGAGCTGGGGCCAGGAAGTGCTGGCAATGGTGTCGAGGGAGGCAGAATATTGCCTGAGAGAATTATGGACGATTGAGGAGAACGTCGCATGTCTCTTGGTACAGGCTGAGTGAAATGAGTACTAGCCGGGGGAGGAGACAAGGGAAGGGAAGGAGGTTGTCCTGGAGGCCGAGGAATGTTGGGTTTGGAGGATAATGAACCCAATGCTGATTTTATCACTCCAGAAGGAGGAGGTGTGGTAGGTGGCGCGGGTAGAGATGTGGATGAGCGAGGAGGAGGTGTAGAAGGGGGTGCAGGTCCAGATCCTCCAATGTTGCGGTTGCCAACAGGACGCAAGGGCCTGCGTGCCTCCGCCATGGGCTCCAACGCGGACACGCGATGATTCTGTGGAGAGGTTGAGCGTGGACCAGAGGGCGGCGCAGGCAAAGCCGTGGTTGGCGCAGGTGTGGACAAGGTGTGTACGGCTGGTAACGGTGATGGTGATGAGGGTGAGATAGATGATGCCGTCTGGGACAGGATCTGTCCATCTGATTGTGGACTTGCCTGGGTCTGGTTCGCTTCCACGGAATCAACAGGTGGGTTCAGCTGGCAGTTTACACAGATCTGGCTGGTAGCCTCCCGATTGCACATCAATGGTGTCTAAATAAGTTTACAGTTAAAGGATTGGTAATGGAGTTTTAGACAGCGGATCAATAGTTTAGGGATACGTCTTTTTGAATTCTACTCCTCTTTTCCTCTCGCAATTCACATTTATCATGTTTGGCTTGGCTCATTCGAGATCATTGAAAACATGGTTAAGAGAGTGCAAGGGATTTGTCCAGGTATATTGAACTAGACGCATGAGAGCCATATTTAAAAGTTCATGAAAGAGCAATGGCTAGATACTACTAGATTATGTTTATGCTTATGTTGTTTTGAGGCTGGTGTTATGCAAAGTGACGGCATCACATGGAACGATGGCACCCATTAGCCCCATTAGCCCCATTAGCCCGATTTAGCTTTCATTTCTCCACAGCTTGTTATAAACCCCATTCTTCAACTTACATTGCAGTCCGGGCAACCGTCATTGAGCATTGCCTACATGTTCATGTAAAGTTGTAAAATGTATATATATATATTTAGAACCTTGACATTGATCTTGTTGATCTTGTTGATCTTGTTATTATTGTTGTTGTTTGTGACTACATTAAAAAGTCGAAAGATCATTACCCATCCTTGGAGCATATATGTTCCCATTGCAGCTGAGACTTTGTCCATATCCATGATCTTTACAGCCTGTTTGTTGATTACGTTAGGAGAAGCATGTGTCGAGACATTAGTGTTATCAATATCTGTTTCAGTGGCCATAAGGTTGTCAGGCTATAGCGAAGAAAATAATAACAACTAAGATAAGATTGAGAGAATAGATGAAAAGTGAGCAAGGAAGGATGTGAGGGTGCGAGAGTGGAGGAAAGAATGGAATAGGATAGAATGAAATGTGATGAGAAGGGATCTGTGATGACAAGACAATGGATAAAAACAAAAAAAAAAAAATGTATATGTAGAAAACGTTGGAGACTGATTTTTGTGACACAGGAGGCCTTGACTCTAAAATAGCCTTTGCTTACACAACCTACTGCAGTTGGCTCTAGTTTTAGGAAACAAGCATAAGCTCTCATCTCCTCCTGTGGGTCATGCAGTGTATGAAGTCCAGTCGCATACCTGGACCTTGTCTCGACTTGGCCATAATTGCCGTCTTTTAACCAAGGAAAACAAGGCTCTCTCTGTTTTTCTTTATATGAATGAACCTTCTTTCTGTTTTTTGCTAGACTGCTACACAACTGGGACTAACTCACTGTTTGTGCCAGGCTGCTTTAATATTTGACAGATATCCACAATCTCGTTCTTGCTCCGCTCGTTGTTTTCCTTCCTCTTCATCTCTTTCCGTCTTTGGGCTCACGAATGCCTCTTTTTTTGACTGCTGACCCAAAGATAAAAGTCTTTTTTTTTTGTAAATGACTATCATCTAGATTTAATATATAATAAATAAATAGGGCTTTTATTACATTTTTACAAAAAAAATAATAGACAAAAATGACGCGACAAATCTTACAAAACAACCTGATGCAACTCTCATGAATGAAATATGTAAATGTTTATATACATTGTCTATATTTTGACCAAAAACAAAACTTCACAGCAAACGCAATTTATGGATTAACGGACAGAAACAAATCGTTGTTGTTTTTGTTGCTGCTGGTACCAGCCAGGCATAGCTGTAGACATGTTGTAATCTGGGACCATTCCAATGGAGGACATATTCATATGAGGTACGGCAGAATACATTCCCATTGAGGGATTTACCACCATCTCTCGTTGACCATTCAAATGAAGTGAAGGTTCGACGGGGTTAAACATCATATCATCAAACAGATAAGGCTGTTGCTGTTGCTGCATCTCATGCATATGATACATTTGTTGTTGTTGGAATGACCAATCTAACATGACAGCCTCTCGAGCCTCAGAGGAAAGAGAAGGATCCATCGCCGCCATAATAGACATATCAGACCCAGTATAAGACCCTGCAATGCCACTGGAGTGGGTTGAGTCCATAGAACTGACGGAGCTGACTGAACCTTGCCGGGGCTTTGTACTTGCTCCAATGTTGGCATTTACACTGGATGGAAGCTGAACAGCAGTTTTACTTGTAGGGTCCACAATGGCGACTGCCTTAGAAACCGTTGGGATATGCTGAGGTGCTGAAGAAGGAAGAGGAGATGGAGGAGGTCCGTTTGTAATAGCTGTACGAGATGAATGAGATGGGGACGACAGTAATAGCGGAGATGTGGGTAAAGATAAGGAAGGACCACGGGCATGGTTCTGTTGCCGCCACCCAATGCCGCTCTTTGAATTAGCCAAAGCAGATTCAAGTTTCATTTCAGCAACCTGCATGGGAAATAATAGTGAGAACATTAGTACCTTAGTACCTTAGTATAGAAGGCAAGCATTGAGTACCAAAGGCCCTTGGTTTAAATTGCACTCAACCCATAAAGGCGCGAGACATACCTCTTTCGCCGTCAGACTCGGACAAAAATCAAGATCGTCGTCAAAGCATTTGGCAGCTTCTTGGCTTTGAAGGAACTGCTGAAGATACATGGTTTGATGGAGTGAAGTTGGGTAAGCTGGATAGGTAGAGTGGTAGTCGTGCATGGTTGTTTAATTTTGAATGGCACAATTGTTCTTAATGAAAAGAGAGGAGAATAAGAGAGTGAGGAGAAGAGGGATAGAAAGTACAAAAGATTGAGAGTTTGAAGGAACGCTTATTTATTATTCGTGCTATCGTATGTATGTGAAGAGAGTAAGACCAGAGATCGATAAGATCAGAATGGAATATGCTTCTATGAAAGACCCTTTATATACGTTTTACAGAGATGTTTCGAGAACTGTCTACGTGTGTATGGGAACAACATGTGGACAAAGCATATCTTTATTTCTGGCAAATGGTCCTTTTCTTGGATGACAGTGCCCCACACTGTTTCATCATTCAATAAGCGTCATGGATTCCATTGCTTGACAAATCCCATTGGTTCGACTTTTGAATACACTAAATCACAAAAGCGGCCTATGACGCTGCTCACTATTTTTCTTTTTTTTTTTTACTCAGAAACAAATCAGCGACAGATGATGAGAAAACACCCTTGAGAACTAAAAAGCTGAGCGTACTCATCTTGGGATCCCGAGAATTAAACTATTAAGGTTTTGGCTAGCAGATCTTTTCAAGTCACCATTAGAGATGTCATCGCAATTATATCATCTGTGAAAAAGATAAAAATACAAATATTCAGGAAATTATAGATTTTATTCTTTATTGAGAAAGAAAGGTGAATGCTTCAGTATATTTGTTTTCCTCTCCTTTCAAGAGGTGATTAAGAGTATTTACAAGCGGTCAACGTTGCCAAGATCCTTGCAAGCAATCTTGACACGTTCGGCCATGGTCTTTTCACCCTCGCGGACCCAAACGCGAGGATCGTAGACTTTCTTGTTGGGCTTGTTGGGGCCCTCGGGGTTGCCAACCTGAGCCTGAAGGTAATCCTATATATTTTATGATAACGAATGAAGTTAGACGCATATTAGCATACATGTAAGATTAGAGAACAACAGGGTGCAAACGAGATCAGAGTTGCTTTTACCTTCTTCTTCTCGTAAAAGTCCTTGATGCCCTTCCAGTAAGCCCATTGGGTATCTATTCGAAGAAAAAAAAGGACGGCAAATTAGATTCCACACGTTCTGTCAAATTGGAATGAATCTGAATAGTAAAAATAATTGGGCACATCTTAACACCAAAACATTTGTATAATGAGCGAGGACACCAAACAGCCATGTTTTTCAGAGCCATGTCTCTCCCCCCATTGTATACATATATGGTTCGATCATCTCATATACCACATACCAGTGTCAACATTCATCTTAACGACACCGTTCTTGACAGCGGTCTTGATCTCCTCCTCAGTTGAACCGGAACCTCCGTGGAAGACGAACCAGACGGGCTTGTCGGTCTCGAGCTTGAGCTGCTCCTTCACATAGGCCTGATGTTTGCCGAGAAGCTCAGGGTGGAGCTTGACGTTACCAGGGGCATAGACTCCGTGGACGTTACCGAAGCCGGCGGCAATCGAGAACAAGGAAGTGATCTTGGAGAAGGCATTGTAGATATCGAGAATATCTTGGGGCTGGGTGTAGAGTGAAGCATTGTCAACGCCCGAGTTATCAACACCATCCTCCTCACCTCCAGTGATACCAATCTCCATCTCGAGGTGGCAATTGATCTTGGCCATGCGCTCAAGATACTTGACACAAATTTCGATGTTTTCCTCCTTGCTCTCTTCTGAGAGATCAAGCATATGGGACGAGAAAAGGGGCTCGCCGTGCTTGGCAAAGTATTCCTCATCAGCAGCCAACATACCATCGAACCAAGGGAGAAGCTTCTTAGCGCAGTGGTCCGAATGCAGGATAACGGGAATGCCATAGGCCTTAGCAACAGTGCGGACGTGATGGGCACCTGCAATAGCTCCCAAAATGGAAGCTTGCTCGTCCTTGTTGGAAATGCCCTTTCCAGCAAAGTAGGCAGCACCTCCATTAGAGAACTGGATGATAATAGGGGACTTTGCGTCACGAGCAGCCTCTATAAAGATGTAGCACAATATGTGTATAAAAAAGATAAAAAAAAACGCGTTCTCTTAGTGACAAGACGAGACAAACCCGGTTCCTGAGTTGCACATTTCACTTTGTCATTCAGTTGCGAATGAGCAATTAATTCACACGCCTTTTTTTTTTTTATTCTTATTAAAAAAAACGAATATATTACCAAGAGCAGCGTTGACCGTGGAGGAGGATGTGCAGTTGATGGCGGGGATGGCGAATCCGTGCTTGGAAGCATAGGCAAAAACCTTGTGGACATTGTCGCCGGTGATGACGCCGGCAGGGACGATATCGAGAAGACCCATGGTTATTTGACTGGTGGTGTTTGTAATAGAAGAAAGAAGTGTAGTTGATGTGTGTGGGAAAAAGAAAGAAAAGAAAGAGAAGGAAAAGAAAAGAAGAAAAAGAGGGACAGGCGGTGTGTGAAACGGCAGTACGACCCATAAATGCACAGTCCTCTGGAGCATCATGTTTGAATTAATTTCATGGCAACAGAAAGGAATGCAGATAAACGGATCGACCATCGGAAGACATTCTCTGTCCCCGGATCAAAGAATCCCAATTTCTATTTTCAGGCACTTCAAAGTTTATTGTCACCCCAATAATCCCAATTATATATGTGCATGTATACTTTGGCTCACGTCACTTGGAACCTCAGATGAACGAATAATGAGAGCACATGCGGGGAAACCAGGAAACAAATTGGGGTAAAAAACGCACACAATAAAAAATCATTGTAACACGATTCAACAAATTGACCATAACCTGACTGGTCCCAGGTCTCCTCGTCTACTTTATTTACGTATACATACTCGTTCATGGAGTCAAATTATTTAAACACATTTATATAATACTTATTACATATACAAAAAAGGGCACATAGCTGGAAGATAAACGTGGGTAAAACAGGATATACAAGTAAAAAAAAAAAAAAAAAAAAAAAAAAACGAAAAGACGAATATGGAGACAATAAAAAGAATGCATTCAATGGGCACCAAATAACGACTGTTGACATATGACGAATAGTGAGCGTGCGAAAATAAAGGGATAGTAGATAGAAACGAGTTAACCCTGTTTGCGTGTCGCACCGGCTACTGCAGAATCAACTCGGGAACCTGCTTCTTCAATTCCTGTAGCTACAGCCATTGACTTTGATTTAGTATGTTCTGTCACCTCCTGTTTGAAATTTTGGTGGTTGCTACGTGGTTCTCCTCTGTTTGAATTAGTTGACCACAAAACGTTTCTTTTACCGCTCTTCTTCTTCTTACTACTTTCACCACCATTCGTTTCCTGAGTGCTAGAACGCGTCAATTGATGGTCATCTGATTTCTTGACGATGTTGGCAATATCAGCAAGACACAACTCCACAGTTGCCCGAGGCCCTTTGCTTCCCTGAGTACCATCTCGATCATATCCGCTCGAACGGCCGTTCTTTTGTTCAGTATGCCCTTTTTTAGGTCCATCCCTAGATTGACTTCTGCCTGATGTCTTGGACTTGTTCAGACTAGTGATTGAGGGTACAGTCTTTGTTGGAGTTACTTTTTCGCCATTTTTTGCCGAAGTGTTGGGTGCTGTATTTTCATCGTGCGCTCTTATCTTTTCCTTTTGAATACGGTTTTGCCCATAGCTGTCGATATTGGCGGCATTCTCCATAACCTCCTTGTTTCGGCTGTTCTTATTGCGGACATAAGGAACGGTATCCGCTTCCTCAATTATAGGAGTGGTAACGACATTGTTGTATTCAACATTGGTGGATCTGGAAAAGTTGGCTGCATTCGTGGTTGCCAAGTGCGGGGCCGTATCTTTCAAACAGTACGCAGAATTAGATCGTTGTCGTTTTTCATGGCTACCCCGTTCATGCTGTCCATCTACAGGATGAAAAGGGCTTGCTGCATGCGGAAACTGTGATGAATCCATGTATCGGTTTTTGTGTATCGCTTCTGCCTCATGCTTACGATAACCATTAGGTTTATGATGCTGACCATCAAATCCGCCAACGTATCGCCTACCGGTCGCAGTATGGTTATTGACTAAAAACCCTCCATGACCCCCTGTTCGATGGTAAGCGTTACGGTTGTGGTAATAGCGTGGCGGGAAAACCCATTGTTCACAGACTTGGTCCAAGCTCCCGCCATTGTTGAGGATGTCGAGCGCTCTTCTAAACTCTTGCTTCAACCCTTTACTACTGGCCATGTCGCATGAATTCCCAAGATTTCGTGATGTGTCGAAAGGCTCCTCAACACATAGCAGCCTATAGTGCTTCCCTGGAAGGTGCCAGTCCTTTGATTCTTTGGTCAAGTAACATGCATGGCGCACGGAGACAACATGATGATCATAGTCAAACTCGATCGCAAATCTACCATTGTACCAATGGCAAAGTCTGTAAGCAAACATGGAAATTACATAAATTACATTCAAATATTGAGTATTGATTGTTTGTCAGACTATGGATCCATACCTTCGAAAAAATGCATAAAGAAGCCCCCCCAACGATTCTTTGTTGGCTTGACCAAAGCCTTCTAGTCGGTCAATATCGCTAAAAAACGAAGTATTGTTTCCATTGATAACCTGATTGTCTGGCGAGAGTTCATGGGGCATATCATGTAGGGAGGGTAAGATAGGTGGCGACCGCATCTGCAAAAAATTGATCACCATGCATATCCATGTATACGTCGATATTGTTCCACCATTGGCTTTTCAAAAAATGTCAAAGTCAATAAATAAATACAAACAAAGGATAAGTTAATATGACTGCCTATTACCAAAGAATGGATTGTCAGCTCAGTTGGATTGTCAACTCCAAAGACTTGGTATACCTGCATCATTGAGTACCCTTTTCCGTGCCCAGTGCTTGATGATCATAGCAAAAGGACGCACTCGACGGTCGATCGCCACATATGTCTTGACCATTCTTGAGTTCATGATACCCAGTTGAGTGTTAATGTTCATGTCGCAAGAGAGTTGTCTAACCAGGATTTCAATATAATGTAGGACTAGATCAGCAACGTATGCAAAAATATATATTCACAAGATTCAACAAGACATTACTCAGTTGGTTATATACAATTCAGGGTCCCAGAGTTTGACAATGGGCACTTTCGCTCCAAGCACACAGAAAACGTTTTCCATGGCATGTTTTCGAAACACATCCGCCAACATTTCGACACCCTGAAGTCCAAGCCATGAGGTAAGGATACAAATATCTACGTCACTTGAATTCGTCCCTAGATCATTGACAGTTGATCTATGGGGTTTGACAAAAATATGTAGAAGAAAAAGACATTTAATATCAAAATGCGAGTTCGTTCACAGATATATATAAAGCTCATTCTGCCAGATGGTATTCTTCAATTTACAACAATAACATATCACCGTATTCTCTTTTTTTTTTTTTTTTTTTTTTTTTTTTCGCATACCCAAAAGGCAAGACTTTGATGTCCTGTCCTGGCCATTCTGCATGAATAATGCGCTCAATCTTGCTGATTAATTGAGTCCTACGCTGATGACTTTCCTCTGTTGGTAATAAGGTCTATTTATGAGTTAGATTTATAAAATAGGAAAGTTTATGAGTAATTAGCCAGCGTGGACAACATTCAATACTTGTGCATTTTGGGAGCCATAAGTCCACTACGTGTGGATTTAACTACTCTCACTTTAAAAATCACTATATTTGATGGACAACATGAACAGAATCTCGAAACATGCGCGTTCTTTCACAATTTCCAGCATGAGACGAAATCATACCTCGAAAAGACTGTACATCTCCGTAGTAAGCCTTGCCTCACGCTCAGGAGACAATATGATAGGTACTTGCTGGTGTAGTCGCTGCTCAGAGGATAGGCTCAAGAACATTGGTTGTACGAGAGACCTCGGGTCGACTCGGACGGGTGTGACTCCTGGCAAAAGTGCTGCCCAGGCGGGGGTAGGTTGGCCAGGAAAATGTATCCTTGGTGCTACTACAGACACTAGGTGTGGATATGGATATGTTATTGACAATGGTGATGGTGACCTGATCGGACACATTCCTTTTGTTGGAGGTGGGGCTGATCCTGCTCGTGATCGCATAGGAGGGATTCGTTTCCTATCCTCTAGTTCGAATGGGACGAGAGGGGGCATAGCCACAATTGGCTTCGGACGTTCAAGATCAGTCATTTCTTTGATAGACTGTTGTCGTGTAGGTGAGAGTGGTGAGGTAGCCATCATGAGCCCTGGTACTACAGTGTGGTTGTTGCGACTGGATTTATTAAGATTATTGATGTCGATGTTGACGCGGCTTCGTGTTGCTGTTGGATGTGCGAGGGTAGCTAAAGGACCCCGAACCACGTTACTTGGAAGTGCATTCTTAGGATTCATGGAACTGTTATCATGATCGAATGTGTGAACGGAATCGATGGCATGTATTGTTGTTGCTGCATTATCGATGACACGAGTGCTCTCTACAACACTATTAGCTCGCCTAACATTATTTGCAGAGTTGCTGGAATCGACTAATAACGTGTCGGCAGTGTTTCCTAATAAAGGGTCTTCAAGACTTGTTAGTGACTCAGGAGAGTGTTGATGCTGCTGGCGATTTGGAGAGGGCTGTTGTGGTGACTGTAGATGATGTGAGTGCGAATGTTTGGCAGACGTGAGTAGCGTTGGTATTGGAAATTGCAATAGGGTCTCGCCGTGAAGTGACGGATGCTGGATAGGCGCCATATCGGACAAGCTGTAAGAGATGTAGATGTTGCGAAGGTGGAGATGGATATAAATTGAAAACAAACAACAGTTAAAAAGGACTAGCAGAGTTAAAGAAAGGTAATTTATGTGAAGTGCAAAAACAGAGAGACAGCACTGATATCCTTTCTTTCTATTCTTTCTTTCTATTTCTCTCTTTTTTCCTTCCTTTGTTATTGTGTAGTGACTTTCGAATGTGGAAAAAGAAGTAAATATGTGTTTAAATGAACTAATCTGTGATGGGAAAAAGTAAAATAAATAAAAAAATTAGATGGTGAGATTAAACATTACAAAGAATAATGCAGACAATTTGGACAAATGGAAACGAGAAATTGTAAACGAGAAAGAATGGCAATAGAGTGACTAACAATAGAGAGGGAAGCGGTTACAAGTGCATAAATGCGGAAAGCAAAGTTTGGGGAGCGAATAGAAATGAAAAGAACATCAATTGCATTTACAAATATGCAACACTGACATTATTGAGCTCTGCATGGCTGTTCTCTGCTTCCATGGTACTGCGGATGGCGTTGGCCAATGCTCCCATGCGTCACCAATAAAGCACTGCAATCAACATTCACCCTAGACTACCCATCACCCATCTTGCAAAGTAGACCTAATTTGAGCAACAGACGGGAACATTGCTTTATAAAGCATTAGTAAATTTGTCGATTATTAACTGCGCACCTCCAATCGATCGTACTTTTGTTTATTATTGTTTTTTCTACACATGCAGCGCATACTTTTTTGTTGTAGTAACTCAATATATTCGTTCCATCTCTCGTCCAAGGTACTCCAGGCAAAATAGCACTTTGTGTTTATCTAACAACCATCTAGCTCTTGAAAGCCTACGTCGGGTTGTTGTTTTTTTGCTGCTACTGTTGAGGTTGACGAAACGCGTATAAAAACGCGATGAAGCCTAAACATATGAATAGCTTCCTATAAGAATATCGATTGTCTGCTCTGTATCCTACTTTGCATCTAAAAATATCCATGAAGCTTTCCAAAGCCCATCGTATTAACTGTTGGCAGCTCAAAACCGAAAACAAACTTGAGGTATTGTTGACTGGGTCTGGATCCAATACTGCTATGGATATTTGACTCGCAAAAAAAAAAAAAAAAAAAAAAAAAAGTTGGTAGAACAAAAGGGTTTGGAATAGAGAACCCAAGCAGGTCGCGGGAGGAATGAGTGTCTATAAACATATATAAAAAGAAAATTTCCCAACAATACACTCTAAACCCAATTTTTCCCGAGTAGAGCGCAGTCGAGAAAAATTGTCAGATTGAGCCCAAACAGGGCGTGTGAACAGCGGCCAACGTGATCTTGAACATTGAGAACGTGATGGTATAAATATATGCTTTGGCCTCCCAAAAAAAAAAAAAAAAAAAAAAAATCTGCTTTTATCTCACACAAACATCCTCAACTGAGAGACTTTCTCGGACCATAGAACTCAACTATGTCGACCAACGCCAGACGATCATTCATCAACAAGCACTCTTCTCAAGAAAATGCAAGGATCTTGGCTGATCCCAATGTTTCCTATCGCCTCCTGTACTGGGATGCTGCTTCCGTTGGCGCTACTCCCAGAGACATCTTGGCGTTTGGGAAAGCAAAATGGTGTAACCAATTACCTGTAGTAAGTCCTTCAGCCAAATCCCATTAAAGATTGTATTCTTTTGATCAATGCATTTGGTCTGTAACTTCTCTTGATTCTTGTTCTTTCAAGGGCGATGAATGGCAGACTGGAAAGTTATCTACTCCGTTTGGGGTCATGCCTGTATTGAACATTATTGCACCGGATGAAAAGGTATGGAGAAGGAAGAACATGGCCTTGTTTTGGATTATATATGACTATTAAGCCTCTTGATCATGACAATTTACTTTATATTTTTATAGGAAGTCTTTATAGCGGAATCCATAATCGTAGATCAATACCTCGCCAAAAAGTTTGGATTGCTTGGCGACAATGAATGGGAGGAATTCACCATCAAAGGCTTTTACAGCAACATTCATTACCTACGCGAACGTTCGTTTATGAATGTCACATGGACATATCCAGACAAGAGGAAGGTCGCGATGGAAAAATTCCTAAGCACAACATTGCCAAGCTTTATCAGCGACCATGAGTTCCACCTCAGAGAGAACGGATCGAATGGGCATTATGTCGGTAACAAGGTGGAGTATTGGCAATATAAAATGTTCTGATATAGGTTGAGGCGATTTCAAGCTCAAAAATAACGATTAATTTACATATTCTTACTTTTTCACAGCTCTCGCTCGCGGACATTCATCTGGCCAATGTTATCGACCATTTCTCTCACTTGCCTGCGGGCAAAGAGATCAATGCTTTGTTTCAGAGGAGCGATGCACTATGGAAGGTCAAGGAAATTGTTGAACAGAACCCCGAAATCGCAGCATGGCGAGCCACAGAGGAGTGTAAGATGCTGCAGAATAGATCCATTGCTTGCTATGCCCAGACAGCTGTTCCAGAATAATAATCAGAATAATCATCAATGAAAGAGGTGTGCTACTACAGCGAATAAAATTTTATTCTGTGTCTATCTCGTTGCTCAAATACACTTTCTTTCAAAGGCACTGCTGTCTTTAATCACAAAAGTATGCCTTTTGTTGTACAGAGTACATTCATCAATGGCATAGTCCTTTCATCTCTTTATTTCTTTTCTTTTTCTTAAACTTACGTGATCTGTTTCTCGTCCTAAATATGCCATTTCAGGATGCTACTCATTTCTCTCGCACGAACTGGCTATCGCGATGACCAAACCCGTTTCCACCAAGCTCTACTATTTCCTCATTCGTTTGCACTCTCCCACACTCCTTCTGATACCTATTTTTTTTTTTTTTTTTTACACTAAACAATGTAAAAAAAAGTTATCGATGGCCGATATCCGAGCCGCGAATCTAATCGAACACTTTGAGGTTATCCCCGAAGCTGCTCAGTTGCTAGAGCTCGTTAGTCGATCAGAGCTGCTTTGTAAGCTACGCGCCATGATTTTTATTTGCAGCATCAGTCTATCACTCTCTGTCCAGTATTCACCTGATATGTCTTTCCTTGCTTCTCAAACCTCCAGTCGCCATAGTATTTTTGCAAGTCTTTCAACTTGAACAAATTTATCTTTCTCAAGCACTACTTTTCTCAGTTCAGGTCTCTTTCCAACTATTGATAGCTGCCGTAATGAGAAATGCTGTAGTTCAGCTCTCTGCCGTCCTGTGATGCATAGGATCAGCCCATAATCCTTGATCAATCAAGATATTTGATTACCATTCTACCATTTCATTTGACACAGGAATGCGGAACAGATGCATATAGATGTTATAAAAATATACTTTACATAATCAAAACATCTTTACGGCTAAAGAAGAATAGCTTGATATTGAAAATGTCATTGAGTACTATCAATATTCGGGCTACAAATGGAGCTATTTAGTGGAATACTTAAGAAAAGAGTAAGGGAAAGAAGAAAGAGAAATCATATATAGACACGCTTCAGCTTTCTCTTCAGCTTAACCGCATCTGTAGCAAATGGTGTGCAACTCGTTGGCGCGGCCGCAAAAAAAAAAAAAAAAAAAAAAAAAAAAAACTTTTTGGAACAAAACGCTATCAAGTTGGTGATCATGTTCCATTTTTATTTTTGGTTATCATTATCATCTAGATTGTATGGCGATATGCGTTAAAGTCTCATGTCTAAGGTCCTTGACCTCTATCTCAGGTCATGATATGACAATGCTTTTATTGCCTTCTTTAAACTACCAGCTATTGTATATTATGAGACTTAAGGAATCCTCTCACCAAAATAGCTACATTTTCCTCATCATTCAGGCAACCGCTCAGGCGTTCGATGCTTGGCCAATTGTTCACCATCCATGTCACATCCTCAAGTTGCATTCGCTGCGGCAGACTATTTCCGAAGCTTAGTGTACGTAGTCTCTTTAGATTAGCCAGTTCATCCAAACCTGCTCTTAGTCTCAAGTCTAGCGTCCGTCCACCTCCATCCCCAGCTTGTTAGGTCAAGATATTCTAGTTGAGTCAGCTTACCTAGTTGTCTAAATACAATGCGTGACTTTGCCATGCCTTCTTCAGTCTCTTGATCAATATCTGTCGCAAAATAAATATACAGTGTAGTCAACCCAGTGCATACCCATTCTGCCCCATCGGCAATCTCTGTCACTGTGACCTTAAAGCCTTCCAGCCTTTTCAGTCGTGGACAATTCGATAAAATGGTTTGAACATCACCACCTATGTTGCTGCCAAGTCTATTGAACACCAACGTCTCAATTGTTTCGCAGAGTCTCTGAGCCCTTGTCTTCCGTACTATTCGTCCACTATCCAATCTCCCTTGCTTGTCGGCTAGCAATTCTTGTAAAGAGAACTGACGGAATTCACCCCAAGGGACAACTAATCGTCTCAATTCAGTCATCCGTCTGAGAAGCGCTGCCATATCCTCGTCTTTTACCTTTATATAAAGGAAAGTCAGATCTGACAAATTGATCAGAGCCCAAGGATTCTGAAGGAATGCTACCCTGTAGAAGTCTAGTTGATCATCTTCCTTTTCCCAGCCGCTAATATGCAATGAAGACAATTCTGGACATCTCCTAACCAACATACTGAGACAATAACGGCTGGTGTACGGATCTGGAGGGTCGACTATTCGGACATCCTCAATATGTAGCATGTGTATGTTTGGGAATATATTTTCGCTGTCCTCACTATTTAGGATGTTGATAGGTAGCTGGTAGATGGTTACACTCTCCAATTCCAAATGCCTAACTTTCTTCCAGACTTGAAGGAATAGGTCAGCTTCAGCTCTGATATGTTTGTGCTGAACCTTCAAGTGGTTGAGGCTAGTGCATTCTAGTAAAGCCTTCCAGATCTCAGGCAAATCCCAAATATGTCCGCCTAAGTGAAAGCTAGTGATGATGGAGTTATGGAGCTTAATCTGGTTGAAAAGGTGGATCGGTGTGGGCCATGAACACCCCATTCCGTATGTGATGGCTCTGAGTCCCTGTAATGACCCATACTCCTCTGGGAAAGATTCCTTAAATCCGTAGGCTTCAAATGCAACCTTTTCAATATATTTCTCGTGCTTCCGTAGTGCTTCTCTGGCAAGAAGACTGCGCGGTGTGATGGTGATTTCTTTCCCATATGAGTTTGATAAGAGAATTGTAGAAAAACTTTGAGACGCGAATACAGTTTAAAAGGTCCCTTCGGTTGAGCGAGCCGCCAATGAGTAAGAGGATTTCCGAATTCTCCAAGGGTTCATGCTGCAAAGAAAAGATAGAATGTGGCTGTGGAGGAATGGTTCATTTAAAAAAAAAATGGCGTGACTCGGTTTGCTTGGCTACTCGATATCATCTTGTGTGGAGAAATATGAAAAAGGCTGCGAAATCGTGGTAGTTTGACGCCATAGCTGGCAAGAGAATTCTGGTAATGATACAATGGTGGCAGTAGCATTCCAGAACCCATAATCTACTGTCTATATCAAAGCTATGAAAAACACCGTTCAAGAGAAAAAAGTAAAAGTAAAGAAGTAATATCGAACGATAGACGAGATTCGGCTTTCTTTCCAGCTAAAACCACATCTTGCACGGCAAGTGGAGTCACTGACCAACTTGGTGGACTGCCGTAAAAAAATAGTTTTGACTGGCTTTGGCTCAAACGCAATTTATAAAAACTATCTTACTTGGGAAACCCTATGCCTTTGGCAGTGTGCAATGCTTTGTAAATACAATTGCCATAGGTATATTTTATCACTATATACATCAAGGTCGTATCTCGATCATCAATAAGTTGATGAGGCCTAAAAGACTCGTATTCAAGAATCCTGTCCCTTACATCAGGTTGTGAGTCGACAGTGTTTTCGTCTATTGGCAAATTACTATATTGTGCGACCTGAACAAGTTATATATCCCATGGTTTTTTCTCATTTGAGCTTCCTCACCGCCACCATTCAAGTATTTAATGCTTGGCCAATTGTTCACAATCCATGTCGCGTCCTCGAGATGCATTCGCTGGTAAAGATCGCCACTGAGAGTTAGAGTTCTCAAAACCTTCAAGCTGGCCAGTTCATCTAGGCCTGCCCCTAGTCTCAAGTTCAACGTGCGTTTCCTTGTATCCTTTGGGCTCCACGTTGTTAGCTTAAGATGACGTAGCTGGGTCAATTTTCCTAGCCGTCTGAACACGATGCGCTGCTTCTCCATGCCCTCTGTACTCTCTTGATTGATGTCTGCCTCGAGATAGATAGCCAGATCAGTCAGTCTAGTGCTAACCCATTCTGCGCCATTAACAATCTCTGTCACAGTGATTTTAGCTCCCGCTAGTTGCTCCAGGCGTGGGCAATTCGATAAAATAGTTTGGATAACACCATCCATAATAGGATTTCGATAATTGAACTTCAATTCCTCAATTGTTTCGCAGAGTCTCCGAAGCCTTGTCTTTTGCACCACGTGTCCATTATCCAATATTTCTTGCCTGTCAGCTAGCAATTCTTGCAGAGAGAGCTGGCCGAACTCACATAGTGGAGCATATAGCCGTCTTAGTGTAGTCATCCGTCCAAGAAGTGTTGCCATCTCCTCATCTTTCAGACTCGTCTGAGGGATAGACAAATCAGATAAGCTTCCCAATGTCCAGGAATGCTGAAAGAAGGCTGCCTTGTAGAAATGGTCATATCTTGGCTGCTTAGATAACTTGCTCTCGCTGCTCTCGTAAAATTTCAGTGTACACAATCCTGGGCATCTCCTTGTCAAAATGCCGAGGCAATACGGTGACGCATATGGGTGCGGAGGGTTGACTATGTTGACATGATCAATACTTAATGTGCGAATATTTGAGAGGATATATTCGCTGGTTTCACTATCTAGGAAGCCGATAGGTAGCTGATGTATGGACGTATTATCCAAGTCTAGGCGCCTAAGTCTCTTGCAGACTTGGAAGAATAGATCGACTTCATCATTTATGCTTATCTTTGATAATTTTAGATGCTTGAGGTTGCTGCATTCCAGCAGTAGCTTAAAGAGTTCTGGCGAAGATTGAATACTAGTCAAACGAACCCCGGTTATGGTAGAGTTGTGGGCTCTGAGAAGGCCCGAAAACTTAACCTGCTGTGGCGAGCATGAATATGTGTCGTTTGCGATAAATTGAAGGCGATCACACCCATGTAATGTCGTATATTCCTCGGGAATGCAGTCTTGAAAAAATATCTCCTCGATGTATTTCTTATTATTCTGAAGGGCTTCACCAGTAGGATGTCCTCGATAAGATATAATGATTTTTCTCCATATGAACCCAATAAGAGCACCGTGAAAAGTCTTCGAGACACGGATACAATTTAGAAGGTCTTTTCGAGAGAGAAAGCCGCCAATGAGCAGGATGATTTCGGGAATATCCAGAGGATTCACTTTAATGTTCATGTTATAAAGAGATGATGCTGCTGGAATGTGGGCTTGATGTCATTGCATGTTGTGAAGACAACCTTTTTTTTTTTTTTTTTAAAGGACGATCTCATTTTCCTTCATGTGACTGATGAGTCCTGATCCACATCTCCAGCTTGTTAGTGCAGAAACAAAAAAATCTGACACAAGCCAGCCAGTCACACTGAGGGTGAGGCTGATGCGACAAGGGCAAGGAATATCTTTAGAGCGGCGTTTTCGAGATAGGGCGTGGGATCTAGTCGGATATTGCTGGTTGGGCTCCAATAGATGGATGATAAAATGAATGTATGTGTACGATGTTCATTAGTACACATGTGTATATGCCTCTTTGTGCTTACACAGCCCTCGCTATCGTTGTAGAACGTAATAATATCCAGAGGAATGGTCGAGTGTGATATATGACTAGGTACAGAGACTGCAGTGCTAGAAGCCAGGAATGACAGTGAATGGATCAGCAGTGTCTCTCTCGCATGCCAAGGTCACACAGGAAAATAAATTCTTTATTACTGCAGATCTTCCGAATAGGCCCAATAAAGTTTCAATAGATCTAAATTTCGGTCATGTTCTTTGTTCCTGTTCTGTTCGTAACCTTGACTTGCCTAGGTTGAGTTAGCGAGCTTCATTTCACTTACGAGCGAAGAGGTCTTGACGCAATGAATGTTAGAAAAAAAAAAAAAAAAAACCAAAATAATTGATTACTATGCATGCACCTTTTCTTCCCTCATGCCGATGATCCCCTGATGTGGTATGGCCCGCGCAACTTCCAAACATCACTCCACAGGCTGCTTTGTCCCCTCACCTTCCCGCTATCTTGTACCTTAGGCATCCCGATGTGTACATCTAAAGATACATTTGGAACGGGATTTGCCATATACATTGAGACCTTTATAGAAGCAAAAACAGTATTCTAGGCTCTACCTGTCAACAATAAACTATCGTCTAAAAATAAAAAGAAGACGCACTAATTAAGTGGATCCCTAAATAAAGTGCCCCCCTATTCTACGGCCACACAGTTAAATTGGCAGGCAATCTCTTATACAAGATTCCCGCAAATGCATTTGTATTTCAGAATATCCCGCGCATCTCGCGAGTGGCTCATGCGACATCCCCTGAGGGAAGAACCTTAGGGATCCAGATGGTGCACTGCAACACACGCCAATGGGAGATGGTTTTATTTCAATATCAGTCTGAGATTACATGTCGGATCCAGAGCTGAAAAGATAAACGGCTACAGAATCGTGAAAAATATATCTTGAAGGGCACTATTTGCTGGGAATAGGGTAAGAGGGGGGTGTATCAGGGACAATACGCGTGTTGAAGGGGGAAACAGAGGTCTCAATTATTTGAACATCCCTCCTTGATCCTCTTTCGGCTATGATCCCTTATAGGACATCCACCTTTCGCGCTGTAGTTGACTCCATTCTGAAGATAAGTTTTCTTTTCTTCCTTTTTCACCCTCCTCTTCCTCTTTTTCTTTCTTTTCCTACTCCTTCTTTCTCTTTCATACTACACACGTTTGCTAATCATCATCAGCTCCCACTTTCTCACTTACCCTCACTCTATTCTCATATAATATTTCCCTAATTTACATTTGTTTTTATGCGATATCGCAACATTCAGAAAACTTGAAATGTCTCCACGTTATATTGTTGTTCCAACGGAACGTATATATGAGGCGCGACCTAATGGCTGGCGCAAACGCGCTGTCCCATTGTCACCTGACGTTGCCACCAGTTCATCACTTGACGTGGATATCCTTGATCCTCCCAGTATGGCCTCTATGTCGTCCATTTCTCCGCCTAAGGAAACCTTAATCATCATTGCAGTATCGTTGGGCACTTGTTTGTTGATTGTTGCGCTGTTCTTGTTTGTATTCTGCATGAGACGCAAATACGCCCTCCGTCGGCGTATCGGGCAATCACAAGAGCAAGGAGAATTTTCATCAACATATGAGGGGGAGAAAGCAACCAATGGATACTTTGAAAAACAACTCTGGACTCAGGTCCCAGAGGTTACAAAAGCCAACACAAAAGCCAAAGTAACATCCGTCGTGACAGGTACTCCAAAACGTCCTACAAATGTTCACCACAGAACACGATCTGTGCCCATTGCCTTTACAAGCAAAAATCAAAGCAACAAACATAGACGGAGTACTAACGCCAGCATTCGACCACATGCCAGTGAGCGTTTTCAACAAATCCCGCTAGCTGGCGAAACACTCGTTGAAAGTGAAGATGAAGTAGCCCTAAAGCAGTCTTTGTCAACGGACAACGACTCAAGGGATCATGAAACAGTATCCATTATTGCACCTCCAATCCCTACCCTCCATCGCAGAGTCAGCTTGAACAGTCATCAAAAAAATCTTAATTATATCATCGGTCGATCTGTTCCTATTGATGAAGAGAGCATCCATGAGACATCAAGCTATAATACACCTCCGAAAGCGTCGATACACTTCACAGAGAGCGAGGTGCTTGGAGAAGGCGGCAACAGCGACAAACACAAGAACAATATCAATCCTACCAGTCCTTCTAGTGGCTTTGGTCAGCATCGACACCGCTTCCGCTCACACTCCCATCGAAGCATCGGTACAATGGAGTTTAATCCATCACAATTCATAACTTTCTCAACTCAGCTGGATTTGATTAAGAACTGCCATCCACATCATCCCGAAGCCGAAGCGGTGTCGTCATCATCCGAAGATGAAAGCGATGAAAGTGATAATGATGACACGGTTTCGAACACATCCTCGGATGACGGTCATCATTTTAATGCTAGCACTCATCCTATTTTTACCTGTAGCGGCGATAAAATTGAGCTGGGTAAGAATGGAGGAGAGAATCGACCTCAAACTCAGGGACTTAATGTCTTACCTACACCACAACCGCCAACTTTCGTATCAGGCTAATCAGAAACAACTTGGTATCACATACACGGCTCCATCGGTACTGCTACCAGCTCGGGAAAAAGTGGAGGAGCTTGCGCTTCCTTCACGTATTATGTATATACCTACCTGCAAGTACATAGCCGCGGAGACGAGGCAACAATTATTCTAATGACGGATCATATCGGAAAAACCCGAGAAATCCAGAGAAATGATTCGATCTTGCGCAGGGCCATCGAGCAAGTTGCTGCAATATCATTTCACATTAAAAATTACTGAACCTTGATTTGCGCCATATTCATCATATTCATCATAATCATTTAACGTTTTTTTATGTTCCTGACTTCCTATAATCTACAAATAAACAAAACCCAGGATGTCAAAGTCCAAAGGGTACACATGACATGGTCCCGCAGTGTTGAAGGGGGAGGGGGACGAAAGAGAGTTGATGTAGAATATGGGCAACATGTTTAGTTTTATATAAAAGCTTAAAAAAGATCTGTATCAAAGATGGCGGGATTTTCGTCAGCGTGTGTACAGAACATAACCCATGATATGCCATGGATGTTAAATTATTTATGCTGGCCATCATTATAATTCATATATTCATCCTTTAACGAAAGAATTAAAAAAGTTTATATATATCAAATAACCCTCATCTAAATAAGAAGAATGGTGCGAAGTTCCCATTTTTTTTCTCGCTTTTTCTCCGGTTGGGTAGTAATAAACAGACAATGTTAGAATCGATCTATGATCGTTACTATGCATAACAAAGTAATAGAAGAAGAAAGAAACACGTTAGCGCCGTGCATCTGTAGAAGCTGTAAGCCCACATGGGGATGAACGGATGGACAAAGATGAGTAAATGTTTCTTAGAATGTTCCTTCCATTCCTTTTTCTATGGGGGGTTGAAGTGGCGTTTGCATAAACCAAACATCCATATTGTTACACCACACCATCAGTGAAGGTTTTTTTTTTTTTTTTTTTTTCATAGGCGTGTTTGTGTGTAAATGTTAGTTTGAGCTGACTTTATCAGATCGTTGTTTAGTGTTTAATGTTTAGAATTCAGTGCTCACAACCCATTACATGAGGAAGAAGTATTATAAACAAATGATTTTTACTTTACATTTTCTTTATCAGATCGACTCTTTTTCTTTTATCCATGTATTATATCAATGTTCTTATTCCCCGACCCAGGAAAGACATATCTCAGCTCATTTATTTAGGCTAAATTGCCGCTCCTCATTGTGGTCAGCCGTTCTACATGTATTTGAATACATATCAACCACATCATTCAGTGCGCAACCAGTTTAACCATGACAAACAAGTAAACATGAAGCTTTTTTTTTTTTTTTTTTTTTTTTTGCTTGGACCCATTTTACTTCTAAATACCTTATTTGTATGCCATCTGTCATCAGATATCTCTTCCAAAACAGTCAGTCCATGTAACACCGTTTTCTCAACATTCAGAATATGCAAACTATATATATATAATCAATTTACCGGAGGGATTTGAATTTGCGAAGAAATAAAAAAAAAATCTGATAAACAAACTAAACCCAGACAAAACCTTAAATCTTAAAGGACTATCAGATCATGGCAAAAGATGCGCCATTTGGCGCGTGAGAAAGACTGGACTAGGCAAACAGTTTCTGACGCTCTGTGGATGACCACATGATGGCCTCATTCATTCCTCTCCTACTGTGCAATACATTTTCTTTAATGTTATTCCTCATCCCCCTCCCTCCCTAACCTGGATAGAGCATGGGCAAGAGTGTGAATGAATGCTTTAAACCCAGCTTGGGAACCGAAAGAATCTTATGATTGTATGGATCTTTACATATTAAAACGATACATCTTTGCAGATTTCGAGTACATGGCTGCTTCTTCGTAACTGTACTACCAACAGAAGTTTAAACAATCATTGCATAAAGTTGAATTCTGTGGTAGACTAGTGTTATAACCGGTTTTTTTTGAGTCAACTCAAAACCAACAGATCAACGCCCTCTCTTCTACTCCACGCGATTCGGTGCCTTTCTTTTTTTTTTTTTTTTTTTTTTTTTGTTTGATTCCAGACGATTATAAAAGCTAGCCTTGCAAATCCTTTTTTTTTTTTTTTTTTTTTTTTCCTCGTTCCTTACCTCAGCTTAAGCACTCCAGTGGCCTTACCATCCTCTCTTCATAATCCAATCTCGTTGAGCATCCTTGCACATCTTTCCAATCATGTCTACCACCCCCGCCCCCGCCAACGTGAGAATGCCCTGGACTCAGTTCTACTGTACTGAAAATACCCCTTGCCCAGTTGAGGGAACCGTCTGCCATGCTCGCAAGTACTGTATCCCCAACTTGAAGCAGGGTGAGGCCTGCTACGATTCCAAGGACTCTGTCCCTCCATTCGTTGCCCGTGTCGACAACGTCTACACCCTCTTCTGCGACATGCCTACTGAGATCAAGGCCCAGAACGTCACCTGCCCCTTGGGATGCGAGAGTACGTTTTTATCGTTATTTTAGGCTGTTAGCCACCAACCCAATGGCTTTTTCTTTTATGACACTTGCTTACTTTTTTTTTTTTTTTTTTTTTTTTTTTTGTGGGAAACAGAGTGGGAGGACTGCCACGGCAATATTTGCATGATCAAGAAGTGCAATGCAGCCCAGTCTGCCTGCAGAGCCGGTAATGATGAAATGTGCATGGGCGTTCTCCGCGAGGAGACCTTCTGCTACGACCCTTTGATGCACGGTAGCAAGCCCATTACGATTCAAGGGGAGAAGGGTCTTTCGAGCTCCCAGATCGGCGGTATTGCTGGAGGTGTCTCTGCTGCCGTCGTTGTCCTCGCTGCCGTTGGTGCCTTCTTGATCCGTCGTCGCCGTGCTGTCAAGGCTAAGCAGGCTTCCCAACAGTCTTTGCCTTCCTACTCTGCTCAAGATGAGAAGAGCGCCATGCAGCAGGCCACCACTGCTTAAAAAAAAAAAGTAGAGAGAGTAGTCATACACTTCAATAATTAACTCGTACATATAAATTGTGAAATAGTTGTATAGCGACCATTATTTTTTTTTTCTTCCTTCATAAACAGCATTAATACCCAAATACACCTTCCAATATATATATTTTGATGTTATTGATGTTACTGTATGCTTGCGGAGGAAATTGTAGAGACGTCTCATTGGTGTTTATTTATTTATTTTTTCCTCTTCTTCGGAATTAATGTTTGTATCAGATCAGAAAAGGAATTTATTTTTTCCTCTGAATTTGACATTGCGTCGCGTCCAAGTTGATATACGCGTCATATTCGTGCGCTATGCTTTTTTTTTTTTTTTTTCCCTTCATGGTGAACATGCCTGTGTTTTTTTTCAAGAGTGTATTCAGGGGAACAAGTAAGACAAGTCTACAATGCAATTTAAAGAAAGAAAGAAAAAAAAAAAAAATTTACACGCTTCGATGTTTCTTTTTTCCAGAGTTGCCAAAAAAAAAAAAAAAAATGTTGAGACAATTGGATAAGATCGTTCCAACACTATGGAATAGGATTAGTTTCTAGTCATAAAAATGTTTTTGTATTGGTCATTTGTCTTTATCTACAGAAATAGACTCATTATATTATACAGATAAATATATGTATATACATACTTGTCGTTTCATAGTTCAAAGAACGATGGCCTAGAAAAGCATTCAAATTCTTTGGGTATATGAGGACAAATTTATTCTTTTTTTTTTTTTTTTTTTTTTTTTGATTGCCAGCTGTTCTTTCTGACCATCATGCAAAGAAATGCATTTAAGTGTACTAATTCTTTTAGGCTCCAAAAGCATTGAATGCGTGATATGTAATGCAAACCACTAATCTTTTCCCACGATGCAGGGCAGAAATTCTGGCTGTGGGATGTTTGCAGCAAGCAAAGGCAACTCCCTCTCTTCCTTTTTTCAACACATGGCAATTGTTACAAATAAATGAAGGCCATGCATCAGTGGTGAGGACGGGAGCACAAAAATTAAACATGGAAATGGAATTACTTGCCTACAAGTGAAAGCTTTTTTTTTTTTTTTTTTTTTTTTTTTTTCCTCTCACCAATCGTTGACATCTCTCCAACTATATCGCCTAACCATATCTTGGTTAAGCATAGATCACCAACAAATAGTCTTTCCATTCACTCTGCACTTTATAAATGTGCCATAACAACAGTTACGGATAAAAAAAAAAATTAGATGTCACGAGGGAGGAAATGCGACAGAAGACAGACAAGCAATTTATTTTTTTGTGGTCGAGCGATGGTGGTGCAAAAGAAGCTCAAGTTCTTTATTCTCTCTTTTTTTTTACTTGGCCTTGGTGGCTTTGGGAGCCTTGGCGGGCTTGGCGTTCTTGCTCTGGGCCTTGATGACCTTCTTGACGATCTTCTGCTCCTCGATCAAGAAAGCGCGAACGATTCTGTCACGGACGCAGTTGGCGCAGCGGGAACCACCATAGGCACGGTTAACGGTCTTCTGGCGGCGAGAGATGCGGGCGTACTCAGTGGGGCGGAGAGCGGGAATCTGGTAAGGATTATCAAAACAAGAAAATAGATATATATATATCGATAAGAAACAACGTCGTCAGTAAACATTGCATTATACAAAGCGATATTGGTTTTGTGTCTGCTTCCTGCTAGATTTTGCTCTTCAATCAGTCATCACTATAATGTCCCAGTCTAAATAGTCCACGAACTCTAGTTAAGCAAACATTAACCTCTGATTATACTGAAGGTACTAAATACACGCAGTTCGCTTAATCATCGAAAGATGAGCTGACAACACATTAAAGTCGATCTGATGCTGTGTTCCTGACAATAGTGGATGGTAATAAAAAAGGGACATCTCCTTTAAAACTGTCCCGGTGCTTAAAGAGTTATTAAGACAGAATATAAAAAAAGCCATTCCCTTCTATTTGGCCGAACAGATAGGGAAAAATGTAGATCGTTGCTAAGGTTGTTGGTCACTATGGTGCTAATGAGAAATAAATCGTCTGATGATCCTGTTTCTTTTGTCCAGTAAATCATCCTGAATCATAATAGGCTATACCATTTTTTTTTTTTTTTTTTCCTCGTTGACTTGTTGTATCCTCCCACTCATTTACTACGGCAGCTCTTTTTTGTTTTTTTTCTGCATTTCCATTGCGTCCCTAGGTTAGTCCTATTTTATTTTTTTCCCCCAAGTCCAACTTACACCAGGAAGAGCAACACCGCAATCACCGCACTTGGGGGAAGTGCCGGGCTTCTTCTCATAGAGCCAAGTCAAGCGACCACCAGGGGTCTTGACGACGCGAGTCCTGTTGGACTTGGTGTTGTAGGACAAACGGCGGCGGTAAGTGAGACGCTGAGCCATCTTCTATAAGAATTGTTTGAGAGCCAGAAAAGAGTGGAAGATTGGATGTCTATTAGCAGACTTGGTCATGAATAATATAACAATTTTCCTTTCTTTTTTTGAAATGGCTGCAAGATCATTGAAAAGTTGAATCAATCGTAATGCTGTGTTTTCTGATTCATGATGTTGAAGCTCCCTTTAGCTGAGATCAAGTATAAAAGATTGAATTGATTATGATGATGGATCCTTTTGCATGTATAATGATGGGTGATTGCAAGATTTGCTTAATGGGAAGCTATATCCATGAATTTTTCCTAACGAACTCCATGATCCTGGAGTAATATCTGTGTTGGAATAAGAAAAATAGTCGACCGATGGATGTATTATTATCCTTTGATAATGGATGTATTTGAAACGACTACGATTTATGATGCCGTAGCAATTTTGCCCACACCTGTAGAATTACTTCAAATGGGATAGAGGAAGATCCAACATTGTGCACAGTAACAGACAAGTCAAATACAATGGCTTCGCACTGTTATTAAGGGCCTATCACGTGATGAGAGCAATTGTGATCAGACGCGACGCGACGCGCCAACTGCCACGAAATAAAGGAAAAGCTGTCTATTGAGCATGCAAAAACCAGTGGGAGGAGTCGTTCAAGCGGTGGCTTTCACCACTACTCCGATATAAATCTAATTTTTTTATCTTCTATCACCTGTTTACTAGTAGAGACGCAATAAAAGTTACGTATAGCAGCTTATGATGATTTGACATGGTATTGAAATGCTTTACGGATATACAAGATAAGGAGAACAAGAGCTGTTTATTATTGTTGTCAAGCGGGACCCCTTTGTTTGGGCCCCGCCACAGCTATCATCTAATATTCCGATCTTATGGATAAAATTGGAAGTGTCTCCTTAGGGGAGACATTTCCTAAGCCTCAAGGATGGAGGGTTACTCTTTTTTTTTTTTTTTTTTTTTTTTTCATGAACTCCATGAAGATATCCTACGGGATAGTCGCAGGATATAAGGTCGGAAAGACCTTTGTTCGGAAGTCCTGTCCGCTTGCCAGGCTATGCTGGACGCTCGAAAGCGGCTGAGGCTGTTAGGGAAGGAGAGGAGGGGAGGGAGAGGAGCCCTTAAAAAGCCTTCGTGGCGTTACCATACTAGATTAGGCTTTGTTGAATAAATATCCTTGGTCTCGCCCTTGGTCCCCTCTATTATGTTCTGTTCTGCAACCTCTCGATTCTGCTGCGTGAACTGAGGAGCGGGGGGATATTTTTTTTATTTTTTTTGACACCAAGGGATGAGAGGGTATTAAATGGTGGGATAGGATGACGTTTGGGTTCCGCAATCGCAACACTTTTAATATCCCTCCGCTTTAATTCAAAGAGAGTCGCCTGCTGTCAACAGTTGCTGTCGATGCTCCAAGTGCATAGAACCCAGTTTTGGGTTCCGGTCTAGCACGTGGTTGCAGTTCTCTGACCCCTCACAAACTTTTCTCTCTCTCTCCCTCTAACGGAAGACATGGCGGCTGGCCATGTGTTTTCGCTATAAGCCTATGACGGCAAAAAATAAAATAAAATAAAAAAAGTGTTATTTTTTGATAACAAAAAATAATAATAATAAAAAAGGAAGGTATTTAGACGTACATGGCGTATCTACTGAGCTTATTAGCAGACTCACTGAGGACCCGGGGGTCGTATCTGTTGTGGAGGAGAGCCAGGTTATCGAGTCCCCATTCGAATAGCGGAATAGAGAATATGGTTGACTTGAAAAGCTGATCTCGGGATGGAGCACAAGAGCGGCAGGTCACCCACGGAAAGAAAAAAAGAAGTGTTGTGATAAGGGACAAAGGAGAAGAAGAAGCATTAGTTCTTTTTTGCAAAAGAAAAAAAAAAAAAAAAAAAAAACGGTGAATGCATTGGTCATGTGAAAAGGAAAGCGTCAATGATGAAAGGTATCTGGACTAGTACATTGAAGAAAGCAGGGACAAGGCAAGGCGCAAATCCACAAGAGAGTTTCAATATGCCATGCAGAAGAGTTGTTGAATTTAGACTTTTTTTTTTTAAAAAAAAAAAGCTTCATTTCTAGAACATGTTCTGTAACCGTGGAATGCCCGGAAGAATGATAGTGAAAATGTCCCATTGGGATAGGACTGTGGGAATATATGGGAGGATCAAGGATAGAGCAAGGAATGGTGGCAATGAAGGATGAGTCCATCTGTGTGCTTGATTGGGCCATGCCATGCGACATTTACAGAAATTGGAAATGGTGTTGTCAAATGTAAGGTTATGCTCCTTTTCGTCACTTTAGTTGTCCTGAAGAATAGGATTGAAATCTTTTAATGGCATGGCAACCACAAAGATCCAGGTGAGCATAAATAAAAATAAAAGGATATGTATTTTTATATAAAAGAGGTTGGCAAGTTAATGACATAGTAACTAATAAATAACTTTTTTTTTTTTTTTTTTTATTTTTATTCCTACTTTCATCATTCACTCTTTCTCTTTCCCCCTCTTCAACTCCTTCTTCCGTTTCTTTTTTACATTGTCAAAAAAGCTTTTTTTTTTTTTTTTTTGCCTTTTCCACACTCACGTCTGTGCATTTTATTTTAATCAAGATCTCATTCACCCTAACCATTCATCCATTGACACATCAACACTCTCCTACATTCATTCATTTCCCTTTGCTTATATATCCATATCCACATTCACTTTCATATCCATATTTCATTTGATACAGCAATTTTAACTGACCATGGGCTGCTGTGGAAGCAAACAGTCTGATTATGACGAGGTAATATATTATAGTCTCAAAAAAAAAAAAAAAAAAAAAAAAAAAAAGTAATCAGACATTGGTGGTGGTCTATGCACATAGATTACATTAGCGCACATACATCACATCACACCATTCACACACACAGTCCATTCATCACTTGGTCCAACTTGGATTTGTATACTTCATTACTCCATTGCTATTTAATGCATTGCAATCACCATCTTAATCATCGATCATCACACTTTCACTCCACTACGTGATAAACAAAGTAAAAAAGAGGAACTTAGTCACATGCTTGTACAAACTTCGACATCGTTCCGTCACATTGAAGCATGTATCGAAGCAGCAGACACTTGACAAACCATGCCAGCAACAACAGTAACAACAATAACAACAACTATAGCATATAAAACAAGCTTTTTTTTTTTTCTGATTTGGCTTGCCGATACAAATAGACAACCCTTTTTTTACCCCCTCTCTCCAGTCAATTGTATATAAAAAAAAACAACAGCAGCAACTATCCAACGGCAATTGATCCAATTGGTTCTGTACTCTATGAGTGTGAATGTGAATGTGGGTGTGAGTGTGTGAGTGTGAGTGTGAGTGAACAAGAACTTTCAGTCAATATCCTCTTCTATCTGATCTAGTTCATGAATATCAGCGAATGGTGCATATCCAAGGCTGAAAAGCACATGTTTTTTTTTTTTTTTTTTTTCTCGCGATTTCGCTTTGACCATGATCATTGCGGCATTCTTTTTTTTTATTTATTGCCTAAGTGTGGTCTGAGTCGTGAATCGTGAATGTTGGAGTGGTACGCCTCCTTTTCTCCCATTTTTTTCGTCGCATCGGAGAGCGAAAGCAAATGCTGGTAAAATGAGGAGCAGACATTGCAGGGGAGCAAGGAAAGCGGGAAGAGCGTATTTGGGAAGAGCGTATTTGGGAACAGAATTGGATGCAGTAACATTGCTACAGGAAGCCCCGATTTGTTAATATTCCAAATGCATCAATGTCTATTCTGTTCTTTATGCATTGCTTAGAAATCTTCACGACACAAAACATTTTTTGGGCCATAGTGTTCGTTATATGTCAGATCTTCTCACTCCTCTCCCCTCCCCTCTTTTGTACTTGAATTTTTTTTACTTTTTGCATGATAATTGCATTGGGATCAATATTTATATGGAGGAGAGAATGAGAGCTGTGTTCTAGATACTGGACAATAATGGAATGTAGAAGGAGGGAGAGGAAGGGGAAGCTCTAGATATTTTTGACTCGAATGTTCATTAAAATTGACTTTGCCAAATTTCTGTGTTCGAGAAAGTCAAATCATGGATATGTTGTTCTCCTTTTTTCGGAAGAGGATTGTCAATCTCCTCTCATTCTGCATTTTGCCCTTTTTTACCTCTGTCTAAACTCCGATTAATACTTCTTGCGCATAATTAATGCAATAAAGGGAAGAGTACTCAAAGTGAACCATATTCATGATGTTTGTACTAATCCATTAATTCTCACTACACCATCATTGTAGGACGAGCGCGTTCCTATATTGCGCGCCAATGAGTTATATCCGTAAGTACTAAAAAAGACAATGAGATTAAAATGTGACACGTAGCATGGGAGGATTACTGTTGCCGTGAAAAAAAAAAAAAAAAAAAAACCATTTCAACTACACGTATTTCACTATCAAGTGTATGGGCCATGTTACAAAAGAATGCGATCACCAAGATAAAGGATAGAAAAACATGAGAGCATTGGAAGGATTGAAAAGTGCAGGGGTACGGACTGCTAAGCAACACAATGTAGTCCAAACAAAGAGGGTCTCATTATTATTATCAATTTTCAGTTCCTGCTTTCAGTTCGTTGTACATTGGCTCAGCAAACAGAATCTAAAATTTGTGTTGCACATGCAAGGTTGGCAAAGATAAAATGTGCTGGGTAACCCACGTCCAACAGGCGACTTTGAAAGATTTGGTAATTGTTATGCTCCTTTAACTTTTTTTTTTTTTTTTTTTTTTTGCACGTCAACAAAAAAAAAAAAAAAAAGAGAGAGATTGATGATAAGATGTGGTTGAGGAGTAACTGTCCGATTGACAGGCAATTTTTTTTTGTCCGTTACGCAGGATCTGTTGTGTCCTACCATGTTTTTAACTTTTGAACCAATGATAGTAGAATATTTGGCGGGAAAAAAGTAGTTGACAGGACATTGTCTGCTTACATTGTGATGACGGAATCTGCTTTTCTCTTCACAACACAACAAGACGATGTAATGGATGTAACGCCATTATGTACGAAGAGGGATGGTGCGCGCATTCAGTCAAGGACTGTTTTGCACAACAGCCTTACCCCCTTTTGCGCGCTATTATGACTGTTTATGGTTTCACTTTGAATAAGGCACTTGCACGATTGAACGATTGAACGATTGAACGATTGAACGATTGAACGATTGTTGACTAAATGGTGTGAATGGTGTGGGGGACGTCTGCTCTGTTTGCTTTTTACGCCAAGCTCATTTGATAGTGGCCCATCAATAGTTAGCCACATGTGGACCCATTGGCTTGATTTGTCCAACAAAACGATCATAATTAAAACAAGGGACAAATAGACTAATCAAATGCAAAAAAAACCCCCAACTTCAAATATGTAGTGAAAATAGGATTATTCATGGATCTATCGAACAGAACCAAGCCCGTGAATTCGATTCCTTGCAAAGGATTGTTGAGCGTACAGCAGGGTAAGAGTCTAATTTAATGTTTGACATTTATGTTTATTTTTTTATTATTTTTTTTTTTTTCCTTTGGGGCCCATCACAAACTATACCTTCACTGCTATGAAAGGAAAAAGTCTCCGAGGAAGGACTCTTGTTGGTTATTGCAATATTCGAGATGGTTAATGGGATGTATGATGTCCTGGGTTGTTCTTTTTTGTTCTTTATTTGTCACTACAATGTCACCGATGTTTACAATGGCGTCGGGAAAAAAAAAAAAAAAAAAAAAAAAAAAAAGAAACGAATTGATAGACTGATTTGTCCTTGATAGTGGGCTGGGTTGTTTACCGACTGGCTGGCGCGCCACCATGTTTGGGATATCAGTTACCAATTGCTTCAACTTTTTTTATAAATATATTTATCATGATGATTGTTGTGAGCAAACAAAACTCTTGAGGACCAGAAAAAAAAAGAGAGAGATGTTTATGGCTGAATAGTTTTTGCTAATTGCTACACAAAAAGAGATGCAAATTGGCGTTGTATGTGATGAGAACAACATTCGTTGTGTAATATTTCTATTTGATACAACACATTTTTTTATTTTTATTCATCATTCTTCACTTGTGTGTATTCCAAGGAGAATGAGATAATAAAAGAGGAGAGTGGCCCTTGCGACATGGTCCGTGGGCTTGACGTGCAAAGGTGTTTTTTTTTTTATTCGAGGTTGGATTTATGTCGATGTCAATGTCTATTTCTATGCTATTTCTATGTATTTGTCTATGTCTATGTATGGTCGGGGTACAAAGGAAGGTAGGGGTGCTTGTTTTTGCATTGTCTTTCAATGCGAAGAGGATAAGCAAGAAGTGTTGCGGCGCAAAAAATAAAAAAAAGTGAATGGGGTGACTATGGCAAGACAAGGCAAATCAAGGGAGAGAGAGAGGCAGGAAGACAAAGGGTTCAGGATCCTTGGCTCGTCATTGGTCCGTTCATCATTTTTCCTAGTCATTGTCCCTTCCGCTACCGCAACATAGACGCTGCACATCCTTTTTCCCCTTCCTCAGCTTTCAACTTTGAATTTTCAACTTTCAACCTATTTTTTTTATTTTTTATTTTTTTTGGGAAGAGGAAGGGATGTCGATCGGCAGACTCCCTGTCATTCATTCATTCATCCATTCATTCATTTATTCTTTCCAGATACAGCAAATATTCTGGAGACATTGAGGAGATAGAGATAGAACAAAGTACTATATGCTCTTAAATTCCTATTTTCTATTTGTCATGGATAGAAGCATGATAATTGATAGACTGAGTGAAGGGAGGAAGGGAGGCTATTTTTTATTTTTTCCTTTCGTTTATTGTTCTTTCTTTCAGGGCCTCATCTGTCCATCTACCAAAAACCATTATCGCAACCAAAAAGAGGAATCCTCCATTCATTACACATATCCGTCCAATGGGCTTGTCCGTTCTTTCCTTTACTAAATATTATAACTTGTATTCAATACTCTTGCTAACCTTCCATCTCTCTCTCTCTTTTTTTCGTATATAATAACCAATCTTTTTTTTTTATTACTATTTCTCTCTTTTTCTTTCTTCTTTTTTTTTTTTATTCTCTCATTTCTCTTCCTCATATGCACATGCACATCATTCTCCTTTTTATCATTACTATCAATCATCAATTGTCATCACTTCTTTTATAATTGTGCGTGTATGTGTGTGTGTGTAAATATATACATTAATATCTCATAGAAACCTGATCGATATCCCGTCAACATTGCAATTGGAACGATTGCAGCAACAGGAAGCTCAACATCGATCGAACGAATACATCGCTGCACTTAACGCAGTCAAGTTACCCGAACAGACTATCAAGAAACTTTACAACATGACATCTGTCGTCAAGGCCGGAGGTGATCTTCCGAATGAGCAATTGGATGGTGTTCTCAAATCATCCGCTTCTTCCGCAGTAAATTCGATCAAGGCACCGTCAGTGCGAGAAGTCCTTGCAGAAAAGGCAATTGATTCCAAAACTTTGGGATGGGTAAGTTATTTTCTTTTGTGTACCATTAACATACTCTTTTCCTTTTAGCTTTGCAGTGCCTTCTTCAATCTTTCAGTTCTTTTTATTTTATTTTATTTTTTTTAAAAAAAAATTGGTCAATTCTGTCTCTTGTTACACGACACTAATGCAATTTTCTTTATCCATGTTTCTCCATTTCTGTTGCTTATTTCCTCTTGTTTTGTTAATGTAGATGACAAATGCAATGGGTGAACTTCACCGGGCCACTGAGCAAATTGATGTTAAGGATGTAGGCGATTTGATCGTGACATTATCACCGCCCAAGGTGGCATAGACCACTCTTATTTTTCATTTTTGTTCTATTCAAATTTTTTTTTTGTCTGTCTTGGTCCTTGATCTCGCATTAAACACACATTTTTACACATACACATATTCACCCACGCTACATCCACATTTACACATTCATTTACCCCAGACAACACGCAATTTCCCTCATCTCCATTTAATGCTATCCTTTTGTTTCTTTTTTTCTTTTACTAATGTCAGACCAAGTTTGTGTTTCGTTAACAAAACAAAAGTAAAAATAATTTAAAAATAAAAAAAAATAAATAAATAAATTAAATAAATAAATAAAAAAAAAAAAAAGCAATAAAATATAGTAAATAAAATACCATTTTTCTTTCTTTCCTCTCTTTGCATGGACTTGATAGTCGTATTGTGGTATTGTGCACATAGTTTGCTAAACCACAAAAAAATAAAAAAAATATAAAATATAAAATACAAAATAAAAAAAAGGGTTTGAATTGTTTATTTATGTGATGAAGAAAGCAAGGAAGAAGGGGGGGAAAGATAGATGAGGGGAGAGAGAAAGAGAACCGTTCAATCCATCAATGAATATCAAATTAGTTCACATGTTGAGATGAGTTTGGTCCGCAGCATCATTCGTAAATAAGTGTTGGTTTTTTTTTTTTTTTTTTTTTTTTTTTTTTTGGTGCTTTGGAATTGCGACATGATGATACGCGTCAACATTAAAGGATCATATTCAGTTTTACTATATTATTTTTATTTATTTACTTTTTTATTATGATGCACGAGGGTAAATTGTACTGGAGGATTAGGAATGATAGAAAGGAAAGGAGGGAAGAGGTGAGGAGGGGGATGCGGGAGAAGGGTGGTGGAGAGGAGTAAAAAAAAAAAAAAAAAAAAAAAAAAAAAAAAGGGAAGGAAATATAGATATATATATCAAGTAAGATACATTTAAGGTTAAATAATGGTGCAACATTTGGATGATTGTTTTGCAAAGGGATCAGGTCCAACAACTCCCCAGATGATGGGTAAGAGTGGGTCTTGTGTGTTTGTCGCATATTGGATCAGACTAAAAAAGGGGTTCCCAGTTCAAAAAATAGGGGGAAGATTATTCCAAGAAAACATATAAAAAAAAAAAAAAAAAGAAAGCGTCCATTAGTTTTTTTGGGTTTTTAAAGTTTTGTTATGCTTGTCAGAAAAGAAAAAAAAAAAAAAAAAAAAAAAGAGCTTGGGGTTTACCTTCGACTTGCTTCAGAGACAGGCACACGATGCATTTCAAGTTGTTCTCGCAGTCGTTGATTATGTTCTAAAAATCTTTTTAACTTGAGCTCAGACACTCCAGGGACGCCTCCTATACTGGTACCAGCGCCTACTGCTGCCGCTGCTGCCGCTGCCGCTGCTCCTGCTGCTGATGCAGTTCTATAGTTTCCATAGTTTTCATAGTTTTCATAACCTCCATAACCTGCTCCGACAACACTACCACTACCACCACCGACACTAACACTGCCGCCACCACCAGCACCAACAATTGCGTCAGTGCCCGTATAATTAGGATTACTACCACTGCCACCCAATGCTGTTGTTGTCCCTGGAATGGTTAACTTTCTATAGAGCCCTTCATTTCCATAGCCTAGGCCAACCATTGGTACGACTGTAGAAGCAGAGGCAGAGGAGCTATCTGTGACCGTTGCAGAGCCTGCACGAGCTCTTGCGTTGACGCTATCCAATACATGGTCAATGATGTTGATGTTATGATCATGGTCGTAAGGATTGGTTGTGAAGGGACTTTGATCCTGTGAAAGATCGGTTGGGATCCTAATGGTGTCAATGGGTGTTAACATGGAGGATGTAGATGCGGTTCCAGGCACAGGCTCAGGTCCAGTCTCGGGTGGCGATGATGATGAAATAGGCTTTAATAAAGTATCATAATCGTGATCACTGATGAACCCTGCATCTGCTGCGGTTGTGTGACCTTGAGTAGTGCCAACAAAATTCAAGGCGTTATCGTTATTCATAATATCGTTGTTATTGTTGTTGTTGTTGTTTTTATCTTTGAGATTGGACATTGAATATAACAATCTTTCTTGTCCTGATTATGAAAATGTAAATAAAAAATAAATAAATAAAAAAAAAAAAAAAAAAAAAAAAAAAAAAAGAAATCCGGCTCCAGTCTAAAAATATAAAAGCTGCGCTGCAAAAGAAAAAAAAAATAAAATAAAAAAAAACAATCGGCCCCCCTTTTTTTCCTTTCCAACGTTCTAATGACTTGATTGATTGATTGATTGATTGATTGTTTGATCAGATATTGGCTTGAATCTTCTTTAACCGTCCAAGAGTTTAATGATGGTTTGGATAAATGTAAGACTGCTGTTGCAAATGTCCAAAAGGTGACAAGAAAAGATGAAACAAAAAATAAAAATAAAAATAAAAGAGAATCAGATGAAAATGTTCCGTATTGTCCTGATTGTTTCGTTTTTTTTTTCTTTTTCTAATCGATTTTAGTATGAACAAAGATTAGATCTTTCTTCTGTGTCAGTGTCAGTGTCAGTGTCAGTGTCAGTGTCAGTGTTAGTGTTAGTGTTAGTGTTGGTATTGGTGTTGGTGTTAGTGGAAAGTAGGGGTTGGGGGGAAGAAGAAGGGCATACAAAGGAGAGGAAGGGAAAGAAGAATTGGAATTGGAGTTGGAGTTTGTGGAGGGCGGGGGGTTGAGATAGGGAAATATGGAGGAAGAAGAAGAAGAAGAGAAGCACAGGAGAGACGTAGAAAGATGAAGATGATGACGATGAAAAGGGGCTTTCAAAAAAAAAAAAAAAAAAAAAAAAAAAGAGACAACGCGAACAAAAAATGTATGCAAACCAATTTTTTTTTTTTTTTTTAAAAAAAAAAAAGGCTAAAAGGAAAAGAAAGGAAAAAAAAAAAAAAAAAAAAAAAAAAAAGAGTATTATTCAATCAACGAGAAAATGGTCAGGGCCCATCGTTTAGAAGAAGTGATGAAGTAATAAGGTTTAATGGAGGCTTTTCCAAAATGCTGGGTTAATTGCATATTGCATTTGCGTATCTGCATATATGCTTATTTGCATAATAACAGATGAACGTTGCTTTACTGCCGGAAAATAGATGGACAAAGTACATACAAAAAGATCGGGTACCCCTGCACACGACACTTTTTATTTTCTCTGCTACATGGCGCCAAAGGGCCAAAAAAAAAAAAAAGACGGACGTGTGACCCCAGCCTCTTCCTTCTTCCCCTATCCTCATCTGAGCATCAAAATTAAAAAAAAAGATTAAGTGCGTTTCGATCATTTGGCGTTTTAGCATAAATAAAAAGAGGTGTGTGCATAGCAACTAAAAAAAAAAAAAAAAAAAAAAAAAAAAAAGAGCTATGGAGGATTTGGATAATGATGACACCAAATATCCATAAAAATGCTTATCGTGATCGCTGTGCATGGACCAGATGATGGCGCGTTTGGAACATGGCGCGTGAAAATTTTGGCTCCAGCCAATGGGAATGCAAGATGGAGTTTCAGAAGCTGCGACGTTTGTGACAGCGTGGGATAAAAAAAGAAAAAAAAAGAAACTTCGAGGGAAAAACAATACAAGAGCGAAGAGGTGGACAGTGCTTGAAACTCTGAATCTCCCTCCTCTTCTTCTCCAATGGACATGCAGATAAGCAGATAAGCAGATAAAATTAAGGAAGAAAAGAAAAGAAAAAAAAAAAAAAGCCAAGAATTATGGAGCTCACCTTCCAAGGGGAAAGAAAGAAAGGAGGTTCTTGGAGGAACTACACCATACAGAACGTTGAAAATAAATAAAAAAAGACAGTGACAGGATGAGATTGGAACGTAATAAAGAAGAACGAGTAGCTTACAGGTTAGGATTATGGTGAGAAGTTTTATAACAAAACAAAAAAAAAAAAAAAAAAAAAAAAGATTAAGCTATTAGGATTAAAAAAAGTAAAAGCATTAAAGAATCAAATGAACATGAAGTAATGATGGTTTGCAATGATTTTAAAACTAAATGTCAATGAAAACTTTGAAAAAAAAAAATTCAAGATCAAAGAAGACAAGGGTGTACGTGATCGACCATGTCATTACATGATTCCGCCGTTCAAGCAGCTTTTTGCTTTGTTGTGTTGTGTCGTACGGATATTTCTTCCTGTCCGTACGCGCGTAATCGCGTAACCCTGCATCTGCTCTTTATCCAAGCCTGATTGCTTTTTGAATGGGTGTAAATAATGTAAATATTCAACCTTTGGTCTGAAACAACAGCCGGGTGATCTTCCTTTCTTTCTTTCTTTCTTTCGTTCTTTCGTTCTTTCGTTCTTTCTTTTCTTGTGACATCGCCTCAATGCGATTACGTCTCTATAATTTTTTTTTTTTTTTTTTTTTTTGCTTTCTTTCTTTCTTTCTTTCTTTACATCCTGCGCATCCTGCGAAGTGAGGGAGGGACAATATGCTTAATTATATAAAAAAGGGAAAAAAAAAGACTATTTCAAGGAGTAGATCGACAAGTCATCAGACATAAACGCGTGTTTGCTTATAGCAGAAAGACCCATCTGAATCTGCAGTTTTTGAGCAGAGACGAGCCTAATAGAAACTGACACTTCTGACAAACACGCGACAAGAACACCTGATCCCGTTATCTGTTCTTCTCGGCTCAAATGAATACCTGGGTCAAGAACAGAAAGCGGATAGATCGACGTCAACTTGGCGTAGCTACTGAGGAAGCCTTTGACGATGTTTCCAATAGCCGTTACTAAAGTCAATTTGTTAGTGACGGTGGTGATGATGTTGATACTATTGTTGTTTACCTTCCATGGAGAACATCTTGCTTTTTTTGTACTTTATTCCGCAATCCGAAAGCGAAGAGGTGAATTACAACTGCATGTTTGCATGTGGACGTTCGTATTTTCCGCCCTTTCCAATCTTCCCGCGACTCTTTTTTTCATTTCCCAGCCATGGCTGAACGATAGACCATGTTCCGAGTTTATAAATGACGACAAGTAAAAAAAAAAAAAAAAGCCAAGTCAGGGCTCAGGGCCAAGGCCAAGCATGCTCATGTCCTTACCCCACAGCATTTGTTTTTTGTTTTCTTTTCTCTTGAGTCATGATCAGCACATGAAAGCACACTGATAGAAGAAAAGAAATGTGGAGAGGATTTGTTTGTTTTGCTTTAACATGTTTTATTGGACTAACAAATATAACCATACAACCATGTTGGATACAATCCAATGCAACCACAGTTGCTTGCAAGGAGCCTGAATAGAGCTGATTGCAATACCATTCCCACTCTCTCACCACACTCTCTTATATACTTCTTTGCTCTCTTTCTCCTTTTCCGCTTCTCTCTCTCTTTTTTTTTTTTTTTTTTTATTTTTTTCTCTTTCCTTCTTTTATTTTTCACTCATCGCTCTCACTCGCTTACTTTTCTCATTTACTTCATTCACCTTTTTTTCATTCTTTCATTCTTTCTTACTTTTTTTTTTTTTTTTTTTTCCTCATTCAATCTTCCAACCTTTCCCCAGCATAATTTCGCAACACTTTCACACTGTCATTTTTTTTGCTGTTGTTGTGGAGCAAAGCATTATTCCGTTAAAAGCCTCATAGGTTTCTCTTTCTCCTTTGCCTTGGTCCCATTTGTCCCGTCTGTGTCACCTTAATTACAAAGAGGGACATTTATTTCCGCTGAATATTACTATAAAATACCACTCCCTACCCTTTTTCCTTTTTCTCTTTCCATTTGTCTTGTACTCCTTCCACTGCCTCAATCTCTCTCTCTCTCTCTTTCTCTTGGACGTTATTTTAAGTGACAACAGGCTATCATTCCACTCCTCTTTTTTGATTCTCAGATTACCCTTGTAGCTTCCTCTTTCTCTCCAACCTACTTCCCTTTATTTTATTATTTTTTTTTTTTGCTCACAAAACAAAAATCAAATCATGGGCAATAACAATTTTGAAAAGATTAATATAGACCAGAGGGTTGAAAGGGATGATAATTTATCTCCCACAACATTTCTGCCCGATATCAGATGCAAGCATGAGCCTGAGGACTGCAAAAGACACGAGGCAATCACTCCTCCTCCTGCCGCTGCTCTTTCTCTTTCTTCCCCTGTTTCCTCTTCTGCTGATACACCTGTGGCTATGCGCACAGTGACAGATATTGCAGATATTGCAGATATTGCAGATATTACAGATGCTTACTCTATTGACCCTGTTGCGTACCCAACAACCCAACCCTCATCTGTGGTTCTCCCCAGTATCGAAGTGACCGCCACTACTGCCACTACCCCTGCCTTTGTACACGCAAACAATGGAAACAATTCGATCACTGTTAACCCACAGACCACTGGAGATGAAAAGGTCAATACCACACCCCTTCTTGATAACAACAGTGACAATAGCAATGGCAATAACAACAACAACAACAACAACAACAACAACAACAACAAGAATATCAGTACCAATATGAACATGCCTTCTTCCCGAGGTATTTCATCAGCAACACCCCTTTCGTCTTCTTTACGTTTGTCTATGTCTCCAAAAATGTCATTCTCGGCTTCCTTTTCATCCCAATCATCCCTTGCAAAGGAAGAGATTCTATCTCAAGGGGTACAAAAGGATCAAATTACTCTTGTGCAGGAACAGTATCAGGAACAGGAGCAAGGGCAAGGACAAGACCAAACTACCCTTACAAACAGAAATATGAGCGACGAGATAAAGAGGAATAAAGAATTCGATACAGATATGGTTGATGAGGTAGTGAGGGAAACTATTGAAGCGAGCCCTTCTGTGAGTGCGATCTATACACCTTCACCCAAGAGAATTCCCTCACCATCCGTGGGTATTGATGATGAGGACGAACAAGAGTCCATTCAAGCCCAGTTCGAGAGCGAGACCGCATTTTACGCTGCAGGCCATCCTCATCGCCACCGGCATCATAGCTCACTATCCGATACCAACTCACTGTCGTCTCCAACACCATCGTCTCCTTCGTCCCCTTCATGCTCAAGCTCAAGCTCATCCACATCGTCTCTGTCAGAGTATCTTATCATTGGTCAAGAGCCAGTAGAGAGATACGATAGTGAGTGCGACGGTAACAGTGATCGATCGTTTGCCAGCGGTGAATCCTTTTATGAAAGGTCGCACCGGTATGGTGATGTTGGTAACTCGTCTGATGGCAGTTTAGAGGACAGTGCGAACGAAGGATCTCTTCGTCATCGTCAACGTCACTCGAAACCGCGTTACCATTCGTATTCGCAACCGCGAACACAGTCCCAGCATCAATCGCGAGCGCCGCAGTCTTCTCAACGACGCCACCATCATGCATCATATCCTACACACTTCCAAGATGACCATGATCATATTCGTCAAGACCGCTTTCAAGGCGAATTCTCTGAGGAAACTACTTTCCACGGGTTTATGCAACAACGTCGACAGCGACGTATTATGCATGCTGACGAGCCACGGCCGCCGACTGAAAAGACGCGAAAGCGATCTTTCAAGTATTTTTCTACTTCGCGAGCAGTAGATGATGACAGTGCTACTAGAGCCGCTACAGAGGCCACATCCTCACTCTTTTCTTTACCAACCATCAAGACACCGTCCCTTCGTGGTCTTTCCAAGTCTGTAGCAGAATTGGCGATCGCGTCGGTTGTCTGTGCGACATTGCTAACGTGTATGTTTATGCTCTCGTATATCTCCACGGGTGCAAACCATCTTTTGGGTTGGTATGCAAACCAACAGATCGGACAACGAATCCGGAATGGGATCAAAGAACGAGAACACTATGTGCAAGAGGCCCTCGAAAAGATGGCAGGTGAGGAGTATGTGAAGGTCAAGCGCCGTAGCCGACAATATCAACAACAACAGCAAAATGGGAATCCTCATAACCATCGATATCAACAACAGTACCAACAGCAACGGCAAGAACGTCAACAGCATTCTAAAGAAAGATTGTCAACGGCAGAATGGCAGGAGTTGATCCGTGCTGCATCTGTCAGCTTTATGGCCAAGTTTACATCTGCACCTACGATGCAGCGAGGTACTCGTCGTTGAGAGAAAAAAGGGAAAAAAGCTTTTTCTCCCATTGCTATTTTGTCACATGTATTTGCATGCAATCGTTTTTCTTTCCCCTTCCCCCTTCCATCCCACATCCCTGATTCTCCCCAGTATTTTCTTACAAATAGCTCAGCTCAAGTATATATGCATGTCTGTTTATACCCCATCTCCAACTTGTGCTTCTCAACTTTTTATTTTGCTTTTTTGCTTTCTTTGCTTTCCTGATTTCTTACTTTCCGTCAATAAAGAGTTCCATTTGTTCAAAGTCATTAATTGACGCGTATAGTTTTTGTCAGAAAAGTCATTGCCCATATCAGAATCATCGTTTTTCTTTTATTAAAGCATTTTTTTTTAAAAAAAAAAAAAAAAAAAAAAAAAAAAAGAAAAGAAGGAACAAATGAAAATTGCACATGCCAATCCCCAAACAGACCTTTTTTTTTTTTTTTTTTTTTTTTTTACCTCCCCCCCCTTTTTTTTTTTTTTCCTTTTAAACCAACTTCTTAGTCTCAAAGAACTTGCGAAGTGAGCGCAATTGAATAGTGCAGGTGATACCCAAGACAACAAGTTGAACAATGGTCCAGGTCACAGTACGCGAATTGGTCCTCTCGCTTACATCGCGGAACTCTCTTTCATGATCCTGTTGTGTGAAAAAAAGATAAATAAAAAAGAAAAGTAAAGAGAAAAAAAAGTATAAAATGTATAAAAAGAGCTTAAAAGATCAGTAACTATGGTCTTCTCCCTCTAGATATTATCCCTTATATTCTTTATACGCGTTTTTTTTTTCCTTGATCACTTACGCGATGATAAGACTGCTCAATTCGGATATCAGACACCTTGTAGTTCAATTCACGGACACGCTGCGCCAATTCTAATCATTTACATCGAATAATAATCATCATCATAAATGAGGATTCAGCTTGACTCGTATGGATTTGTGAAGATAATAAATAAACAATAAAAAAAAAAACAGCCTTACCACTCAAGGTTCCTTCTCCAAGATCGCTTTCTTCACTCAAGTCACGAACAGCCAAGTCTAAATTCAATCGCTAATTTTTTTTTTTTTTTTTTTTTTTTTTTTTTTTCTTTTTGGTGAGTCGAGAAATCTTTTCTTTTCTTTCTTTATGAAAAAAGTAAAATAGTAATAATCAAACTTACAATCTTGGTGGAGCTGAACCAACCAGCAGTTGAAGCAAAAAGACAGATGTTATGCTGTCCAGATTCTGCAGACGTAAACTTGAACTTGCCCTTTGGAGGTAACTTTTGACTATGAATTCTGTTACCATCAGGCATTTCCTTTTTTTTTTTTTTTTTTTTTTTTTTTTGAGATTAAGAAGGAAGGTAAATAGGAAGTCATGATTATTAGTAAAAAAAAAAAAAAAAAAGATTCAAAACAAGAATAAGAATATCGGCGTTACAACCGTCCCCTTTTGTGTTCCTGTAGTAAAACCGTATATAGTACTTGTACAGTTCAGTGTAATAACAATGGATTAAGTCTTCGTACCTCAACAATGACTTCCAACTGAAGCTCCTTATTGACAACAAACTTTTGTTGTGCCTCATTCCATTCCTCAGCAGTATAAACACCTAAAGAGTAATAAAAAATAAAAAATAAAAAATTAGAATAGATTGCACGGGTAATCGAGTGATTATTCTTATTATTTTACATTGTCCTCATCTTCATCTGTAAATATTTCCTTTACCTGTGACCACGGTCTCTTTGGGTAATTCTTCAGTAAAGCACTTTTGTTCTGCTCCTTCGAGGTAAAAGTAAATACCAAAGACAGATGGCAAGATGCTCAAAAGCATCAAGAGGCCAAGGGTCCACCGTGTAATGTTGATAGCCATGAGATGGAAGAACGATAGAGAGATGGGGAGGGGAAGAAGACAAAGCTTAATAGATGTACTATATTAATGCAGCTGATCCTGATCTTAAATCCTTGCTCCTCAGATGCCCTTGTTGGATTGATTGTTGTCAATTAACAACAAAATAAAAAAAAAATAAAAAAAGAGGGAGCAGAAGATGAAGAGAGAATAGATGGAAACCCTATTGGAAACTGCAAACACGAGCCATCTTGATCCACGTCACCACACAGAATTTCAAATTCTTTTACTACAGTCAAATATTCATACTCTGTCTGTAGGCATGAACCGCGTATGCTCGTATTGACCATAAAATAACTCGAATCTTCCCCATACGTCCATTATTTCGCTCTAATGAGATCCCTGCACGCACATCTCCTCTGGCCACTATCAATGCTTGGAAAACTTTCCAAAATAGCACTTTTAAATAACCTTGGTTGATGTATGGTATATATAAAGTCCCTTAAGATGCAACAGCAGGCTACGATTTCATTTTAGTTGAAAATACATTTACATCTCGTATCATCAGTAGTGGGTGAATACTAGAAGCTCTTGTCCTCTATCAAGTTATGATGTGACAATGCTTTTCTTGTCTTCTTTAATTCTTCATCAATTGGAGATATTATGGGACTTAAGGAACCTTCTCACCAAAATAGCTACATTCTTCTCATCATTCAAACAATCAACCACACGTTTGATTCTTGGTCAGTTGTTCACCATTCATGTCGCATCCTCAAGTTGCGTTCGCTGCGGTAGACTATTTCCGAAGCTTAGTGTGCGTAGCCTCTTTAGATTAGCCAGTTCATCCAGACCTGCTCTTAGTCTCAAGTCTAGCGTCCGTCCACCTCCATCCTCTGTGCCCCACCAGCTTGTTAGGCCAAGATATTCTAGTTGAGTCAGCTTACCTAGTTGTCTAAATACAATGCGTGACTTTGCCATACCTTCTTCAGTCTCTTGATCAATATCTGCCGCAAAATAAATATACAGTGTAGTCAATCCAGCGCATACCCATTCTACCTCATCGACAACCTCTGTCACTGTGACTTTAAGGTCCGTCAGACTTCCCAGTCGTGGACAATTTGATAAAATGGTTTGAGCATCACCACTTCTGTAGCCGCCGAGTCTATTGAACACCAACATCTCAATTGTCTCGCAGTGTCTCCGAACCCTTGTCTTCCATACTATTTGCCCACTATCCAATCTCTCTTGCTTGTCAGCTACTAATGTTTGTAAAGAGAGAGAGAGCGGGCCGAAGTCACCACAAGGGATAGCTTACCGCCTCATTCCAGTCATTCGTCTGAGAAGCGCTGCTATATCCTCGTCTTTTACCTGTGTATGAAGGAAAGTCAGATCTGACAAACTGTTCAGAGTCCAAGGGTTCTGAAGGAATGCTACCCTGAAGAAGCCTCGATCATCATCTAATTCTTGGCCGTTAATATGCAATGAGGACAATTCTGGACATCTCCTATCCAACATGCTGACGCAACACGGTGATGTGTACGGACCTCGAGGACTGAGTGTATTGACTTTCTCAATGCTCAGTGTGCGTATATTTGGGAATATACAATTACTATCCTCAATATTTAGGAAGTTGATAGGTAGCTGGTAGATGGCTACACGCTTCAATTCCAAGTGCCTAACTTTCTTGCAGACTTGAAGGAATAGATTGGCTTCAGCTCTGATATATTTGTGATCAAGCTTCAAGTGCTTGAAGTTGGTGCATTCTAGTAAAGCCTTCCAGATCTCAGGCAGATTCCAAATACGTTCGTCCAGGTAAAAGCTAGTGATGATGGAACTATGAAGCTTAATCTGATTGTAGAGGTGGACCGGTATGGGCCATGTATACTCCACTTCGTATGCGATGGACCTGAGTCTCTGTAATGGTCCATACTCCTCCGAGAAAGATTCGTAGGCTTTAAATTTAATCTTTTCAATATTAGCCCCTGGGAGCGCTTTTGGGTGGGTGCACGTGATATTTTTTTTACAAAGTTAAGGGGCTGATATGTGACATGGTGATTTGTGATGTGGTGGAGTATGGAAGATTGAACAAATTCCCTTTTTTCAAGACCCCATTTACAGAACTGAGGACGATTTTGAAGGCGCTTTTGCTTTTGCTTTTTCTTTATTACACGAAACTACTGAGTACCCGCTTTAACAGTGTACAGAAATATCACGTGCACCCAAAAAGCGCACCCAAAAGCGAGCACTGAGAGGGGCTGTAAATTTTTCGTGCTTTTTTGGGAATCTGCTAAGTAAGACAACTGTGAAAAAACATTGAGATGCGGATACAGTCTTAAAGGTTTCTTCGGTTGAGCAGTTCGTCAATGAGTTAATAATCATATACCTTTGGAAGCATGTATTGCTTTGTAGCTTTGTAAATACAATCGCCATGATTCTATCTCATCGTGATCTTCATCAAGGTTGTATCTCGGCCATCAGCAAGCCGATGGGGTCAAGAAGGACTCGTATTCAAGACTTCTCTTCCCTATACCAGGTTGTGAGCCGATAATGTACATATCCTGCAATGTTTCTATCCATTGAGCCTTTCACGTCACTATACAAGTATCTCTCATACTTGGCTAATTGTCCACCATCCATTTCGCGTCCTCGAGTTCGATGTGCTGGGGATACTCATATCTGGACATTAGCATGTTCAGACTCTTCAAATCGGCTAGTTAACCCAGTCCCGCTCTTAGCTTCAAATCCAGCATCCGTCATCTTGTACTCGATTGTACCTCGCTAGGGCCAAGATATTGCGGCCAATTCAATCTGCCTAATTGTCTAAACGCAATGCGTGAGCTTGTCATGGATGGCATTTTGCCACTGACCTCATTTGATTGGCTGACAATGTATATAATAAATTTGCTGGACAGGGACATTGCTATCATCGTGTTAGACTAACACTGTTAATGACTAAAGTACCCGGAAATAATGACAATGCCATTCCAAGGACAAATATGTCGATATCGATGTCCAAGTTGTGAATGAAACGAGCCATTTAGAGGAATAAATATATCATACTCAGCAACAAAGAAGAAGCGTACAGTTGATAGCTTCTGCAGAAATGAAGAACAGGTCTATTTCCATCGATGCCCAATCACTCAGAGTCATTAGTACCCACCCTAATGAAAGATGCATAAATTACTTTTAAAGTTGACACTTGAGGAGGATTCTAGAAAGTGTCCTTGAAAATAAAATCGATGATTTATAATGTAACAAAGCTCTTCTAGCAAAACTGCGACTCGTTCGTTTCCCGTGGTCGCTCGAGCTTACATCATCAGTAGCCGGAGACGCCCCGCTTTATGTCATCAAATCTTTATTATAATGGGCGCTGTTATTGGCAAAGTAGATGCCCTTAGGAAGGGACATGTCTAAAGAATCATCTCATCCACATCAGATCGGGTTTCTCTCTATAGCATATAATACCGCGTGATGCGAATAAGGAAGCCACAGCTGGGTCGTCTATCAGAGGGCAATCCAATTTCCTTAGGTTCGGCCAATTGTTCACCATCCATGTCGCATCCTCAAGTTGCATATTCTGGAAACTGTCATCCCTGAACACCAGCCTGTGCAGGCTCTTCAGGCTAGCTAGTTCATCCAGACCTGCTCTTAGCTTAAAGTCCAAGGTTCGTTTTATTGTTTCCCATAGGCCCCATTCTCTTACGTCAAGGTATCCTAACTGGGTCAATTTGCCTAGTTGCCTAAATGCGATGCGTGCCTTTGCCATGCCTTCCTCAGTCCTTTGGTCGACGTCTGCCTCAAGGTAGATAATCAGGTAAGTCAATCCAGTGCAAACCCATTCTGCTCCATCGATAATCTCTGTCACCGTGATTCTAGGTCCTCTTAGCTGCTTCAGTCGTGGGCAATTCGATAAAACAGCTTGAACAATGCCTTTCATCCCGATGCCTTGTACATCGAACTTCAATATCTCAATTGTCTCGCAGAGCCTCCGAGATCTAGTCCTCCAGACCATATGCCCATCGTCCAACACCTTCTGTCTGTCCGCTAGTAATTCTTGTAGAGAGAGCTGGCTGAAGTCACAGCCTAGGATATTTAGCCGCCTTAGATCAGTCATCTGTCTGAGAAGTGCCGCCATATCCTCGTCTATTATTGTCAGGTTCGGGAAAAATAGCTCTGACAAACTATACAGAGTCCAGGGATGCTGAAGAAATGCCTCTATATAGTGACGGCTGGTTTTAAAGGGCATTAGTCCTCTAAAAGAGTCGCGCTCAACAGGTTCACTAAATTTCAACGCACACAGCCCCGGACAACTCCTCAACAACGTGCCAAGGCAATACGATGGTGTGTACGGATGTACCCTCGGCCTTATCGTGAAGTCGTTAATGCTTAAAGTGAGCATTTTTGGGAAAGTATACTCGCTGCCCTCATTATTCAAGAATTTGGTAGGAAGCTGACCTAGGCTTACATTATCCAAGACCAGGTGCCCAAGTTTCTTGTAGACTTGAAAGAATAGATCAGCTTCAACCTCTCCAAGTATATCAAACAACTCCAAGCGATTGAGATTGGTACAATCCAATAGTATCCCCCAGAGGACATGTGATGATGTAACATTTTTAAAGGAGAGCTTGGTGATGGTGGAGTGGGCTTTGATGAAGTCCGGAAGGTGTTTCGGTATCGTTGGCTGGGCTAGCTGATTGTATTCTGGACCAAAGCTAATGGACTGAAGGCGACCGCATCCTCGCAATGTCGTATATACTTCTGGAAAGGTGCTTTGAAACACAATCTCCTCAATATACTCCCTATGTTTCTGGAGTATTTCGCCAGTGAGACAGGAAGGGCTTTTGAAATCTTTGACAACGATTTTTCTCCATATAGACCCGATACATGCACTATAAAAAGCCTTGGAGATAAGGATGCAGTTTAGAAGGTCTTCTCGATCGAGGAAGCCAGCAATGGGAGAGATGATTTCGGGAAGATTCAAGGGATTCAATTTAATGTTGGTCATGTTGCAATTGCAAAGAGATGATGCTAAAGGAATGTTGGGTATTTGCCACCACTCTTGTTTGTTTGGCTGGTTTCTAAATCACCTGGCCAGCTTCTTTACAATTCAACTTTGCTTTCTTCAGATCAACGAAGCTCAAGATTTTTTTTTTGAATGATACTTAAAACCGTTATAAGGTGAATGTTGACTGTCAGGGCAGGGATCACACTGGTATTTTGACTCTTTAAAAATAAAAAATGGAGAAAGAAAGTTGTACATTAGGAAAATAATAGGCACTCTTTTTGCTCTGCTATTGATGATTCTAGATCAGATGTACAAAGTGTAAAAGCATATGGAGACGTGTTACAACACCAACACCGTCCAATTTATTTTTGTCAATCAATACGCCGGTAAATGTACTGCTAAGCTTTTTCGAGAATTCAGAACGTAGGAAGTCCTGTTTTTTAAAGGTAGTTATTTTATCATTAGTTCATTTATCCATTCAATGATTCTATGAATCAAATATGAGCTAAATCCTATAATCGATTTAACGAGAATGAACGTAAGGTTTACCAATAACCCAAACCAAAGAGCCTGTGCGCAGCACTTTTTGACCAAACCACACTGCCACTCTTTTGCCTTCATACGTGCAGTGAGTGGTATCATGCTTTCCAATCTTCTACAAATCCATTCATCCAAACGAAACGTGGAAGCTTGTATGTAATCAACATTATTAAGACCATACCTTTGAACCCAAAATTCAGAAAGGAGCACTTGCAGCTTGTTTCTGGATATAGAGCCTATTTTACAAAATTATTATCAATACGAGTTCGCAAGACATTTGTGCTGAAGGATAAAATATAAAAGACAGAGATTATAAAGAAAAAAGGCAGATGAAAACTCAAGCACAAAGTAAAAGGTAGTAAAAAAAAAAAAAAAATAGCCACATAATATTCCTCTTCGTTCTCTTGTCTTATTCTAAGGATCCGAGGTGAGCGCTGGCAGTCGGATTTTAACTTTCTTAAATGTAAGCAATAAAAAAATGAACATTTAAAATAAAGCGAGTGAAAATGACACAGGTACTGATCTAGGGAAAATAATGTTTCTTTTTTGATAAGCTCAGATATGCTATCAATGACTGACAAAGTTGGTGATGCAATTATAAAAGATTTATTACTATTGACTGGTATCATTTCTAGCATTACATTGTCGGTGATGAGGATGGAGGCGAAGGAGGTCTATATTTCTGAATATTTGCGCCTTCAGGACATATCATAGCGCCTCGAGGGCCTTGCTTCATAATCCTACGCAAGACCCCATCCATGATAAAAGCCGTCAATCCCCAAACAGTACATCCTTCCTGTTCGACATGCCAAACCGGGTATATGTATTTTGAATCCCTAAACCGGGCAAGGTGTTGACGTTTCTGAGGATTCAACAAGTCTTCCAATGGAATTGCAAAGACTTTAGACACCTCATCAGTATTGAATCGAATATCAGTGTTGATATCTTGGATAGGTTTATGAATGAATCCAATATATGGATGAACCTTCATTGTGCAATCCTTGTTGGGCATTGGCGTATATTCCCCAAGAACTTCAACATCGTTACGTGAGATAAAAATTTCTTCTTCCATCTCTCGTAATGCCGTTTCAAGACAACTCTTGTCTGTTGGGTCGCGTTTTCCTCCTGGGAAGCTAAGTTTTTTTTATTTTTTATTTTTAATAGAAAAAAAAATAAAAATAAGCATTTGCTCTACTCCACACCTCATGCATGGCCCTCTAAAAATATGTACTTTGGACAATTGGTCAAAAAAAAAATCTTTTACCTGCACTCTCCTCGATGGTTTCTCAACTTGCTTGATCGAACAGTTACTAAAACACTTGGGACGCCCTTGACAACGCAAAGAGGCTTTAAAGCGTTTAAGAGAGACCAAGGTTAGTGTCAAGTTAGCTTTATAAAGTAAGCGCAAAAAAAAAAAAAAAAAAAAAAAACAAAAATAGGACAAAGCTTTTTTTGGTTTTACCATGAATACAGCAGCCTCACGTAATGGTTTATCTTTGCAATAGTCGAAATGGTGACCGACTAGATGCTTATCCTCCTCCAGTCGCCTCTTGATGCGATCTAAAAATGTTCGGTCGAATTGGATCGAGTCTGTCTTTTCCGGAGTCGAACTCATCATGAAAGGAATGGTTCTGGATGCATAAGATGCATTTTGAAGTGATGAATGTCGCCTTGCCCGTTGTTGATGAGAAGGATAATACGGATGCTGTTGTTGCTGTTGCTGCTGCTGCTGCTGCTGCTGCTGCTGTTGGCGTTGGTATTGGTATTCTCTCAAATATGAGGGCATTGATGTGGATGGAACGGGCGGAGCATTGTAGGGGAGTTGGTATTGATATTGAGGAGGAAGAGGCACATCAGTCTGGTATAAGGGTGCAAAGACCTTGGATTCTGCATCTACATGACTTCCGGCAGTTGTGTTAGCATTGAGGAGAAAGGACTGTGCGAATAGTGCGTTGTTGCTTTCATGTGTTTGCTGTTGCTGATGTTGGTATTGACTTTGGTGCTGACGTTGGTAATAATATTGTGCAACTCGCATATTTTTTGATTTTGAAGAAACGCGAGCAGAATGTGTTGATGTGGAGGGTGTCACAAAGTAAGACATCATTGATCGTTGCGGGCAACGGTGCGACAAAGGCAAGAGAAACGCAGACATTTTTAAAATTTTTTAATTATCTAATGGACAGTGGGAGAGTGGAGAGAGGGAGAGAGAAGTAGTTTACTAAAAAAAAAAAAAAGAAGAAGAAGAAGAAGAAGAAGAAGAAGAAGAAAAAGCAGAGAAGGATGAAGAAAAGATGGTCTACAAGTGAGTGAAAATACAAGAGAAAGGAATGAATGTGTGTGTGGAGTTAAAGAGCGAGGGAGAGCCTTTTAAATGAAAATTTTCGATCGTGCACGATCCAACCTATTTCGCCTACAATTTCCGAGAAATTCTCGTCCTTCACAGTTACACATGGTCCACATGGCCACATACCAGAACTCAGAGCCATCAATGCCCGTAAACGAAAATCAGCCGGGTGATTTGTTCACAATGAGCAATGGCCCCCCTTCTAGGAGAAGAATAATATTCTTTTATGCTTCTTTAGCGAATCACCAAGTCTGAACTTTAAAGAGGAACTTGTCTCCCACCCCCCAGAAACCGATGGAAGAACTGTTACAAGCTTGACAAGCTAAGCACGCACCCATGACCCTGATATTTTTTCTTTCCTTGTAAGACGAATATCGAAACGATCAGTCTCCAGTATTATAGTGTTTATTATTTTTTCTTTTTTGAATGTTCTTCGGAGGAACAGAGCCTTTCTTTTTTATATAATACCCCACATTCATTTTTTTTTTTTTTTTTTTTTTTTGCTGCCACATTCTCCCCGCATTCTGCCTTTTACTGCAGCACTTAGTTCTTAACATTTGTATTTTTTTTTTCTCTTTCCCCACTTTTTTCTCATCGATAATTTTGAAAAAAGGGTTTTGTTTTCACCAATCATCCTCAGCTTACTCTTTACTTCTTTCTTCCCCGTAATACTCGTAATCAAAACTACAAATAAAAAGACGCGTATCTTTCAGTACATGTATACGTCTTATAGTTCTTATCAGTATTATCGTACAAAAGATATGAAATTATGTATAAGATAAAAGTCAAAATTCCGACTTGGATTTCTATTTATTCAACGAGGGTGACTATTGGATTCGTAGGCCCACTTTTTACATTTCCTCAGTCTTCACCTGTTGTATTCATACAACACAATCACTTGGAAATCGCAGAGAAAATTAAGATCCAGTATGCATGACCAGAAACCAATGAGTGATTCAAACAAAAATTGCCCGCGTTTCCTTAAAATTCTATTCATATCCTGTATCCTACGCGTTACAAGACAATCATTATATACAACGTCCACCATGTCGTAGACATGACACTTATGACCAATTCTTTAGATGATTATATTCATTAGAAATAATGTCAGTTATATCGATGTGAGAAGAGAGAGAGAAAAAAAATCGAAAGACTTTGTATGTGTCATATTGTAGAAAGCGTAGGAGCCGGTGAACGACTGTCTCGACCCCTTTTTTTTTTTTTTTTTTCTTTTTCTCAGTACATTCTTTGTAGTCCTTGACTAGTTTCAGATCTTTTATAAATGTATATTAATAAAGATATATATAAATATATAAATATATATATATATTCGTATATGCTGTTCTTCAAACATAAAAACAGCGTACATGTTCATTTTTGTTTGTGAAGTACGGATGTATATGTGAATACACATATTGACATAGTGAGCAATTGGGTTATTTCTTATTTAACAGAAGAGAAACACGTCAAAATTAAAAGGGACAGGCAAGAGAATTATGAACTCAGCTGCTGGTGCAGATATCCAAGGATCAATTGGCAATCTATCTTTTGTTTCTTTTTTTATTTCATTCTTTCTTACTCCTACTATTTTCTTTTCGCAGTTTTTCCTCATAAATGATTGCCATGATCCACTGCTCTTGGACAGGCCAACCAGGAAATTACATCAAATATTATGTATTTTGCTAGAATAAACATATACTACTTTCCTCTTCTCATCAGTGGCCGAACCAGAATATAGACTAATTGCAATTTTTGTTTCCTTTTTATTTGATGTTATTGGACCAACCACTACCCCTGGCGTATCATTTCACAGCATCACAAAATTAAAAGTATATTAAATGAAACCAAATTTTATTGAAAAGCTCTCAAAAATGAACATTTAATTCTGTTCCCAGGGTTTCCATTATGGAAACAAGTCTTGCTTCCAGCTTCTCACAATATTACGAGTATATTATCATGCAGGGATCATTATTATTTTATCAAGAACAACGTTATAAATGTACATGCACTCGTTATTCATCAAGTGTAGTGTGCTCATGTAATACTTTGTCTCAGGAAAAGTCAGGTATCACATTGATCCCTGGTTACCGACTTGTACAACAAAGGAGAACCAACATCCACAATCAAATCAGGTATAAAAAGCAACCACAACTCCTCCTTTTTTTTTTCTCTCATCAAAACAACAACCAATCTTCTCTCAACTTCTCTACTTCAACAGACCACTTCCTTGCTTCTACAGCACAACTCTTGAAACGAACACTCACTATCACTCTCGTGACTAAGCATCTTCCATCCCCACCCCCATTTCTTGTCTTTTCATCATCCATCATGGTTAAGCTCACTACCCTTCTCTTTGCCACAGTTGCCCTCCTGGCCTCCACCAACGCTCAGGTTTCACTTGCGCCCACCTTCTTCAACGAAACCGAGATCAATCCCACGATCAACTCTGCTGAGGACATTGTTGACTCGGAATTGTTGCCCCCCAGCCATCAGCTGGTCCGTCGTGCTCCTGTCGCCAAACCCAAACTGACCAAGGAACAGAAGACGATCCTGGATGCCCACAACAAGGTCCGTGCTCTCCACGGAGCTCCTCCTCTGGTCTGGAATACCAAGGCTGAAAAGCATGGACAAAACTGGCTAAAGAGGTGCGCGTTTGAGCACAGCCAATCCCGTGAGGTAAATCTAAAAAATCCAAGCCACACCCTCCCCTTAATATAAAAAAAATCTAAAAATGCTTTTGCTAAACTTTTTTCCTTCTTTTTTTTTTTTTTTTCAAAAAAAATTAGTTTGGTGAGAACTTGGCTATGGGTTACGGAAGCTTCAAGCAGGTGGTGAACGGTTGGTATAGTGAGGTGTCGAATTACAATTACAACCGTCCCGGTTTCGGCATGAAGACTGGTCATTTCACTCAAGTAGTCTGGAAAAGCACTAAATCGGTTGGATGTGCCAAGAGAACCTGTAATGGTCGTCCCCTCTATATCTGCAATTATTACGGACCTGGCAACTATGCAAATCAGTATCGTGAGAACGTCTTGCCTCGCAAGAAGTAAAAAAAAAAAAAAAAAAAAAAAAAAAAAAACAATCAAACTGTAGAATCCTGTACTGAATGAATAAAAAAAAAGATGAGGCTGGTTCCTCGTCTATATCATTTGTGAAGAGCAAGAGAATAATAGTATATACATGCATGTGCATGTGCACATCATTAATAATTAAAGGAGGAAGAGAGAATAACTACTATCCAATACATTATTGTCCCCATGGTTCTAAAATCCTTATTGTCCAAGTTCAAGCTCAAATACAAGCTCAAGTTCAAGCTCAAATTCAAGCTCAAGTTCAAGCTCCAAGCTCTTTTCGCTTTGCCTTTTTTATTTTTTATGGAATGGCGTATGTAGTAGGAACTGAGCCTAAAGGACGGCGCAAGTTTGATCAAAAAAGTAAAAAAGAAGGGTCGACAAAAAGCTCATCCATTTGCTTTTTTTTTTTTTAAAAAAAAAAAAAAAAAAAAAAAAAAAACACACGGGTTCAATATACCCATGTTTACTTGGCAGATCCCAAAAAGCTCTCAGGGGTAAAAAGAGTCTTTTTTTCGATTTCTAAGCATGGGAATATGTTTTTATGCGTCTTTAATTTTTTTTTTTTTTTTGCGCCTGCGTCTTTGCGAAATCCTTTCTCCGATTGCGCACATCCAATCAAGAGTATTACAAATATCGCATCATGTTGTGTATTCTGTAACAACGTGTCAAGAGACAAAACTTGTTTAACCAGATGTAAAGATACGAAAAAGAGAAAAAGTCAGAGGGTCTATTCATTTATCCACTTGCCCATTTATCCATTTATTCATTACAACTATTTTAGTTTTTAGTCATTCCCGAATATATATATAAAAAAAAAAAAATACTCTCATCCTGATTAAAAGTAATGGAGAAAAGTAAAGAAAGAAAGAAAGAAAGAAATGAAAAAGAAAAATGTGTTGGGATAGCTTAACGCAATTAGCAATAGCAATGGCAATAGTAATAGCAATACCAATAGCAATAGCAATGCAATGCAATGCAAGCTCATCAGAGATTATTGATAATATGGTTAATGGAATGTTTATTAAAAAGAAAAAGAAAAGAAAATCAGTTCCTGCAGTCACCGCAGTCAAGGGACTTTTTTTTTTCTGTGCGCGATTTTGCAAATTGCAAAGTGAAGTGTGGCCACATGGCCCAATTCCTCTTTTCTGGTTAGTAGTACATGGAGCGATTAATCGGGCATTACGGAAAGGGCAGCTTAGTATAGACATAATATAATTGGGGCAAAAAAAAAAAAGAGAGACATTATTAATCATCCGTAACGCAATTAACTTTGATAAAGTCGTCTTTAGAAAGAAGACACAGACAAAAAAAATAAAATAAAATAAAATTAAATAGAATAGAATATGAAAATGTCGCCATCACGAAAAATTAAAATAGTCAATCAACCATCCAATTTACATTTATATATTAATAATACCCGATGTGTAATATGTAGAATTGTTAATCAATATATTAGACAATACAATATGTACACTTTGTCAACTGATCGTAATTACGGATAAAAAAAAAAGGGTGCATGTAGTCAGGACTAAAAAAAAAAAAAAAAAAAATCGATCATCACGACATGGTTACAATGAACAATGAAATGTCCACGCGAAATATACACAAAAGGAAAAAAGGAACAAAAGGATGCTTGTTACAGTGTTACACGTTTTTTTTATTTTTGTCATGGCAATGATGTGATTGCCAAGCCCGTGGCAAAAAATCACGTCCGCATGAATCAAACATCGTCATGCCATGTGGATTGTACCCCTCTCTCGGCTTTCTACCCTCTTCTGGGTAACAAAAAGGAAAAAGGATATCCATCAGGGTCTCAATTCTTCCGGTGACATGTTTTTCCATGCGCATTTTTTTTTTTTTTTTTTTTTTTTTTGGGTAATTTCTCCGTATCATGCAGTTGCGTCAATTGTTGGACAAAAAAAGATGATACATCGATTCGATATTTGTACAAATATATTCTATACATCAATTTTGTAAATAAAAGAAAAAAGATGAAAGGATGGTGAATTTATTTAACATGTCAAAAAAAGGTAATATGTTGAGAGGCCTTTTCAGTTGGCGGTCGATTGTTCAGACCAGAAGATCCATTATAATTGACCACAACAGACAATTGTCCTTGACGCACCCCCTTCACTTTTTTTTTTTTTTTTTTTTTTTTGTTTTGTTTATTTGTTTACTTTTTTATCAAAAGCTTGTGCTCCTTCAGTCTCTCTTTCCTATCTCCCCTCACTCCATCATCGTTTCCATAAACAGAAATGGTTACCGGGAAACACTAACGTAACGATTAAAGCCATATTCAATGTCATTGTGCGTGGAAAAAGCTGTTGGCAGGAGAAAGAGAACGCGTATCAATCAAAAGGGGAAAGAAGCAAAAAAAAAAAAAAAAAAAAAAAAAAAAAAGGAAAGGGAGTAAGCATTATACTGGGAATAGGGATGGAGATAGAGATAGACATGGGGATAGGAGTTGAAGATAGAAAATAGGATATAGGAAATAAGAAATAAGAATAGGAGTAAAAAAAAAATTGATAAACTTACTCTGTTAGCCCAGCTGCAACGATATGTAATGGCAAAAGGGGCCAGGGTCACCCTGCGTTTCTTTTCTTTTTTCTTTTTTAAAAAAGAAAAAAGAAAAAAAAGAAAAATAATAAAAAAAAAGGACCATGGAGTAGATAGCATCAAAGTATAAGGAGGTACCCGAGCAGCCTAGCTATCATCGTCATCGTCATCAGCATCTTCACCATGATGGCTATTTAGTCATCAGGCATTATCGTGTTCCCCAAACCCCACCCCTGAGTTCCTTAGCGTCAACTGTTGGCATACATGGTCCCTTCACATCTCCCATTCTGTCTGACACTAAAAAAAAAAAACAACAACAACAACAACAACAACGGCAGTAACAACAACAACAGTGCGTCGTTGCATTTACACTAGGGTCGTCCGACTACCTGCTCATTATGTCAACTTTTTGTGCAGGGACCCACATTCCCTTCCCGCGTCTTTTCTTCCTGTTATTTAAATATAATCATATAATGTTTAGACATTTCTACAGTGTAATATTTAGCAGTATATAAACAATACACCATCATTCTGTTTAATAACTTTTATTACCCTCTTTTATTTTTTTTTATTTTTTTTTTTGTTCAGGGCTCCCAGGCTAGAACAGTTCTGAAATCTCTTCATCCTGTAACTGATTTTTTCAATTACATTTTTTTTTTTTTTTTTTTTTTTTTACACACACGAACCGTACGCGTAAATGCATATATAACATAACACAAAAACTTCCGCTCCATCTCTCTTTGCTGCTGATGTTTCACTTTTCAATTGCTCTATATTGTGATTATAAAGAGAAAAGGAAATCGACAGATTCAGCAGATTCAGCAGATTCAACAGATTCATTAGATTCAGAAAGAAAGAAAGAAAAAACTCCCCGATAAGACAATTTAATGAAGTTTCAGGAATAGACGCGCTTTTTTTTTTTTTTTTTTTTTTTTTTTTTTTTTTTTTTAATTATTATTTATCTTATTGTCACGATAGCACAATTCTTTTTTTTGAGATGCAGATGGACCCCGATGATGGACCCTAGTCATTTAATTTTTTTTTTTTTTTTTTTTAATATTCGCGTAATATTACGGGTGCAAGTTGGTGTTGATGCGCCTTTTTTAAAAAAAAAATAAAAAAAATTTCTACTATTATTAACATGCAAGCAAGGTACTTTGATGCAATGTAATGCAGTGCTGTTCGGCATTGATGTCCCTGTTGCTGTCACCATTGCTGTTGCTGTGTGTCGTTGAATTTTTTTTTTTTTTTTTTTTTGTTATCTTTCTAGGCTTCTAGAACATTAAGGAAATATAAATAAAGCTTTTTTTTTTTTTTTTTTTTTTGAAGATCTTTGTCTGGACCAAAAAAAGAAAGAGAGCAATCTAAATAGCTAACCGGTGTGTGAAGGGAGAGAGAGAGAGAGAGAGAGAGAATGAATGTGTGGTAACAGTAGTATGAAGAATAAAATCAGGGGTTAAAAAAAAAAAAAAAAAAAAAAAAAAGACCGATGTGAGCGTAAGAGCGGAAAAAAAAATAAAGTGTAGTTTGAACTGTACCTTAACCGACTGTGCGTCAAACTAAAAAAGCCAATCAAGAGCGCGTTGCTGTGCGGATTGAAGAAAAAAAAAAAAAAATAACAATCTGTACCAACATTGTCCACAACGACGACAGCACCAATAAGAACAGCAATGGAAAAAATAAAATAGCATAAAAATAAAATGCAAAGCGCCATAAATGATAAACAACAGGTGCCGAGGAAGAGGAAGAAGAAGAAGAAGAAAAAAAAAAAAAGAGGGGTTAAAGAATTGACAAAAAAAATGATCACATTTGACATTAGCTAATACGTCTCGACTCTGTCAAAGAAGACCTGGCTTCATCTTCATCCATATCTCCTCTCCCTCACTAAAAAGCCACCCCGTGGGGACAAGTGTATTGGTTCCTCGTTGGTTTTGATGCTGGTGTTGACATCAATATTGAAATAGAAATAGGATATTGAATGCTGATGCTGATGCAATTGACGCGCGGTTCATGTTGATGTTGTCTATATTTTTATTATCCTCATTCTTATTGGTACAGTTCTTTCTTTTTTATTTTTTCCTATTAGCCTCTCATTAATCAATTGACCTTAATGAGCTCTATCAGCAAGTTCCCAGTTATAGACTACTGTTGATATGGCATACAACCCAAATGTTGAATATAATCAATATGTGGAGATAACCAAACGCGCTGTTTCAATAATATAAAAAAAAAAAAAAAAAAAAAAAAGAGAGATGGTCTGATCTTTTGTTTTGTTTGCTCTGGGCTTCAAAAAAAAAACACAATGACCAACTTTTTTATTTAATTCCCCACAACGCTAAAAAAAAAAAAAAAAAAATAAGACACAATATATTTATTGGCTAAATAACATTACTCACACGGTCCTGTCATGTAGTCCCTAATTGACCCAGTTAGTTCTAGGCAGCCAAAAATTGGGAGAGGGGCTACCAGAAAGGTTGCTCTGGACCCAACTGACCTACATTTTATTATCCTCTATTCCGCTTTTTTCTTGTGCAACGAGAGCTTCGTAGTTTCGTGGAGAAAGGAGGAAAGGAGAATTTTTTTTTACATTCACCCCACAAGACGTGACCACATTGGCCCTGTACCTCTCACTCAACGGCTCTCTATTTTACATTAATGAATGAGACACAGCATGACTGGGAGTGATGATAAAAAAATAAAAAAATAAAAAAAAAGAGTGTTGGTTCTGTATAGATTGAGATGGCACATGCATGGACATGAGTTAACACGAGATAGAGATTGAGAGAGAAGGAAAAAAGAAGCTAGATGGGAGATAACGGTATCCCCGTATTCCATCATTTTGTAAGCAAAAAGGATATTATTACTTTAGGGAAGGGGGTTTGGGAGAGGAGGGGGCCTTACGTGAATTTGTAACAGCTATTGTAGGCTACTACACATGCAGACTAGACTATTGTAGAAATATCACACACAGAGAATGTTAAAGGGCTCTTTCTTCTTTCTTCTCTCTCTTTTTTTTTTTTTAAAAAAAAGAGGGCGTGGGATGAATGAGTGAATCCAAACAACAACAAATAACAAACAGCAGAAAGAGAAAGAGAGAGAAAAAAGCTCTGGGGCTGTTTGGCTGTAAACGAAATAGATGATCTTTTTTTTTTAATGTTGCAGTTGAAAATTCATGCAAAAACTCATCTTATGAATAAGAGGATTAAAGAGAAAAACTCTATACATGAAGATCATCAGAGCAAAATAATCCCATTAAGTTCTACGAGTATCAGGTCCTTTACATGTTTAAAGATCCTTTAACAGTACTATCAGTTTTCTTCATCTGATGCATGTCGTGACCACTGCTCTCGTTTTTTTTTTTTCCTGTCGGTTCATCGGTTCACAAGCATATTCGCCTATCATTAACGTTAACGTTAACGTTTACATTCATTAACATTAACACTATTTGTGCAGCAGTTCTAGTGTTCTAGTATTTACCATGGCTTTAGAAAAAGAAAGAAGAAAAAAGAAAAAAGATTAGAACGAGAGAGAGGGTCCTTCGTTTGACAATGAATGGTAGGGGGCCTTTGATTCAGCTTTTCTCGAAAACCTTTTTTTTCTTTTTTTTTTCTTTTTTTTTCTATTTTTTTCCAATATTCCTATTTTCACCCCACGACAAAAGGAAGGCCAGGAGAAAGGCCAAATCAGGGCTAAGTCAAAGTCAAAGACAAGGTCAAGGTCAAGGTCTAGATCCAGGTCAAGGTCTAGATCCAGGTCAAGGCCCAGGGTTAGATGTTGTTTCTGTATTTGAGCATTGACCATGATCATCATAATGGTCAAGCCAAAAAGAATAAAAGCATAGGAGGTTACTATTAGCATTTTCCAAAGACATTGCTATCTAAAAGGACACATACTCCTGGTTTTTTTTTTTTTTTTTTTTTTTTTTTTTTTCTTTTTCTCGCCAGGGACCCCATTGTATTATGGTACTGGAGCAAAAAAAAAAAAAAAAAAAAAAAAAAAACTTGTTTTTCAATCCCGTGACCTCTAGCCAGTGTATGGATCATTGCCAACTACTTGGGTACCGGCAAAACATGAAGCTGTATATCCCTTACAAATATACCAATATTAATATAAATATATATATTTGTAAACATTCATGTATGAGATATGTGAATACTAGCTGTATATCATAACATATAGTAGCCTATCATAAAGAGCACCATCCTGTTTCAAGCTACTTTATAAGCTGCCCACTTTTCGGTTTCAATAGAAAAAGAAAGGGGGACGTGTCAAGGTACGAATGATACATTTTTATATTCATATAGATATATAGTAATGGTACATTTCCTTTAGACATAATATAAATGTAATTGAGCCTGTTCATACTTTACTATCTTGAGCAGGTATACTCTTCATGAGAACGTTAACTCTGTTTATGTTATTTAACTTGTCCTAATATAACATCGGTGTAGTTGAAGCAGGAAAAAAAAAACGTCTGTTCATCACGTTCAATGAACAACACATGTACACGAGTCCCTGTCACTGCCTTACGAATGCTTGATAGGTAATATTGACTCCTTTCTCTACCCCCCTTCCTTCTCCTCCCATGACTGACATGCACAATGTTAGGGTATATTGTCATGCCATTGTCTGTGGGTTTAGTCTGTCGGTCAGTCAGCCCTTGAGTTAATGACATGTCATGCCTGTACCCATGCCTTGTCCGGTTTACAATAAACAAAAAACGAGCGGCTCAGTACATGTGCATCAAGCTCATCTCATCTCAAGGAAGCATGAATCACCAAAAAAAGAAAACATAGAGGGTAGGACAGAGGTATCCGTTTATTCAGTTACACCCTGAAACTCGGTTATTCCCTCTTTTCGACTTTTTATTAAAAGTATTGACGCGACGTTACTTTTTTATTATTATTTATTTATTATTATTATTGTTTACCTGTAGGTACCAATGCAGTTCATTGAGGAGAGAGGAAGAGTTAGAGAGAGAAGAGCTCTCATGCACCATTTTTTTTACTCCTATAGCGTTTCTCTCTCTATCTCTATCTCTCTTGCTCTCTATTTTTTCCTCAACCTACACTGCCTACACCTACACACATACCCCCTTGCTCTTTCTTTCTTAGCCACGGAACAGGCTTTTTTTGTTGTTGTTTATTGAACCTCTCATTGCCCTCTCTCTTCTATTAGTAAGAGTTTTTTTTTTTTTTTTTTTTTTTTTTTTTTTCGAGCATTTAGGGCAGAGTAATCGAGGGGTATTAAAAATAGTCGAATGGTGTAGCTAGGGGAGAAGGGAGGAAAGAGTGACCTAAATAGAAAAAAAGAAAAGAAGAGATTACAGATAGAGAGTCTGTGTGCGTGTTTGTAAGTACGTTATATGGATCAGTCGACTGGTCTGGTCTGGATGAATTATATACTAACTATGAGAGCCATATCCCTCTTCTTAAGTGGCGAGGATCACTTGGCGAAGACGAATGGCGAAGGCTACTGATGTGTCTGCACTAAATGCATTTGCATTAGGTGTGTGGTGCTTAGTCCATCTAAAATCCGGTTTCGGCAATCTATGTATAATACAATTGGGAAAAAGAGAGTGTGTGTGGAGCAATTTTTTTTTTTTTGCCTCTGTCAATTATTAATTGACAGTTGTCAGAGCTACCGTGGTACGTAGTTTAATAATAGTAAAATGTAACATTCAATTCCAATTAAAAAATTTTCCGGGTGCTTCACAGAAACAGTGCGGGATAACGGGCACACACACGACACAACATCTTGGAATGTGTACTGTTCACGTTGTCCTTCTACGCTGTTCTTTTGTATTCTGCCTTGCTTAACAAAAACAAAAAAAGAGGGGGGGGGGAGCCCTTGCGTTAGAATGATAGATGTGGCTAAGAGAGATAGAGACGAATATGTAAAAACAGATATGTAATGTGAGAAAGGAAAGAATGTAATGTAATGTTTATGCGGTATTATTTCATTAATACCAGTTTAACATCTATTCTTCTCCCACCACCACCTTCGTAGTATGACATGGCATAAACAATACATCTACTACATCTAAATTATATCCCTTCATTTGTGTACATTTTCTGGTACGAATGGAAAACGCAGGAGGAAGAGGAAATAGAGATAAGAGATGGAGATAAATAATAATGATAATAGTAGTAATAATAATAGTTATAATTACGGTAATAAAGAGTAAAAATAAACAAGTGGTGTAGTCATTAGCCCCTCAGTAGACGATTTAAATCTATTCTACCCTGCCTGGCTTTATTTGCTGTCATTCATCTTGGTTAAAGACACTATAGAATGAGATAAAAAGAAACAAAAGAAAAAGGAGTAAAAAGAAAGAAAAGAAGGAAATACCAATCTCACAGCCCGAGGGAAAACCGGAAAGGGTCTTGAGTGAATTAACGGCCGTTGTTGTCGTTATGGTCGTGTTGTTTATTGTTTATTCTTCATTTTCCCTATCTGTTAAAACGACACGTTGGAAAAAAAGCTGTAAATGGCTGTAGACGAGGCGACAATGTCTATATTTGTCATCGATGAGTTGTGGAGAAAAGAGGCGATGAGTTTATTCAATTGCTATTATTGTATATATATATATATTATTGCCAAGTAAACATACGCCGCAATTATTATTATTATTATTATTATTATTATTATTATTATTATTTTCGATCACTCTTTTCTTTTCTTGGCCGCAGCAGCCCAGTCTTTTTTTTTTTTTTTTTTTTTTTTTTTTTTTTTGTTTTCTGTGTTGCGGCTGAGAGAAGTGCCGACTGTGAATGTTTTAATTGAGCTAAATAATAAATATTTTCTATTGTTGAGCTATTTCAACTTTATATTGATACAATAATAAACTTCATTTTTGTCGTTTTGCCCAGCAATTTTCTTCGACTCTTCTATTTCGCCGAGGAATTTCCTTGTCCCTCTTTGTCTTTCTGGGCAAACACAAAAGAAACACGTTGTATTTAATGCCGCGCCACTGTGAACACTGTTTTTCATCTTTTTTTTTTTTTTTTTTTCTTGTCGCGAAGAAAAAAGAATCGAAAAAGGGAAATAGTCGACTTGGCAGCCATTGAGCCAAGTCGACGAAGATAAAGTCAAGCTTGGGTGTTTCTATTTCTTCTTTCTATCTCTCTAAACCATGTGACATTGCAAAGGTAAATGTGGCATGTTCAAAGGCTGTGACCATCCGGATAAAAATTTGTACTTATTGAATGAATTCTTTTTTTGGTAGCAGAGAGCGACGCGTCAATTGATGCGAGACTGTCTCAGATGGGATCAATTGAGACGATAGTCAATTGAGAGGCGTCAGAGTATGTTTTATATTGATAAAGTTTATTTTTAAAATACAGTATTGTAATTCAATAGGCCATGCTCGATCAATGCTATTGAGTGTGATTCATTCTAATTCAATCCAGGTTTAAAATACGCAGAAGAATAAGAAAAAAGCGCTGCGGACAGACGGAACTTGGGCATCCGCACATCCGCATATCCGCACATAACTAAAACAATGGTCAGAGCAATTGAGTTATTCCTGAGTCAATCAAATCAATTCAAGTCAATCTAAAATCCATTCAATAATAATGCTATTCAATCCATTCAATCCTTTTTATTGTAATTGTATTGGAATATGTATAATACTCAACACTTTGTCGTTATCGTCCTTTGGATTTGTATAAAAAGGGTCTGATGTCCCCCCCCAAGTTCACTCTTTTTTATTTCTCTTTTTCTTTTTTATCCCTCCTACTCTCTTTCATAAACGATCCTTAGTTCGTACAGCCTAGACCAACTTCTCCTTACTTAATTTGCTTCGCATTTCTCTCTCTCTCTCTCTCTCTCTCACTCTCTCTCACAATAATTCCTCTACCTCACTCACAAACAAGTACTTTCACCATTCACTCCTCAAAGAAATACCACCACCTCTCTTCTTGCACCAGCCACTCCACGACCACTACCACCATAACCTCTACAAAAACTACCACAACTCTTCCACAATCCGAATCAACCATGCTTTGTTCTGTTATCCGTAAAATGTGCTCAACAACATCGACTAGACTACTCCAAGAACAACCACTTCAGAAATCCACATCGTATCTCAACAAGGCCTTCAACACCATGGCTTCTCCCATCACTCCTCCCAGCTCTCCTCCTTCTCCTGCTATGAGCATGGAAAGCATCAACGGCGACGAATTTGACGACCATGATTCTCAACAAACTCGCAAGATCAAGGTTATGATCATCGATGACAATGCCATCAACCTGTCCATTCTTTCGCGTCTCCTCAACAAGCACTTTGCTGATACTATCCAACTCACCTCTGTTCAGAGCTCAGGTCTCTCTGCTTTGAACCAACTCACAAAGGATGAGGTCGACTTGATCCTCATGGACATCGATATGCCAGAACTCTCCGGTGTCGAGACCACAACTGCTATCCGTACCAACAACTCCCATACTGGACACTCGATCTTGGAGCAAAACAAGACTGTTCCTATTATCGCTGTAACCACCTCAGACGCTGAGGAGCAACGCGAACTCTACCGCAAAGTCGGCATGGCTGACTGTGTCTCCAAGCCTATTGCTGTCCCCAAGTTGCGCATGGCCATCGAAGAGGCTATGAAGGCAGTGCACACTGTCGCTACCACAGGATGAACTTGATGGACCTCCTTTCCTTGTTCTTTTACATTCTTTTTAAAAAAAAGCCAAAAAAATTTGCTTTTCGTTGCAATTTTTTGTTATCACACCAACCAACAGTTCTCTCTCTCTCTCCTTGAGCCGTTCGCTATAACCAACCAAGTCTCGTTCCAACTACAACGAGGAAAAAAAAAAAAATTCCTCCCAACTGGTTCGATTGACTTCTCTCCCCTTGCGGAAATTGAGCGACGCCTATCTTTTTTTTTCTTTTTTTTTTTTTATTTCTTTTCTCCTTTTCAAGAAACAAAAAAAATAATCCAAAAAGGACCCGTATCACATGCATGTTCATCTTTACTGCATGTTTCTTTCAAACCCTCCCATTTTGTGGTTGAGGACAATATTACTTTTGTAGTTTTCTTCTATTATATACCCGCGCAGTGTCTTCAATGACTTGGCCTGCTATCAATGGCTTTTACGAATAAAAATTATTTTATAAAAAAAAAACTTGTCTCCTATTTTAATTGACTATGTGTATGACTTATGACTAATGACTAATTTGGCTTAAGAATGAGTGATCCACGACTCTTTACTTTTCAAAGTTTTTCTTTTTTTTTTTTTTTTTTTTTTTTTTTTGGCCAAACGCGCCAGAACCCGTCCAATGATTGTCTTAATTGTTAACCATTTTTTCTTTTTCTCCTACTAATGAACCCAAACCAGGGTTGGTTCAATGGACCGTGTTGAAGGAAAAAAAAAAAAAAGAATAACGAGTTGTTCCAGAGGTCGAAAAAAATAAAAAAAGATTGACAAGATCGCCAAGTCTTGTTACAAGTCCAAAAAAAAACGTTCAATTATGCATATTCAATCTTTATATTAGTTTGTCGGTGTTCAGCTCAAGCTCAGCCCTTGGCTGGTTATTATTATAATGTACAATAGCATCATTGCCTTTTTTGTTTTTTGTTTTTTTTATTTGACAGAGTTACCAACGGCGTCTGGGTAAAAAAAGGATGCTCTCCAACCATCAATGCTGTATCCATCCCGCTCTAAGCAAGCCTCCCTCTCCCCTTGATCTCTCTTGCATTTCCTTTATTTTTTCTCTTTTGCCTCCTCTCTTCCTGCACAACACGCATGTGTCTTGTGCACTGTATGCAAATAAATAAAAATAAGCCATGGCCTTTTTTTTTTTTTTTTTTTTTTTTTTTTTGAGTTTGATCAATTAGACATGCAAAAAGCAAGAAAAAGTAAGAGGGGGAGGCAAATTGCAAATGCAAATATAAAAAAAAGGCTCAAAGGTCAGATATAGAAAGAGAGAGAGAAAGAGAGAAACACACATTGGTCACGCGTGTCAGTTTCTAGTTTATATCATCCATGCAACACATCCCCCTTCCTTTCTCCTCTCTTCTGTCCTCCCCCGCTTGTGCTCGCAACTGAAATTGTCTGGACAATTTTATTGCGATCGCTTGTTGATTAAAGAAGCGGCTCGCAATAAAAAAAATTTTTTTTTGTGATTTTTGTACTAGAGAGCAAAAGCTTAACAACAGTCGATGATGACTTTCCGCAGGATCTAGGGGGAAGGTGGGGGGAGTAAAATGTCAAGGAAAGAGACAGAACGCGTACGGCTTGGCTTAGAAAGAGAAACAAACGCAGAGAGCCGATTAAGAGCGAGCTGTTATTATTAATTATTAATTCTTATTATTAGTCGTAGTAATAGTATATGTCAACCGAACAACCAACATTTTGTTGGTCGGTTGATCGGTTGGGTGCCGCATTAAGATTCTTTCGCTTATTGTTTCCAAAGAAGGAAAGTGTTTCTCACTGCACCGCAAAAAAAAAAAAAAAAAAAAAAAAAACAAACATCAGTAGAAAAGGTTTCCTTCTCCCTCGGAAGGCTTGACTTGGCTGCGGATGTGCAATTGCCGTTTTCCGCGGCTGATTTGTATTTCGTGTTGATTCATTACTTCTCCCAATTGTCTTTCTTTTTTCTTTTTTTAGTTGTTTGTTGGCGTTGTTTCTTACCCCTTTTTTATTGGACTTGCTAAATCTCGACATTAGTCAGTCAATTAGCCAGCGCAGTAAGGAAAGAAAGCTTTGCCACCTTTTTTTTTTTTTTTTCCTAAACGTTGTTATATACATGTCTTACAAAAAGAAGACACGAGGAATGGGTCGGATGGCATCATTGACAAGGGTCTTGTTCAATTTGGTTTAGCAATCGTGACGGATATACTTTTTTATTTTACTATCGTCGTCAAAAAAAGGGTCAACCCCCCATATCCTCGCGGTTTAAATTTTACTTCTTGGCAAAATGCTGTATTCAATGTTAAAAAGAGTCATCCTTTCACAGACGGATATATATATTCCCCTTCCCTTCCCTTTCTTTCATTGTTGTCATCACGAGGGAGATTGAAAACAAAAAAAAACATTGACACGTTCTTCATTCTCAGCCTTTTATTATTATTATTATTTTTTGGCGCGAAAATACTTTTTTTTTGTTTTTTTTTCTCTTGCCTACCATAAATATCCTGTTGATTTGTCATGCGATGCGAAGAACAAAGCAAAGAAGGAATAAGAAAAAAGGCGGACTTACTTTGCGGGCCTATAACGTGAGTCAGTTAGGGGAGAGGGAAATGAGAAAGAATCGGAGAGAATAAAAAAAAAAAAAAAAAAAAAAAATATTGAGAGCACGAGACATTTTTCTTTTCCCTAAAACATTGACAAGTGAAATAATGCAAAGTATTAGGAATAAGCATGTATATACTGTAGAATCACAATCCGTAAGATAATCCTCTCATCAATCAATCGATAATTGGATCTAATACCAATAGAAAGTGTCAACGCAGTTCAGTTGACATGAATGTTTTTCTTTTTTCTTTTTTCTTGCAGAGTTGAATGAGGTTCGAGAACGTTCAAGATCATCGTAGACCATTTCTCTGCACATGTGCTGTACATGGATTCAAGTATATAATGAAATAACCTTTTTTTTTTTTATTCTTCTTTTTCTTCTACTTTGTATGTGTATACATTTGTAACCAATGCTTGGCTCCCAACATATTACCCGAAGATTATTTTTTTTTACCTTTATTGGGGAGGATGTCCAGAATCTGTCAAACATCCTTGGCACACATCCTTATTTTCTATTTGCTCTTGTGTCTTTTGTCGGGTCTCCGAAGAATACATGATCCATGTAGGATAAAAAATGTGTAACAAAGAGCAAAAAAAAAAAAAAAAAAAAAAAAAACTTCTTGGAAAACGCTCCAATTAGCGATCAAAAAAAAATCCTTTCACTCGAATGGTTGCAGAAGGATGAGAGGAATCAGGGGGGAGGAGGCTAGAGCCTGGGGGGGGGGGGGGTTGGTCGTTGTGGATGGAGTATATACATGTGCATATGTGTGTGCGTATATTTGGTATATTTGTGCATCTTTTGTTCCTGCAGACAGGTTAGAACGAACGAAAGAAAGAGAAGACACAAACCAACCAATCAGCTCATCCCTGGACTGAAGGAATCTTTTATTGCTTCTTATGACTCCGCCTCAATACAATATTCAATCCAATAGGACTAAAAAGACTAACATTTTCTTTGCGTTGTTTTCTCTCTCTGAGAAAATGAGAATAAAAAAAAAACGTGGCAAACTTTAAACAACTCTTTCTCGTCTTCTGTTTGGTACCTCACTGACCCCTCTCTTCTCTCTCTCTCGTACTATTGTCATCCTTTCGGGTTATAGTTCTTGTCGTCTAAATATTTTTGTGGGGGGACATGATTGGTTAATTAGTTTCTTCCGGTGCGCTAATATCTGTAATAATTGTAATATATAACTCTAATAACTTGTATAATATATATATATATATATTTATATTCACAGGTTGTTTTCTTCCATCCCCCCAATAAACGATTAGAAAGCTTGTGGTTAGTTAAGAAAAAAAAGAAAAGAAAAGAAAAAAGAAAGCTAAATGGGGGATACTGGACATGAATATACATTTATATATATATATATATATATATCTATATATATACATATAATATAACATATTCTATTACACATAACGAGTCGACCCCAGGAAAAAAAAAAAAAAAAAAAAAAAAAAAAAATTGGGACTTCACTTTCATGTGTCGGTTATTCAGAAAGGCCGTTTCTTTTTTTTTTTTTTTGTCATCAAGTGTAATATAGTTTATAAACTTTTTAACGGTCGAGTCATGTTTGTTCTTTCTTTTTTGGGTTGTTTCTTCACTTTATCGAAAGATACCATTTTGAGAATAGGGATCATCTTGATTGACATCTTGTTAGTCCATTGAACAGACTTGATTCTTTCTCGCTCATTCTTTTTCTTTTCTTTCCTTTTCTTAAATCCCTTGACTCCTTGACTCTAGATGATCCATGCAGTCAATGTAAACCTTAGTTTGAAATAAAAAAAAAAAATCATTGATTTGATCCATATCAATGGTGTTATACTAAGAAACCACATACATGAACAACTTAATCATTACAATTAGTTCGAATTTTGATTCATTTGTAGGATTCGCGTCTTTTATGATATGCAAGAATAAAAATAAAATCTCTTTTGCATAGACTGTCGTGCTTTTTCGTCCTAAAGTGATGAAAGTATGATCGGATAAAAAAATGTAAAGTAAAATAAAGACAGAGACAATATGTTCTTTAAAAGCCCCTTCTCTGTTCCTTTTTTTTTTTTTTTTTTTTCCTTCTTCTATGCCTGTTAATGTTCTGGACACGTTTTTGCAATGGTCTATGGTAAGGCATAAATCGTGTAGATAGTATAGACGGTGGTCTGCTTCTATTTTTTCCTTTTTTTTTTTTTTAAGAAGAAACAAAAACGCGATTGTGAGCAGAGGCAAAGGTGGCGGATATGCTTCAAGTTGCCTCAGTATTCCATGATGCTCCGCGGGAAAGGGTAGGAGCCCGATATCTTGATATATAGTACGTACATGTACATGAATATAACAACCACACCACAGCAATTTATAACAATAACAAACATTCCGTAAAGGAGCACAGCGCTCAGGTGTTGTTTTTAAATAAAAATAAGAAATCCATCTTTCTCCTTTTTCTTCAAGCTTTGCTTGCCTAACTCAGGGGGGGGGGGGGGGGGACAGCAACCAAAGATCCAAAAAAAAAAAAAAAAAAAAAAAATGAAGGAAACCGATCAAATCGCGTTTGCGCATCTTTATTATATACACATGTATCTACATG